AAGAATTGCCTCCGCGTAGCGTGTATGAAGACACGTAAGCACACAGGTAACCCTCGGGGTTCTTGAGTATCGGGGGTAGAGCAGAGGTCAATGTCGAACAGATCAACAGACGGGACACAGCACTTGTACTGTATCTCCTTGAGCGCAATGTTAACTGAAGTTGACTACACCTCCTATAGAAGTGTATCTAGCTGTGACTATATACACAGGTAGTTTTCCTATCTAGGAAAGTCTGGGCGTTGTATGGTTGCCTCCGTTAAGGCCCCATGCCCTATAACGATGCAACACATGCAATGGCTTATTTCCTTTTTAGGGTATCACGTGACCCGAGTCAGCCTTGCCAACGAGGCTGACTTCCTCGCTTGACCTTCCCTTCTATACCAGGCCCGGCAGGCCGTATAAAGGTCGGTTCGTAACAATAGGCTAATCCTAAATCGCCGCGACCCTCTCTAGGTCCATCGAGACGCCGTCGACTTCTATACGATACCTAAGGAAGTCGACCTCTTTCGTGAAGAACTTACATTTTAATAATTTTATATATAGATTATACCCCTTTAGCCTCTTGAGTATAAATAGTAAGTATCTTTTATACTCCTCCTCGTCGGCGCTAAAGATAAGTATATCGTCTATATATATAATATAAATATTATCTAGAAGGCCTAGAAGAGCTTCGTTAATATAGCTCTAAAATATTATTAAAGTATTAGTAAGCCCGAAAGGTATAACTAAATACTTAAAGTGCTTATATCGCGTATAAAATATAGTCTTTTAACAGTCCTTCTTTATAACTAGAATACGGTAGTACGCGTCCCTAAGATCTAGCTTAAAGAAGACCTTCGCGCTACTTAGGCGGTCTAGAATCTCCGGGATAAGGGGTAGGGGGTACCTATTCTTCTTCGTGATCCGGTTTAGGCCCCGATAGTCGACGCAGAGTCGCAGGGTACCGTCGGACTTAGGTACGAAGAGGATTAGTGCCCCGGCCGATAATTTACTCGGTTAAATTCACCCCTTTTCTAGGCTAGAATTAAGGTACTCGCGTAAGACCCGTAGTTCCTTCGTACTAAGAGAGTATATAGGGCCGTATAGAATTATTTCGCCCTCTTAGATCGGGATTTAATGCTTAGTTTTCGTATTAATAGCGAAAGGATCGCTACTAGGCTCTTAAAAGATAAAAGCGAACCGACTTAATCTCGCGTTAAGTGCTATCTCGCCGTAAGTTTCGTGTAACTCGCCCTTATTCTCGTTATCTTTCTAAATAGGTTATATATAAGCGATTAGGACTTTATTCTTCTCCGCCTTAGCCTCTAACTCTAATAGTAATATCTTAATTATATATAAGTCGGGTTTATCTCGGAAGCTCTATACACCGGTTAACTAATCTATATTAGGGTTAATATCTCTTAGCTAAGGAAATCTAAGAATAGCGTTATAGAATACAATTTTAGTTATAAGGAAATCCTAAGGGTGCGACTTATATATGTATCGATAGTCGGTTACTATCGTATCGAGGCGGTATTAACTATAGACTCTTACTACCTAGCCAGCTACTATACGGACTCGGATATTCGGCTCGATTAACTTTACGCCTAACTCCGCCACTAGCAGATATCTAATAAAGTTAGCTTACGCGCCGCTATTAAGCAGTGTACGAGCCGTCCTTATACCGTTTAGTCTAGTAAGGTAAACTTTTAGTATAAGTGCCTTAGGTACTGCCTTAGAGCTAGCGATTTCCTTATTAGTATTTAAGCCTAGCGCTACTACGGTACTTAGTAAGCTAGTACTTAATTTTTTAACTAGTCGCCCTTCTTCCCCTTCCCCTTAGTCTCCTTCTTTATATATAAGGAGGGTGCGTCTCGCGGTTTAGTTAGTCACGAGCGATAATCTCTCGCCTAATGCCCTCTCTTATAGTAGATATTACATTCTCCGTCGAAGGGTAACTTCGGTCTATTATCTCTATAACGGGCTTTCTTCGTTAGTAAGGGCGAGGTCCGCTCGCGAGGCGTACGGGAACCGTATAGGGATTAGTGGCGAGCGGGGTTAGTAGTAGTTATAGTTAATATAACCCTCTTTATTATAAAGGGTGCGACTCGCTCGGTACTTTCCCGCTTCTCTTTACTAATAATCTTTTTTAATCTTTAAGCTAATATTAGTATTTATACTTTAGAGGTAATATTCTCTAAGTCTCTCTAGATAGTATCTCGTAGTACTAGTATTAAAGTATAAAAAAAGGGCTTAGCCTTACCGCTCCTCTTTAGTAAGAGGGCTAATCTCCTCTTTTAAGAGTTCTATTTAGTGTACTAAGTCCTATATAGACTAGCTTACTTCTTACTTAAGAGTCGCGAGCGCGACTAGTGCTTCTCCCTTATGAATATCTACGTCTTTAGTAGTGTCCTTATACTATAAGATAAAGAGAGGCTACGACTCGGGGATAGGTTATACTAGCTAGCGGTCTTATCGCCAGCGGTTAATCGCGCGGTCTTCGAGCCCGTTAGCCGCGGTTCGTATATAGTATCTCTAGTCGAGAGTAACCTTAGGCGGAATCGTATTAAATACTATTTACTAGCTATTATTAAAGTCGTGTAAGGCTCGTATATTCTTCTTATTAAACTTTAGGGGCTGCTTAAGTATTCGTAATATCCGCTATAATTATTTATAATCTTTATTTACTTATGAGGAGCTATACAGTCGCTTACGACTTAGTAACGTTATACCTATAACTTCTATATATTATAGTAGCTCGCGGCTAGCCTTCTCTTCTTTCATCGCCTAAATCTCGTCCCGGAGTCGCTTACGTCTCAACTCGGTCTCGAGCGCTTTTCGCCGGGCGACGAGTTATTAGTATTCTTCATCTTTACCCTCTAAGGTATAAGGTGTCCTCGACTCGCGTGTAAGCGTCGGGGGTATTAAGTATACCTCGATAGGTTCATCGTTTATTGGGTTTTCTCGGGGGGCTATAGTTAAAGACCCGGCTTCTATAGGTGACCCCCGAGCTGCGGGTGTAGCTCTTTTAGACGCTATTACCGCCTATACTATTACTTCGTCCGACCGATTATATTAAGATGCTTTAAGAATATTAGGAATAGCCTATAGCGATAGGCAGAGAGTAATAGTGGTGGGATTTAATAATATTAGGTATCCCTAGACCTCTAGGTTAAACAGGACTTAAAGCATGAAAGGAGGGTAAGACTCTTATGCGAGCTGTATAAGAGATGAAGGCGTCCTCTTAGTAGGCTTAGTAAGCTCTGGTCGCTATTCCTGACACGTTATACGGGCGTGGTTTCGACGAATCTTGAGATATTAGTAATGCTTTTACGATAGTTGCTTTTAAGGACTGAAAAAACACCAACATTAAGAGGTTGAAGGACGTGCGATGAGTGTGAAGGCATATAAAGCAGCTGAACATTATAGGTAAAGCACTCGAACATAAACGCAATAGTAACGTGAGAGTTGTAGTTGTCGTAGAGGAGTAATCGGGGTGCTGTGCCATTTGCGGTTTGAGGGAGGAAGATCTCTTGTAACCAGCTTAACCCGACTGTATTTATTGTAAAGGCGTTCTCAGTACACTTGTAGTGCCAATTCGAGGGTGAGTTATGTGGGAACCATATTGACTGGAGGTCTTTACCTTTAAAAAGCACCAGCGGATCGATAAAACGACCCTCCGCCGAGCAGGCCTCGATTATAGTGACCTAGTCACGATTTTCAGGCGTCTTGCGATATGAACGTCTCTTATTGGTTATACTAATAACTCTTTGGTTGGTACAGACCCCCATAGCCAGTCCGGATTTATCGAAGTTCCATATATTGGCTGGTTTGATCTGATGACGGGTAATAATAGCGCGGAAGAGGGTAAAGAAGGTCTGAAGGGTATCTGGACTAGTATTTTCAACGCGTAGGTACTCGATCTTCCTTCCTACCTTTGATTTTATCTCTGGATGACGATTAAGAAAGCGTGTTGCCCAGTTTATGCCGACTGAAGTTGGGCCATCCGAGGTCTTTAAGATGAGGCCAGTAAACTCGCGTACTTGAGAGAAGGTTGGGGGGGCGCCAGCGTAGTCAAGATCGATAATCCATCGAACAAGAAGATCCTCTTATGTAGAGGACAGCAGCTGTTGGTCTTCTCTTACTGATTGTCGAGTTTGGCCTCCTTTCAGTCGACGACTCATGGTACTGAAGTCAACGCGGTATGCTGTCGCTGCAGATCGAATCGAGGGGTAATCGCCGCGCTGGAAGGCCCGGATTGCCTCCTGGAGGGTTTCTTCGGTATAGGAGGGCATGCTGACCAAGTATGAACAAGATAAGAGAGGTTTGTGGTGTGCTGGTGTGATATGAAAGAGAGAGGGTTGTTAAGAACGCGATTTGACGCGTAAATGCGGGGCTGTTGCAGTACGCGGTTGTTGCATTACACGGTGGTCTGACTTAAATGAGCTACGAGTTAGATGGACTTGCAACTAAAAGCAACGGCAAGTGCCGGGTAGAAATACCAGTCTATCGCGAAGATAGGCGCCTCCCTTGTGAACTCGTAAGGGATCCTCAATTGAAACGGGGATTCATGTCAGCGTCTCGCCCCTTTTCTTCTGGAAATCGAAATCATTGGAATATTGTTTTTGACATGTCTTTTTAAATCTCGATCTCGGTCTGGACCAGCGCTGATGACTGACCTTAACTGACCAACAGCCATCTACACAGTACAGGTACGTACTTTCCCCGTAGTGCTCGCTCTGGGATTTGGCCCTACACCATCGGAGCATGCATGTCTTTCGTGATCTAACGTGGGGTGGGTTGGGGTGGCGTGAAATGACATGATAGAACAGAACCTGACTGGTCAAGCACGCTCGCGGCAGGATCGGCTCTGTTCTGCTCTCATCCGATAATTATGATGATACGGATCGGTCTTTTCCTCTCTTGATGCACCGGCAACCGCATCCTTTTGTGGCCTCCATGGTGCCTGTGCATAGATACGACTTGTCTGCTCAGCCATATTCCTCCTCTCTCCGGCCGCTTTACTCCTTGCCCGTGGGGATCTTGAAGAATACACCCCTCTCCCCCTGCGACGGCGCCTTATCACACCTATAATACCCCTTGCGGTCGAACTGCAGAAAATCATCCACCTTGACGTCCCACACATTCACGTCCGCTACGGCCTCGGTCCTGAACTCGCTCTGCTTGGTCAGGAAGTCCTCCCAGTGCGCCTCGTCCTCTTCGGTCAACTTGTCCTTGGCGAGGAGGTGGTCGAAATCCACAAGCTCGACGGGCACGAGGTCCTGGTCTTTCGAAAGCCATGTGATTTTCTTCTTGGTGGCCTTGAAGTCCCCCTCCAGGTGGAGTTCGAGGGTCATGGAGGTGACGTTGCCCAGGTTGCTTACCCCGTCGGCCACGCCATCCGGGGTGGCTTGGGAGGCCGTGGAATTCGCGTATTCGATGTCCCGAACGTAGGCGTTGCCCCAGTTCATGAGGGTGATTTCTTCGTCCTTGGCGAACGTGCGGGCGTCGTCTTGCTCGATGAGGATGTTCTGCGAGTAGACGACCTTTTTGTCGCCGAGGTCGTACTTCGCGTGTTTGGGTTTCGTTTCTTCGTAGGGGCCGTCTTGTGGGAGGCCCGTGATCTTGCAGACCACGTGGGTGCTGTCCATCGCGGTGTACCTCGCGGCCGTGGGATCGATGACCTTCTTGTTCATCGTCCAGATGGTGTGCCAGTCCATGTTGACCACGTTCTTGCTGGGGCCTTGGGAGACCATAAAATCGCGCAGGCCCTCAACCGTCATGCCGCGTCTCCTTATGCCCCGGACGGTGGGGAACCGTGGATCGTCCCAGCCAGACACCACGCCTGCATTGACCAGCTTGGTGAGTTTTCTCTTGCTCATCAACGTGCGGACGAATTGGATTTTGGAAAAGGTCCATATGTAAACGGGTCGCAGCTCGAGAGCCTTCAGAATCCACTTGTACTGTGCGTCTTGGTCGTTGTACTCTGTTGTGCGGAGCGCGTGGGTGACGCCTTCGAGGGAGTCGACGACCGGACACGCGAACTGGTACGTCGGGTAGGCCTTGTATTTGTCACCGGTGCGGTGGTGGGGGGTTTGGGTCTTGGGACAACGGAAGATGACGGGATCGCGGAGGGAAGCGTTGTCGTTCGCGTGCGAGATTTTGGCGCGGATGCACCAGCGTTTCCCTTCCTCGGTGCCCTTTTTCATTTCCGTGAATCTTGCTAAGTTGTCCTCGATGCTGTCATCTCGGTGGACGCTCGGCTCACGTGCCAATCTCTGCGCGGACATAACGTCGCCGGGCGTGTCGTCGGCATACGCCTTTCCGGCCTGGATGATCTTCACACAGTACTCGTCAATTTGATCGAAGTAGTCGCTAGTATAAGAGATCACGTCCGGCTTAATCCCCAGTAACGCAACGTCCTCACGAATAGCGTCTTGAAACTCGGCATTCTCTTTCTCAGTGTTCGTGTCGTCGAACCGAAGGATCAACTTTCCGCCGGGGTATTGAATGTGTGCGAAATAGTCGTTCAACAGCGCGGCTTTGGAGTGCCCGATATGGAGGTATCCTGAGGGTTCGGGGGGGAAACGTGTGACGATGCCGGCGGCAGCGTTGGGAAGTTCCATTTGTTTGACTTTGGGGGCTTTCTTGCCCTTGGGCCCTGAGGCGTCTTTGACTTTGGGAGGTTTGTCCGTCATTTTGGGCAGAGTTCGAGCTTGAAGCAGGGAGAGGAGAGGAAGAGGGACGGCGAAAGAGGCTCATTCAATCCGCCGCACTTGGAATATTTCAGAGGCGCGGGGAAAGTGAGAGCCTCGCGTAAAATTGACAAATCGGCCAAGACAGAGTCCCATTGGCCGCTCATGTGCGCGAGGCTACCACAAGTGGTCGGAGCTGCATTGGACTTTTGCGTCGGGGTTGAGTATCTCGAACTGACGACCAGAACGGCTTCGCGCGTGGGACACCGATTCCCATGGAGCTCTCGCGCAGCCTGTCAAGGGCGACTAGAAGCCTTTGCCGTCTCACAACATCATCCTTCCTTGCCCCTCTCCTGACGCGGACGACGGCGCCATGCATTTCGATAGCGACACGGTCGTTTTCATCGGCTCCCGCACTGTCAGCTACGGGCGGACCCCGACAGCTCACAGACAAGGATAGAGCAGCCAGAGAAAAGGTCAAGCGGCGAAGAAAGAAGCATCGAGCATACAAGCAGCATAATCTGAAGGACATGCAGCAGTTCACGTTATGCGAAGCAATGAGGTACAACCCAATATTTCTGGCATGTCGTGCCGCTGCTAATCTCTGCTCCAGATATATCAAAGCCTTTGAGCTCGGTCAGAATCCCGACACCCCTAAATACGACATCCACGTCAAATTGCGCACGAAAAAGGACGGCCCAATAGTCCGCAACAACGTCCGCCTCCCCTATCCCGTGAAAACCGATATCAAGATCGTGGTCGTATGTCCACCGGACTCGAACGCGGCGAAAGCCGCTCGTGCAGCCGGTGCACATCTGGTCGGCGAGGAGGAGGTTTTTGAACGGGTCAAGTCTGGGAAGATAGACTTCGATCGAGTCATTGCCGTGCCAGAGAGTTTGCAGAAGATGAACAAAGAGGGTATTCCCAGGATACTGGGTCCCCGCGGGTTGATGCCGAATGTGAAGATGGGAAGTGTGGTCACGAATCCCGGTCCGGCCGTGAGAAACATGATGGGCGGAAGCACATACAGAGAGCGACAGGGGGTAGTGAGGATGGCGGTCGGACGGCTAAGTTTCACGCCGGAGATGCTGAGGGATAATGTCAAGGCGTATGTCACCGCGGTCAAGAAGGACGCTGCTGCATTGAGTGATCAGATTGCCAAGGAGGTGTATGAGGTTGTGCTGAGCTCGACGAACTCTCCGGGCTTTTCGCTCAACGGGGATTTCTATAGGCCGGGACCTGGAAATGCTACGCCCCAGCAGCTGGCTGTGGTTTGAAGGACGGGTTGTGCATTATGCACAGCAGCGGCGCAAGGGTATCAAAGTTTGCTGTTATCACTCTGCGATGGCTGCACGAACCTGCAGCATCTGCTGTTTGGTCTTGACTTCGGGCTCGCGCCTTATTTCCATATCGAGGTCCGACAAAAGAATCTCGTGGATCTTCCTTATGCGGCCTTCCTGTGCCAACATAAAGGGATGTTGCGGACTATGCCTGCCCACCAAATGCTTCAAGATGAGAAATTCTTCCGTCCTGCGCTTCAGACGTACTGTCATGCCCATAGTCTCGTCCGAGTCGTATTCGTCGTCGCGCTCATTGATCGTCGTTTCCTCTACCCATTCCTCGCTCCATTGCTGTTCGCCATCCTCTTCGACCTGAGCCTCGTGGATCGGCCCAACGACTTTCGGTTTCGCAATATTCAGCTTTTCCTCCAAAGCGTCCAATCGTTCCGCCACTTCAAGCAGCGCCCGCCCAACACTGGTCTGCTGCCTGATCGCCTTCTTCTGCTTCAACAAATCTGCAACCTCTTCCCTCCGTTGCTCCACCAAGTCCTTGACACCCTTGACATCCCTCTGGAACCCCAATAAGCCCACCCTGATATCCTCAATCTTTTCCTCCCCACCGGAAAGCGTACTCCCTAGGGACAGGAACTCCTGATAGTTGTCATTGACCAGGTCGACAAGTTCCCTGTTGAGAGTCTGGCTCAGGTCGCGGAGTTCTGTCTGCAGATCCTCGAGGGTCTGAAAGCGGTTTGACAGACTGGAGAGGAAGACTGCCGCGTCGAAGTCTGGAGCAAGGAATGATGACCGGTCGAGAGGTTTTGGAAACGGAAGGGAGGTGTCGTCGTTGTCGTCGAGGTCGGAGCCCGAGTCGGAGTTGCTGAACTGCGCGACGTCGTTAGAGGTGCTTGGTGCGGAGCGGAAGGAGGGTAGGAAGTACGAAGAAGCGGTTGCTCATTGTGACTTGCTTTGGTGGTTCCGCGTCATGCTCACGCTCATGCAGAGGTATCCATGTTGCGGTGGAGTGAGGGAGGAATCGATTTCAGCTCCACTAGCCTAGTGCCATCTATGCACTTCTGGGCGACCCGTCTCTTCGCTAGAGTACGTACTCGTAGACGTGTAGAACACGTTACTAGATCCGGTATCCTGGCAACCTGCTTAATCGAGCGTGGGGGGACCGGAAAAATTCCGGTGGGATGTTCATGCCATTACGGCAAAATTCGATTCTACAACATACGCGACAGCGTACTCCGTAACTCTGTCGCGATAGACTACTCCTTACCTTTACTTTCTGATGTACTCCATGCTCGAGCGACAGTCTTCCAAGGATTTCGGTCTATCGGCCTTTCTAACCATCGCAAGGCCATACTGCTATGGAAGGGACAGCGGATGCCAGATGACGAAGGTCTTTGTAGTCTACTTGGTCGTTCGGACTTCAATGGTAAGTATACCCCGCTCGAATCCGTGCTGGGACTATCTTGATCGAACTGTCTCTTCCGCAATGTAGAGCATATCATAGCTTCGACTCTTCCACGGTCTTTTCTCTTGCTTTGTTGGCTTCACGCTCATTCTGAATAGCCTTCATATCCCTCTCCCAAATTTTCCAAGGCGCATACTCATGGTCGGGCTGTCCAGCACCGTCACCCACGCCGCCTACAGTGTCCTCCAGATATCTCAGAACTGCGCTCCGCATTTTCACTAACCTTGCTTCCTTTGCTTGGATAGACGACCCTGCAATATCATGTGTGGCGTGCTCAATAATTGCGCTATGCCGCGAGAGCGGGGCGGTAGAACCAGACGATTCGATCGCCGCTTTCCACCGGCTGAGTAAAGCAGCTTTGTCCACGTGCGGAGGGATACTTTGGTCGTCTGCGCCTTGGAGCACCAGGATGCTGCGCTGGGATTTCTGTGCTGGTGGGGGAACAAGATGTGCGACGTGGCCGATCTGACCGAATGTCGCCTTCAAGCGCTCGTCGGACAGATCGCTGGAGAAGTAGTCGTCCATGCTCGGCTGGGTGGGGGAGTCGGGGGAGACAAGGCTCAGGAAACGGGAGATAGATACCGGAGAGGGACCGAAAAGAGGGGTCATCAAGTCGAATGGGAGAATTGTCGTCTTGTATTTCTCGAAGGGTGTGGATCTAATGACGGCAAGAGTGGCGTCGTACGCGGCTTTGGCGGAAGAATTGGTCTCCAACTCGTGCAGGATTGCTTCGCGGTCAGAGACAGGGGCCTGTAGGATGGCACCGGATATGTTTGGCCGCGGGGATGATGGGGAGATGGGGGAGACGAGGTAATGGAAGGAATCTTGACAGCCTGTCGAATGGCCCATTAGGATGACTGGTGTAGCCGGAGACTGAGTGATATTGTCACGGATGTAGGATATCGCCGTGGCGATCTCTTCGACCTGTTATCCGAGAAATGTCAACATTGCACGAGAGTGCTCAATTCGCGTGCATCAGGCTAGAGTTGAGACACGATTGTAAGAAGGTCCGCCATTAACACATATTTCCGCCACGCTCAACAAGCCCGGAGTGACTGTTCACGGCCTGCCTTGGGGCGGGGATAGCAACGACGGTCGTGAAAAGGGAGGACCCGTGCTAAGCGCGGTCATCCATTTTTGACACTGGTGGTAAAGGTCTTGTGCGTCAGCAATAATTTGTTCCCACTTACATCACGATCCAAATCGAACAGACCCCAGCTCCGTCCATTGCTCGATAGCTGTACTTGCATCACCCGCCATTGCTGATCTGGCACATCGCGCGGAAACAAGGCTGCCAGATCATCGAGGTAGCGCGGCCATCGGAAGTTGTCGTAGAGCCCGCCGACAAAGAGAAGAACATTCGGTGGAGACGACAGCTTCTCAGAAGGATCCTCCTTGTTGGACCTGTTGATGTATTCAAGGAGGAGAAGAGTACGCTTTGGGTGATATGCGTGGAGCAAGGTCTCCATCGAGAGACAAACGGGCTTCAACGTCCCGAGAGCACGGCTCCGCTTCAGATACGGGGAAGCGTCTGGTGGACTGTAGGACGGTGTCAGGAGTATCGAGGGCCGACCCGGCTCGAAGAGGATGATCACGAAAGACGCTGTGCAACACAATACAATTCTCTACCTAGGTATTTTTATCAGTAGTTCTCAGCAAGTTCACGAGAGTCTTGAGCCTCAGCGATGTCGAAGAAGCCCGGATTCACTGAAACGTCATTTGCAGCATGCGAGTATGTAGAAAGCCCTCCAACTCGACCACTGTTTCCTTCATTGAAGTATTGATCGATCACAGCGGAAAGAAACCCCTGGGACTCTGAGATGGCAACAAGCTTAGAAACACAGTTCTTCATTAAGACGGGGCATCATAGACCTGCCCGGAGCACCAGACGATGAGGTCGTCTCGGCTAACCTGCCACCCTTTTGAGCCCCAACACCTGCGCTCATCTCTTTCTACTCGCCATGAACCCGTCATAGAAAAGACGTTGATCTTGCCGTGAAGACAAGGCACCATGTCTGTCCTTCTACTTACCTTGTGCTACATGGTCAGTGCTGTAGCCGCTGCTTCTCTTCGAGTCTCAATTCCGGCCTCGCATGTGCTCCCTAACCCGAATACGTTACCGGCGTCAACTCATGCCATCCTCACTTCTGGCTCAGGACGGCCAATCCGCGCTGCGTTGAGGAAAGGCAACTACTTCGACTTCTCAGACATTCCAACAACTGGTTCGCATCTACTGGACATCTACAGCGACGAGTATGTTTTTGCACCTTACCGCATCGACATCTCCGCGTCCTCAAACTCCTCGACCGTCGTTACAGGAGCCTGGGAGACATACCGTGGGACAAGATGGGAAGATAGAGGCGTGGCTCTCGTCGCTGCACCGACGGAGCGGCTAGATTTGGCTGCCAAGGTCCTGTCGAAGAAGAACTTCTACGAGCAGCGACAGGGTTTCAACCCCATGAGTCTCCTCAAGAATCCAATGATACTCATGGCTGTCGTGGCTCTGGCCTTCACTTTTGGCATGCCCAAGCTCATGGAGAACATGGATCCTGAAATGAAGGCCGAATATGAAGAGATGCAGAAAAAGGGTCCCATGGGCGGTCTCTCTCGGGCGATGCAGGGCGGAGGTGCAGGTTCTGGGGCCGAGAGCTTTGATCTTGCTGGTTATCTGGCTGGCAGCAGTAAAAGCACTGGTAACGACCGCGGCTCCGACAGCATTCGCGAAAGGAAACGGTGATGAGCGGTTTGACATCTCACTGCCGCCATTGGGGCGAAATCAGCTCTTGGAGTTCAGTCTGGGAGGACCGGACCAGCTTTTGTGAGCTAGCCTTGCGATGATGCCGAGGCAGACCTTCGACCAGAAAGGGTACTGCAGTTCAGCCCCTGCTTTGGAGACCGCACAAGGCCATGGATCCGGACACTCCACGAGAGATGCCGTCGAAAGACTACGAGGACGCCAGGTTCGAATATTGCAGCACGGACGCTCGTGAGATGGGATTACTGGGCTTACGCGAATCCATTGAATCAGGCCAGCCGCCCTAGACATACTGCCTATGTGCGCCAATATGGTTCTCGGTGTCAGCCACCTCCATGCCACGTCAGAGTTACCTTGCTCCAAGCTTGTGTACCTCCTGTATGTACCTAAAGCCGCCGGTTCCAATGGTTGTAGGACAACATCTATCTAGGGTGTGTTGAGCCAGGCACCAAAAAATGATAGTCTGTATGGCGGCAATACAACGCTTACCAGCGTGGCAACAGCCATTTCGAAAGGCCAGACTTGGTGGAGACGACATGCAGCTCCAGCCTCGGGACAATGACATTCGGAACGCCGTCGGAACAGCACTTGGGTGATGGTCTTGTGCATCACAATCATGTATTTGGGGAGGCATATGAGAGGCGTTGGAAACCACTCCAAAAGACGCCAGGCAGTTCAGATATTCACGTTCAAATGTGACCGCTTCAAACCGCACAAAGTACAACAACATGCGGCGTGTAACCCGCTAGCAGCAGGAATGCTGACGGCGGATCTTGGCACCACTGCATCAATGCAGCTTGCTCACCACAGTATACCTCTTACATGAAGTGGGTACCCAAGCGGTGCGGTGTACTGACTATGAGTCATGTATTAGACCATGTGAAACAACAGAGCAAGCATTCCTGGCTGCGGGTATTCCCAATCTATACCCCGTATGGGGTGTTACTCTGTGAGTACACGGAGTCGTACGTGGTATGTCACGTGCACTACGCTTGGCGAACACCTTGTCAGGCGTCCCACGGCACCAGTTACATAGGCGGCGAGGGCGGGTCCACATCTATAATTACAGATTACCGACTGCAACTGACCACTGTTAGTCCAACACTGTACGGAGTACAACTGCCGCATCTAGACATGTACCTGCACTGCATCTCCCAGCAAGATGATGAAAAGCCCGTATACGTAGCAGGTGATGCATCCCGTCTGCCGTTTAGCTTCACCTATCGCCTGTACTACCCCTCGGCTCTCCTCAATCCTCGGGGGTATCCCCTCCTTGTTCTCTCGAAGAGCTGAGCTCGAACACTAAATACTAATACCCCACCGGTGAGTACTTTAAAGTTTCGCTCTTCCTCCTCATTCCTTGAGCCGGTGGTAGCAGTAGGAGTAAGACTTCAGCCATGGACGCCCAACTGAGACCCCTCTTCGAAGCGGCCGTGAAGGAGAAGAAATTGGCTGGGGTTGGGTATTTCATCGTCGACAAGAAGGGCAACTTCCTGTCCAAGGGAGCATTCGGCACAACTCATCTCCAAGATCCCGACGCCGCCCAATTTGACCTCGACACAACACTGCCAATATTCTCATGCACCAAACTCATCACGGCGCTTGCCGTCCTCCAACTGGTGGAACAAGGCAAGGTCGCCCTGGACGACCCTGTGGAGAAATACGTGCCCCGGATATCGAAGATGCAGGTTCTCGAATCCATCAAGCCAGGACCGGACGGCAAGCTGGACCCCGTCCTGCGGCCTCCAAAGACAAAGCCCACGGTCCTACACCTCATCACTCACACGCTAGGCCAGGCGTACGACTTTTTCGAGCCCCTCACTCTGGCATGGCGCGTACACACAGGCCGTCCACCCATGGGCTACCACAGCGTAGGGGACTGGGAGGACTTTGACACGCCCTTTGTATCCGACCCCGGGTCCAAATATATCTACGGCATCGGCATTGACTGGCTCGGATGGATCATTGAGGCTGTCTCCGGCGAGTCACTCCCGGACTACCTGGGAAACCATATCTGCAAACCACTCGGCATGAATGAAACGGGTGGGAAGCTCCCACCGGGCAAGAAAAACACGGCCGTCGTCCACTTCGACATGGAGGCCCAGGGCCTTGTCGGCAACAAGGATTTCTTTCTGAACGAATCCCCTCGACTCTGGGGCGGCGGTGGATTCCTGTACAGCACAATGAACGACTACGCGAAGTTACTAGTCGCGCTGCTCAACAACGGTGCGTCACCCACAACGGGGAACCAAATCCTCAAGCCCGACACCGTCAAGGACTATGTCTACAAAGACCTGCTCGGGCCTGAAGTCGATCGTTCCGCGCTAGGCGAAATCGGGTCGACTATCCCCATAGCGACGCTTGAGGGGACGTTTTTCCCGTCCATGCCCGTGGAGAAGAAAGGCTGGTCCGCCGGGTTCATGCTCAACCATGAGGACCTGCCGTACGGGCGAAAGGCCGGCAGCGGTGCGTGGGCCGGCCTGGGCAACCTGTTCTACTGGGTCGACCCGGCGACGGGCATCGCTGGCATGATTGGCACGTCTCTCTTGCCCTTTGTGAACCCGACGGTGATGAGGTTGTTTGACGAGATGGAGCGAGTCGCCTATGGGCACAACGTTGCCGGCGAGGGCGGCGTCGAGGACGAGAAGAGGAGTTACATGCCCAAAAAGAAGGCGGAGGTAGCGGCCGCTGCGAGTTAGCCGTGTCTAGAGAGAGCACACCCTCGTACAGTATGGGTTGTGGTTACATTAGCGGATTCGTACGTTAGCAATGAGGGGAGCGGGAGTTGGGGCGCCCGCCGAACTTGGGAAACATGGGCAACGTGGGGCCGCTGTACAGATTTCCCCGTGTCTCTGACAATGTCACGACTGCCTTTCGTTCGGTTAGCGATGCCAGATGAGATACAAGTGGGTTTCCTGGGAGGTTTACAATGCAAGATGACGCCGATCACCTCGACGGCTATCTCGTATTATTGGTTTCCTGGACCGCGCCGTCGGCTCTGCTGGATCTCGAGCTGAGCCTTAGTTACTAGTATTGCTGACCGCGATTCCAACCCGCTCCTACAAACCAGACCAAACCTTAGTTCAGCTGGTATCCGTGCTTCTTACATTCTTACATGTGCCCTCTACGCTAAACAGATCGGAACCCAACCAAGGTAGGCAGCATCCTGTGTGATAGGAAATGTAGAGCATACAGGTAGGAGGTAGTTCTTCAGGCCATCCATCTTATAGTAACCCTGCCCATAATTAGGAGAGGGTGAGATAAGGATCAGGCCGACAATCCAAAATGCGCGCATGCGGACACGGACGCGGCCGCGCACCCGCACCCGCACCCGCAAATTGGTCGCGTTCTCGGTGAGAGAGGAACCGAGACTGAGCAGTAATTCACAAGATGGTACTGATGATTGACCTTGCACATTGGCAGCCCTGATCTTCTTAATCAGGATCCGGACCGGGTACGGAGCCGAGGCAGCCTAAGAGGTACATGAAGCTACGTGGGTACGTGTTGGATGAGGTGTGTCGGGTTCAACGTCGATGACAAGCCTACAGCTATAGCTACGGCTACAACCAGAGGCAACATGGCCTGAGCTTGCCAGCGCTGAAGAGGGTAGAATGGAAAGGGATAACCGTTGCGAAGCATACGCACGGGACGGTAAGCGGCAATGGGTCCGTGCTGGGACAGGAACCGTACGCGGGTACAATCACTTTGACAACCACTTCCTCAGTCCAGCTTCATTGATGTAGGGTTTCAACATCACGATTTAGGATACGTCGTCCCGCTAGTCTCTCGTCATCAAAACGTACTGGTTGTAAATGCACATAGACTTCAACTGATGCATCGGCCGAGGACTGCAGACCATTCGACACGGTCGGCTATCTCAGTCTCAATACAATGGCATACTTCCCTTGGTGGTCTGGAAAGCCTGCTCCATGATCTCCAGGCCTTGATCGAGTTGCTCCCTCGTAATGACAATCGGCGGCGCAATCCTGAACACACCACCGAAACTGGAGTGGCTGCTCAGGTTGGCCCACAGACCCAGATCGTACATCTTGCTGGCGATGTTCCTGGCTAGCTCGGTCGCTGGGCTCTTCTTCTCACGACCACCCACGATTTCCACCCCAGCCATCAACCCGCGGCCACGCACGTCGCCGATGCATGCATAGCGAGATTTCAGCCTCAGAAGCCCGGCCTGCAAGTGGAGACCCATCTCACGCGAGTGCTGGACCAGATCGTCCCGCACGACGATTTCTAGAACTTTGTCACCCACGGCTGCAGGCAAGGGATCATTGACATGTGTCGTGTAGAAGCAAAAGTCTCTCTCGGCACAAACCCGTTCGATCTGGGTACTCATCACCACGGCACTAAGGGGCAGACCGTTGCCCAAAGTCTTGCTCAGCGTCAAGATGTCGGGGACGACGTCTTCGTGGTTGATTGCGAAGAGGTCGCCGCATCGGCCGACGCCGGTCTGCGCTTCGTCCACGATGAGTAACATGCCGCGGCGCTCACAATGCTTCTTGAGGGCTTTGAGGTACCCCCGCGGGAGGACGTGCATTCCTGCACTGGACTGGATGCACTCGACTATGCAAGCCGCTAGTGAGCCGCATGACGCGCGATCGATCAGCTCCCAACCATAGTTGAGTTCCGTCTCCCAATCGTAGCTGCCGTCCGGGTTGCGGAAGATGGATCGATAAGCATTGGGTGGCGGGAGCATATGCATTCCTGGCATCAGGGGTCCTTGTCCCCTGCGGCCAAAGTGGTATTGTGTTCCCAAAGCTTGGGCGGTGACGCCGTGCCAACTGGCGCCCAAACCCACAATCTCAAACTTGCCAGTGTATACCTTTGCCATTTTGATGGCGGCCTCGTTCGATTCGCCGCCCGTGCTGAGGAAGAATGCCTTGTCTAGCCCCGTTGGCAAGAGCGTTGTGAGGCGCTTTGCTAGATTGATGACTGGTGGGGACAGCATCCCGGAGAACAGGTGGTCCAGGTTTGCGGCATGTTCGTCGATTGTTGATACGATCTCAGGATGGCCGTGGCCTATCAAGCAGGACATCTGTCCAGAGGTCCAGTCGAGGCATTTGTGACCAGAGGCAGTGTACACGTAGAGGCCTTTGCTGCCGACGATAATGTCCTTTTCGAACTTTGTGCCATAATTTGCAAGGCAGGATCTTGCTGTTTCGGTGAGCTCGTCGTCGTTGATGTCGCTGTACAGTGTGGGTCTGTCGAGGTTGCTTGATTTGGCGCTGGGAATGATGGAGGGGAAACTGTCTTCGATCAATGGAGCCATGGCTTCCTTTACCTAGAATAGTTTGTGGTAGCCAGGCTGATTCTTGGACTGCCACACGTACTGACAAAGATTGCAGATGGGGGAATTCTGTAGAGTGGTCATTCCTCGGCAGCGTGACTGTTCAATGGCGAGCAGTGATATACAAGCGATTATGGAGTTCGCCGACGGTAAGTGACGGGCTTGACTGGAGCCTTGGCGATGTAGGCTTACCTGATGTGGCAAGGTCTCACTGACGACTGGTGAAAACATTGCCCCTCTCTAGGTCCGGAGTTGGAGTGACGGTAATTACGGAATTTGAAGTTCTTGTAACGAGGTTTGCTTGAGAAGAGGCCACGCTTCAACCCCACCGCGGTGCTTTGTTGTCGTAGCGGCATGCTGAGACGGGGGCGAGAGGACGAGGATAGCGGGGAGTTCAAATCAGGTGGCAATGTGCATGGTAAGGTGAGTGCGGTGATCAAGGGCTGGCCTCGGGATGCTCACTCAAGCACCGCTGCATTTTCGCTGATTCCGCCCGACGGAAAAGTATCGATTGCGACTTCATGTACCTCGTGTTCTGCGTAGCCCGGTGTTCGCCCTTGGCATACATAAGAGGATTCCGCTGCGGAAAGTGCAGGTGCTGTTTGTCTGAAAGATAGATGAGCTGCTGCAAGCATAAGTGGCACCGTCTGGCATTCGGGGCCACAGACCTTCGCAAACAGAGAGCAGTTCGTCGGCAACCCGCTCGCCTTTACCGTCATCCACAGCAAAGTCCTCGATCAATGCCGGCGAAAAAGGGGTAGCTTTGACGTTGGAGTGACCGTGTCTTGGGTGAAGAGTGAGCAGATTGGGCGCAGGCTCCAGCGGCATCTCGCGTCGGCACCATGGGCCACATCCGGCTTAGCTCCCTCAGCAACAAGCGTGGCAGACCAGAACCACGTGATGATGGCCTCGTTGCCTGGGACTCTGCTGGTCGCCCTTCTCCAGCTCTGGGCTTCCCTCCATCAAGGCCGCCGACTGCCACTGTCATCGACACTACACCTTGGACACCCACGGACTCCACGACGTCACCATCGCCAGCTACGGGTGCCGCTGTTGCGGAGCCGTCAACGCCATATGTGCAGGTAGAGATTGTTCGCCAGGACGGCTACCCCTCCATCATGAAAACCGCCCGCCCTTACCGCTCCCACAAGTATCCCGCCTGTGCACGCTGCCATAAACGTCGATCACGATGTACCATCGAAATTCCCGGTCAAGCATGTTTACTGTGCCGCATGCACGGCGTGCCTTGCTCGTCCGCAACGGCAAAGAAGGACGACCGTGTGACGCCCAAAATTGGGTTTGTCCATCGATCTCTGATCACCGACGAGAGGTCCCTTGAGGGCTTCTCGCACATCGTTGGACCCGTCATCGCACGCGACACTCAGATTCTTGATCAGTACTTGCCCCAAGCTGACGGGACATCAGGACATGTTCCTATCCAACCTAATATCGGGAGGCGCGATTCTCAGAAGCCCATCTATCATGTTCCTATCCCGCCCCGCCGGCCGAGCCCGACGGATTGCCATTGTGCTAGGAATATGCCTGGCGAGTTACTGGATCAAGTTGAGCCGTTTATCGACAAGCTGTTGGCGAACTATTACGAGCATTTCCACCCTTGTTATCCCGTCACAGAGGAGGAGTGTATCATGTCGAGGTGCAAGGATCGAAATCAAATGCCTCAAACCTTCTTGGTCAACTTGGTCGCGTATGCTCTATTTTACTGGGACGCCTCTCCAGCACTGAATGGGTATGCGCGACCAGATCAGGACTTCGCATGGCAAACAGCCGTCGCCGCGAATATCACGGATATGCAAAAAGGCGACCTAGCAACCATTGTCTCCATATGCATTGACATCTCCGGAAGACCGTCTCGGTGCCTGGTGAAGAACGTTGCTGAAGTTGCAAGAGCGGTCGCATTGTCTCATGCAATTGGTCTCAATCACGACTGCAGTGAGTGGAAGATTAGTGATATGGAGAAGAGGCTGCGATGGAGAGCCTGGTGGGCAGTTGTGATCCAGGATCGGTGGTTCAACTTTGCGCAGGGAACGCCGCCCTACATCTCCAAAGGACACTATGACGTCCCGCTCCCGACTGTGGAGTTGCTCACTCAGGGCCGAGGCGGGTCAGTCAAGCATGCACGAGCAGCAGACGTCTATATCCACCTCTGCCGGCTGACAGAAATTGTTGGAGATGTCCTGCCACTGATCTACCACATCCGGTCCGGCAATGACAGCATCGCCGCCGAGCAGACGTCGAGATCGGAAATCGAACTCAACCGGTGGATGGAGAGCCGCCCGAGCTGGCTTAATCTGAATGACTTTCACAACAGACCACCGGTACCGGGCCTAGTGAACCTACAACTATCATACCTCTCGGTACGCATGCTCCTCCGCCGCATAGCTTGGCATGAAATCAGCCAGCGAGAAAGCGACCCGGCCTCATCCTGGCTTCTGGGCTGTCAAGCCGCCGCCGAGGATATCGTTCGATTTGCCACGTCCTTGCACAAGCAAGACCTAGCAGGGTTCTGGTTGCCTTACAACGCCCATCATTTCACCTCGGCCGTGACGCTCCTCCTCCGCTGCGCCCTGCAAGCGAGCTACTCCAACGTGCGCACTCAATGCATGTCCAGCGCCCGCACGCTGGTCGACTGCCTGCGTAGACACCACGAGGACCATCAATGGGATCTCGCCGAGACCGCCCTCTCACAGAGCGAAACCGTGCTGAAACGCATCGAGGATTCCCTGCCCAAGACGCCCATGGCCAGGACACTCGATGTGGCCACTATCACTATGCATCACGACCACATGGATACCCGTGGGTATGGACGCGAGGATCATCACCTCGGTGACCCATTACCAGAGGAGCCATTCTTCACACAGCAGGGCAGTATCGAGGAGTTGTTTCCTGAGATATTTTCCGATTTCTCGGACACAGCCTTGTTTGGGGGCTCGATCCGGACCGAGTATACGGTATGATGTACAAGTACGAAGATTTTAAGGGTAGCATCTGGATATTAGATTTGGCCGACTGTGTCTTCGCAGACACGCATGTTTCCTTGTTCCGTATGGTCGGTCGGCCTAGGCGCAACCGCTCCAAGCAGAGTACATACGTCTCGTGACTATCCAGACAGAGACGTGGAGCGATGTTGCCACCCCAGGGCCAGAGGTATTGGACAGATCTGACGGCAATGTCGACCACCACACAAACATAGCCAGGGCGGATCACAATATCAAGTCCATACTTGATCAGATATCTTCAATTCACATGGATGGATTGCGCCACAACGCCGGCCATCAAAGTCGCCCAATGCTTCAGTACGGGCGATACACATTGCACACTTCCATGGAACAGAATTTCCACGGCCGCCTCCGCCTCCATGAAAACAAGGTACCGCACAACGTGTTCCCAGCTCTTAAGTGGCGCGGCGCGCCCGAGATCAGACGGCGAGACCATCATTTCAAAAGACTACTCGTAATAGATAGCTGCTGAACACCAACCTACCTCGCTCTACCATCTTGTACGCAAGGGGATATCTCGCGGCTGGCTCTCAAGCGACTCTCTCTCTACTCTGTTCTGCTCTCCCTCTACCACGCCATATCACTTCTGCGGCCCAATGTTGGGCACGCGACGCGAAGGCGCAAAAATCTATACCGATACTAATGCCAAGGCCAGCATATATTCACACCAATGCTACTGCCACGATCAAGTCTGATCAAGTCTAGCCATGATCTGGTATGGTCTGCTCTGATATGTATGCCCCAGCGTCACAGACTCTAGGGTACTCTGGGTCCGCCTGCCGAAACGCATATACCTCTTTCTATAGGCTAGTCTATTCTATCCACCCCTTGCGGAAATGGTCAACAAAGCCAAGTGAACCGGAAGGAAGGAAGGAGGATGAAGGCTGTTCTGGAACTCGGCCTGACAGTACCTTTGGACCGGCATCGAGCCGTCAGACTATAACGAATGGGCCCGCCTACATATCATCTCCTATGCCATCATTTCCTGTTGATGCGTACTGTACCTTGGCACCTACCTAGGTACCTACCTACCTGGGGCGACGCTGGATTTTGTTGGGAAAAAAAAACAGAAAGGTCGCTCAGGGCATGGCATGCTAGAGCAGGAAAGGGCAGGCACGGGCAGGCCAGACCAGGCCAGGTCAGTGGATATTGGAAAATGGATCCCTTGTTTTCGAAAGCCCTCACACACGTCCCTGCGAGGTCTTTCTTGCATCTTGCGTCTCGGTCATCTTGCATTTCGCCCCTTCATGAACGATGATGGCGCGTAGTAGAGTGAAGGATCTATGTACTGTATTTCGCCTCCCGACAGTATCAGGTACGTTTTCAACTCTGTAGATGAACGAAAACACCCCCTTAAACCTCACAATCTCTGGCGTTCTTCTTTCTGGCGTAGAATAAGAGGTGAACTGTTCGAGTTTGAAGTTGTCGCATTTGTTTCAGCTCACGATAGAGCACTCAGGATACTCTCTACTAATTACAGTAGTCTCTCCGGGCACACGGCTCCGGGCAATCTGCTCCGTCCCGTTCCAGGTCCTCTGGTAGAGTCCGGGAACAACATCGCTGGACCCGAATGGGCTGAACTCCTCCAGTCTCGCCAACACAGGACTCATTGCTGCTCAGAATGCTGGGCATAGCCCGGTATCATCTGCCCAATTTCGAAGCCCATTCTCCATTGCTCATGTGCTCTGGTGCACCACCTCGTTTACTCACCACCGCCGTCATCCCCACCGAAATCACCGCCACCACCGTCTTCGTAACCTTCCTGGCTGTGTCGCAGTTAGCATCAACGTCATCATCTCGAATAGACACGATGCCCGGATATTCCGGTTAGCCCGGCATGCATTGGGGAGACTCACTAAGCATCCTGTTCGCCGTCATTCATCGCGTCGGCCAGCAGCGCACCACCGAGCAAACCACCGCCCAACCCAAGTGCCGCGGCCCCTCCAGCGCCCATGCCACCACCACCCCTTCTCGGTGGTTGTCCATATCCTCCGCCGTAACCGCCATACCCGCCGCCATAGCCACCGCCATAAGGAGGGCCTCCATAGCCTGGGCCAGGGCCATAGCCGGGTCCAGGTCCATACCCACCACCGTAGCCCTGCGGCGGTCCGCCATAGCCGCCATAGCCACCTCCTGGTGGACCCTGCTGGTATCCACCCCCATGGACCGGGAATCCACTACCAGGCCGTGCTTGCTGGGGGTACGGACTCGAACTACTTCCACCGTGACTCGACGCCTTGCCCAGCAATTTGCCCAGAAATCCTTTCGACTTGCCGTGACTGCTGTCGGGTCGCGGCGGAAGTTGACTCGACGGTGAGGTGGGCGCGCCAGGGTATCCGCCTTGAATGCCCTGTGGCTGAGGTCCGCCACTACTGCCTCCACCGGCACCGTAGTATGAATCGGCATGGCCGCGACTGCTCTCTTCCGCCTGCAAGCGCCGAGCCATCGCCTCATCCGACTCTTGAGAAGAGCCGGCATTCTGGCTCGTGTTGTAGGGATTGTTGGACTCTAGTGGCCGCTTGGTGTCAGAGGCGGCTGGCGCATTGCCGCCGGCCGAATACCCCGGTGGCGCGCCGGGAGGGGCCTCGTCGTCGCCGCCAGGAGCAGGGGCGGTGGGCTTCTCCCATGTCGACTGTTTCGTGTGGAGGTTGACGTAGAACCTGGAGCGCACAGTGTGTGTTGTTAGCCAGGTTGAATCGCGATGAGAGCGACAAGACAGGATCGCGGCCGAAGGTGGATTGGTAACCATGAGGCTTCCGTCACATACCATTCTTTGTACTGGTCGTTGAATACAGCTTTCCAGCCGCTCGGCACCTGTGGCGGCGGTGGGCCGGTAGGAGGCGCGTAACTTGCCATCGACTGCAGGTGAGTTTCGGATAAATAGGGCACGACAAAGCAAAAATAGAGATGAGATGGAGATCAAAGAGTTGGTGATATAGGGAAGCGCAGGCAAGCCTGGTGAGGCAAATGCTCAGATCGCGGCACAGTGACGAGGGGAACCGGTTGGTTGGCGCATTAATGGAGGGGTCAATCCTTAAGAGCCACGCCTAACGAGCTGCCAGTCAACGTCACCGGAGCCTTCTTCAGTCCGGCGCGTCAAGCGTGGCGCAGCATCATATGTACGCACTCTGCCTCGCTTCCAGAACCGACCAGCCGCCAATGGAGCAAATCATTCACTGGGTGTTCACAGACGAACTTGGGTTCGTGACAACATTCCTGTCTTGGCACTTTGGCTCCGTAAGCTTACACAGTAGGCAGGCGGTCAGGACAAGCTACTCATTGCCGAACCACCTTTGATCGATTCTGTCCTGCCTCCGCCCTCTCCCCTGGCCAATATCGCCAGTCTATGCCGACGAGATAAATTACCACTGCGAGCTGAGATGATGTGGAAACTGCAGCAATGTACCGGACATACTGGCTTGTTGTGTTGTAAACGAAACCATGCACTAGGACACGGTACATGACAGCCGAGTACCTGGTGAAAAAGAAGTGAGGGCACTTTGAGGACGATCAATTCAAGCGGCGCTCAGGGTATATAATTGTGTAAAGTTGGTCTCAGTCATCTCATGTCTTTCATCATCCGCACAGCACTCTTTAGTCTGGAGAGGTGTGGATCAAAATCGGGTCATCACTTTTGCGTGACTTTACCTGGCGACTATCAGCTTTCTGGCTTCCTGCTCGCCAACACCCAGGGCGGTAACCAGGTAATCTACGCTCGCCTTTTCTGCCATCCGCCGGCGGACCTCCTTAAATCTCTGGTAACAATCCTCCATGACTTTGGCCCGCTTCCGCGTATCAATGGTCTTGATGCGCAGCTTGAAGATGCCGCTAACGGGACGATGATCGCTTGTGCGTACCTCATGGCGTCGATATTCGAGTTGCATGACACGCCCAGGTCCACGATAGAGGAGTCGATCGCACCACGCAGGCGCGCGCTTCTTCTCCGATGTGTCGTACCTGTCCGTTCCAACATCGTACTTGTACGTTGGCGCAAACGTGATGGGTAGCTCCACAAACTGAGCCAGACGAAATCCTGAGACACGACGACGAGAAACCATGATCTGGTCCCGCTCAAGCAGTTTGGCTAATTCATTGCGTTTGATCATCGCAATCACGGTGTCCCGGGGAATAGCGTCAATGCGGTAGTTCAGGTCGCCGTTGAGGATGCAGATCTCATGGTCAAGAATCTGAGTGCCGTCACCACCTCCGACATAAAGCGAACTTCGGGCATCTGCATCAGGCTCTGCGTCAAGGGCTTCAGCTTCGAGAATGCTTGCGACGTCGTTGTTTCGATGTGACGTATTTCTCTGGCCAGCTGCAAGGTGACAATTGACAAAGCACACTGAACTGTCGTCGAGGACGAAGCGCGTGACGAGCGCCCCTTTGTTGCCATAATGACCTTTCAAGCCAAGCTTGACGCTGGCAGCCTGCAAATTTCGCACATTGACTTGCTCCTCTTGTCTGATGAAGACACATTGGAATAGTCCGATCAAGCTCGAGGTATGCAGTTCCGAATAGGCATGATGAGCACTGGTGGATCGGCTAATCACTTTGCTGAGGTAGTCGCGCCATTCCCGATAGACTCGAGTCTGGTGTTGCTCCGTCTTGACCGTGTCTTTCTTCTTCCCAAAGCTGAAAATGCTCTTGGCCGTCACCGTCCGGTCCTCCAGGTCAACGACTTCTTGGAAGCCGAATACCAATATTTCCGGCGGATCGCTGGCATGGATCGCATCGGCAATGAAATCCTCCCTCAAGTCGTAGGGTGTAGACGCTCCAGCGTTCCACGTCACGACTGCGGCCCGCAACTCTCGGAATGAGCAATATTCCACATCGCGCTGCATCATCTCGCTTTCGATCCAGTCGTCCTCGAGCGCAGCGTCCCACAACCTCACGAAGTTGTCATGCCCTATTGTCACGACTTGCAATTGTTGAAGTGTCCAGACACTGCTTGGGTCGAACAGGAGCTGAGTCACCGGCCCGTCATGCGCTTTCCAGTCTTTCTGTGTTTTCCAGGGTAAACTGCGGGTGTCGTACACATAGACCATCCCTGTCTTAAAAGCTGCCCATAACTTCTCGCCAACGTATGCCAGGTTGTTGATTTTGTAGTCGCTGGCTTTGACGTTTGCAATCACAGAGAAGTCTTTGGTTGAATAGATGGACACTCGGCCGTCAATATGTCCGAAATATGCCCTTCCACCACCTTCATTCGAGTGAGTTCCACAGGTGACATCTCCATTGCCGGGCTGGTATAGTGCATCGGTCAGAGCAGCAAAGGTGCTTTCATTTCCCGGTTTGTATACCCGGATCTCTTTGCCCGAGGCATACCACAGTCTTCCATCGACCGCCATAGAGAATGTGTGACCCCTGGGGAGCTTGTGGGAGATGTGGCTATATTTGAGATTTGGCACTCCAGTCTCATCAGCTTTCCAGACAAACAGTTTTCCTTCGTCGTCGATGGTCCACAGGTCCCTCCTGTTGCGAAGTATCCGCACAATCTCACGGCGGTTATGTGATGAGTTCGTTGTTGTGACCGTGTGGGTCGCAACATCAACTTCCATCAGTTCTCCAGTGTTCATGCCGAGCCACAGTCTGGTGCCTTCCTGTGCTAGTTCGGCGGCCGGCTTGAATGCCATACCGGACACCTTGACCGTCTCACCATGGTTGATGCTCATGATCTGCTCCCCCGTGGCCATATCGAAGACCCGCGTGACATAACCGGCCGTACATAAGTACTGGCCACACACCTCGGCAAGCCGGGAATCTGATTTTGTGCCAATCTCCCACAAACTAGCTTTACTGTACGGAGGCCGCCTGTTGGTATGGGTTGCATCCGGATACTCGGATCTGGAAGTAGCCGGTTCCTCCAACGTCTCCTCAGTCTCGTCGGAATCGTCCGTTGTTGCCTGTGGGCCAGGTCGCCTAGCAACATCGCCACTAAAGGTCTGAGAACGGTGCGTAATGGGAGGGAGATCAACACTCGTCCGCTTCGGTGGCGGTGGGAAATGTTGGTCTACAGGCATACTCGGCGTGCGGGAGACGGGCTGGATTGTTGAGGGTTTCTTGAAGCGATCTGAGTTGGCGATGAGGCTTGGTAGAGGCTGTACAGGTCGGGTAGTGTGCTTGGACTCGTTCGAGGGACGTGGCGGAGGCTCGACAGCGCGTCTTGGGGGAAGACCCGGATGTGGCTCTTCTACAATCTTTTCGACATTTGGTGGAAGCGCACCGGAGAATCCAAGCGTACGAGCATCGCGAGCAGGAGTTGTCCGCGACGGCTGTGAAGGAGCAAACAGAGCAGGGGAAGGAGTGTGTCTTATCGTCTCAGAGACATGCCGCTGCGTTGGCTTTCCATTCACAAACCCTAATTCGCGAGGGTCTTTGGTAGGCTTTTCGGAAACCGTGTTTGCCCTAGCAGGTAGACTTGCTCCTTGGCTGGGTGGTCGCGGTTCGGGCTGTGAGAACCCAGCACTTCTCGCATCCATTTTCCCAAGTGTCGTTGGCATGTGAGAGAAACCCTGTAGTCGCGCATCTTTTGGCCGGCCAGAGAGAACTTCAGGAGGATTTGGAGTAGCATGGGCGGCCGGTGACGGTCGGTTTGGTGGTGGAAGAGACATCGGCTCAGGGCTCCGGGAGGGAGAGCTTTCGTCACTGCTTGGAGGTGTGCTAAAGGGAGATATACGCGCTTCGAAGGAAGGTCTCCGGGCCTCAGGCTGGAGAATGTTAGAGGTAGGCAGAGCAATAGTATTCGGCTTAAGTGGTATTTTAGGCTTCTCTGCGCGGTTGACTGGTGGCGGCAGTGCTTTGGGTTTCTCATCTTGAACTCCGGTGCCTTCTTGCATCTCTCCCAGCGCTTTCGTGGCGTCCGATCTATCACCACTGGGAGCCCGCGGAGCTGGTGTTGAGGACCGACTCGAGTGTTGGGATATCAGTTCGCGCACCTTGCCAAACGGGGTGTTGTCGACACGTTCTGGGGATCTTGAACTACTTCGGTCGAAGTAGGTCCGGGGAGGCGAACGGGGTGAGTCGACCTTAACCGAAGGCGTGAGTTGTGGGGAGGACTGCAATAGCATTGACATGGGCCGTCTATGCACCGGCTTTGGAGGCGATTCGGAGCCTTTGATCGGAGTTCGTGGCCCTCCATTATTGATGCTCCCCGCTACCCCAGACCATGGCGAGATGGGTCTTGGTATATCAAAAGAGGCTCGTTGTGGTGCAGCTGGACTGGCCCTGTCAACGGGTTTCAGTGCCTGCGGAGAGGGCGGTATGCTCCCTGGTGGAGGCTGGTTGACCTTGAGTCCCTCGAAGTGAGACCTTAGAGACGACACAGGTTTTATAGAAGCGGCATCTGTCCGTTCCTCCGTGTTCTGCGCCATTATCGATGAGTGTGTTGCACCCTGCGGGTTTGCGGAGCGGCTTCGAGGGCGTGGTTGTTAAATAACCTCCTGTCACCGCAGAAGTGACATTCTAAGCGTGTAGCAGAGTCTATGCTCGCACGAAAGGCGACATATGACCGCCCTTCCAGCCCGGCACATGTATAACCGTATACAAAATCACTTGACGGCCTCCGTCGGTCGGTCGGTCGGTCGGTTGGTAGGGCCCTGAGGGGTGAGACGGTGAGACACTCGAGCAGCGCGGGGACGCGGCGAAAAAAGAGGGTCGGGTGCAGCTGCGCGTCTGAAACGAGCCACTGCGGCGTCGAGGGGCGTATTGGACTTTGAACGATCGAGGGAGTAGCGTAGATGGCAAGGATAAAAGAATGACATTCAACAATAGGTGATAACACGAACAGTGATGGCACTCCTCTAGTTGTTGATATCTGATTGTTTGATGTTGATGGCTACGTATGCCTGCGGCAAGTGAACTTGCCTGCATCAGCCCAAACCACTCAGCATCTCAGCCAAGGCGGCTTCCGAAATCCGTACTTTGCCTGTCACCCACCTGTCGGGCCCCTAACCACGAGCTCCTGGTCAACCACTGGGGCTGCCGGTGCACCCAAGTTGGTGCTTTAGTCAAAAAAGGCCGGGCGGGGTCTGCAAGCACTTCACGGGCAGTCACGTGTTAGCTTCTTCGGCAACTAGTGCAACATCAAACTGCGCTGCAAACTTCTGGCATGTATGAGGAGTTCGGGCATTGCAACCGCACATTTTCTCATTGACAAAGCTGAGACTCCACCCCATTCGGCGAGTCACGATGTAGTCGATGCGATGGACAATATTACCGCCATATTCCATGTCCTTCGAACATTTGTCAATGAAAATTGCGCCTAAGAGTGAGGGAATTGTTACAGTATTGATAGGCTAGAGAGCGTGGAAGCTCTCAGCCATGACACTGAGCAGTGACCGCCGCTAACTTACAAATGAAGATCAATTTTGGAGCCCAGACGTCCATAATTCAAGGCCGACGGTGCGGCTCCGTGCAAATTCCCACCGATTCCTCAATCTCGGGCGCCCAAGAACTCTGCTAGCCGTTGCAAGCCTTGCAGATCGCCTGATAGTCTCCTCTAGGTCCTTGTCAACCCAACCACAAGTCGAGCTGCCCCAAAAATCGAGAAGCCACGCGTTGCCTGCTTTGTCAATCATAACATTTTCCGGTTTCGCATCTCCCGAGAAAATGCCTCTTTGATGCAGCTGAGCGATAGACTGCTCGATCTGTCGCTTCCAATGTTGGCGTTGGGCGGGGGAAGCATGACCAATGTTCACGTCGAGTAGATTCGTGCCGTCGACAAACTCTTCAAGCAATCCTACAATCTGACCTCCTGATATCACGAGACCAAAAAACGTGGGACACAGGGGCGACAGGGGTGATCTAACTCCCAGGTCTCGGATATTTGCAGGAGGATGTGTATTTCACGTTTGAGCTGGTCTTTCTTATCGCCAGTCGCTACTTTGAAGACGGAAACCTCGCCATTCTTGGAGACCTGGACAACTTTCCTCATGTGTAGATTTTTGACAAACTCTATTTCAAATGATGGAGTGAGGATCGGGACGGTTTCGGGCTCGAAGTCCACCGCCGAGGGTACACAGTCGGTCATGATGGCGGCCCTGGAAACGTCGTCCATTTCGACGGTGTCCAGCTTTCCGTTCGCAATGTGATATTGGAGGTAGAAGGTCGTTGGGTGCAGAAAGTCCTCAAGCGACGCTTGCCTGCCATTGGGCCGCGGGACTGATGCGGCAAGTGTGTACATACATAGTATGTTTGCAGATCGAGATGACAAGTTCTAAGAAATCCTCCAGGCATCGATCGAACACCATTTCATCAGGATCTTTCTCGGCCTTCTCGACTCTCAGGAAGAAGTGGGACACAATATCGCCGTCTTCTCGGCTCCCTGGCGTCCTTGTGAGAAGGACAAATCGTTTGTGGTCGTAATACAGCACCATGCCATGATCGTCTGGTTCTGTGAATACATCGCTTACTTCAAACCCGTCGGATTCGACTTCGAAAGGGTCATGTTCGAGGGGTTGAATCGAAGTCGACGAAGACTCGGCGCCGGTTTGCCGCCATCGCGAGCCACCAAGCAGAGTGTTATAAAGTTTCTGGGGGCACCGGTATTTCCCGAGCATAAAGAGCTGGTGAGTTCAAATAAATGTGCAGTTTCCGTGGGCGCAGAGTTTGATGACCAAAGCGTTTGAGGGGTAGTTATGTGTGTACTTCCTTACCTGGTTCAAGGAGCCCAAATAGGCTGTGAAGGGGCCTGCTCAGCTTCAGTTATAGGCGCTCGGCACATCCTCACGTTTCATTCATACAATTATCACAGTACAAGCACAGGCAGAGGACGAGGCACAATGACATTATGTGGTGGGCATTCTAAAGGCTATGAGGTCGTTATGTAAGAATGTTTGGTGGGACCCACCAGTGCGGATTTTATCTCCCTCGTTTGAGACACGTCCTCGAAGTATTTGATCGCGACTGAATCTGGAACCCCACCATGCAGTCAACATCTATCAAATACGGGCACATTCACGTGCATCAGGCCATGCCAATCTCAGCGAATGGGAGGTTTGTCCGGGACCAACTACCTCATAGACTTTGAGAGGCTCTGTCAACGGCCAGAATTTCCCTGCGCGACACAGAACATGATGTCATGATGAAAACATCATCGCGACAAGTGCCGGCAGATGGAAGCGCGGAGTGATGTTAAAGACAAGTGCTTCCTCCAGCAACACTTGAGTTGTCCAAGTCGAAACCCCTTCACCATACTCAATTCCCGCAGATACCACTTCACAGTCATCATGGCTCTCTCGCAAGCAGCAGGATTCGTCGAAAAGCTCATTGGCCACACAGGTGATGCCAACACTGAGCAGAACCTCACCAACCCCTCCAAAGATGCCGAAAAGTACGCCGACCCTTCGGGCGAGAAGATGAAGGCGTTGGTCTGGAATGGCAAGAACAGCGTGAAAGTGGTCGAGACATTCAAACCTGCCAAGATCGAAGACACAGATGTCATTGTCAAGGTCACTGGCTCGACAGTTTGCGGCTCAGATCTCCACCTGTACCATGGTGTTGTCGTCGAGCTACAAAAGGGCGACATCCTTGGCCATGAGTTCTGTGGTGTCGTCGACAGTGTCGGCTCCAAGATTAGCAAAGTCAAGCCAGGTGATCGAGTGGTGTGCAGTTTCCAAATCGCTTGCGGTACCTGCATGTACTGCCAGCGCAAACTGAGCAGTCAATGCGAGAAGACCAACGACAACACGATTGAGAATATCATGTATGGCGGTCGTACGGCAGGCATGCTTGGCTACTCGCATTTCACTGGAGGCTATGCAGGTGGTCAGGCCGAATACGTCCGTGTTGCTTACGGAGACGTTAACCTGCTGAAGCTGCCAGAAGACGTCCCCGACGAGAAGGGCCTTTACCTCTCTGACGTACTGAGCACATCCTGGAACGCTGTCGTGGATACGGGAGTTAAGGAAGGCGACGTCGTTGCCATCTGGGGTGCGGGTCCCATCGGTCAAATGGCCGCCGCGATGTCCTTTATGCAAGGCGCCCGACGAGTTATCATTATCGATGGCGGTGCCGCTTCCTGGCGACTCGATTTCGTGAAATCTAAGCTTCCCAAGATTGAGACTGTCAACTTCACGGATCTTCCTCGAGGCAAGAACATCGTTTCCGTCCTGAAAGAGATGGAACATGGAGGTCCTGATGTCGCGATCGAATGTGTCGCAGGCGAGTACGCGAAAGGATGGGCACATTACTTCGAGATCCTCCTCGGCGCCGAGACAGACACGTCCGAAATTGTCAATGAGATGATCATGAGTGTCAAGAACTTCGGCCGCTGTGGCATCACGGGTGTCTACGTGGGTTATACCAACCACTTCAACATCGGTTCTTTAATGGAGCGCGGTATTCGACTCATCGGTAACGGGCAGGCACCTGTACACCTGTACTGGGAAGATCTGCTCAAGAAGATCCAGGAAGGCAAGCTCGATGTGTATCAGATGGTCAGTCATCGCGTCAAGCTAGAGGAACTCGAGGAGGTCTATCGGCGCTATGATGCTCGTGAGAAGGGCTTGCAGAAGATATACGTTGAGACCAAGTTCAGTTTCCCACCCGCAGAAGGAAGCCCTCAGTTGACTACATATGGCACTGCATGATGGGCAAGATGCTTGGCTGGAAGATATGTTGACTGATCGTCGCGGGTGAGGTAGGTGCCCGCCTTGCATGGAAAGTCGTAGATGGCCACCAAATACCCGATAATCTCATCGTTCACGAGACTTAAGTGAACAATTCAAAGTTGCTCTGGCTTTTATTTTTGCAGCCAAGACGTCCCTGCAGTTATTGTGATCCCATCTGCCCCACATTTGGTGATGGCCATGCTCCGATCAAACCCTCCGCAAGTGAGACGAGCAGTGTAATTCTGCCACTTGTATGATGAGAGATTCTGTAATAGCTTGTTCATTGCCCACCCGCGGAGACTCCGAGCAGAAGGATTCCATACATCGATTATCTAGGACCTGGCGCACCTTTGTGGGGCCGAGAAAGGTGAATATGAACTGAAAGGCGTGGCGCTGAGGTGAAGACGGAGTTTCGGATTGATCGCACCACGCATCAACCAAGAACGACTGAGTTGCGACGGCGACTATGCAACGCCGGGCCTGCCAAGTTGGCGAGGTGCGGCCTGGTAGCAGCAGAAGCTATGGGCTGAGTGGAGGGAGGGAGGTGGTAAAGGACTTTTGCATACTGCTTCGTAATCGCAAATGTTTCAGCTCTTGGCTCGTTCACATACAGGACTGATTCGCAGCGCAATCGAAACGCCAAAGAAAACCAATTCAAGAACTTCCTGTCTCGACTGGCTAAATATTGGGTGAGGCTGGAGGCTCTGACAACACGGCGGGTTGAGGACTCGGAAGACCTCTTCTGGACTGTTGCATGACCGGCCACCAATCTGATAGGCACAGCTCGCGCATCAAGCCCGGTTGCTGTCCAAACATGAGATGCGTTAGCTTAACGAAGCCCGCTCAGTTGCAGGAAGCTATCTCTTTCGACCCTCGGTCTGGTCTCGACGACACCCTCGGGCATTGCCGATGAGCAGTAACAACAGCCACCACGGCTACAGTGAGCTTTACTCAGGGAAAGCACGTCGTCATTTGACAAATTGCGCGATACTAATCATGGTGTGGGAGAGTGAAAGTCAGCGACCATGGTAGCTTTAGAACGCCAACTGACTAAGCTCCTGCATGGCTCCTGCAGGAACCGACACAACACCAACCGAGTTAGGGATATGACAAGCCCAATCGTCGTCCAATAGCCGCAGAGTCGCCGAGCTCAGAGTGGTAATAGCAATGTCCTCAGTGGCCTGTCGCATGGCGCTTGCTGACTGTTCTGTGCCGGGTATTTGACATTCTGGGATCCAGACGCAGACGCTCCGAGATCAGACGGTATAAGTATGGCGAGGGAGAAGAACAATCAAAGATGGACAACACAAGACAGAGAGACACGATCCGCTCAGCAGGCTACCTCGATTCTACAACGAACTAAACACCTTCCAAGCCCTTCACCATGCCTCTCTCCACGAACGAACAGACCAACGAGACTGCAGCCAAATTGAACAAGACTCTCCGCGGAGCATTTAACACTCCTCAGGCCTTTAGACCAGGTAGGTCAGCCCCATCGTCCAAGAGGACCTTTCCACATACTGACCTCTTCTCACAGCCCATGCCAGAGGCATCCTCATCAACGGGACATTCACACCCACCTCCGAGGCCGCCTCTCTAAGCAAAGCACCGCACTTCAACGCCAGCTCAACACCCGTCACCACGCGCTTCTCGAACTCGACGGGCCTCCCCCAAATTCCCGATAACGCGGGCGACGCCAACCCGCGAGGCTTCGCCGTCCGATTCAACCTGCCCGAGAAGGACGGCCGGCGCCAGCACACCGACATCATAGCCCACTCGACACCCTTCTTCCCCGTCAACTCGGGCGAGGACTTCCTCGCCCTGCTGAACGCCATCGGGGCGTCTTCCGCGCCAGATGCGCCCAAGAACCCCTCCCCGATCGAAGCCTTTCTGGGCAATCATCCCGCGGCACTGGCCTTCGTGCAGGCACCGAAACCCACCCCCTCCAGCTTCGCCACGGAAAAGTACTTTGGCGTCAACGCGTTCAAACTCGTCTCTGCGGATGGCAACGAGACGTTCGTCCGCTGGCGTATCACTCCCGACGCGGGGGAATCACACCTGTCTGACGAAGAAGCCAAGGCCAAGGATGCGGCGTTTCTGCACAACGAAATCCAGACGCGCATCATCGACGGAGGCGCTTCTTTCACGCTCTGGGCTCAGGTGGCGAATGAAGGAGACCAAACCAACGACCCGACTGTCCGCTGGCCGGATGATAGGAAACTTGTGAAGATGGGCACGATCAAGGTGGACGCCGTGGCCGAGGATAATGACGAGAAGCAGCGAAATATCATCTATGACCCGGTGCCGAGGGTCGATGGTGTCGAGGCGAGCGATGATCCGGTCATTGATGTGAGGGCGAGTCTGTATTTGATTTCGGGACGCGAGAGGAGAGCTGCTGAGCCGCACCATTGAGGTGGCCGGGGGAGGCGAGGGAGTGATGAACATGTAGAGTGAAGGGTTGTCTCTGCCTTGTTCAGATGGACTTCAAATCTTTCGTCCCCCAACTCAAACCTCGTAAACCATGCCCACTGCGTTCGTTGACGAGTGCCATTGTAAGTGCTCGAGTGATATCATAACATGTAGCTCTGCATAAACATATGCCGTGTAGTCGCAGTATCGACTCATCAGTCACATCAAGGATCAAATCAACTCGGAGTCCCTCTACCGTTCGAATGTGCCCGAGTTTGTTTACTCGAATCTCGTCACTTTCACTGATCATTTCGGCGAAACAATCAGTCCCATTCCAGCTCGCCCACCTCATCTCACGTCGCGTCACCTCTCAGGGCCTTAGCTAGATCGAATACTCGCCACACGGCCAAACCTGGTCTCTCATCCACATGCCCTCTATCGAACACTTCATCCCACCTCCCTCACAACCAATTCTGTTCTCCCGCCGTCACTTCTGATCCCTACAACCAATTCTGCCCCCTCGTCCTCCTCGCCTCCTTCTCCCCCTTATACAAACCCTTCTTACTCGTGGGGATGCCCATGCCAATCAAACTGTTCATGACCATGACGCCCGCCTCGACACTGTCCACGACATTGACGGTACGCCGCCCATCCTCATCACGCACAGCATCTTTGGCCGCGCGCATCATCTCCGTCATCCCGGCACACCCGAGCAGGATCGTATCCGCGCCCTTCATGACGAGCGCCCTCGCGCAGTGGGCGACGCGTTTGGCGACTTCCTCCTTGGGCCGGGATTCCAGCTCGAGCACGCCCAGGTGCGTGGCCTCGGACCCGACGTAGAAGTGAGTCATGCCGTACGCGGCGATGTCGTCGTCCTGCTTGATGCGGCTGCGCTGGGCGGTGGCGACGATGCCGAACCGCCCGCCCAGCATGCGCGCGACGTACACGCTCGCCTCCATGATCCCGATGACGGGGACGTCGTAGGACTCGCGCAGCGCGTCGATCAAGGGATGCTTTGAGAAGCACGCCACGAGCAGGCCGTCGTAGTTCTGCACCGTCTCGCCGTTGGGGGCCGCGTGCTTGGCCAGATCGCGCAGAACGGCCTCGGTCGACATGATGGCGTCCGTCGTCGACTCAATTGCCGTCGGCGCAGGGTAGGGTGCCGTGTACCCCGTCAGTTCGACGTTCGGGGGCAAGTTGGGCCGCAAGCTATGCAGCATCGTCTCGGTCATGGAGCGCGACGAGTTCGGGTTGATCAGGAGGATCTGGTGCGGGCGGCCGCGTGGCGGCGACGTGATGGGCGTGGAGAAGGGGGATTTGGCGCTCGTGGGCCGTGCGCTGGGTCCACCACCGTTCGTGGAAGGCATGGAAGGCATAGGGCCAGAGCTAGGGACAGCGCCACCGCCGCCTCTAGACACAGGCCGCGACGATGACGAGGACATGCCTCCTGCTCCTGCGTGGCCTGAATGTTGCGCGAAGAGAGGCTGAACGCCCTGCGAGGGCGGCGAGTTCCCCATCGACGGCATCGGCGGCGGCACGACGGTGATGGGGTAGTTCTGGCTCTGGCCGACGGTGCTGCTTCGGGACCGCGAACCGCTTGGCCCGTGGTCGATGAATGGGTTCCCTGCTGGATCGCCGGCCTCGTTGGTGGGCGACTGGGGTGGTGGGAAATACTGGCTGGGAAAGCGGGCGCTATAATTGTTGCCGCTTGGCTGTTGGTGTAGACTTTGCTGCTGCTGCTGATGACCCTGGAGCGGCGGTGACTGGCTGGTGGGTGGGGGAAGACCTCCGTAACTCCCGTTACTACCGCCGCCCGGGCCACCGCCTGACGTGACACGTTGATAAGCAGCCATGGCGGAATCGGCCTCCAGCTGCTGCTCGTACGAGTAGTCTGAAAAAGATAGGTTGTCCTGCAGTTGGGGTTGGCGAGCCGGAGACGGAGACCTAGAGCGAGATGCGCCGGGCCGGAGAGACAGAGGATGATCGCCGCCTCCTTGGAGTGGTGGTGATTGTGATTGACCTGTATTAGGAAATGTGCTGGGAGGAGAATGTGTTTGTTGTCGCGAAATGGAGATGTCGGCAGCGTACGAGGAAGGTGCTGCCATTATTCTGCGGGACTATTGGTACAGTAGGGTGTGGATTTTCGGCCGACTTTCGACACCCACGCCCGGCGGAGATGCCAGATACAAGGGGGTCAGGATAAGCGAGGTTTTCGCCTGCAGCTACGAGGTACCCCCTCGTGCCTCTCGCAGCAGGCAGCGGCCCTTGCTGCGTGCTTCTGGTCTGCTTGCACCTGGGCAGGGCGGTGCGTTGCGTTTGTCGACGACTCGTAGCTCGTGGCTCACGTCCAAGCCTGTTTTATTCTCCGAGACGCCGGCCTAGAGACCAATAATGACGCCTACGATGTGCGTGGGCTTCAGGGGTCAGGCAGGGGTGGAGCGTGGAGCGTGGAGCGCGGTGCGTGCCAGAGCGTGGATGCGACACCGGCAACGCAAAACCGACACAAGACACAGGAGGCGCAGTGCAGCGTACAAGATTTCGGGAAGCGACGTGCGAGGAAAGAGATCGAGGGTAGAAAAGAGGTCAAACTTGGCTTTTCTCGTGATGAAGATCGATATCGACCTCAGATTACAGTGCTGACCGACATTAAATCCTTCGATCGTCTGTCAGGCAGGTGGCCGTAACCTGTGAGGGAGTGCCGTGTTGCACTTTAACTGAGTGCTGTGCGTTCCGACAACTTCAGCCCCCAATCTTAACTAGCTGGCTGAATAGGGCTAGCACTGCAGTGAAACTCCGGCGCTGGCAGTCTATATTTGGGCGAGCATGGCGCCCGAGGAGCAAGGCGTGGCTCGCGTGGTTGGTCAAGGTGAAGCCAAGTTCCGCCCATTTTCCCATGCGGACACATGTCAAAGACTGAGACGGCATGCCTCCTCCATGCCTGCCGGGCTCCTACAGTACACGTTTATACTGTATTGCCGTGCCGTGCGGTGCGTCCACGGTCCACAGTACTCTCACACTACACCGTGGGCGACCACGGCATCAGAATGGCCAAGCGCGCGATTGTCAGGATCAGGGTCGTACTACCTACCTACACATATACCTCTTCAGAGGGAGTGGGGATTACTATGCAGACAGAATACAGATGCGCAAGTACAATGTATCCGTCGCCAAGGGGCAACTGTATCGTGGACTGCGACGCTCACAGCAACTCTTGTTCTACCACGGTGGGTGCACCGCCGCTCATAGCAACGCCGGCTCCACCACGCCCGTCTGCTCGACAATGATGCCATAATGTTCAGTTCGACGGTGCTTCTGGAACGCAAACACCTTCTCCTTCCCCCTCCGACACATACCCAGATCAATCTCCGCGACAATGAGTTCGTCTTCTTCGGTCTTGGCTTCCACGACGACCTCGCCATCACAGTCGACGATACAACTACCCCCTATCAACGGATACTTCCCATCCTCGACACCACACTTGGCCACGTTGATACTAAAACAAGCATTCGCATAGCTATTATACGTGACGCACAGCTTGTTGTGGAAGAGGGCCTCCTCTTTGGCCTTCTCCTTTGTCGACACTTTCTTGCTCGTCCCCAGCAGTTCAGGCGCCCATGCCGTCGTGTTGTATCCGCACAGCACGAGCTCCGCGCCTTGCAGGCCGTACGGCCGCCACGCCTCGGGCCACCGTCTGTCATTGCAGATGAGCATGCCGATGATGGGATCCCCTTGGCCGAGCGTGTCGGGCTCGTTGGGCTTTGCGCCTGATTTTTTCCCCACAGCATTTGGAACCAGGCCTGGGGCCCGAAACGCAGGAAACCCCAGATTACCCGGCAAAAAGTATCGCTTCTCCAGCTGGTTTGTGGCGTCTTTGCGCTCGTACGGCTCAAAGGTCCCGGGCAGGTGCACCTTGCGGTACTTTGAGATGACGCTGTCGGCCGCCGCGGAGTAGTAGACCGCCGTGTTGTAGTGGACGTGTTTGCCTGTGGGAGATTCCGGCGCGTGCTCCGCGTACCCGATATACATGTCCATCTTGAACTCGCGGGCTTTGTCGAACAAGGGCTTCAAGTTGGCCAGCTTGGTCGGGTCCCCGCCGGCCTCCTGCTCGTTCTCGAAATATTGCTCTAATTCATCCTCTTCCAGGATGTGCCTAGGGAAGAACGTCACGGGCGCGATCTCGGGATACACGATCAACTTGACGCCCTGTTGATGTGCGTCCTCCATCAACTTGACCATTCGGCCCATCGCCTCTGATCGCGGGGTGTCGACATGGATGGGTCCCAGCTGGGCTCCTGCAACGATGACCTTGCGGTCGGACTCTGCTGTGTGGCCTGCACTCGGCCCGTGGACTGAACCCATGGCCGCGAACTGTCAATATTGAGACGATCAGGTCGAGCCGCTGAAAGACCTCAGTCACAGCTAAGATCCTTTGTGCCGGCGTTGAACGATTCTTAAGAACTGCAGAACCCAGAGACCCTGGACGCCGGCGTTGAGCGACCGTGAAGCACACTCAGATCTCCATGGTTGAATGCTCGTACCGCACAGCACAGCTTCAAATACTCTTTCGCTGTACGGAGTACCGCCAACACACTTCGTCCCGGCAAGTCCCCGAACCATGCTGCGTGGCCCCCACCGTCGTACCCGATCTGTTCGGTTCGTTATCAATACCGCAACCGCAAACCGGCACACACATAGCGACGCTGTTATCCGCACCATGTGGGTTTACAAGGACATCAACGCCTTGCAAGTATCGGCCGCTGCGGGCATCAGCGCCGCCGTTGGGAGCCTTGCGAAAGTTTCGTGCCTCCACATTGCGATAAAAAGTCCGTGGATAAGGACAACCTCGATTTATCAAGATGACTCAAATATCGGTACGTAAATCTAGGGGTTGTCTCCTATTTGATTCTCTCGGTGTCGGTACGGCCGGGAGATACACAACTAAACCTGATATTGATCTTTCGATCTGACTTCGCTTCTGTCTTGGGCGGCCGTGTTGCGTTGACGTACCGAGCAAATATGGCCATTCGGAACATCATGCTGTCGTCGCTCCTCGCACACCCGATACTAACCATCTTCCTTCTCCCCGTTACCCTGGTCGTGCTGCGCTCGGTGTACCGTATCTCGCCCCTCCATCCGCTCTCTCACATACCAGGTCCGCTTGTCCCTCGACTATCGTCACTATGGCTCACTTACCACGCATGGATCGGCGACGAGGCTTCGGTGGTTGATGCGCTGCATAAGAAATACGGCACGATCGTCCGCAACGGGCCCAACAGCGTCGACATCTCCGATGGCGCAGCACTGGCCACCATATACACCGAACGTGGCGGGTTCGCAAAGACCAAGTTCTACGAGAACTTCGCTCTCCCGGACGGCGTGCACATGCACAACTCGATCTTTTCCGAGACGGATCCCTTGACGCGAGCGCCTCGCGCAAAGGCCGTGGCTGTTCTGTTCTCCACCTCAAACCTCAGACAGGGCCAAGACCTCATCTATGCATGCGTCGACAAGTTTGTGGCCCGGTTGGCTGAGGGGAAGAAGTCGAGTCAAGCACGGGGCAGCGCCCCTTTGAATATTCTCAACCTGACGAGAGGGTTGGCCGTCGACGCGGTCTCGTCGTATCTGCTCGGCAAGAGCTACGGAGCTCTAAGCGAGGACTCCGACCAGAACAAGGACGAGAAGAGAGCGGTGCGAAAGGAGTTGGCTGAGCCAATGAGCGCGGCCGGCATGGTCGACACCTTCGTCGCGGTCGGCCGCTTCTGGTACCTCCCCAGTTGGCTATTCAAGCTCGTCGAGTCCTGGGACGCATGGTGGAACGCAGACGAGGAGGTGACGCATAGTCTGGCGCGAGTGGACGACTTCGTGGCCGGAGTAGTGAAGGATGCGGAAGCCAGTATCAGTGCCAACGCTGCACAATGGAAGGACAAGGCGACGGTCCCCGCCACTCCTAACCATCCTTTGACCTCGTATCCAGCTCGGCTTTTGCAAGCGGGCTTCAACTCCTCCGAGACGCGGGCTCAATGCAAGGACCTCATCTTCGCAGGCTCGGACAGCACCGGGATGAATCTGGCCACCATCCTCTTCATGCTGGCGAAGCATCCCGAATGCTACAGGAAAGCAAGAGACGAAATCCTGGCTAGTAAACCGGGCTTTGACGAGCTTCAGTCTCTACCGTACCTCCGCGGGGTCGTGAAGGAAGGACTGCGCTTGTCTATGGCGAACCCGTCACGTCTTCCTCGCATCGTCCCCCCAGAAAGCTGGACCTTCAAAGACACCCATTTCCCTGGTGGTACGGAAATCAGCTGCACGCCGTATTCTCTGCATCTGAATCCAGAAGTGTTTCCCGACCCTTTCGGCTTCAAGCCTGAGAGGTGGATTGACCCTTCTGAAGAGATGATGCGGGACGCCATCCCCTTCGGTCTGGGTAGTCGACAGTGCATTGCCAGGAACCTGGCGACGGTGGAGCTGTACTGTGCGGTGGCCAGAGTTATCGAGGCTGGTATACTGCAAGGAGCCGTGACCGTGAAGTCCGAGATTGAGATTCTGGAATGGTTCAACAGCAAGGTCATCGGGGAGCGGATAGACTTGGTCTGGCAATGAGAATACATTTGTTCAATGACGCGGACATGATGCCAGGAACTTGGTTCTCTCCCTATCTTTGTGGACCCCAAAGTACAGGCTAAGATGAGAGGAGGATTGCGGTCCACGCACGCTCTATCTCGGTCGTGGCGCTTTGCTGCTTGAAAATCGCTTCCAACATCGATTCAAGCCTGCTAGCCATCTCATCACAGTCCTACCAATCCATGCCCCCGATGGTCGCCCGCTGTTCACTCTAGACGGAAGAGGTACAATGGAATAATATCAGACTTCAGAATAGCGAAATAACTCGAAAAAGCCTCAACATGCAAGACCAACCGTTGTGGCCAAGTCTCTTCAGACCTCGCAGCAGTATTCGAGCTTTCATCCCGAATTACTCTGCTGCTGACTCAGGTAACACAGCCTGTCCAGACCAGCAGTCCACCTAAGAAGACGTTTAACACACGCTCCCAATAGGACTCATTTGCTTGTCTTTGCAAGGTCAACTGCTCATGTTGCAGGTCCCACCACCGTTGAGATTCTGATATTTCATGACGCGCTGCCTGAAATGATTCGGTCATGACTTCGACACTCCTATGGTATGCTTTCAGGCACTCGTGAACAGCACTGATCGCCGCCGTCGCTGCGCTGAGGTCGGCTTCAGGCACGGGTCCCAGATTGACCGCGTACTGAAACCAACTTGCTGATGCCGTGAGAATTTCCAGGTTCTGCCTCAACCCCATGTGTACACTCTGGGTGTCATCCAGGGTCTGTCCCATCAGGTCTAGTGTCAAGAACGAAAAGTTGGGGGACCTCGCAAGCTCGTTTGTCTGCGATTTCATGGTGACTGCGCGGCGTTCGGCTCTTACACAGTATTGTTGCAGCCCCCGTGCCGTGCTCCATAGCCTAGCCGCCTTATACATCAGGGCCGAGGGCTGGTCGGTCGGTATACTTGTCCTCGTACTCTTTCCAGTTGATTCAATATTGCGACATATCTTGACTCGTTTGTGCCTTGTAATTACAACTTTCATGCTCTCTGCTTGTGCATCGCCGGCAGGGGCCATTTTGCGAGGGGGGTCCGTGAAGGGGCAGCCAAGTTCCATGCCGTTATCACCCGAGCACGTCATCGATGGTGGGAGAAGATGGAGAAGGAGCAGGACAGCGTCGAGACTTCTGACTGGTGAAGACTATCCCACGGACTAGGAAAAGTAACAGCTGCGGTAGAACAAGATGCTGAAGGGTGATCTGATATGTGTATTCACTGCTGAATACAGAGGTATGCTTGCGAAAGACATGAGGAACAGGGGACGTGAAGAAGTGCAAGGACCGTGGTGGATTCCTGGGTGGCAGCTGGCGCAGTCCACGTTGAGCTTGCCGTTGACATTGAAGCAGGAGTGAATGCCATATCAAGGAGCATCGGTGCAATGTACCCCCAAGCACAGAGGCAGAGTGAGAATATCTATCAGAGGCAAGCTTGAGGCCCTGAACGCAGTGCCTAGAGCTGGGCCCAGTCTATGGTAGATGTCTTGCTTTCGCCACCATCAGATCTGTACATCTGCGGTCATTGTTCCTTGTTCCTCACCGACACGTCCCATTCAACTCTCAGAACCTCCTGAAGAGCTTCCTTATCAGCGATAATCATCTCCATATCCCATGCCTCTATGTCCCATGATCCATCCCAAAGACTTCTATCATGGCTCCCTTCCCTCCTGATAGCCCGCCTTCCCGCGCCACGAACAACCCATGATCTTAGCGTGAGTTACTCACTCATTCCACGAGTCCATTCGGCCTCCTCACCAAACGCTGCAGCGGCGCCGCCGCCAGGTTTACCAGCTCCAACAATCCACAAATCTCACGCACATTGACGGCACGCTGCAACGCAACAACTGCTTCATCGTACCAATCGGGCTTCCGTTCTCCAACCACGCTTTCACACGTAGTCTCTAACCTGGCCAGCAAGACCTCAGCCTCGCTTTTGACTGTCTTGAAATCGGCGACATGCTAACGATTGGCAGCCAACAGCGTCGTCGTTGTATCCATCACCTGATGGCACGTTCGGGGTTGCCCAGGCTCCCTCATCCGTGCGAAGAGCTCCCTCCACTGTGCTCCGTATGTCGACAATCGAGACCCACAGCAGTCATACCTGGCTCGTAGGCCGGTTATCTCGGCGTGCAATCTTATTCCGCCAGCCTCTGAAACTGTGGCGGTTGCTGATGCTGGTGTGGGTGGGAGTGCTCGGCTTGATGCTCCTACTGGGTCCTTCTGCCCTTGGTTAGTGCCGAAGGGTACGGGTTGAGGATGGATAGTACATACCTCTGAACCACTAACCCGGTCGTCTTGATCTCGCTGTACACGTATATTCTGCGCACTGTCACGCTGAAGCTCCGAGCTGGGTGGACTGTTGGTACTGCGACTCATGTTGGAGCTTGAGAAGTGTTGATGTTATCGATGGCGGTGTTAGAGCTCCTTTTCAGGCTTCGTACAGAGTGGTGAGAGGCGTTTGTGCATGTAGTTGGAAAGTGAAGCTTGAGCAGGACAAACCCCTATAAGTACCCAAGCACAAATACCTGCAAGACCTGCAGCTAGAAATAGCATAGGAAAGATCCTGACTGCCCTTTTGTGGATCTGGACTTCTCATACATAGACAGTACGGCCTGACTGTCTTATTGCTGGAGCTTGAAGGAAATGGGGAGACCCGACTCCGCACAGCGACACCTGTCTAAGACAAGGGCCGCATGGGGTGATGAACATGGACAACACAAGACACGCACTGGCCTGGCAGCATATTCCGTGATTAACCCCGAATTCCACTTCGGCAAGTTGCTGGATGTAGTCTGCCTGATAGGCCAGCAGCGCATCGTGAGTCAAGGTCCCACGGGGTTCACTGCCACCAGACCACGGATACAGCAAAGCACTGTACGTGCACCAGTTGTGGCAGCCTTGGGCTTCCGCTGCAGTCCGGGTAGGCTCGCCACTATCATAGCCAGTGGCGGTCTGCTGGTATGGAGCGCTTGAATCGACCCCGGGTCACCCTTCCGGAGACAGTTATCGCAGTGTTAGCCATTGAAGATGTTCCTGAATATTCAGGCGGTCGGGTATGCTCAAGGCCGCCCAGGCATTTGATCGCATAGCCGGTGCGGGAGTTATGGATAAGGCGGACAGTGTGCGTTGCGCATACGACCGCCTGTTCTTAGCCGGACTTCGCCAAAATACCCAGGGTTGATGGCATTTTATTGTTTGAGTACTGGCATCAGATTGACTTTTTTTTTCACTCCGAAGCAGACAGATCAACTCCAGACAGGTAGAAGGCGTGACCACTGAGACAGCGTCATGTTGAAGAACGCACTGGGCTTGGTGAATCTGTAGTGGAAGTCCCACGGTCGCTTCGGTGCCAATTGAGTTTGCTGGCCTCCTGCGGCGAGTTGCTGTGCCAGTGAGGCTCCCATAGTGTGGATGTCCTCTTGCGCACATTACTGTACTACCTTGGAACAGCCACATCCCACTGCCCTCTTGGTGGGAATCGGTCCAGCTCAGTATCGGGTTAACACTTCGTTGACGAGCTTCTCTCCTGGAGGTGGAATGATGTCTGCATGATTGAAGCCCTTCAAAACATTACGGACCTCAATCCATTCCGTAAGCCCCATTTGTCGAACCTGAATGGCAAGCCTGCATTGGAACCACCGAGCGTCATCCTGGCTATAGTCCTCGGGCTTCTCATTACCCTCTCCAGTATTCTGCAGGTGGGAGAGTGTTGCTTGGCGTCCTCGCTGCTTTGTCAATAGTATTGACCACTCAGTGTGGGCGCCAATGAAGAGAGCCCAGACGCGAGCATTCTGGTACTTCGAGGAGTCGAGGTCGTGCTCGAGCGCCGCCCGGAGCTTCCTTAACAGTGTCGGGACGACGTCGAAGAGATCTACACCACAAATCTCGACTTTGTAGCTAGTGTGATGGGTCCAGATAAACTCGGCAAGGATTAGATACTGCTGGACGTACCAGCACTGAACGTCCGAACTGTCTCGTTTGGACTTTTCCCCGTTACAGCAAGTTTGTTCGCTGGCCTGGCGCACGGCATTCAGATAATGCTTGATCATGCGTCCTTGCTGCACTGATGCTGTTGTTGACAACCACAGCATTATCAGTGGCGAGACAGGCATCCCCCTCACTCCAAAATATAACCAAGTCTGTAGCGTTGTCCGCCGTGAGACGAAGAAAGCCCTCAGGTCCGCGCCCTCAACGCAGTTGTCAAGGCCTTCTTCTGCTTCGGCCCTGAGAGCCCTCCAAGGTGGAAGAGAGTTGAGCTCCTTAAGCGCTGAAGCCCAAAGAGCTTGCATGTTCTTGACTACCCAACCATCAGGCTCTACTTCAAATGTGAAAGGGCTCATGAAGATGGTGCACACCTGGCTCTCACTCCACAAGGCGTACTGTAGGAGGGTGTACTCAATTGTCCCATACATTCGTTGACGCTCTTGGAACAGGTGTTGCAGCACCCTGGCGTGCGTAGCAGCGGCTTGTAAGTTCTGATCCACGATCTCGGCTTTATGGAGCATAACGATCTGAAGAAGAAACAGGTCACTCCACCCATGACTGTCGTTATTGAGCAGCTTCACACGGAGCTGCTGAATACTGCGAAGACGGTATCGCATGGCCAATGGTCGTAAACTCGGACGAAGCACTGCCGCAACCGTCGCTGCGCGAGCAACAAAAGCACTTGCGAGGTCCGGATGCTGCAAAGTCGAAATGCAGATGGACCAGTCCAGCCGAGCGCTAGCAGAGCTGACCCATTTCCGAGAGGGTACGTGGTACTGGGCCGGTAGAGTGTAGTCTCGGTAGAATGCGATGACCTCGTTGATCTGTGGATCAATCTTAATTGCATATGCACAGAAGGGGTCTGAGTTGCCCGCGTGAACCAGAAGAGGTTGCACGGAACGATAACGCGAACCGTGAGAAACGGCTAATCGGCGGCCAGTTGCGCCGTCCCCTTCGACTGATGCTGAGGAGGAGGTGTCGTCTGTGGGACATTCAGAAGGCGGCCTTGTCTGGCGGCCACGGCCAGGAAGGGGGATTTTGTCTGCAAACTGTCCTCTAGAGACAGCGGTGATATCTCGAAGACGCTCAATCTTTTCTTTCCTCCGCCGCTTGTGATAGTTCTGGCGAACATGCGAGAGCACCTCGGAATGGTGAGGTGAGTTCCCTGTGACGCTCAAATCGACGAACATGAATTTCTGGGCATATGTCGACTCATGATGACCAGAAGTAGCGGCCATTTTCGGAAGACCTCAGTAGGACAACTTCGGCTTCGACCTGGGATAGATGCAAGGGCTCCAGGTGGCGTGGCTTACGTGATCGACGAGAAGCCAAGTTCGAGCATAGGGCTGAAATAGGAGTACTGTACCCTGCTTTGTCGAGGACCATCAAAAGTCTTCTGAGCCACAGCAAGGTGACGTCCCAATCGCTGCTGACAGAGCGTGCAGATTCAGCGTGGAGAACTTCGGAGCATCGCGGCGGTATCGAGACCCGTTCCAATTAGTATCATGGGGCGGTCATAGATTACACAGTGATTCAAGTCGGTCTTCTTGACGCCAGAGCAGAGTGCGTTGAACAAAGCGGATATGACTCGAGAGCAAAGATGCTACACACGGCTGGAGATCTTGGAGAGGTTTATGCAGAGAGTTGAACTTGGATTTTGTTCCTGGTGGAAGCCACCTAAGCCGCCCTCGTGCCTTTCCCGTGCTCACATACGGCACTTGAGAAGGAGCATCTGCATAGCTGGTCTGTTATTACATAGCCAATCGGGAGCCACCGTCGTGATGCGCCCTTTCAGGGGCATGAGTGACGAGCAGGAGACTTCCTGTGAACATGCAACCTGTTCCCACCCGCGAAGCGAACCAACCACCAGAGGTTCGCCTCGCCCATTTCGCCTCAGCATGGTCGTCAACATTGCAAAACAAAGTAAAACAGATGCACCACCATTTCGTACCACGTTGAGCAGAAGCATGCCATCGCCGAACTAAGAGAGCCCAGCAGCCTGGCCCTGTGCTTGTGATTGACTCTGCCCGCCACGTCCCCGACTCCCACGATAGTTGTTGTACCCACCATATCCACGGTTGTTGTAGCCGCCTCGATAGGTGCCTCCGTACTGTCTTCCGCGACCGTAGCCACCGCCCCGACCACGGCCACGATACCCTCCGTCCACATTGCCTTGTCCAAAGGTTTCAATGTTCTTTTTGAACTCTTCGCTTCGGACTTGTCTTCCACCTGCGCGCCCATCACCTCCCTCTTCTCGGTCCCTAGCTTCTGAGGATATGTTGTCGAAGAACGAGGTCGACTTATTGTAAGCAGCTCCTGCGTTGGTTAGGCTCTCTTTTCTCGGAGGTGATGATATTCCTGCATCGGCAGCGCTATCTTCCTTGGTGGCGGGTTCTTCAAGGGGTGATCCTGAAGCAATTGCCTCTTTGATCAAGTCTTCTTTGCTGAACTTTGCATTTGCGGACTCGAAGTCGAAATCAGACTTGGGGATTTCCATCTTCTTTTGACCGCTGCCACGGTGGAAATTGCCTCGCCCTCCTCTTGAGCCCCCTCTAGCGCCGCGCGACGTCCCATTCACCGCTGTTGCTGTAGAGATTTCGGCCACTTTCTTTGTGAGAGCGTCAACCGCAGCTGTTGCAGATGATGTTTTGTTCTGTGCTGCAGCTGCTTGAGGGTTTAGCTTCGCCATTGCAGCTGCAACCGCCTCTTTTGCCTGTCGCGCCGCTTCGTCCATGGCAGCTTGCGAGGTGACAGGCTTTTGTGGTTTCGCCGCCCCACCATTTGCTGCCGAGGCATCTGCGGCTGGAACGGGAGGTGTAAATGATTTTTGATTGACGGTTAGGGGGACTGCAGGCGTGACACGGTTGCTTTTGGGCCCTGCGGGAGCGGGTTTGGTAGGAGCCGGGGCGGCTGCGGCTGCTGCAGGTCCAGGAGCCGAAGTAGGAACAGCTTTCGCGGCGATCTCGGCTTGCGGTGTGCGAGCGGGAACCGGGGGAGGGGGTTGAGAATCTTTCGGAGGGGCTGGAGAAGTGGATTCTGGAGCTTTGTTGCTGCCCGGGAGTTCGGAAGTCAGGCCGGATGCAGGGAGATCAGCAGGAGCATTTGAGGCGGGTGGTTGACGTGAGGGTGGCGGTGGTTGTGGAAGATTGTTGCGCAGACCAGGAGGACCGATAGGAGGTTGCGGATGTTGGGGGAATGGGTGACCAGGTCCTTGTGGAAACCCTGGGCCGCCAGGAGGGCCGAAGTAACCTGGAGGCGGAGGCCCATAAGGCGGGAATCCAGGACCAGGGTCAAACCCTCCAGGAGGTGGACCATAGCCTCTACCGAATTGACCGGGAGGATAGTAGCCACCGAAAGGCGGAGGATGCGGATACTCTTGAGGAGAAAACGGACCGTCGCGGGGAGGGCCCATGGGAGGTGCGCCTGGTCGTGATGCATTCTGGATTATTACACGATGTCAGCGAAGCTCATCACCTGTGTTTTGCGTCGATCTATGTGACCAGAGGAGACGAGAAATCAGAAGGAAGGCAACGGAAATATCCACACAGCTTTGCGCTTTCAGAACAGGTCTGTGAATTTACATCCGAATATTTCATCATTGGAACTAGGGGAGCCGGAGGGTGCAAGACATACCAGGATAGCAGGATCGTTGGGTATGCTCTGCGGAGGAGAGGGGTGTGACGGCTCATCCTCAGCTATCTTGATGTCCTTCACGTCGCTACCGCGAAAGACTATGAACCCATATTTCTGTTGTGAGGGAGGGACGAATTTCTCGACTTTGCGGTCTTCGGTGCCGAAAGAAAAGACATTTTCCAACGCGATTGTCGACTGTTCAGGGTTGATTTCGTGAAGAGTACCTACGTAGCTATATGCGCGAAGGAATCAGAGTGCATCCTTGAGCTTGAAGAGAGGCTCACCTACCGGATTTCACTTTTTGAAATGAGATTGAAACGCTGACCGATGAGATGATCCATGTCCATAACGAGAGGAGTGGAAGAAGGTGCTATTTTCACATGGGGAGAATGAGAGAGAGAGTAAGGAATAGGTTTCGAGGAGGATGTTCGTGGAGGTTGTTGTTCAAAGAGGTTGTGGGTTGATGATGGTGGACAGGACAGCAGGGTGAATTTAGGACTGCGACGAACAGATGTACATTTGCGCAAGATGTTGCTGCGCTTCACCCAACCGCTCGTCTTGGCACAACAGACGGTGAAGTGAACTGACAGACTGGCAGTGTTGGTGGTGTTTGTAGTGTTTGCATCTTTTGCAGCAATCGCATTGTTGGCTGGGGACACCTCCTTGGGCCCGTACAGTTCGGTCTCATACTTCTTCTCTCGTCACCAAGAATCATGGCCACTTCCAATTCGGCCGATCAAGCGGGCAACTACTTCCAAACAGAGTATGTTGCTGTGGTGATGCTGTCTTGCACGAACCTGCTGATCCTTCGGCAGCACCTCTCTGGCTGAACTTGAGCGCAAGCGACAAAAGGCAGCAAATACACTTGGAGACCCAGTCAATTTTCCAAGCAAGATATTAGCCGTCGCCATCAATCACTACTTCGACCCGACAGGTGATGTTGTCTTTGTGGCCGAAGCCGGCGGGCTCGTCAGTGGCCTACGATTATCCACGAATGAGTTATCTACAACACCAAGGGGTCCCCAAGCGCCGCTGACCAGCTTGGCTTTCCATGCCGGCCACACCCCTGCAGCAGGCGTCACTGCTTCGCACGTGCTCAGTGGCTGCTGGGACAAGTCAATATGGAGATACTCGTTCCAAGGCAGTAATGTCATTGACGAGTCTTCATTTCCAGCCCACAGAGATTTCGTAAAGTGCCTGCTCGTAGCCCCGACTCCAGACAAACAGCAGGTCATAATATCCGGCGGGGCTGACGGTGATATCCGGTTCTGGAGCTTGGCTGGCCAATCCATTGGGTCTATCAAGCCTGGCGCTCGTGGTATCGAATGTCTTGTCCTAGATCCTCTGTCTTCGCCCGACTCACCTGGGGTATTCGTCTCGACCTCGAAACAGGAAATCTTCTCCTTCGCCATTCCAAGCCTATCAGATATCACAGCGCACAAATTCGCGTTGACGCCGCCTATTCTGGCACACGCTACTAGTGTATACAAATTACACTTCGACGACGATGGCGACCTCTGGACAGCATCTGCCGACAAAACAGCAAAACATCTCCTAAGGACAGACGGTTGGAAAGTCGAAACCACATTGGCCCATCCCGATTTTGTGCGGGATGTTGTCACTCATGGAAGGTATGGCTGGGTGATAACGGCGTGCAGAGACGAGAACGTCCGCGTCTGGAACACAGCGACGGGGGCTCTATATCACGTCTTCACTGGACACTATGAAGAGGTGACGGGGCTTGCTCTAAGTGGAGATCTCGTCATCAGCGTGAGCATTGATGCAACCCTTCGGAGATGGAGTCTGGCGCCAGCGGATTTGAGTAAGGCGGTGGAGGAGGCGAGACATCCCAAACTCCTTGAGCAAGAGCCCGAACCGAAGACGGATCTGGGTATGCTGACCGAGGAGGAAGAAGCTGAACTGCGTGCATTGATGGAGTCAGAAGCACAGGATACGTTAGAGCGGATGGCCATGGATGAACAATAGTGAACTGGGTCACATGACATCAGTGCCCGTGTTATCTACCCCACGTGCTCGACTCCAGATTATGTAAGCATCCTGGTATCGCGTATGGCTCTCGGCTGATTGGCTGCCTGCCGTTTCAACACCTTGATTGTCGTTTCCTCTCTTATGTTTTGCTGGTGAAAATCTCTGCGTGTGAGCGGCCTGTTCTTCAGCAATCCCTTCCATCGGCTTAAGCCCCTTGCCCAGTCCTGGATCGATATCGACTGATAGCGCAAAAGAAATCCGGTGTCTGACCCTGCCGGCGCTTTCCGACCCCAAGCGCAAACTTTGCACAGCCTCGCCAACCTCTCGATCCACTTGACTTCGCAGTATCAGACTTTTCACCGTCGTTCTTAGCTGGGCTTCTTCGGAAGACTGTCCGGCAACGGTCTCCTGCTAAACTGTTTCTTGCTGTACACACAATCCCGCCAGATCAGGACGCCCAGCGTCCGCCTGGCCGTTAATCCCGATGGGCAATAGCGAACCTCAATTGGCGTTGCGAAATGTTTTGGCGAACAGTTCATCTCCTTATGTGAGGCTGACACGTGTGCTGTATCGGTCGATGCTGACTTGAACAGCTCCGGGAGCATAAGAACAACCCTGTAACATGGCAGGAGTGGTCAGAGAATACCTTGGCTCTGGCAAAGAAACACCAACGGCTTATCTTTCTGAGCATCGGCTACAGTGCCTGCCACTGTGAGAGAAATGTGCCATCTCTGTCTGTCCGGGCTAACGCGACTCCAAGGGTGCCATGTGATGGAAAGAGAGTCGTTCAACTCTCCTGAAGTCGCCGAGATTCTTAACAACTATTTCATCCCCATCAAGCTGGATCGAGAAGTGCGCCCTGATCTTGACGATATCTATATGAGCTATGTCACGGCAACGACAGGCGCAGGCGGGTGGCCCCTGAACGTGTTCTTGACCCCGGAGCTCAAGCCTGTCTTTGGAGGAACCTATTGGCCTGGGCCCACGCCTACCACCAATCTCAAGCAAGCCGTACCTCATGATGAAGCTCCTGTCACGTTCATCGAGATTCTCTCCAAGATGAAGGAGGTATGGACTACTCAACGCGAGCGATGTCTCCAGTCTTCTTCAGAGATTACGGATCAGTTGCTTGCCTTTGCTGGAGAGGGAATCCATTCACATTCAGATAGCCGCGCCCCAGAGAATGAGCCGTCGTCGACGGATCCGCCTGAACCATTGGACCTGGATCTTCTAGACGAAGCGCTGACCCATTTTGTGTCTCGATACGACGCTGCGCACGGCGGCTTCAGCCCGAGTGCAACAGCGCCGAAATTTCCAACACCTTGTAATCTCACTTTTCTCCTTCGAATCGGAGCAGCGATTGCTCGGCCTTCCACACACACCCGTTTTGGCTTCTTCAGTCCCCTACCTGGCATCCTTGGCAAGGACTCGTGCCTTACCGCTGCGCGCATGTCGTTACATACCCTTCTGGCCATGTCACGGTCAGGGTTGAGAGATCAGCTTGGTTACGGCTTCCACCGATACAGTGTCACGACCGACTGGAATCTACCTCACTTCGAGAAAATGATGTGTGACAACGCTCAGCTGCTTGGCTGCTTCTGCGACGCATGGGCATTGGGTCGTGATCCGGAGATTCTGGGGACGATATATAACCTCGTCGAGTACTTCACCAATCCAGGATCACCGATAGTACATCCCGAAGGCGGCTGGTATTCTAGCGAGGATGCGGACTCACAAAGCACGCTTGCACCCCTCAGCAACGGTGCCATTGCAGATGACAGGAAGGAAGGTGCGTTCTACGTCTGGACACTCAAGGAGTTTCAGTCGATATTAGGAGACCCAAATGCCTCGATCCTTGCCCGACATTTTGGCGTTAGGGCGGATGGTAATGTGCCTGCGCAGCATGACCCGCACGACGAGTTCCTAACCCAAAATGTCCTACACATCAGCGCTACACCGTCGGTGCTGGCCAAAGAATTCGGCCTTGCCGAGGAAGAAGTTGTTCGGGTCATCAAATCGGGACGTGCCAAACTGGCCGAGTACCGTAAAGCGAAGCGGGAACAGCCACGAGTTGACACCAAGATCATTACCTCTTGGAACGCACTGGCCATCACGGCCCTTGCTCGTGCCGCCAACACACTGTCCACGATCGACAGACATCGAGCACAGCGGTGTCAGGAAGCTGCAGAGAAAGCAGCAGCATTTATACGCAGGGAAATGTTTAACGAGAGCACAGGCCAACTCACCCGGATCTCATCGGACCCAGCCCGGGATGACGTCGACGTCGCCTTTATCGACGACTACGCGTATTTGACGCAAGCAAACCTGGCCCTCTACGACCTTACTCTCTCTCAACCATACCTCGACTGGGCAGTGCGGCTTCAATCCTACCTCGACGAACAGTTTATCGCCTCCACCACGGGAGGATATTTCCAATGTGAACGACCTCGTCCCTCCGCTCCTCCTGAGCAGATCATCCGCCTAAAGCCTGGCACTGACACGGCATTGCCATCGCCCAACGGGACGATCTGTACAAACCTCTTGTATCTCTCGTCGTACATACAATCCCAGTCGCCATCGCAACAGTCGACAACCACAAAGTCATATATCCGGCACGCACGTGCGACACTCGATGCCTTTGCCGTCGAAATCCTCCAACACCCTTTCCTGTACGTCACTCTCCTCGGTGCGCTAGTGATGGAGCAGGTCGGAGTCAAGACGATCATCGCCCCAATGACGACGAAGGACTCTGAGCTCCGACGTCTGAAGGGCTGGGGGAGGACTGTGGTCAAAGGCATCGTATCCGGGGTTACCATATGTACCCAGAAGGGCGTATGCAGGGCCTTGCGGAGGGAAGATCTCGAGGACGTCGATGAGCTCGACGAGGGGAGTGGACAAGAGAAGGCCAAGGCCAAGCGTGTTGGTACCGACGATGGACCTGCCACGGCGGGACCCGTCAGGGAAAGTGTCTAGGGATTCGCGCATCGGGAGACTTCTATGCGGCGTACAGACGGGCATGGATTCGGGGTCGGAAAGGCTGGAGTAAGTATCCGGTATCTCTGTTTCGTCTTGCTGTAGAGGAGGGTCAGCCACAGCCGCTCCGGTTATCGATGGAGGCTCAACGACGATCATGCGATCTTGAATCCCTTTCGCCCATGCTCGCCTGTGTGCTGTTTGCCTGTCCTGCAGCCCGCACTCCCTGTAGCATTCCGTCGGTTGATAAACACAAACCAGAAAGATAGTGACACGGCCTGTATATATCGCATCATGAGACCACCCGCACCTCCCGAAGAGATACGACGAGCTCAGTGCAGCATTGCCGGAATCCGCTTGATATGTATATCTAGAGAATGGATAGATTTATGTACTTGTTCATGTATATACATTTGTCGCACCCGCCACTGCCCGTCCCAAAATCTAACCTACGCACAGACTGTGATGGTCCCGAGCCCCTCCCAAGGCTACAAACAGTCCATGCCATGCATCAATGCCCGCCGAAAACAATTCCCCTCGTCCCTCCCCAACTCTCACCCACCCACAAGATCCCACCGACGGCCTCACCGTCACGACTCTGCCAGATTTCCCAGTATCAAATCAACCTCCTCGGCGGCCGTCTCGAGGATATGCTCTGCCTTGAACCGCGGCGTCCACGCGAGTTCCGCGCCAGCATGCCGAGCCGTGAATGTGCATCTATGGCGTGAAGGCGAAAAGGTCAGCGTGGCATTCAAGCCCGAAAGTAAAACCCCACAAACGAAACACGCGTGCAGCATACCTTCCTCCTAACATCAACCCGACCAACGCCGGCGGACATCCCAGCCCCCGTCCCATCGTCGTGAGCACATCCGCGTCCCCTTCCGCGGGAACAACGTCCCCAGAATCAACGACGCCCCGTTCTGCCAACCGCCGCGCCATCGCCGCGTACAGGTCCCCCCACACCACACTCCCCGACGAGGCAAGGTAATAGCCCTTCTTACCGCTCGCGGGGTCCTTCTCAGCGAGAATCGCATCCAGCAACGCGAGATACAGCCCCGTATTATCATCAACGTGACACACAGGCCAGGTCGCACTCGAGGGTGGTTCATCCACTGAATATACCCTCCGCGCGGCGCGCGCGGCTTTCACGATCGCGACGGTCTGGATGGAGATGCGGTTCCCGAACCCCCGGCCGGGACCGTACACGATGCACGGCACGAAGATGTAGCAGCGCACATTTTGCGCGTTGGCGCGCTCGACGACGATATTGTTGGCGTCAATGGCCGATTGCAGGAGCGGAATGATCGGCTTCTGCCCCTTCTGCACGTCGTATAATGCCGGGTCGTCGTCGAAGAGGGGGCCCTCGGTCGGGGCGCCCGCGTGGCTGGAGAAGATCTTGGCGCCGCTGGTGTGGAGGAAGTGGACATCGACGCCACCGCCCAACTCGGCCTTCACGCTGGCAAGGGCGTCGATGAAGTGCGCTTGCGTCGTGGCCGTGAGGGCGTCGATGAGGAAGAAGACCACGGTAATCTCGTGCTCGAGGAGGGCCGCCTTCACCGCGGATGCGTCTTTGACGTCGAAGCGCAGGGGGGTGGCGCCATGGTCCCGGGCGGCCGAGGCCTGCGAGTCCGTCCGGACTAGGGCGTAGAGGTTTTTGTATTTGTGTGCTGGGAGGGCGTTGCCTACCTGGGCTAGGAGACTGCCGCCGAGGTAGCCCGACACGCCGGTCAGGAGGATTGAATGGGACATGGTGGGCGACAGGAAGGCAAGGGAAAGGGAAAGGAAAAGGAAGGAAAGGGGAAGGGAAAAGGGGGAAAGGCAGGGCCGAACTGATACTACGCTTTGACTTCGGAGTCACGATATACTTCCCGCAGAGCAAGACATGCTGGATGTTGATATGTTCACCATGATTGATGGAAGATGTGGGCGGCGGTGTTGGGGTCACAGTTGGAGAGATGGTGTATTTGTAAAGGACGGAGTCAAGACATTCCATACCTAGGTAGGTCCCTACTTACATCTAGTGGGGTCGGTCTCTCGGGTGCTTTATAATACTGACACCAGGAAAGCTAGGAAAGTTAGGAAAGCTTCAGGATAATTCCGTCTTCTAAGTGAAACGAGGGTTGAACCTGCAATCATTTACCTGTGCGTCTCTTCTTTGCCTTTCCATCATCACTCTCCTTGCCCGCATCACCTTCGTCCTGTGGCTCGTCGCTCCGCTGTCTCTTGCGTGACTTACCTGTGGCTTTGGTCTTTGTGGGTGCCTTTGGAGGACGCAGAATCAGTCTCCGGGGTGTTATTGGAGTGGGTCGGTCCTTTGGCCCTTGCACTTGTGTTGGCGAACTCGTGCTTCCCTCGTGCTTACCGTGGCTTTCATCCTCCCCGTCGGCTTTATCACTGTCTTGTGCATCGCTGGAGCGCTTTGTAATCTTGCCTGTCGCGGTGTTAATCTTCAATATCAAGCGAGGCCTCTTTGTCGCAGGGGGGTCTTGATTCTCGTCCGTGTCGGTCCTGCTCGACTCCTCACCGTCGGTTTGGGTCTTGTTAGCTTCCTCGAGCTCCTCTCTTTTCCGCTTGGCAGCAGTAGATCGGGTCACTCTTTCCGAGGTCACAGTGGGTATCGGCTTCCGCGGTGCACGTGTGCGCCGCGGTCGCGTTGTGCGCTCTACGGGACGACCTTCGGATCCATCGACTTTGACATTGGCCGCCGGCGAAGCCGGCCTCCGTGCTCCCTTGTCCGTACGTGGCTCTGGTTGTGTTCCTGAGTCAGCACTAGTAACCTCGTTGTCTGTCCTTGCCGGCGGCGCGGGAGCGAGAGGTTGTTCAACCGTCGAAAGGTACTGGTCATTGTCCTGCACATGCTCACCTTCTAGAAGCGAACCGATAGTCTCGGTGGCATTGATATGGCGCAGGATACCGCGAAGACGGGCTTGGACGTCAGAGTCCTTCGTTTCTTTTGGAGGTGACGCGTGCTGCTCTGAAGCGGGCAGTAACCCTTGTTCGGGCTGCGTCTGATTTCTGCTTGCATTAGCATTGTGGTCGCCAGTTACTGGTGCGGGAACATGGTCATCCGCTGGAGGGGAGACTCTCTCACTGGAGCCGTTCGGAGAATGGCTTCCCTGGTTCGTGGTACCTGTTTCTTCTGAAGCCTCCAAACTAACAGTCAAAGGGGCTGCTTGAGGTACTTGATTAGCCATGCTCAGGAGGATGTGCGCGACCTCTAGTCGATCCCTGTCTTCTTGCGCTGCTTCGTCTGCGCCCCTTGCGGTAGCCGCTACTGTCGTCGCATCCCGACGAATTGGGCCTACCGGCTGAATTTGACCGTCACCCTCGACCGGTCGCATTTGAGCTTCGGTAAAATTCTGAAACCGATTACGTCTGTCGGGGTTCGTGTCCATGTAAGTTAGCGTTACGGCAGTCATTAGGGGCCACGGGACACGAATGCCCGTTTGTGTCAACAAATCACTTTGAATGCGGCCTCTGGTATTGGTTGAGTCGGGCATCGACTCTACGTCCAGCAGGTATAGACAGCGGCGGTAAAGCCATGCGGGTATGCCCATTCCTGGAGCAGTGGTGGCATTGACCCACGTATTGTTTGGTACGTCGAGGAGATTTTCGTCCATTTTGGAGACTGTTCCGCCGCAAATGTAATGAAAGCTGCTGTCGAAGATACAGTTCGATGTGGCTGATGACCCCTATATATAAACAAGGCTAGCAAAAGGTATCCGAAACGGCAGGATCTTGTCAGAAACGGACATCAAAGAGGCCATGAGTAAAAAGCTGCGGTATATATACTCGCAGGCTGACTACAATCTACGAGGCGTCGGTCGCCATGATGTAGTGGCCTAGAGCATTCTGTCGAGTCTTCCATATCAATGGCAATATCCTTGTGTTCCTTTGTTCTCCACAATGCCATGTTGTGCACACACCAATGGAGGAAACCTAAAATAGCTGACGCTTCCTCAATTAGCAGGAGATTCTTTGTCTAAAGTCCCCCAATCTTTGTCCCGTCGTGTGAGCAACAGTCACCACGTTTCATAGCTACCATTCAGTTCTGGCTTCAAGAAAAGAGTCTGGTATGCGCTGGAGCCTGACGCGAACGGGACATGTCTCGTGCGTGTCTTTTCGGCGGGGAAATTCGCTCCGCTGGACGCCCGTTTAGCTGTGCCAGTCTGCTAGACATAAGTATCCGTGCAATTTCATCTTTTTAGCCACTGGAACAATATTACTCCTTTGCGCGCCAGATTGTATCAGTCGGTCTTCAGAATAACAGCCGTCGGCAAAGGTTATGATTCATCGGTCTCTCGGCGCAACGGCCAATGCAGTTCGCAGTGTCCGCCACGAGCCAGATGAGAGCCGGGAATAGTTGTAGAAAAGTCAGGTCAACCTCGAATACTCGTCAAGGTCCTGCATATGGTTGATCATGCCCAGGCAGTGCTAAGCCACCTATCCGAAAGTAATTGAGTCCCCAGGTCGTGGCTAGTTCCTCTAAACAAGTCTCCAGGTTGTGCTTGATGTCGACCAAATGGTCGGACGTATCCAGTATGACCAGCCTCATGTCTGACCGACGGACTTTGACGTCGTAGAACTCAAGCAAGCTTCGTATCAAGTCAGCTGTTTCTCGGATATCAGGGCGCAGACCTTTAGTTCTGAGGAGAGGAGACAACCTACGGTGGAATTGAAGCTCTTTGAACTCGAGCACCGTTCTTGGATAGTCGCGATGGACTTCCCACAGTTCCTCGTCCCTCATATGCATGGTGGGGTCTTTATCGTCTTTCGTGGGGGTTGCGCCTTTTCTTTCGAGCAGTCGCTTTCTCTGTGCTTCGACGATCGCTCTAGCTCGAGGAGTAGGCGCGGATATAGGTGCAACGGTATGATAAGGTCGCCATATCAGCCCATTCTTGCTTCTAGCTTCCTGGTTTTTCAGCCTCTCTTCGATAATCGCGAGACGAAATCCAAGTCCAAGGGTAGAACGGTTCCCCTCACGAGTGATGAGCTCGTTCTGGAGGATCTGGAAAATGTTCAGACCAAATCCGGCCGTCTCCATCGCCATTGTGGAGCAATCTTAACAGATGCGCAACATGGAAAAATCCACAAGAGACAAGAATCGAAACGGCTGCACGTGGAGCGTCAATGTAGCAAGAACGACCATGTCAGAGGGAAGTGAAATAGCGGCGCGGGTCGTGGTGGACGTGTCACCTACGTCATCGACACTAAGAAGCTCGTATCTCGTGTCGCATCCCGTGATTTCAGTTCTGCCTCACCGTTCGATGAGCGATCCTCCCAAAATGTCTTGGTCACGTGTGTGAACGAGAGCCTCTCAGGATATTGGGAAAGTCATACGACCGTAGCCAGATGCTAGCTCAGCCAACAATTGCTGATCGGAACCCCAGGGACGCCACGAACTCATCTTCAACTCTGAAATCTCGAAACATTCCCCAGCATCAATAAGGTGGGCCGTCATCCTTCAGGCCCTCAGGTCCTCCGGTGTGTCTTGCTGGTTGTTCCATCTTCCTTTGATGAATGCATCCAGCTGTCCGATCTCCTCCCACACCTGCCAAACGCGAGGGAACTCTCCCTGTACGTCGACCCCGAACCTCAACGCTCCATCGATCGCCGGTGCAAGAGCGCAGTCTGCCATGGTCACTGAAGCCCCAACGCTGTACTTTCCGCCGTGAACCTTGACAAGTTCCTCATACGCGCGAAACCCTAAGCACATAAAATGCTGCTGCCACTTTTGTGCCTCTATGTTGAGCGGTTTGATGTAATTCAGGACTCGCAGGTTCGTGACTGGTTGGATATCGCTTGCTACGATATTCACCAGCTCCCTTACCCTCGCTCTGCCTGGGGGGTTGTCCATGGCCGGCAGCAGCTTCACTCCATTCCCTTCTTCGACTTCTTCGAGGAATTCCAAGATTGCGACGGATTGTCTGATCCTGGTAATCTCCTTGCCTGTTTGTCGATCACTGACGACCAGAGTAGGCACCGAGTCGCTCGGGTTCAGGGCGTGGTACTCCGTGCTATGCTGCTCCCCTTTCACCAAATGGATGTATTTGTACTCCAGCGGAATACCTTTCAGGTGAGCGGCAATCCGAACTCGGGCGGAACAGGAGCTACGAAAGTAGCTAAACAAAGTATACTTGTACTTGAGCTTGTCAGACATGTCGATCAAGCTCGTCAGACTTCGAAAACGGGTCCAGTCGTGCCAAATTCTGGGGAACCCGCGTAAGTACCGTCCCTGTCCTCGTCTCCGTCCGGGGTATGCGGTGATTCAGAGGGGTTAGTCCAAACTAGCGAAAAGCTAGCAGGATCTGGAGCTGTGCGTGCAGATGAGATACGCAAGTGGCACCCAAACTGCGCTATGTTGTCGCTGGTCCCTCTCCCAAAGACCCTTCTTGCAGCGAAAATGCTTCGGCCTCCACAATTTCCAAGCCCTGACCAGGCTCTTAAATGTTTTACCGGCGGCGGCAGGCTAATTCCAAGCAAGCTAGCTTCAACTTAATCACTGATCCCAGTCCCTCAGAGCATGTAATCCTTCTCACCGAGTATTGCCAATACCGAGCGCAATTATGGCAGACTTTCTGGTCGAGGACCAGCTGATTATCTTCTCTTATACCACGCCCAGTACCCATCGCGGAAACCCCGCAAATGTGAGCGGAGCTCATTCCGAACACTCTCCGTGTAACGCTCCGCGATCTGTTTTAGTTTCGGCCGATCTCGGGCAGCAAACCTTGATACAGTGCGGTTGACTCTAGCCAGTCTTCGTACATGCGCCGTAGCCTGCAGGGGACCAGCTGTGATGCTGACACGGTTACGCGAGGCTGCATGGTCGCTGGGGACAAGGCTCCCTCGGTGGAACTCCGGTAAAGCATGATTTTGCGGGGGAGGGGCTTTGGACTTTTTGGAGACATGATGAAGCATTGACTACCTAGGTGCCCTCCCACCTCTCAGAACGACAGACTCAAAAACTTTGAGGGAGAACTCGGAGCTACCACATTCTCTCTTCTACCAATCCCTAGACAAGCTCGATCTACCACACCTGTTATACAACATGGCGAACAAGGCAATCCGGATTGGCTTCGTCCCCGAACACTATCTCCTCCCTCTCCATCTCTGCACAAAACATTCCCTCTTCCCTTCGAATCTGCAGATATCGCTCGTCCCGTTCCCGTCCGGCACGGGGCATATGATTACTTCCCTCCGCTCCAAGGAGATCGACCTTGCCATCGGGTTGACGGAGGGCTGGGTGGCCGGCTTACTGAACCCCGACAACCACAAGAAGAGCGCACAAGAGAAAGGATACTCGATCGTGGGTTCGTGGGTGTCCACACCTTTACGATGGGCAATAGTCACAGGGCGGAATAGAGATGACATCTCCACTGTGGACGATCTCAAACAACACAGACGCGTCGGTGTCAGTCGACTCGGGAGTGGAAGTCACATCATGGCATTCGTCCTTGCACAGCAAGAAGGCTGGCTCCACCAATCAAAAGATCAAAAGTCTGAGGGGTTGACACTGGTTCCATTGGGCCCGTTCAAGGATTTGAGAGACGGAGTAACCAGCTCCGCGGCGGACTTCTTCATGTGGGAACATTTCACTACAAAGCCCTGGTTTCACGGTGAAGGCACAGAGCTGAAGAAGATTGGGGAGATTTATACGCCGTGGCCGAGCTGGCATATTGCTGCTTCAACGGAAATGTTTCCGAACCCGGAGGGCGATGAGACACTGAAGGCTGTGTTTGAGGCCTTCGACCAAGGTATCAAAGCGTTCAGTGATGATACGGGTTCAGCGATTCGGATGTTGGGGACTGGCGAGGCACAATGTCATTATAGTGAAGACGATGGAAAGGAATGGTTGAAGGGCGTCAAGTTCGTGGACGGGACAAGAGGGGTCGATGAAGATGTCATGAAGGGCGTGGTTGATGTATTGAAGACGGCTGATGTGATTGGGACGGACGTGCAGGTTCAACGGGGAGATGGAGTCATTGGGATTGCAAGATGAGGAGCAGGCCCAACGAGGTTCCCGCCAGGAATGTGTATAAGTGTATAACAGTGCTTGATTCGCTTCTCCACGGAGGAGCAGGTCAACATATCATCATAATCGCACGATGCACGCGCGAGTGCTGCACACATCTCGACCATGCAGCACAGAACACTGGGTCACTTCTCATTTGGTGGTCTGAGGCTCAGAACAGAACTGTGAGAAGGACTTGCTCTAAACATCCGATGTCTTGATATGTCATGATGTAAAGCAGACAGCTCGTACGTATCATTACGGGCGGAATATTGTCGACACCTAGAGATCATCGATCTGAGGAAGACAGAAACCCCAAATAGATTCTCGTCGCAGCAGTCACTTGAGTAATTAGTGAGCGAATGGTGAAAGTGGTGAAAGGATATGCCTCGTTAGTCAGCCAACGTCATCAGCGAGATCCCAGCCCTGCGCCTGTCAGACAGAGACATTTTCTCTCAGACTCACTTTGCACTGAGCTCCCCCAAGCGTCCGCTCTGGCTGGGCGCCGACGCACAGTCTCCAGTGGTGTCGCGGCGAGCCTAGGCTGCCCAGGTGTCATCGGCGCGATTTCAGGCTTCGTCGCCATCCCCTGGTACCCTCCCTAAGCTGAGCCAGCCGTTCGAATCGTTTTTACGAGCGCTCATCTGTGCGTGAAGCGGCTTCATGTCCAAAGTTGAAACAGCTGCAAGGTTAAAAAGAAAGCGCAAAAGCTCCTCCTTACAGCTGTGACCCTCACCCTCAACCTCACGTCAATCAGATCATTGCAAGAAGGAATCTCTAATTAGCCCAATACTCTGTATTCCATCGACGGCAATTGCCTCTTCAGACGAGGCATCTGCTTATTCCACTCTTCCGGGGGTTACTAAACTATGCCCTCGACACTCTACCGCTCTGATTCGTTCTGCGACTCTCGCTCAGAGCTCATCCTCTCTCTGAACCTTTCCACCCCGTTTTCTCTAACATCTCACCTCACGTCCTAATCGAGCCATTCAGCAACAGTGGTCCTCGTTCCAGCAACACGTACGCTCCCTTCTGCCACCAATCTTGACCATCGCCTGGGCCTGTGGGCTTCGAGTTGCGTCTTTGCTGCTATTTCTGTTCACTTCTACCGACGCCGTCATACCACATATCCGCACAGGGGTTCAGCTGTGCACACGCAAGCACATAACCGCCTCTCTTGATCTAGGCCTGGCCGTCGATTCGCCGCATACATCAACTCGCACTCACTACCTTTTCTTCTTGCGTCGCGCTATGGCGGCGCGCAATCGCAGCGCTCCGTAGAAGACCACCAGGATCGTTCGGCCGAACCCCGAGTGATCCAGTCAAGATGACTCCGCGGTCGACTGCTAGTAATATTCCGTCCCCCAGCGTTGGTCAACCGACACCCCCAGCTGCACCGTCTACCATCTCTGCCACAGCAACCGCCGCCACGAACGACTCTGACACCGACACTCACCCCGAAGAACGACCAACTCATACCTCTGAGATCGGAACTCTGAAAAAGCTTCCCAATCAGGGCACTGCCTGGTTAGGGAGCTCTTCCGGCGTCTACTTCGTCAACACTGTTCGACGCGCCTTTTCCGCCGCTTTCGCTTCGAATCTAGGTGGTCCCAATGCTGTACCAGCCAGCGAGGATATCCTGACGGGAGAAGACGCGGACGGTCGTTCATACAACGGCCCACTTCATGATGGACCCAGCACCACCGATCTGTTCCCGCAAAACCTCGCAGCCGCGCTGGGGAAACCGCCAGATCGAAAGATTGCGATAGAACTCGTCACGTCTTTCTTCACAACATGGCACCCACTGTTTCCCTTTCTCCATGGCCCCAGTTTTATCAAGGACATGGAGTCAATATACTCGGTTCAACGCCAGCGGCGGCCTTCAAAGACGACCAAAGACAATCCTGCACCCGTAGATGTCCGCAAGCTTGTGACCTTCCAATTGATCATCAACATCGCGGCGCTGGACCGGAGCGATCTTTCCCTACCTGTTGAATCGCGCATCAAATCCGCTGCCGATGTCTGTCGAGTGGCCGGATGTCTGGCTCTCAATCACGACCTATCCACAATTCAAGCTATTCTTGCTGCCGAACTCTACCTCACTGCCACACTTGCTATTCGACAAGCTAGTACCCTTGCAGGAATCATCATCAAGTTGATCTATCATGCTGGTCTGCACCGCTGCCCTTTGCGATACGCGCAGCTTTCGCTCGAAGATTGCGAGATTCGCAAACGAATATTCTGGTCAGCGTACGCTCTCGACCGGCACTGCAATCTCAGTCTTGGTGACCCCAATGTTATTCAGGACGACGATATCGATGTGTGCTTGTCTGGGCCCGAACTACACAAAGCAGGGGTTCATATAGCACCTCCTGGCGCGGATACGGATGTGGGGATGCATATGCCACCTCCACGGTCATTGAACGATGACCCTCGCGTGGCGCAGTCCAACAACGACGGGCCGGAAGCTCGAGAAAAACGACTCCGAGAAGCTGCTTTGACAGCGTATGTGCAATGGGGAAAACTCACAGGCCAAATAATTGAAGTGTTCCACAAAAGCATAAACCACAGGTTCCCCAAGCATGAACAGATTCTTCGCCTGACCAGCGACATCGAGACATGGTGGAATGACCTCCCCGGTAACCTAAGTGGTGAATACGAGGCAGGGCCTCAAAGCGATACACACGAGAACAGCGAAAACAACGCTCCATCGAGCACCAACGGCCATAATTCAAGACCATCCGTCGATCACCCTTCACCTGGCCCTCTACAGCAACACCTTGCCAGTTTCTTCAAGATCCTTTACCACCGGCTACTTCTACTAGTCAATCGCCCGCGCCTCTCGTTAGACCAATCGACACCCGAGTTCCAGCATGGCCTACAGGTCTGCATTCGCGCCTCCAGGGGCATCATCGCCGGCCTCAAGGCGCACAGAAAGCATGGCCAATCCATGTTTCTCCCCGGTCTGTTATCAGCTGCGTGGATGTCTGGTCTCATCATTGCGTTTGCATGTCAATTGGGCAAATATGCGAAGGCGCGGGCTCTCAGCGACATGCAAGCTTGTCTTACCTTGCTTGAAAGCATGAACATAAGGTGGTATACGGTACAGAACTGCCACAAAGTATTGGGCCTATTAATTTCTAGCGTTCAATCACGCAAAGCATCGATAAATGGCTTTCTAACCATGCCGAAACCTGAGAATATGCAATCACCACAAGGCTTGCCGAGCGACCTTGACCAGCCCTCCCGCAAGCGACAACGTACGGCAAGCAACAACGAAGAAGGTGCGCTAGGAAATAGCCCAAGAAAATCATCCATTGCCGATTCGACGGCAAGCTCGCCTATCCAAGGCCACAACTCCGTAGCTGGGAATCCGAACTCGCACGCTCGAGGCCCGAAACACAAATCTTCTACTCCCACCAGCACCAATACCTGGACGCCTCAAACCACGAATTTTGACCCCTCCAACCCTTCAGCCCTCACCAATCCCCACGGCACACTCGGTGCCTTCGATTTCTCGAACTGGGACCGTGGTCAGCCCACCACACAACCACCGTTTCACCCGGGCATCGGCTCGGCCGTATATGCAACACCTCAAGACCTCGCGTTTGCACAGTCAACCATGAATGTGAACCTACCAGGCATGCCCAGCCCGTCTGGCCCACCTGGATTAGGGAATGGTGGCGGGACTGGCGGTGCCGGTGGGATGAACGAGTACAGCGATCCGATGTTCTGGGGCAATATGGACTACAATGTGGCGGATATCTTTGGGAGCGCGACATGGGAGAACATGACGGGACCATTTGCACCCGGCGGCGGGGTCAATGGTGGGTGGGAGATGTAAGGGTGGCAAGGTTGGAGCCCATCGCTACGGGCGATGGATGACTCTTCTCAAGACCCTAACACGAGGGTTCAGGCATTATGCCTCGGTGGCCTGTGCCAGGACAGTAAGGGTGTTCGACCCACCTGGGCGTGCTGAGCCCCGAGCCCAGGCAAAATGCAAGGAATCTGTGCCCCGGTTGAACGTTCACCCACCCACCCTGGTCTATGTGGACAGGCTGCGCGTCTGCACAGATGACTGAAAGGCAGATGAGACGTGTTGGCACATATCGGACTGTGAGGTCGAACAAGTCACGTCAAGGATGGGCATGCACTATCTATCGTCGCCTGTTCCGAGTCTCTCCCCGATGCCGCCATTTTCACAGAGCGCCTTGAGCGCCTTTTGATCCAACAGCATCCTCACATTCACCGCCGATACTGTGAGGCCCGACACGAGCCGGCTTGACTCATTCGAGGAGTCGACGATCCTTCGCTCTTAAGAATATCTTTCTCAGCCCGGCAAACAACGTCCAGGCGCAAGGACATACACTCACGGTCAGCCGGAGGCCCAAATTCACCGGGCCGGGCCCAAGGCAAGAGGATTGGATTCGGATCGAGCCTCCGTGTCATTGCGGTGACACAATGACAGAAGCAGGAACTCCAGTTCCGGTGATTTTACAGGCACAACTCTCGCATGCTTCAGGGGTGTGTATCACATGAATCGGGAAACACACAGCGTCACATTGGTGTATATATCTGTGACGGTATGAGTCCGTGGGTATGCAGTGTTCCAGGCGCAAAAGGCTATTCGTTTCGGTTCAAGCCAGCAAGCCAGCAAGCCAGTTCGGTGTATGGGATATTGGAGGTTGGGGGATCTCGCCATTAGCGATATTGATTTTTGTTTGTTTGTAGGATACCTCCACCTTGTGTCGTTCGCGCGCGTACCAGTTGCTGGATGTATGGATTAGGTTTCTCGCTTCATTGAGGATCATCGTGGTGATGGTGATCATTCAACATCGCCTTTGGGCTTGATGAACTAACTTCTCGTCCAGTCAAGTCTTAGTGTTTTCACTTGTAGTCCTTCAAGTTCTGTTTCCCCGGCCTGTTATGTCCCCGTAATGTTATGCTCATGCTCTGTAATATTCCCGCTATGCCATGCTACGATCATGTCATGATACGTTGTGCGCATGCTCTGGCATATTCATGATATGCTCAGCTATCCCGTCCTATACACCCCTTGCTCTATCCAAGGCATCGGCTCTACAGTAAGTAGCCACTCGGTTCAAGTTGCTGACTTTCCTCATCGACAACGGCGGTCCTCACTTGAGTTGGTTGAGTTGGTTGAGTTGGCTGAGTTGCTTTGAGACCCCCTTTCCGTTCCCTTGCTATACTGTTATATATATCTTTTACTGAATCCTTGTCGACGCGCAGCATGACACCCCTCCTATACGTATTGTATGTAGTTTGACAGCTGCAGAGAAGGGGATTGGGACGGAATGCGAGGCGATGCGATGGGATTGGAAGTGCATGTGGCGCAATGCAACTGCGAAATACTCCGTACAAGGCTGGGCACTGATTCTCGATCTCCAAGCACGCAAGTTACAGTACTGTAAGTCGACTTGCGTGGAAAGAGGCTATATACAATGGTACTGTATGTAAAACGCAAGTCAAGAAAACTTTCCTCTCCAATTTTCATCCCATGTCCCTGAAGACGTTCATGAGCATGGATGGTAGATCCGTCGAATGATATACAGAAACAGCTCCCCTCGTCAGTTGCAGTTCATATGCCTCGCCGAGCATTTCGCATGAGCATTTCGCCGGAACGCCATGCTTTGTACATGTTTTCCACCACTGATAAGTAACCCGTAAACTGTACGTCCGTGGACTCCTCGTCCCCATGATCGCCATCCCAAAGTCCTACCGCTCATTCAAAGCCAAGGCATCCACAACCCATCCAAAGAACTCAACCTCGTCGGATCTGTCGCCTTACTTATCAAGTCCACCACATTCTGACACGCCGGTAGCACGCCAGTGCCGCCTGGCGTCGTGGCAGTCCCACTGCTACCACCAGAGCCTTCCGCTCCTGTGCCGCTCGCGGCTCCCTGCCCGGCGCCACTGCCACCGGCGGAAGTGCTGGGATTAACAGTGCCCTGCGTCTTGGCCAACGTCAACGCCCTTCTGGTGATGAAGTCCACATTCATGGCCACAAGTTCCCGAAGATGGTTGCCCTCCATTTTCTGTTCGGCGCCTTGAGCGTTCTGCGGTCTTCCTGCTGCCCAGTTGAACATCTCATCCCGCACGAATACGGCGAGTTGCTGTTCCATTTCGTACCCGCTACCGGCAGCTCCATCGCCTCCGTCGGCGGTGGTCAAACAGCGCGCAATCGCCATGAGCGAGGCGGTGAAGATCCCTTCTACCCCAAGAGGGCCCATCAGTGTCTGGAGGTTGGGCGTAAGCCGGAAAGGGACTTGTTCAGGGTTGTAGAACAATGCTCTTGTGGAGTTCAGGTTGGGAAGCAGGTCGCTCGCCCAGATATCCCCCGTGGCCCTGGAGATGGAGAACTTCGTCGGATAGCGCGCGGACATGTGCATGACATAGGTCATGAATGTCGTCGCCGCGAACTGATAGGAGAATTGTCTACGGAAGAGCCAGAAGTCTTCAAAGGAGGGGTACGTGGATTGGAAGTACTTTAGGACGATGGTATTGGGGACCCAGCGTTCTTGAATCGTGCTGAAGATCTCGGTCTTCATGATGGCCACTTGTTCGGGTGTCCGCGGGGTAGTCTTTTGCTGTTCGGCGATGGTGCGGGATTTTTCCAGCACGAAGAGAAGCGGGTCGTCGCGAGAGATGGTGTTGGGAGGCAATTTGCGTACATGTTCTTCGTAGACAGATTGCAGGGTAATGTAGGAGGCGTCGTCTTGCACCAGCCTGATATGCGGTGCTATCGGCACAAAGATGGGCAAATGGAAATATAGGTTCCGCCGACGCGATTCTTTGCGTTTGGCGAGGGTCTGGTTGAAGATGCGGAAGAGCTGGACAATGCGTTCCTCACGGCGCACTTTGCCTCCTGTCGGATGCTGGACGGCAAAAGGATGCAGAGAGCCGTCATGGCCACGAATCGTCAACCGGCGGTGACAGATGCTGTTGCCCCGGACGAGTTCGACGGTCGGCATGAATCGCTCGATGCGGACGAAATCGGTGTTCTTGTCCTTGTGCTGCTGATACTGTCCGGGGACTTCGACCGAATCATCGAATTTGAGGAACTTGAACTCGCTCAGATGGTGGCTGTAGGATTCGAGCGGCGCCCATTGCTGTCTGTTGTCGAGTTTCTGTTCGAACTTGTCTCGCCACTTGCGCAGCTTGTGGATGTACTCGTACATGGTCGGCTTGGTCTGCACAAAGTCCGCTTCGAATGACTTGCGGATGTGGGCAGGCAGGACAGACTGCACAAATCGGGCAACATTGGCTTCAGTCTGGGGAGGCAGTTTGGCGCCTTCGGCGTAAGTCATGGGCGCCCGACTGATGTAATGTAGGCCATCATTCAACAACGCAACAATCAATCGGTGGGCATCCTCGTCCGGCGGACACTTGAAGTGTTTGGAGAGCTGATCTGTCATTGTCTCCATGCTAAGGGCGAGCAATGGGAAAGCGGTCTTCAAACCCGCCATGATCTCGTCAGTGTAATCCCAAGGCTTCTTGGGCTCTTCCGGTTTCTTCTCGGCGTCGGTGCCATTACCCTGGCTGGCGTCTCCATCTTCTTGCTTGGGCTTCGGAGATGCCGTTCCATTGGCTGCGGTTTCGCTGTTAGCTGTACCTGGGCGTGAAGTGCTCTCCTTCTTGTCGTCTTGGGGCTTCTGTTGCTTGGCTCTCTGCACTTCATACTGTTTCTTCTTGCCCAGGAAATCTTCCCTTGTCGCACGCAGGTGGTAGAACAATGCCTGAGGGAAAGCTTTCGCGATCTTAACGAGCACGGACTTCGCAAGACGTGCTTCCTTGTGTTCGAGACTACCGAGGAGCTGCGGTACGAAAGTAGTCCAATACCACACCGGGGTCTCACCCTTGAAGTCTTCGAATGCCTTGGCAATGTGGCCTTCTTCATCGTCCAGGCTAAGCAGCCACAAGACTCGGCTGAGCATTTTTCTCGACTTTGCACTCTTGTAGAGCCCTGCTGCTTCAAGATAGCAGCTGACTGCATTGCTGGCAGCTTCAATATTGGCTGGATTCTCCTTGAACTTGCGATCAGAGTATTGGCCCCATTCAGCCCATGCTTTCGGCAAGCGGAGATCATAGTACAATGCAACACCAAAAGCTTCATTGGCCTCCTCTGCATGTTGGAGCTTTGCCAAAAACATACCCTTCAATGTATAGAACTCGGCCTTCTGTTGCGCGCCAAAATAGTTGAGATTGGTGTTGTTGATCACATCAAGGCCGCTGTTCAGCTCTACTTTGTTCTGGTAATGGCATTTGGCCTGCTCCCTCAGCTTTAGAAAAGCTTCTTGGATCTCAATGTTCGGTAGAGTGTAAATCTTTCCGAGTTGGTTGATGCAGACCTCAGGCATCTGATGTTTTCGAGCGACGTGGGCGAACTTGTTGATAATCCAAGCCGTTTCATGGTAGCCCCGGAAGGCGTAGGAGTTGTTTCCGACGTTGTTGCCACCTTGGGGTAGAAGAGGCAGGTATGTGGTATTGACGAGCTGGAAGACGTGCTGACGCCAGGTGACCAGGTCTTGCCAGGCGTTGATGTCATCCCAGATGTTCGGCAGGCGATCTCTCCACGCTTGAAGCAGTAGCTTGACTTCTTGAGATTTGTTGTCGAGATTACGCTCGTTGGTACCCATAAGGCTATCGCAAATAACGCTAGCATCATGCAGCTCAACAAGTTGCTGGAATTGTTGCAGAATCGGAATGTGGGCGTTTGTTATCCGCTTGGGAAGCTGATGCCACTTGCGAATCGAGAGTTGGATGGCCTCGTCGCAGACATGCTGGAACTCTGCCCGTGAGACTTGTTTGGAATTGTACCGTAGCAGGGCCATGAATGCCTGGAAGAAGGTGCGTCTCGGCGTCGGGGCGTCGGAGACGGATTTGATCATAGAGTCCAGCTGATTACGGTTCTCATCACCAGACCAGGCTTCATAATTCCTCCAAGCCGATTCAAGTAGCAGGTCGCTGAAATTTTCATGTTTGGCGAATTCGCCGAGTATATCCCATTGCTGGAGTTTCTGAGCACATATCATCCAGTGATCTTCCCAGAGATAATACTCCCCTTGCGAAAATGGAACCACGCCAGTTCGCGCCTTGACTTGTGCTGACTCCCAGAGCTGTTGGGCTTTGTCCCAGATACCGTGCTGTTCATAGGACAGGGCCGCGTTTGTCTCCATAAATTTACACCGTCTTCTCCACGTTCCATAGAAGAGATCTTCCTCCTGAAGGCCCGCATACACCTCAATGAGGGCGTCAAGATTACTCTCGCGGACCGCAGGAGTGTCGATCAGGGGATCAACGGTCGATTCCTCCAGTGAGATGAGCGCCGTGTACCAGGCATCGTAAGTGCGGCTCAGGAATTTCATCACGTGCGGAGGTACCTTGAACCGTGGTCTGGCTCGAACAGCACCCTCGAGCAAAGCTTGGACGACATTGGGACGCAAGTTGAGCTGTCTTTGGTGATACTCCCTCGTAAGGAGTGTGACCATTCCCTTCTCGAGATCGAGGCGCTCGTCCCTGGTCAACGCTGACCAACAAAGCGGGAAGAGCTTAACCCAGACATCGTAGGCGACATTATCGTCGGTGTGCTGCAACTGAGTAAGAGGCTCAAGCAAATCGCGTACTTTGACCTCATGGATTTCTTGATTGAAGCGTCGTTGAGCGAGTACCAGAGCTTCAAGGTTATCCTCAATCATTAAATCATCCTTGCCTTGCTCCGGGTTCACAAGACCTGGACTGAACAACTGAGACATAGGGCACACTCTGACGTCCTCCGAGTGAAGACGTGCAGGCATCGACATCTCGACACTACCCATTATGAGTTGCGAGGCCTGTCTCAACCAGAAGGAATCGGCCAAAGTGTCCCAGTTCTGGAGGGTCAACACGTAGTTGAGCCGATAGCTCGCGGTCTTGGACAACGCCCGGTCGAAGATGCTCATGAAGCGGTTTCTCATGTCCACGTCCTTGGCCCTGGTGCCGATCAGGAAAGCATGCTCCAGCCTTACAGTCAGCTCTGTCCTCGTCACAGTGGGGTCCTCATAGATCTTGATGACCAGGTCGAGGAACCGTTCTAGAAGCGTTTGAGTTGGCCATTTCTCAAAGATGAGCATCTTGTGGAGCACAGCAGTCTTCTCCTTCAGCGTCGGCCAGGGTTCGGTCGAGTTGAAAACCCATTTCTCGACCATGTCGAGCACTTTACTGCACATTTCGACGTTGAAGGATTTCTCGACGAGCGAGGCGAGCACGCTGAGGAACGGTCGACGTTGCTCATTGAGTTCTCCCATCCGCGAAGACAGAATGTCGACGGTCTTTTTGATCAAATCGACCCCGAGAGCAAACTCGTAGGGGTCCATCAACGGCTCACCAAGACGCCAGCCTTGTGGCGGCGGTCCCGGTGGTATCACGTAGGCGTTGATGTGCTCTTTAGCCAACTTGTGCTGCAACGCTTTCATGGCGCCATTGATGTGTTCATCCACGTCCGCCGGCCGAACGAGCGACAATGTCCACAAATTGTTGATACCAGAGATATAGTTGCCATTGGAGAGCGCCTCACCAACCAACACCTTGGAATACCGAGTAGCGAAGTCGGAGGGTGAGATGTCCAGGTCCATGCCATCTGCATCATCCGTTTTCACTGTCGGCATGGCTTCCAGCACCCGGCGCACTAGTGGGGGTGAATCGTTATCGCCCGTATTGAGGTGCAAACAATCCTGGATCTCAGGTTCCTCCATCTTGAGTGGCTTTTCCAAGAGTTTCTGAATCTTTTCCATGTTGCTGATGATCCACTCGTTGGACTTCACACTCAACAGGATGCACATGACTTGCAGGGCGTTGATCATGCAGGTCAGCTGCTTTTCATCGACCTTGTCTGCTTTCTCGCCACTCAAAATGGGATCAAGCAATTTTTCGTAAAGACCGACATCGATATCTGTCCATAGATTGGGCGCCAAAAGCTCGCGAAGAAGCTGAACGCCTTTCTGGCACATGTCATTCGACATTGGCTGTTGCTGGGCCTTTTGCATAGTCTTGGATTTGAGTTCTGCAGCTGGCATAGGGTAGCGTTCCGGGACCGACGTGATAAAGGTAATCATGTACTTCACAACGGCCGTTCGAAGCTCGAGAGGGATCACATATTCGGCCTTCTCTTTAGCTGGTGGGGGTGCCAGCTTTTGCTCTCCGGCAGAGTCTCTCTTTCGCGACGGAGTGAGCTCGGCTGTAGACTGCGATGGTGATACTGCTGAGACCCGTCGGCTTTCCCACTGCTGGATCAAAGATATCAATGCCAGCGCCAGTTTCTTATTTTCGTTTGAGGGATTCGGTGGCGGGGCAATCTTGTGCAGCATCTGAATGATTGTAGGAATAAAGAACTCTCGGGAATCGTAAAAAAGATCCGGCTGACGAACAATGAAATTGAAGGTGCTCTGGACCTGCTGCAAATTGCCTGTCTCCTCGTTGAGGATCTTGCGCGGAAGCCGAGCCCAGGAAGGCGATCGTTTCTCGCCAGGTGTATTCGCGCTGGCGCCGATCCTCGCCGGTAGTACCGGAGCCAGCACTTCCAAAGCTTGAGTGACTAGGGCTTTGCCTTCATTTTGATGTGCTTTCAAGAGTTGGTTGTAAATCTGCACTGCAATCTTCATAGGAGTATCGTAGGATCTGATGAAATAGCAGATCAGGACATAAGCTGCATATTTGTTGATGACGTCCTCGAGTTTGATATGTCCCCAAGAATATTTGATGATATCTTTGCGATCCTCCGACACCGCATCTTTGTGGTACTTCAGAATGAAAGCAGACAATTGCAGCGCTTCCATTCGAGAATGATCCACGCCTGGCTGCGAGAGGTCATCCACCACATCAGCAGCGGCTGGCTTCCAAAGGCGCTCGAGGAAGAGATTGAACAACTTGCTGTCGGCGAGAGTACCGGCCTTATTGTCCTCGCTGCGCGTGTTCTGTACATCTTTTGCCATGATGGGATTGACCACGTTGCGCAACAAGAACGTCTTTACCTTTTGAGGTTCGGACTTTTGCGAGTAAACATCGAGACATTTCTCGATGATATTGTATCGGCGAGTCGTAGATTGGTCGCAAATGACGGACTCAAAGAGATACTTGGTAAGCTTGAGTGGGGTCTTGACCGTCCCTTGGGCGGAGGAGGAGAAGAGTTCCATCATGAAGCTGAGGTCGTCTGGTGCAGATGATAGATACTGGGTCAATATATCCATCAGTTGATCTCCACTTTGTTCCGCCCGCAATCGCTGAGAACCCTGCAACCTGTCTTTGCGAAGTTGCTCCTCGAGTTCTCGACCGGCCGCCAAGATCTTGATTCTGAGCTGCTCCTGATTGTGGAGCCATTTCTTTTCAGAGTCCATGGCGCAGATGGAATGGACGATGTCGATGCCATTGATTGCGGCGGTATGTCGTTCTTCAGCGTTCTCGACATCAAAGGCAGCCTTGATGAACCCTTCCGTATCACCCATTACAGCCTCGCGAATCGCGGGACTAGCATCAGAGGACAGGATCTGCCCAAAAAAGCGACCATACTTTTCCTCTTGGAGACGTGACTGAAAGAAAGACCACGTCTCTTTCGGATATTTGTCCAGATACATAACCAAGGGCTGGCGGAACGGGCTGGCGACCGTGCGCCGCAGTTTTCCTTCTAGATCAAGTACGCTGTTGACAAGATCTCCCATGAAGCTGGTAGCTGCAGCCGGAAGGAGGTGGAAGATATTGAATATCGCGGTGACGATCTTCATCTGCGGATTTTGCTCGATTAGACCGAAAGAAACTTTATGCAACAGCTGCTCATCTGCAATCACCCTCATGTGTTCTAGCAAACGAGCACCAATCTCGACCTTGAAGTAGTTGGTCAACAAAGTGAGCAGCCTGGCCAGCCCTTCTAGGCCAGCCACTGTGAGTCGTTTCGAATCCTGCAGATTCATCAGGATGGGGCGCAGCCCATTCTGGAGGAGATCTTTGGGCAGCTTGCTGGTTTGCACTAGTACCTCCTTCAGACCAGCATTCGCGGCCTCGATAATTTCGGGCGATTTCGAGTACAACAGCTTGAAAAACACCGTAATTATTCGAGCTCGGCTCGAGTTCTGCGGTCCAGCTGCAAATTCAGGCAGACTCATGGCAATAGACAGAAGTTTCAGACATGAGACTCGCAGGTTCACAATCAACTGCGCGTTGTTGTACTCATCGGGTTTTGGGTGCAGAATCTCCGAATCGGCGTCTGCAAGTGCCAGAGATTCCATCATGAGGCGATTCAGCTGGTCGTTCAAGGGGACGAGATCATGACCTAAACCCAGGCAGTAGGTAATGGCATCAATAAAGCCAGTCTGCGATAAGAATGGCAACGCCCGGAGGGGTTTGTTGAATATTGGAGGTAGGAATCGATCCTTGACAGGTGTAATCAGCTCATGCACTTCAACACCGACGACCTCCGCCATGGTTGCGAAGGCCTGCTGCGCAGTTTCGCGTGCATGAGTATTCATATGTGAGAGCTCAAGGCTGAAGGTGACTGAGAGGGCATGAATCGTGCTTCTTTCGTTTGTCAGCATTTCCTTGGTTTGGCCAGCGCAGCACTTCCGGAGAATGAATTCCAGCGTCTTTTGGGCAGTAATTCGAGTGCTTGCCGGGACTTCTTGGGGCGTGTCCTTGATGACGAAAAGCAGGGCCTTGATGATCTCGAGCTGTTTGCTGTTGAGAAAGGCGTTACCCAGGTTCATCTTTGTCACGATGATCTGGATGCCCAAAGTAGAGCCCTCCTTGGTAAACCACTCAACCTCGCGACATCGGTGGCAGAATGTCTGTGTGAGATGGGTGAAGAAAGGCAGCTTGGCAGCCTTATCGTCGCTTCCACAAATTGTGCGAGCTGTGTCAAGCACGGAAGTCATCGATGCCTCCGCAGCCTCACGCACGTAAACGTTTTCTGACGCTAGACAGTCGCAGATAACGTCGGCCAGGAGCCGGGTGCTGAGATGAACCGCCCCCTCGCTTGCGTTGACGTCGAATTCCTTAGTTCGTCGACCGGCATCGCATAGAGCCTGTCCAAGCTCCACAATTGTGAAATGGCGTGAGATGTTCGATATGAAAGCTTCCGCTTGCGCCTTGAGATCTGGAACGGTGGTTGCAGTGAAGCAAGCCTTGAGCAACTTCTTCAGGTTCTCTTCCTGCTCTCTCCGCTTTTGGACCGACTTTCCAAATTCGTTCTCAGCCAGCATATCAGCATAAGTGGTGAAACGCCGCGCAAGGAGATCGTTCGCCTGCAACCGAAGCAGAGCAGCGAAGTCATCTGGAAGATTATCGTAACCTACGAACAGTTTGACCTGGTTACTGATGTACTTGAATGATTGCTGCTTGTAATACAGATCAAGAGACTTTCCACTTGTGCTCTTGGACGCTTCCGTCACTTTGCGGATCGCGAGGTCGACACCGGTGTCCAGAGGGAACGCTCGATCCCGGGCGGTCTCCTTGAGTCGAATGTCAAAGCTGGGCTCGTCGTCGGTGTACCGCCGATACGCAAGCTGGTGAGGATGGTTCAGAAACTTCCTGTTGCGTCCGCCAAGCTTGCCAAGAATGCGCATCGTCGTGTGAGAGTGAAAGTGTTGGTATGGCTGCGGTTTGAGGTGCTCGAACAAAGCTGTCATCAGCTCGTCCATAATGGGGGCCATTATTGGGTCCAAGTAGTCTGCCGTCAGATTATCAACGCACAACTCAAGGGTTCTGAGCCCTTGACCAACGAGATCAGGTCCTGCGCGCAGAGCGACAACCAGAGGCCTCATGAGATGATTCAGATGAGGCAACAGGTGGCTGAGACGTGCGGGAACTGTCAACGTCAACTCCACATAGAGGTCCCGGTCGTGCGGATCTCGAGCGCCTTGTAGCAGATGATTAAAAGTCTCCAGTAGCATCTCAAGCAGCGGAAGGATTTCTTTGTAGAGGAGTTCGAAGCGTCCGCCGCCAATACTCCTAAACAGCGATCGGAGGAGAATGAAGTAATGGATCGGCTTCTCCGCTGTGACTGCTAATTGCACACACTGCGTGATGATCTTCGTGATATGAGGAAGTAACACCTGTTCGTTATGCGCAGAGAACAATGTGACTGCCATGAAAGACAGCTTGAACATTCTCAACAGAATGGAGGATTGGACGATCTTTGAAGAGCCCACTTCCGGCAATTTGTTCATGAGATACTGCAGGACCATTCCTGCAAACGCCGGTGATGTTGCTTCGCTAGCCAGGAAGAATTGAGGTAGGTGTAGCAGGGCTGTGTGCTCGAACATCAACTCGTGCAGATACGGGATCTCTGCCTGGAAGACTTCGTGGAAGGTGGCAGGGTCGATGCAGTGGAAGACGGTTCCGAAGCTCTCAAGCAGTTCCTTCTCCTCGCGGGTCATTTGGGCCATCGAGTGGCTTGCCATAAAGTCCACAGGGGACGAGTACTGCATGTCCGGCACAGAATTCTCTGCACCGTAATAGCGGAAGACGCGAGCACCTTCGTGGAAGAGCTTGGTGATCACCCGGGTCTCCTCAGCATTATAGCCAAATGACACTTCGCTCCAGTTCATTGGAATGGTGGCCTGATCCACATTCAGTCCAGGGGGATTACACGTCTTCAACTGATAGAACATATTCTTCAGACCATTGACGAGATTCTTGAACAGGAACTTATTGTCGTTAACTGGATCAGCACCTCGCTCGCGCGGATTCGACGTCTTGATAGGGGTCGCACTGAATATGTCCACCTTATCCCAGTCAGGTCGTTGGTCCTTTTCGTCCATGTATGTCTCCGTTTGTTGCTCGTTCGGCTTTTCTCCATACTGTTTGCTCAGCTTAAGTGCATTTTCATACTGGTAGTTCATAGCTGCGAACTTGTCGCCGATGGCATCAAGAATCATGATCAGGAAGTACCTCGCCTCCTCCTTGTTTTCGAGTTTCGTAATGCTCTCGGCCATGTTGAGGAGGAGCTTGGCGCTCATGGTCTGGAAACTTGTGCCCGGAAAATTGTCGTGCAAGTTCTTCGTATAAACTTCGATCGTCCGCCGGATCTGGTTCCGGTCTAGCGAGTCGCGGACGTGGTGTATGAGGTCTGCAAGCATGCTATAAGCGAGTGGTCGCATCGTCTCGTAGACAGTCAGTCCGTCGCCGATGAGGATGCGTTCGTCTAGTAACTCGTCGATTTTGTTCAGGAAGATTTTCCGGTAGTTGAAATTGATGATGTGCCGTATCGCTACCAGCAGTTCTTTGCGAGCCCCAGACTTCTCCCGCGGACAGTCTTTCAACAGCCGGACTACAACGCTTGGCAGAGTTGGCAGGAAATCCGTGAGTTGGTTTGCGTAGACCCGAAGGAGATAGGCTAAGAAACTCATAGTCTTCACCTGAGCGGTGATGAAGTCCCCGAATGCAGCCCGGTTCTTGATCTCTCTGCTAACGCCGGTGAATATGGACTTATTGGCTGCAGCCTCGGCGTGGGCCTTCTCTTGCGCTTTCGCCTGCAACAATAGGATGCCCTTGATTGACGGCACGAACTTCTTGACATTTGCGGCGACTGTGCTGCGGTGGGCCTGGAAGATGGACACAACGATGATGGGGCATTCCGATAAAACCTTGAAAGACTGCATCCCCTTGGCAAGCGGCGCATGTTCCTTTCTCTCCGCGCCCGGATCAGACACGGTCGTGGCTGGCGATGCGGGTCTTGGAGACTGGAACGTCTGGCTCTGCGGATTGGCCCCGGACGACGAAGTTTGATGAGGCGCGGGCGAATCGAAGGTATCGTGCACAACCTGTTCCATCAACTCAAACATCTCTTGGATGAGGTCGAGGAAGGGCTGGACTTTGGAGGCGGTCGCACTGGGCTGGTGTCGCTCGAGATCCATGATTGTCTTCAGGCACAGCACCGCATTGTCCTCGTTTTCCACCCGCACCAATTCCATCAGTGTTTCCACCATGTCGAGCGCAAAAGGCTCGACCTCGGGCGGCGCATGTTGAAGTCTGTGCAGGACCTCGAGGATCTGGTTGCGCAGGATGTGCTCGAACGAGGTCGGGTGGAAGTCTGGCTTGCCCTCCAGGATCTTCTTGAAGACCGGCCAAAACTTGGTCAAGAACTTCGTATAGACAGGCGGAGGCGAACACAGGCTCTCGAGAGAATCGCGGAGGTCGGTCGCAATGTTCGATTTCGTCTTCGTATCTGTCAAGACCCAAAGTCAATCAGAACAGGCTCGCAGTGCGCGTGACGGATTCAACGTGCCTATCTTCGGATCACTAAGCCTGCTAGCATAGAGATCTATTTTCTGAGAGGCATCCATGGTGGATGCCATCCTCGGCCCGCCTCCAGACTACGCCAGGTAGTTGGACAATCAAGAGAGGTGCGCCGCAAGTGGTGAGCAACCTCATGAGGATCCGACTCTGAGGAGGTACATTTGCAGACACGACTGCGCGCAAAGCGATGGCAGAGAGCGAATAGTTGGTGCAGGATTAAGGATCGGCTGGGTAAACCTGAATTAACTATCGCTAGAGGCAGCCTGCAACAATTCCAGAATAAAGAATGGGCGCGAAAGGAAACGTGTCCGGGCAAAGGTGCCCTGTTGGTACAAAATGTATGGAGAGTCTGCGGAGAACAGCCATCGAGGTTGAAAAGTGATTGCGAGAGGCACTGAGAGGGGAGCGCGCCTGCCGCAGTCGCGCAGCAATCACGTGATAATGCTATCTACATGAGGTAGGTATGCCGGATTGTCCTGTGCACAGACCACTTCAGTCTTTTCCACTTCAAGACTTGGCGGAGAGTCGCATACGCCGCCCCAAGGCAACGGTCACTCAATAGCATGGAAGAGGACAATCCGTTGTGCCTGCATACCCTTCTCTTGTCTTGGTAGATATGCCTCACAGGGGCTTTTCCTTTCCCACGCATAGGTCGTATCTTCATGCCAGAAGCTGAACATCGCCCGCCATCATGTACTCCATCATCAAGAGGACAGCCTCCAAGAACCCAACGCAAAGATCCTCTTCGCCGGGTATCTGATCCCCTGGACCAGGCCGCTGCCAGCTCGAAATAAACCAAAACTCTTTCAAGGTTGTGACGCTCTTTGATCCTGCGTCAACCGCCCTCTGTCCCAGCTTCACGTCACTTCACCCTGGCTCGTCTGGCTAGCATCAATGTTGCGACGCTCCACTACCATGTCGTTGAATGTTAGGCATCTGCACGTGGCGGCGGAGATCAATTGAACCCCCAGAATGGGTGCGATGCCTCCTCGGCTTGTTCTCAGAGCCTGTATGAGACCGGCGTGCTGTCGGCTGTCCTTGGGAATCTGCACGTCGCCTCTGGAGTTTCGAAAAGCCATGTCAGAAACAGCCATCACGTCACTATAGCAATAAGAGATTGTCTTAGTCAATGTGGAGAAGAAGAGGAAATGGCGAGGTGGTGATGATCAGCGGAGCGCGTAAACTTACTGAAGACGGTTTCGCTAAGGTCGACTCGTCATGCAACTTGAGCGCATCGAGCCTCTCTTGGTTGTCTTGTGCTGGATCCGTCTCTGGGACTTCCTTGATGCTGGCAGTTGACGGTGGCTTTGCCAGTCCCTTTTTCATGCGGTCCGCTTGTTCGGTGAGTTTGGCCCACTTGGCCTCACGCGCCTTCTCTCGCTGTCCAGCAGTATTCTGCAATTCATTGTAATCGTGGGAACACTCGTCGAAGAGCTGAGGGTTGATCTCCATGAACAGCTTCATTGCATTGTAAACCATTCCATGGATGGTGCTGGAATTGGTCAGCCAAGGATAGATTGTCTCCACGGTGATACATACCGGTTCCAGTGACCTTTCGAGTTCTCATACAAGGGGGCGAACATGATCGGGAGGATAGTCTCAACGTTGTCGCTGACCAAATTGCAAAAGTATTCGTTGTTCCAGAAATACAGTGCTCGTTCGGCAACCTGGAAATGAGGGCTAGCAACCGATTTGGCAAGCTGATTGAAGAGCGGCTCCTGAACCTTGGCGAACTCTTGTGGGTCCATGACTTCGAAGATGTCTTCGACTTCATTGAGGAACATGACCTCCTTGGTGCTGTTGGTTTTGGGCCAGTATCGCAGCAAACCTAGGACAACCTAGCATGTCGTCAGTCTGAAATTTTCACCACATGGAGTGGTGGCCTACCTCTTCCGTCAAGCCTGCGTCTTTTTCCAGAAACTGGACGATACAGTATGCCAATTGGGGATGATACATGCTCAGACTCTTGACTTTGTGAAGCGGAATGAGCACTCTGGTCAAGAAAAGCTTGTGCTCTTCTTTCAGAGGCAGAGCAAATCCGTTGATTATGGAGCCAAGGATTTCCAGCAATTCAGCAATGCCATTGAACCTCTCCGTCTCGTAAGTGAATTGGAAAAAGACATTGTTGATGGATCTCCGAATGTACGAACGAAGGTTGAGGAATTTGCCATAAATGCGATGCAGGGTTGTTTTGAGGAAATCTCTCTCTCGGGGGTCTTCTGAGTCGAATAATTCCAGTAGTTGAAGAACGAAGTGATGATCAATGTAGGCTTTGGCAATGTTGGTATTGAAGTCTTGACTTTCGATGAAGCGCAAAAAAAACTCATAGACCACCTGGATGTGAGGCCAGGCCACCTCGAGAACCGGCTCGTCCTCCTCGGGATCAAACGCCTCCCCCTGCGGATTGACCGGCGGAGGAACGGGCCGAAAAAGATTCTTGCTGAACATTTCGACGACTTTCGGATACATGGGTTCGGTGATGACGGATCTGTTATTGGCGACATAGTCAAGCAATTCATGGAGGGCCAGCCGCTTAATCTCCTTCGACTTCATGTCGGCTGTCTGATCGTTGAAATCAAAGATGATGTTGCACTGGTCGATCTTCTGCATAAACAGCTCCTGTCTCCGATTTGGTGGGACCTCATGGAAGCCAGGCAGTTTCTCCAGATCCCGAGCTCTTTGATCAGACACATCGAATCGTGATGAATGTTGTCTCTTAGGAGTCCGGACACCTTCCGGCACATCCTTGGGTGTAGATTGTAGTCGATCGAAGAGGAGGGATTTTTGGCCGGCTTTAGGAGGGGCCAGGTCGCCTGGCATAGTTTCAGTCGCGCCTGGTCCGGGAACGTGAGGAGCGCTCGGGCTTATAATAACCGCTGGAGCAATGTGATGACGACCGCTGGGAGTCCCAGGTCCGCCAGATCCATGCCCAGGACCTTGTGACATGAAGTGTGAGCCCAATGAGCCAGAGGCTGCGGTAGAGCCAGGGTGGTGCTGGTTGGTGCCATGATTACTGGTGGAAGGCTCATGTGTCGCGTTCTTGTTGCGCAGGTCATTGAGGTTTGTGGAGGAAGACGTCGGGGTCGCAGTGTTGGAGCTATTGGGCGATCTGGAGTCGCTTCCAGGCAGCGTGGTCGACGAGGAGAGTGGAGACGCGGTGCCGGAATTATTTGCGTCTTTTTTCTTTGAGGACTTGCCGCCGTCTTTCGCCCTCGACAACTGCTCATGCTACAACATCAGTGAGTCGAAGCATTGGAAATGAGTGGGGATGGAACACCGGAAACAGGTAAAAGACATACCACTCTTTGCCGGAAGCCTTTCATCTTGCGAATCTCCCCACAGTTGTGACGCTGTCATACAGCACTGCTGGTCAGGATACACGCGGTGATTGATGCGCCGTGTTGTCGATGCCAGCGAGGTTGCGGAGTCGGCTAAGTGCTCTTCATTCGAGTAAGGCTCGCAGGGTGCAGTTGATCACGCTCAATGGTGGTGGAAGTTCGAGAGAGCGGCGGTTGGGTCAATGGCAGGCCTGCTAGTTGTCCATGGTCGAGGAGATCTCTGGTCCGGTGAATTGAATGACAATAGGCTGCTTGGCTGCGGTGGGGAGTGGTGATGATTAGCTCTGCAGTCTCCTCCGTGTCGAGGGTCCGGCGTGTCGAGTGACCGTGGTCCGGGGTAGGCTGGTGGAAGGAGGGTACAGAAATAGCTTAGAAGATTACAGCACTTGGGAAGAGTTGAGGTGTTGATTTGAGTCGAGTAGAGGAACGTCCATTGAAGAATATGGAGTAGTGGTGGAGTGTCCAGGTCGTCGAGGGCGCCGCTCGAATTGAAGCGCAGCTTGACGGATCGTTCAGTCAAGCGCAAGTCAACAGGATGCGCAGGCGGGGATGCACTCTCTCGGTGCCAGTGTTCAGCCGGCTCAGTTGCCTTGAGGCACCACCAATCATGATACTGTGGGCACTAATAGCCCCTAACACCACTAAACTGTTCAATGACTGCGCTCGGGATAGTTGCCAGCGTTGGCAGGTAGTGCCAAGCCCACCACGAGTTTCTTCGTGCTGTCAAGGCTCACATCAACACCCTCCGAGCCATCTGATAAGTATTGGATATAAAACATCACATGGGATATTCGCTTTCGCTGCATATCACGGAAAGAACTCAAGGACTTGTCCTTAGAGCACTCAGCCCTCCTGCTCCTTCAGCAGTTCGGGGTGAGACCCTTCTCTCTTGCTCCGAGCTTGGACGGTCGAAGGAACAAACGCGGTATGACGAAGTGAGTCGTGGGGGACTAATGCCACCTTCTCTCGCGGAGCAGTTGTCCACATAACGCTACTGGGCACGTGTGGCGACATGTCCGCTTCTTTCGAGACCAGGAAAGGTGCCCCTCTGTCTTCTATTCCGGATGTGCCCATTGTAGCTGTTGAACATCCCTGCATCGTCCAGAATGTCGACAGGGCCATTCGTACGCTCGGCGGTGACCGTGAGATTGCGGAAGCGCTTGAAAACGACAACGCTAAACCACTAGGCTTGAGGTTCCAGCCGGACGACCCTACCAGTCGTGAGGTGGTATCTTACAACAAGAAAACCAACAATCTCTTGCTGAGGGTGATTGTCCCGAAGCGAACGGGAAGGAGGAAAAAGCGTGGCTCAAGCGAAGATTTCAGTGGGAATTCCCCAGGATTATCTTCCAGAAAAGATGTTAAATATCTGCTTCGGTCCTTGAATGACAATGCTCAACACCGCCAACTTGAAATTGTCGGCCAGATACATTCAACTCATGTCTGGCGGACTGTACCTGACTTCGTCTACACCTCCAAGGGCTCGATGTTCCTCAAGGAAGTGTGTACGAAGATCCTCCCTCGAGACTATCCACAGCTCAAGCAATGGTCAATGCCCCGGGCTTTAGCTTCAGCTGCGACAGACACAGAAGCTATCCCTCCCCCGGTATTCTCCACTCAGAGTTTGCCGCGCAATTTTTCTTATCACCGAGATACCTCTATCAGGCCCGCCACCAGAAAAACCACCACACGCGATACCGCAGCACCTATAGAAGTAACGGCAGACCAGGGTCGGCTTGATGAGGGGAGACCACCCGAGGATTCAGCCGCACAACCCGGAGCTCCGCTACAATCGTCAGATACTTCAGCAACACCCACATGAATATACGCCTCAATGTTCAGGACAGACCCTAAACCTGTCCAAATCGTCACGCCGGGCTCTGACTTTCTGCGAGACTAGCTTGGGCATATCCTGTCTTCGAAAGTATGTTGGTCTTGTCCCCGAAATCAACCCATGTACCGGCGCATAAGACGAGAAGAGATTTACCCAATGTCGAACGACGATGCGGAAATAAAAAATGTCTTTATTATACCAATTGTTCCTTCTGAAAGCTCTTTTTTTATCCCGCAACCTTTCCCTATCTTCCGCATCAAGTTCTAACACGTATACCAAGCTAGGATCGGTAGCTGAGATTGCCAGCCGTCGTATCTTCGAGACTGCTTGCCAGAGTCGGTATTTGGTGGTCCGAGAAATATCTCCTTCGAAGGCGATTTGATCCCGAGGTTGTCTAGAGTCGGTGGCTGAAGTAGCAAGTGTGGTGGCTAATATAACACGTGAACGGCTCAGTTGCAACCGCAATGCAGTGTTTCACGCCCTGCTCGTGAAGGCGAGGAGATACCTTGGGCTGTGAATTGAAAATAAAGTCACTTGGCTGCATCGGCAGTCTCATCTTGGCGTCCCAAGACGGAAAATGGTCTGCCCGCTGCTGAACCGTCCACAGGTCGTATACCCGGGCCGTGGGCTTATGACTTCCCCGCCGAGTTACGAGAAGTAGCGGCTTCCGCGCTCCGGCAGTGGAGCATGCCGGGGACCGTAACAACTAGGAGTCAGCCGACAGCAAGCCACCGAGAGCGAGTTGACCTTTGTCTGCGTATGTAATAGTGCTGGGCGTGATCGGTGTAACTTTAGGCCTGACCGGGACGCCCAAGCTGCCCAGCCATTGCTAGGCATCACTGCAGGCAACTCTTTTACACGCCGCTCACGACTGTCGAAAGCAGTTACCAGCTGACTGATCGAGTCTTTTCAGCCCCTGCTACTGAAAGTCTGGTGCCTTGATGCAGTCTCCGCTCCCCAGTGTCTGCATGAATCAACATGACAGCTGTAGAGTGTCCTCGACCACTTCAGGCAATCTTCCCCTCATCGACACCGATCCAGACCCAAAGACCAGGCCGTCGCGCTAATGGATACAAGAAAATCCGATGGAAGAAGTACGACCCCAGCAGGAAGTCGCCCACTTCGAATCCCGATCTTTTCGTACAGTGGAAGCCGCCATCATCGTCACCAGATGCAGACCAAGAGGAGCGCATCGATCATCATGGGGGACAGAAGGACATTGAATCGAGAGCTGCACCACAATCAGAAGCACGCCAGCCCGGAGCCTTGACGCATATCTCGCCAGTCGAGCCTCTGCCATTCAATGGCACCCGCATGGATCCGTTCCTGGCACTGCCCATCAAAACGACCGAAACGGTCCAAGACACCATGGACTACTTCATCACAATCTGCAAAGGGACCAACACTGATAAGTCGGTGTTCTCCGGCGCTGTCAACCCTCACCTGTCCCTCCTCCTGCCGTACGCGTTGAAACATGCCATTCTGTTCGAGTCAATCATCTCGGTCTGTCGGGCTTCTATACTCATATCGCTCGGTCGACCGATATGGGAAGATTATGCCTTTGTGCAACACCGCGGCAGTACCATCGCCCGGTTGAACGCCAAGCTGAAGACCAACCAGGCTACCGATAACGCGGCCATACTGACGGTCACGATGCTCATGACCCTTGAGTATCTCTGCGGCAACCAAAGAGGCGTCCTGATGCATTGCAAAGGGCTGGAGAGGATGCTGGACCTGCGTGGCCCACTCGAGGACGACGAACAACCTGGCACGGAGTCGGAATGGCTCAAGTTTGTCAAGCTCGGCCTCACAGTCTACAAGGCGCTGGGATCATTCGTGACGGGACAAGCACCAGAGGCACCGCGCGACTCGGTCGCCTACCTCAGCGAAACGTTTCAAGAACTCCAACTCGACCAGCCGCTCTCGTACCCAGAAACCCCCTTCTCGCCGGACGTATGCATCATCCTGTCGCGGCTGCCGTCTGGCCTCTCGGAACTGTGCTTGACGTCCCATATCTCCATCCAGATGATAAAGCTCTTGGCGTCCATCTCGGCTGCTACGACGCTGCTCGCAACCGAACCCGTCGCGTACAACAATCTGCCCATCGACACCTGGCCACCGTCACCATCCTCCTCCGAGGAGCAAAATCCGTCCCACTTGGACGAACAGCGCAAACAGCTCATGATCCAGACGATCCTTTCGTCCCTGCAGCGCATGTCTCTCACGACCAACACGCCAATCGAGTACCATCTCACGTCGGGCCTGCTATCCTTCCTCTTCCAGCTGCGTGATCTCGGCCCCATCAATCTGTTCTACGACCCGATCCTGCGCAAGTTCATCACCACCCTGCCCACTCACACGAAACCCACGTCCCAGCCGGAACAGAGCTGTCTCATCTGGGCGAGCATGGCCGTGGCAGGGACATTGGCCCTACGTGTCGTCCCCATGCCGGATTCGCATTTAGTCATGGATCACTGCCTGGAACTGTACCCGCAGGCCCGACATTGGGCGCGACTGGACAAGATCCTGCGCACGTACTTTTTCACAGAGGAGCTCGGCGCGCATTGGCGTCGAGTATGGGAGTCCGCGATGAACAGGCGGGGATTTCTCCTCCGCCAGCGTCGCCAGCAGGCGACCTACATGGATGCCGACTTGGACTTCAATGACGTAAACGGCGGCGGTCACGATGAGCAGGCCGCCAGTCCGGACCGGATCCCCAAACAGCTGTCCGCCGAGTCGGCGGCCCCTGGTTTTGATATGGATTCCCCGGCTATAAGAGCGCATGTGCAGCAGCACATCGCTGGGGCGCCACGCAGTATGATCGAGATGTCTCAGGCCATGGGGCTATGTCCTTTGTGGTCGCGGTGGGCGAGCGCAGGAGGCGGTCGTTCCACTGCGGGACGTACTTCTGGGCTTACGGGTACGGCCGCGACGGCCCCGAGCCCCCAGAGTGTGAGCACGCCCGGGCCAACCATCACTTGAGACCTCGAGAGGGGGTCTCTTAGCATGAGTGATAAAATGTCATAGGAGGGGTAAGCAAAAACACGAGTCAATTACGGGCAAGTCAATTGTTCACTGCTATGCAAGTTGATGAACCCTTCGCACCCGATATGATGATGCTCGCGGGAGCTTGCAGCGATGCGTTCGCTGCTAGCCATCACGTTTACACCCCCTCCGCTTGATCATATACCCGCTTCTACACCGAGTACACAGGGATCAGAGGCCAACACTCGACCATGCATGATAGGAGAGGATCGAATTCGACCCTGTCCAGCGCCTCCTTCCGCCCTGCGTAGGACGCTTGGGCATACCTTCGAATCGCACCTGATGTGCTGTCTCGTCAACTCCAACCAGTCACAGATATCTCACCTCCGTACCTGAGCTTCACACGCTACTCGAGGTGAAGAGATATGATATGGAAAGCCCGAGTTGCGTCTCACTCGACCATATACAAGTAGCCAGGACCGCGCGTCTGACATTCTGCATTCAAAACCAAAAGCAAGTGGATATATGACAGCTATATGGCCTGCAAAATTACTAGAACCGATCAGGTTGTGATGATATAGTCAGAGAGAGCGACTCAATTGAATGGCACGTGCGGCTCATTCTGTGGGTGGGTCCCTGTTTGAAACCATCCATCTCCTATCATACTCATGGTGCCGCCCTATTGTCCAGCCCCTAACGCCTTGCTGCGAACAGTGAATTCAAAGCACTGAAACACCATACATTGTTCGTAAGGCAAGTCATCCTGAGGTCAACCCCTTGACAGTCTCCCTGATACCATGTTTTAGGGCGGGCAGAGCACGATATTGTACCCGCCGGAGGACGAGCGGCGGGTTTCGGAGAAGTTGCGCTGCTCTCGAAAAGACCCTGTGTCCGTAGCAGAGCAGAACGAAGGCCGTCAGGAACCAGATGATGTACACGACCATGGCTGCCAGGTATAGTCTGATCTGGACGATTGCTGGAATGACAAGGCCATCGCGGACACCCTGATATCTTGCGACGATGAAGTTGCGGATAGGCCTTCTCCGCTGCCTGATTTGGAGGTGTTGTCGGAGTCCGTCGGTCATTTGCCAGGCTACTCTCTGGTTGATCTTCTCCCACGTGACGTCGCACGTATATCGGCGAGCAGCAACCGCCATGTTCGAGTGCAGCTTCTTATCGGACCGGAGGCGCTTGATGAGAGCGATATACTGCTCAAGGTCGTACGGAGGAACCAAATAGCCCGTCTCTGAGTCGATGACGATGTCGGAAGGACCTCCCTCGTCACGCGCGATCACGGGAAGGCCACTGGCCATCGCTTCCAGAACCACCAGGCCAAAGGTCTCTGTGATGGAGCAATGGAGGAAGACATCGCCGGTGGCGTATGCTCGCGCAAGATCGACACCGGTGCGGAACCCCGTGAATACAACGTGCTCCTTCACGGCATCAAACAGGTGATGCACTTGGTCCTCAACCTCGGCGCTCATATTTCCTCCCACAATGAGCAACTTGAAAGGAAATCCGTCTCTGGCTAGTCGTATGGCAACCTGTGCCAGGAATTGGAAACCTTTCTCCGGTGCTAGTCGACAGACGCATACTAATATCATCTCTCCATTCGGCGCCAGTTCTTTACGGTATCCCCCATCCCGGCAAGAAGGGTCGAATAACCTTGTGTCGACTCCTCGGCCCAGCCTGACCATCTTGTTGCTGGGAGCGCCTGCCTTCTCAAGATACCGACGGACACCGGATGAGGGGTAAAAGATGGTGTGAACAGAGCGATGGTTGAACAAGAAACCTTGCACAACTCCAAGCAGCCAGACGGAAAAGCGGGCAACAGGTCCGGGGAACAGAATCTCACTGTATGCCGACAGATCTGTCTGGAAGTTGAGGAGAACCACAGGTGGATCTTGCAACTGTCGGATCTGGAAGAGCATCTGGAAGCCAGTGGACGCCGGGCTGGCCAAGTATACAATATCAGGCTTGAAGGTGTGCTTGTAGACCTCATCAAGCTGGAACGGGTAGACCACGGTCAGGTCAGGATTGTAAGGGAGCTCGTAACCTGGCAATCGAAACTCTGTTAGGCCGGCTCCCGTGGCGGGCTTGAGCCTTGACTGTCTAGAGTGAGGAGCCACGATGGCGAGTTGGACGCCATTCTTCCTCAGGTACTCGATCAGCATCAGAGTGGTGCGACTTACTCCATTCACGGGCCCGAGGGACTCAGTGGCCAACAAGACTCGCTTCCCCTTGAGAAACTGAGGGAAGACATCTCGCTTCTCGGCGGTAATTGTGAGGGAGGAAGATTGCAGCTGTGAGCTCAGAGGTGGTGGTGTCGTAGTAGTGCGAGGGGCTTCGCCTTCCTCAACACCCATTGCGCTTTCCGGAGAAGGATCAAAGATATTCCAGGTCAGTCCCTTACTTCCACGGGATGAAGGATATTCCGGCTCCGACTGCGGCTTCGCCTTATCTTATCGTGGCCAAAGCACCAGCGACGCACCGAATCGTTGGGGAAACGGAGCCTCTTATTAGCCTCGTTCGCTTCTTTGCTTTCTTTCACGTGTTGCTTCTCGGCCTTGTGAGCGGCTGCGGTGACGGCAACAGCGAAAGGCACGCAAAATGCTCGCGTCCCCACCTCGATCGCAGCTCTGTCTCTGTCGTGCGTAATTTTCCCCGTGTTGAGCGTGTCTTCATCGCCATGCGAAACGTCGCCAGAGCCCTCTCTTTTATGGCCTTGATCTCCGGCCCTCACCCACTCCCACCATATGTCGCCGACCTCGCGCGCATGACGATCTTGCCAGGGCCAAAGTTTTAGGTCGATGGTGGCAACTATGACAGATATCGCGTCTGGGGATTTGGACGCGTAGAATATGCTGACAGCTCCCACGTGGGCAGATGTGTTGAACACAGTGAACAAGACTGACTCCGGCCGCCTTGCGCAAATCAATTTCGGTCTGAATTTGACCATCTCGAGCGCTATGGCTGTAGCCAGTCACATCTTCAGAAGTGATGCGCGTGCTCGTTTGCACATATACTGTCGCTCTGTTGATTCTCCCCGGCGCACACCCAGGTATGACCATGTGAGCATTCGAACTCGAAATCTGCCCGTTTTCACCCATCAATCACCGCGGGCCCGCATGGTTCGTCTGCCTTAATGACCTGTTCCTGCATGCCTGGGCGTGGTCTCCTTCGGGGTGTTGCTTCCTTATCTGCGTGTCGGAAGGTCATCTGGCAGTCGCAATGCCATGCGGTTCACTGCCTCTCCCGACTGTGGGTTCTCGTCTCAATAAATAGTTGACATGACTTGAGCCGTCTCTCTCACCGCTTGTTGCGACCTTGCTTCTGGATCGTGCCTGCCAGTCCAGGCCTCTCTGCGACTGCTGTCGCCATGGAGTTCGCGGTACCTTCACTTGTGGGCACTTCCGACGGCAGCTCATGTAACGACTCGACTGGTCTTTCGACACCGGACAGCAGTCCTTTGTTTCGTCCATCACATCCCAAGGAGTCGTTCGAGAGTCGTCTCGCTCATGCTTTTGACGAGCCGAAGCGCGGGAAACTGGGTCCGGGCTTGACTTGCGCCGAGAGTCCCTTTGTGCCCTCCTTTGCCGACCTCTTTGCGCCTGTACCGAGCGATGTAAGGAAGATCTGCGTGATTGGGGCAGGTTATGTCGGTATGGAGGCCATTGCACCTGCGAGTGCAGAGTGACTGATCTGTGACCTCTTAGGCGGTCCGACTGCGGCAGTCATTGCGCTGCACAATCCCAAGGTCGGCGTCGAGGTTCTAGATCGCGATCAGCGCCGCATCGAGCGATGGAACTCCGCACATCTCCCCATCCACGAGCCCGGGTTGGACAAGATCGTGCGACTGACAAGAGATGGCGCGATTGTCAATGATTCAGGCAAACGTGCCACCGACTCGAACGAACCTGTGCCAGAGGCCGGCAATGTCTCTAGACGCGGCCCGAACCTGTTCTTCACGTGCGACACTCAGGTCAGCATCTCCACTGCAGACATGATTTTTCTCGCCGTCAACACCCCGACCAAAACAAGCGGAGTGGGTGCGGGCAGGGCGACCAATATGAGGGCGCTGGACGGCGCAGTCCAGGACGTCGCCCTCTACGCGAAACCGGGTACAATCATCGTGGAGAAGAGCACTGTGCCTTGTGGCACAGCCCAGCGAATAAGAAACACGGTGAGTCGCTGTTCGCACAAGTGGTAGAGCAAGTCCTCTGACAGCTTCTCAGCTCGATGCTTTACGGCCTGTTGTTCCTTTCGAGGTCCTGTCGAACCCGGAATTTTTGTCCGAGGGCACGGCAGTCAAGAATCTTATGCGACCAGATCGTGTCATTATCGGCTCGTCTGGATCGCCGGCGGGGAAGCTGGCAGCCGATGCGCTTGCTAGCCTATACACGGCATGGATTCCCTCATCTCAAATCCTCCAGATCAATGCCTGGTCTTCCGAGCTGTCTAAACTGGTGGCAAACGCCATGCTAGCGCAAAGAATCAGCAGCATCAATTCGATCAGCGCGATTTGCGAAGCTACTGGTGCAGATGTGGAAGAAATCGCCAAGTCAATTGGGCTGGACACTCGGATAGGTCCGCAATTCCTGAAAGCTGGACTGGGATTTGGTGGTTCCTGCTTCAGAAAAGACATTGCCAGTCTCACGTACCTCGCCGAGTGTCTAGGCCTGGAAGAAGTGGCTCACTATTGGAGCCAAGTCAACTCGATCAACGTCACGCAGCGCAACCGATTTGCTCGCAAGGTATTGAGACGCTTCGACGAGAATTTGAGTGGTAAGAAAGTCACCTTGATGGGTTTTGCCTTTAAGAAGAACACCAGCGATGCCCGAGAATCACCCGCCGTGGACGTCATCCGAACACTACTCGAGGACCAACCTTCGGAGATCGCTATTTTCGATCCGTACTGCATCGAGGAGGAAATGCTCCAGGAGATTTCTGCTGCAGCCCACGGCACAGGCGACACTTCAACAGTCAAGATCTACACCGACCCTTATGAAGCCTGCATAAACTCGAACGCCATTCTTGTTATGACCGATTGCGACCAGTTTAAGAATTCTCCCCTGCAAAGGATCTGCAGCAGGACCACATCAGTGCCAGACTCGCTGTCGGGTTATCCCTCTCCCGCACCAAAGCCTCAAGAAGATGACTACCTTGGGACAAGTTTTGCAAACTACATGCTCGCTCCTCAACCGGATTGCGTGGAGAATTGCCCCGACTGTCGTTCGAAAGCCAGAGGTCCAGTCATGACTGAGCCAGTCGAGTGGGCACGAATAGTTTACAGCATGAACGAACCGAAGTGGATCTTTGACGGTAGAGGCATCATTGACGTCGAGGAGATGGAGAAGCTTGGAGGTGTTCGCGTGGATGGCATCGGCAAGTGGCGTCCTGAGGACGGCCAGAAACGTTGCTGGTAATAGCCTTGATCTTCTAATCGCGCCAATTTGTGAAAGAATCATCCTCGAACCGACAAGGTTGATCTGTTGCCGTTCGGGAGACGATTTCCGAGATTCTACACCTACATGCTCGGCCTTTCAACACTCCCAGCATCGCGTCTTCAGCCAGTTTGGACCAAGGATATGCCAGCTTCGGGGTTCACGGTGTGCATTCAGTCGGGGGTCATCTACGGTATCTGAGATGGTGGACTCATTTCACGGAATTGACACCTGATCCCAACCCTCAGCGACTCGGCGACATCTTCCTACATATCAGTAAGCAGAGGCTGGGACTTGGACGAACACCATTGCAGTCCCGAATCGCCAAGATAGACATACGTTTGTTAGATCAGAGCTTGGCCTCTTCGCCGAACCATATCATGCCCAGTGGCCTCCGCTTCTTTCACTTATGCGTGGTAGGAGTCGGGCCGCTGCCCGCCTGCCTGCCATCCATAGAGGCGTGAAGCAGAGTGGCTACGGGAGGAGGCCGGTAAGGAGGCATGAAGTCTTTTCTGTAACCCATGACGCTCCAGATTGATGTGATTAACCAAGCACTAAGTACTGATGTGCTGAGTGTTGCTTTTATTTCATCAAAGTCCAGCCTGACAGTGCTGATTCAAGTGCCCTGTCTTCCATCTTCATTTTCAACACAGAGTACTTCGTAGCTACTGTGAATACCCAACAGATGTAATTTCCATTTCGGGCAAAAATCAATGCTCCACCACCACCCCGTCGCCATCCTCGCCGTGTGAAACGTAAGTACAGGCCCCAGAGGAAGCGCAACCCCTACTGCATAGTGTAGGCATTCAGAAGAGCCGCGAGTACAAAGCTACGCCACGGCTGGACTACCTTGGTCACACTAACAATGATCTGACCCCTCAGTATCAACTAAGATACTCTATTGCACCCGGTGGCGTCGACATGATATGTGATAATTATGTCCCGATGTAGATGATGCTCGGTTTCCTGTTTCGGCGACTTGGCTTAGCTTTACGGAGTACTTCGCTCAAGAACCCACTCACTTACTCACTCACTCACTTACTCACTCATTTACTTACTCACTCACTCACTTAGTCGCTGCTTAGCTAATTATGTAAGGCTAAGTAGCTGGGCCTTGTCTTTAGTGATCACTAACCACTGATCACTGATCAGAAATCAAGATCTCTTCCTTTCCGGGTTCGGGTAATTACCTGCTAACACGTACTAAGTACCTGCTGGGTTGCCGTTCTGGGTTGCAGAGTTTTGTGTCTTTGTCCGTCCTTTAGGTACACACCCGTGGTACAGTACTGTATGGAGCGTCGTTGGACTCAGCACGTATGCGATGGATCAGGAGTCACCCCTCTGCGGGAAGGACGGTAGAAAGACAAGACAAGGCGCCTGTCAGATTACGTGCATGCATACATGCATGCATGATTTGACGGGGGTAAGGAGTCGGTACACTAGTCTGATGGACAGTCTTCGGATGGGCCTTGCGAGAGGTCAAGAGAAATGGCCGGTCACAGTAATTAGGCGGTACTCGATACGCGGTATCACGGTATCAGAGATGTGGATATATGTATATAAACCCCTTCCATCGCGCACGGACACAACTTGCCCGAAGCTGTGACTCCCCATCACATCGCTTCCCACTTGATCGCCTCACTCCACACAACTGCGGAAGATGAGAACGTTCCTCTTATCCCTAGTCTTCCTGGCTTGCGCCTTCCCATCCCCTTACCCTGCCGAGTTCGTCACATCCGCAAACGGTCTCCGCGCCGACGTGTACCACCTGCCGCCCGCACCGGTCGTGTACCAGAACAGCACGGCCCTCACCTTTTCCCCCACGGCATTCACACTGATCCAGGGATCGCACCACGCCGTGCTCGTCGACGCGCCCGCCACGGGCGCCCAGGCAACCAACCTGACCGCGTGGATCAAGGCGACGCTCGGGCCACGCAAATCGCTCAAGTACATCTACATCACACACGGGCACGGCGACCACTTCTTCACGGCGCCACTGATCTGCGCAGCGTTTCCCGGATGTCAGGTCGTCGCCAGGGAAGATGTCAATGCGCACATGCACGAGCAGTACGAGGAACCGCTGTTCTCCAGTCTCTGGCTGTCGTTGTTTCCTGGGGGCCAGATCACCAGCGTGCCGTTCAACGCCAGCTATATCCTCCGGGAAGCAGACCGGACGTTCATGCTCGAAGGCCACGCCTTGAGGGCTGTCGAGGTCGGTCAGGGCGACACGTACAATAGCACGGTGTTGCATGTGCCGGATTTGGAGCTGGTGGTGGGCGGCGACGTCATCTACGGCAAGTGTCACCAGTTGTTTGTCGAGGATTGGACGGCCGAGTTGAGACAGCAGTGGATCCAGAGCCTGGATCGCGCGGCAGCCCTAAAACCGGCGTTTGTGGTCCCCAGCCATACGAAGCCTGGGGATGGGTTCGCGCCGTCCCATATCCGGGACACGAAGACGTATATTCGGACGTGGGAGAGGGTGTTGGCGCAGAGTAAGTCGTGGGAGGAGTTGGAAGGGGAGATGAAGAAGGCGTTCCCGTTCAGGGATGGGTCCTTTATACTGAGATGGAGCAGTCAGGCGCCGTTCGGGGCAAGTAGTATCGTTGCGTGAGGTGAGACTGTGGCCGTGTCTGCTGGATGAAGTGGCCCGTGAGAGGGGAGGGAGGAAGTAGGGGAGGAGAGGGGATGTATTGTCCCGGGCGCGGACCGGAGGAAGTTCTGAAAGCGCTCGTTTTAGCCGGCTTAGTGGTGCCTCGATTGCTATGGAAGGATGAAAATCTCAAGCCTACTCTTGCTGTCAACGATTACCCGTTGCATCCGAACGATCTTGCCTTGACTGAAACTGACGCGGAGGACATTTCGCTTCGAGCGTTCGGTCGCTGTGGCCGGGCAGATTCTACCACATCTAGAATATATGTCCCCTGGCAAGTTGTGGTGAGAGTAGGTCTGTAGATGAGAGATCGCGCCAGTGTGACCGTGCTCTCTGCTCCATGGAAGCGATCAAGTGGTGGAGCGTTGAAGATCCAGGTGTCGGCACCACTCTGATGGATGTTCGCTCGATCCCTTAAAGCCGGATGTGCAGTCAGTGGGATTCCCCTTGTTCGTTAATAGTCAATACAAGCTCGTGCATGGTATTCATGGGATGAAACAACGAGATTCTCAAAGGCCACGCGCACGAATTCCCGTTCTATTGGTGAAACATTTGCGCAAATGGCTGCTATGACTCGGCTTGCAACACGGGTTTTTCAGTATGATTTCTCAATCCACGCTCGTGACAGGCATGTCGGAGTGGCCGCCCCAATGAACTCCGGAAGTTCAGCGAACAACGCACACCGGGCAAGGGCCCGCTCTGGTCTCAAAGACAGCGGTACGCCCAGGACTTCTGGTACGGTGATAATATGTCCTGTGGAGCGGCAATGCGGCCGCCTGGTGGTGCAGTCCGTGGAATCATCGGCGCTGAACTCGCAGTGCAACATCATCCTTACGCCCTTCGGAGCTGTCAGGTCGGCCAATACTCGGGTGCAGAGGTCTGTCAACTGGGAGGGCTGAGCTTGTACAGAGTACCATGACGGCGTTATTCAGGTATTACTTCTACCGTGTACAGTCGACCGAACAGCTTGTCGTCCGCAATGGGCGAGCCAAAGTGGCTGACAGCAGATCTTTGGGAAGCGAAAGGGCTGAAACAGAAAGTGAGAGTGGAGTGATTGAAGGTTGTCGCACCGGAACTGGGCACGCGCAGTAAGCTATTACAGTCCTCGCCTATGCGGAGGTGAGCAGCATCATGGATTGACGACATGGAGGGACCGGAAACAAGGTAAGTAGTTGTGGATCAAATGATCTTGTTGCCACTGCTCTCGACTGTACTCGAACGAAGGCCAAGTTGATGGGGAGAGCACACAATACGAGGCCCTCTTGACAGGACCATGTGAACCGAGGCCCATGCTACAGACATCGGCCACACTTCCCCTCTCCACCCTTGATGTGATGCAGCAGGGCCTGTCTTGCATTGTATGTGACATCCCTTGTGGTTACCTCCGTCTCACTCGCCCGCATTGATGACACGGGCGGAATATAAAGACGTACCACCAGTACGACTGATGACTTGGCTCGCAGCTCCTGAATACCGTCCTTGCTGTATAAGCGCAGCCTCAGCACAACCCATCCTCGTCAGCACCTTTGCAAGGCAAAGACCAACACCATGCCCGCCGACGTCAGCGACTCATTCGAGATCTACTCGTGCGACAAACCACCGCGACCGCTCCCCTCGGACCCGACTTTGCGGGCAGACATCGAACACGTTCTGGAACACGGCTACGTGATCCTGCCGGATTGTTTCTCCAAGGCCGAAGCCAAGGAGGCCAGGGACGAGATTGTCCGCTTGCTCCAGAAGGATGGTGGCCGGGCATTGGGGTGCGTGTGTTTCATCCCCAAGGGGCAAGCTGCGAGTTGCAAGAAGTCCCATGTGTATCACGCGGGCTAATGTCTCTCTTTCCTATCTACTGCAGCGGCCGCAACAACTTCGAAGGCCTCAACACCAACCGCATATACTCGTTACTCAACAAGTCGCGAGTGTTTGACAAGTTCGTCATCATCCCCCGCGTCCTGGCGTTGAACGACTATTTCCTGGACCAAGGCTATCTTCTGTCGGCGTTTCACACCATCAGCATCAACCCGGGCGAGAAGGCGCAGTCCTTGCACCACGACGACGGGTACATCCAGTTCCCGCGCCCAAGGCTGCCGTTCGGGACAGCCATCATGGTCGCCCTGGACGAGTATACCGCTGAGAATGGTTTGCCACAAACCCCCCTACGTGGCGCGCATGTCACTAACTTGTCCGCACAGGCGCAACGAGAATCATTCCCGGGTCACATAAATGGGACAGCAAGCGACAAGGGACGCCCGAGGAAACGATCCCGGCCCTCTGTCCCGAGGGAGGCGTCGTCTACTTCATCAGCACGCTCTGGCATGGCGGCGGGGCCAACGTGTCCGACAAGCCCCGACAGAGTGCGACGGTGCAGTACTGTCAACCGTATATTCGGCCGATCGAGAGCCAGATACTGGCTGTAGACCCCAGAAAGTTGGATGGCATCCATCCCCGGATTGTCGAGATGATGGGGTACAAGCATATGCAGCGTGAGTTCTACGAGCCCGCGCTCATTTTGTCTCGTCTTTTCTGGCTTCCAGTGCCTCGACGCTAACCACGACGCCAGCTTTCATGGGTTACGCGGATGGGTTGGGCCCGAGGCGGGCAGCGCGCAGGATGGTGAAATGGCTGCAGAGCGATGTCGACGACAATCCGCCCACGTTCGCTCACGGGTTCAGGGATGCATCGAAACTGTAGGGTCCGACACACTGTCCGTGTACGGGGTTACTGCGTATGTAGGTGATGCTTGGGCTTGAGATGGACAGGCGAAGCCGTGCTGCCAGATGACGCCGCCGACAATGCTTACACCAGGTCATGACCATTCGATGATGCGTGGGCTCGCGCAGTGATCTCGTCCAGCTGTGCCATTATGGTCGCTTCATACCATGCGTACCTTGTACTGTATTGCCTGCCGCAACAGTCGGCTCGGGGCCGCCGGTCTCACCAGGATTGTGGCGCGCCCGGAAAATATTCTTGACAAGTTGTTGGCTTCGCTTTTCGCCCCAGAAGGCTTGTCACATATCTGGCGGTCCGGCAAAGTCTCCCGCCAAACGTGGATGGATGTCGAATCACGTTCAGGAGAGGGTCCATAATGCTCGAACCATCCAACTCCCAGCGTGCCAACTATCCACAAACCAGCGCTTGTATATCTCGAAGAGCCGGCAAACGCGTTCACCAAAATTTGAAACATCCCGATTCGATGACGGAGACTGCACCTGGTAGATAGATGAATGACCTTGTGCGCTCGTGTTGACGTGGAACTGTATTGGGTCTTCCCGAGGGCAGATTTCTTCCAACATGCGAGGCGTATTGGGCCTGCACGAGCTGTGGAGACATGGGGACTCTTATGATTGAACACCTGGGGGAGTAGAGCCGAAGTCGCTGACCTAGCATTCTACTGCAAGAACACTTCCTAACGGATGATACCATTATGCACGGACTAGGGCACAGCCAATACGTTAAACACATTCGTCAAATCTGCCAAGTGAGGAAGTAAGTACTGTGTACACATTCTTCCCGCGTCTTCACAAGGTCTTGATAAGATCCTTGGTCGTGTCGGATACTTGCAGTCTCAAAGGCCAACAACCCCCAACGCCACGCCTAGTTGATAATGTCCTAGTCGTTGAACCCGAAGACCGCCACTAATGAGTCCTAGAGTTTGATTGACTTGGGATATTCGAGTCCGTGGTCGTTTCCTCGTCAATAACCTCGAAGTTGCGGGGCGCGTCGGTGAGCCGTGCTTGTTCTTCGGCTTGTTGCTCGCGCTCCCTCTTGTGCTTCTCCACCTTTTCGATGGCAGTCTGGGTCAACTGTTGTCTCTGCATCCTCAACGCAACGTCCTTCTTCCTGGTCTTCCGGTCTCCTACAGTAATGAGTATACCCGCGGTGATGTTGCAGGTGATAGAGCACGACAGAATGGTGGCTGTCAAAGCTTGTGGACGGGTATGATAGTCGATGGCCCAGGTGCAGGTGCCAAGAGCGATCTGGAAAAGCGAATGACAATCCAGGAGTACGACAATAGCCACGAGTAGATGAAGAGGGAACGCGTAGTGGGTTCCCGTCTCATGCGGCTTGTAGAAAGAATGCGACTTCGAGAACTTGGCCTGGTGGTGGATCAGCTTCTGCTGTTGTTTGGGGTTCAAGACGGAAAATTCATGGTCCTCGGGCTTTGCAGATTCTGGGTCGGCTTCCTTTTCCCGCTGTTCAGGCAGATCATTATGGTCGTGGAGCTTCGGTAGGGCCCTTTCTCGCCTTAGCCTCCAGCTCTTGTGGTGATAGTGAGCAATGAAGATCATGTGGTAGGTATCCACCATTCGGAACGGCGCGAGACCATCACCCATGATAGCAAACAGGGCGACCAGCACGTTATCAATGACGTCGGTGATGTAGTCTTTTCGGTCTCCAACGTAGATCCAACCTGGGTACACAATGTCAGTCCTGATAATCCCCAGTTGGGATCGACAATAGCCTACCGATCAAGAAGAGGACCCAAGCCAGACCAAAGAGCGTGATCAAAGTCGCGTAAAGAAACACAAAGAATCCGAGTGCTAGGAATAGTGTTAGTAAGTGATTGATCTGAGTGTATGCGCCTCTGGCTTACGTTTTTGGATGTACTTGCCAAAGGCGATCATCCGCTGCTTGAATTTTGACCGTTTCGAGTGCAGCATATGTCGGACATGGTCATCGAGGGCCTCTTTATCCTCTTCGCTCCATCCGTCCAGCGACACGCCATGTGGGAGCACGGCATAGTGCGAGTCTGTGACAACTGAAGTGATGCTGTGAGTGCGTTCGATCTGAGGTCTACGCTGCCATGACCAAGTCCTTTGCATGGTTTCTGGGGGTGCTAATTCCTCCTCTGTCGGCTCCGGAGCGGGCTCTTCTGTGCCCGCCAGCCCTCTCTGAACAGGAGCCATGCCGGTTTCCTCTTTGACAGGCTCTGGCCGCCGTGTTTGGGTCGTCCGGCGACTGAGATTGTATGTGGGCCTCCTGTTGATCCATTTTCCAAGATCTGGCACGAACAACGAGTTCTGCACGTTGTTCAAGGTTGTCAAAGTCGAAACCTCAGGATCTGGAATGTGCCAATCAGTATGGCTTCTCTCGAAACTCCAGTTGTTGTTGACTTACCAAGCACATCTAGGAGATCAACAACCTCTGTCTCATATTCGGGTCCTTGTCGCTCTCTGGAGGTATCGCTGAACCTGCTCATGATGGACCGTGCAGTATTACTGACACTGCGCCTTCGGCCGACACCGCCTGTCACGTTCTCATTCATTGTCGCCCGATCCACAACCCCGTCCCTTGCTGCCTGAGGATTTTCAGACACGGTAGGTAGCATGGATTGTCTGGTGCTCTGTCTCGTCAAATTATTCGACGCGGGGACCGCGAGGTGTGGGGGTTGAGGCGCGGAAGTACTGCGTCCTCGACCAGAAGCTGACCGACTCGGTGGCTGACTTGAACCATTCTCTTCATAGCCAGCGCGCAGATTTGCTGATGGCAATCTTCTGATGCTAATTGGCCTGGTCCTGTTTGCTTGCGAGGGAGTGAGCAGCGTCGTCCGCGTCGTGGTCGGAACGGCGGAGGTGGTAGTGATGGAGTTATCAGGCGCGGTTACAATCGAAGTAGGTATCTGGTTCGTGGGCTGGGTGGAGGTGATGGTGTAGGGCCTTCCGCGGTGGATTGTTGTGGTAATGGTTGGCCCATGCACCGTGGTGGTCGTTGTCGTGGTCGTCGTGTTGTCGTTGTGAGAGCTAGGACCTGCGGACGACTCGGGCAGGGAGGGGAATGGTTCCGTGTTGTTGTTGCTAACCGCGCTGATGCGCCGCGATCCTGGCTGCGACGAGGCCATCGCAACGGTGCGAGAAGCGCGATTCCTTCAGGTACGCAGCGCGTAGATATCGGTAGACGGCCAAAACCTAGTCGCAGGTGATCAAGCTCAGAATGAGCCGGAGTGAGCGAGAACGTGTTGTTGGGCGCACTCTCTCAATGAGCGAGGGTAATGGGCACGGAGTCAGCCGTGAGTGCCAGACAACACGCCGACAGTAGTGAGGGATGGCCACTCAGCAATCCGCCCAACGCGAACAGCAGAAGGTCAAAGTGAGCCTCACAGCCACAGATCGAGCGTCGACGTTGCCAGAGTTGACGCAGAAAAGTTGCAGGTGCCCAGTGCCCGAGGATGGAGGGAAACGCAGTCCGGCAGCCATGGTTTATCAGCTTGACTTTTCCCTTTCCGTCCAGCGTCTGCCACTTTCGTCGTCGCCGTTGGCCTCTCGGTTTAGCGCGCGCCCAGGCACTGCTGATGCTTCCTTAGGCTCCAAGCTTTAACTGGAAAACCTTTGGGCTAGGCAATTTAAGCGGACAATGCCCCAATAGGCGTCATTTCCAGGGGCATAGGTCGGTGCTAAGGCCCAGCTAGCGTGATTGGCGCTGCACCATGACAGGTGCCTCACCAGTGACGCAGATTCTCACGCTGAGTCAGCCCAAAGATCGTGACAAACTGCACCGAGAGGCATCCTTGGCCACCCAATCCTGCCCTCTCAATCATTGTTAGAACATCTGCATCGCGACCGCGACAAAGTCGGGTTACCGAGACCAAACCATCGCACAGCAAGTCACACTTGATGAAACAAGAGGTGGCACCGGACACGGATTCTGCATTGCCTGGATACATTAAGTACGCGTCTCATAGCGACACAATCTGGGTAAGGGATCAGCGTCCGTTTGCTGCATTTGACTCGGTGAATACGAAGTAAGAGTCCGATGTTGACCGCCCGATTTGGTCGTATCCGGATACGACTCAGCCAGAGCGTGTGGATTGTGTATCTCACTCCGAATCTCCGGATTGCTGGGTCATTCTGATTTCATAAGCCAGGCCCTTGTACTCGTAGGGTAGGTGGATGGTAGCCACTTGGGTGGTAGCATGATGTAGATATTCCTTCAGGCCTCTTGCCTTTTCGTCGGAATACGAAGATCAACTAAGCACAACTGCGCATCCGAGACCGATCCTGCCTTCGATGATCCGGCACACACTCGGATATGTGTCTCATTCGACGGTCGCCCGACTAAAGCAGTAGGACACCCCCAGTTGTGCCGGGAAAGGATTACACAGTACACCCGGTGCAGCCTTGCTCAGTCGTGTGGGAGGTCCTGTTGTCGATGGTACTCAGGCCCTCACCAGTGACTGGTGCTAAGGGGGGATGCGCCTTGTCATGCCTTGCAGCCTTGTAGTAATACATACCACCTCACTGACATCCACAAGTTACAATCGTAGCTATATGTCTCTTGCCCATCGTCCATTATTGCTTGCACCTAGAATACAATATCCCACTTGCATCCACCAATCATCGAGATTCAAACATCAAGATCTCCTTGACATCCGGTACCATCACTCCCCATCCTACCCATCATACTCGATCTCGAAGCTCTGGGCGCTTCTTGCGTCATCGGCTTTGGACAACATCATCCTCAACACCCCATCCTTCAGACGAGCTTTTGAGCTGTTACAGTCAACCGGTCGGAGAAATGTGAAACTGCGGAGAAGGCGGCCGGTATGCCTTTCAGAGAGTAGGGTGAGACGGAAAGATGTTCGTCTGGAGAATGGAGGCGAGACGTGCTGGTTGTCTCATCGCGAGCGGCGTCACGGCCAGTGAGCCTATTGAGAAAGGGCTCCGCTAAGGCAGTGCAAATGATGCTTTGAGTTGATGCTGGCCCGAAAGACCCATCTGTAGGAGTTGAGGTACTGTCCTTCCTGTGTCCGTACTTTTTCTCTTTCCCCTTGGTGATGCGACCTTCTTCGAGTCGCCTCTCCTTTCCCTCATGCGTGGGAAATTCGGAACTCAGGGGTGCGAGGCCTTCGAAAAATGAGCCCCCACCTTCCCAAGCAAGATCCACTTCCTCAGTACTCCTCGCCTCAACCAATATACCCTGTGACCCTAATCTTCCGATCCTGATATCACTCGGATCATGGTTTCCCGGGAATTCGCCTTCGAGAAAATATGCCTGAGTAGTTTCTCTGACGGCAAAGCTCGGGAAGATGACGTGTGCAGAGTCGAAAATTAATGGGCGGACCCGGGCATGACCAGAAAGTTGGTTGTGGCTATGTTGTCTGTGCTGTTTGCCGCTGTGGGAATTGTGGCTGAAGACATTGTCCCGGTCGGCGGTAGTGAAGAAGTCCAGGACTGATCGGAGGGAGTGGCGGTGGTAGGGACCAGGGAGGTCAAATGTGACGTGGGGAGGTCTCAGGACCGTGTTCAGGTTCAATGGTGCCATTTCTCGTGGATAAACTTTGCACTTCGACCTTGGAGAAAACAGATGGGACAACGAACTCTTTTCTTTTGCTTTTACCTTGCTTGCGCGTTGCCTTTTCATCTCTTGATGTTCGATCCATGTGGAAACATCTGATCGTCAGGCACCACGTGATGTGCCGGGTGTTCTCACTCCACCTTGATTTTCAACATAGCGTTATGCTCCCGTTGAAGCTCGTGGCATGATAGCATGCCAAGCACTCGTTAAACGAGGTTATTGATGGCCGACTCTAAAAATTCCTGGAAGAGGTCAACCAAGATTGCAATACCCTCAAGCCTTAGTATCTAATGAAGAAGTAAGAAGCTCGAAGACACGAGTCTAAGACGACAAGAAGGGTTTTCAGCTCCTAACCGCTGTATGTGTGCGTGGCCGCCTGCTGGTTTTGTCGAAGCAGATCTGCTTCTGGGATCGTGGAAAGAGACAGTTGCATTCGTATATGCTTGTATGGCACCATATTTACTTGTTTTGATTGCTTGGCGCCAGCCTCGGGATGCCGCATCCAGCTTGATAGGCGAAATTCCGAGCGACTGCTCGTGCTGATTCCTGTATTTGTACCTCGTACACAACAAGCCAGCTCAGCCTAAGGCATGATGGAGCAGCGCGTGGCCTCAGAAATTAATCCGACGTGTAGGGCCCGGGGTCAGTAGATAAGTGTTTGCGGGCCGTACACTGACCATGATCTGTCTTCTTCAACAATAAACATAAGCAAACACTCCATGTCGGCCTTTCGAAGAACAGTCAAAGTCATAGTTATCGACATGCCATCGAATCCAAGCGAATTGCATACCATGTCGTCGCATGCCGAAGTCGCGGCTGCAGCTCTAGGCTCTGTCTATGCAGCCCACGAGCTCGGCAAAGCCGTCGCTGACAATGAAAAGGACGCCGGCGAGCACTATGCGAAAGCTGCTTTTGGTGCGACAGTTGCAGTGGGAGCTTTCCATATACTATCGAAGAAAAGGGCCCACGATGAAGACGACAGCAGTGAAGGCGAGGAAGATCATCACGAAGGTGGAAATCACAGTGGCGAACAATACCATCATCACCAGCACCACCGCCGGCACTCCCATGGTCACCCACGCCACAGTAGACACCTGCTGAAAAAGGCTGCTGGTGCTTATGCAATGGGAAAGGACCTTTAAGGAGACAAAGGCCACCATGTCGCCCATTTAATCGCCGAGACCATGGGTGCAGTGGCCGTGATCAAAGACATCAACCAGAAGAGAAAGGAGATTCAGGAGGAGTGATTTAATATTGATGGGTCAGGGGGAAAATTGCACTGAGCAAACAGAGGACAAAGCCAATCTCCAGCATTACGGTCAGCAGTTGACATAGAGAACGCAGATTGAATGCTAAGCGAATGTTGAATGAAGTTCGAGATTAGATTGATCGATGGGAGTTACATACTCCGTAATGACGCGGAGAAGAAGAGCTTGGCAAGAATATGGAGTTGCTTCCCGTGCTTCCCTTCCGAAACGCAGTCCATCTTCTTCTTACCCTATGACGCCAAAAGTTCGTTCTGAGCGACATATGAAATCCATCACCAGGTAGCGCTGAAGCACCACGACTACGAGAAGGGCTTTTAATGGTGCCGTGGTAACGCACACAGTAGAATACACCATATTCCCACGGCAGTCGTGTGAGAACGTATTCCTAGCCTCCCCGCTCCATGAGCTTCAGCTTCATGTACGATCATACCTTATGCAAGACCGTTGTCAAGCTAATGATCATCGTTCACTCTTTGCGCTCTGGCTCTGAAGTCTGGCCCTCGTGACCTCTCTCCACACTGCCATAAATGTCCGAGATACTTTACGCGTTCGGGAAACAAAGACGAATCATGGGGAAATAATCTCCCATTGGCTGGGCCTCCTTGAAAATCATCCGAAAGCTGTTTCGTTGTTCTAGGGTTGCTTGTTTGCACATTTTTCGTTGCTTCGGCCATTGCCATACGCGATCAAAACCGGGATCCCTCTGATTATGGTACTGTGTATGGGAATCCGTCGCTCGTGCCGTTTGTCTGCGGACGCATTAGCAGTCCGCCCCCAATGAAGGACTCTCATGCCCAGTCAATGGCCAGACGATTCCACAGCCGGCTCAGTGCCGGTTCACTTCGTCATATGGAAATGACGTTCTGCTGCTCCATCTCCAATCACTTCCCCTTTTGGTCGGGTGTTCCATCTCGAATAACATTGACTTTCGCTCTGGTCGCGACAGCCCTTCCACAACCAAAATCATGCAGCCGATCCTGCTCACCGTCCTGACTCCCCATTGACGTTAAAGCGGAAGGCACGTTCCGTCGCTGCACCGGAGAGGGCTTGTCGTGGAGAAGACGGAGGTTCGCTGTAACCTCGCTTGTGAGTTGGCTAGAAATTTCCTTTGCGTTGACTACCGCTGCATTTCATACTCGTCTGTCTTAGACTGCACCTTTAACTCCCCCGAGCTCTCCTTCCTCCAACTTGCTGGGCCTCCAGTCCTAAGGATCAATCGGCTTTCTCTATCACCAAGGCACGTAAGGGTCTGCCGTCAGAAGCAGCCACATCTGTCAGCAATGTCCAACCCTGGCGAATTCTCGGCTCGATCAAGTCTTTATAACGCTTCAACTCGCGGCCCTCCGAGGCATTTGAGACCGACTGGCACCCCTCTATCAACACCATTCTCTCTTGCAGGGCCGTTAGCAACGCGAAGTCCCACCCGACAATCGGACACCCACCAACAGGGAAGCCGTGGGAGCGATGATCGCTATCACTATGCCCCGAACCCCAGGACACATCCTGAGCCCATATTCAGCCTTGCCGAAACTTTCCCCCACAAGATCAGAACAGGCATGCGAAGAAGTTCGGCGTCCCGGCAGAAGGAAGATACAAGCATAGATCGTGAAACCTCGCACGACACGGCGAACCCGACCGGTACACGGCCTGCCCCACAGATTACAGTCACTCCCTCACGCAATGCACAGAAACCTGGTCGTCCAGATGACCTTCTTCGCACAGTGACAACTGCGAATGCATCAAGCTATGGCAGGGACGCCCAAGGGCCACATACCTTCGTACCTTCGCGCCAAACTCGGAGTAGCACCGATGCAAGCCATAGGCAGCAGGAGCTTGAGGACCAAAACATCAGTGCTCATGACAAGGCACGGGGCTCGCCGCCGTTGCCGAGTAGCGGGACCGCAGTTGATCCCGACAACGATTTTGCCACGGACCGGATGCAAGATCTAATCGTTGGCCGTGGCCTGGAGTATGCCGTAAGGGGTGGAGCGGCTGCCAATTCTGGGCTACGCTCTCGAGGAGACACGGCAGAATCGGGGGGCCATGGCCAAAATCTGCGTCGTGGTAGCCACGGATCAAGTTCAGAGACGTATAATTCTCATAGCGATCAATCGGGTTGGAAGGTTGCCCACCAACAACAAGAACCGCTATTCTTCAATTCATGGGGTCCCATCCGGCACAGGTTGCGGAAGCCGTTTGCGGAGTTCCTGGGCACGATGGTCTTCATGACAATCGGTCTCTGCGGTTCCATCACGCATATGAGCGCTGCTCGGAACGACAACGCTAGCTTGTTGATGGCATACCTCGCATGGGGATTTGGCGTCATGACGGCCATTTACATCGCTGGTGGCATCTCTGGCGCCCACATGAACCCAACGATTTCACTTGTGCTGGCAGTGTTCCGTGGCTTCCCCTGGCACGACTTCTGGCAATACCTTATCGCTCAGCTCCTCGGCAGCATAGCAGCTTCTGGGATTGCCTATGGGCTGTATCGTGATGCAATTGCCGACTTTGCCGGATCTAACATGTCCATCGCAGGTAAGTGTCCTCCCGCGTTAATGCAAAAGTTGCCAAACTCAACATGGTGTTCGCAGGCCCCGCATTCTGGACAGCACCACGGCCCGGCCTTAGCTCGGCCGCAGCGTTTTTCAACGAGTTCGTGGCGACCGCCATTCTAGCTGGGTCTGTCTTGGCGATGGGAGACGACGGAAATGCACCACCTGGGGCAGGCATGGCGGCGTTTGTTCTCGGTTTGCTGACGATTGCGTTGGAGATGGCATTTAGTTACAACACGGGTACTTGTCTCAACCCTGGACGTGACTTGGGTCCGCGACTCGTAACATGGTGGGCTGGATTTGGTAGTGTGCCCTTCACACTTGGTCACCATTGGTTCATCTGGGGACCGTGGATCAGTACTGTTCTGGGTGGACTCTTCGGCGCCTTCATTTACGATTCTATGATCTTCATTGGGGGCGAGAGTCCTGTGAACTACCCCTCTGAAGCGATTCGGGACCGTTTTCGCCCTGGCCTGTGGCCCGATTTGCGGGGAAAGTCGAGGACGGGAGGAGGGAATGATAAACAGGGGGATGCTATCGGCGATAAGGACATTGGGGTATGAGGTGGTACGCTCGTTGAGCTGGGAGATTAGTTTCGCAATGACTGCTGTGGCTTGCCTGTTGATGTGGATGCTTCTTTGTTTGTGGTCTTCGAGCTAGGAGCCTGGGGTATTTTTGGACAGAGGGTGTCTCTACGATATTGGCAGGCGAGGCTGAGAAAGGCTGGACATGTGATTGGCCAGAATACCGCAATAGGTACTCCTTCACGGCAGCTTTACCGAGCACTTTCTTATGTTCTCAGTTCGTCTAAGATAGTTGTTCTCGCCGTGGTCCGTAACTCATGCCTTTGGATGATGGCACCGGTAATGATGGCGTCGCCTTGGCTAACAGCGCTCTGGGTGATGAGATCGAGGCTTTGACCTCCATCTACGACGGCGACACCATCAACCTACAATCTCCGTTGGCCGTAGATACGAACACCACTGCGGTCCTCCGCCTCCCAGACTCAGGCATCTCCTTCCTCATCTCCTTTCCTCCCGAATACCCCGATGTGCCACCTCAGATCCTGGGCACGCAGGCTACAGGCGACCACTCAAGAAAAGGTCAAGGAGAGGTGGCAGTAAGCATCCTCCGGGACGTGCTCGGCCGAGTATACAACGAGGGGCAAGTCTGCCTGTTTGACCTCGTGGAGGAGGCGGGCCCTCTCCTGTCCGACGACCAACATCATGAGACCGACGACCAGCACCATGGCACGGCTGAAACTGCCGTTTACAAGGGATATACTCAAGACTACAGGTCCGCCTCACCTTCGCTCGCCTCGCATGGCCGCGCCGGTGAACCTAAACCTACCGTGACCAGCGTGACCTCGCAGCAGCAATATTCCTCTGACACTGCATCCCTAGGGGTAGCAGCACCACCACCACAATGGACCTTATCCGACGCCCTAACCGCCAGTAAGTCCACGTTCATTGCCCGCGCGTGCCCTGTACATTCCCTCGACGACGCACAACACGCCCTCGCCCATCTCGTGGCGAGTAACAAGAAAGTCGCACAAGCGACGCATAACATCTCGGCGTGGCGGATTAGGAGTAGTCGGGAGGCGTCTGTGGTATCCACGGCCACGTCCACCGAGATCGTCATCCAGGACTCCGACGACGACGGCGAGACCGCGGCGGGTAGCCGTCTGCTTCATCTGATGCAGTTGATGGATGCGTGGAACGTGTTGGTCGTGGTGAGTCGGTGGTATGGGGGCGTCAAGCTGGGGCCTGATCGGTTTAGGCTGATTAATCAGGTCGGGCGGGACGCGTTGGTCAAGGGTGGCTTCGTCAAAGACCAGAATGAACAGGGAGGAGGCAGCACCAAAGCGCGAGGAGGGAAGGGCAGGTGGAAGAAATGAGCTGTCAACCAAAGGATTGAACGAATGAACGCCCGACAAGTGGAGCGGGAGGGGACCAGACCGAGTTTGAGGCTGAGTTGGACTGGCAGAATGGGGACTCGGGTTGGGAGTCGTGAATGCCCGTGGTCTGACATGCTACGCTATGATCTGCTATGCGAGAAGTTGTGAGCTGATCCCGAGCGATCGACAAGTCAAGCCAAACTCGGCTTCTAGTCTGAGATGGAATGGCAGAACTTGGAACTTTGAGTTAGGCATTGGCCGTGATTGCCCGTGCTATGCTACGCCACGCCACGCTATGCGGCGCTATGCGAGACGTTGTGAGCTGATCCCTAGCAGACGATCTTATCAAGAAAATAGTCCTGGATCCAATGGTCGGGGCTGAATGGCTTGAACGGATCTCGGGCGGTTTACTGTCGAGCACGGCTGGACTGATCTGGTCTGAGCTCCTATGGCCTGGTCTTCTCTTCTCGTTGGCACCGTCCTGAACCGCCTGATGTCTCACCCGGGTTTTCCAAGCACAACCCAACACACGCCACAGCATGAGCATGAGCAAGCACAGCCCTTGTATATCCTCGACTTCTCCTCCTCTCAGGCTACCGCCAAATGCTCTCCAACTCAGCGGCCAAACCTATGCCAGATCCCGCGCCGTCCGTTCAAGACCCAACTGCGCTTATGGCGGAGGTCTTGGCGTACGGTGCGGCGCTCGTGGATCCGCATACTCTTATCTTCATCAGCGACCTTGGTCCCGAAGTCAACAAGGACGTTCAGGTCTCGCTCTTCAGGAGCCGCGCCGCTTCTCCTCCTACAAGTCGGCAAGGACCATGACCCATCCTCTTTCCAGCATGTCTCGTGGTTTACTGTATGGCTTCGTGCGCTTCTCCGACGGGGGCCGACCAGCAGCGTGCTCTTGATGAGAATGTATGGTGCTGTCGGTTCTTCTCGCCACGACCAGTTCACCGACTAAAAGGATGAGTCTGTGGACGACGGAACTTCTACTCGTACCTTTCCCAGTACCACTACATGTACCAGCACCAGGACCGCATCCATCCCAACCCGGTAGCTAAAGCAGGACCGCGCTGAGCCATCCCGCCATGCATGTCCCTTCGGGCTGCAAACTCAACTTGTAGATGAAGATCGACTGTCCCTATTCCCCCACTAAACACGGCATCAAACATGCGGTGCAGGTAGTGTCAGAGTTCGGGAGACGCGAGTCGATAGTCAAGCTACAGTATGTCGCGCCATGGGCGAGCGATACGTTCGAGTCGATTGACGCTGATTGTGTACAAACATATTAATTAGTGGGTATAGACATAATCTATCTATGTACTCCGTACCTAGGTAACATATATATATAACATACTACGGAGTATGGATAGCCTATATCATGAACACACAATGGGAAAATACCGGGTCTTCATGGACGGGGAATACGGGTATCCTTGACGCACTCCTACTCCAGACAGTCCGTATGAGATGGGACTCTTTTATTTCCGGCCGGTTCTGCCTCGCTCGGCTCGAAACTTCCAGGTCCCCGCTTGGCCGGAGTGCAGGGAGCCGCGTTCCTTACTGCAGCTCGATAAAGATCACCGACGATAGTTGCTAGGCGAGGCATCTAATCTTATAGATGTAGATACGAGTATAAGATCTAATTAAATGTATGGATCACACTATACATTGCGCGCTGCATTCTGCATTCTGCACTACCCTAGCCAAGCGAGCGCCTGTTCGTCACTTATGTATATTCAAACATCGACTGGGCCGGAACCCGTGTTCTGCGGTATCAGTCCAAGTCTTAACCACTGATGCCTCTCGCCCCGGCAGCCCGCCTGGCACCTTCGGCAGCCCTTCTCATCCTCAAATTGCCTTGCATCTCCACCTCCAGGCCACCTCTCTTCCCAATTTTGATATACTCACTAGGAAGTCCGAAATCGGGTGTCCCGCCCAACGTGCCGAAGATGTCGCCAATGTAATTCTTCGGCGCGATGCCTTTTGAAAACGTGCTGTTCCAGCCATCGAGAATCCCGTCCACGACCTTCACACCAGCAATGTAGATGTTCTGAATGGCGGGTCCGAAACCACCTTGGTTGACGTACAGAAGGTTCTGGATCTCCGAAACTCCGGGGGGAGGTCGGTCAAAGTCACTGGCCGTGCGCATGACGATGACGCGGGAAAACTCCGTGAGGTTCTTCTGCGCGGCACGCATGATGGCTTCGAGAGTGGCGTTGTCTTCCTGGGCCGTCGTGCAATATATGCCTGATCCGTTGGTCCAGATGTTGGTCGTGTTTGCGAAGGCTTCGGACAGGCGCGTACCGGAGAAATAAACGTCCGAGGTCGCGACGTCACAGCCCAGCACCGAGGGACCTTCCGCTCCGGCGGCGTAGGCGGATGCAGCGGAGTACTTGGCGCGGTAGGCTATGGAGGCTTGGGAGTCGTTGAGTTTGACGCCAGAGGCGAAGCTGATGGCCACGTCGCGGAGGGCTTCGTTGACTTCGAAGACTTCGGTGCCGTAGATCCTGTTCGTGGTGTTAGGGTTGCTACGCGGAAAGCTCGGGGAGCACTCACGTTTGCGGGTAATCGTCCGGCGCTGTCACGCCAAATGGGATGTATCCTGTTGTAAAGTTGTCGGGCACATCTCTCATGTCGAACTCATACTGCAGGGCCACCTGAACCGCATATTTGGCAAACGTCACAGACCCGAGGGTCGCGACTTCGGGGTTGACGCCAGCAATGCCGGCCACCAGGAAGTAGGACTTGGTGAGGTTGAATTCGGGGCTTTGCACAAAGGCCGTGATGGTCGAGGCTGCATTGATCTCGGACTCGCCGGTGATGACCTGGCAGACGTTACCACTGGCCGTGCAGTGCACTTCGGGGAAGAGCGGTGATAGACCGGGCACAGTGATATTCAGCGCGAGAAGATGGTACTTCTTGCCATACCACACCTCTGCCTCTGGAGCAAACATGCTGATTATGACCACCTTGGGGGAGATGGGGGCGGCGCGCTTGAGGACATCGCTCCGTGCCTCCACTGGATTTCCCCATGTGAATGATACCAGATTTGTTGCTGCAAGGAAGAGAAAGTTCACTGCGCACGAGACACGCATGGTGGCTGTAGATGCAATACCACCCGAAGTGCACAAGACTTTTGCTCCACGCACGACCACGCAAGCAAGCAGACGAAACGGACGCAGGAACACCAACTCGAGCAAGGGCAGTTCCTACCTTTTGAGCAGGGGCAAAGCTTCTAGCTCTCATAGAGCTCGGGAGCTTCACGACCATCACTGCAGCATCTTCGCTAGCCTCGTGGAGTACCACGTACAAGCTGCTCGTTTAGGTAAGTCCTAAATGGAAAGACCCTATCAAGTCCACCAGAGCCATGTGGATTGATGGTAGTGATGATGAGCTGCAGCATCAGGCTGCGTATCTCGTAGGTGGAAGCTGTACTCCGTACCCTGCGCTGAAGCTTCGTGGGGAAGACCAAGCAACTGGCTACCTGGAGCTTGTCCATGTGGATAGCGGGTGTTATCTCTGTGGCGACGTGTATTTGAATTGAATGAGCGTCGACGGCCTGGTTCTGGATGGGAGCAAATGCGGTCTTAGCAGCATGGTGAACGTCACGTTAGCGCCATCTCGTTATCTTTGCGCAGGTTCGACAGCGATTAGAAGCTGGCTATGCCCATCGAGGCATAATGCGGCCCCGTTGCGAGATAATGCAGGCAGCAAAGAGAGCGACATTTGATGCGAGCTGTCGTCTCGCTAAGCTGAGAGGATATCTTGTTTTTGCAGTGTTGTTGCAGCACGAGGCTGAGCTGAGACATCGTTAAGGGCAGGAAGAGGCCGCCGGAGTCTCCGCGGCATGAGCAGCTCGGCGTTCAGGAACGAGTTGCTGGCTTCTGCTTGCTTCGGCGTTGACTGACAAACAGAAACCGAAGACGCACGCGACAGGCACAAGCGAGAGAAAGAGAAAAATGGTCGGCCAGTAACGAAGCTTCGATAAGCGATGCGCTAGGCCTTACATGGCAGCTAGTACGTCATGTCGAGCTAGGCGCGTTAATGTACGGAGCAGGTGCATGCCGGTGCCACGCTGGGGGAAGGGAGGAGGGGTGCAAGGTTAGGACGGAATACTTAGCTCCTCGTTTTCTCGCCTGATAAGAGATCAGAAGTGCGGGCGGTGCCATGCGCGGTGCGACCAGCATTCTTATATCGTCCCAGCGACTTCGTGTACGGGTCAGGTCGAGCCCGGGAAGCTCATGCCGACGAGGACCGCCCTCTGCTCAATGTGCCCATGCGCGTAGCTCAACCCACACACCCCTCCCGGCTCCAGCATCAACTCCAGCCTTGCGCCCATTTCAAATTGTAACCACCTCTTGACGAATGCTCTCAGTATGTGACCATGTGCAACTACGAGGACATCCCTTTCCGGATCGCCTGTTTCCAATGCTTGCTTGTGGACAGACGTAATTTGCGAAATCACCGCGTCGAGGCGTTCTTGCACCTGTGCCGCTGACTCTCCTCCGTCCCCTTCACATCCGTCTCGCCAAATATCCCACGCTCGGTCGGTGTCGAGACCTCTCGACCTGCGGAGTTCTTGAATCTGATGGGTATAGAGGCCCTCGTAGTCGCCGTAACCCCATTCTGCAATCTCCTCGGTGACATTCAGTTTACTTTCGAGCGTTCTCCTAGTGGCAGAGTCTTGGATCTGCTCTAGTAGGATTTCGAGTGTTCGTCGTGCGCGTTTTCTAGGACTGCAGATGATCGATGTGAGCTTGCTGGGGTCGATCAACCGTCCACCACCGAAGACAACCGAGGCTGTTTGGCGGATTTTCTCTTCGCCTTCGGGTAGGAGAGGGATGTCACTGATTCCGGTGTAGCGGCCGTTACGGGACCATTCCGTTTCGCCTAGGGAGGAGTGGCTTGTGTAAGTTGAAAAGACAGGGTGCCAGCAACGACAGCAACGACTCTTTAGGAGAAGGCAGCGACAGCTGGTTCCAAGTCCAGAGAATTCCGAATGACCTGGGGTGCATGAAAATCTTACCGTGGCGTATCAGGAACAATCGAGGTGTGGCCGCATCTTTGTCTGACATGTTTGTCTGATGGACCCGTCAAGATAGCAGGCCCAACACAGAAGCAATGGTAGCTGCTTGATACTCAGGCCAGTAACAATGCAATGAAGAAGTTGACAAACGTCAGGAAGCCCGCAGCAAGAGGTATGCTCACTCTCGCATGAGTGATCATGTTGAGATGAAAAGAAAATGGAGACTGAAGCCAATATTCGAAACCCACGCTGAGTCATCAACAGTCCACGCCAGCAGGCGCTCAATTAGACAGGTACCTACCACAACCCGTGCTGTGTATCTTTGCAAGCATAACCAGCCTCATCCATGCCCTCATACTAGATCATGACGTCGGCTATCGAAGCTGTTGGCATGGTGAGCTTGTGTTCTGGGTGTACAGAGCGCGGCTTTGAAGTGCTTTTGTTTCAATGGAGTCAACCTGCTTCGGGTCAGGAACATTTGGTCGAGAACTCATCTCGCTGCGTAGAGTGCTTATAGGAAAATAAGTGGCTCTCCGCCGACTGTTCTACAGGGAAGAAGGAATTTATTACGAGATGCTGCACTTGGCGCGAATCCATATACCATCCACTCCATGTTCTACTGCATCATTGTGGGCTCCATTCGTCCAGCAGCCATAGGGCTTCCAACCCACTTTAGTAATACTTAGTAACAGATCCAGCAGAAATCGCCCGAGAGGTCGAACCAAGCGATTGAGGAGCCGAGAACCGAGTAATGAAAGAATCATGCTCACAGAGAGCTCGAGAGGGACCATCTACTCCGTCGCGTGGCGATGGCACGTCTTTCATTTGGTAGCGCTCGAAACTCTCACTACGTTGCTGGATCCGGCGACTCTGGGACAAACAGAGAATGAGATAGCCAAAGGCCGCAAGTTCATCGCCCAAGGTCGCTGTCGTCCTGTTCGGCCAATGCTCAATGCGATACGCCCTTGCGATCCCGGTTTCGTAACCCGTAACCCAGACAATGCGACACATGCTATGCTTGTTCCGTCATAAATTACTTTACAGCCCAGAAATCCGCCGAATATCGTAAAGGTCGTTGCCAGACACACGAACGAAGATCCAAACTCGTCAAGTGCTCACACTTTTATCAATCATCCAAGTCTTCCCGTTCGCTTCCTCCTCGACGATGAAAGCCTCCTTGGCGTACTCGTAAATCGGCCGATACGCCGGCCAAAGAGACCGAGCCTCGTCCGTCAATTTGCCGGCTTTGGCTTTACGCCCCTCGCTGCTGTTTCTGCCCGGCGTGATCGTCTCATTGCTGCCCTTGCGGCGGGTATCGTAGTCGAAATCCGGCCCGGGGAAGTAAGGCGCATTGTATTGTCCGAACAGGATTTCGATGCCGGCGAGCTGTTCGCGATAACCATTGGGAACAGGGACCTTGACCTCAATGTGTTTGTCGAAGACGTATTTGCACGGCCGTTCCAGAGCCTTTTCAAAGGCTTGACAAACTTGGATAGGCGTGAGCAACTCAAATGCTAAGGCGATCCTAGTAATGCGGAGTGTCAGATCTAAATCTCCTTCAAGCTCTCGTGGCACCTGAAACGGTCATGATCGACCGCCAATTTTCAACGCGCTTTCATTTGTTGGCTCGTGGTGAAGAACCCAGGACGGAAAACTCTGTAAAATGGGACAAAGGACGCAGTGCAAACATACCTATGTCCATTCCACTTGCTCGGGCCATCCTTGAAAATCTGCAACACTGCCGGCCCAACGTCGTGTTCTGCGTCTAGCCAAGGTAGTTTGGTATCTGGATGAAAAGGTGCGCGCCATTCTAGCCTTCCATTGTCCTTGAAGTCCATGCAGAACAGAGGATACGGTAAGCTCGTGAAGTTGTTGTTGTAGATTCCCGCGTAGACAAAGGTTGACGGGAGGCCAAGCTGCCGGATGTAGTTTTCGACTGTGAACTTGCAAGCCCATTGCGGCAGAGCCGGCCAGTGTGGGTTGTGTATGGAATGGTCGGGCATGCTGCTGTAGATGAAATGATGGATGTTCCGCTTCTTGGCCGCATTGGCTAGAGCCTTGCCGATTTTGATCTCATCGCCGCCGAGGGGATTGGTGTTGATGAACGCTATCTGTGCGCCCTCGAATATGGTGTCGATAAGGACCTGGTTGTTCAACAATGGCCCCTCGAACAGGGCGACATTGGGGAACTCGGAGAGCTCCTCAGCGACCAACCCTTGCAACGAGTGGACTTGCGCCCGGACGGCATAACCCAGAGCCGCCACTGCTCGGATGACCGACGCCGCTTGACGACCAGTACCGTTGACGAGGGCGATAGTCTTGCTCTTGTTTGGCATGTGGCAGTCTATGCCTCGTGCCGTGAGAGCCAGAGGCCTGCGGCTGAGAATGGGACGGGAAAGACAGACTTGGTATATCGCCCGAGGACAAAAACGCGATATAGTAAATTGCGCAAAAGAAGTGAACAGCAGCTAAAATCCACGGATTTGATGATCCTTGCAGCGGCCCGGAGAATGAATAGAAAGACAGAAGAGAAGGAGCGACCACATTGTAAGTTTCCCACACAGTGGGAAGGAATCATGAGAATGGCCATACCGCCGTATTGGGCAAGAGAGTCAGTCACTGGGACTCCGTGCGCCAGTCCGGTCTGCACATTCGAGGACCATTGGCCTGAGCGAAATTGTGCGACTGTGTGTGAAAAAAGGTCTATCACCGCCAAACCTGATGCAGCTTATCCTTTACGTAACCGGGGACAAAGGTAGTAGCGGGTGTCCGGGCCCATGTTGAGCACGACATTTCAAAACGCTTCCTGTGTGTCTGATGCGCCGTTGAGGAATCATATCCCGAATCCGTCAACGTCGAAGCCGCCTGGATTTGCTGAGGGGGTAAGACCAGAGAGACAGGAGGCAATGACGGTTGCCAGCCGAATTGCGCTCCCTCCATGGCTATGTCAGGCACACGCCGCCAAATCAAATGCGGGGGAAGACCAGGTCTATTGAAAAGGCGGGGAGAGTGGCAACCAGCGCCAGCAGGGTCAGCCGGCTCCCTGGCTCGTGTAGTTAACTCTGGGCCAAGGCCATCGGGAACGGCATAAGTGTCTCACGGCCACGATCGCTTAGGGGCCGGCCAGGTGGTCCGGGTGCATACGCAGTAGTCCCACTGAGATGTCGGTGACGAGATAATTTGGCTGTGGTGGGTACCAAAGCTGGGCGTCGTCAATCCTCACTCCGGGCACCTCCGCGGCCCCATTGCGCTGAACTTTCCCCTGCCTATCATGCCATGGTGCTGTTGGCAGAGGTCCTCGAAAAATGACGTGTCGCCCATTCGTACGGGCGACTTGCTCGTAACTTGACGATTTTGGCCGTGGAAGATGCATTGAAACTCGTCCCATAATGCCACGAGGGGTGGACGCACACCGAGCTAAACATCTGATGATCTTGCATGGCAGGCTAGGGGCGTTTTAGCCTGCGGTATGGTCCACAAATCCAACGGGTGCAGAAAGCACACCTGGGTGAACCCATGTGCCGATACCGCTGCGTTGTGGTTGAGATGCCACGGATAGGGATTGCCGTGCTCCAAGGTCCTCACCTTCACCAGCCGCTCCAGGCCACTTAGAGCGCCTCCAGGCCGGCTGCCTTCCATACATCTGGTCTTTGGCTGGCGTGGAGTCTAGCCGTCTCCAACTCTTCGGCGTGGAGATGTCCGCCCGCCTGCCGTAAGAGCAAAACATGCGGTAAGAGACCTGCGTTGGCGGCAAGAAAGAGTGGTGTCCTGCCTGATCCAGTGTGATTTCGGATGTGTACCCTGTGAAGGTCGGTCAGCTTGTACGAGAAGTGGCGGGGGAAAGTTCGAATGCAAGGACTTCTCCAGACTTACGATGCACCAAGGGATAGAAGGTGCCGAAGGACGGCCAGGCTGGGACCCGTCGCGGCGAGATGGACCGGCGTATTTCCAGAGTAGTCAGCACGGTTCATGAGTTGGCTGTCGTTGCGAAGCAGGTCTTTCACTTTCTCGACATCTCCGCTTGCGATCGCATAGGCGATAGCTGTGAGCTGGGCAACAGGCGACGAAAGTTCGCCTGTAGGGTGTCTGAAGATAGTACCCGCGTGCTCGGAGAGCTCGCCGCGAATTGAGATTGCCATGCCTTTGGCCACTGAATCTGGTGTGGCTCCAGGTAATCCCAGCAGATACGATAGCTTGGTCAGCGCAGCTTCGCTCGTCATATCACCGCCAGCGACGACTCCTGCACGCCCAAGAACCATTCCCGGCGCATACAGGGGATTGACACTCCCGGTCAAGCATTGAGTGATGTTCACAATCACGATGCCGCGCTGCACGGCCTCGGTGATGACCTGAGTGAGTTTGTTATCATGCCCGCTTGGAGCATTCCCAGCACCAAACGTCTCGAGGACGAGGCCTTGCAAGCCTTCGGTCCTCAGCACCGAGTCCACCATGCTAGGTTTGATACCTGGAAAAATGCGCAAACAAGCGACGTAATGAATCTGGAGGTTCGCCTGCACGCTGAATGGCTCCAAGGACGTTGACCTTGTGACCAAACTCCATTCCACGTTGGTATCGATCGCAGAGATTTTGGCCAAGGGAGGAAAGTTGGGGGACGCAAATGCGTCGAACGCGCTTGCCGACACCTTTGTTGTTCTGTTGCCCCGAAACAGCGTGGAGTTGAAGCAGAGGCAGACCTCGGGGATCATGAAGTGCCCTGCGATATCCAAGGAGTCGAGAAGATTTTCCATAGCATCGTTCTTGCGTTCTGAGAACGGCACCTGGGAACCTTTTGGCCGTTAGCTCAATCAACGCCATGCACAGCTCCCCATTGTGCTACAGAGTCCCCCACGAGCAGCACGCCGGAGGCCTCCTGACGTTGCGGGAGCCAGCTTGGGGTGAAGGTACAGCTGACGGGGCAGCTTGCAGGTGACATGTTCTATGGACCAACGTACCAGTGAGTATTACAGGCTTGCCCAAGTTCTGCAACATGAAGCTCAGAGCCGAACAGGTGTAGGCGAGACTGTCCGTGCCGTGAAGCACGACGAATCCGTCGAACAGCTTGTAGTTTCGGAATATCGTTTGCGCAATCTCGGCCCATCCTTGGCTGTCGATGGACGACGAGTCGAGCAGTTCCTCGAACTCAAGTACAGCATATCTACAGAGAAGTCAGCAAGGTAACGGCCGACGTCACGCTCTCACAGCCAGCTGCTATGGGCAAAGTGACGATACTGGCTCAGCGGTGAAAGCCCCTGACTTGCCGGACCCGTTTCCCATATACGCTCGTTGGCGTCCGCAAGCTCTGCAATTCGCCCAGGCCGTCGGGCCCGTCGTGCAACCTCACTTCCATGGGGTCATGGATCTCTCCGTCGTTGAATTCCGGCCTCGGCGCCATGCATCTCTCCAAGAAGTTCCGCGCCGGGACGAGGCCGTTGGGAGATTTCTGCATACAGATGGTACCTCCCGTCATGATGATCAGGACCCGAGCCTCGGGGATATGACCAGTGGTGGAGATATTGCTCATCACTGCTGCGAGGTTAGTAGCGTTGCAAGAGTCGATTCGTGCAACATACTCCGGGTCAGGGCCATCTCGCCCTCCAGGTCTGTTTCTGGTCAGAAACGCACATCCGGTGAGCGGTAACTGACCTGCTGTCCTATCTATCTCCATCTTCTGGCTCGACCCTGACGTAAGTCGTCGTGACCGGTTCATGGCTGTGCTAAATCTTACCAAAAGTTTAATATATCACGACCCCGACCAGTGAAGAGATTTTTTGCTTCGCTGGGCAAACCATTCGATGCGCGTTACTCCGAGCCCCTGGTAGGGCTCACAGGGGCAAACGTGTCTGTGACTCGCGTACCAACGGTTTTTGGCGAGGTACTTCGGCACGCCAGAAGCAGCTTCCCGGAGAGGCTTTCAATTGGCTGGCCACTTCTAGAAGACTTGGAGTGCTACTGTGGTACAAGTCCTTCATCCCTTGCTGGAATTGCGCTCTCGTTTCGACTTCTTGCAACAGCTTCAGTAGCACAAGCCAGAACTTTCCATTCAGGGCACGCCTGGAAACCCCGATTGCAGGGAATAACGGTTACCGCGGGCGTCGGCTATCTTAGTGTGCCAAGTCGAGCCGAAGATGCCTTTCAAGTCATTTTAGGTGTTCTCGATGACTTCCTTTTCTCTTCCCCCATGGAAATGTGCTCTTCCCAGTCCAGAGGTCCATGTTGCGGTTTTCCCGCAGATTCCGTCGGCTCTCGCCCACATCCTGGCTGAATTGATCTTTGCTGGGTGCCCACGTTGATTGAGAACACGAGGGCCACTGTGGCCATAAGCGAACCTCGCTCATTGGTGACGCAAGGGATGGTTGGATTTATCACCTTCTAGCAACATGGCCGCGGCCCGTGACATGTCAAAGCAGGTATCCTGCCTGACTCTGGAACTTTGCTCAGAAGGGCCCTTTCCAATCGCATCTGTTTGTTCATTTCCGAAACTGTACACTGGCGGAGATTAGCGTGCGGCATCTTGCACTAACGATGACAAAGACATGGCATGGCACACGTGCAACAACAAAGGAACTAAAGGCAAGCGACGCGTGAGGCGCAGAACTTCTTCCTGTGCATTGCATCTTGCAGTCCCATTGCGCAGAGAGGAGCAAGGCAACCAGCAGGAATTGAGATTTCAGCTGGATTTCAATCCATGGTTCTGCACCGGCGATGGATCCCCGACGCTGGATTTCCAAGCAGCGGGCACAAAGCAGTTGAGGTCAGGTGCAAATGGATCACCACGCCTGTAAGAGGAGTAGATGAGGTTGGTGAAGCAGCCTTTGTTGAGCATCTGGTCCTTAGGTGCGATGCTACGCTCATTTCTTTGTGGATTTATTCTTGTCACCTCCTGTTGTGTGCTCCAGAACAACGTCCGCTCATTCAACTTCCCACGAGGTAGTTTGTCGCAGTTTGGCTGCGAACACATACCCTCAGAGAACTGGCAAGCTGGCTGCCCAGAGCATACATAGCTGAGACGAACGAGACGAACGATATTCGCTGTACCCTTATTTGTGTGCGGCGCTAGGTCGGCTTCTTGGCGGCAGCGCAGCGGCAGGGAGATCCCAAGGCGACAAGGACTTCACGGTGGCCTGCGAGTATTGTGACGACCTGGTGAAGAGAACAGTGGTCGACAAAGAAGGCTCGAGGAGTGAAGTTGGGGTCGCGATCACCACATTTTGGCGGTAAGTGAACCACGGCGCTTTCCCTGCTCCCGCATTCTCTTGCTCACTTTGCCAGTTGATCCCTCACCTACCGACTCATCTTCGTGTTTGCGCTCTTTTATTGTTCACGCCGACCATCTCTTGTCCGCTGTTCGACCGACCTTCGACGCTCTTTTGTCGATCCGCCCGTCGCTATCCTTCCACTCCTTACATTTGTTCCTTACACTTCAAACTTGATACACCGACCGATCGACCACTTCTTCGATCCTTAACGGTCAATCGCACATCCGCAGCCACTCTCTTACACAAAGCGAATCGATCTCACAATGGCGACACTACGCGTCAAGCTCAAAACCTCCCTCATGCTTCTTGTGTCCCCCTTCTTCGCTGGCCCAGCCACTGCCTTTTTCCGTCACCTCTGCCACGGCGAACTGGGCAACGGCAGAGTTGATCCCATTGTCGCCCCCGGCAACCCATCTCAACATCTCCACGTTATTTTTGGCGCATCCAGTAAGTTCTGTCACCACTTGCGTCAAATTAAAAGACTGACCGCTGTCGCAGATGTGGGACTTGACCCAACTCTTGAAGAATTGCTGGCCTCGAACTGCACCAGCTGCTCCATCCTGCAAGATCACTCGGTCTACTGGACTCCGCGCATGTACTTCCAGCACGGCAACAGCACTTTCGAAATGGTTCCCACATCTGGCGGTATCACTGTGTAAGATAACTCCCGAGGTCTCTCCGGAATCAAAGCCACGTGCTGCAGACTGACAGTTTGATCGCGCAGGTACTACTTCACCGAGCCCGATCCAGTCTTCAAAGACCCGGTCACGGCTTTCCCACAGAACTTCCGCATGGTTGCAGGCAATTCCATGAAGCGTGCTTTCCTTGGTCCTAACCCAGACCCGCCAATGTCGAACTGGGATGTCAACGACAAGTCTCAACCACAGCTCATGGAAAAGGCTCTCGGTTTCAACTGTCTGAACTACGGTGCACAGCCTGAGGGCGCACGTCAATACCACTACATGCGAAACAAGACTTTCCTTGACGACCAGTGTACAGATGGTATCCGTGCTGAGGTCATGTTCCCGTCCTGCTGGAATGGGAAAGATCTCGACAGTGACGACCACACCAGCCATGTCGCCTATCCGAACGCAGTCCAAAATGGCAAGTGTCCGGATGGATACCCCGTGCGTCTGCCAACATTGTTCTATGAAACTATCTATCAAACAAACATCTTCGCTGGGATGGACGGACAATTTACCTTCTCCAACGGTGACCCGACAGGCTATGGCTACCATGGAGACTTCATGTGTGCGTGGGATGCAGGTGTCCTTCAGGGCGCGATCGACAGCCCTGCATGCAATCTTCCTCAGCAGGCCTCCGGCAACCAGGACGACTGTCCAATCTTTGACCTGCAAGAAGTTGATGCTGGCACTCAATGTAAGATGGAAATTCCCGAAATTCTGCAGAATGAGCCAATCAATCTCATCCAACAATTGCCGGGAAACGTCCAGATCCAAGCTGGCACTGGATCTGCCACCATGGGACCTATGCCTGGAGCCACAGCACCGGCTGCTAGACCTGTACCCTCTGCCAATTTCACGGCCTTGTCCACACCCGCTGTACCCACTGCTGGACCCACGGCTTCGATGTCGACTTCGCCCCCAGCTACCACGCTGAGTCCATGCACATCCAAGAGTCAACACACAACCACGACTGCATTCATGAGCAATGGCGTCATGATCAATATGGTCTTGGTCGAGGAAGTTGTGACTGTCACTGTGTCAGACGGTCCCTCTTCGGTTGTACGTGTCCATCGCAGAGGCCACAAGCGCAAGCATGGTCACCAAGATGGCCGGCTGTAAAGGCGGTATGTGTGCGGCTATAGCTTCGCCCTGGCAGCTATCAGTTGGGTATCCAGACATCCCTTACACATATGTCTTGGAAACGCATCCTGAAAGGAGGAATGGAATGATCTTTTCGCAAGCTGCATAACCACAGCAATGATTTGACGAACGAAATGAAATGAAACAAAGTGATATGCTGATGATGAGCTGGGGGCCTCTACCCTGGGGGATATTCCTGGGCGGAATTCAATACCTTGTGAGGTGATTTCGATAGCAAAGGATGAGCAATACGAAGATGAAATGAAGCTGAGATGATAGCTGTGTCGACATGTTGAGCCGTGGGCTTGTTTCAGGGTTGAGGGAGGATATTCTTATCCTGCACCTGTACCTGTACTCACCACCACTGCTTGACTTGAGCTTTGAGATGTGTTCCCGAGCGTGTACCACCTGCAGCGCCCCCGGGGTTGTCAATACAAGTCCGAGATGAAAATGAAGCTTGAGCTGAAACTCAAAGTGAAGTGATTGTGCGTGTTCTGGCTTGATGCCCCACCGTATCTCGAAAAATGCCGCACAACCCCCGAAACCGCCGACGTACCACAGTACTTGTATCGTCTTATAGCTTACCATCACGGCCGACACGAAGTACTGACTCAGGCCAGACGGACGTTTCTGTCACCACATCACCGCTTGCACGATTCGGATTCTGGCCCACCATGTCCAACACATCAACCACGACGCGCAAATCGGCCGCCGACATCATCAACTCGGCCTCACGGCCCACCAAGCCCTTCGCGCGGCACGAAACCCACAAGCACGACCCCCGCAAGCAACTGTGGTGCGACACGCAGTGGACCACGCTGAGCATGCAGGCCAAAAAAACGCATAACCTGCCCACGTTGCCTTATTTTGATCCGGACACGATGCTGCTTAGTAAGGAGGTGAATGAGAAGTTGTGGCGTCAATTGGTATGTTTCATCATGTGTGTGTGTGTGTGTGTGTGTGTGTGTGTGTGTGTGTGTGGCGCCGCGGTGGTTAGCCCTTTCTATCTTGGGTTTTGTTGTGTTGCGTTTCGGTTTTTGCTCGACGCTTTTTCCCTCTATCTCTGCCTCTGCCTCTGCCTCTGCCTCTGCACCTGGCGTCAGTTCTGATGTTTCGTGTGCTTTCTAGGAGAGACTGTGGGATTACTTGGGCCCCGAAAGGGCGCCGTTCGCCACCCCCGTCATGGCCGAGGGCGGCGAAGTGAAATGGCATTCGTTCATGAATGGGGACAAGGGCGACGAGGCCGAGGTGTATGCGAGTGCCGTGGACGCGTTCATGAGTCGGACGCGCAAGCCGGGGGAGTATGATGGATGAGCAGTAGCCCAGGTGGAAGCAGCATGTCGATTGTAGGAGTGAATATCTCCCCCTGTGGATGCAGCGGGGGACGAACCGATGGATTTCAAGGGGAGTGATTCGGTCGATACGCATCCTGCTTTGGGACCCTCGGGCCATCTCAGTCGACTCCACGCGTGCACGGCCGTTTTGTCGGCGATGGGCGTTGAGGTCTGGGACACAACTGGACGGGATTGGACTGGATATGACAGGTCAAAGCAGCGCAGTACGCACAATCTTGCACAGCATGCACAGGTTTGTACAGTTCGCCAATGGTCGTGGTGGCTAAGGCTTTATGACGACGGTCCACCCGAGGCTGGCTGCCGCGTGATGGCTGGTGGGAGCGGGAGAGGTCACTGCCGAGGGGGCACGTACATTTACTCCCTACTAGGGCTGTGATCCCATATTCAAGAACATGGTTGGAAGCGTACGAACCGATCCCAACTGGACCCGAAGCTCTACATCCATCAGCCTAGCTACAGTTGGTAGCCAGCGTACAGTACCGATAGCGCTGCCATATATGCTGCTGCATTGTCTGTCGTGTGCGCTGTGGCGTCTACGGCATCTCAGGCACTCGCCAGCATCCAAGTTCATTTTCATCTTCGTGGGGCTTTAGTTATCTTTGCCTTAGATTCATTCTCAAGCTTCAACTTCCAATTCAATTTCAACTTTCACATTACATACTCATCCATCCTCATCTCACACAATAGGCAACTAGTAACTCAGGATCACGGTTTGCTGAGCACCATGAATGGGACCATCCAGCTCACGAGCCAACAAGTCAACCACTGAGTCGGACTGTCTATTTCGCTCGTTCTCAAAAGAATTGTTTAGTCATCCCCGAATCCGTCCTCCATGGTCTCCAATCTAGTCTGTACGGAATACTTGGCTCTGAGGTGCCATATTATTTGTCCTTCCCTCCCGATGAGCGATGGGCGGGCAACAGGCGCAGCTCCTCAGGGAACTCTACAGACTCTTACTGGCTGCTGCCGAACTGCATTGATGCCGCAACCGGCGCAACGGATGCGTACGACGGCGGACTTACCGTTGCCGAAGCATATCGTAAGTCGCACAAGTCGAGGTCAGCAAGTTTGGGTTGCAAATAGGATAAATCCATGAGCTGGCAGCGTCGGAAGATGTCTAGCATTTCCGGAACGTGGAAAGGGGCGTAAGAAATCCCATGATTCGGGTTCCGACAGGTCCAGCTCAACTACCCGCTGCGGATGCATCGCAAGATGGAGTGATACATCCTCCGTATCTTGTTTAATGAGCGTCTCGGTCCTCTGATACGAGAAGCAGTACGGACGAGGAGTGAGTGATTCGGGAATGTGGTTGCAGCACGGCTCGGTGCTTGATTTGCTCCGCAGGGCCAGTAGACGACGATGTGCCAGTGGAATGGAGATCGCCTTCATCTGCTCGAAACCAAGGACGTTGACCTCCTCCATTCCAGCCGAGACGTGCCGATGTAGACATCAGCACGTGATTTGAGAGGGGCAGATTGCGGAAAATCAACCGAGTGCCATCCTGAAGGCTCACTTACTTGTCATTGCTACATGTAGGTATCTCTTTGCTTCTTTCTAGAAGGTCTTCTTGATACCTCACCCCACCAACCACAACTGGCTGGCAATCTTGTAGAACGAAAAGCATTCTCCCCCGTTCAGTCTTGGTTGGTATCCGCCACTCATGGCTGGCGTCTCGCTGGACTGCAAAAACCCACGCTTCAGGATGGTCACAGGGCCGTTGTCGAATTCCATCTCAGCCGTTCCCTTCAATACCACGCCATAGTCGAGGTTCTGAGTACGATGCATGAGGTTCTGAGTACGATGCATGAGGTTTCTGAGTACGATGCATGAGCTGAGTACCGCTGGCGCCGAAGTGGACTATCCGACACTCGGTGCTGCCCTTCTTGACGAGACCAAGCGGCCCACTAGCTATGGTTTCCCGGCGAGATTTGATATCTGCATCTCCGTTCAGGTACACTGGGAAGTTGTCTGTAGTGGAGATCGGGTTAAACCCCACTGCTCTTTCAGGAACCACGTCCACTGGCCTCAAAATGATGGGTGATCCGCCGCTTTCGCAGTCGAACTGTAAGTGGTTATGTGGATGGTCCGGTCGGACAGACAAGATAGAAGCGGTGGGTTCGCAGACATATCGGAATTTAATTATCACCCAAAAACGAGGATGTCACGGTCCGAGGTTTCGTGTCCGGAATACTCCAAGTCTCGAGAACTTTTGAGGTAACAATGCTCAGAAATTAGTAGTTCAAAGAATGATAAAACAGACGAGCCGTCCTAAAAAATCGGCCTTCCTCACGCATCACCGGCCTCTTTCAACATATTCGATGCTTGCAAACAAACCACGGAGAGAAATTAGGACTTCGAACGGTGGCCTGCATGGTCGGACAACCCGATTCACAGGACTGGAAAATTCCTAGATTGGGTGGCCTGAAGTGGGTGGAGTGAACAGTTATCACGCACGACTCTCCCCTCGGTCCGTATGAGACCCCTTCGTCCGCCGATGGAGGCTGCAGTCACGGTGGAAAGACTCAGTCACCTCCTCTTCCCACTCGCATGGCTGGAAGTCGAGTCGACATGCTTCGTGCTTGATAACTTCATGTTTCAGAAAAATTTGCGACTGCTGGGGTTACAATAGCCCCAAGTCACAATGCGACGCAAGTCCAGCGCCAGCCAGCTTCAAAAGAGGTTGCCAACAGGAGAGAGTGGACCTTCTGGACACGAAAGAGGGCGTCAATTTGGAATGTGGGGTGAAGCTTCCATGTACAGTCTGTGCACAATCGACGTTGAGGCAGCATTTCTGGTGGCGCGACGTTTCACAGGAAGAGGTTTCATCATCGTTGATCTGCAAAATGAAATGGACCTGAAGCAGAAGAGATTTCGCAACAAATTCCGGGGAAGTTGCCTTTTTCAGGGGAGCCGTTCCGAGGTCCTGGCGGTGGAGCAGCGGTACATCATCGTCTCCCTCAGCATATCGTAGGACATGGTCGAAAGGGTACGTACGGGTACTGTCTCGAATGTGTACTCATCCTTTGCCAAAGCCGGAAATAAATCTCCCTCTGCTCATCACGCCATCATCCTCCAGCATGGTCCCCTGACCATCAACCAAATTTCTTCAAAGCACAGCGATGCATAATTTGGCAGGGCCCAGTCTTCGGAAAAGTCGGAATAAGCAGGGGGGATGCGAAGAAGCTGCCTGGTACTCAAGCTTTTGTTCTTCTGTCCCGCCCGAACCTAGGAAACGTGGGCACGTCAAACTTTACACAGGTACCAATTATTCTAGACTCTGGGGTGTAGTAGTCTAGACACGCGTTGAGACTGAGAGGAAGAGGCCTGGGCTAGAAATGATACTTACAGCCCGATGGCGGGTTTGGCTTGTTCCTGTGCTTGTCTTGAGTCTGATCGGTCACCATGCCGGCATTCTAGTGATTCAATGCGCATGGCAAGGGATGCCTATAGAGAAGGGCCCCCCTGCGGTGGCACGTCCATCCATGAGCTCTGACAGGGACGTACGTATAAGATAAGGGATGCATTCGGAGGCCACATTGCAGGGCCTAAGCCCTACGGCTTTGCTGTTCTCAGGCGGTCGGGGCACAGATGAGCGGGCGAGTGTAACCTGAACTTTGGGGCCAGAGCCACAAAATGGAAAGCGCAGGGGTCGATGCGATATGGAGCTTTTCCGCGGTAAGCTCTAGGACCGCCTGACTCGGCAGGGGATCGGAAGGCCGCTGGGAGGGTTACCGTAGTCTTCTAAACGAACACGACCATCTTGGGAAAGAGCATCGTTTCCTATGATGGTCGATGTGACATTATCGGTCACAGCGGCGAAATCATTGATGGCAGCAACATTGTGGTCAGGGCAGCGGAAGCACGCGCGAGGATGAAGTCAGGTACTCCGTATGCCTGATATGCCTGCCGTGCATGGTCCAGTTACCAGGTAGTCAAGGGTTGACCTGACCACCTGCCGCATGCGCAATGATTAAAGACAGAAGCGGCGAATCGAGCGTTGATCTCTGACGCACACTTGGGGATAGAACTAGAGCAGCTGGAGGTACTTTTGTAGTACGCTGCTATTATGGTAGCTTCCAGTCGCCGTTGCCACCGCCATCGTGGAAAGGCCGTAGCCAGCTGTTGGCCACTAACGACAATACCAATAATTAATGTCAACTGGGAACACCCTCACTCCCAGTACTTCCTTCGCATGATCAACCGGTAAAACCTTCTGGGTATCTGGCTGTGAGCACCGGATGTGAGGAACTCCCCGGGGACCCGCGAACACCCCTCAAGCCACCCTCTGCCCCGGCCTTCGTTTTTCCTTTCGCATCGAAGCGCACAATACCGCAGCCTATTGGTTGCTTACGAGCAAGACGAGTACATGACTCGACTGAATCTGTTGCTGCCAGCATCAGGCACACCCGCCTCGAGACGAGTAGTACTTTGCTGGGCCTGCCACTAACCGCTGACCTTTTGTGCAGGCAGACCTGACCCCGGTCTGAGCCCACTGTCTTCTATCAAATAATCGCCGTTACCACCTGATTATTCCACTCTCTGATCTGCGTTTATTCCCTGCACTCCAGTCCTTCGGGAACATTGACGGGTCAAGAAGCCTCGACCCCCGGCCCAGCCGCCGAAGACGAAGACTAAGCCCCGTCTCGGAGCCAAGGAAGCTGGCGATGTACCGGGCAACAAGTACGGACACCAAGCAGGCCTTCAAACTAGTTCACTTAGGCTCTTGCGTTTGACTTTACTTTACATAACTCAACCGCCACCTTCAACAGCTCTCTCGACCGCGCACTTCAGCCGAGTCGCCTCTCACAAGCTCAGCAACATCTTTAACCATTCAATTACCGACGCCTCCCAGTGGTCTTTTTCAAGCGGGTTCCGAATCTCCGCCAACCACCGGCCGGGTGCGCACAGCCCCATCCACGCGTATCTAGTCGCTCACCTAGGTGGAAAGCAGTCCGCCGGAGACATCCCTATCATCACGAAATGCCATATCGATGACTTGTTGAATATAATGAAGTGATAGATCGCAACGTGGCACCGGACAACGGTTTGTTTATTTTTCGCCATGGATTCTGCCGACAGCTCGCCCGTCGATCGGAAAAAGCAGCTGTCGAAGCGTTCGTCGAATTCGTATACTTCGGAGGAGTGGCGGAGGCACCGACCACTGATCACCCAGTTATACTTCGAAGAGGGCCGGACGCTCAAAGACGTGGCGGAGTACCTGAAACGCGAATATGACTTTGGCCCAACGTATGTATTTTGTTGTCGCTCAGATTCGACTTGGTCACTAATAAATCCTCTCCGTCAGAGAACGGATGTATAAAAGCAGACTTCACACATGGGGCCTGGACAAGAAAAAGAAAGAGCATGAAATGCTTGATCTGGTTCGTCAAGGTCTGCAGCAGAAGGGGGATGACAAGGACAAGGTGTTCTTGGTCAGAGGAAGGCAGGTAACTCTCGCCGACGCTTTACATTACTTCAACCGCAAAGGAATCAAAGATCCCTCAAGTCTACTGGAGTCCCAACGGGCACTCTCGGGTGAATTATCGTCACCCGATGATGCCGACGTGAAGACACCTCTATCATCCAACGACGACACGCTCCACGCTACCCACGACGCCGACGATTTTGAGATGACCAGGAGTCCAATGGAGATGGACGACCGAGATAAGCCGGCTATATCGTTGAGACTGAGGGCCTCCGACTTCGCCGCCGAACGTCTAGCTATTCTGCAACAGGTGCTAAATATACCCGATCTTCCGCCAATGCCTCCATTCCGAACACTTTCTGTCGAGTCGACCGTAGTTCAGGCTCAAGTGTCGGCCGAGGATCAACGATGTCTAGATGTCATCTTCCAGAATATGCAGAACCACTTTATGAATTTATTCACAGCACGGAATCTCTCGATCCGGAACACCACGGGCACGTGGACCGCCACGTCAGATGATGCGCTCGCCGACCGATTCTACTATTCCATGTACCATGGCTTCTCCTTTCTGTGGAATGGTCAGCGGGATCGAGCTTTCGACAATTTCTACAAAGCGTTCGCGCTAATCGAGGGTCTACTCAAAGATGATCACGTCGGCTTCATGATCTACGTTTTCGACCTCATCATTCGCCACGACGGGACGGGATATGAAGAACCATTACTGATGCTTCTGCAACATCTGGCCGATATGGCCAAAGCCGTCTTCGAGTCCGAAGAGCACCCTATATACCTGGTTGCTACAACCATGCACAGTGCAACTGCTTCCCGAGCCTGGCTCGCCGAATCCACGTTACGCAGGCTGCTTGACTTCTTCCAAGACAGCATCGGATACTTTCATCCAGAAACGATCGCTCTTTTGCAGACATTTGCGAGCGGTCTGCTGAACCGGGAACGATTTGCGGAGGCCGCGGTGCGATTTCAACAACTTGTCGACGCTTTTGAGACGACGGTCAACAAACAATGCTACGACGTTTGCTACGCATTGCGATCCACTTCCGAGGCATATTTTTACATGGGCCAATATACTCAGGCACTCCAGGCTATCAAAGCGTCATTAGAACGTTCGCAGACCTTACCTCGCCCAGAAGAGCGTGAGATCTACGTGCGGTGTCTGAGAGGGATGGCGGAGATATCGCACAAACTGGGCCGGAAGGACGAGGCCGTCGAGACAATGCAACATGTGGTGGATGTTTGTCGAGACGCGTTCGGACCCGAACACGCATTCACCAATCGAGCCAAGATGCATCTCAAGTCGATCTTGAAGGGCGACGCCGCAAGCGCATCTGCCATTCCGCCGATGGTGTACAGGCTTGGCCGTGGTGGCAATGCAGCCAAATATATTTGGATTTCTCGATCCAGTCCTACTCGACTCCAGGCTTGACACAATCCATCCAGGGTCGGGAAGCATACGATAGTTACGAATGTTTATGACGGAGTTGGTGACATTGCTTACGCTGTTCAACTGTCCGGTCCACATACCCATTTGTCGTCGCGTTGATTGGGAAGCGTGGCTTATGAAGAGCTGGCGAAAACCTTTTCATGTTTAAGAGCGCTGGTTTACGTGGTCATGCGGCGGATATGCTGCGTCAGCTGCTTCGTCGCACCCCTTGTGGGTGCCACACGGTGCAGGATTATGGGCTGGTGCGGACAGTCCTTCGTCGGGTGCTTGTCATGCGGACGCATGACCGTCCACACACTTCAGGACCTGTTGCAAATAAATGTCTTCCAGCGTTGACTCACATCAAACTCGAAGTAAAGCTCGGTGATTGAATTGACGACAACGCCCATCCTGGAGAGTAGGCCGCAGGGCATTCGATACCAGAGGTCCGTCTCTTCTCCAGGAGGGTCACTGGGGAATAGGTCGTACAAGTACCGGGTCCAGCGCGGCACGAATTGTACCGCAGGTCGGACTGTGAGTGGCGGGGCACATGCGGAGGGCCTTAACTGGCTCATCGATAGCCCCGAGCCTAGCCAGGTCTTCCTGCTTGGGTACACAGCACAAGTACATACTGTGTACAGCGCCGGGTAATTCGTGCCCCGGATATCCCTTCGTCTAGCAGCGGACCAATTACTGGGCATTGAAGCACGACATGCCAACCTGAATATAGAAACAGAGCCCCTGCAGGCCTCCCTCTAAAACGGCATTCGTGGTCCGCAGAGGCTCGTGGCTATTGGGGGCCAGACCTTCCTCGCTCGGCGTCCCGGTCAAGACCTATCGACAACCCCGCCTACTGTGCCTCACCGTACTGTGTACAAGTTTCTGCAGGGGGACGATTTGTTTACACCACTGACGTCGCTTCCAACTCCAGTTTTTTTCGTTCGAGAGAAGGATGTTTCGTACGTATCTCGAAGAGCGTGCATTGGAGTAAAACACAAAACGCCACCCAGCCATGAAGAGAGCCACCTCAATGATCGGGTCAGGAGAGGGCAAGATTGGGCTAACTTAGTTAGCCGATCGCCTAGTGAGGCCTAGAGAGCCCGAACCCCAAGCCCTCGTGCCCCTCTGCCCCTTACGCTAATCGTGCACGCCTTCGTACAAAGTCGACCAGCCGGAGTCGGCTTCGGACATCCTCGAGCCGTGTATGGTAGATTGTTGACACTGATCCTGATTGCCGCATTCTCTCGAGTGCGATTTGCAAGACACGATATAACCTCATCGCAGCCTGCATTTGACTACAGGGCGCATCACAGACCCTCGATTTCCCTGATTGTATGCCCACCATGGTTTCAGCCTCGGAGAAATACTACATCAAAGATGCAATCACCAAACCTGCCATCCACCACGAGTCGTACCAGAAGTTGTGGGAAACAAAATGGAAGGCACCTGTATGTGGCTGGTGGAGAAGTTGAGGCCGAGATAAAGTCACTGACATGTGAGGGAAACAGTGTGCGATGGGAGTGTATCCGTTCATGTTCGGCAGCATCAAAGACTTCGAGCCCGTGGCGGAACAGATCATCCAGGTCAGCATCGACAGTCGCTGTCCCTTGGCCCAAAGCTAAATTGCTCTGCAGAAAGGCCTGAAAGAACCCTACGACTGGGATGAGTACGCAGAGAACTACTTTCCTAAAGCCGAGGAACTCGCCAAGATCGCCGAAGACGCAGAGAAGGCGGGCGAGAAAGAAAAGGCCTCAGAATACTATCTTCGAAGCTCGGCCGTCTACCGCATCTCCCGCTTCCCAACACCTCGGTCGCCAAAGCAAAAGGAGGCTTGGACGAAAGGCAAAGAAGTCTTTTACAAGGGCGCAGGGTCAGTGACGGAGATGCATGCACAATTGGCGCGACCATGGCTGACTGGGGAATAGACTCATGGAGCACCCCATTGTCGAGGTCAAGATCCCTCACAAGCATGCGATCGAGGGCGAAGGCGACGCTGTCCCTGTCAACTTCCTCCTTCCACCCAACGCCTCTGCGCAGTCGCCTGTGCCATGCGTCTTGATCATCACTGGGCTCGACGGCTATCGCACTGAACTGGCGGTCTGGCAGCAAGGGTGGCTGTCGAAGGGCGTGGCAACTGTCATCGCTGAGATCCCTGGCACTGGCGACTCCCCCGCTCTCCGACAAGATCCTACCAGCCCCGATCGTCAATGGTCCAGCGTCCTCGACTGGATTGACACCCAAAAGGCGATCGACAATACCAAGGTCATTGTCTGGGGCTTCTCAACAGGTGGCTACTATGCTCTCAGGGTGGCCCACACACACAAAGACAGACTGTTCGCCAGTATCAGCTTGGGTGGTGGTTGTCATCATGTAAGCGATGCCCGTAGCCCACGTGACCAATCTCTGTGCTAATCGCCTCTCCAGATGTTTGACCGAGAGTGGCTTGAACACGTCAACAAGCTCGAGTATCCCTTCGACCTTGCGAGCACATTCACGTACAAGTTCGGGTATCCCGACCTCGAATCGTTCATCCAAGACGCCGGCAAGTTCTCGTTGTTGAACGACGGCACTCTCGAGAAGCCTTGCACCAAGATGTTGTTGGTCAACGGTAATGACGACGAGATCTTCCCCATCGACGACATGTTTGTCGCCCTTGAGCACGGTGGCCCCAAGCTGGCCAGGATGGTCAAGGGTAAGAAGCACATGGGTGTAAGTATCAGCGATTCTCAGGCCGCGCCGACAGACCAGAAAAGCTGACAATGACTAGGAACCCGACAGCTTCTTCATCATTCTGAAGTGGATATACGGCGTCCTCGGACTCGAAGGGAACATCATGGACCAGATGAAAATGTTGCCCTCTCGCACGAAGTATTAAGCGTGGTGATGACCGAAGATCAGGCAGCAGGCACGAAATTTGATTCATTGTACAAAGTCCGGCCTCAGATGCATAGCCGGAGAGGATAGAGCCTTGAGTGAAGACGGCATTACACTAGCATGCGGCGAAAGACGGCCTGAAGTATAGCGTACACAGTACTGTCCGAACCGACATCTACCAACCTAGTCCATTCCTACATTGTGTATCTCCTCAACTTTCCAATATCATACGAGGTACTCCGTACTAAGTAGCTGAGTTAGGTACGCATTATCACCGTCGTGACGGCGGACCGACCGTGCCGACTTCCAAATGCTGGCCGGGGGCTGTTGGGCTTCCGCTCTGGCGGTCGGCCGCTGTCGCGTCGAGTACCATTTGCAGCAAAGCATTTGCGGCGCGCTTTCTCCATCGGTCCTGGCCTCGCTAGCGAAAATACCAAGATACCAAGCAACGCCTATCAATGCCAATGCATTGGCGATCGTTGGCGGTCTAGCCCCGTTGAGGGATCCCCCCACGCGACTCCAATGCGCCCTGACGTTTCGACATTTGCAAACTCTTGTCCCTTGTCCCTGCTCCAGGCCGAGTAACCGCAAGGTACTCCGTATAAGAAGCTCGTGCTCGTATTCTTTGGCGCCATGATCAGACAGTTGAGGGATACGTAGCCGGCATCAATCTGTTGCAGGCGCACTTGTCGAAGGGAATTTGGCCACGTAGAGCTGATTCTGTTGCTGGTCGCGCAGGTCGTGCTTCTACCATTTGTCCGGACGCGTGGCGGAAACGGACCTCGGCGAAGTGTCCAACAGGACATAATGCTTCGATATTGGCTCGCCTAAAGCCAGCATTGCATAATTATCAGTCGTTGAGGTTCCGTGAGGGCAAAAGAGAACTTGCCTCAATACATCTGGAGCAGTTCGTCTGATCATACCACCTCGACAGCAGATCGTCGCAGGACTGCGCCCGGCCACACGCCACAATGATCACCAACGTGTTCCGACGAACGAACACCGTCTGCACTTTGGACACCGGTGGTCCAAGCGGAGAATCGTCGAGGAGGCCTTCAGCAGCCGACATCCATGCTCCTGGACGGCCGAGCCTTGCAGTACTATCGTTGCGTCTTCCGTCCCGCTCCAAGAGATCAAATTCGTCAAAGGAAGTTGACCCCGGCTCCGAATCTACGTGGGTACACTCAACGGGACCCTGGATTGCATGCTGATGACTCTTGTACAGGCAAAAGCTGTGGGAAGCACTGCTTGCCCTTCCCGGAGAAATCACTGCGCAGATCTTCTGTTATCTTCCCTTGGCCGACATTTTCGCTCTACGGCTGGCCTCTCGCTCCGTCCATGCGTACCTACGATACCACGCGGGCGCCATCACCCGGTCACTTCTCCTGCAGTGCGCCTACGAGCATACCACTGACTATGAGGGTCGTCTCGACCACGACAGGGCGCGGTATCTATACGACTATATCCAGACCATCTACCCTCCTCCGCAGCCATGTACTTCGTTCGACTACCTGCTACAGACCCTGAAACGACAAGCCCAGGTGCAGAAGATGTTGCAGGTGTTGACAAATTGGCTGCAAATGAAGGTCTATGTGCTGCCCAAGTTCAAGAGATGTGATAACTTCAACCCGTACAAACACAGGCTGATCCGGAGGCTGCATGTGGCGGCGTGGACGATGTACCATTTCCTCGAGAGCTATCGGACGATTCTGGTCTCGGAACATCCCAGCCACGAGGCCGAGCCGGTCCACTATCCAGATGGCAGATGCTCCCTGTGTCTCCAATCCGTCAAAGAGCTCCTACGAGTCTACCCCGGCACAGAGCTTGTACCGGCCTATCATTTCTACGGGCTGTGTCGGGGCCATCTCCACGCTCTGAGTAGGGCTCCATCGGCCGGGAGACTACGAGCAAAGAAATCACCCAGTGACGCTGATCTGATCCAGTTCATCGTGCTCGGTGGCGTCGGTGAGCTATGTAGACTGAGCTTGCTAAAGGGGTCGTCCAACCAACGCATCGAGGTCATTGCCAATTTCGTGGACAAGGTGTCCAGTGCAGCGATCCAGCAGAGAATACGCGCCGCCAATGCGCCCTCATCATCCACCGAGGCCGGCGCACAAACTCCGTTCGACGACCTGATCGCTCCTCTGCAGACCCCATTCCACCTCATTCACCACAGCACGATATCCAGCTTACCAGAGTTGCAAGCTTTCGTCACCGGCACGGACGCGTGGGTCACGGAGATGTACTCCAGGTTACGCCCAGGTGACCAGATTGCCGGTGCTTGGGAATTCGTCTACAATATTTTGAACGGGAAGAGTGAAAGGAGTGCAGCGGCAGGGGCAAAAGAGAGGCGCGGATCGAAAAGCCCCGACAGTGACCTCGACTTCTTAGCACCAGAGGAAAACGATGATGGATGAGTCTTGGACAGCGCCTCCAAAAAAAAGCATCGTGGTCTCACTGACGAAGTGTAGCTTCCGCTGCGTATGTGATTTTGTTTCGCGGCACAAATGAACCTGTAGGTCGTGTTTAGGAGCGATTACGAGTCGGTCGCGTCGTGGAGGCTACTCGCGAGCAATCGATCGGACTGCTCCTGCGAGCCCTTTGTGCCCATCTTGGACTCCATTGCTGCTGCCTGTTCTTGTTGAGAGGCCGCGGTCCTCGAAAGGAAGGGAGGTCTAGAGATCTCTGTCTTTAGAAGACACCGCACTTGTTCCCTCGGATTCTCTGATCCTTCTGGCCTGAGGACATCCCTTCCGCGACGTCTCAGATTTTGTCCGCGGCTGATCTCCAGAGACAATCCAATGTGCAAGCCAGCTACAGTTCTCCGTTCTCGTGGAACAAGCCGAGACGTGAAGTGTGGGTATTGGCATTCTACAGACGGCTTCTACATGATATCTCTCCACAACCTCAGCCACTTACTCTAATCGCATATGTGTGGGTCTATCGAGGGCTTGAACGCTGAGTGATAGATAGTCATACATCTCGGCTGCATAGGCTTAGATCTGTTGCCACCTTTTCCAGAGCCAAAGCAGGGAAAGCAAGAAAGGAAGGGCAGGCACATACTCTATATACCGACGCATACGGGCAGCCAACGCAACGAGTCAAGGAGCAAGGACACCTACCCGGCCGAGGGATGCCACATACTGTACTCGATGGAAGAAATAGACACAAGATTTCATCCCTGGGGATAGATAGGTTGGAGTTGGACATTCCACGTCCACTGCCAGTCGTGGATGCGCAAGGTGCCAAGTGTACAGTAGGTGAGATGTCCACTTCTAATTATGTCTGGGAGGCTCCACGTCATAAAACTTCTCGCGATACCTGTGTTATTGTGGAATTAGTATACATACGTTGTCGAACATGATGGATCTCCTGGACGTGCTGCGGACCAATCCGGGCGTCAGGTGTCTTCATGACTCTCGTACATCACTAATGTCAAGTTTTCCTGCAGGTGTGCAAGGAGGGACTACGAAACGGGATGGGAAATAGGTACCTAGATAATTAGGTAGGTGGGTAGGTAACCTTGGCGCGAAATGCCAGACAGACATGTTTCCCGAATGAGAGTGTTCGTCGCTTCTCCTTCCCTGTGAGTCTCAGTTCAAACTCATTCCTCCCGAGGTCCTTCGTCTTGGGGGGTCCGAGAAGGCGCAGTGTCATGCTGGGTAGAGGAGGTCCCCGTTAACGACGATGTGCTGCACGCGCGGCACTGGAATTTTCACTATGCACCATGGAAACCTTCTCTACGAGGACTGACCCGTCCCGGAGATCTATTGTCTACCTCTCACTCCTTGAGCGGAACGGTGTCCACATAGAGATTCCCCAACATAAACTCCGGATACCTATCCCCCGTAATCTCGGCCGCCTCGACCTTGGCGCGAATCTCCTGCTCCTCTTCCTTCGTGAGCTGGATCTTCAAGCTGCTCATGTTCTCCTCGAAATTCTTCACCTTGGTCGTCCCGGGGATGGGGATAATGTCATCGCCCTGTGCCATCAACCAGGCCAGCGTCAATTGGCCGGGCGTCGCGCCTTTGGTCTCCGCCAGCGCAGATATCGCGTGCACGAGTTCGATGTTCTTTGAAAAGTTCTCTTTAGAGTATCGGGGCATGATTCTTCGTCGATCGTCCGGTTCGAAGTCGTCGTGCGATTTGATCGTTCCCGTAAGGAAACCGCGACTGAAGGGCGAGTATGCCACGACCGCGACGCCCAGTTCTCGACAGGCTTGCAACAGGCCGTTGTGTTCAATGTCCATCGAGAAAGGCGAGTACTCGACTTGGACGGCGGCGATGTGGTGCACTTGACACGCCCACCGCAAGGTGTCGGCCGAGCACTCGCTGAGGCCGAGATGGCGGATCTTGCCTTCCTGTTTGAGCTCGGCCATGGTCTGCACGGTGGTCTCGATGGGCTGCTTCGGGTCGATCCGATGGCAGTAGTACAGGTCGATCGCGTCGCCGGGCTCGAGGCCCAGGCGTTTGTGGGAGCTGGCGCATGCCTCGCGGATGTAGGCGGGGTCGTTGATCACCTTTGTCTTGCCGTCCGGCTGCCGAACGTTGGCGAATTTGCTGCACAGGAAGATCTTGCTTCGGTTGCCGGTCTTTTGGAACCACCTGTGGGACATCAGTGAGAACGGGCTATTCGGTACAGGAGAAGAACCTCACTGTCCAAGCAAGTCTTCGCTGTCCCCGTACACATCGGAAGAATCCCAAAACGTCTCGCCGGATGCAAGGACATGGTCCAGAAAGGCCAATCTTTGATCATCTGGCAACTTTTTGCCGTAAAAGATTGACAGGCCCATCAACCCAAAGCCCAAGGCCGTCACCTGTGGTCCATCCTTTCCTAGTTGCCGAGTGGGCAGGTTAGGTGTCATTCTCTCTGCCCGTTACGCTGTGCAACTTCAACGCTGTACAGGGTCTTTCCTAGGGTCTGGAGATGGATCAGAAGAGGCGTCTCCCGCAAGGGGTATATAGCTTCTTATGTCCGTCCTCGCGCGCCACGACATCATGGTTTATGTCCAAAGATGTATGCAATCGTGCCGCTGCAATGCCCCTCACGGACGGGGTTAAGCCGGTATGTCGGCCGGGTTGCGGGGTGGGTGCGAACATCAGGATGGTCCGTCGGATGTTACGCCTCCTATTGCCGCTTGTCGGTCTTCCAGACTCCTTTGTTGCGCTTTTGGATTTCAGCAGTTGAATTCTAGCCCGAGTTATGGGGACCCGCAGCTATGCATTGCTGTAACACGACCGTTGCGTACGCTGGCCGTTCGAAGATTCTGATCCAGAGGCGAAGGAGAGGTGTGGGATGTAAATTCGTCTCAACCTAGGGTCCCTTTCGCCATCCTCGTCCCGGGATTGTGGTTGGAATGAAGTATTGACGGCTTGCGCGGCTTTGTAGCAGGAGTTATAAGCGATTCAAGAATGTATTCATCTGTGATCTCTTTCCGAATCCTGGTCTGTGTATCACCTTCCACAAGGCTTCAGCCATCCAGCAGCATCCCAGGTGCTCAGGTGTTCGCAGAGGAAGAACGCTACTACCAAACGGTCCTCGAGACGGTGCCGATCAAGGGCCCTAAGTTAACCTACCAGTGCTGAGATCCTTGATATTTTTGAGAAGAGTTGGTGTGGTTTGACGTAGTTTCATGATCGTTTAAGCCCGCACAACATCAGGCTCGTTCACCCGTCCATGCACGAGCTGGACCTTGGCGAGCCAATCTCGCTATGCCGGGTCATCTGGTGACTAGGGCACCTTGACTGTCGTCTATCTGGAACAATTTGCCTTCATCCGGAGGGTCATCGCGAGCGTATTTGGTGCGCCAAAGGCCTGAAGCTCTCTATATCAGCAAATACCTTCGTCTCATGGGAGTATGGCGGGACCGATGTTGCGCACAGATGGGATCCTTCTCCAAGACATTTACCGTTTGTGAAGTAGAAGTCGAAGCAAGCCAAACGACAATTTGAAAAGACGACCTGAGCGAGCTCCCAATGCATATCAGAGGGGAGCTCGTTGATTCTATTCACAAACTTATCGGACGCCAGCGAGACGACAGGAGTAAGCCACCGGTTTGCCAGCGAATGGCCGCTGTTTTCCGTCACCGTTGGTGGCGAGATTGGCTGAGTTTCAGCTTCTGCCAGCCCGCCCCTAGACCCGACGTTCGAGGGGATATCCTTATCCATTTCAACTTCGCCTGCCTCGAGTGGCGGCTCAACTGTTGTGTCTCCCAGGTCTGTCTGCTCGGCTTTGCTGGTTCCCTTTGCCATTATCCTCATCTCTTCCAGACCGGTCTCGATGCGTTGGAGCGACGAGCTGAGGAACGTAGGCGCCACCATTCCTCTGGGAGGGTTCAGGGCTCAACTCACTTTCGCATGGATGTCATCAGGAGATTGAAGCTGGAGATATGGAAGAAATGTCCTGATGCAACCTCTTGATCTTTCCCTGGCCGGCCACCCATCTCACCTTGATCCATAGCTATTCCGACGGTTTCCGCCGGATGCCCTTGGCCGGAACTTGTCGACAAGCTGTTGTACCTGATCCAAAGTGGCTTTGAGGTTGACGGTCATAGATTGATGCATCATTCGGCTTCCCCGTGAGACTTGATGGCAGAGTCCTTCGACTGTAGATCGTCTTCGATGTGATTGAGACCTCCATATACAGTTGTCCGGTCCCTGGCAATGTTCCTGATCTCCTCGGGGCCATCCTTTAGCGCTTTGTACAGATCCCAAGATAACTTGACGACCTTCTTGAAGTGCGTTATCGAGGATTCGAATGACATCTTCTGGTGGCGCTTCCGAGTCGTCCGAAGTCAAAGTGACCGGAAGCAGAAAATCCAGGCTGAGTTGGAAAGGTAGCCAAGTTAAGCAAGATCTCACGACTAGGCTCACTCATGCAGAGTGCACGCGAGCCGAAAACATATGGCTCTGGAACTGGGTTACGACTGTCAACAGAATAGCAAAGCGGATTGTTGTTTACTCAGGCAGAAATACGAGGCCGCGGGGCACAGCCCAAACTCGAACGAGGCAGGAACGTCGGCGCCTGTGCCTACCAGATGCATGGAATCTGCCTTACTTTACGCCCGAGTCTGGCCATGAGAGCTAGCCTGTCAATCAGTTGCAAAGACAAAAGTAAGGGCTGGGGAGGCTGCTGGGTGATCGGTCACCAAGAAAGCTCTGGAGGTCGTTTTTGGATAAAGTGCCGGGAAAAGAACCTGAACATCTCGACAAAATCCATTCAAAACTCGCTTGACCGAATTGAAAGAGCTTCGAGACGGGTCGTTTGAGACCTGCGTGACATGTGCGGGTAGCAGGAAAACAACATGGCGATTAATCAGTTCCATGGAGTAAAAGTGCAAACATGACCGTCCTCGATACTTAGTACCTAGCCGTCGCCGTATTTTCTCGGCGGTCCTTCGTGTCGCCCGCACCGTACTGGCAACGTTTCCACTGCACCCCGCGCGAACGAAAAGCACGACAACAACCCAAATCGACGCCGGTCCTAAGAAGTGAATATTCCTCTTTACATTCTCCCCCTATCCTGTTCACTTTCCTCTTTATCCCTCGACTGGCGCAGTCCGAGCCGAGCGGCTCAGCTGCCACCACCATGGCCAGCGAAGCCCAATTCGACGCAGCCTTGTAAGCAAGCACCTCACCTCACCCAGCCGGCACAGCGACCACCTGTGAGAAGCAGTTCAATTGGCACTAACGATACCCCTCCTCGCACAGAGACCTCCTCCGCCGCCTCCCACCCACATCCATCCCCCAGCATCTCACCAACATAACGGCCCTAGTCCCCTCACTGACGGAGGACCTGCTCTCGTCCGTGGACCAGCCGCTCTCGGCCCAACGCTGCCCCTCCACGGGCCGCGACTACCTCCTATGCGACTACAACCGCGATGGCGACAGCTACCGGTCCCCCTGGAGCAACGAGTTCTCCCCGCCACTAGACGACGCCACGTACCCCTCGGATCGCGTGCGGAAGATGGAGGTCGAAGCCAACACCGCCTTCGAGGTCTACAGGCAGATGTACTACGAAGGTGGGGTAGGGAGCGTGTACCTGTGGGACTTGGACGACGGGTTCGCCGGCGTGGTGCTGCTCAAGAAGAAGGAAGGCAAGGACGCCGGGTGGGATAGTATCCACGTGTTTGAGGTGGATGAGCGGCGCGGCGGCGCCACGAGTTCCAAGACGTGCCATTATAAACTGACGAGTACGGTCATCTTGCATCTGGGCCGCGAGAGCGAGAGTCTCGGCCAGTTGACGCTGGCCGGGAGTATGACGAGGCAGGTCGAGGCCGACTTGGTGGTCGAGAGTGTGGGTGCTAATGGCAAGGATGGTGGACATGTCGTCAATGCGGGACGGTTGATCGAGGACATGGAGGGCAAGATGAGGAACATGCTGCAGGAGGTATACTTTGGCAAGGCCAAGGACGTGGTAGGTGACCTGAGAAGCGTGGCCAGTTTGACGGGCGTCAATCGGGATAGACAGGCGCAACGGGACGTTATCAGCAGTATGGGAGGGAAATGAGTGAGACAGGAAGCTGTGCCTCATTTTGATGGTCGTGCTGGGCACACTTGTCATGGGCAGCGCAAAAGGGCTTGAATGTGTCATGCTATGGACCATCTTTTGTGCGGCAAGGCCATAATCCCTCGAGAGTGGGCGAGGCATTGAGTGAGCATTCAAGCAACGTGCATGAAAAGAGATATCCTCCCCAGCTCAAATGGTCCTTACGACAACGACCCGAGCCTCACACGCTGAGATCATACTTTGAGAGCGGATCTCGAGCGCTCGGAGTCACCAACCAACCCCCGCTGGGTCCGAGGATAGAACATGATTCTGTGCAGCAATCAAACGCTACAAGCCTCTTCTCTCCCCCAGTTGGCTCGATGTGGATTGCCAGCATGGGTAGAAGCGTAGCACATCAGCCGAGTTTGACACTGCCTTACATAGCTCATCAATCTCTTCGGCAGACTCCATGTAATGTCAAATAATCAACTCCTCGTTGTTCATCTCCTGCTCCCGTCACAACTAATCGTGTGACTCGACGGTGGGGAGCTGGACCTGCCAGAGCGATGGTCAATGCCTGTGGTGGTGCCGGCGAGCAAGCTGGATTCCAACAAGCTGGTCCAGCTTTCCAGTAATCCCATCCTCGCATGTGCTTGGATTTCGTCATGCATGACCAACTGAATATCATATCCACATGCAACTCATGCCAGTATGCTCCCAGTGACGGATTCCGTCCTGACAGGGCTGTCCTAGTGTGAGGTCCATTCCCAACCGCCATTCGGTTTCCTGTCGCTGTCGTCGCTGGAGACAAGCTTTCTCCTTGTATATCCAATCATCATAAACCAAGGATATTTCCAGACCGCTTCATCTGGCAGCGCCCAAAGCAGCATCCAAGATCTCATCAGCATGCGCATCCATTCGTTGCTCAATTCTCTGTTCGTTGCTCGTGTGTCTCGTCGAAGTCGGACCAGTATCAGCTTCTTTCCCTCTCCGCCGCGATCGCGGCCCGAACTTCGCTGCTGGGGGTCCCAAAGGCCCCTGCCGTGTGGTGTCTTCCAGCTCCTCAGAGTTTTGATCTTCCTCAAGCGACCAAAATTCCATAGCGCGACTGAGGAGAGTCCCAGCAACGCCGCCTCCGCCAGCGTCTCCGCCAAGCACGCGTACGGCTTCGTGGAGAGCCATTACTGCGTCCTTGGTACGGCCGACCAGACTCAACAACACCAAGCCTCGGCTGGTATGAATGCTGCCAATGAGGTTTCGCTCATCGTAGCCACTGGCTGCACCAGTGGAACTGAGCCCTGTGCTGGTTCCCGCGAGACTCAGATGGGCAAAGGCGCTCATGCCATGTCCCGGCTCATATGCCGACGCGGGAGCAGCCCCACCCGTGGCTGTTCGAAGACATTCATCAAACTCTGACAGAGCTTCTTCAAATCTGCTCATCCGCCTCAGTGAATGTGCAAGATTTGCTCTAGTAGCCACCCATGCAGTCATATTGCAGCCCAACTCTGAAGCCAGCTGAAGAGACTTGTGAAACAACTTTGCGGCGGCTGTTAGGTTCGATTGATGATATAAAATGACGCCGATCTCGTTAAGTACTAGAGGATCGCCGCCGAGACTGGCGCTGTTGCTGAAGATCCGATTACCAAGGTCGTCATTGGGGCCAGTTCTCAATGCCCCACTACTCATTTCGAAAGCCGCCAAGCAGTATTCCCACGCCAGCTGCATATTGTTGAGAGCGAGGTGCTGCATCCCCAAGAATAACTGAGGGAGATGACTGCCTTGGAACAATCGGGCGGCGGTGGAGTATGCAGCGATGGCCTGATCATGTTCCCCCTCAGCAGCAAAAGTGTGAGCAAACCCAATCCAGGCCGCTGCAGAATGTGGATCCATCAAGGATGCCTTCGAGAAGAATCGGCGGGCTTCGGCAATGCGGTAAGTAGACAGATAATATATGCCGATCGCCAGATACGTATAGGATTCGTGTGGAGCATGCGTCGCCAGGGTATGAGAAAGGTGAAAGAGGGTGTTGTGGGACCCTGTTTCATAGAGAACAGCAAGGTGTAAGGGGTAAAGGCGAGGGCTGTGCCCGAGAGAGGCATTCGTGCTGCTTGAGGACGAGCCGACGGCGCCGTCAGAGCTGTTCTGGGAATTGAGTATGCTTGTCGTGATAGAAAGGGCGTCGTGAAAGCGGCATTGAGTGTACAATGTTTCTGCCCGAGTAAGGAGCAAGTCTGGGTTGGACGCAAGGTTGTAGTGAGTAGACAGAGTCTCAGTGGCGTTTGCAAGCGTCGCGGGCGCCGAGTACTTTGACAGGCGAGTGGTATAGAGGAGTTTGGTGAAATGAGCAGCTTCCTGAGCAAGGGACTGGTCTTCAATACGTATCGAGTCAAAGTCCAGTTCTTCAAGAAATGCCAACTCTTCCGCGGGGGACATCAGGGAGTTCTTCATGAGCTGATCAAATGCTTCGAAGCACTGAACGTCTATTCGGACCGCATCCTTGTAGCAGTCTCGTGCCCGATCAAAGGCATTCCGTTTCGCAAAACACAGGCCACGTAAATAGCACATGCCGGCCTGGAATTTCAGCTCTTTCTCTGACTCTCGGTCCCGCTCTCGTTCTTCACTGAGCTCTATCCTCTCTCTTTGAGGCCTGACCCCTCGCTGTGTAATATTCTTCGACGAGTGGCCATTTATATGGGCTAGTTTCCTCCTGGCATTGTGAGAGGTCGTGATGAGGTGGATGGGGTTGTCTTGTCCAAGTATCGTGAGGGCTTGGTCATATCTGCCTTGTTTGATGTAACAGTGAGCAGCTAAGTACCGGCAGGACAGGCTTCGATGTATCAGATCCTTCCTCGACAGTAGAGCAAGCGCTCGCGTGAAATTGTTTTGAGCAAAGTGCACTTGAGCCAGCCAGAAGGCGTCGCTGTCACTGTCTGTTGTTGTTAGTGGCGGCGAACATGAGACTGGTAGTACTCACATACTGGTCAGAGCGAGAACCTTGTCACCGATATAGATGGCTGCTTCATGCTGGCCCTTGTTGAGGGCATCCTGTCGCCATAGCCGCAGGTATTTGTCCATTGTCTTGGGAACGAAGCACAACTCAGTTGGGTGACTGTGTCGAGATACATCGGCAGTCTCTAGAGGGTACCTGGGGCATCGGGGACAGGAGCATCAGGCGACTGCACTATTTCTGTAACATTCTTACTAGAAAGACACCTTCACCTTACCTTCCGCTCACTTTTGGATCGTGACTGCAGCCAACAAATACACAGTACATTTCTTGACTGCGAAGCGAAATGTGGGGGAGGCGAGAGTGACGCGCCGCACACCCTGAATTCCGATTGGCCCCTCACCAGTCCTTGCTCTACTGTTCTTCTCACTGCGTTCAGAAGACGGAATGCTTACTACATCATCTTCCACGGTCGACACGATTACTTCCCCCACCCAGTCACCAACATGTCTGAACGAAAGGTGCTCACGAAATACTACCCTCCAGAGTTCGATCCCTCCAAAATCGCCCGGACTCCTAAGCACCTGCGACCAACCGGACCCAAAACCATCCCCGTACGACTGATGGCCCCGTTCAGCATGAAATGTACCTCTTGTGGCGAGTACATATACAAAGGTCGCAAATTCAATGCGCGAAAGGAGACGACAGATGAGAAATACCTCACCATCTCCATATACCGCTTCTACATCCGTTGCACAAGATGTTCTTCCGAGATCACGTTCAAGACCGACCCCAAAAACATGGACTACACCGCCGAGCGTGGCGCAAAGCGGAATTTCGAGTCGTGGCGAGATCCTGAAAGCAGCGAGTTGAAAGAGACCGATGAACAGCGCCTTGACAGACTGGAGCGAGAAGAGGCCGACGAGGCAGAGAATGCTGAACGGAGGGCCATGGAAGAGCTGGAGCAGAAGATGGAAGAAAGCAAACGTGAGATGCAAGTTGCCGACGCCCTGGACGAAATCAGACAACGAAATGCCAGAATAGAGCGCGGCGAGAAGGGTGGCAAGGAGGAAGATGCACTTGCCCAGGTTAGAGACATTCAGAAAGAGCAAAGAGAGCGAGAGGAATTGGAAGACGCAGAAGCTGCTCGCAGAGCCTTTGAGACCCGCAAGGAGGCCTTCGAAGAGGAAGTACAGGCAAGGGACGCGCTCACCTCAGGAGGGAGCGCGGTACAGGATGGATCATCCAAAGAACCACAGCCCCTACCATCCTTCGAGCGGACCAAGAAGATCAAGAAGCCTCTCGTTCCCGGCTTGGTCCGTAAGACCGAGACTGTTTTAGCCCCGCCAGTCAGGCAATCGGGACACGCGCCAGCTCCTTCAAAATCAATAGGGCTAGCTCTAGGCGACTACGACTCGGACGAGGACTGAACTCGGCAAGATGCAGATCGGCATTCTGCTGATAGGGGAACTGCTCTCGCATGTGCTCCTCTTCCCGACGAAGATCTCCTGCGCATCAGAGAATCGCACAATACGTTCTCAATGTGCCACGTCACATCAACAGTGTCGGCAATGGTTCTATGTATCTGATGGCCTATCAGGCCGAGTTCTGTGGGCACGGGTTCTTATTGGCTGTTGCCCAATCTCACCAGATCACAGAAATCTATAGATGCAGTATGAGCACCTTCACACCCAAGCTCTACAGCAAAAGCAGGACTTCTATCAACGTGCTATCAAAGAATACCTGTGGAGCCTCAGTGTCGTTGAAGAGTTCCAGAACAATGGCAGAGAAGGATGTCTGGCTTAGTAAGCATCAGTCCCTTGTTTTCAGTCTCAGTGCTGAAAGATTCAGTCACTGGGTGTTCGTCCGGATTGGGCAAGGCGCTTGCAAAGCATGCCTATGAGGCGGGCTGTCCTGTAGTTGCTACAGCTCGGAGGCCCGAAACACTGTCTTACCTTCCGGACGACGACGAGAACGTCCTCAAGCTTGGGCTCGACGTGACAGCCGCAGAACAAATCGACCATGTCATGAAGACGGCTGTGGATCGCTATGGCCGCCTCGATGTCATCGTGAACAATGCCGCATATGGCCTAACAGGCGATACGGAGGTAATTCCGGATGCCGATGCGAGAGCCCAATTCGAGACCAATTTTTGGGGCCCTGTGAATGTTACGAAGGCAGCTCTGCCCATCATGCGCGAAGTCAATGCGCCCGGAAAGGGTGGACTGATCATGCAGATCAGCTCAGTCGGTGGAAGAGTGTGTTTTCCCGGTGGAGCATTGTATCATGCGAGCAAGTTTGCTTTGGAAGGCTTCACAGATACCGTCGCCAAAGAGATGCATCCAGATTGGAATATCAAATTCACCATCATTGAACGTGAGTCCTTCTCTGCCCGTATTGTGCCAGTCCGCCTGCCAAGGGCGAATTGTCCCATATTAGCGATTGGATGCTGACGGCAAAGCAGTTGGTGCCGTCTTGACCAATTTCGTTCAGAACATGACCCTACCACCGAGGCATCCTGCATATGAGGACCCTGCTTGTGGCTATAACAAAATCAAGGCCTACATGGCATCTTTGGAAAACACTGCACAATGGAGTGATCCGGCGGTCTGTGCTAGGGTTTTGCACGAGCTGGCTTCTAACCGGAACGAGACGAAGCCGCCTCTACGACTCGCTCTAGGCGCCGATGCTTGGGCAGCTGTCAAGGCCGAACTTGAAGGCATCACGAAGGAGAACGAAGAGTGGAAGTCTGTTGCCGAAAGTACTTCCCATGAAGAGAATGAAAAGGCCAGAGAGTTCTTGCTTGACCACCGGCAGTGATGGCCGATTCCCAGGGTCTGCCGCTTTGGCTCTCTGTGCAGCGGCGACCGGTATCAATGTTACTCCCAACGAGAGCTTATCCGCCGTATGCTGCCCATCTTGCTCCACATCGGGTACCCTTTATGGCGGCAAGGTCCTCCGGCTCGCTGACTTGAGTACTGATTTGCGAGGCCCTGGATACTGGAGAAGCCCGAGTTGCATTTGGTATCTGAACCACCAATTAATGGTTGCTATCTACCGATCTCCCCATCAACCCGCCTCGAAGTCCATTAAAGCAGGCTAGGAATGGCGCATCATCAGTGAGCGTAAGGACGGACTCCGCGTCAATACGATCTTCTCAGCCTTTCTGCGCACATCTAGACATATCGGCCAAGCGCCCGACGTTGGATCGCGTATGCCGAGTCCCCCCACCTGGCCACGAGAATAGATCGCTGCCATGTAGGTGCCATGCTAACCGCTGGCATTGGTAGATTCTGAAACGGATAGGCACAAAGCTCCTTGACTAACAGAGATGCGGCTCTCGTTCGCTTGCCGCCGCCAATGCTCGGGGCTAATGCAGGTCACTGAGCTTGGCTGCGCTGTCAACAAATCAGAGTCTTTCTTTGGTACCTCGAGCAACCACGAATAGTATCATTCGAGATGGGTGTACAGGTGAGGTCTGCTACTGCGTCATTCCCTGGCGGAACTTGTATTTGTAGAGCGATGCACAGAGGACGAGGTATATAGAGGTATCACCAACCTCCGACCCCTGTGGATTATCAGGTAAAGGTAAAACAATTGTTTGGCCCGAACATAGGTCAACAAATCCACGTTCATACGCAGTGGAACAACCACCATGGCCTACGCCACACCTCAGTTAACCAGCCCAGCGAGCACCCTATCGTCTCAGACCACTCAGTACTTCCCATCGAGGGATCTCTTCAACCGTGAGAAAGCTGCTCCGTACACTTCCTCGTACTTCCGCCAGCACAGCCTGTGCCCCAACCGCATCAATATCGAAGACGGCCAACTCACGGAGGAGCAATGGAGCAGGCATGCGTTCGCCTTGGGGATACCATCAAAGGACATCCGACGGCCTCATCCAGACGTGAGGAGATTCGCACAGAGGCTGCAAAGAAAGCCGAGAATGAGCGATAGGCAGGTAACGGAGTCGCTGCTGCCGTTGATCCAAGCCGCAACACAATCATCCAAGAAGCTCCAGATCAAGACCGACACGGCCTTTCACACAGATGCCGTGCCAAATGGCAGCCTAGTCGATCGGCTTTCAAGTCAGAATGCTGCCTGGAGCATGCCTCTTCCAGTGCCTAAGCCCAATATCACTGTTGGCTTCAGCTCGAAAAATTTCACGGAACATGAACTCGAACTCCAGGACGGAATCATCTCGAACGCGCATGGGGAGCCTTGCAATCTGGCAAACATCTCGCAGCCCATCGTCGGAAACAACACAATCCTCTGGCCCTTTTTCACAGTCGAAGTCCAGAGCAGCTCTTTAGAAGCCGCTCAAAATGCCGCGGCCGGATCCGCCTCGACTTGTAACAATGCCCTTGCTCTCCTCGCCGAGGCGGCACAAGAGCCATTCATACAACGCCATGGGAGGAACCTCTTCTGGGAATCCCAGAGAGCAGTACAGAGCTTCTCCCTTTCGATCCACAACGACTCAGAAGGCAACGGCAAGATGGCAACACTAAATTTGCACACATCCCACGGTGGCCTCTCGCATAGGTGCGCACCCATCCGATCGTACTCTCTTTGCAACGAGGACGACGTGGAATGCCTTTTCTCGAGACTGAGCAGTATCTTTGTCTGGGCAGAGAATTGTCACCTGCAACAGATCTCTACACTCCTTGCGAATCTCGATGCCCTGGTCCAGCTGGATTCTGGCAGAGAACATCTGTCTGATGGCTTTCCGAACGCGGACCTAGACGGAGCGACAGGAATCGGCAGCGCCTTGAACACAGGCCAGAGCAAGTTGGGGGCGATCAAGAGTGTGCTGGCTCAAGTCAGTCCGAAGTGGATTCGGATATCCTAAGGGAAGCATAAGACTAACAATATGTCGGCTCAGTTATTGGTTATTAGTAATTGGGATGTCGATGTCAGGGAGACAGAAAAGCAAACAAACAAAAGCACTGTACATAGCATTACGAGACCATGATGAACGAAAACAATGGTAATGGTTAATACACGAGATGTCTTGGCCCTTTGTTGGCTTGCTGTTACCCCACGCGGTCGCCGCAGCCAAGGCTCATCGGACCGAGGATTACGCTGCAGTGAGGTGGAGAGCGAGTCTGCACGGTAGAGGAAGCGGTAGTACCTTCGACGAGGTGTAGTGCTAAAGGACTGCTTCCGGGAAGAGCTTGACTGTTATGTCGGAATGCAGGTAAAGGGAAAACGATGCACCGCGAATCAACGGTGGGAACGCTCCTTGCGGTGATTGGCCGCGTTGCCGCTGCGCTAAGCTTAGCTAGACCCATTCTGGTCTGTCGCCAACGTCCTCATTTCCATCCACGCATCTGCCTCCCTCCACCATTTTGACTCCTTCGAAGCGCTCAAGCTGCTGCTGATCCTGCAGAGATGAGCCTCTCCACCCGCCTGATTCTTGAAGGCGTCCAGATGTCTCCACGTCTACACCCGATAACCATCTCCCCCTTTTGGCTCGAACCGCGCAGACCGTCCCACGCGCGAAGTTTATCTCAAACCTGTGTCTCGACGTACATTTCGAGTATAACAGCAGCCCCCTCCCCTAGACCTTGCCTGTTCTGTCATGATGAAACACTGCTCCTGGCCTGACATCGGGGTTAGCTACCTAGCCAGAGTCACAGTCGCCCGTTCCACCAATCTATGATCATGTCTGTGTGACTACGCCTTCCACACAAGCATTCAGACGTGTACACTCAGGCACAGCGGTACGACTGGTACCTTCGATGGAGTAATTGTGCTTGTCCTGTACCTAGCAAGCGTTTCCGCAGAGGCTAAGTCCAGTGAAAGCAACCCATCCATCTCCGCACATCTCTGTCGATTCGTCGTTGATCTCATCAGGCGTCGGAATGGCACACCAAATATTCACAGCCAGGAACATAACGTAGGGCAAGCGGAATGCGCCCTCAACCCTACTGAACCCCTAATCCATTCTCGTGAAGGCTTTCCTATAATGGAATCCGGCCCTGCCATTCTCGCATTTACCCCCGTCTATTCTTCGTGCCCTTGGTCAACTTTCTCTTCCTTTTCCGCATTGTCAAAATTGTGGCGGGGCTTCAGTAACCACAATATAGTCTGCACCGAGCTTCTCTTACCAACCCTGAGCTGGCGGTCGTGCCGCTAGTGTGTCTATACAGCTGACAAATTGGTTGACGGCTCTACTGCAAAACGCTGCAAGACCAGTACTTCAAAGTTAGCGGAAACCTTCGCGTCGGTGGACGATGTCTTCCTCCAGCAGATCCTCAACGTCCTCGTTATGTTCCGATGATTCAGATCAGCCGTCATCAACATCCTATGACGGCAGTCACTTGTCATGGCGAGCTTTCCGGCGGGAGGTGTTAACAAGCCATCAGATCCGCGTTCTTGACAGCACACCAAAGGACCGTATACCGTCGTCTTTCCTGCAGATGTTCGAAGCTGCAAATGATGACTCGTCTCGTTTTGACGAACAAAGGATCTGCTTCTGGAATCAAGTCGCTACAGGCCGAGGGTTCGGATCTTCACCAATATTTCCTCCAAATCTGCTGCCGCCCCTTACAAGCGAGCCGCTCTCCCGCTGTATGGTGCCATCATTCAGCAGCCGTGAAGCTCTGCCCGAACGAGCTGTCAACCATGCCGGACCGATGTATGATCTTTCCGTACCACATCCTAGCCTAGTCTGCGGGTTTTCGGCAGCTGCGTTCTTGAGCAGAGAATTGTCGCTTCTCCCACAATCGCTTCAAGCTACCGGAACGATGGTCCACTGGGATAGCGGCTACTTGAACGCAGGCGCAGCGACCTACTGCCCTTTCCTGACATTCGAACGTGCCTATGGCAACAAAGAACACCGGGTGGAGGCGGCAAACAATCAATGCGCCATTACGGGTTCTTATTGTGTTCGGGCATTGCAAATGCTGTATGCAAGAGCATTCAGAGAATCAAGTGCTTGCCAGAGCTCTGGGCCACCGGTCTCATTTTCCTGCGCCATTGATAACAGCTTCGCATTGATCAATCTTCATTGGCTTGATCTGACGGACGGCCAAACGTATTACATGGCCCCCCTTTGCCAATTCGATCTCAGCAAGGATAAACATTTCAACAAGTTTTTGGTTTGGACACAAGTAATCGGGGACTGGGCTCTGGCTTATATGTTCCCGATATTGAAGGACGCACTGGAGCGGCTTTCAAGGTGCACCTCACCAGTAACGCCCGCTCCTTTCTTTCCCATCCATCGAACCAGCATGATGCAGCAAACAAGATTGCGCCTGGATACTGGGACTGCGATCAACAGGGAGGATATTCTCATATCGTCGTTAAAGGCGACTTACGACGACATACCTTGGCGATTCGAGGACAATCCAGACTCAGGTCTTTCTTCGTCGACGGCATCATGGGGGTCTCCAATGGTCGCCGATCTCAACTTTTCCAATATTCGTTACCCTGCAGTCCATCCACCCAGAAGCAATACCTGCGTGAGTGCTCCTAATTCATCTGTTGTCGCTCGCCGGCGAATCGCGAGAGCGGACCCTTCGAGGAGCGCAACGGCAGCGTCGCCCGCATACTTGCAGGACCAAGAGACGATATGGCAGAAACGATTCAACGACGCGATGGACGAAATCAAGGGTCTACAGACTCAGTTGCAGGCATTCGAGCGAGAGGTGGAAAGCCTGAAGGCCTCTGGCCGGGTGGAAGCGACGTCGAAGCCCGGCTGTGATCCGCACGCAGACGGTTTGCGTGGTTGTGGAGGGCCGACAGTTGATCACACGCCCATGACTCCAAAAGCCCGGGTCCCGGTGACATTGCTGGGGGAGCCTCTGTCGAAATCACCGATCATAGTATCCTCAGCCCTGCCGTTATGGCGATGCGCTACCATTGCCGTCTTGGCGCATGTTGTGGCTCAATTCTTTGAAAGTCGCCATACAAGGATGCTGGTGTATGGTTGCACGACCAGCGCATCTTGTTTGGCTTTGATTGTACCGCAGCCCGCAGGCATCTCTTTTGTGAAAGAGTTGGTGAAGATGAAGGTGGTGCTGTTTGGGCGCGGCAAGGAGCAATGGCGGGCGCTTTGCTGATTATCGTTCGAAACCGCCAGCGTTGGTGTTGGCGGCGTTCAAACCAGTTCCATAGCGGAAGGCGTCGGACTCAGTTTGTGGTCCTGGCCACTTAAACACGTCTCAGCTTCATAACTCCTGTATCATTGCTTGATCCCTATTTCGTGGCAGTACCTCGCGATGAGACCACAAGGAGATCTTTTGCGTGCTGATATATGGTTCCTTGTTCCTACCTTCGAACAAAAACATGCTCGACATACGCTCAACTACAGAACGAGGTACACGGTTCCTGCTGGCTGCCCAAGGAATATGGAAACCAAGGCCATCATGTATCGGGCAAAGCCTTCTCTGCGGTCCACGTTAACACTCAGCAAGGCTGCAGATCTGCCGTTCGTACTCCGTACGAGTACCTACGGTAGTCGTGATGAGAAACCTCGGACTCAGCCTGACATCTTTCAGCACGCCGCTTTCAGGGCCGCACAGCCTCGCGGACGCTTCTCCAGCACGACGCGACACGACATCTTCAACGTCGACAATTCCAATACTCCGTCCCGTCATGGAAAGTTCGAATTTCTACCAACCACTGAATGTTGAACAGATCTGACCGCCATGCGCGCTGCAGGACTCGGGCGAAGTTACGTAGTTGGCCGGGGGTTTGGTGCTAGAAGCTGGAGGAAGCACCACTCAGAAAGATGCGCTGCTGCGTTTGCACAAGTACATATTCTCAACTGGCCAGGTTTCTCGCCGTCTTCCTTCACCGTCTCTCTCACTTCGCAGGACTGGTCTGGTAAATTGATGTAACTCGATACTTGTGTTCCGCTCGCTCAGTTTGACACCCTTGCCATGGACATAGATGTGCCACGGCTGGCTTGGTTCCTCAAGTTGAATGTGGTGAGCATTCTACAGTTGCATGTTCTAGGGCATGGACTTGTCTTTGACTTTTACATGCTGAGAAGTTCTCGTCATCTGAGGGCCACGCTGTCATGTATCCGAGTTCACTCTTCACGTCAATTTTCCTCGCCCGCATTACTAGTCCCAGCCAACCTGCAATGGGTCTTCGTACTCTCTTAGCGAGGTTTTCATGGTTTTCAGGTAATGGAGTCTTCTGATCACATGGATAGCGCTACAATGGGGTGCGGCTTAGTGCCGAAGCAGGTGCACCTCCCTTGGGGATGCAGGACCTCAACACCGTAATCTCATTGTTCCCTTGTTTCTCAGACAAAGCCCTCTCACCAGCCTTTCGTTCAATTCACTCCATCTGTGTAAAAATGCCAGGGCTGGACAAAGAACCTCCCATTATCAGACAACACAAAGAGTCTCGTGGAGAATCTCAAACATCTAGAAACCCACTATGTACTTGCCTCAGCCTCTGAGCCTCCCTCCCTCACCCACCTTTCACATCAAACTCAAAATCAATACAACTCAGCCACAACTCCGTCCACAACAACAACACTATATACATACGAACGTATACCACCCCACCCCATTCTCCTCTCCACACCATGCGTACATCCACCCTCTTCACCCTCCCCTTCATCTATATCGCCGCCCAAGCGGCCGCCCTCCCTCAACCTCAACTAGCATACCTGGCCCGCGGCAGATGTTCCACCCCAGGCCAATTCATCTGCGTGTCCTCCACGACGTATGCCCTCTGCGATGCCTCCCTTAGGGGCATCATCCAGCCCCTCGCGGCCGGTGATTCGCGCTGTGGGGCGGCAGGTGCAGGGGCTCCGCTCGCGGTCGTCCCAGCCAGTACCGGTACCGATTCAGGTACGGCGGTTGTGCCGACGACTTGTGTGGGGTGTACGCCCTCCAGCCATGGGAGTACGCATGGAGGAGCCCAGCCCGGGTCGTGAAATGAGTAGACAGGGAGCGGAGAGCGTAAGACAGAGTACTGTGCTCCTTATGGGTAGGTAGGAAGAGCAGATCGGGCAGTATCGTCGGAAAAACGGTGCGTTTATATACTTTGCTGGAGCAATTCCGTGCATTAATTATCTCCTTGCATTGGGTGACGTGATCGACGGTGACTAAGGCTGTTTCTCTCTGCTTCTGGCCTGTATTTGTGCACCTAGCGTAGGCTGGGACTTAATTGAGGTGCTGCACGAGGCTTGGCCGACACTGCACCGTCGCGCTTGGAGTCTGCTGGTCGGAGTGGGACCCGGTAGAAGTGATCCGAGGCGTCACATTGCAACACTTCCCATCATAAATAGTAAGCGCCGACATTTTGGACGAACTAATCAGAATCCTGATCTTCACCAGTCAGGTTACAATGTAGGCCCAACGGGATACTCGGTAGCTCGACGATGGCGCACTACAATAACCCAGATCTCGAGAGTGTCAGCGAGCCAGCATAATGCAGTGTCTTCTAAGGATCGAAAAACGTGAAGGGACAGGACAAAAGGATGACACGTATTTTCTCCCGTTGGTGATCTGATAGGATCCTCGACAGGGACGATGGTAAGCCAGCTCTTGTCTGGCTGACGATCTAGCTATGGTATTGACTTTACCTTGCCAGAAACAAAGTCATCTTGGTCCGTGTCAGGGTGCACTGCCACAGCCACAGCCTCGTCCAGCATGCCAGCCTCGCCAAATGGCAAGTCGCCGCAAACGCTGCGCTCTGATTAGCTGGATTGCAAGCATGCTGCACCACGCCAAAACCGCGCAGCGAGGCACTCTTTCATAGACCTCTCTTCGTCTTAGAATTCATAGCATCATACAACGTTACCCATTGAACTTAATCGGCTCTGCTGACGCGCCGTGATAGTTCGTTACCAGGATTCTCTGAGATACCGAAAGGACCGAGCTACAACATAACACAAACAGTCTTGCGATCTCCGTCCATGAAATAATTATGCAGCGGCTCTGTACCGGCGCCTCAGTTGAAAAGAAGCAAAGACCGCTTGACGACCAGATCAATTTCGGTAAAGGGCGTCCGTTGCATAGACGTGTGCATGCCAGCTGAGTTGAGTTCTGGATCTTGGTTTCCATGGCGTGGGCACGTACACATGCAGGGTATCGAAACACCAACAAACGTGGGCGGAGAGGTTCGGTTTTCTTCTCAGTCAGACTCCTTGCTCAGAAGCGGGACTTTCTTAGCCTCTGCCCGGTCTCTCACTTTAGACCGCACCGTACTCGCTCAGGCCAGGCGGCAAATCGGGGTCTATCAGTCTCCTGGATGAGCCATACACCTGGCGTCATGCTTTGATTGGCTGGAAGACGTTCGGAAAGCAATCCAATATGTTGTTGCCGCTGCCGTTTCCGCAGCAACTTTGCAACACGGCTCTCGATATACCCCGAACGATGAAGTCTCAGTCGTGGACTGTTAGACACACCCGGGGTCCCTCGGCTGGCGCGCCTCCGTACCAGGCTCCGAAGACATGAAGCCATGAGGACCGCCAGGAACTCAGCCTTTCCTGTTCAATCTCCATGTATCCGAGATGACGACAACAGTGACCATCCAGGCAATGCTGCAGACGTGCGGAATCGCCAGCCACTCTGGCCGGCCTCTCCATCCCTCCTCATGTTGTGGGCGATGTTATCCGACGCCCAAAGCTGATCTTGGCCGAGCCACTCGAGGCCGGGGCTTTGAACTGTCGCGGCTTTACTGCAGAACTGTCAGTTACCCTTCACCATACCAAACAAGAGCACTCACACTACTTGTCGAACACCGCTATCCCGACGCATCGGTATCTCTTTAGGTACCTTTCGATCGCCTTGAGAAAGCCCACCACCGACGATTTCTTTGATGGTGGGCTTGGGGCGAGGCATCGTACATGTGCTTGCACATGCTCTTGCTGTGAGCACCCGAGCGAGGGCTTCCCGCGCCCTTGCTGCGCGCAGCCGAACAAGAGCTTACACATGCTTTTGCTTCGAGCCATGCCGAAAGGGGCTAAGTATAAATCAACTAGTGATGAGATCCTCGGCAACCCAAGGATAACAAAACGCACTGCCGCGTTCGGCAGCAGTTGTGAGTTCGGGCACGGTCCCTGTGACCGGCCCACGCCCACACGGAAGGCCATTGTATAAATCAACTAGTGATGAGATCCTCCTCAACCCAAGGATAACAGGAGGCTCTGCCTCATCGGACAGCCCCTCGAGCAATTGTCGCTAGTTGCTGTGACAGTTGTGAGTTCGGTCACAGTCCCTTTGGCATGGACAAGACTGGTGAAATGGTAGACATTTCTTCCCGCGCAGAGCCGCGCCACACGACCACGAGTAGCGGACTTTGAACGAGTGTGTCGTTATGGTGAGTGTGAGCGACAGTCCCCGAAAGGGTCTGCCGGTTTCACGACTCAAGTCGACACACTCACATGGAAGGTGGTGGTTGAGATCAACTGGTGATGAGATCCTCGACTCGCTCTGAGGCTTACTACTCTGCGACTCTCGCAGCATTGGCAGCCAAGCCCTTGCAAGTACTGGGTTGTCAGGACGCTTCAGCGTTCTCGCTAACCACGACCAGCGTCTGTCCTCGGCCAGGGCACGAGGCGAAGCCTGAGACCGAGCCCGGAGGGCTGGTCCAAACCATCCGAGTGCAGAGAGCCCGGCTGTATTCTTCGCCACCAGCTTCCATCGTTTTTGATGGAGAGTATGAATGCAACTGGTGATGAGGTCTTCGGCGAGTGTGACCCAAAGAACCTGTTGACCTGTTTCCGTCCTGGTATGCAGACAAGAGGACAGCGGTAAGTCACGATCTCTCGAACCATATTGTCCTCATCCTGGAATGCCATCAGCCACAGCTGGGCCAAATTGTCCAGACTGTGCCAAAGTGCATGGTAAGGACTTCGAGATTGGGGTCATCAGCGAGAAGTTGAGGGACCGACCGCATGGCGTGGGTGGGAAGCAACCATGGCTGGTCGGAAGGCTGATTCTTCTCTTGACCACCAACAGCGACATGTTCTGTTCCCTTCTTTTCTGGTGATCCTCGACGACAAGAGTTTCCATCTTTCGGCTTGTGCAGGAGGCAAGGTTTGTGATATTGCAAGCAGACTCTGAGTGCCACTTCAAACATTGGAGACTTCCGCCTTTCAGAATGTTCTGCTACTGCCTTACCAGACAAGGGAGAGGTAGGTTGGCTGAGCTGATTGTGCTATTTCCACGAAACCGCTCTCTTTCGCTCGGGAAGCTCATTGCAAACAAGCCTCATTTGTGAGGTCCAAGCAGAGCGATACGAGGAGGCTTCAAGCCGGAAATTGAGGTTGAGGCGATCCCGTGTATGTGTCAGTCATCTCCACTTCTGGCTGGGAGGTATCTCGTCGTTCACCTTGAGGCTGGTCTTGAGAGCGGGATCAAGCAGAAGGAGAGACAATTGTGATGTGTGTTGTCCGGCTCATCATTAAAGCTGTCAGTGCTTGTTGGGTACTTGTCCATGTTGCTTTGACTTCAGTTCGTGTCTGGGTATGAAGGCGAACAGGGTCGACTTACTGGATGTGGCTTCAGAAGAGGAAAATCTCGATCATACCTGAAATTGCACTTGAGGCTTGAGCTCGGTCAGAGCCAGTCTGGAATGCGTTTGTGGTGATAAGATAAGCAAGCGAAGCAAAAGAAGAAATGTACCCAGAGGAGGAATGACCTCGCAGGTATAGTGTCTGTCAAGAGGACTATTTGTGATTGACTCTGTGAACGGGAAAGAGTAAGACAACGTTGACAAAGAAGCAGATGTGATCGTGGGCGTCGCCAAGGACGCCGTGGCTGGACGCCCACGATGACATCGTTGCACGGCGACCGTGGCAAGGGCGCGCCTTTCTGTCGCTGCAAGACGTTGTTTGCCTGTCCGGAAGGCGTCCTGAAAGCGCTCAGGACAGTAAAACTGCAGTGCAAACAACGTCGGCCAAGGTTGATGATGTATTGGGACAAGAGCTCCATCGACGTCCTATCGTCCATGGCAGCTATCATCATCTGGTCACTCATCATAATCCAGCGGCAGGCCGAACCATTTGATGGCGTTACGGTACCCAATATCCTTCCACGTCTCGTCTGACACGGGTACCGTCTCGAACCACGCCCTCATCTCTGCCACATACTCATACGGGTAGTCCACTGCAAACATGATGTTCTCCGCCTTTGATTCAGCCAGCAATTGCACCAGTGCAGAAGTTCTGGGCATGCCGCTCGTATTGGGCAGGATATTCTGTTGGAAATACTTCTGAAATCGCTTCTTCTTCGGTCCTTGCGCCTCTTTACAGCATCGCGGTTAGCAAGAACACACGCTCCCGCCGGCAAAACTCACCAGCCGAGTAAAGACGGAAGGTACTATCCGTCCGGGGCAAGATCCAGCTTAACCCCTCTCCCATATGCCCCAAACACACCTTCAACTTTGGAAACCGATCAAACACTCCGGCGTACATTATCCGGAAAATATGCTCACACGTCTCTCGTCCGAACCCGTACGGCGCGCCATGAAAAATCGGCATATCCTCCAGCACCTTCATATTACTCACCAGCGGAACCCGAGGATGGATGAATATGGGCTTCTGCAACCGCTCCGCCACCTCCCAAAGCACATCAAACTGCGGATCATCGAGGTACAGCCCGCGAGTCGGATCCGTCGTGTTGTTGAAGCCGTTGATCATTGCCCCTACAAAGCCATAGTCCTCCACACACCGCTCGAGCTCCTCTGCCGCAGCCTGTCCATTCAGTGTCGGCAAGGTCGCAAAGGCAAAGAAGCGGTCGGAATAAGCGCGGCAATAGTTCTCAGCCACAAAGTCGTTGGACTTCCTACACCATTCCACCTGCTGTTGCAGATCAGTGAATGCTTGCGCGGTCGGCTGATTCATGGAAATGATCTGCGCGCCGATATTATGGGCGTCCATTACGGCAATACGATGCGAGATGTTGGAGAGACGCTCTTTGACTCCCGATATGTATGTGGGTTTGAAGATGTTGAAAGTGGACGATGTGCTCGGCACGGGGAACGGCGAGACGGCGTGTTCTTCCAGGCAGATCAAACGGGCGGTTTTGCGAAAAGAGGTGGTGATCGGTGACTGTGATGGGTGGTGCGATTCTAGATTCGAAGCATCTGTAGGTTGCGGTTGTTGGTCACCCATTGTTGCTGGTTTTATGTTGTATTTTGAGGATGGCAGAATGTAATTATGATGGAAATCAGCCGACGTGTTGTGTCGTGAGTTATGTCGCTGCTTGTGATGAGCGGAACGATGGATGCTCAAGTCGATTGGTCATGCAGTGGAATAGAGCTGCGTGCATGTCAATGCATTCGGACGTGGTCGTCGTTGCTGAGAACATGCCAGGGGATAGCACGGGTAGGCGGCAGTGATCCGCCGGCTGCATCTCCGACATCGGTGGAGCCTCTGATTTCAGCGAATCATGTCCGGCGAGGCTGTCCTCCTTTCTCAGGGACCTTCGTGAGACTTTTCCGAAATCTCTAACTCCTGCAAACTCTGTCCAGTACTAATATGCCATCAATCTGAGATCACAGGTGCTGGTAGAAGTGTCCCAAAAGGCGGGTGTCGCTCCACCGATGCTTCCACGATGCACGCCGACCAGAACGGCTGATATAACGGCTCTGCCTTGCATCGGCGTCATCTGCATGTGCGTGACTATCCACTACTTTGTTCTGCAGCTCATTCTACCAGTCGTGGTATCTCAGCTTCGTGCATTATTGCCTTTGCGCTGTGCTCTAGTACCACTCATCCATGTCAGAAAGGAGTGATTTACTGGATGACAACTCTCTCGTGGGTGTCTTTGGTATCCGACCTTCCAGAGGAAGACTCCAGTGGCCTGGCCACGAATGAAGGTACAGCACCGATGCCATGGGCCTGCGACGTCGATGCCTATTTCTTGCCGATGCACTGTGTCTACTCCAACTTTTGACCCGTTGAGCGAATCCGCTCGTCCGATCCGCAGCCCTCAAGCTGTGGGCATGGTCAATGTTCAGGCGCGCAAACAAGCCTATCCCGCCATGGGCGTCCTGAAGCGCGAGTATCAGCCTGGAGTTGACGGATGACGCCAAAACCTAGAACAGGGTCTCTGTATACTGAAGCAGGCCTCAACACGAAACCATTCACCAGCCCAGATGTCATTTTCTCCCTTGCAGCTTCGGCCTGGACGACCACGTCTGCAACTCGAAGAAGTGTTCGGTTCGTTGTCATCGTGCCCATGAATTCTCTGGGTAGAACGGCGCTAGTCACATCTGCGAAATGGGAAGCGGCGTGGGGTGGGCTTCGAGCATCAATCAGCAGGCAGCAAGACTTATCTTCGGGAATCTGGACCCATCCGCCCCACGGTCGAAAACCTCACTTATACACGCATTGTATGTCACATACCAAGCGTTTCGTGCAATGGACGGCCAGGTGATTCTCTACTATGTACAACCTGAATGCTCTTCCCAGCGACTGACAACAGGGCGCCTCGAATCAAGTTTCCACGACACCAGATAAGCGGAGACATCCATTCGTCTCCCAAGTCACGCGGCCGACCAGCCAGGTAACAGGATCGGAAGTAAGCTGAGCCGGACCCATCCTGCACAACGTCCCTCTGTCAGTGAGTGACATGAGCTTACTCCCTTTTCCTCAGATAACGCGTTCTGCGGTGATGCCCCTGTTCCGTGGATGACCGTTCAGCAGCACAAGCAGCCGAATAAACACAGGAGAGAATGGATGATGGAACAGGAGTTTGCAGCGCTTCGAGATGAGCGTGGTGCAAAGCTGGGTGAACCGCGACCGTTGCATCAGTCATTGTAGATGAACATCCGGGCAGGAAGGCTTCCAAAGCCCACGACCGCGGGACCACCAATGCCGCATCTTCTCTTGAAGGTGAGGAGATTGAGATGGTGGAGAGGCTAACACAAGTGGCACAAGTGCCTGAACTCCGCTGTATTATCTACGGGATTGAAGAACCGAATATCGCGCTGGTCACAGCGCAGTTCACTTGATTGTACATGTCATCTGTGGTGTCTAGAGCTTCGCGCCCTTCCCAGCCTCCGCCTTCTCCATATCTCGCAGAATGCGTTTCAAAGGCTTGCCCGTCGCGTTTCGCGGGATGGCATCAACAAATGCGACCCCGCCAGTCAATTGCTTGTACTTGGCCAGCCTCTCCCCGCAATAAGCCTTGACCTGCTCCTCCGTCAAATCGGTCGCCCCGGGCTTCCGGACGACAAACGCCTTTGGCAGCTCCACATCGGGCTCGTCGTGCTTCTTGACCCCAATCACCGCAGCGTCCAGGATCCGTGGGTGGGCAAGCAGGACGCCTTCGATCTCCGCCGGCGCCACCTGGAACGCTCGCACTTTTATCAGCTCCTTCTTCCGATCGATGATGTACCACTTTTTGGTCATGGAGTCGCAGTACATGACGTCGCCGGTCTTGAAGTAGCCTTCCGAGTCGACCGCGTCCTTGGTGGCGTGCGGACTGTTGAAGTAGCCTGGAATTATCGTCGGTCCGCGGATACATAGTTCCCCGGGGACGTCGTAGGCCGTGATGTCTCTACCTTCGTCGTCGATGAGCCTACCAACATTGGTCAGTCACTAGCGTAGATATCGCCGTTGGCACAGCGGACGCAGAAGATAGGCGGTGACTCATCATTGGGGATTCAAACTCACTTGACGTCCAAGTTCGGCATCATGCGTCCGACGCTGCCTGTATCGTCTCGTTCGGGGTAGTAGAATTTCGAGGCCACGCAGCTTGTCTCGGTCATGCCCCAGACCTGTGTGAATGACGTATCGGGCCCGAGGATGGCTTGAAGGGCACTCTGGTGTTCCTTGCTTAGAGGACCGGCACCGCAGAGAACCACTTTGATCGACTTTAACGAATACTTGTGCAGCGAAGGGTGTTTGAGGACCGCGACGGCTACGGGTGGGACCAGGATCATCTCGGTGAGTTTGTACTTGTCAATGGACGAGAGGAGCGGCTCCAGCTCGAACCGGCGGAGTATGTAGCTCGTGTGGCCGGAGCGTAGAGGCGCGACGTGAGCGGATGGGACCATGGCCGCGTGGAACAGTGGGAGGTAGAGGAGCCGGCGTGTCTGTGGCGATAAGGGTAATAGGTTAGTTCCTTATACTCAAGATACGAGCAGTCCATTGTTTGGATGGCCATGAGCAACGCACCTCGTATGGAACCGGATGCACTTCGTTGACGAGCACATGCTGTGCGACGAGGTTGTAGTGGGACAGCGCCGCGGCTTTTGGCAGTCCTGTGGTTCCACTGCTGAAAAGCCTGGCGGCCGTGGTTCTCTTGGAGAGCTCCTCGTCATCGAATCGGATCCAGTCTCTCTCGCCATGATTCAGAAGCGTCCGCCACGATTCGAATCCCTTTGGGATGGCTTCGTCCTGGTTGTCGAAGATCCAGGTATTTGACTGCCGGATGTCGGCTGCTTTCGTCCCGGCGAGCACTGCGGGTAAGAGCTCCGGCTCGACAATGACAAACTTGGTGCAGGAGGTCTTGAAGTGGTGAGTGAGTTCATATTGTGTGTATGCTGGGTTGGTCCCGGCAAAGACTGCACCGACTCCGATGATCCCCAGGAAGAGAATCGGATAGTAAATCTGGACAAGTCAGCTGTCTTCGTTGTCGAGTCCACCAGGCGTGACTGACGCTGTTGAAGCCATGGATGCAGACTGTGTCTCCAGGCCTTACCCCCGCGGCATGAAATCCTGCGATCAGTTGTCGTATGAGCACTCGAGCTTGATTTGCTGTGATGCATTTTGAAGGGTCAATGGCATCAACATAGACCTAGAATACCTTGTCAGGATCGTCTTTCTGTCGAAAGGACTTGCTTCAACACAGCAGAGGCAGTGATCATGGGCTCACGGCTTTCTCTTGGTCGAATCTTGGCTCGTCGAACATCCAGGACAGGATGTCTCTGCCTGGAATCGGCACAGACTGTTCAGCGAGGAAGGGCATGTTTCGTCTGAACTCTATCAAGACGTGAGTAGCGGTGTGCGAGGGGATCTGCAGGTGTGGCTGGACCGTAGACGTACATTTGCACCCTACAACACAGGAACTGTTATCTTCTGAGATGTGGTCGAGCAGCCTCGGTCGGGTTCGTTTCGATGTGGGAAGCCGGTGCCTCCGCACGGAGACGGAATCCCCAGATTCCGGATTGCGGATTCGCCATGCCCCAGATTTCGAGCTCCAGCGTCTGCCCGGCAACCAATCGGGTGTCGACAGGGGGGCCAGAGGCTCGCTTTGCCCAGTGCAGAGACTTGGGCAGTCAACAAGCGTCGAGTCCCGCATTTCCAGAGGATCATGATCTCTAGCACTTAAGCGAACCATACAGCGTACTTAGTACCTTGCCAATAGATGCGAAACAGCATCCCGCTACCAGGGTCGGTGTCAACGAGCCGTAACAAGAGAGAATACATGAGCAACCTCTCATACAACGATTCGTGATTCATTAAGCGCCTCGTCGGACGACTTGCGCAACATCCATGAGGTGATGGATATATCTTGCGAGCCTGGACCGAAATACTGGGTCCACTAGCTATTCTAGCTTTTGAGCAATATTCCTTGGGACTCCATCTCGCGCTGCTAATCAGTGTAGGCTCTAGAGTGTATACCTGAACTGCGGGTTCTGTGAAAGCAATCAAGGTCAGCAACATAGTCCAGGGACTTCAGAGCTTGAAAAAGCAAGGGACCCAAGACGACTCGACATACCATCTTGTCCGTCAAATCATCCTCATAAGCATGCTCAAACGCCTCTAGCGTGCCGGCTTTGTCTCTCTTCTTATTCTCCCAGACGCAAATCATGCGATACACGAGCGACAGGATTGCTGAGACAATGGAAGTGATAACCACCGCGAGGAAGCCCGGGGCGTATCGGGGAGCATCTTCCGGTTTGAAGAGAAGAGGCCCGACGAAATTGCCTTGAAGGCACACGTTAGCAGGAAGACGCAGAGTGCACGGTTGTGAATACTCACCAAGACAATACCCGACGAATATGCCAGATGAAGCCAAGGACCGCTTGGTGTAGCCAGCCGTGTTCGCGATCTGCATTCCCATCAATACGGCGTACCCGCCTCCAAAACTCGCCAAGATGTATGCCCCGAATAACAGACCGCCTGTGCTATCCCTGGGCAACAGCCAAAGCAGGAGGCTCGCCACTATTGTTCCAATCTCGCAAATGGCCACAAGATACGCCCTCATCTTGGGTACCTTGTATGCAACGTACGGCGCGACCCATTCAATCGTACCGATGATTAAACCTGCCGGCATGACCAGCAACAGCGAGTTTAGGGTATTGAAGCCGAAAGAAGCTATGATAATCGGTGTGAACGTGGAAACGGGCCCATTCGCAATCATAATCAAGAAGGCCATGCAGAAAACGATCCAAAACTTCACATCGAGGAGTAGTTCGAAGAGTTGCTCCTTTTTGAAGTGCTTGTTGCGGACGCCCGCGTTATTCGTCCGAAGGCGAGCGACAGCAATGTAACGCTCCCGTTCGTCGAATCCTTTCGCACGGATAGGGTCAGGCGGCATGAAGAACAGAATGACCACAGACCAGAGGATGGTGAGAGCGCCGGCAACGAGATACATGTATCGCCAGGGAGATAAAGCGCCCTTGATGTGGCCGAGACCATAGTTGATGAGCGGGGAGACGATGGAGACGTAACCAGTGCAGCAGTACCATGCTCTAGACGTTGACACCAATTAGCTCTTCACAACTGTCAAAGGTTGACTGATCTCCACTCACCCCATTCGCAAAGCCTGCTCGTCCTTCTTGTAAAACTGCCCCACAACAAGCATAAACATTGGGCTGACACCGGATTCCAAGAATCCCAAGAAGAACCTCTGCGCGTACAGGCTTTGCCAGTTATGGCAAGCAGCCGTGCACATTAGGCAAATACCCCACACACAGACGATGCCCGAAGCTACTCGCTCGATAGGGAAGCGTTGGGCCATGACGATGGCAGGATATGCACCGACGATGAACCCGAGATAAAAGATGGATGCGGAGAAGGAGTAACGATTCCCGACCGTCAGGTCCAGGTCCGTCCGAAGCCCGAAAAGAGCCTGTAACCAGGATAAGTACTGTGAGATCAGGCAGGAGGGAGTTCACACGTACCGCTTGCGACAGCATAGCCTTGTCGTAGTACTACGAAAAAGGACCCACAGTCAATACCGTCCGCACTGAGAAGTGCTTCGATCAGCCCCTCGACATCGCAGAGTGCTCACCTGTAACCCATACGTAGCACACAGAATAGGGAGTAGCCGCCGATCAATCTTCCTCTTGACGTTCTGCTCCTCCTTCTCCGTCCATGTTTCGTCGCCCGTGTAATTGGCAAGAACTTTCATGGCCTCATCATGATGAATTGTGTCGACTGTATTTGTTTTTTGGAGCTCAGTCGTCGCCTCGGCCTGCTTCTTGGTGGCGTCTTCTGCCTGGATGGCTTCCATTTTCATAGAGTCCGCCATCTTGCGACTCGACGCTTCGAAGACACCGCTGGCCGGAATGTGAGTTGGGGTACCTTGATGCTGGCGTTCTTCCAAAGTACCTCAGCAATACGAGAACAAGCGAAGACAAGCTCTGGTGCCTAGGTGGTCATCTCGCCGGGAGGGGAGCTTCGCCACCTTTAAGGACAGACTTTTGATACCTCCCGGCTAGTAGGTCTTGTTCTCGGTTAACTCGTTGCTACCGAAAGTCCCAATGTTCCGAGGATGTTGGAATCTTTTTCTTGGCTCGATATGCGGGGGATATTGCTGGGCACATGGGGAAAGGCCATTTCCAGTGACGTGGTGCATATAAGCCAAGGCTGGCGGCATCAGTTTTTGTAGAATCCAACTCGGTGAGTGGACGCTGTAGGCGAAGTTGACCCCAGAACCTCGCTTGGACAGTCATTGCCCTACACGACCAAACCCCTGGTTTTAACAGTTACTCGTCTGGGGTGAACTTTGGCGGACCGACACCCGGGGAAACGTGCGGGGAATTTCGAGGCCCGCCGAGGTGATGACCTCGGTAAGACGTTGTGTCATTCGCCCTAGGTGGGCACCCAGGGTTAGGCTTGCTGGCGGGATATCCAGAAAGGTAGCCACCTCCAAATAGAAGTGAGGGTCAGTGTCAGAACACATTGTCGTCGTGGATGTCGATGAGAAACCACTCACTCCTCGGAGGATGTCAAATCTGTTTCGATTTGAACGGCCAGGAGTCCCGATCAAATTGGTGCTAGACAGTGTTCTCACTTCAAAGAATGCTTCTTAGTGCTAATCAAAGCGTTTTCTGCAACCCGCAGTATTCTTTTGGCCCATGAGGGTATCCCGGTATCCAGAAAAGGGCCACTTTGACGTTGAAGACCTTCAGAGCGAGCCGCATGATGACAGCGACCGCGGCCTGGATGTCGTAGACGAAGCGATGCTCAGGTTTGCTCCGCCCAGGTGGAACGTTGCCACCGCCAACAGTTCGTGCATCTGCACCGGGTTAGATCCTGCTTTCGCAGGCACCTCTTGCTGCCACAGCTGTCCCCGCCGTGCGCCTGAGAGCGGAACGAGCGACATTACAGCGGTGAAGTACAGTAAATCAACCAGTTTAAACTGCGGTGGGGATGGCGACGCAATCACAAAGCCAGTAGTGGCAGTGACGGTGGTGAGGTTGAAGCTGGGCCCCTGATTTTGTGTGCGTATGACAAGATGTCGCGGTTGAGGCAGGCTTAAGCCATGGTGAAGCTGATGGGAGGGAATATTGGCTGTTCATGGCGGCGATCTTTGTCAGAACATAGAGGGAGCGGTGTGGCTATATGAAGGATGCAATCTGGCGGCGTTGTGATCATTCCTGAGATACGGTACCTCAATACCTAGGCTCAGGCACACGACTCTTTTGAGTCTGGTTGTAGGCCTGAGAGCTTACTCTTCGGGGTTGCATGGAGTCCAAGACTGACACGGAGATATTGGGTCTCGTCTTTTGCCGTGATGCTTTCATGGAGCATGAAGGACAACGGGCCCCTGTTAAGTAGGTGTAGCACCAATGAATGGAAAGGGTTTCAGCCATGAAGACCTGCCTACGGCGCGGTCCTTCTATTGTTGGCAAGGGGTTCTCCTTCATCCTAGACTCGGTCGTGGCATATTCATGTCGTGCAGCTTTGCAGTTCAACCCACTCAATGTCAATCATGTCGTCAATGCACCCCTCGTCTGCCCCATCCTCTACCACTGGTGACATGTTGCGTCAGTGCTTGCTGGCAAGGTTCGCACAGTTCCGGTCGTCCCGTCGCAGCCCGATGGTTAGCTCGATGACTTCTACGTCGTGGTTGGAGGTTAGCACTGTCAAGCTCGCGAGGCAGGGTGAAGGTAACTGGTAGCCTAGGTACGGAGTAGAGTCGAGACTTTGCGGCCGGAGAATAAAATTTAAGCATAACCGCAGCTGCCCGGGCCGCGGCTGCAGTCAAACCCACCATCGCACACACTGCGGAACTGAGTCTTCACACACAGCAGCATTGGTGGTTCTGGAACTATCAAGTAGCCCTGCCAGGCTGCTAATGCTCTTCGTGGCCGTTCCTCGACGTGTCACAGAGGGCAGCGTGGTCTGGATGGGGAGATGGGGCTCTCGTGACTTGTGCATGAACCCGACGTGATGCGACCTATCGCCATTGCATCTACCTAAGCGAGCCGCTGGTCAGCCGCGACGTGTCCCTGGCTCCATCCCACTGCAGCTTCACTTGTACCTTGCTGCCCGATGAATCCGCAATAGGTGAGTGACTCGGTCAACGAGGAGTGTGAGGTGACTGATATGACAAAGTTGTCACGCTACATGTGAAGGAGATTCAAAATGGGTAAGTGACCGCCAGCTCTTGTGCTTAAGCGTGTCGCTATTGCACTCACCGCAAGAGCTCTGATCTCACAATCTCCGCCAGACGCAAATCGTTTCAGACCGCGCACACCGCTGTTCCGCCGCAGTATCACCCGTTCTCCAAGAGCCTCACATGGCATCTGAGAAACAACTACGAAGGATGTCTCAATCAAAAGCACGACCTGCTCCCGTGAAGCGCTCCTCGAGCCTCCGGCGAGCGTACAATCACCTCTTCCGCTCCGACTCGGCGACTTCGAGAGCCAGCCCCCCACCACGACCTGAGCGGCTAAAGAGGACCCCCACCGTAGCCGCTGTTCCCGAATCAAACCAGGCCCCAGAAACTCAAGAGGATGCACTGCAGCGAGAGTTGCAACAATGTCGTCAAGAGCTCGAGGAAGCGAAGGAGATGGTCATGGCGCAGGACCAAGAGTTGTCAACTCTGGAGAGAAACGCCCAGAGAATGGAGAGACGCTACAAAGAGAAGGAGGCGGCTTTGACCCGGCAGAAGGCTTCTCTGGAAGAAACCATGGTAGCAGTGGTGGTGCAGCAGATCAGAGAGGCCCAAAAGGCCGAACGGCATGCGGTGAAAGATGAATGCAATCGGGAACATCAAGCGACGCTGGACAGCCTGCATCACAAGTACAAATCGAGGACGGCAATTCTTACCCAGGAACTGGCAGATGCTCGCGCCGGCACCGAACGACTCAAGGCCGATTATGAAAATCAAATCACCTCACTAAATACCGAGATTGCCTCTTATACCAATGATCTCGAAACCGCGAAGGCAGCCATTGTTGAAACCACCGACTCACTGAGGAACATTCAGCAAGCATCAACCACCGCCCTGGAGGAATCGGAAAAGGCGAATACAACGCTGAGATCGGAGCTAGAAGATCAGATCGCCGCTTTGACAGAGGAGCTCCATGCCTCCCGGTTCGAGCTACAGAACGCCGGCGTGAGCCTCGAAGACCATACCAGGCGATACGTCGATCTGCAAAACACATCCTCAAAGGCGCTAGAAGATGCAGAAACCTCGCTGGCCTCGATACGCACAACATTAGAGTCTCAACTTGAAGCACAAGCCAACGACCTTTCCACTGCCAGAGATGCATTGGAGACATCGACCAAGGACAGGGAAGCAGACAGATCAGCACAGCAGCTTGTTCAGGACGAGTTGGCAGCTGCACGTGATGAACTTGCGCAACTCGCCTCCGAACTTCAGAGTCATGGTGAGACGAAGGAAGCATTAACCGCGGCGGAAGCGCGAAACACGGAGCTCACAAACGAGTTGCAAGATCATTCAACCACGAAGGCTGCTCTAGAAGCCTCGGAAGAGAGGGTCGCCCAGCTCTTAGTAGACCTGGCGACCTTTGATGTTTGCAAGCAAGAGCTCGACAGAGCACAGACAGAGATCACTCGTTTGTCAAACGAACTCGAAGGCTTTGCTGGTATGAAAGAAGCTCAAGAGGTGGCGGAGGCACGGATAGCCGAGCTCACCACCCAGCTTGCTGGGCATGAGCAGCTGAAAGCTGACCATGAGACTACGAAGCGGGACCTTGACGAATCCCAAACCAAGATTACAGACCTCACCACAGAACTCGGGGGCTACGCCGATTTGAAGGAGGCGCAACACAATGTGGAGGCGCAGATGACACAGCTCTCGGCCAACAAGGAACAGCTCACATCAGACCTTGAGGCCACCAAGCGTGAATTGGAGGAATCCCAAGCCAAGGTCACAGAATTGACGACAGAGCTCGAAGGCCACGAGTCGACCCGGGAAGAGCTAGCAGCGGCACAGGATAAGATTGCTGGGTTGTCTTCCGAACTGGAAGAACATGCTCAGCTCAAAGAAAATCATGAAGCAATGAAACACGAACTTGAAGCTTCTCACGACAAGGTCTCGGAATTGACAACGGAGTTGGAGAGCTATCAATCTATTCACGAACAATTGGCGACAGCGCAGGAGAAGATTGCTCAGTTGTCCGCCGAGCTCGAAGAACATGCTCAGCTTAAAGAAGACAACGGCGCACTGAAACAGGAGCTCGAAGAATCTCGCGCCAAGGTCGCTGATCTAACAACTCAACTTGAGGATGGCGACACCGTTAAGGGGAACCTCGAAGCGGCTGAGTCGAGACTTGCTGAACTCTCCGCTCAAATGGAAAGCCACACTCAGCTCGAAACCGATCATGAGGCTATCAAGACGGAACTCGACACAGCCCACGCCAAATTTGCAGACCTCGCAACGGAGCTCGAAGAACACAAGGGGCTCAAGGTGCAACTCGAGGCAGCCGAGTCAAAGATTGCCCAGTTCTCCGCTGAGTTCGAAGAATACACCCAGTTGAAAGAAGACCACGAAAGGGAGAAGGAACGTTCTGCAAGCCTCGCACAAGATATTGATCGTCATCTGGCTGCTATGGCTGCGGCAGAGGAAAAGCAGCACGAAGCAGAGGCTCGAGCTGTTGAGGCAGCAGCAAAGCACAAATCCGCCGTCGATGAGATTGATGGTCATCTAGTGACCATTGCGGCAGCAGAAGAGAAGCACAAGGACGCTGAGGCTCGTGCTGTCGAGGCGGAAGAAAAGCACAAGTCCGCTCTAGGCGAGATCGAAGCTCACTTCGATGCTCTTACCGCGGCTGAGGAGAAGCAAAAGGAAGCCGAAGCACGAGCTGTCGACCTCGAAGACAAGCACAAGTCTATCCTCGCCGAGCTGAACGATTTGAAAGAGAATCTGACCGCAGGCGAGTTGGGCCATGCGGCGGCAAAGGAGCAAATGGACCAGCTTACAAGGGAACTCGAAGCTGCTTCGGCTTCTCGCGAAAGTGCACAAGCTGCGCTTAATGAGGCGCAAGAGAAGCTACGCCCTCTGGAAGAAAAGATTGAAAGTCTCGAATCGGAGTTGACATCCATATCAGATTCACAGCAGGGTGATCAAGAACAGGCCCAAGCACAACAAGCGAAACACACCGAAGAGCTCGCAGCGGTTGAAGCAGAGAGAGATGGCTTGGCAGAAGATATATCGGCTCTGCGGGCAGAGCATGACAAGTTGGCTACGGAGATGCAATCCATGGAGGAGTCCAAGACCGCCGTTGAGAAGAAGCTTGCTGATTTTGAGGCGGAGCGATCCAAGTTCACCTCAGAGCTTACCGAGTTAAAAGCGACTATATCAGACCGTGACAGCGAGATACAAGTTGCCGAGATAGCCCAAGACGATGCACGGAAACAAGTCGAAGAGGCAGAGAGCGCTCGGCATACATTGGAGGAGAAAATGGCAGCTGTCGAGGCCCAGCTCAAGTCAGCTGAGGATTCACGTGAAGAACTAGCAGAGAAGTGCAAGCAGCTTGAGGAGAATCAGACCAACCACCAGGCCATGGAGGAGCAACTCGTTAGCCTTCAGGAACAACTGAAATCAGCCCAGAGCTCGAATGAGGAGCTGATCCGGAAGCTTGCTGAAACTCAGACCAGCCCGCAAGCCTCAGGGGATGAACTTACTGCACTTCAAGAGCACTTGAAGACATCTCAGACCTCGAACGAGGAGCTCACCAGGCAGCTTGAGGAAATTCAAGCCAGCCAGCAGACCTCAGAAGAAAAAATTGCTTCGCTCGAGGAGCAATTGAAGTCCGCCCAGAGCTCGAACGAGGAGCTTGCCCAAAAGCTTGAGAATGCGGAAGGTGCGGACACGGCAGCCGCCAGCGAGAAAGCAACTCTTCAAGAGCAACATGACGCGGCTATGGATGAGCTCAACAAGGAGCTAGTCTCAACCAAGGAGGCACTGCAGAAGGCAAAAGAAGAAGCAGATGCAACAATCGCAGACCTCGAATCCAAATTCATTGCCTCTGACGCCTTTCACAGGGACGTCCAAGAGTTGCTGGAAAAGACTCGTACTGACGCCGAACAGTCAAGAACAGAAATGGAGGGCAAACTCGCCGAGGCCCAAGAGCTCCACAAAGCCGCCCAAGAAGCGATCAGAAAAGCCAAGGCCGACGCCGATGCCATGTCAGGTGATTTTGATCAGAAACTCGCCGAAGCATTGACAAATCAGAAAGCTGCCGAAGAAGCTCTGGCAACGGCGCGAGAGGGGGTTGAAGCATCCAGCGCACTCGAGGAGAAGCTTGCCGCAGCCTTAACCGCCCAGAAATCTGCCGAAGAGGCGTTGGACAATGCTCAGACTGGAGCTAAAGCCGCTGAGGAAGCCAAAGCGAGTCTGGAGGCGCAGTTGCAGAGCGCCAAAAGCACGGAGTCCGACGCTGAGAAGAGGCTTGCGGATGCCGAGGCCGCCAAAGCTTATTTGGAGGATAAGATTCAAGCGGCCGAAGTCGAAAAGGCGAATGCTGAACAAGAAGTCCACCATATTCGGGAGAAATTCATGCAACTTCAAGCCGACCTGGAGTCGGCCAACCTAGAAAAGCTTGCCATTGTCGAGAAGTCGTCCAAAGAGCTTGGGTCGACACAAGCAGAGCTCGAAGCGGCCATTGCGGCCAGGTCAGAAGCCCAAGACCACGTCAGGGAGCTGGAAGCAAAGCTGGAGGCATTGAAGAACAACGATGAAGACTCGAGCCGACACCTGAAAGAACTTGAAATGGAGCTCGAGTCACTCAGAGCCAAAGCACTCGATGTTAACAAGATCTCGGAGGACTTGGAGGCCAAAGATCACGCCATTCGCGAGTTGACCACGAGCAAGGACGAGGCTGAAACGCAACTGGAGGACGCAGAGAATAAACTGGCGTCACTGCAGCATGAAATGGATTCTCTGAAGGCGTCGACGAGATCATCAAATGAAGAGGCCGAGAAATACCTCGAGAAAAGAGAGCAGGAGTTCAAACAGCAGGAGGAGCAAACTAGCCAAGAGCTCAGTTCGCTGCAAGAACAATTGGAAGCTAAGCAAGAAGACATTGCAGAGCTCCAGGCATGGAAGGCCATGATGGAACAAGAGTTGGACGTTATGAATCCCTCGACACCACAGTCACCTAACGTGGGTGATATCGAGGATAAGACGTCCACGGTCGCCACCGTGAATGGCGGAAGAGGGAAGAAGAAGAACAAAAAGAAGGCGAAAGCAGCGGCAGACTTCGAGGACGCCATGCAGGAGGGAGCTGCGTAGCGGAACGGTGGGCGCGCCTAACGACGCTTATGTTTGATGAGCAACGAATGATACACAACATTATGGGTAAGGCATCACCTCTGCCTCGTAGCGAAAGCGTTTTGCTGCATTTGACAAGGAGGATGTATTTGATACGGATGGTCATAATTAATACATGGACCAGGAATTTCTTCTCACGCGTTTGTTGCTTTCCGTGTCTTTCTGTCCAACCGTAGTCTCTGCAAGCTGTATCTCTGCCCGACCGTACTCAAACCATGACCGACGTCACGTGAAACCACGTGGTAGTGACATCAGATCCGCCATTACGGAGTTTCGGCTACGGCGTCATTTCTCCGCAATTTGTCAATCGTCAATTTGCCGTCATCCTCGAACGAGGGGCGCAGGGAAAGTATTTCAGATGCCCAGAAGATTCTTCCATGGAGATTGTGGTGAATATATATGTGCTTTTCATCTTTGCCACTGCTCTCTGCATGCTTCTCAGACGAGTATCTGGCTTGTCCCGACCCAAGCTGACTTCCACATCTCGATCAATCCCGCGAGGAAGACTCCCGCAGATGTCTTCACACACCAACGGTGCCAACGGGCACACCAATGGCCACGCCAATGGCCATCAGAAGATTGAGAACACGTCTACCACCACCCTAGCAGATATACCCAAATCCCACACGTTCACCGCCAAACTCCCAGCAGACCCACAGTTCCCTACACCACTAGACTCTCATCGCGCCCCACGCCAGAAACTTGGTCCTCGAATGGTGCGGTCTGCGCTGTTCACATACGTACGTCCCGAACCAACAGAGGAACCGGAGCTGCTGGCAGTGAGCAAGGCAGCCCTGCGAGACATCGGACTCGCTGAGAGTGAAGCAGAATCTGAAGAACTCAGGCAAGTTGTGGCTGGTAATAAAATCTACTGGGACGAGGGCAAGCCCGAGGAGGGCGTATACCCTTGGGCCCAATGCTACGGTGGCTTCCAGTTCGGGTCCTGGGCGGGCCAACTAGGCGACGGACGAGCCATGTCCTTGTTCGAGACCACAAATCCGGACACCGGCGTGCGGTACGAAATACAATTGAAAGGCGCAGGAAAAACACCCTACTCACGTTTCGCCGATGGGAAGGCCGTCCTGAGGAGCTCAATCCGCGAGTTCGTCGTCTCCGAATATCTCAATGCGATTGGGATCCCCACGACGCGGGCTTTGTCGCTGACGCTGTGCCCAAAGAGTGAGGTCGTCAGGGAGCGCCTCGAACCCGGCGCAATTGTGTGCCGCTTTGCGCAGAGCTGGGTCCGGTTCGGAACCTTTGACCTCCTCCGCTCGCGAGGGGATCGAGACCTGACCCGAAAACTTGCCACTTACGTCGCGGAAGAGGTTTATGGTGGATGGGAGAATCTCCCGGCCGCCTTGCCGTCCGTCGAGGACAAAAAAGACGCCCATCTCCATCCTGCTCGAAACGTCCCCAAGGATGCAATCCAAGGAAAAGAAGGCGCTGAAGAAAATCGCTTCACGCGCCTTTACCGTGAGATCACACGGCGCACTGCGCTCCTCGTCGGCAAGTTGCAGGCATACGGGTTCATGAACGGGGTGCTCAACACGGACAATACTTCGATCCTGGGGTTGTCACTAGACTACGGCCCGTTTGCGTTCATGGATAACTTTGATCCTGCCTATACGCCGAACCACGATGACCATATGCTTCGGTATTCCTACAGGTCGCAACCAAGCGTGTTCTGGTGGAATCTAGTACGCTTGGGTGAGGCACTTGGCGAACTGATCGGCGCGGGTGACAAGGTCGACGACGAAATCTTCGCGACCAAGGGTGTCGAAGAAGAGTTTGCGCCTGTCCTCATCAAGCGCGCGGAAACCATCATTGACCAAGTCAGCGACGAGTACAAGGCTGTCTTCCTCAGCGAGTACAGACGCCTCATGACGGCGCGGCTGGGTCTCAAGACTCAGAAGGAAAGCGACTTCGAGAAGCTCTTCTCCGAGCTCCTGGACACGATGGAGGCACTGGAGTTGGACTTCAACCACTTCTTCCGCCGCCTCAGTTCTGTCAAGATGAGTGACGTCGAGACTAAGGAAGGCAGAGAGCAGACTGCAGAACGATTCTTCCACCACGGCGGCGTCACTGGCTTGAACGAGACGAATGAGTCGGGCCGCGAAAAGATCGGTGCGTGGCTGGATCAGTGGAGGCAGCGCATCACCGAGGACTGGGGCACCTCCAGCGGGGACGCGGACTCCCAACGGCGTGAATCGATGCGGATGGTGAACCCTAACTTCGTCCCGCGCGGCTGGTTGCTCGACGATATCATCGACCGGGTGCAGAACAAGAAGGAGAGGGATATCCTCAAGGGCGTGATGGAGATGACCTCGCATCCGTTTGAGGATGGTTGGGGGTGGAATGAAGACGTGGAAGAGAAGTACTGTGGTGATGTGCCCCGATTTAGAAGGGCCATCCAGTGCAGTTGTTCGTCGTGAGACAGCAACGTCCTAGACTGTGTTAAATAGATGGATTACTAGTCCGTAAGTCATGCAGCATGTACATGTACAAGAATTAATGGATTCTCTTTCTGTATACTCCTTATTAGACCGATGATCGTCTCTAGATACCCACGTTTCCTGAAGCCAGCATCTGCGTCCTTCCCGCCCAGTAAAAAGGCCGTCAAGCTACTTCTCTCGAGCCCGACATGATAATTTAAGAGGAGTGGTAGTACGTATTTGCGGGTGTGACATTGCCGCGATTGAAGGAAAGGACATGTGTCCCGAGGGTTTTCTCCCTGAAGCGAGGGTACGGAGCGTGCGGGGAACTGACTCCTCAACTCCGGGCTGCCCCAGAAGTAGCGCCCGGTGCCCATGAGTGCCTGCCCGTAGGTGGTGCCTGGACTGCTTCGCTGCTCTAATTACGCTATGCGGCTCTTCATAGGACCTGTTACATACACGGCGCACACGACTCGCTCCCACCCCTCGTGCTTCTCAGCACAGTAGTCCGGACTCAGTCTCATTAATGGAGTGAAGAAGGCCATCAACTCAAAAGCCCAAGTATATACCTTTGTAGAAGACTGTACAAGATACTACGCAGCAGTGAAGTGAATAGGTGAATAGTTGATGGAAGGGATGGACGGTCGAAATACGAGTACGAGTTGGGTGAGAGGGTTTCGATACATAGTAAATACCCTTATTGAGCTTCCAGGTTCCCAGCCACGCGTATCCGTTCTTCATTTCTCCGTCTCACTCTTATGACTTCCGCTCGGCGCAACCGATAACCAGAGCATTCTCTGACACGAGGCTGCTTCGGCGTACCCGGTTTCCAGGAGAAAACCCTTGTGCAGAGGTGCACTTGCTTTCACCAGTCCAGGTCTGCTGGGAGGTTACCAAATAATCACCCCTTACCTCGTCTGGACTGTTCGGATGTGAACGTACTGTAGCAAGGACATTTCGGGACAATGGCGCCACGGAAGCGAAAAGCCGCGGCGACCGCAGCGGACAACGCAGACTCGCATGTTGACGACGAGGCGCCTCTAAGGAGGTCCAGTCGTCGGAAGACGGCAGCACGGGCGTCGGACGGGCAGGGGGAAGAGACGACAGCACAGGCATCCGGCAAGCAAAGAATAGAAAAGACATCACACGCATCCGACAAGCGAGGCAAAAAGTCGACCACACAGGCATCGGACGAGCGAGGAAAAGATACGGCAACCGCCGCCAATAGCCAAGGCGAGAACAAACAGCCGCGTTCTACGGGACCAGCTCAGAATCAGAATCATGAAGCCCAGGATACGAGCAAAATTGCCTTGGATGCCCAGCCCCATGCTGAGCCTGACAATGCTACTATCTCGGATCACCCCACCCGGCCATTCACACAGTTCACTATCGACATCCCAGCTTCGAAAAAGGGTGGGAAGGCCATTTCTTGTCTCCGCTCGCCCTCCACCCCACAGCACCCGCGCTGTCTGATCTTCACGCACGGTGCGGGCGGGGACCTCTCCGCGGCCGCAATGGTGCATTTCTCCGCTGGGTTCGCCTCCCGAGGCGAGGACGCAACCGCAGGACTAATCATGTTCCCTGGCACTATGAACGTCAAGGCCCGGGCCGCGATGTTTGACCTCGTCAAGCAGCACGGGCTTGGGCAAGGGGACCGGGAGGGAGTGAACTTCGCCTACGGCGGGAGGAGCATGGGTGCGCGGGCAGCCGTGATGGCGTCGCACGTGGACGAGGACGTGAAGATGCTGGTCCTGGTGTCGTACCCGCTTGTGAGTCCGGCGGGAGACGTGCGGGACAAGATCTTGCTGGAGATCCGTCCCGACGTGGACGTCCTCTTCATATCGGGTGACCAGGATAGTATGTGCGATTTGGATATGTTGGATAAGGTGCGGGGGAAGATGAAGGCAAGAAGCTGGCTCGTGCGAGTTAGAGGGGCTGATCACGGGATGAACCTTCGAGGTGGGAAGAAGTTGAAGGAGGGCACCGAGGCGGTGGGTGCCACCACGGGGAAAGTGGCGGCGGTGTGGATTAAGGAGAGAGACGCTGAGAAGAGGGAGATGGAATTGAGCTGGGATGGAGAGGGAGAGCACGGCGACGTGGTGAGTAGTGGGTGGTTGGCTGGTGGGAGGAATGGGCAGGGAGAAGAAAAGAGCAAAGACGTCGTCGAGGAGGAATTGCCCAGAGCTGAAGAAGGGAGCCGAAATCGAAATCCTAAGAGAAGAAAGGTAAAGAAGTAGACTTGTACACGGTACAGTTGCATTGTACAGTATTGTATTGTAGATTCTCCCACCGGCCTCAAAAGCCATGCAGTTCCTCGGGTTTCTCTGAGGTGGACTACTCCGGTGATATAATCAATCATGCTGTCGCCACAGGCTAAATGCACGAGTATCTTTACATATGGAGTGTGCGAAGTCAACCACATCACCTCTCGTTACCTATGGATCGGCTCTCCGCTCGTACCAGGACTGGTAGTGTAGGAGCTTCCGTGTCCAAAATCGCAGTCATAGGCGCCGGCCCCGTCGGCGTCGCGTGCGCCAAATATCTCGTCGCGGAAAAGGCGTTCTCAAAGATCGACATATACGAGCAGCGCGACCGAGTGGGCGGGATATGGAACTTATCTGAGCCCCCGCGGTCAAAGCGTATACCGATACCGCAGACGGATCCGCGGTATGGCCATGGCCACCACGAGGACGGGGCAACGTCCTCGGATCTGAACCACCGCAAAGACGGTGTGGCCGCATCGGAAGATCTGCTGGAGTCGTTGGAGTTCGAATCGCCACTGTACGACTATCTGGAGACGAATATTCCGAAGGAACTAATGGCGTTCTCTGATAAGCCCTTTCCAGAGGACGAACCGCTGTTTCCGAGTCATCCGGCGGTGTTGCAGTATTTGGAAGAGTACGCCGATGATGTGCGGCATTTGATCCGGTTCGGCACGGCCGTGAGGGATGTTCGTCCGGCTGTGGATCAAGATACAGATGGGGGACACGAAAGGCGGGATTTTACAGACACAGGCAAGGGACACGAAAGATGGGATCTCACGGCCCAGGACATCAGGAGTCACGAAACAGTGAAAGAGAGCTATGATGCCGTGGTCGTTGCGAATGGGCACTACACTATACCGCACGTGCCTGATATCAAGGGCCTTGAGGAGTGGAATGCCGCGTACCCCGGGGTCATCATCCACTCAAAGGCCTACCGACGGCCCGAGGATTACAGAGACAAAAAGGTGATAGTGATCGGGAACTCTGCGTCGGGACTGGACATTGCTGCGCAGATTGGGAAGTATTGTCAGAAGCCAGTCCTGCTCTCGTCGAGGTCAGTATCGGCCTTTAGAACCTTGCCAGCACGCGGTGGGGACCAAGAAGACGTCGACGAGATTGTGGAGTTCCTACCACATGACCCAAACATGCAGAGAGCCGTGCGCTTTAAGAGCGGGAGGATAGAAAAGAACATCGATGCAGTGGTCTTCGCCACGGGTTATTTCTATTCATATCCGTTCCTGGCGAACGTGTCCCCCGCAATCATCACCGACGGATTGAGGACAAAAGGCACGTACGAGCATCTGTTCAGCATTGACCACCCGACACTGGCGTTCCCTGTGATCAATCTCAAGGTGATCCCTTTCCCACTGTCGCAGAACCAGGCCGCCGTGTTGGCTAGGATATGGAGCGGTCGACTCAGATTGCCTCCTACGCAGGAGATGCGAGATTGGGAGCGACAAGTGATCCGGAAGAACGGTGATGGGAAGAACTTTCACCTCAAGAGGTTCCCTGAAGACGCGGCTCAAATCAACGAGCTGTTTGCATGGGCACTGGAGGCGGAGAGGAAAGAGGGGCTCGAGAAGGAAGGGCTGGGGAAGTTAGGCACCAGTTGGGGTGAACGGCAGGTGTGGATGAGGTCGAGGTTTCCTGATATCAAGGCTGCGTACGCGGCGAAGGGCGAGGACAGGGTCACGGTTAGGAGGATCGAGGAGCTCGGGTTTGACTTTGATAGATGGCGGGAACATGCTGAGGACAAAGACTTGGACATGTTTCAACGTGCCAAATGTGCCCAGGCGAAGAGGTAGATCTGGTAGGTGTGCTGAGAGTAGAACTGATAGATCGATAGAGGCAGAGGGGGGTTGCTTGTCGGCGCTGTGGTCGGAGGTTAAGCACCCAGCACATCCACCGGATCTGGTGAACTGTATCTCTACCGCAGCATTGGATTCAGGCGTTGCGCTGTACCTCATTCTGGTTGTTTCCACATGGTACGTGTAGACAGGCTTGTCTTCGATACTTGGGCCCTGCTGCTGGTGTACGCGACAAGCTTACCACTAGATGAGTCAAATTTTCTTTGTTCACTGCATCGGCTCAATCGTAGTCAACATCCAGACACTAGAATATCACGCAAGTTTCTTCGGCGTTGCCGCTTGGTGAGGCTCGGCTAAGTTGCCCTCAATTAGGCCGCTTCGATGCGTCGGGGCATAAACAAGCTGCCCAGTTAGTTGGCGACCACGGACGACTTGCCATGCGCATCCTTCTCTTGGCCTTCCTTATGTTCGCCATGCATATGCAGATGATCATGCCTTCCCGCCGTGCCTGTAACTACCCTTGGGGAAGATAATGACGGATCCGGTGCCCAAGCAGCCTGGCATTGCAGCATACAAGCACACCAGACGCAAAAGTACAACCTACTCGCCGTGGCGGGACGTACCGTGGGACGAACAGCAAGCCCTCGGCGGAGAGTTCAAAGCAGCTGGTGAAGGTTGTTGGCCTGTTGAAAAGATTCTGGAAGAGCGCATAAACCGCCGGAGTAACAACCGTACTGAATACCTGGTTCTGTGGAAGAGGCACCCAACAACACGAGAACTTTGGGCACCGCAGTGGGTACGCATCGCTTGAGGCCTTGCTGGGAACATACCTTGGCTGATGGTCATCGCAGGTCTGGGAAGAGATTGACAGCAGAGTGATCGACGATTGGGAGGCCGAGAAGAGGAACAAACGCAGGCGTGGTCGTACCTCCGATGGAAGCGCTGTAGAGCGACCTGCAAAGAGAAGAGCAAGAGCGACTCGCGTGTTGCCGAACTCGTCAAGCCAGTCCGAACGACAGGGTGGAGAAGAGCCAGCTGCATCTAATTCCGTGTCAAATGCTTCCACTACTTGCGAAGAACCGACGACCCCGGACCAGCCTTCGTCTTCCTTGGAAATAGCCGAAACACAACCAGACATCTTCCAGCCAGCAGACTTCTGCGTCGACGTCCCTAGGGCAACTGTTAACCTCGAGGACTACGAGTCTCTTCACAGCAGCCAGCTATACGACTCGACCAGCAGTATTAAGTACGAGTCGTCACCGGTACAGACCAGGAGGAAGCCACCTGCCCATCTACAACTGGCCACGCTAGGCATTCCCAGCTCATCCGAGGCTACTGGCCCCGAGTACGTCCCAAGCACTCTCTACGACTCTCTCAACCCATCCAAGGAAAAACCATCGTTCCTGGCATCCTCTCCGCATCTTGTCGACAGCTGGTCATCACCGGCCGAATTGCCAAGCCAGTCGCCATCTCAAAACTCTATTAACTCCACGGTAGACCCACGAGTCGGCAGTCCATCGAACAACAAACCACGCAGTCAAAGTGCCCGGTCACCCACTCAGTTAGATAACAGCTCTCGTCGCTCAACTGACGGAACGCCGGCGAGGCATACACCTCTGTCTTGCAGTCCGAGCTCCGGCCGCCCGCCCTCGGCATCTTCCAAATCATCCTTTGGAGACGAATTTGTCGTCAACAGCATTATATCTGACTTACAGGTCACATTCGCCATGGATATCGACTCATTCACGAGCTCCGCCGAGCCAGCAATTGGCCCGAGTATAGCACCCCAAGCTACTATCTATGATGCCGCTTTAGGAGGAAGCGCACTTCCTATCCAGGACTCAATAGAGGACGAGGAGCCGCCTTCTAATGGAGAACCTTCGTCGTCGAACTCCAAGACAAGCTCAAGCCAGCAGTCTATTGAGCACGAGCGGGATGTGGCTCAAATTGCCGGTTTGGTCCAGCCCAGCCTACCCATATTAGGGCCGAATGAATATGTTTTCACATTGCCATGCGAGGGAAAGATACAGTCAACATACGCCGACATCATCAAAGCTAAGGAAAAGTCCATCAAAAAGTTCCTCAGCAGACACGAATCAATTGGCTCGGCGCACGGGTCTCCCAATCGAACTCACGAACGAAACGAGATGAATGACATGATACAGCGTCTACATGACACCGTGACCCACATGGATCTCGGCTTGCCAGGGTTCTCAACCCAATACTCGGTCAACTCGCAAGAACATGCCGCTTACGCGAACTATGCAGGCACGAAATTCCTGTTTCTCGGATACCTCGTCGATTTCCTCCATCTCGTCGGCGTTTCGATTGTCATTATGTCTCGAGAGGGACAGATTCAAGACCTTCTCGAGCAATACCTGAAAATGAAGCACGTTGCCGTTAGGCGGCAGGATCGCATAGCGAGGTCGAAGTCACCCGCTACGGATCGACTGAATACGGACTTCTCAGTCGAACTTGTCAGTACTTGGTCCACGCACGAAGTCGATCTTCGCAGCAAACCGTGCCTGATGATTGCTTTCGATGCCTCCTTTGATGCCCAGGACCCTCAAGTGGCTCGCATACGCGCGCAGTTCCACAGTCCACCCAGACTCATGCCGGTCCTTCATTTGCTGGTGGCCAACTCATCCGAGCATGTAGATCGGTGTCTCCCGAAAAGTTTGCCGTCGCCCATGAGGCTGAAGGCGTTGGTCCGCTATACATACAGCGCCTTGCCAAACCTCGGGGGCAAGCCGTTTGTCATCCAGCTGGACTCAGACGTGCCGGAAGGCCGACCTATGGATTTCTCGGATCTTCAGAAAGGCGTGAGGAAAAGCCCCGAACGCAAGATTGCAGAGATTGCCAGAATCGTGGGGAAGGCCGCTGTGTCGCCAGATTTTGGGACACTGTTCACTTTGGAGAACCCTCTGTTGGAGTTGACAGAGCTGGAAGAAACCCCGAGCATGAAGCCTAGCAGAACAACCACCAGGCCAGAATCTCCAAGAGACGGGGCAGCCCGATCAAGGACGCCCGTGTCCCGTGCAGACACGCCTTCAGGCAGGAAGCGATTGCTAGACGTCGATGGTGTCCTCCCGGCGTTGAGTAAACGACAACGCATCACCCCCCTTCGAGACTCGGTTGACCTCAGCAGTAGCGCGCATGAGCCAAGCAGCAAATTGACGCAGCTAGAGGAGCAGGTCCGGAAACTCCAGGCAGATCTCGCAGCAGAACAACAAGCCCGGCGAATAGTAGAGCAAGAGAGAGATCGCGTCAAAGAGCAATTGACGGAATGGCAACGAGATCACACAGGTCTCCAACGACGATATGAGAAACGAATGTTGAGATGCCACGAACTAGACAGGGAAAAGACCAAACTTCAAAAGATCATCGAGACCAACAAATCGCGCCATGAAAGAACAGTGGAAGAAAACGCAGCCCTGAAGCAGAAGACTGCAGACTTGCAAAGAGAGCTTACTGCCACACGTGAGGAGATCAAAGCCGGCGGAGGCGACGCCGCGGCGTTGGAGACCGCGCGAGAAGAAGCGCGTACGCTGCTGGCTAAAACCACTTTTCTAGAAAAGTCGCTCGAGAACACGCGCAAAGATTTCGAGTTCACACGCGCTCAATACCAGAACGCATCAAACAGGGCCACCGAACTGGCCGGCCAAGTGACGGAGCTGGAAAAGGAGATGGCCGTCCTAACCAAACAAGCAAGCGATGAGAAGCGGCGCCTCAAGCAGATGAATTTCGAGCAAGCCACGGATCACCATCTCGCCAAGATCGAACAATTAGAGCTGGAGCGCAGGTCGAGAGATATACTCCTGAAGAAGCTCGAGGAGGAGAATCGCCAGTTGAAGCGCAATCGCGGGGTCCAGACGAGAGGATCCAGCGTGCAGCCGCCGGGGAGCCCAGCAATGGACGGACACAGCGGACGGGGGACGAGGAGTAGGCAGGGAAGTCCTGCGCCTGGGTTGTTCCCTAGCACGCACGCCAGGGCGATTGATAGGGGAAGTCTTTTGCGGAATGAGCGGTAGGGCCGAAGCGAAGCGAAGCGGAGGCGTAGCGATCACACGGCGGCAATTATAGGTAGTGGACGCGTGTATGATAATCCGCGCACGACGATGGATCTGTCGACGTGGAAGGGATGGCAAGCTTTGTAGATGAGGGATGAGCAATGTCGGCCAGGATGCCCGTGCGACTTTACTGGTTTGGCCTGCTATGATAGATCATGCGTGTAGGACTCTTAGGTAGTGGCAGGAGAGAGGAAGGGCTGTTGTTGTCACCACATTTTCTTAACGGACTCTCATTTCGAACGTGGGTCTACCACGGTCTACCCTTGTCCTGTATTCGCTTCTCGATTCCCACAACCCTGAATCTAATGCAAGGCGTAAGCCGCAGCATTCCCTGCTACACAGTACACACAGCAATGAACTTACTTGACCTGTTTCGAACGCGCCACATGAGTGTAGCAGATAGCTGTACACTGTAGTGGTTGCGTGAAGCGGTGAGGGGCACCACCACATGCCTAGGTACTGTAGCATCTTTGGATAGGGACGATTACAGGGCAGGGGAGGACCGTAGTACTGCACCGTTACGGCTTCGCGAGTGCTGACTACATGTAGTTGAACGCAGTTGGTGCACTACAGTTACACCTGGAGTGCCGACCGAGGCAGAAGCTCCAATATTTATTTTCTTTCTCACTTATCAGTGTCATCTGAATACCATACACAGTACAGAGTACAGGGATGGGTCAGCCATGGGTGGTTGACGCGGCATGCTTCCTGGCTGCCTGCCTGCTAACCTGCGCACAGGTGACGGTGACGGTGTTGGTGATGGTCCAGTCCAAGTTCAAGTCCCCAGTCCAGTCCAGTCCAAGTCCAAGTTCAAGTCCCAGTCCAAGCTCCAATCCCTTAGCTCCAAGCCCTTAGCTCCAAGCTCCAGGCGCCGAACCGTAGCCATATCCATAGCCACGATGCCAATCACCATGCCAACCCCGCACCATTTTGTTCGTGTCCTTGCTAACTCCGAAGAAGAACCTCACTCCCGATTCGTTCACTTCAACTCCGTTCGAGTGCAGAAAAACTTTAGGCAGGCCCTTCATATGACATCTCACTTCGCTTGTTCAGGCAAGTAAGCACCGCCCGCGATGACCAGGTTCATGTTTGTGAACTTGACGGCGTAGACGGGACTCTGCTTGGTGAGGAACGCGCTGATCTGATCGCTGGTGACGACCGCGTCTTTGCCGCGTCGCTTGCCTCCCACGCCTGCGCCCGAAACGCCTCCCACACCGACACCAGCAGAGCCGGCGGCCGTGCCGGATTGGAGATTGAAGTTGGATGGAGCGGTGGTTGCGGTTGCGGATTTGGGACCGCCACTCTCAGAACCTGCCTGCGTGGTACCATCGGTGGGTTTTGCGCCCGCGACTCCGCCTGCCGCATTGGATGCGCTGGCCTCTTTCGCCGGTCCGGTCACGTCCCACGCTCGCACGGTGCAATCAGCCCCTCCTGAGACCAGGACCGTCGATTCGGCAGACCAGCTCAACGACCAGATGCCGCCCTTGCCGTGGCCGCGCATCTTCTTGAGGAGTCGTCCTGGAGCGAGATCCCACAGGAGGATGACGCCGGTGTCGTCTGCGCTGGCTAGGATCTTGCCGTTCTTGGAACATGCCAATGCCGTGATCATGGAAGTGTGGCCAGTGAACATTCTCACCGGGTTGCCGTTGTTGAGCGCCCACATGCGGACCGTCTTGTCGCTGCTGGCGGTGAACACGTAGGCGCTGTTGGGATGCCAGGCGATCACATCCACATCATCGTCGTGGCCGGCGAGGATTCTAACTTGGCGGATCTTCTCGGTGAGCCAGATGCGAGCGGTTCGGTCGTGGCCGGCGCTGGCGAAGTAGTGGCCAAACGGACCCCAAGAGACACTCCAGCAGGGACCGACGTGTCCTTTGTAGACCACGACGCATTGCCAGACGTGCAGGGACCACAGACGGATCGAGGCGTCCGCGGATGAGGACAGTAGCCATTGGGGCGACGTGTCAGAAGCACCTTCAGTAGGGTTATCATCAGCGGGATTCACTGTCGCTGGTGCAAATGAGACGGTGTACACGGGGCCAGAGTGACCGATCAGTCGCTGAGAATTCTGCTTCTGGCCGTTCGGTCCTACTGGGCCAAGCGCGCTTCCATCCAGGGTCCAGACGCGAATGTAGGACTCGGAAGTTCCGGCCGCCACGAGCTTCTGATCGCCGCTGAAGTCCAAGCAGCAGATGCTGTCATGGGTATTGTGGAACGTGTACATCACAACACTCAGGCCAGGGCCAATGCCGCCTGTGCGAGTCTCAATTTTGAGGCGATCACGGTTTTCGCGAATCTTCTGCACTTCCATGGCCACGTCGCGAGCTGTGCTTGGCGGGAATGGAATCTCCGTGCGGCTGGGTCCTTCGTCTTCATCTTCTTGTTTAATGTTGACGAGGTCGTGGGTTTGCACCAACGTAGGTTGACCAGGCACGGGAGGACACTTCAAGTCGAGTTCTTCCAGATCGCCGCGCACGTCTTCTTCTAGATCTTTCTCCAGGGGTAGCTTGCCAAGTTTCAGGGTTGCCAAGTTGTTGCCGACAGATGGATCTGTAGAGGACACGGCATTGCCAGGTCGATGACCGGGGATACCTTCGTCTTCGGCAGGCATGTCCTGGCCGTCTATGCCGCGTTGGATCACACTCGCGAAGCTGAAGCGGTCGTCGGCGCCACGGTCGGTCTGACGGAGATCCATGTTGTTCTCGACAATGGAGATGAAGAGCTTGTAGCCTTGTTGGGGAAGAGACTCCAGGAATTGCATGAAGTAGACGTACGCGGCGCTACTGAGGGCCAGGCGATACTTGTTGTCTCGGTAGATTCTGCCGACTTTGTCCTCGCTGTGCTCGGGCAAAGTCATGTGTTCCAGACCTCTCAAGTCATATTCGTGCTCCTTGCGAAAGTCCTCGGCAACTTTGTGGAACAAGCGCTGCGCTTCCTTAGGATAGAATTGCTTGACGAGGTCGAGGTAGGAGTAGACAAAGATCGGCCACAACAAGCGTTTGATCTCGGGTTTGTAGATGTCGAGAGCATCGTCTGTCCAGGCACGCAGACGAAGAAACATCTCGTAGTATCGAGGCGGACCCGTAGGTTGCGGTCGAAGCTCACCATCTTTCGGGACTTCTTGGTTGGAAGACTCGGCGCGGAGAGTGGCTTCGGTGCGATGGTACCCTTTCTTTGCGAGGTAGTCGATCACCTAAGAAAATATGTTAGTCAATGCACAGAGGATTGATACAAGTAAAGACATGCGTCAAGACGAAACATAGTTACGTCGTTGAAGTCATCCTCAACGGCTTCGTCCCCACTGAGACTTTCTTGCTCAGTGTACTCAGTGCTGGGGGAAGGTAAACTGGCCTCGGCGACCTGGGTAGAGGGTTGCAGCTGCTGGCCAGCTTGTGGAGGGTCTTCAGGAATCTGCAAACTCTCCTCCATCTTGAAGACAAACAGTCGATAGAGAGGAAAGATTTTTGTTCAGGTCTCGACTTGTGGAGGAAAAAGAAGAGATCAAGGTCACCTCGAATTTTCGTCCACGTTATTGTGGGAGACGTGGAAAGCGAGAAGCCCTTTTGTACCGCACTTACGGCCAAGACGACGGACACTGGAAGTGGACTGTCGAGAGACATTCTTCATCCTCAGGCCATACCCCACTGAATCCAGACAGCACAAAATCCTTTTCGATTGTGATTCCCTTTGCGATAAATGTGACCGACCGCCACGCGTTTCTTCTCACCAAATCGGACCTCAAAAGAAAGCAGTACACTGAATGAAAGAAAAGATCACTCACAATCTGGTTGAGGTTCTGCTGAGACATGCCACTGGTGGCTCCTGTCGTGGCAGGCGCAGGCGCTGATGGCGCAGATCCAGATCCGCTGGCGACGCCATTCACCAGCGGCGCGGTGGAGGGAGTCACAAGAGGGCCGTTGGGACCTGTGCTTGCGCTTCGTGGCGCTGGGCTGGGCGCCGACATTTTGATCTTGTGGTCATGCACAGCTCGACAAGAACGGACCAGTCAATATCGAGAGTTGCGACAACCGGTGTTGTGCGAAGACAACAAGATGAAGTTTGTCCGAAGAGTGATTGACTTGCAAGGCGTCGTGGATGCCATACGCCGCTTTACCAGGTTTAGCGCCTTCGGCTAAGTTACGCAACCCAGACCTGGTGTTGTCCGCTGTCTTTGAGGCAGCGGAGTCCCTTCAACACGACCTCATCCCCACGACCTCCTCCGTCAAATTGGTGTCGAACAATGCCCAAACAGCGGGCACCCCAATTTGGCCGATATGCCAGACACCGATATGGGGGATGAGTCACCAAAGGAGGGCGAGGTCCCGGTCTTTACACCTGCAACTCGAATCGCGGAATTGAACGACATTGATCGATCTGTCGCTACACTGCTCTCCGCGGCATCGGATGCTATCGCCATTCTCTCGAACACGCCGACAAGTGAAAAGCACGAGGCAGCTCTTCGTAACGCCACATGCGCTAGAGCAGCCTTTTCAACAGCCGCCGAGAATTATTTCTCTACACTCTCCTCTATCGAAGTTCGACTTCGCCGCCAAGTTTATGCATTGGAGGAAGCCGAGCTCATTAGGCCTGGGGATGAAAAGGACGCACGAAGAGGGCGAGCGCCGGGCGGTGACAACAATGTGGTCAGAGTTGGAGGTGGTCCTCTTGATCCAAGCTGGCTGAATGCTAGAGCCAGTGACAAGGTTGGCGTGGGGATGAAGAAGGAGCTTCTGGCTCAAGCGCGGGAATGGGTCGAACGCCATGGCAAGGACACTGTTTGAGGTCATGGCCGTCAAGTTGGAAAGGAAATGAGGTAGCAACCCCCCACGGGCAAAAGCTACGACGCATCGAGGCATCTGGGTGGGCTGTGCTGCGGCCAAGAACGCACCACTATGGCAAATGGATGCTGAATGCTACCGCACACCTATGCTGGAATCGTAAGACCGCAATGAGCAATCAAGCAACTCGGCTTCTCATCCTCTTGTAGTTCTGCTTGACTTGGCCGTCGACGAAGAGACGCGACAGCGATGACCCAATCATGTCCAAGCTTGGCAAAATGCCCAAGTCGCGACTTCGGACTTTCAACTTTCCATGTTCCACTGGCACTCTCCCTTTCTTCGACATATACCTCGATTCTAGCGTAGACGGGCTCATGTCACTGCATCGCCTTGATAATGGATAGTATTAGTGTCGACGAGGTCGATGGAAAACCGAAAAGACCAGGTATCCGCCGCGAGACTTCGACACCCGCACCACCACCACCTCCGTCGCAGCCGCCGCCAGCTCCACCGCCATCCTCAGATCCGACAGACTCGCTGAGCCTTCCCCAACTGAGGCAACTGGTCAGTCAGTTCCCGAAGTCAGAGGCAACGCCATATTCTTTCCAGTACAAAGATGCCGAAGACTTTGAGTCCGAAATTGACGAGTGGTTCCATTACACTGAGCTTGACCAGGATCGGCAGTATCTGCTCGCTTCTCTAGAGGCTTTTGAAGCCAAGTGGGCGGTATTCTGCCATGCGGAAGGGATCTCAGATGACTCAAAATGGTCCGCTGTGAGCGATAGCCGGCGGCAAAAATTTGTCTCGAGCTTGATCAATGACCTCGCAGATCGAGACTATGCGCCGCGTGTGGACGCCTTGTCCTGCATTTACTACATCCTAATGGGTACCTGGGGTACAACTTCAGGCTTAGAGACAAGGGAGGCATCGACCGAGAACGAGACCGAGGCAGACAACGAGCGGTCAAACCTCATCCAAATCCAGTGGATGCACAACGGGGCCGATTTTGTGCAGCAAACTTTACTCATCCCGCAAATCCACCGCTGTCTGATGCAGGCATCACATGCGACCGATTCCATCCGTTCTCCGCAATCTGCTGATGTTGAGGACGCTTCCGAAGGAGCCTTCGGCGAGGACGAGTACCGAGAACTCAGTCTATGCCTTTCCTGCTTCTATCTCTTGATCGAGTCGGCGAGGGTTCGAATGGATACAGCTGCTGGACAGGACATCCGAGAGTCCATATCTTCTTTACAGCCCAGCTTTCTTGTCTTCCTTGTTGGCATGATTTCACGGTTACGATGGGATGAGACGTATAATATACCCCTCATGCATGCGTTGCAATTGTTCTGGAAGGCCATTCTTCTATTGTTTGGCGATGTTTCTGGTCACCTTGGAAGAATCAAGAATACACTTCAGCCGCGTGAGGATCCCTTCTCGGCGGAAGCCGCCCACCCGAAGCTCACTGCATCTCCTCTGGACTACCACGCCTTTCGTCAAGAGATCACCTCGAAATACCCGGCCTACAATCCTCCACCTAATATCATACCCTTGGAATTAGAGCAGAAGACCATGCTTCCGCCCTTGTCAACAAACTCCCGGAATGACTTCTCAAATGTCGCGAGTTCCAGTCTGCCTGGCGCGAGGTCAATCCTCCACCAACCTGTCCACATCGCCACACCCGCGCCTTCTCCACCTCCGTCTCCCATTGGCCCCGGTGGCAAAGCTGGTAAGAAACAGAACTACCAGACCAATCAAAATTTTCCCTTCCTGTATCCTCCTCTCGATAGCACCAGTGACAGCATTGGTGGAAAGGGCTCGACGCAGATACAAGACATGATGGTGGGCAAGAAATGGGAAGGCAGTGACGTCCCTCTCTCAATCATTGAAGCCGGAGAGTTGTTCGCCAGTCGTATGAGGATGACGCGAGCGATGCGCCAGCTTTGGAAAGAACGGGATTTGTTCCTGAAATATGAGAGGGGTTGGAAAGGCGATATTGAAGAGGCAGGGAAGGGTGACCAGGATGGGAAAAGCGAAGAAGAGCAAGGACTCGACGGTCTCGAGGACTCCGACCTACGATCTCGTATGCTGGCCGTTGACGATTTCTTCCATTACGCTCTTCCTGACTTGCAGTCCTTGATCATCGTGATGATGAAAGTCATGCTCACGAATGTACAAGACATTGCCATTCGCAATGGCGGCGCGCAGGAATCCGCACAATCAGGCGGACTCAATCGCACCAAGTCGAACTCGAACATGGCTCAAAACCAAACACTTCCTATCCCTCCCCCACCTCCCCGACCGAACGAAATGACACTGGAGGATTTGGATAACGTCCGCTCCCGAGAGATTAGCCAGAAAGCCATATCAGGCGCTCTATTTCTGCTGCTAAAATGGTTCAAGGTCTCCCACGTTCTGAAGTTCGAGTACATGACCCAGCTACTTCTGGATTCAAACTACGTACAACTCACGTTGAAGTACTTTGCCCATCAAAACTTGGAGGACCTCGTGTCGTTCAAGTACGATCGCGACGACTTGAGTGTGTGGCACTACTGCCACGTCCATTCAGACCACCCACCACTCTCCCCCACCAGCCCGGATGAGCGATCAGAAGCGTCAGATGGCGACGACGCCGTGCCACCACCCATTGCACGCCACAGGCGCTCACCCACAACGGACTCGGGTGGTCAACCTCCCATTGAACAGGCTCAAGACGCGCAACAGCAACAACCCCCTGATCAAGGCCGCCCTTCCGTCGACGAACTCGGCAACCCCCTGGGTCCGATCCCTCCAACCCCGATAACAACCTTCTCATTCCGCCAATTCCAGACCTCAATTCACCTGCTGCGAGTTCTCCAGAAACTCACGCGCGGCAAAGCCCACCGCATCCTTTTCCTCGTACAGTTCAAGTCGTCGCAAATTCTACGTCGCGTGCTGCGCGTCCCTGACCCGACATTGCGCCTCTACGTGCTCAAGTTGTTCAAATCACAAGTCCCCTATTGTGGTCGAAAATGGCGCCAAAGCAACATGCGCGTCATTACGGCAATTTATCTACATTGCCGCCCTGAGCTCCGTGACGAATGGCTCGCAGGTATGCACGATGCCAACGTCGAAGGCGAAGTCGACGAAGCCGTACCCTTAGAATGGGCTCTCCGCGGGCTGACATTCTGGTGGCAGAAGCGGCGATACCCGGATGTCACGCGTAAGGGCAAGAAGGGTACAGAAGCGAAGGTGGCGGATGAAGAGGGTGATTTGCATGATATCGATGACGACGAGAGGGACTTCTTCCAGAGAGAGCTGGACGCACTTGGTTGGGGGCTTGCCGGGTTGAGGGTTGGGGATGGGGAGGATGTGGTGTTTGGAGAGGAGGCAGGTGTCAATGGCGCGCACAGCGTCATGAATGGTGCTACGAACAACGTTGTTGATACAGGAGTGCCGCAGGCTGCAACCGGAACTGGAGAGGTGCGGACACCGCAGACGCCGGTACCGCAGCCGCAGTGGGTTGTCGCGGATGCGGCCGCGCTGGATAACTGGCAGAATAGTTAGAGGCTTCCTTGCAAAATCCACGCGGCGTGGAGAGGAGGAGACGCTGCGCGTGGTCCATTGTTTGATGCCGAGGTGGATGTGGAAGAACTTGACCTCTTGGAGGGTTCAAGTGGTACGATCGATACTGACCGACGTTGGGATGATGTGCTGGGTTACAAGGAGAACGGGGCACCGACGGATATGACGGTAAATCTGGACTGGTGGGAGCCCGGTCCGTGAACGCGCTACAGCGACCGCCGAAGTTGTGGGGAGTCGAAGCCTGGGCTTTCTGACCGCAAGACCTAATGAAGAACAGGGGGCAGGCCAAATGAAGCAAAATCTTCCATGTGCCACTCCTGGTATTGAAGACTCGATCCGCGGCCGGTGCGCTCGGGAAACTCTTGGCAGCACTTGCTTCCTTATCTCTTTCTTCAATACTGAAAAGTCATTTCATCAGCCTTCGTTCTGCTCATAAGTCTTGGGATTTAGTTGATAGGTCAGACATGGTCGACATGGCGCAAAATGTCTCTCCAGATACGAGGAGAGGAAAGCGCAGAGCCGCGCGACAGCGCAAGAGAGCCAGAAGACGGGAGCGAGCCCAGCAGAGCCAAACCCTCCAGCAAGAGGCGGGCAAGCTCTCGGGGGAGACAAAGGTGAAAGTGGAGGAGCCTGAGCAAGAGCAGGACACGGCGCAAGTCCAACGACCGAAGCCAAAGAAGGTGGGCCACGGACAAACTCCCAAGATAAAGCAAGAGCCTCAATCTCAGCCACCAGACGCTGCGAGGGCTGTCCCGTTGTCCGCAGATGACTGGCATCCCTCGAAGCTTCCCTCTGACCTTCGTCACCTTCACTTCGCCAGCACCACGTCCGTGTCCAAGCCCTTTGGCGTCAAAGAGTAAGTGCCCACTCCAACCCTAGCCATGTACTGCACCCTCGATATTCAGACCCGACCGTACGTAAGGGTTCCACGCTGACATCAAGCAGCCACCATCTCGACCTTGTCGTCGCCGCTGGAAATGACTTCTGCCACAAGCTGGAGACCTTTAGCTGCCACAAACATGCCCAAGGCCACGATGTCTCGGATGCCGCAATCACGCGTCTCGCAATGGCATGTCCGAATCTGCAAACCGTCAACCTCATGTCCACCACCAGACTGACCGACGAGTCTGTCCTTGCCTTCCTGAAACATTGCCCCGGTTTACGCACCCTAACCATTGTTGGCAACCATCCGACCAAAGGCAACGTCACGGGCAAGTTAGCGTTCGCCGAACTCACGAGGAACAAGAATTTGGGCAAGAATCTGCAAACGCTCAAACTGGTGGATCAGCGCGTCGGTCGGGACGACATGACGCGCCTGTCGCGTGCTCGCAAAGACTTGGTCGTCTGGGGAACATACGTCATCTGGCATGGCGGGAAGGTTGCCCTGGATGAAAATGAGTGGTTTGAGTCCGAGCCTGAGCACGAGTATCAGGGTGAGTACGAGTACGGGGACGGGTTGACGTGGGTGGACATTCAGGATTCTCTCCCGATATGGGAGCGTGACTACCACTGGTAGCGGCACCCTCGGCGTGCTCTCTCACGCAATTCTCATGCATGCGGACTTTGGTGCTGATCTCCTTCGGACGTGGAGAAGGCGCGGTGGTGTATGCGAGAGGAGCAAAGCAGTAAGAAAACCCAGTGATGGCGACACACGCTTGCCGAATAGCGGAGGAGCCGAGCAAAGGTCCGGAATTGGTTTGTTCTTGTGTACGATACATTTCAGAAGGTTGAATGAGGGGAGACACGGCAAGTGTGGTACCTAGGCGCCTGATTCTGTGTCCGTTCATTCTCTTGCTGAGCTTGTGTACAGTACCCGATCAAGAAGATCCGGGGAAATCAGTAATCATGTAGCCTCATGACGTTTCAGCCTCGTCAGCCTCGGTCCCGCGCGGAGCCTTGTCGGTTGCCCGCGCTTTGGAGCTCTCACTGGCGCGCAACGCAACCGCTGATTACGGCCGTTGACACCGGGCCGTGGAACTCGGCCGTTGCTTGCTCTACAAGGGGGATCGACGCTTAGTATATATGCTTATGCTTCACCCAGGCCTGGTATAAGACACGCTTTCCCCGTTCTACCTCGATTCCCGCATCTCCGTAATCCCGCCTTCCCACGACCCCTCAACACCACGACTCATCTCCCTCTCCCACTGTTCTTCCGTGCAAACAACATCGACTCAATCACTTGGGCGACAATCTATACCTGCTACGCCACGCCACGCTACGCTACGCTCCCGCAGAACAATGCCACTCCAGCCCTCCCAATACCTCTCCTCCGTCTGGAAACCCGACCTGTTCCGGGACAAGGTCGTCTTCTGCACCGGCGGGAACGGCTCGATATGCAGTGCCCAGGTCCGCGCACTCGTGCACCTGGGCGCGAACGCGTGCATTGTCGGACGGAACAAAGAAAAGACCGAAACGGTTGCTAGGGATATAGAGACGGCACGACGTGGCAGTAAAGTGCTAGGCATTGGGAACGTTGACGTGCGGAGCGTGGAGAGCCTGCAAAAGTCGGTGGACGAGTGCGTGAGGGTGCTCGGTGGGATTGATTTCTTGATGTACGTGGACAAGACGCACGCTTCCCCCCTCTGCTTATTTATCGCTCGAACGAGCCAGTACCCCCGTATTGACGGTGTACGCAGCGCAGGTGCCGCCGGCAATTTCCTGGCTCCTCTCGCCCAACTGTCCCCCAACGCCTTCAAGTCCGTCATGGACATCGACATCCTGGGCTCCTACAACATCACGAAACTCTGCCTCCCGCATCTCGTGGCCGCGGCGAAGAAACACAACGCCACGTCTACGCTTCCCAAATCAGACGCCGAAACGTCCGGCCCAGGAGGCCGCATCATCTACGTCAGCGCGACGATTCACTATACAGGCCTGCCCCTACAGACGCACGTCGCGGTCGCCAAAGCCGGCGTCGATGCCCTCAGCGCGAACGTGGCGATCGAGTACGGGCCCTTGGGGCTGACTTCGAATATCATCGCGCCCGGACCCATCGCAGGCACAGAAGGAATGGATCGCTTGTCTAAGAAGCACAAGGCGGGTGGTTCGGCGCAGCCTGGGAAACGCATCCCCGTGGGACGGTGGGGTTCGATCAAAGAAATCGCGGATGCGACGGTGTTTTTGTTCAGTGATGCTGCCAATTACGTCAATGGCGATAGGCTTGTCGTCGATGGTGGCGCGTGGCATGTTAGTGCTGGGTCGCCTGGTGGGGACTTTGAGTATCCCGACTTCATTCTTAGTGGGGCCGAGGTCGACGGTGTTGCGGGCATGAGGAAAAAGAAGGAGGGTGCGAAGCTGTGAGTGGGAGCGGGCGGTGGTCCATGAATGGGGGGAAGGCTGTTAGTTCCGCATCTCTCATCTGGGAGAATGGGACCTAGGAGGTACTGCTTGCGGGTTGATCATCAACTCGGACGTCCATTGGTCTATGGCTGGATCGTCGAGCAGTTGTTGTTGACGGGCGCAAATCGCGTGAGGCATCGAACCAGCCTGCTGCTGTTAGGGCAAGGGAAAGCCATCATGAATTTGGCTTTGACGGGATGCAAGACGCAGAGAAGTCCCGTCACCGCCTGAACTGCACTCGGGAGTACTTTCCTCTCAGAGCGCATGGTGGACGTGGTCGAGCATAGCAAGTAGATGGTTCAAGAGAGCTCAATCGCAATACATGGAAGCTGTTCTTATTGCCCGCGCATCGTCGCGTGGATAGCGAAGTGGATCGAACCTCGACCCACGTGTCGTAATCCTTCCCGAGTACGGAGTATTTGGTTCTCTTATTCTCTTACTTGAACCTCGTCCTTTCCGGTACCTGCATCGATGACGCCCCTACTGTTTCTCGTGCTGCTACCTGCTGCTGTGTGCTGCTGTGGCGGGAGGCAGGTGCTCTCGTAAAGAGAGTCGTGGATGCTACGACCTTGACGAGCGACCCAGAATCTCCTCGGAATTTTCTCACCATGCCGTTGACATCGCGCGCACCACCGAATCGACAAGACGCAAATATAATCCAACCTCCTCCCCTAGCCTGATATTCTGCGTTTCCTCTGTGCCTGAAATGGAACAGAAAACCGGGTTGCGCCTTCAGGCTCTGTGCCACACGTTTTGACAGCCTCACTGCAATATGGCGAAGGCTGCGGCTTCGGCTAGGCTTTCCCAGCTTCCCAAGCCACTTTCGACAAAGCGCATCGAGACACAGGCACAGGCCACGACCACCTCCCCTCAGTTCGCCTGGCTGGCGTTGGTCATCCTCCCTCCGGGCGCCACCTTATCGATAGCTCTCTTCCATCTCCCAGGGGTCTTAACGAGGACAACACCCGTCAATCGGGCTATGTCTGGGCACTCGAAATACTCGCCCCAGCTGGTCGCAGTAGGCTCTGTGGCTTGCTCTTGGGCCGCTGTTTCACATCCACCATCACTTCTGGCCGGCGCTACTGCTTACCTCGGAGCCCAGTGGGCCACCAGTCCGACCCTTCCTTCCACCCTTGCACTGCCAGGCAACGATGGAAGGCAAACAACGATTTTCCCGGCCTGCGAGCAAGAGTCATCATCCGCCTTCAATGTCCACCACTCCACTACCTGAAGTTCTCGCACACGCCGTCTTTGGGAATAAAGATCGTTCACACCCTTGTTAACCAGACTTTGGTCCTTCTACAGGCCAGCCTTTTTGGCAAATCCCAACCGGCATTAGCGGCAAGGCTGGGAGCCAGGCGGCTGGCCTCCCGAAACATGCCGCTCATTCAGGAAGTTGCACGGTTGTGGGCGGAATTAAATGAGAGGAGGGATCACGCATTTCTCGTTCAAGAAATCCTTGGTCGAGTATGGCCGAGAAGTCTTCGGAGTTCTCAAGGATTCGACGAAGGCTCATTCAAAGACGTCGTGTTATTGAAGACTATCTTCGACGTTCAACGCACGCGCATGCGCCGGCATTCATCATACAACTACCAGCCTTTGGATGGCTTCCTGATCTCAGCTGACGGCCTCATTGACTGCCTCGATTGTCTGTTAGGAGTCGCGCCAGCGATAGTCCGCAACCCCTCACAAATCACCCGCATCGTTTCAATCAATGTTCTTCAACAAACTTTTGTCTCCGGCTTTCGTGCAACTCTCCTTCGGCTTGAGGGATCGAGAGACAGCGCACATTCAGATTCGAGGATTCCACGACTCCAAGCCTGCATTGACCGTTGGCTCTCACACGGGTTCCCTGTGGGCGGAGGAGAACGGAGCTCATATATCTTTCGAAACGCAATTGAGAGTCTTCGCGGTACCCGGGAATTCGAGAGCAGTTGTGACGAGCATGTCCCACTCGATCGACCGGATCGTCCGGGTGTAAGTTTTATGTCCAATTGAGTGCAAGATTGCAGCGCTAACAACACAGTTTGCTCTCGATTTTAACATGACGAGGTGCGTACCTCAGGCAATAAGCTGCATCACCCGACAATGCAGCCAGGCATTCAGGAGTGCACTTCTTCTGCTGGATCTACGACTGATGATCATGGCCGAATGCTACTACCAAGTGAATGCGAATACGTATCAATCTGGGTCCAATAGTTCCTCGGGCTCGACGTCCAGATTTTCAGAATCAACGGCCTCCTCGCACGACCTGAGAATGATACTCGACAAATGGAAAGAACTCGGCACTCAGCTACAAGTCTCCGTGAACACAAACGCACCCGATGAAAGTCAAGCGCTTTCATCCTTCGTCGACTTTGTGGACGCCGTTGAACCCGGTCCTCCCTCTTCCGCCGACCCAATCGAACAGATTCTGAGTTGGACGGGACAGGATCTCAGCGTTCCGATCCTCGGGGGCATTCTCAACATCCGACCCTCTGTGTATTCCAAGATTTGTCAAGAGCTGCGACTCCGAAACGCCCTCGTCTTCGACACCCGTGGAGATCTGCAGAACATCTTCAACCAGTTGACCGCACAGATTCAATCATGGGTGCCACAAGCCGGAGTTGGGGAGGTTTTCGATTCCCCCTCTCAACACGACGTCTACATACTGGAATGCGGCGAGCTTCATCCCATTGGCTACGACATGTTCATGGACCATATCAACGGCCAGGCCAGGGAGGTAAGCACCAAATACTCAAGCCATTAAGTCGAAAAGACCACTGATATGCGCCAGGCCTTAAGGAGCGGTCAAAATGTTATTGACCATGACTTGTACTTTCAGTGCCCGTTCCACGAATCCCCTGCACCATATGTTCGGAAAGCACGCCGAGTGACCCCGCTGAGTGAAATATCTAGAGCGCTGCAAATAATCATTAACTCCCCCGTCGCGGTGAATGAGCATCCAGCCAGTGCTGGTGATGTCTCTGAGGATCTGGAATTCTCCAACAACGAGCCCGAGCATGTTGAAAATTCAAACGGGTCAACTACGAGCAGGGTGGTGTCCTCACATCAGCATGAGAACACGACCTCCCCTACGACGTCAACGCCCGTGCCAACACCAGATGCACCACCGTTAGTGCGTCCACCCACCACCAGCAGGGCCACTATGCGAAGCAGAGCCCTTACTACCTTGGGACGGTGGATCAACTCAACACACATTCGCAGCCAGTCCGAGTCTGCCACAACCCCGTACATGTCTGAGTTGTGCCATGCGCTCAGTCCCGATGGTTCAAACTTAATCGTCTGGTCTCGGCACAGAATCTGTCGCAAACCACTGGCCAACGATACTTGGAGTCAAGAGCAGTTCTTGGACCATATCTTACTTGCCGCCACTGGGACCAATCACTTCGCTGCGGTCAGCCAAGGGACGGGCGGGTATCAACTCTCTCTTTATGATGCAACTGGTGGACCTGCAGGGGAGTCCATGATGCGTCTCGAAAGGTGCCCAAGAAGTCTGTGTTTCTCTCACGATGGATCAAAGCTGGCTGTAGGCACAGGTTCTGAAGTGAGGATTATTTCAACGAGCCTGGCCGACTGGGCTCGCCGCTACCGCAGCTACTCGTCAGTCCCGCCCTCAACAGGCGAGGAGCCTGACCGAGGGTCGCCAAACCAGCTACATCAAGACACCTGGAATGGACAAGGGCTGCACAGCCAAGCTTTGTCCTTCTCTCCGGACCGAAAGCAGCTCTTGGTGGCTACACAGTATGGTCATGAAGAATGCACCATCTGCCTGTGGCTCTACGATCTCGGTCCACGAGCAGATCGACGAACTCTACCTCCATATCCCTTCGCAAAAACACTCAGAATGGTAGGTCATGCGCAATCTGGACAGCCTGTCCGTACCGGGTCTCTGCGATTAACACCTATCAGATCTCATCGGACGCTGGTTTGACAGCGATACCCTGCTTTCACAAAGGCGGTCAAACCACTTACATCGTCTGCAGGGCTGCGGCGCATCATAGACAGCCCAGAGTCGAGCGGATCATGCCTCCCGCTCGGGGTGGGGGCCCTAGGCCTAGAGAGTCCGAGCAGATAACCGGCAGAGAGCTCTTCATCGACCGCGTGCATACGGCAATTCCTATTCTAGGTGAAGCTCCTCGCTTTCTCTTAACCAATGAAAGCAATGAAATATACCTTGTCCGCCGAACCGACAACGGAAGGGCTTGGGGGGCAGAGTGCGTGCCGGTTCACCTCCCCAGACGTCCTGCTCCTGAAGACGGCGGAGGATGGAGAGTATCCGTCGCCGCCTTCAGCGCGAGCAACATCACTACCTTCTATATCAGTCAGGGTCAGGGTCACCTCATTCGTTATGACGCTTCAAGGTCTCCACAAGAACATTTAGAGCACGTGTCTTTGGATGCATTCAACCCAGGGGGAGTGGATATTGCAGCGGAAGCTACATAGCATAATGCAACCGACGCCCAGATGGAAATTCTCATCACTTGAGCCATACCCAGATCCATTCACCTGTCTTGACGATTCTTGCTGACAAGTTATCCTCCTTTCCAAACACAAGCTTGTCTCGACCATACTTTTCATCCGTCACATCCACCATCACAGGGTGTCGGAGGTATAACGTTGGCTGCAGACGAGGGAGTATCTGACGATGCAGATGCCAACGATAGAGGACGCAAAGAGCAACGAATACGAAGACCTGCGGCTGGTCAGGCTCCGATATTTCCAGACTGAAACACAGCCCGTGATTCGGGAGACTTACGCTGATGTACGACGCAACAAAGTCCGCGCCACTGAACGGAGAGACCGAGCGCCAGCCATTGAAGAGTATCAACACCGTGCAGCCGAAGAGGGCATAGCACGTCCGCAATGGCTGCCCGTTCGAGCGATATGGGTAGGTGATGGTCGTCTTTCTCCTAGAGTATGCTCCAAGGTCTTGCCCAGGATCAATGGAAGCTCGTGGGATGCGGGATGCGCTGGAGGCCAGTTTCATGCTTCCATGATCCGTCAGTCAGAGGCTCTGGGAGGAAGACCGAATACATACAAGCCTTTGAATCTGAGAAACGTCACACAGATCACCGCGTACACAACAAGCATCGAAACCGTCGAGTTGAGGGCCAGCCGGCCCAGTTGCTGCCAACTGTTAGCTGCGAAGGAGTCTGAAGAGCATCCTGGCTTACGTGGGATGGTGTTTTGCCCGCGGCCAGATATCCAAGAAACCCGAAGAGCCAGCTTAGTAACACGGCATTGCGTGGAACGCCTTGGGACCCTGTCTCCTGCAATCGCCCCTGAAACTTTCGAAGAAATCTGGGCCACGCCTGCTCGGAGAGCGCCAGCGCATGCAGAATGCGCGATGACAGGTACAGCGAGTTGATGCCCGAGGATGTGGCTGAGAGAATGAAGAACCCGTTGAAGAATCTCGGCCAGAACGTCTTCCCTGCTCGTATCGCTGCCAGCACGAAAGCTGAGTGAGTGCCATTATCCAAGGCCGAGATTTCCCGGTTGACCAAAAGGGGCTCGTCATAGGGGACGTTGAGCCCGACAGTGAAGGTCGCCAGGCTGTAAAGCAGAATGATCCTCATGGCAATCTTGCGGCTGGAAATCTTGACGCCTTCAAACGTGCGCAGCTCTCGGTTTTCTGCGGCGGTGACTGTAACCGCTTCGAATCCGATCATCGAGAATATGGTCAACGTCATGGCAGACCAAACACCTGCAAGACGTCCCCAGCCTCCGGTCTCCACAGCACCGCTTGGTGTGGTCCAGGCACGCGAAACGAACCCCCATGGGTCGTTGTAGAAGCGAAAGTGGGTTCCGGTCTCGATATTGATACCAATGTTGAACAGTATCAACCCAACGATGAACACCATCTTCATGAAGCCGATCCAGTATTCGATTTCACCAAACCACCGCACTCGAACGAGGTTGACAGCGAGTGTGAGGAGGAGGAAAATGGAGATCCAGACCGCAGGGTTGACTTCACTTGTCGACCATTTCAGCGACGGCTTCGGATAGCCCAATCTTTGAAGGTCTGCTGGGCTGAAGCCGAATTGGAACAAACCAGCGACTCCTTGCAATTCAGCCGCGATGATAACAACCCAGGCAAACCTGCTTTCGTCAATAATAGAGCCTCTTGCCAAGGGAGATACGCGAAGGGGGCTCACCAGGACATCCACCCCACGGCATATCCTATCGACTGGTCCAAGAAACGACACGGCAATTCAAACAGCGCGCCCGGGACGGGAAAAAGAGCGGTCATCTCGCCAAGAGCTGCTTGAACCGACCATACAATCGATCCCATCAGGGGATACGCTAGCCATGCCATTCCAGGCCCAGCAAGGTTTATGATTCTACCATTCTGGAGGAAGAGGCCTATGCCAATGACACACGAGAAAGCGATCATATTGACATGGCGCTCTCCAAGATCGCGCCTGCATCCGATCAGTCGCCGTCTACGTCCTCGTCTTCCGTATAACTTACCTGAGAGATGTATTGTCTCGCTCCTCGCCAGAATCATCATGGATATCGAGATCGGGATAATAGACCGGCCCATCGCCTCCATCTGAACGCTGTGTATGCTCAGAGCCCCTTCGAGACCCAACCGCATCAGTGTGAGGCTGCGGCACATTCGCTCCCAGTTCCCGCTGCGAGGACGATCCCCGTGAGCTTGAACCATCTCCATGGTTACTATGTGTGGTTGTTAGAGGGTATTCATCGTGAGTAGTGGCCATCATCGCAAGTAGTGACAGTGCCGAAACCAGTCAACACTGAGCCCACCATTACCTCGTAGACAGGAGGTCGATTCTTAACATGACGGACTTCAGGCCAGACTTTTCCGGCTCAAGACCCCTGAAGCGGCTGCCTACTGTTCAAGGCGGCTGTGACCAAAAGCCCGCGACCCAAGGCAGATTTGAATAGTCACATTCCACGGCGCCAGAAAGGCAACCAAGGCATCTTGCTGGGGATGGTTAGTCGGGCGCTCGTATTCAGGACCCACATGTCTTACCATCGCTGCACCAAGTGAGAGTTCTCACATCTTCCATGGTTCTGATTGGACAAGCGGCCTTCCACCATTTTCAGCCTGACCGTCTGTGCGACCACAACCAGGAACTTTGGGTGCCCTCCGGGGTCAATATCAAAGCAGGGGGCTAGGGAGCCTCATGGGTGTCACAACATATTGCAGTGGCGGCGTGTTTCCATGTCGGCGCTCTTGGGGCTGGTTCCAGCCTTTCGCCAGGGGCAAGTATTGCCGGTATGGCGCATACGAGGGGAGAAGGCAACGATGAGCGTCAGGCTGAGCGAGGGGCCGAAGGACTAACATCTCAAGATATCGCTCTTCGTGTTTCGGACAGTTATCTGACTGATTTCTGCTTTGACAAACCTAGTGTGCGATTCGATTGAGGCTTGTTAAAACTGGCGTTGGCAAGAACGTGGCCAGCCACCAATCCTCAACAACAAAATGGCTTTGATATTCTCGGAAGATGCCTTTCTATCGAGCCTCAAGTGTGCATTGTGTGGAGAACGGAGACCGATCGAAGAGTTGACGCTCTGCTCAATCTGCAGTCGAAACAGGGCTTCTCGAAGGTATCTGTGCATCAGTCACTGCCACAGAGCCGAATGCGAACATGCCCTCGGCTGCGAACTGGACGGACATTCTTCATGCTGGTACAGCCACATGTCGGGGGCCTCCCTCATGATGCAGGAGGATCACCAGAAACAGAATGCCCTGGCCGACGGTTGCATCCAGGTCATCGTGCCTCCGAATATTGACGACAGAACTCAGACTGCACACCATCGATTCGACCAACGGGCAGAGTGGTTTCGAGTGACCATGGCCAGCCTCACAGCACAAGGCGAAGAGCCTATTCTCCAGGTTACGGACCGTTTCAAGAAATTGTGCAACCCAAGTGCTCAGTTCAGCCTTGGGCAGTACCCGAGCCTTGTGTCATTTATCGGCGACACTGGGGTTGGCAAGTCGACGCTTGTCCGTGCCATGAACACTGTTGGCATTGTAGACCAAATGCGGAGATCGGGCGTCATGGACTGGAGACATGTATTTGGCTGTCAGCTGCATGGCCCCGTCACGAGGGCTACTTCTGCGCGAAGGACCATGCGCCCAACATCAGTCGGCGTCCATCTTTACCGTGATCAGACCATTGTCCATGTAAGGGACGACCATGGGAATCAAGAAGATGTCCCCATGCTCTATGCCGATTGCGAAGGCTTCTCGGCCGGCAGTATGAGAACTGATGCTGAGTTAAGCACTGCCACGGGCTCGTCGCGTGCTTCAAGGATACGGTCCGGGTCTCTGACATCGCAAAGCTCGCACTCAAGGCCGCACGCCAACTCAAATACACCTTCTGAGCCTGCAGCCGCCACTGGAATGGAAGGCCCGTTGCAGCTGGATCTCGTCATCAAGACGCCCGGCTTCAAGGATATGGGCAAGACGAGCGCAGATGTCTTCTACGCTCGCTTTTTGTACGCCTTTAGCGACGTCGTCGTCTTTGTGATAAACGAGGAACAAAAGATGAAGCGAGAAATGCAACGGCTGCTTGAGTGGGCAGTATCTGCTGTGAAGACCTCGAGAAGCAGAAGCTCACCTCGAACCCTCCTGGTCGTCCGTAACGGTCCGAGCAGTCACCATGACTCTTTTTACGACGACGTCGACCTCAAGAACGAGATGTTTCAGGACTTTGGTGACATCTGGGACGATTCGCGAATTCTTACCAACTACAAGGTGGATCATAACTTGAACTGCAGCCGAAATGAGGACAAGATCTATGACAACGATCAGTATTTCCGGCTCTTCTTCCGCGAGACCACAATCTGTTATATCCCGAGCATACAGAACGAACAGTCGCCCGATCGCATCTATCAACAGTACTCTCATCTTCGAAAGCTGATCGTGGGTGGCGTCCAAGCAGCTCAAAAGGCTCGCTCCAAATCATACTTTCGGCATGATGTGCCGTCGGCGATCGACCTGATCGGCCAGGCTTTCAGGCACTTTGCCGAATCTAACGAGCCGTTCGACTTTCATGTGGCGGCAAGGAAAGACAACCCGACGCCAATATCCATCCCTGGGCATATTGCTAATCTTCTGCGCCACCTGGGCACCACCGAAGAGAGGTTCTCAAAATTTGAAATCATTGTCGCAATATGTTTGATCTCATACAACTATCGAACCTCTCGACTCGGTATGTTACAAAGCATGCGAATGACTGTCATGGCTAATTAGCACAGGGAGGGAACCTGCAGATATCTTCGACGACGAACTCGTGAAGATATGCCGCAAGGGACTGGAGATCTATCAGAAGCAGTTCCTTCGCTGCGCTCTTCTGATGGGCGACGGGACCAGATGCGTCAAGTTTGCGTATAACCATGACTGCCATGAGAGTGAGAAGACCCTTATTTGGAAAGGGGATATCGAGCGCTCATGTTTTGAGAAAGATGTTACCGACGTGGTGGAAGCGGTCAGAAAGGCGTTCATTGACCTATACTCCGAGCTATGGGATGTCAGTGCTCAACGTGGTTCGCCGACTCTGCAATCCACCGCTGCATTTCGACGCAGGATCCTTGGACGAGAGCGCACCTCGCCAATACCCCCTCTTGCGCGGGTGCCAACGCTACGATCCCAGGACTTTGACAGGGTCGATCCGATATGGTCGGAGCTTAAGAGCAACATGACCTGCTTTGCCTGTCTACAATATGCGCCTGACCATGTGCTGCCGTGTGGACACGGGTACTGCGAGGATTGCGTGAAAGATTTCGGCAAGGTCCTCCCACAAAGGCCCTACCACTATGTAATGGGCGAGTGCGTCCTGTGCAACGCCACGGCAGCTCAGTGGCAGGTACGACGAGGCGGAGAGTTGTCAAACGGACCATCAGTTGCGAATGAAAATGTTACACCAGTCATCAGACTCAATCCTCGCTGCGGAGGGATAAGAGTGCTCACGCTGGATGGCGGCGGCATTCGGGGCGTGATCGAACTCGCCCTGATTGAGAAGATTGAGCACAGGATTGGCCTGAATTTGCCGATTTCGGAATTCTTTGATCTGGTCGTGGGAACCAGCACAGGTACGTGGTCCGGGCTCACGTGAAGGCTTAGGCTCAGCTGATTGAACGATCGTAGGGGGCATTATCGCTCTGGCCATCACAAACTCACCCAGGGACGTCAATACCAAATCACTCACATCCAAGTTCATCAACCTGGCGAAGAGAGTCTTCGAAAGGGATCGCTTTGGTCACGTTTGGAGAATGGATCCGCTGAGTGTCGTCAACCGGTCCACGGTGCTGAATGTCATGATGTTACTGCGGGTCATCAAAAGCAGGTACAAAAGCAGCACCCTGAAAGCCAGCTTGCTCGACTTCTTTGATCCCAAGCAACCCGTTTTCGGGGCCACCGTCGCTTCCTGTCAGCAGAGGACGGCGAGAGTGGCGGTAACCAGTACCAGCGACGGTTCCCCTTGTTTGTTCACAAATTACAATCGTGCCTCATACGCTCGAGCAGACGGCTCTGATGCGGAAGATTTGGTGGTCAATCGAGGGTTCGAACGACAAGACAATCCCGATATGGAAGCGCGAGTCTGGGAAGCGTGAGTCGACGTGTGGCAGCTTCCAAAATTCATGCACTGACTCCGATATTTAGAGCCATGGCCACGTCGGCCGCACCCGGTTACTTCCACGAATGGAGGATCGATGATGTCGAGAATCGGAAACAACACCGTGTCCCGTTCAGGGACGGGGCTCTTCATTCCAACTTGCCAGTGCAATGTGCGTTGGAAGAGCAAGACCGCATCTGGCCTGCTCACAAGGACTATAAGAAACCTTTGGACATCCTGGTATCCCTCGGCACAGGCAAACCACTCAAGGAGACCAAAATCCCTCGCTGGCTGGAATTCGCAGGCGTAGGGGACATTGCCGCGGCGTACTACAAGAACGTCATCAACACCGACGCCGTTTGGGACGCCTTTGTCAACAGCCAACGTAGCAATTATTCGCCTGGCCGCCATTTTCGGCTGACCATTGACCTGGAAGAGCGGGTCGGACTCGATGAGTGGGACAAAATGCACAACCTGTACGACAAAGTGGGCCAGCTGTACCATTCGTCTTTCAGAGCCTCGACGGGACTGTGGAAGAAAATCGACGACATTGCCTACAAGCTCACGGCCTCGCTGCTCTTCTTCGAACCGGACAAGTGCGAGCCTGTCCCCGCGCGCGGTCAGGCTGCTCAGGGACGAGAGCAGATCAGCGGGACCATCCTGTGCAGGCTCCAGACGCCGAGTCCTGCGTTGCGCACGCTCATCCGCCGCATTGAAGGATTCTACCATCATGCCGCAAGTCGACATGTGGACACTCAACTACAATTACCACGAGACTGGAAGACGGTGGCTCTCCACGCCGAGCAGAACGGACAGCCGTTTGGTATTCCTTGTCGGCTGGACAATGCCGAAGGAGCCGCAGTCCGACAGAGCTTGCTCGTCAAGTTGAAGCCACCTGGCGAGGCGGGCGAGGGGTCTCTAGAGCCCATTAGTGGCTTTCCTATCACGTTTCAGGAATTAAAGGCAGGGATGTTACAAAGGGGTGTCAAGTGAGGTGCACGGTGTACGGTGCGTGATTCAGTGGGCACCGAAAGAGCTATATGACTATCTTGTTGGGCGAGTACTCTGTGGAGGCCCAGCAAGGTAAGGTGCCACGAGGTGATATCCCAGCGGCGGTCTACCAGCTGCGTGCTATGGCTTATGTAGACCACGTGCAAGCAAAGAGAGAGAGTAGGTCGCCGCCGTCAGAGCAAAAGAAGGAAACCGAGGGCGTTCTGCACGACCCAATGGACGATGTCGTTGTTAGATCTTGGTGCGGATGCTTGCCCGAACACCGTGCTCTGCCCTGTACTCTACCTACCTTATCTCCGCACAAGGGCCATGCCGAAGTTCCGGGCTGTCACTGCTGTATGGTGCGGAAGTAAGCAGAAGGTCAAGTGAGCGTCCGCACCTCCCACCTAGGTCCACGCATCCCTCGGGAGCCTCGACGGCCTTAGTGACCCTTTCATCGAGCGGAGATCTTTGGAGATATGGAGTTCTGGAGAATGGAGTACGGAGCACAACGCCTACTCCATGTCCCTTGGCATGCGTACGACAGCCCACGCATATGTACCTGTCGCAACTGACACTGCGCAGCCTGACGGGCCCGGTGGACCGAGGTCCTCCTCCACATGGATACCCCGAGTGCTGTGTCTCTTTCTGAGGAACCGATCTCCACGACTCCGCATCGCGGCTATGTATCTCCATATGTACTCCGTACTTATGTCGTGAAGGGGTTCGAACTAATTAACAATCAAGGGGGGATCCACACGCCGTGTCAGCATTATCAGCAATATCAGCAGTCTTAGACGGCAACGCAACCCTAGCTGCTGGGTAACTACGTGTGCTGCTGGACCGTTACTAGGTGACCATAGCCGCTGAACGCCATATCTACGGCTCAAACGCTACATCTACGGCTCAACGCTACATCTACGGCTCAAACGCTACGTCTACGGCTCAAGGCTACATCTACGGCACAATGAAGCGCGACATCAGCAACGTCGCACCCGCCACCAACGGGACCCACGACGCGGGTAAAACATACACGAATGGCGACCACAACGCCGAAAGCCAACCCCTCGATATGGTCATCGTGGGCGCCGGGTTCGCGGGGGTCTACCTCCTCCATCAACTGAGGAAACGCGGGTTGAAGGCCAAGATCGTCGAGGTACGTAAATAATTATGCCATTCGTACTCACCGCCCCCGTCCGTCTCGTCCGCTGTCTGACACCACACAACCACATGGTTAGGCCGGCTCCGACCTCGGCGGCATCTGGTACTGGAACCGGTACCCCGGCGCGCGCGTCGACAGCCAGTACCCCGTCTATGCCCTGTCCATCCCCGAGGTCTACAAGGACTGGACCTGGTCGTCGCACTACCCGGACCACGCCGAGCTGCGGGCCTACTTCGACCACGTCGAGGCCCGGCTGCACGTGAAAAGGGACTGCGTGTTCGACAGCAAAGTCACGGCCGCGGCGTGGGACGATGAGGCGCGCTTGTGGACCATCACGTGCGAGACCGGTACAAGTTTCACGACGCGCTACTGGACCGCCTGCACGGGGTTCGCGGCCAAACGGTACTTTCCGGCGTGGGAGGGGCTGGATGAGTTCAAGGGCGTGATCCACCACTCGAGCTTCTGGCCCAAGGAGGGCGTCGACGTGCGTGGCAAGAGAGTCGCGGTCGTGGGCACGGGGGCTACAGGCGTGCAGATTACACAGGAGGTGGGTGCCCCGTCGTGAACAAAACACACTACTGTGCTCGGCTGGCTCAAATCAAGCTGACGTTCCCTGTAATGCAACCCAGTGGGCCAAGGAGATCGGACCGGAAGGCCACCTGAAGATGTTCCAGCGGACGCCGAACTTTGCGTGTCCCATGAACCAGGTCTTCATGACAAAGGAAGAGCAGGCCAAGCTCGTCGACGCGCTGCCCGACCGTTTCGCCGAGCGGAATAACTTCTACAATGGCTTTTTGTACCAGTGGCGCGAGAACCTGACGTTCGACCACAGCGAGGAGGAGAGGCGCGAGTTTTACGAAATGCTGTGGAAGATGGTGAGTCTGCGGCCCCGCTTCCCTCCTGTCCTACTCTCATTCATTTTCTTACTTACTGGTCGGCAGGGCGGCTTCCGCTTCCTCATGAACAACTACTACGACATGACGCGCGACAGCGTGGCCAACCAGACTGCCTACGATTTCTGGCGTGAAAAGGTCCATTCTCGCGTGCACGATGCGCGCAAGGCCGAATTGCTCGCCCCAAAGGAGAAGCCGCATCTGTTTGGAGGGAAGAGGTTGTCTCTCGAGCAGGATTTCTACGACCACTTTAATAAGGTAGGTCGTCTTCCCCTTTCGCCGGCGCGGCGCACGCCACTTGATTGTGGGAGGCAGTGCCAATGGGTGCGCGCCAGTGCGTGTGGGTGTTTGTGGTGTGTATATATGTGCGCTAACCCCTATCACGCCCAGCCTAACGTCGATGTCATCGATACGCGAACGAACCCCATCGTCCGTTTTACTCCCGACGGCATAGTTCAGGAGGACGGCACCTTCCATCAGCTGGACGTCATCGCGCTGGCGACGGGCTTCGATTCAATCACAGGCGGACTGAAGGACATGCACGTCACGGGCGTGGACGGCGTGGTCCTGGCCGACAAGTGGGCCCAAGGGACGTGGACGTACCTGGGCATTTCGACCGCGGGGTTTCCCAATTTTTTCTTGTGAGTGCGATGGCCCTGTGCGTAAGTGCTTAAATGCGTGTGTACTGTCCTAACTATATGCTTTGGCAGCACCTACGGCCCACAAGCCCCCACCGCGTTCAGCAACGGCCCCAGCTGCATCGAGATTCAAGGCGACTGGATCGTCGACGTGGTCGAGGACATGGCGAGGCAGAACCTCCGCAAGATAAACCCCCAACGACGCGCCGAGGAACAGTGGCGCGAGTTGGTGTTCGAGTTGATCAACGACACGCCCCGCGGCAAGGTCGACTCGTGGTATAATGGCGCGAATATCCCGGGCAAGCCGCGCGAGCATTTGAACTATGCGGGTGGGATTCCGCGGTATAAAAAGACATTGGAGGAGGTGAGGAAGCAAGGGTATGAGGGGTTTGAGTTGTCTTGAGCGCTGCACGGGTGCCAATATAGAGCGATCAGGAGAGGTGGTTCTTGTTTGCTTGCTGCTGTGGTCGAGTCGTGAAGCAATACGGCAGCAGCTGGTCATAGAGTACCCGACGAGGTTGGTCGGTGACGAGGTTGATGTGGCTTCGATGCACTGTATTGTATTAGCACCTTTATGTCACTCGTGGTACATCCGTGGTCTTGTCCGAGTCTTTCTATATCCTCTTGTTTTGGCGGAAGGTGAGGAACCAGCGAATCGCAGCCTTGTGGTTGTCAGCATGCGGCAGCTTGTTCTCCATAAGAACCGTGCAGGCCTGCCGAATGGTCTCGTCGCTGTAATCATCCGATGGCTTGACTGAGCTTGGTAGCAAGCATGGTGAGGCAGCAGACTCGAAGCTCTGGACTCTTTCTTCTGGATCCACACTTTGGGGGATTCTAGGGAAAAGTGGTTATATCCGTCTGGAGTTCGGGACCCTACTGAATTGGTCCTGGGATGGAAGCTGAGTTCTTGCAAAACTCCTGCAGAAGAGCCCTTATCGTGGATTGCTCTAATAGGACGCACCGAGGTGATCAGGTCCAGGCCGCTCTGTAGTGATCCCATCGCAGGGGCTGGACAGTCCCTGTGTTGTCCACCTGGGCCAGGCCGTCGTACTGGCAGTTAAAGCGTCGGCATATCGTGCACGAGTTTTGTCCTGTAGGAAGGGATCCAGATTATGCAGCCATGTGGACCAAGGTGTATGCTGCGATATGTCACGTCAACGATGAAGACGGAGAAGCGTCCTTGCTGAGCCGAGCAAGCGCAGACTTCGCAGTCACGGCACAGAAAGCGTATTTCTTCTTCTCCTCCGGAAGATGCGGTGGGACGGGCTTCTGCTCGGTATCGCGAAGTTTGGATTTGAGGTCGACCCAGTCGTCGACGTTGATGTCAGCCATGGCAAGGTCGGTGGTTGTGGCGGCGTTACGCTCGATGGGCGCAGGTTAAATGATATCGGAGATAGAATATGGCAGCCGATGTGAATCCCAACGGCACATGATTGAGCTGATGGACGAGACCAAGGTGATATGACAATGAGTATTGATTGGTATAACTGCGAGGTGAGGAAAAATAACAATCGAGCATATCGAGCCGGGGCAGCCGCTTACTCAGATTGTTGGGTGGAAGAAACCAGGCCTATTGAGTCACCAAGAGGCATCGCCGGCCACGCGCGGTCCATAAAGTCTGAAGTCATAGTCATGTCAGGAACGATTCAGTCTGAACTCACCGGAACTGCGCCTGCACGATGAGCGGAGGTGCAGCCGCACACTTGAAGGCCAACTTAGACGGAGTTAATCCATCGCTCATGCCCACACCAACCCATCCGATGTCAGAAGACTATAGTCTTGACGGTTGCCACATCCTGTGCTGGCGCTGACTCGAACGTCGTCGATACCAGTACTTCAAGTCTCACTCACCGCTTACGTCGGCATCTTGTTGATTGCAACAGAGAATGCGGGATGTGCTGGGCTTGGCAAGGCTTCTACAAGGAGCGGACCGGAGCCAGTCCAGCTTGGCTCTCCGCGGCCAATATCCTTCGCCAAAAGCAGTACCACGAAATTTGGACTCAACTCCTGTCGACGCTTGCACCCCGCAAGGACGTGGCCCAGGAAGGGGCAAGATTGGCTACGGAGCGGATCATGGTGGCGGGATTTCGGGGTCTCGATTCCACCCGCAGTACGGAGTACGAATGAAGTAATCAGCCTTTGAGTTTTAGGCCCCCAGCTGCGTGCAGGACGAAAGAATATCGAATGAGAACGTCAGGGGCAGAACCGATTCCAACGTAAGTCTCGATCGCAATGACAGACCTATGGACTGCAGAAGACGGCTGACAAGGCGAGAACAACAGTTATCGACAGCAGGGTTTTCTGTTTCGCGGCTCTGGTGGTCGAAATCCCCCAACCTTGCTGTGCCTGTCCTGTCGAACTAGGTCTGTCCACCCAGGCCGTCGCCTCCGGTGCAACCTGGCTTGTTGTAGCTAACTGACCGACACCTCCAGCTGTGGTGGTGGTTGCTGGTGTCGACCGAGATGTGCTGCTAGAACTGTCTGCAGCTTCCCGGCTCTCGCTCGCCCGGCTGATGCTGCTGTAAAAAGCTTCCTCACTCTCGATGGCAAGCGAGTAGCTTTCACAATCGAGGCTCACAAACCGGGATTCGCGGCTAATCGATACTGAATCGGTGGATGTTGCGTTATAATGATAGCAGTCGTTCCAACACCTGGTTACATTGTCGTGGTCAGTGGGAATGCGAAGGTCAGTCTGGGGGAGAGAGATTTATGCTAACTGTGAGGACCGTTCGAAGTAACCGTTTGTACACATGCAGTATCTTCGCTGGTAATAGAGAGAGCCCCCGAACTCACTGGAACAAGCATTCTCCGAGCTTGTCGCCAGTTGACAAGGTCCATTCGCATCAACACTGCAACCAGGGTAGGTGAGGCTCATCTCGTCGAAGCAACCGCTTCTGGGAATTTACTGGTGTTGCTGGTGAGGCAGTTGAACACACCAGCAGAGACTTGATGGTCTTTTCTGGTCCTGGCAAGAGAGGAGGAGTGCTGCATGTTGAACGGGAGGAAATGCCGAACGCAGAGAGTTCATCAACCGTTGTGAGCGCGATACGAATACGCCTGGTGGGCTGAATCGTGCGGCGACAGGCTGGCGCAGCCCACAATGGGAGAATGCAGGAGGCTTGCCAAGGAACTCTATCTACTGTTGGCGGCACTCAAGGCGAGTCTGGGCCACGAAGCAATATTTTCCCATTGGACAAGCACCCAACTAGGGTACGAAACCCGAGCACGCCAAGGACCCTAGGGCTGTAGGCGTACAGACTATCTGAGATGCTCTGGAGTAGCTACTGAGCAGGGCGCACAGAAGTGCCGCCGCCTGCGTCGAGATACGTGATTGGACTTCCGCGGCGATGCAAGCTTCCGGCTGGCTGGTTATTAACGAGGACGAGCGTCGCCACCAGTTTCCGATCTTTACCCCGGATTATATGGCAGAGTCATACGACAGTTTCCAGAGGGAGTCAACATCAAGCCGTCGAGATGCTTACCATCGCCGAGGTTTCCGGCCTCATCGCCGCAGCAGTCATGATAGGTATTCTGACTCGCCACGTTGGGCCTCTTGAGGACGTATTTGCTGACCATGGGCACAAGTCCAGTATGGGCTTCCTGCTGCCCTAGTGGTGATTCTGGTGAAATATGTCGGGATTGAGAACACTGCTGTGACATGGTACTGTAATGCGGTCAGAGCTCAAGCACAGGGAGGTTCTAACAACGTCAGGTCTGTTGTCAATCGCACCATTTCTACAACCATCTGGCCACACCTTCTTCGCGCAGACGCTGCCAACACGCGCCAGATTCCCCCAAGAGTCCAGATCCCGAGCTGGACTGCAACAGCTGGTGCTGCTCTGTTGGTTCTAGCCAGCGTGATCACACCCCTCGGACTATACGATGAGATCGTGCCAGGCGAGTCCAAGCTGGTCGAATTCCAATATGTAAAGGATCCAGGCCCCTGGGGAAGGGTCACCATGCCTCGGCCAAACTCTCAATTCACTCGCCAGTGCGAAGTGGGCACCGTGATCAATTGTCCAGGGCAGTACCAAGGCGTATACATGGCCGAAACAGAGCCCGGCGTGTGGCGAAGTATCGAGACGGATGAGAACTCGACCATCAACATCACGATCCCGGAAAACTTCACCACCATGTTCACGAGCGCCACTTCCGACCAAGGGAACACTGTGTCCGGCCTGTTTGACATTCAATATCGTCGCTGGAAGTTCAACCAGAACGGAATCATAAACAAGGGCCAACCCTACGTCAGAGGCGACAGCCGCGATATCGGAACTCTGATCACACAAGATCGGATTCTGCTCACCGAAGGACTCATCGTCGACATGAGGGACAATCCGGGAATCGGATTCAGGAACCACACAATACCTGTGGGTCTGGAGCACGGCGGGACCTGGAACGAAGACATCACCTGGATCGAGCCCGTGACGAAGTGTGCTGACACGAATTTGTCCGTCGAGTTGAGGATCGAGAACACCGTCGACGACTTTTCCGATAACAATACGTTCTCGATCATCGATAGAGGCGCTTTCTTCGGCCTTGATCACACAGCGCTTGAGTCACCGGCCTGGATTGACAACCAAACGCTTGATCTGTTCGGCCGTGCGCACAAAGCAGCCCGCATGCACAATGTACTTGTGGCTTCCAGTCTCAACATCTCGCTCCCGCTTGATCAGGACACAAAACCCCTGCCCAAAATGCTGGTAAAGGACACTAGCAGTGCGTCGCCGGGTATGTTCAGTATATCAAGCTTTGATGCCATTGTGCTTGATCAATTGAGGGGCGTTGGCGGCGCACCGCCTAGTGTTCCCGAATATTCTGGGAACACATCTATCCCTTTCGTGAACCACTATCCCGATGGCTTCAAGAAACTTTTGGCATTGAACTACTCGGCTATCGGTACGTCCCCACATTCGATGTTCCCCGTTCCGCATTTACCTCACATCCATGCAACTCCAAGCTAATATATCTATGTATTTGTCTAGCCCAGATATGCAGGGGCTACTATGAGATCGGCGCCACAGACAACGACTGGCGAGCCAACAACATCACCTATCCGGCCGTGCAATGCGGTGCCGTGCTCGGAACTCCCCTGCAGTCACCGAACGAGGACATCTCACCCTCGACCTACACCGGCGTGGAGACGTACCAGAAGAACCTGTACATCTGCGCGTCGGCCGTCCGCGCGAGCATCAAGACCGTCACATTCCGCTACAACGGCACGGGTGCCCAGTTTGGCAACCTGGAGGCCGTGCACATCGCGGACAAGGTCTACGCCGACGAGCTGTCCCGGCCGCTCTGGGCCGCCGAGCACAGCTACGACCGCGCCATGCGGTTCGACCCGCTCTGGGGCATCGTCGACAACCGATACCACACAATGGGCTACAAAGAAGGCTTCTACACGCTGCGGGCCGAAAAGCTGTGGCTGCCCACCAGCCCCTTCCTCACGGGCAATTTCGGCGAGTCTGAAGGCTACGACGCCCTGGCCGCAGCCTCGGGCTTTACGCGCCGGCTCGGAAACCTGTACGGCGGCCTCTCGGACCTGGGCGGGCCGGATTACAGCGGCCAGCACGACTACACGTTGCTGGAACGCTACCAGCGGCTGTCCCACAACGCGACCGTCGCGGCGCAGATCCCCAGCCTGAAGATGACTGACGGGCTGGCCGCGGGCTTGGTCGGCACCAAGACGTCTATCTCCACACGGTACGTCGCATGGCCAGCCAGTCTGGCCGTCGATGATACGGGGAGCGGGATCCCCCGAGCCAGCGTCGTCGAGTACAGGCGCGTCATCCGCTACGATATCCGGTACGCGATCCCCGCAATCGCCATGCTCGCGCTGTTGCTCGTCGCGCTCGTGTGGGCGGCCGCCATCCTGTGCTCGTCCCGTAATATTGTCCAGACCTTGCGGAATATGTATAACCAGACGAGCACGGGGCGGCTCGCCGTGAATTTACTGCGTCCTGGCCAGGGTGACGCGCAGCAAGCGACCCGCGAGTGGGTTGAGCAAAATGGGGCCCTTGCATTGAAGTTCGGCCAAATCAACGGTGCAAAGGGTGATCAGTTTTGCGCTGTCGTTGGTGGGTGCGACGATGCTAAAGCCGGTAGTGAGTCACTTCAGCGAGCGTGCGATGATGATTCGGCACCACAACGTCCCAGTCGCGACGTTTCGTCTGGGGAAAAGAAAGGAGGCGCCGAGGCTTCAACTACGGTCATTCCAAAGCAAGACAGTAGTGGTGCATGAGTATTCGAACACCACTGTAGGGAACAGAGGGAGACACCGAAACTTCAGAAATGGGTCTAACACTGTGCTCGTGGAGGTTCTGGACCTTGAGAGTCAATTTGAAAGGCCAAGGCTCAGACCGCACTGGTGCCACGTCCACGCCGTCCGCCTTCGCCTTCGCCTTTCATCTGAGGACCTTGCCTGCAGCTGATCTGGATACTGTGTCGATGAACCAGACCCTCCTCGCAGGTACTTATGATTAGCGACATTGTTGCTCCACGCCCCGACCTCCATGGCCGTGTCGTGAAAGCGCCCCACCCCAGTCTCAATGACGAATAAGCCCTCGGCATCTCCGTGGCACGGTCCTCATCCTGCACCGCTGCAACCGTCGCGTCCGCCACTGTCGGATGCGCCATCAGTATCCCCTCCAACCCCGCTGGCGCGACCTGAACGGCATTATACTTGATCAGCTCTTTACTGCGGTCCGTGATCAAAAACCCCTCCCCATTGGCGGAAAGCCGATCTCCTTCGTCACCACAAGGACGACCGGCAGGAGAGACGTACGGCTGACGAGAGATGTCGCCGCAGGGTTGACGAGTGGGAATTCTATCTCCGAAGCCGTGTAACCGGAATTTATTAGCGAGAGGATGTCACCGGCCAAGACAGGCCCCCACATGACGACGGGGCAGTTCACGTCGTTGGGTGAGAAGAGAGCGACGACAATGCCCTTTCTCCAGTCCGGGAAGGCCTGCAGGGGTGGGCCGAGTTGAATCATGGCATCTCGAAGGGTTGGGTACGTGTACGCGTGGGGAGCGTCAGTGTCGGAGAAGATAAGCGTGGTCGAGCAGGTTAGAGGTGGGCGTTGAGAGTTGTACGAGGAGACAGCGTGGGTGACAAGAGCGCAGTACGTGGATGATAACCAAAGAAACAAGAAAGAGAAGCTCACTTTCATGGTCTGGGTACTCTCGACGGGATCTTGAAAAGTGGAAATCCCAAAGATTCACGTCTGGAATATGCAGCTTTGGATAGGGAGACACCGCAGGCATAGTGAAAACCATTGCTCGAGCTGGCTCAGGCTCGGTCGGTGCTTCATCAGTGCTTGTCCATCAGTGAGGACACCATCCGTCACATGCGGCTTTGGGCGCTGCGCAGAAACTTGGATCGAAAGGCAATCCTTCCTTATGAGTCTAATCCGAGGCCTCTGTGGACTTGCACATCTGCATCACAGATCGCAAAGCATAATAGTCTGCTCTCTTTGGCCTGCATATTGTTCGGCCTGGTATGTAGAGTTCCGGCCGTGTCGAGGCCCTGCATTATGACAGCTTTTCGCGCTGGCTACCTACAGTTTTGTCTGCACTCTACTCCGTACGGGCATTGCACAGAGATGTCGAGCAGATTGGTCCGGGCAGGAGTCAAGTTCGGTAGCCCCCGTGCAGGTCGCAGCGGGAAAGGAGAGGTTGTTGAGAGACAGGTGAGAGGAGAATGATTTTAGAGTACGGAGGAAGTGGGTGGTAAACATTCACAACCTTCTCGACGTCAGTGAAGAAGGCTTACGTAACCTGAAATTGGAGAAGTCGTGGTTGGTGGCGGTTGACGCAGGCACCGAGCTTCGGGACGACATCATTCACCCTCGTCTTGGTTGCAAGCATTCCACCACATTCTGCCCACTGAGTACTGCCATCGACATCCAGAGACGCTGACATAAAAGCTGTGTGTCTTCACTGTCGCGCAATCTCATTCTCTACGGTCTCAAGGACTGATCATACGTGCCCTGACCCCGCCATCGACGCGCCCATCAAAGTCTCACCCCTCCGCACAGCTCTTCGAGAGCCTCAGCTCGAACGACTCGAGACTATTACCACCTTCCCATCATCTTATAATCACCACGATGCCGTGCCCGATAAGCATCACCAAGTTCGTGGGGACGATTTCCCTTGGGCTCTTGACCGTGAGTGGTTATCCTTGGTCAAGAACATAGGCTGACGCAAGACAGGGCACATCCTACACTCTTACATCTATTCTTCTTCCCTCCCTCGCACTTCTACCCTCGGCGTCGCTTGCCTCTCGCACCTTGACCACAATTCAAACCCAGTCAACCAGACAGATACTCACCTTGGCCTCAATCTCCTCCTTATCTTTGATTACCGCATTCACACTTGCCTCTCCGCGTGGCCGCCATCCATACCTCCTGTGGACCGCGCTAGTGAGCTTTATCGGTGGGCAGGGAGTCGAGTACTGGTTCAATGGCTTCTCCCGCTTCCCGTCATGGCGTTTAGGAAGCCGTTCGGAGAGCCGAGCAAAGAACAGGCGCGTAGCAACAGCGAGAGGGACAAGTCCTTCAGCTAGTGACGACAGCGGATATATTGAAGTCGAATCTGATAGCAGCGACGAACACCAGGTCAATGGCGAGAAGGTCGAGCTGGAGATGACAAGAGAACGCAAAGTGCAGAAGGTGCGTAGTTGGATTGCTGGTATCGGCTTCGCAATGGGCGTAGTGGGCATCTGGGGGGATGGTGCTTGAATGTTCCCGGTATGGAGGCCCGAGGAACAGAGACTTAGGTGCGGACATGGGAAGGCATCGTCGGTGTGCGGAGTCGGATTGTGGCACCAGAGGGACCATTTCAAGCCGCCGACAACCTTACGAAAAGTGCGCATCAACGCTCTACTACAACTGCAAAATGGCATTGGCACAAGGAAAAGCAATCGATGCGAGGACGATAAACGGCGACGCCAGAGTAATGTATCATTCTTCAGCTCTCGGTTACACAACACTACACCTTACTCGACTCGACCAAGCTCTTCTTGAAAATGCCACTGGAACTACACTGCTATCGAGGAGAGAATTCCACTCAACCCGGGTATACCAGCGGTTTGGTGCACAATCTGCTTCGGGCCTAGCTGTCAGCTCCTTTGCGAATGGCTAGACAGTCTTCTCAGGTCTTCTAGGTAGTCTGTAGCAATGATTGTATAATTGAAACTCTGAGAACACACTGTAGACGCTTTAGGAACGTGAGCGCTTCTGCGGCCGAATATGATGTCCGTCGCTGCTGTGTTGGGGCATGCGAAGACGAAAAACAAAGGAATTGCGGGGTTGAACATGTAACTTCCTCGACGACAACCTCGAGCCGTGCTTCGTCGGTTGTCCTCCAGCTCTTCCCTCATCGGCAGAGGCCCTCCTGTAAGCACAGCGACAGCACGAGGTCTGGAAATGACAGAATCATGCATCTTCGGGCTATTTTGAGATGAGTCCACGATGACCACAGTCTGCCCCTATCCGCATCACCATTCATCAGGCATGCCAGCCAGCATCGAGCAAAGACGCATGGTGGCACCCTGCTGCTTCAGCTGACCGGGCACTCCGTCACCATGGCTGCTCCTCCCATCAAAAAGGCCTGCGACGCCTGCCATAGGAGGAAGGTGAAATGCAGCGGCGAGCAACCATGCAACAACTGTGCACAAACCAATCTTCAATGTACCTATCTTGCAGTTCCCCAGAAGAAAGGGCCCAAAGGATCTCGCGGTAAAGTAATCAGCGGCATCCGAAGCACACAGCAAGAGACCAATCCTCCCACCACTTCGGAATCTGCTGCGCCTCCGTTTGAGAAGGAGCATTCTTTCGACTTCCACAGCCTGCCCAAGTCGCCTCCGAATGCACAGAATGTCTCGTTGCTGAGCAGGCAGACCATTGAAAATTGCATCGACTTCTACTTCAACAACATGTCGACTACGGCGTGGATTCTTCACTGCGGAGCACTCAAGCATGCCATCTCCTCGCGCCTCATGACCGACCCAGAGCTATACTGTCTCACTGGTTCACTCTGTGCATTCGTCATGGTTCAACCAGGAATGAATCTGGCCGTGGCCCCAGGAAGCTACTATGAGGGTGAGCCTCCGGAAAATCGATATGGTTATGCCAACATGATTCTGAATGACATTATCCGCACCCGAAAGTCTCTCAATTACGTCGAGTCTCCCACGTTGGCTTCCGTCCAAACATCCTTCTTCCTATTCAGCTGCTACTTCACGCTTGAGGAGCAGAACCTATGCTGGTTTCATCTGCGAGAAGCTGCCACTCTAGCTCATTTGATGGGCATGCACGAAGAGTCGTCGTATCTTCTCGCTGATGCGGTCGACAGCATGTACAGAAGGCGGATGTATTGGCTCCTTCTTGTCACCGAACGAGCATATGCTATGGAACGACACCGCCCGCTTACGCTGCACCCAACAATCGAACCGCCAACCACGCATGATCAGCAAGAGGAAGATATGATATCAGGCTTTTCCTATCTGATCAGCCTTTTCAGTTGCATTGATGATGAATTCATGGCACTCTGGAACAAGGTCAAAACCGACTGCTCTGCAACTTGGCTGTCTCGGCTTCAGCAGCAGCTGAAGGATGCATTACCCAGTGAGCTCAAAACGACTGAGAGCCAGATCGCCGATGTTCGTGTTACGATGAACTGGCTCCGCATTATGGTATGGCAGCTTTCCATTGCGAATGGATATCTGTCCTCGTCCTCAAATGATACCTCCATGACATTCAAATATCCCATCGAAGTTGCTAGGGACCTAGTCCGCGAGCTCCAAGATTTATCACTCGATGCAATGGAAGTCCATGGAGTCGGGCTGATCGAGAAGCTCTTCGACATTGCCTGCACGCTGACCGATGTCGTTGCCTGTGTACCCTTCGAGGCGTCAGCGAACGAGACACCCTTCGCTACTCTCAACAAGTTACTTAATCTGATTTCACGGCTACGTGGCGGTGCATCTCGCTACCTTCCACTACTCCTCACCAAAGTCTCGGAAACACTACCAAGCATAGCTGAACCTGTTCCGGTAGAGCTTGACCCGCTGCAGCTGAGCATAACACAAGGATATGCCGGTGCAACCGATAAACTCCCTACCCCGGCACCTGCACAATACTCTTCCCTAGGGAGTTTCGGCCCGGAGGGATTCACCTTCGGGTGCCAGTATTCTCTCAACCAAATCCAAGGACAGGTGACACAGCACGACAGCAGTCCAGCCGGGCTTATGTTTGACAATTACAGCCCGAGCATCGTCAGCACCGAAGCTACAAGCAACCCCACCCCGAGTACGTTGGGAACACCTCCTGCTGGGTACTTAGGGCTTTTCGGACAGACAAAGACATCGCAGTCTCTGCCCCCAGTTCCTCGGAGTGTACCTGTCGGCACAGAGTCGGGCACTAAGTACGACGGATATGCTGGATAAGATTCAAGGATCTATGGACCTGCTACAACACCAGCTCCTGGACAGTCGAAGAGCTTGTTTTCAGACACAAGACTGCTGCCCCGGCACATTGTTGCTGCAGCGAAGAAACGCCTCACAGAACAAGAACCTACCCCGGAAAGCTGGGAAATGTTGGTATGACGATAGTGTAAGCTCCCTCAGGTCACTGCACAATGAACCATATTTGATCGGAGATAGACAAGAAGCCACAGCAGACGGAACGTACCTGTCGTCCACTGCAACATTTCCCGGCTTTCAGAGCTATCTGTCCATATGTGCCTGGCTTCGATCAAATGGCATGGTGCTGTGCGGATATTCTGCGCAATCGGGGAAGAGAGGTCGTCGAATTGACAGGCCGACGGGAATATCTTAGGTGATTGATCGCCTTACGCAATCGATATTGCCACAGATTCCCACAACCCGGATTCCCTGTGTCAACGCGTCGGGACTGACGTCTTACTGAGTGGTTGAAGGTGGGTGGACACTTTGATGCCATATATTTTGACATACTAATCATGCTGAAAAATGTACCAAGTCTACCTCGCCTTTACTATGCAATCCTCATGTATATCACAGACCGCAGTCTCTAGAAAGCTCTCGAGGAGAGCCTACGCGTGCATTGGCATGGATGGGATGTGTTCGTTTCCGTCAGACACTCTCGCAGCTTGAATACAGGACTAGCACGATCTACATGAGACGTACTCCGTAAGCACCTCGGAGATCCTGATCCCCAGTGCAATATACATCAGCTCTAGGGAGCACGGCCATCACATGCATTGATCTTAGTCATCGAACACGGCCTGGACAATGCACGTATCCACACAACAAGTCATTCCAGCTACATATCTTGGGCTGTGGCGGAGAATCTTCCAAAAAGGAGAAGGCAGTCGAAACTGCTTGTGGAGCGTGGTATAGATTGGGTTACCGAGCACTCGTGTCTGGAGCTGGAGTATACCTAGTATCCACCACATGGAAGCAGTCTTACGAGGCATACGCTCTACTGTGCCACTTGCACTCGGGGAAAGCCAACGATGCGGATTCAATGTCGACTGGATCTCCATTTTCGACTTCGAAGAAGCAGCTCCAAGACCCTCTCATCATCCCTGGGACGCTGGCCTACGCCACAAGCCTGTGGTACATCCCTTGCAGTAGTGCGGCCCCAGGAAGGACGGGGTAAGACCAGAGAAAAGCGACTACGCACGAATCCGGCAATCGGCTGAGACTATTGATTGACTGACCGCTGACTGCCTTCCCGAACCCGCCTCCACATTATACGGTACCTACACAACGCACTATAACAGTCCGTATGATTATGGAATCAGAGATGCTAAGTAAGCAAACAACGGGTACGGAGTCGATGACCCGGGTAGTGGTCAGATACAGACCCACACACGCACACGCCAGCCAGCCAGACAGCCAGCCAGCCAGGAGACCCACCCTTGCATCTCAGTGCATTTCCCTTCAATTCATTTCGGCTACGTCCGCAACCGCATCCGCTTTTTGACCATTCTCACACGTATACGCTCCGCTCGGCGACGAGCCAAGGAAACCACGGACGCCAGACGCACCGCCTCCACGCTCGATATCCCAGATCCTACGTTGTTGTGTCGTCATTCGTCCATTGGTCGACCAAGGGGCAGGAAGGAAGATTTACCCACGGCCAGATCCCCAGCAGGCTCCATCGTGTGCTATTGTGGATGAATGAGTCTCGGTCTGGGTCTCGGTCCGAGTGTGAATCTGACAGGAGAATGCACATGTAATGCAGACTGCGAACAGCGCTGGCGGCTGCTCCGAGATTCGTTGTGCGCGTACATAACCTGTCCCCTGTACCCGGCTACCCGCTACTGCGGCTGTTCCGAGTCAGTGCATCTGCATCAGATTCCAATGGAATGAATGGAGTGGAATGGAATGGAACAGAGTGGAGTGCAGGGCAAGACAAGGCAGTAAGCGATGGTAAGAACGTACTGAAGTCTTGCTTGCTTGAACGAATAGACCGCGTCTGCGGCGACGGTACCCGGGGTCAGAGCGAAGACGGATCTCCGCCGAGAGCCTGGTGAAGGAGGGATTCGAAGTAGCCTTCGTCAATGACGGCGCCGAATCTAAGACAGCCAGGGAAACAAATTAATCAAGAAACCCTCAATTCACACGGTAATGGTGTGGTCTAGCGTCTACCGCCCAACAAGCATGCATCCTATCATCCACTGATTCACTCCTTCCACAGACGCGGCGGATAACCTACTTCCGTCGGCCAACAGCCACGCGCAGGGAGGGGAGGAGCATAGCATAGCATAGATTGTGGGGCGGTGCGGTGCGCTCAGCGATCACGACAAGCCAAGGGTATACATGGATCATAGCTCACCCGTAACACGTCACTTCGGGCAGGAGCGTCTGCTTCAGCGTTTCAAGGCCGTCCCTCGTCAAACCCTCGAAGTTAGGATGCTGTCGGATCCGCTGCCACGCTTCGACGGGCGTGATCTCCCCTTCCAGCGACAGTCGATCGGAGAAGTCGAGCAGTTTCTCCAGTTCGATCGCGGGGACGGACCATCTTGTTCCCGAGGGCAGGCCGGAGCTCGTCTGCGCCGGTGCCGCTGCCGCTGCTGGACTGGGTTGGCGGGTGGTCTGGGCCCGCCCCGCGGCTTGGGGCGCAGGACTGTGCCACATGATGGGACTCATGAGCATCATCTCGTGGCCGGAGCCGTCGTCGGCGTTGGCGTGTTCGGCGTGATGGTCCAGACAGACGTGCTCGAGGGCGAGGACAAAGTCGACGCCCACTTGCGTGGCGCCCAGGCCTTGCGGATGGGGCATTGCGGCGGCGATCGGCGGCACAGGCACAGGCGCAGCAGAACTGGCGGTTTGTTGGGAATAGATGGACGACGGTGCGTGCAGCGACGACGATGTTGGTGCCTCGCTGCTGATCGTCAGGCCGGAGAACAGATCGCTCGAAGACGTTGTCGAGCCGCCGGACTGGAGGGGGTTGTTGTACGAGAGGTCCGCAGACGATAATATACTGCCTTGTGAACCCGGGAAGTATGATTCAGGAGGCGGCATCTCAGCACGAATGGTCTGATGTGGGAATCCAAGTAATTCAATCGTCGCCTGGGGGCTCTGGAAGTTCGGATCTGATGCCAAATCCAGGGGAAGGGGGATCTTGTGATACTTGATCAATTCTTTGAGCCGGCGGATGGTCATACGGCATGCAAGCAGTTCGGCCTCGTGAGCGGAGTCGCGGGCTCGCAGTTTCGCGACTTCGGTTTCCAAAGTCTTGACGTACGTAGCTTTGCGGTCGCGGTGGGTTCTGTATGTTGGTTGACGTGATCGTCGGTTGTTAGCCAGGCTGCAATCTTCTGCCCATCGGAATCCGAATCCTGAAGAGCAAGAAACGCCTCTTTTCCCTGCCTGGCGCCTCGGCCCCTGCGGATGGATGGGGACAGAACGTTTCTTACCTCTGAGCCCGTCTGACCTGCTCCCGACGTTTGGCTTTGGCATCATTGTCGAAGACCCCTCCCCCTTCGGACGGTTGAGTAGTTTCAGCTGCGCGGGGATCTGTGAATAGTGTGGAAGTCATTAGCTACAGATGCACAGATGCACGAGTCGTCAGGCGAGCCGGCTGCACGGCTGCCGGGAAACAACACCCGATGGGTGAAGATTGGTTGACGGTGAGAAGAGATGAAAAAGCAGAAATCACACCAGGGAGTCTAACTCATGCTTCATTGGGAAGGTGCTGCCTTGATCCGGCGGTCTCGATTCTCGTGCGTCTTGGATGGGAAGGATGGTACTCACTATTAGGTGATCGCCTTAGTTTCGACAGCCAGTTTGGCGACGACTTGTTTGACATGATGCGGGAATCAATGAGGGGTAATCAAATGCCGACACTGGCGTGGGCGAGTCGTCTTTAGCGTTACAGTACAGCAACAGCAGTCTTGCCGCCACATCAACAGCACAGAGCTCCTGCTTTGTAAGTGCCTGGAGAGATGAAAATAAGGGGACTCCTTGGCTTCGTACCCCGTGCGAGATTCCACAACCACCGAGGACGCCCGTCAAGGTGTGAGGCGCGCGAATGCTTTCCGCGCGCAAAGACTTGGCCGCGATGGGTCGCTGGTGGCAGAGAGCCTCTCTACAGTACCTGAGAGTTAGCCTGGGGGAGATTATGGCATCAAACACGGGGCTCGCCTGTCCAGTGGCTAGACTCACAACAATCAGTCAGTCGTCCGATGGAGCCGGGGCCTCGACAAGCTCGTTTTTGCCTGCTTTCAGGTCGTCGTTGGGATCGTGAAACGGGGAGAAAGAGATTCTTGAATGACTTCAGCGTTGAGTCGCCCAATTTTATACAGGCATATATAGGGATAGCCAGTCCCTCAGTTAGGCAATCTTCGACCGCTTTCATCTTCCACAGATGAACTGCCTCAGAACGGTAACACGCGATTGGCCGGCGCGGATTATGCACACGAACTGGACTGGTATGGTTCGAGATCGAGTCAGTTGCAGTGTGCGGACACAGTAAGCACCAATCCGGATCAACAGCCCTATAAGACGGTGGAATCAGGCTCGCCATCGGTGTTGCTCTACGAGGTGACCTTCGTCGGCCATTTTGCGTGTATTGGCATTGGCACCGCATGTCCGTGGACCGGCTTGTGTCGTGTTAAGCAATCCGAACAAAGTCTCCTATTGGCGCCGCCACAGCTAGCACTATCCTCAGTGACCTCCGCTACCAAGAGTGACCCGACAGGAGGGCTGAACCGAAGCTCGGAGGAATCAAGAGATCTACTCCGTACGAGCCTCCCCGAGGAGAGGGCAGGGCTGATTCTAGCTGTTTTTGCCTGATTACCGCTGTTGCAAAAGTGATTCCAGCCTGGCAGTACCGCTGCGGAACTCGCCATTCATACGTCCCTTCGTGATCAACTACTTGCCTGATGCAAAGATTCATGCTGGCGGAGAGCCACACCCTGTTGACGTGCGCACTACATCTGAACGGTTACAGATGCCGGTCGTGTCTGCTGGAGCTGCTTGGAGGCTTCGTCGCAACTGGTGCAAACGTACTTAGCACCTTGGACCCTGATATTGGACGAGCTGACCCGAGACGAATGGCCCCTGAAGTGTAGACATGTGTATGGGGAATCTGCCAGGCGCAGAGTACGTCCACGGCCGGCCACTCAGTCGGGAAGGTGGATTGTGGGTCGACAGTGGATCGATGGCGGTCAACCGTTGCAGTCGGCGAGCTCGGCGAGGCTAAGCGAGAGAGCATCTTAGGGCATGATCAGGCTTCGCAGGCTGGAGAAGACGTAACTCGCATTCAAATTGGCACATCTGCAAAAGGCGGTGGTTGAGACGTTCGACTGGTCTTATCTGGACTGGGAGAAATTGTCGAGCGGCTGCTGATGTGCGTATATCAGTGGTGTGGCTGGCCCGCAAGAAAATGCCAACTCGTGTCCCCTGTTTCTTCCCAAAGACGGGGTGGGTCATCTTCTACCGTCCACCGCGGGAACGGACACTCGCCTTTGCCCTGGATGAAACCTTCCACCCTGGATCGTGTTCCTGCTCGTGCATACGGACCTTCGTAGGAAGTTGAAGCCGAACAGCTGGTGAAGTCACTCTCTGTGTGAGCGTGCCATTGGCCGCAGTCCTCATCAACATACCAAGTGCCGAGTAGCTCAGCTTTAGGGAATCGCCTCCTGCGAAGGTACTCGAGCAAGTCTATAATTGATCCCGTCTCCAGACGACAATCCCTTAGCATCAACGAGTTCAGATTCCCTCCTTCATCAAGTAGAGCTTTCAGCTGTCCCCACCTACATCTGAAATGGCGCAGAGCAAGTGACCTCAGATGTGGCAACCAGAGCCTCGGAAACCGATCCAAATTGGTCGTGTCAAATAAGTCATGGGAATATTCGGATTGTTGTCCGACCGGGAATTCCAGGCTCAGATGCTCAAGACTGGAAGGACAGTTTAACAGCATCCTCAGTCTTCTCGCAGCAAGATTTCTACCACCGTAATAGACTTCTCCATTCCCACCACGGGTAAGCCAGTCGCTGTGCGGAAAAGCGCTCACGCTCATCTCCAACTTTTTGAGTCCTTGGAAGGTCTCTTCCAACACTTGCGAGCCATGTATCCCGTCAACAGTGAGCAATTGATGAGGCATGTCGATGGCTGTCAGATCCGCTACCTCAAGGTTAGAGAGGTTTGCAGCGTCGAGAAAGTTGATAAAGTGATCTAAGCAATGCTGGCGTCGGTTCGAAACCCCGCGACGTGGGTCTGGGTCGTAGGGTTTGTCAGTTGCAAACTTCTCAGGATCGAACGCCTTGAGGTCTTCTAGCTGAATCTGAGGTTCGGCCATTATCATCTTCAGCCGCAACTCTGGAGTCGACTCTTTGAGCGAGGCCAGTATACGCATGAGCTTGTTCCTAACATCCCGTTCGGCCATCGCTGCTGCCTGCTGATCGAGGTGCCAGCGATACAAGTCATATTTACGAGGTAGGTCCGTGGTGAACATGGCTTGAAGGCGTTCGTGGAACTGCTTGTACTCGTCTCTGGAAGCCCCTCCGGCAGCGACACTGCGCTCCCAAGCGGTCTTCTTGTCCTGGTAGACTTGAGTCTGCCAGTATCGATAGTCGGCATATTCCAATTGGACGCCGGACTCCAATGAGATGCAGCGGAGTCGTGATGCGATCGAGGACTCCGCAGCTAGAAGCTGAAGAGAGTGTAATCTATGATGGTTCGGTTTAAGTCGAAATTCGAAATTGTGAAAGAGGTGCCCCTCGCCAATCTGAGCGTATGCTTTACAGGTAAGGCGGAAAGAGCAAAGCGACGGTTGTTCCAGAAACAGACAGAGATGTCCGACCAGCTCAACAGGGAGTTTATCCATGGTGCTCGGCTTGATTTGGGCCCTGGGGAAGAACATAGAATGCGCCCGGGAGTGCTCGACCTCTAAGCCGTCCTGATCCTCGCCGCACTCATGCTAGTACGGCTGAAGTCACAAAGATATAGCATCTCAATTGCGTCAGCCTGATGCTGCCAGCATACGGACAGGGCTAGTTTGGTTGGCATTGAGCTGTGTAGCCTAGTTGACACGTACGTGCTTGCGTCAACACATCAGGAGCAGATCAGATTTCCTGCGGGAGTGCACAGGGTTATTCAACACTCCAAGAAGGGGAGTAAGGAGTCTGAGCAAGTGTCACCTACGGTACTAGGTATTTACCCCGTCTTGGGGAGGCTCGAGGGAGGTGAGCTCGGGGAGATAAGAGCCGATGTGAAGTGCAAATAAGGTCCACCGTATTAATTACGTGCAAGCATTGCTTTTCCACCCGCAACATCACAATGCGCAAGTTCGAGCCATTACGGAGTACCGCCGACGAGTCAATATGTTGTGAAGTTCCGATTATGATGCGGCGCGCACTCCTTACAGCCGCACGTCCCCGAAATACAGCTCATAGTGCAAGACGGTGGCGCTCAAATACCAAGATCGAACCTCCATCTCAAGCACCCAAGTCAGAAGAGCAAGCCGTGGTACGAAGTCGATTTGATCGCTTCGTAGATCGTACTCCTCGTTTCCTCCGACCAACAGTCACAGGCCTACGGCAAGCCCCATTCTCACATGTGGCGGCATTCTTTCTTCTCCATGAATTGACCGCTGTCATTCCGTTGTTCGGTCTTGCTGGAGCCTTCCACTACTGGCATTGGTTGCCGCCCTACTTCGCTGAAGGAGCCTGGATTGCGGCCGGCGTCGAGAAGTTCGGCCGGTACTTCCGTAAGAAAGGATGGATAACGGAGAAGCAAGAGACTCGAGTAGAAGGCGAGACAAGGCAGGGTAATGCGGCACATATTGAGAAACAAAACACCGCCTCCAAGTGGTTTGATCGGGGAGAAGCCGCGACAAGATGGGTTGTCGAGTTAGCGACGGCATATGCTATCGTGAAGCTCTTCCTGCCGGTGCGCATCTTCGTGAGTGTCTGGGGGGCGCCATGGTTTGCACGAGTCGCTGTAATCCCAGCCAGAAATGCTACAAGGAGGGTTGTTGGATGGACAAAACGTCCGTCTCCAAAATGAGAAAACTAGGCGCAGCTCATCGGTCGTTCGAGCCACCACGGAGTAGCTTGGCTATGGCTTTTGCCTGGCGGTAGCACGCGTTTGGGCGTTGATTACAGGTGTGCTGGTTTCTGTCATTGTCCTACGCTCGTAAGTCTATTTGTCCTGTCCCGTTCGTGTTCATGATGATAGCTGATACTGCCAGAGATGCCACATCAAGCGTCCCTAGCTCGCGTTGTGTGCGATCGGCTTATTTCTCGTAGATCCAGTCGTGCTGAGCAGACTTCCAGCTTTGAATTTCCTCGGGGCTGAACCACAGAGCAATCTCCTTCTTGGCACTTTCAACGCCATCCGAGCCGTGGCAGACGTTGCGCCCAACATCAATGGCATAGTCACCACGGATGGTACCAGGGGAGGATGCGAGAGGGTTGGTGGCGCCGAGAATGGCTAACCGTCAAATCAGCGACGTTCGGACTAGCCAACAATGAGGCCAACTTACCACGACCAGTCTTGGTGGCGTCACGGCCTTCCCAGACCATAGCCACGATGGGACCGCTCAACATGTCTGGAATGTCATGTCAGCTCCAATCGAAATCTTAAAGGGGCGCCTCTCGTACAGGTAACGAGACCCTTGAAGAAGGGCTTGTCTTTCAGGTCTTCGTAGTGCTTCTCAAGATGCTCCTTGCCTGGGGAGGTCATCTTGATAGCAACCAGCTTGTATCTTCACCGCCTCTTAGTATAAATTCCTTCTCGCTTGCGATTGAATCGAGCTCACCCTCTCTTCTCGAAGCGGCTGATGATGTCGCCCACGAGGCCTCGCTGGACATTATGGTAAGTCCGGGATGCATAATGGTGGTGTCTCGAACGGTACCTGAACGCCATCTGGCTTGACAGCAATGAAACTATGAAGGGTCCGTTAGTGACGGGACGTGGCTAAGGCAAAAGACGGGAACTTACGTCTGTTCGTTAGACATCTTGTGGGATTGTATTGACTCTGCTCTCAATGAACTCTCGAATATGGTGGTGTCTTTGGCCAAAGGAAGAAGACAGGTTGCGAGCAAGGCGAAAGCGAACGCATAAAATATTTTGTTAAAGTGGGGGAACATCATGGTGGATGAGTTTGGAGGGGCACGATTGAGCTGGCTCCAATGCAGGGACCCGCTTAGTGAGAGGGATCTCAGGGGAGCTAGCCGTTCTCAGGCACATATCTCTTGAAACTTGGGGTTAACAGGACATCTTTCACTAGCCGCTGAGGTCGATTTCACAATTGCTTCGCGATACTGCCACCATTGCGTAGGCAGGAACTTTGGAAGCCAAGGACGCAAGGATGACTGGCTCATCGAGGCGGCCATCGTCATGGCAGCTGTCCTTTGCTTTAGTCCTGCTGCTATTGTTCTTCGTTTGCCCTGCAGGTGAGCTGTGCAAGTAGAGGCAGTTCGGAATTCAATTGCTGACTATCCGCAGTCATGGTCAAGCACCACGACTTCAAACGATGTGACCAGTCAGGCTTCTGCAAGAGAAATAGAGCTTTGGCAGATACTATGCTTGCAAGAGGAAACCCCGACTCGTCTCCGTATCAGCTAGACGCCGCTTCGATTAAATACAAGGATGGCCGCTTGGACGCTTCTATCATCAAATCCCTGCGTGGGGGCGATGCAGTCAAACTACCCTTAACCATCACCTTCCTCGACCGCGGCAACGTACGAATCGTGGTCGACGAGGAAAAGAGGAAGAAAGGCGATATTGAGCTGCGACATGGCAGTGCTGCAAGAAAAGAGAGATACAACGAAGCGGGCGCTTGGGCGTTGACTGGAGCTGGACTCCAACCTGAAAAAGCGGCTTACATGCGGAGAAAGGGCGTCACAGAGGTAACCTGGGGACAAGATGGTCGCTTCAAGGCAACAATCCAACATGCTCCCTTCAGCGTGGAATTCTGGTCAGGTGAAGAGAAGCAGGTTGTATTCAATGGACAGGGATTCCTTAACATCGAGCATTGGCGATCCAAAGTTGACAAGCCACTGGGGGATGAGAACAGCACTGATCCAGAACCGGCTGGGCCAGCCGAAGACGAGAGCACTTGGTGGGAGGAGAGCTTCGGGGGCAACACCGACTCCAAACCCAGGGGACCAGAGAGCGTGGCACTGGATATTAGCTTTCCAGGCTATGGTCATGTCTATGGACTTGCAGAGCATGCAGGGCCTCTGTCACTGAAGGAGACTCGTGGCGGCGAGGGCAACTACGACCAACCATATCGGATGTTCAATAGCGACATCTTCGAATACGAGCTCGATAGCCCTATGACACTGTATGGATCGATTCCATTCATGCAAGCGCACAAGAAAGATTCCACTGTCGGCGTATTCTGGCTGAATGCTGCCGAAACGTGGGTGGACATCACAAAGTCGAAACACGATACCAACCCTCTCACCCTTGGCCTGACCGGCGGTATCGTCGACACCCATACACATTGGATGTCAGAAAGCGGCGTTCTCGACGTCTTTGTCATGCTGGGCTCAACTCCAAAAAATCTGTCCAAATCCTACAGCGAATTGACTGGTTACACTGCCATGCCTGCGTCCTTCGCCATCGGGTACCACCAATGCCGCTGGAACTATGTCAGCGACGAAGACGTCAAAGATGTGGACCACAAATTCGACAAATTCAACATCCCCTACGACGTCATCTGGCTGGACATTGAATACACCAATGACAAATCATACTTCACTTGGGATCCTTTGAACTTTCCGGACCCGATCTCCATGGAGAAACAACTTGATGAGACTGAACGAAAACTGGTGGTCATCATCGACCCACACATCAAAAACAAGGAAGGTTACCATGTTGTTGAAGAACTCAAGAGCAAGGACTTCGCCGTCAAAAACAAAGACAGCAACATCTTCGAGGGCTGGTGCTGGCCGGGGTCGGCGTCCTGGATCGACACTTTCAACCCGGCTGCCCGAAGCTGGTGGAAATCCCTCTTCACATACGACCGCTTCAAAGGCACCCAGTCTAATGTCTGGCTGTGGAACGACATGAACGAACCATCCGTGTTCAACGGGCCTGAAATCTCGATGCCGCACGACAACATCCATCATGGGAATTGGGAGCATAGAGACGTGCATAATCTCTATGGCTTGACCTTCCACAACGCGACATACTACGCCCTTCTCGAGCGCAAAAAGGGCGAAACGCCCCGCCGACCGTTCGTGCTTACACGCTCGTTCTACGCTGGCTCTCAACGCTCCGCGGCAATGTGGACAGGCGACAACCAAGCAAACTGGGAACACCTCGCCGCCTCGATTCCCATGATCCTCAACCAAGGTGTCAGCGGCTTTCCCTTTGCTGGCGCTGATGTAGGCGGTTTTTTCGGCAACCCAAGCAGAGAACTTCAGACGAGGTGGTATCAAGCTGGTGCTTTTTACCCTTTCATGCGTGGCCACGCGCATATTGACACGAGGAGGCGCGAACCCTACATGCTAGGGGAGCCGTATACAAGCATCATGACTCAAGCACTGCGGCTCCGCTATTCGCTGCTTCCGGCGTGGTATACTGCATTCCATGAGGCCGCCACAGAAGGATATCCGATTGTTCGATCTCAGTATTTCGTTCATCCGGGCGACGAGAGAGGCTTCGAAATCGGTGATCAAATGTATCTTGGCTCCTCAGGCCTGCTTGTCAAACCCGTCACACAAGAGGGCGGCGAGAGCGTCGACGTATACCTTGCAGACGACGAAAACTACTACGACTACTTCGACTACGCCGTTTACTCAGGGCGTGCGGGACGATCACATACTATATCGGCACCACTCGAGAAAGTTCCACTGCTCATGCAGGGTGGCCATATTTTCCCAAGGAAAGATCGCCCGAGGAAGAGCTCAGGGCTGATGAAATGGGACCCCTACACTCTTGTCGTTGTTCTCGACAAGAAGGGAGAAAAGGCGGACGGAACACTTTATGTGGACGACGGCGAGACATTTGATTATCAGCTTGGAGCGTACATCCATCGGAACTTCTCATTTGAGAATGGTGAGCTAAAGAGTACGGATATTGGCAAGAAGGGCGCGAAGACTATCACATACCTCAAAACGATGAAGGACGTCAAGGTTGAGAAGATCATTATCGTCAATGCTCCTGCTCTTTGGTCGTCAGTAGGTGAGGTCACCGTGACAGAAGACGGTGTCCGAGGAAGCAGACAAGTCGAGCTGATTTACCACGCCCCAACCGCAGGAAAGGCTGCGTGGGCGGTGGTAAGGAATCCCGCAACGCCTGTCGGTGTCGACTGGAGGATGTCCTTTCCTCAAGCGTCAGACCCGGCGGTCAAGACAGAACTATAGACGCTGAAATGTACAACAATGAAGGATAGACGATGTTTCAATCCACGAGCTGTTTCTCATTCTTTTCCCAGAAGGCGAAGCGCGGCAGGCTGTACAGTACACGCCTGCACGCATATCGAGGATAGATTCCACCAACATCTCCCGCTGAGACGAAGACGACAGTCTACAATACCTCAATAGTAAGGTTTACAGAAAATATTACTGTGTGTGAGTGAGGTAAGTACTCACTCTTCTTTGTAGGAACGGAGTTCGCACACTAGCAACGCCAGATCCACCAATCATCCGGAGCCCCTGTCCTGCGCGTATTCTGCTCTCTGAAAATCATTCAACATGACTGACTGACTGACGTCGGACCGAAATTCAGGATCTCTCGGATCCCAAGTACACCGTATTGTTTATGCAGTTTTCCCTTTTCGCATGCACGCCTGACACCGACCCGCCGCTTACTGTATTTGCTATCCGCGCAGTCTTTCTCTCTCTGTTTTTATCAGCAACCATTTCCAGAATGTCGCCTTGAAGGTGTGTGTATACAGTTCAGTTGCTACCTTACCTGCTGCCGAGCCGCTGTCGATTCGTGCCCATTGGCCCGGGTTTCGAATTCTTGCGCGAACATCTGCTGAGACTGTGCGGTGATGAAGGTCGAAGTTCACAATCGTTCGTTAGGCCTTCCTTTCGACGCCGCCGGAATGCTGGCCCTCCTCCAGTTAGTCGTGGACTACCTGGCCCCTCTCTTGTAAGTCGTCAGGTTCTGCGAGAGGACATACACACACACAGAGAGAGAGATTGAGAAAGAGAGAGGGGAACATTAACTTCGAGGACGCCTGCGCTGATATGTGCGCTGCATAGTTTGGTGTTATCGCCGATCACATCCTACGCCGACCAAATCGCCTCGATACACAGGAAAAAGACGAGCGATGGGTTCTCGCTGGATATACCCTTGATCATGTTGGTGGCATCGATATTGAAGTGCGTTTGCGTCACGTCACGTCTGCAGGACTTCCATTCTCGGGCTGACAATACTGCGCGAGACGCAGAGTGTTCTACTGGTTCGGCGCGTACTATGACAAATCGCTCCTGGCGCAGGCGTGCCTCATGATCCTCGTGCAACTTGTACTGCTGAAAGTGGCGCTCGACAACACAGCGGCCGCTGGAGAAAAAGGCGGCGTGGGCCATCAGCCGTTCCAGGGCTATGCGCACAACAGCCCCGGGCACAAGGGCATGCTATGGAACTTCATGATGGAAGGGAGGCGGCCCTTTGGGTTTTGGCAGTGGAGTGCGACCAGACCGTGCGTGCGCCATCTCCGAACACTCTGAGGAGAATTGCACAACTAACCGAGGCGATGCGCGCGACAGATACTTCATCTTCCTCGGATACTTCGCCGGCACACTCCTCTTCATCCACGTCTTCCTGCCCTTCCTGTCCCGGACGCCCTTCTACATCACCCTTCTCGGCTACGTGGGTCTTGCCATCGAAGCCATTCTGCCCGTCCCGCAGATCCTCAAGAATCACCGTGCTCGCTCTTGCAAGGGGTTTCGCCTCTCAGTAATAATCAACTGGCTGGCCGGAGATGCCATGAAGATGAGTTACTTTTTCTTGAGCAAGGAGTTTGTGCCCTGGCCGTTTCGCCTGTGTGGGATCTTCCAAGCCTGCTGCGACTCTTACTTGGGCGTGCAGTTTTGGATGTATGGGCACGGCCCTGTGGGGATGCGGGAGGACATGGATGTGAGTATGGCGAACGTGGGAGCGGGGAGTATGGGCAAGGCGGGCTTCCCTGGCTGAACAGGCTCTCTGCCACGTCGAGGAATGGCGACCACGAGGTAGTAGGTACAGCAGGGTCGAACGACGTCACGTTGTGCAGCTTGATGCGCCGATGTACCATCTGCTTCGCGTCCTGGAAAAGAGACTTTCCCATCCTGGCATACTCCGTACACAGGAATAGACTTTGCCAAGGTGGTTGCTACTCGTACCCGTACCCGTGCCGAGATAACGGTGCCTGCTTTCCGAGATGCCCTTGAGGCATCAGAAACCCTACAGTAATGATTATGTGTGGGCATGAATGGAAATGGATTCCTTCCTTGAGCCTCAACGTTCAGGCTGCTTGAGCAGCCTCAGACTTGCATCGGGCATGGGTCAGAGGACAGAAACACGTGGCTTGCGCCGCATGTCATCCACCGCTTAATGGTTTGAGCGACCAATCGTCTGTCATTGAGTGCCACCAGGCTGGCCGATGCCTGTTGTCGGAGCCTCTTGTGGCGGTCTTCCTCTTGAATCCGAATGCCAGGTCTTTCAGCTATGTAATTAATACGCTTCTCGTATCGGGCCTGTGGCTTGAGCCACACAAGCTCCCGAGAAAGGGATCAGTGCAGTCACGGTACCGGACGCGTTCCTGTTTTTTGGGGGGGTCTGATCATACTTCGAGTCTGCTACACCTTATGCCTATGGTGTGAGGCAAGCTTGCGGGTTTTGAAATCACTTTGGGTTGGCTACACCCTACGCCTATGATGTGATGCAAGCTTGCGATCCCAGCACTCTTGCGGTGTGGCACGGTAATTGTGCTCGGAATTCTACTCAACAGGGAATGATCGATTGCTTCAAGCTTTGCGGGCAGAAAAAGGTAGCGGTGAAACCAAGAGGGTTCGCCTGAGCACAAGAAGGTAGATTGCAGTCACAGCGTCCCTCCCAATGGGAGCTCTACCTAGAAAACCGCGAAGATTAGAGGAGGCGGACATTCAGCCACAGTGGCCGATCTCGAGACTGTTGGGCTTGACCACAGCGCGGGATGCTAGGCCAATATCGACCTCGGAAATGCAACTCACCTGGGCCAACTCTGCTTTCTGTCGTCCTCGGCGGTAGCAAGCCATAAGCCACCCTGCCGAAAATACAATGCCGTGTGGCATCCGAATTCGTCGGCGCACGCATCATAGACGTATCTGAACGTTCGTTCGGATGTTCTACTAACCTGATCGTGCCGCCCACTCGCGCAGGGCATGAAAAGATGGAAGACAGGCAAACCATGACGACACGACCAATTTCCGGCGTCTTTGAGGAAGCGACCGAGGACCTGGATACTTTCTTGTTGCATTTCCATCACGTCGAAAGAGGCGTTTTCCTGCACTGGCCATGTTCATACCAGCCACGTCGTCTCGCGAGCTCTAAGGGGCATGTCGGTGAACCTATGAGAGGCCTAAGGAAAGAACTCGTGGAATCGAGGGTGGGTTATGGGTGATCGCAGCCGTCGAAACCATTGAATGAATCTCCACCATGAGCAACGGCCGAGTCATTTCTTTCAGACCTGGAGCCTTTCGATATGGGACCCAGCCGAACCATTTCTTCGGCCTTATGTCAGCGAGCACCCCAAACTAATCGATCAACGCGGCCGAAAGAAGGAAGCGGACAAGCCATCATGGAGCCAGAGGAAATTGTAGAATACAGGCGCTGGTGAGGTGATGTCCACCTGGAGATGGTATCAGCAGTGGCATCCTTTTTCGGTCATCCTTGCCGCTGGAGACCACGGATTTGCTGGCTCGTGCTGATGTAACTGGGGCAGACGCGTGATGACGAGCGCAATGAAACCGCTGGATGCGCAGGCAGGGTTCGAGCTCGTGGCAAGGCCAAGCTTTCGTTCGGTTAAGGTTATGATGGGCTGGTTGCGTTCGATCTCGGGCGATTGGCGATCTTCTGGGAGCGAAAGATCGTGACAGATACCTACAATAGTATGCGGTGTTATGAAAGTCCTATGCTGGCCAAGCTTCGACGCCGTCGCGTCTCCTATCTTCAGCTAGTATCCGCTTCGTTTTGTATGTCTTCGAGACTTCCCATGTCGCGGAAGACCAGTACGATGGTGTCAGAATCGTGGGGCGACTGGAATATCAGGTTCCGTAAACGTGACTTGTTTGCGGGTCGGGACCACGGTCGAGAGGAGACTCAAAGTGTGGTATCGCTTCCTTTCGCGCGAATTGCAAAAGTGTCATCCATGCAACCAAACGTTGAGAGGTTGGGTGAATACCTACTGGAACACGATAAGAATAGCTAGTATTGAAAGGGGCGGGATGACGTGCTTGATGAAGAAACTCACGAAGTTGCTGTTCTTTCCGCCCCGAGTCCTTGGAGCCCCTCAGCACGAAGCCCCGGGCACCGCTTGAATGTTCTGCCAGCCACGAATTAGCACCGGGCTCTCGACCTCTCACCATCTCGTCCCTGCCCGTTCAGTGCGTTGGTTCGCTGCTCCAATGCTGAACCCTTTTCCGCCGGGTTCCTGCGTCGCCTTGTACAGCACCTGGCAACTTCCGCCACACCATCCCACTCAAGTCGCCTGCTACGTTCTGCTGCGTCCCTCGTGTCCTCCGTTCAAAGCCCGGGATTCCACCACGACCAGTGACATGGACCATGAGTAAGCGCAGATCATGCTGACCCTCCACGCCCTCGCACGCCGCTTCAACTGTGCAATGAATTGTCGGTCGTCTTTCCTTTGGCTCGCCCTGACTAAGACCCTAGCCAATCCTCAGCCTGGACTCTACTGACTAGCGCAGACTGACCGGGGCGCGCTGCTTGGAGAGTTCCGGGTCTCTGCCCTAAACAGATCTGTGCGCTGTTTCTATTCCTTCTACTCCATACCTGTGACAGCCTCAGCGAATATTGCCGCAGCTGTAAACAACACCCTCTTTGAACATCTCGTCTGGCGGTATCGAGTACCTATCCTCGCTCAAGCGCGTTATGACGCAACAAGCCTCGTTTAAGCATACCTAGGTAGCCATACCAGCAGCGTTGCAATCCGCCGACCGATATCCGCGTTTTAGATCCTCCAACGCAACACGTCCTATTCGCGACTTGCGTCCCCAACCGTAAGCTGGCTATCCTGATCAGCCCGAGAAAAGCCACGCACTCGCGTCTGAATTCTAAGTCCGAATCATTATTGCCCGGATACCACCCTTGATCTTTTTCCAGGAGCTGTTGAATTCGTGTATATCCCAAGACAGTCTCCAACCTTCGGTACAGTGACATAACCCACGGAACAGTCATCAGACAGCTTATCGAGCCACATTGTAACACAATTCTGAGCCTTGACCGCTCGACTTCCGTTTCTATATCAATCCTCAGCAACCCGGCCCGGCGTATTGATTCACTTTCGCTTCTTCTCTCTACCAATCAAGAGGTTCTCACTACGATTACACGTACGGAGTATTTGGTTGCCTGTGATCTCCTAAGATCTAGACTACGGAGACCCGCCGGCAGTCACCTCACCGACCAGAACCTCACATCTACAACATCTCGTGCGAATCTTCGGATCTTGAACGCAAGGCTCTTCCGAATCAGTAGGCAGGACTTGGGCAGACTTCCAGTTCAAATTCCCACACCTCAATGCTGCTCTCCGGCAACGCACATACTTAGTCAGGAAGTTTTCAATCACGAGAGACGGAAACCAGAGACAGCGATTCGTCAACACATTACCGCAATTCGACACTTGGGAACATTACCAGAGGTTATTCACTTGACTCCACACCTCTCCGACTACATCCAGCGAGCATCTCGCTTTCCCGCTGCCATAATCACCTGCAGCTGCACGACAACCTGAGACACCACATCCAAAGACATCCAGAGCGAAAACTTTGAGATTGATCTCATCTTAAGTCTTGAAGAGTCCGCATCTTCCTCTGCCATCCTCAGGACCTCGAGTCACCCATAGAACTTATCTTTTGTGTCACAATGCCCACTCGAATAAGTGGTGCCTGCAACGGGTGCCGTACGAAGAAACAAAAGGTATGTTAGCACACATAACTTGCCCACGCGCGGACCTACCTTTCTACCTGCGGGGTGATTGTCTGGTGTGGCCACTGGTATATTATCGTTGAGTACCACATGCACAGAAATATGCTGACTTTTGGTTCATTAGTGCAGTGGTGATAGGTGAGTTTCACCTCAATATCTTTTCGAACACCGATTCAAGCAAATGTTTTCGCACGAAGAAGGGTAGTGCGTCCTTTTATACGTCCCGGGTCCCTACCTCCCCAGATCACCTCTGCAGGTCTTGGTCGTGGGGTTGTCTATGTGGCTAAATCGTTTTGGCACAACGATTTGGGCAAGGCCAGATCTGATACCTCCTCCACCAATGGAGGCTTGACCTGACGCGTCTATCAAGCCCAGCAGTCGGCTGTTCGTTCATTGATACGTCCGCGATTATCAGATATTGGTATCCTAACAGTAACTGATTCTTCCGCCTTTAACAGATCGGGTTGCTCACAGTGTCACGCTGCCGGTATACAATGCACATGGCCGGAACAAAGAAAAAGGTAGGATAAAACCAGCCGAAGAGCCTCCTCCTCACCCATCCCAAGCTCTCTAACCTGCTACTGGTCGCGAATGGTACTGACTCTCCATTTTAGAGGTCCTGCCAAGGGCTACATCGAAGGCCTTGAGCACCGTCTCCACGAAGCCGAATCACTTCTCCTTGCACTTCTACCCACCGTCTCGACAGAGCAGCTAAAACGTGCAACCGACTCGTTAGCTGACGGTCCGTCCACCATAAATATTCCGGGACTGAAAACTCGCGACTCACAATCACCCGGTCCCCATGCTATGCGGAGCAGTCCCCCTGTCCTCAACAAGAAGACAGGCATCGATTATTGGGAATCATTCCCTCTCGACACTGTCGAGAATATTCGCAAATGGCAGAATGACTGTGCCGCGCACTCCGGTGCCGCCAATGGCCAGACTCAATCCTTTAGGAACTCAATCGATGACTCTCACTCACATACAAACATCCTCGCCGCCATCAATCACGCCGCCAGTCACTCGCGACCTGCCTCGGTCGACCTCTCCCGCAATAGTCATGGCCACAACCACTCGCATTCACAATCCGCCCCGTTCCGGTCCATGAGCAGCGACTCCTACCGCTCCGGCGCCAGCACCCCTATACACATGCCTCAACACTCTCATTCGCAACCATCCCTCCCCACCACATCCGGCTCCCAACACCAATCAAATCAACAGCAAACGTCAACGCCGAACTGGCAATCCCTCACCCTCTTCTCACCAAACACCACCACAAGCTCACCTAATGTCACGTCAAGTCCTTCTGCGGGCAACAGCGGCGGTGTCGGTGCCGAAGCATTATTACTGCAGAGCTTCGCCGACTCGAGTTGGGTACAGGCGCAGACGATGAATAGCGCAACGGGCATGAGCGGGATGGGAAATGGTTTGCCCGTCGAAAGTGGGCCGATGGAGGTGGACACAGGTTTCTTTTCGAGTGACATGCAGAGACGGTTATTCTGGTAGCTTTAGACTGAGAAATCATGCCATCAGGAACGGAGCGTTTGTAAGTGCCAGACTTTCAGTGATACAGGTGTTCAACTATGGAGCACTGGAGTTCAAGGGAAAATGGGGACATGAACATATTGCTGCTACTTGCGCGCACGAGCGATGAGGCATTCAGAGTCACTTGGCCAGCAGCAGCTGATTGCCGGGTCGAACTAGGATATGGAGCACGCTGGAGGGGAATATTCACGAGGCAAACGTTGTCTCCAGACCGGCTGCATTTCAAGGAGCTTTGAACTTTACTGAAGACCCAGTCAATACTCCGTACTCAGCTCTAACACATCGTCATGACTTCGTTTCACGTGGTGGGCTTTATCGTGACAGCGGTATTGATCGAGCCACTTGCTGATGAGTACGACCGTCCTTACTTCCTCACTGCTAGTCTAGTGCAGCCGGAACTAACGTCCGCCTGCAGTACGCAGTCCATTTGGGCAGGCGAAGTAGCATTGGGAGTAGAAGGAATGAGAGGCGAGACATTTAGAGTACTGTAACTACCCACTGAGCTAATTAGCTGGCGAACGACCCCAGCCAAGGGGCCAAAGGGCCAAGGGGGGAAAGGGACCGCTATATCGTTGCATGACAGTTTACATTGCCCATCAGTATATCTGGATGTCAGCTGCACCCAGTGCACGAGTGCAGAGTGCAGAGTGCAGACTGCAGAGTACGGATGTCAACTCCGGCGCACCCTCGTCCGCTACGCTGGTCTACGCTGCACTGCGTTCTGTGCCGTTCTCTAAACGGCGTGCTCCCTGCCACTGCCATGCTGCTCCGTGCCACTGCCATGCTCTATGCTACTACCATGCTCGCTCTAATCCAGGGAACGCAGCCGTCTTCGTTGTCGTCGCACTCTAGGTCCCTCATCCGCCGGCTCGCCATGCTCACGACGCCGATCCAGGTATTCTCGCTGCAAGACGTCAAGCCCCTACTCGATCGCGAAGTTACGCGTGCCCGTACACAGGCTCTGCCAAGTCCGGCTCGCCGACCGCTCCCTCTCGCGCCGGGTGCGATATCCCTCGGGCATCCCGGCCTCGTTGTCCTCGTAGTCGGCATCAGCGGCCGTCGTGTCACCGTAGTGGCGTCGAGATTCCCGTCTCCCTCGCCTGCGACGGGTGTCGGCTTCTCGTCCTTCAAGAAGGAAGTCGAGCTCTGCGTCCCTGTCGGTCCGCTGGATCGGGAAGCGCTGTACCCAGCTATAGTCCAATTGGGTGTCGTCGCGGTATTGGCCGCGAGGGAGGGCCCTTTCCCACCGGTCGTAGAAGTCGAGATCGTCACCGCCAGCGTAATTGGCGAGCCGGCGGCGATGACGTCTGTTGTGGAAGGAGTCTCGTGGGATGCGAGTCGGGACGTAGAAGTCGTCGCTTCCGTTCGATGCCGACGACCATGCGTACCGTCCGCGTTGAGGGTTGAAGGCAACCCCGCTGCGGTAGAGGGTCGTGTGCCGGTGCGAATCGAGGTCTCGGCCACGGTCGGTATAGTCGCGGGATAGGTTGCTTGGGCAGTCGCGGCCGCGGTCGCGGTCGTGGGACGGGCTTGGTGGTCTGGAGAAGGAGTCGCCGCTGCTCGAATGCGTCCAGTCTCTGGGTCGGCGGCCTTGGTGGCCATTGCCATGGCGTTCGGGGCCGCCGAAGTAGCCGGAGCTTGAGTCGCTGCTGTAGGGCATCCTGAAGTAGACTGTTCGTCGTGTCTTCTCGGTTAGGTGTCCGGGGTATCGGAGAAAGGATAGGGGAGAGCTACAGGTTCGAAGCTCGAGACCACTTTTGGCCTCTCTGCTGCGTTTGCTGTGGCCATTTTTTCAGTGGTCCCCAGCTTTGGGGTATCTCAGTGAGCGGTCGGATTAGTTGAACAACGTGTCCCAGGACTCGTGGAGTGCTGTTTCGGCACCACCTTGGTCTTTGAGTGATAGAGAATGAAGGCTTGTAGATCCCAGAGTGCCACATCCATCATCCTGGTGAGCTGGAGCTGTTGACATGACTTTGCGCATCCCCGTGAGGCTGGCATGATGGAAACTGCTGAGGCGGTCCCAGCTTTCGTGAACAGCACCTTTCGTCATCCATCGAGTCCTGCAAGAGTGGAAGCAGGTTTGAGCTGAAATTGCAACCAAGGCAAACCCGGGGCAAGTGGCGCAGCCGAGTGAAAGCGCAGCGTCCCAATGAGTGAGCACCTTGTCTTCACCTCTCTGTGCGGCTCTTCACAGCCTCGTTTCACATCACATGACATCGCCGGTGACGGGTGTCAATATATTGTATTCCCCCAGAAATGCTCCCAACAATTCCTCGCTGGTTGAGATCAAACTAGCACCGGCTAGCAGGCGTGCCAGTGACGAACTGTCGACAACCCCTCGACTTCGAAACCAACACAGTACCGACGACCGACCGATATCGAAGCTGAAGTACCAAAAATGCGTTTGCCTACTTGACAGCTACAGTCAAATCGGCGCTCATCTGGGATGAGCGTGAGATGGGAGTAGACCGGTCCGCCAAAACCGGTATAGCCCGATCAAAGTGTGGGATCTGTAATGAAAGCTCGAAACAACCTCTTCTACGAAGAAGAGGTTGTAGTAGAGTTTTTGTCCTTTCGACTGTGCCGGATTCTTTTTTGTTTCGGAACACGGAGTATAGTCGGGTGCTGTCCCTTTACCACCTGCTAAGAGATTTCTCAGTGATGTAAGGCATCGTGAAAGTTATGTTGCCGCACAGATATCGAGCTTTCACACGCCTAGCCGTTGCAAGCTGGCATATCACTTCGCCGATATTGCATGAATTGAGTGACACCCGTCGGACTCAAGAGAGTTCTTCACTATTCCTTTTGTCGACTTCATCTCGGGAGTTGGAGCTGTTCATACTCTAGTGCGCGGACCGCAGGTGTCTGTTCGGAAGTTCTCGGTGTCAGTCAGCTGTGACTTGCTCCAAGACCAGTTCCTTGAATCGGCTCATAATGCTCGATGCCGCAGCCCAGCAAAAGGGCCATAGGCACAAATGCTACCATTATTCAATGCCGCCGGCTTCATGTAAAAGAACTCGCGATCTTACTCCTGGCTCGGATCTTCGGCCCGTAAAGCACCAGCACCCAAGGTACCAGGGTCAGAGCCAAGCCGATGCCACCCAGCAGACTGCTTGCCGCCTGAAACCCCAAGTTCGTGAACAGTTGATTCGTCACTAGTGGGAATGAACCGCCTAGCAAGTTCCGGCACAACCCCGAGGCAGCCAACGCTGAGCTTGCATAGATATGGTAGCAATCGGCGGTATAGTTGAAAGTGGCCAAGAAGATGCTGAAGATGCCCATGGTCGCCACTCCCACAGCGATGGTTGGAACAATCCAATGGATGGACGGATAGCATGTCCACCCGAACCAGAACAGTCCAATAGGCATCAGTGCCGATTCGATGCAGGTGAACATGAGCCGTCCCTCCGGACTACCGTTGACTTTCGCAGGGTAATGCTTAGCAGCCCATCTTTCCTGCCAGATGCTCAGAATGGTGGACATGATCGCTCCGACACACATTGATATGAATACCAGCCCAGTGTGCTCGAGAGTAAACCCATAGTTGACTTCGAAGACGAGTGGGATAGATCCAAACTGTAGATAAAGCACGGCCCACGAGAATGCAATCCAGAGACTGAACCAGAAAACGACAGGCTCGGTGAACAACATTGTTATCGGCCTGTACAGCGAGACGACGATCATCTTGCCGAGCGAGGCTCTCTCTTCATCTGCTTTGACCTTCCATCGGACGCGGCATGTTCTGTTCATCGCTTTCTCCGGGTCTGTGCAGTCTACCTCCATGCCGAGAGCTCCAGCTTCTTCAAGTTTGGCGTACCACTTGTTAAGCATCTTGGCCTTACGACTGAGGATTATGCTGCCGCGAGTCTCTTTGAAGAATACCGTCACCAACGCTACCAGCGTGCCGCTGGTCATGACCTGGATCCAGAAAACCCACCGCCACAGGAGGCGCTGCGCCACGAAGCCGCTCACCAAGGGGCCGAGACCGGTTCCAAAAAGCGTGGCGCCAGTGAAGAGTACCATCGCCCAGTTACGATCCGCGGTAACCCAGATATCCGCCAAGATGCCACCGACCATGGTTGAAAAGGTAGATCCTCCGAACCCGAGAAATAATCTGGCCAACAGCATACCCGCAAATGAGTCTGTCACCGCGCAGCATATCTGACATATAACGAAAAGGAGGCCGGTGACAACGAAGACAGGCCTCCGTCCATTGATTTCCGAAAAGGGGGCCAGTACCATCGGGGCAATTCCGAACCCTACTGTGAAGATAGTGATGCCCGTCTTGTATGCCACGGCAGAGATGCCCCATTTCCTAGTCAGTTGGAGTGTTGGCGAGGCATAAGATCCCGCAGAATAGGCAGCTGCAATGTTCACCGAGCACGACAGATATGTCATGAGTTTCTTCCGTGTCAGCGACCATGCGAGAGGGTTGTCGTAGTCCTTCAGGTTTGGGCATGGTGGCATCTCAGCCTTGTTATCGTGTGGAAGGACCGGCGTCAGCGGGATATCTGTTTCGAACGTCAAGTAACGATATTCGATGTCGTCCAACTCAGGTGACTCCGTTACTCCCTTTGAGACTGGTACTTCAGCCTCCTCGACATTCTGGGCCGCCACCTCTACGGCGCCATCTTCGGCTAATGGTATCATTACATTTTTGTCTGATGCCTCGTCGTTCGCTTGTGGGATTTGGCCCTGATGCATTTCTGCAATTCACACGTCAATACTTCCCGTTGCAGACGACCGCCGCCGAGCCTTTGTCTTTGTGGTGTCAATCAAGTCGCCCCATCTCATCAAGCAGTCTGGACAGCAGGTACGAAGAGGAGAGGGGGCACTAAGAATAATCTGAAAGTTTCAAAAGGTTCAATATTGGCTTTCGTGGTAGTTTCGATCGACGGCTACTGTGGCTGGCTAGTAGCTCGTCCATCTCCCCGCGGTGATCTTCCGCATATGCGGAGACCTTACCGAGGTGCATCGACGCCATCCATAGGGGGAGGAGAAGCTACCTCCGAATACAAGCTGATAAGTCCTGTGCTCATGTCGGCTGGGAAGATTTTACACGTAGTACGAGCGGATATTTCAAACGTGTTCTGGCGCTAAGTATGAGTGGGTGTTGAAGTTGCACAGTAGCATGAATGTGACTGGCAAGAAAAAGACTCGGGAGAGCACCAGCTCCAGCCGGACTTCAAGTCCGGCTGGACGCTTAACAGCTCCGAGTGTTATCTTATCAACGCGTACCCCCGACCTCAGGTACGACGCGTCGCACACAGCGCAGAGCGTATGCGCGCTTCTCTTGCATCGGAAAGCTGGCTTGTTGTATTGGAGGTGAATAATGAGCTCTAACAAACCCATAGCCTACTATGCCTAAAATTTGGCACATTGGGTGTGAGTGACAGGCGCTCGATCAGCCACAATTTCAACCCGTGGTGATGTAAGAGCCCGGAAGACGTCATGATTTCATAACTGGAGCATTGACTGTTGCCCCTGGCAAAAATGCCTGGCAAGCTCCGGGAGCTTCATAAAATGCTTTCACTGATCTGTCTTCTACAGTGATTCCGTTACTTGCACGTTGAACATATCCTGCACCCAACATTGCAGGTCTGCTGCTTGTACATTTTGACGGTGACGGTGCTCGAACTGCACAATTATCCAAGATGGCGACGAAGCCGGCGAGCTCTTCCAAGGAGATGATGAAGAACAAGAACGGTAAGAGTCATCTCCAAATGCTCGTCGAACATCGCTCACCTTCATAGTGGCCGGTGGCCCGCTGAGCGCACACTCCAAGGATCCTCCGGTCGGCTTTTTCCGTGACGGCTACTGCAGGACTGGTCCTGAGGACAAGGGCAATCACTCGATAGCGGCAACAGTAAACCAAGAGTTTCTGGATTTCACAAACTCCAGAGGGAACAACTTGAGAGACGCGGGAGTCAAAGACGGAATGAAGTGGTGCCTCTGCGCTCACCGCTGGAAAGAAGCTTTCGACGCTGCACAAAAGGGGCAATTATCGCAATCGGCTGTACCAAAGGTCGCGTTGCATGCTTCACACGAGGATGCGCTGAAGGAAGTCAAGTACGGCGACCTGAGCAAATATGCTTCTGGTGGAGATGCGGCGAAAGAGGGGACCCGGAACAGACAGGGCGCCCATACAGACCCGGAGCAGCCTTCGCATGGCGTCGCCAAGGAGTCAAGTGACTTAAAGGGCCAGTCGCAGCCTCAAAAGTCTGGAGGGTGAATGAGGTGCCGCGACAGTGAGCTGAGTGTCGATTGAGGATGAGGGTGGCAAACAAAAGGCGGATCTTCATGTGCATATGCATCTGCGTCCTTGTGTATAGATGCTCCGGCGTATTTCTCTAGGCCGAGGTGCGACTCTGCCGTGTCTGCCATGTCAATCAATCATCAAATGCCTTTCATGCGATACTGTCTCGTCACTCTCCCGATGTTCACTCATTCGCCTCAGTCTCAACCTTGAGGTATCCGAGGTTTGTCTTTGACGAACAGGACTCACTCAGCCATCGACTTCAACGGGACTACAATCCTTCTTTCCACAATCGTCTCAACATCTCACGCGACTCTTCGCATTCTGCCCTCTCCGCACCTCATTTCCGGCAGAAATCTAGTGACGATATCTATGCCTCTCATGCTTTGAAGAGTCCCGCGAGAATATCTGTAGAGACAGGCTGCTCCGGCGAGGGCGCAAGTGGCGCCATGTCAGACTCTGTGGGTATGTAGTTGTCCTCCCCTTTGCGTCTGTCAGTCTGACACTTCCCGACATAGACCGCGTATTCGTCCACGCCCTAGCCACAGTCCGCCGATTGCCACGCACCGGCTCTTCACGGCCACCGCCTTCAGCCCGCCTACGTCTCTATGGCCTCTACAAACAGTCCATGGAAGGCAATGTGGAATCTATCCTGCCACGACCGACGCTCCCCTCGATATCCCCCGACCCGAACAACTCGAAGTCGAATAATGTCCATCGCTATGCCTCGCGAGACCTAAGGGTGCGAGAGGCCGAGGCCGAAATCGAGAAGTGGGACGCATGGCACGCTTGCGCCGGCATGAGCCGCACGGAAGCCAAACGCCGGTACATCAGCACGCTGATCGAGACGATGAAGGAGTATGCCAGCGGTACGCAAGAGTCCCGCGAACTAGTGGCCGAGTTGGAGTTCGTCTGGAATCAAATCAAGAGCCAGAGTGGCAGTTCGGAGGATGAAGACGCAGACTCACCCACCCGACGGCTGGAGCGTGCCGGCTTGAAACAGATGACCAGCTTCGGAAGTATACCTCCCGGTCAGAGCACTGGAGGTGAAGGTGGCACTCTGAGCAGGATGAACTCAGATTCGAATCGCCTGAGGGTATTATCACCAGTATCGCAGCGGGATAGCGAGGATATAGTCGAAGGTGAGGAGGTGGATCCCGCAACAGGTGCTCTGGTTGGGCCACTTTCATCGTCAAGGCCTGTGTCTTCCGACCCGGACTGGAAGAGTCGCATCGATTCTCACTTGCGACATCTATCGACCGAAGTCGCGGCACTCCGTGAACAACTGTCACAGAATAAACTCCTTTCCTCGTCGTCATTAGACGGCACTTTCACATCCCGACGACGGCGGATACTCCACCGAACATCGGCCTGGGCCAAATGGCTGGCATGGGTGCTCATCCGGCAAATCCTTGTCGACGCAGGCCTGCTGTGCCTCTTCATCCTCTACGCGAGAGTGAAGGGACACAAGGACCGCCGGGTGGAAGATTGGGCGCGACGGCGGTGGAAGGACATGTCACGATTTTTTGCCGAAATGAATGGCTGGCTGAGAGGATCACTGTCCGCGGTACCGGTACGGATACCTGGGCTGAAAAGTTGAAAACGCACACTAAGCGTGAGACACAGAGCAGTCTCTGTCTGGTTCTGGCCACTCAGGATCAGGCACGCTTTCAGGCCGTCGCGCGAGACTTTGTTTCTCATTATACGACGGAGACGGCCGACATGTTTGGTGCTGGCGGCGAGTTGAACGGCGGATTTGACAACGTTAGCCAGAGCAAGGGAGATGGATCAGAGCCTGCGGTTGGATAAAGCACAGGCTCGACCCTCTCGCGAAGGTTGCTCGGAAGGAGGAGAGCATCGCCCGAGAGCATTTCCCCAATGGCTACAGTATCGCCAACCTGTGCCCCCCGTGGTTCCTACGTTCAGGGCTACACAAGAACAGACTTGCCCCCTGCAAACCCATCTCGAAGCCCAATCAGCTCATCTTTAGCTACTTTATATCAACCCACGCCACAGACCTGGGAACACTGGGGGATCGCGAATCATGGACATTCGGAGCTCCACGAAAAAGTCAAGACTGGGAAAAGCGAAACCATATCATGACATATGATGACACGCCGATATGTATTTAAGGATACAGGGGACACGTGGGCTCATCTTAGACAATTCCGATCTCAGGTCTCAGCTCTCCAGAGAGAGCGCCGTAATAACACACCTACCTAGGATATAGTGCGGTCGGAGTCCACATCGCATGGTTCCTCACTCCTGCATGGTGTTGGGCGTGCCTATCTTGTTCCTTGCTTACAGTTTGTTCTTTTCCCTCGCTTGCACATCTCTCCTAGCCTTACTCTGTACTTCACGGAACTTGAGCCATCCCATCCTTCTACTCTTCCCGTGTACCGTCTGGATACTGTACTCGGTATACAATAATCGTATCATCACACCCTCGACGCCAGTACTCTGAGCCAGTCAGCCAGGGATAAAGCCGCATTGACACCAAGTTACCAACCAAGTCACCATTCAACCAGCCGGATATGGTGCCTGCTGCGATCCCATCGGCGAATCCACCCATTTGTTACCTACCTGTTGTATACTATCGAGCACCGCTTACCTACCAACCAGCTATCTATCTAGCCCATGCCAATGGCTCAAGTCCCTATCCCAATTTGCCTATCCTGAACCCCCCACTCAACATCCTCTCGAAGATACCCTGGCAATCATACCGCCTCTGCACGTCCCTCACCAGTTCCAACATGCCACTTTCCTTCTCTCGAAGCATGCCCCACACGTCCTGACCCTGCGCCGCGTAATTGACGTACCGGAACGGATGGAGTGCGTTAGGGGTGGATGAGCGTGCGAGATCTTCGGCGCGGGAGAGGACGTTATTGAGGAGGGCGGTGTACCGCTCCGTGTGTGATGCGTTGAGATAGTGGATTTCGAGGGAGAGTACTGCATACACTCGTCAGGTGAGGCCAAGTGAGGTGATTTCTCGAGGAAGAATAGAGTAGAATGTACCGGGCCTAACGAGCGGGGTGGACAAGTCCACTGGACAAGTGAAGGGGAGGGAGGATCCTGGATTAGATGCGATGTGGTTTGCTGGGGTAGAATGCAGGGGAGGGATAGAAATCGATGCGATAAGGGTAGATAGGGTAGGACTGAAAGAGGTGGGTTGTGATAGGATGGGCTGTATATATTGATGGATAGATGTAGGTATACGCAAAATATCGGCATAATATGAAAGGCCCACACAGCAACATATATCGGCATAGCACGAAACTGTCCACACATCGACATATATCGCCACGGGCAAACGGAGCACGGCCAGGCACACCGACCTCATCGTACGAGTACATGTACTTACATATCAGTGCCTCGTCCTCGTCATCCAGGAGCATGAGGTTTGTGTGTCCTTGTCCTTGTTTCTGTTCTTGGGCTTGTCCTTGCGCCTGTGCATGTGCCTGTGCTTGATTCTTAGCATACCGCAAATGAGGCAGCGTCAGAGGCTGGACAAGCATCCCGGCTTGGAGGACCGGTTCGCCGCGAGCGAAAGTCTCGTCTTGCAGAGCCGTCGCGACGAGGTCGGTGATCTGCGCGAGTAGCGTGGGATCATTCCGCACTGTCATCGTGGCTTTGTAGACCCTGTGAAGCCAAACAGAGATCAGCTCCGCACTTGCAAACTCGTCATATGGGATAATTCTTGCGCCAGGGTGGCCGTTGACTTGTTGGGTCGTCAAAGGTACAGGGACGCAAACTCACCGGAACCCATAAGGGTTACTCATCTCGACAAGCTGAGCGACGTCGCTCATGGTTGATCTCCACGTCGAGTTTGTTAGGGTTGGAATGTCAAAAAAGGGCTGCCATAGTGGCGGAGGCAGGGGATTTGCGTCCGTAGGAGTACCTTGTTGCTCCTCTTGCGGAACTAATCGAGTCAGCATGAGCATATACACTGTGTTGTTTTGCTCGTGGTTGTTTAGCGTAGTGTCGAAGCCGACAGAAAGGTCCGCTGACGCGGAGTTAGGGTCCATGTGAGCATTTTGCGTGATGTTTGTAAGCGCGCGGAGCACCGCAGGGATGTGCTCGTGGGAGTATTGCAGGAGGGAGACGTGAAGAGGACCATGAGTCGAAAAGGTCTTGATGCGGAAGCGGGTGGCGATGCCGAAATTGTTGACCCCTCCTTTGAGGCAGGCGAAGAGGTCGGGGTGGGCGGATGCGGATGCTGCAATGAAGGTGCCATTCGCCAGGACGACCTGGAATGATAGGGAAGCGTAAGTACAAGATTGAGGTTGAAGGTGATAGACAGAAAGGATCGCCAGGCAACGACTGATGGTTAATTAGGACATATCACCTCGATCTCTTCGACAGAGTCGGCGCCCCAGCCGCACAGGCTTGAGAGTAGGGAGATGCCGCCTTGGTCGGCCCCGTCAGCATCATGTCCCACCATGGCAGAAGGAGTGGTTATTTACCCCCCAGCAGGTATCCGCCCACGCCCACCGATGCAGCTCTTCCGCCGGCGACCGTCAAGTCGAAGGGATCGAGAATGCGGTAGACATCGATCCAACGAGCTCCAGTTCCAACATCCACGTAAGACCGATCCGAGGCCAGTGATATAGAGTCCAGGGCAGAAAGATCCAATGTGATCCCGTCATCGACGTTCGAGGCGCCAAACGCAGTTGCATGCCCGCCGCTCGAAATGGCAAACTTCACATCGTCACCGAACTCAACGAGCTGCGAGATCAAGGCGCCGAGTTCCTCGCTCGTCCTAGGCGATATGCGACATGATGGTGTGAAGTCTGCTTGATTGGACGCCCAGTATCGGGCCTGTTGAGACCGATACTGTCGATCGGTAGGGAATGTGACAAGAGATGGGAAGCGTGATGCCAGCGTGTTGCACTACATGACGTTCCTCAATGACTTGACTGTGAGGTAGAACAGCACGCATGAACGGGTAGTGAAACCTACTGCTACTGAGGAGGCTCGTTGCAGGGGCTCGCTAGTGGAAGTTGCCCCTCTTGTGCCACGCAGACAAGCGCGAAGACGGAAGCCGCAGTCAGAAGACTCGACGCAGCATGGTTCCAGACCGAATGCATGTAGTTTCATGGATGAGGTGGGAGTAGGAAGAGGGAGGGAAATTTGAAGAGCCCAGTGCTTGATAAGCATCGGCCAATTGTCTTGATCTGATCAAGGACTGGCTTGGCAGCAATGAACACAGGGAAGTGGGGGAACTCGGTCTGCTTCTTCCATCAGTAGGCTGTTCTGTTAGATCTGGAGGAGATGAAGGAGGAGAGTGAGAGCAAGTGCCACGGACTAGAGCGTCGAGTCAGAACGCTGTACACGCAGGACTCTCCGGTTGGCACCGCAGCAGTCGAAACTACGACTGGGGCACCAGGCAGCGTAGTAAACTCCGTGATCACGTCAGTCCACGTTGGTGAAACTGGGAAAGGATGGAAACGGAGATCCAACGGCCGCGGAATTTGGCGACAGATGCCTTCTGACTCAAGCGAGCTGAAATCGACAGTCGCCATTCGCCAGAAACATCTCCATGACATAGTGCGAGGACGACGAGCTTGCTCGGCTACCGAGTCTCTGCCCAGTCTCCTTTTCGGCACGGACATCAGACACTATAGACGTCAAGTCGTGTGAGTCCTTTGCTGATGGGCCGTCAGTATCGTCAGGCTGTACAACTACATTCGTCAGCCTCAGTAAAATTGCGAGCACTACTGTTTTTCCGTGTGCGAATTCAATCTTTTCAAGGCGACACACGCCAGTCCAATCGCATCGTTCATTCGTCATCATCGCTATCAACTATCCGCCTTGCCCTCTTCCTGCTTCTGAGCTTTGGCTTCTCGGTATCCCCCGTCTCGCTCCTTGCTGTCGATATACTTCGGTAAGCTAGCAAAGGGTCGTCGTGACCTTCATCGGCCCGGACACCCCTTCTCTTCTTGTCTGAAACCAACTCCTCGAGATCGGGCAATTCATCATCCATGGCATCGTAGTCGATACTCTCTTGGGATACGAAGAACCGTTTAGTGACGCCAGCCTCTCTTCCTGGGGCCGAAGTCGGCGACAACGTCGAACGCAGGGAAGCAAGAGAGGAAAGATCATCTTGGAGCCCTCTTTCGGACCCCTGAGGTTCCGAACCCCTCCACGGCACAGCACTCGAGGCGCACCCAGCATCTTCTTCTTCGTCGTCATTGATGAAACTGTCATTGTCATCATATTGCCCCACGGAACTACTTCGCAAAGTGCCGCCAGATCGGCCTGTGAGGCTGATGGATTTGAACTTCGCTTTTGACCTTGACAGATACGCTTCAGTGTCTGATTCAGCCCAAGTCCCTTCAAAAACAGGCATCGTGGTGGGCGAGAGACGGAACTTCGCTTTCGTCTTTTTCGCAGAGGGCTTGGTGGCTGACATTGACTTCTCCGCTCCGGAGTCCAGACAGAGATCATCGTCCTTGATCTCTTCACACTTCGTGGGGCGATCCCAGTCTCTGTTGGGAATGTTCATTGCTTTGTAGGCTCTGACCAAAGTCTTGGTCTTCTTCGAGTGCCTGACAAAGCTTGTTCTTCCCAGGCGGCGTTGGTGCTCTGGGAAAGCGTCAAAACGAACGAATTGGATGTACTCGTCGTCTGACCCAGCTAGTTGGACGTAGCGGTCCTCAAGCTGGCGCTCTTCCTTCTCCGACAATACTAGTTCTTTGAGCGAAGCTAACGGAGCCGGTTCATCATCTCTCTCAGGTTTGGGCGTGACCGTCCCCCTTTGCTTCACTTTCGATTTCTTGTTACCGTTGCCCAGAAACGCAAAGCCCGTCTCAACACCATCCGGCATGTGGAACTTCTTTGGCGGCTTTTTGGCACTTCTCCCTCTCTTCCGTGTCGGCTCGACAGAGCCAGGCTGGGTATTCTCCACCGGTATCTCAATCACCCTCTTATCGACCTCTGGCACAATCTCTTTGGGCACAATACGCGGAGACAACTCCTCGTGGAAGTTGAACTCCCTGCCACTTGCAATCTTGGCCTGCATCTTCTGATAGTTATCTTCAGATTGGGCAAAGTCCTGCTCTTCCTTGCCACGCATCATGAGCAGCACGATATTTCCGGCCCTTTTGCGGCCCGTCCGGCCCATGCGCTGAAGCATTCGGATTGGCGATTTGGAGCAATCATAACAAACGATAAGGTCGACCTCGCCGATGTCGAGACCTTCTTCTCCGATCGATGTCGCCACAATAGTGTTGTACTCTCCTGCCTTGAACTTTTGAATGATCTCGAGCTGTGTCTTTTGGTTCATACCTTCCGAACCGCCCTTCGTACCGGATTGACCGACGAATACATGGGCTCGGATCATTGGACCGTGGCGGTTGAGGACTCTCACAATCTCCTCGGCACTGTCACGGTAATGCGCAAACACCATGATTCTCGTGTTGGTAGGCTCGGAAGCAGTCCGTGCAGTCCCCTCGCCAGCGTTCATGAAGTGGTTGAGCACAACCCTCTTCAGGTAGCTCAGCTTCGGATGCCCTTCGAAGTCTGGGTCGTTTATCCATAACGCCAGTCGATTCATCATCTTCTTGAAGTGCTCGTTGTCTGTAACTTGTTTGGCTGTCTTGCCGCTACCGGCTTCTTGGACAAACATTTTCATTTTGTGGTAGAACGGCCCAATACCATGATACTTCAACAGTTCGATGTTATGAGCCAGGCTCATCAATACCGTGGAGATTGCCTTGATCATGCCTTTGACTGCCTGAGGGGCCCTGCGGCCTGCTTCGGATGACTGCCACTTGTCCCAAGACATCTTTAGGCCGAACAGCGTGATTCTTGTAGGATCCTTACCCCACGCAGCTCCTTGAGAGTGCAGCTTGTTCAAGAGCGGTTGAAGTGTGGCCGACAGCAGCTCCAGCACCATTGTCATCTCCTCGGAATTCTCAAATACCTCGGTTTGGATGTTTCGGTTGTGTACAAAATCTCGAATGTCAAGCGAGTCCTCGGTCCTGATCTCGACTCTAGCGATCCCCAGACCATCAATCACTTCCTGCACTGTCTCGACATCTTTACCGGGCGTTGCCGTAAGAGCCAGAACCCGAAAACTGGAATTGTATCTTCTCAAGAACTTGACGACTTCGACATATGCATAACTGCCGGTTGCCTTGTGCGCTTCATCAACCACAACAAGAACAACCTTTTTCGGATCGCAATAGCCATGTTTGAGGTCGTTTATGAGGGTCTGAGGTGTCATGAAGAAGACTCGTTTCTGTTGCCATTCTTCTGCTCGAATTGCTGGCGCAACCTCGCCCGTTAGCATGGTAGTCTGGGACCGAGGAATGCCAGCAATGTTGAAGCACGCATCAATCTGTTGTGATACCAGCGGTTTCGTCGGCGCAACGAAGATTATCTGTGCATTCTTCGTCCACCGGTACCAGTTCAACATGACCGTTGCCGCTATGAAGGTCTTCCCCAGGCCGGTAGGCAAAGCGACCAAGACATTATGGAATAATCCCTTGTGGACAATGTTGTATTGGTAGTCCCGGGTTCTGCCAAGGTTGGTAGGGTACACCCAGGTACTCATTGCATCTCGGTCAATCTCATGGTGGGTTGGAGGTTCATTCCGGTTCGCCAAAGGCCAGTTGTGGGCTCTCGACTGACTTTGCGTGCGAGGTGGCTCCGCTTGAGTGGTATGAATTCCATGCAAGGTCGTTTGTCGGAAGGAAGAAGATTTCTGCAACGGTTGTCGGGGAGCCGAAGCATGGGTGGATCTGTTATGATGAAAGTCTCTGATAGTATCTCCGTTAGCAGGTAGACCGATGTTGTTGGCCGCTAAAACTTCGAGTCCTGCTTCGACATCATCAAGAGCTGCTAAAAGTTCTAGCTCATCAGTGTCATCGACATCAAACTCGTCGTCGACTGGGAGAGCTTGGGGCGTGGGGCGAGTAGACACATGGGTGAGCGGCAAGCTCTTGGGAGCAGAAGGTGATGGTAAAGCGGTTGACGCGTAGGTGGGGGGCAAGCTCTTCCGAGGAGAAGGTGACGGTGAAGGGGGTTTCCGTGGTTTCATCCATCGAGGGCCTCGGATCCGTGAGGGACTAGAGTATTGCTGCGTTAATTGAGTGACGAAGGTGTCGGGATGGCTTTCCCCAGCAGGTACGTAGATGCGGTCATCGTACTTCGACTTCTTGTTCTCCTTGCCCTCGCCGTCTGGATGTGCTGGCAAATCATAGTCGTTCTCTTGTGTGCATGGGTTACTCAGATCAGGATCGAGTCGACGGCGTTTGCGAGAACGCGGACTACGCTCAAGTTGTGAACTCGGCACCAGAACATCCGAGCTCTCTTCAGCCTCATCAGCTAGAAAGTCCATCGCGTGGATTTTGCATCACATCCTGGGCTTGCAGATATCCGTGAACCTTAGAGGTGGTTGGATTGAGGTGAAGGTGAAGTAGAAGGTGAGGTTGAAGAGCGCGCGTTCAAGCCGAACGCGTGTCCACGTGTCGTTGGTTTCCGCACCGATGAAGGAAGTGCAGTTCCTACGGAGCAGTACAGAGCTCTGCCGAGGAAGTTCAGACGCCCTCCGAGCCTCCCCATCCTCATCCTCTTCTTCGCCCTTTCATCGTCTTGCTCGCTCGACCGATCTTGAGGCCTATCCAGCAAGATTCAAAGCCTGCCGGCGAAGCTCAACCGTGCAATGGCAAGAGCGCGCATATTTGGACGCACAAGGGGATCCGATAGTCCACTTGAACTCATTTCTTCCTGAGTCATTTTCATGCCGTTAAGCCGCGACCTCTCTGTGTGCGGGCTGTATTAGATTGGACATCAACGGAGTTAGGACCCAAACTTAGAGCGGATGGTTCTACAACGCTCAAGCACATCCAGCAATAGAACACTCGGTTTTGATGATGCTGTCGTGTGTCGACAGTTGATGCTACATTGATAGAATGAAACTGACAACTACCATTAGGACTTACGTTTGCACTAATCGGCACTATATATGCATATAACCAACGTGTGGAGTGATGTGTCAGGGACATGGCGTCGATATCCCTGCCTGATTGACCGAACCGGCTGATCGAGTGCCTGGGCTGTTCCGTGTGCATGGTCCTTTTTGCAGTCTGTACCTACTCCGAGGCCTGTTCCCCTTTGTGAGACATATGTTCCTTCCCTGGCACGTGATGGCATATACTGTCATCACTGTGCTAGCTCCCTGAGTGGCTGACATCTAGAACAGTCGGCCCTTCGGCTTGTTCAGGGTCTTCAGCATATTCGGCTTCATCAGATCTCTCTTCCTCATCTTTCTCTTCTCAGGCACGGCCGGACAGTCTGCGCCACCTGAGTTCCAGCAGTCCAGCGCATCGGTGGCGGTCGACTCCTCGAAGGTGTAGCAAGTATAATACCACAGAGCCGCCACCTCGGCATCGGCGTCTGGCAAATCATCGTCGCAGAGGAGACATTCAGCCGCGGCATAGATTCCAGGCTCATCGCCCAAAGCCTTGGTACCACAGGTGCACTGGATGGGCTTCGTGTCGGTAAATTTCTCTCCAGTCGCGACAGCGGGATCGGTCGTGTTGGAGCAATACTCGAGGATGATATACCAGTCGATGCAAGGGTAGACTGCTGGGCAGGGGATCTCATCTCCACTTTCGCTACCACCCGAATAGGTCTGTGGGAGGGCGGCCGTAAGACCGACGACCAACGAGACCGTGACGATAAATGTAGACAAGAGCTTCATCCTGGAGATGGTCAGGTCAGACTGGAGGACGAGGTGTTGGGTGGAGAAAGGGCAACATACTTGGGTGCAGGACAGGTACAAAGAAGTCTGGTTCAGATTGGATTGGTGGGGAAGCTTGCTAGGAAAATTCGAAGGAGTCGAAGTTGTCTTTGATCTGTCAGGAGTGAAAGACAAGGAGGCTGGAGTTAGGGCTTGAGAGCCTTATATGCTCGCGGAGTGACCGGGATGGTGAGTTTCTGATGTTGACCGGAAAAGGCAGTGGAAGGACTCCCTTCTCGATGCACGTCGTGCAAATAACAGAACCAGCTGAAGAATACGGAATCCCAGCCCCCAAGCTGAGCGTGCGCATTGCGACTGACAGGATTTGCAGAGCGTGCCAACGCTGTCTGAGAGAACGGATTCGGCATCAGCTTCGGACCAGCTATCTCGGGGGTGCAGCACCAAGACCAAGGCAGACACGAACCTCATTTTAGTTACAAACAATTTCAAAAACCGCCCATGGCTTGCAGTGCACGCCGATCAGTTGCGTAACAACATCACGCAGGTGTGGGACAGCGTAACTCGGCCGCCAAGTTGGACGATCAAGAAGTGACCGACCCCTGCTGTCGTCAATGAGTTCGACGCAGCCAGCACCGAGCAAGAAGGACGCGTTGCGTGTCATGCCAGTAAACCAGCAGTCTGTGTTTTGGACAGACCGGTAAGGGAAGTTCGTGTTTGGTGGGACATATTGCTGGTGTACCAGCCCGAGATACTCCGTACTCCCGATCATCTTGTCAGGAGCGAATGTTAGTCAACGGCACTGCCATCGTGTTAGGCTGAGGATGTGGTTCAGGTGCTGAGTGCAATACGAATGCTGGGCGGACATATTCTTTCAGCTCATCAAGGACAGACAAACAGCATCGCGTCTCAGCACCGAGGTCATTATCGGGTCAGGCTGAACGAGCTTTGCTTTGTCGGTAGCTCTTCTGTGGCGTATCTGACAAAAGAGAGGGAGTGGCCAAGCCCTCGACACGAAGTCTTAGGAAATTCTTGGCAGAAAGCTGGGGTAAGTGGGTAGTCAAACACCTGCCAAGACTCCAAATTATCCGCTGAGCCGCTTCCGCTTGACAGAATAGCAGATTCAGCTAGGCGAACCAGCACGCGTCCTCACTTCCGTCCGTCCTCTTCTTCCAATGTGTAGGAGCGGCGACAGCAATGATTTGTGCTATCGAATGGGTTGAGTTGTCGAAATTTGAGGCTCTTCCAGCAAGCTTTGCCAACGTGCTTGAATGTTGAAAGCTGGACTGGATGACAATGAGGTTTCTCTCAGCGGAAATCTCATACCCGGGGACTTTCCAGCTTACAAAGCTCAGCCCCCGTATTCCGCCTGACACTTGCAGGACTGCTGTCATCAACTCGACACTAGACTTGGGTAAAAGACCGAGCCTCAGCATTGGCGGCATCCCCAAGGCGCAAGCGGAGGATGTGCGGCGCGTCAATTACTCAAGTACACTTTGCCGGCTGGGCAGCAATGGTGAGGGTCAACGAATGCTTGATTGAAGTACAAGTACCAGGCGAGATGAAGTGAAAATGTTGGGAGAGACGGACCGCCGGATTGTTCTATGGTCGCCCGGATATCGGAGTTGGTTTACGCAATTTTTGGTGGAATCTTTGCAACGCCTCGCTTGTGAAGCAACCTTGCACAACCGCCGGCTAGCAATGTCCAAGTCAAGCGTGTATATGCCTTATAGCCAAGATTACCAAAGCCTACTGCCCACTACCCTCTGCCTTGCGGCTTTTCGACTCTTGTCTCTTCCTACCCATCCAGCTGCTTCAATCACATGAACTCGGGGCCCGAAGTCCGCCTTGTAGGTATTGATTTCCGTTACCTAGAGTTTATGACACGAGGGTGGTCATGACCACTGTGCAAATGGACTGTCAAAACAACAGATACATTGTACCCAGTGCCAATTGCGACGACGACCAGACTCCGAAAGCCTCAATCTCGTCTCGGAAGCTCGGTTTCGTCCGTCGCGCTGTCTGGCAAGATTTGAGCCTTATTCCATGCACAACCGAGCCCCGGGCTGCCGGCGAAGACCCCGTCCGGCTTCATCGGCCAGTGTCATTTTATGTTCGTTTAGCCTCTTGGAGCTTCGGTACACAGAAGTTACCTAGGTAGGAAAGTAATCATTTCTCGAATAAATGTACGCTAGGCACAATTGGGGAGCGGCGACGCAACCAGCAGTCCTGATGATTGTTGGGCAGGAATGGATTCAACGAGATACAGCACGAGAGTGTTTAAATGAGACTATCTCGGACTGTTTGTCTAGACGTCAATCCACATCAGATGATGGATCGTATCTCCAAGTGCACCGCTGCCCACGCTGGGAGGGCGACTGATACCACCTCCTCCATACATGGTGATCAACACGGGTAGACGGGTCCAGGGACGTAGTGTGTACAACGTTACTGCTCCTCCACGGGATGCTTGTCCAAACTCTCATACCACTGCAATGTACTTCCAACCGAGAACGCCCAGCCACCCCAGAAATTGGCCAGTGCAGACTGGTACTGCGCACCGGCATTGCCGGAAGCTGGGCCGAGGGCGCCGCACAACTGCAATGGTCTTTCTCAACGCACATTCTCCAATTACCAGTGAGGTAGATGGATGATTTGGACGGACAGCGAGCGAGTCGTGACTTACGACAAAACCGATTCCGCCTCTTCCATTCCAAAGCCCGACGTGCCATCCCAGGACGTGTGGAGAGGAGGTGTACCAATTCGGCTGTGTCTCGAGCATGTACAAGAAACTGCGTGTTGGCCGTGTGCGTCAGAGATTGTCCTTGTTAAGAGCAAAGCCTTCAGCAGGTGGGAGCGCAGGAAGACTCTGTCGTCCATTTATATGCGTTACAAGAGAAGCGCTGCAGAGACACACGTACCCACTGATGGTAAAGCCTATTGAGCCGATGATCTGCGGAACCCAGTATACTCCGTTCAGGGTACTCTGGCTCATGTGGTTGATGACTCCCGGCAGTGCAACAAAGCCGCTGATCCAGAAAATGGTGGTGCCACAGAACATCGCGAAGCTCGCAAGGAAGCCGATCTCCTTCAGGCAATGGGACCGTATTGTGTGCCAGCTGGGAATCCACTGCCATTCTTGCCCGTCGCCGCTGCCTTTCCCAATTCCTGATTTATCATTGTGGTGGTGGACACAGTGCTGTAGGTTGGGAGATATGCGGACCATATCTCGCCCGCTCTGTTTGGAGACAAGTTTCTCGATCTGCCATCCGAAACACCCGACCCTTTCGGCGTTGAAGGCTTCGATCATCAGAAGGACCGAGCCAAGCTGGAACAGAGTTGCGCCCACGAAGGCAGAAACTCCACCGCCAACGAGGAGCTCTTTAGGGAATGTGCTCTGGGGAACCTCAAGCGGAAGCCACAGGCAGAATGAATTCAGGATCCAGGTTGCTGAGGCGATGAAGAAAGTGATCGCCACGAGATACGAGATGTCCCAATAGCGGAAGCAGGTTAACATGCACTTGATCCCCTTCAACGTCGCGGTGACACTTGCCGTCTTCTTTGGTACAATGTATAGCGGCGAGGTAGAGTCCACCTCGACGGCTGGCTTGTATTGCAGGAGATGACGGCCCTTGCGGTTGTCCCTTGATCTCCACGCGAAGTGAACGTCATGTGCTACTTGCTCGTTCGCGGACGCCAGTGTGTGCGCTTCCACAGCTGCTTTAGGACCATCACTCTCGTGGGTAGAAAGTGGCTTCTCCGTCGTCAAAAGTCTCGGAGATGGAATACTGCATGTGTAGGGTGCAGGAAGGCCAGGGCTCCAGTCGTACGCTTTGGCTGCAAGACAAGTAAGTCATCGTTCCGGAGTGGTTCACCTGAGGGAAGGAAAGATGTGTTTCTGGCCATTTCCCACCCCTGAATTTGGTGAGAATCAGTGAGCTGGATGGTTATGACAGAGGAACGCACAAGGACGACGATTATTCCAATGGCCGTAGACAGAGTCGGAACCTGAAGATCCTGCTCTTACATCTTGCCGGTGGTCATTCGCTGTGGAGATAAGGCTGCAGTGTATGCCCCAGGCTCGAACTCAGTCATTCCGCAGCTTCGGCAGTCGGGACAGCATCTGATTCATCACAGGACGACGAGAGGACAAAGGGACTTCCGAGACCCTGTGGAAGCATGGAGCCCATTTGGCTAGACAGCTGTGGGCGCACACTGGAGCAGGGTGCTACATTGCGTTGGTAGTGCTGAGAAAGGTGAGTGCGTTCACTAAGGAAAGCATTTACGGTGGGCAGATACAAGTCTAACGCTCGAGCACGCATCGTCGAGCGTTCGGGGATCCATTTGGGGAGCCGCGACCGGATGGAGGCGCCCGTCAGTGTCGAGAAGCATTTGAGAAGGTATGAAGATCCGGCAAACTCGCGTAGCTTTCACCCAAAGCGAAGGTCATGATGACCATGTTGGGAAGGGCGCATTGATGTTATTAAGGTGGGGATGAACGGAACCGACGCCGAGGACCAAAACGGGAATGGTAGCGACGAATTGTGGGAGAGCTCCAGGTCCGAGCTTCCTCTCCACCCTCGCATATGGGATAACTGTGGTTATAGAGATTTCTCGATCAGTTGACATAACCGGATAGTCACCTCACAGTCACCTCACCATGTGTGTTCACAACCACTTTACAAGGTCGGGACATGGGTGACTAATGGCGCCACTGCAACGCGAATATCGTGACCTGCACAAGGCTCTGTTCGGATACTGCTCATTACGATTACACTCCTACTTCGATGGTAGAATTAGCGCTTTCGTTAGCTAGCGTCTGTGCACTTGGATGGACTGATGTCCTCAATGTCGCCAGATGCGAGTGACTAAGTGCTCTGGACTGCTGGGCAGTGGACATCAGCCCGGTGAGGTAGGTGCATTGTCCATTGAGCAATACTCGGTCGCTCTGCATGGTCGGCTGGATGCAAATATAAATGGGCTAGCTATAGCTGTCCTGCTGGAGCTCAAGCACTCTTCCATCACTCACTTCGCGCTCAGGTCTTCGCCTCTTCGCATACAAAGTCCCCTTTACAAACCAGCATCATGGGTTTCACAGTCCAGAGCAAAGCTTGCTGCACTCGACCTCCCATTGTGCTACGAGGCGGCTACACATATGAAGAGAAGGGCAAATACGAAGATTTCAATGGCATGAAGACCTGTAAGTCGTTTGGCAAAGGAACTCAATCGTCGACTTCTGACAAGGCATCTAGATGTCACCGGCAGTGACCAAGCCACACGAGGCGTGTTCCTCGCGTATGACGTCTTCGGTCTATACGTCCAAGCCATCAAAGGTGCCGACATTCTGGCATGGGACTATCCCGAGCTGCCCGACGGAGCCGGCGAGTTCAAGGTCTTCATGCCCGACTTCTGGGGCGACCATCCGCAAGATCTCGCAAACTTCCCGCCCAAGACACCCAAGCAGATGAAGGCCGTCGTCGACTTCATGACCGGACCAGCCAACCCTGAAAAGACAGTCCCCATGATTAGACCACTGTTTGACGCTTTCCAAAAAGCCAACCCGCAAATCAAGACCTGGTCGATATTGGGCTTCTGCTGGGGTGTGAAGATTGCTGCCTTGGTGACCACCCAGGGGACTAAATTCAGTGCTGCTGCTGGGGCGCACCCCAGTCTGATGGACGTGGAAGACACAAAGCACGTCACTGTTCCGTTTTGTGTTCTGCCCAGCCAGGATGAGGACCCCGAGGTAATGCTTACCCGTGATCATTGCTGCTCTTGCATGGATGATAGAAACCCTACTGACAATGTAACCAATTTACTGTAGTACGTCGAGGCGTGGTTCGCAAATCTCAAGAAGGCTTCACCGCAGAGCTATTTGGAGACGTTCGGCGACCAAGTGCATGGTTGGATGACATCGCGGTAAGTTCTTCGAGATGACAGAGTTCGCTTCCTAATCAAGGTCATTGTTAGTGCCGATTTCAATAATCTGCACGCGTACGAGGAGTATCTTCGAGGATATAGAATTGTTAGGACATTCTTCGCCGCTCATATGTAGGAGCCTGAAGGAGATGCAACTTTGGGGCCATGGCATGACTGCGGTGGTTGTGAGATTTAGAACTCCACAGCAGGAGCTGGGATGAGTATCGTAGACAAGTCGTGTACTTGAAAGTGTTCTCTCCAGAACCGCGTCACATTCAGAAACCACAAATCATGAGGAAGAGGTAGCGACCATCAAGCACATTCAAGGAGGATGCCCAATGGAAAGTCGAGCACAAGGCTAGAGGAGGTCTACCTCTGCTGGCATTTCTGGGTGCATCTTGGGGTTTAATAGAATTGGGGGCTGAGGACGGCACATCGTTGACTGGTTGCCAAAGGTGACGGGAGGTGCAGGATATTAAAGACATATGGCGGCCGAAACTTCAGGGGACCCAGCAGACATAAAGCAGAATCATGAGCGCCGCCGTGCTTCGATAGAAAGAACCGAGAAATGGTTCATCAGGGGGTCATACGTTCGAATAGCAGATTCTGCCCTCCAAGGACATAAGGCTGCTGACAGATAAACGCGAACGCCTCCAGGAATCATACCGCAATTTTGCTTCAAAAGTAATGCGGAGCCACAAAGGCTTCCAAAATTTCGAATCGAAATGATGAGGATAGCATGGCCCTACAGAGCCATTCCTGCTACAACCAGTGCCAAGAACCCAAGCCCAACACGCCCAACATGAAGACTGTCAGCACCATTGCCAGACTCTCCTGTTGCCGAGGCCGTGGATGATGCGCCAGTGGTGGAACCACCTTCTGTAGAGTCGTCAGCACCCCACAAAGAACATCAACTCCCTCCGGCACTTACCAGTCGCTGTCGCTGAACCGTCTGTCGCAGTCGAGTCGCCTCCGAAGGTGGCGGTAGCTGAGGCGGAACCGCTCGTCTGGCTGCCAGTGGGAGCTGCAGTGGCGGACGAGGTGAGGAAGTAGGAGCTGATGCAGGATGCTTGACAGTTGGCGTATTCTTCCGTCTCGCTGGCCGTGCCATTGCCCTGCGGGCATTGAGCGGCACAATCGGTGGTCGCGTTCGCCTGGGATTGGGACGGGCATGGCACGCCAACACACTTGGCTTGGCAGCACACGTCCGCGGAACCACCTGGTTGCAACATGTGTCAGCCTCGCTTTCCCTTACTGTTTGCGTGGTTCACCTACATGACTGCAGACATTTCACTTGCGGGCTCAGAGACGCGGTGGAAGAGGCCGCGGAAGACGCGAGGCTAGTCGAGGCCGCGCTGATCAGGCTCAGCTGCGTAGAGGTCGCATTCTGCGCAGTCGCAAAAGCGACGAGCCCGAAGGCTGCAAGGGCTCTGAAGAAGCGCATCGTGATGTCTGTTGGTACGATCGCGTCAAACCGAAATCGCGCTGCGATAGGCAAATAAGGTAGGGAAAAAGTCGAAGTCGCTGGTAAGAACCGAAATCAAGCGAGTGTCACAAACTGGTAATGAACGTCGCGGCGCACAGTGCCAGAACAGAAGTGTGTCAGTGATACGTGGTAGAGCCCTGCAAAGAGGATCAACTCAGTAGAGGCATGGGCGCACGACGGAGGTAAATAGTATCACGACCGCCGCCACAGCTTTGCCCTGCGCTCGCTTCTCCAGGCAAAAGTGATCCACCAGCCAAATCTCCCCGCGATTTGTTCTTCGCCAGGACGGTTGTTTCAGAAGGCTTGAAGCGAGGCGCTCCTTTGGAGAGATCTGTCGCCGGCCCCTGGTCGGTTGTTGTCTGTTGGTGTTCACGAGGCCAATTTTGGCATACTGGATCAGGGACCCGCTAGCTGGAAATTGATGTTAGGCTCCCTCAGCGCTGGTCTGATCCTCATGGCCTGGACCGCCGACGCCTGTGATTCGATGGAGCTGTTGCACGCGGCGACTGTCCGCGTCGACTACAGCTGCTTGTGTACTCCATTGACCACCGTACCACAATAGATATGCTCGCTCTGAGGCTTGAGTCAGGCAAGTTCTCTGTCAAATGCAAAGGCATACGTCATAGCGAGCAGTGGCCGTTTCGCACTCAATTGCGCAAGTGGAGGACAGCTGTCGACGCGCTAAGACTCTTTGACCTTGCGGAGGATTGATTGGGCATTTCATGCTGTCATGTCATTGCGGGCCAAATTTCCTGAACCTTGGCGGGGGTCGTCACTTCCCACGGTCGGAAATTACCTCGTGTGCCTTTCCATGTCGCCCTTCTTTCACCCGCCGCTTGCACCTTTTCTGGAAATGTGTCGAGTCTTGGCTCTCTTTTGTAAGGGAGGAGAGTCAGGACATCCACAGGTAAGGCTGAAATGAAGCGAATTGACGTCAAGGACGGTGACCGGTAAGTACCTGTAGTCTCTACTCTACATACTGGATCGGACTCACTTACCTCTTCGCTTACCTCTTCCACCATGATACCTATATTGAAAGACGTAGGTAGTGTCCATCCCTCGACAGCACGTCTGCTGCTATTGCAGCGTCTGTTAACTTCTTCGTACGGTCCGTACCGCGCAATGGCCTGTTCCCACATTCTACTGGCAGGTTCTGAGATGCTGTCCGCCAATCACACCCGCTTCAGATACGAGGGTGGCAGTGCGCGAATGCACAGCTGTGATCAACTCGTTTCTGCCTTTTGCAAACCACCATTTGCCTTCTCTTCCTCCTGCATGGATATAAGCATTGATGTTCCTGCATGATGCCAGTCGTAAGTCATTCTCAGGAACGTTGTACTACCGGTCCTATAGACTTCCGAGTTGTATTCTACCTTGGTCGCGCTTGAGCCTCATCTTGCCGAAGACTTCGTCGCTCCTCGAAGTGCCCGCCGGCGAACTAGGATACACTCAAGATGGCTCTCGATTATTTAGCTGCCGCAAAAGACTCATATCCACCACACACTACGGGTCACAGCGATTTCCATCCAGATCTCTTCCATCTTGGGCCGCTCAATGTTGAAAATTCGTACCTCGGCCTGGACGATTTCAGAGTCGTAAGCCAGGACTATCAACCTTTTCATGACGAAAAAGTTGCGCTCAGACGACATTCTTCAACTTCTCCCAGAGAGTCGTCACCGTCTTCTTTTTCGTGGCCGACTTCGTCTGTGCCAGTGGATCGATCTGCGTCTACCCAGTCACCCACTATTCCTTCCAGGAGTTCTTATCCTTCACAAGCAGGAAAATGTCCGCACCCAGATTGCGGCAGGGTCTTTAAGGATATGAAAGCTCATATGTTGACTCATCAAGCCAGCCGGCCGGAGAAGTGCCCAGTCACTAACTGCGAGTATCACCAGAAGGGCTTTGCACGGAAGTATGATATGAACAGACACACCTTGACGCACTTGAGAGGAGAAATGATCTGTGGATTCTGCCCTGGTTCTGGGACGACTAGTCAAAAGACTTTTAACCGGGTCGACGTCTTGAAAAGGCATCTCACGGCTGTGCACGGAGTTGAACAGACACCGCCGAATAGCCGGAGACGGTCGATCGCCAATACCAGCAAAAAGCTCTCAAGCTACTGCCCAGACGCGACGGGGATATGTTCGATTTGTCGCATACGATTCGCCAATGCTCAAGAGTTCTATACCCACCTCGATAATTGCGTACTTCGCGTCGTGCAAGAGCAGCAAAGCGACGATGACGGCACCCTCAGAGCTGGAAAGGATGCAGTGGGACTCTCGGACACCGTGCAGTATAACGCTGTCCAGAAATATCTCAGTTCGCACCGAGTAGATGAGGGCGCGCGACCAATTAGTTCTCCCGGTCGGCCGGCCAAGAAAGGGCTTACATGGTCCACAGGCGGTGCACCGCTCATCGATAAAGGGCGGAAGAGAAGGAAGCACTACCCACCCTCTTGGGGACTCTCGGCGGAAAAGATGTCAATGAAAAAAAGAGTGCTGTGCGTCTACGATGGCGACAGAAGGCTCTACAAGGACGACATGTCAATGCACAAAGATATAGAAGTGCGCCTAAAGCTGTTCGAGGAGGACGGCCTTCTTACGGAGCTCGACCTGGAGATCCTGGGCAGGACAGAAGCCATCGAAATTGGCGCCACAGAAGACCACACCTGTCGGAAAGAGGACCGGCTGTATGGATGTCTCGGTCTCATTTCGCCAGTTGCCACCAAGACTGATAATGAATCGGAACTGATGTACAGGCCTTTGCCAGCTGGTATTCTTGATTTGGATTCTGGCAATATCAATGACAAGGATACCAATCGAGACATCCCAGAGAAGTCCAACATCGGCACCGTCGGCACCGTCAACACACGCCCAGTAAATGATGGGGAAAGGCAGGAGCATTTCCGGCAGAGGTGCTTGCAGCAAAGCCACGAAACTATGTCGGCCGTTTGCGGGCCTTTTCTGGGGAAAGGTCGTCCTCTGAATCCCCACTTAGCATCAACGGCGCAAGACACCGAGATTACCGGGCCACAGGAAATAGCTGATACTCTGTCTCCTGGGGCTGGTCATCATGGCGACCATGAAATCTCCCTTGAATGTTTACCCAATTCTGTTGAGCACGCAGCCATCAAACTTACCGAGCACGATGCTGGTGAGCAGAAGAACATCAAGGCCATTGTGGCAGAAGGTGTTCAGAGCTTTGCATCCAACCTACGGTCCTCGTGTCCCGGAGATCACAGTCCAGGGGGGTCTGATTCGGCCTCGACGGTCCAGGCTGGCGTGATGACTCCGAGTACGTCGGATCGTGATACCTGTCGCCAGTCAGGAGCCGAACCCGACGAAGCGTTCGAGTCTGAAGGGGAGCTCTCATTCATGGCCACACCTGGCCCAGGCGATGTCCAGCTCGAAAGTGAGACACCGTCAAATTCGCGCCGTTGGGCCATACAGAGCACGGTCGCTGGCCAACTTGCACGCTCGTACAACACGTTACTGCTGCGCACGAGGGGCGGGCAAGGTCACAGTACCGGATCGTCCGGAGCTTCTTGTACGGAAAGCAGCTCGGCTTCCAGCTCCAAGTCGTCGCATACAATGCCGTCCAGTCCCGTTTCGACCAGGAAACGTTCTCACACCAATGATGAGAAGGACGAGGACAACGACGGGCGACCGCGGAAACAATGCAACCCTCGTCGTGAGTACGGTGCTGCTGACGACGGAAAACTACTGGCATGTCCTTACTCCAAGTTCGACCCTGCGCGATACTCGGAACTCAACACGACTGAGTTGCAATACCGAGGATGCTCAAGCTGTTTTCTGACAACAATACCTCGACTGAAGCAACATCTCTATCGAGTCCACAGCAGACCACTGCACTACTGTTCTTGCTGCTTTCAGTCTTTCGACACGGCGGTGTCGCTCGACAAGCACGCAAGAGCCAGATCCTGCACTGTGTCGCCCTCGCCCTTCGAAGAGAAGATGACCACAGACCAAATGTCGGAGATTAAACGCCGGACGCCGCGCGAAGAGCGAACCAAAAGCTGGTTCACGATCTTTCGGATTCTCTTCCCTCAGTCTGACCTACCGCGATCTCCGTTTGTCGGCGACTATTCGGAGGAATGTATCCATCATTTCCTGGAGTATTTTGAGCGGGAGGCTCCACGCGTGTTGGCAGCAACCATTGACTCCGAGCTCGACAATTCAATCTTGCACCTGGGCTTGGAACAGCGGAGATTGCTCGACGACATCCTGGAAACTTCGCTGAGCCATGTCGTGGTTACCATGACGCACGCAGCTCGGGCGAGGCAGAGTCCCAGTCGGGTTCAAAGGTCGCATGATGCATCGGTGTCCCGCACCCCTCAACTGTTTCCCGACAGTTTATCGGGTGATATAACCATGGATGATGATAGCTCGAGCACGGATAGTCCGCTCCGAGCCCGAAATTTCACCACGCAATTGACCCTCAACGAGTCCGACTCATCCCCAGACGCAACCGGTACTCAATCCTGGCTGATGGTCAACCGTGCCACGGAGCAGCAATCCAACATTCAGCCACCGAATGTGCCAATGTCAGGTCCATGCATGACTGACCTGATCGCCAAGTTACCCGATCCCTCGGCATTGCTGGAATGCACCGACTCGACGGCCATCGACCATAGCCTCGCCGCCGAGGAATGGCAACGCCTATTACATAGTGCAACACCCCTAGAACTCTGGCAAGACGGCGTTTTCGAAGTGGACGAAAATGATTCCGGCATCGTACTAACGGGCTATCAGCCGGCCATGACATGGTTTGGCTAGCTGCGCGTAGACTTAAACGCATGGATGTACCGGAGGGGATTCACTGACATTATACATTCCCGAGCTGCAGGCAGAAAGGGGAGATCGGCCTTAGAGGCATTGCGGGACTGGACCGAGTACGTAGAGAAGCGCTCACCTTCATTAATCAATGAATCAGCGTTACATTTCTGTGCTTTGTCTTCTGCTCTCACCATCAACCCTTCGTGATACGAGGTACGCGTTCTAAGTGTACTCGACTAGAACCCAGGTATCCGAGACAGACAACTTCCCTTGTTTTCGCAGAGTCCTCTAGAGATCTCTAGCCGGCGTCTCGTCCGCCGCCTATATCCAATGGATAACTCGGGTCCACCGTCCCGCGGCCTGTCTACTGTAAGCTTGATCCATGACTTGCGAGCGCCTCACGTCGATCCAGAGCATCCTCTGACGCAGACATCTCTCACGCGAATACGGAGTACGGAGTTCGGATTCAGGATTCGTGGTTGAGATTTGCCGACACTACTTATCACCAGCCTTGTACTCGTTGATGAGGGCTGCGGTCGGTACAGTGCTCGCTTGAAGGCTCAGAGTTTTCCTCAAGGCTTGCCGTCGTTGACCGAGTTAGCTGAGGCCAGGATCTACACTGCAGGCAGGCATGGAGGTCGAAGAATCCATGTCCGAACCGCACGGCTCTTGCGGCAGAGAGACGTGGCTATTGTACGTACATTGATCTCACTTTCGGGGAACGTCAACGCACTGTAGCTGAGCGAGCATGTGCATGTGCATGATTTTTCGAATAATGGTACGGAAACTTGATTGAGAGCGTCATTCGTGTAAATATCTGCTTTTGCTTTGAATGAAGAGTCCGGGACAGCCGCACAGGAAGGTTGTGCATCTGATGTCCGTCATTAGGTTCCCTGTCCCACCTCCGGGACACGCGTGAGTCCATCCATAACCGCAGCACTTGTTAATTGACTGGATGTGTTCCCCCTCTGCTTGAGCCGTCAAGCATCAAGACCCTACCCCTATTGTTGTCCACGACTCCTCGGAATGACTATGAATGCCACTTATGTCGGTATGCCGTATGTCAGCATGAATTGCGCCTCCGATGTTTCTGACCGTTTGTCGTAGGTGTCTTCGCACTGCCCGGAGGCGATGACAAGTCCTTGTTCACTCCCGGCCTGAATCTTCGGATGGTTGGCACCGTAGATCCAGAGTTGGGTGTTGGTATGGGTTGCAGCACGACGCCCAGTTCGGCTATCTTGGCCGCGCTGTCTCTATCCAGTACTCCTGGTTGCATGACTTCAGCCATTGTCGGCTCCCAGTATTGTTTGAGAAACTCCGGTAGAGGAAGCTTCAGCTCTCGGAAGGCCTCTTCAAATTCTTCCATGAGCGACTCGAGCATGGCCAGGTCTTCTGACTCCTCCGCACGGATGTCGTCTCGGTCTTCAGCGTTGAAAATGACGAAATCGTCAGACCTGTATCTTTTTGTCCAGGTACAACACGTATGCGTTAGAAGAAGCCTTTGGAAGGTCATGATCCGGACAACGTCGGTGGTGAAACCTTCGCGCGTGTCTGTCTTTGCTCTGTCCAGCCATTCGATAAGGTATTTGAGAAAATGACCTCTAGCGACCGTGTAATCTTCGGGGATGTATCCACGCCGCGCAAGCCCATGGACACAGTGCTCAGCCTCTTTGAAGATCTCAGTCAGCGCAGAGCAGCCATGCAGAGAGCAACCACAGACACAATCATCAGTAACAGTCTCATCAACTAGCATCTTTAGAAGCATACAAACCTCTTCATCCTCCAAACTCTTTTGCCATTGGTTTTTCAACAGCCGCGACCTGCGGGAAAAGAACGCAGATATCCAGTGTCTACATATATTTTCAGTGAGATTTCGGCTTACGTACAGTGCAGCCGGACTGTGTGGTACTTGTTCTCTCAGCTCCGTCAGGCGATGTGACTTGTGATCCAACCTCAAGCCTTTACTGATGAGCCAGAGATGGAACTGTGCAACGTCTTTTGGATGGGTGGAGATAAGCTGCATCATAAGCAGACTCTTGTTCCGACCGTCAAGTCGGTGAATGTCGTGGAAGCCGGCGTTGTAAAATATTTCGGCGCATCCCTTTAGTGTCATGCTTTGGTCGACTGTGTTATAGAAATCCTCTAGTAAGTGGTATATGGTGTTCCACCCCTCCGGAACATGCAAGCTAGACGGTACTGCGATGTTGTGCTTGGTAAGCAACTCTGTCAATAACGACGCATCAGCATCCAAAACGGTATCGCAAGAGAGGTCCAAGAATGGTGTAGTCTTGCATGGCAAATGTTTGAGAGCAATGGTGGCCAGGCGCTTCCGCCTGTCTGCCAATGCTCCAACAAGATACTCCACGATTTCAAAGGAGGTCTCCTCCATCGCTATGCCCAAGAAGTCGCCTGCGGAAGCGGAGTGCTGCGTTGTGTAGAGAGCGCAATCAGCTGCGACAAAGAGTCAGACCGCTTCCAAGCATTTAGCGGAGATTGCGTAAGTTACAGGAGGATAACCGGCATTGTCCCCGTGATCAAGTAGCTGGCGCGCCCCCCTGTTGAGCAGTATCTTGATTCCGGCTGGCCAGGTTGCTGCTAGATGCAAAGGGTTGTGTCCTCCTAGAGTCTTTTCACGCAGAGAACTAGGCGAATCGTCGAGGACTTTGGCGACTTCTCTTTCTGACTTGAAAAGAATTGCCCGTGAAAGAGGCCCACACTGCATATCTGACTTCGATCAACACGGCCCTTTCACAAAAATGAAAGCTCATACCATTGACAACATCTTCTTGGCAGCGGTATTGATGAAGGCACGAGACAGTGTTTTGGGAGAATTTGTGATAATCTAGATCTCCCAGCAGGTCCTCGCGGGACCAGCAGGATTCCGAGAAATGAAAGACCTTGGTGGAGTAACTCGATACTCATATCAACCCATTCCATCTCGTAATATCTTAGGCCATTCCATTGCACTAGAATGTCGAGGGGCTTCCTAGGCACTTTCAGCATGCGCCTATCATTCCATGACAAACACTTACCTTCCATCCAGATCCTCGTGATTCTCTTCGACGCCCCAAGCCCTCATCATACTTACTAGGCGTCTATATCCGGCACGTTCTTCATATGCTAGCAAGTTGTATCGTGTTGTTCTATTTGCAGCCTACGTCAAAGTTAGCCGTCGCCATTGCCTTCTGGCTGTCACTGACATGAAATAAATTCTGTCCCTTTTCATTCACATCGGTTGGGCAAGCCTCCCGCCCACTGAAGAGACGATGGAGCTTCACGGCCACCCAATCCCAATAGGATTCCCCTGATGTTGCCTTGAAATCACGATATGACCACGAGTTAAACAAAGAGAAAGCTGGAGACCGATCCGAAACTGTTGCCCGAAAAGTAAGAGAGGGACTGATGGACAAACCGCCGGCTCCAGATCTGATTGAAACAGACAATGACAGTAGACGTGATATGAAGCGGTCTCTGTAGGAATATTTAGCCGCTAAAACAGTCGTGCTCCTTGTCTGGGACGCCAGCGGACACCCCGTCTTGTGGATATTAGAGACGGACGCCGCTCGAGACAAGTTCAAAGACCCGGTTGACCATATCCGATATCGGCATGATTTGAAGATCCTGCAAGAACATAGAGGCAGCACTGCGTTCCTGGGCACCACAGCAGTATGGTGGCTCCTGGAAACTTCGTTGAAAGCTGCATGATCATTTTCTAGCTCATGTTCCTCGGCTCGGATGATATCGCCCACAGATCGAAGCAGGCTAGGTTTTTGAAGCAGTTCCATCTGCACTCTCGATTCTTGTTTTGCCTATCACTCGTTATTAGCTGGTAAATAACCAATATCATGTACCCTTACTATGTGCGCCATCGAGATTGAGGGCCCGGCGCCCGAGTAACACCTTTCTGTGAAGTAAGAGTCCATCAGTGCCACAATCTTGTGTTCAACTGCTCCAGGAAGACTGTCGAGCCTCTGCTCGAGGCCAGAGAAGCCAGAATTGACCTCCTGCCCTAGCACAGTCATCTGCCGATCGACCGACGACATCGAGAGACGCAGTCCACCTATCTCGGCTGCAGCCTGTGATGCTTTCAGGGAGACGAGGGGAAGCTCCCGCCGCAGTGTCTTAGCAACGGCACTGGTATCGCTTGCAACTTCTTTTATTATTCCACGGCTGGCCCCAAGCTGTTCGGACAGATCATTCAGCTCATGGCCGATGCGAGAAATGTCGTGACTGGTTGTAACCGTCTGACGGAGGACCTCAGATGCGTCGTTGAGGAGATGGCCGCTAGCTTCCCTAAAGGTCCAACAGTCAGTACCCCTCGCCAAAAACACCGAAGAGTTGGTCAGGGTGGAAAGCGATCATTACAGCTGCAGAGTCTGTAGGGCAAGCGAAACGTTGGCCTGTAAGCCCTTGACCGTTTCTGAGAAGTCTCGGATTGTGCTTTGTTGAAAGGGAAACGCGGCCTTGCGAAGTGCGAGCTGAATGCGTTCTGATGCATATCCTGTCGGCGAGACAGTTTGGCGACATCGTTGGAGGAGTCTTTCGAGCCTATGGATGGCACCGGCACAGGCAATTATGCTGTCCACAGCCTGAGATATCGCAACAAGTCGAGCAGCGTTCGCTTTGATCAGACACACATGAGCGACCTCTAGAGTATTGCTGAGCCCTTGAACATTGCAGAGGATGTCGCGGATCTTCTCGTCTTGATCGTGGTAGGCGTGATAGTAGGAGATGAGACCCTGGCAGACCTGGATGCCTAAGGAGATGACTCCAACCGCAGTTCCGGCCACCCCAGCCATCTCGACCGTGCGTCGCAAACTCTAGGAGTGCCGAAGGAGACACGATGTTCAGTGACAATGAGAGAAGAACATTTAAAAAAAAGAAAATGGGATTTTGATGGGTGCGGCTGCGAACTGGGAGGCAGACTCGAGTCTGCCTGCTCATGTGCCCCATTCTCAAGACTCGCGATCGAGGCTCGTATCAATCCATGTCACCGGTCTTTCTGCAGCGTCTTCCTGTTGGTTCATCACTGTCCGGTAGTGTGCGTGATCAGGCTTATTGGGTGATTTCGGTGAAAGGCTGCGCTCGGCGCTTAAAACCCTGGACTGTGGTGAGCTGCAGACGAGTGCAAAAAGTACAGAGGAATTTGATGCATCGGCAGAACCTCACAGACTAATTAGACTTTGACTTTCTCCGTATGCAACGAGGGCAAAGTTCCGCCGTCAAGACACAACGACGCTACTGTACTTTAGACAGCTCGCGTTCCATTGGGCAGGTTCACAGCCATTGCCACTCCCTGGCTGCTCACCTGTGTCACTTGCTGCGGCGTCACGCCTGCGGAGCCCCAAGTGCCCCGTCAGGTCAGAGGCCGAGCGTCTGAGTGCCTACAATCTTCACTTCTACCTCGTAGTCTCCATGCAGACACTGCTGTTAGTACTTGCAGTAATGGAGCTCGCCTTGGGCAGAGGCCGGCTTGCTCTTAGTACTGAAGAGGTAAGCGAGTGGAGCTGTTGATGTTGATCTCGCAGGATATCGGTGAACCTTTCCCGAACGTTTCCTCGTCTAAAAACACCCGCGAGTCTTCCAATACCTTAGTCCCTTTCTCCCATGAACCCTCCCACACCCCACGAGCCTGCGTAAGAGACGAATGTCTTGTGCCTGAAGCGTTCGAACGATATGCCCAAGTCAGACCTCTCTGTGTTCGACAAGGATGCCACACAACTCCCGGGAATTCTTATTGGGGCTCTGAAAATTAAGAAAGTGCCTCCTGCGTTCATTGTTCTCGCTATATGTTCAATTATACTTTGGACCAAGATCATTTCGCCGTTAATTGACGAGGGAAGATCCGCATGGTCTGCGCTCAACTCGGAATCTGCTGCTGGAGGTATCTTTGGAGTGAACAAGCGCCCCAAGTTTCCCGGTTCGATCTGCGTCAAAACCCTTGATCCTGACTTGCTTCCGCGATCGATGAAGGGGAAGACGGGTCCCGAGTCTGTCAAAAAGAGATTGGTCTTCATTGGTGACATTCATGGATGCAGAGAGGAATTGGAAGCTTTGTTGAAGAAGCTGCGATTTGACCCTGCGAAAGATCACCTGGTTGCTCTGGGAGATATAGTTTCAAAAGGACCCGACTCTTTGGGTGTGATTGATCTATTACGTCGGTACAACGCATCTTGCGTAAGAGGAAACCACGATGATCGCCTACTCCTTGTCGCGCAGAGTTTACGAGCACAGTCTTCAGCTACCAAAGAGATTCTGGAATCAGGGAAAAGCACGGGCACACACAAGCATGCGGATCCCGTGGAGCGAATGGCGAGGTCTCTGAGCACTGCGCAACTTGAGTATTTACAGTCATGCCCCATCATACTTCGGATAGGGAAAATGGAGGCTTTCAACGGAGAAGCTGTGGCCGTTCACGCTGGGCTCGTTCCAGGGCTGGCGCTTGAATTGCAGGATCCTGTCTCAGCTATGAACATGAGAGTACTTGATCTTGCGACCCATTTGCCATCGCACAAGCACAGATTGAAGGGCAGCGTTGCATGGTATAAGCTGTGGAACAGATATCAACAGCTACTCGATTTGCACAAGCGGTTTGGCAAGCACAAAAGAGAACGGGAATCCGAGTCGCACACCACAGTCATCTATGGCCATAACGCTAAAGAAGGCTTGCAGATCCGCAAATACACAAAGGGCCTCGACACTGGCTGTGTGAAGGGAGGCAAGCTCACCGCTTTGGTGGTTGATGGTGAGGGAAGGCAACAGATAGTTCAAGTCAAGGCCAAAAAGCACACGCACCGGTCGTCACTTCAAGTCGACGTACTCCGAGATGGCGGGCCGAAAGCACCTCCATGCGATGAAGCAGGTTGACACTGCCGAATTGTATTCATTACGAGACGTTCTCCGGTAGCGTGGGTGTTGACGGCTATGGCTGGCTTGTCGACACTGACCGCATCACTGGAATGTGACAGGGTCTGTGCCGCGGATTCGCATTGTCAAGCCGGTTGCCGCACCTTCAAAACTCTAATCTCCGATCAATTCTGAATGCGGCAGCCTCTATTGTCTGTCAATAGTGACACTCGACTTATTCTCCGTCCCCCATTGTTCTCGAGTCCGCATCATGGATCTCCACGCAGGTTATTTCTTTCGGACTCGAAGCGTCCATTGCGACGACAAAGGAACACTCGGCTCTTCCTCTGCGCACCAAGGATCGGTAGTACGCAATTCTCAAGTCATGATCTACCGCCCAACGACAAATCGATACAACACCGCAAGTACACGAGTGAGAATCCAGAGAAGTGAGTTCAAAGTAACTGAAGATCAGTCCTTGCGCGTGCGAATATGGACGCCCAGGATAAGCTGTCGGGATTGGACCGAGAGTACGACGACGAACCACAAACTCCCGAAAGCAACGTTCGAACCTACACAAGGCTCGGTGTGGGTGGCATTACATCGCCTAAGGGCAGAGTTTTGAGACCTCCGTCAGCAGCAAGCCGACAGTCATCAGCAACAACAAGCCGACGGTCATCGGCTTTTGGACTTACTTCCCGACGAGCCTCGTCTGCATTGCATATAGGACAAGAGAACGACATGACAGACTTCAGCAGCTTGGCAGATCGGCTCGCGGGATCGCGTTCACCTCAAGGCACCCGTGAGGAAACCGAGTATCAAGAGGAGTCGGAGATGGGGAGAAGCAGTCGACAGAGTTTAAGAAGTTTAAGCCGAGGACGTGGCGCCCACTATGATGTATCTGATAGCCAAGAAAACGGTATGAGCGCTGAAGAACAAGACGAAAGAAAGACCAGCAGGAAGAATGGAGACGAGAAACTACGTCTCGAGAACGAGAAACTCCGCATGGACAAAGCTCAATTGGAGAAGGATATCAAGGTTCTCGAACGACAATGGGACGAGCAAGCAGGGGAGATTAGGGAACTGCGCGAAGCACAGAAAGCAGCCGAGTTGTCTGCCGAGCGTCGACAGCTGGACGTGCTGGAACTTCAGATGTCGAAAGAGGATGCGGATAAAGAGCTGGAGATCTCAGGATCTCGAGTCTCTGAACTCGAGGATGAAGTCGGCCGGCTTCGACGTTTGGAGGGTGTACAGGAAAAGTTGAACAAGGCCGAATGGCAATTGGGTGATTATTACAACGAGCTCGAAGGCAAGGAAGCTGAGCTCATCCAATTGCGCCAGGAAGTGGAAGAGCTCAAAGCGTCGAATGCTCCACTTGAAAGAGCCCTGCAGCGAAGCGAGCAAGAACGCGACAACATGAACGCAGAGATGCAGACCGTCCTCCAGTGGATGGAGAAGCTGCATGAGCAGCAGGTCAAGCGTGATATCGACCAATTCCGAGAATATGACAGCCAACTGCTTGAGCGTCTAGATCGACGAGAAGCCGCGAGATACCGAGGTTCCGTTGGATCGTCGCAGCCACAGCACGAGATCCTTGCCGATTTCATGTCTTCACGGCCACAGAGTCTGACTAGCCAGTCAAGGACCTCTTCGGTGCCATACGGCCTTGCCGCTGAAAGAGGCTTCCACTCGAGGCCGAACAGCACGGCAAGCTACGTGCCAGGGTCACCCGCCATGCATATCTCTCCACGGCCAGCCAGCATGGCTATAGCGCCATCGAGTCAGCCGGAGGATAGCGCATATCATCAGCGACGGCAAAGCCGAAGGATCTCTTTCCAGGGACTCAACTCACGTCAGAAATTCGATATTTCTCCTCTCCCTCGGCAATTAGAGCTTTTACGGAGAAGGACCACAACCCAAAACTCATCGCGTCTGCGACACTCTTCAATCCCGGCAGACTCTCGTTCCGATGCGTTTTTCCGACCAAGCAATGTTCCGTCGTCGCCGAGTCTCCTGGATGCGGCCGGCATAGATGTTAGCGAAGGCCTTTCCAGTCGTTCTCTCTCAGCTCCCATCACAAAGGAAGAGCACGAGGAGCTACGAGAATATTTGAAGGTAAAGTTTCCTGTACCGATTACGTGGGAGAACGCCAAAACTCGCGCAGTCTTTGAGCCTGAGCATACAACATCTCCTGAAGAGGGACAGGCCGTAGCTCCTGAAACTAGTCAAGCCGCATTTTCCGAGGAGGGTCGGGCTGTACGTCCAGGAGAGAGCCAGCTCGTACCTCTTGAAGAGAGGCAGGCCACGGCCTCCTGGGGGCTAGCCTCGCCGACCAGTCCAACTGAGTGGCAGACGTTGGGATCAACTTCCGGCGATGGTGTTGATAAACATCCCAGACGAGTTGACGCGAAGCGACTTGCTTCAATCACCATGAATTTGGAAGACCCGTCGTTTGACTCATTGACGGATCCCATGCAAGCCTCCCCAGAGGTCGCCGGATATATTCCTTCGACGCCACTGTCGGCGAATTCTTCCCGGAATTCAGACACTGCGGAGTTGATAAAGGCTACTGGCAGTAGTAGCCCTGTCAGTCCACTTGTGGTTAGTTCCGGCTTGCGCAAGCGACGGGGCGATTTCTCCTCGGTGACAGCGCTGGGCTCACCGATAGCGAAGAGTCGTGATCTATACGACTCTCCTGGCGCCCAATCACCTACAAGCCCAACGAAGGGTCTGATCATGAAAATACTCCCCTCGCCGAGGTCCACACCTAGTTCTGCTACACCGCGAAGTCCTTCCAAGATCTCTCTTCCCGCTATCGACAATGAGTCCGATGAGGCGGGACCGGCTGTCAGAACGTTCGTCGATACGTCGGAACCACTCCCTCTCTACCAGCGCAGAGATGGCAAGGTACGCAAACCTCCGCTGAGGCCTATTCGAACTGGTACTGCCCTTTCCAGTCCTACGCCTGTTGTTACAGCTGGGTCAGATGGAGCAGACATAGACGGTCTTGTAGCTCAACAGCAGGATCTTTCGGACGTTGCTGCCGCCAGACCTCTACAGGCTCCGTTTTCAGCGAGTGATAAGACACGCGACTCTGCAGGGTCGAGAGCGATGTTCACAGGTACTAGCAGATCAGAGGCCGACGTAGGCTCCTCGCCAACATATACCGAAGGATCGGCAGACAGTGAACAGAATGGAGTGGACGCTGACTGCGAAACTCGGCCACATATCGTTACGCGCGTGTTGGTCGCAATCAACATAGCAATGTTTTTAGCAGCCATGGTCGCTCTCTACATCAACCTCTTGGTTCTCAGAGCACCTACTCCTGTCTGGACGTGGGCACCTGCTTCGACATGTCCAACCTGTCTGACGGGCCGCGATCACCTTCATCGGGAACCGGGCAATATCATGCATGAGGTCTATTTCGAAAAGGCGACCGATCCAATGTGGGTGACCTCGACGTTGACAGAGACGTCAACTGCAATCACAACAGAAAGAGCCACGGAAATTCAGATGAAGACCGAGACAGAAACCCGCACAAAGATCGACTTCGAGACACATACCAAGACAGAGGTGTCGACAGAATTGCTGACGTGGACCACCTTCGAGACACAATTCGTGGCAACAGAGACGGAAGTCGAGTTCGAGACCTCGACTACAACATCAACGTCGACGCTCATAGAAACGCAGACCGAGACCTGGACATCAACAGCCACAGCTACTATGACGGGACTTGAAGTCGAAGTCGAAACTGAAACCGAAACCGAGACGCTCATCAAGACGCACACTTTCACAGAAACAGGTTCTGTGGCGTCGTGCCCCGATCCTCACTTCCCTCGAGATCTACCCATCCCTCCACCCACGCGATCCTTCACAGGCGCCCAACTACCGAGTTTCATGCTCATGAACGCCACGCCCGGTCGTCCGAAACCCGTTCCCGTCCCACGACCCGTACCCTCCACAGGCATACCCGGCTCGTCTGCGTCGCAATACGAATGCGAATATGCCTGCTCTCACTCCCATTCAGTTCCCGGTGCAACAACGTCGAAATCAAAGTCAAAGTCAAACACAATTACAACCTCACCGTTGACGAACGCCCAAATCGACGCCCGCGCCGCAAAGGCCAAGCAGAGGACTGCGCACCACTCGCAGATGCACATGCGGCATAATCGCGCCTACTTGGGCCGCACGTACTGGGGCTTCATCCCGGAGGTGCAGCGCTTCTTGGACATCGTGCACTTCGAGGTGACGGGGCTGTTGTTGGGAAACGCGCGGGGGGTGCGGAAATATTAAACCCACGTGCGTGTGGTGATGTGGTGGTTAGACACTTACTGGTGGTTACTTACTTACCTACCTGACCGTGGGGCGATGCCTGAGGTCGAGAACCTGACGAAACACGGCGGATTCTGTGCTTGAGTGCGTGAGTGCGTGAGTCGGCGGGTTTGTGACCAAGGGGAGACACTGGCTGATTGGGCTGAAAGTCGTGCCATCTGCCGAATCGACAACTTAGAGCTGATGCAGGGGACAAAGATAAGAGCATATTGACGTGTGCATATCTACCGCCGAAATGGTACCAGCTTGAAGCCATAGTAGGGCAGAGCAGGTACAGCAGCAGAGATGACGATAGTTTTTCACAGATACATAGCCACGCTAGATCCAGTCAATGCAGTATGAATCAACGATTCAAGGAACGATAGTAATAGATGGATTTCGACTTGTACACGAGACGCGATGGATGGGTACGAATACAGTACATACATATGACATGGACCTTTATCCATCGAGTTACTCCGTACGGTCCTCCACGAGCTTGTACCCTGGGTGCCTGCTGAGGTATCCTGCGAGCGCGACGTCCAAAACTTCAAAACTTCAGAACTTCAAAATGCCTTCCTAGGGCAGGGAGGAGTCGAGAGAGAGTCCCTTGCTCGCGCTCGCAGCCCGGGCATAAGACTGTCCCATGCCAGCCAACTCCTGCTTATACAGATAGGGTTGGAGAGGCGAGCTGATTTTAGTCGGGTCATAACTTCCGGACCTTCATCCCTGCTCCTATGAGTAAACACCTGCAATGCTCGTTCTGGGGTATCTCATATCAAACGTTGGGTGATTTGATTCTTGCAGTCAGCCACTCACTCACTCGCCCTCACACGCGCGCCCTTGTCACGATCCGTGTCCGTGTCACACACTCCCTCGTCACGTTCCGAAGATTCCCACTTCCCTTTGTTTAAAGTATATTGTGTTGTATTGTATCAAAGGCATATTGTGTCGTTGATTTAGTCCTTCTCCCCGACCGTTCGCGATTCGACGTCTGTATACTCGGGCGGGGTATCCATCGCCTCTTCGTCGATGATCAACGCGTCCTTCTCTTCCTCGTCAAGCACAATCTCCACGACACGGATATCTCGTGCAGTGGCATTCCCACGCACTCCGCCCCGATGGAACCGGATCCACAGGTACGAAATGCATTGGCCAACGAGCATTCCGATCGCACTGGCCATGAGGCCACCGATAACGCCGAGGATCGCAGGGATGACAAAGAAGCGAAGCGTTTGGTGCAACATGTGACCGAAGCGGTGGAAGCGGTGATGGGCAAAATGCTGGCCGTGATGGTGAGGGCCATGAGGTCCATGCGCACCACGATGAGGAGGACCATGGAAGCCGTTGGGAGGACCGCCGTGAGGACCGCCATGAGAACCCCGGTGAGGTCCGCCAAAACCGTGGGGAGGACGGCCACCAAACATGCCTGGCCCTTTGCCGCGGCCACGTCCACATCCTTTGTCCTTGGGCTGATCCTCGCTATTGTTTGCGCTAGCCCAGGCCTTTGTTGCAGAGGAGGCACGTGCTTTCGCGGCTTCCATGATTGTTTGCAGTCGGGCAACGATGATGGCCCGAAGACGGCAAAGAGACCATTTGGAAGTTGTGTTGCACGTTTGGGCGCCCGGGGTGTCTTCAAAGGGAATAGTGAGGATACGGGCGATGGAGGTTTGGTCGGAAGTGTGCAGGAGCTCGATGGCGATGGTGTCGACCTTCACTGGGTGGCCTTCAAGACCCAGGATCGTGAACCTGAGGGGGAGGATGGAAATTTCGGGCTCTTCAGCGGATGAGATAGGTGGTAACCTTTCCCAGGCAAAGTCCAGTTGTACTGGGTCTGTTTTTTGACCATCTTCCACCCGAATCTGCGGCGCGGTGACGATGTAGGAAGTTGGGGAGTTGGAAGGGTCGGAGGAAAAAATAGGAATGCCATTGATAGTCAGGCCTTGTTCAGAGTCCATGTCGAATTCAAGACGCTATGGCAAGCGGTTGTCAGCATGGTCACCATCCTCCTCAGGGTGAGCACGTGCTTACTATCTCGTTCTCGACATCCTCTTTTGGTTGTTCTGAGTCTTCCACGCCAAAGTAGGGACATCCGGGGCAGTGTAGGTCGACAGTGTGACCTGTGGTAGCGAGCAGAGAGGCCAACTCGGACTTTGCCTGCTGTGCGGCTTCTGACACTTCGAGGGGCACAAGGAAAGCTGACGCCTCGAGGGCCAGACAGCCCGCGACCAGCGCAGGGGCGATGTGCATGGTGAAGGTGATGAACTCTAGTAATGTTGAGACGAACGAGCAAGAGAATGTGGCAATTCGACAGACAGCAGCGAACAGTATAGCCAAAGAAGAGAAGCAAGTTAGTAAAGCAGTGGTCAACAAGTGGTGAGAGAGCGGCGGCCTGATGGCATGGACTGGCACCTCGTACACGCAACTTACGGATGCGCCGGAACTGTTTTTATGAATAGAATCATCGCCGGCTCCGGATTTCATAAACACCGAGCCGCCAAGCCCGCGCTAGCCCAGATTGGCCAGAGAGGCGCGCCATCACCACATAAGCGAACCTTGTTATGTCAGCGGCAGGTCCTGCACGTGCCGTCGAGTCTTTCTCGGTTCTCACTTCCTCGTCATTCATCGTCTCATTATTCGTCTTCCACAGCTTTATTGACTCTTTAAGCCCACCACTTATATAGCACGACTTCTGTGTGCCAGAACCTCTTTTGCTCACTTCCAACCTTCGGAATAAAATCCTTAGGGCACGCTATTCTAAGGCTGTGTATTAATCATGATTCGGCAGCAGGTCTTGCTCAGTCGACCTGTGCAAGCAGGAAATCGGAGCTGAGAAGCACCTCGGGTCCTATCCAGCCTTCTTGCTCGCTGAGTGGCGTCAACTTCATGTAGAGACTTGCATTGAGATCCCAAGCCACATGATTCCATCACGCACTGCGCCAATGAGAGTTGCATTTCCCTCACCAATGAAACGCCGCTTGCTGCCTGGAGACTGTTGGCATGAGGCTGAGCTCAACGTCAGGCAGACTTCCTGCTGCCGACCTACCTCGTCTCTTGACTCAATTATGTCTTTCTCCCATGGTTTTGGCTTCAATACGGGTAGCAACTGAGCTGACATTCACCTTCAAGCGATCGATACGACAGCCCGTTGCCGCCTCTCCGGATGGCAGACCCCTTCTCGGTTGCAAGCGGTGCGGTAGGCGTTGTCTCCTTGGGTCTGACAGTGTGCGACGGCCTTATCTCCTACTTCTCAGCTTTGAAAGGACAAAATCAATTCCTTAGCAGCCTTTCCGAAAGGGCCGAGGATCTCAACAAATCTCTTCGCCTACTAAATCAAGCTCTGCCGCCATTAAGAACCCGCACGCCTGATGTCGCGCGCCAGATCGAACAATCGCTTGCAGAATGCGAGTCGGGTATACTCGCACTTCAAAACAAGGTCGCCGCCTTCCAACGTGTGCATGGGCCTTCGCTCAAGCGGTACAGCCTGCACCATGCCGCAAGAAAGGCGATATTCCCTTTCAAAAAAGATGCCCTAGTCGAGTTATCGGGCACCATTGACAGCTTGCAGCAGAACCTGGAAACCGTCCTGGCCATTGCCAGTCTGTATGCCACTAGTCTGCCGCTGTCTATTAGGTGCGATCATAGCTGATCACCTCCAGAGAAGCCACGTCCAACCAGCTGAATATCCAGAATGTAGTGAACGACAAAGTGGATGCCGTCATCAACCTTTCTAATGGAATCCGCGCCGACTTCCACAATGCCAGTCAGGACATCTCTTCGCTACGCAATGACTTCTCGGCCTTCAGGGGCGATCTTGGAATGTTGAAATCCACTCTCGACCCAGGCCTTCAAGCAGTCATGCAACGCATTGACCATTTATCAGGGCAAGTTGCTATGATGCAGCTGTCTCCTGCTACATCAGGGGGTACCTTTCAGAGCATGGTAAGGATGTACTCAAGTAACTTCCGGCGGAGTTACCTCTAATAGGCAGAAAGAATATTCAGGCCCGTAGGCTCCAACAACAACTCATCGCCAAGCCAAGCCTCTTCCAACAGTTCTGCGTCGAAGCCCAGGAGATCAACACCACGACGAAATCTAGTCTCTCTTTCCAAGAAACGTTCTCATCAGGTTGCACTTGTCGCTATTCAGCCCGTCGTCAGAAGACCCGAAAACAGATCCTCTTCTTCGAGTACAGCCGAGATGCGGCCCATGAACAGCACTGTCCTTTCCACGTCGAGGACATAAAGCAACGCCGCCTACAGTTCAAGTTTTCCTATTGTTCTACGCTGATATCTCGCAGTCTTAGCGTCATGGCAGGCTTGACCAGTGGTGCTGGCGGATTCTCGCTTTCTGCACAGGTCGCTTGGATCCCTATTGTCTCTTATGCCTCTTCGCCCGCGTTTCAACTACTGAACAAGCTCTTGCGTGATGTCGGGAACAGCGCGAACCCTGGGTACTTTTAGAAACCGGCCGGCTCGATCTGTTGAAGCTGTTTGCCGACGGGGAAGCACACCCTACAGAGACCAGTGGCTCTGGATCTACCTTACTCGAGGTATGACTGAGTTCTGCCGCGCTGAGCGCTCGCTGATCTTGATTGCAGAATGCAATTTTACTTTCGTGCATGTCGGAACAATCAGGTCAGCAACCGTTTACCCCGACTTCTATACTACGTTGCATCTTGGCCATAAGGTCCCACAACAGGCACTTACCCTGACTTCTGCGAGTTGCAAGCCCTTCCTAGACATGAAGCTTGCTCACGCGATGACTAATTTTGCGTCCTGTAGACCCGTTCATGGAAGCATTCAGTCGCTTCCTGTGTTCTCTTGCATCTTTAGGGGCAAAAGCTCCAGTCACGTCATTGATCTAGTGAGCATACCTCCATATCATTGTAAACCTGATCTGATTCGTGACGCATAGCACAGCAACTTCCGCTCTATGGCGAGGTGGTCGAGGACATGGCTTGCTTGCGAAGCGTTTGATAGAAGTTGGCGCATTAGAGAGTGATCTCTCGCCTCTACGATCATCGAGGTGGCTCGGTTTGGTGCAAGATCGTGAATGGGATGATGGTAAGTGTTCTCCCGCCAAAGCGCCGGGGACGAGGCTGATCTCTTAGTGTTCGATCGCGGACCATTGAGCCTAACCATTCGACGCCGTGACCCTTTCGGACTTTCACGCCTTCTGCAGCACAGCCGACCTCTGTTATATGCTGTGGATGACTGGGGACATACGCCACTTCATCTGTCAGCTACATGGCCTCTTGGGATCGTAATACTCTTGAAGTATGGCGGGACTTCGCTAGTCAACCAGAGAGACGAGTGGGGACGATTGCCTTTGACCTATGCAATGAAATGTCTATTGCTCAGCAGAGAAGACGGGGGAGGGCCGCATATAGTCAGGCTTGGGACGCTGCAGGAGCGGTTGAACGCCATCAAGTTGCTGCTAGCAGCCGGTTCCACCATTGCCGATTCCCGTGATGATTGGCTTGATTTCGCGAACCTATTACAAGCTCTTCTCAGAGTTGACGATGTATTCATGGTCGACCTAACGCTCGAGGCACTTGCTCATCGAAGACGGTATCTGCAGAAGCTCGCACAAATACATCTCTCGGGCCATTTCTGGCATAGAAACGGCGTCAGACCCGACAGGGTTTTGGACGAGCAGGCGTTTGAAGTGGTGCATGCACTTTCCATGGCCGGGGTCAACATTCCCCACGCTTGTACTACTCCTAAGGAGCAACAGACGATATGGCATGGTGACTTGGCGCCAATCGATGTGGCCCTGGCACAGAAACTTTTTGATGCCGGTTTTCGAAACGTCGATGGACACGATCGCCTAGGCCATACTCCTTTGACATCTTTCACGAAATGGGCTGCTTTCGCCACGGACGAAGACATGAAACTTGCTGAGTGGTTTTACAACCATGGTGCTGACTTACTTTGCGATTATCCTCCTTGCAGCGGCAATTGCACAAATCAAGCTGAGCATCAAAGACCACCGCAGCTGAAGGCAATTCATTCCTTGGCTTGTGTATTGGGAGAACACTACAACCCTACAGAGCCCATACAGCATTCAGATTTTCTGGCTACCATCTTGAGCTCCAGCGTTACCGACGGGTGTGCCTGTGCTTGTTCCGAGCAAGGATGTGTGCCCGGTGTAAATTTTCTCGACCGATATACTCGAGGCAACTACTATAAGAACTCATTGTTCTGTCTGGCGTCTCGGCTGATGTCCTCCTACAACACCGTTTTCATGGCATTGATTAGGCTGTCGACCTTCGAAGCACTGGACTTGACACATACCTGTTGTCGGCATGGTTGCTCGTGGTTTCGGCGCCGATGGTACAAGTCATGTGCGTTCTCAACCCCTTCGGACGACGAAATCCAAGAGATCCAACATGAGGAACGAGAATTGATATCATTGCATGAAGGATTGATGGTGGAATTCACTGAGCGTTGGCTAGTTTGCAAGAAGAGTCCTAGGTACTTCGCGGCAAAGGTATGGGGGCCAAGATTGCGGGAGATCCGCCGAAAACGTGCTCAGTTGTCGGATGACGAGATTGCGGGTTTCAAAAGTGTGGGCGTCACGGTGGAGACGGACGGCACGGACATCTTGCAAGGCGTGCAAAGCGCCGACGAACGGGAATGGGAGTATGAATTCAGCAGCGAAGACCATTCCGATGACGAAGTCCAACTCGATGTCGAACATCAAGCCGGCGACGAGGACCAAGCCGACGACGAGGACCAAGCCGACGACGAGGACCAAGCCGACGACGAGGACCAAGCCGACGACGAGGACCAAGCCGCCGACGAGGACCAAGCCGACGACGCGGATCAGCTAGATGATGAACAAGAAGGACAACAGGACGGAGATTCAGATTACAACGGCCAAACTATCGAAGGCATTGATGATATCGAGGTTGCAGAGATTCTGACAGAAGCGGCCCGCATCAACGGCCTCGAGGACTACGATGTTTGGTTCAAGATGATCGGCAGGCCGGACCCACGGCTGGCATCAGAGCATATTTGAGGACGAGTCATTTGGTTGCGGAACACGAGTTCAGCCACTACAGATATGCTCGATTCATTCGGCCAGGGTAACGAAGACCCAGAGAATGTTAAAGACTGACATTCAAGGCAGGTGGTATTCTTGTTTCTAAACCAAACAATGTAGCAACTCCTTCCAACTACTCTTCGATTCGAATCTCCAATCTATTTCTCCAGCAGCACCAACCACTCGCTAACATCCGCTGCTTCATCCTGGTCGACCATAAACATAGGATGTCTCGGCACTGGTACTGTCTTCATTTCCCACCCATGTGGCCACCTAGTCTCACGTCGTTCATCACTGCCCTCTCCACCGCCTGATCCCCAGCTGCTGAAGAAATCTTCTTCTTTCCCCTCCTCCTCCTCCGCCGCACTCGTGATTCTCGTCGCACCAGTCCTTGTCAGCTCTGCAAATCAAGGGACCGCGAAATGGCACCACACGGCATGATCCGGCCTCATCCATTCCTGCTCCAGACAGTCCCGATCGAGCGTCCCCAGCCAGATGTCAAACATGCGAGGCGCGGAGGCGGCCCTCCATGGCTTGGGGTATGCCGAATAAGTGACGCTGTACGCGAGGGAAGTCCCGCACCGCCTGCAAAACCAACGATGCCGACCAGCGGAGGAAATGTAATGACCCAGAGTCAGAATGGTGTCTGGCATCGAGTCCGGGGTTGAGGCTACGTTGGAGCCCTCTTCGAAAGCGTCCACAACCGAAGCGAGCGGCTGCCATTTCCTTGCAGTGTCGTCATCCATTGCTGACACTTGTTGGGGGTTATCGTGGGAGAAACCCGCTAGGGATACCTCCACGGTCTTCATCTCACTGACCAAACACATCGGGACCACGCTCGCTGTTGCGCGGCCACAGTCGTTACAGTGATCGAGTAGCACGAATGGGATGCGTGGCATGTCTTTCATCTTCCGAGGGGTTCATCCCTCCGCTGTGTTCCAAAGCGATAGGACGGGCAGAGTACGCGGGGACAGAGATGCGGTACCGTATGGCGCGACAATTACAGCCGCCGTGGAGTGTTAAGTGTTGCTTGGGGAGCGGCATCTCGGGGTTCCTCAATGAGTCTTCTTGGTTCAGGTTGTTGTGGAAGTGTTGCAGCGCTTGTCTTCTGTGGGGAATTACCCGTGGGCGAAGTCTCCGAAGTTTTCTTCCTGTTGATCCTTCCGCGCGACAAGGTACTCTAGCTAGACAAGACGCGTCCGAAGTCAGATTTCTTGGATGAAGACTGCGAAAACGGTAGAGGCCGCGACGCGGGAACACAAAGTAGTTCCTCAATGATCAGACGACAGGCCGCAATGCTACATACATATCTTCTGTACTAGATGACTGTGGGCTAATATCACATCTTATCTCACCTGTGCTGCGCGTGGTGTGCTGTGGTGTGCTGTGCTTACCTATGCTATGCTGTGCCCTGTTGTGCCACGCTGTTCCTCGCTTTGCTCGGCCACTTCCCCGGCGCCTCTAATGCTGACTGATCAAGACGGACAGGCAGGTTACAGGAAGGAGGAACGGAAGGATTTCCCGTCAGCGACGGGGTGCGTTATCTCTTCGAAGAAGCACGAAAAGGTCCATCGAGGAGGGGTTCGACAAAGCGCATGCCATACCCGTCATGCCATACCCGTACAGTACGGATTAACCGATGTCGCGGTCGCAGTCGGCGTACTATACCTATGTTCACGTTCCACGACGTCAAGTAATGTGGGAGCCCACGGTGCGGACAGACCGTCAACCTGGCGCGGGCGTAGCTTTTCTGTACAGTATTTTCCCACCATCGTGGACCACAACACAGTAATTGGATCACTGGACTCCCCTGCACAGACTTTCGGGAAGGGCTTCAAGGGCTTTGTCTTGGTGCCCGCTTCGGACGGAGCTTGAACTGAGAATACATTCCCAACATTGTGAAGCGCAACAACTGGATCCTTGAGGTCTGCTATCCAGGCTTCTGGGACGGTTCAGGCGCTGGTCCTTGTGCACAGACGAGACTACGGAGTAATATGTATGATAGCGCCGCGCAGGGGATTGTCACCCATAGTCTCGATCATGTGGTGTGGAGGATGGGGGATGTGGGAAGCGTGGCTGTTCTTCTTGAGAGACTCAGAAACTGTATCCAGACTACAGCAAGCAGCACAGACCAGTACAATTACTGTACGGGCAAGGACAGCTGTTGCGCTACAGTCGGTTGACTTCTTGGACTTATGCCGGCGATCGATCTGTGTCGTGCGCTTCGAAGGGAACAGCGAGGTATTACGAGCTATGACAAGCTAAGACGGGCTATGATGAGCCATAGCTAGGTGTGGCTGCGGCTGTGGTTGACGCTTGAGCTTGAGAAGTCAGAGATCCCTAGACGGGCGATACTGCCGGTTAGTGCAGTGTCTATCACAGTGTTTGTACTGTTCCAGGCGGTACAGAGTAAAAAGGGATGGATCTATTGCTACAGCATGATCTGCGTTGACCACGAGTGCACGTCTGCCTCTACGCAGTTTAACTATTGACTCCTTGAGTTCCGACCCGGTCCTACTATAGCATCAGTGCCCCAGTGGCGTCGATACTGAGTGGGAATGGCTTCAATGGTTTTATTTCACACGCCGAGGCTATGTACCGTGTGTGAGCAGCGTGTGACTGAGTGACGAGTATGGATCCATCTATATCATCTGTGTCTGCGCCTGTACATCTCTTTCGGTTTGATCTACACCAATCAAGGACAGCACAGGCTCCGCAGAGCTGACTCCAACAGCTTGACCTTCTCGCCTGCCCGTTCTAGACTGTAGAGGCATGCACATTTGCCTCGCGCCTCGAGCCACGAGCGGTGTAACTTAACATATTTCTTGTCCATGCATGACATTGGTCATAACCTCACCAACTGCCCTCTCTGGTTCAACCCGCCGCGGAATAACTCGCGAATGACCTTGCCGTTGAAAATCGTCTGCTCAACAATACCCTCCACGTGGCGGGGCTCGACTCTTCCGTACCATATACTCATCCCTGCTAAGGGATGGAGGGGCCGTACACCAGACGCGCGCTGGGACACGTCTATAGAATCAGGTCCGGCTGGCTCAGTCGTCGTGGCGGCATCGATAGAAAATCCCGGGGGCATGTATATGATGACGTTACCGGCCCATTTATGCCCGCCGATGTGGGAGATCATGCCCACGTTGACCGTCATATCTTGTGATGTTGCTGATTCCTTGCTTGACGCACTCGTGGTAGAACTGGCGATTGCCTTGAGCGACGCCTTGTCTATCGACTGGCCCTGGTTTTCCGCGCGTGTTTCCTGTCCCGGTTGCTCGACCGCGCCTTCCGATGCCACGAATGCCTCCGTGGTCGAAGCACACAGCTTAGACTGCGGATCGTCTCCCTTCCGCTGATCCAGGTAAGTGTTGAACTCGTCGTGCAGAACTGGTCCCAGGATTCCGCACCGACTGTCACGTCCACCATGGCTGCATATTAAAATGGTCGGATTCGTGATAGGCGAGCTATCCCAACGCGAGCGCACCGCTGCTGTATCGGGTGTCGACTCTCCAGTATTGGGGGTCAGGTTTTCGACGATGAAATCTTTCAGACTTCCGGTTGTTGCCGAGTCGGGGTCGCGTTGTGACTCGGTATGCGGACTCGATGCCGTTTCTCCAGCCTCTTCTTCTGAAAGCGGGACAAGACCTCTAAAGTGTCGAAATGCCGGGTATAGCAGAGCGTCAACGGGTTCTAGCTCTTCCCATTTTTCCTTGCCGTTGACCCGCTTCGTTGTTTGCTTGGCACTCCCTGACAGCGGTGTGAATGACGAGGTGCTGATCATGGTAGCATTGAACGCCTAGATTGGTCCTTGTGTAAGTCAGCCAGATCCTGTCTTCTCCGAGTTCATCGCATCCGCTCTAAACGACACCTTCTGTGGCATCGGTAACTGCCGCCACAGAAGATACGGGGCACCAACGTACGTCACGAAACTCCCCCTTGCGACCCATCAACCCCTTCAGGTCGCCCACAACCTTGCCCCAGCTCGTGCCGTTCTCCCGCTCATCTTCAATGCGACTCGTCCAATCTGACCGTCCTGTGGAGATGATGAGGTGTTGCGAGTGTGGCGAGATCGTCCCATTGAGAGGGTTCTTGTGGTCTATTTCTTGATCGAGAGAGGGCATGGACGAGCAGGGACATGTTGGGTCGGGACATGTCTCGACGACTGGGAAGGGTGGCGGCGGGGACGGACGTTCGGATGTCAAGGTGCGCTGGGCGGACAGGCGGGTGCGGCGAAGGAGCGTGGCGGGTCTGGAGGTGGCAGAGCAGATGGGAAGGATGGAAGAGGACCTCAAGGGAGGCATTAGGACGAAGCTGAGCCGATTAACAAGCGTGTGAGCGTCGGAGGGACGACATGTCGACATGCGCAGCCCTTGTACTCCGTACCTCGAAATCGTCAAACCGCAGCTCCGGGGCCTCGGGCTTAAGACGTCATTATGAGCGCGACTCACGCCTCACGCGTCCCTCCTTTCCGCCCTCAGCCTCGCGCTTCGTTGCACCTAATTAGATTCAATTCATGTTTTCTGATATTACTCCGTATCATCACAGACGACTTGCATTATGTGGCATTGGGTCTCATTCAAGCTCGTCTCGAGCCGATCTTGATTGTCACCGCCATCCCATCACCCGCTCCCTCTGCACCGGTCTGGGCCGATGCTCGAATTCAATGGCTCCAAAGTCATCTTCGTCCAGCTCGTCCGAGTCCCATTCGTCTTCCCGATCCTCTCGTGCAAGCTGGAGAAACTGGTCAAGCCCCATCCCACGTACAGGACCAGCTTGCTGATTGCCTTGGCCAGGCGCTGCGGGCGGAAGCTCTCCAGGAGGCTCGGCGGCGTCGTTGTCCTGAATGAGAGCGTGCGGGTTGCCTTGGCCCAGTCCATCCAAGCCTTCTTCCACTCGGACATCGCGTGGTGCACTGCGTGGCGTTAGTCCTGTCATCATGTCCGCTCTTCAATGATCCTTACCGAGCCGCGGGTTGACCGGCTCGCGCGCGAGCTTGATGACCCTGATCGTGGTTGATCCGAGCAGGTTCATTTGCCATCGCACGCTGCCGGTTCGCTGGTTGCCCACCACCTCGTCGTCGCCGTCCTCCTCTTGGTGGTATCGGTACTGGCGGAGGGACCGGTGCTTCACGCAGGCGCTCCGGAAGTGCTATCCGTTGTGCATTCTGGCCAGGCATGACAATCTCAATAACGTTCCGATTGCGACGCTGGTCGGGTGCCGGCTCTTCGTCGTCGGTATCCTCGTCGTCTGCAAAAGGTCGTTGCCCCCGGAAAGCGGCAAAGTTCTCCGGTGGAAGGTCGTCTTCGTCGTCGGACTCTTCGGCTGCAGCGACGGCCTCCCACTCTGCAACGACGTCGGCATTGTGGAACGCACCTCGATCCACACCCTCCCCATCGCCCTCCTCAAGCACCCACAGTTTCATGTAGCAAGAACTGGACGTGTCGTTGTAATGGCGGTAGGGATTTTCTGGCATAAGGTACGCTGCGCACAGGTAGCAAAAATGGGTCTTGCACTTGAAGCACGTCATGTGGTTGCATCCCATGGTCTTTTGAGCAGGAGCATTGCACGTCGGGCATGGGGTCGAGAACTTCTGGAAGTACTCGGCTGTCGCACGTTCTTCCTCGTTGAGTTCTTGCTGCCGTCGTGGGCTGCACCTCGCGTTCTCGCCGTGCCAGCTTTTCTTGCAGACCACGCAAAACGCAAAGTCGCAGTCTTCGCAGATGGCGAGTCGCTCCGCCATGGGCAGGGTTTCAAGGTCGATGGTGTCTTTCGTCTGGCCTTCTTCTGATTCTGACTCGTCCGAATCTTCGGAATCGACCATGGGATCAGTGGGTTTGGGGTGTTTCTTTGACCGGGCAGCGCCTTGACACCATTGCCTCGGGCAGTAGACAGTGTTCTTATCCGATTCTAGGCGCTTCTTTCGCTTCAGCTTGACATACCGCTGTACCTGCTCCGGTTCGACAGGAATCTGGAGCAGTTCACTGGGATTGAGTGTACGATCCCGCTTCCGTCTCTTCAGAGGTCGGCCTTCGGGACCAGTCCTTGCGGGCTCATCCTTGCCACACGAGGGATCGAGACACTTGACGTTGTCGACGTCTCCTTCCGTTATGCAGTTGTTGTAGTAGTCTTGGAGGCACGGCACGCAAAATACGTGTCCGCACTGTAGCATCTTGTGACAAATAACACCCTTTTTCGGCTCTAAGCAGATTCCGCAATCAAATGTCCCTCTCTCAAAGTGTTCACGTTTCGTCTTCAAATCAAAATCCAGTAAAGCAAGCTTCAGGTCGCTGGGCATTGACACGTCCGTCTCTCCCGCCAGACCAAATGCCTTTTCAGCTTCTTGCTGGACGTGGTCGATGTAGGTGTAAAGCACTTGATCCTTGCCGATTTCTTCCCAAAGCCTAGCGCAATCATCCTGTAGCCGTTGCACGATAGGTTCTCTTAACCATTGTGGCGAAATTGACACCGATACAACTGGGGGTTCGGAAGCAGGATAGTCCTTCGGTAGAGTGATGCGCAGGGAAAGTGGCGGCAGGTGAGATAACTCGTGGTCATCCAGCTGAAGTGTTTGCTGGACGACTGGCTTATTGCCGGTCCCATCATTCCCATGGTCTGAGGAAGTGGGTGGCGTAGGAGGAGCGGGTGGCGTAGTATCTATGGAGGGTCTGAAGAGAATGCGCAGCGGCTGAACAGGAGTCACGGAAAGCTCAAGAGTGGCAGTATACGGATCATTCTCATCGACGACGAGTTCTGGATATATGGCCGCGATGGTCGACAGTTCGATTGTTCTCTCGTCCTCGGCGGCTTGTGGCTCATCTTCCATCTTGTGGTAGTGTATGGTGGCGGTAGAGGGGATCGACTGAGCGATATGTGAAGCGGAGGAAGCACTCTAGAGAAAGGTCAGACACAAGAGGACCTGGAAGGCATTACCAATTCAACGAGGGAAACTTTGGACTCGACTCATTCACTCCGTGCATTTGTTGCCCTCATGCAAACAATGACGCATCAGGCGCAGGAAGATTAATTGTCAAGGAGCAAATCTGATTTGACTGCATGTCAAGCAACGGGCCGAAAAGCCGCCGATGACAAGAAACCCTGTCGACCAAGGGTCCAAGTTGGTAAAGTGTCTGTGTGCAATTGCCTTTGCCGTCCTCCTTGCTCGTTTGGCATACTGAAGGCCTTGCTCGTTTGGCATACTGAAGGTGTTGCTCGTAAAGCCTCCGAGCATGGACGGTCCACCTTTGGCTTCGTTTTCATTGACACATGTCCGCTATGTAAGTCCCGTCCCTCTAAATCTTCTTCGGCCGAGCTCACCTTCCAAAAGAACCCTGCCGACCCGGTCTCCTATGCATCGGCATGGCTGGCTTTGGTGCCCCAAGGCTTAGTCGTTGTCTACGTCACTTTGATGTGGGCGTCACGGGAAGCCGAGATAGTCCTCATGTTTGCTGGCCAGATGGCCTGTGAGATGCTGAACTTCGGCTTGAAGCGGATGATCCGTGAGGAGCGGCCAGAACGTGGGCGACTTCTGCTCGATCTGAAAGCTCCTGACTGCTGATGTGCGTCACAGAAATGACGGGCAAGGGCTACGGCATGCCCTCTTCGCATTCGCAGTTTGTGGCCTTCTTCGCCGTGTCACTCAGCTTGTTCCTGATCTTTCGACACGTCCCCACCCAAACGACAAGTTACTCGCCGACGTCCTTTCTAGAACGCATTATGCTCTCATTTGCTGCTTTCATGGGTGCTGGGGCTGTAGCTGCCAGCCGCGTCTACCTGAACTACCACACCCCAAAGCAGGTTTGGGTGGGAGTTGCTGCTGGGGCCATCTTTGCTATCGTATGGTTTTTATTTACGACTTCTCTCAGGCAGTACGGCTGGCTTGAGTGGGCGCTTGACATTTGGCTAGCAAGGCGATTTAGGATTAGAGATTTGATCACCACCGAGGATATCCAGGATGCAGGGTGGGGAAGATGGGAGGAACGGAGAAGGGCAAAGAGAGATGGAGGTCGGGGTGGGAAAAGCAAGAAAGCGCGGTAATCGTGGCGTAAGTGGTCGATTCGTGCGCCATAATACATCTAGACTCCTCGGTGCACCGTTGTGACTCACAAATCCGCCTACTTCGCTTTCTTGCGAGCAAACTCCGCCAAGGCCGCTTCAGAGACTGTCAGTGGCCAGAATTCTCGATAGAACAGGTATGCGCCAGTCACCAAGAGCACGTAATAGGCCACAGTCCACCTCATATGCAACTTCTTGCCATGCCCTTGCGCCTGAACAAGATCTCTATCGTCCTTGCCACGGATAGCTACTGGCGAAAGAGGATACTCCTCCCTTCTGCTGACCCGGCCCCAGAACCGCGGAAGACCAACCCAGTTGCAAAATGCGTGGATGATGACACACGCATATAAGGAGCCGGTGCGCACGTAGATCCATGCGGCGAACCACCCAAACATTGTTGTGTAGGTGAGTTGAAAAAGTGTCCGGAGCACGGCGTGTAGGATTGGAGCGTGCGGGTGGGTCAGAATGAACTCGTAGCAGTGGTGTACATGAGCAATACCGAAGTAAAGTGGTGTCAGGAACACGATCTTGGATGGCGAGACTTTAGCGACCAAATGTATTGGTATGAGGACGGAGCGGAAGATGATCTCCTCGGTGATCGGGCCAGCAACGTAGTTTCTGTAGCCTTGCCAGCTGCTTAATGATTCTACCACCGCCCGTAAACCGCCATGACGCAGGTCGTCCAGGGTCCGCTCGACAAAGATTTTCTCAAAAAGTGGCCCGATGTAAAGCAGCAAAGTCAGTGCCACGACTCGCAGAACGTCGAAGGGGAGAATTGGCCACCAGCCCAGCATATGCAGTGCGTCAACAGGTGTGAGCTTCGCTGTTCTGGTCAGTATGTAGAGGGCCGCTGCAGAGGCGGTGATGCAAGCTAATGTGACCGTGCGAATCCGTGCACGGATCACGGAAGGAGCATCACGGTTCAAGGTCGGCGAGGGACGTGTGGTGGCAGACAAGTAGAACGGAACCACATAAGCAAGTGTGAACGTGACCTGGCCGAGGAGTCAGACATATAAAGTCGCAGAAGTCATCAAGCCATGTCGCCGTACCGAAAGGAGGGCCGCAGTGGTGGTCGAGATGGCAGGCTTGTCCTTTTCTGTTTCGTCAAGTCGTTAGTATATCGATATCTAATCGACTCGACCGGGGTAAAGAGCAGACATCCATGAGCAGCACATGCCCAGGTTGTGGTCGTTGATCCGTGGTGGAGCATCTGGGGAGAACTAGTTTCATGACCCAGGGCAGCCCGAATATGTCGAGGCACAAGAACCAATGGACCATTCAACGCACCTGCATGATTAAAATAAGTATTTTTCAAATTCGTGAAGAAGTCAATGGGAGCCATGTCATCGGTGCTATTCGCTCCTCGTGGCGAGAGCTGCTTTGCCGTGCAGAGATTATGAGCACGGTGAGGTCGGATTCGAGAAAGGGGTCTTCACGGCTGTTGTGAGTCCGGAACGAGAAAAGTGTGAATGGCTCGATGAGGTCAGAGTGAGAGAGACGCGGCCTCCCCCGCGTGCGCTGGCACTCCTCTGATTACGCTCGGTTATCGTTCAGGCTTGCGGTGTCATTTCTCAGCTATTAAATCGATAAGCAGATTTTGCCTTAGACCTGTGGACAGAACAGGCAGAAAATGGTTTTTGTTTAATTGACGCCATCTCATTGACCCTCGTCTGGCACCGACTCGCGCATGCCTGATTGGCGTTGGCTCGCCCCTGGCGCACCGCAAGATTGTCGCGTCAATTTCGCGGCCAGCTTTCGGCCAATCGGTGAATTTGTCATCGCGCAGGATGCCACGCGAGCAAAGCGAGACTCCGATGCATGGCCTCGATTGTACTGTGTAGGACGCGTTTCGCGCGGGCTCCTTCACACCAAAGCATCCACGGCCAGTCTTCACTTCTGACTTGGTCCTTGCACCATCTTAGTGGGTATTGGAGCCACCTCAATTTAACATGGCTCAAGCCTCACAAGAACCGAGAACAGGCACGCACCTCGTCCCCTGATCCCCGATCCCTTCACCGGATCGCGGAAGGAAGCTACTGTGGTGGGAGGCTCAGCGACTTCATCTGACTCCCATCCAGAGACCTCCGACGTTCCTTGAGCAGTATCACCAGACTCGACATTTCTGCTTCGTGTACAGAGCACAACGTCCGACTTGCACATACCAGACGCCATACTTAGACACCCACGGTCACATGCACACCGCCGGTCCAATCTCACTTTAATCCCGCCCTGCAGCATGCATATGCATGTTCGACCCATCCTCAGCCTCGTCCCGGTGCAGATCTGTGCAGCTCCGAAGCTTTTGCTGTGGCATCTCCACAAAGCATCATTGACACGAACTTGAATTTGTTGTTGACACTACACAGCTCACCTTTAGTCACTCGTTATATTACCTCTCTTTACGAACATCCCTAGCAATTGCGCGATTTGAACCTGAATCGCAATCCATTCTCTTGACGATGAGATAGCAATGTCCTCGTCCCCTTCGTCGGTTAAGCAAAGGTCGCCGAAGCGGACTTCTCCAAAAAGAACACCACTGCAACAGCAGTCAGCCTCCCAAGCGAACGAGGTCTCCTGCCGCCTGGGCAAAGAGTCGCGATCAGAAGAGAGCCTGGACATATACAATGCCAATCCATTCCCGACGAAGCCTTCGCAAGTGCTCTTGCCCAGCACCCTCCGCAAGAAGAAAAGCTTCGGCCCGAGCCCACTCACCGATGCCTTTGGATTTCTGTCCGACAGTGAAGCAGGCACAAGCAGTGTCTCGAAGAGCTCGCGGGGTTCCCGCCCTACTGTTAGACTAAAGCGATCAGTGAAAGCACTGAGAGATCTGTATGAGTCCCAGGCAGATGACACCTCGCGTCCTTCTACCGCAACTTCACCACCACTTCGCCCGAGCACGGCCAGTTCATTGCGGTTGAGAAGTCTCAGCTCGAGTGAGAGCTTGTCCGGGAGATATGCTTGGGAGTCATGTCGTCAGATTTCCAACGAGGACTTGGCATTACTGCCGGCTTTGCCCACAGGACCCCATGCTGTCAAGAGGCTCTCGTCGCGAACGTCTTTCTCCATAGCTGAAGATCCCACTGTCAGCTCGAGCCCAAACTACAAAGTGCTGGGCGCAACATCGAGTCCGCGGCCTCCAGCATTGAAAGAACCAAATAGTCCTCTGCTGGAAGCCTTTGAAGACCCACCAAGCACTAGCTCAGCTGAACAAAGCTCCTCAAGTCCCAATGTCGTCCGCCTTGCACACAGCTCCAGTACAGAAGACTTCCAAAGCACTGACCAGTCCTCGAGCCCCAATGTGGTCCGCCTTGGCCACACGTCGAGTACGGAACGGTTCAGTGACGGCGAGCCATCGTCGAGTCCAAATGTGGTAAAATTGGGAACGTCTTCGCCGGAACGCTCCCCAGCGACAGCCCGGAAAGCACAGTCGGACTACACTATGCGATCTCGGTCCTCCTCATCAACGTCCCTAGGGAAAAGGAAGAGGTCCAACACGGCAGGAGGGCGGTCTTTTGCTGAGAGGACACGGGCAGGAAATCCTCTTGGATCGAGTCCCCCACCCAACCACCGCATCGACACTTCGGCTGCGGACACAAGCTCGCCTGTCAATCCTGGTTTACCGTCATCAGCACCGCAAAGCATTCAGCAAAGCAGCGCTGTCGATGAGTCGAGTCCAGTAGTCCGAGTCTTGGGCCGGGACGACCCATCCTCTGATCGCAGCTCTGTTGCGGAAACCCATTCGAGTCTTCAAGCTGCCCTGAGCTCCAGCCCGCCGAGGATTCAATATCCGATTGTTCGTGCTCCGCCTCCCAGTCAGCAGGTTGGCATCAACATCCCAAAACGCAACTCGAGATCGATGTCTACAGAAGGCTCGGCACCAAGGTCTTCGTCTACTTTATCAGGAGTACCATCTGAAGGTTCCTGGTTGAGGTCGAGGCACATCAGTGAAATCAGCGAAATCAGCGAGAGTAGCGAGCTCTCTTCGGTTGCCGATCTTGACGAATATCTCAACTCGGAAGACCTAGCTCCAGCATCTAAATACATCATTAATGAATCTGCGAACCAGACACAAGTCCGCCTGGTTCCAGCTCCGCGAATTGATACGACGATTGTGTCAGGCGACGGCGACCATCATTCGATCGACCCTCACTACCACGAAGCCTCGGACGAAGTTTCTGCCCTCCCTATGTCAGAATATACGTACAGATCCTCACCTCTCCGACAGGTTCGGAGCGGTAGCCTGAGCGGACTTTCCTCAGGCACCAATTCAGCACAACAGTCTACAACTCGCCTTAATTCCATGAGATCATTTACGCAGTCACGACAAACCAGTTTTCTTCGTCCCAGCTCTTCTTCCAGCAGTATCGTCAGTGCCGCTCCAGTCCCCTCGTGGGCCCGGAGATATTATTCGGGCATGTACAGAGATTCTTTCCATTACTTATATCCCAGCGGATCTTATTTGAGTTTACGTTCGCTGGCTGCGAGACAAGCACCGATTCCGGTCTCGACGCTGGCACGAGTACCTTCTCGACCTGAAACAACGAGGTCGGGAAGTCCCAGCCTCAGCAACATCCATTACAGTATGAGCGATCGGTTAGGAGGTCTTCTTCGGCCCAAGAGACCGAAGCTAGCCGCGAAAAAATCCCACACTCTCCCGGGAGTAGGTCCGCTTGTCTCAAATCCAGCTACCAAATCCCTCCCTCCTCCACCATCCGTAGCACAACCTTTTGCACATGGAGCACGGCGGCAGTCATACCAGCAACCTCGAATCTACGAGCTACCTACCGGACAGCACAGCAGAGCGGCGTCTATGCCCTTGCCTCCCGTCGACCCTCGTGCGCACTGGGCTGGCGTCATCCAGATACACGAGCTCCCGCATGAAGATGGAAGGGGTTCAAGCTACACGATCCATCACCACTCGTATACTTACAGCGCCTCGGGGTCTGAGTCGCTGAACCAATCCGTCATATATCGTCCTTGGGGTAACGAGATGCGCAGCTCATGGCATCGGTGGTCCTCATCTCCTCATCTCCATCATGACGCCCGACTGAACACGGGCTCCTCTGTGTCCCGTGGTTTCGGATTCCCATTCAATTCGAAAGCACGCTGGACGACCGGCGTCCCTGAAATCACCACAAACGACGGCGACACACCTGGGCCAATGTTCCAACTCGATCTCCGCTCGGTTCAGGTTCTAGCTTTTGCCACTGGATTCCTCATGCCGTTGACGTGGTTCGTCGCTGCGTTCCTACCTCTTCCACAACGGCCAGATAGTTTTGGTGATATCGAGAAACGAGTTTACCGGGAATCCCGTCAGCAATGGCATCAATCCCAAGCTCAGCGTCAGCCGTATCCTGGGCAGCAGCCTCACCGGCAATCCCTGCGAAACTCCCGAAACCAGGGTACCTCGCGTCCCTCACAAAATCCAGGTTTGGAATCAGGCTCTCTTGAAACGCTAGCCAAACTGTGTCTAGAACGGAACCACGCCGGCGTCGCAGAGCTCAAGTTCCAAAATGCGAGGTGGTGGAGAAATCTCAATCGTTGGATGTGTATTGTGGGTGTAGTGGTCATTACCCTCGCCGTGGTTTTGGCTATAATAGGGACGAAGAGTCACTGGGCAGACGGTTGAGTTCAGAATTGAGATCTTGAAGTATAGTGTTCAAGAAGCGGGTTGTGATATTGGACACGGAAAACGGCATGATCTGTAGATAGTTTTGGCCTCGAATTCTTCTACGCTCTGGACATCTCATCGACTAATCCAGCAAGCGACGACATACGGGACGGCATGAATGATTTCCATCGCCCTATTCGCAGACTGTAAAGCAGGATCTGGCGCTGCTGTCTCTGGCGATCTTCGATATACCCCCTTTTAGTACGCTATGTTCTCGATATCTGATCTTAATTGACGCTGCCAACTAGTTTCAGTTCAAAGCAGGTACATGGAATGTGCAGTATCACCTTACTATGATCTTGTCGATTGTGCAGACTCGCCTTTACGTCGTGATCCTCTTGGTGAGCTGACCTCGTGCGTCACGAAGGGATCATCTGGGGGATGAGATGCTGACCCTTATCTCTCCCGTTGGCGTCTTATTCTTCAGATCCGTTGAACATCCTGTGTGCTCGTCGCCTCTCCGTGCGTCATGCGTCCATTCACTCTATGCGCCCCACTGCGTCGACACCAACGTCTTGAAATGCGGCCAATCCCAACGCCCGACATCGACAATAGGGTCTACTGCATGGCCGAGGGGGGTTGACAAACGCAACTTCAGGCAGAAAATCACGATCACCACCATGCAGAGCGGCGCAGGATGGAATGGGTACAGTACATACGCACCACACAGTACTGTATGCATGCAGATCGGTGGGGGTACAGTAAAGTTGAGAATGCTCTCGCAGTGTACATTCAGTGTAAAAACAAAACTCCACAGGATTTCAGAACGAGCGGGATGGCCGCGTCTGGCTTGATAGAGAAGGCAGGACCTCGTGTAATGGTCAACGAAGGACTTTTCAGATGGATATGCATTGGTATGGGACGGTGTAGGCTTGTGGTTGGGATATCGGGCGCCTGAGCCTTGACTAGGAAATCCCGCAGGTCCAGATGCGAGAGGGACAGTGTTAGGGTAGGTGCTGTACCTTGGCAAGGGGATGAGATAGAGAATCGTTATCAACGAGATCTGATACATATCAGCATCCGCATGAGACTGGTGAGACTGGCCCGGGTGCGACACCAGTGGACTCCATGATCGGGTGCATAGACAAGATGCTTGAGCACCAAGTTGAGCTGAACTGGGGCGAGTCGAGGTTTGAGCCGGCGGAAAACCAGTCCCCCGATTCCTGGGATCCTGGCCAGGATGCCAGAGGACATCACTGGAACAACCCACTCCGTACGGAGTACCATTCAATGATCCCGCGATCTACCCGGTAGCAATTCTATCAATTCTATCAATACTGCGTGCCAACAATCTCGCAGACCCGGCTAAGCCTCCAGCAACCTTTCCATCACATCATTCAGTCCATAAGCACCGCGCTCCTCTATCCCAGGTCAGTTCACCGTCCCGCGCGATATATATTCCACACATTCAACATCCTGGCCCCCTGCCCCGGCGTAAACCCCAGATAACACGCATCGCTAGAATAATCCATGAAGTTGTGGATCGGGTCGACGCCCGCATATCCCTGGGGTCCGTACGGATTATCCCCCTGGCTAGCGAGCCCGGTATACGCGGTGGCGGAGATGCCAGAGTTGGGACACGAGTCTTTATACACGGGACAGCCATCTAACATCATTCGTCAGCGATCACCTGCCCTGTGGGCCGTATCAAGCAGAGCCAGGCATGCGGCCACGGCACCACTTACTCGTACTCGTCATCTCCTGCGGCGTGTCCGCGACATAGTCGCCCCAATCGTCTGCGGCGCAACTATTCCCCGTGAACGGATGGAGGAGGCCGTTCCAATGCCCGACTTCATGCGCAGTGGTGCCGCCGAGGTTATACCCCTGCATGTTCCCTCCCGGCATGGTCCCGCTGAGCACGTTGCAGCCATCGACGACGTACTGGTCCGCGCGGGTGGCAGAAGTGACGCCCGACGCCGGGAGGGAGCAGAACCCCAACAACGTGGACCCAGTGGGGACGCCGGGCGTGTTTGCGCCGGCCTGGAGGAGGGATTGATAGTAGATGTTCAAGCTGGAATATGTGCCGCGCCGGAGGGCCCTCTTCATGGCCAGATCATCGCCGTTGGACGCCCATGTGTCGTTAGTGACTCTGGTCACGCCGGCCAACCTGTACCCGATGCTGGCGTTGGTGTATGCATCCGCGAGATACTCGAACTGGTCCTGGATCATGCTGTCGGTTATATAGTTGTGATTGCTGAGGGAGGATGTCGCGGTGTCCGAGATGATGTGCATGTACGTGTCGATGATGAAGAGCGGCACAAGCGCCTGGCGGCGTGAGAGGCTTGAGGAGTGTCGGTACTCGATGGAGGAGATGTTCCAGAGCTCATTTTCCAGGGGCTCGTTTTCTTGCAGAAATTGATGCGTGGCGAGCAGCTCTTCGGTCGGCGGAGGGGCGCCGCAAGATCTGCTGATGGGGCGATACTCTGCGATACCTGCGGAGGCGTCAGGAACCAACGTCAGGAGGAGGGTTAGGAAGAGCAGAGCATGAACGGATGAGTCCCAGCACGAAGAAAGCATATTAACCACACGCAAGTGAGGTGGTATTCGCCGCCAATGTACAAAAGAAATGGGATAGCAAAATTCGGTCTCAGTAGAAAGAGCATTTCGACGCACAGATCACCAACACAGTCGTCGTCATGCTGAAAAAGTTGGAATGTGGGCTGCGATCCCAGGTGGTATTCCTTCCCACGTGATTCTGCACCAGCATCGGGAATGAAACAACTGTGCTAGCATTTGCTGCATTTCACTGTCGAAAGTATAGTCCGTGACCCATTCAGCCTCTCTGATTTATGAACGCCGGCTTCCCAATAACAGACCAAAAATGCTACGTTGTCAGCGTAAGAAACTCATTCAGCCAGTTCATTGACCTCTGATGTCGCGACCAGTGGCAAGGATACCGGTAGCCGGAGCGGCGTTATTCCAAGACAGATACGTATGGTCGCCGAGTTTCCTGGACAGAGTCAGTGAATGCGTACTTGTGGCCTCAACCGAACCCACCTTGGTCGGATCAAATGCGCAACAGTGAACAGAGCACCCAGAACAATGCACAACCCGCCAATAGCGACGTAGGCGATGCCCAAGAATGAGTTCTTTCCACCCACCACTGATCTTGTCGAGATCAAAATACTCTTGGTGCCGTCATAGACTGTGACTGGGAAGACTAGCCATAGTTAGCACCAACCGAATTGCTTGCGCGGGTACCTACAGTCATAGATCTCCATCTGGTAGATTCCGGCAGTCATAGTTTCATCGTCGTTCCGCAGAGCCAGCTTGCTGAACGTGGGCAGACCAGCTGTCCTCATCCAAACCTGGAACTCCTCATACTCGGCAAGGTCGGGAATGGGATTTTCCGCAGTATAGCCATCAGGGTATCTCTTGACCCAGTTCGGGGGCGGCGCCACGTCGAAATTGGTGTATTTTGTCCTCTTGTACAAAGAGGCGTCCGAACCCCAGGCAATGCTACGGTTCGTCATGCGGTATGGCTGAGCTGGCTCGTTGCCGGCGGCATTGACCAGTCGCGGAGAGTTTAGTGTGTCGTTGAAGATGGAGTTTGCGATGAGGCCGCACGGGTAGTAGGCCTTGCCTGCGCTGTCCGTCTTGATGGGGTTGCAGGCGCTGTCATGGATGGTAGAATTGCTGATAAAGTCTCCTCGCAGCTGATCAGTGTCAAGAGACTTGACGTATCTTCGGTGGTTTTGGTAGAAGTTCGTGAGGCGGTAGTAGAGGTAGACGGGTGGTCCGATATCATTCGGGATGTCGAACTGCAACGTACAGACTGGTGTGTTGGGGATGGTGACGCTCCATGGCGGCGTTGTTGTGTTCAACGTTCTCTTCCATTGCGGCCTCACTGTACTATTGGAATTCTTGAAGGATGAGTGCACTTTCGACTCGGGGATCTGGGTGAATTGGTTGGTCGCAGTGGTATTGCAATCGGTGTAATCGATTCTGAGTTCTTGGATCTGAGCAGAGACTTAGCACCTTCCTTGCCTCTCAGCATGGTCGCCGTCGCCGCCACTAACACTTGCACTCGCCCAGAGGAGAAGCCCGCCAATCGGGGCGAAGATGACACCGACCGCAAAGAGGATGGGAAGGACGGTCTTAGGAGTGAGGATCGGTCTGAAGAGTCAGTACAGTCTAGAAGCCTTGGAGAACGAGGACGGTGCTCACTGCCATGCCTTCAGCCGCTGTTGTCGGAATGCGGTGTCTGTATAGACGCTCCGTCAGCAACACTGCGCTGGGGGTAATCGGTCGCAGGGGCCATACTCGCGGGACGCCGGCTCTTCTGCTTCTTCTTTCCGTCGTTGTGCTGATCCTCCTGCTCCATCGAGTCGGACTGTTGCATCTCTGTCCGCGACATCTTTGCGCTTCTTCTCCTGCTGCTGGCTGGCTGCAAAGTTGAACAAGAGGACGGTGCAGACGCCGTTTCACTGGAGGCTGTACACTCAGCATCGGCGCGGCCACCAAGCCACTTGCCTTTCCGGCGCATCCTGAGTACGCTATTCCTAATGCAGTAACGCGCCGCTTCTGTCATTTGAACTCGCATATCAATTTTCCGTCGCTTCTGTTTCTCCTTCCTCTCCCTTTTCTCTTATTAACTCATTTCGTGGACATGATTATTGTAGGAGCCAGGGTTGCGTTTGAGATCTCTCGCTCCTCTGCTACGTGATCCCAGAGCAGACACAATGTCATCGCGCCGTAGCTGGAGCGTGCTAGGAATTGCAAAATTTCAATGAGGCTTCAGTTCCTTACCGACGGTCGCTACATATACACATCGATGAAGGCTTTGATGCATAGGCATTGTTCGGACTACTTTGTCCTACACCAGCACGGCTAGACCGGCTCTGACGAATACATTGCGCCCATTTTATCTATCACAATGGCCCCAGATGTGCCTTTTCCCAAATGCATGGGTGATTCAGTCACACATTCCGACTCCCAACACCATCGCTATGTCATTGTGCTAATCATGCATTGATTTGTTTCATTGCGCTTCTGGCTGCTTCTCTGCAGCCAAGGTAGTCTCTGGCCTAGTTCTTGGAGGCAGCTATCCAGGGTTTGAAGTCGACCCGTGCTGGCGACTTTGGCTATCGTTTCCCTTCCGTTGCCGAGTCCGATGAGTCGCTCATATAATCATCGTTCATGCCAGGCCCCTCACGGAGTCCGGGGGTTTTGACTTCCATAACTGGCAACAACGGCGTGTGCTTGTGCCGGAAGTGACCGGCTTTGGTTCTCCTCTCTGCTGCATCCTCCATGCTCGTTCGATCGTACAAATACAGGCCGAAACATGTCAGAGCAATTCCGACAAGCTGGACCGAAGTGGTAGAGCTCCGGAACCAGATAACTGCGACCAGAATTACCCACACTCTTTTGATGAGAGATGCCACCGAGTACGATACCGGAGACATCATCGAAAGGAGGACAAAGGCCATGATGTTCTGGAAGAAATGGAAGATGCCATTGAACACAAATTCCACTGCCAGCTGGCCGTGATCCAGTGTACCTTTCTTTTCGACAAGATCAATCGACGCGTCCTTCCATAGGTCCTGTAAGATCTCAAATCCCTCTGTGTATATCCACACGGGAGCAGAGAACACGAAAGCTCCCACGGAGCAGTAGCATAGTAGATTCAGCTTATCCAGTTTGCGAGGTAGATGCGTTTGGCCTTCGGCCTCCGCCCGCGCCGATTCAGTGAAAAGCCTCTTGGAGAAAATGTTCTGCGTCACGAAGACAATGGCCGCCACTAGAGAGGCACTAATCCCCCAGAAATTCGTGGAAAGGTCGGTTGAACATGCCAACATCACCCCAAAGGTAAGGGGTACCAGCGACAAGTATGTTGCTCGTTTGTAGCGTATTCGATACACCACTCGATACGCCAGTACGGTGAATAACGGCGACAGCCCTTTTATGGTATGTACCAATGATACCGGTATTTTCGATGTCGCATATGAGCTCAGAAGATGGCCTAGCAGCTGGAAAATCGAAAGTGGAAATGCCGTGTACGCGACATCCCATGATGGCTTCCGGAGACCATTTCTCAACGCAGGCACCGATCTCTTCAGCGAGGGGAACACCGAAGCTAGGCTTGTCAATATGAGGCACCAGATGAACACCGAGGCAAATTGAATCATGGTGAGGGTGGCGGGTTTGGGGAAGGCGTTCAATATCGATTTGGACGAAGTGTTTGTTAACGCCGAGGTCATGTACCAGACAATGCATAGAGCCTGTTCTCGCTGTCAGCGTCGCATGGAATCTAGGATTTCATTGACTCACAATCAGCTTGTATGATATGGGGGCTTTGAGGGCTTCTGCCAGCTCCTGCGCGCTTTCACTGACGCTTCCCTGCCTTGTCCGTAGTCTGTGCAATGCATCGCTAACGCTACGTTTGTGTCTGTGTGTGTATACCCCTGCAGGCCGGGAATCGCGAAGTCTTTGGCTCATCTTCCTTGAGGGCCATCTCAATTCACCGTTCGGAACCGGTCCCGGGGTGAGCTCTTGCGGGCTTTCCGCGACAATGTTGGCGTTGAAGGGGTAGTTCGGAGTGACACTGTGATCGAAAGAAGGAAATCTCTCATGGCTGGGCCGGGTCTCGCTTGATCGCTTGTATGGCGATACTGATCGATGTACTGTCCGGGGCTCAGGAGTTTGGGTCATGGTGGTGGTCATGTTCATGGCAATAAAGGGATCGAGGTAGGTTCAGATGGCGCCCTGTCATGCATGCTGTTGCAGCTGTCAGAGTGTAACTTTAAGGTGTCTGTGTTGGTCGCGCCATCTGGTCTGAAGCGAAGTAGCGGTCTTTTCGAGGTGTTTGTCAGTTAGGTGTGCAGATCTAGAAGTCCATGATGCATTCAAACCGTGATCAATCTCAGACAAGCATGGGTTGCATCGGGCAAATGCATGTCGCAAAGTCCGTGCAGGCGTTGAGCGGCGCTAGCACCGCTAAGAACTGATAACGCAACGCCTATCTTCGGCTAATTAGCCTTGTTAGGGAGGGTGTCGCTATTGGGCCGTTTGCGTCTCCGTACTCGGTCATGCTCGCATTTGCGAACGCGCGTCAACTTTCGGCAGGAACCTGCTGGGTGACCTGTCCGGTCAAGAATTGGGCAATATGTAAGAGAATGAGACTTTTGAGCTTCTTCAAGCGCTTTCTGGCTACACTGCTTCAGCTCGCGACCTCTACCTCCATTCAGACTGCTCAACGTACCCTCTCCGGACAAGGCACCACCTACGAAGGGCCGATCACAATCCTGCCCGAGTGGGACGTGCTCGGCCCGTTTAGACTTGGAACTCGAGGTACGTAGGGCCAGCCTCGCAGTACTGCCCAGCTCCTTGACCTCAGGCAGAAGTTATTTGGGGAGTAGATCCCCTCGAGTACTATGGGGGAGCCCACCGGATGCACGTGGATGCAGAAATCAGCTTCCGCAGTCCCTTGACCAGAAATGCAACCGTGCGGTGGGAGAGAGTGAGTTGCAAAACTTCAATTGCACATGATGGTAGCACCGTTGACTTCAACCTTGGTTTTGACCAAGTGGACTGGGATTTCGCCCAGAAGATCTATGGTTGGTCGGCATTCCAGTATCAAGCATGGCTGAAAGGAGGGATTGTGAACCACGGCACCACCACCCAAACAATTACACTTTTCACCGACAATATCATGGAGCTTTGGGTCGGCGACCTTCATGTTTTCGGCGGAGATTTCTTCGGCTTTGGTCGAGCTCCTCTTGTAGTGGACCTTCAACCTGGATGGACCAATCTCACTGTTCGTCTTGTCCGAGAAGTCCGTTCGATGGGAGGCGTAGGCCCTCCAACTGTGGAGTCAAGCTTGCGTGCTCAACCCGCTGTACCTGTTCTTCACGTCCTCGCAGATGATATTGTCTTACCTGACTTGGTTGACGGACGGCTCTGCAGCAATTTCGGTAGTGTCACAGTCAGGAATCAAGCCGGCGCATGGCTAACTGTCCGCCAATTGACCGCAATCTCGAAAGAAGAGATCGTCGGAGTCATGGATGAGGAGACAACACTTGCTCCGGGCCAGTCAAGGCCACTGAGAATGACGTTTGATGTTGCTCGGAAGCTTGACAACTTCCTGTTCTTTACTATGAAGTACTCGCAGGACGACTCAGAATTGCACCAACTCACATTCACTGTTGGGTTGACGCATACGAACGCATCCTCCTTGCAGAAGATCACATTCCTTCATCCCAGTGGCGTGGTCTCGTATGCGACGCTAAAGCCGCCCTCCGTGTCCTATGCATCAAGTCATGAGGTGGCAGTCCTCTTGAATCTCCACGGAGCAGGCGTTGAAGCGGGTGGTCCTCTGGCTCGCCACATGTTCGACGGTGCTCCTCATCTTCCGGCTTGGATCCTTAGCCCGACCGGGATGAGCCCGTGGAGCAGTGATGATTGGCATACCTGGGGGTTCACTGACGCTCAAGCTGCAGTGTCAGCCATTCCGGATTGGATCAAAAGCAATCATTGGAGAGGACCAGGCGTCCACACAGAGAGAGTTCTGGTTGCTGGGCATTCTAATGGCGGCCAGGGGGCGTGGTTTTATGCTTCTCATCAGCCTGATCGAGTTCTTGGCATCGCTGCTGCGTCGGGATATACTTCGATCGAGAACTATGTCCCGTATGTGATATGGACCGAAGCAGACCCTCTTCAGACCGGCATTCTTCACAGCTCGAGGGCAAGCTTTCGTCATGAACTCTTTGCTGAGAATCTGGACGGCATTCCCATATTTCAGCAGCACGGGTCAGCAGATGACAATGTGCCACCCTATCACTCTCGCCTCATGAACACTCTGCTTGCCCAGACAGGACACTTGGCACCTTACTCGGAGATGTTGGGTAAGGGACATTGGTTCACTGGAATCATGACGACGGCACCCATGATGGACTTCTACCAGCACCAACTGAACTTTTCTCAATGCCATAAAACTGCGCCAAGCCGCTTCATTTTGGTTGTCCCCAATTCGGATGATATGGGCTCCAAGTACGGTATTTTTGTCGACCAACTGTCGACGCCGGAGCGGTTGGGGAAGATAACGGTCTCGGTGACCGTGAACCCAACGAGCACATATTGGCATCTGCGTACAGAAAACATCCATCGCTTCCATCTGGATTCAAATGTGCAGCTTAGCGATCCTCCGAACGAGATCATGATCGATGACCTGCCCCATTCGTTCGAGGTAGGGTCGAACAAGGCATCATTCGTAAGAGATGAAGCCGATGTTTGGTCTCTGGAGGTCGCTCTCGACTGGAAAACTCTGGATAAGAGATACGGGCGCCAACGGGGCCCTCTGGATGCCATCCTGCGGAGTGTTGGTCCTTTTGAGGTGATTTTCGACTCGAATGACACCCTACCCGTGGCGGTACAGGCCAGTCGGAATTTCCTGCAGTACTTTGGTGCTGACACGAACATTGTTGCCCTCGCAGAGTACGAAGAAGTGTTGAAGAGAGAAGGCAATATCATCACAATCTGCCTAGGGGCTTCTGTACCCGGAGCCCGTATCTCCCACTTCCCTATCCAGATCTCCAGCGGATTCATAACACTCAGTACCAGAGATCGCAGGGTCATACACGTCCCCTTAGCAGCAGGCATGGGAGGAGTCTGGCTTCGGCCTCTTCCCGACGAGAAGCTGGAGCTGGTAGTCTGGGGCTATGACGATATTGGGTTGCGACAGGCTGCCAGGCTGATACCAACAATTTCCGGGGCGGGAGTGCCTGACTTCGTGATACTGAGCGACCAGGCAAGGTGGAAGGGCGCTGGAGGTGCCTTAGCGATGGGCTTCTTCGACCACAACTGGAACATATCTCCTGCCTCATATCTCCCGTAGTACATCTAGCGGAGCTGAAAACTCGTAAGTCTTTCCGAAGAAATTTGAGGGCTGCTGGGATACCGCCGGAGTCTCTGGCACAATGTTGTAGGTTCCTCTGGTAAGTTGCTCGACCTCTGTTGCTCCTTCTGCCTGGGATGAATGTCAACCCACGGCCGCGCCCATAACGACCAAAGGTTGGAAGCAGCCGCATCGCAACAAGGAGAGCGACCTCCCTCACGGTGAACATCTGATCTTGGCGCCTTCCTTGCTTCACTGACACGTTCTGCCAGCGACTGCCACCATCTGCCGTGATCTCTTTCTCACTCAAAACCATTCTCTCATTTCGTCCTCCACCTCTTCTCCCATCCTCCTCCACCTCGACATTTTGAACGCCTTCCTCATCTCGCAGACAATTTCTTGTCACTCTCGTTTGCCTTGACGGTGCTTCTCTTCCTCTCTTTCCTTGATCTATTGCCCTGGATATCCTTGCATGTTGTAAGGAACTCAGTCAATCACGACTCTTTTGGCGACGCCCACATGGCCACACTCGTCTCGACTGGTTCTCCAGCTGGCAAGATGAGTCGCAAACCAACCCCGACGACTGTCAAGGTCAGAGAGGAGAGTGATGATGTCTTGGTCACGGCGCCAAACACGCTGACAGTATGTTTGACTCTTTTTGGCTTCACTGCCTATTTGGCACTCACGCGCATTCACAGACTGCAACTGGCAATTCTCACTCAGCCACTTCCAACCGTCCTTCCTACAATATCTTGCAGACCGACAAGCTCAGCAACATCCAGCTGCCAAAACAGAAGGAGAAGGTATGCTACGTGCTTAATTCCAACTCTTTGTCTCCGCGAGCTGACTTCTCTTCAGACCACCACCAAACCATCTGAGTCCAACACCATGGGAGGTGGTGGCATGGAAGACATCTTGTCCCGTCTCAAGCTCAACGATGCTCGCAAACCGAGTGCCACTGCTCCTCCTCCTGTCGAGGTGAAATCCCGCAAACCTGATGACTTGAACAACCTCGATAAACTTCTCAACAATCTCCAGGATTCGAGCAAGACCCTGAAGAAGCAAGAGCAGGAACTTCGTAACGAAACTCAAACTGAAAATCACCGAGCCACCACCGCGCCAGCTCATGACAAGCCCAGCACTGCCAAGTCTGCAGCAACCAACAAGATCGACGTTGCTGAGATGATGCGCGTCAAACAAGAACTTGAGGCGGCTAGATCGGTCATTTCTCGCCAGGAACAAGAGCTTGCTGAGACCCGCAACCTCAAGCAAACCATTGATCAAGCCATGGGTCCGCCTTCTGAGGTAGACTTTGGTACAACCACCGATATTTCTGAGACCACCATCGGCCACCTCCAGAGTGCCTTTAACGCCTCTGCCCGCCCATTTACTTCGCAGAGTGGTGTCGGTGGTGCTTGGGCTGGCCAGGAAGATCATCGTCAGGACTTCCCTCGTGCTGGCCGTGGGATCTGGAACAACGCTTCCTCTTCCATGACTGAACTGTTGTCTACTAATCCCACTGGGCCGACATGGAACAACAGTTCTCGTGATGCTCGTCTCTCTGGACAAGCCTACAATGGTGTATACGGGGCTCCCTTCTCTCCAGCGGACTCCGCCTTTCAGCACCGCAACTTCTCTGGTCCGACCGGTCCGCTTGGCTATGACATGAGAACAAACAGTGACATGCTGGGCATGAACGCCAGTCTCGGTATGAGACGCAACGGTGCGCAGCTGAGAATCAATCCAGGTCTTGCTGACCCCATGACTCAACTGGGCAGCTACCCGCCAGGCGGTACCACTTTAACACCGCCACCAATCAGTCCTGTCGGTTTTCCCGGTCAGTACAACTACCAGCGAGGACTCAATACCCCCATCACTCCTGCTACTGATTTTGGTCCTGGTGGTGTCCAAAACGGTGGCCTTGCATGGCCGCTTTCGGCTGGTGGCGTCAATGCTCAGACCTATGTCACTCCGCTGGAGCCCATGAATTACCGTCGCCTTCTCGACAAGACTGTGACCTGCGACTGGAAGTATATTGTTGACAAGATTGTCTGCAACAATGACCAGCAGGCCAGCATCTTCTTGCAACAGAAACTCAAGGTTGGTACCGCCGAGCAGAAATTCGAGATTGTCGAAGCCATCGTCAATCAAGCCTACCCACTTATGATCAACCGCTTCGGCAACTTCCTCGTTCAGCGCTGCTTCGAGCATGGCACCCCAGACCAGGTCGTTGCCATTGCTAATGCCATCCACGGCAATGTCCTATCCTTGAGCATGGACCCATTCGGTTGTCACGTTATTCAGAAAGCCTTCGATTCCGTCCCAGAAGATCACAAGGCTGGCATGGTTCAAGAACTGCTTCGCCGCATTCCCGAAACGGTTATCCACCGCTATGCTTGCCATGTCTGGCAAAAGCTATTTGAGCTCCGATGGAGTGGTGAGCCACCTCAAATCATGCTTGAAGTCAACAAGGCTCTTCGTGGAATGTGGCATGAGGTTGCTTTGGGTGAGACGGGAAGCTTGGTTGTCCAGAATATCTTCGAGAACTGCATCGAAGAAGAAAAGCGTCCTGCCATCGAAGAAGTCATCGCCAATATCGACCTCATCGCCCATGGCCAATTCGGTAACTGGTGCATCCAGCACTTGTGCGAGCATGGCTCACCTCCCGACAAGCGACGCGTCATCGATCATATCTTGGCCAATTCCTACAGCTACAGCATTGACCAGTTCGCTTCCAAGGTGGTTGAGAAGTGCCTCAAGATTGGTGGACCGGAGTTTTTGGACCGCTATCTTGGAGTGATCACTACTGCTCACCCTGATCGTCCACGCATTCCACTCATCGACATTGCTGGCGACCAGTACGGCAACTACCTCATCCAGTGGATCTTGATGAATACTCACCATCATCAGCGCGAGCAAGTGGCCATTCACATTCGCAAGCACATGGTGTCCCTTCGTGGTTCCAAGTTTGGATCTCGAGTTGCTATGCTTTGCTGCAATCCCAACCAAGTCACACGTCCTGGTCCAGGTGCTGTTGTCAACCCATTCGGTGCTCCTGGCCAACCGCGCAACCAGTGGCCGCGCTTCCGCTAAGTCAAGACTTGGGGAAAGCTACGGCCAGAACACGCATCACACTTCAACATCTCATCTACTTACTGGTCATCTCTGTCAAGCTGAAGGTATTGTACAAGACTGTCGCTACAACAGAGGGGACCTACCCTGCACCTTGGAATACTGACGATGACTGACACTGAGAATGGCCGAGAGACTACCACTCCGGTGTTTGAAGTCAGTGTCATATCTTGGCCTGCAACTCTTGGCTGGTCCACATTCATTCCGACCTTACCAGACAACAATATTCAATTTGTATGTGTTTACTCAATATTGACAAGGGATGTGTCATATCTGCCATGGATTCGAACGACTCCCGGTTGACCTTGGCCGCGCGGGTGTCTAGGGACGGGAGACGCACCTTGTTGGCGGCAATTTCAGCAACCACCAGTGTTATGGGAACCCATGTTCATCACTCATGGCAATTGGGTGTGTATCTTATCATGTCCTTGACGATTGTCTTGCCGCAAGAGTGACTGGATCGGCAACAATAACCAAGCATGTATTCTCCGAAAGCAGGATCAACACATCCAGGATGATGGGGGAAATGTAACAGATAGTGAACATCATAGCTGAAACAAGTGCTCCGTATGATCTTCCGCTACGCGTCTTCTTCGAAGTTGGGGCTTGAACCCTGGTACGATGGTGTAGTTGAGCTTGTGGCATCTATTGACCAGCTGTGCGCGATGAAGGATCACGCCACAAGGATGGTGGCTACAGCAGAGCGCGACAATTCCTGGTTAACTGTAATGCTACTGCTTCACGGGCGCGGATTCAGCAGGCAATTTCAAGTGAGCTTTCCAGACGTTGATTTTCGTGAGCCCACAAGACATGCCTATGATGGGCCTGCCAGTTTCACAGCCTATCTTGTGCTCTTGCCCGCGCGCCCGAAACATGGCGGAGCGCAAGTGAAAAGCCGTCTCTCTCGTCCCGTCGTGCATGTTGCAGCGTGCGCGATACTCAATGTGATGGCGCCTGCCTTTGTCGCTGGGAACACCAGCAAGCAGTACCGTTTGCGTCGCTCGGGTCAAGTACCGTTTCATCACAGACTTGGCGATAGGTAATTGAAGGATCGGCGTGGAACTGCCGCTAACCCTACATCGTATTCGGGGCGCGAAGGTCTGTTCAGAGCATAGTGGACGGCCACACAGGCTATTCACTTTTGCCAGTATATCCGAAGCCCTGATGCTGCCGCAGAAACATGGGCCCACCTGGACGTGGCGCCTCGCTGGATCTCGCATTCAGGTAGACGCTCGTGCTCGATCTTCAGCTGGATCGTTGTGCCCGAGGATTCGCAGGAAGAATATGATTGTCGAGCAGGCTGTCTCAGTCTCAGTCGTTACTCAACAGCCCGCTCGGGGCGACGGCGTTTGGTTGCAGCATTTTGACCACGCCTTGATCTTGGCCGGACCGCACAGTCCCATTTATACCTCTGTCTTTCATGGCGTCGCTTGACTCGGCAGTCTCTTCTTCGTCCTTGCGCTCATCAGACCTCGTTGCCCCTGCACTGGTCGAAGTGACTTGCTGCTTCTCCTCTCCCATGCTAGGAGTAGTCGGAGTGTCGGCGTCCTTCTCCCAAGGCTTTCTCCGTCGCGGCGTTTTGTCAACTTTGCTTGTCCCGGGTTCGAGGACGGTGGGTGGGATGTCCTCAATGCCGGGGATGGGGAGGTTGCGGGTGATGAGGTCTACGATTGCAGCGAACGAGGTCGGGTAGGGTGGCTCGGCTTCTGCGTTTGGGGGAGTTGAGACAGCTGGCGATGAAGGTATGGCGGGATGTTGTTCATCTGTCGGCCGTTGAGCATCCGTCGCACCCCTCGTTTGCGTCGATAGCGGATCGGCTGACACGGTCGAGACGACCGCTGCATTATGCGTACCGCGCGCAGTCTGTTCTTGAGTATGATGGACATGTGGTGTAGACGAGCGCGCTTGCGAGCCAGCCCATTCCAGATATTTCCCCGGATCAATAGGCGGATCAACGTTCAGCTTGCGTGAGAGGTAGAAGCATCGGGCTTGGAGGACGAGACCCAAGTTCTGGCGCAGTTCTTCTGGCGTAGCTGGCGTGTCAGGGTGGCCTAGGATCGCCGCTAAGCCGGAGAGGAATTCTTGATCAGCGTGGAAGGGGTACGAGGTGATTTGGCTGTATATTGTTTCGAGAGAAGGTGGGCTGGAGAGGTGTATGGTGTTGGGTTCGCCTGAGCCAGTGGTGGTCGGTGCGGCAAGCTGCACAGCCTCTTCTTGTGACGGGTCTATGGTGGCCATTGTATGAGACTATAGGTACAGTACTATGGAGGTGCAGTCCACGCAGTGGAATATGGAACTTAGGACGCGATACAGATATAGCCGGGATTCGGCTTGGGAACAGAAGTTGAAGTTGGAATGATCCCGTTTGCGGGGAATTCTCCACGCCGCATTGACGTAGAGTTCGTATGGAAAACTGGAGGACGAGTAACCCAGGTAGGCAGGAAAAGATACAGCAGGAGGAGCCCTATTTCTTCCAGCTCTTCATATGGGTCCAAAGGTCTTTCGTTCTGTAGTTATCTAGAAGTCGTGTGTGTCCCCAACACGAGACCTGGCTACTTTTCCGCTGCACACAGGCTTGTCGCCGGATCGACTGTCCCGCAGCTTATGCTTGCAACTCGGAGTTTGCTATCGAGCATCCGCAATAGGCGGCTTGTCAAGCTGTCTCAACGGTTAGCCGGCTGGGAAGGCATGTCTGACAAGCTCATGCCTTCCAGGCTGTTGTTCTACTTTTCACTTCCTATCGCGGAAGACTTACTATCTCCAACTCAGTCCTGGCTGGTACTTTTCCATGTTCCTACCCCCCGTACGGATTACAGTGTCGTCAGTGTACTCCGTACAACCTTGGAGCATCCTAATCGAGGCACTTAAAAGCCTAGAGAGCTCAGCCAATCGGACGGCTCTAGTCTGGGGTGCTGGCGCTTGTTTCTGGTGCTGGCCGCTTGAGCTCATGGCCAGTGGCTCACTAATTACTGTACTATCCTTCTACACACTAAGTTCGTTCATTTATTCCTCCTTACAACACGACTAGAATTAGACCCGTCGAAACCTCCCCCCTTCACTCTCGATACGGCACTCCCTCCACGACTGCAAACCGGTCAATCGCTTGGAGACACCTCGAAGCAACCGCTTAGGAAGTCCTGACACTTGGGGCGTGCTTTGGCCCCAACCTCTATTAGGGAATTCGCGAATTCGCGTTTTAGCGACGTTCACTATTTCTGCTACCACCTTGACACAAGTGACCTTTTGGCTCGTTACCATCAAGTCAATGCTGACCTTCTGTCGATTTTTCTCCTCAATTAGCGCTCTGTATTTGTCCTGCATTGGCGCTCGCAGCTTCGACTTGAGGTTAACAACCCTCACTGACTCAATCCCGCCTACATGAGTTTACACTCATGGCAGATAAACATCCTGCAGCGGCCTCCCCTGACAACTCATTTTCCGATGGTCAAAGCAGAGCTCCATCAACTATGGACTACGTATCTGACTCTGGTTCAGATGTCATTGAAGAGTCCACTGAGCAAAGATTCACCCGCTTAATCGACGAGCACGAACGCAGTTTCAAGCAGAAGTTGAGAACACTCACCAGCTTTGCCAAAATCCTGGCAGACGATCATGCAAAGTCGATCAAACAACTGAGGAGAGCGTGCAGAGACTATATGGCAACGGAGACAGAACATGTCGAACCTACGCAGAACACCAAATCTTCGCGGCACGCCGCTGCTCATGACAAAGAAGCTGCCCAGAGGTCAGAAATCCCGAGTCCGGCTATACCATTAACTTCAGCTCCGGTCGAGCAGGAGCCTCCGCTTCGCCACATGGAGCATCGCGGAGATAATGCGGATGATGACGAGGCTGAAGCCGTGGCCGATATCAATCATGAAGAAGGGTTGTCACCAGACTACAGTGATGCCACCACAGCGAACATGCCCCATCGGATGCACCTAGCAGCGTCCCAAACTCCAGTGTCAACTCCAAAGCCGAACATGGGCGGACCGGCTGGTGGGCAGCCTCCTAAAACTAGTCCGGTGGGGACTCCGAAGGTGAGATGGGCAGACGAAGAAGAGCAGCGCATGATAAGTATTATCTACAGGTTGTCCCAGGAGACTGAACAGGAGGGGACGAAGGGCGACATGTGGAGACGTGCAGCAGTGATGCATCAAGAATATGGATACAACCGTACCTGGGGACAAATGGCTGCAAAATGGTCAATGCAAACTCGTCACAAGTGCAAGCTATTGGGCTATACCTGGGCAGAAAACGTGATGATGAAGAAGCCCCATATGCCACGGAAGAAACGCGCACTGTCCCCCGACGACCAAGTATCCGTGGACTCTCCCTTGAATTTCAAGGAGAAACGAGCGAGGAAGAGGTCCAGGGAAAGTCTCAAAACCGAAGCCACGGCATCGAAACGGAACCGCACCCCAAACCAGCCCCTCGGCCACCACAGTGAACTTCAACTCCGATACACCTTTGAGGGTGCATCCAGTGATATTGTTCAAGTGGACTGGTCGCCAGATGGGCAGTATTTTGCTGCTGCAGCTAATTCTGTCGTCAACGAGGACAGCAACTTCTCTGAAAACCGACCGCGCAACCTGCTCTACGGCTCAGTTCCCACGAAGACGATTCGTGAGTTGCCCGAGCATCGCATCGAGCGGCCACAGGGTCAGCCGCAGCATGTCTACACGACTGTCAGTGCCGTCAGATTTGGCCCAACCGGCCATAGAATGTACACGGGCGGATACGATAACAAGTTGAGAGTCTGGGACGTCGAGGACGAGACCCAGATTGGGTGCAAGGCGGAGTTGCTCTACAAGAACAAGAGGATTGAAGTGATGGACGTAACTGGAGATCAGACCACGATTGTTGCTACTGGCACTCACAGTGGAACAAGATCTGTTCGCGTATTCATTGGCGACGCGGACCTCACTGCCGATTGCCGGGAAGTTCGCCCTCTCCGAGAGATGGGTATGGACGTATTTCCGTATGCTCCTACCTGTCTGAAGTTTGGCAAAGGACAAAGTCAGAACAGACTGATCGCCGGCTTTGGACAGGACAGCGACACTCTTGATGGGACCTTTGGCCCCGGTTGCATGCTTGTGTGGGAGTTTGCCGAAGCCAAAAGCGTGGCGATGCCCTTTGACCGAGGCAACACGTTTGTGTCCGATTGTACGTGGTCTCCCAGTGGCGACCTCTTCGTCGTTGGCGCCGTGACGGATCCCTTGGACAAGAAAGAGCCATGGGAGCACTCCGTCGTGAAACTATACTCGACAAGAGAACAGCAACCGACGATGAGTTTCCGCTGTACAGCAAGAGACATCAATGATGTGACGTGCGATTTCGACCTTGTCACGGCCTCGTGCACCGACGGTTCGACCTACGTCTGGGATCGACGCCACCCGCGAGTCCCCGTGCATATCTTGAGGCATGGCAAGCCGGTCGGCGGTTACGCTCAGGGACTTGATCGCGAGCTGAATGATGTTGGTGTGAGATATGTGGAGTGGTCTCGCAACGCTGGCCAGCTCTATACCGGTGGCAGTGACGGGTTCCTCAAGCTGTGGGATAGCCGTCGCTCACAAGCTGATGTCCTTGTCCAGGATGTTGTGGACATTGGAAACGAGATACTCTGTGGCAAGTTCTCACCCGACCATTCGTCTCTGGTGATTGGTGATGAGGACGGCCGTTTACATCTTTTCGGCAAGTCACAGACACCACTGCCGAAAGAGGACTTCAAGTTCATGTTGGCGGAGAGGTGGGCGGGGCAACCAGCGGGAGGGTCTTCGGACTAAGTAATGCCGTAGAGAAGTGGTTGAGCGGGAGCAGAGGATTATTTGCCAGAGGATTATTTGCCAGAGTTTTGGTTCGGTCGATAGACAGGAACAAGGACATGCGGGATGGATGTTGGGATGTTGAAGAAGATTCTTTGTTGAGTTGAGCAAGTTACAGCGCGGTGATACCTGAGATACCCAAGATACCATTCTTAGACAGCTTCTTACCCGATGTAACACGGGCTTTTGGTTCAGAGGACGAAATCAGAGGCATGACCGAGCCCTGACAATTCAGCAGTATCCCCCGGACGGGAACCATGTGTGTCGAGATATCGGGACTCATCAAATTACCGAATCATAGTCTGTGAACAACGTCCGACTCACCTGGACTGGACCGAGTCATAAGTACCTCGGCGGTGACTAGACTCTTCAAAACATGAAGTCGTAGCCCTGAAGATAGAAACATGACACATACCTATCCTAGCAAGTGAATCTCCAGCGCGCTCGTAAGGCTCCGCCTGGTGACGTCGGTGCCATTGCTAACATCCCATCCTCGTAAATCGAAGAGATGATGGAGACTCCAAAGACACTTCTTCGCTTGGCTACCGTTACCCAGAGCACCGAGGAGGCTGTCCTGAACTGGACATTCTACAATCTCCAGCCGCGCAAACTTACCTTAGGGACAGAGAACAGTCAAGCAGCAAGGCTCCGTTTCCAAAGGCGAATTGCGCTGGGGTGTCGCTTCAGGTCATCTTCCTCGCCGTCGTACAGACTAACCCGACCGTGGTTTGAACTGCTCGCCACCAGGAGATTGCAACAACTTACACACAGTTGCAGTACTCCGTACAGTCGGTGGTACTTCATCTAGGCTGTTCTCTATTCTCACTCTCTCCATCTCCTCAGGGCGTATCGCGATCATTTCGACGTCGTCGAATGCGGACGTCTACCTGATCGAACCTCTCACACCGAGTTGAGCTGAACCAAACCTTGTTTGTCTACTGCTACTCGCACTGTTCGGCCACCATCACTGCAAACATCATCGCCAAAATCCCTGGAACGCTATACCTACAGCATCATGTCCACCTCCACCTCCACTACCACCACCAGCAAGTTCACCCCCGGCCGCCTCTGCCTGACGCTCGTCTCCCTCAATACAATGCTGTCGCCCTACCTCGCGGACTGGAACGTCACGCACGTCAAGAACCCAAATTGGCCACCCCACGCGCGGTTCCACAACGGCCAAACCATGAGCATGGGTTTGTGTTTGGGCGTGTTGACCGCGTACTTTACGTGGCGGCCGGCATTCTCAATCACGCGCTCGTCGGGCGCGCGGGCTGCGGGCGCGGACGCGGGCGATGACGGCACGGGCATGACGGAGCGCGAGAGCGTCACGATCGCGGCACTCTTGGGCGCGCTTTACTGGGTCACGGCGCTAAGCGCTATATTGTACCCCGGGACGGCGTGGGTTGATCCGGAGTTTGGGACGGGGGCGCCGCAGGTTCCGGTATTCGTGGCGAGCGCGGTCGTCAGTTGGGTGGGGTGGGGGTTGGAGATGAGGAGGCTGGGCAGGGAGAGGGCCAAGCAGAAATAGAAGCAGAAGCGAGGGTAACGTTTGCAAGGAAAGGGAGGGAGGGGAGAGTCAGGAGTCGTGGATAGGTATCTGATGTCTGATATTTGGTACTGTATCTCCAGGCGCGGACCACCGCTAGTGGTCGATTTTCAGGGAAAAGTCTACGTGCGGGACGCCTTGGTGGACGGCGCTCGTCGATATTATGTCGATATCTGGGGTGGGTGGAGTGGTCAGCGATAGCGAAGGGGGCACTGGGCCGGGCTAGAGCAGTACGTATCTGCTCGTTGGGATTGAACGGATACCACTTACCGTTGTTTATATACGCTTCGACATTCGCCTCGGTCAGTCCGCCGCTACTCTCCAGTAGCACATCCGCTCGCCCTCTCTCTTTCCACCTCTGCTTCAGGTTCTTGGCCGCGACCTTGAGCCCCTCGCCATCAAAGTTATCCAGCATGACCACGTCGGCGCCCGCCTCGATGGCCTCATCGGCCTCTGCCTCCGACTGGACCTCGACCTCGACTTTCAGCGCAAACCCGCCGACCGCCCTCGCGGCCTTGACCGCGTTCGTGATCGACCCTTTGGCCCAGATATGGTTATCCTTCAACATGATCATGGACGACAAGTCGTGCCGGTGTCCGTCAATCCCGCCGACCAACATGCCGTACTTTTCCACCAGGCGGAAGCCCGGCGTGGTTTTCCGCGTCCCCGCCAAAGTCCCCCTGTAGCCTGCACTTCTCACCAATTCGAGCATGTGGCGGCTCCGCGTCGCGACGCCACTACACCTCGCCAACGTGTTCAGCGCGACTCTTTCGCCCAGGAGCAGCTTCCTCGTTGGACCCGTCACCGTCGCGACTTTGATCTTCCTGCCGCTCTGATCCTTGGGGCTGAGGAACTGGCCTTCGTTGTAGTGCCAATGGACCTCGCAGTCTAGTTGGCGGAAGACTTCGTTGAAAAAGGGCACGCCGGCCAGGACGCCCGCGGATTTGCAGAGGAGTTGGGCGGTGCGTGGTTGTGAGCCGACCACGAAGCCGCCGTAGTCGAAGGAGGGGGTGTCTTCGGCCAGCCATGTTGTTACCAGGGTGGTGAAGTGAGAGGGCAGCAGGTCTGAGAGGGAGCCATGTTGGTCGTGCGAGCCCGAGACGCTGGTGGGGAGTGGGAGGTCTGCAGGCGAGGTCATGCCAGGCAAAGGTCTGTGCGGATTACGGTCAGCCGATATGTGGTGTGTGTATAATCCGAGGGCGGCGATTAATGGCTGTTTATAAATGTGGCTATACGAAGGGGTGCTGGAAATCTGTTAAGCTTCAAGTGATATATACATCTAATGTCTCATGTCAACGCGCCGAGACTCGACTTGCACTTTTTACCCCGCAAGCCGAACATAAAACGAGGTGGGGAAGCAGATGACTTCACCTTCACTTGAAGTTCAGAAACCTAAATTAACGTGCTGCTGGTGGGAAAGCCAGCTGAATTCACGCTCATTCAAACTTGGAGGTTCAACAATTATGTATCCCGCACCCTCGCCTCGCTTACTCGCTACAAACCTTAGATTGTACGATGAGCATTACCCGTCGTAACAAGAAACAACTCCTGGGCTCTGCCAGTGAGGGTCCTTGGGTTTTCCTAGTGGCCAATGTCGCGGACCATGGTGCTCGAATGTGCTCAGCGCTGTGGCGGTTCTGCCTTTCTTCCTGATTGCCTACTTCATGCTCTTCGCTGGTGAGGATGTCATAAATGTGGCAGACCATTGGGATATTGCCGAGTGGGTTTCGCAGAGTGGCGGAAGAATGAGCTAACCATGGATTGCAGGTTGCTGGCTGCAGGTTGATTTTTCACAACGCAAGCATTCATGGAGGCCGAAGGCGGGAGGTACGCAGCTAACAGCATTCTCTGGGCCATTTCAAGCTCAAAGTCTGAAGAATATACAGCATCATCTCCACGATATCTCGGAAGGGAAGGCTCCTGGCTTCGCAAAAGGTTTTGGCAGCTGCCCTGTGTTTCCATTCTCGACGCCGGACAAAATGTATGACACTCGTAATGTTGGAGGTGCAGCTTTCTCTTAAGGTTTCTTGTCCTGTTCAAGCTCACAGGAAAACACTGATTCCGTAACACACCGTTCTCTGGAGACATGTTCGCCATGGACTCAGGTCTGGGTCTCATAAAGCATGTTTCCTGCTTCATCCAGCAGTAGTGATCAGGCAAGGCCCGAGGCTCGTTGTTCAGTTTCTTGTCTGGAGAACTTCGTCGACAAGGTACAGATCCGTCTAATTAATACCCGGATGTGGTAGGTAGACGGGTTGTTCTCGCATATAGGGACTACATTGAGGTCAATGAGCACGCATGGAGGATTTGCTAATCGTCGCGTTGGCTGACATTAGAATGACACCGGAGAAGCGTATGAGAGATTCGGGCAGAAGTTGCCACCAGAGGCATGGCCGACCAACCGACCAAGGCCTAGGAAGACCTGCAAGACCGAGGGAAGGCAATGGCAAAAGAGCCCCGAGATTGATGGTGCTCGAATCAATAGACCACCGAGAGGAATATAACGAGGCATGTTGAGCAAGGAAAAGGCGCTAGCGAGGCACAGGAACGCCGTGTTGGGTCGGTGCTGATGCTGCTTCCTGGGTTTCCCTCTGCAAGGGTGAATGAGTAGTGTTGGAAAGGTCTCTCCGGTACGGCTTATCGACTCTGTCCGAGTATGCGGCGAAGGCGGGAGTTCTCTATAACAGTCAGCCTACGTACACACTGATAAGAAGGGCGAGACCGCTGAACACTGGCAGTAAGTCACGCCCAGCACAACGTCAAGTTTGATGGCTGTCATATTGAGGTTGTCAGATGGAATTGTGCACATGCCTAGAATGCTTTGTTTGCCCTTGGAAGTTTGCCAATGCATATGTCGTGCTTCTGCCGCGTTCGTTGCTCTCAGTCCGCCGCCGGTGTCGGCGTCCTTTGCACCGCAACTGCTTCTGTACCATGCCACAACGCCGAGTAGAGGAACGCGAGCAGAGGATCATTGGAAATCGGAGAGGCCCGACCATGCTGTGGCTCCTGAAGGCTCGGCTTGTGTTGGTGACGTGCGGTCGCTCTGGCCATCCTGTGTACAACTGTCCCCGGGGGTTGCTTACAGCTCACAGACAATGGGCATCCGCAGCTGGGGACAGAGGTAGGGTAACCCTTCAGAGCAATTGATAGAAAGCCACTCCCATAGGTCTTGGGTTTCGAACGTGGCAGCAGACAGGGGACTGATTCGCCTCGGAGGCGCAAACCTCGACAGTCAGATCGAGTTGTCTAGAACGAATCCAGCAGCAGATTCCGAGGAGTGCAGCAGCCCAAATTAGACCAAGCCTCCCCTATTTGGGCAGCTTCTAAGCAGCGAAAATTTGCGTAAAGGCAGACGGACCCAGATAGGAGAGGTCCTTTAGCGAATGACGATTGAAGATGTAGGACGGACCGTACTCCGCAAAACAGTCGAGAGACCGTCACCTCACCGCCCATGCGCCCTGAGGAGACCGGCGCAGACAGTTTGTCGACCCTGCATGACTTGCGCGCCGAAGCGCTGAGCCATGATGCCTCAGGGTGACGTCGTTTCGGTCTACCACAGGTATGGTTGTGGTCATCAGCTGTGTGGAGTTCATTCGAAGAGTGAATACACCTCCTGACATGCACGTTCAGGTGTCATATAGTTGAGATATCCGCTCCTGAATATTCATCCTGTACTTGGTACATTAGACCAATCAGCATTGTCACTCAGCAAGGCGCAGGGTGCTCATATGAGGAAAGTCCCAGACGTATGGCGGCCAGCGGCATAGCCAGCCTTCGGGCGCCCACCACCAGCCAATGAGCGGGCACCCTGAGGCAAGCGAGTCTTTCATTCGCCGTGGGCTGCAGAGGGAGACCATAAGCGGGCGCTGAAGCAGTAAGTGAGTCTCAGCGTCAAGCTGTGCGACTGACACGATCCCTCCAGCCCATGTACTGCGACAACAATGCGGTCACGACCTACGCTGGTCGGTCCCTTGTGAGGGAGATCGTTGACGTTGAGAGACACACTGCTCGTTTCTGGACGCCGAGTCTTCTTCAGTTCTCCTTCACCCGGTCAGATGGACGGCATGGAAAGGGTCGAACTTCGCAGCTGTATCTGGAATAGTAGGGAGAGAAAGATAGTATCAGGCTGAGACAGTGGCTTGACCCCACACACACGACAGAGATGAAGATCTGGGAAAGAAGATCTTTGACAGCTGTACCAATGTGAGTGAGAGAGCGCCGACTTGTGCCGTACCCAACATCTGCGACAGGAATTGTGGACACCACCGGATCAGCGCAGGCAAAGCAGGCCAATCATCGTGATCGTCTTGTGAGGGAACACAGGTAAGCCAGTTGTGTGTTACCTTGTCCCGATATAATTGTTGACGAAGCTCTCGCACTCGGCATTTGCTGATGGCGTCTGTCCACGTGGCGGGTCACAGTGGCAAGTCCGAGTCGGGCCCCCTAAAATTGGGCAAAGCATGGGCAATGTACTCGGCTCCATGGTGACAGGGATATGCGTGTTTGCTACCGATAGGCAATCACCAGGTACAACGAAAGGCCTCTGGGCAGAGCACGGCTGAGATCTTGTCATGTAGGTGGTCGACCCGGTGCCGGAAGATCTTGGTTGGAAAAGGCTTCCACGACATGGACATGATGAGGATTGCTGAAGGTCGCGTGGTATGGTTTGTTTGCCTCTGTACCTCAACCAGTGGTTGGTAATTGGAGCAAACAGAAGCGATCCGGCATTGGCCTCCGGGAAGCAGACCGAGCTGCAGTGACAGGGATTCGTTAGTTACCAGGGCAGGCTGGAAGCAAAGCGGCGTGGCTCTTCCAAGGCCGCAGGTGCATCGACCGGGCGAATGTTACCAAGAGCGATTGACCCTGGCTGCTGTCTAGAGTGTTAGCTGGCCTCATCGCGAACTCGCAGCAGGAACGGTGAGCCGCCCATCGATGTTTGATCTGGGAAATGTGAGCTCAGGCTGAAGCTGGGAGCAGATCTCAGCATGAATTACGTCCCTAATGCGAGATTCTGCAACGAACGTGTGAGTCGGCTGAGTGCAGTGCAATCTTCGACGTGAATGTCGAGCGCAGTGCTCAGGGGATGTGTCGGTGACATTCTGCACAGTACACCGCGAGGACAGATAGGATTGGAGGCATAGTCACGTGATTATATGACATTCACGTGATGCAGATCGCGACTTTGCCTAGATCGAGCTGCCACCAGCTGCCACTTTGGACTTAACGCAAATGCGCAGTTTCCCTCCCCATGGCCCAGAGCAAACAAGCTACACACAAGCTACAGTAGCGCATTCGGTACGTGGTATTCATGGCATCAAGTCGTTTACTCCATACCAATGTCCCTCATGATATAACGGGTACGCTACCATAGCCTGTAATCACGGACTACGATGAGATTGCCGAGTGCGGGCTCCAAGAGCCCGCTGGATCTACGCCTCTTCGGACGTCTCACAAGCCTATGTGCACCCCTGTCAGTGCAATCAGCGTGGCTCCTGAGAGAATCTGGAGACCTTTAACCAAGACTCCTTGGTCCGGCCGCCATGATCGACGTACCAGGTACAGTTACCTCGTGTACAGTCGTCCGGATGTGGCTAGTAGTCTCGGCCTCGATCCAAGGCGGCCGTTCTGATGCATTGGATCCTAGGAGCTGGACCGTTGAGCCTGCATGGACGCAGGCACGCCATCGAGGATTAGTGCATACCAAGCTGAGCGGGCTGCGGTAGCTTCTGCTTGAGCGCCCAAACCCCTGGTCAGTGTACGGTTGCCGGCCCAAACGCTGCCAGCGTAGTAGGTTGATGCCTCTGTGGAAAGTCAACCATCTCACACTTCACCAAACGGAGGCTGAACGTGCCTTTCTGTTCCACTGGCTCGCACGGTCCTGGTGCAAGACGATGGCAGCCTTCAGAATTCAAAGGCGCCTATGATGTGCATAAGGCAAACCACTCCCATGGAAGCGATTACGGCACGATCCGATGACGAAATGCAGGAGACGAACAGCCGTCGCGAGGCTAGCATCCAAGTCGAGGCAACCGGAGACGAAGTTTGATCCCGCCAGGTCCACAGAGCGCGTCGAGTGACCAAGCCTCGCCACCTTTGGTATGAGTAACGCCTCGTATGTTCCTCGTGCATCCCCTCCAGAACGAGCCTTTGCTACGCCCACTCCGCTTTGCCATCTTCGCCTCGCCCTCCCCCGCTCCCGGATCCCTCTCATCTTTAGGCAGGTCTCTGTCTTTGTCTGGCTCTGCTCACCTTTGGTTGCATCTCCGCACAAGGACGGTGGCGGGCCCCTAATCCCTGCCGCAGTGAGGAGCTGTCCAGCACACAGGTTGTGCCTCTACCCTGGTCTAGTGGACCACCTGTGTCGATATCAAGTTCGCACCTTGCTGTAGTTGATCCCTCAACATCTTATCCTACCTTCTACTCTATTCTCGACCTCATGTCCAGAAGCTGATCAACTGGTCGTTTTGACTTCTTCACCTCGAAAACTCCTCCGCCCCATTGCTGCTACCTCGACTTTGCACCTTGAGCAAAGCTTTACTGTTCTGGACCACCTTTCCCCTCCTCTTTCCCCCTTCCCGTGCCTTTGCGTCGACGGAGGTATCCGCAACGCTCTGCAACAGGCGAAAACGGGCCCACAGCAGCAACTGCGAGCTTCGAACTTGTCATATTCCTTCCTTTTTGACAGCAGTGACAGATTCCGTGGTCCCAACGCTGTGCCTGTATTCATCCGCTTCGATTGTGTTTGACTGGCCTTCTATCAGGTGTTGCACTTCCAGAAATGACCGAGTATGCGCCACGAAGCAGTCAGGATTACAATTCCTTTCCATATAATCAGCACCTCTCGATGTCGCATTATTCCAATGGCAACGGCCTCAACTACCTCTATGGCAATGGTCAGATTCAGTATTCGACTGTCAATTCACAATGTTCAACATACTCACCAAGCTATGCTCCAAGTCAAGGAACGTCGACGACTCCCCTCTATATGCCTACCACCTCTGGGCATCAACTTCACTACTCTCTTGCAAACACACGAATTCCCCCCACTCTACCTTCACAGTCCCGTACCTATCCGTCGCACTACGTCAGCTCTTCATCCCACCGAACCTCGTCGCATCATCAGCGGCTTGCTTCTCCACGAGACTACAACTCCATGGATGGTACAGAGTGCCAGGATTCACCAAATCAAGATACGATGCTATCCGAGCCGGTTGTCCCACCTCTCGATGGTTATCCAGATGTACACGATTTTGATGAATTGATGAAACGGTGAGTTGCGTGCGTCGTTGTGGAAGGTAGTGCTGATAAAGCAACTTCAGCTATGTCCAGGACTTATCGCCCAAGAAACAGGACAAAGCTTTGATCCATGCCCGCAGAGCCGCCAACATCAAGCATGTTCTCATTGACAAGAAGACGACCTCAATAGAATCAGCACAGTTCAGGTCCGTTGCTCAACTATCAAGACAAGGCTAGATCTGGGTCGAGGGTTTGATTTACTGATGCCGCCTCCTAGATTTTGGGTTAAGAAGATGTTCACCCTCGAGCCGAAGGAGGGCAAAATACCGGACGTAAGTCACTGTAATCGGTTCGGGAACACGGCGCTAACTCACCACAGCATCTCAAGAAAATTTGCCATGAAGGCAAGCCAGTCGCGGTACGAGAAAAACTGTTCAAGATTCTGACCAAAGCACACAAACAATGCCAGCATGGTGGCCGGGACAAAACCTCTGCACAGGTTAGAAAAGTATACTCATGGTATGGACTTAGACAGAGAAAGGAGTGGCAATGGCATGCTAACCATGCGTACCCAGGGTGCCGAAAGAACTCATCTCGCGCTTCGTCAAGCTTTGTCCCACCTGCCAGGTGAGACGAGGGACCAGCCGCAACTCGCCGCCAGAGTCAGTCAAAAGCCCAAAAGCAAACATAGAGATCCAGTCTCCGGAGACGTACTCGTCTGCCGGTTCACGAAAGAACTTGAGGGTCGGCGGGATCACAGCGACTACTGCCAGTTTGCCTTTGCAGACGGCCGGTTTCAAGACCACCCCAACTTTTCAACAACAGAACCGCTGGATGACACCAATACAGCCACAGGGTGAGAGCGCACACGTCTCTCCAACCACCACGCAGAATACTATCAGTCGCCACGACTCGTACAACACGATGTCACAAATGCCCATGAGCTGTACCAATGCCAATCCACCAGGTCTTCACTACTCCTCTCTCAGCGGTTACGGGACTACCAATGGGACTTCAAATGGATTTAGCTCATCATCGTTATCCCAGCCACATGGGCATGTTTCAACAAGATCGACATACGACGGCAAAGTCCATGCGCATTACATGTGAAGCTGAGCTGTGCCACCTGGCAGTGCCTTTCAGATGACGCAGTCCGCCTCTATCTCGATGAAACCTTTGGGGCGTATGTCTAAAGGGTTAGGCGGGGTTGTGATTTGAGGACATGAGATCTCCTTTCTTTGCTTCCGCGGCTGAATCGGCAGGGCTGAAGGTCCTGGCGATTGCGCACTTTCCCCATGGCACCGTTTTTTTAGGGCCTCCTCCCGCACAACCTTCGGGTGATCACTCGTGTTGATCATATCGTTTTGGGACTTCAGGCGCAGGGCGAGGAATACAGAAAAGTCTTTCACAGTTGTCACGATGACGAATGAATGCTTCAGGCCATATGGAACGAAAGGAACTTGGAAGGAATACAGGCGCTGTTCGGTTTCGGATTTATCTCTGGCATTGGTCCATAAAAGCTGGGCGCAATGTCTCGAGTGGGAAAGATGACGCCACGTGGAGACGCCGAGTCTTAGGTTCCTGGTTGGTTCGGGCATGGGTTTCGAAGGAGATAGCAGTTGCGCAGTCCTCTGCATGACCATGACAAACAGACGCCTACAGAAGTAGCGACCGAACAGCTTTGGTGGTCCACTTTATGAACAACGGACTCATAACTCATTACTAAATCGTAAAACCTTGAGCCACCACTGAACATAACCTCCAGGAGGCTTCACGAAATGCGGTGTGCATGAGGAAGATGGAATTGCGGCCCGATTTGCAAAGCTGACCATGGCTTGAGTCTCGACCCTTGACCCTCGGAAGGAGAAGCCGATGATGTCTCGCATCTTTGCCACGATCCTGCCGAGTGGTAGGATTGCTTGGAAAGTCCTCCGCATAACCCTACCGTGAGCATGCGGCACACTGTGTCGTCCTGGATGGCACAGTCACCGGCAAGGGTATGCAGCTTCCAGGCACACAGAGGAGGGAGTCGCCAGCCGACCAGTCAGAGATGTAGAATGCTTTTGAAACACGTGCTTGTCTTTTTCTTCTTTTTCACTTGGATGTGCTCTTGGCCGAGAAATGAAGTTTCAGGCACATTCACTTCTACTTCAGGAATACATCCGCCAACGGTGATAAAAACTCTGCCGCAACCTCTTTTCGAACAGAAGGTCGCGATAGATTTCTCCACTGGGCTATATCCGGTGGTGGCCAACCATCCGGTCTACTCCCAAATCACGTCCTGATGAACGCCGATTTGACAAGTCAAGTAGGCAAACTATGGCACCTTTCGCACGGTACGTTCGTTCGGTTGGTCGCTTGGTCGTGGGTCGGGTCGGTGGAATGATTGGCGTGGGTTCGAAGTCGAAGGGTGGTGTTGTTGCAGCAATTCGTCTCTGGCACGCCTTCTAGCCCGGTGCTAGTTTGACCCGATGCCATTGAGAGATTGTGGCAGCTTTTAGGCTTGTTTCAAATGTATATGACGACTACTGGTGGGTAAATGTGACTGGAATGTGCTTGATATACCTACTGCCGAACCTACAGAGTGGAAGTGAATGGAGTGTCAAGTGTTTCTTACATGCGAGGCTGGCTCACGAGGCTCAAATATTAGGGACTGTCAGTTCGTATGGAGTACGGAGTACCTATGTCTCCTTTTACGGGACGCGAGCGGAGCAGAATTTTGGCAGCTGCTTGCCGAATTGATCAAGGCCGAGTCGCGCTTGTGCGAATGCCACATCAAAGATAGCCACGGACAGCCTCGATTGAATGCGTGTACGGAACACACTAGGTAAGCAGGCTGGGAGGAAAAGGAGAAGCTCCAACTCGGAGCTTACGGAGAGCGGGGCAGGGACCATAGCCCACTGACCAATCAGGAACGGCCGTTGAATGCGCGTCTCGTCCCTCCTGCGGCCAAAAAGTTGTTGAACAGGGTGGCATGTTGCGCATCTTCAATCAGCATCTTACATTTCACTCCCATCCGACGATCGCACTGCAGACATTCTCAGCGCTCAATCCTTTGCTTGCCTGGACACTTTGCTTGAGTTTGACGCGTCCGCCAGACACTCCACATACACACACTACCGACCCGGGGGCCGGCTGCTGCTGGACACATCCTCAATCGGCGCAGCACTCAGCTGCTGGCTCCTTGCTGAAAGTTGCCCACTATGAATCTTTTCCGGTTACTTGGTATGATCCCGCGAATAGAACATGCTCATGGCGCGCAGTGTCACTGACGGAATGCTCTGTGCAGCGGACCTGTCGCACCTGGTCTCGATATTCATCCTGCTGCACAAGATGAAGGTCTCGAACGTATGTCTGGCCTTGCATGCCCTCTCGAACACCTCTCGCCTGGCCTGGGACTAATTTGACGGGCGGCGAAACAGTCGTGCTCAGGAATATCCTTCAAAACCCAAGCGCTATACTTCCTGGTCTACGTAACTCGGTACCTTGGTACGAGCGCCCTTCGACTCCCCGTCGCGCGCCGTCGCTGACCCAGTGATTATGCAGACCTCTTCTGGACCTTCACCGACAGCGCGTGGAACACCATTTTCAAACTGATCTTTCTCTCCTCCTCGGCCTACACCCTGTACGTCATGCTCAATGACTACAAACCCACGCACGACCCGAATCTCGACACGTTCCGCGTCTCGTACCTTACGGGAGGAAGCGCGGTCCTCGCGCTCCTCTTCCCATATCGCTACAGCCTGCCAGAAATCCTCTGGGCGTTTTCCATCTGGCTGGAGTCGGTGGCTATATTACCGCAACTTTTCATGCTGCAGAGGACGGGCGAGGCCGAGACGATCACCACTCATTACCTCTTCGCCTTGGGGATCTATCGCGCTCTCTACATTCCGAATTGGATATATCGCTGGTTTGCCGAGAATGGACATTTCGACCCCATCGCAGTGGTTGCGGGAATTATTCAGACCGTGTTGTACTCGGACTTTTTCTGGGTTTATTACACAAAGTGAGTACTGTCTTGATGGAGCACGAGGAGGAATCTGGATTCCTCAAAAAGATGGCGATTGAGAGAGAATTGCTAACGTCTCCCCACCAGAGTCCTCAAGGGCAAATCCTTCAAACTCCCAGTCTAGGAGACCACTCATAGACATTCCATGGAACGAATATCCGACTGCCATCGCTCCTGGCCCAAATTCCTGGGCAGGGTTCCCGCACAGCTTCGAGCGTTGGGAGGAGAACTCGCGGCGTTGCACGCTTCCAAAATCAAGAACTGCGCTCGCCCAAACACGAAAAAGTACGGTCGCTTTAGTGGGTTTGGAAACTCATTGTCGCCGGTTAGCTCGAAGGACTGAGAGGCCGAGGGCCTGGAAGCGCTGTTGCGCTCGATGTGAAGGTCCAGCAAGTGCTGGCCACCTCATATGGAGCAGCGTAAGCGAGCCACTTTGTATAAGCTCTTGCTTTGCTTTCCACCACAGTCGGTGATGTCACGCGGCTTCCGGTACTGGAATGGTCGCATGGCAACTGAGATTACGGCTTGGAAAGCGACAAAGATGGAAGGGAGGAGAATTTCAAGAAAATCGAGCACGAAATGCCGACGACGGCGGGGTTCCTCGTGGTAGAGGACATGTATATCGATCTGCCATGTTGCGCCGTGACGAACCGTGTCATCCATACCGTGTGCTTGTTATACGAAACAGAGGTCACTCCAGGGGTTAAGTGGCACCCACTACGGAGTAAAGGTTCACCATTGACACCGGATCAACGATTCGCCGGTTGGTCCGTGCTAATTTGCTAGCCGCCTCTGCTCAGTTAAATCATTGGGGATCGGAGATGAGCAGGAATTAATCGAGCACATGTTTGCCTGCATCGCAAAGAGATAAACTGGAGCCAGTGGAGATGACATAAGGAGATGATACAACCATGAGCATGTGCAGTGGCAATAAGGCGGGCATATGGTGCACATGCTAGAGGTAAGAGGTCGCAGGATCCAAGAGACTTTACGGAGTATGGCACATGGCGATGGAGCGCAGATGAGATAACTCGTAGTCATGGGTACGGAGTAGTTGTCCTGCCGTTTGGCCCTCCCGAAGCACACACACGCAGCCACGCAGCTTCGCTCCACTGACCCTCTGAGTCTACTCCTGTCAAAGTGTGGAAAACGAAAAGAAGCAGCAGGAAAAGCACCAAATCCCAGGAGTCAGGAACTGCGGGCGGCATCCGCCCGACTTCAGGGCGGCCGAAGCCTCGTCAACCAATCGGGAGCGCAGATTAAGTGAGGAGAGTTGCAGTTCGCTCGGCTCTTTGCAATTCCCAGTTGGAGCATGTGATCATTCTTTCCCGTAGATCCTCATCATCACCTTTTCGCACTTTCACCAGAGCCCGCTGTCATGCCCACCACCGCCGAGGGTCCTGTTTTGTAGCTAGCGGAAATGCTGTGTCGCTTTCTCTATGCCACACATCGCACAACACAGACATTTTGCGTATACTTGACCATACTTGACCCCCGGTGACCATGTAGGAGTATCTCTCCATTCACAGAGACCACCGCCCCCGTCACCCCTCGCCCATCACCGCTAAGTCCAGCCGCGACATTCACTATCCACGCCCTTGCAACCGATCATGGACTCCCAATCGCCAAACCCGCCCTATGCAGTACCTCCACCGTTCTCCCCTCCTCTCTCTGCCCATCGCTCCTCCGCCGACTCGCAAAAACCCGCTTCCATCGACATCGACATGATGAGATCTGACGATCGATCCACCAGGGCGGGTAGTGTCCTCTCTGGCATGTCAATCGAAGACATGGAAGCTGCAGAGACACTCAACAACCTCTCTCAGAGTAAGGGTCGCTGTGCGAATGCGCTAGGATGCACCACTGACATGTCGCATTAGAATTCCATTCCCCGAGACAGCCCCATCAACAGCCCCCTACGCTCGTGCAAACGCATACCACATTTCACGACCACCAGTCTGAACCCCTGCTACGACTGTTCACCAGCCAGTATCCATGGACGAGACCACTGATCGATGGCTCCTTATCTGCTTATAAAACAACTCAGTCATACATACCCGGCGCCGAATGGACTGAGAGAAACGTGGGCCTGCCTATCGCGGGAACTATGGCCAGAATATCAGGTGCGGAAGCTGGGCTACGCTGGGCATTACAGCCCAAGCGTGACGGGAGATCGCCAATGAAGAACTCGGACGTGGAGAAGGGCTACTCTGATACTGCCCCTGACGGCACGCGCCGACCAAATTCTGAGATGACTTGTTCCGAAACTCTTCCCGCCTACAATGATGGCGACCGCTCACCTCCCTACAGTGAACAACAAGTCCTGCTTCAGCGCCGCGATGACCGTCAACCCCCACCAGGTTGGCGACAACAGCTTGTCGTGTCAACCAGCGGCCTGGGTATTGCCATGAGCGACGAGTCCATCAGAAGTCTGAAATACTGTTTGAGCTGGCTACGTTGGGCGAACGGCCACCTGGGCGAAGCTATCCAGAACTTGAGGAATCTTCTCGAGAGGTGGGATGAAGGACTTACTCCTGGAGAACAGCCGCCGACCATGTCTGTTGCCAACATGACTCAAACGCAGGAAGAGAGGAGGCAAGCAGCTCTCTCCGCTCGCATTGCGGCCCTCAAGGCCGATGTTCTGCAGACCCTGAAGCACGTCGTGGGGATAGTGTCCAACTATGCCGGTGGCGCGTTGCCTCAAAACGCTCGAGATCTTGTTCACAGACATCTTACAAGTCTACCTCAACGGTTTAGCTTGGCGAATATGGAAGGCGAAGACCCATCGGCCTACCCCAACGCATCCGAGGCCGCCAAGAGCGGGAGACGAGTCATGGTCCTGGCCCAAGAGGGACTGGATATGATGACCCAAGTTAGCCGGGTGGTCAATGATACTCTGGTCAGCGCCGAAGGGTGGTGCGAGAAACTTGGGCGGAGAAGGAATGACGAGCAACAGACGCAGCAGCAATACGTGTTCGCCATTGAGAAAATGGAGACTGAACGTCGCGATGGAGGGTCAAGAAGCGAAACGGTGCGAAGCGAGACGCTGGCGCCAAGTGAAAGTGAAAAGGAAAACGGGGATACTAAGATGACAATGTAACAACAACGGTACACAAAATTTCAGCTGGGAAAGCTCTAGTGAGATACTACCTGTCTCCCGTCATCTGTGGATGCTATTTACGCTTGGATACCGTGCTTTGGTGCTGACGAGGGTGAGCTGGAAGAGTGCGGCGCGCTCTGGCCTCTATTCATGAAGACGGGAATCTCAGGTTCGGCGTTTTACTGCTTCTGCCTATGGAGGCGAATTGATGAGTCTCATGAGGAATGTGTCATGTTACAGAACTGGTGGAGGTCGACAAGGGGTCTTGGACATTTCGAGCGAAGGGATCTGGCTAGAGTGCATGTGCAAGCGTGGAGCCAACGGCACAAAAGTAGAAGTTGCTGTAACAACGCCAGAAAATAGTCACGAGTAGAGTGCTCGAACAGACCTGGCGTTGATCGATCTCACGCTTCATTACCTAGATACTGGCTGGCTGAGCGTTAAACAGAAGCAACGTGGGAGACGAGGACGGAGTGGAGTAGTTGCAGGAATTCATGGCGGAGGATCTGCGACTTCAACACCGCGTCTCACATCTAAAGAACCGAGTCTCGGCAGCGTGTCCTGGACTCCCTCAACCTGCCAATATGGACAGATAACCGTCAGTATCTGACGAGAGAGATGGACTCGTCATTGTACTACAGCTCGTCGCAGCGACCCGGATCACCGACACAGACCCGCACCATCTTCCCCAAAGGCCCCGTCTTCAACCTCGACGATTTCTCCAGCCGGGATTTCATAGCCAAAGACTTCATCGAGTCCCTTACCGAAAGCGCGCAATCCACCGCTCGACGCTCGCATGGCCCGCCCACGAACGCTCCTTTTGACCCGAAGCCCCTCATCCGCGCATTTGAACAGGCCTCGCGGCGTCTCGACGAGCTGTCGGGGGAACTCGAGGAGCGGGAAAATGAACTATCCACGGCGGTGAGGAGAGCAGAGGCGTCGCACGCAAGCAACACCGAGACGCTGGGGCGCAAACTCAACTCTACCATTGAGAGTTTTCAAAAGCTGGACACATCCCTGAAGAGCGACCGCGGCGAGAAATGGGGCGGTAATGTCGCCGTCGAGACGGGCCGGAGGATAGAAGAACTCGATCGCCAGCGGAGGAAAGCCCTGGACGCGCACTTCCTGATTGAGTGTTGGGATGAAGTGAGCAATCGCGGCGAGGTCACACTACTCGAGAACTTGCGACGATCCGGCACAGGCGAGGGGAAGATTCGCTCAGCTAACATCGCTCGGCAACTCCTACGAATAAGCCAACGTCTCGATCCCAGATCCCATGGCAGACAGACCAATGCCGTCGCTAGCACCACGAATCAAGCCGGAGTCACCGACGGCGTCACCGGCACGCAGCAGCGAAACTTTAACACCCGCGAAGTCATCGAGAAATTCATCGAGACACTGGAAAATGACATGCTCAAACTGTTCGACGACTTCTACCGCCGCCAGAACTTTGAGGAGATGAAGAACTGCGCCATCGTGCTGCAGGACTTCAATGGCGGAGCCAGCGTCCAAGCCGCATTTGTGAACCAGCATCAGTTTTTCATTGATCGAAGCAATCTGGTGACCGAGGAGATTGGGGGTGACCAGGAGACGTGGATTCGACTGTCGGATCCGGACGCGGAGGTACCAGGTGTTGAACCCGGGTTGCAGAGCTTGATCGACGAGGTCAAGGTCGTGGTGCAGGAGGAGTCGGCGATTATCAAACGAGCATTCCCCTACCCAGAACAGGTACTGGGCAAGTTCGTGCAGAGGGTGTTTCAACAATCGATCCAACAGCGGCTGGAACTCGTGCTCGAGAAGGCAGAGTCGGAATCCACTCTCGCGTATCTGCGCTCCTTACAGGCCGCAAGAAGCTACATCTCCCTCTTGGTCGACGACCTCAAAGCACACGGTCTTACAGAACATCCCGACTCGGTCACCTCGCAGACATCTCAGCTGCTTGACCAGCAACTCGACGAGCTTTTCACGCCTTACTTCGGCGGTTCCGCATACATAGACAAGGAAAAGCACAACCTGCAAGAACTGTACAAGTCGTTACTGTTCAAATTCGAACTCTTCCACAATCGTCGCCAAAAGGAACCGAAGACGTATCTCGCGGCGATTCGTAACCGCGGACAGGAGTTGCTTGCGAGTGCGCGAGAAGCCACCGACGCGTACGTAAAGTCCCTGGACCTCGAGAAAATGTCGCCTACACAGAAGCGCATCCTTTTGAGTGTCGCCGGCCTTAAGAACGCCGATGACAAGTCCTCCTCGACCGACGTCGTAGAAATCGACGAGGAGGACGGAAGACTCCACGTGCAGTTCGCGAAGAGGATGATGAAATGGTTGGCCGAGGGCGTGAGGCGCGGCTTAGAGTTGGGAGGGGGGAATGAGACGCCCAAGGACGTTGCCGCACTCCTGAGCCTGATTCTGAAGAACCTTCTCGAAAACTATGTCGAGGTGTCACTCGATGCCTCCGCAGAGTCGGCGAGCAGCTTTGAATCCGCGAGGCGCGAGCCCGACCTCTCGTACCTCGCCAACCTCCGAACGGCCGTCCACATCACACACCTCGTGCAGAGCTGCATCAATACGCTCCTCATCCCGCTTGCGAACTCCAGCCTCACCGCCCGTCGCGACATGGAAAAAGCCACCCGCGCGGCCATTACCCGCATCGAAGACCAAATCAACAACATCGAGCAGTCGACCGTCGACGCGGTCCTGAACTGGACGTCCCGTCTGCTGACGAACCAGAACCGCGCAGACTTCCGACCCAGGGTCGACGCCGAAGCCACGTCCCTCGAACAGCCGCAGACCAGTACGTGCGGCGACGTGTGCCGGTTTTTGAGCACGTTCCACGACACAGCTACCCAGAGCTTCGACGGCGCGAATCTGAGCGTCTTGCTCACGGAATGTGCTGTGGGAGTCCGGTCGCAGCTTCTGGCCCATTTCACAAAGTACCAAGTCAACCGGATTGGCGGGGTGATGTTGGCGCGGGATATGAGTCGCTATGTCCAGCTTCTGCGGAGTTGGGAGCTGGACTCCACGTCCGAGGACGGCACCGCGCTCGATGCGGCAGGAGAGGGCTCAAGCGGTTCGTCCGGCAAGGCATTCAAGGCCAGTCTTGAGGTGCTGTCCGAGCTGGCCAGTGTGTTTGTGTTGCATCCTGATGCCTTGAAGGAACGGTTACGCGGGCCGGTGCTGGGGAATCTGGGCAAGGAGAATCTGCGGCCTTATCTGCTGAGGCGGGATGATTATATGGAAGTGGGAATGCAGAGCTTGCTTGCAAGTCTGTGAATGGATGAGTCAGGGGGCGACGTCCTGTTCGTAAAGGCTTCGATTGCCCACGCTCTCACACAGATGAACTCCGCGACAGGTCCAGTGCTGGACGGAGGAGTGGGTCTCTTCGGAGGAGAGTCCTATACCAGCACTTACGTACCTATACATCAAGCTGTAAATGATACCCCAGTCTTTGCATTTCCAGCCATGATTGAAATATCCAGCCGTTGAGTATATGCTATGCTGCCGTGCTCTAGCGTGCTGCGGTCACCCATTCTGTGCATTTTGTGCATTCCGTTCCGCGCCGGACAATACAACGCCACCCATGCCTGTACAAATCTCACAATTCTCATCCCAGCGATTGACCGTCCACCGAGGGTTGATGCATGTCAAATCTTAAAACCATACCCAGCCATGCAGTCCTTGTACTGCGAGACCAAGCTCTTGCAATCTTCCTGCGGGTCGTCCGATCGGGAGAAGAGCATACACTCGTCGCGCCGGGACTTCTCGTCTTTGCAGACGCAGCAGGGCTATTTGTGGCAGGTCAGAATCATTGCGCAGCCCAGAGTCGGATCTCAAATATCCGATCCCTTCGGTTTTAGGCGGCGTACCTTTACTTTCTCCGTCTTCTCGGGCTTCAGGTCGGCGGCAAGGTTATTCGGCGTCAACGGTTGGTTAACTTGAAGCACAGATATCAGCTCTTCTTGCCTTCTGTCGTCACGGAGCGGAGCCAAATGTACGTACCAGCAGCAGGCTGTGCCGGCGTAGGCGTAGGCTCCGAAGAACTGAACCAACCCATCTTAAAGCTGTCGTCAAGTAGAGGTTCGACTCGACAGGGCCAGGATGAGAAATCAGTTGGAGAATGAGGAAGAATTATGTATGGATTCGGAGTCGCTCACGGTTGCGTCAATGTCACTGCCACTGCGATGCCGCATACTTCCCCGTAACGTCCATACGACGTCGAATTTGCTTCCACCGTCAACATCCCATCCCCACTTCTCTCTCTGCCTCGCTCTGTCTGTTGAAAACCCCCTCTTCTCACCATGGCGACAGGACTGTTCGCGTCGTTGCCAAAGCCAAAGTACACCGGCGAACATGAAGAAGTTCCACTCCACGCACAACCGAAGGGACCCCGAATTGTTGGACCGGGCGTCATCGATGAATCCCAGATCGTATTGAAGGTGCGTGATACTGACACTGGGCTGCCACATGCCTATGCCTATACCTACATACTGACAAGTGGTCAGCGCCCTGGACCCCCTCCCTACGGCCAACGATCAGGGTGGCGACCGCGCTCGGCAGAGGACTTTGGCGACGGCGGTGCGTTCCCTGAAATCCCCGTCGCACAGTACCCGCTCGACATGGGCCGGAAGGGGACATCATCCACCTCCAACGCTCTAGCGATCCAGGTCGACGCCGAGGGCAAGGTGAAATACGACGCGATAGCACGACAAGGACACAGCGAGAGTCGAATCATCCACTCTAGTTTCAAGGATTTGATCCCACTGCGCCAGCGCGCTGATGCGGGAGACATCAATCTCGACCGCCCGACCCAAGAAGAAGCACAAGCGACGGCCGAACGCACGAAACAAGCCCTCGAGAAACTCGTGTCCGGCGCCGTGGCAGCGCAACGACCGAAAAACGTAAAGGGCGTCATCAGAGAAGAACCTACGTACGTGCGCTACACCCCTGCCAACCAGATGGGCGACACGTCCAAGAAGAACGACCGCATCTTCAAAATCGTCAAGAGGCAAGAAGATCCCATGGAACCGCCGAAGTTCAAGCACAAGAAGATTCCTCGTGGTCCCCCCTCGCCACCGCCGCCCGTGATGCACTCACCGCCGCGCAAATTGACGGCGGAAGACCAAGAAGCCTGGAAGATCCCCCCGCCCATCAGCAACTGGAAGAACCCCAAGGGGTACACCGTGCCACTGGACAAGAGACTAGCAGCAGACGGGCGAGGTCTCCAGGACGTGACGATCAACGACAAGTTCGCCCAGTTCGCCGAGGCGCTCTTCACCGCGGACCGCCACGCGCGAGAGGAAGTCCGGCTCCGGGCTCAAATGCAGCAGAAACTGGCCGAGAAAGAGAAACTCGCAAAGGAGGACCATCTGCGCGAGATGGCGCGCAAGGCAAGGGAGGAAAGGCAGCGGAACAACAACGACTCTGGCCCTTCCCGCCGGTCGCGGTCGAGGTCAAGGTCGCGTTCGAGATCATATGATTCCGACTCGTCTGGCGGTCGCTCGCGAAGCGCTTCCGAGGACGACGACCACGATGAATCCGCACGGCAACGAGAACGCGCGCGCCGCGAACGGCGCGCCGAGAACGAGCGCCAGCTCCGGCAGTCGCGCATGGGCACCGAGAAACGCATGCAGATGCTGGCGCGCGAACAGAACCGCGACATCTCCGAGAAAGTGGCGCTGGGCCTCGCGAAACCCACGCAGAATAAAGAGACCATGTACGACTCCCGCCTGTTCAACCAGACGAGCGGCTTCGACAGCGGGTTCAACGAGGATCAGGCGTATGACAAGCCCCTCTTTGCAGCACACGACGCGATCAATTCGATCTACAGACCTACCGCGGGTGGGGCGGGCGACGAGGAGGAATACGGTGATGACGCTGCAGCCGGGGAAATGGGCAAGATCAGCAAGAGTAATCGGTTTGAAGTGCTGGGGCGGGCAAAGGAGGGGTTCAAGGGCGCCGATGTGGCGGAGCGGGAGGCCGGGCCGGTGCAGTTCGAGAAGGACAAGGACGATCCGTTTGGGATTGATAGTCTTATTGGCGAGGAGAGGGATAGAGTGAGAGGCAGTGAGGATTCCGCTGGGAAAGGGAAAGGGAAGAAGAGATATGGACTCGAGACGGGTGAGGATAGGGAGCGCGACGAACGAGACGAGAGGAGGAAAAGGGCTAGAGTGGATGATGATTAAGAGGCCCACATGCGGTTTGGAGCAATACAAGCCCGACTGGCTGGAGCACAACTCGTACTCGTGCAAAATGCCTAACTGTACTGCGTAGATGACGATCCTACCACTAATCATACTGTGTGGGCGTGGGCGTGCACGCTCTCATAAGACGAAACAATATGCGGATGTGAGTGCACGACAAGGAAGGCACATTGGATGGATATGAGCAGGGTTGTCTTCATATCGCTTTCCTGTAGACCGGCCGGTCCTGCTGTCAGCCAGCCAGCCAGCCATGCATAAAGTATAGACGTAGAGGTGGAGGCTGTACTGTATACTTTTTGCGGCGGTCAATATCGCCGCTTGCTCGACCGCCGAAGTCATCCCAATGATGGATTCTCCTTTTCTGAGGTCGAACGAGGCAATGTTGTTCTGATGGCGTATCCTGGAATAAGACGATCTGACTACATCCGGCGTGTGCCAGTCACAGTCTGTGGCGCTCTGTTCGACGAGCCAATCTGCTACTCGTACTGGTGTATCCATGATGGCGTTGGCTCGGCCCGAGATCTCTGTGTGTCACTGATACGAGCAAGGGCGTGAAGCTGCAGTCATTTTCATGGTCGACCACTTCGTCGTTTCTTCTCTTCGACACTGGTGTCTAGAGGAGTCGCATTTTCCGTTCGTGATGTGGTTCGTTGGCAATCGGATCGCGACCTTCTCTCCCGTGTAGCCTGTGGCCTCACTAGAGTGAATTTTAGCCTGTGGCTCGTGGGAGTCCTCATGTCCATGGGCCGGATAATGGCTTAGCGTCCCGCATTGTCCTCTGACATGTGCATGTATTTGCACATCATAGTCCCAGGTCACTATCGCACGTGGCATGACACATGCGAAGATTGTCCCGGGACCATCAACGGGGATTTAGAAACAACTCTCTGCGCACGGCAATATGCCCCTCGAGCCGATTTAGTACCCCATTGATATAGATATGGCTGAGATCTTGCGAGCTCGTGATAGGTATATCTATGGCCGGGTGGGTGCGCGCTTGCGGTAGGTCAGACTGCGGTTTGAGGAACCCTTGGTTCAACTCCTAGATGCCCAACTTTGAGGTTTGCCGGGAACTTCGGGAGCCAGTGCCACTCCAGGAAGCTGGCAGGCATTGGTTGAATCTTCGCCATACTAGGCAAGGGCCAGACTGGCATTTCCAGGAGTATTGCTCTTCCGCGTGAGTGGCCAACTAGGCCGTCTGCTTCCGGGTGAAAAGACGGCAGGCTAAAGGCATGGAGGTCCCGGCCAACAAAGCCCGAGCGATGGCTGCGCTGGGTGAGGCCGGCCTTTGTCAAGGTTCTGGGGACATTGTCGACGAGTATGATGCCTGAGAGGTCAGATGCTCCTTCCACCAAGCGCGATAAACCTGGTCTTCCAAGGCAGCGAAATGTTTTTCAGCAAGGTCCTCCTTCTCCATGTTGATGTCGGTACTGATGTCACTTAAAAGCCATGCTCGTACGGCGGTCGTGAGCTGTCTTCGAGCAGCCCCATCCAACAGGGCAAAAATCTTGAGAACATTGATCCCGTAAGTGCACATGTCGACTTCCTTGAGAACCATTTCCTCTTTGCCGAAACACTCAGCGTAGTATTGCTCCCTGACCCGGTCAACAACGCCCATAATAGCGCTGGCAGTCAAGCTTCTCTCTGAGCTGCCATCCAGAACAGATTTGAGTCGTTGCAAGAACATGATCTTGCTGGAGAGATTCTGCTTCCCAAAACTCGCAAGCGTCATGTTCAACCCATAGAACAACGTAAACAGTCCTGCTTGGAGCGCATACTTGATATGCGGATCGCACGTGGTGTTCATTGTCTCAGCGGTATATGTAGAAAATAATGTCGACCTTTTGATATTGATGTAATGACCCAGAAGAGACTCTTGTGAGGGCCCTTGCGAGGCATACAGGTCTGAGCCCGATTGATCCTTGTCATTGTCGTCATGCTGCATCAGGTACGTCGTCATGTCATGGCGCTTCAGTTCTGCCTGGTTCTGCTTCGCGAGCGTTTGCTGGCGTCGCAGATCGAGGAAAATCATGGTCCTCACGGTGTCGAATTCAGTGGGCGATTTGATTCGGATAGGTGCGTTTACGTAGACTCGCTTTAACCCCGCTAGGGACAGAGCCGTCTTGTCAATGTTGGACGCGAAATAGTTTAGGATTCCGGGTTGTTGTAAAAAGGAATCCAAAGCTCGGAGATGTTGTGTGCAGGCGTCCGCATGGAACACGTAGCACTCGGCGGATATCGCAAACCTCAAAGTCGTGATGGCGTCTTCGAGGTCAAAATTGGGGTTGTTCAGCAGAGTCCTCAATATCCCGTAGCCGTGCGCTCGACGTTTCAGAATAGATTGTTCGATCGTGACAGACCTCGACGCCTCAGGTGCGTATTTATTCATCTGCTGTTCTGCGATTACCAAGATCCAATGCAGCGCAGAGGGAGACCTCTGTATTGTGCGAGCAGCGTCTGCTCTATAGGGGCAATACAGAGCGTCCCTGTGGAACCCGAACATCTGGGTTGGCAGTTCTGTGAAGTCTTCAGGGTGCGGACATTAGCCAGCGAGATCACCAAACGGGGGAGAGAAGAGACATACAGTAATTGAGAAGATACCTCTCATAGTGATCGAAGGAATTCCCCAGCTGGAATGTCGACCCCATGGAGCCAATTCGGGGGACACGACCGAACGAGGTGGGTCCCTCGGAATGCCTCCTGGCGAGTGCTTTGCCATAGCTTTCGTCTTCATCAGTGGGCACGGGAATGCCAACGGGTGCGCTGTTATATCGAGTCAACTGATTATCCTCGCACCCGTTCGATCCAAGGGGCCTGGTGCTGGGGCGACGCTCTGATGGTTCTACTTGAAATACATTCGGGACCTTGGTGTCTTCAGCGACAAGCTGCACCGGGTATGGAGTGACGCTCTTGGGACTGTCGCTGGATGATCGGGAGTCATCAGTCCGCGGGCTTTCGAAAACAAAGTCAACCTGCAGAGGAGAAGACTGTGACATACATCAGTACAAAGCTACCCATATAGAAACTGGATGGCTTGGGTGATGTTATCACTCACGATTGTGCTGACAGTGGTCGAGTTGTTGTTCTTGTTGTTTTTCCGGCGGTTATGGGAGAATCGGGCGACATGGGAGTTTATCCTCGACAGCCTCTTCTTGCCCGGCAGGCCATTCTCGCTCTGCCCCGTCTCAGCCACAAAGTGGATAACTCCAGCTGGCATGATCTCGGTGTGCTTAAGTGGTGACCATGGCGGACCTAGGAATGAAGCTGGATATCAGAGCCAGGATGCGAACGAGGGTCACACGGCACAGAAGGAGACAAGCCCACGCAGAGCACGACGAGTAAAACCCGACGCCCAGCGATAACGAGGGCAGGATGGAGGGGTCAAGCTTCCAAAGCAACTTACCACCATTACCTGTTCAAGTTCGCGCCAAATGATGGAATCACCAGGAATTGTGGCTAACTTAGTAATCCGATTCAGTCGCCTGAAGGGGCCAACGGGTCGTGTAGGCACGGCTGATTAGGCGCTGCATATAAAAATGCTGTGCGGAGGGTTCCGAAGTGTGGGATCAAGCAAGAGCGAAGGCTGTCGGTGTGTCGAATGAAAATAGCCGTGAAAGCGTTGAATCTGAGAGCGAAGTTGCGAGACAAAGGCGGCGAGACTCCGGGGGCCTTTTGGCGAGCTTCCTGGCTGCCGGGGGTTAAACCTTCGCGGTGGCCATGCACAGGACGCGGGCCGCGCTTGCTATCCAGAGCGTCCGGCTGTCGTCGGGTGATATTGCGTCTCAGGCCTGCGGAAGCGACGTTGGCCGTGGAGAGTCGACGGTGCAGACGCGTCTCGAGTCCCCGATTAAGCCTTCAATAAGTTACAGGAGCTCTCTCAAAGTCTGAGTACGAGGCTGCCACTCGACAGCAAGGCCCCAATCTTTGCGAAACCTTTCAGCTTATCTTCTGCAGGAGAAGCCTATGATAAGCAAAAGGACGATGGCTTCCGAAGCGTATGATGAAGTCGTGCTCGCCAAGGCGTGGGAACCTTCGAGACCCTGTCGACCCTCACAAGCCCCTCGCTACGCTTCACCCACCCTTAGCCGTCCTCACAGCCCTCCCAGCTCCCCGGCTCGCCACCCAAGTGGATGGTTAACGGGGCGTCAAGCCCACTTCGCCCACCCCCGGGCGCGGGTGCCGTCAGCTAGCAGCCAGAGGGACCCAACTTCGTTATCGTTCCAGCACCATCTCGCGAAGCAGAACACAGAGATAGAACGATGTGGAGAATTGCCTCGCAGCAGCTATCTCCACAGTAGCTCTTATGTCCTTTATCTGCCTAACTCGTACACACCCGACTCTAACCATGTGGACAGGCACGACAGGCTAGCCTTGCATGTCCTTAGGCCTCTGCAAATGACCTTCTAGCTCCCGCGTCTCCGTCTCCGTCCCCGCCTCCGCCCCCGACTCAATAAACATCCAGTCCTGAATTGTGCGTGAAAGCCCTGACGTACTGCATATGCCTGTGCAACCTGGCGACGAATTCATCCATCGCCTCATTGTGTCCCAGTACAGGCGGGATCATGCTGGTGTGATATTCTTCACGACGGGCTCTGTCAATATGAAGTGGTCGCTGTGCTTGTCGCCGCACACTTTGGCGGGCGCGATCCTCCTCCACAACGACTGGCGCGTGTTGCGCGGGGATTTGCGACGGAGGGCCACAAATATACGCCATGCCCCGGCGAATCTGGACGATGCCGCCGACGGTGAACGGCGCCGCTCCACCATCCAGTCGGAACAGCGGTATCCCCGCTGTGTCGGTGTTGTCTGTTGGGCGGATGACAGGCGTTGGAGGCGGAGGCGAGTGTGGCACCCCATATATTCGGATCAAGTCCACGATGCGGCCGATGGCCGGCCTCAGAGGGACTTCGATGTCCCCAAAGTATACGTCGTCGTCATATGCCATCACTGGAGTACGACGGTAGGGCTGGCGTCCCTCGGTCGTTGGCGGTGGTGGCGAGACTGGGCGCTCCGGCGCCATCATGGGCTCATCGTCCTCAACAAAGGTGCACGTCTCCCAGTCATCAACGAGCGTCGCTCCATCTAGAATGGGGGACGCTGTGTCGGTGCACTCTTCTTCGATAGGGGAGAGAGGCACGGTGTTTCTGAGGTACGACATTTCGAACTGGGTTGTCGATGAGTGTTGTGTAGAGCGCTACCTAAGAGGTGATCTAGTATAGCTAGGTAGTGTTGCGCTTATTGTCCTGGCAGAACTTTTGTTTGCGACAGTGCACAATAGTCGAGATCTTATATACCTTTCACGTATTCTAGGTCCTCAACCGCAGAGAATTTTGGAGGTCCTCATTTACAGAATTCGATGGTGGATCAAACTCACCGTCTGGTCGGCTAGCCTGTGGTATCGTCCGGGCAGTACCAGCCATCTGGTCAACAGGTCCTCAGATCCGTAGTCCTCCCAAGCAGCGCATTCCTCAAATGTCTCGTCCTAAACGGTCTCCCGCTGGGTGGCTGGCTCGTGTGCAGAGCAAGCAGTAGGGCAAAGCCCCAGCACGAAATAGCATGTTGCCAGTCAACCCAATAGAAAGCGACTTTGGTAGTGAAGCCCTTCCGCGAGGCTGTGCTGTAGACCGAGCAAGGCTGTCGAGTCCGGCAGCGAAAAAAAAACGCAGGCATATAACTCAGAAAGCCACAAAATTGATCACAATTGCAGAACACGACCAGAATAAGTGTCTCGCTCTCTGAGCCCGTACACTTAGGAACAGACTTGGGGTCTCAGACTTAGTCTTAGTGCATATGCAGTGTCAGGTAAGGGGGGCGGAGATCCTGGGACGCCAGGTTCAATTCCCACCGAATCCTGAAATTCAAAACCTACCGTACTTAACGACCGTTCCTAGGAACATATGTCGACCTAGAAGGGGACGGGTTTACTCCAACGCGTGAGACTTGAGTGGCTTGAGTCATGTGCTCGCCAGTGACTTTTTTTTCTTCTTTTTGTGGCCGTAAAGTCGCACTTCGTTCGATTTTTTTGGTGTGGCAGTATGCCCGCATAGTGAATATACACCGTTGTCGGTGCAGCGTGTCCTCGGTCTCGTCTTAGAGCCTTCACAACGCTGAGATCCCACTCCTAGCATTGCTCTTGCGTTGGACCACAACTCAATTATATCGCGTCAACCGGGGACGCAGTCGCCGCCACTCAAGCTCTGCATCTTCCTTCGGACTTTCGAAATCGTTGGAGATTCTCCCTTCCGTTCTTGTGGTTGCACGACATCGCATGCCTGCGCTTGAAGTAAGTCACCTCGTGGAGCTTCGTTCATCCCTTGCCCACGCGCTCAATCTGCTGTCGGACTCTCAAGCCGTCGTGCGCCGGACATGACTGGGAGAGATACGAGATGCATCGTCCGGGCCCCCAGCTCAAGTTGTCGAGGGCCTTCGACCGTTCCGCGCATATTCAGGTGCGGCTCCCGAAAGTCTTAGCCATGGCGATCTTGTTCGAAGCCTGTCGAGGGTGTACTTTTCGTCTGACTAGGGCTTTTCTATGCGACTGGTTCTAGTATGAGCTAGCAAGTGGATTTCTGAACGGTTTACTGAGTCGTTGTGCTCGTCGGTTTTGGGGGGATGGGCTTTTTTTCCTGAGACCATCGACGAGGAATGAGCTTGATCTATTGCTGGGCTTCGGAATCATGCAGCCCAATCTAGGCGCAACATTTGGCCTGTTGCAGGTGTGTTACAGATAGGTTGGTGTCCCCAACATCGTCCGCACCGGAGCAGGTGAAGTTTAGATGCATATCGTCGGACTGATGACGGAGTACAGGATACGAATAGTGGCGGTCTATACTGAATCGGAGGTTCGACATGTCTTCCAGCAAGAGTCGGTAAGACCGAGTGCAGATAGCTGCGACACTCGACTGGCAGCTACCATTTAGAGACAGCTATGCAACCTGCTACAGTACATAAAGGAAGAATTATGTGTGGAAAGGACTGACGTTGGGTTGGGCCAAGCTTGGAAAAAAAGCGAAGAGTGGTCGTTGTGTGTCCCCACAGCGCCAAACGGTGGAGCTCACAGCCAGCGCGTGTCAGCACGTCAGATTTCTATCTTCATTGCCAGGTACACGCAGAACATGATCATGTTGTAGTGGGGGCCCCTGGTTCTTCTGCTTCCATGTCTCTCAAGTATGAAATCGAGCCCTTTGTTCCCGCCCACGCACCCGTCCGGCACTGCCAACCCCTACCCTGTTCTCTGACAAGCTCTGTCAGTTCGCAATCGTAGGAGGGCCAGACACCCGGGCAGCGGATGCAGGTGTCACAAGCACGCATGACTTCTCCTCCAGTGTGCGACCCTTTGTCGTCACGCTTCCCCGATGCTCCTCTGTCTACATGCCTAGTTGTGTTCACAATGACAAGGGCCGCTGGTATATCGTCGATGCGTCTTTATCAACGGTCCGACCCGTGGCCTGCGCAACTAAAGGTAGGTACGGCCCTGTCTTCAGCGCCTCCTCTGGAGAAGTTATGGCGACTTCTCGTCACCGAGCAGTCGAACGCGCTTGCCAGTAAGTACTCGGGAGCCCTCATGCATCCAGCACGTTCATCTCTTCTACTGTCCGGAATCTGCAGGTCATACAACCTGGTTGCCTAACCTCCTCAATTTTTGGGATCTCTGGCTACCAATACACTCTTTTGGCGACGAAGCACACGGGAGAGGTCGTCCTCCTGGTATTTCCCATTGTACAGGTCGGAATCGTGAACTCGACACCATTCGGGCTGAGCACTGGAGATATAGCTCAGCATCTCCTTGATCTGCTGCACCACAATGTCTTTCAGGCTGGACCCACGCGGCGACCTACTTCCACCCACAATTCACCCCAGCTCGTACTATTATACCCACACCCATACCCGGGGTACGTCTTTCGGACTCCTGAACAAAAAGCCGAAGAAGAAGCAGTGCTATGACTGGATCTTCTCAACAGCATCCAATGTCCACATCGCAATCGACCGCACCGCATTCAAAGCCTACGCTGCTTTTAAATCCTACGTCCTCACTGTGTCCGATCAACGCCAAGTACCAGTTCGAGGCATTGGAACAGTCGAACTAAAATTGAGAGAGCCTGGAAGCCGGGACAACCACAAGATCTTGTTAGAAGGGGTCTTGCACGTTCCCGACTGGATCTGCAATGTTTTCTCCGACATCTATTTCCTGCCTGCCTCCAAATACGAGCACACGTGGACCGAGTTGGGCGTCAACTTCTGGGTGCGAGACAAAGAGATCTTGAAGCCTTGGGGTTACACCGAGGATTTCTGTGGTCTCGACCGGTTGGTGCTGTCCAAAGGCCATCAAGGACGTAATCCGATGCTGGAAGATCCCGACCGAGAAGTGTTTTCCGTCAGTCTGACATGGCCGCAGAGTCAAAGGGATAAATGGGACAAATGCGTGGCTGAAGGACCAAAGCTCGGAGCCGAACGTCTGGAGAAGACTTCGAAGAAGACCCAAGCCGACGAGGAGACCAAAGTCCATAAAAGACAAGCCAAGAGCGCTTTGGTCGAGAGCACCAAATGGAGGTTGGTCCCGGACGTCTCAAACAGCGAAAGAGGGAAATCTGAGAGAAAGTCCGGCGAGGTCAGCGGCGCACCGAAGATTCTCCCCCGGGCCTCCAGCTTGTTCGATCCAGCCAAAGGATCACGTGGTGGTTGATGTGGTGGTTGATGTGGTGGTTCTCGTGGTCCTTGGTTCCGAACAGAGAACGTCCGTTGGCTTTCGTTGTTCGTCACTGTAGTGCTTTAGTCTGTGTGAGACATATGTCATCGGCTGGCTCCATTATCATTGGCGACACTAAGCAGGGCCCTGTATGGATTGAAGTAGCGGCATCTTAAGAAAGTCGTATCATATATAGATATCCGGATTCCGCCTCGCTAACGATTTCGATCAGTGTACGAGCCTGACCTCTTTCCCTGGCTCCCACTCCTTCAGCGCCCCCTGCAGACTCCGCCAATAATTCAACCTCACGCACTCCTTCTTCGCTTCGTCGACATCATCGTTTTCGAAGGCCTTGCCCAGTATTTCCTCTGTATCTCGTATCCTAACCGCATTCTCTTCCATCAACTTCTCAATGTCTTCGTGACTTGTCGCCTCCTCGAGAGCTTCCTGCGCCTCCATCACCTCGAGCAACGTCTCCTGATCAGTCAGGCCAGAGTGGATATTGTTATCCTCGGTCGTCACGTCCACGCCATACGTTTCCAACAACAAATACCGGGCGCGCAGGAGCGGGTCCGAGAGTGTCTTATACGCCGCATTCAGCAGACTCGACAGCGCCAGAGACTTCTGGTGTGAAGCCGTCCCCGAAGGGAATTTATCCGGGTGGTAGCGAGACTGCAGGGAGAGGAATTCTCTGCGCAGGCGTGAGATGGGTATCGCGAAGGGCGAGGCAGGCGGAGGCCCATTCGGGAGCGTTTGTGGAAATAGTGTGTAGTAATTCGTGATGTCTGGAGGTGCCGTGTCTTCTGGGGTAGACGGCCCATGCCCCTCGGATTGCGGAGATGATGACCGCTGATAGTGCGCTTCCTCTGTGCAGCTTCGTGATGTGCTGAACGGTCGTCGAGAATTCTGAGAATGAGTCACCGTCTGCACTGGCGGATAGCGCAGCTGATGCGGTCGTGTTCGTGTCTGTGCTCCTGTGCTTGTGGCGATGGGGGATTCGAGCGCGCACAGGCGCCGGAGGAGGCGGAAAGTCTGTGGTGAAGGGATTGCTCTGGCCATCGTGTCCACGTGGTGATAAAGGGTGAGTTCGAAGCCAAGGTGGATATTTCGAGCAAGGGGCTATGGGTTGAGGATGCGCTCGTCGACTACTCTGAACGAGGTTAGGACATAAAATCGCAGAAGAATCTTGGAGATAGCATCTCTACGTCATACGCCGGGATCGGATCAATGGACCCACTCCGTCCTCATCGAGAGACCATACGGAGTACCCATAGGGAAAGGCTACTTAGAACTCTGATCATACTATGCCTGCGTGAAGATGACTACATCTCACAATAAGAGTACAACCCATTTTGTCTGCCACTGAGGCACCCGGCATAGCCTACCCATTGAGAGCATCCCGGCACCATAATTACCACTCTCTGGCAAAGACACCGGGCATAACTCGCCGAAACACTCTCTAGCGGACCATTTGGCTGATGTCGAGATTGCTCGATAACATGGATCCTCGCTCCGTCGCCATCTGAAGCTGCATCATGGCGGCACCACTCTGACCACCTGGACCTGTCCCCAAGATCTGCTCGCCAAGCATCCTCAACTTCATCGGCATCAAGTTGTCTTCGTAGTGTTCCGTAACATCATGCTTCTCAATGGCACAGCCCAGATCGCTCCAGTGTTTTTGTTTCTTGCCGTATTCGAGACAGGCCTTTGCCTTCTCTGACGACCACCAAGTGGGTAGCAGGCCGTCTCGTTGTTCGGCTTTGCGCAAGAAGCGTTTGAAAGGCTCGTAGCTGTTGGGAGCTCCCGCGTAGATACAGTCCTCCTCCACCTCTCCAGCGAACTTGTAGTCATCCTCGACTCGAAAGCGGTAGCAGTCGATCAAGAGCTTGTAGACGTCGTCTTCGGGGCGATTGTGAAGGAATTTCTTCTCGGACAGAGCGTGGAATGGTCGAGCCACGGCTCGAGGAGCTGATAGGCTTGGGAAAGTAGAGTTTGACCTCGCGGTCATGCTGGTCCTGGTCCTGGCGCCGGGTGTATTTGTCGACGGACCGGGCATTTCCCCACTGCGTGCGGCAGCGAGGCGGCTGCAGCTCTTCTTGTGGTCTTTCCAGTCTTTCTTCTGGCAGTCTCGCGAGCAGTATTGTGTTGTGTGACACTTTGCACAGCGCTTCAAGGGAGCTGAGTTGATCGCTGGCTTTTTGCAAGCCGTACATTCCATTTTAAGCAGGTCTTCGGACGGCGTCCTCAGTGATAGGCTTGTGGAAGAAGTTGAACGGGCGGAAAGAACTCACCCAAGAAGTAGTCCTGAGGCGGTGTGGTGAGTGTAGTTTGCCAAGTTGGAGGCTTGCTTGAGAAGTGCATTGATGTGCTAGCAGCCGAATGAGGGGGTGAAATTACTCCCTGACTTTGGTAAAGCTTGCATCCGACATTCACCACTGTGGTAGCAATATAGACTATAATCTAGGAATATACATACAACTCAATCCGGCGACGTGTTACAGGACTGCTCATGAAGTATACTCCTCCGCCTCACGTCCTCTAGCCCTCTACCCGCCTTTGACCTTTTGCACGTAACACCTGTGATGATGTTGAGCACAAGCCATGCAATGGGCCGCGGCTATGACCTCTGCTCTGCTTCTGCATGAAGGCAACATTTTTCCAGAAGTCCAGCCCTTCCCGTCCTTCCGAACTTTCGCGGTGAAGCTTGGTGGCTCGTTGGCTCGTTCGCTGGATTTGACGACCGTATGTTGACGAATACCGTTCCCTATGATGCTTAAAGAGATGCCGAAGCATGCTCAAGGCTATCATAACAGGACCAAAGAGGACTGTGCCGTCTTACCGAAGCAATCGATACGAGACCAGCGGGGTTTGGATGAGTCTAATTGAAGTGCCGTGAAAGAGCCTAGCACCGTTGATGCTTCCGAAGTCCGCCTCTTGTGGCTCACTGACGTCAAGCCTACGTTTACATCCCACCAAACCCGTTTCAGCTTCCGTTCACGTTTCCATGAGCTTGACCTCTTATTATCACACATGTGACTGGTGAGCTTCGGGTCAAGCAGTAAGAAGCCTTTCGGTAAACGTCCCGGTCTATAATTCGTGTCTTCCAGACAGCTTCTTCTACACAAACCCTACACCTCTCCTCGCAGACTATTCCCTCGTCAGCAAACCCGAGGCGACAATGTCTGACTACTACAACCGTCAAGGTGGAGACCCTCGTGAGTACGGAGGAGGAGGCCGTGGAGGTGACAACTACTATGACCAACGTCAATGCTACGATGACGGCGACCAAGGAGGCCGTCGGCGAGATGATTACGGAGAAAGGCGCCACGGCGGCTCCCAAGAGGACGACAACTACGGGGATCGACCGAGCGGCGGCTATGGCGGAGGTGACAGTGGTTACGGTGGCGGCCGCCAAAGTGGCGGATATGGAGATGATCAACCTCGACACCATAACCGTCACGACGATGATGGCTATGGCGGCAGCTCTGGTGGGGGAAGATATGGTGAAGAAGATCGTCACAGACGCCGCGACGACGAAGGATATGGCGGCGATGGTGGCTACGGGAGACCCTCTGGAGGTGGGTACGGAGGAAATAGCTCCGCCGACGACTATGACCAGGACGAAGTGATGCAACACGCTCAACGTCATGGCAACTCTGAGGACTCCGGCATGTTCTCTCAAGCTCTGTCTTTCCTCAGCGACAACAAGCATAGCGCGCAGTCTGAAGACCTTGACGAAGGTCGAATGCAGCAGAGTCATCAACAACTCTACAGCCAGTCGAGCGGCGGTCAGCAGCACGACGCCTCCAGTTTGGGTGCGGGCGCCGCTATGCAAGCGTAAGTTCCCTCTAGCTGGAGAGATAACTCAACATGACAAATGCTAATCATGATGAATAGACTGAAGATGTTCTCGGGCGGTGGTGGGGGTGGATCACAGTCCCAGATGCTCGGGATGGCCATGCAGGAAGCCTCGGCTTTGTTCGACAAGCAAAGCAGCATGGGAAATGTGCAGGGCGGCACAGACAAGCAAAGCGTGATCAATATGGCGGCGAAAACGGCACTTCAAATGTATTTGAAGAGTCAGGGAGGTGGTGGCAGCGGTATGTCAGGACTGATGGGTCTTGCCAGCAAGTTCTTTTAGTGTGGTCCATCTCGGTCGAGGCAGGTCAACCGAGGGCACTAGTCTAGATCAAGTATAGATTCGACCAGTAACGAGCTGAGCGTCATTCTCGTATCGCTCAGGTTCTCCCCATTGCGACAGCTTTGGAGAAACTCCCCTGATCATCCGTCGTCGTCTTCACGTCTTGTCCTGGCTGGAAGTTGGGCATTGTTGGTCGTTGTTGACACTTTTGTTGAAGAATCGGCGCTCGGTGTGTGCAATCCGTACACCGGTTTGCCTCTCCAGGGCCCAGTGCAGCGCCTAGGATCCAGTGTTCGCGGTCGCCCTTCTGCCCAACACGTGTCAGTGTGCGCCGTCACCTGCCAACCACTCCACGATCACATCTCGTTGGTGAAATGCGCGAAAAGAGAACTAGTACACTGCGAAGCTCACAATAGAACCACCCGACCATGAATCAGAATCCGGGCGAACACTGGCGGGGACCTGGAGGTCCTCCTCAGTCTGAGCCTCAGCCGCAAGGCAGACAATTTGCGAGCTTCGGGTAAGTGAATGCCATACGCGCATCTAGAGTACATTCAGTTCACTTTCCCCGTCACTGGGCGCTTCACATGTTTATTTGTTCAACAATCTCCGGGATGGTATGGTGCTTTGCTGATACTTCTCGTCTTCATCAGACCAAATGGACCCCCACAACCTCCTCACGTCTTGCCTCCGCCATCCTCGTACCACCAACACCTCTCGCAACCGTCGGGAAGTCACAGCTTATCCATTGCCGACCTGACGCAGGGACCTCCAACCCACCAGCAGGAGCATCAATACAATACGCAGCCACCTCCTCCGCCTCCCCAAGCCCAGGGTCATCCCCTGGGCAGGCCGATGGGCCATCCCATCCCTCAACACTCCCCTCAATATCTCGGCCGCGATAGAGAGATCAGAGAGCTGCGGGAACGGGAGATGAGAGAGCATGAAATGAGAGAAAGAGAGCGCAGCAATCTGGAAATGCAGCAAAGGCAGCGGGACGAAATGATTATGCGTGAACGAGAGCGTGAGGCTCAAGAAAGAGACAGATTGGATCGTCTCCATCAGGAACAGCAACAACGCCCCGTACAGAGTCATGCTGGCTCTATACCCATACACCAGCCGGTTGCCAACAAGGTGCAGAACTCAATTCATGGGCCCAACGGTCTTCTAGCAAATGGAGGTGCAGGCGCAATCCCACAGAATGGTGCTGGCCATTCCGTCAACAACGGTCTTTTCGGAGGAGCGGGCCAACATGAGGCCCAGCGACAGCCTCAGTATTTGCACCAGCAGGCCCAGGCGCCAGCACCACAACCGGGTCAAACCTTCCTGCCTGGCCCATCCCCAATGTCCGCCCCTGCGCAGATGGCCCACGGCCAGCAACCCATTCTCAATGATGCCCTAAGTTATCTCGACCAAGTCAAAGTCCGGTTCAGCGACCAACCGGATGTCTACAACAGGTTTCTGGACATTATGAAAGACTTCAAGAGCCAGGCCATCGATACACCAGGTGTCATCGAGCGAGTCTCAAACCTCTTCAATGGTCATCCAGCACTAATTCAAGGCTTCAATACTTTCCTGCCGCCTGGGTACCGGATAGAATGTGGGACTGAGGAGAACCCAGATGCCATCCGCGTCACCACTCCAAGCGGCACAATGACACAATCGCTGCAGAGCAGAGGACGTGCGCAATTTGAACCCGCAGGGCAAGCTCCAGTTGGACGGTCAGATACATTCGAGAGCAGGCATGGCTGGGGTCAACCACTTGGAGCCTCACCGGGCGCACGGTCGGCAGAACTGCCCGGATATAAGCCAACGCCTGCTGATGAAGCTGTGAACGTTATGAGTCAAGAGCAGCGTGGGGTGTCGACACTGCAGAGTGCAGTCACAGCAGTGACAAATGGCACGACAAGGCCCGCCCTTGCCGTGTCGCCCGGTCCAAATCAAGGAGCGGCATTCTCTCAGCAGGGTGCTGCTTTTGGCGGCGCCCCAGCAGCAGGCGAAATGAAGCGTGGAGGGCCTGTTGAATTCAATCACGCTATAAGCTACGTGAATAAAATCAAGGTGTGTAGGAGCTCTTCACTTGTAGTTGCGATTGCGTTTGACTGACGAGTATGCAGAACCGCTTTGCACAACAACCTGAAATATACAAGCAATTCCTGGAGATCCTGCAAACCTACCAGCGCGAATCGAAACCGATTCAGGACGTGTACGCTCAGGTCACACAGCTATTCATATCTGCCCCGGATTTGCTCGAGGATTTCAAACAATTCCTGCCGGAGTCCGCGGCCCACGGTAAGGCCCAGGCTGCTCGCGCTATGAATCAACAGATCGAGACCAGCGATGTGCGTGGCGAGCCTGGATACGCCGGCGCCGCCATTCCTCAAGCACAGACACCCCGACCGGCCTCGAAGATGCCCCCTATGGGGCAATTCGATCCTCCGAGTACCAGCAAAGACAACAAGAAGCGACGGGGAGGACCGGGGACGACCACGACTAGCCAACCCACTGCGCAGCCTGCTACAGAGTCGTCTCTGGCCCATGGGTCACGAACAGCCCCTGTGCAGGTCGGGAATGCCAGCAAGGTACGTTCGTTCTGTTATTCACTTCGATTTACCCCTCCCTTTGTCACCCTCGATCGTAGCTCCGCCTCTCTTTTGTTCGCCTTCTTCCTGGCCTCGTCTAATCCATCTACAGCGCCCTAAACTTGCGGCCCAACGCCAGCCTCAACCTGAGACCACAGTCATCACTTCACCTACGCTGGTGCCCCAGCCTCCTGAACCTCTCCCTCCTTACCCCAGTCCATCCACTACTCAGGAAGAACTTGCCTTCTTTGACCGTGCGAAGAAACAAATCGGAAATCGTGCCAGTTATGCTGAGTTCCTAAAACTCATCAATTTGTACTCTCAAGATCTTATTGATAAATACACCTTGGGAGACAGAGTTGGCGCGTTCATTGGCGGCAACCCGGATCTGATGAGTTGGTTCAAGAACTTCCTCAATATCGAGGAGCAAGAAGAGGTGATTGAAGCCCGAGCACGTCCAGATCCTGGTCGCGTCAACCTCGCACACTGCAGAGCACTTGGTCCCAGTTATCGTCACTTGCCCAAGCGCGACCAAGATAAACCCTGCAAGGGACGAGATGGCATGTGCTATGAAGTATTGAATGACGTCTGGGCATCCCATCCGACGTGGGCCTCAGAAGACTCCGGGTTCGTGGCACATCGAAAGAATCAGTACGAAGAAGCTCTGCACAGAATCGAAGAGGAGCGCCACGACTATGACTTCCACATCGAATCATGTCAACGAACGATTCAACTCATGGAACCTCTTGTGCAGCAGATCGCCGTCATGGGAGATGCAGACCGGGCCGCATTCCAGCTGTCACCTGGGCTGGGCGGCGCTAGCGAAGCTATTCCGAAGCGCATCATCATGAAGATCTATGGCCGTGAAGCTGGTGCGAGAGTCATCGCAGAAATGTTTTTGCGTCCCACTGTCGTTCTGCCAATAGTCCTCTCTCGACTCAAGCAAAAGCTCGAGGAATGGAAACAGGTCCAGCGCGAATGGGAAAAGGTCTGGCGCGATCAGATTCACCGACAATTTTGGAAGAGTCTGGATCACCAAGGCATAAACTCCAAGAACCAAGACAAGAAGAACTTTCAACCAAAAACGTTGACAAGTGATATCCAAACCAAGTACGAAGAGGCAAAGAAGAACCGCGACAATGGTATTGCCGAGAAGAAGCACCAGCTGGAGTACAAGTTTGAGGATCTTGATGTCGTCAATGACGCAACGCGTCTGATACTCACTTCGTTGGACTCAGATCGGCAGCAGAACTTCAACAGCGGCGAGCAGGAAAGAGTGCGGAGCTGGTTGATTGACTTCTTGGTCCGGTTCTTTGGGCTCGACAGCGACAAGTTCATAGAACAGATCCAGGCCGAGAAAACGCAGCGGGAACCAGATGAAGTCATGGACGGTCATGGGAGCGAAGCTTACGTGCCTGCCAGGGGCAAGAACAAAGGAAAGTCCGACTTCCTCCGTAGACTGGCCCTTGAACGAAGACACGGCAAAGAGGAGAGTATCGCGTCCGCCAGCAAGGAATCCACTCCCGCTCCTGGTGTCGACAGTGAGATGGACGTCGACGAAGAAGCCGCTCCTTCCGATGGACCAGATGAACCCCAACAACCATGGATCAACGTGGATAACAGCGACACATCCGCCCGTCGCTTGGCGATGGACGAGACGTACCCACATACGACCTTCAACCTCTATGCAAATGCCAACATCTACTGCTTCTTCAGACTCTTCGAGATGCTATACAGCCGCTTGCTTGCTATCAAGCTCAATGAACCCAATGTTCAAGAAGCCATCGCAAGATACAAGGGCGTGGACGGGAGAACGAAGCCTGCCATTGAGTTGCGTATGATAGACAAGGGACCTGACTATTTTTTCTACGCTGTCGAAGGTCAACAAAACTACTACCAGCAGATCCTGCAACTATGCGGAGAAGTCCTGGTAGGCACTGTCGAGATAGGCCACCTTGAAGAAACGCTCCGGAGATACTACAACAAAAGTGGCTGGCAGCTCTACACGGTCGACCGCCTGGTCTCGACTATTCTGCGTTTCATCATGAATATCCTCGGCGGGGATGCAAAAGACAAAAGCGTTGAAATTACCAACCTCTTTTTACGTGACCGGGAGCGCTTGGACACGACCAGAAAGCAAGAGATCCAGTATCGGAAGCAGGTTGAGCGACTATGCAAAGATGCCGAGCTCTATCGCATCAGCTATGTAGGTCACGCAGGAGCGTCAAGGATATCGAGCGCATGACTAACTTTTTCCGCAGACACCAGAAGCCCGGCTCTGCACCGTTCGCTTGTTTCCAACCGAGGATGCAACCTTCGACAATGACTCACTCACAGACGAAGCTCGTTGGCAATACTATATTGCATCTTACACGATGACAGACGCGACTGAGGGCGTTGATCAGTCAAAGATGCGTTGGCCCTACCTGAGACGCAACGTTGCTCCTCAGAATGCCAACATCGAGACCGCGTACCAAGAGGTATATGGCAATCTCGACCATGTCGACGAACAAACTGCCTTCATCAGCCCCGACTCGTACAAACTGCTTCTTCAAGGCGATTTTGGATTCGCCCGAGAGGCCAGGACGATCAGAGGCTACGAAGCTGGCAAGATTGAGGAGAGCGAGAAGTTCAGAGAACGGTTCGTGCGCAATACGGCGTGGATGAGAGATCGGAGGGCGGAGGATGTGGAAACGAAAAAGGCGGCATGGGAAAGAGGTAAAGCCGAGGGTTTTACTGGCTACAACAGTTCCATCTGATACGGCCGTCGACAATTCCACTGGGATGCATCTTGTGTACAACTATCGCTCAAGGCAGGCTCGCGACATGCGCGACGCCTCTTTCAAGGGCTTGCGGCCGGCGCATACGCAATAAAGGGAAACTCCGCGGGCTCAATTAGCAGTGCAGCTTAAGCAACGAAGTCCCGCCTCCTGGCTGTGTTTTTGCCATGCCTAGCGTTCCCTTCATACTCTGCTACTCCTTGTGCTTGACTGTTGGCGTCCAGGAGACCCAAGGGCCTCGTCCTCATACATCAAGAAACCCAGAGATCGAGGGTCGATCGAGCTCTGCATGCTACTGCACCAGAATACGAGGTGGCAGTGGGCGTAGATTTCCGCGCCATCAAACTAACGAAAACGGGTCTTCTCCATGAATCACAACATGACTCGTACTTGGACCTGTGTGCAGTTGCCGCAGAGACTGCGTGCGTGGCTCTTTCTGGGCTTCCCACAAGGGCAGCGGCGCTGAGTACGAAGATGAGCGACAAGCAGAAGCCGCAATCTTAGAGGCGTTCAAGTAAGCTTTGCCCTGACCAAATGCAGCCTGGCTGAGGCGTGGTAAATCTCCGTAATCATCTTGATCAACCCCCTTGACGCCCCTTTTCCACACTTTTGAACCCCATCTGCGGCTGCGGACCACTCACAACGCATTCACAACTCACTCATTCACAACTCACCCACCATTCACCCTCCACTCAGTGGCCGCTCAGCATGTGCGAGCCGAGATCCCACCCCTCCGAATTATTGCTTGCATATCCCACCGCAATTCCACCGGCCTCGCACCAACCAGGCCGCTCCTCGAGACCTCTGAGCCTCCTCTTGACGAGGCCGCCTGCGCGCCAAAAGCATGTCCGAGGCCTTGATAGGCCACAAACATCCACAACCTCATCTTGCAGCGCCATGGAGCCATTTGCTCGCGTGTTTCAGCGCATCGACTGTAATCTCCCCAGATCCCCTGTCGATCATCCTTGCTTTGCTGCTGGAGCGGTCGGTCCCTCGAGTCCCTGGGTACCTCTGTCATCTCTATGGCCACAGTGCCCTCACGAGCGGGCAGTCGGATTAACGGCTTGTGTGTAGAGCAGGAAAGCACGATTTAACTGGTGAAGAGTCTAGGAAGCTGGCACCGCGGCGCGAGAACACAATGACCGTGACACGTCAAACACATGGCCAACGTCACATTATGTTTGATCAGTGTCTCCTTTGGTCTCCCTTTGTGCAGCTCATCATGCTAGCAAGGAGTTGACAAGGCACTATGGAGATGCAACCATACCCTTTCAAGCCCGACTCGACCCCCAAGCTCGAGTACCAAGCCCGAAGCTGCGTAGCCAGACAAGTTGGACTGCTTGCTGATGGGCCGCCCAAGCACTGCGTTCCCACAGGTGCGCGCTAAACGAGATTCGACGTGAATGGCGCTATTCCCCATCACAATCTGTCCCCCGGCTGGCGTTGCAGTGTGCCGAAAGGCTATATGCTGGTTGTCACGGCGCTCACATGCATTTCTCCTTCCTCTCTGCAAGGCTCTACTCATGGTGAACTGAGTGGGATCAAGAGCTTCGTGTTTGTGTTTCTCGATTCAGCATTTCCAACTACCGCGCCACTCGTTTCGCGGGCATTCTTTACTCAACGACACCGTCGCACGAGACGACGGATCCCGGCGAGACCCAGCATTACCAGCGTAGGAAAATCGAGAAGCGAGAGACAGGAACTCGGCCATCATGAGAGCTGTGACGATTGCCGCTGCTGGCGCAGCCGTCCTCACCACTGTTTCCGCAACCAGCCATGTCAAGCACATGCATGCAAAGCTTCACGAACACGTCGCGCGCGACACCTGGGTCGACTGGAACACGACCGGGCCGTCAGCTTCGGAGGCGCCTGTAGATGGAAAGACAACCAAGGCCGCGACCACAACGAAGGAGACCCCTGTCAAGCCTGCTACTTCCAGCCCTGCTGCCTCGACCACTTCGAGCTCATTCCTCTGGGAGGACTGGAGCAGCTCTTCTTCCAAACCTGCCGATCCGGCCTCGACGAGCTCCGTGACCACCTCGAGCTTTGACTGGGCCGACTGGGAGGCGTCCAAGACCGGCACCACCACCTCCAGCAAGCCCGTCAAGGCCGACACCACCTCCAGCAAGCCCGTCAAGGCCGACACCACCTCCACCAAGCCCGCGGAGGCAGCCACCACCTCCAGCTCGAGCTCCTTCGACTGGGCTGACTGGGAAGCATCCAAATCATCGACTACCAGCACTCCCGTCGGTCCTGCTACCACAAGCACGGAGACCGGCTCCACCTTCGACTGGGCAGACTGGGAAGCATCGAAGACAGCATCTGTCGCGACACCTGTTGATCCTGCCATCACCGCCACGGAGACCTGGGGTGACTGGGATTCGACTATTCCCATCAACTCGGTCACAGCTGTCACTGAGAAGGTGGGCAGCGTTCCTGTAAACCCTGCCGCTACCAGCAGCGAAACCACCACTTGGGGTGACTGGACGGCTGTGGAAGAAACCACGACCATCACCTTGGCTTCGACCCTGACCACCACTAAATACGTCGAGCCCGTCAGCACCGAATCCGTCGCTTGGGCGGATCAGGAGTCTACATCGTCCGCTTCCGTTGCCGCTGCCAGCACGTCAAGCGCCACCCCTGCGTTGTTAGCCGAGGCTCACAGCTGCATCGTCTCCATTATTACATCTTATGGCGCCCCGACCTGTGAGTAGTTCAAGCGTGTAAGAATGATCTACTGTGCTGATCTTGTACCTAGGGTATCCCACACCTATTGTTGCAACGAATACTACCACCGCCAGCGCCATCACCAGCACCTCAAGTATGGTGTGGGGTGATTGGACTTCGTTGACGACGTCTTCTACCCCAGCTGTTGCCGTCTCAAGCTCCAGCAGCACTTCGACCTGGGCTGACTGGACTGCTTCTGCATCTGACTCGGCGACCGTGACCGCAACCACCGAGGGATGGGCCTGGACGGCTACGGATGGCTGGGATTCTGGCAGCACTGCAAGTGCCTCAGTGTCCGGTGGATCGGGCTCATCGCAAGGTGGCAGCTGGGGCAGCGGTTCTGAGAGCGGCAACGGTGGCTCAGGCAGTGGTTCCCAGAACGGCAACGGGGGCTCAAGCAGCGGGTCTTCGGGTGCTGGCGGAATCCATGCCAACGGAGACTCTTGGGGTTTGACCTACTCTCCTTATACTTCGCAGGGCGGTTGTAAAGACGCTGGCTCTGTTGCGGCTGACTTGGCTGTCATCGCCCAGAAGGGCTTCTCAACTGTCCGTGTTTACAGCACTGACTGCGGTACACTCGAGAACATCGGCAAAGCTGCTCGTGACAACGGCCTGAAGCTCATTCTAGGTGTCTGGGTCTCCTCCTCGGGTATTTCGGGTGCTCAAGGTCAAGTTTGGGATATCATTAACTGGGGTCAATGGGACTTGGTTCAGCTGATTGTTGTCGGTAACGAGGCTGTCTTCAATGGCTATGCTTCCGCTGGCGAACTCGCAGGATTCATCGGCAGCAGTGCTCAAGCCTTCAAGAAGGCTGGCTACACTGGCGCAGTCACAACTACTGAGCCTCTCTCTGTTTGGGAGGATTCCAGCAGTGCGTCGGCGTTCTGCAGCGTCGTCGATGTGGTTGGTGCCAACTTGTACGCCTTCTTCAATGCTGCCGTCACTGCCGACAAAGCCGGTGGCTTCATCCAGGCTCAGATCAACATCCTGAACGGTGTGTGCTCCGGCAAGCCAGTGTTTGTTCTGGAGTCAGGCTGGCCACATGCAGGTAACTGCAATGGTGCGGCATGCCCCAGCCCAGAGAACCAAGCCACCGCCCTCAAGGGTATCCAGTCTACCGTGGGCGCCCAGGTCGTGTTCTTGAGCTATGAGGACGAGCCATGGAAGGAGCCTGGCCAGTTCGGCGTGGAGCAGTTCTGGGGTTGCTCCGGTGTATTCTAGAAAGGCGTGGGCCAGTGGCTGGGTCTGGACAGGGGTTGGGTTGCATGGTGGGAGTAGAGTGAAGCGACACGCAGCAAGCGAAGAGCAAGAACGGGTGCGCGCATGTACGGCTTTGCTCCGTCATACAGTAATGGCCAGAGTGTACAGTGTCCGGTGTCCAGTTACGATGACCTGCTTTGTGTTTGGCCTGTTCATACCTCTCTTTGTGTATATTGCTTGAATACAATTTCCCGATGCGGGAGTATAAAGGAGACGTTTCCAGGGCGATGGACGGGTGCTATGCTGACGTAGTACCGAGTACTGTGAGTATTTATTTCCCTTCGTCATGGGCCAGCGAGCATTCAGCCTCGTCAGCCTTGCGTCAGCCTCGTCACCTGGGCGCCGCGGAGGATGCCGGCGCCTTGGGCTCAGGTCAAAGTTGAAATGCTAATTTAACCTCGCTTTTTTCCTTCGACACCTTGTAGGGTCTTCTCTCTTCTTGCCGCTCCACGTTGTCCCGCGGCCATACGGGCTGCGGTGTCCTGCAGACACTGCATCTTCCCCGAAATCCACAGTACCACTGACTCTCTCGGATCCCCGTAGCCTGCCAGCGGAGGTAACAGCGGTCGCTGAAGCTGCAAGGCCTCTTCCCACACCTGTCTCCATGACGAGCCCCTTAGCGTCACTTCTGTGGCCATCGAGGGACGCTCAATATGGAATAATCCACGAAGCCACTCGACAGGCTACTCGACGAGTCTGTCCTGGCACCCAAATTGGGGCGATGAAAGATTCGACGAGCGCCAAATAACCCTGAGCCGTGTCGCTCCGATTGGATAGCGTGCCCTTCATCATGCGGGCACGAACTGAGGGCCTGGAAAACTCTCCGCGAGGTCGCTTCTGCCTTATCTCCGACACATACAGTATCTGCGGCTAGAGGCTGCAAACCTGCGGCATGGCTGATCAAGGCATGCCTTCGAGCATGAAAACTCCGTTGGCATTGACTCGTCGATCAAGACCTTTGCATGGAGCTTCGGACCTATCAGCTGAAGCCGGAGGCCATCCAGCCATGGCGTGGATAGTTCCATTGTGCCAGGCGCAGGCAACCATCGCTGTGGTCGGGCGCAGCAGAAGGCAACCAGGCAAACCGCTAACGCCACGCCAACGCAATGCAGGGCGGTGACAGGCGGGCAAGTTCGATGCTTGCTGCTGGCCCCAAGGGTGAGTAAAAGCCAACTTATAAGGACCACCGCCTTCGTCTCCTGAGGGACTCTGTCCTCCCTTTTAACAGCCAGTGCCCGAACCAGCTTCGACTGTTCTTAGCCCGTCGCAGGGTCAAGCCTGTGTTTGTCAAAGCTGATCATGACAGCTCGTCAAGTTCCATTGGTCGATCGATAGGGCTGGGTTTACTAATCCTATCGGGTATTTGGACGGCAGATGGACGGGGAACGAAGTGCCGAGCAAAGAATCACGCTTCACCCGAAGATACCCACACACTTATACCTTTGGAAGGCCGAGGCTTGCCGCAGAGCCGCATTCGGAGCAATGGCAGTCCGACCTAGATGGGTGGGCCACAGCCATCTCATTCGCGCCTTTTCCGAATCAGCGGCCTCGACCCTGTCAATGGCCCGGCCTTGCAGGATCCATGTAGGGAATGATCACAACGCAACAGTATCCCTGTCGCGTTCCACATGAGAAATTCGTCTATCGAGCTCGTCGTGTCGATCTTACACATATCCCCACAACGATGCCGCCACTATCAGCATGGACGCGGAGAAACGGCAGCCAGCTAGGCAGTGGGTCGGGGTTTCAAAACGCTAGAGCAGATTCTATCGACGCTGTCGAATCCGGCAAGTCGCCAGTGCCAACTGTGAGATAGAGGTAGGGGAGAGGAGCCCCCAGCGGGACTGGACGCATCTCCCTTGATTGACGCCATGATTCTGCGCTAGGGGCTTCACGGCCGGCACTGAATTGGTGATTCGGTAATGACTTCGTGGCTACGTGGCTAATGGGAGGTAGCCTCAGCTCTGCTTGCGCCAAGCGCGCCGCGGTTCGGTGCCGCTTGCGCTCACGCTTACCCGCTGAAGCCCTATCGTTTGAGCCTATTCCGGGTCTCTCTAATCCTTTTATCATCCGTGGACAGGTGCCCACGAACGAGATCATCTTCACTGTGGCCGTCTTTGCGCCTTTCTGGTCGCCTGCATCCCTCAGGATTGACATTAAATGCGTCGCCCGTCTCGTCATGTCCGCAGATGCGCCGGCCCTGTGGCCACCTGTTGCTTTGCCATTTTCCCTGCGTATTGACCATATTCGATGCAGGGAAGATCCTCAGTCGCCGTCGCAAGAGAGCCCCTCTGACTTCTACTGGTCTCCGCCGATGTCGACAAGCGAATTTGTCAAGATAGATTCATCAGATTGGTGGACCTGGGATCCAGGCCGATGGCCGCAGCTCTACCGATATCCGCAATTCTGCAAAACTGACACCACCGGCCCAGGCTCTGAGCTGCCTACCGACTACAGAAGTTGCACTATGTTTTGGAGCAGCGAACGTCATGGCTATATTGTCGTGCCTGTTGACTGCACGGGCACTAATCTGGGGGCCGAGCCATACCCTTGGAAACGTCTTTCCTTCGGCATTTGTGCTTCGGACCCAGCCACCGCACTTGTCGGTTATCAAAAGGAGCGTTATAGGCTGCACATGCCGGGACCTAATCACTGGTTCGAGGGTCTGCTCCCAGATGTCTGCAAACCGGAGGACTGCGAGGGAGCCAGGTGCACCCTTACTGGAGATCTGAGCATCGTCGTCGGTTTGCTCGCGTTCTCGTCGACTCCGGATCATGCTGTCGAGGCCGTGCATAAGTCCTTCCGGCCCATTCTTACCTCGACGAAGTTCCAGTCCCACGATCTGCCTGAACCTGAAAGTAAGTACTGCCCCCGGGCCGCTCAATCACGCATTGGTAAAGCTGACTCTTTGTTCAGGGCACAAGACTCGCGGAATGGTCATAACCATCGGCTTTGACCCACTCCGTGTAACCACGGACGGCCTCAAGGCCTGGGAGAACGGCGAGTACGGAGGGATCTTTAGCTGAAAGAACTACATACGTTACCGTCGGCGATGGGGCTCTGGTGACACAGAGATCGAGCATACTGACACCAGGACATAGTGACAGCGCTTCGCACAAGGCGGGCACTGTCCCAATGCTCTGCGGACGACCCCTGTGTGATCACTCTACCTATCCGGCCCCCTTTTTGCGGTGCGCCTCTGCGACAATTCGACCACTCACACATTGCGAATGCCCTCTTCCGAGTCCCGGGCTTTGGGGACGGGATTGACGAATTTACGATCATATGACTCGATGACTGCTTGATGAGTCCGGACAGTTTTGTGTCTCGGCAATCAATGAAGACGCACTTTATGGGTACACGAGGAAGCGAATCGGTTCGGATTCTTTCCGTGGTCTGGACACGGTTGGATTATGGACAGCTCATGACCTGGCGTCTTGTGCTGTCGAGTTGAATGTTTATCAAATGGGCATTTCGAGCGTGCACGCTCCCAGCTGCAGTCTCTTTCTTCTTGGGATTTGATGAAGCCTGCGGAGTTTGTACCTGCGATTCTTCGCCATTATATTCCGAATCTCCTTCTGAGATACATCAGACGGAGTGACGATCTATGATATCCCCTACTCCGTACGAACTTCTGAGTGCTTTATCCCATAGAGCGGCACATACGCCGCAGTCTACTGCACAACACATGTAGCAACAAGTGGAGGGGCCAGGCTCGGGCAACCCACCAACGGCAAGCCACCTAACTAAGCCCCCACGCTCCCAGTCGTATCTATAGAGTGCTCGCCCCGCCCAGCGCCATATGGCGTGGCTGTCTATGAGGTATACCTTTACGTGTCAAGAGTCTTCACCGCTCTGGCGCAAAAGTCGAGGAAGCGCGAAAAATACTTTGCATATCACGTCTCTCTGGTGCAGCGTAGACTAATGTGAATCATAACTGTCGCCGACTCACCTCGGACTTTCACGTGATAACACGTGTCATGCCGAAAACAGCTAGCGACTTCCTCCCACCCTTTCCGCTGCCTTTCTTCTCCTTCGGATGCCGCTCATCGCTTCCATCTGCTCTGTCCAGCCATTCATTGCGCGCGCAGCCGCGCTCAGAGATGTTTCCTCATCTCTCTCTCATGCAGGCCCCAGGTCGTGGGACGTCCAGATTGTTGTTAGGGAATCATGATATTATGTATCCTCGATGACGCTATCCTTCGCCCATGCTAAAGTCTCTCCTTGAAGTTACTATGCGAAGAGCAGGGGTGTCGCATCGCTACGCAAGGCAGACGAGCGGCACTTTGTGCCACACTGGCCTTGATTCGTCGATCATTTTTGCCTGGGGCCGAGATGGATGGCAGAACAGGCGGTGGTGCAAGGCTTAGCGCCCTCAGCCTCACTCCTCCCACGGCCGACTTTCACCCCGCCTGATATCTGCAGTCTTTCCTCAGCTTTTCAGCGGCACTCGAGGCTATGTCGCCGTCGTCCTACCTCACACCATTGACGCCAGCAGCCAACGAGTCGACAACATGGCGCTCCTCGTCCACCGTGCGGCTCCCTTGAAGCCCGAGATAAAGCTCGCTCAAGCTCTGTCCGAGTTCGAAGCTATTCTGCAAGGCACCGATAAGGAACAATTTCGCTCCTTGCGATCCGGCCAGCCGCCTGTCGTGGCAGATGTGATGAAAGTCACTGCCGCCGTCGACAGCAAAAACAGCCATCGAAGGAGCCGTCGCTGCTTTGGTCCCCGTCTGACTAGCGTCTTGGAATCCGTCCAGCATTTCTCAACCGTTGTCGATATCATCGTCGGCGGCTCTCAGTGCTTCCTTGCCCGCGCCATCTGGGGTACCTTGAGGATGACTCTGCAAATCACGTCCTCCTTCGCGTCATACTTTGAGAACTTATCAGCATTGTTCATGAGAGTCGGACGAGCATGCCCCCGATACCAGGAGTATGGTCTGCTGTACCCGAAGTCTTCCAGGTTGCAAAAGGCTCTGTGCGAATACTTCTGCACAATTGTCGTTTTGTGCAGGAAGGCCGTCCTATTCATCAGGAAGCCGTTCGTGGCTCAGCTGTCGTCTGCGATTTTGAGCCCTTTTCGCACGGAATTCGGTACATGTGAGAGCCAGTTGACAGAGCTGGCCGCTTCGATTCGTGAGGAGGCTTCGCTGGCATCGCGCCACGAACTCAGCAATGAGGCCAAAGAAGCCTCATCTTTCCGCACCGCAATCTCGAGCATAATAGCTCCACAAGACCTCCAAGAAGCCAGGAGAATGAAGGGCCAGAAGAGGAAATGGCAATTCCTGCTGGCATGCTCAAATTACAACCATCAGGCTCCATGGAAACGAGCTCGAAAAGCGGGAACAAGCTCTCGGATCGTCGACCAGGCCGTCTACAAGCAATGGGCCGAGGAACCTTCACCAAACGCGTTGTGGTGCATTGGTAAGCTCGGATCAGGGAAAACTGTCTGCACGGCCAGCTTAGTGCAGGAAACAATCATCAGGTATCCAGACGCTCTTGTTGCCTACTTTTTCTGCAGTTATCATGATGCAGAGTCCCTCAACGCGAGGGCCATACTGGGCAGCCTTGTGAGGCAGATACTCAGTTTTCTCAACCACGAGGCTTTCGATATCATTGCGGTCCCCGACCCAAGCATCTTCGATGAGGATGACATGACGACGCTCCTGTTGACGCTCCTTTCTGCTAGGGCTCGGCAGCTCTTCATTCTTATCGATGGGTTAGACGAGTGCACCGAAAGCGAGTTAGGCAAGCTGTTGGCAAGCCTACACACGATGCTTCGTTCGCGCCATCGCTTTCACCTGTTCTGTTCAAGCCGGCCTGACTTGCACCCAAAGTACCGTGCAATCCTCCAACCTCAATACGAAGTATTCTTGTCGGATGAAAATCCCGAAATCGCGCAGTACATTGAGACCGCGCTCGGAGACCGGCTCGAAGCAGGAATGTCGATTGCTGCCTCGTGGGGGAACCAAGAAATCCTCAAGTTACTGCTTGAACAGGATGGCCTTGACGTCAATTGCAAAAACGATTACGGAAATACCGCACTCACTTTGGCTGCGTTTCTCGGTTACGAGCAAAAAGTGGCGTTACTACTGACTCGGGACCAGATCGACGTGAATTCAAGAAATAATAAAGGCTTCACTGCACTCAGTGCTGCCGTACAGACCGGTCGGAAAGGTGTTGTCGAACAATTGCTTCAACGAAAAGACGTTGACGTAAACTCAAGAGATGAGGAGGGATCAACCGCACTACATCTGGCAGTCACAGACTTGGTATGGCGTAGTTAACAGGACATTGTGCATCTTCTACTTGACCATGCGGATATCGATGTCAATGCGCAGAATACCGTGGGATACACGGCGCTGCATTTGCTGGTGCAAGGAAGCGCTCCGCTCGATACTGTGCAACTGTTCTGCAGTAAAGACATCAATACAGAGGCCAGAGACGCACTCGGACGCACACCACTCGACCTGGCTCTGAGTCGAAGATACATCAAAATTGCCGACGCTTTGAAGGCGTGCGCGGCTCAGCGAGGAATGATGGTTTGACCTGGGAGTTGGATTGGCCTCGACTATGCATGGCTGGAGATGGAGAGAAAGCAGGTTCCTATTGTGTCTGAGCGGTGGAAGGCTTCCAGCATGAATATGCCAACCATACGGCCGGAAGCTTTCGTCTCGCAGGGTTGTTCCCAGGCGAATGGTGTTTCACAGGTTTATTCTAACACATCCATGAATCATGATGAGATGCCCTGTCCTTAGCCGCGCCTAACTGGGGGCGTCCAAGCTGGAAGCATTGACCATCCATGGGCCAGGGTCAACAATTTGCTGAAAACAGTACCAGAGCAGAGACTAGAGTACTTACAGGTAGTTGGCCGATGCTATGGCTCAGTGACACCCCGACAAGCGAAAGGCAGTGACATTCCGTCTCTTCACCCCCGGCACGTTCTCATTCCCCTAAAGTCAGAGACTCGGTGTGGCAAGGGTCCAGAAGATATACAGTTAAAGAACCTCAGACAATTCACGATCCCAAAAGAATTCTTCCACAGGTCGATACCATGCCGCAAGAAGGCCCAGGCCTACACCGCAGTACTTTCGGGAACATGAGGTCGGAATACTCCGTCGGTGGAGGGTATCGTACCTGGAGGCAGCACGAAGGACCGTGCACTACCAGAGCATGGGCTTTCGTGTCCATATCTGGTAGCGGCTGGCTCATGAGCCGGATGCAGCCAACTTCGATGGAGCAGTCCGCCAAAAATGGATCTTACGTCGAGCGCGCTCGAACTAAGATCGATGGCTAGAGAGCGCCGTGACATTGTGATGTTGAGGAGAGCAGCCTTCGATGTGAGGTTGCTTTTACGTGCACATTACCGTGCAACTAGACTAGGGTCCTCCTCGAGACAAGAGTACTATGTCTGCGCGCCACGAGAGGGCGCATGCTTCGAATGTAGGGCTGCATAGGACAGAAAGAGACGACAGAGGATACGGTACAGAGCAGGTAGATCCAGTCGATGGTGGCGCAAAAGTGCCTTGTGCTTGACTTGTGCTTGACTCTTGCCGATCCCTTCCGCCAATCAGACGTGCCAAGAAGTTTAGCTCGAAAGCCACGAGCCGCCAGCATTACCGAGGAACACTAGGGCAGCGGTAGAGAGACAAGAAGCGAGAGACGCGCTTGGGCAGGTTATCTTCGTAGGACGACGCACTGGCACGCTTGCAGACAGTCGGCGTGGGGCAAGAGATGGCATTACACGGTACTCGGTCTGCGCAGCCCTCGACACTTCCAGGTTCTCTGGAAAGACTTTCCGAACGTCTGGGGACAATGATGTGATGTTCCCGGATGTTTCGTCTCGGTGACATCAGACTCGATGCCGTCATATACGTCCAGGTGGCCAGGTGGGTGCCAGGTGATGGAAATACATGTGCCTGCTCAAATCCTCTCACATATTCGACCAGCAAAGTCAAACATCGAGTGAACCCTACGACCATCACGGCCCCTTCAGAATAACTGCCCAAGAGCAATAACCGCCAGAACAGCAAGCAGAAAAGCTACAGCAACAGTCTTCACTTCACATCCACCATGTCGGGCCTAAACCCTGGCTTTACCACCAAAAACACAGCCGATGCAGGCGCCTCCTCGTATGTCCCTATAGACACGTACTGGTGCTGCACCTCGCTAACTCACTCTACCACTAGGGCAACCAAGACGACAGACCAAACCGAAGGCATCTTCGAAGACGCCAGCAGCGACATGAAATCCAAACAGCAAGGCTCCGTCCTCGGCTCGAACCTCCAAGGCGGCATGCTCGATCAAATCGGCGGCAGCTCTTCCGGGCATCCCGCGCTCGGCTACGACGCCAAGCACGGCAGCTCGGTGACGGGCACCGCAGAAGCCACGGGCAAGGATCTGTACGAGGACGCCCGCAAGGGGGCTTCCCGCGCCGAGAACTCCGCCAGCAACACCCTCGAGCAACTCAAGGGCACGGCGGCCGAGTATGCCGACAGCGCAAAAGACACGGCGGGGAACATGAGTGCGGGGGCCCAGAACGCGGCGCACGATGCCACGAGTGGGAGTGGCAGTCACGGCGGATTGCTCGACACCGTCCGGGAGAAAGTGAGTAATGTGTTTGGCGGGGCTCATACTACCGCGCAGAGTCGGCAGGCGAGCAACTTTGACGCAGGCGCGTCGAGTGCGACGAAGAACACCGATTTGACCGAGGGCATCCACGAGGATGCGAGCAAGGGTATTGAGAGCGTCAAGGGGGCGACGACACGGAGCCATTGATCGTGTGGGACGGACACTGAGCATATGTGGGGAGTGAAATAACTGCCAGGGCGCGACACCAGGGCACAATGCAGGGGCCAGCTCCTACTGTGCAGTACCTAATTAAATGTCGGTATCGAGATGCCTTCTACCAACGACGATAGAATGAAGATTGCGCACGGAGTATTCCGTCAGGCTCTCCTTTTGTCCTTCCCTAGTTTGACCCCATTCCTTGCTGTCTTGCTTCCAAGTGCGTACCCCCTACGGCGTGCTATATACTTTCCCTCATTCTCATCCTCTCCCTTCGATGCAGATCATCCCTTGCAGGGTCCAGCGTATAGGAGGAAGTTCCTGCGAAAGCCTCGGAGCAGACCTCTTGATTCAGGTCACGTCAAGTTGGATGTAGATAGACATGACTGACATACCTGCAGGTGTGAGACACGCACGGCCATGCCTTCCATTACTACTCTACCCCATTTGCGGCGCAGAGTTCTACAAGCTCGAACGGTGTCGAAAAGGTGATGCAAGGCACGATGCAATCACTGTGCTATTGTATCGGATTTTGCCTTCAGATTGTCAACGCAGGGTGCTGTCAGATCACATCCGTTAGCGGCAGTGGCAGCATAGACTTGAATATATTTATTGACATTGATAGTCGCCGCTTTGTAGCAAGCAGACAGAGGTGCAGCAGAATCAGCCTTGAAGGCAAGGCCCGCTTGTTATAATGCCCAAGAGAGTCCTCGGATGCAAATTGCAAGACAATCAGCCTTGAAAGGTGCGCTTGATATAATGCCCAAGAGAATCTTCGAATGCAATTCCGAGACACTCAACCTCCCTGGGTACAGTATTACTGTCTCGCCTCGGTAACCACGCCCTCATAATCCCGCGACTTGATGTACTCGAGCGTCCGGAAGAAATGACGCTTAGGATTCTCCAGCGACTGAGCATTGCCCTCCGTGTTGGTCGTGGACAAGTTCGAATGGATGAGCTCGATCAGGCCGTTGAGGTACTTGGTCGTAACCTGCAAGGGGAACCATCATTAGTCTTCGACGTTGCTAAAGCGTGCGGTGAGAGAAACATACCGTCTCGTTCTGCTGATCGAAATAGTAGACATATCGGTTCAGGATTTCGACGAACAGCTCCACGGACACGGCAGTGTCCATGCAAGCATCGGCGACGCGCAATGCTCGTTGCAGGCACTCCAGCACCCGTTTACCGTCGCGGTAGAACTGTTTGCGCACGTCAGCACTGATTACAACCAGATCACCCGGTTCACCACTCACGTTTTTAGGGTCTTCCTCCCGTCCGGGAATCTCGGTGCACCACCAAAGATGGCTCGCCAAGTAGACTGCGCGACATTGATCCGGCTTCTTCAACAGCTTGCTGCCGTGCAGCGCTGCCTTCGTGATGAGCGTGTCATAGTTTTCCTTGCCGAATCCTCTTGACATCTGCAGTGCGCCGGCAATGATGCAAACCGCCTGGAACTGCGCCCTTGAGTCGCTGATACTGTCCTCGTAGATGGTAAACGCTTGCGCAAAGAACTCGTACGCAAACTCCTCAAAGCCGCACTGGTCCGCAACTTGGCCGCAAGAGACAAATAGGCGAAGGCACAACTCTGCCGCGGCCGGGTTGACACGGGTGTAGAGTTGTGACAGGGTTTGGTGCATGAAGCGGTACAGCGCCGAAGATTGATTTTGCCAGTTGTCGTCAAAGTGCTCGCGAGTCTTGAATTTCCTGGCTAGCTTTAATGACGCGGTGATAATGGCTGGAGTCGTGTATTTTATCCGTTCATTACCAGCTTCATATGCCTTGCGAACCTGCTGGAGCAGCTTGAGTTGGGTGTCGTTGTCCGGTCCATGGATGAAATGCACTATCCTCGCGAGCCAGCCTTGTTCCTCCACAGTCTCATCCGACTCACCACCCCGTTGGCGGTTCAATCCAGGATAGCCAGCCGGTTGTTGAATTCCCTCCTTGATGATGACCTTTAGCAGCGACATGATGCCTTCCAAGTGTTGTGTGGTGGTGATGGAGATTCGATTCCGCAGAATATTCTTGGCCACTTCTCCAGCAACTGCCCGTCTAGTTGCATAGGTTTGTGACGAGTAAAGAGGAAGGTAGTTGGGAAGAGCGAGTGCTGTGAAAAGGGAGAAATATGTCCGGATTGGCGAAAGAAGGAGATTGAGCATGTTGGCTTGTGTCGCGGCCGAATGGAGGTCCGCAGAATCCATGTATTCGGCACCCTTCTCCCGCGCATAAGCCAGGATCTGGTCGAGATACTCCAGCCGGTCTGGATAGATATTCCTGGGTACGTTAGCTCAGTCACTTTCAACAGTGTTCACTTGGACATACAGCGCAAGGTTCGCGAGCGAAGTCAATAAAGCCATGGTATCTTGAATGGGCAAGCCCCTCGTCTTCACGAGGCTGACGACTTGGTCATAGAAGATTTCGAACAGCTTGACGTCTCCAACACCGGCCACCTTATCGCCATTTGTCGCCGTGGGGACTGTCGGAGTGGCTGGGGTCGCTGCTTGTGAGTCGGTCGCTTCAGCCTCTGTAGGCGATTTCAGATCTGCACCGTTTGTTGTGGGCGTTTCTGGCTCAGCAGGAGGCGCTGGCTTCGAGTCTTGGTTCAAGTCGATCTTCTCGAGCATCCGGATCGCAGCGTCTTCTTCAGCTTTGCGCTTGTCTTCATCAGATAACCCCTCGGCAGATTCCCTTTGCGCGTATGTAGATAGCCGATCCATCAGACCTATCACGATTTTCTTCATGTCGACGTGTGGGTTCAACCGGGCAATGGCTGAGAGCATTTGATCAAGGGTATGGAGGTGGTACTCGTCGGGGAACACCTTGGTAATAACTGGTCATTCGTCAACGCTGCCCCGGTCCTCGGTGATATCTTCCTACCTTCGAGTAGATATTCTTGAGCCAAAACATCCCGACATTGCACGACCTGTTCCAGCAGGGGAGAAATGATGGTAGCCTTGTACGTCTCCAAGTCGACCAGTTGGCTGAGTCTGACCAAGTTACTGCCCACCAGTAATTCCAGCTCTCGCCGCTCCTGTGTTCTTTGCTCTCTTTCCCTTGAATGTCCCTGGTGCTGCCACCGCACCCACAGCTTGTTCATCTCTACGAAGTTTGTGAGGATAAAATTAATCGAGTCTTGCAAATTGCCTTGCGGTCCGTCGTCTTTGCCTGTCGGCAGATAATCTCGTGCCTGTCCCATGAGGTAGTACCGGAGGAAGAGGCCTCGAATTGGATGCTGTACGCCGCGACTCATTTCCATCATGTCTTTCATGATCTCTTTGACCGGTGCATCGTCAACTCCCATATATACCGTGCCCACCGTAATCATGAGGTATAATCTGGGGATAATATTGCCGGCGTATTGAACAAGTTCATAGAGGTCGGCGAGATGATTGACGGGATGCGACTCGCGGAGATATTCGGACAGATATCGTAGAGCGTCGAAGACGGCCATGTAGAGCTCATAGTATTGCTTGGGGCCCAGGGTCGGCGTGCGCAGCTCAGACACCAGCGTCGACCTACAGCGTTGCATCGGCATGTCAGCGCGGGCGACATGAACAGAGTCGAGCAGTGTTCTTACCCGCACTTCAGAGCGTCCATGAGCTTCCCTGGCGTCTCGAGGCATTTGCGCATCTGTTGCGACTGCTGCCGCACCACTCCCAGGGCTTCCTCGAGTAAGCGTCCCTGGTCCTCCGCCGTTGTAGGCGATGGTGCCGCCATGGCGACTGCTTTACCGGCTTGCAACCAGCAGTGAACGAGGTTGCACGGGACGTAATCTTGGCCGGGGAAGGTGATGTGCTATTATTGTCAAGTCTTCGACTCGGCCAATTGTTCAAGTAAGTAATAGTGCAGAGAAGATGTCGTTGAGGGCAGAGTTGCTAAGCATCGTCTAACGGACTTCGCGGTACTGCATTTGGGCTGGAGGGAGCCTGCCGCTGGATTCGGCTTGGCAGGAGATCGAGCACGAGACATTGCCCAGCACAACTACCCCTTTCATCGGCGAAAGATTTATGATGATAATAGAAGATATAGTATACATCTATTTGGTCTGTCGCCTCTTGCTCTCTCCTTCATCATGAGATGGCGAATGTCCACCAACGCCGCGCTAACATGAGATGTCGTCTCCCACCTTCGCGAAAGCCATTCATTAAGTCGTAGATAGTACAGGATTGCTTGTTTCTGTCGGAACTCATAAAGCCGTCCAGGCGGGTCTAGGACAAACGCCTGAGTTCAATGTTGTTGTTAGTGATTCTGAAGGTGGACGCGAACTCCACGCCCACTATCATACCGGACTGGTTGTTGCTGTTGACAACGTCGAGCCCGATTCGGTGCTTGTAGCGGAAGGTATTGTGGCTGTGGGCGTCCAGCTTCATTGGGAACTCGACTCCGTAGGCGATGCCGATGTTGAAGACTCCGAGCTCACGGTATAGTAATACCACGTATGCCACTGCCCATCATCGTATGGCTTCACTGTAGGAAGTGATTGCGTCACCGTAACTGTGGCAGTAGCTGGTTTTTCCATTGTGGTGACCGTCGACGGCGAATCCGAGGAATATTGACTCGATGTCAGTGCCTCGAGGGTTACAGACACAATTTCAGTGGTTGTCGATGCAGGTAAGGAATCGGTGACGATGGTGGGTGATGGAGTTGTCACGGCGAAGACAATTGTCGTTGGCGTTTCAGATGCAGTCACAACGAATGTGGAGACTTGGGTCTTCATCACTGTCTGTGTGTGCGTTATCGCATCAGTGACAGTCGCTGTTGGAGAGCCGTCATCTGTTGTTCCACCTCCTACTGCAACAACGGAATATGAGGCAGGTTTTCTTCGCTCTATTGTATCGGGGATAATTGGTCGACCACTGGAGAGGCACAGTAATGATAGCATTAAAAGCGTGATGTATGATTTGCTTGACTTCATCTTGCCTAGGGGGGTCAATGGAAGGATAGTACAGCGGGATCAATGAGGACGGAAGCCGCGCTGGGAATGTGAGCGAGACGACTGAGAGTCCAATACCAGAGTTGACGATACACAAGAGAAAGAGACGCATCGAAGGAGAAATACTTCGACATGTACGGAGTACCCTTGCATGTCAGAAAATCGCAGAGGCTGGTTATCATCAAGGCGCTGGGTGCGGAAAGTGTGTGCTTGTGCGCGGTAAGGTGGTGGTGTTGATGCATTCATGAGGCGGCTGGGTTTCTAAACAGGCGAAAACAGATCGGCAATCTCAGCGCGCAGCCTTGGCAACCACGAGGCTGGGCCGCCGCCACAGCCCAAAATTCAACATGATTGGCTGAAACTCGGTGGCTGGGCCAACGCTGGGCTTTCGCCCACGCAAGCAAGCCGAACTGTGCATATGCTTCCGGGACTGTTTCGAACTCTCTTGATTGTTTCAAAGCGCCTCATCCCTCATGTCCCAACAGCCCTTGAGAGATCGAGACCGCAAATGAATGACCTGCGTCAATTGCGCCATACTCCCATGTTAGCCGGTCTTGGCCTTGGGTTTCCTGATCATGACCCGGTCTCCGTTGCGCATCCAGCCTACGTCTTCTGCTCGGACAAGTTCATCCCAATCCATTTCGCCGCTGGTGGCACTCTGAAGGATCCATCTAACATCGCAGGAATAGTATGCTTGCCCGATGGCTTTGAGGGCCATTGTACGCTGCGATTCGAGATGCCAGTGAAGGATGGCTCGGACATAGCCGTCCACCTTATGTCGCACGCGCCAGAAAGTGACCCAATTACCAGTGACAACCGAATTCAGGATGCTGTCGACTACTCTGCTTTTGAACCCGACCCGTACTTGACATTTGTATCTCAACGCGTATGCTGAGGTAAGATCATTCTGTCGAATCGCAGTGTCAAGAATTTGGTAGGTGATCATCTCAATCAGCTCAGATCTCGGCAAAGGATGCTCGGCGGTGTGCAGTGTAGTCAGCAGATGTAGAAGGGATGGGTGATAGCCCTCCGGATGAAGTGCTAGGATGGCCGCTCTGATATTGAACACGTGGACTCGCTGGGAGAAGACGGGGTTTTGCGCCGATGCGGAGCTGGCAAGAAGGCCTTCCCGTAGTTTCCGCAGTGCTAGGAGAATGGTAGACAGCTCGGCTGAGGGCGACGCCGATGGACCCCCGCTCGCCTGCCCGTACACATGCACTGGGAAGTCATGTTGATGAGGACTCGGCGCTCGAACGGGTGGAAGGTCCGTCACCCTGATAGCCTGGTTTCTGACAGGGGCCGTGGTCGACGAACAAGCCTCCTCTAGCGATAACGATGCGAAGGCGCTGTCGAGGTCTTTAGCGTGCTGGGTGCAGAACTGCATATAGCGAGCGACAATTTTGTTGTAAAAGCTCTCTTGCGTCTTGGGATCGAGCAACCTTTCTGCGGTTAGAAATGCATTCAACGCAAGCCGTGACCTCACCTGTTATCACCCTTGGAAACGAAACCCATACTCTCCAACGGGTCTTGCTTGACTGGACGCAACCTGTCCCATGGTGCTGATGATTTTCGCCCGAGTGTGGGGGTTGCTTGTGCCATTCTTTACAACGTTAGGCTTGTGCGAAGCATCATGTTCGGAACAGGACCGCGGTGCTCATTTCAAGCGCCCTGTGCTCTTCTATATGCTCTTACCGTGAGCTCAGTCGCTGCTCCCACAGCCACTAGACTGTCGTGGCTGCGTTGGATGCGTGTGGAGCAAACAGTAACGGCCCTAGCGGGTATCAGCCAGTCATTATCGATAAGGCAGTAGCAAGCCGAGCCTCTTCGTAGCGTTATATTTGGCTTTTCACGTGGTAGTCGCCCTCCCAACACTTCCGGATTAACGGATGGTTTCCCTGGACTTTGTCGCAGATACATGGACACACAGCTGATTGTTGACAGCTTTACTCAGACATATTCAAAATGGCCGACTCAGAACCTCAAACCCCAGCAGACTCTGGGGGACAAGAGCTCTCCGAAAAGGCCGAAGATCTCTGGCATAGTCTCGTCTATTGGAACGAACTTCCACACTGGCTCCAGGACAACCACTACATTCACTCCAGCTATCGCCGAGCGTCATACAGTTACTCCAAGTCCATGCAAAGTGTTTTACACTGGCACAATGAGAGTGTCAACATCTGGAGCCATTTGATCCCTGCCACCTTGAGTCTGCCTTGCGCGGTTGTCCTCTACAACGTTCTGAAGCCGCGGTACGACCACGCCTCCGTAGCCGACGTCATAGCCATGGGTTGCTTCTTCGGCGGTGCAGCTGTTTGCTTGGGGATGAGTGCCTCCTACCACACTTTGTCAAACCACTCCCCGTCTGTTGCTCGGTTCTGGAACCAACTCGACTATGCAGGCATCTCTTTGCTGATCACGGGGTCTTTTATTCCGAGTGTATACTATGGCTTCTGGTGTCACCCAGTCAAACAGTGGACATACTGGATTATGGTGAGCACAGAACCAATCTTAGAGCTGTGTGGGACTCACAAATGTGGCAGATATGCTCTTTGGGTGTTGCTTGCACCACGATGTCGGTCCTGCCACGCTTCAGAACTCCGGCCTGGAGACCATATAGAGCGCTGATGTTCGTGGGCATGGGCATCTCAGCGGTCTTCCCGGTCTTCGATGGGTGGAGCACTTTCGGCTTCGAAGATATGGAAAAGCAAATGGGTTTGCGGTGGCTGATCTTGCAAGGGGCGCTGTATATCCTTGGAGCTGGTCTCTATGCCGTGAGTATTCACCTTACTTGATCCGAAACCGATACTTATTTGGGTTTACCAGGCCAGAGTCCCAGAAGCATGGCAACCCGGCAAGTTTGATACGCTGGGAAGCTCGCACCAAATTTTCCACATACTGATTGTCCTCGCCGCATTGTCACACCTGCAGGGGCTCCTCAAAGCCTTCGATTACCGTCACGGTATTATGGGATCCATGTGTGTATGAGCATCTGCCTTTCAACTCATAGCTTGAAGTCGGCATTCAAGTACGAACGACTTGGATTCTTTTCCTGCTGGTGATTCGCGATTCGAGACACCATTGACGTCTTCAAATCCCTGGACTTGTCGGACGTCAGGTCGTATATGGTCGCAAGGTTGACCGTCAGAGTCTGGAAGGAATAACCGGCATCAACAAGCTCTTCCAGGTGCTGCCTGGCATTTAGGATCTGCCCACGGTACAGATTTGCCACAGCAAGATTCTGCTTTACCACGGCTGCAACAGCTGGATCAGTGCTCGCTTCGTTCTCGTAGAGCACCTTCGCGGCTTCGTCGAATCGACCTTGAGCAACCGCTAGAAGTGAACGAAGGACCACCTTCTCTGGTGACTTGAGAGCGGTTGACTGGATGAGCTCTTCGGCGCGCGAGATATCGCCCATTTTGATCCTCAGCAAGACTATCCTCGAAACCCACAGCGCAAGATCTTCCTCTTCGCCGGGCTTCAAGCTTTCAAGCGTCCTGGCAGCAGTATCCAGATCGCCCATCTCGATAAGTGCATTCACCACCCTGATAGAGACTTCACGTAGTCTCTCCGTCCACAGCTTCCTCTGTTCCAGAGTCGTGAGTGGAGAGGACAAGTGCTCTCTACACTCCAATCCGACGTCATAGAGCGACGACACACCTCTCCGCGGGTCAGAGAAACCGAGGCTCTGAAGTCGCAGTGCTTGTAACCGTAAACCAAATGGCATGATGTGCTCAGGGACTTTACGTGATTGACGCTCGGCCCCATCATCCTCGGATACCTTCTCTGGATGTGGATCGTCGTAGTAGAAGCCCGAACTCAAATCCTCGAGCGCTTTCGCCTCCTGGGCGGCCATCAATAGATTACCAGACAGCTCTAGACAAGAATATCGAATCTCCATGACTCGAAAAATCGTGTCCGCGTCCGTAGGTTTGATGGTGCCTGAGACCAAGATCGAGCCAGCAAACTGCGCGGCACGGAGGAAGTCGCCTTGTGAGAGTAAGGCGTCGAGTTGTTGCAGGGATGCACTGAGTGGTGCTTCCGCACCGGGAGGTGGAAGGAACGGTTTCCGGAATGTGCCGGGCACTTCGACCTGGGAGAGGGCATGATAGATGGAAGAGTCGAGAAGAAAGGACAAGTCTCGGTCATCGGCTTGAGTGTCAGGTGCAGGTGGTTCCTGCTGTACATTTGTCGATGTCGAGGCCCGCGACAGTGGTTCACTGACCTCGCTCTGCGGCGACAGGAGCTGCTGAGACGCTGCAGACACAGCAAGGGGATCTGATGGCGCGTCCAACGGTCCCTTGGTCGTGCGCCGTGGAAGGGCGGCGCGGCTTGACGGTTTGCGGCTGTGTGAGGTAGAAGCCATATCTCCGGTCTTGAACTGCTATAAATATTCAGGTGTTTTGAACATTCATTTCATTCTTTCGTCGTCTTCCACATACTCATTGCCCTTCTTTCTATCTCCATGCACCGCAAGTGCTGACAAAAGTGTCGTTAAAATCCCAGTGTCGTGGTCATCATGGCAAACATGACTCCCTTGTGTAAGTAGACAGGATTGCGGACGGTTCAACTTCGGCATTTCCATCCTCATCCCCCCTGAAGCTGCGGAACGGGAACTGACAATTGTTCACTCACAGTGGGAGTCTCGCACTACTACCCACGAGCAGACCCCCAGCCTGCGCGACCACCGGCCAACAACTTTGTCTTCCTCGAGACACTCACCAACCGGCAGATTACGAACTTGGCAGGCGACCTCCAGACCAAAATGAGTAACAAGCGCGACAAATACTCGGTCATCCTACCAACGTACAATGAGCGAGAGAACCTGCCTGTCCTCGTGCAGATGTTGTCCGACACGTTCACCAAAGAGTAAGTCACAGTCACAGTCACGGCCACTCAATTCCAAGACCAATGCTAAGCGCTCTCTTAGACGCCTGAGCTGGGAAGTCATAGTCGTCGACGACGCCTCGCCCGACGGCACCCTCGAACGCGCCAAAGAACTGCAAGCCTCTTTCGGCAAGGAACACATCATCCTCAAGCCCCGCGCTGGCAAACTAGGTCTCGGGACAGCCTACGTACATGGTCTCCAGTTCGTCACTGGCAACTTCGTCATCATCATGGACGCCGACTTCTCCCATCACCCCAAATTCATCCCCGAGTTCATCAAGATCCAGAAGGACACGTGCGCCGACATCGTCACGGGCACGAGATACAGATCGAAGAATGGGCTTGTCGGCGGTGTCTACGGCTGGGACCTGAAGAGAAAATTGACGAGTCAGGGCGCGAACATTCTGGCGGATTTCCTGCTCAATCCTGGTGTCAGTGATTTGACGGGCTCCTTCAGGTTGTACAAGAAAGAAGCGCTGGTCAAGGTCATTGAGAAGACGCAGAGTAAAGGGTACACGTTCCAGATGGAAATGATGGTTCGTGCAAAAGCCATGGGGTTAAAGGTTGAGGAGTGTCCCATCACGTTTGTGGATCGACTGTACGGAGAGAGCAAGCTTGGTGGTGAAGAAATTGTGGAGTATCTGAAGGGTCTCCTGTGGTTGTGGTGGACGGTCTAAGTGTTTGCGCAGGGGCGTTCGGCGTACACAACAGAGCATCCAGCGGTATGAGAGATCGGGGAAAGCATGGAGTCCATTACTGCATAAAGGCCGATCGGGTCAAACAGAGATTTCTAGAAGCAACAAAAGCTCCACCGACACAGATGGCTCTGGTCGCGGGATCCTCGACTCGTCTTTTTGTCAGACGCTTTTGACGATCTTATCGCGGCCAGTTTGAGGGCTACTGCCGGTGGATTGGCGAAATCTTCCACCTGGAGCAGAGCCCGAGTGGAATTGATATTCCGAGATCCCTAGTCCTGAGCACAAGCGTCAGCTAGATGGGCTGCCCGCAACCTTCGAACACGGAATACAAAGCAACTGATGACAACAATTGTCCACAGCAACCTTTGAGCCGCGGAGGACTTATCCCGTACAGTAGGATTGCATGAGCTCACCAGCGACGTGGCGAGCATGTTGCTGGATCTGACAGCCACTCTGTGTGGATTGTATCGCCACATCTCCAACCAGCAGGAGCATGGTCTGTAGCCCATTCAACCTGCTACTGAAGAGGGATAAACTGGTGATATGTATGTGTCCAGTCAACCCTATGCCTCGGTAGCATCCCCGCCTCATTCGTCTGGAAAGTCGCCGACCGGTAAGCGCGCTCTGCAAGGGCATCGGCTGTAGAAATCAATGGTTGGGTGGTGGTCGCGCGTAGTGCATGCAGTCAGACTCAGCCCCAGCAGCCTCGGCCACCTCGTGTGGTGTTCTGAGCCCAAATGACACCGCAACGACCACCAAGACCCTCTGTTTTGATGGTTGGTTTGCCGATGGCTTTCGTGGCGAGATGTGAGCAAGTGACTTAGCTGCCTCGTTGGGCTGGGTTCCACTTCCCCTCTGTGATGCTTCTGCGGAATCCTCCGCAATGCAAGGCTGAAAGTCGAGGAGCTGCTGTTCTCTGTATTTGAATCTCTTCATGAAGGTTCGACGATGCGTGCTCGGGTTCGCTAACCTACACTCGGCCGGTCTACTGACCTTTTGTACAAAGCAGTGCCCGGCCTACGGCCGTGTTTGTAGATCGGGCAGATGGCTTCTTGGGGCCACATTGCTTGATCTGCGCCTGTAGATTGACTGGAATGAGAGCAGTACCGCGCGGTCATGTTCGCATGGATGACGAAACCCTCGTCTGCGTTGAAAGAGACAGAGTCGAAGCAACAGTCTCGCTGAACCCTTTTGACTGCGATCTCAGTATCTGCATATGCCTGATTCATATCGTCGACGTCCTGGAGCTTGGGGTCGGCTGCTTGACTGACTCGAGATTTTGGAACTCGTCTTCAGTGTGTCATGCACAATTGTGGGACACGGGTGCAGTGGACCTGAGGGAGCCCAATCCACTCATGCGTCGTGACATGGGTGTCTTCGAAGATGGTGTGGCGAAGACGCAATGCCGACGGACGCTTCAGCTCTCATGCATCGCCTTACAAGCCGCCGCAACGTTCTTTTGTAGCATTGCAGCTCGGTGGTGTGAAAGACGGTAAATGCATGCCACTATGAAAGAGTGTTGGACTGTGATTAGTGGAGTCTATATGCGTAATTTATGGCATCGCCGAGGTCTGGTCCTGCGCAGGTAAAGGTGGTTCACCTCTCACATCATTTGCGTCGGTTAGAAGGAGATGGTGGCAGCGTGAATGAATGTTGCAATAGCAAGAACGAATTTAGACTTGATTACTCCCTAGTCAGGGTGAAGTAGTGACGGCAGGGGTGGCGGGTGCGCTTGTTAGGTGTGAGGGTGACTGCGACTAGGCAATAATTCCATGTCCCTGCGGAATTTCGAGGTCGTTCCCTGAACTAAATTCAGAGCTACTGCAACCAGACACGTAGGGCTGAGCCGCCGAGGTCTTCCAACCGCCGACGTTGTTCGCGACAGGAAAAGGACAGCGAGAGTAAGTCGTCTCGTATGACTTTGCGGTAGGGCGTACCAGCATCGGGGGGAAGGACCAACGGTGACTGGATTAGCTGCAGCACAGCTTCAAGCAATGCCACTGACGTTTCTGGGTGGTCAACAGGGGCGAAAGTCATTGACAGGGCCAAAGCCCTTGCGCTTGTCCTCGATGCATGTGCCTTCCACCTTGCGTACCTTGCGCGACCGATGCGAAGGAATCCACTAAGCTACCTACCTAGATATGAGTCCACCAGCATGTGGTGCTACACCTCGCACCGCCCGTGATTGCACAAAACCATTCTACCTGGCACCAAAATAGCCGGCTTCGGGGCGGAGAGGAATGACGCCCTTAATTACTAATGGACGCAGCTGTGATGGGGCAGCTGAAAGACATACTGGGGAGTGTGAGGGTAGGACTCCAACCGACTGTGCAGTCATTGAGTATCCGACCCGGCAGACAGGGCTGAAGATGTATAGGAAGCTCGTTTTCACCAGCTCATCCATTCGCCATCTGAACAATCATGCAGCCAAGCTTACCACCTATACCCTATGGCTGTCGCCTATTGCAGGCTTCTAGCCCGCTCATGTCTGGTGTACAGGTTTGGCGTGCTTTAATATCTAAGGGGCTGTTGGTCAAGTCCTTGCCTTATACGTCTGTATACTGGACTCAGCGTCTCGTAGCTGGACAGCAAGTGAAGGATTGCAAGGAATCTTACCTAACTCACGGCGTCCTTTTGCAAAGTGCGCCGATGTACCGTCTCGAACCTAGAGGATGGTACCACGGAGCTTGGTGGTCGCTGACAGGCGTCCGTCGCATCTGTTGACCGCAGAGCAGCAAACTGAGGGCTTTGGAGAGGCGGCCAGACCAGCTGAAGCATCAAGAGGGCCTGATGCTGAAGCGTTGACGCCCAGACAAAACAGAGAAGGAACTCGAGAAGGACAAAGACAAAGATCACCTACGCGGTTGAAACGAAGCCACCACAAAGTACGAACCGGGTGCATGACCTGGTAAGACGAATCCATGCAGCTACCTCTCCTCCCCCTTGCCACATCTGCCTCCTGCTCCTCCATCCTTCATCAACACACCTCAAAAATATTTCTCTGCAACCAATCTACCTCTCAGACATGGCTGACCTCCCACAAGCAGACGCCGCAGAGTCAAATGTACGTATTGTCTCATACATCTAATGCAATAGTGCTGCTTGCGCCGTGTCTGCGGTCTCCCAGTTCCCCCATCAGGAAATGCTTTGAATCGAAGCACTTCCTTGGCAATTGGCTGACAGCTTCGTGGCACGATCTTTAGGCGACGAGACCCATCCTCGATGCCGTCGATGCGCGAAAGGCGGTCGTGTCTGCGAAGGCTACACCGAGCCCAAGCCGTCGCCGTTCGAACAGACCCGCAACCAACAACAGCTGACTGAGCACCTCGTGCCTTGGTCCAGCAGAGGCAACCCTGTTCACTTTTACGATGACCCTGATCTCAATCGACCGACTCAATACTTCCTCGAATGCACTGCACCTCGCATCTCCTCATATTTCGCTGAGATGATCGACTCTTTCGTCGACGACAAGGCGCTGGTCCTATCCTCCTCCAACTCGTCGTGGAATTTCTGGAATAGGCTCGTCATTCAAGCCAGTCGAGAGCAGGCGTGCGTCCGTCACAGCCTGGTCGCTTTGAGCAGTCTCCACGAGTGGATCGAGCTCACAAAACGCACACCCTGGCAGAACCACATGTTTACCCTCTACTATACCAAAGCCATCACCGGGATCAATCAAAGTCAAGATTCTCTCCCGTTAGATATCATTCTCATCTCCTGTCTGCTCTTCGCGCACTGCGATTTCTTGATGGGCGCGTCTGCTGCCGGACTCACCCACCTCAAGTCCGGCCATCGAATCATCAAAGAGAATCGCAAGAGACAGATCGAAATATCACCAGCGATAGCTGACTTGGTCGAACCTATCATTTACGGCTTCCTGGCAAAGTCAGAGGCATACGCACTGCGCGAGGAAGCTACCCAACCGTCCACTGCGGCTCCGGTCACTACCCCAGCGACCTATTCTCTCCCACACATGCCAGAGAAGTTCGAGGATCTGGTGCATGCAAATAGACATCTCCAACAAGCAGTCTACCTGGTCCTCCTGCTTGAACTCAGTGAACCCCACCATTTGAGACCCATGATCCCAGATGTCCGCAAATACGTCGCCGACTGGTCGAAGGCGTTTGGTCGCTGGAGGGCCGAAGCCATTCTCGACCGAGATGATCCCACACTGAAAGATTGGCAGCTGTTGCTTCTCGCCCACCACCGCATGGCTTTGCTCGTGATGAAAACCCTTCCGCCAGAAAATGACAGCGCCTACAATCGTACTGCTGCAGATTTTCGAATCATGTTCGCTCAACTGCGCACATTCCTGCGCAGCGGATACACTGCGATGGATAAGAGCAGGGACAGTGACATTGTGTTGAACGCACACTTGGGATTCATCTCGCCATTGTACTTCATCGCCACACTGTGTCGAGTCCGCGACATTCGACGGAACGCGCTCGAGGCTTTGGGGGAGCTGAAGGTGGTTGAAGCCCATTGGAACAGCTGCGTTGCATATGCCGTGGCCAAAACGGTGGTTGAGATAGAGGAATCATACAGTCAGAGCTCTATGAAAGTGCAACGCATCAAAGTCGACAGCGTCGACCGGTTCAAGGACGGCACGCTCGAGATGCGATACCACAAAGTCCCCGGAAACGGCAATCACGGCGACACTGTGACTAGGAGAATAACTGAGCCTTGCTGTCAAGACGAAGCAACGACGATGTGGGTAAGTAATTTCTTGCACATAGGGGCCTTTGATACTGGATCTAACAACTTGTGCAACAGCCCCTGGTGCGTATCGTCCAGCTCCACGGATTCCAAGCGACGGTAAAGCCTCGCAAACTCACTTGCTCATGTGAGCATACACTGCCAACGTGATCGTGTGACGACGCCTCTCAGCCACACAGAGCAATTTGAACCCCAGGGAGACCCAACACCGAGGTCCAAGAGACAGTATGCGTCGCTTCATCTACGCACAAGCTGCTCCCTGCCTAATCCCTGTTCAATTTCTCTGCTATGCTGGTACACGTCAGGACCACCGCCACCTCGACCTTGGGCCTCAGCTTTTCGAACAGCCGCAGTTCTCCTCTCTTTCTCAGATTGCGAAAGGTGCTGGCCACGAAGACAGCGACAACGCTTCCACTTTCCTCATCTGTCAGCCGGTAGTTCCTGAGGGACAGTTTGTTCTCGACACCATCTTCGTTGCTGATGGTTCGCTGCCACCTGAAGCGTCTAGTGCCCGGCGGATGCGTGCCGGCGTCAATGTCGCTCCATTCGGGGTACTCGGTGAAATCCCACTCATATTTGCTTTTTGTGAGCATCTTCGAGACATTGCGCATCTCTTCCCATTGGACGCTATTAGGATCCTTCTGTGCATCACCAATGCCAAATTTGACGTTTCGAGCGTACCGAAAATGGGCGACACCAAGGATGGGTCCGGGACTATCCTGCCCAGCAATGGCAGAATGGAGGGTGATATCTGGGACATTTCTTTTCCACTCCGAACAAGCGGCGAAGTAGACTAGCGTTTCTGAACTTTCAGTGCAGTGCCAGATGGAAATGTCTGAGTTGAACACTTTCTTTCGGAAGACTAGTGTTTTGACAACTGGTTGGTTCAGGAGGGTGGCACCCGTCCGGACTCGAGGGATAGGGACAGCGGCGTCCCAGTCTTTGAGCTCGTCCTGAGGGTCGGTGACGTGGTGTGTCAGGGTTCCGTTATTGTGAGCTTTCTCCGTGGTGCGATATGGGACGTCGTGGGTAAACGAGTCAGAGTACGAGATAGGGGCTTTTGGCGCCATGATTATGAAACGTATGGAGGCAGTTTAGCGGTGCTGGGTATGGGGTGGCTGAGCGGAAGATATTCTGGCACCAAGGAGGGTTCCAGGAAATCAATCCTTTCGAGGTACTCCTTCCGACACTGAGCACCGCAGAACAGTTGCCTGCTGGAGTTCAAGGCAAGAGCGAGGTTCAGGTTCTGTAGATAACAGTCTGCTGAAGTTGGACAAGGACGAACCGAGGATCACGCCCTGGCAGGCGCCAATGAATATACTGGCGCATGCTAAGAGCCGTAGAACAGTCGAACGATCCCGGTCAATCCAAGTTCAATATGTCTCGGATTACTCCCTCAAATACTAGACAGTAGTATGGCAGGTTGAACACGAAGTTAGCCTAACAACGAGGACGGACCTTGAACCATGTGACCACGATAGTCTCGACCACGCCACCATGCTGGGCTTTCCTACAGGTGCCTCGAGTGCTTGGGTAGGTTAGCGGCATGGCAAGGCGTTCTTGGGATACTGTACGGAGTATGTACCTCTTACTAATTAGAGGAAAGGGGGGCCGGGAGTGTACGCCCAACCCCAACACAGCTACAGTAACCATAAGTTAACTTGCTAGGTACATAAGTGGTTAGCCGGTCTGGACGTGTGTTAACGTATTCGTATATCCATCCGTCTTGCATGTATGCATGCATGCATGCTTATATCGGTCTTGAGAACCGTGAGTGCAGCGAATAGGTAGCGGTGGGCCGGATCGAGCGTTTGAGATTGAGCATTCCGGATGCACAACGTGTAGGGAATCAGTATTCTGTTTGGAGCCCCCAGTTGAAGATAGATGTACGGGTGTACGGGCTCGTTGGAGAGAATGAGTGAGGTTCAGAGGCTCCGAGATTTTGAACGGCATTTGTTGATCCTGGCTCCTCTATATTGGCTTCGTGAACTGGGAGAGGCGGCAGGAGAGGTGGCAAGGTAAACCCGCGTGTGTGTCTACACGGTAAGGTCTTCAGTAGAACTGTTTCAATGTCAGTGCGGCTGGGCTGGAGCCGTGGAACGGTCGCTGAGATCATCTCTCCAGCTACCTAGTATTGTGTTCAACCTGATATATACACATATACACCGTAGCGTGTCTTCTCGGGGCTGATGTTCCGACCGTCTTCGGCCATCATATCTTCTTTCTGGCCACTGGAATCAATTTGCTTTGATAGTAAAGGTATTTCTCTTTCAATCATTGTATCCTCTCTTTACCAGTCATCAGCCGCTGCACACCTACAGCGTGGCCGTTGGTCCTGCTCATGTCCCGCTGGCGGTCCTTGGTTTCATGAACCCTCATGTCGAGTCCCACCCAGTACTTCCCATCTCGCCAGGCGACGGTCGTGCCGCCCCAGATGGCCCACGACCACACGGGCAGCGCAAGTGCTTCGCGACCTAGCCACGCAATCATCCAGGTGGTGAACTTCCTCCGCGCCTTGGAACCCGTGGCCAAAGGTCTCGCGAACGCTGGCACGTTTTCATCTCCACCGCCACCCACTTCCACTGTCCGGCCAGAGTGTAGAAGGAGGAACACCGTCCAATCTACGGCCATCCAGCATAGGATACTCAGGACCCACCAGGTCCAGAATGCGGTCCAGCTAGTCCCCGCCCAATGCCTTGTGGTTCCTGACGTTGTCAACCCATAAGAACCCATGGCACTACACAAGAAGCTCTCCGTGCCGGGTTCGACGAGCGTCGCGACAGGAACGGTAAACTTCCTGACCCTAAGCCACCTCACGCGGCGAGAGATGTAGTTCGTCACAGACATTGATGAAATAGGCTGAATGGCGAGATCGCCAAAGACCAGTCCGTGATTGCGCATGTTACCCGGCAGATCCGGGGTGGCAGGAAGGCGTGACTTCCACAGCAAGTCTCCGATCAGGTGGTCTTCGCAAATGTTATGGGAGAAGAAGTCGATCCCCGTTCTCGCTTCGAGGGGGTTAGGACCTGCTTCCTTTAAGGCGTGCTCCAGAGCGGCTTGCGACGTGAGATAATCAAGATGTGCCCGCCGGAACATTGTGGATTTGCCGATAATGCAGGGTGCCACCGCGACGGTGTTGATGGCAACATACATCTTGGCGTGTGAAGAGGAGAGGAAGATTTCTTCGAGGCGGCCGCCACCGTATTGAGCCAATGTATCAGCAGCAGGTGGTGTGCTGCGGGAGGAGGCACCTGTTGCAGCAGAGGTGGTACCCGTGTCGTAGGACGACGGAGCTGTCAACTGCCTGTCAACACGGCCATTGATGACCGAGTACGTGTCGACATCTACCGAGATGGGAAGGTGGTGGACCAACTTGTATGGTGTTGCTGATGCTGAGGCTTGACCATCTCGCGTGAATCCGCAGAGCCTGTCCACCATGCGCGCACACACACCGCGACCGACCCAGACATTACAGTCGATGATCCAGATGAGATGATTCTTGCCTGACTCGCGGTATGCTTTGCTCATGTTCCGGATCTTGGGATTGGGGCCAAGCAGCTTGCGATATTGGCTCTCTTCCTTGTCTCCATTGGCAAGGCCGTCGTCTTCCTCTTCGACGAAAATGCGCGCATTGTGACCTGGGTGATCTCTGACGACGGCCCTGAGCGTGTCGTGTGCGGGATCGGAGCGCGAAGACACGCAGAAGTGAACGGCTATCTTATCCCGAGGATAGTCTTGGTAGAATGTCGACGCCAGACACTCGTAGAGGTAGGGCTCGAGGCCCTTGCAGGGCCGAATGACCGTGACATTGGGGATGTCTGTCTGCGACTTGAATGAGAGGACTGCCGCTTGTTGCGGAGCCTGACGGTAGTAGAGGAATCTGTAGTCAGGGTCAACACGCCAACGTCTTTGTTGTGTGCGGGAGTGGTGAATAGACGGACAAACAGACGTAGCCAATGCCGCACACGCAGGCTATGAAAATATACCAGGCGATACACACCGCCGCAACAATATCCGTGAACATGGATAGGGCATGGCGGAGGAAGAGAGCTTAGAGCATCTATTGCGCAGACTATCTCCAGTCAAAGCGGTAGAGGATCATGTTGTTAACACCACTGGAAAATGAACCAGGAGTCCCATTCGGAGCAAGTCCCGCTTTTTTGGAGGCCATATACTCATGCTGTCATAGTGACCAAGACGTGACTACCAGGTACACGAACGCACCATAATCAGAAAGCAGAGCTCGTGCGAATGCTGGGCTCAACATTCTCATCTCCGTAATGTAGCCTAATCCCTTAACCAAGCCCGCCGCTTCTCTTCCTTCTTCTCCCTGCGCTTCTCCTTGAAGGCCTTTAACTCGGCCTTGGTCAACTTCTGACTCTGCCGCTCTGCGCGCAAGCTCTTCCCATTGTGACTGTTTGCTGCAGCATCCACATCGAAGAACGCATTCATCTGTCGCTTGCTCTTCTGCTCGTCCGTAAATTTCTCCGGGTTGAGATCCGCCCGTTGCCACTTCCCCGTGAAGCGATTGAATGTGCCCGTGGCTTCGTAAACATCTGCGGCATTTGCGCCTGCCACAGCTCCGACACCGTCGTCCACGGCCGAGGAAATTTCGTAGGCTTTGGCGTAGTCGGCGTTGGGGTCATAGTCTCCATGGATGGCAGGGTCGTAGCCTCCAGCTTGCCGGCCCGGCGGAGCCTGCGAAGAGGCTACCGAGCTTGCGTAATTTTCAACGCCAGGCGGCCCTGATGGCTGTGGTGCTTGTGAGGCCTGTGGCACTCGCGGATTCTCCCACTGTGTCTTCTGTGTGAAGCGGTTGTAGAAATAGAATGCTTGAGCACTGTCGTCCCACACTGGTGCCCAGCCATCGTCCACAGGTTGATCAGGAGGCGCCTCCTTGGGCAATGGAGGGGGTTCTTCGCCGGTAGGGAGAGGAGGATTGGCCGATGGTGTTGCTGTTGCTTCTTTATCGGTCGTCTCCGGGCTCACCGCTGTCGAGGGAGAAGGCTCATTGTCGTAAATCTTGAGTTCACCCTCCTCGTCTGATTGAGGACTGTCTTCTGCGCGAATTTCAGGTTTGTCGGGACTGGAAGCAGAAATCACATTAGCAACGAAAGAAAGCGAGCAACAATGGCCTGGAGATCAGCTACAGCATGATGGGTGGTTACACGGTGATACTCATGTAGCCACGATTTCGTATAGCACGGCACAACTATGGCGCAGTATCCGCGCTTCCGCACAGACCGGAGTGATCTATCAGAGTCAAAGGAGCTTTCATGAAGAGTGGTGGTTTAGACAAAACATTGCAAGTGGTGGGAGAGAATGGCTCAAGACCGGGGTTGCCACGCAGATTAGATTAGATTAGGAAGGTCTCCCGGTACATTTCCTTAGCCTCGTTTGCATCATTTGTGGTGTTTGGATCGCAATAACCATCACACCAGAACACTTGCACAAGGAAGAGAAAAGGACGCAAAGATGATAAGGCTGATGCACTAGTCAGACTTCAGACGCTTTGCCTTTCTCTCACGAAAGGCTCTGATGGTTGAGACAACAGCAAGTCTCCTTGCTGCCCTGTGGAGTGAATGAAATCCTGGCCAAACTCATCCCGAAAGTCATCCTGCATCACCTTGCTTTTACACCGCCTTCTCCATGAGAGTACCATTTGGTCACCTAGAAGGTCCCAGGAGGTGGGGGATGGCATCGTGCCTGCTCCGCCAACCTATCGAGAATACGTTGCTCACGAGCCAGACGCCGTTCTTCAGCATTCTTGGCGTCTTCTTCAGCCATCCTGGCTTGCATCAGTCGGAACTGGTTCTGTTGTTCCAGTAAAATCAGCTGCAGTTGGTACTCAGTCCGCGATCCGACCGGAACGTTGCAGGGTATTCGGGCTCTCTGAGCATTCGCCTCGAGTCCTTGTGTCGCTTGCAGAAGCTCCTTCTGCTGTTCCATCATCATTAGCTGCCTTTGGTCTTGCCATCTTGCTTGTTTTCCCGTTGCGGATATATGGTTAGGCTGAGGGCTCGACGAATAGCAACCCCTCTGCTCAAATTCCTGTTTGAACGACAAATCACGTTCCCTCTTGGCTTGCTCCAATAGCATCAATTGTGTCTCATAGTCTTGAAGAGCATGATTCTGTGTCTGAGGCACATCCGCAGGCATCTGACGGGAAGGGTTCGAGGAGGTTTCTGCGGGGACATTCCTGCAGTCAATGACACCCAAATGTCGCCGAAAGTCCTCCATGGTTGCGTGATCGTAGTCAGGCTTTCTCCCAGCCTTGGTAGGCCTGGCAGGAGGCGGATACCGGCCACAAGACGTGTACATCACCGCTTCTGGATCTGCTTTCATTCGTGCTTCTACCTGGATAGGAGCGGCGCTTCCCACTGCAGACTCATGCGAGGAAGGTGGCTCTCCAAATGTGAATGTAGGCGACTCCTGTTCGGCGACCATGGTTGTTCGGACTGGAAATGGTGCTTCTGCGCTCATGGTGGCTGTGGTCCCACACCAGAAACGTCGTGCATGGGCTGGAATCTCACTGTGCGTTGCTGGTGCGGAGGTTCGGATCGGCAGGACCGCTGTGAACCTAGGTGGGTGGGCGGGATAGACGGATCTCGCTTCTGACCCATCCTGCAGAGGAGGCCCGCTCATGCTCAGCGTGATGTGCACTGTGGACTCTGATGGCACATCGACATCGTCGTGCCGGTACTTTTGCCAATCTCGAGACATGGTTAAGCGGTGCTCACCACGACCAAGGACACAGTATCAGGGCAAATTCGAAAATTAAACGCTCACAATTCTCTGATATGTAACAGAGAGGCTGAGATTTCGAGGCCATCTCCAGATACTTATACCAGATAGAGTGATGGGAGTACAGAGAGGGGAAAGCTGAGACGGAGCCTCACATCAACGTTGCCTTGCTTCATGGTTCGCATCGAATGCAGACTAGCGTGGCATGTTACGATTGGCTAATAAGTCTCACACTAAGCCTCTTCGAGAGACACGCGTATCCCTTGTTGATCTTTTGACATGGCATCTTCGCCGGCTTCACCTCGTTGCCTTGCTTGTCTTGCCATTATTGTAGCCTTGCGTCAGAAGGTACTCACCTGACTCCTTGGATATTATGCATAAATGTTAGCAAAGTCATCTCTGCCGCTCCGACTTGCGGCAGTCCTGCCTTCAGGCTTGAGCCTCCGTGCGTACCACGTGTCGACGCCGCCCACGTCGACCTCGGCTCTGTTCGCGCCACTACCTGGGACTGAGGAGGAGCCTACCTCTTGTGAGTCCCATTTTCTCGCAGTGTCTTCTCCCGACAATGGCGACAACAAAGAGGTCCTGATCTACGCGATCGAGGTTCTGATCTTCACCACCGAATCTCTCACCACTTTATTCGTCTCCAAAGCCGACTCGTCAGGGTTCTCAACTCGACTGGACAATCCAAAAGGCTCACCTTCGATTGTTGGGGCCATCACTTCGACTTTTGCAGAGTATTTACTCGAACCTCGCCTGGCCAGTTCAAGAGTGGTGCTTTCTCTTTTTGCGCGTGCGCAGAGACAATACCTGTTCCCTGGCAGTTCCGACAATGCTGGAAAACACGTGCTTGACGACCGACACCTAATAAAATGGTGGTGCCGAATCTTTGACAAGATCCTACGGCAGCAACGGAACGATTCGGCGGCCACGGCCCATCTCCTGGTTCCTGGGTGTGACAAAGGCGAGACCAAAGCATTCTTCCCTCCTTCGTTTCGTGCGGATCCACCGGCAGAGCCGAAATGGATCAACTCATATCCTGTCAACCTCATGGTGACGAACGCATCATTGCCTCCAAGACATTTGATACCGCGGCTACCGGACGACCCAAAGGCACGTTTTCTAGATGATCTGGACGGCGAGTTTGTGGACGAGCGAGGGAACTGGCGAAGTGTGAAGGATCTCACGCACTTCTGGGAATTTATGTCTTACAGGCAGGAATGCTCCGCTGGCAGGCTGGTTGGGTTTCTTTGGTTGGTCTTTTCCAAAGATCAAGCCAAGTATGCAGCTTCTAATGAGCTTCCGCAATCCGAATACACGCAGAAGCGGAGTAAGCCAGTGGCGCAGCCAGATCCTATGACCCCCAGCAACTCTCAGCGACTGGAGAATGGTGCGCCGGAAGTCAGCCCGCAGGATCCATCGACCCTCGAGACACTTCCAACCCTCCACTCACCACCTTGGTCTTCACCAGTCCAGCCAGAGCCAGAGCCGAGAACTTCGCAGGATGTACGACACCGAAATGGAGATTCTGCTGCACCTCCGCCCACGGAGGGCTCATCATTGCCCGGGATCAATCAGACGCGTGGCGAGATCGAATTTGACGCAACTGAATATCAAGCGTTGATGGATCATCTCCTGCAGACTGACTTCACCGGAGAAGAGTCTGCTGGGCGAGCCAGCAGAAGCTGGGTTGACAAAGCTCTGGAATTATCTGGGGCCACAACATTTGGGCAACCCGTACTGGGATGTGCCACCCCGGCCTTGGCGCAGTCCGCTGCGGCCGTCGAAGCGTCATCTGCCCAAGTCAACCTGCTGACTGGCGTCCGTAAGAAGAGGAAAGCCGATGTTATCGAAGACGCCTCGGTGCGATCTAATGGGGTAGAATTAACTGGTATAGCAGCAATCAATACACTGGCTGCTGGTTTGGTTAGGAAGAAGCCCAAAGGCTGAGGAATTGTCGAGCACGCATTCTTCGCACATGAGCACGAGCTGTTTGCTATCTGGGAAGAGCGCAGCTGCAAGGTGCCTCAGATTGGATAACCTGGGGTCCCTGGCAGACGGCTGTCGAGTATAAATCCGAAAATACATATAGTACTTATAAAGGTAGTATATGACCAGCGGAGGTTTCCGAAGTCGAGCGAACCCGATTGCGAATCAACGATCCTGCTTCGTACTGAGGAGGCTGTCAGTGGCTACTTCTCAGCCAGAGAAGTGGCTATACAAAGATTGGCCGTCCGACCTGCCGGCCGCGCGTCTATGCTGATTGGCTCGCCGACGATCAGCCGCGATGCTGAATTCCGATTGGGCCTCGGCAGCCGCCAAGCAGGATTCGCCTTGCACAAAATCTCCTAAAAATGGAAATTCGTTCGACCGTCTCACGCGTCTCTCCCGTCTTGCATTGCGCCTTTCTTGGCCCTGGGCATCAGGCCTCGTAGTCGGCCGGCCGGTGCTCCGACGTTCTTTACCAGTCGAACAATCTCCATGGAATCCAAGGCGCCTATGGCAGACACGGCCAAAATGGCAATGGCCTTGCGTTGATGATCCTCCTACTCCAGCACGGCGTCTATTGTAACAGAGTCGTCCTGCCGCAGCCCGTTTCAGCGCTGCTCGTGTCTGTATCGACCAGGCTGACCACCGCAAGCCTTGGAGGTGCCGAATGACTGAATGGTCATCAATTCCTCTCTTGTACCGCCCCATCTCATCTCTACCGATTCTTTTTGCATGTCTATGGTGCTGGTGTCGTCGCTTTCCTCAGTTCTTCGTTTTCTGCCCTCGACAACTTTCCTTTCTGCTGACTACAGCCTCGCCATCCCGGGATTTGACCTTGTGCGCAGCTGAGTCTCGAAACACTTCTTTCACTTGTCCTGCATTATGGCCGCCTTCGTCGGAGCTTCTCTTCTCTTTGCCGCTGTTGCTGCGGCGCAGAATAGCTGTTCAATCATCCCCATATACGTCGACTTCCATGACAGGGCGGTCGATGGCGGCATAAATATGCAATATGGCCTTTTCGCCGGAATAGGATTCCCAGTATCACAGAATCAATCTCTATGGCCGTCGCTGTCGTCCAATGAAACGACAGTGGCCAGTCTCGACTACTGCAGCAATAGTCCGTTCGCTGACTGCCTCAATCGTGATCATGGTTTCTACTCGCCAGATCCGTCAAAGAAGTAAGTGGGAGACTCATGTCGTGGAGAGCATGAACTGACCACAGACATAGTTATACCGATGCGTCATCATATCAACCACGCGACGAACATGGATCGATACCCGCAACGATTGTCGGGACCGTGCTGGACACTTTCAATGTCTTTACACACTACTTTGACCCGTCGCCAGCAACTATCACCCGAATAGCGAACTACCCAGTCACAATGCTGTCGAACTACTCGTCTAGCAGGACGCCATGGTTTGGTCCTGCCGGCCTCATGGGCCTTGGGCCCGACAGCACCCTCCTTGACCACCTTTACAACAACCAGCTCATATCCTCGCGATCTTTTGGCTTGTACATGGGTACTGCGTATGAACAATCGAACGGTGCACTCAACGGCTCTCTCACTCTAGGCGGTTATGATTCAGGTCGATTTGAGGGCGTCGTACATAATTACACCATAAGCCAGGCCCGTGCGGATGCAGCTTACAGCCCCTTCAAGGTATCGATCCAGCAGATGACACTTACCGACGAGTCCAGTGGAAAGAAGACAGACTTTCTCACTGACGCATTCGACGCTCATATCACCACCTCGCAGTACCAACTCAATCTGCCTAACAATGTCCTCCAACAATTCTCGGGCGCAACGGGTGCTATACCCTCCAACGACGAACTCAACGTCTATCGTCTTCCTGACGACTTCAACTCCAAGTTGACAATCACTCTTGATTCCGGCCTCGAGATCACCTACGATGCCAATTGGTTGAAAAACGTCTCGAACAACTCCCCCATCTCCGCTGACGCCATTCCAGACAGCGCTACAAATGGAACGATCGGTCTCCTTGGCAGCGCCTTCCTCTCCAACGTCTACTTCATTGCAAACTACGACTCCAAGCCACCAACATTTCACCTCGCCCGAGCAATGCCACACGCACCGTACGTCTTCACAGAGACTCTATGCCCAAACACAGTCCCCACAGCCGCACCGCAGCATAAGATTTCCAGTTTTGCGGCTTCGGGCATGGCCGGTGCAATCGTCGGTGGTGTAATAGGGGGCATCGGCCTGGGATTTGCCATCTTCTGGCTCTTCAGAAAATGCATGCAGCGCCGCATGTGGCGCGAACAGGCCCGCAACAGCATCAAGGGAAAGGCCATAGACAATGAATCTACCATCGGCGGCACCATCTTGGTTGGCGGAAAAGGCAAAGGCTCACCCTCGACCATGACAACGGAGATAGATGAGGGCGACAGCAGCGAAATGGCGACATTCGCATTCGGTTTCAATTCGCAACAGCATCAGGCGTATGCCACTTACCTCAACAGCGCGACGCAACAGGCACAACAGCAACCGCAGGATCAGAACCAATCACGCGTGTCACGAACATATAGCCAATTCGTCAAGCAAATCTCGGGCGAGAACCTCGCCTCGTCGCGAGAATCCCTCCCCATGAACGCAGCTCCCCAGTCACGACCCCATCCCCTAACGCAACCGCATAACCCCGTGTCTCCTATCAACCTTCCAACCCTGCAATACGCGCGGCCCCTCACCTCTGACTCCTATGAAACCCCCATAACGCCAGCCACAGGCGTGCCATTACTGTTCTCATCATCCCAACCCGTCCAGTCGGACTCGGACTCGGTGATTCAGACGTCCAAGCACGGGCCTTTCCACCCCATGACGCTCAAGCGTAGCAACGACTCGGACCCCAACACGACGAGCACGTTCCCCTTCAGAGAGGGACAGGGACAGGCACGACGCCAAGAAGATCGCTCCTCCTTCCGCACCAGGCAGGCCAATGCCAATGCCAAGCTGAAGGGACTGAATGTGCAGACCGAGTTTGCGCCTCCCCCGAGGGCCGTGTCCGAGAAAATGGCAAAGAAGGCGGTGGGCAAGGAAGGCGGGGGGAAGCAAGGGCTGTTGAAGAAGATGTTTCCTCCGTCTTCGTAGTCCTCTTACCAGTGACACTAGTGGATTTGTTTTCGAGGACTCTGTGTGATTTTGCGGTTAGCGGTCATGGACGGGGGCGTTGAGGCCGGGCGGCTTTCTTCAGATGATGGTTGCAAATCCGTCATGCTACGAGCGTAGCATTATGTATGGGGCTGTGAGACGCAGTAGCTTAACCTTCGCGGCAGGGGTACATTAAGATATACTTACTCGGACTTCGATGCATCATTGAGAGACTTCTCTTCTACATGCAACCAGCTTACTTGTACCTGTACGGACCCAATAATGAGTTGACTTGCTTAGACTTGGACGCATCATTGATGACTTATTAGCTCTTCTTCTACACGCCCTCCAATACCGTCTCGCTGCATTTCATGATCGAGACGTCACACGACCTGCGTGGTCTTCTCACTGGAACTGCCATCCTTGCTACTGCTGTCGCCCAAACAACTCATGTCCCTGTTCTTCTCCTTGAACCTCCGCGCCTCGACCCGGCCAATGAACAGCTCGTCCAACTGCTCGTAGCTCAAGCCCGCCGATTCGGGCTGATAAACCCACAGATAGACAATCGACAGCACCGACAGCGCGCCGAAGATGAAGGTGACTTTGGCCCCCAGATTGGCTTTGTCCGGGTTGAAGAGGTATGGCAGGACGAAACCCCACATGGTCTGCTCGGACGGTGTCCGCATGGGACAACGCTGTTAGTCCAGTTCGAATGACTGCGGATCATGCATGACATGACACCGGGAATGAGTAGGAAGAGGGAGGGAGGGAGGGAGGGAGGGAGGGAGAGAGAGAGAGAGAGAGAGAGAGCGTCCCGCCTCGTACGCATTATATGATAGGACTCAGGACTTACGAATAACGCACTCTGCAACCCGACGGAGAGGGACGCAGTTTTGGCTCGTAGTCGGGCCGTGGGTATCTCGGTCATGATGGTATATGCGGTCGCGCCGATGGTGGCGTTGTACACGAATGCAAATAGTTGGAGGAGCGCGATGGTGCCTCTGATGGCGCCGGGGGTGGCTGAGACGGCGAGGCCTAGATCGTCGTGACGTGAGTGTGTCAGTGTCAGCCAGAAAGAGACGCCTGCAGGTCATCACGGGTTGGATCTGTGTGTTGGTGGGAAGACCTACCTCCGGTGATCAAGAGGAGTGTCGTCAAAATGATCATACCCCCCAGCGTCAATCGTCGCCGTCCCACGCTGTCGACGAGGTACCAAGAGACGACGTTGCCCGCGCCGGACAGGATCTGTTGGACAATGAACAGTTTGAAGCTGGCCGCGGCGCTGTAACCGGCAAGCTGCTGGTAGTACGTGCTGTAGGAGCCCACAAATGTGACGCCAGAGAAGGTCTGGATGGTCAACGGCATCGCTGCGATGATGGTGCGTCGCAGGTTGGAACGGCGGAAGCATTCGGCGTAGGTCGCTCCGGAGGTCTCTTCCTCGGTCGTGGCCAAGACACGTTTGATCTCGGCCATCTTAATGTCGGCTTCGGTGTCGTCGGTAAAGCCGATCTTCCGGAGAGCCCTCATTGCCTTGTCTGGTTTGCCATGACTGGCTAGCCACCATGGTGACTCTGGCAGAAAGGGTAGCACAAACACGGCAATGCCCATAAAGCCATACCCGGAGACAAAAGCAATCCGATAAGCCCAGCGCGTAGGCTGACCACCTGTGAAGTTGACAACCAGGGCAGACGATAGCGAACCTGTGATGAGAGCGATGGGCATGGCCGCTGTCAGCACTCCACGTAGTGGTAACGGGGTGATCTCTCCGATGTACGCCATGCAGATCGAGTTCGTCCCGCCGGTCGAAAAGCCGCCTAGAAAGCGCCCGGCGAAGAAGACCTCGTTAGTGGTGGCAATGTATTCCAAAGTGACTGAGACAAGCCTGACGCCGAACAGGAAGGCAAGTGACGCCCGTCGACCGAGTTTATCGGCAATCCACGCGGCACCTAAGGCTCCCATGACGGATCTGCGATGGTACGGTCAGTGGGAGTTCTGGCCCAGGGTTTGGAGCCAGCTGGAACGTACGCTGCTTGGGGAGCACCATAGTACGCGGACTGCCACTTGGCGGAAAGGACGTAGTTGCCATTGTAGGCATTGCCAAAGTCCTTCCTGAACTGCGGGATACCGAGCACAGACTGCCCGGCTGTCTTTGCGTAATTGTTGGCAAGCACACACCATAGTATGTAAAGGCACCATAGTAATGCTGTTCTGTGCTTTCGTAAAGAGCCGAGGAATGATCGGGGTTTTGGATCCCCTGTGACCGACACTTCTGCCGACCTTACCTCAGTAACAGAGACATCGGCGTGGAAAGACTCCTTGCCAGGCTCGATCCATTGCGACATGGCGACTACCTCTTGCCTCAAGAGCTCAGCAGTCTCCAAAGCCGGGACCGGGAGACTTTGAAGCCATCAAGCAGAAAGGGCGACGCATCATAAGCTTCCTCATGTCGACAGCATGCGGCAGTAGTTTCCTTGTTCCCCAACGATCGACGGCCTTAGTCATCGACAGACCATGTGGCTGTAATGTTTTCTCGAACTGGGCTAGAATTCTCGATCTTTGGGATCAGAGACGCGGGAAATGCAAGGCGTGATCGTGCATTGGGTAGAGAAATCGAGCTGGAAGCTGTTCTGGAACCTCGAATAAGACCGTCTCGGCTGGAGGGGGCATAAGGCTAGACGGTGAACACCCAATCGAGCAAGACCGTCCGCCCCGTCTCAGTCTCGCATAGGCATGGTCGAATCACCTACTCGAAACATTAGTAAGCCGCTTGCATAGCCGGCAAACTCTCCTTGAGTGTTGTGCAATCCCAGGGCTACCGCTTTAGTTGTTCGGTAATTTTTTGGAGCACCGGTAGATTGATATCGACGACAGATGGGAATGGATTTGCGTGGTGACGATGCGAGATAGTCCTCACGATGGAGAATCTGCGGCGCTCTGATGCAAAGCACTCTCGACAGCAAGTGGAGGATATCAGGAACAGGGAGAGACAGTGGAGGGGTCGCGACACAGACCGTGTCTCAGCACCATGAACCACAACAAGAACCCTCCGCCGCTGATGTTCATCGTCGGCGACGGCAAGAATCCGCAGAAATCCACCAGAGCAATCAAGTCGGCCAAGACGTCCCACATCTCCTCGAGATATCGGTACTGGAGCAAAGCGAACCACCGCGACCTGGCACTCGATTCGACCACAAAGGCGATCCTGAACGGAGCTTCTTCGTATCTCAACAAATTGTCCACGGGCAACTATCGAAAGAAGCCTCCAGAGCAGTTGAATGGTGAGCAGGCGGACGACGATCGACGAGCCCGTGAGCAGAGTGGCCTGTTGGACTGCAAGACGACAGTGATCACGCCCGAATCTCCACAGCCCCATGTCGCTGTGAAGCCATGGGAGCAGGCTCGTAAGGACTATGAGCAATGGGCTACTTGCCCCTTGTCCATCCTTGGCTCGCAGTTCTTTGACATCTTCACCCCCTCGGTGGCCATGAAGTACGACATTGAGGTCAAAACAAACCTCTACTTTTATTTCAAGATCATCAGGCCCTTTGCGACGCATTTGCTTCAGCCATGGCAGTGGTTCGATAACCTCGGGCAGATCCAGGCGTCGCCTTGTCTCACCTATGCTGTGGCGACATTCGCCTCAGTATTCCTGTCTGGGATGCTCAGAGGGTGAATCTCCCCAAGGTTTTGACGTCGCTTTGCTCTGGCTGTAGGGCCCGCAAGCTGTGCTTCGCTCGAACGGGTTGATATGGCGTCGGCTGCTGACTTGTGGCTACAGTGGACGCGGTGTGGTGCTGCCACCAGAGACCGAAAAGGGCCAGAATTGCCCATGGACTATACCCCCCTGGCTACGCCTGCATACCAAGTGCCTGTCCGAACTCAACGCGATCCTAAGCGACCCTGCCCAGGTGATTGACGAATCTTGCTATCAAGCGATCCTATTCTTGTACCGACTCTCGGTAAGCTCGAAGCACCACTGGAGATTGCGTTGCAGAAGTGCTGAAAGATCCAGGTTCTCCTAGCGGACGGCGAAACCGGGAGGATGCACTTGCAGGCCCTCAAGCGGATGGCTCTGCTTCTTGACATGGACCAGAGTTCCCTCGGTAGGGAGCTCGCAGTGTGAGCTATTTTCTGTTCCAAAGTAGACTTTGTCTAGGCTAATCGCGGTGCAAGCTCTAAAATCAACATCATCGGTGCTTTCCTGCACAGCAAGTCTGTAGTACTGGTTAGGAAGGTTAAGGACAAGGCCAACGAGCCTGAGAAAGAGGTCGTGGAGATCGATCGGAAGTTCTGGCGCTCTGACCGAGAATGGTACTCTCATCGCGCAGGCCTGGCAGGCCGTACGTTGGCCTGGCGCCCAGAGAGTCCCAGCTCCAGCTTGCTTCCGGAGAGTGCAGCCGCCATTGCCCGTATGGACCCCGACAGCAAGCTATTGGGAGAGGCCGAACATCTCGAGATCCAACGGTGCTACCAGATCGCCTTGTTCTTCTGGAAGTACCTGAACTGCATCAGCTTCAACACCTCTGCGCTGATCATTCGCTCGAATCTGCTGGAGTTGCAGTACCGAATGTCGAACATGGATCTTCCCACCATGAGTTTAATCTGCTATACCACGCTCTTCAACATCCTCTTAGCGGGCTCAGAGGCAGCGCGTTCGAAGCCGGAACGGGCGTGGTTCGTCCAACGGATCGTGTGGCTGTATCCGGACATCCAGCACCTTGACACGGTCTGGCAGTTGCTCGCCGAGTTCTTCGATCCTCTTGCGCTCAACTTCAAATTCGTCGAGGAGATTTGGGAAGATGTCGTTGCCGTGAGAGGTTGCGGGACCGAAAAGTCCATAAACAGCGAGGATAAACGACTGGTCAAGCCGATCAAGCATTTCCGGCCAACCTCGTATGCGCCGGACCTGACGAAGCCGCTTCCAGTGTTTGAGCTTCGAGACGTCGAGGAGGCAACGCTCGAGAAAGGCATTCACAAAGCGCCGGGTTGTGCGACCGATGCCACCTAATGGGGCAATGGTCAGCTTGCAGTCTCCACATATGGTACCGAAGAGGGCAGATTTCGAGACAACTGACCTTCGTCTCGGCTTCTTTACTGCTGCGCAAAGGGGTCCCGCACAAGCCTCCCTTCAAGAGAGCGTGCCGCGTCTAAAGATTGCTACCTTCGGATCGTGCTGCTGCTCATTCATGCATCCACCGGCTGGAAGTCTTCAGCTTGAGCTCCCCACCGGGGATCCAACATGCCCCGTTCTATCAACACCTCTGCGCAGAATGACACCTAGATAAAAATCGAAGATGTCCTTGCGATCAAGTGACCACACCTCGGCAACACGACGACGCTGAATGGAACGGTCCTCGCAACCCACGCCCTCCGGGTGATTTCTGTCCAAGGTGGTGGGTGTGTCCATCTAATGGTGTATGTGAGGGCTGAGGAGCTACGGAGCTGTGAACGGATGTAACAAGCACATGTGGGCTGCTCCTTCCGCAACAGTTTCTGCCCAAACAATTTACCCACCTGCCTGTGGACCTGAAGAAAGCGATGCTAAAGTCCTTCGACATGTATGGCAATGCCGGCCGCCCCGTCGTACAGAAACTGCGCGGCCCAGCATTCGAGCGCTCTGATCCTCATTGCCGACCACCTTCTATACGTTTGTCCTGAGAGAGAGGAGACCTTCTCAATTCCAAAGGGCTGTCAAGGGATCCTATTCATCCCCCCTCAGCTTGTCATCTAATTGCAGGTTTCTCGCATAGCCCGTCGCATGTGCTGCCAATGTCGAGATGGAAGTGTGAAGCTGCAATATTGATACTGACCCCGCGTCACCTTCACCTGACGAAGAGGCAAAATTGCCATACATGTACATGATGGCGGGTCGAGAGGGAGTCGATAGCAAAGGCACAATCAATTTCCCACCATAGCACATTGATCAGCGTCAGCGCGTTACAAGACGAGCTACATTGTTCCCATATGACTCCTCCTAGCCATTGCTCGCCACGCGTTTTGCTAGAAGTCCCTTCCTATTGGTTCCTATGTCCTATCTTGTGGCAGGCTTCGGTGAGCCAACTGGGGACCCCTGTCTGTGGATCGTACAGCTCGTGGTCCTCCCTGCTTCGGAAGTCAACTCAGCCCTCCTAACCGGGCAATATGTCGTACAGTACTTCCCCACGTGGAAAGGTGCCTCGGCTATCACGTCCTAAGCAGGGGTATCTGACAAGTCACTCGTGCCAAGTGACCTCCAAGGTGTATGGAATCAGTAATCTATTCCAACGACGCGCCCTGATTCTACTGAACCCATGTACGGACGAGCAGTCCACCGTGACCGTGGAGCACCGTGAAAGTTTTGTCTCAACCGCCTGTCGGATCGGCAACCATTCTCTTACAACCTGTCAATGTCTCCGTCTCCAGCACAACATCAGAGGTCGGCATGCTCTTCTTCAGCAGCCCGCGCAGGCTCGATCGTCTATACTCTACTGACTTGTCGCACTTAGGACGGATCTCCTTCAAGAGGTCCTCAAAGCAGCCTGAGGATTGGAGCGGGCCCATCAACCCCCAAATCCCAAAAGCCATCATCTACAACCTCGGGGCCAAGCTGGATTTGGGTGAGCGTCACGTTCGCTGGATCTAGACCCCCAAATGCGTGTCGGCAGAAAGACAGGGTGGCAGCGTGGTCATGTCCCGGGATGGAACTCGCAGACACTATGAAGGTGAGGGGCATGCCCTCGACATGGCGTGGTATGACCTCGACCTGCTCTATTTCCGGGGCTACGCGATCTCGAATTATCTTGTCACGCCGTTCTACTTCACCTGACGGGCATCAGGATGAGGGAAGTCGAGGAGGAGCAGAAGGAGAACGATCAGACGTGGCGGGTCCTTAAAGTGACTCATCCGCACGATTTCGTTACGCATAGCAGGGTTATGAAGTTCTACTACGATGAGCCGTATCGCATGAGACAGCTTGACTAACCCGTTGACGTGGTAAATGCTTCGGGGGAGGTTGCACACTTTATGTATGATGAGAACAAGGTGGGTGGAATTGTCTTTCCCACCCTGCGGCGCGCTCTGAATATTGTGGACGGCCATGCCAGTAGATGGTCCATGGTGCTTATCCACTTCCACAAGATCAGGCTGCTGGAGACGGATACTCATCCAAGCTTATAAGATGCTGGTATTGATCTGATCGACACCCACAGAACTGCAGGTGACAAGAGGTATTCCCTATGTTCATGTATGCATAGCTTTGCTCTGGCTTGTGGCCTCAACCTTGATCATGCTCTGGTATCCGACATCCGGAAAAGTCATCCATCTGCCTTGACTTCCCTGACCCTCAAATCCGTGGCCGTCTACAGTTCCTGGACAAGGAGTTCGGTGATGCTGGCCTGCGGTAGCTGCATCTTGGGGGATAACGCGCCGGAACCGGCGTATGTGTTGTTACCACGGTACGGCCCGTCGTTACTCGTCGCTGCCTTGTACTTGAAGACAAAATTCAAGACCAGCGCCAACGCCAACCCGACCGTCACCACGAACGGACCGATAGGATTGTCAAAGTCCTTGCCACTGCGTTCCGTGATCAGCCTTGTCCGCCACATGTAGACGTACCATCCCCAGATCGAGGCAAAGATTGCAAAGCAGGTGTACACAATTGAGAGGCCCCGAGCGATGTTATTGCTGACCCCTGCGGCGTTGTACAGTGCCAATGAGAAGGTGGCCAGGAGAATTGCAATGTGCTGCCATTTGATAAATGTTCGCTGGTTCGCAAGCCAGACTTTGGCTTCCACTTTCAGGTCACCCTGGTCCTTGATCCAGAAGCTGGGTTCCTTCACGCCAGCAGGCAGTGGCGCATTCTCCCATGCTGATTTTCCTTGACGGTGGCGACGGCCATAGCGCGAGTTCGAGAACCCTGGTAGCAACGAACGGATGCCGCCCCGAGAAGAATCCCGAATTTCGACTTCGTCGGGCGCCTGAAGGCCAGTTTCGTCGTCGTCTCGTTCCTCAGCTGTGGCTTCGAGCTGTGACGAAGCCACTGCTTTGGATTGCGACTGAACAGACTGGGAGAGAACTCCAGACAATCTCCGCTCGGGGAACTTGCCTGGGGAGGAGGCCGCTTTGCCTTTGCTGGCTGATAGCTTGGACCCAGCGATGAAGCTGCCGACAGCCATCTCGTCCTCAGCCTTCTTTGCCTCTCGTTGCTGTTCCTCCTGGTAGGCAGTCACGGGATCTCTCCTGATGTCCGTCTCAAGGTCGCTCAGCCAGAAAGGGAAACTGTTGACATAGTCTTCAAATAGTTCAGCCACACCATGCACAAACTTGGAGAACCTCTTCTCCTCCTTGACCAGGTGCGAGTTCATAAGGTCGTTGAGCCAGGTGTTGTTCTTAGTATAGTTGGACTCTTTGATCTTGATCTCAAGCACAGCATGCGGAAATCGGCTGATTTCCCCCTTCTTGATCGCGGAGAACGGATACTCCATCCTCTGCTGATCAATATCGGAACGGTGCCAGTCGTCAGGTTCACGGCACGGGCGGTCGGGATCAAGGGCATCCTCGCGAATCAATGACAAGTCGGTATCGAGGGATACCCGAATCCTGTCATCGCCAGGGATTTGGAATGCCGTGCGGGTATAACTTGCGCGAAGGACTGGTTCGAGATTCTTCTCCTGAATAAAGGACTGAATCTCGCCGATGTTGGCCTTGAATGCCTTGACATCGTCATGCTCAGATCCGAGCATTTCCTCAAGTCTCTTGACCTGTTTTTCCATCTTGTATTCGCCCTTGAGGAATGGGAGAATATACTTTGGCTTGAGTTGAATTCTGATATCGCTGCTGTCGGTTGCTTCGTCAACAAACTTCTTCTCTAGGACAACCTCCGGCTCGTCATTAAGCTGGCCTGTCCACCTAATGCGGAGAGAAGCACCTGCAGTGCCTTTCTCCACTTTGCCCTGGTAGAGGTCGAAGTTGTTGTTATCAAAGTAGATGGATGTTATCGTCGGATCCCTTTGAGACGAATCAACCACTTTGACAGACTGTGGATTATAGACCAAGACGGGGAGGCGACGTAGCAGATAGGTCTTGACTTCCAGCAAATTGTCGACATGAACCCAGTATTTGAAAGCCTTGTACTCATCCGTTGGTCTGATGTCTGTTTCCGCCTCCTTTCCAGCTTCTTCTCCTTCAAGCGTCTGGCGAGCCCAACTGTACATTGTTGACAAGCGGAAGAGGAGAGGCGAGTAATCCTCTTGGTTGAAAGGCATCTGAGCCAGACGGACCTGCAGTATCGGCCTCACTCTGTACTTGAGACCTCTCTTCCTGTCATGTTTCTTGGCCGCCTTGAGGAAGCCGGTGTAATTGATTCTGCTGAACTTCCTAAGTCCATTGAGCTCTTTCGAGATGCTGTCGAGCTCTGGCATCAGCTCCTTGGCCACGTCTTTGTATTCCTGGTCCGCTTTTCCTGCATCTTCGCCTTCAGGGGAGGGGAGCTTGGCTTCGCAGGCGGCGGTTCGGTCTCGCAACGAGTTGAATATGGTGACTTGATGCTGGTGCACTTTCTCCAACTGAACTACGGTGAGCTCGTGGACGAAATTCTCTTCATCTTGTTCCGTCCAGCCGCCCTCTCCGCCGCGACCTTGAGGAGATGTTTCGTCTTCGCGTAGGAGTTTCTTGATCTTGTCGTACTCGAGGTACTTGTCTTTCCACGGAGGGTAGATGGAGTCTGAGAGGGTCTTTCCGAAACGCATATTGAGGCGAGGAAGGCGAGCTAGCTATGATATTCCCGACAATGAGAAGCTACTCCATGTAAGAGGTACGCGGACAGCGCTCACTGTCAAACAGATACAGAGTAAAGTGCAGTATCTCGCAAAATCATCAGAGCTCCCAGCAAAGGAAGCTTTTCCCGCAAGCTTCACGCATCAATCACAATGCCGTCAGTTGCTGCCATCCCCCACCTTTAGAAAATCAAAGTGAGCGCAAATAGCGAATCACAGCTGCTGCCGGGTTCTCGTGCACCCAGGAATTTCCCGCGTAAGTCCGACGGAGTCTCATTGGCTCCTGGCTGCTTGAAGTTAGAGCCTCAAGATTCAGCCTCGGCATCTTGTGGCCGACGAGGCTGACCTGTCGATTGAACTCGGGGAACGGAGTCACCTAGGAGTACGGTGACCATTCTAGAGTCGGACGTCCTGCTGAGAACCTCAACTCCCAATCTTCCCGCAGTCATGTCGGGCGACTCCAAGGCCATCATAAAGGCGCTTGAATCGGTGCTGATCCAACTCAGCGAGAATCCTTATCCGCATGTACCAAACCCACCCAACACGTCCCAGAAGAGAGCCAGTGTTGCTGTGATCATACGCGTCCGCCCCGCCTACAGCCCTGTTCTCGCAGTGGGCAATGCCTCACTTGTGGCCGTCGACTCGCCCACTTCACCTCCATCCTCGTTATCTGAATTCTTCGCGCAAGATTGGGTACGGGAAGGCGACCCTGAACTGCTCTTCATCAAACGCGCTGGTCGAGCAGGAGACAGATGGTCGGGGCATGTGGCTCTGCCGGGCGGGAAAAGAGACCCCGAGGATGAAGACGACTTGGCTGCGGCCATCAGGGAGACACGGGAAGAGATAGGCTTGGACCTGGAAACGGCCGACTGTCTCCATGCGGGCAACTTGCCAGAACGACTTGTTACGACTTCATGGGGCAGGGATGTGCTGATGGTACTGTGTCCCTATATCTTCCTGTTGACGGACAAGCACGTGCCACCTGTACAGCCACAGCCAACAGAAGTAGCCTCAATACACTGGGTTTCGCTTCGAGCCTTGCTCTCGCCCACGCTACGCACAAGGGAGGCCGTGGACATCTCTGCCCGATGGGCCAAACGCGTTGGCCCGACTGTTCATAAACTCATCCGCTTGACAATGGGCCGAATGATGTTCAGCGCAGTCCGTCTCCTCCCCACAGAATCGGTCTATGCCAGTTCAATCCCAGATTTTATACCCAGGGAAGGAGGAGACAACCTCTCCACTTTATCAGGCTGGGCGCAAGCTCCCTTCGGCGTCCCTTCTTCCAACTCTGCACGCAACGGATTGCTAACATTTCAGCAACCACTCATTCTCTGGGGCCTCACCCTGGGCGTGCTTGCAGACCTCCTCGATCAGCTGCCTCCGTACAACGCGGTGGCTTTGTGGAAATATCCCACATTTACTGTGCCTGACCTCCGCCTCATTGTCTATCTCATGACCCGCCAATTCCGGAAGAACACTGCCGAAGCATTTTCCTCCGGGTCATGGTACTCTCAGAAGCAACCGCGGCAACGGCGACGACCGAGCCAAACTGCCATGGACGGCATGAGCCAGGCGATTGCGATATCGTCTGATGAACCCGCACCCGCTATGGGTCCAGAGTCTTCGTCCATAGCAGTATCCGATGCCGCCGAAGAAGCCCCTGTCACGGAGAAATCCGAGAAACGATCATCCTTCAACAAGCACAGTGTGGGTATAGGCGGCCTCGGTGTAGGGAAGAGTCCAGACCATGCCGTCGGCAAGCTACTGTACGGATACTACGACAGAGTCAATTGGGCGGTTGGGGTATTCTTGGCGTACAGGACCATACTGACGGCGGGTACGGTGTGGTGGATTGTAAGATGGTGGAGAAGACGAAGCGAAGCACGTGTGTGATAGAGCATGCAGTGCTGGCGGCGGCTTTCATCGATCGCCCGGCCCAATACTACCCGGCCAATCATCAGCTTTCTCGCCTTGTATGCTCTGGCTCGTGTTCGCTTGTCTCCTCAACCTAGATCATCCAGCGGTCACACGAATCGAAGCCGGACCGGATCACATGCTCAGAGATCCTGCCATCTTCAGAGATCATGGCTGCCCTTCCCGGCTTGGAACCGACTGCGGAAGTATGGTTTTCCCGTGTTTGAGGGCAGCCGAGCCCGACAAGGAGGGTTGAGGGATGCTATATTGTGCTTCCCTGGCAAAATAGTTTGCCTGATTCGGACAAAGAAACTGTTCGAATGAGCCGGCCTTTTGCGAAGCTGCTTGCTACGTATTCTTCTTCTGCTTTCAGATCCCATCACAGACCATAACGGGCCTGACCATGACCTCGAGCACACCCTAGCCTCTCCTCAACCAGGAGCGCACGTTGGCCCAGAAAACGAAACGCCCCCGCCAGCAGCCGGAGGGGACCGCGCCAGCAGAACTGAGAGACCGGGGTATCTCTTGCTGCTGCGCAGGCTAACCTACTTGCTAGTCCCGAAACAAATCCAGTCAAAATTGAAACCCTAGGCACGGGAATGGCCCATCATCAGTTCAGCCGAAGGAGCAGGTGCATAGATCTGAAGCGACTGTACCCCGGACGTGGTAGAACTCTGTCTGTGCCTTTCTCTGGGGCGGATAGAATTGGCGACCAACTTAGCGCGGACTGGTGATTATGGGCAACGTTCAGCAGGATACCCGAGGTTAACTGGGAATGAGAATGAGTAGACTCCGTACACTGGCGATGATCCTTGATCATGGACTCCGTACCGCACGGAGTTCTGCCGCTCTGGGCCTCCGCCAATTCACCTTTATGCTTTTGGCGTTAAGCATCTGAGCTATGGAATACCTAATCAGGTAACCCCGGGCTTATTCCCTGGCGCCCACACGTACGGCAGGGGCCCCGGCGCGGGGGAGATGGAGCTCCCCAACTTCATTCCCACGATTCCCCAAGGTCATGATGAATCCCCCACAAACTCTAATCATCTCTTTGCTTCCTACGCCCAGCATGCTTCGTCTGCCTTGGTTCAACGCAGGCGGCGGTCATGGCGCCGCGAAGTCATCAGACTCTACGCTGTACGCTATCCCTCATGGTGCGACAGGGCCCCGGCTCTCGGATTTTCACCGCTTGTGTGCCGTGTTCTCCAACACAATACGAGGTATTGACCTACAGAGAATTGTCCCCTAGCGTTCTCCACGAGGACCGTCACTACTGTAAGTACCTCGCCTTGCTCGACTCCAAGGAGGATGATCCACTTTCACCTCGTGGCTGTGTGGTAGCTGGCAGCGCAACGGGAATATAAATCCCTGGTCCGCCCTGCCAGTCAGCTTGTACAGTCCCTTTTTCGATCTCCGTCGTCTGTATCTGTATCTACCGCGAGCCTCCCTCATTCTTCAGCATGGGCGTGTTCAAGCGTGGCACGGGGGACGCGGTCGACACCTCGCACTCGGCCAAGGCCAACACCTATAACTTTACCGTCGTCTTCTTCAGCGCCCTCGGGTCGTTCACGTACGGATACAACTCGTCGATTATCGGTTCCGTCTTCGGTTTACCCGCGTTCTGGGACTATTTTGAACTTTCCCTCACTGGACCAAATGCCAAGAAGGGAAACGATATCATCGGTGGTAAGCGCAAGCAGGTTCGTCCACTGGCAGTGTAAACGTCTGACAATGGGAAACTAGCTGCCAATGGTCTTTTTGCTGGAGGAGGCATTATCGGTGCTCTCATTGTCAACTGGATCCTCAACAGACTGGGCCGCTGCAGGTCCATCCAGATAGTCTGTGCCATCTGCGTCATCTCGGCTGCGATCCAGGGAGGGGCGGCTCACGTTGGCATGTTTCTTGCCGGACGTTTCCTGAATGGCATCGGTGTCGGCATGATGCAAGTCACCGTGCCAGCGTACATGGTCAGTCCATTGCTTCGACTTGCAAAAATGCAACTCTACTGACGTGCGGTATAGTCGGAGCTATCGCCTGCAAAGCAACGAGGTCGAATGACAGGTAGGCAGCTTTTCCGAATCGTTCTCCGTCTCGACGTCATGCTAACATTTGGGCAAGGTTCGCACGGCGTCCTGATTGTCTGTGGCTACGTAAGTTATACATCTGCTACTTATCCCCGTGGTGTGGGGAGCTAACTCGTGCGTCCAGGGATCGGCCGCCTTCACCGGTCTAGGCTGCTACTTTGCAGCGCCTCAAGTGCAATGGCGACTATGCCTCAGTCTGCAAATCGTGGCGCCCTTGATCCTGCTCATAGGCTCGCCGTGGCTGCCCGAATCACCTCGTTGGCTCATTTCAAAGAACAAAGAGCGGCATGCGCTCGATATCTTGCAAAAGCTGCACACTCGACCCGATGATCCGACAGGGCTGGCGGCCAAGGAGGAATTCTACCAGATCTCCAAACAGATCGAGCTGGAGAATGCCACTGGTGTGCACGGAATCTGGGGCATGCTCAAGCGTGCGTCGTATCGCAAGCGAATATACTCGGGCCTGCTGGTGCAGTACGTCTCGTGTCCGTCCCCAGATTTTTGCAATCTCTGCTAACACGCTCGGCCAGATGCGCCGCGCAATCCACTGGTGTGCTGGTGGTCAACAACTACCAGGTCCTCTTGTACAACAACCTCGGCCTGTACGGGTGGCTACCTCTCCTCCTTTACGCGCTCTACACCTCATGGGCGGCATTTATGAATTGGGTCAATGCCATGCTGCTTGATCGCCTTGGACGGATTCCCATCATCACCTTCGGCCTGGCCGGCTGCATTTGCATGATGATCATCGAGACCGCCATGGTGGCCACTTATGCTGGGACATCCAACAAGGGCGGCAACGCAGCGGGTGTCTTGTTCTTGTTCCTCTTTGTGACCTTTTACGGAGGCAGCCAGGACGCCAGCAGCTACGTATACTGTAGCGAAATCTTCCCAACCGGAGTACGAGCCCACGGACTAGGCACCTCGATTGCAGGTCTCTTCGCCTCGACGCTGCTCTACACTGAGGTCGCCCCGACCGCGTTCGCCGATATTGGATGGAGGCAAGTGTCTTGACTTCACAATGTCTTTTCAGCGCCTGTGCTAATGACTCGTAGATATTACCTCGTCTTCATCATCGTTCCCGCGGCCTGTCTTCCATTCTTGTGGCGCCTCCCTGAAACCAACGGACTCTCGCTCGAAGAGATTGCCGCCAAATTCGGTGACGAAGTCGCCGTTGACCTCTCGCATCTCGACGAGGAGCGTCGGCGCGCGCTGGACGACCGCCTCTTGGCTGTTGGTGTCGACATTCCTGGATCGCCGCCACGCGAGGCCGAGAGCGAGACCGAAAAGACGGCCGTGGCTAAACACCGAGAGGCTGTGTGAACACTGAAGCGACGGCACGTTGGCGTGTGAGGGGCAGAATATATCACAGCCAACTCTGGTGCGCCAGTAAAGTAGTTGGAAGACCGCTCGACTGCAGACTACCTCAGTTCGTTCCAGGCGCCTAAACTGTATCTGATACTGCTCACTGTATGCGGCGGAAATCCATATTGATAATTGCTTTTCCAGCACCCGCCGGGACTTGGCCGTTAGAGCTTTGGGTCCAGCTACATCACATTCAGTCGTGTCCTCGCACGGTAAAACCCAACACGGCTATGCACTGTAACTCTCTTCTTCGCTAGCTATTGGTGACTGTTCTTTCGACATTTGTGATCCAAGCCGATTGGTATCTCCGCGGCAGAGGACGATCGGACGCGGTCTTGTCTGCAACAAGATCAAGCCCGAGATTCTGGGAAGGATCTCACAGGTGCATAGACGAGATGCAGGCGATGATGAGGAGCTTCCCAACCGACCAGCGCCACGGAAATGCGCCCAAGAAGATCGTTGCCGAGGACCAAGCAACGCAGTACATGATCGTTTTTAGCTGAACATCACGTCTTCATCCACAGTCTCTTCCTCTGGCTGCATTTGACGCCTTGAGCTTGGATCACTGTTGAGGCTATTGAACAATTAGCCCGTTTCCTTCGGCAAGCCGAGGAACGTCTCTGTCATGCAGCAAGCCCGACGATGCCGTGCAAAGGCGGCATGGTGCTCACGACTTCTAAAGCAGCTTGGGAAGCCCAGTCGGCCAGAGCTTGAAGAAGCTTATGTTCCGACGTAAACCATGGCATTGATGCGGTCGCAGAGGTGGATAATCTCTCCGCAGGGGTCACACCGGATGATGCCGACGACATGCAGTGTTTTCCTTCCGACGACATTCAGTGAACAAAGCTTGGAGATAAGGAGTCTGCTGCTTGCAAGATCGGGGCCTATCCAAGTGATTGGCAGCAGTCTCAAACCCACATCCAGACCACGGGTCGACGTGTTGTCCTCCCGATGGCTTTCTGCAACACATCGTCTTCATGCAGCTTCATTGAACAAACCTCATTGCCATGCCATATGATATGAAGCCACTGTCTCGTTTCAGCACGACGCTGTCACAGAAGGAGGCGCCTGACTTACGGACGTTGGGGGAGCAAGTCATTCCGCTTTCGCAGCAGCTTGGGCTCTCTTTCAACTCCAGTTCCCTTAGCCCTACAGACCAAAGATGTCCGTCGCAGAGGTCATCAACCATGCACCACCTGTCGTGCCACAATACGTCGTGGTGGATGTTTAAATCTCAGACTTCGCCCAGCGACGCCGCATCAGTACCAGTATCTAGCGTCGCCGCAAGTACACCAAGTCTTGATCTTCTTCCACAGATGCTTAGGTTCCACAGATGCTTAGGCCAATATATGCTCCTGGAACTCACTGCTTGGAGGCTTTGGGGACATCGCACACCGTCCCCTGTTGTAAGTCCAGGCCGGTGTATATGCTAGTCCCATGTCGACCGCGGAACTGATAAGGTCTACAAACATGTACAGCCTCACGTTCGTCACGATTCCCTAGCTACTTCTATTGGCCGAAAGAGCGGGTTGGACTATACGCTTCGCCTCGATCCTGTTGACACTTTTCTGCCACCATGCGGCTCTTCTTCTTCTTCTTCTTCTTCTTCTTCTTCTTCTTCTTCTTCTTCTTCTTCTTCTTCTTCTTCTTCTTCTTCTCGACAGCACAGTCACGACAGATCAGTGGCCGCTTTGTTTGAACCATCTTACCTCAACCGCTACCTTGTTGTTCATTATCAAGCAACGTTGTACCGGTCACCACAATCACAATGAAGTGGACTACCGAGGAACAGTTCAAGGTCAGAGCCTCGATCCGGAAATCACGCTTCATCCCACTAACAACTTCCAAGCTACTGAGAACCGCTATCGTCTGCAATCCGGGGTTCAAGCTGAATGCGAAGGCTGTCGCTGAAGCATGGCGTACGTTTCCAGCCCTTTCTCACTGGAGATCGACTACTGAACTGAACAAAATTAGCGGTCGAGAGCAATGGTGAAGGACCGACTGAACGGGCTGTCAAGGAACGATTCAGAGCCATCATGGCATCCGCTCAGGACATTCGATCCCTTGCGCAGCTTGAGACTCCGAGATACAAGACGGAGGAAGGCAAGGACGAGGCTACTCTCACGAATACTCCCACCGCTACACCCACGCCAACGTTTACTACTCCAAGCCGTGGAAGTCAACCTAAAGCCCCGATTACAACTAGCAAGAAGACTAGTGGCAGTGGCAAACGCAAGCGTCGAGGCACGGTAGCCAGCTCTGACACGGAAATGGCATCTGACGCCGAGACTTCTTCTGGTTCGGATACTCAGATTACGCCAACTCCTCGTTCGACTCGGTCACTACGAGCTCGCAAGGCTCGAGTCGTCCCCTCAATGATGTCACAGGACAGTGACAAAGAGCTTGATGTGGATGCAAAGGATTATGGCAGCGGTGGCAGCGATGAAGAATATGACTTTGAGGAAGAGAGGAAGAAGAAGGCCAAGAGGAAGGCCAAGGAGGCAAAGAGGGCAGCCATACGAGGCCGCTCGTCCTAACTGAATGAGCTAGCGATGATGCCGGAGTGACTGCATGGTGAGTGCACCGTTGCAGAATGCTCGTGTGAATAGCGGCGGTCCAGGCCAGTAGCAATCAAATGCGTTGCACTTGTTTGTCATGTCGTTCCCTCTTCGTAACGTGGTCTACGCCTCTTGATATATATCTCGCGTTCAGCTGTCAATGACAACCGCGCTGACAATGGCCACTCTTCCCAGATGATGTAGATGATGCTGTTCGCCGTCCTGTGGGTGTGACAGAGCTGAGATAGACAAAGTGATCTGGGTCCTGCCCAATGTCCTGTCCATCACTGGTACAATGCCGCGGACGCCGTCGACATGATGCACACACCTTGTTAGATGTATGGCGCGACGGAAATACATCGTGACCTCAGACACACAGAGTTCACAGCCTGTTTTGTGTATCCTGAACTGACGGACGCCCCAGTTTGCTGATATCGCACGCCGCGATAGCCAAGCGATGTGACTGAACAAGACGGTCGACACAAGCCTGACCCCCCTCAACTCACAAAGTCCCTTGAGGTGGAGCCACATCAGTCTGCAAACACATCTCCTCGCCTATCGCGGATGGGCCTTCTTGGTGATGGTGGTGACGGTGAGAGTTGAGCAATCGGACCGTCTTCGGCCCGCCGCCATTCGAGAGCCGCCGCTTCTTGGGGCTGTTCTGCCTGTTGCGCTGTAACGCGCCAGAATTGACGACCTTGATGTCAATGTTGTATCGCTTGCGGATGGCCGTGAACTTAGGCGGGATGGTCGAGAGGCTCATGCCGAGCTGCTTCGCGACCTTTTCGGCGTCGACCTGATGGGTATTTGTTAGTCGCCAGGCCTGGTACATCGAATCTGGATCCCACGAACCTGGATTGGGCCAACGGAGTTTTGGATTGCCGCGATGAGCACCATGATGTCTGTTTCTTTGATTTGGTTCTGCGCCATGGTCTTCACCGAGGCCTGGACGATAATGAATACAGGACAGGGAGTGGAATGGATTGAATAAGTGTCTGGTGCAGGACTGATAAAGTGTCTGAGGACTATATCAGTATGTTCTTGTCGCTGCATGCAACCAATGTCGTTTTATACTTCCCCGTGTGTGATGGAGGGGGACTCCCAACAGTATCGATTGAGTGCTTCAGGGCGCTAGGGATTGTCACTGGGCTTTTCGGCGAAGGTATTGTAATTACATCGCCTTTCAGGCCGTTACGACGTTTCTGTCCAGGGACCTGCATGATAGTGCTTCATTTGATTGGCTGTCGTGTTCGCTTTCTGTCAGAAACGGTTCAAGAAGACCATTCTCCTGCACTGGTGGATCCTACGATCTCGAGCATTCACGGGTTTGTTCAAAGTATGCCGATACGGCGGCACTCGAGCCCTGGTCTACAAATGTCGGTTTCCGCAACTGGGCAAGACGCTAGCTGCGAGCATACTGCATTGCTTGCCGTGCCTTGTTGACGGGACCTGGCTTTCTACTGGTCAGACTTCAAACTACCTATGCATGTGTGGACATCCCTGTGCCAGCGGGTTCGAAACCCAATGCAGCAGGCTCAAATGACATGAACCGCGAAAGGGGCAGTGACCGGATGTCTACACCCACGCTATGGGACCTTCGTTGACCGCACAACGCTACCGTACACAGGTACAGGCCTATCGCTCTTATTTGTCCTCGACCTCTTTCGATTTTGCTTTGCCTTCCTCTCCACCCACACCTGCTCACAGTCTTCTTCTCTCCATCCTTTCAGTTCTTTGTCTCCGCTGTTGTCGAGTTTGCTGGTGCTACAACTATGCCTTATCAATGGACTGCGGAGAAAGGTAAGTTGACGGCTATCATATGGCAACGGGAAATAACAAGTCGTCCAGAGCGTAAAATGCTCCTGCTGGCAATCTCTGCTGCGAACTTACGACCGTCGACCGTGACATGGCAACGTGTTGCGGATCGCTTGGGCGGTGGTTTAACAGCGTCAGCTATCAGGTCCGGGCACTTCCCGCACCAAAACTGGTGACGCTGATCGGTAACAGCCAGAAATACTACAAACTTCGCAAGGAGTATGATCCTCAGGCAGGCTCGCCGCCAACGACTCCAAAGAAGCGGAAAGCATCCGACGATGATGAGGACGAGGAGAAGAAACCGACCCCGTCGAAACGAGCTCGAGAGGCACCCAGAGATCCCACCATCGACGGGGTCCGATTTACTGAGGCAACCGACGGCCCACAGGAACTCAAGACCGAAGAGATGGCCGCGAGCGTGTGGGATTCATTTCAAAGCTCACATGCACAGTTTGCGCCAGAGGCATTCAATGCAGCGGCGGGCATGGAGGATCAGATGTATGGGCACTTTCATCATGGGCAGAGCAGCGGGAGCAGCAGCTTCATCTGATTTGGGCGAGCTGGGGATTGCGGGTGACCGAACTGGCCCAGAATCGGCGTAAACGCAGGGGACATGGCCAGGAAGTCGCGTCTGACTCTGTACTCGTAGCCGGATTGATGGAGAAACCGAGAGGAAGTCGGTGGGATACTGGCGGGAGGCAAAACGACATCCGTTGGTTTGGAATGCACTGATGGGCGGGCCGATCCTGCATCAAAAGATACCGGCAAGGCGGAAAGAGGAGTGCCGGCGTCTCATGTGGGAGATGGCTTCCCAGCCTTCTTCTTTTTCCCAGCCACCTCATTTCTTCGATATCAAACAATGTATAAACATTTCTGCCTGGCGCTGGTCGTGCGGTTTGTCGTCCATTTTTGCATTCGGTTAGCGCACGACGGTGCATTAGCGGCGGCTTGGCTGAGTGGCCAGAATTGGCCGACATGAGCCTTGGGTACCTCATCCTTGCAACGCTATTTCTCACCAGTGACAGATGTCGAATCACAAGGCTACTAGGTAAGGGCGTTGCGCAGCGTGTTGGTAATGAGCATGGAGATGGGGCGCTCCAGGGTCGGCGGTGTACAGAGATGCAGGCACCAGGCAGCAGGCACGTACTCGCCCAGGACAGGATGTCCCAGCCACAGGCCGGTCTATCCACCTACTGTGTACTCTCCTGCACGTCGTGGGACATTGACAGGCTGAAGCTCAACAGCCTCACCACGGTAGTGCCTCAAGTGAAGTCCGCTACCAACCTCCTCTTTTCCTTGCTCATTCATCACTGCCCTTATCCACACATGTGCGTGCCCGTTGCGGATAACCTTGTGATATTGACGAAGACCTGAATGCTCGGACCTCGTCATTCACGGAGCACTCGCCTCTCAGCCGGACACTTTGCTTCTAGCGTCTACTTGTTCGCCTTTCCAGCGCAACTCCCAGCTCGATCAACCCATCCCCAATCTCAATACTCCTTTCACTGTGTTTGTAACACCCCTCCAGTGAAGTGTCCTTTGCACAACTCCATAGACATCGCAACACCTCGACCCCGACAATGTCTTCCAAAGAGCCTCAATCCAACAACAAATCCGACCTGATCACCAAAGATGCAATGTACCTGTTCGAGTTGATGCGCGACTCGCCACAGCCGATCCTCGTGAGTTCTCCCTGCTTTGTCCTACCACCTCTCCCTGCCCCATCTCACCACCCCCCACAACTCGAACCTGGATCTCACCTTGCCTTGTCCCGCTTGATCGCGGAACCCATCACCAGTACTTGATACCACCCTTTTAACGCATTTTGCAGCTCTACATCACCCCGTACGCAGAAAAGACGGGCACAAAGGCAAACACCATCGTCAAGCGGCTAAGCGAGATCAAAAAGCGCAACCGCCTCAACATCGTCACGACCACCAGTCCACCGTCAGGCGACACCAAGAGCCATACTCCCGCGACTCCCAGACTACGAGCCAGCAACAGCAATCCTCGCCAAGACGGGCAAAAGCCGAGTGTCAAGCGCGAGAGAAAGGCCGACGTCGCGAAGAGCACTCATCACCCTGACTGCAACGTCAAGGTCGAGGGGAGCAATCATCTCGGCAGCTCAAATGCTGCACACGGTCTCCCATCACCTGCCCACTCCACGCCAGGCACGCCACCCGGCAAGTGGACTGCTGCCAATTCTCGAGGCGCCACAATCAGAGGTAGCACAGGACCAGGTGTCGGTGTTGATATTTCGACATGCCAGTCCCAGATGCCATTCTACATGCCACAGAAGCGAGCGTTTGACGACTTCGAGACCGACGCCGACGCTGACACTCGCTACGTCAAGCGCGAGGACGGCGTGATCAAGAAGGTCAAGACCGAGACCGAGACCGAGACCGAGACCTGGAGCTTTGGTGGAAATGGGGACGCCATCACGGCGCCGAATGTATTGTGATGGAGGGGTTTCACATACGTTCGTGGCTTTCAAAGTCGCCAAGCGTACGTGCTGCGGAACTTGGCGCATGGCGTACATTGTTCAGAAACGGCACCTTCACTGGTCTCAAAATAAATAGATTTCCGAATTGCCAGAATAATTTGATGATTCTGTCACTTAGGGTGAATGATGGAAAAGGCAAGATGCCAAAGCAGAGCACAGCTGCATTCTATGCGACAAACCGTACATATCGCAACTAGGAATGAAATTGGACAAGGCGAAAGTGTCGAGAACAAAGTACCTCGATCCATGAATCCAATCACTCCAGAACAATGAAAGATACTTCGCTTCCAGTATCCTTGCGTTTCCCCTTATCTTTGCTTTCTCCGGTCCCACCGTCACGACGCACGCCCGTGTACACGTCAATCCCCGGCGCCGAGATGGGCTGTGGAACCGCTGCGTGGCCTCGTTCCGCAGCGACTGGCAAAGCCGGGCCTTGCAGTGCTTCAGTCCCAGCTGCAAAGCGGGCCTCACGCTCGTCAGCGCCACTAGAAGCCGGATTTGAGCCGAGGCTTATGCCAGAGTCGAAGGATCGAGCTGCTGGGTAGGACGAGGCCACGGCTTTGGCTTCTCTCTGCACGTGGCCCATCAGCTGTATCATGATTTCGGTGGAGCGCATGACTTCTGCAATCTCGGTCGCTGAGAAGGGTAGCCGGTTCCCGTCCGCTTTGGGCTTGAGATCTTGCAGCTGCTGCAGAGCGGTAAAGGCTGTTTTGAACGTATGAGGCGTGTCCAGCGTCCCTATCTCGGTTCGGGCTGTTGTTGGTCGAGTTTCCGCAATGGGAGACGGTCGGGATGGTGTTTGAGGTGGTGGTGGTGGACGGATATCTGGAGCGTACAGTGGTGAGGCTGGAGATAGCGTAGACGCGGTTTTTGCCTTGCCTTTATCGACCATGATGCTCGAGTCCTCTTGTGGATTTGGTCTCCCGACATCGCTAGGCGGCTGGGAGGCCGTACGACTGACGGAGTGCCTGCGGACGTGTATCGTGTCCAAGGGCGTGCTTTGCCGGATGTTTCCTGCTGGCGGAGCAGCATTTGAGGGCCCACAGGGTTGATGTAGCTTGGACGTCTCGTGAAGATCGCTAACTCTCTGAGGCTGCAGAGACGCTGGCGGGTTTGGATCAACTCTAGCGCGCGGCATTATGGTAAGCTGAGCTAGTTTCTCCCGACCCTTGGCCACCTTATTTGCATCTTTAAGGCTGCGGAGGTGCTCCTGGCTGATGCGTTCGTGACGGTCAAGCGCCTCCTGACTGGGTAGCTGGCTTAAGCACAAAGCACATCGATACTGGCCTTGATTGGTGACGTAGCCGAATGACTCGAATTGCGGCGGCTGCTTGCAGCGGCTGGACTCGTCGATTTCAGGCTGTGCGCTGTCACCGAGCTCTGAAAATAGCCGCTTGCGACTGGGACCACTATCACTTTGGGGGGGAGGACAGGATGAGCCGCTCTGTACCTCACTATGAGACAGGACTGTGTCAACGTGGGTGGGATTGTTTGGCTCCTGCTGATTTCTGGCTGCCTGACCGGAAATCGACCGGCTTTCTGGCGCATCGACGACAGTTGCTGCATATATGACCTCTGGACCAGGTGATGGGTGCGGTGACGCCTTGATTACTCGAGGGCGCTTAGCAGGACCTCGCAGTGAATGGCCGACGCGAGCTTCTACCGCTTCAAACTCCCTCTGCGTCAGGACGCTTATGTCCTCATCATCGAAGTAGAGATGCGGAGGACGGCGGGAAGGTCCAGCTGGGCATCTCGAAGGGATACCTCGTCCAGAGCCACGGTGACTGGGGTTCTGGGCTTTCAATTGGTCTGCTGCCTTTGAAACCTCTTTCGCAAAGAATGATTTGATGGCGTCGTAAGAGGCCTCAGGGCCAAAGTATTGTGCAATTGACGCATATCGGCCTTTGAACTGGGAACAGTTAGAAGACTCTACTGCCAACAGTATTCATTCACTCACGCCTTGTTCTCCCAGTTCAGCATATACCGCTGCTATTAGCTGGAATACTGTGCTCCGAAGTCTCCAATTGATCGCCATTGCTGAAATACTCCCTGGGATGAGTGTTGAGACACGGACGGTGAAATGGGACGATGTGTGTCAAGCCCGAACAGCGAGGTAGCAATTGCCAGAGTATGGAGCTGTCAAGAATACTGAAATCGAGTTTAGAGAAGAACTCACAACATTGACCTGAGTGATACGCGAATTCCGCATTCAGAGCGAGCATCTTCGACGTGCAGTGTGCACATGAGACAGCAACGCACTAATCTCGCTGTCGAGCTGGCTTGCTCTATCCGGAATCGCGGGATATCGCCACGGCTTAGCGCGCAATTCGATGCAGTGAATGTACCATGTAGGATGACCCGGTTCAGGCATCGATTTGACGCCATCGAGCAAAGTCAAAGCCTGCATGATGGCAGCTGGAAGAGGAGGGAAAAGGGAGGCTGCAGGAGGACGATGTGGGTCGTCCTGATCATCAGCAGCAGGTGTGATCTTGGCAGGCTACTAGCGGTATTAATGTCATTCCGGTCATTTGACCGGCCAAAACGACTCAAATACCGCTCACTGATTGGGCGGAATGTTAGGGGAGATCAAGTTGGGACACAATTGACTCGAACACGAACCTCTTTGCTCGCCCATTGTTGTGCGAGGGTCGGGTTTGCTGGTTGCGAGAGCCGGCAACAAGACAGAAACTGCCCCACCTGATTGAGCTGGACCCCTTTCAAGTCGTCCAATGAGCATCTAAGCTGGCGCGGTTTGAGTGCCAGAGTCAGAGTGATCTAATTAGTTGCCAGCAAGAAAATGTATGTTTCGGACGCCTTTGAACAGCAAAAAGGATGAAGACGCCTCCAGAATCCACAGTTTCACCCACGTCACGACGGCGAAGAGCTCTAGGTTCGGTACCAACGAATAGGCCCGGATGGCGGAGCGGAGCACACTTATGTGTCTAGATCGCAACAACCAGTACTGTCACAACAGGCCGGTAATTGGAGCTACAATGCAAGACGGAGGCTGGAGTCACCTCGCATCTATGCGATGTGAAGATGGGCAGAAGAGTGCGAGATTTTCCAGTCATCCGAAGGTGATTTTGCCGTAGAATTGCTCTGGGGCTGACCGGGTCAACTAATGCGCAAGCCTGATAGCAGAGCACTGAATCCTTTCCCATTGGCTTGGTGCTGTCTGTTCTGTTCTGAGCCCAGGAGAAAAGACAGGAGTAACAAAGGCTACCCTTATTGACGAGCTCACCATGGTTGCCCGTCTATTCCAATATCCAGCTCAACTCGTGTCTTGTGTCATGTTTCGCTTCCTTCGATCTGTTCATTCATCATTGCTGAATCAAGCCCAAGTGAGCGTATGTCAACATCCTCAAGACAGCCAGTCGGAGGTGCGAGTAGTCCCTTTCGGAAAGCACTCCCAACAAGTCGTCTTCTGCTGGCTGCAAAAACTGATTGCATCGGCAAGATCGCAATGACAGGGCCGATCTCTACAGGTCGAGTTAGCTTTCGCGCTCGAGTGATACGGGGACGTGTGCAAGTAGTCACCTCGATATCCCTCATTAGGCTCCGTCGGTGCCTTCGGTTTGGACCGCAGGGGTACCCTCATTCTGGACTTCAGTCTTCACCTCAACCTCAGGAGCTGCGTCCTTCTTCGCCTTTCCACGCTTGGTGGGCGTAGCGACTTCCCCGTCACGATCAACGCCGACATTCTTTCTCTTGCGCCCACCGGTTCCCTTGCTGCCAGGGGTTTTCGGGGTTTTCACAGGCGTCGCCACGTCATCACTGCCTACCACGGCACCCTCAGCGAGTATCTTTTCGGACTCTCTCTTCAGCTTGTAGAATTTTTGGCTGTAGGTGGACATGATAAGTTAGCTGACTGGTGCAATGAATCTCAAGTCATGGTGTATGGACACGGCAAAGGAAGGGCCACAAGTGGAATTGTAGAGAAGCAGGATATTGGCAATACCTGCATGCGTTGCCGTTGACTTCATGACCAGTACCAATCTTCTCCGCCACCTGATCCCAGATAGTTGAGGGTGGATTTCCCATGGCTGCAATGGCAGACAGAAGTAGATCACTTTCAGACTGAGCATCCCACTTGAAAGGCATGGTGGATGAAGTTGATTGATGGTCGCTAGACGGACGGGACAGCTAAATCGAGATGGTGTGCAAAGAGACTTTTACGAGGAGGTCGAGGCAAAGGAGGGAAAGGTTGTTGTGAAAGAGACAGAACAGAAAGAGTCGAAGGGAGTTGCAAGTGGGAAATTCCACAGTTCTGGATGGGGGAGCAAGGGCAGAGATAGGGTTATGTAAAAAGAAAGTGAATACAGGATGGCGTTCGCAGTGAATCCTTCAGCACCCATTCTCTCCGCCATTGTTTCGAAAGTTGGCCTGTCCTTTTCGAAAGCAAAGGACATCAGAAGAGCCCGTTCCGAGTCAGCAGTCCAGTCGGGCATGGTGGGTGTGTTTCGATATGTAGAGCGTACTGAAGACGAAAGGGCGGGCAGGATAACAGATGCAGAATCAGGATAGCGGTCGGTGTTGGTAAGGGAACGTTGCAATGGATACAGGTCTGAAAGGTCTGGAAGGTAGCGGGTGGGCTGGAAATGCAGTGAAAGGGGTATTAGAGGCAGAGGGTGTGGCAATAGTTTCAACACGCAAGGCCAGACCACCAAGCGAACCCTTCGACGGCATAGCTACGAGATTCCCACGCACCCTGACAGAATGGATTCCTCGATGTGGGAGCTGTAAATGACCAAACTCATGCCGGACACAACAAAAACCTGTATCAAGTCTTCAGATCCGAGATAGCTTCCAAGATATAGATGGTCGCCCAATGAGTTGATGCAGGGCAAAGCGATGGCGTGGAGATGTCACATAGGTAGTTTTTCAACGCTGCGGCTGCTCCATGAGACACAATCACCTATGCGTAGAGGTAAGTGCCTCTTTTCCTTTGGCCTTCAGAGGTGGCCATATGTCTTGCCGAGCACCAGGATTGAGTTGAGAGTCTCTGGCCAGTGTGTGTGTTCGCAACTTCGACACAGCCTCTTGGAGTTGACAGTGGCCCAACTCGAAGTAGCCGTAGGTAGAGGTAGACAGCGAACTCGACGAGATTGTGGCTTCGCAGTTTAAGCTGGAAGATGGTGCGCAAAGTCAAACAAGGATAGCTCAACAAACACACATGGAACGTCCTTGTCAGCGACCTTCGATACGCGGCCCAGCATTATGCATCTCAGTAACGCCGCCCGTCCCCCGGCGATACCTATCTCCATTCAGCTGTGTGCACCCTCGTTCGTTGCATGCAACCTATCCAGCTGGTAGTGATCTGCAGAGTCTTGAGCCTCTGAGTGTGAATTTGGGTGCGATTGTCTCAGAGAGGTCGCGATAGCCGCCACTGGTTCAAAGGAGAGCGCCAGGGGAAGCGAAGGCGGTCGACACATGATCAGAGCAACAAACAGCTATACTCTTCGATGTAACAAAAAGGGTAATCATGTCGAGCTCGTAGGTACCTAGCTACCTAGTACCCAGTTATGATGCGCATGGTTACCGGTACAAGCTCACCCTCCATGACTGTAAGTAAAACCCGGATATGTGTACACGTACCTTAGGTAGCTAGCAGGTGCAGTCAGAGCAGGCCTAGAAGTCTTCCAAGCGCTCGTTAGGCATGCACGGCGTGAAAGGCGTCCTCCCGCCAACGGCTCGGGTCAAACCTTTGCCCCTCGTTCTTGATTTGGCGGACTGTTGATTCTGGGCCCCACCATGGATTCGTCGCTCTCTTCGCTGCAACAGTTGCGTGAACCAGTCTGTTATTCATCCCACCTACAAACCTCTTATTCCTCTGCCCACGCACCTCGCAGTCTGGACGCTATTGTATCATTTTGTCCAGTCTTGCGCCACAGATATCAGACGAGGTACGTCAACTCTGCCCTTCGGTCAGGCACCATTATTGATGCCTGTTATGCCCGCTCAAATAATCTGCTATCTCTGCCGCCCTTCATTTCCGCATTGTTAACATGCCGTCTCACTTGGACTGAAACTGACAACCAAGACCAGCTCGAACCTAGTCGCATAAGAACCCTTGACATCGAATCGCAGCTATGGTGAGCCCCTCAAAGTATCCTCTAAATCCACTTTAGCTGACCCTCTGACAGCCTGTTTCCGGGTATGTTCATACGTGCCCCCTCAATCACCAACTCGATTCCTGTGCGCCCTCGTCCGTTCGCTGATGCAGTCACACCCAGTCTCTCTGTCAATCCGGACTGCGTCTCCAAGTTCAATGAGCTGAAACTCGGTCGTGGCGGTCCCAAATACATCATCTACAAGATCTCCGACGACCAGAAGGAGATCGTGGTGGACGAAGTCGGCAATGAGCCAGACTATGACACCTTCAGGGAAAAGCTCATCGCCAAGAAGGAGAAGACTGGCAAGGACCGCCCTTCATACGCCATCTACGACGTAGAATTCGAGCTCGAGGGTGGTGAGGGCAAGAGGTATGCGCGCAAAGATGAATCATGAATTTGAGAGTGGACATGCTGAATTGGACGTTCAGATCGAAGATTGCATTCATTACATACATCAACCAGGACAATACCGGTGTCAAGGTACGTGTACAACGCACTCGGCATGACGGTCACTGATTCTTGTAGTCCCGCATGGTGTATGCCAGTTCTCGTGAGACGCTGAAGAATGCCCTCAATGGCATTGCCATGAACTGGCAGGCAAACGACCCAGGCGAGTTAGAGTGGGCCGACCTGCTCAAGGAGGCCAGCAAAGGAAAGGGAACTGTCTAAGGCGATCTAGGACAGTTAGAGAAGGGCCAGCGCAACTTCCACACGTCGTCTGGAAGATCACATCAGCGTGCGCACAAAGCAAGGGCCGGATTGCTGGAAAAGGGGAACGCCGGGCAATGTCTTCCAGTATGCGCCAGTCGAGGGACGCCGGAAGTTTGACGCTGCAATGAAGATAGAACTTTACATGGGACGATACGAGCAAGGGAGCATCGAAACACAGAGCGTTATGCGTGATTCTCTACAAGCTCCACGTGTGCACCACTAACGTGATGTCTCTATTACCTTGGGGATCAAAGCGTTCTTCCTCGGCCAGCAGCACCAGTCCGCATTTAATGCGCCTTGATACGAACAAATTTCCCTCTGCCTCTATTGAGATCCTGTAACAGCTCTTCTCTTGCCTCATTGCTTTAGTTGTACGTCTATCCGCTCGACGAGCTAGGACTCCTAGGTATGCTAGGAGAAATCGGCGTAATTTTGGTATCGACCGTTACAGCAGCAGAACAAATGGTCGCGCATCCCGAGAGACAAGGAAACCAAGATAGACACTTCGAAGCGCATTGAGGAAGTCGTTAACCGCGAGTATTTTGCGGCGACGAAGGTGATCTGCCACATAATTATTAAATTGCTGAGCCGTGCTGTACCGGCGTCCGGCTTCGAACATCCATGTGGAGTGACGCCTCGATGAAAGGCCGTAATTTAATTTGTGCCAAGACTGGGAGCTAGCGCCGTTCTCGCAGCATTGTCATGGAACTTTGATCCCAATCCACGACCTGAGATACACGTCGCCCCTTCTACCAGTCTCAATCGGCGCTCAATCAGCAGCAACAGTGGTTCCGAAGCTCCAGGCTTCGGCAGGTCATCGAACTGTTGACTTCTCGCATGTTTTAACTGCACTTTCAGGCTCTCCAGCAACATGTATCTCCGCTCCTTACCCCGTGCAGCTCGTGCTTCCACGAGTCCTGCGACAACATGTCCGCGGATTGCCTTTCGACAGTTCCAGTCCTCGAGCCGATCTCTAGCGCCAACCTTCTCAGCTACAACGCAGCAGCCTCCGATGACCAGCCAGTCCCAGGTCCGATCCGCTCACGCCATTTCCAACCCTACCCTTGCCGGGATTGAGAAGAGATGGGAAGCGATGCCTCCACAAGAGCAAGCCGAGCTTTGGATGCAGCTGAGGGATCGCATGAAGGTCGATTGGCACGAAATGACTTTACAAGAGAAGAAAGCAGGTATGGACGAGTCCTGAAGCTTGCTTGCAAGGCTGGAAACGGATGCGAGCTTCTTGCCAAGCTCGATTGCCTGGCTCTTTGCAAAAGAAACAAGCTTCGAGTGAAACAAGGGCCGTCTAGCTGACACTCTCGCAGCATGGTGGATTGCATTTGGACCTCACGGCCCTCGCGCCACGGACCCGCCCGGTGAATGGACAAAAGTCTGGGTTTATACCGCGGCCGGTGTTGCGATCTCGTGTGCTCTCTTCCTGGCGATCCGCGCTTTCTCGCGACCACCACCACGGACTATGACCAAGGAATGGCAAGAAGCTACCAACGAATACCTCAAGGTGAGTTCCTCCACGATAACACCGTGCCGCGTTCCCGCGTTGCTTCGGGTTTTACCGTATCCTCCACATGTCACGCTGACATCGCTCTTCTGCAGTCCGAGAAATCCAATCCCATATATGGTATCAGTAGTGAAGGGTATTCGGGTCGGGGCCACGTGCAGAGCAAGCCGGCCAAAGCCCAAGGCATCAGCCTTGAAGCCGAATAGATGGAGCGTAAGGAGGGATGAGATCGGCAATATGGCTGCGAACGGACACCACGGTGGCTCCCTTGTACTATGCCCTAGTATTGCGAGAAGACAGGGTTCTTTCTTATTTTGTGAATATCAAAAATCAAACAATTCCAAGCCGCTGTGCTCGTGGCGCGTCCGGATCGTCAATGTATATACATTTCAATGCAGGTGGAGTTTGAGATCGAAAATTGCTAATCCCTTCGCTCACCGTCCTCGTCACAAGTGCGCTCAATTTGGTCGAGCTCTTGAAATGCCCTGAATGTGCCCTCGATGTGCCCTCGCTGTGCTTCTTGGTACAAATGACGAGGGTGAAGAAGTCGAGTAGTCGAGGCGGCTAACTAAATTGGGGTTAGCGTCGCGAGGAGCTTCTCTCAATTGACCTCAAGTTCTTCTCGTCCAGTTTCGCTCCTGATCACAACCACTCTCCCCTCTACCCTTTCATTTCACCTTTCGTCCACCCGCAAACATGTTCAAGAGGTAAGCGAGATCCCTCTCATGACCCGGCAGAGCTTTGATGCAGCTCGAGACGTCCGTTGCTGACTCGTTTGGGACAGCGGCATTGCCCGTAGCTTGGGCAGGTCTGCCTTTGCTCGACCTTCCATCACCCGACGCGCCGTCGAGCCCATAAGAAAATCGTTTGCTCCAGCCATCGCACAAAGATGGGCCTCGACGGAGTCCACCAAGGAAGGGAAGATTCATCAGGTCATTGGCGCTGTTGTCGATGGTATGCGGATATTTTACACCTCCCTATCTCGCACCGCTTGAGCTATTTATAAGCTCACCAACGGCGACATTCGAACCAAACAAGAGCTGATAGATGCTTGCTAGTCAAATTCGACACCGAACAACTCCCTGCTATTCTCAATGCCCTCGAAACCGATAATGGTGGCACCAAATTGGTGCTGGAAGTCGCAGTATGGGAAACATGGCCGCAGCTCAGAATACATATACTGATGACCTTTAGCAACATTTGGGTGAGAACGTCGTGAGATGCATTGCCATGGATGGTATGGAGACTCAGCGAGCTGCCTAATTCTCACTTGGGGACTGACCGTGTATTCTAGGTACCGAGGGTCTCGTCCGAGGACACAAAGCTGTCGATACTGGTGCCCCCATCAGTATTCCTGTCGGCCCTGGCACCCTAGGTCGCATCATGAACGTTACCGGCGACCCAATCGATGAACGCGGACCGATCAAGGCTGCCAAGCGAGCACCTATCCACGCTGACCCTCCCGAATTCGTTGAACAAGCTACGACCGCCGAAGTCCTGGTTACTGGTATCAAAGTCGTGGATCTTCTGGCTCCATATGCTCGTGGTGGAAAGATTGGCTTGTTCGGTGGTGCTGGTGTTGGCAAGACCGTTTTCATTCAGGAGCTTATTGTGGGTGCACTTCTCCCCACGAAGAATAACATAGCTGACATGCTACAGAACAACATCGCCAAAGCCCACGGTGGGTACTCGGTCTTCACCGGCGTGGGTGAGCGTACTCGTGAGGGCAACGACCTCTATCACGAGATGCAGGAGACTTCGGTCATCCAGCTCGATGGCGAGTCGAAGGTCGCCCTGGTGTTCGGTCAGATGAACGAACCTCCTGGGGCTCGTGCTCGAGTGGCCCTGACTGGGTGAGTTACTCTTTCCCACTCTTGTATAGCCTATTGTCCCTTCCTACTGCAGCCTATTGTCCCTTCCTACTATGGCCCATTACTCCTTCCTACTATGGCCCATTACTACCTTCCCATCTACTGGACACCTCACCTTCCTGGATATATACTGGATTATTTGCCCTTGGACCTGGCCACACTCAGCATCTTGTCCTCTGCCACTCCGAGTACACTTCCAAGATACTTCCAACCGACCAAGCCATGGACATTCCACAGTTTGACATTGATGAGAAGATCCTATGCTACATGCATAATCTCGCACAGCTAAATACACGGTCAATACACGCCAGTCCCGAGTTTGGGCTTCTCTTCGGTGGTACAGACCGCGAAGACCTCGATACTCTCTACGACGCCACACAACTCAAGATCCCAGAAACATTAGCTGCCGCTATGACCCACGACAAGCCTCCCTCTCTCGACTTCTTCAAAAGCCTGCCTGAGCCTACCACCGGGCTATGGGGCATATATGTTGTGGTCATGGAGAAGGCTGGTTAGAAGTCAGCCCTCTACATAGGTTCAGGCACAGCAGAATCTGGCGGAGTCCTTCAAAGGACAAAATCATACACGACACAACCTCATACGCGACCAAAGTTCGTCAAAAAAGCCCTCCAAAAAAAGTTCGGAATCACCCACCTCGGGCTTCTAGCATGGGCGTCGATCCCACCTCCTCGCCTACTACCTCGTACCAGAGCTTTCTTCCTCCTGCTGGAGACCGTGTTCACGATACTGTTTCATTGCTGCATTGCCATGAGTTCGGACATTTACCTCGAGGATCTACTACTCTGGCCACGCCAATCTGTGGACTGGACGCCCCTCTGCAGTCATCTACCTATCACCGAGCCCATTATAGGCGACTTGACCCTCACAGAAGAAGAACTTGAGATCGCTGCCGCTATACGAAAAGTACGCGCTACGGAGATTGCCAATGCCGGAAGTCGACGACATCGCGAGAAAAATCGCGCCGAAGATCCCGTTGGCTTTCGAAAACAGCAGTCCCAGTCGAAGCTACTCTGGAGCCACAAAAACGCCGACAAGGTGCTCAAGAATGCTGCTACGACCCGCAACAAGGCTATTGCCCAGCAACGTTTCTACTGTGACGATTGCCAACAATCATTCCAAAGTCGCGTAGCTCTTGAGAGCCACATAAACACTCGAGCCCATCTCGACCGCGTCGCTAGCATCGACAAAGCGCCTCTTGGGAAGAATGCTATTACTCTCAAGGCCAGTAGGCAGGAAGCAAAGGAGCAAAAGCTCTACTACTGTTCGGCCTGCGAGAAGGCATTCAACAATAACTGGAGTCTCCAACGACACCTCGCCACACAGCTACATGCAAAGAGAGTCGCAACCCGTTTGGAATGACTCTTAGTGAGGCTATTCCTACGGGCTTATCCTGTCCCCGCTTTCTGGTTACACCGGCGAAACTACGGCCTCGTCTCACTGGCGTCTCCTCACTGCTACCATTTGTTACTGGACTACATTTCCTTTGGACGAATACCCACCTCACTGATGTTTTTACTACTTGCTGCTACATCTCATACTAACTCGCATTTGTTCAGTTTGACTGTAGCTGAATATTTCCGCGACTCTGAAGGCCAGGATGGTATGTATCTCGTGGTCGCTGGACGCATTTGAAGGTTGCTGACCTGATTAGTGCTGCTTTTCATCGACAACATCTTCCGATTCACTCAAGCCGGTTCCGAAGTGTCTGCTCTGCTCGGTCGTATCCCATCTGCCGTCGGTTACCAGCCCACTCTCGCCGTCGACATGGGTCTCATGCAGGAACGCATCACCACTACGCAGAAGGGATCCATTACCTCCGTGCAGGCCGTCTACGTGCCTGCTGACGATTTGACGGATCCTGCCCCAGCTACGACTTTTGCCCACTTGGACGCCACCACTGTCTTGTCTCGCGGTATTTCTGAGCTCGGTATCTACCCTGCGGTCGACCCTCTCGACTCCAAGTCCCGTATGCTGGACCCCCGCGTCGTGGGACAAGAGCACTACGATACTGCCTCCCGTGTCCAGCAGATGTTGCAGGAATACAAGTCGCTTCAGGATATCATTGCCATTCTGGGTATGGATGAATTGTCCGAGGCTGACAAGCTCACTGTCGAACGTGCTCGCAAACTGCAACGTTTCCTGTCTCAACCTTTCACCGTCGCTCAGGTCTTCACCGGTATCGAGGGCCAGCTTGTCGACTTGAAGGATACCATCAGCTCATTCCAGAAGATCATCAACGGCGAAGGTGACGACCTGCCGGAGGGTGCTTTCTACATGGTTGGCAATTTCGAGAGTGCAAGAGCAAAGGGTGAGAAGATCTTGGCTGAACTGGAGAAGTCGTAGATGGGACCTTGAAATGGAGTGAGTGGTTGACGCGTGATGCAAGACCAGACACAAATGCTACTTGAGTTGTGGCATTCTTGCAACGCAGCATGTTGAGGAGTTGAGAAGAGCAGAGGGGAGGAGAACTTGTACATTGATCAATCCTCCTTTTATTCCGCAGACCAAAATTTCCTCTGTAATCATGTCGCTACTGGCCGTGCCTCGCCAAGGGGGTGGGTGTCTTTACGCCCCAGTCTTATCCTTGCCCCTTCTCCCTCTTGAGTCGCTCTCCATAAGCCTACATGTCTTACTGCGCTGGTAAAGCTTGATGCTGTCATAGGAGCTATTGGATTTGAACGACGACAAAGACAACATCAGCTAGGACCTGGGGCAAGTAGTCCTACATTACAACCAGACCGCAAGCCGACCATTGCACAGACGTATCTTATCCTTAGCCCGCAAACAGAGGAACGACGACCTTTCACATCAGGGTGAGCGGGTTTAATCCATAATGCAAGTCTATTTGCTCGCAAGCGTCAAGACCTCCTCAGGTCCCCATCACACTACCATCTCTCGACGTGGACCCATGACATCCAGAGGTACATGCACAAAACATGTCGGCCTCCGCCCAATGACTCGTCTGCCACCCTCACACGACATAAACATAGATCGGCAACGCGTATACATGTTCATGTTCGCGCCCGTGATAGGCAAGCTCGAGTGTGACCCGCGTGAGTAGGATCACTTGGACGTGGACGTGCGATGGCGCCTGCCAAAGCAGCCGGGGCATAAGTCCGTCGTACTCTCTCTCTCTCTCTCTCTCTCTCTCTCTCTCTCTCTCTCTCTCTCTCTCTCTCACACACACACTGTGTCTCCGGTGTATCTGTGTATCTGTGTGCGAGGGTGTGCCTTGATTTCATCACTAACGGTATATGCCCACCTCCGACTGTAGGTCTACCCGAACCTCCACATCCCCGGCAACGCAACCTGGCTGCCCGCTCGCCCTCTTCCCGGGCCCCTCCACGACCGGCACCGCACCGGTACACCAGCTAATCACATCATTGCGATCTCCTGCACCCTGCGCTCCTGCCTAAGGGGCCGACTGAGTGACAACAAAGCCCAATGCCATTGCCGATGCCGATGCCCAAGTCACGCACGGCGCCATCCGGCTCATGTGGCCTGTCTTTGTGAAGGTGGTCAACGTTGTGCCACTCCTATGGACGGTTTAACGGACGCTCTATCTGTTCTGGCCTGCCCTACAAGCTTATCCGTCACGGGACCAACATGTCAAAACTGAAGGCCATGCACGAAACTGCTCCTGTCCCACCAGTTCCAGACAATGCTGCTTAGCCATAAACACACGAAGGCAGTAGTGCTCTTAAGGCTGAAGAATAGCAGGACGATCACGAAGACGACAAACAAGAAAACGTGCACGTATCATCTCGCTGGCAAGCTCCAGCCACGCATGGCACAACCCAGAAGGTGTACCTACGTGTCGATGACGCCCGAGGTGATCAAGAGCGCCCAGATAGTGAGTGTCAAATGCCACCGCTTGAGATCGCTGCTGGGCATGTTCGCGGCGATGAGGACTTGAAGGAGCGCAGCCTCGCTGCAGGATGAGCCGGCAGCCGGCGAGGTACTCACCCACGCCGACCGCGTTACCGAGAGCCAGTCTGCTCGTACGCACGACACCTTCGGCGCCGTGAGCTGGGGGAGCTAGGCTAGCGGGTTGACTTCCTCCCAAGGCGCCCCCAATATCACATCACATCTTCGGATCCCGTAGGTCCGAGCAAGAGCAGCCTAAGACTCGCACCTTGTATTCACGTAGTGAACCACCGACTCGCTCCGGCGCCATTATATGCGTCCAGAGATACTGCACACTCGCGATTGCGAGGATCAAGATCGACCCAAATTCTGCCAACGACTACCTTGCACGCCTGGGCAGGGAGCCGACGATTTTGACGGTGGCGCCCCACACCAGCGAGCTCGGGGCCCCCTTCCAGAAGGTCGCCGAGATATATCTGCCCGTGAGCGCGCGTCAACTTGCTTGCCCACGTCAGGGAAGCGAGGAATACAGATCGACAGTCTCGTCAATTCAATATACATGGCCATGACTTCCCATGGTTCCGCGATTGTCAGTGAGAAGGCCAACAGTTGCGCGAAGTCCAACAGGCGCTGGTAGGCTAAGCTGGGCGTCCGGTCCTACTGCGATACCCAACTTTACCGTCAAGCATCCAGAAGGCGAAGGTGGAGGTGGGAATGGAAGGGGAGGTGGACGTACCCACAAGGACCGGCCGTCCCGTTCGTGCGTGTTGGCCTGGTATGGTATACTTGCGATACGTTCCTCTCTTCGTAATACCCCGTCTTTGCATCTGGAGGGACATCGTCGACGGAGCCTTTACTCCCTTTATGATTTCGTGGGATCCCATGGTATACTCCTCACTCAGAGCGGTGTCAAATCCTTGCGTTCATATATCTACCGACGATATAAGAGAGTCGGTAGGAGACAAAACACCCCTGAGTTGTGGAGATAAGACTTTCGATGGTACGCGATATGTGAACAGTATGTTACTAGCTGTTCTGCAAGACGAGTCCTCGTAGGAGGTCAGGTTGACAGGTCTGTTGTTATGGATTCCCCGTGACGGGCAACCCTCCCAGTACCTGGCAGAACAGCTGCTAACATACTGTACACGGTAAAATAGCTCGTAGGTAGCTACACTACCTTCATACAGTGGCTAGCTCACTCACCACGGGACAAGTAGTGGAAACGACCCCAGTGCCAAGACAAGCCCCCTCAAAGACACCTGGGATTCCAGGCTCAGCGCAGACCGACAGGTAGAAATACACACAGTCACGGCCCAGCTAACTTAGGAGACCTACTGCTCGCTCATGGGAAGCCAACAACACGCGACAGAAAACACTCGGCTTGCTGTAGTTTCGACTTGGGTACCAGCAGTAATTACCTCATCGCTACGCTATCAAAGTCGGATCTGCAGACGACGATGCAAGCCATTTGGCTGGAGGAGCGCAGAGAAGGGCATATGGCCGCTGGCATGGGGAGAGGTGCAGGCAGGTGGATGTCGTCGAATGATGTCGAGCCGATTGTCTTTGAAGAATGTGCCTTTCAGTTTTGAACTCACAACCCCGACGCGCTGAGGACGATTCCGAAACTCGCCCTCGGTACAGTATCACCAGAGAATCGCTTCAAGACTCATGGGAACCAGGGTCAGCGGCATGGAAGGGTTGGGGTGATCTTACCATTTGCGCTCCAAGACCGCGAGTATGTCGTGAAAGATCATGGCGCATCTTCAAGCTACGACAAGAAGTGGCCTGTCTCTGTCTGGTATGTACTGGTGGCAGGCCTAGCCAACAGGAACATCTAATAGCATCACAGGATGTGTCAAGTTTGCCCGCTCATAAGGTTTTGTTCACTTCTTCCATTACAGTGCGTGCTTCTTTCACTACAGCTATGACCAAGTCTTATCGTACAGTGCGTCCAAACACCCACACAGTAATTGCCATCCCCCTGCACGCGGGCTGTCTGTTACCACTGTAAGGCGGTCCCGAGACCCAAGGTCAGGTCCAATGCCCCGCCGACCCCGTTTCGTTAAAGGCCTCCCCTTCCCGTGCTTTTGAGACAACATGTGTAATAAGTACACAATCTTTCGAATTTGAGTGGAGAGTAATGTGACAGTCTTGCAGAAATGTACAGAGGTGATGGACAAGTGTCCCAGGGATCTAAACGGCCACATTTCCAGGTGATGTGGTCGACTTCGGTACGACGGTCCGACTCGAGAGCATCACGATGAAGGTTCAAAGTTCAATGCTGAGGATCTGAATTGGAATCGCTGAAACGCAGGAAGGATGGCCAGTATGAGTGAGAGGGTGGAATGGATAGCTTCATCAACAGCTCACATCAACGGAGCCTAGAATCCGCCCATACCACCCATTCCTCCCATACCGCCGCCCATTGGCATAGCAGGCTTCTCCTCCGGCGCATCAACGATAGCGACTTCCGTCGTACCCAGTAGTGATGCAACGCCGGAGGCATCCACGAGCGCAGTGCGGACGACCTTCAGAGGATCGACGATACCCTTGCTGAGCATATCGACGAATTCGCCCGTGGCCGAGTCGAAGCCCTTGTTGAAGTCCTGGGCATACTCGTCCATAAGCTTGCCCACGACAACACTGCCCTCAAGGCCAGCATTTTCGACGATCTTACGAGCAGGTCGTTGGATGGCATTCTTGATAATGCTGACACCAAGCTGTTGATCGAAGTTGGCGGGTTTAACGGTGCCCAGAGAATTGGCAGCGGCCTTGATGAGGGCAGTACCACCGCCAGGCAGGATACCCTCTTCCACGGCGGCGCGGGTGGCGTTCAGCGCGTCGACAACACGGTCCTTCTTCTCACCCACCTCGACTTCAGAGGCACCGCCGACCTTGATGACGGCGACACCGCCGGACAGCTTGGCAAGACGCTCTTGTAGCTTCTCCTTCTCGTATTCGGAGGTGCTTGGGTCGGCCATGACGCCGCGGATCTGTTCACATCTTTGCGCAATCGCATCCTTGCTACCCTCGCCGTTCAGGATGATGGTGTCTTCCTTGGTGATGGTGATGCTGCCGGTCGAGCCGAGCATGTCAGGTGTAGCCTTCTCCAGCTTGATGTCCAACTCGTCCGTAAAGACGGTGGCATTTGTCAGGATTCCAATGTCACCCAGGATACTCTTGCGGTTGTCACCGAAGCCTGGAGCCTTGACTGCGGCCACTTGGAGTTGACCACGCAGTTTGTTCAAGATGCAGACAGCCAAAGCCTCTCCATCGATGTCCTCGGCGATGATGACCAGGGGTCGGCGCATCTGAGTAGACGCCTCGAGCGCGGGAATGATGTCTTGGACGGCGGAGATCTTCTTCTCGGATAGCAAGATCAAAGGTTTCTCGAATTCAATCTTCTGGGACTTGGTATCGGTGATGAAGTAGGGCGAGGTGAAGCCGCGGTCGAAGCGCATACCCTCGGTGACCTCAAGCTCGTCCTCGATGGTCTTTCCTTCCTTGACAGTGATGACGCCCTCCTTGCCCACCTTCTCCATGGCATTCGAGATCAAGTTGCCGACGTGAGTGTCGCCATTGGCAGAAATCGTCGCAACTTGGGCAATCTCGGCACTGGTGGTGATGTCCTTCTTGTTCTTCTGCAGGAAGTCGACGACTGCTTCGACGGCTGCTTGTGTTCCTCTTCTCAAGTCCATGGGATTGCACCCGGCAGCAACGTTCTTGACCGTCTCGGAGAAGATGGCGCTGGCGAGGACAGTTGCGGTTGTTGTGCCGTCGCCGGCGACTTCGTTGGTCTTGGAAGCGACATCCTGGATGAGTCGGGCACCCAGGTTCTCAAACTTGTCTTGGAGTGTCACAGCTTTAGCGACAGTGACACCATCTGATCCGTAGTCAGTATCCTCGAGTTCTTGTAGTCGGAGGTATACCAATACCGACCTTTTGTGATCTTGGGAGAGCCGTAGCTTGATTCAATCAGGACATTCCGACCCTTGGGACCAAGTGTGGTTGCAACAGCTTTTGACAGCGTCTCCACGCCCTTGAGCAGCTGTGCTCGTCCCTCGACGCCAAACTTAAGCTCCTTGTGAGCAAACCGCAGCTGTTGTAAACTTCGGCCAGCTGTTCGGGAGTATGGGGATGATGAGGACGACAGAGAAGAGCGGACTGCGGAGGAAAGAGCGCGCTGCATGGTGGCTGATGGCGGCAACAATCAAGTGTAAGGTGGTAGTAGCGAATGAAGGAAGGAGAGCAGAGGTTGGATGGGTGAATGCACGATGAATGCAGCAGGAAGCGTGGAAGCGTGAAGCCTCGCATGCTGGATCTCGAAAGAAAACTTTTGGAGATTCTGTGGGTCTCCGGCTCACCTCGACCAATCGGAAGCTGGCACTAATCAGGCCACCCGAGCAACGCCAACCTCGCTATGAAGCAGCATCTGCTGCTGAAGACTTCTGTGTCCCTAATCTTGGCCCAGCCAGCATACACCGTGTAGCGTTCCGGCTGAAGGTGTAAGAAGTGGCGATGGGGCGCATTCATTGTGACTGTCGTCAAAGCTCAAGCTCTACTCTGTATGCTGTTTATTGCTTGATCTCCGCGCTCTGCTCTTGTCCGCGTGAGGCGGGACTGCCAGCGAGTGGATGGTGGTTGTCTGATCTCCCGTATCACCGTATCCTTGAGATCTGAGCACAATGTCGTGTCGTGCCTTGCACCAGAATGAAGTCCGAATAGTACAAGAGAAAAGAAAAGAAAAGAAAGACAATGGGTGATTCAGCATGGTCCGGAAACTCCTCCCAGACTACACCACGAGTGCCTCCTGCCATGGAATACCACAAGCTTTTCGCCACCATTCGCCGTCGCCGTTCCCTAATCTCGTAACGCCATCAGGGGTATCATGTCGTCTCTGGAATCAATGAACGGCTGTCCGACTGTTAGTGCTTGCAGTTCGCTCTGAGCGACCGCAACTTACTCAAACTTCAGGGTCGATGAGAAAGTCACTGTCCTGAGTGGTCAGGAAGATGTCGTCTCCTGGCATACTGTTCACGTGATCCTCCTCGTTGATCACGTCACCAGAATGCCCGTCGTTGAAGCTGAAAGTGTTCAAGAAGTTGGCGTTGGACATGGACGGAAGGTTAGAATAACCCATGGCGCCGCCCAGAGAGTTGTTGCGGGACGAGTCAGTGGATGCCGCGTACAGACTCATGCTCGGGAACTGGCTGTTGAAGGTATTTCCTGGAGGCATGAAGTTCATTGAGGCAATGTTGGAGTACCCGAACTGTTGACTCGAGAATTGGTTGCCGCCGTTCAGGTAATCGACCCGATTGAAATCGTGTACATTCCCAGGTTGGAATTGGTGAGACATGTCAGTCTACATCAAGGTCAGTAATCTTGTCGAGGAGGGAGGTGGAGAGAAACCTACCACCATCTGACTGTTTCCATAGACCTGGCCATACGGGGTGTCGACAATGTGTGATTCCTCGAGGAATGCACCTCCAAACTCTGCCTTTACTGCACCATCATCCTCAGCGTGGACAATATCAGTCTCGGCCTCGCTGGCAATGTTGTCATCTTCAGCGAATGCCTCCGCAGCGCCGTCGTACTCGAGTGTGTCGTCGACAGCTTGCAGGGTTTGTTCCTGCTGTTCGAGCTCGGCCTCACCCTCATCAGAGGAAGGAGCTGCCATCTGTGAGTAGTCACGCTTGACACCGCGAGTGCGCATCGCAGGCCCGGAGTCTTCTTCTTCGACCTTGATCATAGCATCCTCGGCTTGAGGGTCTTCAATGGGTGCAGCCAATGTAGTTGCCTCGGAGAGAGCAAGAGGGTCATCGACTGCGGCTTTAGCGGCAGGCGTCTTGCGCTTCGATCTTGCAGAGGAGCGACGACGCTTCTTCGGAGAGCCATACTCGGAGTCAGAGTCATACAGGTTCGGGACTTCTTCCTCTTCATCGTCACTCATGTTGTTGCGGCGCCCCTTTCCCTTGCCTCTGGTCTTGGCTTTCGCCCTTGATGCAAATTTGGCTGGACCATCTGGAATGGCTGATTCGTTCAAGAACGTGTTGTCTGCAGTGTCCTCGCCATTGTCATCTTTGGACTTATTTGCGGCGCTCTTGGCTCGCTCATAAATCAAAGTGGGCTGCTCTGCGTCCTCTTCCATCTTGATCTTCGCTGGGCCACTGGTGCCGTCAGGGAACAAAGCAGGAATTGGCTCAAGTCTGGCGCGAGGGTTGGCGGCACTGCCGTAGATCCTGGAGGGTGCTTTGGTGATCATTCCACGCTTCACAGATGGTGGCACCGGAATGCCGGCGCTCATCATGAGGTTTCGGAGCTTGGCCAGGTGCTGCACGATGCCGCCCTCGGTAAAGGTTGGACCCATGATCTCAGCGACTCTAGCCCCTGTTGTCGGTTGAAAATTAGCCAAGTGAACCATGCTGGGATTGAAGGGATCAAAGACTTACATGGAATCTTCAGACCAGCTTCGGTACAGGCGTATTGAATGCAGAGCATGAGTCCCTTGTCGAGATCATCTGGGCACGTCAGTTCTCTGGACTGCGCTCTGAGGCAGTGAACGCCTCTGGAACTTACCATCCCAGCGGTTGAGAGTGCGAGGCTTGCTCGGAGATTTTCTGGGATTCTTTCTCTCCGGCATCTTCGCACAGAACGACGACTGCTGTTGCTGTGTCTGAAGTTCTCAGTCGTCAGTTGCAGCGCAAGAAAAGTAGCTGGGAACCATGGTATGTGTGAGGAGAGAGGAGAGGGAGGAGATAGGCTGCTTGTTGTTGTCGTCGTCGCCCTCGAAGATCTGCAACAATAGTGACGAAGGTGTTCAGATTTTGAGGCACGGTGAATGACCAAAAGGACGCAACTAGGAAATAAACAGAGGGATCTGGCGTCACCAACACGTGCATCACGGGCCAAATACCCGGTGGGGTGAATACAGGTCAATGGAGGGACAGAGGACAATAGGGAGGGGTTTGCGCGCTGCAGAAGAGCGCGCTGTTGAAAGATGCTGCTGCCTGTGGAAGAGACTTACCAGCTTCCGCAACTGGAGAGGCTGAGGCTCTCAACGGCGTTGAGGCTCGGCCTGAAAGCTGTGAGGGACCCAGATGGTAGAGGGAGGGAGACACAAAGGGACAACGGCGAGGTGAGAGGGAGATGTCGTGGTCGTGGGAGGCGGTGGGCAAGAAGGGGAAATGGAGAAATGCTGGAAGCGATATTGTGCGCCCAAGATAAACACCAACACCACCCAAGACACCACTGTTGGTGGTCGACATACAGGTGTTCTTTGAGTTAATGACGACTGCTGTTCTTCGTCGACGCAGAGGTGTTCTTTGGGTCCATGACGATGGCTGTCCTTGTGCACCTCATCAAGCTATGCGAGCACCTTGCGCAGGTTTTGACGCCCATCGTCTTTACCAAGTCCGACCGCCCAAATCCAAGATGGTGGCGCACTCGTCAGGTCAACTTCTGCGAAGAGAGGCGTCGATGGTTCGACAGGACAAGGGTCTACACCACCTCTGTGAACATGTTCTCCTGCCGCCTTTGCTCCGCCAAGCAGCCGTCGCAGAAAAGGAGACGCTTGGTGCTTCGGGCTGCTGAATGTCCTTTGGGTCGTTGTCGCTGTCACAGGGCTTATGCTGGGCCGAAAGAGCCGCTACCATTGTGGTAAGCAAGCTGCTTCGCCAGGTGATGTCGTTGGCGAATTGGCTGAACCCCAGCTCTTCTTTTGACCTCTGCTCACTTGCAAACCAGACACCTCCTACTCTACAACAGTCGTACCTCCCTCTGCAATCCCAACGGACATCATTTCATTTCGAAGAACCTGAAGAATTGGAATCGGATCAGTCCACGACAACAACACGATCATCCGGCTTTGTTGCCTCCTCGTCTTCTCCTCGAAGTTCTGCCGGCTTCTCCATTGGCACAACGCTCTGCGGGCGTGGCGGTATTCTTATCGGCAACGGCTCCATTAAGTGTGGTGGCTGTCCGATCTGGTACTGCTGCTGGAAGGCATCCTGGTTGATGTACTCTTCGAAGCCTACGTCTGGAGCTACCATTGGCATCGACCACGGCTCTCTGAAGTTAGTCGGCGCAAAAGAAGGATACATCGGCGTATCTTGTACCATTTGATGGCTATAACAGGGAAACCCTGGGAAACCTGGCCGTTGCTGCATTAGATATGGTGGAAGCGGACCATGAGCCATATGAGGAGGCCGACCGATGAACATGGAAGAACCACCTGGTCCATATTGCATGCCACCGGGGCTGCCCGATTGAGGGACGTCATTGACAGCTTCTTGCTTCAATGAAACAGTTCCGACGGTCTCCTGGTTGGCATTGGGGGTCGGTCTGAGCCTCTTGTTGTCGCCCTCTGTTGCAGGGCTGTCGTTTCGGTCCAGCTTTCTCTTCTTGCTTGACGACTTCTCACTCGCTCTCCTCTTGACTGGCTTTGGGGCAGCAACGCTGGTAGCGGCAGCAGCGGCTGCATTGGGAGCGCTCGGACTGACCCCGTTTCCTTTCAGAAGTCTCTCATACCGTTTGGCCCTGATATCTGGTCAGCAAGGACCAGCCAATATGCATGCTCAGGCGATACTGACGCTGCACCTTTGCTGACAACGCCACAGTCTTTGGCTACTTCCACGAAATCGACCTGGAACCGTCAGTCCACTAGGTCTAGCCTTGCTGGGAAAGCCCTGGCTCACCCGTCCGTTGTTAGAGTGCTTGACGCAGCTCAACAGGAATCTCAGCTGATCATCTGCCGTCGCTCGAGACATCCTTCTATGTGGTGTTTAAAGAGAGTGCGAGAAGACTGCTGACCTACCACGGTACCCAGGTATGCGGATATGAAGGGAGTCAACTGCGAAGACCAGGTCTGAAGAGGAGAAGATGAGTTGTGAGGACAAGAGCCTAAGAGATGGACCGTCAGCCACATGTACAGTCAACATGGTTCCATTGACGCAGAAGGCGTGTTGGCCCCATGGATATCTTTTGTTTTCATGTCTTTGACGTTGACAGGAAGGTGATTGTCAGCGGTCAAACTACCGGGCTCTTTGATCTGGCTTGCCGACAGTCAAAGACAGCACTGGCAAGGTTGCCTTTAGATCAGGAAGAAAGCAGCAAGGTGCCCCGAGCAGCTACAGCGTCTCAAAGAGTTACTGAGGACTTCTGCTGGCGTCGCAAGTGGAGTCAAAAGGGTTGAGGCTGAAAGCTGCTGTGGTCAGACGTGGTTGAGAGGGTGAGTTCGGGCCGAGGACGATGTCGCTGCAAAGGAGCGTCTCAGCGACCAGATATACACAACATGTCGCCGCCGTGGCCTCTACGCCCCCCTGGACAACTTACTGATTCATGCTACTGCTGATCGCAAGTACCACACCGGCGGTAATATCTGCATTTGTTGTTGGAGCCAGTACCGCACTTTGTTTCTGACTACCTTGTTCAAGCCGCCAAACCCACAGAGGTGTAAGAGCAATCGCCATTTGCAAGACACATGAAGTACACCTTAAAAGCGAGAGCAACACCAGCAATCCACGCAATCCAGACCTTCGTCAAGCACGCCTCTTCCCACGGAGCGTCACAGTCCCACATTCGCTTTCATATCCTCCCACGCCTCAGCTATTCCTCTATCCAAAGACTCTCGTCGATGTGGAGCACCGTCGTCTCTGCATCCTCGGCCATCTGTTTAGCACTCGGCTGAGTGGACAGGATCGGCGTCTGGCACCAGCTATTTGGCATTGACCTGCTCACCTTCGTGGAGGCGGCCGCGGTCTGGCCTGATATATTGACAGGCCTGTCTACGAACAGCAGCGTCTCCGACAGTGACAGCGTGTTCACCAAATCTATTCCAGTGAAAGCAGATTGCTGCAAATGAAGACTGAAAATTCCTTCATTGTTGCTACAGTCCGAGGAGGAGCATGGCATTCAGGTTTTGACCACTACTGAGACATGAGAAGCAAACAAGGTCACTTCAACGTTCGGTGGAAATGCCTTTAGACGGTCGACAAAAATAGCAGGCTACGTGCGGCTGCACGAAGCGCACAACAATACTTCCCATTGCATTGTGACAGCTTAACGACGATGACGACCATTTGACTATCGATGCTGGCAGGCAACACACCTCTGGGTCTCAATATCTGCCCCGCCTACGAATCAAATGCTCATACTGCATGGACATGAGGATCTCTAGTCGTCTGGTTTACCTATTCCCCGTGCCCAGTCGACGTGGACGAAGCTTCCCTGACGACAGCCCGGAATGTAGCACGGACAATGGCCGGTTGCGAGGCTCGTGAACTCGGGGGACCGGTATCGGGGTTTTGTTGTTCCGCGACACAAAGCATCTTCCAAGGCGAGAGCAACCATGCCTCGCATGCGGCTGGTGATGTCCTTTGTACTACATAATATGCAATCTTCGGAACGCTATGGATCGAGGGACTGTCCTGTTGATGCGATGCTATAGTAGAAGTCTTTCCTTTCAGGCTCGGGGTATGTAGCAGTCTGTGGGCTACAATGCCAATATACATACGAATTCCACCCCGCTTCTCCTGCTTGTTTTGCCATGTCTTGTCCAAGAGATCTGTCCGTCCTGGTCACACTAGAGATACTCTTCTGACCACAGCTGTCTTGTTGAACTGTGTCTTTTCACCAGCTGTCTCAACAGTTCCCTGACGAGGCTATCACTTGAACGCGTCATCAAAAGGAGGCGACAAGGACCATCGAAGCCAGAGCGACCGTGCTGCATACATGGTTTGGGGCGGCAACGGTAGCCACTTGATGCTGCGGATCGACTCAGAGCTATACCTCTTCTGAAAATGTCGAGGAGTGACGGACTGGACGCACAGTCCTAGTGGCACTGTCAAGTGCAGAGACAAAGTAAACCGCAATCAAGACTCGACGTTGCAGAACGCAGCCATCAGCTGCTCGAACCATTGCGAACCCTGTGCGGTCAGGATGTCCGAGTAGAGGAACCCACGTAGTAGGCCTTCCAGCATGTGCCAAGACATCACGCCCAATTTGGCGGCAAGCTCAATCAGGTGGGTGGTGAACCATTGTGGGCGCGGGTCGAGTCGCGTTGTCGCTTCAGCTTGTTCGACCAGAGCGCCGACGTAATACGCCCAAAGCCGAGCGTTGACATATCTCTTCCAAGAAGGCCGCTTCGAAGATATTTCGCTTTCTTCAAGCAGAGTCCGGAGGGTACGAGGTATGATCGAGGCATCGAACATAGGGACGTTAAGGACGGTGGGGTTGAAGTTGAAGTTTGGCCCTCGCGTCAGATAGATTGCCGCAAGCGCCATGTATTGTTGTGCATATAGATAATCTTTGACTTCTGGTTTCAACCCTTGCCGCCGAAGTTGAGCTCTATTTCTCAGATAATGGTTGATCATATGCCCGTGGAAGATGTAAGCCTTTGAGAGAAACCAGGTCATGATAACCGGTACGTCGAGAAACAGCTTCCCTTCACCATCTTTGACGCCGTATATCTGCAGCTGCTCCTGCCGGCTCCGGAACCAGGTTTGAAGTTCTTGGCTGTCCACTGAAGGGTCCAGTGGTGCGCATGCAAGGTGCGGAAGTCGTTGAATAGCCGTTCTCCAGATGGGATCAAAGACTGTAGTTAGCCAATGGTCGACGTCAAATACAGGAGGGCAGAGAAAGATGGAGGTAAGCTGGCAGTCGTTGTAGACTTCATACATTAACAATCGATAATCGAGCTTCCCTTGCGTCCACTGCTGCTTGAAAAGGGACGTTAGGAATGTCCCGTGGGCCGTCGCGGCGACCAGGTTTCGCGCCAAGGTTTCTGCGTTGAAGAGCATTGCAGCATTGTCAATGAAGGAGCTCGACGAGTGTGCTTGCAGAGCCCGGCCTTGAGCGACCTTCTTCCTCAGGACCTCGGTACTTTGGCCAACATAATACTCCGCTTGCTTTCGCAATGCTGGACTGCAACTTGCCGCCACCATGCCGTGACGAGCGATGATGCCGTAGGCAGTCCCTTCGTCTTCCAGGTGGGCCGCATTGTACTGCCATTCCCGTGCAGCAAGGGCGATAGTGTTCTTGTTCCTGAAGTTCTTGAACCATATGCTTGGGATTATATAGTCTCGATAAAACGTCATGAGGTTGTTGACGTCGGCGGTTATCGGTATCGGATATGCTCCAAACGGGTCCGAATTGCCTTTCCCAATCGATGTTGATGGCGAGGCTGCCCATATCTCTGGACCCCCATTGCTGAATGCGGACGGGTCGGTGTCATCAAACACACTGCCGCTCGGGGGTGAGCCTAAAGCTGGACTACTGGGGACAGACCTTGTTGAATTAGCGCCCTCGGATGGGGATCGGTCACGACCACGGTAGTCATTGCGGTTGTAGATGCTGGCTTGAGCTGGGACCTTGGCCGAGGCACGCAGTGAGTTGGTCTCTTGGCGTCGCTTCCACGGCCGATAGTTCTTCTGGACATGAGTGAAGACCCGATGTCTGTGAGGCAGAGCTCTCATATTGTCCGCATCATGGTTGACCCATAGCAGAGACTGACCCGACGGCATTTTCTGCGATCAACTTGCTGCATATTGATGCAGGCGGGCTGAAAGAAGGTCGGGTTAGCTGAGCGGCCGGCAAGCTGTGGTCAGGCACGTCAGGCCACCTGAAAGCTTCCCACGCAGATAAGGGGACCACTGGGTTTGTGCTGGATTAGTCGGCTTTGACAGAGCCTGAGAAAGTCGCATCGCTGCTTAGGACAATGTATTGCTGTAGCTTGTGGTCCCTTTAAGAGGTGGTCCTCTTCATCGCCACCACTCTGGACTGCTCAATTCGCGTCGGAATTATTACTGCGTAAAGGAGACTTGGCCCAATGCCTTGAGCAAGAAATGGAGACGATTGGATTCGAGGCCCTCCATGATAGGTGCATGATGCGTCGCGGGGAGGTTAGGTAAGCATCCATTGCCTATTTCAACAGGAACTTGCCCTACAGGGCTTGATGTGGGGCCTGGAGCCCCGCTCGAGGCTTTTGAGGGTACTGTGGTAGTTGTCCACGGCGGTTCTAGAAGATGCGCAAGGTTACCATCCGAGCTCAATCTTGTCGGTGGTCCTCTGAGTGGCGGCGTGAGAACCTGAATGGACACAGATACGCTCAGAAGCATAAAATGTCAAATATGGACATGATCAGAACAAGTTCTCCAGTACCGCAACTACGAGTACTTGGACGCTTCCCGCCTCACAGCTTGCTTCTGTGGGTATTGACACCCCGTGTCTGTGCCTTTCGTATTTGCATGAGACGGCCGTCTGACAAGCATCGTTTCGCATATATTGACTCAAGAACACGAGCGTCTTTCCACGTTCCGTGGCGGTTGGCGGAAGTCCTTAAGACGTATGCCGACTACGCTTGCCATTGGCTGACGTAGTTGTTTCGCTGCTTCACGGCTTCCATTTCTCCAACTTTTTGTGGTGAGATATACAAGCAATCAATTCATTTCAAGAGGTATCACTTCTCAAACAGGCTACATCTTCTCTTACCCTCGATTTATCTTACTTTGAGAATGCTTCCTCCTCCCAGATGACCTCCGGGCCAATGCGCAGCCTTCCTACATCGATCAAGTGCGCTGTTCCAGCTTCAAGATGGACTCATACCCGAGACGTCAGAGTCCAAGCCCAGTACCGCGCCAGGTCTTCCTCTGCTGGTGGTCATAGCCTTCGCCAGGTGCTACCGAGGAGAAACTTGGCCCAAGTCAGACCCGACCCTATCTCAGAAGTTTGGTTTACCGCCGCTTCACCCAGATATGGTCCTGCGGATGAACTGCTCGGTCCTCCAAGGCCAGGCGGCAATGACGACCACAAGCCTCCGGACGAGCGACTGATCAAACTAGGGAAGAGTACGTAGAAGAGCTGGTCAAGAGGCACACAAACATCGATGCTAACATGCTACAGCACTACGGACTCTGTCGCCGCTCCTACCCAACATACTCACGACCCCTCTCCCGACCTCAATTCTCTCGCCGAACATCTCCCTCCATCTCTTTCCTTCAACTCACCCACATCTACCAGCTATTAAAGGCCGCGTCGCCTATCGCGCCTCGCTCTGGACAACACCCGTGGCATGGGGGTGCGTTCCCATAGTCGGCAATGTCAAGCTGAAGATCCTATCCGAAAAGATTGTGCGCACTGGCCTTGCATACGCGGTTCCGGCAGAAGCAATCGAAGGCGAGCAAGATCTCAGCGCAGAGAAACTGGTGGTAAGATGGAAGACCGAGCCGAAAACGAGTGGCCATGGCAACGCAAACACGGAAGCCGCCCAGTCCAGTACAACTGACGGAAACATAAACCGCGGGTTGTCAAAACTACTTGGAGGTGATAAACCAATCTTCAATTTGAACAAAGGCGACGATTTCACTGGTCTGTTCATATTCACGTTCGATTGCAACGGTCGTATCGCAAGCCATACGATCGAGCATGCGGACGAGAGCAACGGATATGACAAGACCAGCAAAGTCGTCACTCTGACCGACTGGCTCTTAGAAAAGGTAAAGTGGGGACGAAACAAGGAGCAAGAACTTATCCCCGGGCTGGCCATGAGGGTATGCAGAGATGAGTGGAATATTAGAAGAAGACTGCCTCCGAATCCCTGAAGTACCTGAATCTCCTGGCTTATTGCGCCTGCCAGGACGGATCAGCAAAGCATTGGGGGCTGCGAGCACTCCCTCAAGAGTTACAATTGGACCTAGTGCCGAACAGCTAAAACAAGAGACTTCTACCAGATGATTTGGTGTTGCTACCTCTCCACTCCGAACAAGAAGGCACTTTTCGAGTTGATGACATGAAGGATGGCATGCAAGATGCACTAAAAGACTAAAGCAGGGCTGCGCTTTGATAGGCCTTTGTATAATACTTGACTGAAATAAAGGGTGTGGGTGAGCAATGTTGAAAATTCCACTAAGACATCCATCACGATTTGCTGCATTGGCACTTTGGCTATGCATTACACGACATGCAATGCTCCAGAATTGAGTTCATCACATTGATCAAAATATCCCCAGTGCGATATCGCGTGGTGACTAGGTGTTCACTCAATCGTAGTTCAATTTTCTCAGAGATGTTCCAGCACAACTGGCACGAGTTTTGAAACCTCCGACTGGAACTGCACCGCATCCATATGACCCTGTCACGCGGGTTCACAATGAGAATTGAAGACTGTAACGAGTCCTCCTCCTAGACTCAATCATGGTACACACCTCGCTGCCAGAGTCTAGAATCACAACGTAGATTCGAGGGCGAGAACCTGTAAATTCAAAAGTCAGGACTACTTTTCCCAACGGTTCGAGTCTTGTGGGATAGAAAGGACTTACCAACGCCGTCCTCGTCGGGATATACACCTGTGTGAAGTTTCTCCGACCATTCCAGGGCATATCCGTGGTGAAGAACCTCGTGTCTTTCGCGTTGCGTCCGTGCCCGCCATACTCGGGCGAGTCTGTGTCAATGATGATTCTATACACGCCCGGTGCGTCCACACCCACACGATAATCGGTGAAGGATGCTGAAGGATGGAAGTTGAAGATCCAGAGCAGACCGGCACGCTCGAAGACGAGGACCTTGTCAGATTCGTTCTTGAGAGAAATGTATGCTTGTGGCGAGTGGAGCCAGCCGTACTTCTCCTCGTTCCATTGCATGGTTCGGTCGAATTCGTTGAGGAATTTGTATCTCAAGAGACTGTCTTCGCTGAGGTGGAGTTGGCGACGGGCGTACCAGAAAGAATTGTCGTTGCCCGCGCGGGGGAAGTCGAGCCATTCGGGGTGACCGAACTCGTTGCCTTCAAAGTTAAGCCACCCTTCGCCGCCCAAGCCGTGGGTGAGCAGGCGGATCATTTTGTGCAGAGACATTGCGCGGTCGATGACAGGTGTCAACTCTGAGAGGACCGACATATGTGTATACATCTCCTTGTCAGCGAGCCACATCATCAGCGACTTGTCACCGACAAGCGCCTGATCGTGGGATTCGGTGTATGCGATGGTCTTCTCCCCATGGCGTCGGTTGGTGAGTGTGAATGCGATGTTGCCAATGTCCCATTCATCGTCTGACATTTCTTTCAGCATCTTGATGTACATGTCTGGAACAGCCATGGCGAGGCGATAGTCGAAACCAACACCACCAAGGGAGAGCGGCAGGCATAGGGCAGGCATTCCAGAAACGTCTTCGGCTATGGTGATGCATCTGGGATAGATGGTGTGAAGCATTTCGTTCGCCAGCATTAGATAGACGACACCTTCTTCGTCGACCGCAGGCCCGAAATACTCGTGGTAGCCCCCTGAGAAACCCGTCCCAATGCCATGATGAGTGTAGAGCATTGACGTGACGCCATCGAACCGGAAGCCGTCGAACTGATACTCTTCCATCCAGAATCTGAGGTTGGACAGGAGGAATCGCATTACTTCGTGGTGACCGTAGTTGAAGAGCCTGGAGTCCCAGAGTTCGTGCCGACCTTTAGCGCCTTCGTGGAAGTACAGATGGTCGCTGCCGTCGAACATGTTGAGGCCATCCAGGGTGTTCTTGCTGGCGTGTGAGTGCACAACATCCAAGAGGATTGTAATCCCCATGCCGTGAGCAGTGTCAATTAGCTCTTTCAGGTCTTCAGGGCTGCCATATCTCGAGCTTGCCGCGAAAAATGAGTTGACCTGGTAGCCAAAGGATGCGTAGTATGCATGCTCCATGATAGCCATCAGCTGAATGACGTTGTAGCCGAGGTAGTGTATTCTGGGGAGCATATTCTTGGTAAACTCCTTGTATGTTGCAACTTTCAACTCGGGCGAAGAGATGCCAACGTGTGCCTCGTAGATGCGTACGCTTTTCGGATAGGGGGGCCTGGGGTTTTTAAAGGTATATTTTTCGCTCTTGGGAGGATTCCATAACACCGCATCGTAGACTGGGGACACGGACAGGTCTTGGGTAACTCTTTTAATCCAAGCCGGTATTCTTTCTATCCGCTCACCACCGGGGATGACGAACGAAACCTTTAGTTTTGAGTTGTGTGGAATGGCAGGCACGCCATCTTTGGCTGGGAGGTGGATTGACCATACGCCATATTCATTTCTCTGCAGAGGATGTGATTCTCTGTTCCAGTCGTTGAATTCGCCAATAAGGAATGCTTGCTCTGCGTTCGGAGCCCATTCCTGGTAGTATATCCCACCATTGGAGTCGAAGGTGAAGCCAAACTTTTCATAACCTCGACTGAACTTCTCCAGTCCACCTTCAGTCTGATCGATCCTCTTTATCCACTCTTGAGCTTTAGAAAATCTGTGTTTCAGGGCATCGCGGAATGGCTCTAACCAAGGGTCGAGCTTAATGACACCTGGAAACACGTGTTAATGCAGTCCGAGGAAATCCGTCAGAGCTTCCTACCTGTTCCGTCTGGGGCAGCTTCACCATTGGCTGGTGCAGCCAGAACCGAATTTTGGGATGCTTGAGCCAATGCCATGAGGGATGGTCAAACCAAGGTCAATTCGAAAGCGAGGAAGTCTGCAATGGGCAATCGACAGTTGGGCAATCGACAGTGAAGTCGGGTTGTAGGAGAAGTCTGAAGAACTCCAAAAGGTAGTCACAAAACGGGAGACTGTGTGCAGAATGTATTTATCGAGCCGTTGCCCACCAGGTACAGGACAAAATCTCACAGATGGCGGGGTCTCAACTTTGGATGGAAAAATGTTGAATGAGCTGTTCACTGCACGTCCCGCGACGCCCTCCAAGTTTGGTTGTGATTGATGTCATCGCTCGGCCAAAAACACAATTTCGCCGCAAGCTCAACCCGTGGGGAAGCGCTAGGCGACGCTAGTGGTGCCAGCGGAGCTCAGATCTTTCACATGTCCCAATGCGCGTCTCCGCCGAGTTTCACCGTCCCGAGTGTTTTTCCGCTCCGAGCAGCCTCGTCCCTTTCTTTCCGCTGGGCCGTTACCGGTAGCTGAGGACTGAGCGATCAAGCAATGCGAGCCGACGAGTCTCGTACTGTACATATGGCTTTGGCCCACTCTCTACTCAACCCGCTCTCCTTCGAGATCACCCCCCTTTTTCATCAAATCCACCTTGTCGCCGTCTTTAGTCAACGTCTTCTGGAGCACACTCTCCCGCTCGTGACCCGACACACCCACGTCCAAGCATCTGGCAATAAAACTGCACAACAACTCTTCTGCCTCATGTGAGTTCTTAGTCAGTGCATGGTCATCGCCCTCGAACAGCTTCAGACTCCGGTCTCCTTTTTTGCCATACGCTTCATAGAGGCTCTGAGAACAGTGCCAATTCAGCGTTCGGTCGCCTGTGCCATGAAGCAACAGGACTGGTCGAGGTGCCAAATATCTGATGCCGTTGGTGGCTGCAGTTTGGCTTGCAACCGTAGCGCAGCCCAGCACTCGGTCTTTGCAAAATCAGCGAAGGTCTAGACAAGCTAGAGGTGATTCAAATACCTTTCTCCTGTCCGCCGACCGTAAATACTGGCGCACCACCAAAGGACCACCCAACCAACACATAACTGCGAATGGAGTACTTTCCGTCGAGATAACCCATCGCCGATGTTACGTCTTCCACGCAGGGGTTGTTATCGGCGGGGTATCGATAATCAAGCCGGAGCACTGGGATACCTCTTCGGAGACTGGAGAGCTTGTCGCCAATTGAGACATATATCCCGGACGGCCCGCTCACACCTCCACCAGCACCTGATAGAAGCAGGGCAGCAGCAGAGATTCTGTCCTGATTCTCCTTATAGCCGGCAGGTAGATGCAGGAATCCACGGACCGTCGTACTGCCAACGGGAATGTTGAGACGCTCGACTGTGCCAACGGTCTTCTGTTCGTGTTTCAGGGCTTCGAAGCCTTCAGCATGTTCCAGCGCGCTCGCGCTACCGGGATCCATATTGGGCTGTAGTACCCTTGTTGACCCGTTTGACGAGGCACGACCAAGTTGGCTAATGTTGGTATTATAAAGGGCACGTCGGAACAACTTGAGAAGGCGCATAGAGAGCCCAATTGATGCAAATCAAGAGCAGGCTCAGCCTTGCGGAAACGTTCATATTAATAAGAGTTGCTTGCCACATCCTGCTCGGAGACCTCACGTCATTTGGATCAACATTCCATCCAGTCAGAACCAACAGCTCGATTGCTGAGGACGCAGCGCTTCTCTACTAGACCACACGCAAGACGGCAATCGATGTGGTTGATTCGAGTTGATATATCATATTCGTTCGTGTCTTAGGCGTCAAAGCCGAGCGCCCGTATCCGGGTCGTCCTGGTCGGATGAAGTGAGTTCGAAATCTTGGTCGGTGAAGCATCGGCTAAACTCGAGCTGGTGTGGCGTTTGACTGAGGGGAAACCATTTGAGGTGCGCTTGACCAGAGCAACATAGGAGCAACTATTGTGAAAGGCATCTCGGTGTCTGGCTATATTCCCTGACCGACCCATACCTGTCATGAACTGTAGCCATGCAGCCATTGAGCGCGGTTCCGTCCTTCCTCTGCCCTGCGCTCGATAGTACCATGGCTGCCTCTACAAGCTCAGTCCCTCGGCGACTGCGCTTATCATATGTCGCCTTGAGCAAGCGATCACTATCTACCAGCTCGCAAGCTCGATCCTCATCACAATTTCATCGGTCGGACTTTATCAACCAACCTTTCACAGGCACTTACGAGCCGGGCCTGCCCACCTCAGGACCTCTAGGGGGAGCTTCCAGCTATGGCACCCCTCGCCTAACTCCGAAGATGCTGAAGCAGCACCTCGATCAGTTTGTTGTCGGCCAAGAAAGGGCAAAGAAAGTCCTCAGCGTTGCGGTGTTCAACCATTACCAGAGGATACAAGAGTTGCAAAGGCGAGAGGAGGAGGAGGAAGAGCTGTTGGCACAGAGGGAAAGACGAGAGAGACATCCAGTCGAGAGCGAATTCCCTGGTCAACAACCCACAATTCGTATGGGTGGCCCTCCGGGCCCTGGCTTCGGGCCACGAGCGAGTGGTTCGCCTTTGGTTGACACCAGTCCTCTCACTTTGGAGAAATCGAATATATTGCTACTAGGTCCCAGTGGCGTGGGAAAGACATTAATGGCCAAGACACTTGCGCGGGTGCTGTCGGTACCCTTTTCCATGTCAGACTGTACACCCTTCACTCAGGCCGGATATATTGGCGAAGATGCCGAAGTCTGCGTGCATCGGTTGCTAGCGGCTGCGAATTATGATGTCGAGAGGGCCGAACGAGGTATCATTTGTCTCGATGAAATCGACAAGATTGCAACAGCAAAGGTCAGCCATGGAAAAGACGTGTCCGGAGAAGGTGTCCAACAAGCGCTTTTAAAAATCGTCGAAGGCACGACGATCCAAATCCAGGCCAAGCCAGAACGGAACGCTCCTCGCGCTGGTGGCCAGTCACAGACCTACCCAACTAACAGTCCCCTGGGTGCTGGCTTCTCTTCTGGTCCATCTGGCGCCTCAGCCACTCCTGCTAAAGGAGAAGTCTACAACGTCCGCACCGATAACATTCTCTTCATCTGCAGCGGTGCGTTTATCGGCCTGCAGAAGCACATAATGGACCGCTTGGCGAAGGGTAGCATCGGCTTTGGTGCTAACGTACGCTCAAGTTTCAATCTGACCTCTTACGGCCGCGATCAAAAGTCCACAACCGCCGCTCCCGTCCCTATACTGCCAGGATCTCAAGAGGAAGCCCTCTATAAGAAACATTTACCCTTCTTCACCCCAGCTCCAGCTCCTGAACAGTCGTCTTTGGATGGATCTCCTACAGAGCCAAACTACTTCAACCCATTAGACCTGGTCACCCCAGCCGACCTCCAGTCTTACGGCTTCATCCCCGAGCTTGTCGGCCGAATTCCTACCGCAGCCGCTTTGGCCGCTCTTACCCATTCCATGTTATTACGCATATTGACGGAGCCTCGTAACTCGCTGGTGGCTCAGTATGTCACTCTCTTCTCGCTATCGGGCATCGAGCTCCGCTTCACCACGCCGGCCCTCCACGTGGTCGCCTCGAATGCCCTTGCCATGGGTACAGGAGCCCGTGCTCTTCGTACCGAGATGGAGACTATTCTTGGAGATGCCATGTTTGAGGCGCCCGGCAGTTCTGTGAAGTATGTCCTTGTCACAGAATGTGTTGCCAAGAGAGAAGAGGGAGCAATTTACTTCGGTCGAGGCCAGGGCGGCAAGTTTCATGCTTTGATTGCTCAGGAAGAGGGCGACTGGGAAGACAAGCAGAAGCGTAAGGACCCTGAGCGCAAGGTCGACACTAGTTCCGCTAGCTTCGAGGACTGGAGAACGAAGTCGACTATCGCAGCTGGTAGCGGCGGGTGAGACTGTATGGACTGATGTCGACGATTGATGACTGATGAACTCGTACCAACAAGAATGGAAGCTATATTCACTGCAGCCAACTCTTTCCAACTCAAATCCATCTGGATTCCTAGACACAGTAGACGACCACCAACGTCCTTGTCGGGACAATTTCAGCCTCGCTACCGCTTACTCAATTTCCTCCCGCAACTGCGTCCTCCTTCTACCGCCGGCGTCAGGATTCTGCCTCACCCTTGACCGCTACTACTACACGATTGGCACAACTTGCACATGGAGCCCTCCACAAGCCACCACATTCACTTTCTCAAAATTCATGGGATATAAACCAAAGACGCCAAAAAAATGATCGCCTTCGGGCAATGCATCTGCGTGGCCACCTACGAACACGAGCTGAGTGCAGCCACGAAAGTGGATTCCCAGCGACTGCTGAGCATGCTGGCTATGGGGTCACTCCTTCATAGTCAGCGTAACGTTCCTCCTTTGTGACAGCGTTTATGCAATGAGGCATAGGGTAAAAATTCGAAATCGCCCCAGCGGCCAGTTTGCAAACTCCCGGGAGCTTCGGCTTCGCAGAGGAGGCACGGATTTTTGCTGGTTTACTGTTCGAGTCGTGGTGTGGTTGGACTTTTTAGTACCACGACGCACCGCTTACACTCTTTATTTTCACCTGCTGCTTATAGGTTAGGCAGTGACAGCTTAAGTCGAGGTGTGGCAGTATCGGAACTTGGCTCACCGCAACATCTACAGTGATCTTCGGGGCGAGCAACCATATCACGGTGTAAAGCTAGACCCTCTAAACCTTGCAGCACGATGCGATATGAGGCATCAAGCGTGGATACCAGTTCTATCACTTGCAGCTCATCTATTGCAACATGAGCATCTAACGGGTTTATTACTCCCCCGATACTCTTAGAACTGCCGACGGGCTCTACCATGGGAGATGCTGGAGCATCTGCTGGAGACCCTTCTTGAGTATGCTCCTCTGGAGGTCAATTATGGCAGATGGTGCGAAGGGGACCAAGAGACACTGCTTGGATGACTCTTCTTTACAGGCTTGTGGTTGCAGTCTTAGCGACCCTCTGGATCCCTCTGTGGTCAGGCATACTCTTTAGCAAGCTGCCTTTTGACCAGGTCACGGTGATACAAGACTCCCAAGATTGAGCGACAACAAGTTAACCACAAGGAGCCAGGCGCCTTTTAGGTCTCGCAACTGTCACTCAGCGCTTGCACAAAGCAGTCATGTATTGGGTTGACATTGACTAGGCTCACAAGGACAACTTTCAACCTGGGCAATGCAATTTCAAAGCTCAAGCCTGGATATGGCCCTGAGTCACAAGCCATACTCGGTCCTTGACATTGTCTTTGATCGCCGGATATAGACTACAGATGGCATGGCTCACGCTGTTCTTTGACTACAAGGCCAGTTCCCCCTGTATCCCTAACAGTGAGGACTCGTGCACATGAGGGACAGCATCGGTGACCTACAAAGCGATATCTGTTGCGCTGTCGCTTCTTCAATGATAGCTGCACACAGATACTCTATAGCATATGAACCAGGACGGCCAGAGGATGTTCAAGACAACGACCATTTACAAGCAGGGAATCTCAGTTCGACACGACCGCGTCCACTTTAGTTCAGTTAACGCGGCTCCCGCGCACGTTGATCATCAGCACCCATACAGCCGCAGTGCGGATCAACCGTCACCGGCCCCAGCACGTATCACGTTGATGCCGCTGAGATCGAGGATATCTTTACCTGGGCATCACTGAAACCTTTCTTCTGCCTTCCTTGTCCCTCTTGCTCGTTCAGACCACCTCGATCTCGAACATCAACCTCTTGACAGCTTGCGTTTGACCCGCAATCTTCTCCATCAGTGTGGCTCTTCAGTGTGCCTTTTGTCCTTTAACAGGTTCACCTCACGACAGTTCCTCCAAGAGAGACCGACGAGCTGATCTGACAATGGACTCCCCACAAGGCACCCGCTACTTCGACGCCAATCTGGACGATGGGGCCGAGGAGACCATTCTCCCAGGTCAGAACGTGGCTAGAACTCACCTCCGCTTCGACGACCCAGAGAACCCGGAACCGCGCAACACGCAAGGGCAAACCCGTGACACTCGTGGCAAAGGCCCTGGCTGGGGTAGACGCAAGGGCCGTGGCATCGAGAAGGTGCGTGAGCGCGAAACCAAACCCATGATGCAAGCAAAGTACGCGATGTTGGAAGTAAAGTACGAGGTGGAGAAACGGAACTCCAACCTCCGCATCGCCGACCAGAGAGAGACAATCGCCACCCTCGAAAACGACAAGGATCGACTCCAAGAACAGAACGCGGCGCGACAGGCTCTGGTCGCTGAGTTGGAAACGAAGATCGCCGAGCTAGAGAAGAAACTCGTCAAGACGAACAAGACCGTCGAGCAGCACAAGAGACTCGTCGCACAGCAGGAGAAGGCCCTGGCGGGCATGGCGATGAAGCTTGGTCTCGGTGATGCCGACACAATGGACGTTGGTGCCAAGATTGAGCGCGATTGAATGAAGCACCAGAAGCAGGGAAGGTATGATATCAGGTACCAGTCGGTTTATGCCTTTCGTGGAAGACACAAAGATGACTGACGACTCTATTTTCGCAGGTGCGCCTTGTCGATCAACGACCATCAAGGAGAAGCATATCATGTCACGGCCATGAGCTCAGCATTGGGCCTCCGAACACTGAGCCGGGTCTTGGTCGCTGACCCTGAGACTGTTCAATGCAGGAAGACTTGGATGGTATTAGCCTTCACCAGGTCAATAGGATCGAAAGTGAGGAACAAAGGGGCTCAACAATGCATGTGATGTGTGCCAATGCTCGCATCGGACTCTGAATTCGACCACAGATATGGGAAGTTGGGAAGATCACCTCGCTCCCGCATCAACTGCGGTACATACTTGGAACCTTGGTAGCTAGTCATCCCGTAGATGCAGCCCGATCAATGAGACGGCTTCCAAAGAAGCTTTGTCCCAATTAAGGCTCCCGTGTGCTACAGTAGACGACTCCTTGTCGCTTCGCTCCACTGATACTGTACGCGTGGATTTTACAGTACCATAAGCCTTCGAATTTGTTCGTGTCACTGTAAGCTTATGAAAGTCAAGCACGTCAACTTATGGTTGATTTCCACGACAGAGTCTACGACTCCGCGATCGAGATGGGCCCGGGAAAAGACGATGTGTAACAGGACGGATGCCAACGAGTGGAATGAGGAGGTCAGACGACAGTCTTAATGACTGCAAGGGCTGCAAGCGCCTCAAGTTGTCTATCTGAATTACTATCGAGAGAGAGAAGAGAGAGAGAGAGCGTTACAGACGCCTTAGCAGGTGGGAGGCACCTTCCCACTAGCTATATCAGGCTTAGTGGCGTCATGTGACACAACGCACAACACAACGGAAGGTCGCTGATAACCATCCTGTAGCAAGGGCCCGGGTTGCGTGGCTACCGTAGCTACGTCTTTTCCCTTAGTGGAGCAGGGCATATTAACGCAATACTGCTGCGCAGTACGGAGTACTGCGTACTGTGACGGCAAGCAGCAAATACTGTGGCTGGGTTTTGTATTTGGGTAATTACATGACCGCACGATCGTCATGAGGTCTGGTTACCCATGAATGGGTGCACTAGTCATGACAGACAGACAAATAGACAGACAGACAGGCAGGGAGATGGACGAGGGCATACGTGATATACACGTGACCTATCTATCCCCAAGTAACCCATAGGTGACCTATGCATTCCTACGTAGTTTGCCCATCCACGAGCCATCAGTAAGCATGCGGGCTGGTAGGCCGGGTCCGCGACGCAACATGGTCGGAACTACCGGCCGAATGGCACGTCTCGAGATCAGGTTCCTCCCTCAGATCAGGCAGGTATGCTTTCCTGCCGCCGCCGCCGCCGCCACTGGAGCAGCCAAGATCTTTGTGGGTGATCGTGATCGGCCCGTGTCGACGATCAGCTTCTGCGTATTTTTGCTCCCACTCTTCGGCAAGATCCAGGCGATGCTCCTCGATGGTGTCGGGGTGCGAGGACCGGGACCTGGACTTGCTTGAGAAGACCGCCCCCACTCTCCCTCTGGAAGACAAGACGGTCAGAGACCGCCTGTTCGAGGAGGCGTTCGTCGTCATACCCTTCCGGCTTGTCTTGTAGAGTGCGCGAATGGCGGGGAGACAGCTGCAGATGATGGCCGAGTTTGTCTCCGCGGCCGTCCAGATCGTGGTGTCGGTGTTGTCCCATAGGGGGTCCGTCGAGTTTGAGCCGCCGAACTCGGCGATGAACCGTAGCCGGACAACCGCGGTGACGCAGGCAAATGCGCCGACTTGAAACATGATTACCAGGCCGATCTTCTGGTTCAGTTCTAGTTTGAGACGCATGATCCAGGGAATGGGGAGCGCGAGGATGAGGACGTCTTGGAATATGTTGATGCCTGCGTGTCCGTAAGTCAGGGCGTTGATGCTGATGCACTTGGCGCCGCGGATCGATTTGTCCCAGTTGAAAGCGACGGGAAGGCATTGAAGCATCTGGCATAGCAGGACGACCACGCCTGAAAGGACCACGAATGCTATCATAGTGTTGCAGAGGATCTGGAAGCCTCTGGACGGGAAGACACGCGTGTAGAAGAGCAGGATCGAGACCTTGGTGAGCATGAGGATGACAATGTAGAAGATCTCATCGACCCAGACTTGTGCCCGTCAGCGAGGAGGATCGTGCTGCATCAGGGGGGTTCGACATACATAGTTGAAAGATCTTCGTCGCCGTCCACACCGAATTGTCCCACGTGTGTTTCCCGAGACCATGGATGGCCACTACGCAGCCGTCAGCCGATTCTCTTCCCGTTGGGTAGGATTAACTCACTCCATGCGCCTATGCCGATGAATGGAATGACGAGGATTGCAGCAACACTGATGACGATGTCGTCGGGCCAGATCCGCTTCGATACGAGAGACCGGGAAGCCAGGCGGAGGAAGACGGCGAATATGGCCAGCGAGCCGGTCACCAGATTCACCACTAGCACTGTATGTTGCCTCGACTCGGGTTTGAGGCCGCAGACCTGTTCTTGTAGCTTGCCCAGTGCTAGATACAGACAGGTCAGTGGTTATCCAGCCAGTGTAACATATTGGTAGCACGTACTTATCGATTCTGCCAAGGTGCAGTTTTTCAACATGCAGTGCGACGTGGATTGCTTCAACTCGTGGTTCTGACACTGACATGCAGTGTTGGTGAGCGAGCAGTTGGCCGTCGAAAAGGTGTCGACCAGGCATGATAACTGTCGTCTTTGTTATTCGAGCCGCCCGATTGAGGTCTGCAAGGTACTGACAGTGCATGGGGACAAATCATTGAAATTGGCTTGCGCACCGATGGTCCATGCCAAACAGCATAGCAGGATTTGGGTCGCCAGCAACCTGAAGTACCTCATCGTCGACCAGGTGAGCCACAACCGGCTTTGCAGTTGCAGCTGGCATCAAGAATGGCACCTCAAGACAAAGAGAGTGACTTGCGAAGAAGAGGGTATATGTGGGTTAGGTTCGCTCACACAAGAGCAGTGGACGAGCAGGAAGAAGGTCCACTCCAAAGTTCATCTGGGTTCGTTGCATTTTGCCGGGGGCATCCTGGTCTGCCCCTGCTTCGAACAGATGCAGGCTGACACCCTCGCCGGGTTTCGGTCATGCTGATGTTGATATCATCCAGGGCTTGTCCATCCCCACGGAAGAGCCACTAAATACGCAAATGTGGGAACCTGTCTTTGAAAGATGTCCTGCGATGGGTCGGGGAATGGAGAGAGCCGCAGAGATGCTGGCGGCCTCGACAAGCTTTTTACCCGTACGAGGTACCGAAGATGTGGCTCCAACGCTTGGGGTTCCGCTTCACACAGGATCCCGCATTCACGAGAGTTTGGCAGCTTGTGCTGACCTTTACACAGTACTGCGTGTATGGCGTCAATGGTGAGATGAGACACGGCGCGGCGAAATGGCGGGAGATAATGCTTCAGGTTCATGAACTTCCTTCACGCGAGAGATTACCGAGCGTGTACTGTATCTAGCCAACTCCCAGTCGAGCCAGAGCTAGTCTCGATCAGCTAATTCTCCGTACCTACTATGTAGATCTGTCCAGATTCCGGTCTGTGTCGGGCATCAGACGCAATCCGGTTGAAAATTTGCCAACGTGGCTGTTGTGGCCTCCCCCCCCTCCCCCCCACCCATGCAACGACTTCAGGGGCTGGTGGGTCAAGCGGCTCTGACAGAGAAAAGCTAGAAGCCCGGTCGAAGGCCTTAACCAGAATCAGCAGGTGAGGACGGAGTCTTCGCACTCGCGATCGGAGCCTCAAGAACGGCCTTGGAACCTTCCAGCGATGCAGTCGGATGGCATATTGGCGCTTCCTTCTCGGATCAATTCCTGTGACAACGAGTGAAACAAATGATACGCTCCTGCTATGGTTCTCCCGCACATCTCAAGGCGTGATCGCGGCTTCCGTGTGTACGCAATCACCTAGCGATCCTGGCTTGCAACCAGGGCTTCGGAGTACGCCGGCGGCGGAGACTGTCGTACCTCGTACATTGAAGCGCGTTGGACTGTCGAGACTGTTTATGTAAGCCCGCATCGTGATCGCGATGGTGGTGGGACAGCAAAACACCGTTGCGAGTAAAGGCATGCCTTGCTTCCTTGGGTCAATATGACCCATGATAGCGACTCAATCATGGAGGCGTCGATTATAGCTCTCCTCACCTAATTGCCAGTACACCATCCTCGCAAAAGTCCCCCAACCCTTGATCAACATGTCCAAGTCAGCGGTGAACAAAAAGGCCAAACCCAGCTGGACAACAGACGAGAGCTACGACCGCTACAAGAGACCAAGATGGCAACCAGTCCTTTTGCTCGCTGCAGGGCTCGTCTTGGTCCTGGCTATCAGGCTTGAAACTTATCAGCCACACCTGCTCTTACTGTTGGTGGCTCCATCGTCGATACTATCACTGGATCAGCGAGTCGTCAAAATCATGTCTCTTACTCCTCTAATAGGTACGACAATGCTCGGATCTTGACTGACAAAGAACGAGCTCCAACTAACAAACATGCTTGTATGCAGACGGACATAATGACCTGGCAGAAAGAGTCCGTTTCCACTTCCATAACCACATCTACAGCAGTGACTTCAGATCTAAATTTGAGAATGGCGGCATGCCAGAGCACTTTGACTTGCCTCGAATGATAACAGGCCGACAGGGCGGATTCTTCTGGAGTTGCTGGGTTGATTGTCCTAAGGATGGTTTGGATTTCTCGAATGAGAACTACGCTCCTGGTGAGTTCCTGTCGGTGTTGGTAATCCTGTACCGCAAATCCCTGACAACGAAGCTTAGTGGTCATCGAGGCGCTTGCTCAAATGGATGTTATTCATCGATTGCAGGCTGCCCGTCGAGATATCTTCTCTCCAGCTAGTCTCGACAGTACTTCGGCGTTGTCTGCCTTCAGGCGTGGTGGAAAATTGCTGTCCCCAATCGGACTGGAGGGACTACATATGGTAGGCCGAAATGCATCCACGTTAAGACTGTTTGACAAGCTAGGCGTCAAGTATGCGACGTTGACGTGGAACTGCCACAACGCGTTCGCGGACGCAGCGCAAGTCACCGTCTTGGATGACTCCCTCGATCCAGAGGCTGCTCGACCAGCCAAGCCCTATTGGGGTGGATTGAGTCTTTTGGGCACCCAGCTGATTCGTGAGATGAATCGGTTGGGGATGATGGTAAGGCAGAGTCTCTATCTCTGTGGTAATGTGGGAAGGCTTACCGCTACCCAGATCGACCTTTCACATACGCACCCGGCAACCATGCACGATGTCCTTGCAGGCAACGCAACCAAGTCATTCCCTGGTAGTCGAGCACCGGTCATCTTCTCGCACTCCTCGGCGCATGCACTTTGTCCTCATCCGCGTAATGTCCCGGACCATATCCTGCCACTGGTTAAGCAAACGAACTCTGTCGTGATGGTGACCTTCGTCCCGCAATTCATTTCGTGCGTCAACGCGACTGTCCCCGATAGATTGCCGATGTTCTACCCGGCCAATTCGACCCTTGAATGGGTGGCGGAGCACATAATGTACATTGGTAAGAAGATCGGATTTGAGCATGTGGGCATTGGGAGTGATTTTGATGGCATCCCGAGCACGCCGCGGGGCTTGGAGGATGTGAGCAAGTTTCCAGCGCTGGTCAAGCAGTTGTTGCGGCAAGGGTTAAGTGATGGGCAAGTCGCGGGCGTTATTGGGGGTAATGTGCTCAGGGTGTGGAAGGGCGTAGAGGAGATCAGCAGGGAGATGCTGCAGGAAGGGGTGCTTCCGATGGAGGACGATATATGACCAACATATCTAAGTCGAGGCTCCGATAGTCGTAACTCGTAACAGTCGCAATGAGCGGAGGAAAAGGGGCGAAATGCCGAGCCGCCCGGGTCGCCTGCGCCCCGCCGAACCTGAAAGGAGAAGCACTCGCAAACATCGACTGCGTAGAGATGACATGAGCTGATCACCATCTCACTAGATCTTGCATTCTTTCGCGCATTGTTCCTGCATACGGCATTTCTAATTATAATTTTGGCGCTGGTCGCATCGTGAGCCTCTTTCTATATTCCAGTTGTCCTCGTCAACAGCAGTTTAGCCGCCAACCCCCGTTTCCTACTAAGCAGCGTATCGACGGAATGGAAACCATTACACCCGAAAGAAGAAAGAAGATCCTGCGGGTGCTGTTCATATCGCTTCTTCTTGACCTGGTGAGCAAGAAGGCCCTTCGGTGGCACGGTCACGTACACGACTAACAAGATACAAGATATCCTTCACATTCATTCTTCCATTGTTCCCCTCGCTCCTCACGTTCTACCGCAGCCTCGAGAAGCATCCCTCTTCCGCACTGAACCGCATTCTCCACTACTTGAACGCCTACAAGTCCTCTTTCGCCGTCCCCATCAACGAGAAATACGACATCGTCCTGCTTGGAGGTGCGCTGGGTTCGCTCTTCTCGTTCTTGCAGGCCACTGCCAGCCCCGTGATTGGAAGAGCCTCGGACAAATATGGCAGGCGAACAGCGCTGTTGTGGAGCATGTGCGGCAACATTGCCAGTGTCGCATTATGGTGCTTCGCCGTCGATTTTCGGACTTTTCTGCTGAGTCGGGTCGTCGGCGGATTGAGTGAGGGGAATGTCCAGCTGGCGACGGCCATTGCCACGGACATCAGTACGGATGAGCAGAGAGGATCGACCATGGCGCTCGTGGGTGCCTGCTTCAGCGTCGCCTTCACGTTCGGACCAGCCATGGGAGCCGCCTTAGCGAGTGTCACGACCGTGATCGCCAACCCTTTCGCAACTGCTGCCGGGTTCTCACTGCTTCTGATTGTCCTGGAGACCCTGTACCTATATTTCCAGCTTCCGGAGACGAGACCGGCGAAGCGAGAGGCCCATGGCTCGAAAACGGTCAGTAGGGCATTCCGGCATACCAACAACCCGCTCGTTTTGAACATCGTCCATTTTCTGTTCCTCCTGCCCTTTTCCGGAATGGAGTTCTCGCTACCGTTTTTGATCACCTCTGTTCTGTACCCGGATCACTTGTCACCGTCGAAAATGAATGGACGATTACTGGGCTTTGTCGGCCTGGTCGCCTCGATTCTCCAAGGATCGGTTGTACGACGCTTGCCTCCACTCACCGTGGTTAAGATCGGAGTTGTATCAAGCACACTCTCGTTCTTCCTCCTTTCTCGGATCCAGGACACGGCTGGTCTGTACTGCGCTGGCGCACTACTTGCGGTCACCTCGGCCACGGTTGTGACTGGGTTGAACAGTCTCGGAAGTTTCGAGGCAAAGGAAAGTAATCGAGGAGAGGTGCTGGGAGCTTTGAGGAGTTGGGGGCAATTCGGCAGAGCGTTGGGTCCTATTGTGTTTTGCAGCCTGTTCTGGTGGGCTGGTCGTGAGACGGCTTATCTGATGGGCGGCAGTGCCATGCTGGGCGTTTCGGTGGTGGTATTTACGGCATTAAAGGCGCCAAAGGTGGAAAAGAAAGCTTCATGACGTTCGATTGGATATGAATGATAAGATGAATTGAGAGAAGTACGGAGTACTGACATCAATGATAAGACGAGGCCCCAAAGACGTGGCCAAGACCACATACCGTCTAAACAACAAAGGATAAACGTGAGGTCGGTTCGACTTCATACGACCAGGGCTTCAAACTCTGACCTCGCTGGAACTCAACTAGGCGGCCTCATCTCGGGATTTTGATTATCACTCCTTCTCCCCGATCAGACCAGAAACTGATCGTGCACAAACAGCCCACTATCTTTGTGTTTGGCAATCCTTCGTCACTCACTGCCTGACCTCCACCCATAACATCAGTCTCGGAGCCCACGTCCTCTGTGATCCTCGCTCGGCCCCCTTCTCCCCGGCACATGCCCTCGCGTCTAGCAGAGATGACCCTTACTCGACTTGAAACCACGCAGCCTCATCTTCATGGCACCTCTGATTTTAGTCGCAGAGCAATCTGGCTCAAGGAATTCGGAACAACGGTGAGTGAGCCATGAATGCGTCCTGCCTACCTATCTCGGGAGTGGCCCCAGGACTGTTCGGTGAGAATGACCGCTGAGTCCTGGCGTCGTCCATCCCAGAAGAGAAAAACAACCAGACGGACCTCGGAAGACATGCGACACGAGCTTCTCAGGTCATGCCTAAATGATGACACTTCCTTGCTTGCCCTCGTTGAGCGGCTGAGATGTTACGGACACAACGACTGCCGTACACGCATGTGCGATGCTGAGTACCAGCCGACAGAAGGAATCCCGTGCCAGATGCTGCAGCAGAGGCGATCTCCTTGGCGTGGGTGTGGACGTGGACGTGGACGTGGACGGGCCTCGATTCCAGATGGCTCACGACTCGACAAGGTGGTGCGGGACGAGGCGCCCTCGTTCGCCTGGCCCCAGAGGAAGAGGCGATAATACAAGCGCAGGCCACAGTGTATGCTCCGACGCAAGCCGATGGGCGGATGGCCGTATGAGAGCCGGATATCCTGATACCGACGCCACCCTGAGGGATGAGATCTGCGGAACTCGGATCAGCACGAGCCAGGTTGAGGCAGAGGTCTTCCTCTTGGTGTACATGTAGGTGGACACTGCATACTAAGTCTTGAATCATGATTTGTTCAATGTGGGCGCTAGCACTGGACCTGTGGGAAGATGCCTTGGACAGTATTCCGTATATATACAGGGAAAGGAATCATCTCGTGGGGTGCTGACATATTGTGCAACTCTTGCTCGTGGCGTTTGCTGAGTTCATTGAGCCAAGGTCCAGTCTATAATTACACCATACATATTAAGATCTGGTAAAACGTTATTGGGACCAATGGAGCAGAAGTCTCGACCCTTTCAACTCGCTAGATTGCGCATTGAACGACGACCTGGACCACCGCAGCGTGCTGGCAATGAAAAGACATTGCTATTCGCTCGTGTTAGAATAATATTAGCATTCCTGTGGCCCAGCACAATACTATCATTGCCACTTCTTTCCAGGACAGTCAACACTTTGGTACCCCAATTCTTCACGTCGCTCTCGGACATATGCATACTGTACACCTCAGCCAGTGGTGCAGTCCACCTTCGACATGATTTAATACGGAGCACGTTTCGAAATCATTTTTACCGACAGACCGTCAGTAACAAGCCAAGGTAAAGAGCCCCCTTTTCATTCACAGCCTCGGCCTCGACATCACCCAATTTGGTGTTGATAGCTATGTATGAGGCGGGATAACACCAGCACACCGCAGCCTAGCGTCATGAAGTACATGGAACCTTGGTCTTGGACGGGGTTCTCGCTTCGTTCTTGCCCGGTATGTAGTATGTCATGTTCTTCCGTTGGTATGTAGTAAATTATAATCGTAGAGGACGAGATCAACCAGTGCCTCTGTGTGCTGTTTATTCTGGAGATGAGCGTTTGTGGGCCATTATAGTAGCCAAGTGCCATACACGCTGCTCTGTAACCGACATCCAACGGTGCAAGCATCTGGTGAGCGTCTGACTGGCATACTGCCTGGCTGGGGACGGAGGAGAGACTTCCTGCCCTTGAACAAAGATTACGTCTGTGAGGCCAGCCACAATACAGCAATCTGCATGGCAAACCGCCGCTGAAGACTCTAGCTGGTCACCCATGGGCCTGCAGTCCCGAGCAGTCGATAGAAATCTATCAACTTCAACTTCGATCTCCCAACGACCCTAGGTAGACTCTTCTCGTCTGGAGGATCTTTCGAACGTTTCCGTGGACGAGGCCGAGGGGTGATGCTTAAAGCAAATACACTTTCCCTCGTTGACTGTGGGTTGAAGCGCGCTTGTGCCTTGTTGAATAGCATGGATCGGCTTCGGGTCCTGGCTCTAGCAGGTTCATCTGGTGCTGAAATTGAAGGAAAGTGCCTGCGTGTCCAGGAGCGCAAGTGATGCATTTCCTTGCTTTATCCAGCCCAAAGGTATATGGCATTGAGATGACGCGAAGACCACTGCGCTGCTTCCCTCAAGACTGCTCCTCCTCGAGGCCCATCAATCGCCGCTCCGCAATCTCTCTAATCTTGTCCTCCAGCACGGTTCGTCCCCATCGTCCAGCGACCTTGGCGGCTGCCTCGAGCATCTTGCCGCTGGGATCTCTCAGCAGCCTGACAATCTCGAGAGCTTTCATGCCGCGTTCTTCGCCCTCACGACACTCGACAGCCAAGAGCTGCAGCAGGATCTTGTCCACCTCGACCTCTCGCCTCATGAGTTCGGCTTTCTGTGAATGGCCCGCTCGTTCGCCCATCCCTTGGACTAGGTCATCCAGCAGACCTAGGAGTACGGAAGAGCGGACGTACGACTCCTCCAGTCTAGTCGCTACCGCGGCGTTCTCTTCTTCCTCCTCATCGTCTTCGCCTGGTTGTTTCTTCTTCGTCAATTGGCGACAGACTGGAATGTTGAAGTCGAATTCTGTAAGCAGAGGGCGCGGGAAGTATGGGCTCTTGTCGCCGCCCTTTAAGATGATGCAGTGGAATTTGTTATCGGCTACCGCGACAGGCCAGTATGTCTCTTCCTTCTTGCCATCCTTGAGACGGTCGAGTAGTCTGGTGTCGAGAAGAGGTACCCATTTCGCTTGTCCCATTGTCCGCCAGTGCATGAGTGTCAGGAGCACCCCACTGCTATCGTATATGCATGGATCACCAGCATCGCTCCAGAACAGAGTCTTCAAGCTGACCTCTTCCGCTTCGGAATCTGGCGGGACGGTGCTCAGAGCCAAGACGTCTTCGTTTTGACAGCTTTCGTCTTCTCGAACGTTGTCAATGCTGTATGTCAGCTGTGTACTTCCATCGGCACCCACAGGGCCGTTTCCTACAGTCATAACAAAGTCACCCCACGCAGCACATGTCACAGCAGGAGAGCTCTTCATGCGCCATAGCCGCGCAGGCGTGCCGAACAATGTCCAGACTCGGACGTAGTTCTTGTTCGTGACAGCCACAATGTACCGGCTGCTGAGGGCAAGACAGGTCGGTTCTTCGCCGTCCGGCAAGCTAATTCGACAGTCCGACCGAGCAGTCCAAGTCTCGTGAGGACGGTAGAAAATTACTGCAGGCTGACCATTTTTGGCGGGACTTGAAAAAAGGGTGCCCGTCTCGTTCAAACAGGCTTTGTCGTATAGGAAGGGGTCCGTGAAGTGAAAGTCTCGATACATTTCTCGATCATAAAACTCGGCGGTCACCGTGTTGTGGGTATCCTGATCGACAGTCCAGACGAAGCCGATCAAGTTCAAGCAGAGATATTTGCGATTGCCTCTCCAGGGCGTCGCCCCCGGCTGAAAGGGTTCGTGTATTTGGGGTTGCCAGGCGTCTTGTTTGTTTCGCTTAGCAATGTGACTAATGCCATTTCCCATGTGAGCATTCGTTCTTTTGCCGTTCTCATTGATGTAGCCAGCTCCATCGTCGTCTTCGATCCAGTCGAACTCCTCTTCGGGTCCCAGCAGCTCGTCTAAACTGTCGGGCGTGTGTGCTCGTTTGGCATGGCCATTCACCAACGGTTTTCGGCCATTGACAGCCGCGGATCGATCGAGCAGGGGATCATGGAAGAATGGTGCCCCAACCTTCGGCCCTTTGAGAAGTTTGATATGTGCCTCCTCTTTGAGAAAATTTGGGATAATAAAGACCTCGCCACCAGAAGTGGTCCAGTTAAAGATGTTCTCGCCATGGTTTTGCCACGCAATATTCAGTATATCTGTGTAGTTGAAGCGTCTCAGCATCTTTTGTGTTTTGGTGTCCCAAATAACCAAGTAGTCTGAGTCTGAAGAGGCCAGCAGGGCGCCATTCGGTGACCAGGCCAACGAGGTGATTGCGCTGCTGTGCTCCCCAGAAAATACTCGCTGGTGTGCTCCGTCCTCAATGGATACAACCTGAATGTCCCTTGTCGCAGTTGCACAGGCAAAAGCCCTTCCATCGGGATGCCATACGCATCGTGAAGTTGCCGGGTCTGCATTTTCCAGGGGAGGGATTATTCCATCTACTGTACGGTATAGAACAGGCTCGGCGGACATAGAGTAGATGTAGATGACACCGTTGGTGCAGGACGCGGCGAGATATTTGCCGGATGGTTCGTATGTTAGGTGTTTGATCGGCTTCGGCTGATCGCGCAGGATTGTGATTTGTTCCAGATCACTTCGATTCACCACTTTGATTTCCAGTTCACTGGAATAGTCAGGGACGGCTCTCGCATACTGGGGAGCTTGACGTACTCGCTGCACACAGCCACCCATTGTTCATCGGGAGAAAGGGCAACATCTCTGACAGGGAGGCCGGTCCTGACAAGGATGTGCTTCAAGTCGCCAGATGGGACGGCATACTCGCATACTGTGCCATCTTCGCATCCAAGGATCACGTAGTCATTCTGAAAATGTCAACAGCCACGCAAGCTACTTATGTTAGGCAATATCGTACCCCGGAAGCAATAGCAAGTGTCTCGACACGGGTCGAAGGTAACAAGTCGGGCTCTTCATTGTCGTTCGTGCGAAAGGAGCGGGCGAAGTCGCCAATGCCGGCTACGATCAGTCGCTGGCCGTCTGGGGAATACTGTAGAAAGGTAGGACCCGGTGGTTGCGCAGGGCGGCCTGGAAATGGAGGTCTATCAGGCATCTTGTTCACTCAGTGCTGTATCCGTGTCAAGACTTGCTCATTGTTGTGTCTTGTTAACGCTGGATCGCAAGGCAGGAAGGGCGCATGCTGCAAAAACACGTGTTGCAACACGAACGCGATCCTGAACGCGACCGCGTCAGCGGGGGAATCACTTCCGAAGATTATCCGGCTGGGAGAAGAGTCTGGGAGAAGCACGTGAGCGGACACCAGATACGATAACGTGGATAGCAAACCCATTCTGCTGAAGCATCGCAATAATACAGTACGCGAAGGCGAAAGTCTATAGTCACATAATGGATTGTCCACCGCCACTGCCTGCTCCGAATGACTCCGCCTCGTGCAATGTCAGAACCCCACGGCATGGTACACTCCTCTTTCGAACTGCTGATTGTCCATGATAGCGGATGCCGACCTTAACGCTTGATCTTGGTGTAATATCAACCTTCGCTGGCATCATCTGGTCTCCTCCAGAACCCAGTGGATCTTGAGCGTGTCTTCGACTACCGCCCAATACTCCGTCTCCATGTGGATTGGCCCGTGCTCGTGCTCATTGAAAGTAGGTGTAAGGTGGACGAGTGAGAGCGCAATCGGCTCCAAGCGTGTACGTCCGAGCGATGGCCTCTGAATTGCATTCGCAGGGTAGACATTTCAGTGGCCCTCAAGACGACCATTCGGTAAGGGTACTCGGTCACTTGGTCCGCTTGGGGTTGCCTGCGGTCCATCAACGCCGACAGCGTAGTCATCGACTCGAATAGAGCGCCCGTGATGCTTCAATTGCTGATTCATGAGGGCTTTGAGGACCCCAACAGCATCGCAGAACGGTGGAGCTGTCGTGGAGCTGTCGTGATTGTAACGACCACGAGCGTTCGAACCAGTCGATCTGAGGCGACCGAGATGAACATAGTGAATGGAATTGGAACTGACCGGGCGCAGCTCATGTGTCTGGTGGCGTGGTGGCAGTAGCTGGTTCTTGAGGAGGATAGAGGCATTGACGGACATGGAAAATAACGTCCTGGACGTATTCCCGCGCCTGTGGAAGAACGCGATCCATATGCATGAAGTGATGGGGCATGCCCCTGAATCGCTTCATGATGATTTTGTTGCCGGCTTCCTCGACCTTCTTCGCGTATCCTTCGGCTTCATCTCTCAAAGGATCAACCTCCGCGGTAGCAATATACGTCACGGGCGCCAGGTTCTTGAAGTCCGGTGCATTCATGGCATCCGCGAACCAGGACATGTCTCTTCTTTGTTCCTTCGGCTTAATGCCTGGGTTCTGGCTAGCCAAGGACATCCATTTGAACGTGTCGAACCACTTCAACTTGTCCCAATTGAGCAGCGGGGCAAATTCGAACTCTTTCATACTGGGCCAAGGGCTCATGTCCGGCGTCGCATACTTCCTCACATCGCTGATGGTAGGTGTCGCAACGATGACACCCTTCAGCTTGTCCGTGAAGCCCCCGTCGCGGAAAAGGTGGTTCAGGATGAGGGCAATAGTGCCGCCGGAGGATTCGCCACCGAAGGTGATGTTGGTCGAGTCGATAGAGAATGTCTTGTGGTTGGCTAGTATATGTGCCACTGCTGTGAGGCTGTCCATGATCCCGACCGGAAAAGGATACTCGGGGATGTGTCGGTACTCGATGTCGATCACACAGCATGGTACGGAGGCGCAGATGTGATGGCAGATGTGAGCGTCGGTCTCGAGGTCGCCAACAGCCCAGCCTATTCGTTGTCAGTAAAGCCCGCGCACCCGGCAACACGGGACGATATACCTCCACCATGGAAATTGAAGTGTGCTGGCCAAACTTTGCGCAGTCCAGGCTCTTCACCCGGGGGTACATAGACCCGCACATTGACCTCCCCTGGATACTTCTCCCAACCAGGCACTGATGTCTCGCCGATTCCTCCCACGCCAGACGGCGGGGCAGTAGCATATGAATATAAGGCCGAATAATTCTGGCGGACCAGGTTTATGTCTGTCGGCCACGGAGGCCCGTTGGCAATGTAGTCATTGTATAACTTCACAAACGCGGGGTCGAGCTTGTCGACGACCGAAGGATGCAAAGGATTGCGCAAGGGGACCGACGGCTGTTTCGCTCCTCCGTGTAAGAGCGTAGGGGCACCTTGCATGCGAACATCGTGGGTATTCATCTCGAGGGGCACGTTCGCATCATCCGTGTACGTCTGCAAGTATCGACGGGAACGAGGCCGAGCACGAGGGGCCGGGCGGCGAGTTCAGACGCGCATCTGCAAGATGAAGTACCAGAAGCGAATCACAAGATATACCGTGGAGAGGTGAGGCGCATGACCTAAATGCAGGCGGAAGAGCGCAGATGCAGACGCACTCGCGTGTCTCCCAAAGATGAGAAGAGCTGAACATCTTATGGACCTTGCGTCGGAGTTGATTGGTGGCGATGATGATCTCGGTTCAAAGACATGCAAGCTGATTGGGCTCAAAGTCCGTAGGGAGAAGGAAGAAAAGATGGAGGGGACGGAGGGGAGAATTTGTCTTGAGGGCGAAAGGCCGCACGGGTATCGGATGTCCATCCCTGCCAAGTCACCAGTGCCACAAGTCTGATGGGGATGAAAGTTGACTCCGACGTGTGTGTGTGTGCGTGTGTGCGTGGTGAGTGGCACCCAGAGCGGGTGCCTCGTGCGCTCAGGTGGAGATCGAGGTCTGACAAGCACGTGGAGACGATGAAAGGCCACGGGCAACGGTCAACAGCCGCGTCACCCATTGTCAGACGAGCTGACTTTTCTCAGTCTGCAGAAGGCTGGCCTATCCACTGGTACGGAGTAATCACTCCTTGCTTGCCCCCCTTTCTCCGTCCAGATCTCCTCCGTCGTGCTCGTAGAAGCGTCAGGTCACACAGAGGTCCATGCTGAGTATTCTCATCTTTGACATCATGCCGCCGCTGCCATCGTCGCATTCTTTTTCCCCCAATCCGACCTTCTTTCCGGATCCCAGTCTCTGTACTCCCGTAAGGCCTACCGCTCGTATCCAGCATCGCCTCACCTCCAACCTGGTCATTCCAGCACTGGCCAGCATTTCATTATAGCCCAACGTCACTGTGCACACAGTCAGCCCTACTGGACGGCTCTGCCCAGAGGCTTACCCTGGAATCTCTCCGAGGGAGGTCAGCAACGATTCCATTAGAAACACCATCGTCGATGATGGCGAATGAAAACTTCGGCCGCTATGCGCACAAGCTGTACCTCGTACCCTGTCTTCCATGCGACTTGTGACGTGGGACGCTTGCAAGTCTGCAGATATTGTGCAGTAGCGGAGGGTTTCGAGTTATCATGCTGCTGACGTCCATTCTTGGAGCTCCACTGTGTAGGGCACCGTCGACATGCGGCCTGCACTCTCACTTCAAAGCACACAACGAGGGGAGTCAAGGTGCGACCAGATACCGCTTCTTGGACACTGGGTACCGGTTTAGGCACCCTTCTGGTATGGTCAGTCGCTTCCGTCGCTACCAGTTCGAAGTGCGTCCGACCCATACAGATCGTACAGCCGATACCGTTCCCTCCTCCGCTCCTCGGGACCGATAGAACAACACGCCCATCTGTTCCAATCTCGATGCCCAGCACACTGCCTGCCTTTCCACCAGCCATCGTCGCAGTCATATCCACAGTCCTTCTCGGTAATGGGCTGTTCCCGTAGCAGACTTTCACAATAGCTGTCTTCCTTCAACCACCAGCCTTCGATGGATTCATTCTCCCAGCTCTCCGTTGCGTATGGCGAATCACCCTTCAGTCCTAACAGAGAACATGTGTGAATGACTGACTGCACTTCAATGGTGGTGTACCTTTCAGCTGAGTTCCGCTTCGCCAATTTCTGCGCAATCTTGGGTATCGGGACATCGAGTTCAAGTAGCTGCATGATGCGCCTGCTTGTGCTGCCTTTGACAAGGATGGGCTCGCGAGCGAAAGTCCCGAGGTAAGGCGGATAGGAGTCTATCCTGATGCTGATAGAAGCCTGTCTGGTGTCCCCTTCGTTCTCGATCTTGTATCCGCAACAACACACTCCAACATCGTTCCCTTCATTCTTGCCACCAAGCCACTCCTCTTCCTTCATGAGTTTCCTCTGCCGTACACCGTATTTCCCTACCGGGGTTGGGGGACAGAAGAGGCATTTGGTCGCCGGATTCCTCCCACGAAAGACCTCTGTAGGGCTGGGATCGGGTTTGGACACAGGCATCGAACAGCCGTACCGGCAGACAAGGCAGGTCGCGGCGAGAAAACTCTGCTTGGGCTGGAAGGTTAAACAAGACGTGTGCATGTGGTTGACACGCGACTCACATTTACGCTGGCCTTTTCAACTAAGCGTTGATTGCTCGATGGAAAGTCCGTTGGGTAGATCATAACCGAACAGCGAGCCCAGAACGACCATGGCCGTCGGTAAGAAATCGCAGGTTGTCGAAGTTACGAGGAAACCTGCGCGCAAGTCTTCGCTGCACGTTCAACAGTGAAGTGCTGTACCAACAGTCTACCTTCACAAGTCCACTGCCTCTACCACAGATCACTCCAGCGGCCGTCTCCTTCAACTCACTTCACCCGGAACCTCTGGACCCAAGGCACCCACCGCGTGAAGTGAATCCCAGATGGTCACAGCCCCAAAAAATTCAATGCACATCAATTCCATCGCCCAAAGATGTGTCGGGATTTCCGGGGAAAAACAACCAGAGTTCAGTGTGCGATCTGGGGGGACGAACGATCTGGGGGGACGAACGATCTGGGGGCAGAACGATCTGGGGGTCCCGAACATGGCATGCGAAGTACCCGGAATGACCACCGATTCCCTATCTGCATGAGGTCGAGGTACCTTCGACGGACGTGGTAACGTGGGGATCAAAGCTGTTGGAGTGCTCGGGTTCGAAGCTGACGAGTTTCATCCCAGAGTACCTTTGGATTTTCAGGACTCGCCCCGGCAACGAAATGTTGGGCCGGCATATGAGTTGAAGGGGCGACTTAGCGACCTAGGTCGAACATGTTGGAGCCTGGACTGTCTGTCCATAGGGACGACTAAGGCATCGAAAATTCGAGGTGGTGGATACTACCTTGCAAGACCGGGATTAAGACTAAGACTTTAGACTTGAAAAAAAAACGGCCTCATCTATAGTACCTGCTACATTCAGAGGGGATCAGTTTTCTCAGAACTAGTTCTGAGTTTTTTGCTTTTTATAGTAAGTATATAGCTACTAGAATTATAGTACAATAACCTCCAGCGCGCAGCTCGTATTATACTAATTAATTAAGTCTACCTTAGTCCCTTAGGAAAGGATGCCCGGAGTGTACATTCTAAATAACGCTTAATATCTCAATACTCTCACATGAAATCCAGCCTGTACACCGGTCCTGCGAGCCTCGTGGTTATAAGACAAGACGAACCATATCGCCGTATCGCGATCACTCCAAACACCAGCCAGCACGGGATCAAGTGGCTGTCACTAAAGACGCCGGTGTCAACGCCGGTACCCTGTCCATAAAGAACCATTCACGCCGCCAGTGCTGGAGTGTCGCTTTCCGAATCAGCGGTTTGCAAATAGTGGGTACGTAGCGCCTCGGCCGCCAGTCCCTTCCTTTCTCTTCTCATCACACGCATTTGTGTACCGCCAGTTATTCTGCCCCGTGTCCGCGGATCACAGATGGAGTATTCCTCCCTGATCACAGATAGCATATTCCTCTTCAATCACAGATAGAGTATTGCGCGGCTTACGCGGCAGAACCCTTTTTCACGCTCTCTTCTTCTTTTGTGCAATCCCGGCCCTCCTCCTTGCCGCAACATCCACCTCCCCCAACAATTTACTCGCCTTGACCAGCTGAATCACATTGATGACCTGCTTGCCGAACATGACCGGGGCGCTGAGGCCGGCCAGGATCCACGGCACGGTGCTGTCCATTTTATTGGCGCGGGCCATCTCCATGGCTCCCGCGCTCCAGGGGTTCACGAAGATCGCGCTCGGTCTCGGGTGGGCCGGCGAGCCCGGTTGCGCGGATGTTGCGGTGCTGCCTCCCTTGTCGCTGGTGACGAGGAGGGAAGGGGAAAGGAGCGGCGATGAGAAGGAGAGGAGGTACAACGCGATGAAGAAGAGTTCGTTCAGGGCGCAGAACAGGAAGAGGACGGTCTGTGTTAATGCCCTGTCAGCACGCCAGACTGCACCCGTCGTCCTTCCGCGCGGGAGTGGTTGGAGGCAGGTGCAGGTTTGCTCACCTTGTTCGTGTAATATAGGTGCAACACCCAACTTCGACTGGCCTCGACCTTCTTGTGGCTTTGGCCACCCGTCGTCAGGGACGCGTACATGTGCACATAATGGCTGGCCAGGTCGAGACTGATCAGGCCCTGGAACACGATCGACCACCTCGGGAACGCCGAGGCCAGGAACACGAGTAAACACGACGTCGTGCACCGGTCCGTCACCATGTCCAGCACGGCCCCGAAGGTCGTGGACTGGTTGTACCGCCGCGCGGCCAGCCCGTCGGCGGCGTCGAGGATGCAGGAGAAACTGTACAGCGCGGAGCAGGTGCGCGGGTGTAGGGGCATGTAGTAGAGCGATGCTAGCGCCGTGACGATGCGGACGTAGCCTGTAGAGTTGTGTTAGAGATCGTGCCTAGAGTAAGATAGTGTTCGAGCCCGCGCGCACGCAGGCCGGGCAGGCAAAGTCCACTCGAGGAGACGCACCGATGATGTTCGGGATGAAGAGGAAGATGTTCTCCTCCTCGTAAATGTCCTCCTTTTCTACAACCGTGCCGTTGGGCCGTGCGTGCCCATTTACTGAGGCCACGGCGTGGCCATTCCCCTTCTCTTTCTCCTTCTCCTTCACCACCCCGTTGCTCCGTGCCATGGTACACCAGAGTTGGCTGCGCTGCGCCGCGGTGGTTCCCACGCGAGGGAGACTTCAGCCAGGAGGGATCAGAATTCGGGCGCTGTGTGCCACAGGGTCTCGTGAGGTCTTGCTCGATCAGGTAGGGAGGCACGTAGGCAGATATGGAGTACGAAAAGAGTTTCTCTGATAAGGGGGGGTGTCTTTATCGCGGGCCCAGACTTTCTTGGGAAATTGTTGCTGCTGGTGCGGCGGATAGACGCGGGAGAACTCGATTGCGGCGTTTGTCGTGGTAAGGAGCGTCAGGGTTCAAGAGTGCGAGTGCTAGAACGTGAGGTGCAAGATATTGTCACAATAGATCAGGTTAATAAGTCACGACGGAGCAAAGACACCATCCGTAGGAGGCAGACTATTATTTATTGCCAGAGGCTTTCGGGATCACGGCGCGGCCGGAACCGCGGATGGACGATGTTCAGTCGGACGAATCAGCGCCGTGCCACCGTCTCGCTTCCCCAGGGTCTCGTGGTGTACGAACGGTCAGCGAGTCAGCATCGCGATATGATCGAACCATTATTCCATTCGCATGCCAGCAAGGTATACAGAAACAGCTTCTCCGAACACGATATCCTATTGTCGTCGACTCCGTGGATCAGACGCTTGTTGCCTCTTGAAATCGCGGGCCTCTTTCGTCCCCAGGCTCCCGTGTCCGCCTTCTTGTCGTCGTTCCCAACCTCCCATTCGCACCACAAGGCAAGTGGCATTGTCGCCCTCGGTGGAAACCTCTGTTGCAAAGTTGACCACGTCGCGCGCGGCCTGCTCCGGGGTCCTAGCCTCTTTGATCACGTCTACCACCTCTTGGTCCTCAAGCGTCCCGGATACTCCGTCCGACATCAGGACCATGAACGAGTACTCGGCCGGCCCGACTTCAACTCTTTTGATTTCAGGTTCTGCACTGACGCCAATTCTTTTCGAAGCAATGTCTCCGAACGCTCGAGTATTGGCAAGCCCTAAGATCCGTTCCTCACCAAATGAGTCGGTCACAAATGATGCAGCATACCTTCTAAGTCTGTTGCTTTCAACTGGTGATGACGGGTGGTGGTTTGTGGTCAGCGGAATGGCTGCACCAGTGGCTGTGGAGCAAAGTAGAATTCGTGTGTCTCCGACATGCGCAACGAGCAACGAAGAACTGGTTGCAGGGTTCCAGAACGGGGTGGGGGTCGGCGTAGATACCATGGCCACGCTGCAAGTGCTTCCGCCCTTGAATCGCTTGGGTCCTCCAATGTGAGCTGCGTGCTTTGATGGTTCACCCAATATATCACCATCGTTTAGGGGCCTTTCCGCTCTTGTGACGTCTCTGCTTTCCGAATGCTTGGCCGCCTGCGCCGCTACAAAGTCGTAATCCGCTTTCAAGAAGGCGTAGGTCATGACTTCTTCGATCGCGGCTCCAGAGTCGACATCTTGGCCACTTTGCTTCAAGGGTTCCGATTCCTCCCCCAGCTTCTGATAGCCACTGTAGATCGAAAAGTAAGCAGGCTTGAAGCGTCGGAAGTAACCGCCAACCAGGTCTTTCCAGCCTCTTGTCAACTCTCTTTCCAGCTGCTTGATCCTCTCCTGATCAGCATTCTGAATCAAGGGAGGGTCGCCGGGATACGGTTTGCTGCCACTATCTTGAGGGTGCGAGTGATTGGATTCATCTTTGCTGACTTCAACCGCCTCCAGAGCTTTCCTGCCTTGCTTCTGCTGTTGCACATCCCCATCGAGCCCTCCTAGTGCAGGAGCACTATCTTGTTTTCGCGATCTCTGCAGGCTCGACCTGAGATGGAATGCTTCGGCAGCCTTTTCAATATACTCGTGAAGCGACTCCCTCAAAAAGTCGCTGCACTCCGCTCCCCCATGACCGTCAAAGACACCGAAGTAGAAAACTTGTGGATCCCCAGACGCGCCATCGGCCGCAGTGCCCTCGAGAGGGTTCTTTTTCAGGGTCAGGGACGTGGGCGTTTTTCTAGAGAACGCCGGTAGCTCAATAACACCTGCTTGATGGGAGTCCTCGTTGTAAGGTCTGCTCCCTCGAGATACCGAGGCGCCATAATGGTGCTTGGCGCTCCTTAGAGGAATCCGCACGACCGTCGTATCTCGAGATACGGAGGGGTGGGCGGCGGGAGCGTGCTTGCCGTCTGGGGTATGCGGGGTTGTGTCTTTCCTAGGGAATTTGTGCGCAAGGCCCGTCATAGAGCGCGAGTCCGGGTGGAGGGAGGAGGAAGGGAGGTGTGTAACAAAATAGTCGTGGAAGTGCCGGTGCTGTTGCTGATGCTGCTGCTGGTGCTGGCCATCGTGGAAGCGGGTTCGCGTTTGAGCTCGTGTCTGACGGATGAAGGTCGAAAGAAGATCTAGACATCAGTCAGTTCAGTTCACTGTGTGGCGTCAACCCAGTCTCGCGGTACCATAATAATGACGGTCGTTGCATGGGCGCAAGAATCTGCTGCTGGACGAGGGCATGGCTACGGGCTGAGCTTGGGAAGCCTGCCATGGTCCTACTGATATTTGACGACCATCTTCAGGTCACAGGTCCCAAGGATAAAGAATAGCTCAGCTCGTGCAAAAGCTAGCACAAACAACAGACAAGCAGAGAGGTACAACCTCGACCGGACTGTAGGGATGGTGACCACCACGCCGTGGTACCAAGCCAAGTTCAAGTCGTCACAACCTTCTGCGGAGTCGAGGTGCAGCTGGAGCCCAGCGAACCGAGCTTGCTGCAAGGCTTCGGCACCAGATACCCGAGCCGTCTACAGAATCCAGAGTGACAAGCCAGAAATCTGTCAGCGCAGTATTTGTGGACGCTACTTGTGCTATGCCATGGTATATCGAGGTGAATCTATGGCTCTGGTGTCTGGGGTCTATCGAGTCTCTATCCAAGCCAGGACAAAATTCAACCAGCATATTCAAACGTATTGAGCCAGATAGCTTCCCTTCTCTTGCAACACAATACCGCATCACAACTTCGACTCATGAACACTCCCATCCGATACCTTCAGACGCCTCCCTTGAACATCCTGATACGAGTCAAAACTCTCATCGCCATGGAAATGCCATCCCCTCTCCTCGCCCTGACTCAGATGGCTGCAATCACTGTTCAGAAGGCAGTCCCATCCGCCAGCCACTCCCTGGGCTCGGTCATCGTAGTGTGCCTGTCTCTCACCCTCTTGAGAAGGGGCCAGCTGCCGTCTTACAAATTTACTCAAGCCGCACGTAAAGCAGCGAAAGTCCTCCTCGTCCCAGTCATCGGGAACATCCCCCGTCAGCGCTCGTCCAGATGCAATGATGGGCGCGGCATGCCCAGAAATCAGAATTGTGACTTCCTCGTCGCCTCTTCCTTGACGAGTAAATTCTTCATCCACGTCCCTCACGACGCTAGCCAAAGCCCGCGCAACCCGGTCATGCAGCTCTTCTATGCGCTCACCATGTTCAGATGGTATGATTCTCGAGCGATACTCATCATCCAACCACGGGAAGAACTCCCTGCGTAACCTCGGAGCGTCTGCAGGAGAGGGTTGCACGAACCACGCGCGCCCGAACCACTCGCCCAGTCCTCTTTCGCCTCGTACCCGCAGATTCCGTCCTCTCTCAACGTCACGTTCCGGGATTTGTTCAAGTAGCGCTTCCACCGTCGGCCGCAGCGTCTCAAGACAGCGGTAGAATAACGAGGAGTAAATCCGCAGCCGATCCTGCTTTACGAGATCTGCGAATAATGCGCTGAGATGGTGACCCGTTTCTTGCGCTTGACGGACGCCATGCGACGCGAGAGGGGGATCTGCTGGCAGCCGTGTGGGAAAGGGGTGGCTGGAAGAGTATTTGCCCGTGGAAGGGTTGAGCGACCAGGCAAGCCGATGGCCGTGCCGGAGGATATATATCTCGGTGACGGGCATGACGATACTTTGCTGCTACCGGGTCTGCGACATGTTGGCGGAATAGCTGCTATACAGACAACATGTTAATATATAAAAGAATAAAATCTCGTCATCCAGATGATTTGTTGGGTATCGGAAAGACAGGGGTGCCCACTGTAATCGCATCTCAATTGTCAAGCCGAGGTTGAGGTCATCCCGCCTGATTGGGAGATGCCGTGGCTACTTGGAGAGAATCCTCATGGAAAGCTCACCCCGTTCGGCCAGAGTATGAACGGCTGTCTATCTCACTGCTACCCTCTACAGGGCGTACTGTGGAAACCAGCTGACCGATGAGCCGAACTATCTCAGTCATGCCAGCTGCTGCAAATGTATCCCCGACTCCTCCTGGGCTGTGAACTGCCCCCCGGTTTACAGGATCTAGTCTATGTGTGATGTCTCATTCGACGCAAAAGAGGCTTCTGGATCGATCCGTCCATGTCGGCTTGCTTCTTGACGTATGGTATCATTCGATGATAGGCGTTCAAGCGAAGAGCGGTTGCTCATGCTTTCGAGCTCTTGTCATTGAAGCCTCGTGGCCTGCTGAAACCCTTGGAGTCTTGTCTCGCGTTCATTATTGTTTTGCACCTCCACAATGGCTCCATCGGAGGAAGTTATGTTAGCCCCTTTCCATCGTCTTTGGGTCATGGTAGGCCACTCCGAGGACATGATCACTGAGTCCTAGCTCCGTCGTTGTACGCCCTGTTCCTCCACGATACAGCAGCGGCTTGTGGAAGAACCAGTCTGTGCTTGTATGCTCCCGCGGCACAACCTGCGGGGTGATCCGAGTAGCCAGATGGACAGCCCGACCCCTAGCAGCTGGTGCGGCTGCAGGAGCAGAGACAGCCGTGCGTGATCCATTTGCCAATGTTCTTGGACGCTGTGTGCAGGTGAGCTTAAACAGCTGGACGAGAGTGGCTGCGCCCAATTACAGTGAACACTTGCACCTGTCCGATAACAAGTGTTCGATCTCCATAGGCCTTTGACGAGCTCCGGTGACTCTAGTCTGCTATGCTCTGGAGCCCTCTCCCATCGCAAATTATGTGGGGCTCTAGCCTGTCGTATTCAATGCGGAGGAGAGCGCAGTGAGAACACATAGGGCGAACCGAGGTGCTGGCATTGCTCATTTTCTCGACTGCTATTGCGTATCCGTCGAGTTACCTATGCCGCTCTCTCTTGAAGCCCCATTTCTGTCTCCGGAGTTCCAGCATGAAGAGACTGGCAATCAAAAAGACCAGGCCCGTATAGATTTGGGGCCACAAGTAGGGTCGAGGCGAATGAGGCCGCCGAATTTCCAGAGCAATTGCCTCTGAAACTAAATGGCGTAGTCAGCGATCTTCGGCTCATTGTTCTTCAAGTTCAAGCGGACTGACATAGAGCGGGGAATGCAACCGTGATCCACATGAGGTTGAGTGCCGACGGTAGCTCTTTCAGCTCGACGACTTCGGCGCAGAGAGGCGCAATTGTCTGTAGACATATTAGTACAATTTGCGGGTTTCTTCGCCAATTACACGTACACCCCAGTAGACGCCACTCGTGGCTCCAACGACCAGAGCGAAGAAGATGAGCACGCCGTATGAGTGCGTAGGTATCCATATGGCATACGTAAATAAGACATTTGACGCCGTCAACAGGCAAGCCACTGTCATTCGGCCGAAATGATCACTCAGGACACCAATGAACGGTCTCCCAATAGCCGTTCCTACCTGCAGTGCGGTGATGACAATCCCACCTTGGTCCTGGGTGAGTCCAATAGAGGTCGCGAAGGCACCTGAAGAGAGAATCAGCCGCATGTTGCGTACACGATACAATCACGTTCAGGTGTGACCGACCTAAAGAGTATATTGCCACAATATAGCCCAATATGGAGAAAAAGCTATAGGCGATCAGCAACCAGACGCGATACCGTTTCAGTAGATCTGTATCGACAGCCTTGAAGCGGGGACGGATCATCTCGTTGCGGCTCCTGATCAATGTCGTCGCCGTGACTAACACCACGAAGGCAAGGATGCCGGTGATGCGAAGCGACCAGGCCAGTGATATGTTCTGGATCATGGGGGTTGTCGCAGCAGAAAAGATGATTCCTCCCGTGCCACTTCCGGCTGCAGCAATACCTTGAGCTAAACTTCTGTTTCTGTTGAACCATTGAGGTAGGATTGGGGTCGCAGGAAGCCAGGTGAATCCTGTGCCTAGCCTTCACATCATTAGCTTTGCATGGCGCGTTCGTCCGGCGTGTCGCATACCCGACAAGAATACCTTGTGTCAATACCAAATGCCAGAACTCGGTCGCAAAAGACGCGGCGACAAAGCCACCTGCAAACATGATGCAACCACAATACATGGGGAAGTGAATTCCCGTTTTTCGTATACAGACATTGACAATCGGCCCGCTGAGCATAGCACAAGCAAAGTTCACTCCGCCGATGAAAGTATAGTCCAGATCTGAAGCTCCGGAGAAGATGTCGTGATCGATGTAATATGAGAGATATACTCCATAGGACTATGCACCTGTTAGGTCTCGACACGGGCTGCCCATGCCATGAATACACACCGCAATGATGCCCCAGGTGAAGCCATTGATTAAATGCATAGCAATGCAAACAACCCAACCATATCTTGGTTCTTCCAAGGGGTCATAGGCCACAGCAGGCTGACCCGGCGGGAGCGGAACAGGAAGCTCGTCGCCATCCTTGTCCAGCTCGTTCTCACTCATAACAGCACATTAAACCCGGGTTGTGCTGATTCGATAATCCACGACGTCTCAGCAAAACTGTATAAAAATAGCATGCCAGCAACAGAATAGATGGACCAAAATGGGATCTAAGAAGTGTTTCAAATGTTCTGTCAAACGGACCGCACACTTTTATGGCTGGTCAGATGTGGAGTAGACATCAATATCCACACCTCCGAGCACGGCACGGAACAGAATTGCCGTTCAATTATGCCGTTTTGAAATCAGGCTTAACCCCGTCAGCGTGTACCAGGCTCGATGTCCGGTATTTGTTTTGCAAGTTGCTGACGGTTGAGCTTAGAATCCGTACATATATCACATACCTGGCTCTACTAGAGCGCTCGCCTGGAAGGCTTTGAGGTGTGGTGAGGTGCGTGGGCGTTAATAGACCTGGAAGCATAAAGCGTTCTTCTCCGCAGCGAGACCACACCAAGCAATACAACCGAAATGTGGAGGTAGTTAGCGGAATTAGCGAAAATTGGAGAACGATATTGATTCTGGTATGGCTGATTTTCAGGCGAGATGTAGCATTCGTACATCGTACGTCCTCGATACCGGAGGCTTCATCGTGCGGCAGTCCTTCTCTCGGTTCTGGTTGCCTGCCGCCCGACGGTATCCAAGCCAAGCTCAGAAGGACAGTGCTAACAAGCATTCAGCGTGCTTCTCGTTGCACCCAGTGTCAGCCTATCATCTTATTCGCCGGTTAAGACGTTTCTGACACCTGGTATGGCCAATGGTGGGGTTGGCTATTAGTCAAAGCAGAATGTGCTTCGTGCTGTCAAGATTCCATCCCGCCTCAATAGGAGTAGGCATGCCGGCCAAGTATTGAAAATGACCAGGCCAAGTTGGTGATCCACAAACCAATAATCACGAGCAGTATCTTCGCTTGTAGATCGACCAGAACCCTAGTAAGAACCGACAAAGCCTTCGAGGTGCTGCAACTGATCACGACAAAAGTTGTGAATATGAAAGCAGTATCCAAGACCCCCAGCATATACCTGCTGTGGACGGACCTGGATAAGTTGCTGAAAAGTCCTGTACGAAGCACGCCACGAGAGTCGGCGGCGAGCCATAGGTGATATTGCAGAACAAAAGTCTCGAGGGAGCAGCGCCCAAACCAGGCAAAGAGCCGACTGTAATGGTTTGAGAGTCGGCATGTCGAGTTCCGCAGAATGATGAAAGATATGACAGGCAGTGGTGAGACGAAGGGATGCCACTTGTTGTACTGGATCTTGTCCTGGAAAGCATGGCAAAAACATGCATATGCTGGAATGCCAAGTGCGGCAGCCGACACCACCACAGCGGATCTCAGCCGAGGGCAAGGGAATGGAGGCCATGACAGGCTGTGGTGTGGAAGACTCTTTCTTCCTTTCAGCCAGGCAGAGAGGACTGCTGTAACCATGCCGACATATACGATGTACGCATCCAACCCGAATCTGAAGAGAAACTCGCGTCCATCGATTTCCGGGAGGCCAAGACGCATGCCACCAAGACTATTCAACAATGACTCGATCGAGGCTCTGCGTTCAAGGGCCAGTCTGAGGACCACAACAGACAGGGTGATTCTGCGGGTGCAACAGTACACATCTACCCCAGACTCTGGAGTCCGAGGAATCGTGATCCAGACGAGAAGGAACCATATGCTTGTCAGCATTGGAAAGTAGTACAAGTCGTACCGTGTCCCTAGGACAAAAGCAAGAATAATGTTGAGTAGATTGGTTCGTAACAACACACTTGCGCATCGTCGATAGGAAAAGTCGTTCGTGGTGACGAAATATGTAGCGTGTCCAAATCCGCTCATGAAGAGGTAAGAGGAGACCAGCAAACGCACGAACTGGTAGACCCAGAGGATTTTCGACATGCCAAAGTAGTGGTATAAGAGAATCACAATTTGCATCCATCCTTTCCATTCTTCTGTCTGCTGCCTCGACAGACAACAATGGTCTCCTTGGGCTGAGCCCTTGCTCACAATCAAAGCGTTTGGTAGTTGACAGTGGCGACAAGTGAGAATTCCCGCGAGGAATGCGACCGACGTCAGGAGGATAAATGTGGTCAAGTCCACAGTCTTCGAAGCCTTCTCAAAGAGTGCAGTACGGTCGGCCACAAAACAGGTCATCACGGCTGCTGATGTTGTGGCAACCGCAGCCACTACGCGACGCGTTTCAGGAACTGACTGTAGGTTGTTGTCGGATAGACCGCAGAGCTTTTGGCGGAGTAGCCACAGAAACAGATGGAGAAGGATTGCGCATGAGCCTGCCAGAAGAAGAAGCTTTTGGACGGTATTTGGTGGGACATAGCCAGCGCAACAGTAAGCCTGCGTTTGTCCCTGAGCAGCTTCCAGAAGTCCATTGCAGAAATAATTCAGCACAACTTGGGCGCGAGCAGAAGGAGAGCGCAGGTCGTCCTCGCTGAAGGCGAATGAACTACCCATGAACATGGCCGAGTCATTACCGAAAGGATATTCCTGTTTGAATGAAGTGGCGTTCAGGAGTACATAAAGTCCCGAATGTTCCACGTAGCTTGTTGAGTTCCAGGTCGCTTCCGGCTGGTAAGCGATCTGAGCCAGCTCGAATTGGAGTATTGTTGCATTTTCAAAGCCTGCGTGGAGTTGCAGATTCGTATTGGTAAGGTGATTCTGGTCCAGACTTGCAGCGATTGACAAGAACACTTGCTGAGCTTCGACATCGCCATAGATTGACATGCGTCGATAGGTGAGACAGGACCGGATGTCGCTGGCACTGTATGAGCGCAGCATGCAGCCAGGAGGACTATGGGCTTCGGCATGAGTAGGACGAAAGCCGTGGCTCAAAGCCATACATCGATGATCAAGCCATTCGTCTGAACACAATGTTAAAAAACCTGTCAACTTGAGAATTCGGGTGAGTTCTGACCTTGTGGTATTCGTTCTAGGATTAACCATCCTGGTATACAGATGCTGAGACATAGCAGCAGCAGGAGAGGTGTGCGAATTGTGATCATGTCGAGGATCGATCTGTGATGACGATGACGGGTGTTTCGAATTAAGGGAAGTGGGAAGAAAGAGTGAATGCATTTGAGGTGTGGATGAGGTAGGCAAGAGCGGTGACTTGCAAGCGATTGCGCTTTGTCCACAACGGTTGCTATTGCCGCACATATTTGCTGTCGTATTTGCTGTCGTAGTGGTAGTGAGTCCGTACAGGTATGTAGAATATTCAGCTGCTGATGCTTTTCCATTTCTATGGTCGTAGTCTCGTCAACCGATCAACTTCATAAGTCGTCTACCGGATCTCTGGATCTCCCATCCAGTTGGCAGGTTGGAGCCCATCAATTTTCCTCACAACTTCGTCATCAGCTTCCGAGGGCGGCTGGATTTTACCTTGCCTGACCTTTTTGGTCGTCCTCACTTCGGCATGATTCGTATAGTCGCGCGCAAACACCTGGAACCCTCTTACATGAGTGTCTTTCCCATTCTGGTGATTTTCACAGATCTGAACCTGGACCACCATTGCTTTCAACACATCGCCTCCGACACTGTCACCCAGATCAGACTGAAGTGGGTAAAGCGCTGGCTCCGCCTGGTCGTCCAGCAAGTCTGGGTTCCCATAGTAGCGAGTCTCCCGTCCACCTACGCCCTTCAACGGAACATCAATCCATCCTCTGACCCCTTCGATGCTGCTGTGCATTTCTCCTGATTCTGGGTCTGCTGTCTCCGTGACCTCCCAGGTGCCAAACTCCACCAAGCCACCTTCCGACATACCTGCGTAGAACTTCATCTTGGTGGGTGTGTAAGACTCGTCCAACTCAAAGTCCAGGTAGATCCTCATCTTCACGATAGCAACAAGCTTGAAGAAATGCAGTGTTAAAGTGTGCGGCTGTGGTCCGTCGCTCTGCCAAAAGAAACTCGGGCTGGGGTTCCGTAGCTGGGGTAGGGCGCAGCCGGGCTTCGCCGAGGATAAGGTCCATGTCGCTAAGGACGAAATATCTCGGAGCCCTCGTAGTTGTCGAGCATCTTCAATATCGTGGTGAACCGACTCTAGGAACGATTGCTCGTCTTCATTTCCATTCTCAGATGTAGGGGCAAGAGGTTGGGAAGGCTGTGACTGTTCCGGTGCATCATGCTGTGTATTGCCATTTCCAGTGCCTGCGGGAGTCTGCTGATTTCGCGTCTGCTGGCGCTGCGGCGCGTCAGCTTCAGGGACAGTCGTAGCAGCCGGATTGTGTGAAGGAGGCAGTGGCGTAGTGAGAAACGGGGCATGTGGTGGAGTTTCGAGCATAAAAGGAGGGATCTCTGCTGTCAGTGCGTTACGAGTGGGCGTTGCTGTGACTTCATTCTGGCGGGCTTGATGCGCTGCTCGACGAGGCGCTCGAGGCATCCTGTTTCGGCTCCAAGTCAGAAGGCCATTTCATCAACCGCTATCAAGGACCACGAGTGTGCGTGCCATGCCCCGGCAAGCCTGCCAAGGGGATTACTGGACAAGGGAATACGATACTGCTGGGTAGTGGACAAGATACAAACCTTGGTGGATTGAAGTGTGAGGTGAGGGGTTCTTTTGTTTACGCGACGCGTGCCAAGGGTTGGGAAAACTACTCGCAGCTCACCCACTTCAGGGATGAGGGTGATGCCGCCCTATGCTCTCTCCTGGCTCGCGCGAGTCGGGTGAGATCGCACCCGTGACTCACCCTCCGTGGGGGCGAAAGGCCGTGCCGGCTGGTGTCGTGGTAGAGCTTAGCCTAAACGGGAAAGGCGGCTTCTTGGCCCCCTTGCGCGCTGTTGACCGCCTACCACTTTCGGGGCCAGACATCGCAAATTCTGCCACTTCTGAGGCTATAGACAGACCCCCCAATAAGCGTTTAAGATATTGAAGCATCGTCAGAGCTCAGCTGTTCTAGCTCCAGTCCTATTTCTCCAAAAGCTCGTTCAATCTAATGGTCCTCTCCAAAGGCGTCAACTCCTTCACTGTTTCTCCACCGTCGACGCTTGTAACCTCCGAACATCCGCACCATTAGCAGCGGTTGCGAAAACAACATCGACATTTTGGCCAGCTCATGATCTTCCCAATGGCCTCACACTGACAACAACGAACCTACGTTGATTTCGTGTCTTTGCGGGGCCGATTAGGTTCTCTGTATATCCTCTTTTGTTTTTCTTAAGCTTGGAATACAACCTCTAGTTCAAAATAAGATCGGTCATCTTCGGCGAAGATGTATAAATCTTGTTGCGCATTATTCACGCCGATAGATGGCACTGCCGCGTGCAGAGTCTCTCCGTCTGTCTCCTTTCGCTGCTTGGTGCCCTGCGCCTCGATGGCTTCACTACTCTACCTTTTCTAAAGAGTCTACTTCGGATGGAGATACTGATTAGATTTTAGGTCTATTAGGATAAATAGTATTTACTCGCGAAATAGAAGTCACCACATTAATAGGCTAGAGATCTCTATCTTATTCGTAACCACTAGTAAGAAGTCAAGGTAGAAATTAATGTATACGGGTCTAGTAGGATTGTCAGGAATGGCGACCAGAGCTTACTAAGCCTACCAAGAGGACGCCTTCATCTCTCATGCAGCTCGCATGAGAGTCTTACCCTCCTTTCATGCTTTGAGTCCTGTTTGACCTAGAGGTCTAGGGACACCTAATATCATTGAATCCCACCACTATTACTCTCTGCCTATCGCTATAGGCTGTTCCTAACAAGGATCTATTACCCGTACTGAGTTCCATCGAAGGAAGATAGCAAGTGCCGCTGCAAGACGATCAAAGTGACATCTTGAGGCAGGGCGGGATGCGACAGGAACATTTGGTTCTTGAGAACCTAGGTCGTATTTAAAGAGCTTCTCGAGCTCCTCGTTGGGTTCAGTTCTCTGAGTACCCCAGATAACTGTCAAACGATATTCCCGGTTTGATATTGTGGCGAGCGTCAGGCTAAGAAGGGGTACCAGCGTGGTGGATCAGTAGACACGATCTTCTGGTCGACAACAGGAGTTGTCCTGCTAGTACGACGCGGACGGAGAGGGTCACGGTTATCTAAGTAGCTATCGAGGATAGCACGAAAACTGTGACATCGAGTTCGGTCAAGAACGAAGGTTATACACGCTTCAGCAGTATCGCGCTCTCCCGCCTTGTCGATAGGCACCTAACGTCTTCATCTTATGCACGCTAGACAAACGGGAAAAGGCAGGCCTAATAGAGGACAAGAGTATTGAGTAGTTCGTGGTCTCATACCATATGAAACTGGGAGACTTTCTCAAGCCTAGACAGGTACAAGGTGGCCCCAACCAAGAGTGCCTGATTTCCTCGGCGAATACGTTGTTGATCGGTTTTGGTGCCTCGAGCGGCTGTGTGAGTGCTGGGGTCGAGGCCCATGTTAACAGAAGCCGCGTCCATGGTCCCCTTGCTTAGTCCGCTTCTGTAAAGGAAAGCCTCTAAAGCCACTTAGGTGTTCGGCTGTCAAAGAGGTGGAGGAGCATCTGGCACGAGCCTTGCAATCCATCCTCCTCCGCCAAATGTATCAGATCTTCGAACAGCCGAATCTCCTCCCTCGTTCACTTACATTTTGCTCGCCGGCAAAGGCCGCCCCATCCAGCTATGCTTAACTAATAGGTCAGTCAAGTGTACCAGAGATAGTTTATACCCGTCGCTGGAGTTGATAGAACAAGCGGAACGTTGGAGTGGACGCCGGATCGCCTAAACCAGCTATTGAGATGCGTGGGGCGCCGACGTTCAGCGGGAGTCCCCATCGGAAGCTGATTGTCCAGACCGAGATCTGGTGTCCCCGGACAGGTCATTGAGACCCTCATTGCCTATCTGCGTCTTGAGTCTAAAAAATGCCCTGGTTATCAGCTCGGGAATCGCTATCGCCCGGACTGTCTCCGAGCCAGGCTGATGATACTAGGCGAGACTGTGCGTGTGAATTTCGTTGTTTTGATTAAGTCTGAGGCTGGGAATCTCGGTGCATATCTGGATCGTAGGATCGATCAAAGGCTTGTGTCGGCTTTCATTGTTGGGCGAGATTCACTTCAAATGTCTTCTGTCAAATCTAGGCGCAGATAAATGTGGAATTACGAAGATCAAGTTTCATTGGGAGCGAGTTTCTCGAAAGAGATTGAAGTGTTGACTATGTGTAGGCCTGATTCATATCTGAAGATTTCTTCGGCTTACGAGACAGTCAGGTAACAAGATAAATCATCGCATCTCACGTGTATCAGATGGAGATTTTCCCGTAGCAGCGATCGGTGTCTCTAGGCGGAAGCAAGGATTTCCTCAACTCTTTCCTCGGGATTCTCGTGCTTGCCTTGGGTGGACAGTTGGAAAGGTCCACAGTTGGGTCGTATGTAGTTCTCTTCGTGATCTCCAAAGATCCTCGCAACTTCCTCAAGGGGAACTCCGAGAGTATCTGGCAAGAAAAACCATAGAGCAATTCCAAACATTGCGGTGGGGATGATAAAGCACAGATAGAATTTCCAACCGATATTGGTAAAGGCAACTGGCGCCACCTGAGTCCAGAGAATGTTGATGCCTGTTAGGGTTGCAATTGCGATGACCAGGCCCTTGGCGCGAAGATGATTGGGGAACAGCTCGCCCATGTAGGCATACATGGTGCCATCGAGGAAGAATTGAAAGGCTAGAATATAGACGTACATCATGCCTACCGCGGCTCGCAAGGCACTTTTATTCGGATGGGCCAAAGACTCGGGTGAGGTCGCGAACCGAGACACGATGGCCGCCAGGATAATCAAACATGCCGCGCAGCTGCCCATACCGATGGCAAGCAGCTTGGGCCGAGCAACGCGGTCGATGATCAGGAAGGAAAGAAGACCGCCTCCTAGAGAGAGTGTGATCCAGCCAATTTGATAGACAAATTGAGTATTGACGTCGAAGCCAAGGCTGGCATAGATTGTGGGCCCATAGTTGTTAATGACCAGTACTCCAGAAGACTCGACGCCCAGGACAACGGCCATGATCAAAAGCGCCCTCTTTCGATAGGCGGGCTTCCTGATCATCGAGATCCACGAGCTCTCCAGGTGCTTGTCGACCTCGATCGCGGCCGATATTTGCATGAACTCAGCAGTGGCCTCGTTCGCAGTGTGCAGTCGCCGTAAAGTTTTCTCTGCAGCATCGGACTTTCCATTCATCAACAAGAATCGAGGAGACTCGGGCAGCATCCAGAGGGCGACCAGATGCAGGAATGGGGGTCCACATCCCACCACGAAAGGCCCTCGCCAAGCCATATTGTCTGTCGGAGGTAGATGATAGAAGGCGTAGCCAATCCAGGACGCTAAGGCATAGCCAAACAGGATGCCAATGCTGTGGAAGTCGACAAGGATGCCACGAATGTTAGGGGGTGCTGTCTCACTGATCCAGACCGGAATCGCTGCCACCAGCATGAAAACACCTGCCCCAGCCAAGGTGCGGATGGCGATGAACATGCCAATGTGCACACTACCGGCGAGGAGTGCGCTTGCAACGAGGCTGAGCATGGAGGAGATGCCAATGGCCCATTTGCGGCCCCATTTATCGGCGAAGAATGAGATTGTGACAGTACCCAGAACTCCACCAGTGAAGAACAGCCCGTTGGTTGTCGCAATAAGTTCGGTGCCGTTGGGTCGGGTGAGCAGCTCAAAGTAGGTCAAAAAGGATGGCTGAGCCAGAGTCGTGGCGATGATCGAAGCAGAGTATCCGGCACTCACAGATCCCAATGCCATCAACGCCGTTACGATGAGATTGTACGGGCGATATTGTCGCCCCGCCGAGTGCTCGGGCGGATTCCGCTGGCTGAAGGACATGATCGAGAAGGCCTCGTGGCGGACAGGAGAACTAAGGCAGGAACTGAAGAGACGGATTCTCACAAGACGATGACCTGACTGAACGGGCAAACTGCAGCGCCTCCTGCCGTGCATGCTTTATAGGAAGACCGACATGAGAGACCAGAGAAGGTGGGGAGGCATGACCGGCAAAGGTGCACCCTTTCTTTCTCGGCATGAGGTAGCCCCTGGTCCAAGATGCTGCGCATGGCAGGAGCTGTTGCTCCAGGATTTCCCCAGATCTGGCTTGAAGTTTGATCTACTCCGGAGAAGGCTTGGGCTCGCGGCCCATAGAAAGGTCAGGGTCATATTTCACCATTTAGACCATATAGTTGTGTCCACCTACACGAGATTTGAGACCAGAATGGCTTGTTTGGTCCAATCGACGACCTTCGGGTCCGAGCCATTTGTGTTAACCTCTAGCGTTTGACGCACAAGCTGCACACCGAAATTTCCCTCGCATTGATTCCACCGAACGTGGAAGATCCAGACCACCTACGCCGGTCCTGCGAGGGAGAGGGCCGACGCCCCTTCAAGAAGGAGTTCGGCGCAAATCCCTTCCGCCGAGCAACTCAAATATCCGACCTGTAGCATGGCAATATGGGCCGATCGATAAGTTTTTATGGTCATTCGGCATAGATCAAAAGAGACGTGAACTTTTGATGCGCCCATAGAGGATATGCCGGTCTCTACGGAGTACGATGGCCCATGTATTGAAGACAGCGAAGTGCGAACCTGGTAGGAGTTAGAAGGCCTTCAAGGCCTTGACATGAGCTTTGAGTCACGTGAAAAATCATGTGACCTATCACGTGGATGACCGCGCCCTGAAAAGTGGTCAGCCTGGTGCAAGCACATGCCATGAACCAGCATCAAATCAATTTGATGCCAACAGCAAGACTGACTCCGCTCATTTGTGCTAGACGCTTTATCAGACGGTTTGCGGACACTCCTGAGCGATGCGCCTGGTATTGTCCCTCGTTAAAGTGAGAGCCAGAACCATGATCGCGCATACTTCGGTGTCGTTTATCGTGTCCTGACGGCGTCGTCTTGGTCAAATACCCCTCTATCTACGACACAGATCGCTTTCCCCTTCACTGCTCCGGACTTGAAAATTTCGACCATCCCAGGCACTTGATCTAATCCATATACTACGTGGGTCTGGACCTTCATGTCATGCTCCGCGTACTCGGCAAGCATTTCAGTAGTAGTGTCACGGCCAGCCAGCATTGAACCCTTGACCCTGATGTCTCGAAAGACCAGGTCGAAGATGGAAATCGACGTCACGTCCGGACCTGCTACCTGTACCATGGTGCCGTGATTTCTCGTGACGGCACAAGCGGATATCAATGCTGCCGAGTGACCACTCAAATTGATTGTGCTGTCAGCACCATGGCCACCCGTGATTTTGCGCACCTGAGCGACGACACTCTCCTGGCCTGCTCGGGCATCAAGGACGTGCTTGGCGCCGACTTCCCTACACAATTCCAAAGCCCCGTCCCGAGCGTCGATCGCGATTACCTCGATCCCTTTGGCGAGAGCAAATTGGATACCCAAATGTCCGAGACCACCACCCGCCCCCACAATAGCCAGGAATCGGCCTGGCTGAACTCCGCTCGTCTTGATGGCACGATAGACAGTTCTTCCCGCACACGCGAGCGAGGCCCCATCGGCAAAGCTGATTTCATCCGGGAGCAGGCATGCGGCTCTGCTGTCTGTGACGTGGTAGTCGGCAAAAGCGCCATCGACTCCGACGCCTATGGCTCCTCTGGTATTCGTACAGTATTGTTTCTGGTCGTCGGGGCCGAGACAGTCTTCACACTGTCCACAAGGATTGCAGAGCTGCCCGCTCATTACACGGTCGCCAAGTTTGAATTCTGTCACCGCGGATCCTACCGCCGCCACAGTGCCTGCCCCTTCATGCGATGCAGTCAGTGGCAAGTTGACGGGAAACAGCCCCTCAAGAACCATCAGATCTGTGTGACAGAACGAAGCAACAACCGTCTTCACCAACAAATCAAATGGCCCCAAGGCATCAGGTCTCTGGACCTGGCGCAGTTGATACGGTTTGTTTAATTCTGCCATCATTCGATCAACTTTTTGCAACACAGCACAGAACCAAGCATGGCTTACCAACCACTTGAACCGCTTTCATTGTGGGCAGCACAGTGTCGAATCCCATCACCTTGAAAGATTGAGCTGGCGCTACTTCAATGTAATCGATGCCTCAATCAGGTTATTGTCTCGTTGAGCATTCACACTGGGATTCGAAATCCATATTACTTAATCAGCACAGTGCATGTATATCTCTATATCAATGGTACCCCCTTTCCGAGTCAGAACGAGAGATCTTAGAAAAGCCGCACCGCGCGGGGTAGTACCCTCCATGGCTGCGACTCCATCGACACGCGTGGTGTGTGGACAGAGTCGCGCTCAGGAATTTGGTGATTAGTTGAAACCGTGTGCCGAGAGCTCCCTAGCCGATATCTCAACCTGGAACCAGTCTCCTCTTCTTCCCATCTCGTTGTTGCAGCCCTGTCGGCAGGCGGTTTAATGCCATTGCTGGCCCGGTCTTTCAAGCCCCTCTTGTACCGTTGCCGGGACCTTGGTTCGCTCGGGGGCGGCTCCCGGATCTAATGTGCCGATTCCACGGCTCAAGTCTCAATATGATGTTGCATGGCGTGTAGTGCTCTGTGATGACTTGGCCTAAGTTCAAGGAAGACCTCACACAACTCCGATATACAGGAATTCGATTCTGTCTCTCTGGATCTGTCGTGGTGTTGCAAGGTCCAACGACAAGTCAACCCTGGAAATATCTGCCTGCTGCTTGAAAAAGAAATGGCTTCCGGCACAAATAATGAGTCCTCCAGCCACATGGCAGTGGGTAAGACCATGGCTGGCAAGTTCCTAGGCCAGCAGTTCTACGACAGAATCGTCGCCAACATGGTATGTCAGGTACTACCTTTCTGCTTGCTCCCAACACATCCCCCTCTGTCCATTTGTCAATTTCCGAGAAGCGTCGTCACTGACGATTGAGTCTTGGCTGGATTGGCAGAAAGATGACCTGTTCACCAAAATCAGCATGGACTACATCCACGAAGTCTGCTTCAGTGCCTACGCACGACCGGATCTCGAGTTTCGGGAGCGGTCACTGCTGAATCTCGGCATGCTGATTGCGTTGGGTCGAGGGCCGGAGCTTCGCATCCACATCCGGGCAGCTGCGAACAATGGCTTCACCGAGGAACAGATCGCAGAAGCTTGTCGGCATGCGATGATTTATTGCGGCGTACCAGCGGGACGAGACGCCCTGATAATTGCGAGCGAGGTATTTGAGCAGCTGAGGCAGGCCGGCGAGTATCCGAAGAAGTAATGGGTGGATGAGATATATCAAAAGTCAAGCTTGCCACAAATTGACATAGAACTCAAGTGATGAAAAACCCCGGCACAGGCTTTGGAAACCTTAGGATTCCTTAACGAGCACCCTTTAAATCGCCCGGCAATCCTATCAGAATTGTTTTGAGTTCCGTCCAGCTATCCAATGCATGCTTTCCAAGTTCTCGGCCCTCGCCACTCTCCTTCCAACCACCAAAAGGTAGATCTAGCGATGTCGTCGGACTAGTGACGTTGATACCCACGGAGCCCGCTTGCAGCTTCTTCGCGACCCTCAGGGCGCGCACAATGTCCCTGGTGTATACGCTGGCGTAGAGACCGTACTCGGTGTCGTTGGCCCTTCGGAGAACATCAGCCTCGTCTGTGAAGGTAGAGACACATAACACGGGGCCGAAAATCTCTTCCTTGATCAGACGACTGTTGTCGGGAGCTTCAAAAATGACCGTAGGCTGAATGTAATACCCTGCCTTGTTCTCTTTGTCACCGCCGAGTACCACATTCAGCTTCTCCTGTCGTGCTACGTCGAGGAAACTGAGAATTCTTTCGTACTGCAGGTGATCTGCTTGCGGGCCTCGGAGCGTACCCTTGGCGAGAGGGTCACCACTCACTCCGATCTTAGTAATTTCCTTCTTGACCTTTGTCGGTTCGTCACACGTTCATTAGCTGCGAGCACACTCCACAAGATCAAACAAAAGGTAAGCAGAGCCGGAGACTTACGAGTTCTATGAAGTCCAGTGCGCGGCTGTCTTCCACATATACTCTTGAGCTCGCCATGCAAGACTGTCCAGACACCACCATGATACTATTTGCTGCGTCTACAGCCGCTTTGGCAAGGTCGGCGTCTTCAAATATGATGAGTGGCGATTTGCCCCCCAACTCCAGGGTGACATTCTTCAAATTACTCTCCGCCGCAGCCTTTTTGATCGCTTTTCCAGTGGCTGTGGAGCCGGTGAAAGCCAGCTTCCGGATATCCATGTGTTTGGCGAGAGCTTCGCCGCAGGGTCTTCCGAAACCACTCAGGATGCTGAGCACACCGCGGGGGAAGCCTATCTCCTTCATGCACCTCGCGACGACCAAACATGAGAGAGGACTTTTCTCGGAGGTCTTGAGAACCATAGTGTTTCCCGCTGCCAGTGCTGGGCCAATTTTCATGCTAAGCATGAGGATGGGCGTGTTCCAGGGGATGATGGCAGCGGTTACGCCAAAGGGCTGGCGAACAGTCATCCCAAACAGTGACGGATCGCTCAGTGAGGTCTCGCCCTGGATGTCGGAGGCTCGATTGGCAAAATACCGTAGAATCTCGATGGCCCAGGGAATGGTCTAAAGCCCAAGCAGCACATTAGTAACCCTTTCACCTAGAATTTATGATAACCGAAGCTAGAGAGGAGGACTCGTACGAAGTCGTTGTGCATGGGCCTGCCCATAGTGAGCGCCTCCAGGCGCGACATCTCTTCGACGTTCTCCGAGAGCTTGTCTGCTAAGCGGTGAAGCCACTGACCACGCTCGCTGGCAGGGGTTTCCGACCAAGTCTCAAAGGCCTGGGAGGCGGATTCTACTGCATCGTCCACGTCTTCGACACCTGCCTCGTACACTGAGCCGATTTGCTTGGATGTCGCGGGATTGAACAAGTCGAACTGCTTGCCCGAGTGCGGAAGCCTGAATTCGCCATCAATGAAAAGGCGGGTTTCGAAGTCTGAAACCATCGTGTCGTCCTGACTGGTGCTTGGTCGTTTGGTCAATTCAATAGTGCTATCACGACTGGCGCAAACATTCAACTTTTTGAATTTATGAAGTCAAGTCTCATCTGTCTGTCGCCAGCCGGACCTTGATCGGCAGATATTTGTCAGCTTCGGACAGCTTCAGGCTCTTGATACCCACACTGTGCACTCCGTACAGGGTTATGAGTGGCAAGAGGCCTGTATCTTGTCTATGTGGAGCAATGTGAGTGGAATTATGAAGACTTCGTTTGGATTTCTGTAGTCCAAGATTCCTGGGGCCGAGAAGAGCCGATCAGGTAACTCGCCTGAGTCGGTATATACCGAGATATCCACAGTCCTGCGCCGACATATGGTGATCAGTCCTGAGTTCTCGACAGACAGCCGGATATTATAAGCTTTGGGGAATAGATCATCGGCTACACCAAGCGATCTCGACATTTGCATCAACCTGATGGTTTTAGCTTGATCGCGTTGTGTTGCTACCAAAGTTTGTCCTTTCTGCAACCATTTAAATCGATACCCGTCCAATCTTGTTGACATAAAGACCATTTACTGCTTTCCGATATATCAATGAAGGCGATTGTTCACGCTGGGGAGGCTGGGGAGGCGGTCTTGGTCATCGATCGCCCCATCCCCAAGCTACGACCTGGATATATACTGGTCGACGTCAAGGCGGTGGCGCTGAATCCCACCGACCACAAGCATCTCGACAATTGGCATCACAAGGGTGCGCTAGTGGGTTGCGACTTTGCCGGGGTGGTGAGCAAAGTAGGTAGCGGCTATTCGAAAGAGTGGAAAGTGGGCGATCATATCTGTGGCTTCGTACATGGTTCGAACGAACTCGAATTCGAAGATGGCGCATTCGCGGAGCAGATCGTAGTCAAAGCCGATGTCGGGCTACGGATCCCGGACAACCTGTCCTTCGAGGAGGCTTCCACGCTCGGGGTAGGCGTCATCACTGTCGGACAAGCCCTCTTTATGGAGATGGGACTGAAGCGTCCGAGTGCCACGGGCGCGGTTTCACCAACGGGAGAATGCATCTTGATCTACGGCGGAAGCACCGCGACCGGCAGCGTAGCGATCCAATTTGCCAAACTGTGAGTGTGCTGCCAAATCCTACAGGGGAAGGACTTCCGCTTCCTCCCCCGTTGCACCCCATTCAGCAGACAGAACATTGACCACTCATCCCTTAGCGCTGGATTGACGCCCATTACCGTCTGCTCGCAGCACAACTTCGAATTCGTCAAGTCCTTGGGCGCAGCGGCGGCGTTCGACTACAAAGATCCGGCTTGCGTCAGTCAAATCAAGCAGTATATCGGCCATGGTCGGGGTCCAAAGTATGTATTCGACACAGTTTCAACCGAGGCCACAGCCAATCTATGCGGGCAGGTAATTGCTCCTCGGGGATTCTGGGCGTATGTCCTTCTTGGTACGAAATTTCCGAGAGAAGATGTCCGCAAGATCTATCCTCTAGCCTATCTGTCCGTCGGTGAACGCCTCCAGAAAGGCACCCTCGAGTTTCCGGCTTCTCCACGCGATTTCGTATTCGTTTCGGAATGGATGCTGCTGGTAGAGGAGCTGTTGCGCAAGGGGCTGGTAAAGCCTCACCCATCCCAAATCGAGCACGGGTTGGAGAACATTCTCGGTGGACTTGAGTTGATGAGACAGGGCAAGGTCAGCGGCAAGAAGTTAGTGTATACAGTGTGAGAGTACCAACGACGACGGGGAGAGGTTAGCAGCGTTGTGACAAATGTAGACATCATATATAAGAATCTCGTGTCAGGCACAAGGCAGTCGTGGTGAGTAGATTCACCCATCAATACTGTACTTCGGATTTCTAGAATGTACTTAGCCAGATCGGTCTTGTCAATCCCTTACTATGACTTCCATTCGCTCTTGGACCTTTGGATCGTCCAGAGCCAAAATATTCGCCTTCTTCTCACTCAAATAGTATATCGAAAACCCTCACGGCCCTCAAGAATGAGCCCTTGTTCGTCGGCAAGCTTGTTTTGTCTGTGAAAGTGCCGCATCAGAACCAATGTGAGAATAATTTCCACACCCATACAGCCGAAGGATGCGTAGAGGCCCGGTCGGAAGGCTGGTGCGTCCTGTGTACGAAAAATGAGGGAGCCGATGACGCCGCCGATGCCGCCCATCGTGGTCTGAACTGCCACGGCGACCTGGCGTTTTGCGGCACCCGGGGTGTTGTTCATCAAAAAGGTAGCGAGAGATGGGACGGCGCAGTAATTCCCAACCACGCCGAAGAAAATTCCCACCAGTCGACTGCCGTTGTTCGGGCCCCAGCCGATGAGTATGAAACCCACAACGACCAGGCAACAGTATCCGATGATGAAAGGCCCGCGCCTCTGGATCCTGTCTGCAACTATAGCGGTGATGATGGAGCAGATAGCCGCAGCGACATAGGGCGGTGTAGCCAGACACTGGCTTGCGGCCAGGCTATAGCCAAAGCCACTAAGGATGGTCGGGGTGAAAAAGGTCATCGTATAACCTCCCGCCGTGGGAAATGTGAGGAGAAATGCCATAGCCCACACCTTCCAGTCCCAGGCGGCTTCGATTAGATGTCGACGACCCAAGGTCTCTTCAACCTCACCACGGTCTTGCCGTAGCCTCTGCAGTAGCCATTCTCGCTGTCGGACATTGAGCCAGTGGGCCTTTTCGGGGAAATCAGACACAAGGATGTAGAACGGCACGGCTGCAGCGACTGTGACTGCCCCTGGGATGATGAAGATCCACCGCCAGCCTCTGGTTCCGCCGAGCCCTTCCATCTGACTAAGTCCATAGCAGACGATACCGTTGAACCCTGCGATTAGAGCCCCGCCGGTGAACCAGATAGCCACGCGTTTCTGAGTCTCGTACCGCCGATACCAGGAGGATATGAGGTATAAACAAGCCGGCTGTGAGGTCGGTTAGTTACTACTCAATAGCGCCAAAAAGCAGGGGTGAAGGCAAGGGCAAGGCCGCAGCCGCGGCTAAACTCACATTGAAGCCGGCTTCAAACAGTCCCAGGAGAACTCTCAGTCCGGCCATTTGCGCGAAACTCTGCGTGAAACCGAAGCACATGGAAATAGTGCCCCAGCCGAGGATGAGCATAGCCAAGTATATGCGCAGACTCACGCGGCGGAGGATGCTATTGCTCGGAATCTCAAAGATGGTGTAGGTGATGAAGAACAGCATCAGAATCACATTATACTTGTTGCCCGTCAGATTGAGATCAGTCGACATGCCCACAATGCGAGCAAAGCCCAGATTGGAGCGATCGACGAAGGACAGTCCGTAGAGCAATGTCAACGGCGGTAACAGTCGCCAGTCTGCTCTCCGGATGATGCGTTGCCCTTCCTTGATGGTGACGCCACTGTCATCCCCATCGAGCTCTTCCACATGGTTACCCGAGAGGTGAACAGCGAGTTGAGTGTCCTTTTCATCCGGCATCATGCTGATTGTCATCGTCTAACGCGTTAATTAGCGTATCGGAAGCAGGCAAAACCAATTGAGTCGAATCACTGAGACAGTTGGTTGTTATGCGCCACGTCCTACTTTCCTCCTCTCGAGCTGGGGGATCATCCAAATCCGGGGAAACGATCCCACCTGATCCTAAATACAATTCCAAAGCAGGCTGGGCTTGCAGAGAGGATATCACCCTCGGTACCCACATCATCCGGCCCGCTCTACCAAAGCACTCTACCGAGCGCCGACGCCGGACCCTCATATTGTTTTCGGCTCTACAAAACTGGGGAGTCTCTGACTGTCCCCAGTTTCGGTCCCCAGGGGTTCCTCCAAACCCATGTTTTTACCCGCATGCACTCCGTACTTTCTTCATGCTAACTCCACGCCGTCGGCACGACAATCCAAGGGCTGAAAGCTGCTAGGTATCTGCCCCAGTCGCCACCCAGCAAGCCGAAGGATGCTCATACTCACATGTTTTATGCCTTGTTGGCCAAAATCCCTCTTATCCCGTTTCTGACACCAAAGTTTCCAAGAAGCATCCCACACGCCGTTGACATGGCATCCACTACCTTGCCCAAGACGATGCTCGCATGGCAAAGGCATCTCCCCAGCACGGAGCTGGTGAGACTCCCCTCCGAATCGTTCGTGATGTGGTCCAGGATACTGTGATGGTTGACTCTTGATAGCTTCGCCTAGAGGTGCCAGTTCCGACGCCAACGGGCGACGAAATTTTAGTCAAGATCCTGGCTGCTGGCGGTGAGTTCCCTGGTTCAAGGGCTTTCCTCTCATGATGCAGGTACTGACCGCCGCATCTACCCATAACGGCCATAGTCTGTCACAGTGACTACGCGTTGAAGCACATGGAAAAGCTACCTTCGGAATTTCTGAAGTGGAAACCCAATTTCACCATGGTCAGTCTGTCGACTGCGTTCCGGCAGAAAAAAGTCTCCCATTACTCATAAGGCACCCAGGGTCACGAAGGTGCCGGCGAAGTCGTGGCAACGGGGCCAGCAGCGAAGGATTTCAAGGTTGGCGACAAAGTCGTGGTCATGTGTGTCCCCGGATGCGGCGACAGCTTGACATGCCCCGAATGCTCAAGAGGCGTACCACAGATCTGCCATCAAAGTCCTCATTTTGGTGGCGGCCACGACGGCTTTTTCGCCGACTACACGGTGGTTCCCGAGCGAGCAGCAGTCTTGCTGCCGACCGGGGTGACCTTCGAAGCCGGTGCAGTGGCTACTGATGCTTGTATGACCGCGCATCATGCCGTTGTGGACCGCGCAGGAGCCGAAAAGGGCCAGACGTTATTGATCATAGGATTAGGTGGGCTGGGGTTCAATGCTTTGCAAATCGCCTTGAGCAAGAGCGCCCGAGTTGTCGTGATGGACCAACGACAGGCCGTACTGGACGCAGCAGAAGCATTAGGTGTGCCTAAGGAGGACATCGTGCCAGCGTCTGCACCTAATCCGAGCCAGTGGCTTCGGGACCACGCAATTGATGTTGATACCGTCATTGATTTCTGCGGCTTGAAACAGACATTCGAGACCGCCGTGGCAAGCGGTAAGCGGACAATTTTGCCTCCGTACTGTCCTTCTGACTTTCTGGAGTACTTACTAACCATCGAGTTTCTATCATAGTTCGCAAGGCAGGGACTATAATTGTTGTCGGTCTTCTTAGCCCGGAAATATCGTTGGCAACAGGCACAATTGTCCGGAAGCAACTCAGCATCTTGGGAAGCTATGGAGGTACGATTGACAATATTAAAGACTGCCTCAATCTCATCCAGAACGGGGCACTTGTCCCACAGATTTCCAGAGGGAAGATGAAAGACTTCCCTACCATTCTGGACGACCTTCACGCCGGCAAAATTGTAGGTAGAATGGTGATGCTCCCCGAATGGTGACACTCCGGGACTAGCACACAGAGTTCGGTGGGAGGAAACCTAGGACTATCTACACTATAACATCGTCCATCAAGAGCCTTGACATCAAAGGGTTTCAAACAAACATCGACGCATCAAACCCATGTTACTTTTTGACTCACGTCCCACAGATGAATCTGCCATTGTTGTCTGAGGATCTCTTGTTCATTGCGAAATGCTGGAAGTTCATCATGGCTTCTCCTTAACATAGCGCATCCCAATCCCTTGTCAACATAGCCTGTTTGGTCGACACCAGTTCTCGTGGATTCAGGCCAAGATCTTCAATCGTAACAACCTTCTCATCTCGGAGCGCCCAGAGAGCCTTACCCTCATGCTGCCACCACATATACATGGCCGCCATCTCGGTGGCCCACACCGGCCATAACTTCTCATAATCTTCCATAGAGATCTGAACGTGAATGGCGTCCTCCCCCGTAGCTTCACTCCACATCTGCAGCATTCCGGCGGCGGTGGTCTCCTCAACTGCGGCCACTACGTGCCTGCTACCGAGTTTTGCTGGTCCCTGCTGTAGGATCGCCTGCACGACGGGACCGACATTGTCTTTGTGTGATCCTACGAGCGTGACGGGGCATTGTGGGGACCAAGGAACCAAGTGCACGTATTTGCTGGTGGATTTCTGCATGACGAGGAGGTTAATCGACCGGCTTGAAATCTTTCAAGGGGAGTTCATGATCAGGACACTCACAATTGGCCGCGGTGTCACCACGGGATATTGGAAATTGTCACCATACAAGGGTAATGTCAGACGGGTGGTCTTACTGAAGAGACCAGGCAATTCGTTCTTGATGTACGCGTCGACACGGCCCTTGCCACAGAAATGAGGAATATACCACTCTTTGCCAGAGATGGCTTCCGAATCCGGCAGGGTGCTCCAGATGTAGTGATCCAGCTCAGGGACCTCGCTTGCCGCGCGGGCCATGTTGGTGCCCTGGCCCTGTTCCCGTACACGAGCTTCTTCGATGACGCCAATTTTAGAGAGTAAGCCCGGGTAGTTGGTCACGGCAAAGATGGCATTAGCTCCGGCAAAGGCAGCCTGAACCGAGCTGTAGTCGTCCAGATCAGCGGCTACCATTTCTACCCCCTGAGCTGTCAGTCTCTTGGCCTCAGCACCATTCAGATCACGAGTGATTCCACGAAGCCGCCACTCTGTATTTCCCAACAGTGTTGCTAATACGGAGCCACCTTGCCCACCAGTGGCACCAACGACGACGAGAAGTTTCGTCATCTCAAGGTCGTTTCCAGATTGCTTCGCGTGGACGATGGTATGAGTGTGCACGTTGGATGTAGTGAGCTTGATTGGCGTCTCCCTACGTACCTAGAGAGAGCGAATTAGCACGATGAAGCAGATGTCATTGTCTGCAACGACTCTGGGAGATGGGATTCAAGTAGTCCCTCGGCACCTCGACTATTGATGACTCGGCCGATGGCGCCGCGACTTTGGTATTCGGCAGATCCAGATCGCGGGCCGGACTCGGCACTTGAAGGACGATTGATCCCCTCTGGGTCATGATGAGAGCCTGGTCACGCAACGACAGGAGCACGGCGTTGGACGCCGAGGGCAATGTCACCAATGGTGGACATTAAAAGTCCGAGTCTCGAGATGGGTGAGGGTGGCCGTGGTCCGTTATTCGTATAGGATTAGTCCGTCTTGCCGTCTTGCACAAGTGTGCCGGACTTCATTCCTTCCAGGCTACCTTCTCGTCTTGCATCGTCCGAAGGTTACCATCAAAAGGTTCCTAGTGGTGATCTCTCGGAATGCTTAACAGTGAGATGGATACAGCAAGCATGAACGGACCTCCTTTGTTCGACGGCAGTGGTCCTATACCCGGCAACGGAAGCGTTCTTTCTGACGAGATCCACGTCGCTCTCCGCGATGTCCCTGCGTGGACGCCTGAGAGGAAGCTTGATGTTATAACCATCGGAGCTGGCTTCTCGGGGCTGATTTTCGCACACAAGTTGCAGCACCAGTATCCCGAGATGCAACAGCTTGTCAGTCACAAGATTTTCGAAGCGAGGGACGATATTGGCGGGACCTGGCTTGTTAACAGATACCCCGGCGTGCAGTGCGATGTGCCGGCGCATATCTACGTACGGTCTCCTTGCTCGATCGTTGGACGGATTGAATACCTTGAAGAAACTAATGGCTTTTCAATAGGCATTCCCATTCGACCCAAAAGCTGATTGGACTAATTACTATGCCACTGGACCACAGATTTATGAATATATGCGAGACACGACCAAAAAGTGGAACCTGGATCGCGACATCAAGTTTAACCACCGAGTCCTCGAGACGGTGTGGCAGGAGGAAAGCGCGAAGTGGAGGGTCACCGTCCAGAACGGTGGTCAAACACTCGTTGAGTATGCTGATCTTCTGATATCTGGACAGGGCGTGCTAGAGTGAGTCAATATATCTTGCTTGACGTTTTGATTCGGACAATCAACCGCGAACTAACCATTTACTACCAGTAAGTGGAAGTGGCCTGAAATCAAAGGCTTTGACCGCTTCACAGGCCATAAGTGCCACTCGGCCGCCTGGGACAACGAATTCGACTATTCAAACAAGACTATCGCCGTCATCGGCAACGGGTCTTCTGGGGTTCAGATTATTCCCCAGCTGGCCAAGCTCCCTAACACCAATGTTATCAGTTTCCAAAGAAGTCCCAACTACGTCTATACTCCTTTTACCCCGGCAGCTTTACTCGGTGGCGATGACCCGAGCGCAAACCCTGAGTACTCCGAAGCCGAAAAGAAGAGGTTTGCGGAAGAAACTTACGCGCACCGAGACTATCGCAAGAAGATCATCCATCTCATCAATTCAGGTTTCACGCGGGTAGGTGTAAAGATACTATCCTACGCCCACTACTGTCACACGGAAGTTACTAACAAGTACCTAATACTACATAGTATGTCAAAGGCTCTCGACTCAATATGGAAGCCCGTAAGGCAGCCAAGAAGCAGATGGAAGAGATCCTCCAGCACGACCCGGATCTATGTAAGAAACTCATTCCAGAATGGAGTTTGGGATGCCGGCGAATTACGCCTGGGGAAGGCTACCTCGAGTCCTTTCTCAAGCCGAACGTTCAGCTCGTTATGAGTCCAGTGGCTGAGATGACAGAAGATAGCTGCATCGCCGGCGACGGCCGCTCCTTCAAAGTCGATGTAGTGGCCTGCGCAACAGGATTCGACGTCTCCAACAAACCTCAATGGCGAATGATCGGCCGCCACGGCGTCGACCTCGCTGAGGTGTGGGAAATTGACCCCGAATCGTATCTGTCAGTAGCGGCTCGTGACATGCCTAACTACTTCATGTTCTTGGGCCCTAACGCAGTCGTGGCCCACGGATCCATCATTGAGGCCATCAACTGGACCGGCGACTATGTCGTCAAATGGATCCGCAAGATAGCGACGGAGAATATCAAGTCAGTCGTACCTAAGGCACATGCCGTCGACGAATTTATCGCCTATAGCGATCAGATTCACAAGACATTCGTCTGGACGGATAGCTGCAAGAGCTGGTTCAAGAGAAATACTACGGACGGCCGAGTCACGGCGGCCTGGGCGGGCAGCGCTTTAGTCTGGAAACAACTGATGAGTGAACTGCGCTGTGAGGACTTTGAGATTGAGTATCGAAGTCCTAATCGGTGGGTGTTCTTGGGGAATGGTTTTACGAGTTTGGAGTTGAACAGACAGAATGATCTGGCCTGGTATGTAGAGAGATAAAGGGATACAGGCTGCTCATTGATTTTTCTAGTCTGAATCCTGCTCATGAACGGCGGCCATCCAACGTCACTTATTCGCACTCTCGACCGCCAGTTGGAAATCCTGGAGGAAGCACCAGCGAAGCCTGTCTCCAAAATTACCATCTTTCCAATTATTTGCTGAGGCAGGGAACATGGGAAACCCGTTCTGGAGAAGAGCTGGGTCGTGGGCGATGACGACCAGGACATTGTCGACGCCGTCAAACTCGGTCACTCGAGAGATGGTGCTTTGACAGTCTTCGTCGTTGTGAGAAAACCCCTTCTTGACAGTGTAGAAGGGTTTATCCGCCCTCCTCTCGTAATGCACCGCCTGGAGCCACGAACCGGGACAGACAGTCAGAGAGCTTACGGGAAAGGGGGACGGGTCGAATTGTTTCGGCAGCGGCAGATACTCCGTGGGGCGAAACTCGCCGCCGTGATGGCATGAGTCTCCACCCATGAAGATGAATGTGTCGTCGTCCGAGTTCTGCGAGCCTGTCGCAGTGACACGCGCCAAAGCGCACAAGTGGCCCACCGCGTGTCCAGGGGCGTTCAGAATGTAGAAACTTCCATCCCCGAAATAGTCGTGGAACTGCAGTCCTCCGATGCGCGCCTGGGAAGCGTCAAATTCTAGTTCTCTCAATTCCCGCCCTTCGTAGTCTGATTGTCGGATCGCCGAGTCCTTGTTTTCGGGGTAGCCCGGCAGAAAGGCTGCTTTGAAGCCAGGCCCGACCACCAATGCCGTGCTGCCGGGGAAGGTGCTGGGATCCCCAATGTGGTCATAGTGCCAGTGGCTCCAGATGAGGGCTTCAATCTCCCCATCCGTGACCGCGATGCCATTCTCCTGAAGGATCTCGGCGACGTTCTTCTCCACCTCTATGGCAAGGTCGTGGTGCTTGAGGAGGCCCTGTACGAGTGGGGGGAGATTCTCCCAATCCTTTCTCGTGCCAAGATCATACAGTATCTTACGTCCCGAAGGATGCTCAATCAGGAACGAATATGCCGGGCACTGAAGTAAGTCATGGCCAGGAATGGCCGGTTCGAGGATCATGGGCGCGTGAGCGCGCAGTTGAGAGGTACTGCGACGTCCGAGTAAGCCCAACGAATACCGCGGCGGGTCATCAGGTTCACTTGCGACTCACCTGTCGATGATGCGGACTGTCACAGCATTGTTTGATGGTGGGATTCCAAGAGACGGCACTCTCTTTGGAGCCGCCAGGAAATCACTATCCATGGCCATGATGATGGTGTGCCTGTGTTGTGGTAGGTTTGGTATTTTGTGAAAGCGTGATTGATGTTCTGTTTCTGGTTGAACCTGTATTGGACCAAGATGTCGAAAACTGCCGGGTTAGAACGCTTGAAGGATTGAAATGGTTTATGATGGTCATTGATGAATTCCCACCTTCTTAGCTCCCCCACCGCGGTCCTGAAGGATGGAACCTATCTTCAAGCATACTGCCGTCCTCCTTGAACCGGAAGTCGGCATGAGACAGAATTGAGTCCTGTGCCGGAGGCTGGCGTCAGGCTTCTGAAGCTCGGCCCGCAGCCAGGACTTAGGATGATTCAACCCCGCCGGCATAACAATAAAAATAGCTATTCGACAAATCGGCTATCAAGACAAAGAGGTGTTTACGGCACTTTGACTTTAAATTCGTATCCAAAGAAGCAGAAAGAGCTGCGGACGAAGCTCCTAGGTCTTTTCCGGGTCTGAGATTGTAACGTCCAGCAAATAGGGTCTTGAAGAGAAGAACAACCCCTCCGTGGCCAGTCGGATTCGGCGTTTCAGAATGCTTCATCCATAAGACTAGGACCATCCCCAAACATATTCAATCGGAAATGGTCAAGGTAGGTCTGAGACTCGCCATAACTCCATAAAAGATGTTCGTCGCCCAATGGCAGCATCATATCACCAACGTCTAAGACGTCGTCGATACTCGGGTGTAGCAAGGCCATGTCTGGGCAAATATCCGGGGGAAACGGGAACATCTCCCTGTGTCGATATGCCCGAGGTGGCGTGAAGCCGGACTGTGTCGTCTCTGCTGGGTCCGAGCTATCTTGGTGCTCTTGCTGTTGTTCTTGTTCTTGCGGTTGTTGTTGTTGCTGCTGTTGTTGCGGCTGGTGGGCAGCCTGCTGTTCCACCAAGTTGCGAATGCGTCGGATCGTGCCTAGCAAAACTGAGGCGGCACCCCATCTTGGAGACATACGCTCAAGGGCTGAACACAAGGTAAGTAGCCCTTCTTGCCGTTTAGCCCTTCTCTCCGGATTACTGGTGCGATGATATATCAGGGGGATGCTGGCGGCCATGGCATAGAAGGTCGTTGTCGATGACATCAAGTTCAATTCGTCCCAGCAATCTACCTCCTCGATCAACCGTGTGACAAATGCAGCAGCGATAATAGCAGGTAACGAGGTGGACCACTGCTCATGACGCTTGATAGATAATGCTTCAACAAGGATGATGGCTACAGAGTAGACCATATGCAACTCAGAAATGGATTGTCGATACGGTCGGCGAGATCCCGTCTGGTCAAAAAGACAAATCTCCTCTGGCAATTCCGCGACCCAATTACAGAGCATGTCAGTGAGACCCTCGATGACAGCTCCAGTTGTGGGGAAGCCCCGGGCGCCAACATCAGCTATCTCACCCCAAACAGCTATCACGCCGGCATAATGGACAAATACCAAGCTAGAAATATCTGCTCGGTCAAAATCAGCCGCGCTAGGCATCCTGGTATCGTAATCAGAGCGACGCAAGCCAAGCGGACGACCGAAGCAGGCGGCCTGTAGTCGGTCTGCGTTCTGCGCCGATTAGATTGGGTAGAGGAAAGGAAAAGTTTGCAGGTGCTTCGACATACCATGAGAGTCCACCACAGACGACGCAGCCGGCCAGCGTCTGGTCGGTTGGTATATGTAACTTCCTTATGCAGCCCCATTTGCACTGCCAGTCGGATCGCGGTGCCGGTCCATTGCCAGGGACAGTCGAGACTAGACGAGTTCGACGGATTGCCGCTCCAGCATATCAACAAACAAAGAGCAGCCAAACTGGTGACGGGGTCTTGTTCATGGTTGAAGAAGAGCATCATTTTTGTCTTCTCGTAGAGGGATTGGGACAGTGCCAGGCCACCCGTGCTTGACGAGGGCCGCATCAAACTCCCCGCCATACACACAGCCTGTTTCAACAACGTTGGGCATTCAGGGTCGGCCAAATGTGCACGATCTGCCACAGGATATCTGTGGAACACGTTCTGGAAATAGGACTCTGTCAGCGCCGCCAGGAGCGGTGGCTTGGGTAGAACATCGGCCTCTACAAACTGCAACGCCGACCGGGCCTGTGACGTGAGACGGGGCTGAGTAGCCGTTGTCACCTCAACGTCCTTCAGCGCATCATGTACCAGGAGCGTATGAGCGCCAACGAAACTCGAGGACAAATTGGATTTGTTCGAGGGAGGGGGTGGGACCACGACGTCGTCTCCGATACCGTCAGATGCCGTGGGCGATTGCACCATGGCGGCGCTAGGCCCGACGTCGACGGCTTCTGCACGACTCTGCTCGTTTTCTGCCGTAGGCAACGATGATGACTGCCATAATTCTGCCATGCGACCGCTGCGAGGCCCTGTCCTCACCACACACTGAAGGCTACCCCGCTGACAGTTCTGGCATTTGCCGCCGAGGTGATTCTGGAGGTCGCATCGCACCTACGTCGAATAAATCAGCCAGGTCTAGTTGGAGCTGCAGTCGCAGTGTGACGCTCACCTTTCGCGCGTGACAGGCAACACAGACAACCTGGGCTCGGTCTCGGCGCACGGGAGCCATCTCTCGACAAACCCTTGGTCTGAAACGACGGGGACGGGGAGAGGGTTAGGTACTGAGTCAAGGAATCACGCCTGTCTCTTGTTTGAAAACCCCACTGACAAAGGAGAAGAGGTGATTTACGGGGTACGCACAGAACCCTGGCAGCAATAGCCCATGGAGCACCAATATCACGGGGGTTTGGTTCTGGGGACCCCTCAATAACCCTCATCAGACCATCCGTCTGTGTGAGCCGAGCTCTACAAGAAGCTATGCCGATTGGCCACAACGGAAATACTTCGGAATGGCGGATCAAACGACCGCAGCCGCAGATGAATGGGTGATCGACCGTGGTTGCGTACTGCAATTTTTGGTCCTTTCGTCGATCTTGTTAAGCCTGTCTCGTTTCAATCTCTCCGTCAAGGTGCATCCTCCCCATCAATATGCAACATGTTGCTTCTATGGGTGTTGCGACGATGAGTCTGAGCTCCTACAACAAGATCTACAGCTGGGCTCTGACGCGGTTGAGTGCAACTGGAATGTCTTCGACACCCGTCAGCACAATCGTGACGCTGTAGATGCAAATGGTTGACAGAGTTCGCGCATGCATCTTCAGAATCACGGCAGCTCATTCCATGACCTGCTGTGTTCCTTGAACGCATACTTCAACCACCCTTGGTGTCCGACCACGATGGGATGAGGCAGAATCTGGTGACCAATCCGGAGCGCGGTGCCCGCAGCCAGATTCTACTCTTGTGAGGCACGCAGCACTGCTCCCTTGCACTTCGCTATGCAGCTGCCTCTACCGCCCTACATATTGAGCTTCCCTCGAGGGTGAAGCATCCTGGCAAGCCAGGATCCAGCCAGTCCAGGGCGCACCACACCAATAATGGACGCCCATGCTTGAATTTGCTTGGTTATCGCCAACAACGCCAAGCATCGCGCCATAGATCTTGTTCATCACGAATGGCATCCTAGTAACATAATGCCGTGTTGCTCGCCTGACTCATTCAGACATGCATTGATCCTATACCCTCTCCCTCCTCTAGGTCCCTGAATGATGATCACATTTCACCCTAGGGTGGGATCATGCAGCTACCCGGCGGCAAGCCGAGCAAGCTATTCAATGACGAAGAGTCGACCGGCGCAGGATCTGTGCATTCCCCGCCATGTACTCGAGGCAGAGTTGTGGGTGAAAAGAGTCAAAGGGAAATCCTCTCGCACTCAGGTAAGCTGCCTTCGAGGAGTCCTGTTCTCTGCAGATTCCCTCTTCCATATTGGCCATGAGATTCTTCTCAATCTTCGTTCTCGCCTGTTTGGTGTCGGTAAGCGCAGCACTGGTGGTGAAGCGTGATGAATTCGAAAACGGACAGCCCATCGATACAGCAGCTGGGAAGGGAGCTCCGATCACTGGTGAGTGTCTCTCACTTTCGTGGACCTTTCCTGACATGGTATCCATAGGTGGTACGAACCATCCGATAGACGTCCAAAACCCAGAGTAAGCTCCACTGATGCTCCGCCCCATGCATCCAGGTGTGCAGGCCATTCTGGAACTGTACGTACTTGTCAGCGAAGGTTCTAATGGCACTGCAGCGGTCTGGGGAGACAATCCACGGATGCCGGATACGTGCCCAACTTAAAATGGCCCTTCTCGCTTTCCAAACCCAGACTTTTCCCTGGAGGCTGGACGCGTACGCAGGATGTCAATGATTTGTCCCATAGCCACGACATTGCGGCCGCTCAACAACACTTGAAAAAAGGAGCGTTGCGGGAGTTACACTGGCACAAAGTCGTACGTAGCCGCAAAGTTTGCCACATCAGACGTCGTCGACTGACACTCCGTGCCCAGGCTGAATGAGGTTTCGTCTACACAGGTTCTGTTCTAATCTCGGCTGTCGATGCTGATGGAAACTATCAGCTCGAGAAGCTGGGTTTTGGAGACATTTGGTACTTTCCGAAGGGGGTCGCACACACCATTCAAGGTCTTGATGATGAGAATGAATACCTCTTAACTTTCGACGATGGAGACTTCAATGCCGTTGGGTAAGTACCACATCTGGCAGACCGCCGACCATGATGCTGAGCAAAGTACAGAGTCACCTTCATGGTCGATGACTGGTTAGCTCACACGCCAAAAGCGATCATTGCAAAGAACTTCGGCCTGAATGAATCCGTCTTCAAAAACGTCCCAACTACGGATCCATATATCCTGAATGGGACCTTGTCGAACACCACCATTAGAGGACTCAACGCTCAATTGACTGGCAACTCGTCGTTCGTCTACCGCACGCTTGAGCATGACTCCATCCCTGTCCCTGGCAACGGAGGCACCTTTTACAAGATTGATTCAACCAATTTCCCCATATCCAAGACGATAGCGGCCACCTATGTCACATTGAAGCCAGGAGGACTCCGGGAGTTGCACTGGCATCCGAATGTATGTAATGTACTGGGAATATTGGCATCAATGAGCTGCAATAACAAGAAGTCAGGCAGAGGAGTGGTTGTACTTCCACAGTGGCGAAGGTCGGGCAACGGTGTTCATCGGGAATGCCAATGCTCGGACTTTTGATTTTCAACCGGGCGATACTGCAGTCTTTCCCGACAATAGTGGTAAGCCCTGGACATCCATCCACTCGTCAATCAGTTCTTCGAGGCCGTTTATGCTGACCACGAGTGTCTATCTCTAAAATCGCAGGCCACTATATTGAGAACACGTCTGACACCGAAGACCTCGTCTGGATCGAGATCTACAAGAGTGACCGGGTTCAGGATATTTCATTGACACAGTGGCTTGCTCTTACACCAGCGGACATCGTGGCCAATACCTTGAAGATTGACCTCTCCGTGGCACAAGGACTGAAGAAAGAGAAGCAAATATTGGTTGCGGCCAATATTGGTACGAGGTGAATTGCCAAGGAGACAAATGGCCAAGCTTTGCGTTGCTGCATGAGGGTGACTGTTCCATAGCCGAAGATGACAAATGGATCGTGAAATGCAGTGGCATTGATTCTTCCCAAATTGGTACCATCTCGGAAGCCCAACCCAACCTCCACCACTTAAGTGGCAATCAGCGCTCTCTGTTTTAATGAAAAAAACGGAGAGCAAAGGCGGACTGGCCGCCATTACTGCATGGGCTCCAGTATCTCCCTGGCAACCCTTGCACACTCGTTCACGATGGCCGTCTGGATCGCCGGGCCCACTGATATTCTCGCGACACCGAGGTTCGCCAACTCCGGCACTGACAAGCCATCCTTCTGTCCAATGCCGAACATCACACTTAGCCTCCCATTGAACTCTTTGACCAGCCTCTCGACTTCGAACCGATGAAGACCGCGCCTCGCGCCTCCACCCCAGACGAAGACCGTCGTGGCACCGGCGTCCAGATATCTCTTGCCGCGGGTGACAACGTCGTCAAGTGGACCACCATACACGAGCGTGTCGCATCGCGCGTTGACGACAAAGTCCTGCAGGCCAAGGTCACCCGCCACCTTCATTGCCCTCTGCACTCTTTCTGCCGCCATATCAACAGGGAACATCTCATGGGTCTCCTTTCCGCAATCCTCGAGATTGATCCCGACCGCGCCTGCCTCCTCGATGGCTGCTCGAACGGCCTCCTCGAGCCTATCTCCATACCCGTCCTGCAGGTCCACGGTTAGCGGTTTGCCATACTTTGCGGCGACGCCTCCAATGGTCTTGGCAGCAGTGATGTTCTGCTCGATGGTGAGGGCGTCGTCTTCCACGCCAGCAGCACGGGCGACAGCGTAAGAGGCTGTGGCTAGGGCGTGGCACGAGGGAAGTGCTGCCACGATACTAGCAGACAGGGGGTCGTAGACGTTTGCAAGAATAAGAGGCTTTCCTGGTTGCTGGTGTAGTGCACGAAATGTGCGTGCAAGCGACTTGAGGGCCGCAGACGCCATCTTGATATTGAGCTGGTAGTAGCTATGGCTACGTGGTAGCCAGCTCTCCCCTCTTCTAGAGTAGGGCGATGCCTCTCAGTACTCACCATGAATCACCTGGGGAGAATGAGTCAGTCAAGTAGATGTCGCCGAGAGTATTAGCACCACTGAAGATGTACTCCGCATTATGATTTAACTGGGAAGGTATGCCGGCAACGCCAAGATGACGAAGATCACTATCACGTGAGCTGGTTAGTTAAGCTGCCAGCTCCGCCTCTACTTCTCAGTTCTCTCCACTCGTCATTGCACAAATCAAAATGCCCCGACTCAGTACCATCAATGCCGGCATATGGTCCCTCTCTCTGTGACTGACGACCAAATCGTTCTCCTCTGCCAACAGCACAATCTCCATGAGGGATAATTGCTTACCGACGACTCGATTGGGCGCAAGGTGATTAAGCTCGCCGAGAATGTCGTGGTAAAGTTCGGACTCGGGGTGACTCGCCAGGAGGCGTGTGCTCAGCGCCTTGCGTTCGAGAAGGTCATTTGTGAAGCTCTCCGAATTCCGCAGGTCTACCGTTCCATCGAGAGACCAAAGTCGATGCGCCTCTCAATAGGTTATCTCTTGATGGAGAACATGCACGGAGTTTCTTTTGAAGGGAAGGACTGGAATCACCCGGATATACTCTGTCGCGTGGTGACCGCCCTTAACGCAGTCAACTCCATCTCCGGCAGAACGCCCGGCTCGGTATCTGGCGGGGAATCACACGGTTGCCTATGGCCCGAAGATGGTTCCTGGACAGCATTCCACAACAGTGACGACCTCCAGTGGTACCTGAACGAGAGACTGGTGCATTTCCAGAGCAATGTCATTATCCGTGAGGCAGATCTTCGCCTTTGTCATATGGATGTGGCACCACGAAAGTTCTTAATCGACTCGCAGAACAGGTTATGGCTTTTCGACTGAGCGACCGCTGGCTTTTACCTGCGCTCCTTCGAGCTATGGTCCATTGAGTTACTCGAAATGTTGTTGGAAACATTCTGGACCGCAACTATTGCAAGACTTGAAGGCCACAGCGGAAGGGCTACAAGGAGTGGAGAATCTGACACTGGTGTACAGATGGAACTCACATTTTACTACGTAGAGACCCTTTTCCCTGCCCTCCGCTGTAAAGTGAAATAGAGTGACAGTGCCACGACCAGAATTGACATGGAATAAGACAACACGGCTGCGACGAGACCGATCTCCTCATGGCCGCTATCACCAAGAGTCCTTAGCTATATTGTGTTCACACCCTAATACGCAGCCAACACCTGTAGAAGTCATCTCGTAATTTTATCCTTTTTTCATCCGTCACCACCCGTAAGAATGCCATGACTTTACTGTTGGCAGGAAGATCATAGTCGAAGTTCTTGACAGCACTGAGAGTAAGACGGCTATGCGTGCTTCAGTGGCTCCCGAAATCGGTCTTTCCTTCGCAGACATGTTGCAACATACTTTTAACTCAGAGCTAAGACAGAAGTCGGTCATACTTCCATCTATGTTATTCTTTACGCATCTTTATCTCTATGTTTATCCGTTATCATTCTCGGTCTGGATAGGTACCCATCGACTCTTGATCACCAAACACCAATGAGCTCCGAATCGACTCCAGGGCAGCCAGTGCACAAGTACTACCTTACGTGACACGGGATAGTGGTGAGAATGATCTCCAACGAAGCAGCCGATGCTCGGATCACAATCCGATGGCCCTCGAGGCAGGGGGGAGACACATGGACCCAGAAATGGACCATGTCGACTGCCGCTAATTTTAGACCCGGGTGGAGAGGTCAGTGCGCATACAGAATCGCAGATAAAAGTCAAAGACGAGGATAAGTGCAAGGTGTGTGTCAGGAGGGAGGAGTGTGAGTGATGGGGTGAGTGCAAGGTGAGGTGGGAGGTGAGTGTATATAAAAGCGGCGGGTCAGGGTGAGTCGCACGGGAGCTGCGAGCATTTTCACAACGCTTGTGACGCCAACCAAGGTGTTTGTGGATGTACGGAGTATTCAGCTCTGAGTCTCTCTTTGAAAGAATCTCACCTCTGCGACACTTGGACTTCGATAACTCCCTTTAACCGGCTTCAAAAGCGAGCAATTTCTTTTCGCTCGACTCCGCACTATCGTTTGTCCTGTCTTCGATCGCTGCCATGATCTCGACACCGCTACTCACGGCACGCCTCTTCCCTCCCTCGTAGCCTTTGCCATCTCACTCTGCGCACGGTCTTCCGCGTACCTTTGATATATTGGGAGATAATGCTCCCTCTCACTCATCGTCTCATTCACAGAATCTCGCGCTGCGACCGCATCGGACCACTGACGCCATCTCTCCCAAAGCTTCTCGTCGTCGTCGCCGCCTTGACCTGGCTCAGGTATTCCTAGCCCACCCTTGAAATGGTCGAATACCCACATTCTGCTCGCCCACGGCGCCAGAACGACATCCCCAAAGCTGAAATCTTTGCCGGTGAACCACGGACCTTCCGGGTCGGCGTTGGAGATCCATGTCTTGATGGCGTTGAGGAGCTCCGAGCGCGCACTCTCCAAGGAGTACGGGCTCTTCTCTGTATGTTGCAGGAATCTGTGACGGTGAGAAGTCGTCACAAGGTATCGCCACAACGTACACGTACCTATGGTAAGCTGGAAGGATTCTGCTGGTGACGTGGTCGACCCAGATCTTCATCCTCGCTTTTGCATACGGTTCCTTTGGCCATAAGGGTGTCTGATTTGGATACATCTCGTCCAAGTATCTTCTCTCGTCAGCTGGGGACGCTCACTCTAATATAGCTAGCTTGTTGGCGTACTCGCAGATGATGTTGGATTCAATCAACGGCTTGGTGGTCCCATCTTCTTGTGGGCATCCCAACGTCGGTACCAAACCTCTCGGATTAAGCTTGAGGAAGCTTTTCGGGTAGGCTGTCAGCTGTCGACCGCTGATAGATCGAAATCGACAAACCTTGGCTCCTTGTTATAGGGATTGATCTCAACATATTTGTACGGAATGTTCTTCTCCTCGAGCGTGATCCAAGCTCTCTGCACGAACGGACAAAACCAGCCTGAATACAACGTTATAGGCTCATCTTTCTGATGCGCCGCAACGATCTTAGCTGCCGGTCCTGTTGCTTCGGGGTAGATATCTGCGTCGGGATGAGCTGAGCCCATGCTTGCTTCTCTGAACGCGCTGTCGAGCACGCAAAATCACGGTTTGAAGAGATAGGATGGGGGCTCAGGTAAGTGTTATCTACGATGTCCGTTACGAGTTCTACATCGATGCCATCATTAATAATGATTTGGAGAATCACGACGACGCAATATGTCCTTGACGAACATGTGCGGGGTTGACGCGATTCCTGCGCATTCCACCTTTTGTGTGGGATCTGCGGTGTCGATTACCTTTGCACCATCAGGCGATCCTCCTTAGTCGATCGGACGCGAGCCTGGGGCTCATGTTTACTGGTTGCGACTAGAAGATGCATGTAGAACGCCGGAGCTGTCACCTCCAAGGGGAGAATGATCTCACTCCCAGACGGGCAGTGGTACATATGGAGCGCACGTCGAGGCCCTGCGTATGATCTGCCGTTCGTACGAAGCCGCCGATATCTCCGTATGATGCCCAAGTGATCCAGCAGTCACAAATCTCGTACAAAGACTTGGGTTTATATGGCCTTGTACTAGCGGAACGGAGCTGATGATCGAGGAGCAACCAGATTAACGGCGTTTTCTGTTCTAGATTCTCCCTCTGGCTACGAGCACTATGCCTCCCAAATTCCCCGAACTTTTCAAAGTCCGCTACTCGTCGGTCGACGCTGACCCCTCTCTCAAATTCCCAATCCACAATCCAGCGACAGGCGAAGTAATCACACATCTCCAGGCTGGGACCCCGGAGGAAGTCGACGCCGCCATCCAGGCTGCCCAGAAAGCCTACGAGACAGACTGGCGGTGGCGCTCGCCCGCCGAACGAAGTGCTCTCCTCTTCAAATGCGCCGACGCTTTGGAGCCGCACAAGGACGAACTCGCCGAGTTACTCTGCCTGGAGAATGGCAAGCCGAAGCAGGACGCCCTGGCCTTCGACATCAATTTCCTGGTTAGCATTTTTCGGTTCTTCGCGAGTATTTGTGATAAACTGCCAGGCGAGTTTTACCAGCGGGGAAGTGTGAATGCAACGGTCATCTATGAGCCGTTTGGTGTTTGCGCGGGGATACTGCCGTTCAACTGGCCACCGATCCATTTCGGTGGAAAGACAGCCCCAGCGTTGGCCGCGGGCAATGTCATGATCCTCAAGCCAGGCGAGCAAGCTCCCCTGACGGTGATCAGAATGTGTGAGATCATCTCAGAGGTGCTCCCGCCGGACGTGGTTCAAGTTGTACCTGGCTTGGGACCGGACGTGCCTTCAGCGCTGATCAAGCACGATCTGGTGAAGATGGTCTCCTTCACGGGCTCAACTGTTGCCGGTGCCAAGGCAGCTGAAACAGCCGCAAAGACGGTAACGCCAGTGGTGCTTGAGCTCGGAGGTAAGAATGCCTTTGTCGTGTTCGACGACGTGGAGAACCTCGACCGCGCAGTCGGATATGCGCTGGAAGGAGCATTTTTCAACAAAGGCGAGGCATGCACTGCAGCGTCTAGGATCCTCGTTCAAAACGGCGTGTACAAGCCATTCTGCGAAAAGCTCGCCAATGGTGTGCGGGAGCTCAAATCCGGAAACGGCTTGGACCCGAGCACCCATCTTGGTCCTCAAGTGACCAAAACACAGCAGGAGAGAGTGCTGGGATACCTGCAGAAAGCAAAGGATCTTGAGAAAGAGGGAAAGGCCAAGATCGCCGCGCAAGGCCAGTTGCCAGACGACCCGGCGTGCAAAAATGGCTACTTCGTTCCGCCGACATTGATCACAGATGTGACAAGCGATCTAGTCATAGCGCAGGAAGAGATGTTCGGTGTCCTCGTGACTGTGACGCCCTTTGACGACGAGGATGAAGCCATCGACATTGTCAACGAGTCCAAGTACGGCCTCACCAGTATCATCTTCAGCCAGAACAACGAACGGTGCTGGCGCTTCTCCAAGAAGGTGGATGTTGGGTTGGTATTTGTCAACAACTACTCTCGCAACATACTCGGCGTACCGTTTGGAGGCGCCAAAGAGACGGGATATGGGAGGGAACACAGCATTGACACGCTCAAAGAATGGTGCCGCGCCAAAGTCATCACCCAGCCAAGCGGGTTCGGGGAGATGCCACGGTGGAGGGCTGTCAACGATGTGTATCAGTGAGGTTACGGGATGTGTATTAGTAAGGTTGCGGGATATATATTAGTAACGTTACGGGATATATGTTGATGAGGTTACGAGGTATATATTAGTGAGGTTACGAACATATGTTAGTAAATTACGAGATATGTATCAGTAAAGTTACAGGATATATATTACTAAGGTTACGGGGTGTGTACCAGCGAGGTTGCGGGATGTAGGGATTCTTGTTGTGGAGTGTATTCAGCCTCAGACGGTGTTGCTCGCAGATTGATCGCCTCGACAAAGACGATCCTGGACGACCTGCTCGCTTCTCTATCGAAGGTCGTAACACGGCAGACAAGTCTGTAATGGATAAACTTGATTCTCGCCGATATGTAATCATATGAGGAGTCCGGCACTCGACCGAGAATTCCCCTTCGTAGCGCCTTAACCTCATATATCGACCACGGGACTTTTAAGTGGAGTCTCCGAGTAGCGGACACTCGGGATCAAGAATAGATTACCCAATGTACGAGCTCAGATTTGACGGGACTTTACAATAGCTCAGGAGGGCGTGATTGAACACAAGTAGTAAAGGCCAAGCACCTCCTGGAGACCTCGCACTAGTGACGTATGTAGAACAGCGGCTCTGTCGAAGTAGGTAATTCACCCGTTTCGACTGTCATTGCTATATACATATATACGGGGACTGATGCAGCTCTCCTCTCATCCTCCGTCCACCTGGATACTCTATTTCTGAAGCATCGAATTTGCCGTAATATCTTCAGGGTCGTCTGCCACCATGTCGACCCCCCGTGTCCTACTCCTAGGAGGCCACGGCAAAGTGGCCCTGTTCCTCCAACCCCTCCTCCTGGCGAAGAAATGGCACGTCACCTCCGTGGTCCGCAACGCCGAGCACGAAGCCGAGATTTTGGCGTTGGGCAAAGACAAGCCCGGCACGATCGACGTCCTGGTCGACAGTCTCGACGACGTCAAGGAAGTGAGTCACGCCACGAAAGTGCTCGACAAGGTCAAGCCGGACATTGTCGTCTTCAGTGCCGGTGCTGGGGGCAAGGGCGGGCCAGCGCGCACCAGGGCCATCGACGAGGTCGCTGCCAAGTGCTACATTTCTGCGTCGCTGGCGATGCCGAGCGTCAAGAAGTTTCTTCTGGTGTCGTATATCGCTGTGAGTGACGATTGTTGAGTTGTTGAGTTCCGCGCTGTGTTCACCGCCCCACGCCTACACGTTTACCATAGACAGTCCAAGCTGTACGTGGTATGCTGATCAAACGCAGTCACGCAATGGATACCCGCCCTGGTGGACCGACGAGGACAAGAAGGCGGCAGACAAGGTGAACCAAGAGATCCTGCCGCATTACTTCAAGGCCAAGGTCGAGGCAGATGAACATCTCGAGGCGCTTACGAAGAAGCGACGGGACAGCGGCGACAAGGACTTCCAAGCCATCAATCTCCGGCCGGGGAGCTTGACGGACGCTCCTGGGACCGGCAGGGTCAAGCTAGGCAAGACGTCGTCTAGAGGAAGTCAGTGACATCTCAGTCCTCGTTCCATCATTGGACTGCTTGGTGAAGACCAGCAGATTTGGTCATTGCGCGCCATGCTGACACACACCAACAGGTGTTCCTAGAGAAGACGTCGCTCGAGTCGCGGCTGCGCTGTTGGAACGAAACGACACGCGCGGATGGTTCGATTTGCTCGAAGGTGACGATCCGATTGAAGAGGCGGTGGAGAACGTTGTCCGAAGTAACCATGACGGTCTCGAAGGGGAAGATATCCAGCGCATCTGGGCGAGGCCTACCTAAGGTACTGTATACGCTCCTACCAAAGTCTGTCAAGTTGTTCACGGGTACAACGACAGAGATAGGGACATGGCACTCCATATACACGCGACTTCTGCTGTTCCGTGTGTGGTCTACGGCGTACAGCAGGAGCTACAGCTACAGCTCGAAATCGGCTTGGTTCTAATCAATTGACCACAGTCGCTGTATTGGAAGCGCGCGTCCTGCCCCGTTGTCTCGAGGCCATCACAGCTATATCCTCTCGATGTGTGGCCGATCATGACTTGTCTCTCGCAATCGAGATATCTACTACCGACGGATGCAGTGGTTCGAATGCAAGTCGGATGATACTGCATTCCCAGTTGCCTAGGCAGCCCAATTCTTGACCAAGGGAGGCTTTATACCTAGGACGCTGTTGTCGTGGCGCGTCGACAAAGAGACTGATCCCTACTCGCATCGTCATATAGGCTCAATACCATTGAATCCTACGAACCTACGCAAAGCTAGGTGACTTCGGAAAGCTTCCCAAAAGTCATGGTAGAGGTTCCTTGCCAGAACAGATCACGTCCCCGGCCAATTGCATGTACAATGCAGGCAGGACTGGCTGGGGTTCGCAAAGGGACGGCTAGGCAATCTGAGAGCCGTCGACGCATACCACGTAGTCATACATAATTAATGTCGCTCGTAGAGTTTCTGGGTGCACCTCTGCCTTGCAACGTGAATGTGCGTATGTACCCACCGGTACTCTAGTCAGCACTAAGACCAGCGGACATTGAGTAAACCGACCTTCCTGGGTCTTTTTGCGCAACAAGCGTCGGTAAGCTTTCAATCGAGACGGACGGTGTTAGTGTCCCCACAACAAGCACAGCTGCGTACCTTCCACTGCCTCGCCTGATATGCTTGACGACCCAGGGCGCAAGGTCGCAACCCGGGTACGTGGCGCGAAAAGCATAATGAGAGATAGCAATAGCCATCCGATTTCTGCAATTCGCAAGGAAAAGCTGAGAGCGTGTTCTTGATTACCAACTCGCCGGCAAACCTCAATCAGTCGCCGTAGTTCTTGAGCAATCCCTTCAGCATTCGCTTGGCTCCAGACGCGTAACCACCGCCAAAGATAGCGAAATGGTTGAGATGGTGATACTAGACGCACGGTCAGTTCCAACAGTGCCATAACACTACCTCCGATCCTCCACCGAATGACCAGGATGGGAACTCACGCTCTCATACAGCGCCACTCTATCCTCATATTCCGCTGCCGGCTCCGTCTTGGGAACAATAGCATGGTACTCCTTCCAGAACGGGCCACTAAACCCGCCAAACATGTTCATGATGCCAAAATCGAACTCATGGTGTGCATAACATGATGAGGGGTCAAAGACGACGTCCTCCACGGGACCAGGTTCGTCAGGCGAGGTGTCGCCACCTCGACCGACGAAGAAGCCCTTGGATTTATTACCCGACCACAGATCCCCGTGCACGATGGCTGGTTTGATGCCCTCTTTGCCGCCGAGGTGCCCGTCCCCAAGCAGTCTGGGGACCACTTCGTTGACGGTGCGCTCGACAAGCGTGCGCAGCTCGGGGTCCCCACCGTTCGTCTTCTCACCTCGCTCGAGGATGGCGAGGAGTCTCCTCTGGCTGAAGAACTCGGCCCACGAGGACGTGAAGGTGTTGTCCTGAGGCGTGTCCCCGCAGCACGTCGTGACGGGGAATCCGAATTGAGGCGAGTCGAATCCCTCCGGTATGGGTGCCGGCGTGGTGTGTAGCTTGGCGAGTTTCTCAGCGAGGGACATACCGCTCCCTGTTCCAGCACGAGCGCCAGCTTTTGTCCTCGACGATGAGGCGCTGAGGTCCAAGAACTCCGTGGCAAGGAAGTATCCGCCGTTGTTTTCGAGGCTGCCCCAGGCGAAGGACTGCGGGCAGAGGCTCGGTACTGCCCCGTGCATAGCGTTCAGAGAAGCATGTTCGCCTTGAAACATCACCTTCGCGCCCGATGACTGCGACTGCTTGACGAATATCGACGTGGTGGGCGTTGTGATGCGGAATGTCGACGCAAAGCCTGAGCCGCCGTGGGTGGAGATCTTGGACGAGGATGCGTTCAGGTTGAGGGCACGCAGGATTGCTGGGTCAATGGATGGGGACATTGTGAGCAGTAGCGCTTACTGCGGCGAATGGTATTACAGTCGGCTATAGAGCAAGAAGAGGTCACTCCAACCCAGCTCAATAGCGAGAGACTCGAAATGAACTTCAGATGAACCGCAAATGACGTCGTTCAAGAAACCGCAAGCTCGGGATATTGTTCACCGACGAGGCCATGGCATCTGTGGGCGGCAGCCTTGCAGATTTACTCGGAAGCTACCTAGACTTCAAGGTGAAGACGTCTGCTTAGCCTGCACGGTATTGGGGTATGCGGTGTTCGGCGTCTCGGTCGCTCGCATCGGACGAAGGATTCAAGGCTCTTCTGTCGCCAATACCATGTCTACAGAGCACCGTGTTCCCAATCACCAAAACCCGGGTCACGTTGGACGGTATCATCCATCAACAACGCCGTCGCTATGCATCATCGACTACAGCGCAGCATTTCCACAATCCGACTCCAGGTCATGTCCTACCTCCGTCCTGTGCCTGTGCTCGCACCTTTTGGCTTCACCTTTCCTTCAGCATCACTATTGACGCCACTTGCTGTTCCACTGTCGGCGCCCCCACCAGCACCGCGTTTCTTCTGCCGTAGCGTCTGTCCTTGACCTTTAAAGTGCGGTTTGACTTCATCTCCACCAACAAGCTCGCCATTCTCATCTTTCTTCCGAAGAGGCTTCAATTCGTACCCGAAGAAGAGCATTCCGGGTGGCAGACGCAGAGGTTGCGGCCCGTTCGTTTTCCTCGCAGGCGGCGGTGCATTATTCGTTGACGTCCCGGCCAAAGGCGTTGAGGGATTTGGTGTTGGTGCTTTGGAGCTCTTTTTCGAGCTGAGCTTGTGGCCCTCCGTGAGGAAATGTGAAGAGACGGCGCGGGCACCTGCTTCTGCCGAGTTCGACGACGGGGCTATGCTTGCATAGTTGATCGACTGCGCCATTGTGCCTTGAAAATGCACCGGTCCCCCGCGCGGTCTTCCAACGCCACTTCTCGGTGTGCTTGTTCCGCTTGTTCGCTCTGGAGGTACGTATCCCACCGGGGTTGCGAATTCGACTTCAAGATCTGTTTCCATCGTTACGATAGAATGCGATTCTGTGTCTGGCTTGATATCCAGCACCGCAATGTCGTAGGTCTGATCATTGTATTCGAAGGAAAAGATGTCGCCTTTGGTCAGGCAGGAGAAGTTGCGGAATGCATTTTCTAGCACCGCTCGGGGATCTGAGATGTCGAGAAATGCTGGGGACTGTGGCTGCAACTTGATGAGCTTTCCTGGCGGCAGGTCGGTGGACTTGATCTGAAGAAGATCGCCCGGTTCAAGCTCCAGGGTCCTCATCAACTGTTCCCTCGATGTCAGCACATGGCTCCATGCTCACCGAAAATGCCGTGCATACCCATTGTGGTAGATATATTCTGCCTTCCTCTGCTATGAACTCAAGAACACCAGCGTGTGTACTCTTCCCAGCAGCCCCATTTATCAACTCGAACACCATCGGATATGTAATGTGCAATCTCGTCAACTTGTCCAGGGCTGAGGGTGGCATGAAGACTTTTCCGCCGAAGTTGACATGATTCCTATCAGGCCCAGCCATCATGACAACTGGATAGCAGCGATAGTACTCGTCGAAGCGGCCCATGGACCGCCCAACAGTAGGGGCACCTCGAAGGAAAGATGGGTAGCCCATCATGTCGCCCTGATAGTAAGCCTGCAGCAATTAGACACAGGGTACTGCGCCGTTCAAGAGCGACTCACCATGGCGACGGCGGCCGACGATTTGATCGTAGAGCGTTGCCAAAGAGTTTGAGGACCGAGAGGTCTATGTCTCGCGATTTAGGTCCGATGCGGGGTGTTGTTCGCTGCCTCAGAAGTGGTGGCGCTCTGGAACAAGATTGCCGCAGGAGAGAGGCAAAGTAGTCACAGAAGAGCGGAGGCGATGGAGGGTTGGTGTGCGTAGGCAGGTGAGTAAAGTGAGGAGAGTTACTCTCAGTGACAGGGACGACGCGAGATGTACCGCAGGCGTTTGAAGCAGGCAGCATGAGCCTGTGACGCAACCTTGGGGTTCGGAGAAAGTTATGGATGCACAACTACTACAACACTTCTGGGCTCACCACGTTCACCACGGGCAAACACACAAGTATTCACGAAGCTCGCCTTGTCGCAGTGATGATTCTCTAGCTTCCACGGCTCACGTCAAAGCCTTTCACCTTCCCTGCGACCGCACCGATGGCCTACAACGCACCGCGGAACAAACGCGCCGCCGAGGACTATGTCCGCACCCATGACCCAGACGACTACAGCCAACCCACGAAGAAACCGCGCTTTGACGTGCGTAACCCTTCCGCCCTCGCGCCCGACGCGCTCGAAGATGACGCCGTGCTGCAAGCCGACGTCATCGGCGCTCGCGGTCAACAGGTCAAGCGCGGCGCCGTGAATATTGACGGCTACGATTCCGACTCAGACAATGACAATTTTAATGCGCGGGCCGATAGGAAAGCCAAGGCGAAGGAAAACGCGGAGAAGGAGAAGTCCAGAGACGAAGAGGAGAATGATATGTTCGCGGATCTCGATGAGGATTTCAAGGACGGTGACGACTCAGAAGGTGACGTCGGACGAAGGGGCGGACAGAAGAAGGCTGTACGCTTCATCGACGCCGATGAAATAGAGGGCCAAATCCAGAGTTCGAAAAGTGGTGGTCACGTTTCGGCCGACTTTTCTCTGAGCGGGCGAGGAAAGGGTAAAGGCAGAGAGCAGGACAATGACCGTGAAAGCAGTAGCGAGAGTGAGGTGGACGATGAGACCCGAGCAGACACTGGCGATCTAGACCCTGAACTAGGCGCCGGAAGCAAAAAGAACCGCGCCCCGAAGCTCGATGCTTTCAACATGCGTGCAGAGCAGGAGGAAGGCCGGTTCGACGATCAAGGAAACTACGTCCGCAAAGCAGCAGATCCCGATGCCATCCATGACATATGGCTGGAGGGAACGTCCAAAAAGGATATGAAGAAAGCAAAAGAGGCCGCTGAAAAGCGCGAGGAGGAGCGAAGAAAGCGTGATTTCGCAGACGAACTGAAGTCCACAGGAGACGTGCTGGCCGAGCTGATCCCTCTGCTGAACCGTGGCGAAACGATCATTGAAGCTCTGGCTCGACTTGGAAAAGGCAAGGACAAGAAAGCCAAGTGGCTGAACAAGAACAAGCACAAGAAGCAGAATGGAGCTTCTGACGAGGATGATGCTGCGGATCAGCTTCGAAAGCAGAAGGTTGAGACTATTACTGGTGCAGCTGATTTTCTTCTCACCAAAGGCCAAGCTGAAGTCTACGACGACGAACGAGAAATGCTCATGCGACAATACCGGAGAGAAACCGGGAACGACTGGATTGATCCCCCGCAGGCCGATGACGACGATGCTCATGATCCTGATGCTAAGGTACAAATGTGGGAGTTTCGATGGACCGACGCTCGCGACGGCGGCGCAATCAACGGCCCGTATGACAGCCATACTATGAGACAATGGAATGATGCTGGCTATTTTGGCGAGGCTGTCGAGTTCCGCAAGAAAGACAGCGGTGGTGGCTGGACCAGAGTGGCCGAGTTCGCCTGAGGTTGATGATGATGATGTCGTCTGATATTCCGAATAATCGACTTCCTAAGCATGGAATATTTCCGTATCCATTCGACCGTCTTCGCCCTCCTGGGCAGCAACCAGCGTATGTTGGAATGTCATGACGCGCCAGTTGAGCTCTCGTCGCCAGAAGAGACCATAACCCAGCCTGTTCTTGCCAGGTTCGGCAGAGAGTCCACCACTGCCATACATGCGTCGGGCAAAAACACATGCCCGGAATCTGGAATGGATCATAGCCATTGCACAGCAAACACAGGGTTCATGAGTGAGGTAGATATCGAGCCCACTGCAGAGATAGCCTTCACCGCGAGGGCCTGTCCGTTTCTCCGGTAACGCATCGATGCTGCAGTTTTCGAGCACAATATTACCCAGTCCAGCGCTGAGATCACGAAGAGGTTCGTCTTCCTCCTCATAGTGAGTTTCGATGAGCGTGAGAGACTGGCCGGATGGAGTCTCGGTGCAGGTATCCTTGAACTTCAGGTGTCCTCCGGCATTGATGCGTCGACGTAGTTCTTTGTTTGCAACCATGGCAATGACACGCATGACGGCATGCCACTCAGGTTTGCCTTCTCCTTGATCGGCCGTTGGAGACTGCGGGAGCTCTCCATCAGCAGACCACCAGCGAGCATCGCCTGCAACGGCTACGACGGCTCCAGTTTCTGGGTCGACAACAACAGCACCGACTCCTCTTCCATGGCCATGTTCTTTAGATTGCCCAGCAGCCGCCAACGCAAGCTCCATGTACCTGTCGGTGGCAGGGACCTCCAGCAGAGCACGAGTGCGACGGAGATGATGAAGCGGCGGGCAATCCTGAATGACCTGTGCGGCAGGATTGTAGATTGCTGGCCAATAGCGCTCACTCCAGAGGGCAGCCTGTTCAGCACTCAATGGTGCATGGCGAGGAACCACAGCGTCGAAGCAGCGAGGGAGGCCTTCAACATCGATATGCGGCTCAAAAATGGCTTTGATATCCTCCCACGGCACCACGGTGTTCGGTACCAGCACAAATGTGGTTTGCAGTCCCCTCGCATCGTAATCACGCCGCCATGTCAAGTCCTCGGGCAGATGAGTCAGAGTGCATACGCGACGGAAATGGCCGAAGGACGGATGCTTGCCCCCAGAGGGAATGATGGGTTTGACAATGCTAACACTTTGCGTCAGTCCTGCTTTGGCCCCTCACACTTGGGGGACCGTACCTGAGAGCTTTGCTTGTCAACTTGGCAGGGATCTCGACGACGAACGCTCGAACTGGGTAAACGAGGTCAGCGTTAGTCAGATGCAGATTGCGAGGCCTTTATCATACCGAAGACTTCCTCCGAGCGAGTCTCATGAACGGTCTTCAGAGGCTCGAGGAAGCATGCTGAGACTTTTTCAATCTCAGCCATGGTTTCGGGCAAGTGAGCGTCGAATGCATCGTAGAATGCAGAAAGTCTTCCTCCAGAGAAGGCGAGAAAGAGAAATGAAGTGGAAACTCCAACGCAGTTGCCTTTGTTTGAAGAGTGATTCAAGTCTATTGAAAGTAGTTGCACCTGCCGTAGGGCAAACCGGCCATCTAGGAAGTGAGCAATTGAGTGAAGACCAACCGGCTCGTAACTGCTCCTGGCTGTTCGAAAGGGCCTCCTTGTAAGAAAGATATCAACCGCCGAAATGTGCCATGGAAAAAAGGAATCCTATATAAAAGGTAAAGAGGAGAAGAAGACGATGTGCTCACGGTCCGGGCATTGTTGTTGCTCAAGGTCGAGTCAATGTCAATTGTGAAAAGGCAGTGAGAGTAAATTCAAGTGACTGACCCGCGCAGTGGGTCGGAGTAAGAATTTCCCGGCAATCCTGCTCAAGTGAGCCTCGTCTGAGAGTTGATTCATTTCATACAGCAGACACTGTTATCCTGCACATTAATTCTGGCATATGAGCGATGTGTTTCCAATCGAAAGAGAACTCGCCCGTAGGCGCGTATCAAAGGAACGGAACCTGATACTGCTTGCGGACCTCTACTATGGACACGAACAGCTAATTAGTCGTTCACCTTGGCGTTCGCGTGGAAAACATGGCTGTTGCAATCTACGGCCACAATGTCCATCAAGTTTGTGTCATCGTAGGTGCTCCAGTCCCCACTGACCTGAAGGGGTTGAAGCCACAATCGCAAGTTCTTCGCCACAGCCGCATCGACCATCCGGTAAAGGGTTGGCAAGTAGCTAGCCCACCATCATTCGGTCAGTCGCAGCCTCCTCAATATCTGCTTCCAACAGGCTGAAGACCTGTTGACGCAGATAGACAGGGTTGCACATCTTTTCCCGCCGCTGAATCGCCACGGTGGAAGGTCACATAGACAGACAGGCGTACAGTTCTCGGACATTCGTAAAGTTGGGCCACCTGTCAAACCAGTGAGCAGCACTCGGCCAACAATGCTGCCTTGTCTTGCCGGTCATTCTGCAACCCGAGTCCTGCTTCATAGAGAGGTAGGTCCGCGCGTGATCTGGGTATTTCGATGTGATGCCATGGGTACCACCAGTTTCCGTCGTCTGCAGCGTCGTACTCTTATCCCGGCTGCCATACCTATCCCGCTACAGGAAGCCACACCATGCGATCGATATCCCGTTTCGTTCTCGATGAAGATAATGAAAGATGCACGAGTACATCCCTCGCTTGTTTAGCAAGGGCAGGGAAAGACTGGCATGCGATTCGGGTGCGACCACAGTAGCACATTGACAGCTGCTGGGAGTCCGGAATTTCGCGTCCGGATGGTGAAGGGCCAGGTTTTGCTCCAAGAAACACCCTTTGTAGCCCAATACCATCAACTCCTCCCAATTGCCACCCCTTCGACGTTGCACTCTGATATCCTCCGGGATCGAATTTCGCGGCGGAGATGTGAAAGGCCAGGTGTCGGTCCAAGGAACACTGAACAGTGATTGTGCTGTGTAGCTCAACACCAGCAACCCTTCCCTGGTGAACCCCCCTTGATATCGCGCCCCTGACCTCCACGAGGGCCTAGCGGGCTTCAGTGCACTGCCCTAATTCCTGATGCTGTTCGCAGCGTTGCGCGGCAGCGCCGTCGTGCCGGGAACTTCGCGGCGGGAATATGACGGGCCAGGTTTCGTTCCGAGGAATAATGGTTGTAGCCCAATACCAACCCCTTGACTTCGTCCGGGGTGTAACAGACTTCACTGCATCGCCCCAAGTCCCTGACGGTATATGCATGTGCAGCATTGAGCAACCCTCGCATCAAGTCTCCAACCTCAGCGTCAACACCAACAAACTCACAATCGCGGCAATAGTCAGTGCCGTGACCGCCACGACCACGTTCCCGCTCGTCACGAATCTCTTCATAGCCAGCCCATCACCGCCCACCTCCGTAAAGAACTGGCGATTCCCCTGCTGTCTCCGATAGGCACTAACCAGGAGCAAGCTGAACGCGTACGCGGCGAAGAGGGCGCCGATCGAATAAAACTCCGACGTGAAGATCTTGAGCACGACGAGCGAGAACGAGAGTTGCGAGAGCGCGGTGCGCACGTAGGCGCCTTCAAAGGTGCGTTGGGCGGCGCGGATCTCGACGAGTTCGGCGTCGGTCAGGTCGACGCTGCGGGCGCGGTGCATGCGCAGGCGGAAGCGGTCTTCGGGGTGGCGGGAGCTGAACATCGTGGGAACGACAGTCGGTGTCACTGTCACTGTCACTGTCACATCACAAGGCCGGCTCGATCATTGTGTCGCCTTGTGGTAATTTGAATACATACTGCCTTTCACGGTGGAGGGGACGACACCGCCCGCAAACGCACCCGCGCCGGTCCCCATGGACCCAGAAATCACGTCATTTGCAGTTTCCAGATTGTCGAATACAAGTAACTCGGGTTTAACTAATAGTATGTACTTTATACCTTCATCACATCTGCATTCTATATCCTACCAGGTGATGGCTGTCATGCGTGATTTCATGTCTTTGCGACGTCCTTGGTGTAAGAGGTATCACGGTCTAAGAGGTATCTCGACCTCTCATTCTGACCCTCCAGAGTCGAGATCAATCAAAGCATCGCTCAGAATGCGCAAGATGTGGCAGAACTCCATCACGTTGTATCGCGTCCCATTTTCCTCCAACAGATACACGTAGTCGAGCAGGATCCGTCGTGCGGACGCGTATCCGCCGCGCTGCACGACCCCGGAAAACGAAATCGGTCCCCCCACGCGGATGAAGTCTCTCGCCCGGCAGATCGCTGAGCATAACAGCACATCGGTTTCTGGTCCGTTGGTATCAGTAGTGTAGCTGCCGAACCCCTCCTGCGCCACAAGATTCCAGTCCACATTGTCCAGGAGCTCGAACGGCTCGGTGTACGTTTCCCGAAGAGCACCGTCTGTGTCGTCTTGGGGCATGACGAAGACGTACAGGCCAAGCACCAGCGCCGCATGTACGAGAGCGATTTCCGCTTCGTAGGACGTCCCATCTATGGGTCGACGTTTGGACATGACGGAGAAGGTCTGTGCAGCGTGAACGCATGCTCGCCGTGCGGCACTGGTCTGAGACCACGTTGCGATGGCGTCCAGCGCGGTTTTGGCGCTCTCTGCTCCTTCCCTCCCGGAGGCAAGTTCAAAGAGACCAAGGTCTGCGGTCATGGAGATGTTCAAGTGGTGCCAGAAGGCTTCGCAGTTCGGGTTGATAGACCCCATTGTCTGGCCATACGTCCTCCATATCTTTAACAGAAATGGGACGATAGAGGCAGCGTGCTCATCGTGGGCAAAGACATCGGCTGGGATCAGAAGGCCTGAAGCATCCGACGTCAAGGATGTGTGCCGGTGTTTTGCTTCGGCGATGCGTACCCAAATGGTGGAAAACAGACCAAAGAATCCTAGCGTGTTGGCATCCGGCGGTGCAGGGAGAACTGCGGTTTCCAGCTGCGGTGTCATCCAGGGCATCACTGTCGCAGCGCCGGCATTGACGAGCTGGCTCCATCGCTTCGCTGTCGGCGCTTGAAACAGCTCGTTCTTGCAGGGAAAGTAGAAGTGTAGGGCCTCGGTCCGTATGATCGGGTTGTGGTCGTCCAGAGCGGAGAAGAAGGAGTCCGACATGATCAAGCATACAATCAATCTCTTGACTGACTCGATCTTCGTCCACGCTTTCCACTTTGCTGTGTCGTCCTCCGGATTATCAAAGATGTCTGACGAGAGCTCTTGGCCTTCTTGAGGAAAGAACAGCCCGTGCCGTTGCGCGACGTGGATGGTCTCGCTGTGGAGAAGGCGAGAGTGCTCTGCTAGAGCTTGCTTGGGGCTGATGCAGGCGACAGTGAGTAGCAGGGTGGCAGCCGCCAACGCAGTCAACAACTCCCCGAGTTGACCCCCGTGCCGTGAGCTCAGGACCAGGTCTCGCCTGCACCGTTCAATAGCATCCACCAATTGCGCGCTCACAAATCTTTTCGCTCGCACAGAGTCCAGGAGCGTCAGTCCCATCAGGCACATGGGAAAGAGAAGACTGCTCGACGTCTGCTTGGCCGCAAAGGTTGGCTCGTGGATGAATGGCATCAAATGGTGGAATCGCCGGAAGTAAATGTCCAAGCTGATATCCAAGATCTGTGTCGACGGAAATTTGGCAGATCCGCAGCTGTCGACACTCGTATTCTCACCTGCACTGCTATTATTGCTGATTGCGGCGTTGCCATTCGACTTTCGCCCTGAACGAGGCTGCGAATAAAGAGGCGCACAATCTTCCATCAGCCTTACCCTCCTAGCTTCGTCCAACCCCCATCTTGATTCTCCTCTCCGGGACGGAGTTCGTGATGAAAGGCTTTCTTCGTCCGCTGCTTCCATCGGCTGTGAGAATATGTTGTCTTCCGGATAAGAAGAGACATTGCCCCAGAGAGTCTGGATCAAGCGCCGCGGCGTCTGCTTCTTCATCGGCCATAAGCTCGCAATCTTTGCATACCTTTCGTCCGATATATCGCCGGTGGGCGGTGAACGGACGAGTAGTCCAGAATATGAAGATGAAAGACCCAGAGTCGAGCCACCTGGGATGCTCCCGAACTCAAACTCGGGCAGGTCATCCCAGATATTATTCAGGCCCAGCGACAAGCCAGGAGGCTCTAACCAGCTCTGAACTGCGTCGAATGGGCCTGTGACTCTACGGTCAACAGGAACGCTGGAGTCAGGTGGATATGTGACCGCTTGCAGTGTCGGGCCACTGTATCGAGCCTGAGTAGTTGCGCCTTCCTGATGTTGAGAGCCTTCGCCAGAGAGTGGTGTCTGCATCAAGCTTGCCGACGGCACAGCGTAAGGCGATGGTGCGTCTACGGCTTTCCTCCCCGCTGGCGCACCTTCGTGCAGGCCAGACGCCGCAGCCGGTAAGGCGCTTCGTTGTCCGTTATCAGAATGATGATTTCGAACATGTCGCATCAAGACGTCACTCCGGCCGTATTCGCGACCACAATAAGTGCATTTGAACGGCTTCTCCCCAGTATGAGCCCGCTGGTGGCGGTTGAGATGCTCAGCCTTGAGAAACCTCCTCTCACAAAACAGACACTTCTTATTGCGCACCCCTTTCGAGGGCATCTTGCAGTGCCCCTAGTCGCCGCGACATGGCATCAGGATTCAGGAAGGCTGCTCCGGTTTGGTCCAAAGGTGTGGCAGGATAGTTTAGCAATTCACGCCGACGAGGCCAGACCTGTCCCGAGGATACGGAGAACTGTGGAGCTGTTTCGGCGGCCATACAGAGCCCGTGGTGCCTGTCCGTGTCCGAGTACATAGCTCGTAGCTGGGGCTGCTGGGGCATCTGGGGCCGGAACGCGGAGAACCTCCACCACGAGCCTCGACCCCATAGCACACGACTGTACCCATACAGGTAGGGTTCAGTAGATAGCACTTCGGAGACCTCTGTATCTCGATATTGCTGGATTGGAAGAACAGATTCCTAGAATCACGGTGACAGAAGCGCAAACTTTATCGGTAGCGAGAGCTTGCACAATGAACAGCTGCGAACACAAGTAGATGGGCTTGAAGATTCATTTTGTTCCGTCACTAGGCAGAAGGATGAAGTACAGTATAAGTAACAACAACGGATGTCTCAGACTGCATCATCTTGTGGAAGTAGATCTTCGAGCTCATGCATCTTCCACTGGTGTTTCCCGAGCCGTCTCTCCTTCGCCGCCAGTCCAAAGGAGCCCTCCTATGACGATCGGTCATCCTCGGAGTGAGTAACCTTGGAGTCCTCGAACATTGGAGCTGTATTCGCATGCTCGTGCGTCCGACCAGGGTTCTTTCCCAACGCACCCTCCCGCACCATGTGGACCGCGGTGTGATTTGTGAGGTACTGAGACGAGTCCTTGATGCAGCACGCACAAGCGATGGCGATAATTCCGAACGGGATGGAGCTGTAGAAGACCATCCTGAAGGCGTGGGCATATGCTTCCTTGTATGCTTGGGCGGCCGCCTGTTCAATGGCGGGAGTTATCCCAGGGACCGAAGCAAATACTCCTGGTATTCCCACCGCATTTTCAGCCGTAGCAGGAATTAAAGCTGCCAGTTGATCGGCAGACAGATTGTAGGTAGCTGCCACCTCGGCGAGCTTCTTAGGGATTTGGCCTTTGACTACGCCGTTGAGAATTGTGTTGAAGACTTTCTGCTGTTAGCACGGACTGTGGCATGGGGTAAATAGCACCACTTACTCGCATTGCCAACACTGCCGCCTCCACTGCGGAATGTCCCAATCAACCCGGAGGCGATACCCAAATGCCTCAGTGGCACATTTAGCCCCGCGATCACATAGCAGAGCAGAGTGATCAAGGCGAAAGGTCCCATGCTGAAGAACTGGAATGCCGACCATGCCGCTCGGTTCATGGGGATAAAACCAGCAAAGGCTGCCGTGAAAACCGTCTGGAAAATCAAGCACACGATGACTTGAAGCTTCAAATGGCCGAGTTTGCCCATGAAGAGGGTCGCAATACCGCCACACAGGACCTGGGCGATGCCGTTTGGCAGAGCAATGACACCGATCTGGATCGGGTCGGACGTGTACATGTAGAGCGAACCCTGTGGAAGCAGGCCTGCGAAGGAGTAGAAAACCATGCCTGCCGCTGAAAGTTAGCATTCCACTGAGGTCTGACCCTTCGGTGGGACTACTCACCGGCCACAAAAACAACCACGAGGAGCACTGTAAACTCGCGGACTTGGCGGAACAAGCTCAATGGGAAGAACGGCTGTTGCGGTACTGTGAAGTCGTAGATGAAGCACGCCACCAGGGTCAAGATACCCACGATGATTGGTGCAATCACGGAAGCCGATTTCCAGGCATGCCCGGGGGTTCCGGCCCAGGTTAGTCCGATCAGGAATATGGTCAAACCGCCAGTGTAAAGCAGGAATCCGATATAATCGACCTCCTTGATTTGCTGCCAGCGGGACTTCTGGAAATCGTACTGTGGCCTCGGTGGGGGATAGTAGAAGAGGATTGTGCCGATCATACTTAGAACACCGTATATGATACCCTAAGACAGGTCAGGAGGCGTTCTATCCCAGCGCAACAATAGAATGCCAAGACTCACGATATAGTAGCACCAGCGCCAGCCGGCAGCCGTATTGGCATTCAAGGTGGTAGCACTGCTTTTGCGTCAGTACTTGGGCTGGCATACATGAAAATCATCTTGAGCGGACGTACATCAAGGTGCCGGCAGCCGCCCATGGCAATGTCATGGCACATTCGGTAAGACCGAGCAAGCCTCGCCACTTGTTGGGGACGAGTTCTTGGATGCCGGCATAGCTCACAAAGATAATGCCACAGCCAAATCCGATGACGGTCGAGGCTGCTGCGAGCATAAGGGTCGACTGCGCAGTACACGCTATGATCTTGAGGCCCCTGTCAGCGTGTTCGTGACGCCCCCGGTGCTTGACTTACAGATCCAACAATTGCAATGATTTCACCGGCGACTATAGTCCATCTTCGGCCGAAGACGTCACTGATGGCGCCGGCGAGAGAGAAGCTGACCGACGACGCAATACTCCAGCCGCCGACAATCCAAGAAATGTGCTGAGTGTCTCCAAGATCCGTCCCAATTGGGACAAGGATGCTAGTGACGAGGACAAATCCACATGAAATCGGACAGACATAGGAGAACGAGAGGGACTGGAAGAAGAGTTAGCACTCAGGCCGTCGGAAGCCGCCAGGTTCGTCGCTCACAGCTATCGCAAGAAAAGTCGTCAAGGTCAAGCCCTCTGCTTTTTCCGGGTTGTCCTCCAATGCTGCTTTGTGTGGGTCGTCGAGATCGAGAGGAATCTCGTGAACGGCCACATGTCGAGCCTCGGAGCGGGCATGCTCCGTGACTTCGACCCCAGCGTCAACTCGTTTCTCTTCAAATGAGGCAGCCATGGTGTACAAGGCTCGGTGACTGGTCGTAGTGTCGGGGTGCCGGCCAGAGTAGGGGAGCAGAAGAGGAGGCAAGGAGAAAAGTGCAGCTCAACATGTAGATAAAGTCGCCAAAGTTCCCCGTCAACTCGCGTGTATTAGCGAAAGTGGTCCTCTCCACCTGAGTCATGGCGTTTGAGCGCAATCTGGGGCCCCGGTCACACCTTCTACCTCGTACTGTGGTACACAGTACCACGGGCTAAACCCTCCGCTGGGTCGCCTAAGGGAATTGGCGACACGGTAGATCGAGCTTCCGAGGCCTTCAGGCCACGAGGTTCTGGAGCGCCATGAGCGCCTTGACGCCTGGGTATTTTCCGTGGGCGAACGAGTAGTGCCAAGTCATGCATGCCGGGTCGGTCAATCATCGAGGACCACTCATAAAACATCGGTCCTCGACTCCTTGGTACGCGGACATAATGCGTAGGTGCAGACCATCATGTTTGATGGAGCTGTGAGCTTGATCACAGATTATCTGGCCAAACGTAGAGAGGACCCTTTCGCTGGTCATGTTCATCACGTCGGACACAGCTGACAGTACGAGTATTAGAGTGCAAAAGTCAGCTGTGGCTGCCTCATTTTCTCGGAGCGAGTCGAGCCTGTCTGACTTGTGTAACCTCTGGCCAGCCACTCCAGCATCTGGCGGCCCCGCCCAACTCACTCGTCGGCCTTTCGAGATGCTTGGCCATGAATTTTTCTGCATCCACTCGTCTTTGCCAAGCCTCCACCCATGGCAATCATGTTCGAGCTCCTCCGTAATCGTTCACATTTCCATTTGTTGAAGGCCGCGCCAATCCTCGTGGGAATAAATCTATGACCGCTAGGATGCTTGGAACTGGGCATTTTAAGAAATCGGGTCTACAGAATAAACCCGGGATCATGTCCCCACACATGTGGGGAGCTATTCAACAGCGCTCGATCTAAGCCTGGTCCGGGGACCCCACCTAGACTGAGGACAGCTATGGGGTGTTGTGTAACCCAGTCTGGAGGACGGAGTACAACACAGGCCGGAGGCTGGAGCCGTCAGCAAGCTGCGAGAAAGCTAGATTTTGTGCGCCACGTCCCTTAACCGACCCAAACGCTCTCCATGGGCGGTACCGAACATCTGGGTCGTGGAAACCAAACAAAGCTAAATCATCACCACCAAACTACTGTGGTAAGACGGCGTACTGAAGCACAATAGAGCTCTGGAGGTGCGCCTCCATTCATTTCTGACATTGCATGTCAGCTCCAAAGAAAATTCTAGAAGTAGCTCTTGTCTGTTGTACACTTACTAAAACACTGGACAAATGCGCTTCTGGCCATGCTTCATTACCGGCTCGGTGAGTCCACGGCTTTGGTCCTCTCTTGCATCGGGTGCTTTATGACCTGGGGAGACCTCTGATCTGCTCATCCACCTGCAAGTCTCCGGGTCCTGGCGCTATCATGGTCGTGGGGGGGCGGGTATGTCACAATCGACCCGCGACCCGAACATCCTGGTGAGGAACTGGTGGGACGCGTGGAGCAGGCCCCTCCCATTGGCAAGGAGAGAGCTTGCGGAACAACAGAAGTCGAGCCCCAGTAATCGCTTATGCAGTGTCCATCACGTCCCCATTGGTTCCGTTCGTGCCGTCAATGGCGAAAGTAACAGCGCCGCTGTCGCTGATAAAATGTTTTTCGAAGTCACTGACCAGTTTGACCGACCTTGAGGGGTCGTAGAATAGTCGGTAGCTCCTCTGGACATCATCGATGCCGACCTCCTTCGCCCTGCGCTTCTGACTCAGAAGTGTTGAAGTGGTGATGATGTTACTCGCATATCTCAGTCCAGACTCCTGGCCGATCTTCGTCAAAAGTGCAAGTGCATCCGCTGACAAGTCGACCTCTTCCTCTTGAGCACGAACGGCCAGAATCTGCGAAATCTCTTCGGGGGAGTACGCTTGCGTACTGATGATGACCACTCGGTCCAGAAAGTCTAGCGGCAGCCCGTGTGGCGAGCTATAACTCGTTCCACGGATTCGCGTGTTGCCTCTGTTGCTCGCCATGATGACGATTGGCGCAAGGTCTGCTTCCAAGGCGCGGTTGATATAGGAGTAGCATTCGATGTCGAGCATGTGCACCTCATCAATGAAAAGCACGCCAGGTATGATCTCAGCTTTGCCTTCTTCCCTCCACTCCCCGACCTTGGTATTGATCTGATCACGAACTTCGCTCCTAATCTCTCCGGTGTCGCCAGAAAACAGGGCCAGGAACCCCTGTGTCCGTGAGTTGATGACATCGATTTCGTGCAGGCTGACTGTATGGACCACCTCTTTTCGCACCTGGAGTTCGCCCTCAGGGCACTGCACGAATTTGGTGTCTGCGCCCATAGCGTCGTAATCTCGTGACCGCGTGTATGATCTTCCCAGCTTGGTGATTTTCCCCGAGGACTTGTCTATTGAGATGACATCGCCAGCCATCACTCTTTCCTTAGTCATTGAGTCGATCATCTTGGTGCCCATATCGTATACTGTCTCCATGTCGGTCGTTTTGATGGTGAGTTTGCCCTGCTTGTTACCCTGCATGGTCTTTGTCAGCGTACATCTTGCTGATTGGATGCCAATCCTTACACCCGAGACGCTTCTGTCAATCTGTATCTCCACGACCTCGCCCTCGATTATCTCACTTTCCTCCTTGATCCTGACGCCAATAGACTTCCGGAACGCTTGAGTGAGAGCCTCTGTTTTTGACATCTCAAGGGAGAAGATCTCGGACGAGGCGAGCATCGTGAAAGGGACATCAGGGCCGAGAGACTGTGCCATAGCCATTGCGATTGCGGTCTTTCCTGTGCTTGGGGGCCCAGCGACCAAAACAGCCCTCCCAGCAATCTTCCCATCCTTGACCATCCGCAGGATGACTGCTGCTGCTTTTCGTGCCTTTTCCTGGCCAACAAGTCCTTGGGAGGACCCTCCAGGCTCTAAAGTCGCCAGATCCACTCCAAGGCCCCGTATATGAGAATGTGCCGCGATGAGGTTGAGACCGCGAACATCACGGCTTTCGGAGACGGTTGTTATGGGCTAAAAACGTTAGCTGTGTAACAAGACAATGCAGTGCGAAGCGCTCACGGCAGCCATCTTGTGGTATTTACAAGCAAGTCTCGATGTGATGGCCGGTTCGAGAAGAGATGCCCACAGAGATTAGGCCTGGACATCAACAGCAGACGTTGGCGTGGCACTCGTTCTGTTGCGTTGTACTCCGTACGGAGTAGCTCTAATCATGGAATTTCGCGACTCGCTAAACGTTCCGCATGTGGAAGACGCGTTCGGGCACACCGCAGATCAATTGAATGTGAGGGGAAGGAATCGTGTCGTGGACGAGGCATACGTTCAAGGTACACATTCCGCCTCTAGTTCTTTACCACACATTCGATGCGCGCATTCTGGTTTCCCAGTCCTTGGTCAAGCCTGTAATCCAAGGCGCCTCAAGTTGACTGTGTCCCACCGCTTGCTCCCTCACATCCCTCTTGCCGGCTTCGCAAGGCTGCCCTCACTACTTCCACACTACAATCTTAGTCCTCAACTTCTCGCTTCTCGTGGAGATTTTACATGGACGACATGTGGTGGCGCCCGCGGTAGCTTGAGAATTATGCTGGAGTCAATATGCCAGGTTCACCCGTGCAGAATCCACCACCTGCTACCAGCGACCTGCGCTCACCAGCGAGAGATCCTAGGATCAGAAACAAAACGAGCTCTGCCCATATCGTGGACCAGAATGCAGATGCTGGTAGAGGACCTCTCTCCGACTTCCGAGAGTCTTTGCGGAAGCGAGACGACACACCCTCCACGAGCACTCCGCAAAGCCCTTCCGTGAGGCTCGACAACCCTGCCTCAGGAGCAAATGACCAGCCCGAACTCCAGAACTCATTCTCACGTTACATCCATGATTCTCACTCCGTCGACTTTTTCTGTCGGAAGCTGGCGTTTTTGAGGAGTGAACGCAGTGTGGCCCAGAAAGACTACGAAAAAATCAAGAAGGAGAGAGATAGATTTCCGGTTGTGGTTGACCAGGCTCGCGAGAGAGTGTCCAAGATTGAAGGTGTTTACAAAGTGGTCAAGCAAGATGAGGCCAATGCAAGAGCGGCAGAAGAAGCCTCTGGAGGGAAATTGATACATGTGCTACTCGAAAGGGTAAAGGACATGGTGGAAGAGAGGAATGTTATGGTCAAAGAGAAAGATGACCAATACAAGCTTCTCACTGAGCAAATGGACAAAATGCAACAACAGTTGCAGAACGTCCTCTCGCAGCAAGCCACGGCGGCCGCGCAGCCTCCACCTGTTTCCACCGAAGTCAAAATTCGGCTCCACAAACTTGAAGAATTTCGAGCGCAACAGGAATCCGAAAACAAGCAGGTCAACTCTATTCACGACAAATTCCGTGAGTTGGAAGAAATGTGCTCTGAACAACGTGCCATCAGCAAGGCTACGAGTAATGATGCAATGCAAGCAATCGAGGCACTGAAATCAGAGGTCAAAACTTTGGAGCGGCGCGTGGAGACCTTGGAGCAGAAGCTTCCGCCTAGCGAATCCCAGCTTGTTGACACAACAACTCTACATGCAATGGAGAGACAGTTTGAGGAGCAACTCCAGCAGATAACAGACACATCCAGATCCCACCAACAAGTGGCCGATAATGTGGAGCGCCTTCGCAAGACCATGCATTTGAAGGTCGAGAATATGCATGGCGAGGTGAGGGATGATCTTTCAAGCATTAAGACAGATCTAGGCACCCTCAGCTCCCAAGTCTCGGGCCAAATTGAAGAGCATTTCAAACTCACCACACGTGTCAAAGCGCTTGAGGATTCCACGAGACCTGGATACCAGGGGATCGATGGCCTGCAAGTCGAGATCGATGCTCTCAAACGGGTGGATCAAGATCAGTCAGAGAAAGTGGCCGCGCTGGACACGTCTCTGGAAGAATTTGCCGAGAAGTTTGCCTCTCTCGAGACCCGACTTGCACACTCCAACGCAACCTCATACTCGACCAGCGCCATTGAAGAGCTGACCTCCGTTCGCTCTCAACTCGCCGGACATATCATGGAATGGAAGAGTTCTGAAGAGAGGCTGAGTAAAGAGCTGAGCGGCCTACGGCAGCAAGTCAAAGAGGCCACAACACGCGCAACTGCGGACAAGGCAGAAGTGCAGAGAGACCTACAGATTCTCAGAACCCTAATCGCTGATCATGCCAGCAAGCGCACGAAATGGCAAGAGACCCTCGAAGAGGAGGTCAAGGCATTAACAGCCAACTTTGTGCAGCAGGCATCAATGCAAGCCCGTGATGTTAAGAAGCTCGAGACGGAATTTACTGCTTACACAGAGACCTGGAAGCGATCTGAAACCGAGCGAGAAAGGACTCTTGTTGAAGCGGTGGACAAACTGCGGGATGAGCAGGCAGTCATGAGAAGAGGCCTGGCTCAACGGTCGACGCAAGGGCTGTCACAGGACGAACGTCAGCAGGTTCAACACGCGGCGAGCCTGGCCTCGAACGTCCGAGAACTTGGTGTTCAGGTAACAAGCGTGCAGAAGGATCTGGAGAAGCAATGCCATTTGACGGTCAGCCTTACACAACGGTTCAACAACCTGTCTACGGATGAGCTTGCTCGTCGTATGACGGGCGTTGTCAATAAAGCTCTGCCAAAGTATGAGAAGCAGGTTCAGAAGCTTGATGACCAGGTTCAGAAGCTCGAAAGCGAGGTGCAAGGACTGTACCAGAAAGTGGACGCGCCGCACAAAGCGGAAGGCACCCCAATCGAGGTATCAATGGAGCTTCAGGACCTTGGTGGAAGCATCGAAGACCTTGCTGAAAAATTCCAGTCAAGCCATGACACCCTTGCCAAGAACTTTGTAGAAGCGCGCGACAAAATCCAGAGTCAAATCGAGGAGTTACAAGAAAACCAACGCGAGCTCGAGATATCGGTGGGCCAAAATGAGGCCAGCAAGTCGACTTACCAGGAGTCTACGGCTGAAGCTCTAAAGGCCTTCGAAACCAGACTCGAGGGCCTCGATAGTCGCACTGAGAAGCCCGCTGCACGCGAGCTCTTCCCAAACAGCGGCCACAAGACGGCTATTAATCCTCTACCACGGTCGACTAGCAGTAATGTCAGGCTACCGAGAAAGGTGACAGTCGATGACTCAGAGGATGAAGAAGAAGATGTGAATTCGGTGGACATTCTTGCGAGGTTCACGAAGCCGCCACCACAACAACCAAAGATTTTTTTGCAGCGTCAGTCCTCACGGAGGTCAACTCAGTCCGGGGGATCATCGAAACGCAAGCGATCATTAAGCCGGGAGGAGACCACCGAAGCTGAATATTCCATCAAAGGCAGAGCCTCGAAGCATCAGCATCGGTAGCCGACCTGCCAACGGAGCGTCCAGTCATGGTGACGTTATTTTCTTTGCGCTCTTCCCTCGAAGACATGCAGCAAAGAACGAGATTCTACGCGTTTAGGCGCACGTACGGAGAAGAAGATTTGTACAGAGACACGAGATACGCCTGATCCATCCTAGACACTACGGATGCGTCATATCAGGCCGCTGCATGCATGGTGACTGCAGAACACGACTTATGATACCCCGGGCATGGCCCTTGATATTCTGTTTGCATTATGAGGCAGCGATTGTGATGTGGTCCCTCGAGTGGTCGCGGCCTGGCGGAGTTCTACATGCACATCAAAGCAGGAGTTGTGTGCTGGTGGAATCTCTGCATTGTATCGACACACTGTACATAGTTTGCAGTCCTTCTGTCAAGCGATTTGGCATTGTAGCGTACGGAGTACTTGCCCGGTGGCACAGCAGCATGATGTGTTGTCACCATGAGCTGAATAAATGTGCTGGATATTGGTCGATGCTCCCCATTGATCTCCAAAGAGTACAAAAAGCACTCAGCAAGAGACCAAAGCCCAAAGGACCGTTCGTATATGTTTCCTCCTTCAGCTGCGCTGTCCCACGGACGGTCGCCTGCCACCAGACGGGGACCCGCAGAGATGATAATGCCAAGGCCAGCATGCTGACAAAACAAGGCTTGATTTCGGCAGGACGAATCGTATTGGGCGGTCTGGCACCCCGCCGAGTCCGGTGTATTCCGATTCTGGTTTAGCTCGGTCCACCAAGACCAATGCGTAGTCAGCAACATCAGGCCCCCGAATGTCCTGGACACAGCCAATATGTAACAGGACGTGGACGACTTTGTAAAATGGCTAAAGCTGGCCTTCTACAAACTGTCAAACAGCTGGAGTCAATCATGGGCTCTGCACCCGGACCAGATCTAGAGAAGGGAGGAACCCTCAGTCCCACAGCCCACGAGCATCACCATCTGCCTTTTCACCATGACCACAGCCACCACAGTCACCGTGGGAGACGTTTCCTGGAGTTTGTGCACCCACACACCGGCAAGACGCTCCTTGTCTGCCAGACTCCGGAGCAAGTCGAACGCAGAAGGACCGAGCTGCTACAAGAGAAGTCCGACCACGAGTTCGACGTGATTCTGCAAGGCTCGGCCGAGCATCTCGAGGCAATCCGCGACCTGCACGCACACCACGAAGCCAAGAGAGATCAGCTAAGGGAGCAACACGGCAATCTGTATGCGGATATTGAACATGTCAAGTCTGAGTTGGACGCTCTAGCTGCCGAGATCCATCACGTTACAGCGCATGCCGTGTCTCTTGACGCCTCGTTTGATCGTTATGGTTACTCGGCACATCTCAGGACGACCGATGACGATTCGGAAAAGTCGTCTATCCATGGTGATCATCCTTCGGCACAGGACAAGCACAAAGATCGCTCGGTCGAAGCTATCAACTTCTTTAGACGCCCTACGGTCCGCCAGGTAAGTGTCCTGCTCGCGTTGACAGCCTGCAACTGCTAAGGTCCTGGGCAGTACTTTCACAAAGGCCTCTTATGGAGGTCTTCGAGAGCCGGAGAAGTTGGGAGTTTCGAGCGTAAGTGATCCTGGACTCCTAGAACCACGACCGACTCGACGCCGCCGTGAAACCTGACGTGCGCTTTAGTCTTCGTGGATCTCGTCTACGTCGGAGTCATCGATATAGTGGGAGAGAAAGCTGCCGAGCACCCTGATGGCCTCTCCTTGCTCCAATTCGTCATCATCTTTTGTATCGCTTGGAAGATCTGGGCCGACCTGACCATGTGGATCAACTACTTCGAGATGGACGAGTATGCAGCCGGGCTCTATCGTCCGCGAGCGTTGCTGACGACCTATAGTATTTTCCAGAGGATATGTGTCATCTTCTACCTGATTTGCCTGTTCGGATTCACCACAAACATCTTTTATGCCTTCGACTCAACCTACACGTCCTGCATCGCCTTCTATGTCACGCAGCGGTTATTCGCTGCGACCTGGTTTGCGGCCGTGGCTCTCATCCTCCGTCAGGTTAGAGGTGCCATGATGATGACTGCCATCATCAATGTTGTTACTGCTGCCATCTGGATTGCCAGCATTCATGTGGAGTGGCCCGCTCAACTGGCTCCGATCGTCGTTGCCATATTCATTGACCTGTTCGGAAATGTTCTGTTGATTGGGATGATGAAAGCATCGGCGAACAAGAGGTTGCCGGACGTGATTGCACGGGCGTTCGAGTTCTTCCCTGCCATCAACATCGAGCACCGAGTGGAACGAAACAATGCATTTGTGTCGCTGGTAGGGCGGACCACTCTGTTGGGTGCTTGAACAGAAATTGACCGTGTGCACAGGTTTTCGGCTATTCTATTCTTACCATCTTGTTCCAGTCGAGAGCTTCATTCGGCATCAATGCATTCTTTGGAAAGGGGGTCCTTGGCTTGATTCAGGCATTCATGTTCAACTGGTAAGTTAGATGCCTCCTGCATCTGTGTTTACGGGGAGCGATAATTCATCTGCAACAGGATATACTTCGAGATCGACGCGTATCATGTCCACGTCCATGCCATTCGGAGACACTGGCTTTCCGCTTCCACCTGGGTCACCGCGCATCTGCCGTTCATTATGGGATACGTCCTTGCTGCTTCCACACTTTCGCGGCTAGTCTTGGCCCACGACTGCCCCGACGCGGACGAGCACAATCTCGGAGAGCACTACGAGGAAAACAGCGAGGCCGAGGTCTCCCGCGGGCTCCGATGGTTCTACTGTGGTGGACTGGGAATTGCCTTGATATCCATGGCTCTGATTTCATTCTGCCACATCCACAAACGACTGGAAAAAGCCCGCCTTCGGAAACGGCCTCGACTGATTGTTCGGCTGTGCGTGGCCGCCATCATCATCTGCCTGCCCACTGCCGAGGCGCTAAATTCTTTGCACCTCATCTCGATCACGACAGCCCTTGTCTTCGTCGTGCTGTCTCTGGACCTGTACGGCATGTCTTGTGATGTGAGTTTTACCCAAAGCCCAGGTCAGGCAGAGTTGCGCTGCCTCCGGATCTCCACAGTCGTATACCTTGCATGCTAACAGCCAAGCAGGGCGATCGGTTCTTCAGTGGCGGTTGGTGCGAGGAGTCCAAGAAGAGCTGTACCTACAGCGCCAAGTGCAAGCTGGGTCGGAGACGGCGGCAAGAGCTGGAAGAAGCTCTCCGAAAGGGCCAGAAGGTCTACCTGACCGATCTAATGAAGAGGCATTCAAGCATGAGTAGTCTGGAGAGCCAGGAGACGCGAGATGAAGAGTGGCACGGAGGACACTACTGAAGCCAATCCGCGCTTCCTCAATGTGACATGTCAGACTTGGTCCCAATCATCGCAGTGTTGTTGGATCCAGGCTCGCAACTCATGTCCCACGTCTCTCGTAGGTATCTAGGAGTGATGTATCGCCAGAGGACGGCACGTCGCCCCAAACATAGCCACTGCAAAGACACTGAGAGCGACCCTCTGCACAATTTGCAACTCGTGCGAGCTCCGAGAGCATGGCGTCGACCAATGGCCACCAACGAGAACACCTATATGCTTGATCTTCTTCATCCACCGGCTCGGCTGGCACACTCGGACATGAGCGGATAATCCCATGACTCTCACTCACCATAGAATTACCCAGCGCCATGCCCTGTGGGATCCATGTCGCAGTCGCGTATCAACGAGCTGGACCTTTGAGCTGATCATTCTGCTACTGTGGGCGTCAATCATGCGCCAGTCATCCAGCGACTCGGGGGTACCCTTCCGTGTAGATAACTTGACGTTGAGTGAAGGTGCAGAACCGATTACTTCTAGATACCTCACGCCTTCGCGCTGTTTGCTAAAGGGGCTCATATCTCCGAAGCCTATCACTATCAATCTCTGTTTTGTTGAATGCCATTTCCCTCACAGACTGAGGGAGGCACTTCCGCTGATCTGAATGGGAAGTATGGAGAGCAGGAACGAGGGTGATAGGTATATCTAACTTAGCCACAAACAAGCTTCTATGTCAATGTCTTTTGTTGGAATACTCACCGCCGTCGCAAGATGAAGGATTGGCAAAGTCATGCTTTCGTCCTAGTCGTCTCGTCTCCACGGCTCTGAACAGCAGTCTCCACGGCTCTGAACAGCAGAGCCCTCAGCACAACTGTTCCGGTTGAGCTCGTGCCTGGGCGCATCAGACGATCCTGCTTGACATTCGGTGCAGACCTGTCTGTCGAAGCCGAAAATGACACGGTTCCGACCGATCGGGAGACGTCGACGACTCAGCCTCGCGACCTTCCGAACCCGAAATTCCTCATTGGCATCCGAGCAGGGCGTGATTTCTTATGATAAGTGCCCTTACCCTTTCCTATTGATCTCGATATTTGTAAGACTCGCCCACTCCGTTCGGGTGAGCGCTTGTGAAATCCACCTCGACGAAAACGACTCGGATTCGATCGGGCTTTCAAGTCCTTCATGCGGCTTTCGTGCTCATTCCGGAGAAACACGTCGAGAGGCGTCTCCTCGCGGATAACGTCCCTGCGGAATAGAGGGTTTCCCGTCTGGTCTCGGATCGTGTGGGTGATGGGGGCAGATTCTGGGCGATATGCTGGCCGTGCGGCAGGGACGCCGTCCTCATCACAGTCCATTACATACTTCATCTTTGGTCCGTGGTTGAGATATGTCACTTCCGTGGTCCGGGCGCAAAGTACTGAGGAGCCTGCCTGTGATTTATTGTCCTCGAGATTTGCCTTCATGACGGTAGGCTCATGGTTTGAACAACGCTTGTTCTGCAGGGGGTTGATCTCTTCCTCCTTCTTCACCTTCTTCTTGGGTCTATGTGGACATTGACCCTTTTCATTCAGTCCGTCCAGGTCGTTGAAAGCTGCAGAACGGTCCCGCTTCGTTCTCTTCCGCATCAGAGGTTGCTGGGTTGCTGATACACTTCCGCCTGACGTTGGAGCCACCTTCAGAATCCTGTCGACATCTACGAGTGGGATTTTCCTTGCTAGTCGTACAGAGGCTTGCACTTTCCCAGGCATACGAGGATCTACAACGGCGGCTTCGACCGTGGCCCTCGAGATGTATGTCCGCGGTTAGATGCCGGCGTCAGCGACATTTGCGAAATTGAGGATGGAGGGAGGGAGATCAGGTCACCAATCATGATGTCTGGCGCCAGCGCCGGTTGCTTCTGTCTCAGGGATGGAGAAGTGGTTGGCTTGGTGCCCGTTGACGGCTGTTGCGAGCTTTTGAGGTGCGTGGCAGCTACCACAAAAGACGGTCGATTGCCAGATAGCTTAGCTTTTGATTGTGGAGGGTTCATTGTTGCGTCCGGAGTCTGGCCATGACGGTGCTTCGTACGACTCCTGCTCCTTTGGTTCTTGCTTCGCTTCTTCCTCGCGTCGTCCCTATCTGGCTGGTCGCTCCGTACAGCATCGTGTGTCTTTGCAGATCTGGAAACCATGTCCTTCCTATTAACGCTCTGTTGATTGTCATGGTCAGTAGTACGACGGAGTATGCCGGTTGAAGGGCGCTTCTCGGAATTCGACGTCGAAATCGTACACCCCAGAGCAGATCTGTCGACCACACTCGTGCCAGATTCCGTAGGCGGTACTGAGTCTTGTAGAAGTCTCGTGTTAGAGTCGACCTTGTCTTGATTCGTTTGACCATGGCCCTTGGTCTGCTGTGCCTCTGATACTGTGCCACCACCAGAAGCGCTATTTGGGGCGACAACAGGGGCCTTTGCTTTCCCCCACTGACGCCCAACAGCGGGTTTAGCGGACGGGAAAGCGTCGTCAACTCTTGAGGGAGCAAAAGAAGAGCGCCGCTCGCATCTGTTGTTGATGACAATGGCTGGCTTGCTGAGCGGCACTGGACAAATAGACTTGCTGACGAAAGGTATATCGGCAGGCTTTCCAGTCGCTGCGATGGTTCGCTGGTCCGAAACTTCCGTCGTTATCTTCGCACCGTGTCCTGTTAGCGGCCGTAGCCGGCCATCAGCAGCATTTCCAGCACCCTGTTCATCAATCACAATAGGGTGACCTTTCACGCCGGCCACTAGTTCTTCCCCCTTGCTGCCTGAGTTGCAGGTTCTATTCGTCGCCCGAGGCGAACAGACATGGGTGATCCAGCGAGAGAGGCTAAGTGGGCGGCTTAGCCAATTGGTAAAGCCGCCGAAAACGCCTTCACCAAGGACTTGAATCGGGGGCGACATCTGTCTCGTGCGGCCTGAACGTGGGCTAGAAGACGGAAGACGTTGCCTGACTGTGCACAGTCGTTCTGTTGGCTGTGCGCCTGCGTCTGAGTCGGTGACACTTTGACCACCATCGTCGACACCTTCCCCGTAGTTTTCAGGCTGAGTATCGTTGGCCTTGGTGCTTTCAAGATGACAGTCGGGAACAAGAGATGATGTAGTCCTTAACTTTCCTCTTGCTTTCTCAGACAGTACCTTGTCGACGGTCCTTCGCGGACTAATCGAAGGAGCGGCACCGAGCTGGACTTGGCCCGTGGTCCCCTGCTCCTTTCTTGAAGCGTTCTGCTGTCTGAATATGGACGACTGCTGCTGTGTATTTCCCCGACATTCATACTCGCCCCTCAATCTCCTTGCCAACTGAGCAAGACGGCATGGTTGCTGTAAATTACACTTCAAGAGAGCACGCGCGATAATGGCTGTGGCATCAAGAGGTGTCGCCGCGAAACAGAGACCATAATGCAGAATTTGTGCAAGCAGCCATACATATTCCTGTTCCTCTAGTGCACGTCCAGCATTGGGATCCGGCTCGGCATTGGGGCCCAAAATTGACGGTCGAATTCGATTCTCAAGGTCATGAACAGGCTCACGCGATATCCAAAGTTGCCCGGAGTCCTGCGGGATAGCTACCTGCAAGCCGCGACTGGGTAGCCATCTCCAATTCGCATCCCGAGTCAAGTGTCTCATAATGCTCGCTTCCATGTCATTGAACCTCACGGACTTGCCCAAAGTGCTTTGAAGCAGCTGAAGCTCCTGGGACTTCTTGGAAGCTAAGACTTCCAAGTGCTTCTGGTCCATACCGAATGATGGTCAGGTCTGGTCCAGCACAGGAATACCAGAGAGATTGAGATTCCGGGTTTCCATGAGATCCTAGAGAGTCGAGGCTTCGAGGCAGGGTGGTAGATGCAACGCGAGGTCTGGAGGGAGAGGACGAGGCAAAGTTGGTCAATGGTTGTCCGATATTGGTTGTGAGTAGAAGACGAGCGGTCTGGGGCGCCCTATTAAATATGTGGGACAATTTAAAAGGCCTTCTTCGCCACTTGCTCCGGTGTCGCTCACCTTGGAGAGATGTCAGCCTCGAGAGCGTATAGAAATGTCTCGTAATTGAGGCTGTTCCCTGCTGCCGACCTTCGACGATGCCGGTATATTCATCGGACTGTTGAACGTGAGACCCCCAGGCCGCGCTGAGCGAGACAGCTTGCACCCCAGCGACTGCGAAGCGAAATTCTCAAGAACGACCAAATGCGGAAGAGAATTATGCATATCCACCTTCACGTGGAATTGGGTGTCCCAGAAATTCTCTGTGGGAATATCAGATCGTTTGCCAAGGATCGACAATGCTGAGGCTCTTGAGGGTGAAGATTCTGGACGGGCGTGTTCGCGAAGTGAAGTCAAGGGCGGAGCGAGCGCTCCTGGGGAGACGGAGTCGCATCGCTGGTCGACGTCCATAGACGGGCTGGCGAACTCACTCGCGTTGGATGGCATTGACGGCGTTCCGCTCGCCACGAGATAGTGACCTTGTCGCTGTCGACCGTGGTTTGGGCTCCATCAGACTCAACCTGTGGCTTCATACTGAGCACTGGTCAACAAAAATACAGCTTAGCTCTTGGGAAGGGAAAAGCGAAACAAGACGGTGCCAATCCTACGACAAGATGAAAGCTGATCACCTGTATGCATTGCCTTGAAGGTCGCTTCCCTGTCGTCTCCAGTGACGTCGAGCCCTACGAATTGCTCGTTGATTCCTAACTCTCCATGCCCCATTTTTCGCCGATAGTCCGAACCTTTCAAGCGATACAAGGCTTAATCACAACCCAAAATACACTACACTCACTCTACCCACCCAAGGACGCCCTCATCTCCTTCGCCCGCCTTGAGACAACCGGCATGATCTGCAAGGCTGGGTCCGCCGGGTCCCGTTCCGCAATTGTCATGTATAGTCGCTCCAGCTTTTGGATCAGCGAGCTCAACAATGCCGGGGCATGTTGTGCCAGGTCAGCGATCTCAGGATCCTGCAAAAGGGTGTCAGCAGACATCATAACGTGGACGAAGCAAGAACTTACGGAGAGGTCGACCGAGCTGAAAGCGGCTGAGATCCACTCAAGACGTTGAGCGGTGTTGGTGGTTAACGAATTTCCGATCGTGACGGCAATCGAGAAAGCAATGAGTGGAGACACATCACTCGAGAGATATTCTGGAGTGAAGTGGATGAACAACTTGTCGAACAGATCCGACTGCTGCGCTGACTGTAGCCATTTTATCGAAGCTTCCTCATAGCGGCCGTCGTTCATCAGGTGGCTAATTTCGTCAAACTCAAGTTCCTCCCGAGTCTTCTGCCGAGGAATGGAAGCTCGAGAGATAGCTCGAGGCGACGGCGTCATACGAGCCGTTGACACTTGTCGAGACCCAGGCACCGAACTACCCTCGTCAAGAAGTGCGAGCTGGCGGCGGTCCTTCAGGATCTGGCCCTGAAATGCGACCTGTGTATCGGACATCTGTTGCAACGTTGCTGCCGTAGCCTGAAGAACTTCACCAAGCTTTTCAAGCCTGCTCATGTCGTGGCGTCTATCGTTTTCCAACTGGCGAATCTCGTTGCGAAGGCGCACCTCAACCTCAGACGCCGCCTTCTCAGCCGTGGCTAGAGCAAGCGTCTTGAACGCAGGTACAACTTGCCTCTCCAGAATATCATTCAGCTGACTTTCCATCTGTTTCGCGATCTTGGGCGAGATCGTGTCTGCTATCGCCCGAGTCATATTAGGATTTTGAAGGGCTGCATTGATGGCAGGAGGGAGCTGAGCTCGCAGCTCATGAGGCACCACGGAATGTAGACTTTTCGTGACGGCGTCTCCGACTTGTCCAGTGACTGCTTGTACCGTCGCCGTGGTCAGCGCAGGAATCATAGATTGGTCCATCTCGGTGGAGAGTATGCGAGACATTGCCTTCTCGACATTGTTGCTCAGGGTTGTAGAGACAAGTCGAAGCAGAGCTTCCTGGCGGGCGACCGCTGCAGAATCCTGCGCAACTCTATCATTCTGGATGTTTTGCTGCAAAACACCCAGCTCCCTCCGGAACTCTGTGGACACCGCCTTTTCGACCTTTTTGAGTTCTTTGTCGAGCCAGTCACCCGAGATGCCGACAGTGACGGCTTCCTGTTTAGCCATTGCTTCGGCCGTGGATGGGGGAGGTGCTGCCACAGATGTGGGCGCCTCAATCGGCACAGGGTCCGTGCCCAGAGGGGCAGACGGCGAGGATTCGGCGGCTTTCATAGGCGATTCAGTGGTTGGAGTAGCTTTTTCAGGGACTTGCGAATCGACGACTTGGGAAGCTTTCTTTTTGCTCTTCTTACTCTCCTTTATTAGAGGGATCTCCACCTTTGTCGGTTCCGACCCGTTGCCTAGGGTAGGAATAGGAAGGGGTTTGGGAGGCACTGCTTCTTCGACTTGTGTAGCCTCGGGCCGTTCAGTGGATGTCGAGCTCTTCTTGCCAGATTTCTTCTTCGAGCTTTTGGTCGGCTGTGGCGTTTCCTCAATCGGGCTGCTCTCTTGGGGCCCCTCTTCAATCACACTGCCTAGTCGCAGTTCCTTCAGAGTGACATAGCCTTCGTCCGCAGCATTAACACCATGCACAACCTTGCTACTGGCGTCCCAGCCAAGGTCGACTTTGGCGATATTGAGGCATGTGACCCCCTTGGAGTGCACAATATAGAGCTCGAAGAGAGGCTTGTGTTCATCGAGATTCTTCTGCGCCTCGGTGGTTCGCTGAATGGGCAAAATCTCGACACTCCTCAGCTGGCCTTTTCCGGCAAATGAGATTTCGCGGATGCCACTCATACAAGCAGTTGATTCGGGCTTGGGGAGTTCCGGGTCTTTCTGGGCAATACGCTGAATGTACGCCGCCTGTGATAGGGTCGTAGCCAATGTGTATCTTGGTGCAGATAGGTGGATGAAGAAGAGCGAGTTTCGAGTTGGGTGTCCGACCACGATAATGCCACTGCTAGCGTGGTAGCACACGCTGCAGATAGGGTCGGTCTCGTTCTCGTGAGGGAAATTGAGCTCTTGCACAGCCTTTCCTAAGGCAATGTCCCAGAGCTGCAGCGTATGATTCTGTCGCAGCCCAACCAAAACATAGCGCAGCGCTGAGCCTTTGTTGTATGGACGGACCTTGTCAACGAATGTCACCGAGGTTGGCCATGACTTTTCGGATGGTGATGCAGTCGAAAGAGACAGAAGTGGAGAGTCTACAGTCATGCCTGCCACACGAGCTGCACTTGCATTGGAATCGTCAATCAGCTTGCGAATGTCCCAGAATCGAAGTCGTCCGGTCTTATCCAGTGACACGACAAGAGTGTCATCCTCGCTGAAGGTGAAATCCTTTCCGGCCTTGCCAGTGGCAATCTGCAACGACCGTTCCTGGAAGAACTTTTCCACATCGACTTTTCGATTGTGCCCTTCAACGCCGTAACGGGGAGATAGTGCAGTCGCCGGCCAGACAATATGGATTGCTTTGCCGCGTCCAATAGCGAAGAACTCTGGATGCCGCGAACTCCGCTTTGCACGTGTCTTCAGCACGCCTCCAGCAGTGTTCTCGTCGGCGGAAGGATAGGGAGGGAAAATGAGACTATCAGTATCCAGCGCGTTCTTCTCAAACAGATCATTTCCATCCTTGGTGATGGTTGCATAGTACACCGTGCCACTGACACCAGTTCCGAGAACAGTTTGATCATCGCTTGGTTCCCCAGGAGGAGAGGATGTGCAAAGGGCGACATTGAAAATGCGGTCACCGGAGTTCTTGAACACTTGCCTGTCACTACCATCATCTTGTCTGATGATGCGCATGCCGCCGTTCTTAACCAACGCGTAGGTGATGTACTTTGAAGTTGCTGCTGCCAAAGAACGATCCAGTTGGTCGAAGTCCTTCTTCAGTCGCGAAATTTCCATGACACCATCCTCCCTAATGCCGACTTCTGCAGGTTCAAGGAACTGCAAGTTGAGTGACACGAACGGCTTTATGGGGAAATTGTAGACAGGGACAATTCTGGCATCTTCTTTGTTCGGCGAAACCTCCATATCTTCCCATTCATCCCCGCCGTCAGGCGACCGAGCAACAGCCTTCTCCACTTCAGAGAGTTCCCCATTCTTTGCCTCAGAGTGAGCTTCCTCGAGAGTCTCTATTATTTTTTGCTCTTCTTGCTTGACTTCTGGAGGGGCAGAGGCCAAGATATCCTGCACCGGAGCGGCATCTCCGGCGCCAGACTCCTGTTTTGGAGGCGACTGATCGACTGAGGCCTCGCGCGAGAGAGTCGCATTCCTCGATCCCGAGGGCAGTCTAGGCGTAAGAATCTTTCTCTTGGCGACCTGCTCGGTAGTAGCCACGCGTGAAGTAGGGGCTTCGGCACCGTCAGGGCCACCTTCCACACTAGGATGCGGGGTCTCAGCACTGAGCACTGTGGGCACAGACGTCCCATTCCCGGGTGTCTGTGTGCGAGAGGCCTTCAAAGAGGTGTGTAAAGCTTCGAAAGGATTCGTGTACGTAAAGAGCGGCTGGGACTGCGCCGGAGGCTCGCTTGCTAGAACAGGAGTATCAACAGGGTCTGAGTGAGGAGCGCTGGTCGAGGTAAACAAGGACTCGACAGCAGTAGCGTCTCTTGACTGCGGTCGCTCAACAGGAGCCGGACGTCCACCAGCGGAACTTCCAAGATGTACCTTGCTCAAAAGTTTCAGGAGAGCATCTTGCGAAGCATCACGAGAATTCGTAGAAGACGAACCATCGCCACCTCCGTCCTGATCTTCTAGATTGAACGGAGCCCTGAGTGCTGGCCGCACTTCGGCGGGTGGAGACATAAATTTGGCGACAAGATCAGACGCTGAAGCCGATTGCTCCTGTCTTGGCGCCTGAAGTGCTGGCAGCTTCCCATTCTGTCCTTCTGAGACGACATGCGTAATACTAGCAGAAGGTAGTCGCGTCGAGGTGGCATTCGAGTGTGTTGAGGCGGAAGGTCCAAAATTGAGCAAGTTCAGTAGAGACTGCGCAGAGGCAGAGGGTGCTGATGCCACGGGTTGTGCCATCTGGCTGGGGTAAGAACCCTCATTCGCGACATAGGTAGGACGTGGAGGAGGGCTTGATGGAAGCGGCGAGACGCCATTGAACGGCGAAGGCTGGCCAACATTGTTGGAGGTGTGGGATGGGGCAGGAGAATCGCGAGGCTTTGGCCTCAGGTTCGCAAACAGAGCTTGCAAGTCGTTGGTCGACATGATTCCAGTCAATCGAAAGGACGTCAAGCTTGTGAGCTGACAGTTTGCGTCTAGCTCAGGCAACAGACGAATTTGAAAGCGCAGTCCTCGTTTCCCAGATGCTACACCAGGAAAGCTGAGGATAAAGCAAGAATGAATGGCAGCACCGACAGTGCAGTGGGAACGATGTCTTCAACGACACGTTCCGGTAAATGTTTGATGATGCAGGCAGATTGAGGTCGGCTGAGGCTGGATGAATCGTGAAGGAAGCGCCTCTCAAAATTTCTCCGCAGTCTGTCGCGCAAAGCTCCCGCCACTCCAACTTCGATGATGATTCCCATCGAGCGCCAAGACGCCACGACGGACAGCCTTGCCGTCCTGCACACCGTAAGCCGCATCACCATAACAACCTGCAGGTGCCTCACCTGGCCCGAAGGTACTGTCCTCGTACGGATACCTGGCTCTCTGTCTATTCACATCATGATAACCCATAGTTAGCTTGTGAGAGCTCGTAACAATACAGCCAAGCAGACAGTCTCTGCGTCGGTCCCCACACCACAAAGGGATTCACCGTTTCACTCAAGACAGCAGCCGAGTTCCCGTGGCCATGAGCACCTCTCACTTCAGATTTTACAGGTAGTTATATTATTTGAGCTCAATGTGTATTAAAGTCCCACACATAGACCGGTCGACGGAAATAAGATGTAGCCAGAGGTTACACCCTTCACAGATTTACGCTCAGCACGCGAGATATCAGCGTAGAGGTTCACGTCGTTGGAAACCCTTCTGTTGCGCCCCAGTCATGCCGTTTGAAGCCGCTGCCTCCAAGGATGTCTTCTCAGGCGCAGGGATCTGAATAGCTCGACAACGATCTGTTCGCTGATTCAACCTTACCTTGTTTGTGTTTAATTCACCTGTGGTACAGCCCTCAGACTATCCCCTGCAGCGGAGATGGGATGAGAGGCAGAAGTGAAAGAGCATCAACACTGAGGTTACGATGAGCTGCAAGGACCCATGTACTAGACAGTAGGTACAATAATCCGCTATCCAGAACGGGTTATCATCAAGGATGACTCCTAAGTGTAGTGCACTCATTACTCGCACGATCTTAGAGCTGATGCGTCTCGTCGAAAGTGAGCCTCAGAATCGGGCAATGGCCCTCCTGTCACGTTTACAAAAGGACGCTCCTGCATAAGACGTCGAGAACGTCTTTGTTTGGGTGTGGCTTGGTGCAGGTGCGTGCCAGTCACCGTCATTCACGTGCATGTCCACCTGCGCCTGCACGTCGGTCCTTGGCCCCCAAAACGCCTTGAAAGTTGACGCAGCCCTGCGTTCGTTTCCTGCACACCAGGTCAGATCTACCACAGTAACCATACATCCGCTCACTACACAGTACAAACAAGGCAGCGATTACAAGCCAATGTATTGTCTACGATCGTACGTCTCCATCTGGTGCATTCTTCCCGTCCCATTCGAGCACCGCGACTGACAACAGACAAACACAGCTACCTGCCGCTTCTCCTCCTCCCGCTCCCGCTCTCCCTCTCACCAATCCACCTGATCCTGCTTCTCTTCCTAACATACATCGTCAATCGACCATGCATTTACTGCTCTTTCCTGCTCATCATCCTGTTCGCATCTTCGTGCCACTGGTCAAATCGTTGTTTCTTCGACTTCCCCTCGTACAACACCGATAACGAGGATGCGGCAAGCACCATTGCGGCCTGGTTTACGCCGAGGCTGTACACGACGAGTGTTTCCATGAATGGGACGATGCAGGCGGCCAAGAGCACTGTGGCGGAGGAGATGAGCGAATTTCTGGCGGATGTTGCACAGTCGACGATATCTGGATTGGCGTGTGCAGTGAAGGAGTCGGCGATCGACTTAATCGATGGAGCGCACCGAGTCGTCGCATCTACTACGCACACCGCGACAGTTGCATCGTCACCCATCGCGTCACTTGCTGATACTGGCATCGGAGCGCATTGGCTGCGACAGCTGCTTGGAAGGTCGGAGTGGACGTTACCTTGCGTCGGAGTCAAGGTGGTACTTTGACCCGTCGCAACACAGAAAGTTTATGAGCAATGACCTCGAGGATCACGTTTGAGCATGCTATCCTTTCCAGCATGAAATACTCCACAAAGACGTGGATATGCATCCACGCAAAAGCCAGCGGCTTTCAGCAGACCTGGTCCACTACCACGGCAATATGGCATGTCAATATCTCACAAAGTATATTCTAGTCTATGATGAGATGGCTTCTGGGGACGCAGCACCGCGGAGCCCACGTTCAGCGAAGATCGCTCCGATCTTTCCCTATAATTACGGCCTGCTTAGGCTAGGGTATCCGAAGCCCCAGGGGAAAATGCCACCGGTACGCATTACACATTGCACAAAACGCCAAACGCTGCGTTCAAGTCGTCAAGCTCGCCAACCCAGCCTTTTGGTCCCTTTTCGCCATCAAGTGGTGATAGAGAAGTGGTACAGTCCTCACTCAGTGGACAGTTCGCGTGGTGCAGTGGCTCCAGAATACTCGGGAGATAGCTGCAAATCCCAATCATGGAATGATGACCCGTGAGGAAGCAGATGGCTTCCAGTTCGCTCTTCTTCCAATCCTGTATCGAAGCTGGCCTTTTCCGATCATTGCATTGGCCAGTCATCTTCGGTAATTGATGACCAGAACACGAAGATCGCAACGACGCTGAGTAGGGTGAAAAGTGTCTCAAAGAGCGTCCCGTTGATTTTGCCACTAGTCCCGTTGCATATATGCACCGAAACCACATACATGAAGATTTGGCCAATGGCGAAAAATAGGACTGCGACGACGAGATAGATCATTGGCTTCGTTTCCCCGAGGACCTTCAGAACCAAGAAGGCTTCCAGGACGAAGAAGAGGAACATGAAGACCAATGGCGCGAGCTGATATAGCGTGTAGAGCGCGTAGTGCTGATGTGGTGGTTGTAACGAGCTGTCCCAGAAACCACTCCAGGAGAAAGCCGTGTCGAGCGCGATATAGCCGGTGCCGATGAACAAGGCTAGAGCGCTGAGTCCGATCAAGCCAAGTGATAGCGCTGTGCCGTCGTCAAGGAACTGGTAGCCCACCACCGCATTCATGAGTAAGATCCACGTAGTGGCGACGATGGCCGCTATGTGGACGGCTGTAAACGCTTTCCGCACGTCATTGTCCAAGGGAAATCCTCCGACGGTGAATATTTCGCATATCTCGATAACCAAGTAGCCTGCCAGGAATATCTGCATTTCTCGACGGCCGACAGCAGCCGCTTTTCTTTCTGCTCTCCATAGCAGGAACAGTGTGACCAAAATTGCGAGGCCCGCAAGCAGTATTGACCCCAAGTTGGCGAGGTTCCTGTTGTTGCTGAGTGTTATGCCGCGAAGGACACATCCGCCGTATGCGAGCTCGGGCGGCTGATTGTTGGCGACGAGGATCTGGAGGCAGTCAGAAGGGTGAATGTGGTTACCGGTGGAGGTGAAGTCTCACATTGCATATCGGTAGTGTTGAATCTCTGCAGAAGTTCTGCGACTCCGAGTCAGCAAGCCACCACGCGTTCAGAGTGTTAAGGCTCCTACTTGGAACTTCCCATACTGTGTTCCACCCATCTTACAGCTCTTGCGAGAGCCGCAACGTCAAGGACAGCCGTTGAATGGTTAGGCTGTCGACAATAATTACGGACTCGAAACCTGTAACACCATGCACGAGTACTGATGATTTGTGAGGGGTGGCTCAGTCCGAAATGGGCGCAGACTCAATTGAGGTGCACTCGAAGGCGGCAGATGCGTGGGAAAACTGTCGAACGGTAGTTGAGTCTGTGAGACAATGTGATATTTTTGGACAATTGCGAGAAGAGCGGTAGAAGATGATGTCGCAAGAAGCAGGATTGGCTAGTAGCTCACAGCTGCTGCAGGAAGCAGAAAAGTTGGCAGGGCGACTTGGTGTCGTCTTCGGCAATTATGGAGCCCTTTCTCGCCTTTTGGGCCTCGGAGTGGTGGAGGCACTCGAGGGTGGCAGGAAGATGCTGCAGGCTGCAGATCAGGAACGCAAATCCTCAGTGGTCAGCGAATGATACGGGTCACCGTTTCTTCGCTTTGATGCACGATATGAGACCGGGCGAGTACGAGCAAACAGAGAAGATGATGAGCGAAGTCACAGGAAGACGCGAAGGCGACTCAACCTTCAGAGCTCTTGACTACTGTGTAGATTGCTATGTCACCCTGGGAAAGAACGATGCTCTCAGTGGACGAGCGCAGCGGGAGGAACCTGGAAGTGGGCACCGAAGCTGGTCTTTCGATGCCTGCCCAGCCACGGCACGTTCAACCAGCGGAGATTTGAGCTCCTTTGCTTTTTAGGCGACATGTGGCTTGCTTCGGTTGCGACAGTCCACGCCACGCTGATCAGGACGTACTTTTACTCGGAACAAACCTGAAACCGATAGAGAGATAAGTATCGTCTTACAGGGCCGGTTCAGATACCCGAGAATTCGTCATTATCGATCATAGCAAGCCGCAGCAGCAGCAGTGGACAGACAGTCAGGTAACCATAACGAGCAACAGCAAGCGGAGCCGCTCAGAAAGTGCTATAAGTCATCGCGGATGGTGAACGATACCACATTTCTCCATCCTAGGAATCGGCGTGGCAAAGTCGTTCTCGATGGTTTTGGTAGCATGCCCAACGCATACACCAGTTTTGCCGATATGCCGTTTGTCTTGCCATTTCAACCGTGCTCACCCGGCGGCGGCGGCGGTGCGGTGTTCTCGTCACACTTCTGCCATCTCGTGGATCAGTCCAATATGAGACCTTATGACGCAGCACCCTTATTTGTTGAAGAAACAGTGCCGAGAAGAGACGTTGTGGCGAAGGGGTGAGCCAAAGATATAGCCATTGTCTACTCCGTAATGAGGGAGAACAAATGCCTAGACTAGTTCATGTACTCCGGACGTTGATTAGCCTGGCCATCTTTCAGGAACAGGAATGGGCCCACGGAAGCTGATAGTCGCAACCTGTGAAGCGCAGGTAGCGCATGCTCGACCCAACGACTTGTGATCGGACCCAAAATCGCACAAGATGTTAGGCTGATCGACGGTACTGTATTCTCGCGAGCCATTGGAGAGTTCTTAGTGTGGCCGCCAGCATGACTGAAGAAGGTCCTAAGAATTCTTCTCTGCAATCAAAGAATCAAATGCAGACACACTCCCGACGAAGCGAGAATGCTCTTTACCACAGTGCTCTGAGCACGCCGCAAAATACTCGGCAGACATGCCCCGTCAACGAAGCCGATTTAGCCTCGGATAGATCCGGCGCATGCACCTAAGCTGCAATTCCTGCAGGGCTTCATTTCACTGTCCTGTCACTTGCATATCAGCTGCACTTCGACTAACTCCTACTTCTACAGTGGCTCGCAACAAAACCACCCATAGTGTAAGAGGTTTTCAGCATGCCAGGATCAGGATCTAGCACTTGAAGTATCCTTGCGCCCGCCATATCTCCCCTCGTTCGCACCAGACTCCTCACTCTCCATCGCCAGCCAAGGGCTGCCATTCCCCACCATGCCTGCAGCCTCGAGCAAACCTCGGCCCCGCCGCGTACCTCGATTCCGGTACCAAAACGATGATAGCGCTTCCGACGAGGATTTCGAAGAATACCTCATCGCAAAGACTCGCCCTGCTCGCGCTGCTCGTCGAGTCCGGACATATCGAGAATCGAGCGATGACGACATTTCAGACTCATCCGCTGTCGAGACGGACAGCAGCCAGGAATCGAGACTACCAAACACGCAATCTCAGACAATTGTACGGCCACATCGCCCGAAGAGAAAACCACTAGCAGTGCCATCGAGAAAGAGAGACGTTCCAAACAAGAGGCCGAAGATCCAACCGTCTCACAGTGTGAGAAAGTCGGCCGACGTGGTCGCCGGGGCTTCGAAACCATCCACACACGCGCGCATACCGCCATGGCAGACATTGCCGTATTTTGTGTTGGTAAACATCATGCAATATGCTGCCTACCCTCTCTATGGCCCCCTGTCGAGGCAACAACCTTCGATCAACTGGCTTTGCACGACGGGAAGTCTATGCCGATCTTTCCACGATGCTTGCATGGCAACTCTGCTCTACAGTCCTCCCCTGTACCCACTACAACGAGCCCGAGGCCTCGTGACGCTACTTAAGCAGGAGCAGGATCATCGGGGGCCCCTTTCCACTTCCTTCAGGTCGAAAATCCGATATCTGGACATCGAAGTCAAGCATCTTTTAGCGAAAAAGGGTGGAATTTCTTTGGACGATTTAATACCACTGACTCCACAACTCCAAGGTATACGTCTTTACTCCAACTATGATGACATGACAACAGTGATTTGGGCCCAGCCGGAGTCGAAAAAGGTGCGCTGGACTTACCCGCTTGATCTTATCACACACTTGGAGCGTAATAACGTGGTCTTGAGAAGCTTTGACTGGAATGGGAGGTTTCCGAACACAACAGATGTCCTTAAGGAGGCGATGGCTGCCCACTCCAGGCCGTCTTTCAAGCATTTGCACGATCTGACTTTTCTCAATCTTACTCTCCCCGAGAAGACGGAGAAAGCTGATATCGCCTCTGCACGGAGCTTCCTTGCGGTAGCATTGAAGAGTCTCTTGGCATTGCGGTCTCTGTGTTTCCGAAACTGCGGTATGGTGGATCAAATCACCATGCCGATGCTGCCTCCCGGGCTGCTCCGCTTGGAGCTCACAAATTGCTCTCATCTGACCTCTGAAGTTCTCGAGGGATACTTATCCTCGGCAGGACATGGATTGCAGTCACTTATACTCAACAACAACCAGTCCATGGATTTGGGCTTTATGGCCAATCTCAAGAGTCTGTGCCCGAGTTTGCAGCGGCTCGAGATCGATATGGTGTACATTGACCCGTCATGGTGGCATGATCGTGACCCTCTTTTTGATGAGCTGTTACCTAAGGGACCTCCGACGTGGCCGTCCCAGCTCATCACTATTTCTATCGAAAACATGCGGCAACTGACTGCAGCAGCTGCTGAAAAGTTCTTCACGTCGCTGGTGGACGCCTCTGAGGATTTGCCATTTCTGAAGAAACTCAGCCTCAAAGTTATTCTAAAGGATGCCAGCTGGCGTGACCGTGCGAAAATGAGACAGAATTGGATGCCTGTGTTTGAAAATGTTTTTCTCAACAAGGACAAGCCGTCCAATATTGTCAGCAAAACGTTAAGCTCCAGAAGGTCAGCCAGCGTGTCACAGCGGCAGAGTACACGAATCGCAAACGGCCGTCTCAAAGAGCTCAGCATGAGCGAGAACAGCGACGAAAGTGATGCTCCAACGCCGAAGATTGCGCAAGCCAGGTGCGATGTTGTTGATTTGATCATTTCCGACCAGCGTCCGGCTGAGACACAATATCGTGAGAATGACTTTCTCGACAGCGAGCCAAGTGACGATGAAGAGTACAGGGAATGACGATAGAACAACCCTATCGAACGATTCATTGACAATGGAAGGGATAACGAGGGTATAACATCATAACGACCGCCATGAGGCTGTGGACATCTCATGAAGCATATGCCTCTTAGATAGGTATTTTGATAGTACCATTTTTGGAGCCAAGCACAAGGATTGGGCGTGTACATCCAGGGCACCTTGGAAATAGTCCAGCAGTCTCCGACACGGCATACGAGTTCTGTCCGTCCTCCTACTGAAGCATAAATCCAGTTATCACAAGTTTACCCAGACGTCCCGGGCAGGGCAGGACTCGCTGAGTCGGTTGGTGTAGCGCATGTAGAAGGAAGGGGCTTACACTGCCAAATTCAAAACATCCAGGACGCGGTCTCTTTGAACGGTGTCCCTTCTGCTGCTCGTTCGCGTCGTTGGATCCCCCGGGGGTGCTTCGATTACATCCCCAACGGTGTTACGCCCTACTCGCCTTCTTTGCTCGGCCCGTTCAATCCTTGATGCCATCAACCCGACATGCAGTTCGATGGGTGGCGGGATATTGCTGAAAGGGCCTTGGGGCCCGGTAATCATGCATACTGAGCGGACAGGTATTCTGGGGCTATCGTAATCGTGCATCTGCCGATGAAAGACTGCCCTGGCAGTATTGCGCAAGAAAGGATGTTCCGAAAGAGTACCTCAGCTCTCGCTCTTGACGAGGCCCAACTACCGCAAACTGCCCTCCGGCTTGACCCCAACGGCCGTGGGATGATGCGTTTTCTGATACGCCCACGTCTGGGCGTAGGTAGTAATCAGTGCTGGCAGCAAGCTTCGAGCGTCTGAAGGTATCCGAATCCTTGTCAACAGGTGCTCAAGAGGCGCCGGGCACCTTGGAACTTACAGTCAGAATCTTCCTCTAGGTATGAGAGGGAGACCCATGGCGAAATGGATGTGCTCGGGCAGCACTTCAGAAGCAGACGGACCACGAGAGAAGCAGATTCCAGAGATGTCGGCAAAGTTGACACGCAGGGAGAACATGCAGGAAGAACACGCACAGAAAACGCAGGGGCATGATCTTGGTGGAATGCAGTATCCTTTTGGCAATATCTTCTTTGGGTCTTCTCCTGGTATTTACAAGTTTTACAGAACCCACTGCACAACGAAACCACGCCTTCTTCAGACCTTCAGGCCAATCTCTTCTGCAAAAGGTAGTCTGAAAAGATCTCCAACTGCTGATACGGACGCCTTGCTCTCCAAGAGGTCCTTCGCCGCCTGCAGGATAGTTAGCATTGGAAGGTGCGGTGGAAACGATTCTTGCGCTTACTGCCTTGACCTTGTCCGCCGACACCTTGCTGATTGATGACCCGATCTCGTCAATTTGGAAAGGCGAGCCACCTTCGATCAGACCGTTGCCAGTTGCCTCGAGCCCAGCCTGTGTCTGCTGCCCAGCTTCAAGCGCCCTGTACTTGGCTAGTGCAATCGCCTTCTTCATATCCTCCTCCGCGACGTCACCACCAGCGACCTTCTTGAGCGTCTCGACAACTTCTTTGCTCGCTTTTGCGATCTGAGCCGCGTTGCCGGTTAATGTTACGTACAACAGGCCAGCGTCCGAATACCCGGCGTGTTGGGTAGAAATGCGCACGCCGGGGAAATTGTCCGCAGTTCTGGCGAGCAAAGAGAAGCCAGGCGACCATTTGATAGTGCTTTCTCCTCCAAGCAAGGCGGCGAGCACAGCGATTTCTGGCTTGTAGGTCGAACCAGCCGTAAATGAACTAGAGCCTTCGAAACCGATAATCATGACGCTGCCAGATCCATGGGCAATTCTTTCTTCACCACCGTAGTATTTTGAGGCCGGGCCAGAGAGCTTAGAGCCGCCCCGAACGTCTTGAAAGAACTCTCCCACCCATTTTGAGAACTCCGAATGACTGGCTCCGTTGGCGACGACAGCGATGTTCTCCTTCGTGTACGCACTCTCGCTAAACTTGGCAATGTCTTCTGCGTCGAGATAGCCGAGCTGTGGTACCGAGGACGTCGCATACAATGGTTCACCGAGTCCGCGATGGAATGCAACGCCGTGGACGGAGTTGACGGCCAGAGACAAGGGGCTTCCCAAAAGACCTTTTTGCGCCAACTTCATGACATTAAGAACCTCTTCGTCCAGTTCGTGTGCTGCAAGGAGTTAGAAAGACTGTCCCACGTATTGTTGTTCGGTATACGAACTTGTGTATCGGGTTTTGCTTATAACTTCTCCCAGCAGCTCAGTGAAATAAGGCAGATCTTCTCGGAGGAATTTGGCTCGGAGAACAAGGCTTTCCCGGGAGTGGTATGCACCCAGCTCGCCGCCTAGTAGTTCTGCTTCTCGGGTGATGCGCAAGGTGGACCGTCTCGTGGTAGACTGGGGTCGTGTTAGCTGCGAGACAGGAACGGCCCCTTCACTAGCAAACCTTGAAAGCAAACTTCTCAAGGGCATCGGTGTACCCTGGCAAAGGCTGATATCTGGTTCCGGCTTTCGCGACAACGGTGAGTGTGGTTGTTGGTCCTGGAATATCCCTGCTTGCGAATTTAACACCCGCAGCATCCCCAGTCTCATATTGAAAGCTGCCGGAAGCTGCTGCTGCTAGACCTCGCCTCTGCAGGGAGCGGACGGAGGCGTGACGGCTACTAGCTCGCAAGGCCTTCGAGCCAAGCACAGCTGGAGAAGCCATCATAGACGAAGCGTGAAGGACAGGAGAGCGGGAATGTAGTGCAGGCGGATGGAGCAGGAGCTTGGAGGGAGTTGAGCTTCAATCGACTTTACAAAGTTGCAGCCGATGTGATTGGACGATGAGGCACAGCCATTCACGATAGAGAATTTTGCCAAGCCACGGACCCGCCGAACTTCTCACTTACTCAGCCTTGCTCGCTCTGACAAAGTTTTGTCTCGAACAATCCCACGACGAGATGCTGAGAGGCTGACTCTCTTTCGCGAGGCGTATGTCAGGCCGTCCAATTCCATACTGAGTAGTTTCAGCCTCACAGATGTTACTGCGCACAAATCGTTTTTCCAGCACACCATACCCGTACCGAACTCCGTCCGACACGGTCACGTGCTGAGTCGCGCTACACCATGGAAGTATGGACTTACGTGCAACATCGGTGTATCGTGAACTGACGCGAGTGCTAGGAGTTCTCAAGGCTTTGCTGCTACATCGTGGAAGACTACTACGGTTCATTCCTTGCTGTCCGTTTTATGCCGCTCCGACAGGCTAAGGCCGCCACTGACTTGTCAAAATAGCAAATCTTTCGGCAGCTCGCTCAGCTTGGCCGCTTGTCTGTTCAGCAACTCGCCCAGAAATGTCGTTTCCCACTTCGCCAGGTCAAGATTGGTGTGGCCACATTAATACAGCTTCGCCTTGTCTATCATCATACTACCTACGAAGGCTTGTCGACATATCAAGCGGACACCACCTATGCCTATAATCTTATGCGCACGGGCAGACTCGTCGAGCTTGTCGATTGGAGCCTTGGGTCTTCGGCTGCGGAAATCATCGAAACATTGGCTGCCATGGGGTTCGCTACAGCACATGAACTGGAAACCGAAGTTCTCGAGAAGACTGATTTGACCCAGCCGATCAGTAAAAGCCGTTTTCAAATACTACTTAAACAGCTTGTTTCTTCCGGATATATCAAGGCGGTCCGCGAAACTCACTTTCAATCATCATCCGATCGCCGCCAGGACGTCGAACGCTACCTACGCGACAATCGTATGATCGTAACTGGCACAGGAAAGAAGGTAGCAGCCGAGGCCGAGGCCAAAATCGACTCAGAGCTTGAGCGACGTGTTAAGAGCAGTATCTCGGCATACGATGTATCCCAAGAACTCAGTCGAAGCCCTACTCAGGTAAGTTCTCTTGTCTGTGACCAAATTATCGTACTAACCGAGGCAGGATAATACAACGCTTTCCATCGACTATTCAAATCTCATCATTCGGATACGAAACGACAGAGTAGCTGGGATGGCTGAGAAGGTTTTCGGCAAGGGAATCGCACAAGTCGTACGAGCGGCATGTTCGCAGATTATTGACGTCGACCCAAGATCGTTCCCAGTACGATTAGTTGAAAATCCCGCGAATGCAGTTCAACGGCTCGATGCTGCTAAGTTATGCTCTGATGTATTCCACGGCAAAGCCAACGGTGGTAGCAGGCCGAACGGCACGAACGGCCATCACAGTAATCAGACGAATGGGGTCACAGGGGAAGATCAAATCATCGAACATCATCTTGCAGTTCTCGCGGAAGGGAATTTCGCCTTTCTCCAACAGGAGCCCAACAACCCGAAGTCCTGGTCTATTAACAAACCGAAGTTCACCAGTTTCCTAAGGGACAAGGAGATGTATCGACTCATAGGCGAGAGCCTGACAGAACCGGCTTTAAGGGTTGTCCGAATGCTGGCTGATAAAGGGAAACTTGATGAGAGGGCGATGCTGGATATCGGATTGCTCAATGCCAAAGAACTCCGGAAGTGTCTGTCAGGCCTCCAGACAATGGGATTCCTCGAGCTGCAAGAGGTACCGAAAGACCCACAGAGACAACCCAAAAACACCATCTTTCTGTACTTCCACGACCCGGAAAGAGTACAGAAAGTCTTCTTGGACAAACTATACAAAACAATGTCACGGATGTATGAGCGCTTGCACCTAGAACGGGAAAAGGTTGCGTCAACACTCACCAAAGTCGAACGATTAGAAGAAGGCACGGAACTGGAAATACTCCCAGCCGCGGAGCTGCAAGAATTGTACAGGTGGAGGCAAAAAGAGTCCTGGTTCACGACGGAAATCCATCGCATCGATGACTCGATTGCCATTCTTCGAGACATATGAAGCTGCAGATCAGTCCACGAGTGCCTCAAGAATAGTCCGGTCCTGACGAGAATTAACGTCGTACGCAAAACGGTATTCCTTTCCTCGCCGGATCCAGTAAGCTGTACCCTAGTTTCGCTTATGAGCCATGAGATGCCCCGCGGTTGCTTAAATTACTGCTCCCTGGAGCTCGCTGCATGCCTTCGCCTTTGTCATCACGCGAAGATGTTACCATTCCTTCGATTCAAATCTTAGATACGTGCCTGCGGCCTGCTCAAGATACGTCTGCATGCGGACTATTCCGTACTCCGTATGTATTGCGTGAGATTCGTATGGGACGTACCGGTAAGGCTGCGACAACGGGCAAGGCTGCACGGGTATCACTTTTTCCGATCCGGACCTTGGCAGGCTGGAGCTTCCGTTCGAGCATTGGGCTAGCAGTTCACCCTGCAAGACATCGAAGTCACCAACGCAAGCTCACCTTGCGCCGTAACCTCGTCAAATACTCAATATGGCGTTCGAATGGAAAGCAGCCGGTCTCACGTATGGCGGCTCGATCACTTAGCGCGAAGTCCACACGCTGACGTTGACAGCTACAACCGATACCTCGCAGTTGCTGCAAGAGTTGTCCGCAGATCTTTGAAGGAAGGACCCCGACTACAAGCTGAGAGAAGAGGCGAGATGGACTTGAGGTTCGCGAAGTGGCAGGTGAGCTATTGCTGACCAGGTTTCGCAACCGGGGTGCAAACTGACCTGCGGTAGAATGGCAAACAGGGAGAGAACAAAAACCTAGGTGCTGCAAATGCCGACGCCATGGCCCACCACGCAACCGAAGAAGCAAAATAGAAGAGGGACAGCAGGGAGCTAGATTGATTCAAGGCCTGTGAAGATGTATCGAGGCTGGACATGAAAACCTGTACATATTACATCGAGGGTCGCGTTGCAGGAAGTTTGCATGCACGGTCCACGGCAATCCGCACATCACATTTAAGAGCTTCCAAACCCGCTTGCCCGACTTTTCCAAACTATTTCTCAAATACATAGAAATCCCACACTTGCGTAGGGCATGTATGGAGTGCCTCGTTTCTATATTTCCGCCCGCAGTCGCGTGTTCACATGCAACAGTAATCGGTACCGGTGCGCATTCGGAGGGGAGAGAAAACCATAGACCCTTCAATCAACACCAACCTTCTTCCCTTGATTTCACCTCAAGAACCAGCTGACACTATGGCGCACACACGGGTATTACACCCGAATGTACAAGTGAATGAGATAACCAGAGAATTCCGGAACGCTGCTTCGAGTCCGTTGACATTCTGATGGTCTCTATCAAAGACTAACAGCATTTGCAGAATTGTCTCCCGGCAAGCTGATCAAAGATGAACACTTTACATTGTTCGAGGCTGTCAGTGCCTTGGAGGTAAGCAGTACCAGACACAACCCGATCACACGCCTTAACGAGTTTGTAGATTGGAGACCCCAAAATGGACAGCGGATGTACTGCTTTTGATCCGGAGAGCGACGAGGAGTTCGATCCCACGAAGGCCTTGTCAGCAGAGGAGATCATATGGCTGATGGACGAGCTGATGTACCGTGAGGTGAGTGGTTCCTTATATCTCGTGGAACGATTCATGACGCTCATTCAGGTAGCATGGCAAATGGGCTATCCACTCTCCCAGACTCTCTTCACGTCGGTCCATATTGAACGGCTCCTGTGGCCAGAGCCAAAGAGACTTTCTGACGCAAGTTTCTGGCGGCATGATCCAGTCCCCGCGGCCACCCCTTCGTTACTGCGCGATATCTTCCAGCCTTACTGTCTGGGCTTGATCAAGTGTTGCGACCTGGTACTCTCGATGGTGACAAGTCAGCACTACTACGAGGTACGCGGCTTGCTCTGGATAATATGCGAATCTTGACTCTGACCGAACCAAGGAAGAAGACTTTGCCACGCAGATTTTCAATCGGCCGTTGCTACACGTTTTCTCGGTTGGGGAAGTGATGGACTCCTTGGAAGCGGCTCGCACCTGGCTCGATCACAGCCAGCTTTCCTCACACTTGAGGAGAGCATTAACAAGCAGGCTCGAGGCACGGTCTGCTTTCCTGAAGCTCTTTCACGAATGCGACTGTGGAGTACGACCGAGCCTCTCGAATCTCGAAAGACATATTGCATTGGTCAGGACGATTGAGGAAAGCGCCTCCCTTGGACGACCAACCTCTGCCGTCGCATTTACCCTCAAGATCCAACGGCGACTGGCGAGTAGCGTACCTCCAAGACCAATGATCGTTATCGAAAAGGACAAAGCCTTTCCATTCCTCAGAAAGCTTCTGACTGATGCCACTACAGCTTTTCAAGTGCTAGACATCTCCTCCAGTTGTGATCTTCTGGTTGCCTACCAGAACTTCATGGCGCAGGACCCACAACCGGTTGTGTATGCCCGAGCTCTCCTTCAATCCTTTCTGAACCTCAACGGAGCGGTAGTAGGCCGATTCGCCTTCAAAGACTTTATTACCCACGATATCGCTTCTCTTGTGTTGCCTGGCGAAGCGCTACTCGATCCCAGTCAGATGGATGATCTTCCCGAGAACCAGCAAATAGAGCTTGGGTCCCGAGTTGACTTGTTTGTGAACCGGTGCAGCCAGTCATTTCTCAATTTCTTCCGGACGCTGTGTCTCAATCGTTGTCGTGTGAGACGTACTATGTGCCACGCAGCGCTTGAGTGGGACCAGATTCAAGCGGAAGCCGAAGACCTTGATGGAGCGGTCCAGTCCATCCTCAGCGAACCAGCCATACCGTACCTCGATGGGGAAGAACCCACCTTCTCATACTCTTTCAGCAGTTGGGTCTATCACTACAAACTTATCCAGCTCCGCACCGTTCTTCAGATGGGCTTCGAACTCTCCATCTACGCGCCCCACGAATTTGCGGGCATGTACTGGTACCTGTCTTTCCTCTCCAGCACGCATCTCAACCACCTGGAGAGGATCACTTTCTTTGTTGCATCCCGGCAGCGCCCAAGTTCGTCAGGACAACAAGAAATACAGACAACACTCCAGCTGCTATATCGCCACTTTCGCTGGCTCAAAGCGGTGGAAGCTATGGCAAAAGCCCTGCACAGAGTCTTTACGGTTCTCCAGCGCCATGGCCACTTTCACAAGTCTGCCGTTACCTATGCAACTGATGCACTACGGTACGAGCTGAGAATGCGACCATTCCTCCATGTATCCATTCCTGAACCGATCAGTATGGACGTAGCCCAGCAGTCATCATCCTTACGTGGACTTTCGGACGAGAAGTTGATCACACAGGCCTCGAACCTGGTTCAGACTGCCAGAAAGGCGTGGGATGAGGTGCTGAAAGGTGGCTGGAACTTCTACCCTCTTCCGCCAGGAGACTCCAAAGCAGACATGGCAGCGGACGGAATGAGCAAGTCGCCAGGACCGGTAGTGGAACGCGAATGGACTCAGGACGTACGGAACTCAATGAAGGCGTGCATAGGTACAGGAATTGTGGTCACCACGCTCGGCACTCTCCTGCAAAAGAAGACGACTGGCTCAGCAGTGAACATCGAGAATCTGAAGGTGGAGATTCCGCCTGTGGGTGACCGAAGCCGGTGGCATGTGAGCTGGCCCGTGCCAAAGCTCCAGAGTTGACGGGGAAGAAGTTGTGTAGCACCCGTTCCTTGAAGCCGTAAGAAGCTGTCCATCATTCGGTGTATCTGTCGCAGCCTGTTGCCTTAAGCGGCACTCATGTACATTGTGTACAGGGCTGAACTTCGTGCGCAAGGCTGAACTTCTCCAACTTGTGTATCCGTTGTGAAATTCCCCGCAGAAATATTTTCTATGCCTCATATTTTCTGACCGCGGCCGGTCGCATTTGAGCCCTTACTGTGTACTGTAAACTCGCCCACATTCTGCCATACTCCTTCGACCATGGCATCAGCGTACAGATCAGCCATGCGCTCCGGCAGCGACTCCGACTCAGATGAGCCAGGCTCAGAGACGTCTGCAACCAGCAGCAACACTGTTCGCGCAGATTCACCGAGCGGAGAGGAAAACGCGGCAAAGCAGACCAAGAGCAATGGTCTTTCACAACTGCCTTCGGAGATCAGGAATCGCATCCTGATGCTCACTTCCCGGGGGGTTTCATATCGGTACCAGCATATTTCCGGCCTGCTAGAGAGTCTTGACTAACGTCTTTAGACACCGACATCTTTTGAACGACCTCCATTCCCTCCTTCCCCACACCTACAAAGACACGAAGCTGGACACCAAATCTTCTGGCAACTACAACTCTGCTCTAAACGGCCTCGCCGATCTGCACTCCTGTAACTACATTTTCTTTCTCGAGGCGCGCAAACGGGGACAAGACTTGTACCTTTGGCTTGCGCATGCGCCTAATGGCCCGACCGTCAAATTCAGCGTGACGAATGTGCATACCATGGCGGAGCTGGGGTTCGGCGGCAACTGTCTGAAGGGCGGGAGGGGTATCGTGGTCTTCGACAAGAGCTTTGACGAAGAGATACCGGGCCAGGAATACCGATCGCTGTTGCGGGAGATGTTTCGTGGAGTATTCTGTGTGCCGCCAAAGGGCGTACGTGGGGTGAAGCCATTCGTTGACCGAATCATTGGGATATACGGACTTGACGGCAAGATCTGGATCCGCGTCTACGAGATTCGCGAGAACGATCCTCGCACAGCCGACAAAGAGCATGCCAAGGGAGGCGACATGTCACTCGTCGAAATTGGACCGCGGTTCGTTCTTACTCCGGTGGTTATCCTGGAAGGTAGCTTCGGTGGTCCGGTCATCTTCGAGAACAAACAGTTCGTCAGCCCTAACGCTCTTCGTGCGGAGACGAGGGCGCGAAGAGCCAACAAATATGCGGTCCGAAGGGGAGGTGCAGAAGACCTTGCTGTCAAGAGGAAGACGTTGGGTTTGAACACCGGATCAAAGCGGAAGAGATTGGCAACAGACAACGCAACATTGTTTGGCTGAAACAAGGTGTCGTGTTGAGACGTAACCTACACACCTGATCAGATTGCGGCAAACGTCTTCGCCTGCGTCTCTGTTCTCAGAGTCCCAACGAGCCGCCTCGCTATCCGCCCGAGCTCACAAGAGATAATCAGTGTTCGCGATGAGACTACAGCTGGGCAAGAGACGGGAAAGAACTGGACAGGTCTGATGGCCATCATATGAACGCGATATCATGGGTTCGGCCAGCTTTATCCTGAGCCCGGCCATGATTTTCGCAAGCGTGTTGCCACCACGAGCGGTTGACGCGACGAAGACTGGCATGTGACCTTCACCTCTGCCGTTTCGCAACGGCAAGAACCGGCGAACGCAGGCCGCGTAAGGTAGCGTGGCATACTAGGATATCCCAGGCACTAAATCTGGTGGGAAGGATGATACGTCGCCAGAGGGATACTTGAATGTCCTTTACCGGCTGTCAGACAAGCCCGAAGCGCGCATAGCATGCCAGGACACCCGCACAATTGCAACAATTGTGGGACCGATGAACGCGCTTGAAGCGGGCATTGTTTGCTGCTAGCGTCCGATGTTCTCTTGCAATTGATGAGAAGTCGGCATTACAAGTGCCAGCCTCATGGTATCAATTATCAAACCATTCTTGTATCCTTCGGCACGGCAACTCGATAGCCTTGCCAAGACCTAGACCGCCGTTTCCGCAGTCGTTGACATCTTCCCTCTCCCCTCGTCCCTTTTTCCTCTTCCCTCTTCGCCCTCTCTTCTTTTACAGACTGCTTCTTCATCTCGTTTCTATGTGACCCAACCACAGTTGCGTTTCTTCCCCTTCCAACGGGATGGATGCAGTGTATTTATGCTGCTCGCTGCGGCGGAGCAGCACTCGGACACTCAGACCTTGCACATCCTCTTACACACGCGGTCCCTCAACTGTTCTGGATAGCCCCAATGTCGGGGTGTTGAATCTTTGAATCCGTCGAGCCGTTGCAGCACATCGCTGCACATCACAACTTGTCCGCAGTTACACATAGCATACTGCAAAACCTGACGTATTTCATCCCAGACTCGGTGGGAGTGGCACAGGCTAACTGTAACAGAACCATGGCTATGCAAAGTCTGGCACCAGAACTCCTCGCTCGGGTCTTCGAATCGCTTTCCTCTGTTCCCGACATCATTAGCCTCTCGCTCACATGTCGCTACTTTTACCAAATACTACCCAAATCCCAGAAATTGACACTATTCTTCCGCGCCCTCGACGAGACGGACGGACCAGTGGAAGACATTATACAACTACTGACACAGAATGACAACCAATTGTTGCATGTGCGACGGACTCCACCAATGTCTTTCGCTCTGCTATCTCAGGTCACGGCCGTTGCTCGGGTGGCGCGGCGCTATGTCGACCTGTACCCGAAATTCAGGTGGACCGGTGTTGACAGTGTGCAACGCCGGTTTCTGGACGCCCACGAAGCTCGACGACTGCGACGTGCAATCTACCGGATGTGGAGCTATGCCAAAGCCTTTTACCAGTTCCCCTACCGTGTCCCACGCACTGATTTGACTGCCGTGTCGGAGCGACTCCAACTGCTGCGCTCGTGGTCAAACGAGGATCTTTTTGAAATGGAGGATTTGCGCGGCATGCTGGAGCAGCTGCTCGCCACCGAGATCTGCCCCACAGACGGAGAAGTGTACTCGCGCGTTCCCGAAGACGCCCAAAGATACCACTTGTCCCTACAATATCCGCATCTCCGCCCGTTAGAGTCTGCGTGGCCAGCATACGACGACCTGTTCCACAACTCACGCGACGCCGATCACAACGTGGCCAAGCCCACCGTGCAAGAACTACGTGGCAAACATATGCAAGGATGGGGCAGTGACCTGCAGAACTTTTACCTGGTCCAGTCATTTCTGAAGTTCTCGCCCGCTCAGATCCTGTGGCTGTACGACAACACCATCCGCCGTGCCGACGTGGAGAGGTTCATCGAGCAGCAGACGCATGACCCCTGCTTTTTCGACTCGAGGTCGCTGTTGTTCCAGGACTGGTTGACGGTTCTGCACGCTCGGGGTGTAGACGTGCAGCAAGCACGGGAGGACATATGGGATGGCAGGACGGGCATTGTCAATACTATGGAGCGAGCAGTCTAAGAGAGAGTGATTTTGATCGTTTACCAAAGATTCAAGGTCCTGGGATTTAGTTTCTCGTTCTCTTTCTTCAACTTTCTTCACTTGTCTCCTAGTTGGCTGCAATCCCGTGTCTTCCATATGTACTCTCTGAGTAAGGCGTGTGCTCTGGTGTCTCAAGTTGGAATACTAAAACAACAATCAAGGGTGTCATTTCAGAGAGAGAGGGATGCTCAAGACACTATAATTAAGCAACACTTTGAACATTTTCCGCAGAGTTACAAGACTGGGGAATTACAATCAGGTTCTTTCTCTGCGTGTCTTCCATGAGTACTTTGTGAGCAAGACGTAACGGTTGCCCTGGAGCCGCAATTTCAAGACTGAACCACCAATCGATATATCGTGACATTGTAAAGAGGGCGGGCCACTCAAAAGACACAATATGCACCATTTCAACATTTCAACATGCCACCACTACTCCGTACATAGCCTAAAGTCTGGCCTGCACGGCTCCACTAGACTGGTCCGAAGAGAATGCAAAACCAGGATATCCATCGCTGACCTCCTTGTCACAGATTGCAAAGTACGGCGCCACGCCACCGAACCAGAACAGCGGCCTGACGGGCTTGCCTTCCATGTTGGCGCCCACGTACCACGAATGCGTCTTCTTCGCACCCTCAGGCAGGACCGTCATGCCGAAAACGGCCTCGACCTGCTCTTTCCAGTGCCGCGCGACTTCTTCCTTGGTGTCCATCCGCTGGTGGCCGTGGTCGTGCATGTAGGAAACGGCCCGCCCGATCCAGTCAACCGTGTTGTCGATGACGACGGGGATGTTCGCGAAGGGCGCCTGCGGGCCGGACACCATGAACAGGTTGGGGAAGCCCGGCGCGGTGATGCCGTACGCGGTTTCCATGTCCCTGTTGAGCTGTTCCCCGAGGTGTTGGCCCTCAGCCCCGCGGATGTCGATGGCGGCGAGCGTGCCCGTGACGGCGTCGAAGCCGACGGCGAAGATGATCATGTCGAAGTCGTACTCTTTCGTGCCGGTGCGGAGACCCGTCGGGGTGATGGCTTGGATGGGGTCGTTGCTGACGTCCACCAGCTCGACGTTGTCCCGGTTGAAGGCTTCGTAGTAGAAGTGGCCGAGCGGCGGTCTCTTGGACAGGATGGTGTAGTACGGGCAGAGCAGCTCGGCCGTCTTCTTGTCCTTGACGATGGACCGGATCTTGTTGCGGACAAACTCGGCCGCCGCCTCGTTGCACTTTGCGTTGGTGAGCATGTCTGCAAAGGTCTCGAAGATGAAGCGAAACCCGCCAATCTCCCATCCGAATTCCAGCACGCGCTGGATCTCGGCGTCAGTCTCCAAATCTGTCGACTTGAGCGTCGCGTCCACCATGTCCATGCCGAAGCTCTGGGTTCGCGCTCGACCGAGCACGGCCTCGCACTCACGTCTCAGTGCCATCTGCTGGTCCTGCGGGATCGGATAGTTCCGCGCGGGCAGCACAAAGTTTGGCGTCCTTTGGAAGACGGTCAAGGATTTGGCATTGTGCGCGACGACGGGGATGACCTGGACGGCAGTCGCACCGGTGCCCACGACGGCGACTCGCTTTCCTGCGAAGTCGACCTTGTGCTTGGGCCACAGGCCCGTCTGATACCATTCACCCTTGAACGATTCGAGCCCGGGAAACGGTGGGGGCAACGGGGTGGCGAGCGGCCCCGTGGCGGTGATGAGGAACCTAGCCGTGTAGGTCTTGCCCTTGGACGTTGTGACTTCCCAGACGTTCTTTGCGGGATTCCAATGGGCCTTCGTGATTTTGGTGTTGAGCTCGATGTGTCTCCGAAGATCGAGATAGTCCGTGACGCGATTGAGATATTGTTCCACCTCGGGCTGAGTGGGAAACCGTTCCTTCCAGTCCCAGTCCAGCCCCAGCACCTCCTGGAACGTCAGGACGTAGATCCAGCTCTCACTATCGGTCCGGGCTCCGGGATATCTGTTCCAGTACCACGTGCCCCCGACGCCCGAGCCAGCCTCGAATGCTCGGGCTGAGAAGCCTCGCTTTCCAAGCTCGTACAACGTGCGGATACCCCCAAAGCCAGCACCAATCACCAATGCATCGTAGTCAACATCTGAACTACCTCCCGTGGTGCTTGTGCCGTTGGTGACGGTTTCGGTGGATGCCATGATTCTCCTGCCCTGCTACTATCGAGGGTGGACGGCACCAGATTTGCGATATCGGGCACCGTTTGGTGACAACGAGAAAGGAGGAAGAAAGTACGGTTCCTGGCCTCTCTCCTCTTCGCCAGTTGCTGGTGGCAAACTGTGCCAAGATGGTCCTCAGGTAGCCGAGGATATGAGCTGCGGAGCAATGGAATGGACCAACCTTTGTAAACCATCGCACGCCCCGTGAAAATTGACGGGCACGTAGGTTTCTTCCCCGCAATCTCCTCGTGGCGGAAGTGATAGGCTTGCAACGATATGGGGTAGAAGGTCGGGGTACGAGCTATATGAACAATCAACTAGTCAGGCGACCAAGCTGCCAAGCTACCTCCCCCGTGTTCGTGACCTTGAGGCCTCTCAGGCCTGCACCGGGACGACGGGTTGAGCTGAATAGCTGCCGGGTTTGCCGGAACGCTCCTCACGAGCCATTTGATAGTAACTTGGCTTTCTATCGCAGGCTGCATTCAGGTGTCTCCCAAGTAGCAATACGAGGCGTAAGAGGCCACGGGACGCCCTAGATTGACTGGCACGTCTCTCATTCGAACATGAAGCTGGTTGCAGAGGCTGGTCGATATGAGAGATAATCAAGCGTAAGCCATGGTTAGTAATTGATGTGTGAGTGTAAACAGAAAGGAGCTTCTGACCAGTGGTGGAGTACCCCTTTCTCCCGTCATGCTGACCCGTAAATCCTTACTGTGCCACAGTGCGCATGGTCATCCTTAGCTGGCGTACCACTCTGTTCCACCATGTGCGTGTGAGTATCCATGTGCATGTCCTTATCCATATCTCTGTTATCGCGTTAATGGATTCAACATCTGCTGCGGAGTGCAGGAACGAGCCCAAGGGCCTCCACCACATCCGCCACGGCATCGACTCGTTATGTTGACGAGACGAACCCGTATGATACAGCCCTACCGTTCCCGGTTGTGCGACGCCTCTTCCGCTCGAGTTGAGGCCAGTGTGATACGCAGCCAAGCACCAGGACGTGCTGCGAGCAGCAACGGCGGCATGTGAAAGAGCACATACCGAAATGCTCGGACCAAGTGGATTCAAGGTAACGCGCATGGTCCGGAAAGTCTGCACTGATCGTTGCGTTCGTGGTAGTTTAGGTTCGAGACGGGACAAGGGCAAGGACAACAGAAATAACGGCGTAAATCACTTGGACCTGCCTTTGCCCTGGTGGCACTTGCCGTGGTCGGCCTCACTGGAAGGAGGTGCGAAGCTCGTCAATGCCCCAAGAGATCTCTGAGGCGCAGATCAATGCCGTTGCTAGCTTTGGTGAGTTGCAAGGCGCATCAATGGACTGCACGCCTGTATAATCGCCGAATATCTTGCATTGAGATGGGCCAGGTGCAGGTCGTCCAAGAGAAGAAAGGGCGGATATCACTTGGCTGGCGGGGTCCGACGCCGAAGGCAGAGGCTGTCGAAACGCTCACTGTGTCGATACCACACCTTCTGCTGGAGGAAACAGAGATAGATAAGGTAGCCTTGTAAAGGGGCTTGCATTGCGATGGGAAGGACCTGTATTACTCCGATGAGACCCAAGCCACAGCCATCCACCAGGATGTTCCATTCATGATCACATTGGATAACATCACTGCCCCAGCTCATGCGCATAATCAGGTAACGCCGTGCTCCTCGTTTGTCTAGGCCAAGGACTCGTCTTGCCGCAGCTCAACAGCACTTGCTTCCCTTCGAGTCGTTCGTGCCAGATGGCGTCATGTCGATTTTCACACCGCCAGTTGGTGCCTGGGCAGCGTCTCCGCTGTCGAGCGCCTTGCTCGAGACGATTCGGTAGATTTCTGTCAGTAATCAGCATTGATCATCAAGCGAATCACGCCGAGGCCTACCGGTCAAGATGTTCTGGAACGCCAATTCGACGTTGCTTGCGTCCAGGGCCGAAGTCTCAATAAACGACAGGTTGTTTTCGCCTGCGCCTGTGTCAGCGCGGATTCCCACCTGCAGATGAGAGGATCACATACTGGCAAATTGTTTGGCTTCTTCTGTAGGAACGGCTCGAAGGTGTCTCAAATCGCTCTTGTTCCCGACCAGCATGATCACAATGTTGGCGTCCGCATGGTCCCGAAGCTCCTTCAGCCATCTCGTGACATTGTCGTACGTCTGGTGCTTGCTAATATCATAGACGAGCAGGGCACCGACTGCTCCTCGGTAGTATGCTGAGGTGATGGCACGATATCTTTCTTGGCCCGCAGTATCCCATATCTGTGCCTTGATGGTCTTGGTATCAACCTGGATCGACCGAGTTGCGAATTCAACCCCGATCGTGGATTTTGAATCGAGATTGAATTCGTTGCGTGTGAAACGGCTCAAAAGGTTGGATTTTCCGACGCCCGAGTCTCCGATCAGGACAACCTTGAATAGGAAGTCATATTCGTCGTTGGCCATTGTGTTGGAATAATGTCAAGGGGTGAGCCGTGATCGAGGCGAAGATGACAAGGCGAGAATCAACCTTCGCTGCAGTGGAATTGACGACCAAGATACCACCGCGACTTCTCTTCAAAAACTCAGTAGAAGCGAAATATGCCAGTGCACGAAGGAGGTGGTGGTTGTTTGCGAACAATGGGAGTTGGTGAACGGTCGCCTACCACAGTAGATGGCAATCCGAACGTGCTCGCTTCCGAACCGCAGCCTGAAAGGGCTTGGCAGTCACATGTTGCGCCGCGCTTAGTCAGTGCTCGGAAGACCGTACTTCCGTTATCTCATGGTCACTCTTGCCTCAGTCGTCAATGAAGACAGCTACCGACCGAACTGGATTGAGAGTGAGAACCTGGAGATCAACTCTCGTGTCTTTCGTGAAAGACCATGCATGCTGAGATGGGCAGCAATACACACAGGCAGTAATTCAAGGAAGGGGTTTTCTGTGGTGTACGGTGTTTGCAGTGTCCTCTATTCATATTGCTTTTTTGCTAAGAACAAGGTCACTTTGCCCCGATCGATTCTGAGTCTTGATGCTTCCACCAGGGTTCGCCATTTGCTGATTTAGCTTGGCTTCTCGCGTGCAAATGTACAATGTCTGACAATTATAGCTCTGCGTCTGAGTCCGGAGAAGAACTTGTGTACGAGGTCGAACGCATCCTTGCCCAGTCCACCTTCCAAGGAAGGACTGTGTACCTGGTCAAATGGCTCAATTTTGGCGACGAACAGTGCACATGGGAACCAGCGGAGAGCTTTTTGACTCCCGCAACGCTTGCTGATTGGGAACAGCAGCTCGCGAAACATGATACTTTGGACGAAGATGAAGTTGCTCGCGTCCAGGCGCGTATGGACGCGTTTCAGGAAGCCCAGGAGCAAGAGAGACTCGCGAGAGAACGAAGATTGGCGGAACAGTCTAAGAAGAAGCGAATCCGGCAGGAAATAATGGGACGATCACATGACCCCTCTTCAGCACCGAAGCGTCCACGCCCAAACGAGCCCGTGTCGCCGAAAAAGGGTATTGCTCTGTTGAAACCCCATGGTCACGCAAACCCTGCCTCAGTGACTTCGAAGAACCGGACAAGCAGCGCCGATAAGCCCACTTCTAGAAGTGCCGAAGCCGCCTCTAGTCTGTCGTCATCCTTGCCCAAAGCCGCAGCGGAAACGTTCAATATGGCTCAGACGCAGAAACAGAGCGCCGCTGGCGTCGGTACGGATCCCGCGAATGTGCCACGAGAATTGGACAAGGTCGGCGTGACGGCGCGCCCGCGGAAGCCGAGCACTAGCGAGGTTACACCTACGGCAAGCCACATGAAAGACAAGACGGGGCAGCGGTTCAGGAACCTTAGCCATCAAAACAACTTCCAGAAAAAGGCTCGCCGAGAACCTGCCCCAGATATGTCAAACCTTGACCTGAGGTCGCCAGATGAGTGGGTTAATCAGCGTCCGTCTGCTCGTCAAGATCCACTGCGAAGGGATACAGGCAGAGACTCTCCACTGTTTGTGCCAGAAGAAACCCAGACAACTCAGCCGTCAGTGCAAGATGATCATCACACACTCAACACGCCAGGCAGCCCCAAAGGTGATTTCTCCACCGATAGACTACCACAAAACGTTACCACCAAAAGCCATAATACTGTTGCAGAGGACCGCCCGTCAACCTCTGTGGATGATGATAGAAACATGGACGCCCCAACTACCCAACATCCGCAAAGTCAAGCATCGCATGACACTACCAGCCTTCCCAATATGTCGGACTCAGCGCCAATAGAGAAGCATGATGGAGCTGTGCGACCACTACTTGCACGAACAGTATCTCATAGTGCCCCCGCCCCAGCAGCACCACAGCTTCCGCCTCTAGACATACCCAGGGCTGTTAGAACAGTGTCTGCTAACTCAATTCCGTCTGCAGCATCAGAGAAAACGAATATCGACCGACGATCGTTTCCCAACAGCGAGCCTCACAAGCCAAGCAAATTCGATGTGCCTGCGCGGGTAGAGAATGCTTTACACCAGTCGGGTCCAGACAAGTACAGCTCTCGGCGATCTTCTGCCAACTCCCCAGTCGCGGGAGACGAGATCCTTACTGCCGCCAATGGTCGCACCTATAGAAAAGGGGAGGTCATTGTCAACCTAAAATTCGGAGATCACCTGGTAGGAGTTGTGAGGTTTGTCGCCTTGCCCCGGTGGACTAGTGCGAAGATTATTCGCCTCAAGGATCCACACGAAAGGTCACTGCAACTTCACTTTCAGCAGAGGCTAGTGATGGATGTTGCCACGTTTTCAGCCTTTTCGCAGAACGTGAGTCATTGGCTTAGCGCGTTCAGCTCAGTGTTAGCTGACAAGTTGCAGATTGATAGTCGCCGACAGGGCGTAGGGGCAATCGAGCCTTATGAGGACACACAAGCTGCCGCTGAGAGTCTAACAGGTTACCTCGAGGAAAATAACCTCGGTGCTATATGGGAGTATCCTGGAGAAACTCTTCTGCTGGTGCTCTACTCGCCTCAGGCACTGGGCTGGCAGCATCTGGAGCAGGTCCCAGCTCCTAACTCCGGGTCTCGCTTACATCTTGCTGTTCTGAACAAGTTTCCCGGGGTATCCCCGGAAAATACCGCGACGGGAAACTCCCAGTCTGTGTTGCACGACCGAAACACGGGGCCAGCAAGTCGGCCGAAAGCTGATCTCTGGCGACCGCACCAGCCATCCTCAGAACAGGCAAGCACCCACGTACAGAGCCCTACTGCCTTGCCCATACCAGTGACAGAGTCATCAACGACCAGGAGAGACCGTGCGACCCCGGTCCAAACACCAAATTCACCCCCCGGGCAGAACTCGATGCCGTTCAGTGATGCCATGGACTGGACTCCTTCCACTCCAGCTAGCGAGTCTCGGATCTCATTTCCTGCCAATTTTGACGCGATGATTTTCGGGCCAGACCGGACACAAAAGAGACCGCGGGTGTTCATAGCATTTGCGAACTCTCACCCAGCAGAGGCCAAGGCTCTGGAGCAATGGCTTTCCCAGCACATGAGTTCTCGTCAGATCTACACTGACAACGAAAAGAACGACTGGAATGACTTTCAAGGCGAAATTCGGGACCAACCAGGTGCCATCATCTTCCATGAGCGGTACCCCTGCTATTGCGACATGCCATATCTGTTTAGATTCCTTCGACTGGCATCTCTGTCTTGTTTTAGATTGTCATTCGGAGACTCAGGCGAGGACCGGTCTGACCGGAGGTCTGGCCTCACTAGACTCTTCCCTCGTGGCACAGTTCTGTGCGTTACCGAGGATTCTATGAAGAACCATTCAGAAGGAGCGCTGTTAGCTATGAAATGGTTCGAAGACGCCTCGGTCGGCAAGGTGCAGTTTTGGAAGCTGGTACTTTTGCCGGATTTCCTTTCGTGGATCTTGCGTCAGATTGACGCTGTCGAGCACGAGGTTCAGCAGAGGTATTGCTCGCTGCGTATCCTCCCCTTGAGATGGAAGCTAACGTGCAAGCCAGATATTTCAGCATGCTCGAAATCTCGTACAGGCTACGCTCCCGATCATCCGAAGAGTCGTCCAACATGAGGCGCCACCACCACGAAGACCCCGAGAAATTCATCAAAGATCTTCCTGCAAGTGAGGACGAGGAACTCGTCGTGTCACCGGAAGGCCTGCCGGAGTACGATGTTCCATGGGGCAAGGCCGACATGAGTGCCGACGCGATAAAGGCGCGAGACAAGGCTTTCGTCAAATATTTTATCGGTTGGTCGGCCATGAATGCCACGAAGCACCGGCTGTTCACGGTCGCAGATGCGAACCACACCAACAAGACCGAGGGACAATCGTGGCATATTTGGTTCAGAGAGCCTGTGTCGTTCAAGCCAACGGAGAGGAAGTAGGATCTCCGGACAGGAGTTGAGATCTCCTCGGGAGTCTCAAGATCCGTCCCTCACTTGTGGCTCGGGCATCTTGTTGTACTGTCCTGTAGCTTACGATGCTGCTGGGTGTCTGTTGGTGGGGGACTTACGCTACGGGGTGAGGGGGGATGGTACAGAATCGCGTTGCTGCTTTCTCCAGCGTGGCGTAGGGGTTCGCGATGGCCTGACCACGTACTCCATTGAGAATGGGATGGGACCGCCAGATCACTGAACATCATGCTAATTCGATTAAATCGTACATGTCGCACAGCACTGCTCTACATGGAAAACGGCCAAGCAATCACCCTCTCGCTCATGGCAATTGACCTTGTGCTCCCAGCATCATTATTGTCGGCCGTCAACCCTGGTTGTCGTAGAAATTTTATTCATTCATCAACTGGGCATCACAGACAGCCTCCATTCCCTCCTCTGTTCCTGAAGACGAGGCTGCTCTGAACGACTTGTCAGGGCAGGCTCAGCAAAAGCTAACAGCCAAATAGACCAAAGAAACTCCGCCTCAATCGCAGGCTGACATTATGTACCTTCGAGCTGGTACTGCGAGTTCCTGGCGATCAGAGACTTATAATAGTCTACCAGAACCTCTGGTTTCGGGACGATCCTCCATTCCATCCTGGTGAGAAACTCGAGTTCCAGCAATGCGAGTTCCTTCATGCTCACACCTCCAACTCGGGCATACGTCTTGTTCGTCCAGAAAGAGTCGCTCAGGCCTTTGCTCGCCACTGTTGAGCTCGTGATGAGGAATCGGTGGACCGTGAGGCTGCTGATGGTGAAAGCCGGGTAGAGAGCACACAGGCGATCGATATAATAGACCACGCTGAGTAATATAGGAGGCGACAGCGTTGCGTGTGTCGTCAGGCGTTGGAGGTAGTCGAGGACGGAAATGCCCGGGGGTGCGCGTGAGTGGAAGCGCGTAAGCTGACCGTCCCTCAGTGGGATGGCATCATTGTACCGGATCAGCTCCATCAGCATTGAAGCTATCAGGACCACCAGATCCCGTGTGTTGCAGTTTTCGTATTGTAGGGGCATTATTCGTACTGGCGGAGCGTCCGGACGGGCCTTCTTCACCGGCGACGGTTCCACGCTCGGCTCTTCTTCCGGCTCGACTCCATTCGCAGGAGGGCGTGCTGCCGTGGCTGGTTCCACGGCATGTCTCTTTATTTGCGCTTGCGCTGTCGTGCTTTCTGGCCGCGACTGACTCGACACGGTGCCGTCTCGGCGCTTCGTTGCGGCGGCGGAGAGAGGGGCGGTCTTGGGCGAATGATCCTCCTTTTCGGACAGTTCGAGTCCCGCAATGGTACTTGTGGGAGTCTGTTCTGCTTTCTGTTGGTTGGGGGGAGAGTATTGTGTGGAAGCATCCACCATTTTCGGGCGGGGTTGAACGCGGGGAGAATATCCGTAGCGGTCTAGGGATTTCGTGCTCGGTAACCTGCGAGGCTTTTGGAAATCGAATTCGTATGAGAAGGGGCGCTTTCGTGCGATGGGACTCGTCTGTTCGGCGGTTGCGGGGCGGGAACTGGCAGCGAGTGAGGCCGATTTCTCATAATGGATTCGAGGAGATGTCGAGTATAGGGCAACGCCCGGCTCTCGGGCAGTCGCAGGTGAGATGTTAGGGGATGGGGATGTTGCTAGCATATTCAAGGAACTCCAACATCGGACCGGGTGTCTGGCGCCGCGAGCGGTTCATGGAAGGAAGCTGCCTCGCATGGGCAAGGTGCGAGGACTGGATGAAAAGTCAGTCGCCGGTGGGTGATGCGGTGATTGGTGCCACTGCCGAAGCCGCGCCGTCGGCCACGATGAGCCCTGGTAAAAGTAAAAGGTTGTGGGTGAGTGAGGTCGAGAACGGGGAGTGCCTCGAGGCCGCTATGCACGGAAGCAGGGGTCGAGATGATCTTCAAGGAAAGATGGAGATTAAAGAGAATCGACGGCCAGCGGGAGTGGTGTGTCATGTGTAATATCGTGCAGTGCCAGCCGTGGGTCTTTACACCCGAGCATCGATCGACACGAGCACGAGGCGACTTGGAGGGGCTTCAGTGGTCGACATTTTCCACAGCCGACCGAAACTTTGGTCAGGCGGCAAATGAGAGATCTGGAGTGTCTGACCAAAGTCGCATTTCATGCCGTGTGGCTTCAAGGTGATGATTGCCCTGCACGTGCATTTGCTGGGTGCTGTCAGACTGCGACCTCGTGCTCGTAATTTTGTTCACTTGCGTCTCTCTGTCCGCTCTCCAGTAGCTCGGCTCGCTCGGACCCGCAGACAAAACAGACAAGTTACGGATGGCAAGGCTGCAGGTCCGATCCTTCCGTCACTAGAATCCTGTCGTGTCGCTGAACACACCTCTCTCAATTGTGCGTCCGCAGGATCTTGGGGCCCACTGCACAGACTCCGGCTGAGTTTTCCCACAGCACACGGAAACATCCTCCGGAACGAGCGACACCGAACTCGTGACTCGCTCAGCCTGTCACAGCCAATCCCAGACCCCACGGGAACCCAACTTTACACGTTACGACCCGGTCCCAGAATTCCCGACTTGACGAGCCTCGACTCCTGGTACCCGGTCGGTCGTGGACGAACGTCCTCGTTATCGCATGGCATTAGCACGGCTTGCGAGGTCCGAGCTGCAGGATCTGGAGTCTGCCACTGAACCCTCGGCCCGGTTACAAGTCTTGAAGAGAATCAAAGGCATCGTGACTGGCCATCTGTCTCACAAGCTCGAGTTCATCCAGAATGGGCTTGTTCCTCAGTTGGCAAACATCCTCGCCGATGTCGCCTCACGGGCCTTCGACGACGACGTGCCGACGCAGCTAGATGAGCAGCAGGAATCATTGTTGACGCAGGTTGCCCAGGTTCTCTCTGTCATTGCTCATGGTACGCACCTTGCATCCACCTTCTGGACATGGAATGCTAATCCCGTCGACCAGAAGGTCCTTCGTTCGTACAACCAATCCTCGAAACCGATGTCCTCAAGAGACTTGTCGCTTTCCTTCTCTTATCGCTGTCCCCCAAGACCGCCCTTGCCGTTCTGAAATGTCTCAATGCCGCCGCCGACAATATGCCGCCGTCGAGCCCCGATCAATGGTTGCAGAGTTCGCTGCTTGCAGATCTTCTGTACTCTAAGAGATATATCCGATGCTTCGAGAACATTATCGGAAATGCGGGCAATGACGTGGCGTCTCAGCAAGCCTGCGACGCTCTCTTAGCCCTTCTCTGTAAGACTCTTACACATGACGCCCAGAAACGTGCGCTTGTCGATAACGGGCTATTGGATCTGCTGGCTGCCCGATTGGCATCGTTTGTGGTTGCAGAAGGTCTCGTGCCTCCTGCCTTCGGTGCCCCGTCGAGCGAAGATTCGGCTCCGGCATCACTTCCAGATCCAGCCCCCAGCGGTGCGCATCTGTCGCCTGTGCTGGAGGCGCTCTGCGTCCTGACTGAGGGCTCGCGGTTGCGTGCAAAGTTATTCTTGACTAACCCTGCCATCAAATCCGTCTTTCCAGACTCCAAGCACGACTTCTCCCCGTCGGACATGCGGCGGGCGCCATGGGGAGCTAGTTACTTCTCAGGCGGTGCAGTACCCAGGTCCAGGCTAGAGACCCCGTTTGATAGTCTTCTGCCTTTTGCGCCTGTTTCTGAGAAGGCTGATGCAGCACATCCCGGTTTTCCTCCCCTCGGTTCGGTCATGGCAATGCCCAAACGCAGGGCATCTTTTCTGCCAGCCTCGACGGGAGTATCCCATCTACTTCTGACTCAAGATGTGGCTGACGACGTGGATGAAAGTGCTGTGATTTCCTGGCTATTGTATATCGTTCGAGAATCACGAGGCAAGCGGCGTCTTCTTGCAGCCAAACTCCTAGTCAACCTTAACAGTTTGCACTTTGTCAAGAGAGACCGAAGCTTGTCCTTTGCTTCATTGCTGGTGCCACTTCTTACTCGGATGTTGGACAACGACCTAGTGCAACATGACACATCTTACCAACATGGCGGATCACATCTGTGCAGTGGTATGCATTTTGCTCTTGCTGTGCCCGCAGTGTTTGCTGCACTTATAATAGACAATCCGCACATGCAACGAGTAGCGGTTGAGGGCAAAGCTATTACCAAGTTGTCCCTTGGCCTCAAAGCGACCTTTGATGGACCGGCAGGGCGCAAGGTGACCCCCTGGCAGCCACACAAGCAGGACAAGATGGAAACCGACTCGACCACACCCGCTACTTGCCTTGGCCCAGGCGGACCAACCTCGACCGCTCGGCGAACAATGGAGTACCGAGAAGGCTGCTTGAAGGCCCTGGCTGCAATTGCACCATTCGAGGAAGACTACCGAGCGCAGATTTGCAGTGAAGGTGTCTTACCTCATATCGTTCAAGCTCTAGAACCATACCAGGCGCATCCGGGGGCAAGTCCGGAAGTGGAAACGACAGGCAATTCAGCTCCTGTCATACTGGCAGCATGCGCAGCAGTTAGAGCGCTAGGAAGATCGGTGCGGGCGTTGCGGACGAAGCTGGTCGAGGCCGAGGTTGCGAAACCGATACTCAGACTGATGAACTCAACGAACCCGGAGCTGAGGATTGCGGCTACCAAGGTGCTCAGCAACCTTGCCGTGGACTTCAGTGCCGTCAAGGACAGCGTAGGCGAATCAACAGTGGTGAAAAAGCTATGTGAACAGGCGCATTCGGCAAATCCCCGACTTCGGCACGAGTCTCTATGGGCTCTGAAACAACTCGTTCTCAATGCTCCGAAGAAGCTGAAGCTTGAGGTGGTGGACGAGCTTGGTTGCAGTTGGATCAAGCTATTGATCAAGACGGATCCCGTTGATATTCCTGAAGGTGAAGTTATTGGCCTTGTGGAAAGGGATTATCCCCCAGCGACAACTTATAGGCGGCCCGCTGTTCCAGCGGACAATCCCTCCGATGTCGTCATGGGCGAGGACTCGGATTCGGACGGTGGGAGCAATGAGGCCAGGAGTCCCGTTGGTGAGGAGGTGACCGCGGATCAAGGCGAGTTTGACACGAAGCATACTGTCGAAGACGACACAGAGATCCAGGCACAATTGCTGGACTTGTTGCGAAACCTCTTCTGTGGGGAGAATGCATCCGAGATGGTCCGGTACATAGTGGATGAAATGGGTCAGGACGATTTCTTCCGCATCATGTTGGATCGACTTCGGCCGCGTACACTGGCTGGGCCGACACGGAAGGAGAACTACACTACGCCGCCACCAAACGTCATCGTTGGGAAGGTGCTTTTCGTCCTCGTGCATATCGCGGCATGCGATCCCAAGTGGCGGAATATCATAGCGTCGCAGTACGCTCTGCTGAAGCAGATTCTCACCCTCTGCAATCACCAAGACAGGGAAATTCGGTCCACCTGCTGTTGGATTGCGATCAACTTGACGTACGAAGACGACGCAAACGATCGAGCGGGATGCAGAAACCGCGCCATCGAGCTCCAAAAGGCCGGGTTTGTCTCGCATCTCCGGAAGATGGAAAACGACTCAGATCTAGACGTGCGGGAGCGGGCCAAAACAGCACTGCATCTGATGACAAATCTGAAGCTGATGGCATGATCTTTCGCGAGATATGTAGCGACCAACTTTGAATTCATCACGACCGATTGAGCGCCTTCACCGAGATTTGTAGATGTTGGGGGTTCAAATCCCGAGCACCGGCGAACATGCCTCTGAGTCGTTATTCGTGCGTTGTAAGTGTCGTAAATCCGCAGCCTTGCAGCCTCGGCTATTCCATTTCCGCTTCTGTCGATCATTCGCCGGCAATCACCGATTGGTGGATATGTCCACGAGGCTGTGGTTTGTTTACTTCAACCCGATTTCGAGCATCGAATCCTGACACTCGACCAACCAAGGGAAGTGTCCTGAAAGCGCATCCATGAGGGCGAATTCGAAGTCGTACCCTCGAGCGAAGGTGAGGAAGATTGTCAAAGCTCATTCGAGGAAACACGTTGGCAAGACCGTTGATGCTCTCGTCTTCCTCAACTTTATTCTCTTTGTCGAGGAGTAAGTGCGGTGCGGTTCATTTGTGACTGCAAGCTTATTAATAATCCCAGGCTCCTGTCCAACGCGTCGCACAAAGCGCGGTTGAACGGCGAGAGGGTTACGGCAGCTAAGGATATTCGCAAGGTGACAATGGTACGTATTGGTCACATTTAATATCCTAAAAGCCGGCAACCGTGACTCATTGCTATGGCAGGCGACCTTACGGAGGTTCAAAGGATGATCTGGAGCTGAAGAACGCGTGGACTGAAGTGCAGAACGAACACATCCGCAAAGGAAAGCGCAGGGGTATATTCAGCTATGAGCGGCCCGAGCAATCCTCATGGGACGAATCCCACCCAGAAAATGCGACGGTCGACCACACATGAGCTGCCATCTAATCGGAAGAGCGCATTACTCTCGGGACGAACGACAGAAGAGAGTGTCAGGGTGCAAGGCAGCTGCACGACGGCACGGTCTAGAAGGGTTGCATGCAGTCAAAGCTCTTCCCAGGAACTCGAACCGTCTCCTGAACATGCACCACATCCAGTCACCTACCAGTGAAGATGGTGGAAAGATAGTCGAAAAGCGCGAGAGCACCGTGGAAGGGCAAGCACGTAGTTCCCAAAAGCGGAGACGTACACTGGGGGCGATATGGCTACACAGTAGGGGATAGATGTGGATGAGTCATTGTTGACAGAAAGCACCGGCATGGTGCCTGCTACGCGGCAAAGCCTTGCTCTATCTTGTAGCTACCTAGGAAGAACCTTCTCGAGGCTGGCGACAGGCGGGCGCCGTTGGAGAAGTCGAAGCTTGGCACGGGCGTCCATCGCCTCGTTGGACACCGTTGGCTTGCGGTGTTCAATGGCCGCACGCGAGCAACTTCTTCATAACCAAAAGCGTCTGCACATCAGTGACACTACCGCCCACCCAGCCTCAGCTGCTACTAATCCCGTCTTCTCTTGCTGCTTGCTTCCTACACACGCCTGTCTCCTCGACGCCTCAACAATCGAGCCAACAGCTGCTTCACTAACTTCCCGCTTGACCCAGTCCAAACGCCAGACACAGCAAGCGAATCTCCTGCGTCTGTACCATCATGTCGACAACCGCCTCCGTCCCTGTTGAAAACAAGTCTGCCAAGAAGCGCAAGGGCAAAGGCGAAGCTGCTGCTGGTGGTGCAGTGACTCCCTCTCTGGAAGCATCGGCTCCTGCTGAAACCCATCCTACTACCAATGGTGTCGAGTCTCATGGCGAGAGCTCCTTCATCAAAGATCTGACAAAGTACGCACTCGTCCCGATCGAGGCAGTTCAAAGCTGATAATCCGCTGGCAGGAACATCCGCAACATTAACAAGAAAATCTCGTCCTCTGCCAAAGCCGATGCCGTCGTCAGCGAAAACCCCGGCGTTGCCCTCGATGACCTCGTCGCCCAAAGAAAACTCAATGCGGACCAGAAAGCTCAGATCCTGAAGAAACCCGCTCTGCAAGCTCAGCTTCAGCAGCTCGAAGAACAACTCTCCAACTTCCGTGCATTCGCCCAGGAGCTCGAGGAGAAAGCCGCAAAAGAGAAGGCTCATCTGATTGAAGCCCACGAGGCAGAGATCGCAAAGGTCAGAGAGGAGGTCACTCAGGTAGCTGAGGACACCAAAGAGAAGGCAGTCGAGGACGCGCTGCGTACCATCATACAATTTCTCCACACCGCAGCATCAAAGCGTCAAATTGAGGATGCCGAGTCCGACGAAGCTCATGCCTTCGAAGGTGCTTTACTGCTAGTCTATCAAGGCAATGATGCTGCCCTGTCTACCTTGAAGAATTTAGTCTACGGCACCGATGACAAGGTCATCGATGTGCATGGCGAACCTCTCGACTTCACCTTCGCCCAGGTCAAGAAGTCTTCGGCGCAGAGTTCAGCGCCTGAAGTCGAAGACAAGATTGCGGTACCGGATGAAGATATTCCTGCACCGGAAGCGGTGACTGACAGCACTGTTGCGAATGCTGGTCTGACAGAACTTGATGACGCTGTCGCCGTACAGGCGGAGCTCAACGGTGCCGAGGCTGTGCCGGACGCTGATATTGCCTCTGCTGCCCCGGAGCAAACGTCTATCGATGCCGGAGCTGCCAACGCAATTGCAGAAGAATGGGATCCACAGGCATCTGCGATCACTGATACTAGCGCCACCAACGACGAGTGGGTGCAGGTTCCCCGTGACCCTGCAGAGACCGACACGGGTGTGACTGCTACGCCAGCTGCGGCAGTCCAGGCAACCAATAGCTGGGCTGAGGAGGTAGGTGCTGCCGCTACCAACGTGGAAGACAAACCTGCTGCCGAGAATGATGGTTTCTCCGAGGTGCGTCGTGAGCGCGGACGAGGCCGTGGTGGACGTGGTGGCCGTGGCGAGTTTAGAGGACGCGGCCGTGGTGGACGTGATGGTCACCGAGGTGGGGGACGAGGAGGACGCGATGGCCAAGGAGGCGGCAAGGGTGCTCGTGGAGGCGGCGCCGTCCGTGGCGAGAACAAGAGCTAGATCATGTCTGCAAGCTCGTTCTCGCGTTCAGAATGTGCCAAAGACCCTTGACAGGCGTCTTTACGGGGGTGGCCGTCGCGATGGCACTTCTCGCACTTTAATGCCCAGACTTTTCCATCTCGGCCATGGCTTCGACACGGTTTTGGGGCGAACAATGGACCGTCCAGCGAACTTCAGCGACATGTGACTTCAGCATTGCACGCATGGGTTGTGGGATAGGAAAAAGGTACCTCAAAAGTCCAAAAGGCGAGAATGTGCGATTTATCAGGTCAATCGGAGTATGCTGACCAGGTGTATTTCATGTACACTACTATCTGGAGTCTGACGAGCAATATCCCCCACGATATCGCCTCAAACCTATCCATGGATGTTTATGGCGACATTCTGACGCGGTCTGTGTGAGTGAAGGGAAAGGGAAGAGCAGAAGCCCATCAGAGCTCCAGCGGTGTCGTCTCGGGGCAGATAGGACAAATGCCAGCCATTCAAGACTCTGATTGTATATTGCTTGCTTCGTTCCCTCGCGTGGCTAGTAAGATATGAAGATGTGAGGGGCGGATGGAGTTTCCATCATGCGATCAAGCCTGTGCTCCGGGCTCCTCAGTCGCTTCGTCCGCTGAATCCTGCTCGGCCATTTAGCTTCTCTGCGGCTCTCTGATTGCACATCTTCACCTTCACCTTCACCTTCCATATCCAGAGCGGAATCCAGCAGCAGAAGCATACAACGCACCAACCAGCGACCTCGCCACACCTGTGTTTCCATTTCATCTATGGGCATCGTCTCCTTTCGCGCGCCTATCCCTTTAGCCCGCATCGTACGACAGATCCTGCACCCTCACAACGCCGCTGCCCCAACCCATCGCGACGATCCCAGCACAATGGGCATTCGGACTGCACTCGATCGCCGTGACGGCCTGCTCCTCCTCAAACACGGCCTCGCCGTTGCCGATTTCTTCGTTCTCGTACTTCTTGGCCTTTTTCCAGGCGGGTTGCGGGTTGCCCACGTCGATCTTGTCGGGCTTGAAGCCTTCGTGGAAGCGGGACATGCCGGGGCGAACGTCGTGGCCGTGGTAGAGGTCTGCCCCGTCATCCCTGTGTTGAGTCGGCTGGGGCGAAGCGTCATCTCTGATATGGCTCGGCTCCTGCCTCTCATCCCTGTCACGACTCGGCTGATGCGAGGGGTCTTGTCGACGGACCTCTTCCTGGGTGAGAGGCCGCCAATCGTACTCGCAGATCTTCTGTATGTACGCGCCGACAGCCTTCTTGACGTGCGACCGTCGATAGGGCAGGATCTTCCGCAGATAGTTCGTCGCGAGCACTTGCCCCCTGGCATTTCCTACAAGAATGCACGGATGCCAGTCTGATCCGGCGAGGGCCGTCGCGGCGCCCGTCCGGTGCGGCAGCTTGGCCACCTTTGACATGCTGGGAAACTGGCGGACGTGATGGCACGCGAGCAGCGTGGCGGCATTGCGCTCAACCTGGCCGTTGCCGCTGCGGTCGAGGACGGCGGCGAACGAGCGCGTGAAGGGCAGGTAGACGAGGTCGCGGGTGGGGAAGCACATGCGAGACACGGCGACGCGGTCTTGCTCGGGGCTGCGCAGGTCTGTGAGCACGAGGTCGCCTGAGGCGGACGCGCTGGCGACGAGGGTCGAGTGTGGGGCTGATGCTGCGCATAGCGAGATGATGTATGTGTGGTGAACGTGGTCCCATGCGTAGCTGGCCGGAGCGCTGCCCGCGGGACGTGTTGTCTTCTCCGACAGATCTGCCAGATCGTACAGGTGGACGGACCCGCTCGCCGTGCCCAGCAAGAGATCGAAAGGCCCGGCGAAGGTCAACGACGTGAAGATGGTATCTGAGGGAGGTGGGATATCAAGACCAGCCCGCTCTATTCGAAAGGTCCTCCTCTGCTGCACGTCGGCTGGGTCGTCTGCGTCCGTGGGCACTGGCACAGCAACCACGCGGGCGTGGCCGTCGCTTGACACGATCCCAAGAAGGCCGATGAGTGAGCGACTCGAGTCTGAAGGTCTACTGTCGTCGAGAGGACACCATTTGAGGCGCCGGATATTGCCCCACTGGGTTGCGAGCACGACGGCGAGTCTCGGTTGCCGATTCATGGCCAGGGTTCTTATGCCTCTGCCGCCTACTTCAGCCGTGTCGAAGGCCCATATTTGAATGCTGGAGGGATAGGGAGGGGATGGGTGGAAGGCTGGTCGTTCGCTTTCACTTTCGGGGGAGTGCGCCATCCTTCGTTGCCTTGCAATGCATTTCACAGAGATGGCCAGGTACTGTATAGGACCTGGACAGGGCGCCCAGGCTAGACATTGCACCTTTTCTCCGACATTGAGTAACCACCCCTGATGATATGCGTTGGTTGTGCGTGATTCGGCACTCTGCGCGGTCTGCGTGTGCGTGCTGCTCTGCGGATCCTCTACGGGCCAGGCCTGTCCAAAGTCCATAGTAGAAAGGTATCTTAAATGATATTTCTTCTGCTTCCCCCACGGACCGAGGACGACGGGATGATCCGGAGTGCCATGCAGCAAGTATGTGTCGCGTAGTTCGGCCTCGTCGATGGGTGCCAGGTCTTGATTGCTGCGTAGCCAATCCCATACGGGGCTTGTTGGGGTTGTTTCCTGGTGTCGTGCCTCCGAACTCTCACGAGACCGCTCGAGTTCAGTAACCAACGTCTCCCGGCTGGGCAGAGTGATATCTCGGGCTCTGAGCCAAGTATCTCGCGCTCGGAGCACATCACATAAATCGTCGACCCCGGGTCCAAACAAGGCAGGATACGCCGCTGCCTTTGCATGTTCCCTCGAAAACTGTACGCCGCGGGATCGTGCTGTTTGGCTGGTGGTGGTGGTGGGCGCCGACGTAGAGGATGGGCGCGGTCTCGCAGTAGGCCGGCTTGAACCGCCTCTTTCATCAGACGCGATACCCATGTCGTCGTCTCCGTCGTCTTCTGGTGGGCTGTCGGCATCGGACGACCCAGGGGACGCCGCGGACACCATGGAGGCGTCGTCATCTTCGTCTTCGCCTTGGGCAAGAGCGAGCCCAATCCCAAGCCCGGCATCAGCAGGAAGTAGGTCGTCTTCCGCATCTGACGATGTCTGGCTTTCGGCGGGACTCGAGCCAGATGACTCGGATGACTCGCGGAGTGTTCGTATGATTTCCTTGTCCCATCCATCGTTTGCGTACTTTGGGTTGGCCTTGCGCTGGCGGCCGGAGCGACGGGGCTCAACCATGATGGTGAATTTGTTGGGTAATGTCAGTGTCCTGGAGATTGAAAGTGCAATACTCGCCTTCAGAGCACGATCGGAGCTATGTCTTCACAAAGTGATTGAGTGCCAGGCGGGCAGTGGTAATTGTGGTGGGCCTTTGAACCTGACGTTGGAAAGGCTTGACTGGGACGAGATTTCGCCCGAGTCATGATAGTTCAAGTTTGATCTCAGTACTTGGGTAGAGTAAGAGCTAGAAGAAGAGCTCGGAGTGACACCGCACATAATTGTCGCCTTGACCAACTATGGGCAGGAGGCTGCATCCTCAGGTCACAATATATCTTCGGAGAAAAGGTGCCAGGTGGTCTACCAAGGAGAAAAGGCGTAGACCGTGACGTTCACAATACAAGCGCCATACGGACGTCAAACGCATATCTACCGCTGGCAGCCTCAGCACCCACAAAACGGCCACCCGTCAGCGTGCCGTCCTACAGACCCAGGTACAAGGTGTAGGCTCCAGGGTGTTATCCAGTAATTACCACCCATCCAACTGTCAACTTCACGGAGGTCTCTTTACTGACCATCCACCCCGACATTTTGCCACCTACTTCCAGAGCATCATCATGCTGGGCCGACGAAAGACTGTTCGGTCAATTGATTACCTGTAGACAATGGGCGATTTCGAGGCCCCGTCGCCTCACTCTTCGATCCAGCAGGGTGTCCTTCGCTTCCGAATCACAAACAGTCTATCCTTTCGTCTTCCTCTTCGGATTGCCCCGAGGAAGGTGTTTTATGCCACACAGTAGAACAAAGGGCAGTTCCTGTGCAGTCCCAATGACGCGTGCCCCCCAGTCCAGCGCATCCTCTTCCCAGTTCACAAGTGAATCTTCAGCCAATGCAGTCTGGGTTACAGTGACTTCTCCGCTGGCCGTCTGCACTTCCATCTCGACCCGGATCAGGTGCCTCCACAGGGACGCCTTCGTCCTTTTCATCCATTGCGTGCTGATGCTCTGCGGTCTCGAGCTCGGCCCTACTTGGTTCATGCCCTCGTAGAGATCCCATATCCTTGTCCAAAGGCCTGCGAGGGTCTGCAGGGCCTCAACCCCTCGACGGACGGCCTCGTACAGCGCATTGGTGTGAGCACAGAGGCGGCGTTGCTTCTCCAGTAGCTTCTCGCCGACTTCGAGATTGGCCAGTCCACGCGCAATACGACGACCACGGCGGCGGAAATATTTCTCCGTCACCAGAAATGCTTCACCTTTGGTCCCCCTCTCTTTATCTGTTCGAGCCATCGAGATTGGTCTTCCCTGCGACGATCTGCTCTGCGTACCGTCTGGTTCGACACATCTCGCTAGAGAGACGTGCAACTTGGCTCTGATATGTTCTGAGAGAGCATTTGGCAGATGAGAGGAGATTTCGAGCGGCGGTGACGTTGGTCCGGAGTTTGCCAAGGTGGCTGGCCCGGTCAAGATCATCAAGGGTATTGAGGAGGTGATTGAGCGGGTCGGGCGCGGCTTCGAGGTGAGGGTGTCGTCCTGCCTCTGGCGCAGGGTTTTGCTGCTTCGGTGAGGAGTCCGGACGAGGCTTTGGCTTTGAGGTAGACTTGCTCGACTCGTGCTTCGACGGCACGAATGTGGGCGGATGCTCAAGCCTTGAATCCACCCTGTGTTTCGAGGATGCGGATCTGACGTCGCGGTGGGGCGGTGGGTTGGACTTCCCTGTGCGCTGAGGCGGCACGGACTCGGGCACGAGCACGGGCTCAGGCTGAGACTGAAACCATGATGAGACCTTGCGCCGAGGCCTGGCGAAGTCAGGCGTTCTCTCAGGCTGAGACCGAGCCGTTGACAAGACCTTGCGCTTCAGAGGTACGGACTGTGACTGTGACTTGGATTTGGACACTCGTTCAGGGAGGCGGACATGACTATGCTGAGCACTGGCCTGGTTGAGCTTCTGGCGCCTCGCCGCGGGATAGGGATAAGACGACATGACTTTCGGTAGGCGTTGATCCTGTTTCAAGAAGAGACATCACTAGTCAGCACCGGACCACCGCTGGCTGTGGTAGTGGCAGTGGCGCTCTGCGCTCAAGAGCCGAGGGGATTGAATCAGGCATTGGAAGATGGAATTCTCACCCTTCGCTTGCGCTACTCAGCGCTCAAGAGTTCAGGAGGTTGAATATCACGCAGCAGCGAGAGATGGAAATTGTCACCCTCCACTCGAGTAAGTGACAGATATTTGACCGCCTGAAAGAAGGTCCGGCGGCGAGGACTTAGCGCCTCGAAGACGGTGCATGGTGCGAGCACCAATAGAGCACAAGCGCCGAGTGGATCGCCTGCCTCGATGAAATGGCCGTGTTCCGGTGATGTTGTGGAACGGTCAAGAACTCCTCGATGTGAAAACTCGTGATGGTTGTGACTGCAGAGGAGACAGCCTGAAGCCTCTGAGGACCGACGCTCTGGCGGCCTGTGTGCAGCCACATCTTTTCGTCCTTCGGGCCTGTTGGATAAGCGAAGTATTGCGCAAGTGCAAGGTAGTCACTGGAACCGCATCTGGCTTTCTCTATGGTTACTGTGTGCTGGTCATATTGCGATCCCAGCCTTCTGAATGCAGCACCGAGTGACAAAGACAAAGGATAGTCAGGGTTCGGATCAAAATGTTTGCTTCGTCTCATTGAGGGTCCAGTCGACCCATCAGCTGATATCCATTGTAGCTTTCAGCCCTCTCCTGCCCTATTCATGAGACCCGGAAGGGATATCTTGCCTATCAAGTTGCAGAGTAAAAATTAGCGGTGCCGTCGAGAACCAAGACCAAATCGCATGCGCGCCTTTCCGAATGCCTAGCCAGACGAAAACATCACATGGTCGCCGTGCTGAAATAGTAATTGCCCCACAGATACTCGTAATCCTCAATGATGCCTCCCACCAGGTCTAACAAGGGCTTGCCCTTCAAGGACTCGGCCGCGCCATGGATCCAGCCCTTGGTGACATTTTCGTAAAAGGCGCCTCGCATGCCCCACCAGGCTAGATTCCAGCCGCGTTTCTTCAGCTCCTCGCGTTCCAGGGCGGACAGGCCAGTTCGTGCGCCACCGGGGACCCTCGTAGCGAGGTCACGCTTCGCCAGCTGGCGGGCAAGGTATTCGATCGAGACGCCGACCAGCCAGGGCGCCCAATGCCGTTTCCATTTGTTGCCTTCGTAACCGTAGGTCCGAGCCACGCGTTGCATTAGCAGGGCATAGATCAGTGGACGCAAGGTATACAGCACTTCGGCAGCCTGGCCTCGCATGGTCGTAAGCCGGTGGAGGAGTTGTTTGGCGGGCTTCACGTCGTCGGCTGTCAAGACATGGTTAAGAAGATATGCCGATGCGGTTTCTGGAGAGGGCAGGGTTGGCAGCGTTAGTCCTGTCCGGGGCATGTTGTACGGTTCGGTGATGGACAAGGACGAGGCCGCTTGTTTACCAGAATCCGAGAGCGGCGGAGTCGGGACCCCGGCATCTCCCAAAACATTCTTCACGTCGAAATTGTCGGACGGATATTCTTCCTCGGCAAACTCCTCTTCCTGTTGTTCGGGGCTTGTGGGCGCAAAGTCTTCTCGTAGCGGCATCGGCGGTGTCAGGGTGGGACGTAAGTTTGTCAGGCGCATCAACAGCAGGCGGCATACGGCCTTGAACGACTCAAGCAGGACCACCACGCGCCATCTCGTCTTCTCTCCGCCGCGCCGTCGTGCAATCATTTCCCATAGCAGTTCGGTATATTGTGCGATCTTCAGCACCGTGGCAATCTTGTTGTACAATGAAGAAGAAGAGGTCCAGAACGTAGTATAACGAGCATGGAGTGAGGGTTTTGGTTTTTGCAGCTTGATGTTCTTGGTCTTGAGCACGGTCGGCGACAGCGCCAGGATGACGGCGCGGTTCTTGAGGATATGGTCATGGTAGATCGAGAGCAGCTGCACGAAGGTGTGGACCGATTCCGAGGCCAGCTCGGTATCGTGCAGCCTCGCGCCGGGCAAGAGGTAGGTCAACGAGCGCAGGCTGCTCTCGATGGTCGATACCGACGACGAGTTCGATGCGACATAGTTGGAGTATGTGGAGGGGAGGTTGATGGCTGCTTTGGTCAGCTCGGCGGAGGCGCTGGACAGGCTCTGGATGGTCGTGTGCACGCCACGGCGGATGGAGGAAGCCGCCGTCGAGGCCATGATCCGGCCAGGCGGTGACGGCCGAGATGGCAACAGTAACAACACTGGCTTCGGTCGATCTACATCCAGCGATGGGTGTTAAGCGATGAATGACGAGCGATGGGCGATGGTGAGGAGTGACAGACCGCCAGCGACACCGTCGACAGGGCACGTCGCCTGATTGGCTGCGCCGTCCATCTAAGATTCCAGCCTCGGCATTTCTCTGCGCTGACCTCGCGATGAAGGCAGATCCAAGCTACAGTGTGCAGCACACAGTACGGAGTAGACGTTCAAAGTCTCGGGCCGCCATCCTCTCGCCTGCACCGTGGCAGATTTACTCGCACCCAGAACATACCGTACGCGCCTACGGAGTACTCCGGACACAGGACAGATTGGGATGCCACTGACGGCAAAAGAACTGTAGCCTCGTATGGTAAAGGGTCGGGCGCAACCCGGGCTCACTCCTCGCGAACGTCTGCTTCCAACCTCCCTTGCCTTTCTCGCAAGCGGCGATTTTCCATCTTGCCCACCTTCACATCTTGCTCTGCAATTTTCCCGACTTCGCATCTTCGATCTCTTCCCGCCCCTGCATGAGTTGAGACGAGGCTGGGTTACCGATGCAAAGTCCTAACGGAGCAACAACCGAAAATACGGGGCGCCCTACTGTTCTGTGTGACGGCGTGTCCAGGCTGGGCTGCGGCTGATGGATCCAAACGACTCTTGAGTCTTGACTGTCGATCGATGCCTTTGAGCGATACTTCTCGGCCACCTATCCCGCGACACTCAACAATAGTCTCGCCGCGGGACAAGAACACAAACTCTATTACCGACCACGCCCTACTCGGCCAGGCTATTGAATAAAACAAATGCCTCCTGCAAAGGGATCCAAGCGTAGCAGCGGTCCCTGGACTTCGTCTCGCGTCCTCAACTCATCATCGCCGATCGTCACCAAAGACATACACGCCTTTCTCGTCACCGCTTTCTCGGGTTGGAATGAAGCCAGCGACACGTACACGGAGGCCGAGAAGCGCTTGCTGATCGATAGTCTCCCTTTAGCCTATCGCAAATGCGAGCCCGATCACGAGGGCCGGCTGCAGTGCCCGCTTTCCACCGCATTTGTGCTCGACGACCCCTACATCAAGGCCGCGACGCAGCGATTCAAGAACGACATTGCCGACGGGTACTACGAGAAGACATGGCAGAATCAGGCCAGGAGAGCCATGCAGGAGCGGCGAGATGGCAAGTTTGATGCTTTCCTTCAGGAGCAAGCGGAGGAGACCTTTGGCGAACCACGTCTTGGTGAACACAACGTCGCTGAAGGCTCGGGTGATGCGGACATGGAATCGAGCGACGGCGAATGGAATGGGAATCGGGGCAAGCCACAGCTCTTAGGACACGACAAGTGCATAGTAGAAAAACCCCAGGTGCTGCGGCAGAAGCGAAAGATCTAGATCGGATGTGTACGCCATGATGTCTTCGCGGCTGGCGGAGAGCCTTTGGGCCACGGATCGATACCTGTTGTCGGGACATTTCCACGCAGTTGTACTGCTATGGTTTCTGCACTGACGATGTGTCGAGTGGGGCAGCTCAAAGTCGTCGAAAATCCGTGTTTCCTGTCCACGATACCACACCGGCGTACTTATGATGAGGAGAAGAGCAAAGCCGGATTCAATAATGCCCAACGACTCCTTGCTCCGTTTTACCTGACAGGCGGCCATCGTGTCGTTCTTAGGCGCCAGATGAAGCGATGGTTGAACTGAAATCCGACCCAAGAAAACCCGATCAGGGGAAACCCGATCAGGGGGAACCCCGGGGCTGTTTTGCGAGATATTTTGCGGCAATAAATATGGCGATCAGCTTGAGGCATTCGTACCTGGTCACAGTGTTCGTTGCTTGATCATCCTACTTCCAGTTCCATGATTGCAGATGGCTGGTGACAATGCCCTCGAATTCTTCAGCGCCCATCGTACGCACGAGAAGCGGAGAATTCATCTCCAATTTGAGACGTGTGGTGTACCATTGCTAAGAGTCGGATGCCCTTCAGGGAGAGACCGGAGGAGGTGCGGTGTACCGCGGCGGCCCCTAACCTGGCGGTGGGACATCCGTACATACGAGGTAATGGAGTTCGAGAGTACCGTGCTTCGAGAAGTTCAAGCCAACGGACAGGGTTCGGTCCGTAGCAGCGTTCGAGAGACCGTCCATTTCGTGCCTGTGCGTGCGGAGGGTCCATTCAAGGGGCTGCAAATACTGCATATCTACTATGCAAAGTCCAGAAGGGAAACGGGTGGATCTATCCCAGGCTCAATGAAGCAAAGTACGGATGTGTTGTTTGACTTGTCTCCCTCGTACTTTCTCCTGCGGCTCTCCGCCGTCAGCGACTAACTGATCGGTGCACGGAACGCCCCTGTAACGTTGCACTTAGTAGCCATGGCGCGCGAGCGACACGTACCTCCCATGCACTTGACAGGATGTCAGCAGGAGGCAGATGGTATGTCGAGGGCAACCTTTCTCCAAGCCATAGCTGCCTGCCGTGGATGCCCCTGGTCGTGTGGATGAGTGTCAAGTGCAGAGAGTTTGGAATTGCTACGGACTGTTTCTCGGAGGGCGTTTCTCTCGATCTCATGCAAGATTACAGTAGGCGAAGCTAAATCCCGTCGAAAAGGCCCAAAGCTGGTTGGCCGTTTTCTGAGTCCAGTCCTTTGATTTGATGCTCAAGATGAGGCTGTTGCGGAAGCGGAATATCCCCCCCACTGTTCTCACTTTGATTGACCCTTGATCGTGCAGGGTAGAAGGTTTCCATGTGGCACCGAATCGGACGGCATCCGGCAGACGCTATGGGGTCCCTCTGGATTCCAGTGCTAGGCAATTAGACAACGTACGGAAAAGGGTTCGGATGAGGAACCATCGCAGTTCGACGCAGAAGATTATTCTCCAAAGTTCAGCGCGCTGACCACCAGAGTCCAAGAGTGGGCAAAATGCTTCGGTAGAAGGACCTGTCGACGTCGATAACTGCTGCCGTTAATGACAGACCGACTACGATTCTCCGCAACGGTCATGGTTGGTAGGTGGTATATGACATGGACGGATCGCCGGATGAGAGTCTGCACCAAAGGAGCAAATTCCTTATGACGCCGAGGACAAGGCTGTTCCATTTGTTCCAGTCTCGAACTTCGGCCTCTCCCTAGCGAACGAACTAAAGTGGGAAGCGAGAGCCACCAGGGCGGAAGAAGCCAACCCTAGCCAGCTGTGGTACTCCTCGTGTATGTTCGCCTGGAAATCCTTTCTGTACTCGTCTGGTGCACTGCTGTCCGCCATCCATTCGGGGTGAATTCGAGTCGTACTTCGCTAACCATGACTTGCTTGACCGACACTTGCAGTATCCCCTATGGCAGAGCCACCGTGCGGTACGAGCCCACTCCCGGTGGCGGTGACTGGTGGGATTCCAGAAGACCCGACAGCGCGGTCCAATCGTGAATACCACGGCACAGCGGTTGCCAGTAGGGCACGACGAAAAGTGAGAGGACGGCGCCCAGGCTGTTAGCGATTGGAACCAACAGGCTTCAGGAAGAGCGCGGCGCACAAGAACAAAGCTAAAATGGACGAACAACTGGCCCGCCGGGAGACCAACGTAGTTAGTCGGGAAGGGCGACGCATGCGGCGTGTTCCCACCCGGACGACAGGGGTGCTGTCCAAGCCAGCTCCTAGGGGGCAGGGTTTGCCAACTTGCCTCCAACCACCGGGTTTGCACTGATGCTTCCTGCGCAGAGCATCACAGTCACGCAGGACACACACCCCTTGGACGTCGTGGTTTCACGGCCTCTGTCTTTGGCAGCCGACCAGCTCAATCATGTTCGTAGAGCGATCCGAGGTTCGGAAGCAATCCAGCAGTGGTTCATGTCAGCCGCATTTCCGAAATGCGAGCCTGCCACACCTGTTCCCAACGACCGATGAAACAAAGACATTCTGCGTCCTCGGCATTCCTAGGCCCGATATTTTGACCGGGGAATCCTGGTCTCGCTCTACGTAGTAACGCCATGCATGCTGGGAGATGTTCGGCACCTGACCTGCTCCCAGCCTACCACAGAATCTCTGGCAGTCCGACGTGGGCTTATGGGTGTAAAATGCCTGCGTTGACCTGTAATTGTTCTGTTTGTGCGCGGCTTATTCGCAGACTCTAGCTTCGTGCGTTGTCATGCCCAAAGGAAACGGTATAGATATCTCAATGCCTTTGCTGCCGGTGTGCGCGGTCACAAGGTTCGAGGTGTCGCGGCTGCAGCACCGTGCAGTGCAAGGCAGCCAACAACGAGTAGCCGCGACGCAATTACTCGATCATGATCGCCCAGGCGGGGAGGATTCTCGACGAGGCATGAATCAACCTGCTTGTTGTTGCGAGCGCCAAAGTGCGGTCAACTCACCGCTCCTCACCGCCTCGGCTCAGAGCCAGCTGTGATGTTCGACGACGCCCAACACTGACATCCTTGATGGGAGCTATTGTCGTGCCATGCGTATGTGAACGTGACGTAGCTTCAGATGCATGTTCCAACTCGTGAGATTCGAGACTGCGCGTGTTTGTGTGACACGTCCACGTTGTGGGCCTGGCTAATCCCACCGTGTGTTGACACCAGCCTATATGCAATCAAGTCGTCATGCACTCCGGGGAAAGTTGACTCGGCTTGTCACACGGCAGGTTCCAGTCTGCCCTGGACGGGGGGTTGTTCTAGCGTGTACGGAGTAGGATTTGACAGATCGTGCGCATGTTTGACAGGTCCCTCGCATCCGCAGTCCGTGGTATGGCACGGTGCCTGAAGCCAAGGGCAGCCGCGCTTGAGCCAATGATGAAGACGTGTGGATTCGGTCGCTGACTACCCAGTACTGATTCGCGGTTAGTATTTGAGCCTGCGCCCGCAAGAGAGAGAATTTTGACCAAGACGACGACACGTCAAGTGGCTTGCATACCGGTGTCTGAAAGATAGACAGCTCGCCGCGTGAGCGGATGCCGCCAGTTGCAGAGACATCGTCGTTCCAGGGCTATATCCATCTCAAGCCATCTCAAGCCAGCACAAGCCATTTCCCGCTGTGCTGGTGCTCCGCTATTCTTCTCTGCGCTCTAGTGGGATCCGAAAAGACTTTTAGGTGACTTTGGGCCGCCTCCCCGGCTGACCTAAGAGATGGTGGGCAGCGGCTGGCGTGACCTGGCTTGTGGTCCGGAGTAGCTGTGATGCTTATTGACAGTGACGGTGGAATGGCTGTTTCGAAGGCCTGCACAACAGGGTGCCAGCGGCGTGATAAGAATTTTTTTGGACGAGGAAGAGCGACCAGCTATGTACCTTCGCGTGACAACCTGCTGCTCCCTACGCCTGCCTCCGCCACCGTTGTTGACCGTCACTCCACGTCGTCACCGTCAGGAGCTGCCACCGCTGCAGGAGCTCGACTAGGATACAGCTGTCGGCCAGGAAGAGCGGCGGTGACTTGGAACACTCGGCCAGTGGAGGACATGAGAGAAAGGAAGGTCTCAAGGACGCGCTGATTGGAACCTTGCTTGCTGGAGTAGCCGCCGGCAAAGAGCCATCTGCTACTCATACGACTAAGTAGCATCGTCAACATGATTCATCTGAGTTTAGGCTTCTGCCACCAACGGCGGTCTGGACGAACCTCCCAACAACGTCTTGGGAACCATCTCCTACTATGCTCCTTCGAGGCATTTAGGCATTAGTTCGCATGTATCCCACCGTCTCCTGCAAAGGGCGTTTGACGCCATGATGCTTCGTCGACTCGCAGTAGCGCGGCCTAGTGACCCTGCTGCTCCATCGCGGTACAAGCCTCTTCCTTGAACACCAGACCGGGATGCTGGTCGCTGACCTCCTCTGGATCTTGTGCAGGCATCCACTGTTAGCGTAAAGCCATAGTAGTGATGAGACCGCGAGGAATGGGTCCCTTTCCACTTTTCCCCCGTCCCGCCCAGCCCCAGACGATAGAGGGACGACGATATCAGCTACTCTGTTATTAGCACAGGCGCGAGGGCCGGAAGTAAATCGTGCAGAACGCACAACGCCAGCAGCCGCGGCGGGCGGCAGAAGCCATGGTCGTGAGCGGACGAGGCGAAGTGCTGTACCAAGCTTCTCGATTGTTTGCGCTGCCTCCCTGCCTGCCACTCCCGCTGCCACAAGCACAGCGCCGAGAAGGGATGTGGACAGTGGACAGTGGGGTGCTAGTGCTCAGGGACCTTTCCACTCGTTGCCCACTTCTGCCATCGGATCGATCTGGTGGGAAGCAGACAAGTAAAGGACGACCGCTCCTGGACGGGCCCGCATCTTGACCGCTGCTTCCAAACTGTAGTTCGTCTCGGTATATATCCTCGGTGCTGGGTGAACAATGCTCTTGTGTCGAGACTGCCAGCCGACCTACAGGCATTGTGGTGCGGGCATTTTCCAAACTATTCGACCGTTGAAGCTATTGCCCACTACATACATACACCACCCCGGGTGGCCGTTTCCGAACCCCCATCGGCTGGGAGCCTATTGTCTAGAAACACCGGCGCCTCGTTCTGGTCTCGCCAAAGAAACAACCCGCCCCGTACGCTGAAGCGAGGACTCTCCGGGTATTAGTACCCAACGCCACCCTCACCCGTGCTCGCTTTCTCAGCCTGATCCACCGCTGCCCAACTGCTTCTGTGCCTGTATTCCTTCGTGCATTGTATGGCAGCACCCATTGACCTTCGTCACCCGCTCGCTCACCACTACTCTCCCATCGACGTCTTGTTCCAGCCCTCATCGTGGATATCTCGTCGCTGCTCAAGCCGAGCGACGAGGACGACGGCCAGTCGACAAGCTCTCCCGCCTCAGTATCCCGGTCAGAGTCGGTGCCGTCGAGCGTGGCTACCACCGTGGCTCCTCTGCCACCACCACAGCCGCGGTCGGCTGTGCCGGCAAAGCGACTGTCTTCGAGCCTGGACCTCCCACTCCAGTCCCCAGCAAAGAAGCAGTCCAAGTGGTCGCCCGAGGAAGACGCGAAAATCATCCAGCTCCGCCAGGATGGTATGAAATGGGAGGACATCAGCAAGCACCTGCCCGGCCGCAGCGCTATTAGCTGTAGGCTGCATTATCAGAATTACCTCGAACGCCGGAGTGAGTGGGACGAAGATCGTAAGAATAAGCTTGCCAGGTTGTACGAGAGGTATGTTGAGAAACGTCGCACCAGTTATGTCTTCGGGGGATGTCGAGATGTCAAGATCTTGTACCACGATCCCGCCTGCCATGTCACAATTTCTCCGAGTTGATGGTTCCACTAGCTGACTGGTCTCCCTGCATATCCAGGTTTCGAGCAGACATGTGGGCACGCGTTGCAGAAGAGATGGCCATGCCGTGGCGAGCGGTTGAAGCCATGCATTGGCAGATGGGTGAGCATGAAATGGCGAAGCGGGCTGGCGTGACGCCGTTCTCTCTCGCCAACCCTACGACTGGCCTCGAGTCTGCTGCAATGCCCCCCCGACCACCACTGCGGCACGTAGGACCGCCTCCACGCGCCCTGCGCCGAGAGTCGATGCCTCCCGAGACGAGCTTGCAAGGTCCTCAGCAGCTGCCCTCGCTGGCGGAATTGACAGCTGGGCTTCCCGCATTTTCTACTCCACCTTACCACACCACAGATCCTTTTCACCACCTGTACAACCACCCAAGAGGCCGGAATGCTCCTTTCCGGTAACGAATTGTTCTGGCGGGTTTGTTTTTGGGCGAAGCGTGTTTCAATAAACCAAGTTCACGGTGAAGCGAAACGATTCCGGGTTTTGATGACGAGCTCTGTGCTTTTGGCTGGGACAAGCGTGGCTTGAGGCCCGCAGAAAGACGTTGTAATATAGTGATATCGATACCCAGCACCTCCTAGGTCCGGACCGGCCACCCGGCGTGAGGAGATAATGTGATTTAGTGACGATTTGATTTGTGGGACAATGGGAGTGGGTGTTGCCGTCACGGAGCGCTGGTCGTGCTTGAACCTTTGAGCAGCCGTCCCGGGCTTCTCAGTATATCCCCGCTGGGCAGCGCAAAGGGAGACCTGCCATGGTTCAGTCCTGCCTGGTGATGATGACCCACCAATTGTCGCGATCGTATCCCTCCTTGACCACTCGACCTCCCGCTGCAATGACATCTTCCTGCAATTCGCCCTCGCGGTACAAGTGATAATATCGCTGGTATGTTGTGGGTGCCGGTAAGCAGGTGCCATTGGGCGGCTGCTGCGAGCCATGCTTCGTCGTGGATTGCGAGTTGTTGCCTTGCTTGAGAACCCAAGGCACAAGCACATCCTGATCGTCGCCGTGATCCCATCCTCTACGACTGTCCTTTTGTTCGAGTGCCCAGACAAATATCAACGCCCGACCTCCACCACTGCCAAGCTCATCTGACTTCGTCGGCGGCTTCAACGTTTTCAGGATTTCCCTAATGGCCTGGACTCTTCGAGCGCTATTCGAAAGGTGGTGTATAACGGCAACGGATATGGCGAAGTCGAACGAATCGTTTGGATGAGGGAGGCTTAGGATGTCGGCCACAACGGCGCTATGCGGTTCGTGCTGGCGAGCGATCTGGATTAGGGCATTCGACCTTTGAGATTGTCAATAACGCAAACGAAGAGGTACCGCGGCCTTCAAGTACCTGTCCGAGGCGATGATGAAGATGTCCTTGTTCACAGCCAAGTATTTCCCATTCCCGCACCCGATGTCAAGCCCGGCCGAGCCAGCGGGCAGATTGCGCAAGAATCCATCAACCACCGGCCACGGCTGTCGCACTCGTCAACATCGTATGTGATAATTCTGCCAGGACCCCCACCAACGCACCTTGTATCGGGTCGAAGAGAAGTGATTGGCGATGTCTTCGTAGACCTCATGCACATGCCTTTTTTCGTACTCTAGCTCGGTGGTTGCGCTGGTCCCGGCCATGGCGTCCCGTTCACGTACCGATGTCGCAGACCATCGATTCTCACGCTGGGAGTTTTAAACGGCTTACGAGTGGCTGAGACCACTGTCGAATGCCGCAGAGAAATTGGTGTTGTGCAGGACGAGAATCGTTACGGGTCTGCGTCGTGCTTCACACGTGGTTCGGAAAATTGTTCAGTAACCGTTCGAAATGCGCACTTGGGACCCCCGATCGGCTAGCCGAGAAGCGGTCCAGATCCGAAGCCCGACGTATCTAACCTTGGAATAATTAGATGCACTAATTGAACTCTTGACTGTGACTGGAACAACCGCATGGGCACAGTCTCATCATCGGCCATAGGGCGTAGGGAGTATTTGCGCTGGCGCAAACCTCTCGAAACACGAACGACATGGCCACTTCATGCTCAAGGTATTCTGCGTCTTTATCCAATAGTACGGTCCACATGATCAATGTCTTGCTTTCATGTACAGGCACCTGCGAGCATATAAACCTATTCGTAGTCATCTCGCTGTTCAAGACAAGTAAACATCGAGAATCGTGAATGTAGAAGCGTCCACTATTGCTGTACGCAAAACATCTCACGAAAATATCTCAAATAACGCCAACAGCCTCTCCCCTGGGTAAGGGCTGTGCTCCACCATCAGAAGACGCAAACATGGTGGTGAGACCCGAGCTACGGATCATTAATGCTAGCACAATCGCAAGTAGAGGTATCTGTACAACGTTAGTCCTCTGGGCGGGTGAGAATGGTACGGGAGGAAACATACCCAGAAGAAGAACAATTTCCGATCCCGGCTGAGTTCTACTCTCTCAATTGGGTTCCTGACGGGAGCAGCAGTTTTGAGGGAGGCTGACTGTGATTTAGACCATTCGCCTTGCGATTGTTGCTCGAAATGAAGATCGGCTGCAGCATCGGCAGCTGCTTGTAGCGTGGAAGACTTCTTGATGCTCCAATCTCCCTCGGTTTCTCCATTTTGTTCCGGATAAAGATCGCCATAAGCAGGAGGCGATGAAGGCGCAGGGGATGAGCCTCCTGTCAAAGTCTCCCACCACCCCTCCCGCTGACTGGGTTGCTGTCGAAGAGCCGGACGCTGCGGGAAAAGGGCGCTTACCCGGCGAACCATGGGATATGCCTGGTAGTCCTGCAACGCAGCAAGGGGTCCGTTCAAGGTGGCAAGGGTGGGCATGACCGACTGCGCGCTCTCGTTGAATTGTTGCAATTGCGCAACCAGATTATCTCGCCAGGCTAGCATGAACGCCGACGGTGCCACGGCTGGTGGCGGATTAGGCTTATCATTTGGCGAGAACTTGGCTCCTTGTAAGGCGCCTGGCTGCATACTACCTCTCCGCGATTGTGTGACGCTACTCGTCGGCAGCCGGCCAGTGTGCGACCGAGAAAGTTCAGGCTCTTCTGAAGAAGCCCTTGTTGGCGTCTCATCATCAAGGCTGTCGGAGTCGTCCATATCGTCGGTATCCGTAGTTGTGTATTGATTCGAGGCATTTTCCCAGAATGAGCGAAGCGAAGACGAGCTCCGGCTATGCAGTCTCAGAGGTGTCCCTCCAACGCTCCGTGACCGATACTGGTCAATAGTGGTCATGGTTGCTTGATACGCTAGTAAGGACGTCGCTAGATCTGCAGGGATAAATTGGCGGATGCTGCGAGCCTGATGGTTGGCACCAGCCAAGCGCAGCCGATGAATCACATGCGTGTGACCGTTCATCGCGGCGTGGTGCATCGGCGTGTGACCATTATTGTCGACCATGTTTGGATCAGCCCCTCTGGATAACAGACCGGCGACAAATCGTGTAAGCCCTAGAGACGACGCCAGATGCAAGAGTGTGAGTCCTGATGGGCGTTGTAGTTCCAATCTAGGCGCTCTGAAACGCCTTTGGTCATCCGTGTGCTCTAGGAATTGTAACATCATGCCCTCTAGTTCAAGCGAATCCATTGATGCTCCACCAGCGTGACGCTGATGTCCCCCGCCCATGCCATAGTTGCCGTGTCCGAGCCACATCGAATGAGTCTGCCCCTGAAGTAGCTGCTGTGCTGCAGAAAAAGGATCGTCAGTCGGATGCTGCAGTTGCTTGCCTAGGGTTCGTAGGGCCAAGCGGAACATCTCCAACTCTCGATCATCGACGTAAGTGAATAGTGATGGCCTAGTTTGAGATTGTTGTGGCATCGTAGAATATTGAGGATGGTCGTGCTTGAAAACGACAGGAACAACCCCAGGCTGCAAGGCTGGAGGGGCAATGCAATTCAGACACTTTTCTCCCCAGAATGTCGTCGTCGTGGCTTCGGTATCGCCGAACATAACCTCGAGTCCTTGATAGAAGCCATTTCCAAGAAGGGTGACTTCAGTACCTCCTGTCACGGATCCTTCTGCAGGAACCAACTTGTGTATCAGCGGTGGCGGTCGTCGCGTCGGGTGACCCAAAAGCTGGTTGTTAACTGCTTGCCCAAACGCTGCATCTGCTGCACCGAAGCTGTTCCTTGCAGAGCCCGGGCTTCCAGGCCTGCTCGGCTGCCGAGATGGCGGTGCTGATATCATCACCTGTCGCGACATATTGTCGTGGCTGACTGAGCGGTTGATGTTGGCAGCAAAGGAAGGGTCCACACCGTTTGGCGTGGGAGGACTATTGCCATACGGAGCTGGACGTACCGCTGAAGGCATGGCGAATGGACGATCATGGGAACCCATATAAGACGTCATATTCGGAGCGTATGGAGATGAAGTACCTGTATTGGGCAGTGTAGAAGGCGGTTGATGCGGGTGCGACGTGTCGAGTCGAGTCATGGTCAGTCCAGAAGGCAATTTTCCAGAACCACTCTGTTTCCGTCGTTTGATCGAAGGACCTGCAGGACCATTTGGGGAAGCAGGCCTAGAAAGGTTGCGCGCCGTAAAGTTTGAAGCAGTCTGAGGCGGCACGGCCGAGGGAATTGCGAATGGAGTGCTGGCAGAAGGCATTGGAAAGGTGGGATTGAAATTATGCTGCAGTGTTTGCAGATCGGTCATGGAGTAAGATTGCCTTGAAATTTTCGGATTGACGGCTTGCGCTTGAGGCTGGTGCTCTTGTTCATTGGTTGAGAAGACTCCAGCGCCTGGCAATTGCTGTCCTGGAGTAGGCAAAGGTGCTGGCTGGTTCGAAACAGCGGAGGGAGGGTTGTGAGTTTTGTGGTCATCGGTAATCATGATGGCATTTGTCAACGCCTGAGCGATGACCTTGTCATGACAGTCCTTGACGGTAAATATCACTTGGAATCCCATTTTCTCGTTCTGATGCCGACAGTAGCAGGCAATCCGCATTGGCAGCTCGACCTGGACGGCCCCGGGTGGCGTAGACGACGCATTCTGGCCTTCTTGGTTGCTGGTATCTCGAGGAACTTCTACCCATTCCTTGACCTCGTTGGTGTTGAATACAACCACCCTTCTTTCTTCGTCTTTCTGGAAGAGCTCTTCTTCTTCTGGCTTCTTCTGCTTCTTCCTTGAAGCCCTTTTTCTCTCGCGCTGTATGCAGCCAGGACAAATTTGGACCTCACCGCCATTCAGAGGTTTGTCCTCATCGTCTCTTGACGACTCAGACTCCATCGAAGAAGCAGGGCTGGGTCGAGTATACGGGGCCAGCTCTTCACCCCTCGCGCGCGCCAACGCTCGCTGCAATTTCGCCTTGTCCTGCATTGCACTCGTACACACTAAAGCCGTATGAAGCTCCAAGATCTCTGGTGATCGACCAACCTCTGGCTTGGCTAGGAATTTGGGTTTTGACACCGTATGTCTTGGAAGTCTCAATTTCTTGACGCCGGGTGGAAGGAACGAAAGCGTCATCTTGATAGGTATTTGAGTCTCGACGCGCGACTTGAGCGAAGTAGGATGCACCGTCAACGTGGGCGAACCATCTGCCGAGTTAATTGTCGATGGCGGAGAGGAGATGTCTTTGGTGAAAGTGGAGGGAGTTGTGCTTGACTCTGGATCGAAGCTGAACGTGGCGTTGGAAAATTGCAGATTGGGCGAAAAGGTCGCATTGCCAGGGGAGTCCCCGTTCATGGTGATGTGATTGAAAGTCTCCTCCAGGCCAGATGACGGGGAGTGCTTGGTCCAAGGTGACTGGCCCTGAGTAGCTGGCAGCATCGCATTCAGAGGGGATGCTTCTCTTGATCCAGCAAAGAAGAATTGCGCTTGCCCATTGGGTGCTTTCGCGGACGAGTGCTGTTTCCCGTAACCCGAGAAATTCGGGGGTCTGCCGAAGGGCTGATTTACGAGCGGGGTCCTGGTGCTGGGCGCTTTGTTCATCATCTCGAGCCCACTTGGTGTACTGGCAGCCGTCTCAAAGTCAAAGGCTGAGGCCATCTGTTGGTTGCTGACCTCGAAATCCTGGTCCATACCCGCCATTGAAGCATCCTCAAACAGCTGCTCGTTGGCTGAGATCGAAAATCCATTTATGCCACTTCCCCAAGAGCCCTGGATGGTGTCATGTGGAGGAGGAGAGGCGGTCGAAGGGGCCGACATATTGCGTTCGTCCTCCGCAGGTGAATCAGACGATGTGCTGCTGGAGCCGGAGGCAGATCCCCGCGAGCCACGTACAAATGCGCCATCGTGCGCAGGCGGGCTAAAGGATTCAGATTCTCGTTTTATTGTCAGATCATTAGGATTTAAAAAGCCCGCAGGCAGACCCGTCTGGTCGACGTCGGGCGCAGGCGTCCCCAAGAAGGCATCGAAGTCTTGCCCAGCAAATGACGGGGTCTGGAACAGGTACATGTCCTCATCGTGGGCCGTCGCCATGTTGCCGCCCGGGTTGTGAACTTCGAGGCCTTGAGTTTGTCCGTCACCGCAACACCCCTACGCCATCTCTTGTACCGCACGGCGGTTTAGCCAATCCTGTAAGATGCAGCGGGCGTCGTCGGGAGTCGGGAGACCTTGCTGCGTCGACGAGGTAGTGTGCACGGAGCTCGGACAGGAGAGGCTGCCAGAGGATTCACTCGGTCAGTTTCGCCGTGCGGGTTTGTGGGATGTGTGGTGTGGCTGGGCGGGGAGTCGCGCACCGATCACGTCCTTGATGATGGAGCCAGAACTCAGCGAGGAATGCGCTATTAGGTCGACATGTACGGAGCAGCGCAGCAGTGTATTAATCGAAACATACGCAGCTAAGCTGGTAGGACCTTACACAATAAGGTGGTGGGTGATGAAAGAACAGAGTTGTTACGGAGTGATGATTAGTGAATTAGGCTATGCTTAGAACGGAACTCGATCCAACTTGCGGAGAGGCGGAGTTGTCTGTGGGCACGCCCAAGACCCTCCAGGCAGAGGCACGAGAGGGAATTTGCGCCTATCACACCCACCACCGACCAATTCGGAGGGGGAATAACTACACCTAAGCTGGAGCGCTCCTGACCGCTGCACCAGTGCACCACTTTGACGAGCCACACAGATTTCTCACTTGCATCCATCTTTTGCACGAACAACCTGACCGTGTCTACCCAGAATGGTGCCCTTGGCCAGCCATCGTGCTGTGAGGAAGCCGTCGTCGATCCTCTAGCTGCTCCCCCAGTTCGCTCCGACTCTATTTCTTCACTTACATACAACAGGCGTCATGTTGCAGCGGCTGCAATCGCGGAGCAAGGGGTCTCGCGAAATTTCACCATTTCAATTACCAAACGAACTCATCCGAGCGTGGCAAACGCAAGCTCGGCGCCTGCACAATACGAAGTACATCAAGACGCGGTCACGCACTCCACGGAACATATCAGCCTCTTCCTCGAGAGACGTTGGGCGTGGATGTTTTCTGTCTCATCGTGTTTCAGGCGGCTTGGCTGATACCTGCCAGTTCGCCTGACCTCTATCGACGTTCCCATGCGAACCCTTCAAGCATTTGCGATTCTCAAGATACCTTGCCATCGGGTCTCTAGCAATGACCCAGCTTCCCCATACGTTCCTCGCGCCTTTCTTATCAGCCACCCGGCCTCTCACAGCTTGTCCTTTCTCCCGCAGCCGTTGCGCAATCTGTATCCATCCATCCACTCTCTTGCATACCTCGATACGGGTGGCACAACGCCCCGGGTGAGCTCTCGCTCTGTGCCGCCTCCAATCAATGAAGCCAATGGCGGACACATGGCGCTTCGTCCCCTCTTAGACTGGCAGACCTTTCGAGAGACAAGTGAATACTGGTCAGAGCCAGACCTACGTTGAAAGCGACACAAGAAAGGTTTTACGGACTCCGTCGAGCGTTTCATTAGAGCCTCTCTCCTTGAAAATTTTCACTTCCTGCAGTCCGTAGGGAACGGCGCATGCCCATGCGATGATCCTCTCTCAAGGAAGCGGTGCTTCTGGCCACATCAGGGCGCCACTCTTCCCAGAATCCACCGGCACGATCTGTCCAGTCATGTTGCCCGCGAAGTTTTCGCTAGCAAGGAACAAACAAGCTCTTGCAACAGCTTCCAATGGGACCGCCTGCTTCAAGGCCACGGTTGCTTGAGCCTCGCGCCACAAAGTGATTGGATCGTCCTCGCATTCTTTCGAGAATTGCTTTGTTGCAACGGGCCCTGGTGCAACGGCATTGACGCGGCATCGTGGATGGATGTTGACTGCGTCGCGGGCAAGAGACTTCACCAGCCCATACTGGATTGCCGATTTGGAGGCTGCGTATGCGGCGCAGTCAGCCACGCCAAAGGTTCCTGCTTCGCTCCCAAAGATGATGGCCGAGATATTGCGACTCTGAGATGTCGCGTGGCTCTTGATGCCTCGGAGCCAAGCGCGACAGGTAAGAAAAGTGCCAGTTAGGTTGACGTTCAAGATTCTCTGCCACTCCTTCAGCGGCATGTCGACAAGTGAACTATGCTGACAGTAGGACAGATCCACCCCGGCTGCCAATACGCAGGTTGTGATCACGCCATATCTCTCTCTGGCTGATTCGAGCGCGCTCTCTAGGGAGGCCTCGTCTGTAATATCGGCCTGATGCGTCTGGAGCCGTTCATGCTCAAGAGGCTCTCGTGGGTGGACGAGGTCAAACGCTGACACATACGCTCCAGCCGCCAGAAATGCTCTAACTAGCACGGTTCCTATAGCGCCAGAGGATCCCGTGATCAATACGTGAGTGGCATCCAGGCCTAAGCCCACGTCAAACGACACTTCGGCCATGAGGAGAAATCGACGATCGTAAGTAAGAGGGGGACGATTTTGAGCTCTCGGTTATTGACATGGCAAACTTTGTTGCTGGTGGGTGCAAAACTAACGGCCGCTTATTGCTCACATGGCCGATGCCGATACGTACCCCTCGCGACAGCGCACGCTAACTGGCTGCTCTCCACTTGTCACCTCAACTCGATCCAGTTAACCGTGGACATGTCGTCTAAAGCTCTCAAAATACTCTTAAAGGTTAAAGTTCGTGCTGGCGGCGCTCCTACAATCGTATCTACGCAAATTCCGCCCAAGAACAGCCTACCAATCTCGGAACTGCAACGGAACAGCTTTCAAAGTGACCCCAAGAATGACGGCAAGATCTACACCAGATGAATATGCTCCCTTGGTCGCCACGTGTCCTACACGGGCTGTTCGCTGTGGCGGGCTGGTCATGCCATGGCAGCGGGAGGTCTCCTCTGGGGAATCTTTGTCAGGCTGTCCGTTCTGAGGCATTTCGGCAATAGGGCCATCCTTGTACTCGAAGAGTACATGGAGAAGAAATATGGTGAGCGGTGGAAGCAGGTCAAGCAGAAAGCGCCGTGCGCTTTGATACCTGGAATATGGCAGAGTAGAATTCGTTGTCCGGTGCGTGTCGTAATTGCGTTCAGCGAGCGGCAGCCGCCAGCTCGGTCTTGATACTTTCTCGAGGCTCAGGGACTGTTGGAATACCCTGGATCTTTTTCCTTTCCCACTCGCTCGGCGCACCGGTCACCTTGGAGAGGAAGTAGCATGGGATCTTGTTCCTGACTACATATATATTCCAAATTTCGCGAGAAATCCTCCAGCTTCACCTGACCGCAGTGCATGCGCAGAGCAGACCCAAACACGCGGCCACGTCTGGCGAAACTACTATCAGATCTCAAGTTGGCTCGAGGTCGATCACCGTCTCGAAATGCCTATGTTGGCATATTTCGTGACACATTATTATTCATGAGTTCGTCCGTACGAGGTATACAGGGTAAAGTCTGAAAGAGGAAACATCCTTCTCCCAAAGCGCCTGTCCGCCTTACACGGTCCTGTGGGTTCGCTCAGACCGAGTGCTCATGCCGACCGACTCCTCGCTCTCGTCGTAGCTGGGCAGTCCGCCGTCCTTGTTCCTGTTCCTGACGACCTCCTCCCTCCTGCCTGCCCCCTCGCTCCCTCTGCTCCTCACCCTTCTAATCTCGAACCCGACCACGAAGAACAGGTAGAGCAAGAACATGGTCGCGGCAACGACACCATAAGCGATCTTCACCTTGGTGGATGTCGCGTTCGTCTGGAAAGGGCTGAATGATGCCAGACGGATGCCTAGGCCGCCATTGATCATGCCGAGCACGATCAGACTTCGCCCGAGCCAGAGGTGGATGTGGCCTGGGACTGTCCGGCCGGGAGGTTTGGTGTGCTTGCCACTATGGACATTCCGGGCGCGTTTTTTGTAAATGGAATGATGGATGCCACCGAACTACAGTAGTTTGGCGTGTTAGCATTGGAGCAGACATTGACGGAAAGCGTCGAGTTCGAACTTACGATGGGTTGGAACAAGGCCAACGCCAGGATCGCAACGCCGAGCCGCGGGTGAGGATCGCTCCAGACGTCGGCGTACTGGTCCAGCTGTTGGGCGATCCAGATGCCCATCCCGACGGCAACGATGTAGATGACATAGCTGAGAATTTGGCCAGCAGCGTGGATTTTCAGCACGATCGGATTCTTCAGGTTGAGGCGGAGCAGGATGGCGAAGGACGGGATGAACATGACCCAGACGAGCGATGCCAGGACGGCATGGGCGATGAGGATCCGAGTTGCGTTGCTGAATTGGGCAGCGTTGTTGAAGAGCTCTGTTTGGGTCACGCTGTTCGAGGACGAGCCATCGCTGCTGCCACTGTCGTCTGAGCCATCACAGTCGCTTGCCCATGGCGGGCAGCCGTCGCGGTCGTCGTTGCCGCCCCACCATCCGTAGCCAGGCTGAGCGTGAGCAGCTGTTGCCAGCAAGGCTGCGGCGTACAGAATGACGGTGATGCTTCGTGCCATAATCAGCACTTGAACGATAGTCGTGATCAAGACGCAATGCTGTTCATACGCAAAGGGAAAGACATGAGGAAGAGAAGACGTAAAGAGGATCCAAAGGTTATACTTACTCGTACCGTGTGTCTAATGTCCGGGGATCAACACCAGGGGGTGCTGGGGGAAGGATCAGGCTGCGTGTCTGTGCCGCAGTCTATGGAACACAAAAGCTGTGCGCACGCATACCTCCCAACCCAGAAATAGGAGCAGCGTCCCTCGCCCACAAATCAGCGTTGGGCATGCACGGGCGATGAAGCTTCGGGCTTCTTGGGGCCGCGTAACGGGCCTCGTAGGCGGATTAGGGTGCTTGTTTGGCGCCGTGTAATTGGACGAGGCGCTTGTGGCAGTGTCTGGCCTGAAACCCGCTGTCCAATGTCCTTGCTCTGACGGGCTCAGCAGTCCGATCCTCCGACATGCCTCAACTACCTTTTATCGACATCTAGTTTGCACAAATGCAAGTTTCTTTCGACTCTTGCGAGGACTCGGCGGCGTCGAAGGATTTCACCAGTGCACCCCTCAAGAATACAATCCTGCGGACCATTGGGACACCGGATGTCACGGCAGATACGGAGTACTGACCTCTCAGTTCAGCATGTCTCTCTGGCATTCCATGCTACAACGCTGGTGTCATGGATCGGCCATAGAAGCCAATGCGCCAGATTGGTGGAGGATGTGCAAGTACAATGAAAAGAGCGGCAGCAGATGAGCGTTCAACTTCACATTGATGCGTGGAAAGCGACGAGATGTCCTGCCGCTTTAAGCAAAGCACCAGGTTTGAGCATCTTTGAATGGCGATCGGCGCAAGCATCCAGCCCGCGTCGATCTCCTCGCGCCTTCTTCGTTGATGCGCCGCAATACGTGCTGGCCGCAGTGAATGAATGAAACTTTTCCCTCGCAAGCGAAGCCGTGTTTGCCTCAGTCCCTCCTCTGCCCCACGAACTGTTCTGTTCACATGTGATCTGATCTACCTCGACGATATTCCTTGCAATCTTTCTTTGTCTCGTCTCAGCAAGACCCTCCGTGGCTGAGACCATTTCAGGCTTCTTCCACCGCCATCTGGTTCAAAAAGACCTTTCGCCAACCACATATGGTACACCCGGGATGTCAAGCCATCGCTGATTGGGAAAATTGAAAATTTTGGTGCAAATTGTCGTCATTTGCTTGAGTGCGTGCCGTCATGTCATCAGGATGCTCGCTGCGAGATGCCTCACATTGACAATCCATGGGACCATATTTTTGCGTGAGTTGGAAGAGAAAGGAAAAGTGCTGGTTGCTTCGTCAAGGCTGCTCTTGCACGCTCCCTAGTTGGGGCAAGCGGACTGCAAGTGTCCCGGTTGCTTGCCTGCGTCATTCAGTCAGAAAGAGGTGCATACGAACGGGTCGGGATTCTCACATTTGTAGCAGATGCGCTCGGAGGTGGGCTCGGACGGACAATCTCGGGAGAGATGACCTTGTTCGCCGCAGTTCTGCAGAGGGTTGTCAGGATGAGGCGGGTTATCTTTCAGGAAAACGACCCACATAGCACTTCTGGACCCGACCCTGCGTGCAGTCACTGGCTTGCTGTCAGCGGAATGAAGTCTTGTGTTGAGATGGTCGTACGTACCGTGACATGTGACCGATGCCACCACAGGACTGGTTCACGAATGTCAGCCTCTCTCAAAATGCACACCAAGACAGGACTCACGTAGCAAGTCTGCCCGCCGCCGCCGCGGCTGTAGCTCCCGCCACCAAAGCCAGAGTTGCCCCCGCTGGTACAGTCCCTGCAGTGCATTAGCTGATATATCACAACCAGGTTCCGAGAATTTGCCTACCGTGCTATGTGGCCCTGGCCGCCGCAGCGATAGCATTCTCGACCAGCTCCACCACCGTAGGAATTACCACCGCCATAGGCATTTCCACCGCCGGCGCGATAGTTATTCCCGCCAGCGCTGCCCCAGCCGCCGCTCGAATCCCCGGCAGGAGCAGCCTGAGGACAATCGCGCGCAAAGTGACCTTCATTCCCACCTGCGCACAATGAGGTTATGTTCTCTTCAAGTTTTTGTTTCAAAAATTTGACTGACACTTGTAGCATGACTTTGGCTTGGGAGGTGCTGAGCAATCTTTGCTGAGATGACCTTCGGCTACGGGATGTGAGTACGCGACATTTCTCTCATCGAAATGTGGAATGTACCTCCGCAATTGTAGCTGGAGGGTGTCAGTGAAATGAGAACGACGAAATGCAGGAGTCCTCCCAAGAATCGACTCACCAAGTTGGATTTCCTTTCTTGGGGCAGTCCCGGGCCTGGTGCGAAGAATCGCCGCAGTTGTAACAGCCTCTGTCCATTTTGTGGATTGGTATTCTTTCTTCTCTAGGCGATCACCTGGAATTCATCGGTCAGTGACTTGCGAAAAGAGACCCGGAATGGAGCCAAGTTATGCCCGTACTTACCGCAAAGAGCAATTTAGGAAGATAAGATGAAATTGAGACCTTCACGACCAGGGATTATGCGCAGTGATTGTTTCGTCGAAATTGTAAAATAATGGTGCAGCTGAACCTGCGCAGAGGGATGGCAATGGCTAGCGCGGATTGGCAGAAAGGCAGGAACAACTATTCGCCGAGGTGGTGGAGGTGGTGAAGGTGAAAAATTCTCTGACGTCATTGTCGAAGTGAGTGAGACTTCACTCGCTCGGCTCCGCGCACTCAGTGCGAATGCTCGAATCCGCATCCTGAACGATCGCTATTTTGTGCCCCACATTCCAGCTATTGCAAACTGCGCAAACGTGGCAAACACACAAGCCACCACCACTGTCTCGAATTCCCCACGGATTGGCTCGCGGCAACGGCCCTTCCCATTGGGCGCGCATATCCACGGTCATGGGTATGGTATCTTATTCGTCAACCATTGCTTGGCTTACTTGTCACCCAGAATAAGTCTAGACAACAGCGAGCTGTTAATGTTGCAGGTATACCGTGTGGTGCTACTGGGGCACAGATACATTATGTGTCAAGTGGCAAAGGTAGATGTAACAAGAAGCTGAGGGCTCCTTGGGCAATACCTGGTATTCAGCAGTCGTACTCGTACTTGTAGGGTAGGAGATGAAGCCTTTGCCAGGCAACAGGTAGCACTCTTCTTTAATCATCTTAACGTTTGACAATGCTGTTTGGCCGAGCATTTATTTCAGCTTTATCTAATCGCTACGTGAAATCGTACAGAGCCATTACTTGTGTGTGGTCTGCTGTCTCACCCAGCACCGCGACCTGCTGCTCATCGAATCCAACCCAACGCCTATTCAGCTCGAGTTCACGTTTCATCTCAGGCAGAGCAAGACCCAACCCAGATCCCCGTCGAGCCAATGCGGCTGCAATACTAGACAACGCGTCGACAGCTCTGATCCGAGTGCTTGTTTTGGCTGGAAACCCCGTCATCACGTGTTCTAGTTCCCATACCCGTACTTCGTCTCCACGAGAGCTGATTGACACAGCCTTGCCCCTGTTGTTGACCTCTGCACCGGAAACGGCAGAAGTGTGGCCCCAGAGCCGTCGCCCTGGACCGATCTCAAGACGGTCGTGGTTCGAGGTCACGAGGAAACTCATCATGGTATTGTCCGCCAACGTGCCGATCAGGTATGGATGCTCATAAGAAAGAGAAGTCGGTGGACTTCTCGTCTGAGGATGCACTGCTAATGGCATGGAGCTTGTGAATCGCGTCGTCATATTCCACTTGTTCTGTCGTACAGACTCCCTGTCTAACGCGGTCTCGAGGCTAGAGGCCAGTCTGCTCTCGAGGATGCGTCCAGTCCCACTCAGTCGGATCTCTTGCAAACCCATACACCACCCAGAATGGAGCCTCTCGAAAGCGTACGCAACCGCAGCAATGATGCCACTAGGCGCGCGTCGGAGAGATACCGATATAGGCGAAAAGGAAGCATCAGACTGAAACCGCGCAACCGTCGATATATCCTTGCAGCATGAGGTCGGGGAGTCTCGGGTAGCCAGATGGTAAATGCTCAAGAATTTGGTTCTAGAAACTGTCATTGCGAAGGGATGGGAGAGGGAGACGGCTAGCAAGGGTCCGTCGGCAGATAGATGAGAGCAATGGAGCTCAAATCGGTCTCGTTCATAGCCGTAGACTAACCACGAGCCATCTTCGAAACCAAGCAAAACCCTGACCTGTCCGTCCACATTCTCTGTAGACAGACAGGTCGCTGCCGATGTCGCGTCAAGGGGAAAGTGTGCTCGCAAGGTCCTTGTCCCCTGTTTCGACGACCAAGCTCGAAGCCCTGAAGGGTCGACAGTAATTATGACGCCGTTGTGCACCTTGGCAATTACAGGCCCGGCAGGCGGGCGTGCCACTTCCAGTTCGTGAAGTTTCGCCTTGCCATTTGACCAATTCGTTTTGGTTTTGAATCGACTCTTCCAATCAACTGACTCCCCATTGATCGCTACCACTGTAGGCGCTCTCAAACGAGGCCGGGTGAACGTATCAAGGTATTTCGTTTTCCAAATTCCCCCGTCCGCGGCAAGGGCCCGCATGCGGCGTGACACGCACTCGGTCCGCAGTAATTCTCTTGGAGGTAGATAGGAAAGGATCCTGAGGAGGATTTCGTCGCTGATGTCGAGCAGATTTCGTCTGGAGCCTGTGCGACTTCGCTTTGCGCGAGCGCAGTCTTCGCCGACATCCTCATCGCTCCTTCTTCGTTTGGGCATGTCGACGGTGTTGGTTTGAGGTCGATCGGGAATGTGAGGTGGCTTGAATTCGGCATCGCAGTGGGAGAATGCACGGAGACGAAGGTTCGCCTCACAGCCTCGCGCCTGCCCCACGAGGCCCACTTTCCGCCGCCGGATAAACATCGGGCCAGACGCGGTCGGTTGTGTCGGTAGAGGACTGTCGACAGATACGGAGTACTATTACCTGCTGTACATAGTTCACGCAACAAAAACATACATAACATGTCTAGCTCCGCCGGCTCGTCGCTCGCATCGACGTTGGTATTAGCGCTTACGCAGAGTGAGGCACTCCAGCGGCAACTAGACGACGCCAATAGACTCATTGACCGACTAAAGCGGGAGAATGAGCAGCTTGGGCAGGAAGTGAAGGAGCTACGCCAGGCTCAAACCCAACCGCAGACACCTCACCCAGATCTTACGATCCAGCTTGACCAACTGTTTCGCAAAGATGCAGAGAAACAGGCAGAGATTGACAGTCTCAGAAAGCGTCTAGCACAACCTCCACATGCGCGGACACCAAATGCCTCGTCGCCAGCTGTTCCTGAGGACGACCAACCACTTTTGCATGCGTCCCGGAAGCGAACCAGAGTCAGCAGCCCGGGAGATAAAACCTTGCGTGAAATTGACGCGAATTCGTCGCCGGGTAGCCGGCCTCAGCAACGCCGAAAGTCCAAGGGAATGTCCAGGGACAAAGCGACTGGGGCTATTCCGGTTATCGCAGAGGATGGTGTCGACTGTAACATTAATGATGCGAGGCGAGAAACAATGCCACCTATAGACACCAGCAGCTCACCCAATCAACGTCTCCAGGTATTGCTGGCCGCACCCAGCGTGGCAGCTCCAGTAACAAAGGAAATTCCTCGTCCTCGGTCCACGAAGAAGACACCCATTTCGCATAAAGGAATAGAAAACAATGAATCGCTTCGGCGGCGCCCGCTCCATGGCCTCAACCTTTCCGATTTCAGGGTCAATCCGAAATATGCTTCAGGCTCAGATTATCCGTTCCGGGAGGTCATTCGAGATAAGGAAGCGAGGAAGTGCTTGCCGGGCTGCAACAAGGCGGAATGCTGTGGGGCTTCATTCAAGGCGTTGGCGATGACGCTTCCTCCGGACCCCAAATTATCAGAAAACGACTTGTTGCTTGAATTCTTGGGACCAGGGTCGGAGCTGAAAATCAGCGGCCTGACACCGCTGGCTCGAACCAATCTAGTGCATGAAGCTAGAGCGAAACGGCTAGCAAACGCATATGGCAGGATGCACAGGGCGAATTTCGAACCACCGTCATCGCCACCGGCTTTCTGGAATGTAGATATTCCCAGCACCCAGGAGCAGGAGGCGATTCGAGGACCGGCTAGGGCGAAGGAGAGGGAGAAGGTTGAGAAGCGATATCAAGAGGCTCTGAAAGGCGGTCGCTGGCTGTTCGCAGATGAATGAGAGGATATCAGGACACCAGGGTCCGGTCGTACCAGCTATTGACAATATGACAGGCACCCCCCGGAAGACAAGTGCTATTAAATGTGAGCCGGCCGAAGACGACTGCGGACATAGTATCTGCAGACCAGCGAGCCGCAGTGTTGGAGACAATCAACCGAGTAAGAAACGCGGCGCCGACTGGTGCTCGAGTTGAGAAAGAGCTACTGAGATCTGGGTCACGACTTTCTCTTCCTAGGCTACCATCAAGTCTCTCCATATCAATGTGAGGCTTTCCAGGAGGGGACTAGCACGCGCAACTTCACTGTTGCTGTCACTGCGCCCACACCATCTCAGCAGGATTGGTTCCAAGTTCATGGCACATCCCAGGGAATAGCCCTCCTCATCCTCACTCTGACACACTCTTCACGCCCCTGCCACCACTTCTGCTCCGACACCTGTTCGCCTCAATCGTCATGCTGGACCTCTTGCCCCGGCCGGACCGACCGCCTCTTTGACGCCCGCAGGCGCTGCGCTGGTAGACGTCCATTCGAAACGATCTCCAGTTACTTCTCAACTAAGAGTACACAAGATGAACAAAGTTTCGAGAGCCGAATTGACGCACCCACTTCCACCAAAGTCCTCGACGGTTGGTAGTGGCCCTTCATCAGCTATGCTGAACCTTACACCCAACAACGACCGAACGTCTCTCCCATATAGGAGCATGCCGTCTCAACCATTGCCATCTACTCCGAGGATGCCGAGGAGTCGAATACAGACAGGGATCGATGTGCTTGACTGGGGCCAATTGAAAATACCGGGCGAGCTCAGTCTTAGCTGGTACACCGACAACCTTGGCGCAGTGATTCCAGACAAATATCATCCGAACAGGAAAGACATCACGGACCCCTTCCACAGAATCCTGGACCGAGCTTCCAAGTATCACAATGACACACGGCCTCCTGGAGTGGAGGCGGTGACGATCTACGAAAGGCCGAGGTTCAGGACAACCTGTCGACAGCTAGCTTCCCTCATTCCAGCTGAGTACTTTCCACCGGAAGGGAGCAATATTGTACGATTCTTAGAGGGGGTTACAGGCTACACAAGAGAAAAAGCTGGCATGAACCGTTACACCCTTCCTCGACCAAATCGCAGCTCTTATATAACCCCAACTTTGGCGGCGGGCACACCGCAGTCTGCAGGACTTGCGACTCCTAAGACGCGTCAAGCCATAAAGGAGGAGCCTGCTCGGGACTCTGCCGCAGTAGCAGTGATTGCTGGATTTTCAGAAGAAAGTGCTATAAACCTAGATTCGGACGAAGAAGCGGACACCATCCTACCATCGGTAGAAAGTCCGGAGCACACCAAGAAGACGAAGAGCAAGGCTTCACCCAAGAAGTCCAAGAAGTCCAAGAAGTCCAAGAAAGCCCCGTCCTCAACGCCACGCAACCAAGCTGCCGAGGATGAAAATGTCCCCGAAGTCGCTGGGGTGTGTTCTGCAGAGAAGTCTAAGAAGACCTTGTGGAAGAAACGCAAGTACACGCAAGGTGCTGAAGATGCGAACGACACTCAACTCATTGAGGTTGCCAGCCCTGTCGAGAAGAGAGAGCCGTCCGCTTCAAAGAAGCGCTCAAAGAAACTCAAGAGGTCAGAAGAAGCTGCCGAAGCTGCGGACGATTCCCACGCCACTGACTTTGTTACCCCTGAAGAAGCCGAAGACCCTTTCAAGTCTAAGAAATGCTCCCAGAAACAGCAGAACAACGGGCAAGTCACTGAGAGTGTCCCCTGCGGGTCTACTAAGCCCTCAGCTTCAAACAAACGAAAGAGGCCCAATGAAGTCGCCCAAAGTGAGGATGAAACTCAACTTACAGCCGCCGCATCCACCCAGTTCCAAACATCATTCACTACAAAGAAACAAAAGCGTGTCGGAGAGCCAGCTGGAATCGAGCCCCTTGCCAATTCAATCGATAACGTAGACGCCACGGCATCCCAGAAGTCCAAGAAATCCACATCAAAGCGCAAGAAACGGGACTGTCCAAGTGGAAACAATACGGAAACCGAACAGGCTGCGTCCGTACCAAGCATCCCGCAAGCGAAGGCTACACTGAAGTCACGTAAGCTCAATGTACCTGCCGAACCGAGCTCGCCTTATTTGCGTATCGAGCGAAAGCGAGAATCCCTGGTACGAGCGGACGCCTTGGGCATCGAGGGATACATCATCCGAGTCCAGCGTCGAGAAGTCTCCCGTTCCAGTCAAGAAAAGCACGACCTTTACCCAAGGTGCTGTCGACGAAGATAATTCCGCCGATGAAGCTGTCGACGAAACCAGCTCTTCTGACGAGGATGGGGACGAGGACGAGCGACCTCGGGCGACTGTGCGCCGCAACACCGATAAGATGCTGACCGAAAAGCTAATGGCAGACAATCAAGCGCTGGTCGAGAAGCACAGAGAGGAGATGGCCGTGCTCAAGCAGGCCGCGAAGGAGAGACGTCAGAGAATGAGAGAGAGGTCCCAGGCGATGGCCGAGGGCCACCATCGACAAATCGCCTCCTTGAGCTCCGATCTCACGAGGCTAAAGGACAGGAATCAGTCCCTCGAGGACCTGTTGTGCAAGGGAGCCGGCCTCAGTCCACTCGACCTGGAGCGAACCTTGGTTCGTGTCGGAGAGGGCCTTAACGGTTATCGACGAGCCTTTCAGATGGTCCACAAGTGCGAAGGGAGTAAGATCAGGCCAGGGGAAACCAAGGGGTGCAGGTCCAACAACAGTCAGTTTGCAACACCAGCCACGTCAGTAAGCCGCACGCCATCGAGTCTTCGGAACGTCGCCGTCGAACTGCATACCGAACACGGGCCATGCGCTATGTGCTGATACCACCGGACGCATGACTCTGGCCTGTGGTTGAAACGTTGGAATAGGATCAGAACTGATCAACATACCGTAGCGAGCAGAGAAGACCTGGGGCACAAGTCTGGAGACCCTGAATATGCACCGCCCGTCGCTAAGCGTGTCGGCTACTCTGAAGTGGCTTCAGATACTCATGTACTGCATTGTCTGACGTAAGCTGGACACATCATGCTACCTATGAGCTATCAATCCATGCTGCTGATGCTCGGACCGTTCCAAAATGTTGATGCGCTTGCTTCTTTGTGCCAGCGCCTCCTCCGCCGTATGTGCATAACACAGTCATACACGCTGCAAAGTTGGGTCGAAAGGATGTCGTGCAAAAGAGGCAAGCCGAAAAATAGATGACAATGACCCGGACAATTGACTCGTTCCTGTTGGAAGAAAAGATGAGTGCCGCCAACAATGCGAATGCAGGATCCGGAAACACCCGCGTCCTTATGCCTCTGTACACGGTAACACACTGATGACCACACAACGTCCTATCATCCCATATGTACTCTTGTTTCTCTTCCTCCTTTTTTCTTACGTTCTTGCGCCACGCTAGCGCACTCAGCTATCAAAGATCCTGCTCTTGTTGTTAGCAGCCGATTCTTAAAAGGACCAGATCGAGAGATAGCTTACGGGGCAAAGACAGGAATGCCGCGTGATTCAAGTGAGTAGACAACCCGGCGTGTCACGCGCGGGTTTGAGATCACAAAGACAGCCTCCGCCGCAGACTTCACATACAATTCGTAGGTGTGCTTGACTAGGTCCGGCCTCCCAGAGACAGTAGTGTTGATTATCATCGCCTCGGGGTCCGCCCTGAGCACCGTGTCTACCACATTTTTCGAATAAGTGACCTCCGGGGTTGGGGTACTCCAGAGTATCCGGCAGCATACATCGCTCTGGCTGAGTAGCGACAGGATAGGACCAATACCTGAGCCTGTGGCAACCAGGACGAGTTTTCGGAATATCGGGGCCACGTGCAGAACTCCCAGAGTGGGGATCCCTCTCACCCACAGGCTGGTTGGAGGAGACCTGATGAGCCGGGATGTCCAGTCGCCGGCCTTCGACACAAGTACCGAGAACCCGGGGCCTTCATCGTGGGGGATACCTGCAAATGCGTGCCACTCCAGAAGTGGACTGTCTGAGATTCGAGGAGCGGCACAGAGAGGCAGCTTGGTATATGTGAAATGGAGCCGGATGGCGTGGTCGGATAAATGTTCTGCGTTCACCTTGACTTTCCTCAACCACACCCAAGGTAATGCGATGGAGATGGTGGCGATCAGAAGGGTCCAGAAGATTGGGCTTCTCACTACGACCAGGCTGGCCGGCTCCGGCGAATAGACGTCGTGCACCTTGGCGTCCGTCAAGAAGGCGAATTCGACCCAGAATAAAGCCGTTGCGGTCCATCCTGCAAACCGGTGTACTAGCTCAAACTGGTTGTGCATTCTTGCCCGTATGGCAGGATGCGCCATTGCAATTATGGAGAGGAGCAGTACATCGAGGAGAACGGTGATGATAGGAATGCTACTCTGGTGTCTCCGTATCCTACCGGATTGGAATGAGTTGACAATGGATACGTTGAAGAATGCGAACCACACGGTAGCCGACATGGCTGCCCCACTGTGTACACCACCGAGGTGATATATCTTTGCAGATAACCGACGGATGCGTAAGGGGAACCACTGAGGACACTTGCCGAAGACCCAAAAGAGCGTGTTGATGACGAGCTCTTGTCGCATCAGTACACTAACGGTGAGGTTGATCGACACGGCAGACGCAGCGCGTTCCGGTGACATCGAGACAAGCTTGTGTTGTGCAGCCAAGATGATGATGGCTATGATATTCGCTGTCAAGATGAGGGCGTTGAGGCGTCGATATACGGAGAAGATGGTCCACCGTAAGTTACGCAACGGGCGGGTGTACTTCTTGTCCGGCATCTGCATCCCGGGTAGTGGGTTCTTTTCGAGGATGAGAGAACCTGATCTGGAAGACCCTTGATCATGTGCTACCGGAGTGTTATGCTGGGCTAAATCTGAGTCCGCCGCAGAGGACGTGGTAGGACGTTCCTCATCGATTTGTGATATACAATAATTCGGATCGTCGCTCAGTTCCGACTGGAGACCTCGGTCCTTGGTGACCACATCGTCGCCGTCGCCGTCGAGCCGGATGTGGTGTTGGTGAGATTCGAGTGTGGGAAGAGGAGGAACAGCACTGGCTGTCATAGTGGAAGATCTGCGTAAAAGTATTAGCAGAGGTCTCGACAATGCGCGTTTGCAATGACCCAAAGGGTCAAACGCGACCCCCAGGGCAGAAGGGCTCGTTGTGAGCCATCTCCAAACCCAATGGCAGTGTGCCAGTCGGACTCCGGGAAAGTGAGCTGATGAAGCAATCGCCTTGCGTCATGCTCACGGGCGAGATATGGAATTTTCCTTGGAGTCAAGAATGTGCAGGTCGGGGATGATGCGGTTGGATTGTGGGGAGATAATAGCAGATGAGTGCTTACTAGGTGTCTTCAATAGAGTGTGGATGCTGAGATGTCGCTGGAAGCGTCCGGGACAAGTCGAGATGAGATCATCTGTATGAAGGTACCGTCGTGCCTTATAGTAGTGCAAAAAGTACTGGAAGCGGAAGCGGTCGAGGCAGGGACATAGAAGTGATGGTTTCTGGTTTCCGGACAGGTTAATCAGACAGGATGAGCGTGTATGGGATATAACTTTTCTAGAATCCCCAGTGTGATCGAGCAGTGGCGAGGTCAACCGGCGACTGACCCGGGCAGTGAACTAGGGGAGCGTTGCGACGGGTGTCGGAGCTGAGGAGTTGCAGGTGACTCGAAAACGTGGGCAATGAGAAATCATGCGGCCGATCCCGAAGGATGACAGAAACACCGTGAAGCGGCGAGCTCGAAGTGTATCCGTCCCGTGGTAAGCGAGCCAAACAAAGGGAGCCGGTGAGATGCCTTGAGTGAAGTCTGTGATCGGGCTGCCGGGTGTTGGTGGCAGTGGAAGTGATGGTGCAAGCCGTGAGGGAGGTTTGTGCGCATTGCTTTCCGATGCCTTGGGTTCATCCTCGATTGGGAATCAGCATAACGCATGCCGTCGGAGATCCCAGGAACGATTGACCCACGACCTTGGGTCGCGGCGATCGATCTGGTCGGGGGATAAGAAATGGACCAGTTGGGATCGCACTTCCGGTAGCCAATTGATAGAGTCTCCAATATATTGAATTGAGGTCCAATCCTTCGGTGATTCCGCAGGCACGGGCTGCAAGCATCGCAAGAAGTGATGCCTTGACCGAGGAAAGACCAAACCAAGGGCGCTTGCCGCTCAGCACTCCCCATTCTTCGACGTCCCCCATCACCGCAACCTCAAGCACGACATGCCCAATGCCACTGCTCAATATTCCCACCTTCAGCAGGCAGAATACAAAGGGGTTTCTGCACTGACTAATCGAGCCGCTGTCAGAATGGTTGTGCAGAGCAGAGGGAGGCCAGGCGAAGAACGATGTTGGCATGAGAAACCCACCATCCCCATCTCAACGTCAACCGGTGAGCAGGTCGATGGTATTGGTTGAGACTGGTCTTGCTTCTTGCGCATTATGGCGGTGACTCGGTCATGCGCTGGTCTTGCTGTAGCCCCTCATATCCGTGATGGTGCTGTCCAAGCTCGAATCCATTCACTCACAATGAAGTCCTGTTTGTTCCAGCCCCAGTAGCAGCTGCCTCTCCGATCGACCGGCCTTCTGCTCGGCTGTTACCCATCACCTTCACTCAGCTGCGTTTCACCTAGCGCACGTTGTTCTCCGTCCATTGCGCAACCACTGCCTGGGGCGGCTGTACCATCGAATGACCACGTACACGACTTTCTTCATCGTGCTGGATAAAGCGTGCTCTTTGCAGTTATTGTCCTACCTGACGATCCATCCATTGTGACACCTGTCTTGCGTCTCTGCAAGCCACCGTTACACAATGTCTTTCTCCAAGGTTCACCCCACTGTTGTCGTCGATTCTGTCTGGACCTCGTGCAAGTCTGTCCCGATTCCATCGACCGACATTCTAACATATACCTTCGGCAATCTCAGTCGATATGACGACGATACCCCGGTAGGCCGCCTGAGCTCCTGCATGTATGCGTGTTGTTGCTGACCCTGCGCCCTCGTCTGTAGATCTTTATCGACGCGAACCATCCGAGTCATAGGATTTCCGCCAAACAAGCTCTGCGGACGGTTCGTCAACTGATCAAGGGCCTGAAAGCGCTTGGCTTAAAGGAGGGGGAATGTGTGTGCCTGCACGCCTTCAACAACGTATGTCATACTTCTGTTGCTCAAGGTCGGCTGCTGCCGTCTTCTGCGCTTCATTTCATGCTGTGCGACTTGACTGACCAAGGCTATGTAGATCTGGTATCCCTTGATCTGGCTGGGAATCATCGGTTCCGGGGGTCGTGTCGTCGGGTCCAATCCCAGATACGCCAAGTCTGAACTGGTTCATCTGCTCGATCTGACCAAGCCAAAGTTCGTCTTCGCTCAGATGGACTGCATGGATCCAATCGTTGAAGCAGCTGCCGCCACCCAGTCCAAGATTGACCCCACCAACATCTTCAGCATTGACCCTGTGGAGGACTACGCCCGTGTTGCGGCCACGATGGAGGCCGGGTCACCCATAGTGGGTGGCCCATGCAATGTGTTCAGCCTGCCCAGAAGCGACATCCCGCCTATTCGTGGTCACTCCAGCTGGCGCACGTTGCTGCTCAGAGATGAAATTGATTCGCCTCTTCCCACAAATGACGGCAAATTCAACCAAGAGAGTATTGCAGTGTACTCACTGACTAGTGGTACGACTGGCCTTCCAAAGACTGCCTTGATCTCACATCGATCCATTGTTGTGCAGACTGCGCTGCTAGAGGATCAATTAGGCGCCACACCACATCAAGTACGGTCACCTGCCCCTCGAAGGATCATGGAACCCTTACTGACACCTGCCACAGCCATTACAGCTTGTCTGCCTACCTGTCTTTCATGCCTTTGCATCACCCCTTGCGTTGGTATTACCACTCCGAGTGGGCATTCCGACATTCTTCCTCCCCAAATGGTCCCTTCCGGAGTATTTGAGAGCGGTCGAAACTCACGCCATCACCGATGTCCCGGTGTGTCCACCAATTGTCAGTGCTTTGACCCAGCTTCCGGTTTCGGAACATCCCCGACTCAAGAGCCTCCGACATGTCATGTCTGCCGGTGCCGCTTTGCCTGCGACGGTTCAAAACAAATTATACCATGTGTTGGCGCCTCAGGCAGTGGTAACCCAAGTTTGGGGTACCACAGAGGCAGGATGGCACACTTTCGGAGACCTGCAAGAAAGAGATCGTTCGGGAAGTGTTGGCCGATTGCTGCCACATGTTCATCTGAAGCTGGTTTCAGAGGACGGAGACCTCGTAACAGAAGAGGGCAAGCCAGGCGAGGCGTTCATCAAGACGCCGATGCTATTCTCAGGGTACCTGCAGAACAGCGAAGCGAACGCAGATGCTTTCGACCCTGAGGGCTTTTACCGGACCGGCGACCAACTGTATGTGCAAGATGGCAAGCTGTATTACACCGACAGGATCAAGGAAACCATGAAAGTCCATGGCTGGCAAGTATCACCGACAGAGCTGGAGAGCGTCCTGATCCAGCACCCGCGGATTGTGGATGCGGCTGTCGTCGGCATCACTCGAAACAACTTGCTCGGCATCCCCGAAACATTCCCGACTGCTTATGTGGTGCGCAGCGCCCTCGGTAGTGGACTCCCACTGACAGAGCAGGAAGTGAAGGATTTCATCGCCGCCAGGCTTATCTCATACAAGCGCATCACAGGCGACGTCAACTTCGTCGACCAGATCCCTCGATCCTCGGCTGGAAAGATCCTCCGCCGGAACCTACTCCAGACGGCACGATCTGATTGAACTCTGGATGCTGAGAGTGGAGGAGCCAATCCTGTTGAAAGCTACTTAGTGACCCAGCTGGGTTCTGTGTCTGTGAAGGTGAGGGAAGGGATAAGTGGCGCCACCTTTCACAGAGCGGAGTCTATCTCCCTGGAGCTGTCACTTACCGTGCGCAATATCTTATCAATAGTAACGACTAAGCATACCGTCATCTCGGTTGAACGTGGTCACAAAATCGGTGCAAACGAAACCTGTGTATGGGACCGAACTGCTGAGGGCTTCCGAAGCCTGTAGGCATTGTACAAAAGGGGACCCTGGATCTCATAGTCATGGGCATACTTGAATCCATACATTTCCAGATAAATCCCAAGCTGACAATAGACGATGAGTTGCGAGTATTCGAAGTCGGCGGATGAATAGAGAGCGATGAAGTATGTACAGAGTAGCAAACAAACTCACACTTGGCGAGCTGGCAGCTGGGCACGCCTATTCTTCGCCTATTCTTGATACATCCACGTCCAGTCTCTTCCGTCTCATGCCCCAATTCTGAATGACATGTCATTCAATGCCGTTCTGAGTCATTTGAAACGTTACGCTTGGACCATTCTCGGCGGCCTCGTTCATTCTGAAACACGAGACGAGTATTATTTCTAATCTCTGCCTTGTATTCTCGGACCGAGTATTGGGATCGTTGGCCACATCCTATCCACGCAGTACAGTCCTAGCGTTCAGATCGTAACCAAAGGCCGAACTCAGTATCCCGAAAATCTTGCAGTGGCTCTGGGCATCTACCACAGGAATGTCCTTGCAAACCCCAAGTGATCTGCCTGTGCAGGTCATCGTGCCAAACGACACCAACCCATCCGGGGCCCCTCTACTCTCTGCAGAACGTCGAATTACACCGTCGTGGACCGTCGCGCAATTAAAGGCCAAGCTCGAGCCCATCACAGGAATCCCCGCGTCCAGCCAGTCTCTGCGTACCAGGTCCTTGCTCGACGGCACATGGATTCCAATCGACAACGACGGCGACCTGCTCTCCACTCCACGATACGGACTGAAGAAGGGGTCTGAGATCCAAATCATCGACCTGCGTCCCCGGCACGAGCGACATAATCTGAACTTCCTCGCGGCCGATCTGAGTTCGGTCGAGAAGTACCAAATGCCCGAGCACCAGTACGAGAAGCTCGAGGACTCGGTGCTCGCGTGGAAGCGGCGGCAGAAGCTCGGCCGCTTCGACCCCACCGCCAAGTCGCAGGACCAGGTTGTGCAGGACCGGCGGAGGAAGGACGGGGAGGAGATGGCAAGCCGGGGGATCCGCACGGGGCTGAGATGTCGCGTGGGCAGGGATGACGGCAAGCGGGGCGTCGTCCGGTTCACGGGCGAGGTCCCCGGACTGGGCGGGCTGAGGGAGGAAGGTTGTCTCTGGGTCGGCGTCGAGCTGGACGAGCCGGTGGGGAGGAATGACGGGAGCGTGCCTGTCGAAGTCGAGGCCGAGGACGGCGGTAAGCCCAAGCACGAGACGAGACGGGTGTTTGAGTGCCGGCCAAAGTATGGCGTGCTGGCGAGGCCGGAGAAGGTCGAGGTGGGCGAGTTCCCGCCTCTGGATGACTTGGTGGACGAGGATATGGAGGAGATTTGAACACGCCTGGCTCGTCAACGCCGGGGAGCATGTGGCCCTGTTGAAGTCATTCAAGCTCAGTCGAAGCAAGAATGCGCGAATGGCCATGCGGTCTCCAAGTTGGGCAAAGCCTAAATACCACGATCATGGGTGTATCCGGACTCGTTGATGATACGAGCACTTTCAGGCACACTGCGAATAAGAGAGGATATTACCAGAGGGGCTGGATTATCCATCGGCAACGCGAGACGTCAGGGAACTACGAAAGCGAGAGCTTGCCGCCCGGTTCGCTCAGCTGCTGAAGGCACAGCCACGCTGGCGGCACGAAGATGAAGTCTCAAAGACTTCCGAAGGCATTGTCGCCCTGTCATCAATCACTCGTAGCCAGTGCTTAACGAAGTTTCACAGACACATCATCAACAGCTTCCGACAGACAAGGTCAAAGCATGTGGCATTTGCAAGGACAAAGTCTTCAACATTCGTCCGCACCCAGGCCGGACTGAATAGTCGACCGATCGTTCCGTCATTAACCTTGTAGCAGAAGAGCGCTATATATCCTCCAACATTGTGCATGAGCATGTGCGCGAGGATATCAATCCTGAGCTTCTGTGGGCTCCGATTCACATGCCTGACTGAAGAATATTCGTGCTGGCTTGTCCATCTCATTCTCAATGGAATACTGGTTACCTGTGCTCAAGTCAGTTCTGCCAACATTCACCACTCAAGGGCCACGGAACATTCCGGACTCACCACGTGGAACTTGCCAGAATCCTCCCTTGCCGATGCTGAATCGGTTCATGCTCCCAGTATCTTCGCCGCCCAACGGGCCCACGGTAACTGTGACCCTGCCCTTGACCACAAAGAAACTCATATGCATCTTGCGGCTATTCTTCGGTCGCTTGATGCCGCCTGGAGGCAGATCCACCAGTCCGGTACCAAAGAACCTCGTCGACAGCAATTTCGCGTATCGAAAAGTTGGCCCATCCTGTGACTGCGAACTTGAGCCTTTGACTTCTCGGGTCGGGATCGCTGCGGCTGCATGAGCGATTTCGATCTCCTCTTCTTGTTCTGTCGGCGCCTGTTCCACATTGTCCCATATAGCGACATTGCCTCGCAGCGTGCCGGTCCCGGTCTCCCATGGCTCAGCGTCGGGATCTTCTGGGATATTGTCAAGTTCGAAGTCGGAGTCCGATTTATCCGCTGTGTCTTCTTCTGCTTCCCTGCCCTCCTCGACAGAAGTCTGTCGGGTCTTGCGTTTGCCCTTTTTGCCCTTCTTCTTCTTGCTTTTCGACGTCTTGCTCTCAATCCTTTCTGCCACTTCTTCAGAGCGCACAATCTCCTTGATGCTGTTGAGTGGGAAGCGGGCTCCATCCGCCAGACTTGCTCCGCCAGGGCTTGTCCCGTACACACATCGTTCGTTCCGCCAATATGCCAAGGGCTTGACGCTGACCCGGCCGCTTCTTGTGTGCAATATGCCCTCATCTGCGGGAGTCTCTCGTCGCAAGATGTATAATGATCTTGGAGGCCCCGGCCGTGCTCTGACTTTCTCAACAATCGTCTCGAGTTCTTTCTCCTGCCGAGAAGACAGTTTCAAGTTCGAATCGATTTCTCTTAGAGGCTGCTTTCCCTGTGCCTTTGCTGATAATGGTTGTGAGCTTGGTGCCGGCGGAGTGACATTTCTCGTTATTCGGGGTCGTCCTCTCTTTTTTGCAACTTTGATCGGTGTGGGTGAGGCATTGGGTTCATCTTGCTCGATCGCATCGGATTTCCTCTTCTTCCTCGAGTTTGCTTGGTTTTGTGATGCTGGTGGCGCTTGCTCTTCGAGTTCTTGGGTCGGCTCGGTTTCGTCGTCATCAAAGTCCCGAATAGGGGCGCCCAGCTCTTCAGAAGTCTGCGGCAGTTGCAGCGTCCGTGTGGCATCTGTTGCGTGCTCGCCTGGAGAAGAGCCATCAACTCTAGCATCTACAGCTGCTTCGGCGTCTTCTGTGGCTTCATTGAATGCGTCAAAATCTCCATCCTCGATAGAAGGGGTGACTTCATTCTCGATCCGCCGCAGTTCTAGACTGGCTCTTGGTCTGTGCAGTCGACTCGGGGTGATAGTCATTCTGCTGGAGAGGGGTGACTTTCGCGGGCTGGGGCTAAATCGCCTCGGTTGTGTCCTCTGCAAGCTCCGGACAGAGGCAGGCTGTGGACTTTGCGCATCTTGAATTGGTGTTGACGCAGTGGGTGGGGTGTTTTCATGTTCCTCGATGTCTTGAGCTTGCATGCTCTTGGCCGCAGAGAATATGTCGACGCCATTGCTCTTCCTTGCGGCACCACTAATACCGCTCTTTCTAGGAGAGGACGAGCGGAGACGTGGCACTGGCGTAGTTCGGGCCGATCGATGCGCAGACAGTGCCTCAGCAGGAGCATCTTTCCCCTCAGTCTCCAGCACGACCACGTTCTTCAATGGGGATGGTTTCCGCGGCGATGAGAAAATGCCCGAGATCTGTTCCATTCCGTAAGCATCAAGCGGTTGCTGGTCGAGAGTAACGCCGGTGCGCCTGTGCCCGGTCAGCGACAGCTCCCACACCCAGTATCCATGCGCCCTCACCTTCCTGCCTTTCCAACCGCCGAGTAGTCGACATTGGCAGGATCCCTGCGCGCTGCTAATCGCGAAGCCATGATGAGCTCAAATCTGCAATCTTATAGCGCGCGATGCAGGTATCAAGCTAATCGCCTTCAGGAACCGTTGATTGCTACTTGAATGTTGAATGCGATGAAGCGTTCTTGTTGTCAGTAAAGCCAAATTGGGATTAGCTCAGTGCTGCCAAGCGGGGTGCAAGAGAGAACGTCATTGGCTAGTGTTCGGGGACGCGTCGCGTCGCGTTTCTTTCCCATCATGTCCAGCGGCTTCACGAGACGTTGACTCCCATGACTCCTAGCAGTCAGTGTTGAAATCTAGAGGTATCATGGAAACGGACGAGATCGCCGTCTCGACGGTGTTTGTTCCGCCATCTGTAAAAGACCACCACGATGAGCTCTTATCCGGCAAATCTTATGCGCATTACAGCCGCATCCCTGAGGCCATCACAATTCGAAGTCCGTCGTCATCTGACCCGGGAACACCATGCGTCCTAGGCGTCGATGAAGCTGGTCGTGGTCCGGTCATTGGTCCGATGGTCTACGGCGTCTACTACCTCCCTGTTGACATTCAACAATCCTTGCTTGCCGACACATATCACTTCGACGACTCGAAAGTGCTGACTCCGGCAATCCGAGCAAACCTGACGAAAGCAGTTTGCACCAACGAGCATGATCTGTTCAAGTCATCCGGTTGGGCAATCAAATCCCTATCGGCCCAAGACATTGGTGCTGGGATGCTGAGATATGGTGGATCATACAATCTCAACGCTCAGGCCATTGATGCCACCGTGGAGTTGATTCGGGGCGTGCTTGAACGCGGAGTCAATGTCACTGAGATCTACGTCGACACGATCGGAAAACCCGAAGTCTATCAGAAGAAGCTGGCTTTGATCTTTCCGACCATCAAGATCACGGTCGAGAAGAAGGCTGACAGTCTCTTTCCCTGCGTCAGTGCAGCCAGTGTTGTCGCGAAGGTTACCCGAGACGTCAGCTGTGAGGCTCTCCTGGATGCATATACACAACAGCAAGCTGCTTCATCCCAAGACGAACATACGACTTGGGGCTCAGGGTACCCATCGGATGCCAGGTGTGTTGAGTGGCTCAAATCCGCCATTGATCCAGTTTGGGGTTTTGGAAATGAATGCAGGATGAGCTGGGGTACGGTCAAAGACATGCTCGAGCAGAAAGATGGGCCGGCGCGGAGAGCAGATTGGCCGGATGACGCTGACGAGGAGAATACAAGGATCTCACAGTACTTCGGCGCCAATGGAACACAGGCACCAAAGACGGAGAAGGATGAGTTGCGGTCGTGGTTCGGGACAAGGGTCGGACAAGAAGCATTTTAAGCCGTCGACGGATACCTTCAACAGCCAAGACTCCCAATTTCTGCTCTATCCAAAATGCAGACAACCTACCACCAATAAACGCCACGCCAAAATCGCGAGACACCGTTGCCAGCAGCTCTTGGTCACAGCTTCGCCTTGACCCACAGACCCTTCATGGCGCCCTCAAGACCGGGAAGGTTTGCAGGCCCGTCATAGATATCCCGCTCCACTGCTCTGGTGTTGATGTGCAGCGGACCCAGATCCGTCACCCGGGCCGCACCCAGTAACCGCGCCGCAGTGGCGGTCTCGTCTCTCAAGATTTCGAATACTCGTTCGACGCCTGCAATCCCACCTGCACCCAGGCCGAACAGAGCTGGACGACCGATGCCTACAGCCTTTGCACCCAACGCGAGAGCTTTAACAACGTCCGTGCCTCTCTTGATCCCACCGTCGACGACAACATCGATCTTGTCGAAAACCTCTGGGCAATACTTTCTTATCTCCAGCAGAGTGTGCACAGCAGGCGGGGCTGTATCCGCCGCTCTACCGCCATGGTTCGAGAGAATAATACCCTGGACCTGGGGCGTATGCTGGGCGGCGATGTATGCATCCTCGTGACACTGCAGACCCTTGAGTATGATAGGCTTCTTCGTATGTTTCTTCAGCCAGGGCAACGTCTCGACCCATGTCAGTGTCGGGTCCGTCCCAAAGAACAGCGACTGGCCAATCCCGCCACCACCTTTCAGCTCGGCGCCACCAGCATCCTTGATCGCCTGCGAGGTATCTTCGACGACGAACTTGCCTCGCTCGTCGTGCTCTCTTTTTCCCGGCACGGGCGCATCCAGCGTCAGACAAATAAACTTGATGGCATCCAGCTTGTTGATCCGGGCCAGCATGTCTTCGCTCTTCTTGCGCTCCGTCTGCACGTACAGCTGCCAGCCAAACACCTGGTCCGGCTCGGCGTCCTTGACGATCTGCTCGGGCGTCATGCTCGCGTTGTTGCTGATCATCTGGATGGTACCGAAGGACTTGCACGCCTGCGCAATGCCCCATTCGCCGTCCGGGTGGGCTAACCGAGCCATTGCCGCGGGGGAGACAAAGATGGGCACATCCATCTTGTGCCCGAGGAACGACGTCGTGAGGTCGCAGTCCTTGCAGTCCACGAACACCCGTGGCCGCAGCAGGATCTGCCTGTAAACCGTGTTGTTCAGGTGTTTGCTCACCAAGTCGTCCGCGGCCGAGTAGTAGTAGGCCCAGCCCTTCTTGGACAGCTTCTTCGTGGCGGCCTCTTCGATCTCATCCAGGTTCAGCATCGCCTGAAGCGGCTTCTCGATCTCGGCCTCCGTGTCCGGTGCCGGTCCGACGTCTTTGGCCGGCTTCACCGGCTCAGGCAGGCTCTTGGGGTCGATCGGTCCTATGCGCGCAGACCCAGAAAGGTTCTCTTCGAGCGTCCCTGGCGGGTGAATCGGGTCGTACTCGTCCGTGGCATCTTTGCCGGCAAGTCTCAAAATTATCTGTGACCCGCCGGGGTGGTTGGGGAGGAAGTCGGTCACGTCCCAGACATTGCCGTACAAAATCACCCAGCACGAGTCCTTCGAGGTGTGTTTCTGGACTGTATGAGACCGTCAGCCAGAGAGGTCGCGGAGGGATTGTAGCTGGTATTGCGTGGAAAGAATTTCTTGCTCACCCTCTGTATAATTTATGAGCTTCGACATGCTTGCTGGTGCGGGTGCTGCTGCTTGCGCTGCAGGTGCGCGTCGTCACGAGCCCCGAACCCCAAGTACTGTAGGGGTGAGTAGGCCACGGCAAATGAATGTGAGGCGAACAGAATGAGCTCAAGCAGGACGGGAAGTCGCGCGCAGGGTAATGGGTATATACATAAAAGAGGAAAGCAAGATCTAGGAGCATCATATCTTTCAAGATCTTTCGGAGCCCCAGATCTGCACATCCGTCATGCGGAGTTCTCCCTCCCGAGTCCTTCGTGCGCGCCCGCGGCATCGTCGGCGATTGATCTACCGAGAACAAATCACAGATTTGCGATTGGTCTGGATAAATCCCAGTTGGGGCCTCGCCCTCGGCCTGGTCGGACAGAAAAGCGACGTGGATGGTGTGGCGGTGGATCAGGGAGAGCACACAGCTGGGTTCTCGCTACCACCTACTCGTACTGCAAGACTTTATCCGTGCTAGCACTTTTGGTTCAATGAAGAGATCATTGCATCCACCCACATCCCGCTCGGCGTGGCCTACGATGGTGTTGAGTATCGGAAGGCGGCCTACTACCGGGTATGTAGTCACTGTTACTCTACTCCAGCTGCACGGCGTCTGCTATGTCGCACTGAGTCGACACCCTCTCACAAGGCCCTTCCCCCTCACTCTCTCAATTGTCCTCCTCGACCCTTTTGACCTTGACCCGCAAATGCCCCTTCGTCGTGACCACAAAATTATCCTTCCACTCCATGTCCCTGTCCGTCGTCTGGCACGCTTCCAGATCGAACCGCCTCACCATGTACGCCAAGTTGAGGTACAGCTCCGCATACGCCAAGTTGATGCCGATGCACGACCGGGGACCCTTTGAAAAGGCCATGAAGCGGCTCTCGAGTTGCGCGGCGTCTGGGGCGAGCCATCTCTCGGGATCGAACGTGTGAGGCGAGGGGAAGACCTTGGGGTCGAAGTGGTAGCAGTAGCAGGCGCTGGTTATTGCGGTCTACAAGAAAGACAAGAGTATTAGTTTTGCGTGTGACGTTCACGAGAAACGGGCCAGTGTTATTTACTCCGCCGGGAATCTTCTGTCCGCACAGCACGGCTCCGCCTTCGGGCACGACGCGAGCCATCCTGGGTGAAGTCAGTTCACATGCAGCGGTCGTCTCGGTGTTCGCGGTAACTCACCGGCCAGGCACGCCCATACTCATTCTCAGGGCCTCCTTGACGACGGCCCTCTGAGCCACGTGTCAGCAGCGTGTGTCTCTTTGACGTCGGCTAAATGCATGCTTGCTCACCAGGTAGGGCAAGGTCTCGAGCACATTCGTGCTGACCAGCTGCTCGCTCTCCGGCTCCTTGACGGCCTCGTGCAATTCCGCGCGCAACTTCTGCAGACACTCTTCGTTGTTGATCAAGTGCCATGTCGCGGTGGTCAGCGTGTGGGCCGTGGTATCTGTGCCCGCGCCGTGGAAGGTGAATGCGTCTGCGGTCATCTGTCGCATGTTCGGAGTCCATGTTCGTTTCTCCTTGGGTTTCGCCCACGCGTCGAAGACGGTGGGGGTTCCGTCTTCAGAGCCTCCGTTCTGCATGATCCGCTCGACCTTGAGCCGGCATTGCTATTACACATATGTGAGCTCGCCGTACAGGATCCACATTAACCAGCGTGGAGGGTCATGGAGGGCTTACCTCGGTGATCCAGTTCGTTGCAGCGAGGGCGGGTATGAACTGTTAATGTGATTCAGCAGGCGAGTCTTCCGGTATGAGGCAGCCCGAGCCAGACCACCACTGCAACAAGGTAAGATGCTGAGGCGACGTACCTTTTCCTGCTGTTCCTCGGTTAATTTCTGCAGTTGCCTTGTTAACCATGGCATGAAATTAGGCCAGTACGTCGCCCACTGCGAAAAGTCAAAGTACTGTTCCAATGCGATCAGGATCGACGACTGGAAGTCCTTGACGTCGAGCAACTCGAACCCATTGTCCGCGAACATATAGCTGGTGACGACGTCGCTGGTCACACTGCGGAAGCCCATGCTCAAGTCCATGGGCTCGTTATTCGCGGCCGCCAATTCGAACTTGGAAAGAAACTTCTTGATGCGGCTATTGATCAGGGGCTCGAGGCGCGTGATGGCGCCCTTGGAGAAGTAGGGTTGGTATGCATCGCGCCAGGGTTTGGCTGTTTTCAACTCGAGTTGGTTGAAGAATCCATCGGCCGCCTCGTTGTTATCTTGGAGTGTGAGATGTCAGCACCTTGTTCCAGCGTCGGATTCAAACAGCATCGTCGTGGCATAAAGTTTGGCACGGGCAGGAACTCTGAGTCGCACGGGGGGATCGGCCTGGTGCTGATTCGTGCGAGACAAAGGGCCAAACATCGCACGAAGGAAAAGTCTACTTTGAACGAACAGACGTACAGTTGTCGCGGTGTCGAGCATAGCGCGTTCCAATCTTGAAGATTCTGTCGTGCTGTCAGCTCGGCCGTTACATCATGAAGCTAGTGATCCTCACTCGTTGTACGCGGCGATGTCAAAGACATGCAATTGATTCGGTGTGATGCGCACAATCGGTCCTGGATTCATCAGTACTGGCCGTCAAAACACCACCGAGCCCCCAGGCCTCCTCACCAAACTTCTCGTGCAACCTAGCAAACTCAAAGATGTATGATGTCTCAGGCCTCAAGTCATACCAAGCCTGATATATCGACGAGATAGCCGCCAACTTCGGGCCAGGGAACTTCGCCAGTGGATGGAATGTGACGCGATATACGGCGCGGAGGACGAGGAAGGCCACCACTGCGACGACAGCCAGGGCCGAGTATGGAAGAGAAACGGCCATGTTGTGCTTGATGCTGACAGCAGGAGAATGAGGGTCAGGTGGACGTATATATAGAGATAACGCCGGCCGTCCTCCTGAATGTATGAGAACCTGCTCCCAGCTTTACGGTAATCACGACCTTGACCACTGCAACATCCATACCTCGTATTGGTACGTAGGTCCTGCACCCCATGGCGCTGCTATCTCTTCGCCTGTACTGGGCAGACCCAATCATCAGTGTCGATGCCCTAGGACTTGTGGTCTCAAGTGGGGCCCAAGGGACTGTATAGATCTGTAAAATAGTAACTCGTACTGCAGGGGTTGTCGATCAGTATACCCGAATCAGGTAAATGCAGCGTCAAGCTCGCAGGCACGCGAGCGAATCCAACTAGTCGGTATGGAGAAGGCGCCACGCCATCAACCAATCTCGCATCTGCAAAGTGGTAAGAGAATCAGGCGCCCACATGACGGTGCAAAGCCGTAAGCCGCAGGAGATATATCATTGAACGGCTGGGTGTCGCAACTGGTGCCTCGACCTCAATATCGCAAGGTTGCTCGCAAAAGGGAATAGGTCAGGGTGAAGTCACATACCGAAAGAATCCAATGCCCAAAGCTAACTGTCCTACAGTAATCGTTCTGCCCGAACCGTGAGTGCGTCGTAGTGAGCGGATCTTTTGTATACAAGCCTGTTGTACACGGTCAATTGTCTATGGCGGCTGCATGCAAAGACTCGTGCAGACCGGAACTCGTAGGAGTAACGCACAAACAGGGGACTAGGGTTCTCTGAGGCGGCTCAACTAGTGAAGTGGCAGGTGGAATTGAGGGGTCTCTACAGGCAAACATGGGTACAGCATGCCACGGCGACGGTAATGTAGCGAGCATGACACTGGGTTCGTGTATTGGAATCGGTCCCCAGATGTGCTGACTCGCCCTTTCACCAAAAGGTATGATGTACAATGATTTGTACATACATCAGTCATCCATCAGTACCTGATATATCAGGAACGGGGAATGTCCGGGTCAGCATGCTGGGATGGCAACCATGCAGTACACGACCGGTCTTCTTCTTGGATATTGCCGACCCCGGACCTTTGCACAGTATTGAGCTTCAAACCGGCGACAGGCCGCTTTCAGGCCGGAGTTGACCCAGCGTTCCTCTACCGAATTTCAATCGACTGATGTGTCGAGTCATTTGTCCTTTGGCGTCGACTCTGTTCTTGCCCGTTGTGACGGTCGATGCGGCTCGAGTACGCTGCTCACCGGCAAGACGGCGTGTAACACATCCAGGGTGGGGTCGAGGTATCCGATAGTTGGGTTTTGTGATATTGGATGTACAGTCGGTCTTTCCCTCAGTCGAACTCCTCGTCCATGTCTTCCTCCATAGCTTGCTGCATGGCCTCGAAGGCTCGCTCGGTCTCCACACCTGCTTGATCTTTTTGTTCGCCTCCATCCCGCCCCTCCATCTTCGCCCTCCTCGCGTCAATGTCCTCATCATCGCCATCTCCAAGCGCCCGGCCATTCATGGCGCCCTCGACTGCCAGACGATCGGCTGCGATGTTACCCGCATTCTGGGCGTGGCCTTTCACCCAAACGAAGTATGTGACTTTGGCGAGCTGCTCCCGCTCCTCGATTCTCTCTCGAATGTCGGCCACAAGGTCTTTGTTCTCCACCGGTTTCCCCTTGGAATTCACCCAGCCATTCTTCACCCAGTTACGATACCAGTTCGTGACACAGTCAATAGCATACTTGCTGTCGGTGTAGATGGTAACTTCTCTGTGCCTGGGCGCAATGTCCAGTGCTCGTAAGATGGCGGTCAGCTCGGCGCGCTGGTTGGTCTGCTTGCTGCCCTTGAGTGCCTCGGAGACATTTCTATAACGCCAATTCGTTAGCTTTTCTTTTTCTTCTTCGGTGTCATCGTCGTCCTCGCCACGGAGTCGGTCCCTCTTCGATCCGTCGTCATAGCCTCGTTGCCGTACAGCCCAATCCATGGTATACAGCGGCTGAAGCTTCTTGGAGGCAATGTAACGAATGGGCTTGGGCTTGGACTTGAATACGACTTTGGATGGAGAGTTGGCATACTTTGGATCTTGGGGTCCGAAATAGACTCCCACTCCTGCCCTGGCTCCCGCTTGACCATTGCTGAGACTTGATCCGTCGGTGAAGATTCGAAGCATGCCTGGTGGATCGGGGACTTTGGTCATCATCTTAGTCTTGCTTTTCTCCTCTTCCGTGCGCTCGACAATCGTACCGTCGGATGCCAATTTGATGTTGGGATCATATCCATCCTCGGCCCCGGGCGGCAGTGGCCCATGACCGGGCTTGTAAGAGTTTCCGTCCTTGTCTGTAAGGAGAGGGGCTCCATTCACCTGGAGACCAGGTGCAGAGTTTTGCACAATCAACCGCCGTATCTCTTCTTCGGGTGTGATATGGTCCAGGGGATCGACGCCATTGGCCGTTGTGCCTGCCGCGACAAACGCCTCCGCCTCTGCCCGAGTATTGAATTTCTTGTGTCTCGGTTTCTTGATGCCGCGAATCTGAGCCTGGGCCTGAGTCCACTCGGTGTAGACGCCGGGTACCCGTCCATTCTGAACGGCGTAGAATTTCTGGTCTCCGGAGCCGTTGGAGGTTGCGAGGGATTTCCCATCCATGAAAGCTTGAGCCTCGTGAAGGGACTGAAATGCTTTGACTGTGACGATATTAGACTTGACCGCACCGAACCACAACCATTCACACATACAGACTGCCCCCTTGTGTCCCTTGACTTGGCTCAAGCAATCCGGCCATGTCTCGTATATCCCCGGCGTCTTGCCTTGTCTGACCGCGTAGAATTTCCGCTCCGTGGTTCTCTTTCTCTTGACCCCCGCCGCGGCATTCAATGTAGTTAGGCCAGGGCTCGCGCGTGGGGCGTTGTTGGCTTGATGTGGCTGTGCCATGAGGAGCGTAGGATATGGTAGGCGGAGGAACCGAGCAGCGCGTCGAAGTCGCGACAGATTGCCTATTGGCGAGCTGGTAGGAGGAGAGCGTGTAGCGAGGTGGGGATGAGCAGGAGAAGTGGTCACGGGCCAAGGTCAATCATCTGCGTATACGCCTAGGCCGCGTTTGAAAGGTAGGTGGTAGGTGTCAGTGAACTCAAGCCACACTTGAGAGAGAGGCAATGTGGTCAAACAGGCAGTGCAAAGGCAGAGTTGAAAGTAAAGTGCAGACAGGGGCGAGCGAGGAGGGTCAGAGCGGCCACAGCACTGGCCTCACCCTTTAGGGGTTAGGAGCTACCGGGGAGGAGGGGAGGGTAGTTGCAAAGGGGACGGTACGAGGTACGTTCTGGTGCAGTCTTTGATCTGGCAAGCGGGGAAAACCGGTGGTCGTGACAGGCACCCACCTGGTCCCTTTCGGTCGAAATTGGGCAGTCACCAGAGTGCACTGATGGTGTTTGGCTGGAAGCTGCAGGGAGTGGTGAGTTTGAGGTGGTATGTGGGAGGGGCGGGGGGAGGCGCGGAGGCGCGGAGGGGGATGTGCCCTCAGGTGGTCGGAACTTGTCTCTCCGGCCTATCCCCCCTGGGCAAGTCCACTCCTGCAGGAGCTACCTTGGGGTCGGGACATTGTTCTCAATGATGTTCGCATCTGGTTACTGTCTATGTTTACATAGTCTATAAAGCGCCGCGCCGATCTGGAGGTCAAGGGTCAAGCCACATCTCCTCCGTCGCCCGCCGCCTTATCTACCTTGGTTCCCTCCAGCTTCGACAAGTGTGCTGGTCTTTTCGAGACTCCATTGCACATTTCAATACCTGCTTGGCTGTCCATCGGCGTCGTCGGAGCCGGCGACCCTCCTTCCGGGGTATTCTCGATGATGTTGACGGGCCTGCTCGGCTCCAGCTGACTCTCCAAATCCATCGCCGTGGTCCGTGTGGGCTGTCCCTGTCCGATTATGAACATGCCGGTGCTTGGTTGGCGGTCTCTCCCGCGGCGACTGGTCTTTCTCGGCCGTAATTGACTAGTGGATCTTTGCTGATGTCTCGGGCCTACATGAAGATCTGGTTCATCCTCGCTGGCCTCAGTGCTCAGCGCCTGAGACATGGTTCTCGGAAGGTGATATCCAAGCTTGCCCAGAGGGATTGACAGACCGTGGACGATGATGCTGCAGATGGCCAGAAACCAGATTACCACCCTCATGATCTCCTCGAGCCGTTCTGCATCTTCCCTCACGGTGCCGTCCACGGTGATTTGATGGAGGAACTCGATACTGATGTAGAGATAGAAAATCGCCGAGACCCCAATCGGGCCAAAGAAGCCCACAAACGCAGCTTGCTGGAACTGTTCAATCTGGCGTATCTTCTTGTGCATGGCGAAAACAACGGGCAGACGCCGGAAGAGAAGGATCGTAATGCCCAGCAGAATCAGCCGCCAGATGGGAATGACATCGTTGTCCCGGAATGACACCCACGGACACACTGCCCCAAACCAGAGAAAGACGGATATGTTGAGCAGCATGTCGATGGTGGGCTGAAGAGAGTCGTCTTCGGTTTCGCGGCGGAACCAGTCATCCCAGGTAAACGCGTTTCCGGCAATAAAGCATGCCAACACGTCATCAGAGCCAATCATGCCGCACGTTCCCGTGATGAAGAGAGCCAGCGTTATGGCAAAGACGAGGAAGCTCTCTCGATCGATAAACTTCCTTTCCTCAGCGAAATGGAGCAGTTCTTTTGCAATCCACCCCACTACAGCGCCGTAGACGACACTCAGAAGAATGGTATATCCCCATGTCTCTCCAAACCAATCGCCCAGCGCCTTTGACGCACCGCCGTGCTGGCCCTCACCCCCGTGCTGGACGTACTTGATCAAATACAGGGCGATGAACAGAAACGGGTAGCCCAGGCCATCGTTCGCACCTGATTCCGCAATAATGATTTTCTGTAGCGGCTTTGGGATGTTCTTGTCCGCGAATTTGCCCTTGACAATCGAGTTGGACAAGACTGGATCTGTCGGCGTCACACACGCTCCAATCGCCAGTGCGTGAAGGATGTTCAGGTGAGGAACAAATGCCCAGACCAGCAAGCTGGCGCACATCCACATGCCGCACATTCCTGGGCCAAGGAGGAGAGCTAGTGACCTCCATTCCGTCCGGAGGTACCTGTTTGGCAGCTGGACGCCGGCAAGCACAAGCTGGACGCCCAAGACGAGGCGGGTGAAGTACAGGTTGATGTAATCGAGATTTTCTTCCGAGTGAAGCGCATATTGCATAGGCCTGATGAGGTTGGTTGCATCGGGCCCTAATATGACACCCGCCACCAAAGATATCACTTGAAGGCTATGTCAATCATGCGACTCTTCTACAAGAGACTTGGCCACTCACATGCTTCTGACAGATAGAACCTCTCTTTCAGCAAGTAGCTGACGAGAGCGAAGACGGTGATGAAGCCACCCAAGGTCGCAGTGACAATATTGAAGTTTGTCAGGACAAGGGTCGGCATGGTGGCGACCGCGCGGAACGGTGTTTTATGGCCCAAGGGCTGTCTGAATGTGACTTGGCGTGGCCTTCTTGATCTCGTTGAGTCGCGGAGTGGAGCTTGAAATAGACAAGAAAATTGCTTGACAAGCTTGAATGGGTGTGGTTGTGGATTCGAAGCTACCAAGCCCTCGAGTGGCCTCTTTCAATGATATCAATGCGATTACGGAGCGAGCGACTGGCAATTGACGAATCTTCGCAGATAGTTGCTAAGTGTCCCGCGTGTTTCTGTGCTAGCCAGAGCTCCAAGGATGAGCGCCGTAGTAAGCGATTGTTATTGTACCGTTCTTTTCATCGTTCGGTGCATAATACGGGGAACAACGGAATGAAGACGTTTCATGCGTACGGCTGACGCGAGCATATGTACGTTTCCTGTGTAGGAGTTGATGATCGTGCAAACGCACCGAACTGTTCGACAAAAAGAAGCCCAAGCCGTCGTGACGGGGCCAAGCAATATGGGTGAAGTGCAGGGCGGGGGCAGCGCTGGGACGGATAGACGGAAGGATATGTGTGCAAATTCTTCTCATGCTCTCTCACACGCTCTTCCCAGCGATGATTAACTCAACCGCTGTCCGAGCCTCGTCAGGACTGCCTGGGCAGCACCATCTTTACTCCACATTGGTGATTGAGACCAGGCACGCTTCCCAGGCGACTGGTAGGAATAGAGGAGGGTTCCCATGCTAGCAGAACTCGCGTATGACCGTGACTCCGACGTGTGATTCCCATTGGTGTAGAAATGGTACTAGCAGGAACGTGTGGCGATAAAATTCGTTCCGTCTTACCGGCCAAAATTTCCAGATGGGCGCCCCGGAAAATTGATATCACCTCCGTCATCGCCTCTCTACTCAGCCCTGTTCTCGAATTTTCAACACCATATACCGCCGAACGCCATGCTGAGGGTCGCTGAAACTAGAGAAGCCGCCGTGCGGATTTCTGCCGTTTCCTGAACACCTCCGCCATATTTCGACATCTTCGTCTCCATGAAACGCAAACACTTTCCGAGATTTCCACGACCTTCATCTACCAATCCACCCACGAGTTCATGCGAGCAGGAAGATCCGGACGCTGTTGCCAATAAAATTCTTGCCTGCAGAAAACCCAAAACGAGTATTAGTCCAGTCGTAATAAATGTGGTGTTGGAGTGGCGGAGCAAGGTAGGCTGGCCGTGTACCAAAGTTCGGTATGTAAGTATCATTAATATATCCAGGTACGCCAGGTGTCTATATCAGAAGACAGTTGCAGGTAAGGGGTATCAGGCTCAATCGTGCAAGGGCGCAACGAAAAATCAGGCTTGTGGGTCAACTGCTCGCCTCAATCGGTAATCCGGTTCGTGCCGGAAAGCATCGATCGAGGCGTCATATCGAAATGCCTTGAAATCGACGCCATATGGTCTCTTGAGAGATGTCAGCCCTTGCCCAAACCGACGGAAATTGCGTTGCTTACCGGTTCAAGACTGTATACCATTCCCAAAGGGATATCGAGGTCGCTGATATCTTCTTGTTTGAGACCCATGAAGTAGGCCAGTAATACTCGACATATGCTTCGATGGCCGATAATGAGAACGTGGTCTGTCATTCGTTCAATCTCAAGAATGACTTTGCCAAGCCGGTTGATGATGTCGAGATAGCCTTCTCCGCCGGGGCCAGGGTATCGATAGTGCAGCTTGTCACGTTTGCGAAGCTCGTACTCATGAGGGCTTTTGTCCCGGATTTCTGCGTAAGTCATGCCTTCCATCGATCCAGCATTGAGCTCGTCCAGCATCCGCATCTGCTTAATATCGTAGTCTTCGTCGCTGAACCACTGGCTGGTCTCGATACTTCGCTTGAGCATGGACGTCCAGACACAAAAGTTCCTCTCCTGAAGAGCCTGAGCGGTGTACTCCGGGTTCGGTGGCGTCGTATCACCCGGAAGCGGAGGAAAATGCATATTGGCCTGTTTTTCCGCCTGATAATTCTCCCACGCCTGTCTCTGTTCGCTGATGAATTTCGCCAAGGCCTGGGCATATCTTTTGCCATTCTCGCTCAAAGAGCTATCACCACCGATCTTGCCATTGACGTTGTCCATTGATTCGCCATGTCGGGTAATCCAGATCTGGCGCGGAGCCAAATTGAAGTTCATCAAATAGGTAACAGTCTGAATTGAAAGGAAGCCCTTCACCTGATGTGTTATCATTTTCCGACCAACATCCACCATTGAGCAATACGCCATGTTGTGTTCCTCTTCGAAATCGTCGAGTTTCTGGTAGGATCTCTCATACTGTTCCACGCGGGCTTGGAAGTCCTTGAACGAGGCCACCGGATCCTTGCCCTTGTAGTCGGGACCGGACAGCTTCAGTCGCATATTTGCTTCTAGCAAGTTCTGGTCTTGGCATCTGGACTCCACAAACAGGAGGTTGATGTTCTCGTCACGCTCGCGGATGTGTTTGACGAGCGACAGACGTCTTTCTCTGGTGTGATTCGTGGCGTCCAGGATCCCCACCGAACCACCGTCCTCCAACACGTACTTGAGAAGCTCGTCTAACGCCTGATGCGCTACCTGCTCTCTGATCTGCTTAGCTTTAGTATTGTTAGGATCAAAGAACGTGGCAGACTGATCGATGGGCTCGGGTGCAGAGAGCTGGATATGGTCCTTGTGGTCTCCGTCGACCGTGGTGTTGCCGTTCGTCTGCACCGGGCTTAGGGGATCGGCTGTTATCTCGCCGTTCACAAGGATTTTGGTCTCGATCGCAGGAGGTGGGAGGAGTTCGCCATGATCCACAACGCTCTGCGGACCGAGCGTGGTGGCGCTCATGCGGCGGACGGACTCTCGAAGCGCGGCAGTCGTCCGATCTGGGAGGGTTGGACCTACACCAGCAGCCACTCTTCGACGGTCTCCCACGTTGAAGATCCTCGTAGGGTGCTGTAGCCAGTTCAAGTAACGAGCAATCTTCTTGACAATGTAACTCTTTCCCCTTGCCGGCAGTCCGACCATGATAATGATGAGTTTTGCGGCGACATCTCTTTCTGAGATCTGTCCGTTTGGTGAGACTTTCGATCGAGTTAGGCCAGGAATATCGAGCGTTGTGGCACGAATCTTCGGTGTTGCGGACCCTGAGATTGAACTGCTTCGAGCATGTCTGCGCCAGATGAGTCAACATTGCCAGTCGCACTCTTGTGTAGCTATGCACTCACATCTGAGGACTACTCGGTGCACTAGGCGCAGGGGTATCGGTCAGCGCCTTTCCCAGGGCGTTCGCGGGTTGGGGTGGGAATTTGCTTGTTGATGTGGTTGTCGCGGATCTGCCAAATGCCGTCTTCGGCGGAGGCATCAGACTCGAGTGGTAGGCGGCATGATTGACGGAGTCGCTCTCATGAGCAGTGCTCGAAGCGTTTGTCATCATGGCAACGCGAGCAAGGTCAGAATATGCTTCGCTGATGCGACGTGCACCGCTCGGGGAACTCGGGGTATTCGAACCCGTGCTAGGCGACGAAGTTTGTCTGACACCTTCTAGCAGAGGCATTTAGTATCGATACAGGAAAAGAAAATTGATCTATACGAGCGCGAACAAGAAGAAAAGAATCAGCAGTCAGAGAGATGGGATCTGACAGGGCTCCGGGCAGGTCCTTGGGTGAATGGTGGTGCAGACGGGAGTCACTGCCAGTGCGACGGCAAACAACAGCCCGCGAAGAGCAGCCAACAAACACGGAGGATCTGTGCCGTGTGCGCCGTACCTGAATCCAGCAAAAGCTCCTTTATTTCTGTTGAGAATAATGGTTTGACTCCAACGGCGGCGGAAATGCGAGTCACCTACTCCGTACCTAAGGGTAAAAAACAAGTAGTGACGTCGATGGCTATCGCGCTGCTTGGAGGCGATCAAACACTGCTGCTCGGGGAATTAGGGGCGAGGGTGTCGATGCGAGGTAACAAAGGCCGATCTCTGATGCTCATAAAGGGCACAAGTACTTCGTACTGCTTGGTGAGACGGAACAAACATGATCTACTCTTTCCTCCTCACTATATGTGTCAGTTTCTCTTCACTTAAAGGCTTCTGAGGATTGGCAATACGCGGTACATCATGGTCTTCTGTGACGGGCACATAGTGCTTAGGCTCCTAGCTATCAAGCCGAACAGCTCCTTGCTTCGTGTCATCTTCGATGCCAGAGTGTGGTTACTGGTCTTTTGAAGCCCCATCAACTCCAGCTGCCGCGGTCCGAGCCCTGGACAAGTCAATAGTGAAGGAGGCTATCGTCCTCGCTCGTCGCGGGGCTGAGGGTCGAGCTCTCAGACCGCCATGGCGCCGCAAATCAGACACCTCAGGGTTTATATTTTTAGGCAGCCATGCCCCAAGATGGGGACCGTCCAGGTCCAGGCCCGGCTCTACGGGTCCCGGGACCCCATTGGCTGGGACAAAGTACGAATAGCGAGTACGGGAGTCGTGGGGGCTCTTGTTCGTTGCTTCACTCTGTTTCGGGGCCCGAAGCTCACTACTCTCTGGATCAATTCGTGCCTTTCTAGACGCAGGATGAAGTATGTACTCCGCATAATGTACACATACTACTGCCATCTGAGTAGAGAGCCACACAAATTATGCAAGATAAAGAGCCCACCGACGCCTTGCTATTGCATAAACACCCGCTCTGAAAGTGTCAAAGGTCAAGACGGAGAAGGAGAATCCCCTTGTTCGGCTGCTTCTCTTTCTTTCCGCATCCGCGACTCGGCGGCTTTTGCCATAATCTCGCGACGACTCAAGCCAGCATCGCTCGTTGATCCTCCCAGAACGAAGTTTCCTGCAGACCAACCCCCATGATCTGCATGTTCAGCCTCTTCAAAGGAGTCGTTTGGATTGTAAAACTCCTCGCTTGACAGTCGATGCCCTCCGTGGAGTGTGTCATTGCGCGCCACCTCTTGCTCGATCTCCTTGGTCAAGTTCCAGAAGTTGCGGTCATGCTCACCCCACACATTGTGCGATAGCTCGTGGCAAAGAGTCTTACGTATGACCTTGTAGTCACGATACCCATCGTAGGCATCTGTCCGCAGTCGCAGTTCGATGACCTCGCCGCGGTTGCGGTTCAAGCCAAGTGTCTTTGATTCGTGGGTGGTATGTTCGGCGGGGTTCATTTCCGTTAACAGGCCCACAGAGAAACGGTGCTTGCGCATGGATGCTTTGATGCCCGGATCGCTGGCTAGCCGCTCGAGGTACCTCCTGCTCTTCTCTGGATTTGGCAAGTACTTCAACGGTTCGATGGCATGAAATGTGTAGGTGCTCTCCTCTTGAACCTTCTTCCAGTCCCGCACTTTGTTCGCTTTGACCGGCTTGAAGTTGCTTGGGCGGGGACTTCTGCGACTAGCTGCGCTCAATTCGCTCATATTCTTGACTTCCGAATTGGGCGTTCCAACCAGCTTTATTCTTGTGGTCGGGGTAATGAAATCGCTCAGTTTCCGCTTTGCGAAGGGGTGCTTTACGAATCCCGGCTTGGGCAGGAAGAAGAACGAAATGCGTTCTACATCCGCTCCAATATGCGCCGCAGCTCTTGAAGCCAGGTGGCTGATGGTCTCGTCGGGAATGTCCTCAAAATCGAGGCTCTCATCTCTGTACTGGATCTTCATCGTCGTGGAACTTTTCGTTAAGGGCACCATAAGGAACCGAACGGTTTCAGTCTACCGACGGGTTGTATCTCATTGGTATGTAATGAGATGTTGGCACATGGGGAGGCCCTGTTGGAAAGGAGTAAAGACCGGGCTGATGAGACATGGGGAGCCATTGTGGGCAGTTGAGTCTTCTGGAGAAACCGTTGGAACTCTTCGAGATGACAAAACACCAGGCGGCGCAGATGACGTAAACAACTTACAGACGGAGATCGGACGCGAGTCAGTTACCGAGGCTCAAGGTAAAGATCAGACGCCAACCAATGAGTCGTGTCATCACAGAATTTATTGCGTCTTTCTGCGCTCAGCTTTTCCAGTCGTCGACAAGACTCCAGGATCATTACTGGATGATAAAAGGCATACGGTGCAGTTGTCATCTAATCTTTGGGGAAGACATTCCTAGTCGGAAATCTCAATGGGCGGCAGTCAGTCCGTCGCGCCATCATGACATTCTATGTACTACGGGCCGCATATTCAGTGCCCATTGACGCTGGCAACAGGAATACTCTCTGAGCCTTGGAGATGAGATGTTGGGTCAGCCTGCACCGACCCATTGCCATTTGATTGACAACAGTCCCCGTTCGCATCTCTCCCGACCTCCACACTTGCAAGATTCTTGTTTCCGGGCACGTCCAAGGCTGGGTTCCGCTCAAAGAAGTCCGCGGGCCGCAGATGCAGTTGATGGATCTCCACGGGCATGACAGGCCAGTCTTCTACACGTGGATTGTGTGTGAGCCCAAAGACGTTCCAGACAACCACATCCTCGTTCTCGACCTCGTCTTTCCGGGCCACCATGTCAGCCACGCCACCCTCTTCTTTCTGAGATCTGTAGAATTGTTAGTACTGGATGCCCGTGACCGAAATTAATAGGATGCCTATATCTTCCAAGGGCAAGAAACTCACTGATTTGTGAACTCTCCGCCCGCAAACAACTCGTTGTCTTTATATTTCGTTACCCACACATGATGATGCGCAAACGCGGCACGTTTCGCGACGATGGAGTCAGGGTCGGCAAGGATGAGTTGGCTTGGAGAGGGGATGAACTTGTACGACACAGGCCGTTGCGAGATTGGGTTGATCTTGCTGGCATTGGCCATCTTGATAGTAAGGTTGGTGAAGGGCGAGGCATGGATCGAAGTTGACTTGGTGACCGGCTTGCGAACGACATCGTATCCATTGCCGTGAGGATTTGTCTTCGGGTTCATTGGAATAGGTAGGGACTCTTCAGTGAAGATCGTGTTGTTATGGCCATCAATGGCAGGGTCGATCCGTACGGCGAAGATGTGCTGATGGTTCTGGGCAAGGGCGCCGGGAGAGACAACATTGCCATAAGGGCTGGTCTTGCCAGGGTCGATGTTGACCACAGAAACAATGCCGGTAGCACGAGTCTCCACGGTGATGCTAGAAATCTGTTAGCTAAGAGAGTAATATTCTAGGTCCGGGCGGCTTACCCTCCCGCTTGGTCAAATTTGTAAGCGAAGATGTATTCGTAATTCGCCAGAGTAATGATGAATTGTACAACCAACTCCCTAGATCTGGTCACAACAGCGCGATTGGTCCTGAAGTTGGTATGCTTCCAACCAATCCCGTTGTCCTGCTCATGAACGCAAACGACGTTCTTGGAGACCGACGGCTTGCCTTCTGTGTCGACCAACATGGCGTCGATGTACTTGATGACACCAAGGCAGTCGCATCCTAGAGCAAGATTATTGGCGGCTCGGCCTGCGCCCGCGTCGCCAAAATCGAAAGCCTGCTTGCGGTGGAACGGTGGTCGAGGATCACCGTATGGGACGGTCATTTCCGACAGACTGAGACGATATAGCACGCTACGGCCGTCGTAGTGAACGTCGTGTAAGACTGCACACTCGCGAGGAGTAAACCTGGGCAGCGTTGTTAGGCCGTCGGCACATGCGTGTTGGGGATCGTACTTACCCAACTCGGAACCTCCATTTCTGCCATTCGATCAGGGAATCATCACTAACAGTAAAAGTCGGCCCTTCGGGCTGCAACACATTCAGTGGCTTTAAGTCGCTGCGAAGGGGTGTGTCCAGCAGTTCAGGAACGTATTCGGCAGGTTGGCAATGCTCAAGAACATTTTTGCCAGCTGTTCCATAGCTCAGACCATCCTCAACACCACCAGTGGCCAGACGGTCAATGCGGATGATTTCTTTTTTGTACGTGTCCATGACAGGGATGATCGGTAGAGGGAAGCCATAATGGTTGCTGTCGGGGTTGCCATTCCGTAGCTTAGCGAAACACAGGCCTTGGGTGTATCTGGGACACGTTGTTAGACAGCACAGATGGCCGTGACTTGTAGCCAGCATACCTTGGAGTGACTTCTCCGACGTCAGGCCCGCCGTAAGGCCAGGGATCAATGGCAATCTCAAACTTCTCGTCAAGATTGAGTTCTTTCACAGCCTTTTTGAACATGTCGGACTCGACACACACGTGGCTGAATTCCTTGAACTCGTCCACCGTCAAGGCCTGTTGTGAAGTCCTAGGTATCTGTCTGTGCTCGACCTCCTTGCCAGAGGCAATATCAATCACTGACTCCATGTACTCATGGCTCCGATCCTCGCTAACGACATCATATTGGACGCGAGCCTGTCGAGCGGGTCGAGGAGTGTCGGCCGAGAGGGTCCCAGCGTGCTCGGCATTGAGAAACTTGACCAGCTCGGCTTTCGCTGGCTCAACAGCAAAGGTGTTTCGGAAAATAACAGCGGCCTTACGAGCATCGAGGACCGCCTGTCGTGCAGTGTTGACCTCGTCGACGCTTAGCTGGTCCAAAGGGTGTTTGTAGACCCTCTTCGGGACTGTGTGTCCGTTTGTTGCCGTCATGTTGCAACTGATTAAAATTATCCTGGGATAGAACGAGATTTGGGCTTTGGCTTGTACCGCGTACAGTGTGAAATCAGGAGGAAGAAGAGTACGAGTTGCGGCAGAGAAGAATAAGCCCACCTTGTCACTTGCAGAGCATGCTCATAACTTCACACACGTCGATGGCGAGGAGCGGAGTTGTCCTCTGCCTGGGCCAAGTCACTTGTGTCTCTCCACACAACCGCTTCTCCGCCACTGTCCACGGCCGGGAAGATAAGGCAGAGGCCAGACTAAGGCAGCGCAATCAGTCGCGTCTGGCCCATGAAGTTTATGTTACCATATTCTAGACGTCAGGGAGCAGTCCACGGCGAGCAAGTGGACTCAAGCGGGCTGGTGGTCGACTACCATGAGGGGATGATGTCGAGAATCCCAGAAACTCAAAGCCTCAGATTGGAGATGTGCGGCCAGTCGTTCGTGGTCTTCGGCTACACATACCAGATCAGGATAGACGTGGACCGCCGTCGGAGTCTCCTCTATCAAACGATCTACCGCAGATGGCCTCTTATTACCTCATTCTCCTGCCCACAGTCGTGCAGATTACTGCCGAAAGTCGCCGTCAGAGTGTCAGGACCTCATGCTCGTGAGAGCTATACACAAACTGCAGAATGGCAAAGGGGTACTTCTGTCTTTTTGACCCGCGTAGCCAATCGTTAATTACTAGCTCTATGATATTATCCAACGAGAGGAAATAGCGCGGAACGGAGTGCATCCTCTTACGGGAACTCCTCGTCCTCATCTGTGGCCCAGAGCGTCTCGTCCAGCAATTCCGCATGCCCTTCATGTGCTACTCTGGGTGCTTCCACGAGCTTTTCGGGTTCCGCGGTCGATACAATACCCCTTGCTGCAATTTCATACCGAATTGGTGGTTTAGTGGTAGGTGCCCATGGAGCAAAGACTACAGCAAAGGTCCGACTGGGCTTCTTGTCTTTCCAAATGCTGCCCCCCACGTATTCCTGTCGCTCACTTTCCATCTTAAGGACAATGCGAGCAGAAATCTGGTTAGCCCAAGCTAAGCCGAGGGCTGGGGTCTTCATCTGCTCGTGCTGCGTGGTCCCTTTGTCATCCCCCCATCCGGTGAAGAAGCGCTGTTGGTGATCCAGGCTTTGTGTCATCTGTCGACGCTCTGCCACTGCGGGAGGCAGATTCTCCGAAGGCGTGGCTGGAGAAGAGGCCGTTGCTGGCGAGGAACGAAAGAGATGTTTAGAGTCGTCGAAGCGATCCGACACCTGATTCGTGACCACGACCGCGACATCGTGTTCGACAGCAATTTGTCTCAGCGTGTTCCCTAGATTGGTCAATTCAGCAGCTCGCTCAGCCAGTTGAGCAGCTGTGCGGGTGCCGTATTCCGCCCGGAAATTTGCGGTGACCGAATCCAAAACCACCAGTCCGACGTTATACCGCGGAACCGCAACGGGTAGTTGGTACCGAAGGATATGTTCCTGCGCTTCTAGATCAGTTACAGTGATCGTATGAATCTGATCAAGTGACGGTCGTTGTTCGGGCAGGAGGTCGGCGTATGAGGCTAGCATCTGGTTGAGTCGCTTGGTGTTCAGAGGTCCTTCAGAGGTGATAAAGATACCAGATTTCCCCAGCCCAACTGGCGGAGCAAGCTGGACCGACAGCAACAGCCCCAGAGCGAAAGTGGTCTTTCCAGTACGAGACTCCCCCACCAACTCCGTAATGTGACCAGGTCGGATGCCTCCATTCAGTGCCCCGTCGAGATTCAAGTCAAGAGTGCTGACCGCAGTTTGCTCATGAATCTTGGTCGCTTTTGCCTCGTTTCGAAGTTCGCCCAATGTGTCTGCTGTGTTCTTGCGCTTCCTTTTCACCCCTCTCAGCATATCCTGCTGAAGAGCCTTGACGACATCTTTCACTAGCCTGTCAACGTCGCGCGGTGGAAGGGGACATATGCGCGCGATCTCCGTAGGTGCGAGGGCAACCAGCTGTGAAACCGTAACGTTGTTTTTATCCAAGGAGTGAAGAAGGTGTGTATGGGGTTTGAGGTCGAAATCAGGAAGCACATCGAGCAAGTCCATGACTGCAGCATTGTTGGCGAGGCATTGATGTTGACAACCATTCTTGACTCAAAAGTCAGGATCTGCCACCATTGTAATCGTCTGCCGGGCTGCGTGCGTCGATTCTGAGCGTTAGACAGGGTTGCTTCGAGTCTATGTTCAAAATGAGCCGGAGTTGATCGCGCTGTTTACCTTCGAGAGGTAGGCTTCATCCCGAAGAGGCCCAAGACTGCATTTAGCTCCCTGTCAGTACCTGGTAGGTAATGGCAGGTGCGGACGAAGCCGAAAACTGGTGAAGGCACATATAGCGGATGGCAGGTGGCGGGGTTTGCGCAAGCTCTGGCATTGAGACTCGAAGCTCCTGGAGCGCAGATCAGCCAGGCTTTATGACGTTGTCGTCTCAGCTTCCGAATTGCTGCATCGGTCGAATATCGAGACCGGTGACAAAGTCTACGGCTCCGAACCAGGGTTGGTAGAGGGACGGGCACAGCCTTTCGAAAGTATACACCCCCGGGACCACTGTTGCCCTCTCTGGCTTGCACAAGTGTAGCCACCCTACGAGGAACAACCTAGTTCTAGTAGAGTTCATGCAGGCCATAGCTGCGATACCTAGGAATAGCACCTATGTAGTCCGCTCTAATAGTGCTCGTACACAGCCCTGAATTGGCCAGCTTTCCTCTCTTTCTCCTCCGTACCACTGGCAGACGCGGAAAACTTCGATTTTGAGAGCAAGCACCACAGACTTGCGCGTCCCCGCATCGTGTCCAATTACGGAGTTCAGAGTACGGAACAATCAATCCTAGAACCTCACCGCTGAGAGCCGAATACGTTGAGGCCGAAGCAGCAACGACCGCGTGAACTCGGCATCAATCAACAGCGAGCCAGATCTTCTCGCATGCAATCCAGCACCATGGCTTCTGTTGCTCAGCCATGGCTCATATCCAAGTACGCGCATACATTATCCGCTTGGATCTGCCCAACAGCTGTTTGAGACTAACAATTTCTTCCATTGCCACAGGTTCGTTGATCCTCTGTTCGCGATCGGAACTGGCCTAGCTGCCACGGCGTTGAAGATACAGAGAGAGCAGCGCGAAAAGTATCCAGAGCAAGACAATAGCTTTCCGGCGCTTTGGCAGAAAGCTCTACGGCTCAACAGGACCTATTGGGGGTATGGTGACGAGGCTGCGAAAAAGTGATTGGAACGCAACAGCTCGAGGAATTTTAGAACGATTAGGACGACAGAGTTCACGATGGTCATGTTGACACCCGAAGTCGCTACACAATCATCTGCGCAGCGGATGGTTCTGAACAAGATTCTTCTCATGGCTCATGAAGATATGCCTATGATGCGCGAGCCTCTCGATGATATCACATCTCAGACCGCTGGCATCACCCTCGCTGGGGGTGAGCGTCCGTCAACATCCAGCATAAGGTCGCCAAACTTACTCTCAACTCGCCAGAACGGAACCGTGGGACCTGCTCACCCTCATTCAGCTGCCTATAGCTGACTCGACTTTTGGTATGCAATTCATTTTGCGACTGTTCAAGATCGAGCTAGCGAGAGACCATGTTGGGAAGTAGAGTGGTCATGACAGCGTGGGAAAGTCAATCGCACCACTCCAACAGAGGAGATGTTTCCACGCAACCCGTCAGTCCTGTAAGTCGGACAGAAGATCTCAAGGCAACGTTACAGCTGCAGAGCACTTACCGAAGCGACGTAACCTGGGGATTTGTCAACGGCGTTGAAGAGCATAGCACAAATTGTGCGTATTACAGGTGTTAAGCAAAGGCTATATCAGAAATGTCTGACCGATATGCCGTTGTTTGCAGGCGCCTTATTTGGTACATTATCTAGTAGCAGAAGCTCGAGTTTTGATCCTTGTCGGGCTATTGCTTTGCACTTTCACCTTGATCACGGATTCAAAGTATTAAATCGGGTTGGATTTTGGTACGTCTTGTGCGAAAGCCATTTGCCGAGCGCCGTAGCATGGACCCATGAAGCGGCCACAGCCAAACCACTCTACGACAAGAGCTGCAAGAGCTAGACACTGGAAGAAGGATCTGAACCGGCGAAATGGACGAGGACGCAAGCCGGGAGTACCACAAGAAACGTGAGCATCCAGTATGCAAAGACCTTTTGTGATGTGACTGCGTATCATTCTAAAAACAATCAAAAGCAGGATTACAAGCTCCGCAACCCAGTCGACACCCTCCCCGCTGTACTCTCAAGACTGTACACTTGACCGTGAGGCAACGCCGTCCGGAAACCACTCGCCTTTCATAGCAATCCGACCGCGTAGCTTCAAAAGCGGAAGGCAGGTCTTGCTCAGCCGATGGTATAACCAAGACTCGAATCCTGCCGGTTTGCAAAAGGATCCTAATGGGCACCTGAATAAGGAGCCTGCGTGTCCACATTTGCCTCACGGTCCCGCTCTCCCTCCGCTTCTCGGAGCAATCTAGCTCTTTCACCCCTGGACGCACCGATTATTGGCACGCGAAATCGCTCTCGGTTCGGTCGTGCTGCCATATCAGCGAATTGCCACTGATAGTCGGTGCATCTCCACGCAACGAGATCTGTCAATGCACAAGACTCACCAGGAGCAGCCAATTGAAAAGACTTGCCACTACAACGAGGCCGGCGATGACCTGTTGCTGCTGCCGCCACGGGCCCACACATCGACTCGTATACCCTATCGTCCTCTCACAAGCTCTCACGTCCACATCGTGACTGGGAAATGGCCACGCACGATCATGGAGTGAGTTGAACCCACAGCATCGCAGCCCTTGCTCAATGGTACGGACTGCGTTCTCGTTCTTGGCTCGGAAGAGGTGACTCCATTGGCGCTCAAGGCCACAAGACAGCAGATCCGAAGGGACAGCGTAGATCGAAGAGAGGACGAAAAGTGCAAAAGGAAGATGTGGGAGGAGATATCGGACGCCTGCTGCGAGAAATGACACAGTGCCTGTTCCAGCATTCATGCCGAGTCTTGCCACAAATGCTATGATGAGCGGGCCCAGGATGACGGTGAATGCGTTTAGAATGGGGAAGGCGAGGGGCATTGGAAGCGACAAATGCACACTCTTAGCCCAGGCGATACTGGAAGCCGGACGCGGTCAGCCATGTCAAGCAGGTCCAACAGTCATGGGCGGTAACAGGAAACCTTACGCTGAGATGACAAGAACGATAACGGCAATAGTGAGCTAGAAGCATGTATTTGATGTGAGATCCTGGCGATTACAACCGCGAAGCAAGGACAAGCTTTCACTGGAGTGGACATCAGGGATGCGCAACTCACCAACAGTCCACGCCGACCAACATCAAACCAAGATCTTTCGTTGGCATCCATGTTTGAGAGTGCTAGGAGGCCGAGATGAGGGCAGGAACTACTCGAAAGAGATGAACGGGGTAGTCAAGTATCAATAGCACCAATATGAAGAGAAGTTGGTCGTGGCAGCTACGTGGAGGAACGGAGTGCTGAGGGGATGAAAATGGGTGTAGCAATGAAAGAACAGATAATTACATCGCGATAAGAAGAGGTTGACGTATTTTCCCATTGTTACACAGCATAGAGGGGCAGCGGTCATAGGAGCGATGAGGCTGACAAGGATAGTTGTAGCAGTACAAGTACATAGTAGACCGTAGAGATCGTGTCAAAACCTGATGTACATGTCAATGCGGGGGGAAGTTAGCTCTGGGACAGCAGCCAATCCGGGAGTCAGTTGAAAATCAAGCATTGGTGATTTCCAGCTGGCCTTTCTCAGGGCTACACCACAACATTCATTACATACTTCGTACAGCGCTACAACTCTCTGTAGCTTCCACCGACTCTCAAAAGGGAGCTGGAAAGGCCTTGTAAATTCTGGAAACCATGGATCAGCAACAGCAGCTAAGTGAATGGAGAGTAATTAATCGATAGCAGCTCTCAGCCGGTCGTCCACATGCAATTTTGGTTTGTATATATGCTCATTCCACCTCCTGCTTTACATCGCCTCGCTTTACGTTATCACCCAATTCACTTTACTCCAGCTGCAGCCATGTGCAGTGAAGTGATTGCAGTGAATATGGCATCTTGGCAAGTCTAGACACCAGTCTCTAGTTATAAGTATCCCTCCAGACCCTCTTCATTATCCTTCTCAAGTCCCCCTTCTTCAGTTTACTCTGATCACCACCACACTCAGTCTTTCCTCATTATCACACTTGCTGGCCGAGAGCGACAATATCGGCACCATGGCGTCTGGAGGGCGAGACCGCCAATTCTCTCTTCCCACTCATCCCAGAGTGAGCGGAGTCGACTGCGGCAGCGAGCGTGAGAGAGTTGATGGCATGGCTTTCAATCATGGAGACGGGCAAGGTGCCATAGCTACCCCGTAAGTATCTATCGTCCGTCAGTTGTTCCTTCAATTTTGAGACTGACCGTGTGTTGGGGTTCTCAGACGAACGGCGAACAACACAAATTCCCCAGATCCTGCAATCTTGAAACTGGAGACGGAAATTGAGCAGCACATCCTAAAGCCGGCTACGCACAGCAACGCCAGGCTCCCGCTTCGGCCTGCCTTCGGAACGAAGGGCACCCCCATCACTCTTCTGACCAACTACATGACGCTTGCTTCTAACGGCACAGTGATTGCCTATCACTACGATGTCGATTTCGGTAGAGACTTGAAGACGAATCGACCAATACAGGGTAGAGAAAGGGCCCGCTTCATCCAGCTGCTAGTAGCAGAGCACTTCCTCCAGCACAGTCCTGGAATCGTCTCGAACTTCAAGTCAACCGTCATCAGCAACAAACCTCTCAACATTGATCAGCAAGGCTACTTAGTTGCTTTCCGGACCGAAGAAGAAGATGCACCAGCTGTGGATGCTAAACGATTTCGGTTACACATTCAGCAGAAAGCAGCAATTACGGTGTCTGACCTGGTCAGATACCTGACGTCTACAAATGTGGCTGGACCGTTGAGCTCCACGCACGCAATCCTCCAGACGCTGAATATCATCATTGGACACAACCCAAAGGCAGCATCACAGATCACCTCCGTCGGTTCGAACTCTCATTTCAGGAAGGATCTCCAGGGGGCAGAAACACGGGATCTTACTGCTGGAATCACCGCTTGGCGGGGCTACTTGTTAAGTGTTCGAGCAGCGACCGGAAGGCTGCTTGTCAATGTGCAGGTTAAACATTCGCCATTCTACAACGAAGGTCCTCTGCAAGGTCTCATGCAAGCATTCTTGAAAGCCAGCTCCCAAAACAGTCATGGGCTCCACCAGTTCCTCAAGGGGGTCTGTGTTAACATTACGCATATCGCTCGCAAAAATAAAGCTGGCCAGCAGATCCCCAGCACTAAAGTCATTTTTGGTCTCGCGGTCCAAGGTGATGGGAAAAAGCTGTTACACCCTCCAGTCGTGCGTAAAAACGGTGCTGGACCACAAGAGGTCGAAATCTATCTGGAGACGACGCCTACTACCTCCATGATACCACCACCATCCTCTACTTCCGGGAATACCCCCCGTCCCACACAGACATCGGCGGCTGGGGTTTACATTACTCTTTACGATTTCTTCCTCCAATACTACAAAATGAAACTCGACCCGTCACTACCTGTTGTCAACGTGGGTAGTCAAGAACACCCAATGCATCTACCAGCGGAGGTATGCCAAGTCATCAAAGGCCAGCCGTACAAGAAGAACTTGTCTCCGCAGCAGACGCAACACATGATTCAATTTGCAGTACGACCACCTCAACGGAACGAGCAGTCTATCAGAATGCAGGGCGCCCACATGCTTATGCTAAATCAGAATCTAAATAGATCTCACGTGAGTTTCATTCCCGAAAGCACTATAACAGCATGCTAATAATTAACAGGCGGCATTTAACTTAAGCGTCGATCCATCGTTGATACGTGTGCCGGGACGCATCCTAGCCCCACCAAAGATCTGCTACCGTAATGACCGTGAAGCATCGCTACGGGATAGCAAATGGAACATGCGGAATGTGCAATTCGTCGAGTCCCGACCACTTACCAGATGGACTTGGCTTATAATCGCTACCAACGATGAGGCTGGACCATGGCAGTCTGAGGCAGCTTTCCAAGCATCACGAGCATTGAAGGAGTTCCACGCTAAGCTTGTCGAAATGGGTATCAGATGCGCAGAGCCCAAGCAAGGCTTTCGTATTACAGTCAACCCTCGCGACCTCAACAACGTTGATGCGGAGGTTGGCGCTGTTCTCCAGAAATTCCCCATATCACAGGCAGAGCTCGTGCTTGTGGTGCTGGTCACTGAAACTCCATTGGTATTTCGTCGCGTGAAATACCTTTGCGACGTTAGAGAAGGGGTGAGCAATGTTTGTGTGGTTGCCAAAAGGTTCGCTAAAGAGAGTAACCACCAATATTTTGCCAATGTTGCTCTCAAGTTGAACCTCAAGCTTGGTGGCTGTAATCACAAACTCGCGGGTCGCAACCAGACTGCGGTTGAAAAGAAGCAGAAGAAACTAGGGATCATCGAACTCGGCAACACGATGGTCGTCGGACTCGACGTCACCCATCCTTCTCCTGCTTCATTGCCAACTGCTCCTAGCGTTGTCGGCATTGTCGCATCTATTGACGGGCATCTTGCACAATGGCGGGCAGAGATTGACATTCAAGAGCGCAGAAAGGAAATGGTGCTCGCCCTCGCAGAGCTCATAGAAGGTCGACTACTGAAGTGGAAACAACACAACGAAGCCAAGCTTCCGCTCAACATAATCGTAAGTGCATCTTCCTGCCGTTTCTTCCGAGCGCTGAGAGCCACGATTGACTGACTTGACTAGATTTACAGGGATGGTGTCTCGGAAGGCCAGTACCAACAAGTCCTGGAGGATGAGTTGCCACGGATCCAGTCGGCGTGCGAAAAGGTCTATTCTGCCGTAAAGATGGCTCCTCCGCGTTTGGCTATCATTATCGTCGGGAAGAGACATAATACTCGATTTTACGCGCCGAATCCAGCAGCAGGAGGACAGGTCCAAAACCCAAAGTGCGGGACTGTGGTTGATCGCGGCGTCACCGAAGCGCGTCACTGGGATTTCTTTATGCAGGCACACACACCTCTGCAGGGTACAGCGAGACCGGCTCATTACTATGTTGTCTACGATGACATATTCCGAGGTTACCAGAAGCACCAAGAAAGCACAGCTGATGGGAGCCCCTTCCGCAGCGCCGCCGATGCTCTTGAGGATCTGACGCACAGCATGTCGTACACATTTGGACGAGCCACCACCGCTGTGTCCATTTGCCCGCCGGCTTACCATGCGGACTTCGTCTGTGATCGAGCCAGGCTTTACCTGAGCGAATTCTTCGACCCTTCGTCAACTGGGAGCGTCTCGTCTGGCGGTAGGATGCGTGCTCCGGATTCAAGCATGGTAAGACTGCATGCCCGCACGGCCGAGACAATGTTCTGGATATGAGGGAGACCCAGATGGGAAGCGGTGACAGAGGGCCGGAGGAGCGCCGAGGCTTGCTGCTACCTAACGGCGGCAACCACCCACAAATTTCCTTTTAAGATGTACAGATTCTTTACCTTCAACGATCTCGAGCTTATGGGTTGGTGCCGCTAGCTCTGATGTCAGGCAGGGAGGGAGTGAGAAAGGAGTCTAAGGAGAGGAAGGCCGAGAAGAATGATAAACAGGAAAAATGGAGCTGAAACAGAGTTAGGTGCTTTTGAATTCAAAATACCCAACACATTGTACGGTTAAGCCTGCTTCTCGATGCCTCAGCTAAATAATGTAATGCGCGGCCTCCCGGAATGTGCATAGTCTGACCGGCAGTACAAGATTCCAGTAACGGAACGGCCGTGATGCGATCACATCTGAGGAGGCCTCACTCAGCGCAGACAGAGCGGAAAGATGAATGCACTCAAAGGTCTGTAGCTGCTAGTGCCAGTCTCTTTCTTTTCACGCAACCACGTCGGACATTCACCGAGGGGCCTGATTCGACGTTAGAGGGCGTGGTTACTTAGGTAGGTTTAAGAGTCAGGAGGATTATATATTCCACCGACCCCGGCCCGACCTGTCTGAAGTCCCTCGCTCGTTCATTTACACAGTTCCGCACCAGGGAAAACGACCTTCCTTTCCGGGCTACGTAGTCCGCTTACCTGCCTTACCGGGCGTGCATAGAGCCTGCGCGAGCCGGAGAATTTTCGATTCTATCGTCAGCTTTTGGGCCGAAGCTTAATCGGCTCCCCTATGAGGAAGGTCGCTAAGCAAGTCCAGCTCCTCTGTCCATGGCCTGATCTTCATGCTCCAGTGTCTGTGCGCGTGTGGACTTCCGGATCGAACCTTCGGTCGCGCTAGGTTAACCGTAGGGGGGTGGGTGGCCCAGTCTATCCCAACGCCTTGCTTGGGGTCTGATGATGATGATGATTGTATAAGGTAAGGCAGCCGGAAGCTACACTTATACTGTACGTTCCTGTTCCGGGGGGGGGGGGGGGGTGTCTCGTTCTTATTGATATCATTGATTCCGCTTCTCCTTTCTTGTCCATTAGAATCGTCTAACGAGCGGATACTCCAGATACCGACGATACTTTGTAGACTCCCCAGAGATGACTATGTCAAAGGAAGGCAGGGCGCCGTTCTCCCACCCCAGTCTCCCAAGCGACGCCTCTACGTGGTACAAGATATGGGGCGATCTCAGATCCTCCTCGATAGGGCGACCTCTTGTGGTTCTCCATGGAGGGTGAGTAGCCCGGTGCGCGGACCGTCGACACCCTTTTCTCCCCCCTCGCAATCAACGTCGGACATGCAGGCTAACAGGTGATAACAGTCCCGGCATGGGACATAACTACCTGGCGAACTTGAAGAGTCTCTCGACAGAGTACAAGATTCCCGTGGTCCTCTACGACCAGCTCGGATGCGGCAAATCGACACACTTTCGCGAAAAGCGACTCGACACGGACTTCTGGGTCCCCGAGCTGTTCATCGCAGAACTGGACAATCTTCTAGATCACTTGGGCATTGCCAGCGATTTCGATCTCCTGGGCCAGAGTTGGTGAGTCTCTCCAAGGTCGTGCACCCGGTGCTTTGGAGGGCCGAAGACTAATCTGCCCGGCGCGACAGGGGAGGAATGCTAGGTGCTATGTTCGCCATCCGAGGCCACAAGGGGCTCAAGCGCCTCATCATCTCCAACTCGCCCTGTAGTATGAAATTGTGGGTTGAATCGTGCAACGAGTGGCGTAAACAGCTGCCCGAGGACGTTGAGAAAGCGCTGCAGAAGCATGAGAAGGATAAGACGTACGACGACCCAGAGTGTAGGTACCCTTTCTGGCGTTCGCGCGTTGAAGCCAGCATTATACACCGGTCCTCGACACTAACGCCGAAGCCAGATAAATGGGCTGTAGAAGAATTCTACAAGCGCCATGTATGCAGGATCTACCCGTTCCCTCAGGATCTTCTGGACACCATGGCGAACGTGGAAGAGGACGATGTACGATTGTGCCCACCTAAGCACCTGGCTGTAGTGTTCACAAGGCGTCAACTGACACGTATGTTCGCAGACCGTCTACTACACGATGAACGGGCCAAGCGAGTTCACCGTGGTGGGAAGCTTGAAGTAAGACCCGATCGTATCCCGGTGTTCCCCTGTAGGAGCCTTAGACCACAATTTCCCTGTTATATCACCATGGCTGTTCTAGCTAACGACTGGCAGGACTTGGTCGTTAGTCGATGAAGTCCACAAGATCAAAGTACCCTGCCTCGTGCTGAATGGCGAGTGGGACGAAGGACGAGATAGGCAAGTCACCTCGATGTTCCGTGCCCAACACTCATGAGATGAGGATTCGTCCACTGACGGAGCCGAGGATAATAGCTGTGTATATCCTTACTTCTCCGGCATCCCCAAGGTGAAGTGGTATACTTTCCCCAATGCGGCTCATTGCAGTAGTAAGTGATGAATCCCGGAGAACCCGCATCCACGGGGAGTATGATCCCAGATGGCCCGGACAATCTCTAGTCCGGGTGGGCTGTCTGGGAGCAATCGGTCTCAAGGCATGAGTGCGAGGCTGCTACTAACATTCTAACAGATCTCGACACACCCGAGCATTATATGTCGGTCGTGGCGCAGTTCTTGAAGAGTCCGACGGCGTGACGAGGATGAGATGACGCACGCATGCAACTAAGTATGAATAGAAATAATGTTTACTCCTCGTCTAGACAACCCTCGAGCGTCGTCAGAGCTTCGCTACACTCGAAAGTGATTCAAAGTATCTAATTCAGAGGGACTTGGGGCGAGAGTGATGGCGACACCGCTTGCAACGAAGGGTCAAGCGACGGGGAGAAGCGAAACGAGATATTACCACACTCTTCGTCGTATGTTCAGCTCGTTCTTCTCATCGAGGATAGCGGTATGCGCAAGGCACTTTGCTATGATTTGGATTTAGCAACGACGTTACCCACCTGTTCGTTGGAGGTTGACTGGCTGAACTTCAAGAAGAGAGAGTAGTACACTAACGCGGCACCCGTAATCAAAGAGCCCATGAGGTTCCTACAGCAATAAGTTTTGCAACTGCTGCTGATTGTCAACAGTGGTTCCCCTGGCGCACGGTGCCAGCGATGCTGTAAGGACATGAAGTGGTCATCGGATCTCGTCCAAACGCCTTCCTGAAGAACACTTCGTGGTCCCGATGCGACGGCACAGTGGCTGCAGAGACAAATGAAGTGGTGAAGTGAAGATTCGTATATCGACACACTCTTAGACAAGGCCGATTGTTCCCCAACGCCTCGCAAAGCTCTGTCCGCGGTCTCGTCCCAGTACAACCCGTCGCCAATTCTGAATGCCGACCCACGATAGGGCCAACCCCCTCCCTTTAATGCCATTCTAACTCGAGGCCGCCCTGTGGCAGTCAAGGACGGCGCTCTCCGTCACAGATTGGTGCCCTCGGTCAAAGCCAATAAATCTCCTTCTTCTTTCGGCCCAGTAGATGACTTCCTTACACGATATTTCCGAAAGCAGGAATCAGAACCTGCGCTAACCAAAATGAAAAGACAAGCTTTGGCCCCGTCATAAGCATCTTTGGGGTAAGCCCCTTGAAAAAGGAAGTCAAGCCCTCATTCTTAGCCATGCGGGCCACGATCGAGAACCCTGACTCATTAGTCTCAAACGAAGCCGCTTGTATTCTGGTTTTGATGACATCGAGAGGAGCAGAGACAACCAAGCTTGCGCTTGCGCCCACCACTGAAGCGACAAAGTTCTGACCCCATGTGCTGCTCTGTTGTTAACTTGCGTTCCGAGACTGCGTGGATGGGAAAGGTACTCACGCTCTATTGTAATCTTCCAGCTTGAACAGCTTCTCCTTCGCCCAGGCAGAACCACCGAAGAGAGCGAACGAGCCAGGCGCGTTCCGTGCAGCGGTCCAACCAGCACCGCGATACAGGCCCATGCCTTCGTCTGCCACGATCCGGAAGAAGCCTCGGGATCGGAATGCCTCTGGGTTCGTCTGTCGCTTGATCTTGAGGACGTCGAGGGGAAGGAGAACGATTTCGCCGATGCCGATCAGGGAGCCCGCCGTCGCATTGAGTATCGCCTTGCCTGTTCCTTTTCCAAAGGCCTTGTCGAAATCTTGAGAATGGTGTTGTGTGAGATAATCACGGACAAAGGGCTGACCGCCATCTGCGACTCTTTGTTAACGCCGTACACCAGCGCTGTCGGTAAAACCATAGCTTGAATAGCTCACATTTGTATATTCTTTGCAAAATCTTGTAGCCGGCTGCGTAGCCTAGCCCGGGGAAGAGGGATGTGAATTTCGTGACCGCTCCAGCTGACGCGTAGTCCTTGAATATGACTTTATTGAGGGCGGAGACTGAGGAGACCTGCATGTGTTCAGTGATTTGGTAACGGCCGAGATAAGAGCCTCGATGCCTACTCTACTTGAATTGCTCATCAATCTCTTTGCAATTGTGTCGACAGGGTGGAACACCATCAGCTCGGCGACACCAGCAGAGCCTGTATTGTCGTGTCAGGTCCGATGGTCGCTGTCTGCGTCAAAAGCAGCGGACGCACCTGATCCCAGTAAACGAGCTGTAGCCGATTCCCGCTTGAATTCCTTCCCAGCCATTCCCAGGGCTGGCGCCACGGCAGGGGGCGACATGGTCGATCTTAACGTTCACGCGGAAGGATCGGGCAGAACGGTACTGCTGGGTCGATAAGGAAAGTGACTTGGGTGAAGAAAGTTGCGATTGGTTCTATTTGATGGCGATGCGATCGAAACGGCAGCCAGAACTTCCAAGAAGTCACACAAGAGCGGTTACCCAACAAACAAGAAGGGCTGAGAATTATGCTACAGCGGCGGCGCAAAACGTGCTGGAAAGGATGCAGCGAGCAGTGTTTGTTCTTCAACTTTTTTCCGGTGGAGAAATGCCAGAAGCGACAAGCTCTGCGCGCATGCGGAGAACCTGCTTGGCCTTATCTCCGCCTCCAGCCTTGCTTAGTGAGCAAGGCTTCTCAATGTGCCCCGTCTCTAGATCTCATGTCCCTCCAATATCATCTTGCCAAAATGTCAATCACGGGCCCACCAACGCCATCGCTGAGTGCTTCATCGGCCGAGCATACTACGCTTGGGCAGACTCAAGTTTGATCCGCGACTTGATGCTACCTGGATCCTCTTCCGCCTTTCGTTTACCCAACACGGAATCAGGTGTCGCTGTGCGGCCCATTCCCATTCCGGGAACCGGGGTGCTAACTCCGTCTTTGTCTCTGCCTTTGGTCACTTCTGTATAGCAAGACAAATGATAGATCCGGTTTCCAACTTGTACTGCGTCTTTCCATATGAAGTCCTGCACCTCCTCGCTCCATTCGCTTTTGAATGGCTCTTGATCAATAGGACATGGTAAAGACCGCAGAACCGGGTCGGCTGGAGCTCGCACGAAGTCTTGTGTCTTCTTCTTGGTGATTGCCGCTGCGGGATTTCCATTCCCTTCCGCAGGGCCAGCCTCATCTTCGTACTCTTTGCTAGCAATCCATTCTCGTTCATCGACGTACCAACTCCGATTCTGGCCTCGCTTCTCCGCCTCGAGCACCCTAGCTTTAGTCTTGAAGTGCCAGTCCAGGTGCCGTGCCTTCTTTTCTCTGCCAGCCTCGTCGGACATAAATCTCCTGCCACAAGTGCTACATTGGTTCGGTCGGCCGTTCAAAAATGCAGCAATCTTTGTCGGTCGCGAGATTCGGATTGAGGCCGAAGTCAGTGTTACTTCGACATTTGAATCGAGGGCAAAGTTGGGAATAGCTGGAACTGGCGGTGTCACTACTTGTGGTGGGGTAGGTGCCGCAGACAGGAGCCCGGACGCTCGGAGCTGCGCAATAAGCGAATATTCGCTAGCAGGTGGAGGTGCTGGCGCATTGTACTGTGGCGTGGCTAGACTGGTCTGAGCCGGTAGGTGATAATTTGATGCAACTGTTGCTTGCTGCTGGTTCGCAGTTGCACGGAGGAGTTCGGCTAGATTTGTGCTATTGAATAGGGCTGTCGGGGGTGGAGCAGGAATGGGAGCTTGCGAAAGTACAGGAGTGGGCTGAACAGCGGATTGGGGAGCGGCATAGGGATTGTGAACTGCTTGCGACAGCACTGGCAACGGGGATTGATGACTGATAGCCATCTTCTCTGCCATCTTCTGCGACACTGTGTTCCGTATATCCACCAAGTCACTTTCCGAGGCATTGCCACTGTCCAGTATCTCCTTCAAGGTCTGAAGACTGGCCAGCTTCCGTTGAGCTCCTGTATCCAATGGGTGTGTTGCACATTCGATCTTGGCATCAGTAGTGAGGTCGTCTATATTCGCATGTAGTTTCTGCAGATTGACACTACTTCCACCAAGGAACCCAGGCTGAGGAGCAGGAGGCGGATAGTGGGGAGTCTGCACAAGTGGAGGCGGCTGAAAGTACGGCGTAGGGGCTGGCTGTGGTGGATAGGACAGATCATACGACACCGTCGGTGTCTGTGTATAGGGACGCTGAGGCACGGCGACCTGTGGCTGGGGGCTCCGAACCTGTGCAGCGAGACTTGGTGGGAGCTGCGGTAATGACTGAGGTGGAGTTGGCGTGTGACGGTATGGTTGAACAGAAGCGACTCTAGCAGGCTGTCCTTGGATGGGAGTCGACTGATATCGGTTGCCGCCGGGCGTAGCACTTCGAAATTTGTTGAGGCTATCGACAATAGTCTGTGTGCTTGCAATGGGAAAGACAGGAGTGGTAGAGAGTGACCCAGGGACCGGTTCTCGCCAGGTTTTCAGCATCTCCTCGAGCTTCCGGCGAACAGCAGCGTCGACTTGTGAGTACGCTAGCATAAAGATCTGATGAAGATTTCGGCCAAAGTAGACCGTGTAAGGCGATCCGACATTTTTGGCAATCGAGTCCAAAACGTACAGAGCGGGCAACTTGCGTGCTGGAGGTGCCTATCAGCGGTTAAAGATTGCGTTGAGCATCTCAAGAAAGTGACTCACTCTGTTGATGTGGTTCTGTAGGACTCTTGAGATTGCCTCGGCATGCTCGATGTTCTCTTTTGCGATCAAGGTCAAGTTCGAGATCTGATATTTGTCGTTCGATACAAGGTCTTCCAAAGAACCCTTGTAGTCTTCGGCGACCTCATCTGATGGCAGACCGGACATGACGAGAGAAGGAGACTGAAGGATCGCAAAGGAAAATAGAAAACGGTCAGGCGCAGCAGAAGCCTGGACAGGGTCTCAGGACTCGAGCTTTGGCAGAGTCAATCGAGTAAGCGCCTGAGGGACGACTTCCTGGAAGCCAGGCAGTGACCCGACGTCGAGACCAGACACGTTTGCGTCTGTGCGAGGGTACACAACAAGAAGAAAGTGTCGTGGTATCTTTTGCCTATCTAAACACATGCAAAGCGGCGCCCCAGGTATGGTAATCTCAGTTTCCCTTTTGCTCCAGCTCAACTTGTAACACTCCCACTGCCCAAGACGTGACGACCACTCCGGTGCCTCCAGCCTCTCAGAGCATGACAGGCTGCCGCAGGTGACAGCGAAGGTATTCGTGAAGGCCGGGTAGGTGCAAGGTGATGGCTAGAACCTCTCAGGGTCGTAGTCCTCCACGGAAAATCAGGTCCAATGAGTACGATCGCAGCGATGACCCGAGATTGGGAGTTGATAATCGGATGATATGCAGAATTACTGGAGGTGGACGTGGACAAATGCTCAGTCTTAAGAAGCACAGAGCCGACAAAGGTACACAACTGGGCAAGTGACAGAAGGGATGGGCTGATGACAGCCTGAGCCGAGTGAGAGCACCGCCTTGGAAGAAAGATGCGGAAAGAATAAGGACAGAAAGAGGCAGCCAAAGCCGACTGGCCGCCTGCGGAAACATTTCATCCAAGCGCTATGACGCTATTCCATCACCCGAATCAGCGCTAACCCAACGCCCATTCACTTCCACCTCAAGAGTAACGAGCATAGCCAGTACTTTTCTCGACACTTCACGAGTCTCTTACCATACCAACAAGACCATCGCAGGATCCACAAGGCCTCCAGCGATACCAAATCTGCCAACCACATTACCTGCGCGCCAGAATGCGTCTACCGACTGTCTTCTTGCTCGCCTTGTTCACCGCGGTGTTTGCCCTTCCTCCAGCACAGAAGCCTGTCGTGATCTCATTTCCTGATGACACGCCCTCCTCCATTATCGACATGGCCATTGCGGAGATCAAGAAGGATGGCGGCATCGTTACCCACGAGTATTGTATGGTTCACACTCCTTCGGCGCTATAGGCATGTACCGCAGGCTAACCTGATTCCAGCGCTGATCAAAGGTTTTGCCGCCAAAGTCTCGGAAGTGACGCTGAACAAGATTAGTGCAATGGCAGAAGCATACGCGCCATATATTGAGGATGACTACGTGGTCAAGATTGATGGTTCTACCGACTCCCCTCAATGAAGACGAGACTTGTTTGCCACAAGGTTCTTGAATGCTAGAACCAGGTGGAATTTGTTATTCGCAGCCTGCATGAAGTATGGGATACGAAGTACGGTTATTGTTGCGATGGCATTCTTGGAGTTAGGTGCTGGTTACCACAGGAAGACGCCTCCTGTTAGGGTAGACATACTGTTGGTCAGACGCCGCGAGTGGATGGCTCATTTCGTCCAAACAGCGAGTGTCATGGTATCATTGTGAATGAGCCACCGAGTTCAAGTCATCTCTGTTCTTGTTACCGTTGCTCTACTCTCATATTCGGAAGGCATCTCCAAACACCCTGCTCCGTGTAGTGATCTCCAGCAGTTGTGTAACAGTCCACGAAGAGATTCCCGCTCGAGCTAGAAGGCCAGACTCACAATCGGACCTTTGACTCCAGCACAGAACGAGCAATAAGAGGAGAGTACCTAGACAGTGGGCTAAATGGCATGATCGTTTTGACATACGGAGTACATGCTCCTCCTCTTGCCTTGTTGATTTGGAAGGCATTCGAGGAGCGCCGACGTCATCTTAGCGAGAGATTCCCGCGCCATTTAGGATCCACGCCCGAGTCGCGTCTTGACTTTCCTGGAAACTGAAACCATGGGGCCATGCATTGCGGTTTGAGGGCCGAATACTCCGCGACTCCTATGCAATAATGAACTGCCATCAAGTTAAACATATTCCCCTCCGATGGCGACCGAAGAAGCCATTGCTGCTGGACTTATCGATTGGTTCAACAGTCTGGCCGTCGCAGATGCTGTCTACACCGTAGACGACTTCACCAACGGTGACCTAATATGGAAGGCTCTACGTGCGCTCGAACATCTCCTTTGGCCGCCGTGCGGTTACTGATGGCGACCAGAACAGATTGATCGCTTCAGCTTTCCTGGAAGGCTTCCAGAGAACCCGGGCACGGATCAATGGATCAACAAATGGACCAACCTCAAGCATATCTACGATGCCCTCTCCATCTTTCTCGTCGAAGAGTGCAGCCAGCGACTGCCACTCCCTGGAGGCCGACCCGACCTCAAGGCTATCGCCCAATCCTCCTCCCTCAGCGACACCGTTGCCCTCCTCAAGCTCCTCGTTGTAGCTGCCATCAATTGCGCTGACCGCATTGAATACTTGAAGCAAATGCAAGAGCTGGCCGAATCCACCCAGGAGGTATTGATGCAGACGGTGCAAGAGGCTGGTGAAGATGTGGGCGCTACCGACGATGGCGGAGCCGAGAATAGCCAGGTCGATGACCTAGACGTTGAAATGCCGGCGTCACCTCGACGATCGGCCGAAATGGAGACAGTTCTTGAGTCGGAGGAACGACTTGGCAAAGTCATTGCGGACAACCAACGGATAGCCCATGAGAAGCGCGAGTTGCAGAGACTGCTTGATGAAGCACATTCTCGGTACGACAAATTACAGGAACGATTCGACCTTGGTCAGGACGAATTGCGGGAATCCAACGACCGTCTTGCTGCCATTCTTGCCGGCAAGTCCGACATATCGACGAGGCCACTAGACTCGAAACACGACACATTGATAGCATCCTTGGAGAACCGCGTGCTTGAGGCCGAGTCGGAGATAGAAGACCTCCGTAAAAATAACGAGGTCCTCAAGATCAAGGCCGAGAAGGCGCAGAAGCTGCAAGATGACTATGATGAGATGAAAATTGAGCGAGATCGTTTGGCGCGGAAAGCCAATACGGCAGAAAAGTACAGACAGAAACTGGAGGCCAGCCAGGACCTGGACAAGGAAAACAACAATCTGAGAACGAAAGTGACTGAGCTGCAGAATCAAGTGAAGCAGTCTGACTTTGCCCGTGCTAGCTCGAGTGATCTACAGAGAGAAATCGACGAGTATCGGCGACTCTTGCCCAGCATAGAGCAAGAGAGATACGAGCTGAACGAGATGAAGAAGAGGTTAGAGTTCGACTACCATACATTGGAGGCGCGCTACCACGACTCCGCCGAACAACTATCTCGGCAAAATCAGGCCATGGAAGAGCTTCAGTCGAGGTTAAGAGACTATGAAGACGGAGTGACTCCAGCTGCTAGAGAAGAAAAGCTTCCTGAACCAGTTGATAGGGACTTCGAGAAGGAACAAGCAGAATGGGCTGAATCAGAAGCCCGGCTTGCTGCGGTCTTACTGAACGGCGACGCTGTTCCCACCACGACCACAGATACAGATTTCAATTCCCCCACTGATGCCGAGTCACCCATTGCAGGCTTCAACGATGCAGAGACCATATCAGAAGACGAGCTCAAGGCGATCATGTCTGCAATGCGTGCCCAAGCCCATGCTGGCACGGCCACAGAACGAGAATCGTCTCTCCGGGCTCAGAAGAAGATGATCATCGCTATCGAGCGCCAACGAACCAAGAACCAGCTCCTACTCGAGCATATACGGAAGCAAGACCAGGTGATCAAAGATATGCAAAAGAAGATACAAGACGATGAAAAGGCTCCGCAGCAGAGCTTGGAGGGTATCCCGCCTCCTCCACCACCAAAAGATATCCCGGTTACCCCTGTGCAGCCTCCAGACGAAGAGTCCGAGATCGAACGACTCACCAACCAGAACACACTCTTGCACCGCGAGCTCAAGCTTATGGCATCGGCATGGTACGACCAGAATCTGCGCCTGGCAAGCATGAGCTCTGCTGCGTCGGTACGAAGTAGGGGAAACGGTAATTTGGTTGAACCACGGGGGTTTTTGGGGCGCCAGAGGCGAAGGGTGGATGCTGTGATTGCCGGCAGAGCCTCTTGAATGTAGGGGGCATGACGGAGCCAAGGTGATCACTCGGCGCGAGACGCCGCCTATCTGTATAGAGCGTGTGACGGATGGACTGAACAGTTGCACCACTTGAGCAACAAGTCTCTGACATGACGGCTGCCTCCCACCCACGTCAAAGATGACCGATCCCTTTGAACACTATCACGGCGCATGCCTTGCTCGTCCAGGCCCCGTTGACAACCATCGGTAGTGGGACACGGTAATGGTCGGAGTCAACGGCAGGCGCGTCCCTCCTGTTGACTCTGCTCTTCCCCTTCGATTTCCCTTGGACATCCTGCACCTCCAAACCAGGTTATACATGACTTCTCTGGGCTTGGTACCGACTCGCATTTTACATGCGAGGCCTTCCAAGACTTTAGCGCAGTCTCACAGTCTACGGATCGGTACATGGGCAAGAAACCGTCCCAGCGATACACCTGAGATAGCATCCATCTTCATGGCATTCGGTGGACCGTTTGTGCGTGTCATTGCGAAGCGGAAACCTCGCAAGAGGCTTCCTCAGCGACGTCTTCCGATGACTGGTACCTGGAAACCGGGCAGGACTGGAGCGTAGATAGTGGTGGGAACCCGTGTTCGACGAGGTTTTTTGCGATATGCCCGTCTTGCGTTGGCGGACTACAGTAGGTGCTCATGATTACTAGAGGGCGTCTGTAATATTGGAGGTAGAGCACAGAGCACGATTTTCCAGTCCGCCCATAGTTGGGGTGCTCCGTCCATCGGACCGGTTCTCCAAGAGCATGTCGGTTCTATGGTGGGGAAGTCAACACACAACATCTCGTCTACATAGTCCCAGTTCATTGGCATCGGGAAAGCGAATAGCCAGCCAAGACTAACAGCCTGTCGAAGCCTATCTTCCAGTGCTACTCGCTCTGTTCGACAATGGGCTCCTCGGGTAACGATGAGGTCTACGTGACCGTGTCCGCTCTGGAGGCAGGACAGCTCACCTTGCCTGAGAAATTGTTCATAACCGATGCGGACCCAGAGAAGCGAGCAACAGTACCTTCATTATCCTTCCTGATACAACATCCCTCTGAAGATGGCAAAGACACGAAACTAGTGTTCGACCTCGGGCTGAAGCGCGACCTGTCAAAGTACCCTCCAGCTCAACAAGCCCATATCGCCAACCGCCAGCCGACTATCCTCCATCCAGATTGTGCCGACAGTCTACGGACGGGAGGCTTGGATCCTGCGAAGGACATCGACATCGTGATACTCTCCCACGTCCATTGGGATCACGAGGGTACCCCAGACGACTTTCCCAACTCGCAGTTTGTGGTTGGGTCCGGCACGCTGCATCTGCTCGCAAACGGCGCGCCTCCGCACTATCCCAAGGAGATTTTCAATCCAGACCTCCTACCCAAAGACCGTACGAGGGAATTGCCGCCCAACTCGGGAGACAGCAGCACGGCAGCGAAATCTCAAACGGACCACGCCTGGAAACCTTTTGCCGGGTTCCCCAACACTGTGGACTTCTTCGATGATGGCAGTGTATACATCGTGGACAGCCCGGGCCATCTATTCGGTCACGTCAACTTGCTCGCGCGTCTGAGCCATACAAAGTGGGCATACTTGGGTGGTGACTGCTGCCATGACCCGAGGATCTTGACTGGAGAAAAAGGGATTGCCCTGTACGACGATGGCCACGGCGGACTGAGATCCGTCCACGTGGACACCGAGCAAGCGCGGCAGACGTTGTCAAAGATCGGGCCACTCCTGAAGAAGCCCTGCCCAGTCATCCAAGGTGATGGGGGCGAGCCGGTCGAGGTGGAGGTTATTGTTGCACATGACAAGGGCTGGAGGGAGAAGAATCGGGACAGGTTTTTCCCGGGAACTCTGTGAGAGACAATGCATGCCATGGGGACACGCACGTACGTGTTGCGGAAAATCGGCCAGCTCATTCATTGCCTTTCTGAAAAATCAATTGCCGTGCATACAGATCGACAACCCAATGTGTGACCCCATCGTTGGGAAAACCAAGATTAGCATTTCGAAAGGACTCGAAAGAAATGTCCGCCGCTATTTCTCCCACCGTCAATGTGCAGAAGTTTTCTGTCTCGGCTCTTTAGCCCCATCATTTCAAGAGGTCAGCATCTGACTTCCCATTACGTTTTTGGAAAGTCAACAAAAATATCCTCCCAATCCGCTTCGGCCAGCACGGCAGTCTGCTTCTCTAACAAGGATTCTCAGTCTTCTGAGAAGTATATTCGCGCAACAGAGTGTCAGGATTCAGGAGCTTGCTCGACCGACCTCCGTAGACCTACCCACACTCCGTCACGTCGAGGATAAGGGTTGAAGCAGGATTTCCACACCGTTCGAAATAATCTCTTTCTTTTGCATATCTCGTATCTACGCTTCCTGCTTTGCTTAATGAGTTTCGTATATTGGGGGCAGCGGAAAGTAAGTAGCGCTGGGATTGGCTCATCTAGACTGAAATGATGATCATATTTGTTGTCGAACAGTCTCTCGGCACAATGGTGTGGCTGCCGCAGGGAGTGAAACCGGAATGGGGGACGAGGCTGTGTGCGTTGATATCGGACACACTGAAGACGGTCAAGCACCACGTAATTTACGGACTGATCGATACGTCATGAACATGTCGCCATGCAGGATCTTGCCGACGGTCTTGGCCTCCTTGAGCCTCGCCCCCAAAAACTCTTTGCCGGGTGCTTCGGAGATGATGCCACGTTTGTGACACTGAGCCTGTGAAAACCATGAGGCTGAAGTCCAGCCTCGTGTCTGGAGAATGCAACCGAAGCAGCGCATTTGGGGAAAGCCCAAAGACACGCGTACTGTGTAGACACTCCAACCCCGCCTTTCTGCGCTTGTCGTAAGCCTCGGCTGCCCCGATCTCCAATCGCTGTCCTTCCCCAAGCTGCCCTTCGCGTTTCTCCAACCTCAACTTCACCAAGTCATGCTTCGCTTGTGGGATCGTGGGGAAGTTCATGCACCACTCCTCAGTCACCGCGTCCTCCCCGGACGAGATAGCAACGGACGTACTATTTCGTCCACATGGCGCTGTTATGCCGCATTGCCGCGAACATGGTGATCCATCCCATTTGGAGTTACTTCGGCTTCAAGTCCGAGGTGGGGAGGATATGTTGATGTGTGATGGTGCTTGTGCTTGTGAGCAAGTAAACATCTCGCGTCCCAACTGCATGACAGTCAGTGCCACGGGGCTGAAAGCACTCTTCAACATCGCGCTTGAGACATTCAGCTCGTAGTTCCTAATTGATTGTGTCTTATTCTCCAGTCCTCCGTTAGAAGTATTGACAGGAATATACCACCCTTGTCGACAAGATGTCGTATTCACCAGACTCGACGGTGGCCTTCATAGGTGCGGCCCATTCGCAAGGGATTCAATCATCCTGCTGACAGTGTGACCAGGGATCGGCGTGATGGGCTACTCCATGGCCGTCAATCTACGCGCAAAGCTCCCTTCGTCCAAGCTCCTTCTGATCTGCGACGTCTCCCAAACCCTGCTCGACAAGTTTCGGAAGGAGAATGGGTCTAAGGGCCCGATCGAGGTCGTGCCGAACGGCTACGAGGCAATCCAACGGGCGAACACACTCATCACAATGTTACCCACGGCGGCCGCGGTCGAGAAAGTATATCTGGACGAAAAGTCGGGCGTGATCCAGGGCGCCATTGACGCGAGCAAGGACGGGAGCCCGCAAAAGAAACTGATCATGGAGTGCGGCACCATCGAGACGGCGACGATCTTGAAAGTCGCACAGGCCACGAAAGATGCGGCCTCCAAACTTGCGGATGGGGCAACGCTGGATTTTGTCGATGCTCCTGTCTCGGGGGGTCCCATGGGCGCCGAGGCCGGCACGCTGACATTCATGGTTGGCGCAACGTCGAAAGAACCGTTCGAGCACGCCAAAGAATATCTGCAACACATGGGCAAGAAAGACAGCATATTCCACTGCGGTGACGTCGGCGCTGGCACGGCGTTTAAAGTGATCAACAACTATCTTTCAGCCATTACAAGCTTGGCCGCCTCCGAGGCACTGAATATCGGTGCGAAGATGGGGTTGGATCTGAAGTTATTGACCGATGTGATCAACGTTTCTGGCGGACAGTGTTGGGTTACCTCCAACTCGAACCCTGTTCCAGGCATTCACGCCAACGCACCGGCAAGCCGAGGCTACGAGGGAGGATTTCGCATCGAGTTGTGCAAACACGTGCTGGAAATGGGCAACTCCCTCGCACAAATGGTCGGTGCGCGGACGATATTAGATAAACCTACGCTCGCAGCTTTCGATGAGGCAATGAATGATGAGAGGTACAAGGGGAAAGATGCGCGGGTTGTTTATAAGTGGCTGAATGATCAGGATGTGGAAAAGAAGGTCAATGGCGAGGAGAAATGAGCCAGAGGTGGCAGATTTTCCGAAAGAATTGGTGGTTACAAAGTACTGAGTCGAGGTTAGCATGGCTCAGGCGCCGTGAAAACTTTGCACTCACAGCGATGGTTGCTCATTAGGTCGTTCTCCCCCGCGTGATGATTCCTGAGGCAACCTGGCGCATGCGCGCGACTCTCGTAGCCATACTGAGTATCCGTGGTCGTTGTTGGTATCTGCCGTACTCATATTCGTTATGGCGCTGGACTTTGGCATGAGCCAGCACACGTCCACGTGCATCTGAATAGTGTCGACAGCGAGTTCTCCTTTCGTATGGAACGTTATGGCTTCTACAACAGGTAGACGGCTGATAGTCCACTTATGTTCTACCCCAGTTGAGCTTGACCGAACTGTTGAGTGAGAATGCAGGATGACTCTGTACGATCCCATTGCGTCAGTCGGTACAGATCCCATCAAAGTCATGTTTGAAGTGATACGAGGGGCAGGTCACTCCAATTGACTGGTAAGGATTGGTCTGTCGGTGACTTCTTCACGAACAGTCCGGCTTCCGGAATAATAGCGGTGTTGGTGTTCTGCCGGTGCGTTGATCGGATTGCGATTGACGACAAGGTCAGAGAAGCGTGAGTTTCCGACCTGCGTCTGTCGCCGCCGGCGTTGTGGATTGGGGCTCACTTTGACCTGATAGCTGGTGCCTCACTCTTGCAAACCGTAGACATTGTACACAATGCCAGGCCAGAGTAAACTTCTGTTCAGCCAGCCTCGAGCATGTCGGCATAAATGTTCAGACTTGTCCCAATAACGTCGACGATTGCCCAAGTCTGAGCACCGCGGAACACTTGTGCCCATACTCTTAGGACACCTGCACTCAGATATTTCATGGCAGCAGGTGAGTCCATTGCAACGTCCACTGGCATCGCAAATTCAGTCTCGTCAAGCATGGTCTTGACCAGTGTGGCAATCTTGCGCTCGTCGTTGGTAATCGCTGGGCCAGAACCTGGCAGGCTCAGGGCTTCAAGCCATTTGCTCAGCAAGAACGCACATTCCAGAGTGCAGAGGGAGTGTTGGATTGACCACATGAATGTCTGCGTTTGGGCAACAAGGTGAATACCAATCTTGACAGGAATGCTGAGGGCGTGAGCAGAGTGTAGGACTGCTCGAACGAGCTTCGGCGTTCGCTTTACTGACGGGCTGTCTCGAAACGCATTGGCAATCTGGACTGGGTCGCGCGTATCAAGGGCTCGGCCAGGTCCTAAGTCGACATTGAGGCGGATGTAGGCAAGCCGCAGAAGAGCCGTCGAGTTGAAGGTGACTGGACCGTTCGGATTCATCGGGTCAAGTGACGATTCTGGGTTGCGTTTCCATGCAAGCTGCCAGTTCCTGAGCGCCTGCTCAATTGCAGCCACGTCGTCAGATCGTAAATCGCCATTGTGATCAAGCCGGTATCGAGATATCTGTCGGACAAAGAAAATGTGCTGCAGTAGTGCATGGACAAGGACGTAGTTTCCCAGGGAAGAGTTGTACGTGCTGGCATCGTTTGAAGTGCGAGAGAACAGTCGTTGCAGGGCAGTCTGAAACCCAACTTCAGCGCCAGAGCGAGCTCGCACCTCCTTCCACTTGCTGGCTGTTGGGGCTTTGAACTCGAAGGCATTGCAAGGCAATGTCAGGTCGACTTCCGAGGCAAGAATCAGTGACGGAACGTTGTACACGATCGTATGCAAGTTAAAGAAGCAGAAGACAATAAACTTGGTGCGTTTCGTGGTTTCACGTCGGATCCAGTCTGCCCAGCTTATGTCCTCAGGCAACGGTTGGCTCTTGAAACCATCATCTCGGACAAGTGTTGCGAGAACGCTCTGAATCGCGAGAGCCTCGCGAAGAATCTCCCTGTGTTTGGCCCAAGTTGCCATCGCCATCAGCAAGAGCAATGCTTGGGCTGTTTGCATCAGATCTTCTTTTTGCATGCCCGAATCCGAATCAGGTTGAGAGGGTAGCCCTAAGCATCCGGACATAGAACCGCTGCGTGGCGTTTCTTCTGTCGTCATTTCACTCCCTTTGCCGTGGCCGGAATACTGCGGCGACAGCTCAGTCGAACGGTGGGACGCGGCTAACCTGGCATCTCTTTGGCGGATGCGTTGCATGGCTATACACTGGCTGACATGAAACAGTTCGACGCCCTTTTGTCCCTCGAAGCAGTATTGTGCGCCGACTGCTGCCATAGCTATGATGAGCTCAACGCAACTGTTGTTTACTGATATTGTCGGAATGTGTAGGAAAGGAAGATGCTCATGGAAGCCGTTGACGTAGCCCGCCAAATACCTTGATAAGGCCAGCCGTGACGGTAGCTGGAAAGTGCTCGGCACCACATGAGCGAATTCAGCCAATTTAAGCGACACGTTCTGTCGATCCTCGATGGTGATGTCTGACAGTAGACGACTGCTGCTGTATTGTTCATTTTGTGTTGCGGACGGACTCTCCTCTGGCTGTAAGGAGGGCAGGCGCGAGCCGAAGCGTGAGAACGAGCCCGCATCTTCGGGATGATCTGGATTGGGCTGGGCACGGGAGGCGGGACGAGGCTCGGTGGTCGGAAGCACATCAGCTGTGTGAGTGAGAGATTCGGGAGAGAAGAATGGTATCGGTTGCTCGGCGCTAATCATGGATGAGAAGTGATAAGAGGACAGCGCGCCGTTGTCCATGAAGTTGGCGAGGTCCTGCAGGGAGTCCTCAAAGTCGAATCCAACAATGCCATTGAGCTGATCCACCGGTGCTTGCATTGACGTCTGAGGAGTGGCATTGGATAGAAATTGGTCCTGGACGGGGAACATCGGTGTCGCGAGATGGGCTGGTTGTTGGAGCGTGACATGAGACTGTGGTTCTTGAGGCCGAGCATGCTCAGCGGCCATGAGCAAGGTCGCGAAAGATAGATCGTGACCGTTGGGCGTACTGCCCGTGGCCTGATTCGTGTTTGCAGGCATATAGCCGGGCACAAGGTTCTGAGCATTGCTGAACTCGGTCGTACTCAGGTCAGGTGCGTCAGGAAGATCTAGCCCCATGCTGCCGTTGCTGTCCTGACGCACCCGAGCCGTCGATGAGATGGCGCCGCCGGTGCCATTTACTTGGCCATTCCGTCCATTCCTCGACCATCGCTCAGTGTCGTGACTGAGTCTCTCGTGTCGGACTAGAAGGTCGCTTGGGGTTGGTTAGTATGAGGAGTCACCGAGCTCACATCGTCACCGTACCTTCGAGTGAACTTGCTATCACATTGGTTACAGGCGAAGGGCTTCTCTCGGGTATCTAAGGATCAGTCAGAACAGTGTAGACGAGGACACAGCCTGTGCACGATCATACGAGTCCGTTCATGCCGTTGAAGATGCTCTAGACGCGCGAAGAGTCTCTGGCAATGCTTGCACTGGAATCTCTTCGGCTTCTTTGGAGGCGGCTCCAGGCTGCGGTCGTCCTCCTCCAGCTCATGGCCATTGATGTCCACATGAAAGCTGTCCTGTGTCATTGGAGGCATGGGAGCTCAATGCTCTGGCATTGTGTCACAGAAAATCAACGGATTCTAGACTCGACAGCAATCTGGGGAAGCCTAATGCGGTAGCTGGACAGAAATCTGATTGTATCTCGTGGGATTCTCTGGGGATTCTGCGGAGGCGTAAGGGCGCATGTGCAGGGTTCAAAGCGCACCTGACAGTGTTGAGACTGGGAATTCATGGGGCTGAGCGGCCAAGCGAAGACTCTGTGCGGGGCTCATTAGGCTCTTCTGGGGACTCCGGGCACCTCTAAGCAAAGAGAACGTGATTTGCCGAAGCGATTGGGCGAACTCTCTGGGTGGCATGCACAACTTCCAAGCGGCCTTTCCAGACGGCTGGCTTTATGGGATATCTCTGCCAGGAACGGGCAGCCAAAGATGAATTCCAAACGTGGCTCGAGGCACTGATGGTCACTGGGACTTCTCCCACACAGGTCCTGAGTATCCCTACCGACTGCCCAAATGGCATGTACATCGTCTTGAAACATCTACACACCTAGTACGCGTACGAGTACTTCCAAGGGACGCCGCAGACGCAGGGTCAGTCACCGACTCGACCTGGTCGACTTTTAGTCCCTTACCCTAGATCTGGCCATGTGGAACGTGGGAGCCATCCTTTGACCTTCGCCCACGATTTGATTATCTTATTGGAGAAGGGCGAGAAGGAACTCGTACTCGAAGCTGCTTTCGGTCATATTTCTTACCCCAACGGCAACCCTCCATGAAGTGGGACCGGCTTGGAATCCGGTTCTGATCAATATCGACCTTTCTAAAGCCTCAGACTGTCCTCAATATGCCCACGACGACTGGTGTGCACATACCGTAACCTCGTCTCACCTGGAGCGGCGGTATGTCTTCAGTCTATCCCCAGCAAACGCCTCCGTCACCACCAGAAAGCCCATCCGAAGCCACCGTTGAAGTCTACGCGCTTTCAGGGGGACACTTCTCACTCCCCGAACGGTTCTTCGTCAATCCGGCGTCTGACACGGCCCGGAGGACGGTCCCTTCTTTGTCGTTTCTAGTGGTACACCGAGACGAAGAGACCGATCGAACGACAAGGATAGTATTTGATCTGGGTCTTCGCCGTGATATCAAAAGATATTCGCCGCCCATCCAGAAACATGTAGAGACCAGACAGCCCATGGTAACCCTTCCGGATGTGACGGCGAGTCTGGCTTCGGGCGGGTTGACACCGGACGATATTGACTACGTCATCTATTCCCACGTAAGTAGACGGCGTGATCTACGCGGGCGTCGCTGACAAGCAGCTCAAGGTACACTGGGATCACGTCGGCGAGCCTCGGGACTTCTCCAGGAGCACATTTGTGATCGGTAGCGGGGCGAAGGCTCTTTTGCAGGGGCAAGGGTCGCTGCGAGGAAGCCATTCATTTTTCGAGTCTGATCTGTTGCCGACTGACAGAACCATCGAGCTTTCGAACCCTTACGAAGACATAGATGAAGAAACCAAGCACCAGATCCTCGATCCCAAGGGTCCAGATTTCATCCAAGAATGGAAGCCTTCAAGGAACCTGCCGCGAGTTCTCGACATTTTCCATGACGGCAGTCTCCTGATTGTCGACTCGCCAGGTCATCTGCCTGGACACATCAATCTGCTTGCAAGGACCAGTCCGACGACTAGTGTCTATCTGGCGGGAGATGCCTGCCATGACAGGAGAATCATGCGGAATGAGAGACAAATTGGCGAATGGATGGACGAGCACGGACACGTTTGTTGCATCCATGCCGACAAGAAACTGGCAGAGCAGACAATCGAAAGAATTCAAGCATTGGAGAAGAGCGGCGTTGAGGTCATCTTTGCACACGATTTCGAATGGGAAGAGGACCCGAAGAATCGGTCGAGGTTCTTTGGAAGCTCTTGAGTCTTTTATGAAATGTGTTCCGCAGCATGATTATACCCAGGACAGAACGCCCGTGAACTGCGTTGGAGCATACAGTATTGCGAGTCTGGCAAGTCCTCGAAGTAGCTTGGTATGGAAGACAGCGTTGACGATGTAAATCAGGCATCAACACTGGTGCTGCCCGGCGTCGTGATTCTCAAGTTATTCGACGGAGAAGGTTTCTTCCCTAGCCCAACTAATGCATACTGATCGCAACGAGTGGAGTTGGGATCTTGAAATGCTTGAAATGGAAACAATTTCCTTCCCCACACTTCATTTCCTGGTAATGAAGCCCGCGGCGATACTCCAATTCCATCCCGGTGCGCGTTGAAGGACACAACAACGCCTTCATATAGCACGATGTCTTTACCTTCGGGAAGTCCTCGCTTGCACAGCATCAGTACGAAAACCTGAGCACGAAAATGGCGCATTCCAATGATCCCGCTGCATTGAAGGCGCAGTTTGTCTCTAAATTGGGGGAAGAGCAGTGGGATGACTCTTGGGAAAGCATCGCACAGCTCAGCCCAGAGCTCTTTGCGGCGAGCGTAGATCTCATCGCCGTACCGAAAAAGAAGCGCCGCTTATCCCCCAAGATCCAGCAGCTCATGTCCATCGCTGTCGACGCCGCCTCGACCCATCTTTACGCACCGGGAGTCCGAAAACACATTGATGCTGCCTTGAAAGAAGGAGCAACACCTTCAGAGATAATAGAGGTTATTGAACTGACGGGAACACTGGGGATACATGCGTGTAACATCGGGGTGCCACTACTTGTGGAGGTGATGAAAGAGGAAGGCATCTATGAGAAACATCCTACGGCAGGCAAGCCTTTTGACGCACAACGAGAGAAGCTGAAGGCAGACTTCACCAAGAACAGAGGATACTGGCACAGCTTCTGGGAGGACTTTCTGGCACTCGACCCGGAATTTTTTGAAGCGTACCTCAACTTCTCCTCTGTTCCATGGCTGAAGGATGTGGACGGCTCAGGCAAGGGTGTGGGAATCCTCGAACCCAAAGTGTGTACCAATATATGAGTTCTTGCCATGTTCTTACCACTAACAGATCTTGTAGGTAAAAGAGTTGGTATATTGTGCATTCGACGCGGCCGCCACACATCTCTACGTTCCGGGCCTCAAGCTACACATGAAGAACGTCCTGAAATACGGAGGCACGCCGGAAGAAATCATGGAAGTCTTAGAAATCGCTACTCAGCTCAGTTTGCACACGTCCAACGTCGCCGCGCCCATACTAGCAGAGCGACTAGCCAAGGCTTAACGAGGCTGAGCAGGTGAAGGCTGCCGCTGTTCTTGGTCACATCAACTTCTGCTGTGTTAAGCTGTCCGCACTGAGCAGCCTGTCACAATTTGCATGAGACCTGGCAGGTTGCATATGGAGTACACCACGTGTTGCGGCCAAAGAGCTCAAATGCGCGATGCATTGCAGGAAAGCCTCGCAACAGGGCCTCGGTCGCTTGCTCCAATGATATCAGGTCTTAGTTGGAGAAACCCCAATCGCTCTGCACCGTTTCCTTGGTGAGCTCCAAGCCCCGGGGCTGATCGGGGTCCGCTGCGGTTCCGTTTCGCTCTGTCGATGCTCGCCGCTCGTTAGCAAGTGCCGGCAACGCCGGTCACCAAGGTCTGCATGCTGAGCTTGTCCTCTTCAAGGTTTACTGCATCGAACTGCCGGTATCACCCACCAATGGTGCCAGAAGGGATCTGTAAGCCACTGGCAACCCCCGGCTTGGCTGGCAGATCGAACGCTATGAGGCATGATTCATAGAGTCGCTTGTCCGCCATGCTTCGAGGATCCTCCCCGGAGTTTGGCCTGGTCTCCCAATGTTCGGTACCTCCGCCCCAGTAGCAGCACCACTCTCACATCTGACCGAGCGGGAGATATCCACCTGGCGACGTTTTGTGCATGGAAGTTCCCCACGTGGTTTGATTCTACGTCTGATACCCCAATTCTGGCAGAAGAATCATAAGCAGAGCTTCGAGACCAGACTACTACTTCTACGGTGCAGACACATTGTGTTCTTCGATCTCTGAGCACAGCCAGCGTCCAACCATGGAGAAGAATCAAGAGACCGCGATGGAACAGCCTATCGATGTACTGAAGCAAAAGGCCGAACTCCAGGAATATGCTGAAAATGGCGATTCAGCGGAGGCGATCGAGTTCGCGGCAAAAGAAGCCAAGTTGCGGCGTAAGCTTGATCTTTATATTGCACCAGTGATGATGCTTCTCATGCTCATCAGCTACCTTGATCGTGGAAAGTGAGTATCCTGGAGCTCTGTTGTGGCTTAATCGAGCCCACGAATCAACAGACCTTCTTCGATCTACGGAGGCTAAAAATAAAGCAGTATCGGTTTCGCCGCGACGCAAGGTATGACTGACGATATCGGTCTGCGTGGCAACCAGCTCAACGCAAGTTCACCCCGCTCTTTGCAGTTAATAGCAGATAACTGACTTCTGGGGGTACAGACCGCTGTCTCGATCTTTTACTGTACATACGTGGTGGCCGAATTGCCAACATCACTATACGTCAAGCGGTTGCAGTTCCACCGAGTCATCCCTATCATCACTTTCTGCTGGGGACTTGTTTGCATGTGCATGGGATTTATCCAGAACTTCGCCGGCCTTTGCGTCTGCAGAATCCTGCTAGGCTGGTTTGAAGGGTAAGTTATCACCGTGCAGACCGGAAACAGGAATTGACTCGGTTCCACATTAGGTGTCTCTTCCCATCTATGACTTTGTTCTTGGCAAACTGGTATAGGAGAGAAGAATTGGCTCAGAGAATATCTTATCTCTTCAGTACGTGCTGTGATGCTTCCGAGGTGCTCACAAGTTGACATATTGTAGTTGCATCTGCTCTATCCGGCGCTTTCGGTGGGCTAATCGCCTTTGGAATCCTCTACATGGATGGAGTCGCCGGTTATCCAGGCTGGCGATGGCTGTACATCCTGGAAGGTCTCATTACCCTTGTGTGGGCCGCGATGTGCGTTTACCTTGTTCCCAAAAACTATCAGACGGCATACTTCCTCAACGCCGAGGACAAAAAGATCATGGCTGTCCGAGCTGAGATGTCCGAGTCCTACTCCGGAGGTGACGGCCACTATAAGATGAGTGACCTCAAACTTGCTTGGAAGGACACCAAGACATGGTTACACGGCATCAGCCAGATCGCCGTGGTGACTATCCTCTATGGTTTCGGAACCTTCCTGCCCATCATCATCAAAAACGGGCTACACTATTCGACCAAGCAAGCGCAATATCTTGTGATCCCCGTCAACGTCTGGGGCGCGATTGTTTACGCTGTTGGAGCTGTGATCTCGGACAAATACAACAAACGATTCATGATCATGGTCGTCTGTGCCCCCATTGGGATTGCAGGATATGCCATCCTTTTGAGGATGGATGATGTGTCGGTTGGCGTGCAATACTTTGCCACTTATCTGATTGCCACGGCCTGCTTCCTTTGCACCGGCGGCAATATCGCGTGGCTCTCGGGGAACGTCGCACCCGATGGCAAAAGAGCTGCCAGCTTAGGTAAGTGAACCCCTTCTGCGTTTCCGCATGTGAGCTGACAAACACCCAGGGACACAACTCACACTCACCAATCTCGGTGGTATCATTTCTGGCCAAATCTATGCCTCCACCGATGCGCCGCATTTTGTGCTGGGTCACTCCTGGTCGCTGGGGAGCTTGGCTTTTGCGTTCATTATCTTCAACATTCTCCGAGTCCTCTACAAGAGGCGAGAGACGAAGAAAGCAGAGCTTCGTGCTCAAGGCGTGGTTACTCCGCCTGGAGAGTTCACGGACCGGTCGCCAGAGTTCAAATATCAATTCTAGTTTTGGCAACAATGGTGGCTTCCGTGAGATGTGCTGGCCGCGGGCAAAGGGACCGCTGAGCTTGTCAAGTAGGTTCCGCTAGCAAGCCTGTGAGACGTAGCTTGGAGTGGGCGGATCTTGCAGAGCTGAGGCTTCTGTAACAAGATTCAATAGCGATCAATCTCAGCTTTCGTCTTTCCGCATTCGTGTCTGATCAGAGATGGGAGGTCCTTAACAGGATATTTTAGCACAGTGCGTATGAGGTCGGTCAAGGATTCGCCTGCACTCCCTCAGTCGTGTGCAAGCTTTCTCGGCTGAAGTGAATCCGCGTTCAATGCTTGTCAGGCTCCACCAGAGCCAATCCAAGTGCAGTTTCATCTCACAACATGACATGAGGTTCAACATTTTATGCTCACGCTTGATTAATTACTACTGCTAGAACTCCCTTTGTCTTCTTCCTTCCTCTCTTTTTTCCAGACTGTGGAATCATCCTCTTGCGTTCAGGTTAGCCCACTTACTTCTGGTCCGAATCAGTGACATTATTGCCTTGGGTACAGGCATCCACGCTCCTCGCCGGGAAATTTTACCGGGCCTCTTCTCTGAAACGACTGTCGCTATGCAGCGTCTCTCATCTTTGGTGAGGTCATTAAGTGGTGGTGAAAAGCCTCCTGAGTTAGCAGGTAGGAAGACGAGGCTAGCTGGATCCTCTAACATTCTTTCCTGATTGCTCTTCTCGCCATGGCGAGTGAGCCTCTTAGGTGAGGTGGATCCGAGGATGTAGAAGCGGGCTGACCTCCCAAGCGCCGCGAGACCTGAGCGAAAACGGAACGCTATTTCAGGCTTTCGAGTGGTACCTGCCCAGTCCAGCGAGTGAGGACAACATCCCCGGAACAAGCTACTACGCTGTTCTCGAGTCCATATTACCACATCTCTCTGCCATGGGAGTTTCACATATCTGGATCCCGCCAGGCTGTAAAGCCACCTCTGTTCAGGACGCTGGCTATGGCGTCTATGATCTTTGGGACCTTGGTGAATTCGACGCAAAGAACGATGGTAATCCTAAGAGGACCCGATGGGGGAGTCGAGCGGAGCTGGAGAGGCTCTGTGCCAAAGCAAACGAACTCGGCATAGGCATTTTGTGGGATGCTGTGCTTAACCACAAAGCTGCCGCCGATGTAAAGGAGACAAGCTGGGGTGTTAAAGTAGACCCTAAAGGTGCGTGGTGACCAAAGGCTGGTGGAGAAGGCCAATGCTGATCTTGTGCACTCTACTTCAGACCGGACGAAGGTTCTTTCCAAAGTGCACGAGCTCGAGACGTGGACGAAATTCACCTTTCCTGGCCGCGGCACGAAGTACTCGGACATGAAGTACAATTGGACACACTTCTCCGGAGTCGACTATGACTCTCGCAACAAGGAACATGGTATCTTCAAATTCGTTGGAGAAGGCAAACGGAGCGACTGGGCCCACGATGTGAGCAAAGAGCTTGGGAATTATGACTACCTGTAAGAGGATTGATCTAGCCACTTTCGTGTTGCAGAAAGCTGTCCTGACATGGTTACTCACGACCCTTTGACTTCGGACAGGATGTTCGCTGATATCGATCACTCGCACCCTGCTGTGCGTACTGACATTCTCAACTGGGGAGCTTGGATCACGTCCAGGCTGAATCTCGGCGGCATGCGCTTGGATGCGATCAAGCATTACTCGCTGTCATTTATTGCCGACTTCATCGCTCATCTCGATTCAGCGACACCTCACGGCAGCAAGCTATTCTATGTTGGGGAATACTGGGATGCTGACACCGACGTTCTGGAGAAGGTAATAAAAAGATTTCACGGAAGACTTCACCTTTTCGACGTCCAATTGGTGTACACCTTCAGCGATTTTTCAAAAGGCCGAAAACATGATCTGAGGACCATATTTGACGGGACTTTGGTCTCAAGGGATCATGCCCATGCGGTGGTAAGTACTCATTGATGGTCAGGAGTTCCTTGAATACCGCCGACTGATACGCGCGCACTTGACAGACCTTCGTCGCGAACCACGACACGCAAGAAACACAGTCTCTTGCAGCGCCTGTGGAGGAATGGTTCACTCCATTGGCCTACGCGCTTATCTTGCTTCGGGAGCAAGGCGGAAGTCCCTGCGTCTTCTGGGGAGATGTGTTTGGAAACCATGGGCCTCGCCCTCGTCTTCCAGCCTGCGGAGGAAAACTCGCACGCATAATTGTCGCGCGCAAGCTCTATGCATATGGTCCGCAAAGGGAGTACTTTGACAGCAGCGATTGTATTGGCTGGACAAGGCTCGGCCACAAGTCGAGGTCAAATGGGGCCGGACTTGCGGTTATCATGACGAACAGCTGGGACAGACGATTCAAGAGGATGTTTGTCGGTCACAGACACATCGGTGAGAAGTGGAGGGATGTCCTCGGTTGGGACGACAGGGAAGTTGCGATTGACTCCCGAGGATTCGGAACGTTCCCAGTTGGCCACAGATCCGTTGGTGTCTGGACTCATGACAAAGCTCCTGAATTCGACAAGATAAGCCATTTCACCTTTCCCCGACTTGGAAATACCGCTGCTGCACCGGATCCAAGACTTCTGCCTGTTTAGGCTCATCACCAGAATACACCCATCATCCCATGTCAACGCCTTTCGAGGCGCTGGATGAGGCAGCCCTATTTTCCTCGTGGGTTCAGCGATGGGCTCCGCCGCCAGCTGGAAATTCTCTTGCAGCGCCGACCTGGCATTTGCTGCACTGATACCGCAGGCGTCCTGCAGCTACCGTTCGAGCTGCCCCAAGTTCACTTGAATGCTACATTTATATTAGCATCAGAACAAATCACCGTTCGAACAGAAACAGTTTCTGGACTGGCTGGGACCTACCATATCCAAAGCTGGCATTGTCGCGGCAAACGCGCGCGATATTCGTCAACCGGAAGGAGTCCAATCTCAGCGCCGAGGAATTCGTGCAGATTTTGACGAATCTGTCTTCTGTTGCACACCATACTGTCCTGCTACAACTCCATGTATAGGACATACCTGTCTCAGGTTGCAGTAGCACTGCTTGAGCGCTGAGTCGTGCCCACAGCGCTGCAGACATGGTCTGTTCCGGTCCTACATTTGGTGACTGGCCACAGAGAAGGGTTGTCTACGGCATACGTCGCCTTCGGAGTGGTGTGGTTGGCATGTCTTACCTAAAGCCAAGGCTCGAAGAATAAGCGATAGAAGTCTGCTACATTGGATTCCAGGTCTGATCAGGTCAGCCGCGAGTGCTTGCCAGCTGTTGCCACATTCATGTTGCCCAGGGGATCGTTGCTTGGTTTAGGAGACCCGGCGATGACGATGACCAAGGCTCATGCCTTAGACGATCACTCATGCCTCGTGCAAATGATTCCCGACTGAGATCCCCTGGCTGGTCGAGGGTAAATAGACTCTTCTGTTCTGAATTGGCATGCCGGATTCCCCAGGTTCAGACACAAGCCTCGGCCTTCGTGAGAGTCCTCCTGAATTCGTGCTAAAGCTCTGGTACGTGCATCTACCTAGATAGCCAACACTGTGCTTTAGATAATGATAGCCGCATTGAAATATCCCTAGGACCGATGCTCGTCTTCGTCTGGAGAGAGCAATGGCTCTAGGGTCGGGTGGCTCACTCGCGTGATGATCCTCGACATACGGTGTAGAAAATGAACTCGGGCGAGAAGCAGAGAACCGGAAGAGGCCGGGCGGAGGAGCAAACCTACGACAGCTTGGTTCATGGGTGACGTGCGCCTAGGTCAGACAGCGCCCGCGGGCCCAAATTACCGCGGCTGGGCTCTGCTACTCGTCCTTGTCGTGTTGTCGGGGCTGGTGTGTTGAGCAGAAACGTGACCTCTTGGCAGGCGTCGAGCGCGCTGAAGCTCGGGCCAGCCGCAGCTTCGGGGAAGCGGAGCATTCGCTCACTCTCTGTCCTGAAGCTCGCTGTAGCACCAAGTTTCTGCCGCAGTTTTCTCGGTGTCGTGAGCTCGTCCCTTCCCTCCTGATTCCTCACATACATCGAACAGGCACCAGACCGACTCCCTAGCTCTACATTGCCCCCTCGACCTTGGTCAGGTCCCCGTTCCCCTGCCCAACCGGAACCATGGCCCCCATCACAGATCAACATGTCGACGACTTGAAGGACCTGGTCCACAAGCTCGAAGCTCGAGTGAGGTCGCTGGAAAGACGATTAGAAGGGGAGAAGAAACCCTCGATCACAGAGTCAATGCGCATGATCCTCATCGGTCCGCCTGGCGCCGGTACGTTTCCGTCGTGCTCACACTGCACGCGTTTACTAAGCTGATTTTCACAGGCAAGGGAACGCAAGCTCCCCGAATTAAGGAGAAGTACTGCGTCTGTCATTTGGTACGCCCCATCACGTACTCGCCAGCCTCGAATACCTATTTACGCTGATTTCAGGCCACCGGGGACATGCTCCGGGCACAAGTCGCCAAAAAGACGCCTCTGGGGAAGGAAGCTAAGAAGATCATGGATCAAGGCGGCCTCGTCAGCGACGACATCATGATCAACATGATCAAGAACGAGCTGGACACCAACAGGGAATGCGCGAATGGGTAGGATGCAGCATGGCACGTGTCTGGTCATGGCTAACAGCGCCAGCTTCATTCTCGACGGGTTCCCTCGCACAGTCGCTCAAGCCGAAGGCCTCGACTCGATGCTCGAAGCGGAGAGCAAGCCCCTCAAACATGCGGTCGAACTGCAAATTGACGATGGTCTGCTCGTTTCCCGTATCACTGGCCGACTTATCCACCCTGCCTCGGGCCGAACGTACCACAAGGTCTTCAACCCACCCAAAGAGACCATGAAGGACGATGTCACTGGGGAACCTCTGATCCAACGGACCGACGACAATGCCGACACTCTTAAGAAGAGACTGGGCACGTATCACGCACAGACGGCTCCCGTCGTGGCATATTACAAGAACAAGGGGATCTGGTCCGGCGTCGATGCCAGTCAAGACCCGGAGCATGTTTGGAAGAGCATCCTTGGCATTTTCGGTGATTCCAAGGCCACTTCATCCGGTGGCAGCATCTTGGGAAAGCTCGGCTTGCGGTAGACGACCAAAACATCAGGAGGTGTTGATGTTGGATGATTGCATCGGGCTTCTACGACATTTGATCGGGATGGGATATCATTCACAAGAAGCTCCTCAAAAGACCCATGCCATTTTGCAAACGTGTACGATCTGTGGAATTGCTACTCGCAGCCCGGGACTGGTGAGTGGCATGCGTGCGAAAAGCTTCTGACGTTGAGTACATAGCCGGCGTCCGCGGCAAGACGAATACCAAATCTAATTGACACAATGCGAGCTCGCGACCGCAGCAAGTCGTTCGCGCAAGATCTCTATGACAGCAAGCTTACCGAGAGTAGCAGGGTGAAGTTAACTGATCTAGCACCAATGTCACCCAGCCAAACCCCGTGACGAACAATTGCTCGACCGGGCTGGATCCCGACCTGACCGACAATGCAGGAACTGCGACGGCTCGCAATCCTTGTATAGGTTGAGTGGCACCCTCGAGGCGTGCGGCACAACGTCGGCTATGAAGGTAGGTTGACGCTCTCACAAGTCTTATTCAGGCTGATTCGATCGCGTATCTCACAGCGGGTTGGCTGCCGACTTGGGCGGGTCGCGTGCATGACGTTGCCCCGCATCTCCAGGTACAAAAGTCGTTCTCCGCGATACTTTTTCTCAATGCCGCCAGCATTCGTTGGTTTGGCTCTCTCCTTGTGTCTTGACCTTGCCCTGCTTCTACGTTTCTCCTAACCTCTTGAGAAACACGTTCCACCGCTTTAGCTTACAATGTCGTCTCCCAGAGACATCCGCTGGGGCATCATGGGTACGTGAGTTGCGAGGGCCATCTTGATCGCACACTAATGAGGAGCTCTTTAGCCACGGGTTGGATAGCCCAGACATTTGTGAAAGATATCCTCATTGACCCCGCTACGCGAGGAGTCACCGACATTCGCCATGTTGTGACGGCGGTAGCTTCATCTTCTTCCGTCTCGTCGGCAGAAAAGTTCGTTGCCAACTTCGTCTCCCCTTCTCAATCCACCAAATCTGCCGCCTACGGCTCCTACGAAGAGCTGGTGAAAGACTCCAGCGTCGACATCATCTATATCGGGTCTCCACACTCTCATCACTACCAAAATGCTATGCTGTGCCTCAGCCACAATAAGCCTGTGCTTTGCGAAAAGGCTCTCACAGTCAATGCCGCACAGGCAAAGAACCTGTACAAGACTGCGAAGGAGAAGAATCTGTTCTTCATGGAGGCCGTATGGACGAGATACTTCCCTCTCAGCAAAGCGATCAGGAAACATATATCAGACAATGACCTCGGTGAAGTGATTCGCGTCACCTCCGACTTGAGCATCGGCGCCATACCCGAGAACGATTTTGATCTCGGCCATCGCATGGTAAACCTCGATCTGGCCGGCGGCGCACTCCTAGACCTGGGGATCTACAGCTTGACCTGGGTGTTTCAGACGATATACCATACACTATCGGCAGAGCTGCAACAGCAATCACGTCCAAGGGTGGTTGGTGCAACAATGACACCCGAACCACGGACCGGTGCTGATGAGTCAACACTAATGCTCCTCGAATTCCCCAAGTCCACTCCCACGGGCAAAACGAAAACACACGCTGTCGCCACCACCGCCTTTCGCGTCAGCGATGACCCTGCGCGCAATCACGAGGGAAAAGGAGATATAGAGACACCTGCTGTACGCATCCAGGGCGAGAAGGGGGAAATACAAGTATATGGCCCCATCTACCGGCCGACGAGATATAGATTGGTGCCCAAGGATAAAGGATCGGATATTCTGGATAAGCGTTTTGAGTTTGAAGGTGGTGCACATGGCATGATGGTGCGTACCACAGCCCCATTCCTCATTCGAATCCTGTCGCCGAGTCAGCCACTGATGTTTATGCAGTACGAAGCCGACGAAGCCGCTCACTGCCTGGTCGCAGGCAAGCTGGAGTCCGAGGGCCTACCATGGGCAGAGTCGACACTGATCATGGAAATTATGGACGAAGTCAGAAAGCAAGGCGGGCTCGTCTACCCAGACGCGATTGAGAGCACGGACTACCCCGTCAAGCTAACTGCGAAAGCGTCGTAGAAGTTCAGCTAACGAGAGATGGGCCATTTAGAGCAAGGGAGTAGCAAAGCACTCCCGGCGCGTGGCCACTTCTGGCATTTTGCATATAGCTCTTTATCGGCTGATATCCAGCTGAAAAGGATCTGTTCCGAGCAGTTTCGTCGTCATCCTTAACGCGGGAGCGCTACATTCGTCGTACTCATCTCCAGCTGCAAATACGGTCCTGGAATCCGCCGCTCGTAACCCGCCATTTCATACTTTCATGAGTCCCATGGTGTCTGTGTACTCTGTCTGCCTTTTGCTGTCTCTCTCCCCAACAATCCTCTGGCGTCTGCGGCCCAGCGGTAATTTAATTGAAATGGGACGCAGGCGCTTATTCCCCGGTGGGTGCGCTCGCCCTCCTCCAGCTTCCTTCGCCCAAACTCCTTCTTTCCTGGTTGAGCATTCCTTGCTCCTTGACGACTTTCCTGTCGGAAGTCCTCGCACGGTTGACCCTGACGTTGCCGCCCCAACTGCCTTGCTTTCCGTCCAACGCCTCAATCGCGGCGTCGACATCTTCACCCTTCTCCAAGTCGACAAAGCAATAGTATTGGTTGTTGCCGTGCTCTGGCTTGGGTGCCGGCCGCGGCGAGACCTGCTTGGAGACGGCGCTGAGAGCGATGCCGGGCGCATACTGGGCGAAGAGCTCCTGGATCTCTTGATCGTGCGCGGACTGCGGTTCGATACGAGGCATGTTGCCAAAGTACAGTCGGCGACCCTCGGCTTGGGGCGCGGTCCAGTGCGTTTGCGCGTCGCCACGGTTCCCACGGTCGAAGGTCGGGTTGTATTCTCCGTCTGAGGCAAAGGGGGTTATGATCAGTACGGACAGAAATCAGAGCTGTCCCCCTAAGGCCTTAAGGGGACCGTCTATGAAAACAGCCGTGCGCAAGCAAACTCACCCTTCTGTTCCCTCGTCTCGCGGACACCTCTCGCCCGTCCTTGCCCTCTCTCATAGTCCTTCGTTCGCATTTCATTTCCGCCTCCGGGGCCGCCCCCTTGACCGTGACGCTTCGCGACACCGGGGCTGACTCGAAGGGCTCGGCCAAGCACATCCACGCCGTTCAGCTCGCTCATCGCGCGCTGCGCCTCGTCCGCGCTGTCCAGATCCACAAAGCAGTAGCTCGGGTTCCGCCCCGTGAAGGGGTCAGTCGACATGCTCACGCCGACGACATTGAATCCGTAGTTCTTGAAGAGCCCCTCGATGTCGGGCCGCTGGGCGGTGTAGAGCAGATTGCCCACGTAGAGTCTGGTCCCGGGCGTGCCTTCTTCGCTGCTGCTCGCCAGGTGATGCACATCCCTGTTGCGCGAATGCGACTGAGCGTTGCCATTGTGGGCTCCACCACCACCACCACCACCACCATTCTGACCCCTGGTATACCGCGCACGCGTCTGCTGCTGCTGTTCAGGCCGGGGTGAGTCGTCCTTCATCCGCCAGTTGCTCGAGGCTGTGGAGCGGAACGTTTGAGCCTGCCGCTGCGGTGGCGGCGGCGACGAAGCCTCCTCCATGGTGGCTGACGAAGTTGAGATCCGGAGATCCCTGAAGACAGCTAAAGCGCGGAGGGATTATAAAGTCGTCCAAGCCACTTCAGTAGATGAGACTCATGGCCTCACCAAGACTTGATCGGCGGGCAGAGACAGGCCGCCCACATTCGAGATTTTGGCGTGGTTGCCAAGACTAGACGTGCATTAGTCAGGTCATCCCCGAGTCGCCCATTTGCACATTTGTGGATGGCAGGCATTTATGAGGACAGGTTCTGTATCTTTGCTTGAAGAGAACTCTTGTTCATTGACTCTACTCTGCGCCGTGTAAGTATTGTTAAAGCTCAAAGCGCTGGTTAGGAGACAGTGGTCATCCACAAGTACATGGACATGATGCGCTCTGTCACACACAGGCCCCTTTATCACTTCCGCGCTTTTGTGCTCAATGATCACGACCCAGATCAAATACGTCAACAAGCCAGGCATAGGGGCGCTAAGAAAACTTCTTGAGACGTAGCTCACCCACGCCATGACCCAAATCTCTCAACGCACGAGTATCACCGGTTTTGCAACGGCTGGTCCAAACCATCAGGCCCGATGTAACCAGGCAGCTTCGTCACTCGTTCCAGCCATGCCTTGACTGCAGGAAACGGCTCCAGCGACACGCCACCCATCGGCGCCAGGGCGACGTAGACATAGACGGCGATGTCGGCAATCGTCGATCTCCCCAACGCCAACCACTCTTCTTTGCGGAGCCTCTGATCCAGAATCTGAAGCGACGCGACGCCTTTGCGTCTGGCCTCGCTGAGAGTTTCCTCACTCGCCCCAGCAGGCCAGTTGAACGCCATGATCGCGCGTGCCTTGGCCAGGCCGACATGTATATCACTGGCGGCGAAGGCCAACCAGTCCACAATCTGCGCTTGCTCAACCACGTCGGACGACCAGTAGCTTGAAGGAAGCGTCTCTGAGCCTCGATCTCGAGACGTACCGGCCAGGTAGACCATGATGGCGCTCGAATCAGTGAAGACTTTATCGCCGTCCACGAGCGCCGGAAGTTCTCCTTTGGGGTTGATCGCGAGGAAGTCAGGCGATTTCTGTGCATTGGTGAAGAGGTCGACTTGTACCTCGTCCAGGTGGATGTCGAGGAGTGAAGCTAGTAGCCGGATTTTGTAGCAGTTGCCGGATTCCAGACAGCAGTAGAGCCTGGGTGCCATTGCTGTTGGATCGGACGTCCCTTGTTTGGCCTTAGGTCCTTTGTGCAGAGACACTCCCTTCAGACCGTCCAGCTTGTCAATATAGAGGAGTGACGAAAACACGCTGCAACGACTTCGTAACAAAGGTCTATGCCAGGGCTCTGAACGCGCAGTTTGGTTTACCTCGGAATCGGCTCGCCGTACGGAGAATGTCGGACAAAGGCATCACTCGTCACGCTACGGAGTACATAGCGTCAAGTACTGAACATGCCGCCGAAATGCCAGCCGAGTAGAGGGTATTGTTGAATCACTTCAGAACATTGTACTCAACGTTAGCGGAGAGGTTGTGCAGGAACAGATGGCGACCTTGACATGCAGGATTCACCCAGGAGTTCTGGCTGAGTTCTACTTGAGTCCTAGGTGAGACTCACATTAAGCTCAAGCTGACGAGGCTGACCTCAGCATGCCTAGTGATGCTCCACCGTACAGTATTATGGTTCGGGTAAACTGCGGTCATCAAATCGCGTGCGGGCACTCAGGATGCGGTGTCGGTGCTCAGTAAATAATCTGGGCCGCCGCCCACAACTGAGCTGTCTTTCGTTTCTCTGTTAGAGAAAGAGGTGAACGCACCTATTGCAATATGGCTCCTTCTGCTTTCATAGACCACTCTCCTCACCAACCAACCCCGGTCGAGAAACTGTCCACCGCAAGCAACCTCGTGCTGATTGACAATTATGACTCCTTTACCTGGAATGTGTACCAGTATCTCGTCCTCGAGGGCGCCACAGTTACAGTCTACCGCAACGACAAAGTCACTCTCGAAGAATTAATAGCGAAGAAGCCAACTCAACTGGTCGTCAGCCCCGGCCCGGGTCACCCAGACACAGACGCTGGCATAAGCAAGGATGCGATCAAGTACTTTGCGGGCAAGATACCTATATTGGGGGTGTGCATGGGTCAGCAGTGCATCATCTCGGTCTTCGGTGGTGGAGTTGATGTTACTGGCGAGATACTACACGGGAAGACCTCGCCACTGAGACACGATGGGAAGGGCTGCTATACCACACTTGCACAAGACTTGCCCGTCACAAGATACCATTCTCTGGCAGGGACACACCCAACGTTACCTCAATCATTAGAGATATCTTCCTGGATAGCAAAGGGGCCCGATGGCGGCAAGGGCGTCATCATGGGTGTGCGGCATAAAGAATATGTGGTCGAGGGCGTTCAGTTTCACCCTGAGAGTATTCTGACCGAGAACGGCCGAGTCATGTTCAAGAATTTTCTTAGAATGAAGGGCGGCAAGTGGTCTGAAAACCCCGAATATGCTGCGCCGGAAAAGCATGTCAACGGTGCCAACGGCCAGGCATCCAAGAAGGAATCCATCCTAGAGAAGATTTACGCTCATCGTCGGCAGGCGGTAGCTGCACAGAAGCTCATACCTTCGCAGAGACCTGAGGATCTGCAGGACGCCTATGATCTCGGCCTTGCTCCTCCACAGATCTCCTTCCCCAGGCGCCTTCGTCAGTCCGCGTACCCAATCGCCCTTCTGGCGGAGATCAAACGAGCTTCCCCGTCCAAGGGCATCATTTCTCTTGGAACATGCGCACCAGCTCAAGCTCAACAGTATGCCACAGCTGGTGCCAGCGTCATCTCTGTTCTAACAGAACCCGAGTGGTTCAAGGGCAGTCTGGAAGACATGCGGCTTGTTCGCCAGGCCCTCGACAGTATGCCTAACAGACCTGCCGTACTCAGGAAGGAATTCATCTTCGACGAATATCAGATCCTCGAAGCGCGCTTGGCGGGTGCTGATACAGTGTTGCTGATTGTAAAGATGCTCGACGTGGAGACTTTGACGAGGCTGTATAACTATTCTAGGTCACTGGGCATGGAGCCGTTGGTCGAGGTCAACACCGCTGAAGAAATGAAAGTCGCCGTCGAGCTCGGTGCCGAGGTCATCGGCGTGAACAACCGGAACCTGACGAACTTTGAAGTCGATCTGGGCACAACAAGCCGGTTGATGGACCAGGTTCCGGAGCCGACTATAGTTTGTGCTCTGAGCGGGATATTCGGGCCTCAAGATGTCCAGGCCTACCGAAAAGATGGTGTCAAAGCAGTGCTCGTTGGAGAAGCACTCATGCGAGCACAGAGTACAGTGGAGTTTATATCGAAGTTGGTGGGTGATCCGGATGTTCCTCCCAGGACGAGGCCGCAGCAGCAGCTATCAGTCAAGATCTGTGGCACGCGGACGCCTGAAGGCGCCAAAGCAGCCGTAGAGGCTGGAGCAGAGCAGATTGGCATTATCCTTGTGCCGGGCCGCAGACGATACATTACAGACGATGCAGCCCTACAGATATCACAGGTTGTCAAGAACACGCCGCGACCCTCGCCTATCCCCTATCCATCAGACGCCGACGATGACCTAGGCAGCACGGACTATTTCACACACTCTTCCTCTCGCCTTCTACGCCGACCTGATCGCGCACAACTAGTTGGAGTGTTTGCTGACGCCCCATTATCGCACATAATCAAGCAAGTACACAAACTCAACTTGGATATCGTCCAACTGCACGGCTCGGAGCCGCTGGAGTATGCAAGGCAAATTCCCGTTCCCGTCATAAAGGCGTTCAAACCTGAAGACATGGGAATCAATGCCAAAGGCTACCACGCCATACCGCTGCTCGACGCCGGCAAGGGGGGGTCCGGGCAGCAAGTTGACATGGAGAATGTCAGAAGTCTCTTCAGAAAAGACAAGAATCTCAAGGTCATTCTTGCTGGTGGGTTGACCCCAGACAATGTTCAAAAGGTCTTAGCGGAAATGGGCAGGGAATACTTGGGAACAAATATCGTGGGTGTGGACGTTTCCTCAGGAGTGGAAGTGGATGGGAAGCAAAGTGTGGATATGATACGAGCTTTCGTGAAGGCCGTCAAGGGTTGAGCCCATAGCTGGCGTATGAACACATCACTTCAGAGCTACGATGCCCTGCCGTTCATTCCATCACAGTGGCGTATGGTTGTACCACGCTTCCATGATCAACCATGCATGAACTTTGAGATGTCTCTTTTACTGATCTGAAGCCCTTCGCCATCTGCTTTGAGTGCCTCGATCTGCTTTCATTTCCCTCACATGCCAGTCTCACATCCTGTCAGTCACCCTTCGACTCACAGACACATATGCTCGCTATCACTGCTGTCTAGCATGTGCTCGCCATCATCGCCTCTCTGCACTACATAAACCATCTATTTTCGATAGCTCGATCGACTGCTTCTCACTACCCTGCCTATCTTCAGATCATGTCTTACTGTCCCCTTTGAGCTTCTTGGTCGTACCCTCAAGCATCTAGTTCATACTCTGAATCATTTCTTGCTCAGCTTGCACCCGTCTCTTCCATCTAACCATCATCTACCATGCCGAAGAAGTTCGGAAAGATCGTCCTTGCCTCAACCGGAGACTTCCCAGGCGACAAGGACAACAAAGTCAAAGGCTGGGTCGAGCATGCCGGCGGCACCTTTGTCAAGGACCTCTCCAAAGATGTCACCCATCTGATCTGTAGCGAGAGGGCTTGGAAGCGGTACTATCCCATCGGTGTGTTTGCTCTCCTGCTGTTTGCTCCATAACATCCCGTTCCATGTGCTGACTGGTGGCATATAGTCAGAGAAGCTCGCCATATGCACACTGTCCACATTGTCAAGCTTGATTGGCTGGAGGACAGTCTGCTGAGCAAGTCCGGCAGACCGCTCGATCCCACACAGTACAAGTGGGAGCAGCGAAAGGGACAGTCTGGCGAGACAAAGCGCAAACGGAGGGAAGACGACACCATGGAGGGCGATGACGAAGCGAAGAAGCCGAAGTCGGCGAAGCAGACCAAGACGTGGAAGTCTCCTGACGCTGAGGGCCAGGGACGAGGCAAGAACGAAAGAGCTGAGAGAGCTGGTAAGCGCTCATACCCCTGGCGCAGGATCAAGTGTGGCGTTATAGTTGACTCGGACAGGCAAGGAGTTCGATGAGGCATGCATTGAGTTCGAGAAGATCATGGGAAAGCGTAAGTTCCCATTCCGTCGTCGCTAGAGCGCCCTTCCCTGTCATGGTGCCCAACGCTGAACGGGAACAGAAGGCTACCGGCCTTTCGCCGATCAGAGCGGCTTCGTGTACCTTTTCACCTTGGTGCGGAAGGACATCCTGAAGAATCGCGTGGAGAAGCATAGAATCAAGGTGCGTTATGCACCTTCTTTCACTTCCTGCCACGAGACCTTCATCCCACTGTCCCACCAAGGGGTCGATCGGAGACGCAAGAAGTCCGATGACAGCGTGACTGCTTCCGAGCGTATGATGTATCAACCAGAGGTTGGTAGCTCGAGAACGGCTGGCTTGCTTCTGGAGGACCCCATACTGCCACCATGCCCTGTTCCATTGTACTACTTCCCAAAGCCTTACCCATATTCCCACTACCCTTGCATAGCAAGCTCCCTGCCACGCCAGCTCACATCCGCCAACCGCAACTTGCGGGTGCCAATTCCCCATCCATGGGCTCAGAGTCTCCAGCTTTTTGTGTCCGAAGAACCCTCGGCTGTTGAACCGACCGGCAATCCCAAGTATTCGGCTCCGAGCGCCATACACCACCGCAATCTACCAGAGTTGCGCAAAAAGTCGTATGCCGCATACACTGTGTACACCAAACCAGGCTCTCGTCACGTTCAGACACTAGTGCCCGCTGGCAGCACCTTCGACTTCGCATGGGCCATGTTTTGCAAGTTCTTCAAGAAAAAGGTCGGGCTCGAATGGACAGATCTTCACGACGGATGGAAGAAGGGCCTCAAGCTCGAGCAGATCCACAAGGAGAGAGTTGGTGGTGGGGATGGCCCGGTCGAACATGGACACTGGGATGTGTTGGAACTGCCGCTCGCGAAAGGGCAAACAACCAGAGCAGGTGAAGACTCGACGGAATCTATTGAGCATGGGGAGGGCGGGCCGACTGTTACGGTGGTTGTGAATGCGACCTCGTTGACCACCGGAGACCAGGTCGAAGCTAGAGCTCAAACGCCAGAAGAGGGATGGTGAAGAGCTGACGACCAGACTGACCTGGGAGAACAGTTTGGACGTTGATTTGATGCTGCCTTGTCCTCGCGGCGACCCTTAATGTCGAAAGAAGCAGGCTTCGGTCCACGATCCATGTGCTTGGTTGCTGGACCTCCCGCACAGGGTCTTTGGTGCCTGCCGTGTGAATCATGCATATTGGCTTCATCTCATCATAGGTAGTCCTTCTTCCGGCTGGTCCTGGTATACTGCGTCAAAGCCCATTCGACCTCACCGCCTGAGTTCTTCTCCAGGGTGCCTCCTCTGATCTCAAAGCATCTCATGGTCATCCTAGGTCCGACCTCCGCAAGCTCAACATCTCTGTATCCAGTCTGCACGAAGACATGGTGGCGGACTTCGATGCTATCTTCAACATTCTTGAAGGTGACGACTCGGTTGCCGACCTTGTGCGGCCCGTCTCGGGGTGGGAAAATGTGCTTGAGGATCTGAACCACGCGCTTCCCAAGACGGGTAGTAAAGCCTTCGAAAATAAGATGTGGGTATGATTCAGAGACTGTGCCCCTTGACGCATCTGGGATGTCTGCTCGGAGCACGACGTTGTGGAGGGAGAAGGAAGCAGTCGGACCGTGTGGTAAATGAGAGATGGTCATGGCGGTGGGAGTTCCTCTGTGTTCGTGCAGAAGGATGATGTCGGTAAGTGCAGCAGCTTTCGCACTTGCCAGCAGGTTCGGGAGGATGAGGTTTCCTCGGTTCAAACGTATCGATGTGGGTAAGAGCAGGCGGATTTCCTTAGAGAACGTCGCAAGCCGAGTTGAAGGGCAGCGGGAAGTGGTGACTAGTGGTCGAGGATCGGCCAGACCAGAAAGCAACGAGTACTCATCGTCAAGAGACTCTGTGGCAGCCGCTGTCTCTGGATCAAGAGACTCGTCATACTTGAAATCCTTGCGGAGAGATTTGTCGTTGGCGATGGAGGGGTCGAGAGGCTTGCCAGTGGCCAGGGACTTTTTCAGCAGCGCCCGTTTTTCTGCAATGCTAGCATCACGCAGTTGGACTGCACGGCGATAGAGATAGTCGCGGCGCTCACGGGCCTGTCGTCGAATCATGCTGTCGACTGGGAATAAAGGCGCAGCAACACGAAGGAGCAATCACAACAGAAGAACAAGCATCACAAAATACTTGTAAAGTTTGATGGAGAATTTCACCGCGATTTATCCGGCCGCGACTGCCCACTCTTTGCCCTGCCGCTCTTGCAACCCTCACGAACCCTCTTCCGCCCTCTTCACAACAGCAGCAAGGCTCTTCAACGCACCGGCGCATGTGTTACGACAGACCGTCACTCACTGTTGGGACCCGGAGATTGTTAGAGGGGTGTGAGGCCGCGGTGTCCAGGTGAAGTCAGCATATTACCTGCATTTGCGCGGGCTCTGTCACCCTCGCCCCATTCCCCGTTACCCTTTCATACTTCGCAACGTCGCGACTCTAGGAGACAGATAGGCGTTTGGTTCAAGATGGAGGCTTTTAGCAACATGGGGAACCATCTGGTGTCAAACTCTGCCGCGGCGATCAATGCCAGCGATGACATTTCCACCGTCGACCCTGATGAGAGCGTCCTCAGTCTGGCCAAGGGCCCTAGAAGACGCCAGCACGATGATGACGAAACCGATAGTATCGAAGAAGACGATCTCGAGAGTCTGGCCTCGGCTGCGGTCGATGTGAACGGAAAGAAACAGGTCCAAAAGCCGGAGGAAGTCAAAGAGTTACCTGCCCATGCCTGCGCGTATGATGCCCTCCCTCCTTCTGTTGCGACAGCGCGATACTGATAGGACTCAAGCTACTGTGGCATCCACAACCCCAGCAGTGTCGTTCGGTGTCTGACATGCTCAAAGTGGTTTTGCAGCGCTCGTGGAAACACTTCCTCTTCCCACATTGTCAACCACCTCGTGCGAGCCCGCCACAAAGAAGTCCAACTGCACCCCAGCAGTTCTCTGGGTGATACTGTGCTAGAATGCTACAACTGCGGAACGAAAAATGTCTTCTTACTTGGCTTCATCCCTGCGAAGTCGGATACTGTGGTGGTTCTGTTATGCCGCCAGCCATGTGCTGCGATGCCTTCATCCAAGGACATGAACTGGGACACTTCGAGGTGGCAGCCATTGATCGAAGACCGTTCCTTCTTGTCTTGGCTTGTCTCACAGCCCACTGATCAGGAGCAGCTCCGAGCCCGGCATTTGAGCCCTCAAATGATTGCCAAGCTGGAAGAATTGTGGAAGGAAAATGCGAACGCTACCATCACCGATCTCGAAAAAGCCGCCAACATCGACGATGAGCCTGCGCCGGTCATGCTCCGGTACGAGGACGCCTACCAGTATCAGAACGTCTTCGGGCCGCTGGTCAAGATCGAAGCCGACTACGATCGCAAATTGAAGGAGAGCCAATCACAAGACAACTTGGTAGTCCGTTGGGATCTTGGTCTGAACAACAAGCACCTTGCAAGTTTCGTTCTCCCTAAACTCGAACTGGGCGATGTCAAATTGGCTGTGGGTGACGAAATGCGCCTCAAGTACTCCGGCGACCTGCGACCGGCCTGGGAAGGCGTTGGCTATGTCATCAAGATCCCTAACAATCAGTCTGACGAAGTCACCATTGAATTGAGATCCAAAGGCGACCACAAATCCGTTCCGACCGAATGCACCCATAATTTCACTGCTGACTACGTCTGGAAGGCAACGTCCTTTGACCGCATGCAGCTGGCCATGAAAACTTTCGCCATCGACGAATTGAGCGTCTCAGGCTACATCTTTCATCGCTTGCTCGGCCATGAAGTTGCCGCTGCCCCAATGAAGACACAGCTGCCCAAGAAATTCAGCGTGCCTGGTCTGCCCGAGCTTAACGGCAGTCAGATAAACGCTGTTAAGTCTGTTCTACAGAAGCCCTTAAGTTTGATCCAGGGTCCGCCAGGTACTGGTAAAACTGTCACATCCGCCACGATCATCTACCACTTGTCCAAAATCAATGGCGGTCAGGTCCTTGTCTGCGCTCCTTCCAACGTCGCCGTGGACCAATTGTGCGAACGCATTCACCGAACAGGCTTGAAGACTGTCAGGGTTACGGCCAAGTCCCGAGAAGACGTGGAGTCAACCGTGGGATTTCTATCGTTGCACGAGCAGGTCCGAATGAATGATAGCAATGTCGAACTGACGAAATTGAACCAACTCAAGTCCGAGTTGGGGGAGCTTTCCAGCCAAGATGAGAAGAAGTACAAGTCGTTGACCCGTGCAGCCGAACGAGAAATCCTTCAGAATGCCGATGTCATTTGTTGCACCTGCGTTGGTGCTGGAGATCCCAGATTAGCCAAGTCCAAATTCAGAACGGTCCTCATTGATGAGTCCACTCAGTCCGCAGAGCCGGAGTGCATGATCCCTCTGGTCCTCGGCTGCAAGCAAGTTGTTCTCGTTGGCGACCACCAACAGCTTGGACCTGTCATCATGAACAAGAAAGCGGCCAAGGCCGGGCTGAATCAGTCTCTGTTCGAGCGGCTGGTGGCTTTGGGCTGCGCCCCGATTCGGTTGAACGTTCAATACCGGATGCATCCGTGCTTGTCTGAGTTTCCGTCCAACATGTTTTACGAAGGATCCCTGCAGAACGGCGTCACCATGCAATCTCGCACTCGGAGGGATGTGGACTTTCCATGGCCTGTTCAGGACGACCCAATGATGTTCTGGTCCAACCTTGGAAATGAAGAAATCTCTGCTTCTGGTACTTCATACCTGAACCGCACCGAAGCGACCAACGTCGAAAAAATCGTAAGCCGATTCTTCAAAGCCGGCGTCAAGCCTTCAGATATTGGTGTTATTACCCCATACGAAGGACAGCGCAGCTACATTGTCAGCTCCATGCAATCGACGGGCACATTCAAGAAAGAAATGTACAAGGAGGTCGAGGTTGCCTCGGTCGATGCGTTCCAGGGACGAGAGAAGGACTTTATCATCTTGTCTTGTGTGAGATCTAATGATCACCAAGGCATTGGTTTCTTGAGCGACCCTCGTCGTCTCAACGTCGCCATGACCCGGGCCAAGTACGGATTTGTCATCCTTGGAAACCCCAAGGTCCTGTCGAAGCATCCGCTCTGGCACTATCTCTTGCTTCACTTCAAAGAGCGCAACTGCTTGGTTGAAGGCCCTCTTAACAATCTTCAGGTCTCGCTTCACCAGTTCAGCCGACCGAAACAGACTTATCGTGGGCCTCAACGCTATCAGATGGCGTACAACCACGCGAGCCACATGGCCAGCGGCATGATGAACGGTCGTGCTGCTCCACGCAACGACTTCCGCGAAGCGGCGGGCTCCGTTGTCGGGTATATCCCGGATGATGTTTCTTCTATCCATTCTTCTGCCATGGGTGGAGTCGGCGTGCCGGCTGGCTATCCGCCAATGTTCCAGGGTTTCACGCCTGACCCGTGGCCCTCTCTTCAAAATCAGAGCGCTGGTTCTCGCCGACAGAATGGAGTGAAGCCAAGACCAGTCCCAGGTAGTGTGGCAGGGGAGTCTACAGTGGCGACTGAATCGGACATCACTGGCAGTATCCTCGGCCAAGGAGGAGTCAGCCTGGACCAACTCTCCATACATGGCAACGGCAAGCAGCCGAGCTATAATCAGGCCGACCGCTTGAAGAGATATGTGGAGAATGGTCCTCCCGCTGGGGGTTACATGGCCAAGCACAAGTTGGGCAAGGGTATGCATGAGGATGAAGATGCTCGGAGCGTCTCTACTGCATTTGCAAGTCAAGTCGGTGGTGGCTACGACTGATATCGACGGGGACTGGCGACGACATAAGCCAAATACTGAGCTCGTTGAGCATTGGATTATTGACTACAGTCATTGAGACAGAAGTCCTATTCGACCGGACCCAAGCCTGAGCCGAGTCAATGTCATTCCTGGCCACCAGCAGCAGCGGACAAGGCACCACCCCGAGTCAGCTTTAGGCTACCAGGGCGAATTGCCAACCAAACCGCCTCCAGCATGGCAGCACATCTCACTGCGTGGACTTCCGGAGAGTCTTTGGCCTTGCCATGTGCAGGAAGGTGCAGCGGACGACGACGTTTTCTCCGAAGCAGCAGGTGATGGATCAGAGTGAAGACGGTGGCGGGAGCACACCAGCACCTCGGCGGGATTCTTGGACGGGACGAATGGCTCCGCTATCCTTTAGCTTGTTTTGTTGGGGGTCGCATGCTTCTAGCAGTGTGGACGAGGTGACGGGATTGTGGGATGTGGGAAGTAGAGATGTCGAGGAAGGTGGACGGTGACGGTGGGGTTGAGGTTGAGCGTGAATCTTGATCATTCTTTGTGTTGCCATACAGCACTTACACTCTTTTGTCCCGACGGTGAGAATACCTCAGACACTCCTTGAACAGACAATACGAACCTCGTTCATTTCATTGCTTTGCCCAAGCATCCTCCTAAAAATAATTGGAGATAATGAGGCGATCTCGCTCCGAGTTGGACGTTGCAAGAGAGCAGGCGCAAAGGTAAGTAAGTTGTTCGGTACCAAGATCCCACCTGATCCGTCGAATGCACTGAAGTTTGTGTTGTCGAGGTCTGAATGAACTGGATCCGAGCACTAGTGAACGCGATTCGACGGGAGCGGGAGGAGAACAAGCGGAGCAGCCAGAAGCGCCAGTAGAGTCTACCTAGGTGTCAAACATGGTTGGCCGACGCGAGACGGGAGCTCCACGATCTGGAGGCCGTGCCGTAGCGTGCGGGCGTGCCTAACACAGAACTGCACCCAAAACACAGTAGCACAACTGGGAGGCGTGGAGGCTAGGACACACCTGAAACGCTGCCCCACCACGCCAGCAGAAGGTTGTTGCCGCAAACACACCTTGACACGCTTCTTGAGTCGAGATGCCCCTTTTCCCTTACACGAGGAAGCCAGCCGTCAACCATGAGTGGTCAAGCCGACAGAGTCTTGGGCCAACGGTTTCCTTGGACACGTGCACACCAGGGTTTCGGGTCAGTGATGATCCGACAGTAAACCCACCGTGAGTGGGCTTCTCGCATGCAAGGGGAGACAACAGGACTCACAGTGGAAACCAACATTCAGCCTGGCGGCAACCGGCGTCATGAGATGAGTCTGGTGCTCGTGCACCACGACGCGAGTACTCCGTACTCCTACTGTAGGGTGCGAAGGTAAGCAAGGTATCGTCGAATTGCTTTTTTCCATATTCACTTTCATTGATTGTACCGTCTGGTTCTTGAACAGCACACGAGCGGCAGGCCGTTTTTTCCCTTTCTTTGCAGCAAGTCCGCGTGATTGCATGTTTACATTCACCTCTGTACTTCTCTGAGCTTGACCGTGACGAGACATCAAGAGCAGATACAGATTCCAGGGCCTACCAACATGTCCGTCGAAATGCCTCCAGATAATCACGCCCTCAAAGCGGCATTCGACCACGACATCTACTCATCCTCAGGCACTCCTCTTAAATTCGGCTCTCTCTTCTACGACGCTGACGTCTACCCGGCTGAGAAAAGAATACTAGTAATCTTCGTTCGACATTTCTTCTGTGGCAACTGCCAGGAGTACGTCCGCAGATTATCTTCAGCGCAGTCGCCCTTTCATCCATCCCTCAAGTCGACATCGCCAACGTGGACGACGAACTTTTCCAAGCCTGCAAATCGTACCCTTCCGAGTGTCGTAATCATTGGTCCTGGCCAGCCTAGCCTGATCTCCTCCTACCAGAGCCTGACACAATGTCCCTTCGACATTTATGCTGATCCATCAACACAGCTGTACGACAGTCTCCGAATGCACCGCACATTATCAATGGGAACGAAGGCACCCGGTTATATCGAACACTCCCTCTTGGGTGGCGCTGTCAAATCAGCGTGGCAGATTGTCCGGCGCGTTGGAAGTGGTGATGCCCTGGCCGGAGGTGACTGGGACGTAAATGGCGGAGAATTCCTGTTTACAAGATCTGCGACGCGGTCAAGACCAGGGTCCCACTCGCCCTCAAAGTCGAGATCAAGGTCCAGGTCGGCAAGCTCCCTCCCTTCGGGCAATATGAACTGGACCGTTACTTGGTGCCATCGAATGCTCAACTCACGAGATCACACCGAGCTGATGGACCTGGCTTACCACACTTGCTTCTCGATCCAGTCATCTCCGGAAAACGGTTCACGAACGAACTCCCCTGCTCCACCACTGAAGTCCATCTTGGTGAGCGGTAACAAGACCCATACAAAGACACTCTCGCACAGCTACTCCAGTGAGCGCCTAGGCGCCTGTCCTGCCCCTAGCATACCCAAGTCGAGAGCAGAGGCGGTCGCGAGCCCCTATCACAATCGCCCGGGTTCAAGGTCAAAGGCCCGACCAAGATCACGGAGTCAAACCCCCAAGCAGAATCATGATAGAGTCTGGTCGAGCATGAGTAACTCTGATACTCTGCGTTCGGAATCTCGTGCTTCGACCACTACCAACCGCGAGAACCTTGCTGCTAGTCCCATCTCTGAGGCGGACGAAGAGGAGATCAAACAACGAAATAGTTTCTCGGCTTCTGTTGCCGAAGCATTCAGTGTCCGAACAATGTTGCTGAAACGGTCGAAATCAGTCTCTGGATCCTCTGCTGCGCCTGAAGGAGCCCCTCCAATGCCTCGTCCTTCGACTTCTCTTTCTCAGCTGAGAACAGACAGCAGAGCAGGCAGCAACATGACAAAAGCTCGTTCGAAATCACTCATGGATCCTATCCCCCTTCTACACCCCAGGTCCAGAGCCAAACACGATGACACAACGGCAGCTTCGCGGGAGCCTACCACATCGGCACTGTGTCTTAGCTCAGCATCTGCGATCCGCACGCACACCCGCACCCGAACATTTTCGTTTTCCAAGACCGCCTCAAAGCATCGTCCAAACCTTTCCCTTGCCCGGAAACCGTCCAACAGAGTAGGGATGGATGAGAAAGGCGTCATGTTGGTCAACGGCGTCGAATTCGTGAATGTTATCAGTGTCAAAGCACGCATTGAGAGCGACGAGGACGAGCAGAGTAGAAAGAGGATCAGAGAGCGGGCGGACAGCGGATTGGGCATAGACGTCACCCAGGACAAGGACAACGCTGCAGTCGGGACAAGGGCAATGAAGCAGCTCCCGCCACTGCCTCTTCGGCCGGGCCAACGACACAAGTCCGCTGTGGTGACGGCTGCGGCCTAGAACACAGACTGTCGACTGACATACGGTTGTCCTTACTTCTACAGAGTATATGGTTTCCTTTTGTTCTGTCGAGCACGATGTTGGAAATGAAGAGAGGTCGGAAGATCTTGCGGGTCGAGATCATCACGGCCTCGGGCTAGACCAGCCGGGAATCGAAAACCGAGATGAATAGGAGTAATGAAAATTTACGACCATGGTTGTGCTTGCCGACCTGCATTGCCCGGCATCGCACCTACTGGGACTGGCTTTCTCGGCTGGTGAAGATTTCCCGAAAAGAGCTGCATCATCCTCCACAGCGGCCCTCAGCCCGCCTGGCACTCACGTACTCCACAGTGTGCCAGCAGCGCGATGGAGAACACATGTGAGAGAAAAGGGCGTCCGCCAAAAATGGTATTCCACACGGAAAAGTTCACATTTACTATGGGCGGTATTCCGTACTTTGTACTCGGTTCGTGGTCATAAGTCGTGGTGGTTACCGCTCGTTGGATTTCATAGGCCAATGCTTGATTGGCTCCCAATGGCACATGCTCATATTTGAACAACTAATCTATTTGATGCAGCTCTCGATGCTCCTGGAACTTTTGAAAAGTAATGCTCAATGCCTGGAAAATGACCCCTGCCCCGCGACAAACATCATCATGCGCCTGAGATGCCGGGTCTTCTTGCTTGCTTGTGTAAATGAGACTGAGTTACCCACTGTGGAGTACTGATAATCTTTGTGTTATGATGCATCGAATAATGATGGCCCCTTTCCCGGCGTTGATTAAACGCGACTCACAATGGGTGACTTCGTCCTCGATATTCCATTTATGTTGAACTCGGAGTCAGGGGAATAGTCGAGGTCGACGAAAGGCGCTGAGCAACAACCCCTTTGTATGGGTTGCACGTTGAACGTAGGTAGTGTTTCGTGGTTGAAAAAAGTTGCCAAGGAAGTGTTTCCGTTGGCCTGATCTGCAGGAATCGGCTCGTCGAAGTCGACGAAGGGGTTTTCGTCAAGCTGAGGCAAGGTATCCGTGAAATGTATCGGTAAGGAAGGATTTGTCACCGCGTCCAGGTTGATGCCAAGCGCCGGTGTCTGCATTGAATTAGGCGCTGGCAGCATCTGAGGAGCCGCGTTGTTGGAGATCGAGGCGACAGTAGCCTGGCCAATATTGTAGTCAGTCCCGTAAGACGCGTCCAACCCAGTCCAGCTGAAGGAGCTCCCTCCCAGTTGATTACCAGAGAAATCCCACGTGCCGCTCACATCAGTCGCTGCATGCAAGGGTGTTGACATGTCGCTAAGGGGATCGGCGAACACGTCTGAAGTGTCGGGGGACATTGTCATCACGTCGGGCGGTGAATGTACCCGGGAACAGTGGGAACTTTGGGGCCGATTCGTCCAAGAATGTTGTTGAATAGGATATGCTAGGTAGATAGCATTCGGGTTCAGGGTATCAGAGAAGAACTGTTGAAGCTGGTGCTGTGAGACATCAGGGGTGCTCGAGAGGAAGAACGATGGTTGACCGCCCATGCATGACCTGGACGTGTTCTCAGAGTTGGAAGGCACCGGTGTTAGGGCGTGACCTCCAATATACGCCTGTTCGGCAAGGTTCTTGACCTGTTGCTGAGCATGGTTGATTGAGGTTGCGTTGTTCGGATGGTCTGGACAGTAAAGACAGGAACAGCCGGAGCCACAAGAACAACTTGACATCCATGGTTCAGAGACCGTCGTCGGAGGATGCAATGGCGGTCCAGAATCTGGTATTGAAGGGCCAGGATGAGGCTGGATTGCGGCGACATTTTGACGATGTCGACATCCACCCTTGGGAGAATCGGGTTCTTCTTTCGGCGCTTTCCCTGAACAGCAAGATGACTTTGGCGCATCTTTGGCAGCGTCTTGTCTCTCCTTCATTCGGCGTTTCCGTGCTTCGTACTCTTCGTCATCAATCTCTTTGCCATTGGCGTCAGCCCACACCTTTTTCAGAGTCAATCGCGTGCCATCTGAATCCTCCCAGACTGGCTTGGGCGTTGACGTAGATTCTCTAGAGACAACGGCCGGGTTATCGAGGCGAACAATGAGGAACATCTCCTGCGTGCAAGCGCAGTCCCTCTCGCATTTACAGGTCTTTGTGGTGCAGGCGCAGTTTCTAGGACATTGACAACCCCTCTTCGTACCTGCCGAGGGACGGCCGGGTTGGTTGGTCTCAGAGATAGGTCTTGTCTTGCCATGGTCGCATTTGTGTACTCGGTGGCCTCGCTTGCAGGACTCGCAAGCATATGTTTTACCATTAATGTGTTGAGCCGCAGGGGTTTCGCTCTTGTAAGATGCCTTCAACTTTCTGACCTTGCCATCTTCTACCCGTGAAGCGCCTTTGGGAGGGGTGGCTACCCTCGGGGTCGTCACCGAGGTGTCGTGCATTGCTTCTTGCCGTACATATGCAGTAGCCCGTGTTGTGCCCTGTAGTGTTACCAGACTTGTGATATGGATCCAGCAGCAGTCAAGCCGTTTTCGAAGGGAACGTCGGATATGGGCTGTGGTTCGAATGGTGCGGACGTTCAAGCAGAGTACACTAGTGAAAGACTTCACTGCGTCGATATCATCAAGAGGGGAAAGGCGATGTACGCGGGTCAGTCGACGTGAGGTCCGATCTGCGAGATGTACGGAGTATGCACGAAAGGAATGAGTAAGACAGGTCGAGGGGCCGAGAGAGAGCAACCTTCGGTGCCAACGGGGAGTGAGATGGTGGGAATCTTCGACTGAGAACCTTAAGTGAGCCGGACAGCGAGACAGGAAGGAACAAGGGTGGTGGGGACGAGCGCCACGAGCTTATGCAGGTCACTGTCTAGGTCAGCCGACGGCAGACGCCCACGCCAAAGGAGTTAGGAGCGCCCGGAGCCCCAAGCAGCCTGTGCCTTTCGCTGGAACCAATCATCGTCGAGCCATCTCGTACTCTGATCGTCTTTGTGACTTTTTTGTTTGTTCTCAGCGTCACTGCGTCAATGCTCGACGGCGAGACTGGTGGTGGACATGACAGACGTCAATAACGAGGGCAAGCAAAACTCGACACGTTTAAATGCGCAAAACTCAACTTCATCATCATGGTGGTCGCTGCCCCCTGCGATTCGACGCGTCTTTGATCGGTTCCCTCTGGTAACGATTTCTGCGAATGACCTCCCCCAGCGAGCTCCACGGAATCGCAATGAGAATGTCCTCTATATCTTCCAGTCGGACGACCCCAGGCGCCGAGATGCTCCGTCCTTCAACCCGTCCTGTCTGAAATGGCAAGCCTACCTCAAGTTCCACGGCATTCCGTTCCGAACTCGCTCATCAAACAACCATGCCGCCCCGACCGGAGCACTTCCATTCCTTCTTCCAGCTCCGAAAGATGCTTCTCGGCCATCGTCTCCAGTTCCTGCAAGTCGATTAAGGAGATGGGTTATATCACAAGGAGGGAAAGAAGAGAGCTTCCATATGCGACAAGAAGCATATATTGCCTTGATAGACCACGCGATCCGCAGTGCCTGGCTGTACTACCTATACCTCGACCAAGTCAATTTCAAGGCCGTCGCATGGCCATTATATGTGGCGTCCGCGTCATCGTCCCAACCTGTCCGGCTCAGCTTAGCGAAGCAACTTCAGTCGGCGGCAAGGGAAGAACTGCTCAAGGCAAATACCATCATTGATCCACAAGACCTTTATGCTCAAGCTGAACAAGCCTTTCAGGCTCTATCCACACTCCTTGCGGACAACCATTTCTTCTTCGGTCAGACCACTCCTGGGTTTTTCGACGCCAGTTTGCTTGCATACACCCAGATTATTCTTGACGATAGCCTCAATTTCGGCACCCCAACGTTGAAGCGGGTTTTACAACAATACGACAACTTGATCCAACACAGAGATCGACTGATTCGCGGGTTCTTCAGTGGCTGAAGAGATCACATACTACCTCCCTTCCGAAAAATGCCGCCAAACCATACGGTCACCCCGGCCCATTTCCGCGAACGCTCACCAAGTACTGTGACCATGCTCGGGTCTACTGCCCGCTCCTCCATCGGGCTCAGAAGCTCAAACCCGTTGCTCAGAGCCGCCGCCTCTACTTCTTCGGTGGTGTGAGCATAGCTGGTGGGCCGGATCTTTTCGCCCGTCTTAGGATCGATAAATCCAGCTTGACTGATTTTGCCCATCTCCGAATGCATATTCGTCAACAACAGAATCCCACTGGGTTTGAGGATCTTGCCTGCGGTTGCAAAGAAGATATCTGCGGGGACATGCTCAATTACCAGGGTTGATACCACTGCATCCGCCAATCTTGCCGACTCTGGTAGCGATGATTCTTGCAGCATGTCAAACACCTCGAGCCTCAGTCTTCCTTCTGCATGGAACCTCTGCAGCCGCTTCTTCGCGACTTCCAGCATGCCAGGGCTTACATCCAGCCCGACTACCGTTGATGCTTTACCGACCTCTAGCAGCGCCGCAGTATTCCTGCCGGTGCCACAACCCAAATCCACGAATTTCCAGGGCTGGGGACATGATCCATCATTCAACATATCAAGCATGCGCGGCAATAAAGACTTCACTTCCAGCGTGTCGAGGGCCTGCAAGAAATTGCCGTCGGTGTCGTACACAGCTGCCCAGAGGTCGTATGCCTGTGTGGTAGACAGGTAGCGGACAGTTGGAGCGGTTGATTGTGGGATGATTGTTGTCATGGTGCCGGTCACCTCGGGGGATGCTTGTGTCTTTTAAGGGCCGGATTGTAGAAAATAGAATAGTCGTCTCGCTTCTGCGGATGTATACAAGTAATGAGGAACGAGGGTCCGATCGAAGGCAACCGATGGCTGCTGGTAGCTGATATTTCAAATCAGCTATCTTTGGCTTTGGAAATGCTTAGAGTACCATAAATGCGACGATAGATTCAGAGATGTTCTAGAAGCTATGGAAGCCCGACAAATTTTCATTAGAATACACTGAGATTTACTCAGGTCTTATAGTCGCTTTACGGAGCATTTCAACATTCTCCACACTCCTACGTACAACCTCGTATAAGTGAATGAGTCACACCTACTTGACGCCAGTGGAGCCCTGACTGTGGTTTGCACGGTTCAGGTCACAGGAAGAGCTAGCCCATGTCCGTACATAGTTCCCAATGATCAGTCGTAGCAATAAAAAGTTCCTAGCATTGTCATAAGCGCATCAAAAACTATTCGTCGGGAACACCGAGACTCCAACCCTGACCAGGCTCTTTGCAATTCGGTCCCCTTGCACGCGAACACTCTTGGTATCCAATCTCAACGACACCATCCATGCCGCCTCGGTCCCCTTCCCCCCTGGCTCCCCTCTCTAGACCCCGTTTACACCAAAGACGCCGCCCCCTTCCTTCAGATCCTCGACCAAATCTTGCACATTGCTCAAATGCTTTCCTAGCAGATTCTGCTTCTCCTCCGTGGTTCTGGTAGGACCGTCCATCTTCGGACCCTTGGCTCCGCCAACACCACCTTCTGGCCCGTTCACCGTTTCTCTCCTCCGGTCGAATGCTGCAATCACTTCCTTCCCTCGGCCACCGAGGATTGCCGTGTTAGTTGCAGACGTCGAACTTGAGATCTTCGGAGGATTTGTCTCCGGCATGAGGTAGAAGTACAGGAACTCGACGAGTTTCAACTTCACTTCCCGGGATGTGCTTCTGGACTTGAAGAGGGATGTGATCACTAGCAGCCCGTCGATGGACTCGAAAGTACGAGTGTTCTGCGGCTGGTCGAGGAGAGAGGTCACGAGGGCCATTATAGTCGATGATTGAATGGCGGGACAGTTGGACGGGTCCAGCAGGTCGAGGAATAGCTGTGCTGCCGTTAGACGGAGGCAGATGAGGCCGGGACCTGAAAGACTCACGTTCATGTAGATTTCCTGCGAAAAGAGTGCCCGCGAAGGAGGATGTAGTAGCAACACCCCTTGAATCAGGTCCAGGGTCTGGATGATCAACATATCATTTGTACCATTGCTTTCTTTTCCAAGCAACCGCTCCAGACATGACACTAGTCTCATAGCAATATTCCATTGAAAACTCTGCTGAAGTTTGAAGAATTCGCGGAACGCTAGATCCGAGGGTAAGTCAGAGAGCTTCTTCGACTGTGGTGAGAGTGTTGTCGATCCAAGCAGCAGCATCGATTGTCGCTTGTTGGCGCCATGACTGGTCTTGGAGAGGCACAGTTGAGCGAGCAACCCTTCCACCTGACGGAGTCCCTTGCGGATTTTCTGAGGCGCGGTGGAGGATAGGTAGTCAAACGAGTGAGATAGTAGGGTCTCCATTGCGCAGACTGGTACGAGCTATGCCGATGTTCAGAGCGATGTACATCTCGCGGCGGGAGGAAGTGGACGATCAAAGCCAGAGGTAAACAAGACCGTTGGCAGGGCGACGATGCGGGGAGGTGCTTCGCTTGACCTGCCAGTTGAACCCCGAAGCGGTCCTGTACCTGCGGCAGTGGTGGCGGCATGCGTCAGGCCGCCTGGGAACCGCCGCCTAGCGCCCAAATACATCCCAGCTTACCCCGATCGTCACCTATCGTCTTTCGTCATGGACCTCATGTGATGATCCTGTAGATCCGCCTTGTACACCTTGTCACCACCATGGCCTCAGATCAAACGCGGGTGCCTGGATCCTGCTCTGCCTCAAGGTGCATCCAATTCTGCACCCGACGTTGAATCGTTCACCTTCCACAATCTGCCAGTGCGTTTGCCGCGTCGCTGGACGAAACTGAAGCACAATCCGCTCCCCTCATTTCATCTCGCATTTTCACATGCGCGCATCCGAACCCGAATCAACACGAATGGCGACCCTAACAGCAGAAAATCCGGCGTCTCCCAATGCCATCCCCATCCGCTACAGCTCCGCCGGCGTTACCAATGGCCTTGCCCATCAACCCTCGAAATCCGTTCTCAGACCCCTGCCGGAGGACTCATGGATCTCGCCCAAGCACCACTCGATACCCATGATGAACCCTCCCGTCTTATCTGACCACACCAACGCGCTCAAGCGCAGGCACTCGAAGAAGAAGTCGGCACCAGAGAATCTGATATCTCAGCGGGTCGGAGAATGGTCGCCCCAGAAGGAGAAGATTATCATGGGTCCCTACGATTACCTGTTCGCGCACCCAGGCAAGGACATTCGGTCGGGCTTGATTAAGGCTTTCAACGCATGGCTACATGTTCCGCCCAAATCGCTCGACATTATCACCAAGGTAGTAGGCATGCTACATACATCCTCTCTCCTTATCGATGATGTCCAAGACAACAGCGTACTGCGGAGGGGCATCCCGGTTGCCCACAACATCTTCGGCACGGCCCAGACAATCAACAGTGCCAATTACGTCTACTTCCTCGCCCTGCAGGAGCTCTTGCACCTGGATAACAAAGATGAAGCCATGGAGACCTTTACCACAGAGTTACTCAATCTCCACCGTGGGCAAGGAATGGACCTATACTGGCGTGACACTCTGACTTGCCCGACAGAGGACGATTATCTGGAAATGGTCCAGAACAAGACAGGAGGCTTGTTTCGTCTAGCCATCAAGCTGATGCAGGCAGAGTCGCCAGAGAAAGGCCGGATAGACTGTGTGCCACTTGTCAATCTCCTGGGCTTGGTCTTCCAAATATGCGACGACTACCTGAACTTGTCCTCTAGCACATATACAAAGAACAAGGGTCTGTGCGAGGACTTGACCGAGGGCAAATTTTCCTTTCCCATAATCCACTCGATTCGCAGCAACCCGACGAATTTGCAGCTCATCAACATCCTCAAGCAGAAGACTAATGACGACGAGGTCAAACGGTATGCTGTGAATTATATGGAGGGGACAGGCAGCTTTGACTATACGAAGAGAGTTGTCCGAGAACTGAGGACCAAGGCCGTCAATCTGATCACGGACATGGATGGTGGTTCGGGCAAGGGGAATGAAGTCAAGCTGATTCTGGACAAGATTGCGGACTCGACTCTGGGTGATCGAAATGACGTTCATAATGTGACTTCGAAAGGCGTTCAGGAAGCCAGGCCAACCGAATGGTGACGACCTTGTACAGCATGTAGAGTGCTCGTAGTAATTTGACTTTCAACCCGCGTAGAAATTGGCCTGTACCTCTACACTACAAGGCTGATGAGCAAAAGGGTCCTGCCCTGCGAGTCACAGCATCCTTCTTCTCACAAGGAGCGAGCTCCACGGTTTCTCACCCGTCGAGGGTGATGCCCTGGCAATGTCACTCAACTGTACGGAGTACTGCGCAATTGCGAGTTAGCTGGTCTAGCATCGTTGCCGGAACTTGATTGATCCGATTTGAGTCACTCATTGCGGGGCCAGTGAGCGGCTGCTACAACCTACTGCAGACGCAGTATATTACAGCAGCCTCCTCACATCAGGCTGAGAGCTGTCTTGGGTCTCAACTCTCTGCTTCGGGGATAGATAGGGAGTCCCTCTCCCAATCACTTCAGAGCCTGATCCGCCACTTCTGTGGATTGCCCCTTCTCGTGCCCGTCCAAGGTCCCTCCGCACGAGGGTAGGTGGAGAGGGCAAATGAGCCCCGATCTCCCCGCGAAGACCGCCATGGATGTCGGCATATGCGCATCGCCGCAGAACGAGCGGAGATCGATTTACCATTGCTACTGTACATTTGTCTGGTGCTCTAGATACTTGAACCATCCGAGCGAGACGAACACACTGACGGCAGTTCTTGTCCAGGTATTGCTGTGGTCTCGCTCTTGGGGTATTCTGGAAGGTTGCGACTTCATGGGACATCCGTTGACGACGTAAATCTTCGAACAGCAAGTCGACAAGAATGATACTCCCAGGGGCAAGCACCATGGCGTCGCCATTTCACCTCGAGAACATATTCCTGCTGGCCACCGTCCTCCTAGTCGCCGTTTCTGTCGCTGTCCTCCTTCGCATTCGCTACCGCCGTGGCCTACGCGATATCCCTGGACCATTTCTCGCCAGCATTCTCCCATTTGATAGAATGCTGTCAACTTACTCTGGTCATCAATTCCAACGGCACCTAGATTACCATGCGAAGTATGGGAAGCTTGTGCGAGTTGGTCCCAACCATGTCAGTCTTGGAGACTCGGAGCAGATCTCCAATGTTTACAGCATCACGAGTAAATTCGACAAGAGCAACTTCTACACCCTCTTCCATGCAAAGTCACCCGTCGGCCCCATCCCCACCGTGTTCTCCATTATCGACCCTGTCGGCCACAAAAGCCTCAAACGGCCCGTGGGGTCTGCGTATGCGCTGTCTTCGCTCCTCGACTTCGAACCACTGGCAGATGACTGTACGCGGATCTTGGAAAGGAAACTCGATGCCTTGGAGGGCAAGGCTATTGACTTCGGCACATGGTTGCATTGGTACGCTTTCGACGTCATTTCCAGCATTACCTTTTCGAATCGTCTCGGTTTCATGGAGAACGAGGAAGATGTGAATGGCATTATCGCCGCAATCGAAGGTCGCTTGTTCTACAACTCCATCATAGGACAAGTCCCCTGGATGAACCAATGGCTGTTAGGCAATCGTTTCGTGTCGAGATTGGCGGACAAAATCCCCTCGATCAAGAGACTAAACTCCGCGGCGTACATTGTGCAATTCGCGGCCCGGCAGTTGCAGATGAGACAGAATGTCAAGGCCGAGCACGGGCGATCGGACATGCTAGACAAATTCAAAAGAACCAGGGAGGGCGAGGAGGTAATGAGCGAAAAGGAGTTGTTGGGACATGCGAGTTCGAATGTGTAAGTGCCGTCTCGACACCCGTAGGTATTGGGTTGACGGATGAACAGGTTTGCGGGGTCGGATACCACCGCCATTTCTCTGCGAGCTTTGTTCTACCACCTCTGCAAGAATCCTCAAGCATACCGGAAGTGCGTAGACGAGATCCTCGACTTCGACGCGAGAGGTGAATTATCCGAGCATGTGACGTACTATGAGGCTCAGCGGATGCCGTACTTCCAGGCATGTATGCGGGAGGCACTACGGATGCATCCAGCTGTGGGACAGCTGCTCGAGCGTATCGTGCCGGACGGCGGCGCCACAATTGACGGCGTATATCTCCCCGCAGGGACCATAGTCGGAATGAACCCATGGGTCGCGGCGAGAGACACGGCCGTCTACGGACACGATGTTTACAGCTTTCGGCCTGAGAGATGGATCGAGGCCGATGAGAGGACATTAAAGTTCATGGATCGAAATTGGCTTGCAGTAAGATCTCATTGACATTCTATCCTAAATTCAGTATGCTAACAAATTGTCCGACAGTTTGGTGCCGGTGCAAGAACCTGCCTAGGAAAGAATATCTCGCTGATGGAAATGTCAAAACTGGTGCCACAGTTACTCCGTCGCTATGATGTCAAACTGGCGGACCCGAATGCAGAATGGGAATTGTTTGACTATTGGTTCGTCAAGCAAGAGGGCCTCAGGTGTGTCCTCACGAGGAGAGGAAAGCAACAATAAGTAGTGTTGATAAAACCGTTGTGCAAGAGCGCCACATAGCTGGAAAGAGCCTGTAATTCAGCGCCCCTCCGCTGTGGTTTCAAGCCGAACCTGCTTCCTGGCAGCACGGAAATCTGAGTCGGAGTCGATTATTGGCGTCGACTGCACGCACCATAAGCCCTGCAAGCATGGCGCTGATACCATCTTCTGAATTCAACATATCCAAGTACTCCTCTGATGATTTGGGCGGTATCCCATTAGGGAAGACAGCCGCCCATTGCTCATGCCAGGGCAAAGGACTGCGAGCTTTGGACACGGCCAATGAGTACATCACGACACCGTCAAATCTGTCCTTGAATGATCGATCACGCTGACGACGCATTGCCGCATTCGGGATGCCTCCAAAGTGACCAGGTCGGTCGGCATATGTGGAGCCGGATATGCGGCGCTGGTGGCAGTCTTCGTATTGAGAGCACCAGCTCGCAAAGCGTTCGAGTCGGAGTTGAGCGGCCAAGGGTCCAGGGAGGTCGTCCAGGACGCCTTCCAGAGTCGTGTGCAAGATGTCCTCTATGCTTTGTATTCTGCTGTCACCTGGCTGTGAACCAAAAGGCGATTGCATGGTCGCTAAACATTCAGTCTCCGAGCAGTACTCCGAAAGATGGTCTGTTTTGCAACCGTCGGGAATCGTTACAGACAACCTTTGCGCGTATCGTATTCTCCTGAAAGCCGACAACAGTACGTTTAGGTCGATCATCTCGGGTTGCCCAGCAGTAGCAGCTATAGACTTTTGCCAACGGCGGCTTTCCTGCTCAAGGAACGAGACGTGTACATGTGGCAGGTGTAGTCCCGTGTTGTTGGGAGCTGGCTTGATCTGGGTCTCGGACAGGGGTGGTGACACCGCCTTGGGCTGAGGAAGGAGCCATACAAGCAGTCGTGTGATTTGCATCCACGCGCAGATTAGTTGTGCTGGCTCTCGACGATCAGGCGGGAGAATGTCGATTCGGATTTCTTTGAGTTTGTCGAAGGGAATCTTCTTGCCAACTAGACAGGCTGGCTCGCGAATATGGTCGGAGTGCGCTGGTAAGAAGTGTTTCGTACCATCGAACAACGCAATCCGGAAGTCTGCAGCGCTAGGGTCGACAGTGATTCTAAATACATGGAAGTCATACAGTTCGGCGACCAGTTCGTCGTAGAGTGCCTTGTTCAGGTAGAGCATTGAAATAGATCTCTGCTTGATGCACTCTTTGAAGATCTGGAGGTGTAGTTCGACGGGTAGGTCAGCAAAAGGCTTGCCCATGTTGTGCGGATGTAGATTTGACTGTGACATCTTGGGGGAAAGGGCTGTGGTGTGTGGGATCCCTCATCGAAGTTTGATAGACACGAGACTATGTTGAAGAATACAATGAGGATATGGGAAGGGGTCGCCGGGGATATATATAGCTTGATATCTGGACCGATCTTCTGATGTGAGGACCTGCAGTGTATGACCCCAGTCAGCGACTTTTGGTTAAGCTTTGCAAACGTCTGGTACAGCCGGGTGACAATCCTGGCCGCTGTCTACCCATTCTGTCATTGGTCGCCGGGATCGAAGCTTGGTACTTGCAGGTTATGTTAGTGAGAGTGCGCGGTGGCCGTCAGCTGGTCCGAAACCTTTGAACGTGACTGAGGACCTTTCCCATCCAAAACAGCATGTATAGTTCCGCCTGGTGCTGTTTGTATCCACTGCATGACTGTGACCACAGCGTCAATGATCTGTTTGCCCGTTTTGGTCACAAGGCAAACGTATCCGAAGCACAAGACATATGATTGTCACCACGCAAGTCACTGTGGTTTTGAGGCGAGGCTCTCGAGCTCGTATCAGATACACAGCATCGAAGACTGGAGCCGTCTGGTGATCTCGACATCTTGTCGGTGTTTGCAGGTAATTGTTTCTGACAGTCTTGTCACTTACTCGTATGAGCAGGGTGGGCCACGGTGGTGCACAGGCGGTGGAGGGTGAGCTCGGATGCAGAAGACAAGGAGGTGGAACGAGAGCAGTCGAGGCCAATGCCCGTGTGTAGCGAGTGTCACGTGTGCCAATTTCGTGATGCCGCTTCGGCGGAGCAGGGAAACTGAGAATGCAGACCGCAACTGCGGCGCGTTCAAACTGCCTACGACGCGCTTTCAAGTAAATAATTGCTGAACGACAAGACAACCAAGTACTCCCAGATATGTACTGACCAGACTCGAATCCTCCACCCAACATGGCGGGTGTGTCGCCAAGCTCAGAGTACTTTCCCGACGTGGGTAAATGCCTCTCGGGCGAAAAGCCCGTGCTGTAAGATCTTCTAAGTTGCTGGTTGGAACAGAGATGCTAACGTCGGCCAGTTCCTGGGACGACTTGTTCGAAGCGCTGTTCTCTCACGACCATTCCAGGGCTCAAGGTGCCTGTCGCATACTCTCCGGCGACCATCCCAAGCGCATGCTATCGTCGAGGTTCCCTTTCTTTCCCCAACGCGATGCCTCCTCAAAGGCTGCTTTCGATTCGACAATTTCGGCAATTCCATCATCCTCAAAGGGACTTTACAACCGCGACGAGCTGCAGGAAGATGCTGTGTGGCTCAGCAAGCAGGTCGACATCAGCGAACAAGAGTCCCTGCGGCTGGCGCTGCTGGAATGGCAGTATCGCCCAGAGTCCAGACTCCGGGAGGGATACTCTGAAGCAGAACTAGCAAGTTTGAAGGGGGCTCTTGGTTCAGACTACGTGGATCGGTATCTGCAAGCGAGAGGTGGCTCCCAAGCCAGAGATGATGCTGGTTTCCACTCCCAGGAATCGCGTCGAGCCCGGTTACTTTGCTTCCATCTGAGCCAGGAAGTGCTGGTTTTGCGCCTGAGTAAGGAACTCACCGAGCTCGACTCCTCCGACGACAAAGAGCCAGGAATCTCGTACCCTTGCGCGACGTATGCGAGTGAGGTCCGTGCTGGCCTGTACGATCTCAAGGGTGATATTACAATCGGGATCAAGCGCACAGAACAGCTCCTGCAGAGACTGGAATCTGGTCCCTCATGGGAGATCGAGCAATCACATCTGGGTCTTCTCAAAGACGTGAGGGACACCTGTACCCTGCAAATGATTGGACATGTCTTGGAGACTCTCTTCTTAGTGGTCACACGGTCGGAGAAAACCCTGCCTTCAGAGTCAGTTAGCCTTTGGGCGCGCTTGATGTCGTCCGTGGGATTTTTTGCATCATTTGTGTCCGAAATCGAGACGCAGACAGTGGCGATACAGAAGATGCAGTCGACTGCCTCCATGTTGAGCCTGGCGATTCTCAATGTGGGCTCGACCATTGACACTTTGGTGACTACAGCGTCATCAGGTCAAATGATTCATCCTGGGTCACGGCCGGAGTACTTCTTTGATCTCGAATCTACTTCGCACGTTCATGACCTGCTCTACAGTGCAGCTTCAACAGGGAACGTGCTTGCCGGACCTGCCATCCTTGCCTGGGCAATGATCATTTACAAAGTCCAACAACTAGCCTCCTTGATCAAGGAAAAGAGAGAGTCACAACATGTCCAGCGGGCTCTTGACGCCGTCTCAACATTTGACGCAGCAACCGGACGCCGGACCTCTGGCAGCGGCTCCGCCTTCCAAACGACAGTCCTCGAAGATCTCTTAGACACGGTCATGATTCACAGCACAAATGACGATCCTTCGAGTTTTCTCCTCGATGCAGCCCTCGGCCGATGCAACGTTGTCGACTACTTTGCCGTTCTGAGTTCTTCGCTAGGTGGCCTTACGAACCCGCTACCCATATACCAAGTCCAAGGACTGCAAGAAGCCGTTAAAATGGCGCAGTTGTTGTTGGGTTACATCCCAGAGTTGATATCGTCTCAGCTGGCTTTGCTGGCTGTCGACGCTGACAATCGATCAGGACAGAAGCTCTACGATCCCATAATCACCTTCATTGAGGACGAAGATCTGCTTCGAGGATTTTACGACACGGCAGCAGCCAGATTTCCGTATGAATGCCTGCCCTTTCTCCAATTTTCTCGAGCCTTGGCTAGGGCGTCCATTTTTAGTGACGACGGTACCCAGTACGTCGAATACCGACTTCGAAGATTGACATCCTTGACTCGAGCGGTCGGGAAAGGCGTCAACTACACAACAACACGGGAGGACGAAAGCGGCAGCTTTGTGACTCTAGAAACACCAGTCAATATGCTTGACTTCACGCAAAACAAGCTTCTGACTTATACCCACCAAGAGACCGAGACCACGTCCATCGTCCCGGCGGACACAATTGGGGAACTCATTTCCGATCCTGATGCAGGAGGTCCAGCCGTGATTAGATGGCAATACGAGTTCTCAGGTCTTGCATACATGGGTCAATTGCTGGAACTCTACTACATGGGACTACTCGCGGCAACAGTTTCTCCGTCGGAAGATCTTGAAGGCGTGGTTTCGGAGGCGATCGGTGTTCTGGCGACGCTTTTGTCAACCGTGTTGAGCAACAATCCGCTTCAGCAGACAGCAACTGAACTTCAAGACCATTGCACGTCGATTCTGGACGAAGCCAGCAGCCATCTTAACCCAGAGGCGGACATTGTACAGTACATCTTTGACATCCTCGAACAAGAGCTACAGAGTTTCCGACGACGTATCATATCTACCTTCGATTGTCGTATCATGACTGCCTGTCTAGACTTTATTATCGTCTTGACCGACCTGAAACCGCAATTGGTCTGGTCGAACCTCAGACGAACAAGTCTTCTAGGCCATCAATCGGCTTCATCACCCATTCTCGCCATCGTGTCTTCAGTTGAAGCCCCGCTTCAGATTTTTGACTTCTTGGAAAAATGCTTGGAGCTGTACCACTCCTTGGTCGGATTGGCTCTCAGACAGGCAAACACTAATGCTGCAGTGACGGGACCGGTGATGGGGTCCAAGCTATCGACTGCCTGGCGTGTTCAAGCTCCAATGCTCCTGAGTGCAACCGAAGTATTCTATCAAGTATTTCACGAGATCTCAGACTGGTCCTTTCGTAATCCACAGCAGCAGCTTCGCATCAGCACCAGCATCGCCAAATCGTTTTCGGACATCATTCAATACGCTTTTGGTTTTGGTGCTTCGTTCAGTGCGATCAGCATCGCAGCAGCACCTTTTACAGAGGCGGCAACATACCTTGTTTCAACACTTCGGGAATCGGGGTCCCAAGATCTAGGGTTGAATCCAATCGCACGATCACTATTCGCAACAAGCATTAGTGACAAGAGTTTTCTGCTGGGCGACGAGTCAGTGCTGCCGGACGATGCTGGCTTTGAGCGTTATGTACGATCACAGCTGTCACTTGCCACGTTGCTTGTGCGCTACAGTCACGTCCAAGGATTGCCTTTGTCACCCTTGGACAGGCACATCTTCGACACGGTCCCCGCCTTAGTGCGAACCCTCCAAATCGGGCCATCGATTCGTGCCTCTTGCTTGGGGTTGTTGGGGAACGTTCTTGTTCGCGTAGGACGCCATCAGCCGTCGTCGTTACTCGGCGACCTGGGCTCATCCTCATGCATTGACCTACTCAACGTTCTCCAACATGTCGACGCCTATGCTAAGTCGCCTCAGGAACGCGCAGAAGTGTGGAAACTGCTGAGCCAGTTGGTCAGGGATTCCCAACAATGGCTGGCTATGGTGATCCTGACTGGCTCTGTCCCGGAGGGCTCCAAGGAGAAGAAACCAGAAACAGAGGCCGCGCTTTCTATTCGTGGCAAAACTTTTCTCCAAATTGCTGTCGACGAGGTGCGAAGCATCGCAAGTCTTCCGCCGCAAGTTGCGATAGCAATGCTGGACTTCGTTCTGCAGGCGCAGCAGAATTGGTCATGGGTCACGCAAGTTCTCTCCTCGTCCAAAGATTTTTTTTCCAAAATTGTCCAATTCGCTATGAACTCTGGCACCCAGGCCTCCGACGGCACCAGTCTCGCCAATCAAAATCTGATCGCAGCTCGCGTCACAGATATTGCCAGGACGCATCTTCACCATGCTATTGTAGCGAGGGACATGAGTGCCATCAAAACCTACATCCCACTAACCAACTGGCTCGCATCAAACGCGGTTAGTGTCTCAAGCTACAACGCCTCCTTACACGGAAACCTGCGCCGCAACTTCGCCGCCAAGTACAACGGACTAAGAGTGGTCGATATCAAGACTACGGGCTTGAGCGAACGGGAATTCGGCCCTGGCTTCTATTATGATACAGATTTCGCGAACAAGTTGCTAAATCGCGATCCGTCTTGGCAGGGTGTCGGAGGGAGGTCTAATGAGCAATCGTTCTCCGCAGAGTTTCGTCGTGCCAACACAAACCTCTCAATCGTTGAGTCCGAGTTGGCGCTTTTGTCAAGCTTGCAGCGCCTGTGTATTGAGCACTGCAAGTTCTTCGTCCAGGATCGCGAAATGCACAGAGCCATGGCACGCATCATTCGACACTGTCTTGAGGCAAACTCACACGCCTATCCTACGGAAGCGCTTTTCGAGTCCTTGTTTCAGAAGCGAGCAGACCTAGCAATTGCTCTTTTACGGGAACTTGTTGCAGCTGGTGCCAAGGGCTCTGACATGATGGGCTTGCTGGAGCATGCTTGGACTGCTGTACGATTCCGAAGCGGATCCTACGAACAAGCTATCGTCAACAACGATCTGACGTACTGGCGTTCAGTCCTTTCGATCTTGCTCATGACCCTTCAAGTCCATGTCAATTTGAAGCAGAAATTGTCCGTGGTTTCGAGCGGTACCACTGCGATCGTCCCTCTCGACCCAGAAAGCCCTACATTCCTCGAAATCACGAGCAGCATTGTGGCCGAAGGTCTCAAGTCCATCGTCGTCGCACTTCAGGACCAGAAAGAAATCAGATCGAAGGCTGACGCTGGTGACGGGGGTGATCTGGTTGGGCTGCGGGACGTCTCGATCCTGTTGACCCTTATGCAGGCCATTCTGAGGCTGCCTAGTCTCCCCCAGTTTGCTGCAGAGCTGTCGGATCGGCTGTCTTCCTCGGGCGTCATCTCGTCATGTTTCATACTCTACTCATGGTCTCATCTGCTGGGTGGGTCGGAAACAGAGAGCCAGCCTCGTTACGCCGACTACTGTGTGCAGTTCCTTGCATCTATTTCTTCTTTACCACTTGTCGCTGAAGAACTTGCCATTGAAGGGGTGCTAAGCCGCATCCTTTCCTCCAAGACGACCGAGGCACTTCAACGGGTTGCAGGCGGCGTCTCCCATAACGATAACAGGCGCAACTGTGCTTTCCTTTACCGCGTCTGGGTAACTGGCCTGCTACCTCTTTGTCTCAATCTTCTGCACGCCGTTGGTGGCGCCATCGCACCAGAGATCTCAGTCTTCCTCAATCGGTTCCCTGATCAACTCATTCGCGCGAGCACAAGCTTAATGCCGACACCGCAAACAAAGGCTTCGGGTGCTGATGTTTTGACATTCGGGGTATCAAGCGAAGCAGCAACATTGGCCCTTATATCATATGGTCTGGCGTCATACCGTGATGCTGGAGCCTCTGCCGCAGTGGACCCGACGACCATTCTACCATTGAAAGGCTACGACGAGCACCGGAAGGCCATCTTGGAGGACTTGCGCGACTTGATTGCCATGAAAGAGGATGCAAGACGAAAGATCACCGCGCCAACTGATGAGAAGGAAATGACCTGGCAGAATGCCAAAGACGGAGATAAACTCGATGGTAAGATTGTGAAAGAACTGAAAATGGCTGTAGCAGCATTGAGCCGAGATGACGATGATGACGAAAAGTGAGCGGAGCCATGTTGGATTACAGACCCCGACGTCCTACGACGCTGACATGGTACGAATTTGACGCGTGAATATGAATTCCTGAATACTGATTGCCTCTTGTCTCTTCTTAATTGTGTGACTGGGGCATACGCCAGCTGCCACCCGCCATTGAAATGCCATTGCTCCACCTGGCGTCTTCGCTGGCCGGAAGGCTCAAAATACCAACAGAACTGCTGTGTCGTCACTTTTTGAGACGGGATCTCAGCCTGGGTAGAGGGGGGTCGAAGAGGCCTTCACCCAGCTTGATGGCTCTACTGGTAACAATACTATCAATGGCCGCGACTTCCAAATGCTCAGTGGTGGCCTTGGCTGGATCTGGGCCCAAAACATTGGATACGGTCGATCTGCTTGGTTTCACATGTCGAATTGTCTGACGGGATTATTAATGATCATCCCCACTGCCAACGCTTCTGGCAAATGTTTCGTTGCTGCTGCGCGAGAGCTGGGACAGCGATCATCGCGCGAAGCCTGAATCTATGCATCGTCATCCACCTTTCATCCGCCTGTTACCTCGAACGAATTGGCTCGTCAATGCTACATCCAATCAACCGGCCTGCAGGACTACTTTCGGCGCTTGCAATGCTGTCCACCATCCCATGGCCGGTATGATGTACAAAATCCAAGACCTCACAAGCGTCATTCATTCTACGCTTTACAGTGTCGCCAACGACCTCATAGCCTGGCTCCCTCCTTTCTCAGCCTTTCCCTCGTAACATCTCTCAGCTGTCTCCTCAAAATCTTGCCTGAGGGATTCTTCGGGATCACATCCAAGAACTCAACACCACCCGCCAACCTCTTGTACCGGACCACCTTGCCCTCGACGAACTTCTTGACGTCTTCTTCCGTCAGCTTGCTCCCTTCTGGTCCTACTTGCCTCACCACGAACGCTCGAGGCTTCTCGTCTCCGTCGTCGGTGGGCATGCCTATTACAGCGGCGTCGGCGATCCCGGGGTGTTCCAGCAACAGCGCTTCCAGCTCGGCCGGGGCAACTTGGTTGCCCTTGACCTTGATTAACTCCTTCTTGCGGTCGACGATGAGAAACTTTCCGTCATCGTCCACGTAGGCAATATCACCTGTCTTCAGCCACCCGTCCGGCGTTAGTGTCTCCTGCGTGGCTTTCGGGTTGCGCCAGTAGCCCTTCATGACGTTAGGTCCACGAACCCATAGCTCACCCCGAGCATCGGGTCCGCGCTCCGTGATCTCCGCGAGGCCATCTTCGGTCATGATCTTCGCTTCACAGTTGGCATTGGGTTCACCAACAGCCTGGGTCAGGGATGTCGCATTGGGATCCCAGCCCAGAAGCGAGCAGGTACACCTGTTGATCAAGAGTTAGTTCTGCAGACTATGACTAGTGTCAATATCCTGGCTCTCTCTTACTCGGTCATTCCCCAGCCTTGTTTGAAATTGAGTCTGCCTCCTAACCGTCTCTCAACCTGTTCGGAAACGTCTCGACCCAGTGGCGCTGCTCCGCACCCTATCTGTTCGACTGAGCTCAGGTCGTACTTCTCCACCGCAGGATGCTTTGCTAGCAGGACGGCGATGGGTGGAACAAGCGTATAATCCGTAATGCGAAACTTCTGGGTATACTCCAGGAATTGGAGGAAATCGAACTTCGGCATGACGTAGACAGGGATCTGGCGGTTGAATGCTCCTGCGATATAGAATGTCTGGCCGTAGGCATGGTAAAGAGGTAGGAAGCACAGCCACGACGCTCGAGCCGTGCGCTCCTCGTGGTTCGGGAGCAGTTTGCCCATTTCCTGGACCTGGATCGTGTTGGAAATGTAGTTCTTGTGAGTGATCTCCACGCCCTTGGGAACTCCAGTTGTTCCGCTGGAGTAATTCAAGGCCAGCGTTGTGTCACACTCTCCGGGTCCAGTGAGATCGTCCCATTGAAAGCTCTTGGCCTCCTCGGCCGGCGCGACCAGGTCCCCCCAGTATCTGCAGCCCTTCTGCCCTTGCGTTTCGCCATCGTATATCTTGGCGTTGAACACAAACACTCTTTCGGCGACGTCGAGACCAGCCAATTTGGCAGCTTCGATTCCTGTCTCCAGGGAGCTCTCAGAGCACAGCAGATACGTCGCGCCGCTGTCCTTTAATTGATGGGCCAACTCTCGTGCCACGAAGGTCGGGTTAGCGCCCGTGAAGATCCCGCCCGCACAGAGAACGCCCATGAAGACGACCGGTACGAAGAGGTCATTGCCGCTGAACAGCAGAACTCGGTCTCCCTTCCTGAAATGCTTGGACCGCTGAAGACCGAGGGCAAACCGCTGGGCCCATAGTCGAAATTGGTCTCGCGTCAGGTAGTGCGTGTCCGGCCTGGCCGCCTCTGAAAAAGCACGTTTCGACCCAAGCGGCGTGTCGGGAGACGTGAACAGAAACGTCTGGAGCGAGCAATCTGGTATAGGAACGGTCCAGCGCGACCTATATGGCATTGCGACGGAGATTGGGAGAGTTCTACAGGGAATGGTCTCAGGTGGCGCGGAGCACGATGACAGGAATCGAGACTTTCAGCAGTGTCGAAGATGGTGCAGTTTGGGCGACGCGATATAACGACTTGACAATTGAGGAACCAGCGGCGAGAAAGCGACCTCTACAACTGATACGTACCGGGGTCTTATATTACCTTGACCATCCACCGTGCCGCTGGACTGCCACTGACGAGTGGGACGGCACTGCAAAATCCACGGCCTGGAGCATCATTCATCAAATTTGCCGAGGCTCATCTAGAATCATGACCCTGGAGGACGAAGCACTGAAGAAGATTCCAGGCTAGCGTCTGAGGGCACTAACGTTAGTGCGCGCTGCATGGGCGACGGAGCTGTTGCGGCGAGCCCTGCAAGCCAGCCCGTTCGAGCTAAGGAAGTAATGAGGGGTTCGAGGCACGGGGGGGTCGTTGACCTACCTCGTGCCCGTACTCCGTACTCCGTGCCGAGGCTAGCTTGATGAGGAAGCGGAAGCAGTATGTGCGAGCAGTCTTCATAGCCTGAAAGGAAAGGTACCTCTACACATATACATTGATTCCTACAACTGCTCCACTGAAAGGAGCCGTTTCGAATCTCTGGAACCTGGACGCCGCATGCCATAACACCTCGCCTATTCAAGCTCGCATATATCCCGGCCCTGTCGAGTATATGTTTACGTTTTCAACCTTCGACACTCAAGCCTCGTATGTTGCGCCAGGACCGAGTCCATGTTTCTCATACAGCTCTTCTGGCCTCCTTCCCAGCCTCCCGGCGCTGCTCCTTAATTTGCCTCTCCTGGCATCAATCAGAGGTGAGATATACTGGTCGTCGACTGTACCACCGACCATCTTGTCGCCCTTTCTCAAATAGCTGGTTGCGCCCAGTAACGTGGGCTGGAAATTGACGTAGATGGCCTCCCAGTGCTTGGGGCTCACTTCCCAGACCTCATGGTTGATGCCGATGTGGTCATTTTCCTTGATTTTCTTGTTCCACCAATCCCAGGCCTCCTTGTGCAAGTCGCCGTATGTGAACTTATGGATGTCTTCCGTAGACCTCCAGTAACTGATGGTCAACAACTCGGTTGCCCCGTTTTTGTCCTGGCTGGTCCACGAGGAGGCTCCGTAGAAGCCGGCGTTGGTGTTGTCCTTTTCCAGAATCTTGATCATTTCCGTGAGGTAATCACCGAATGGCTTAACATTGGGGGCGAAGAGGCCCAGTGGATGGTTGATTTTGGCACCTAACAGGAAGACCACAACTGTCTCCTGCGATGCCCCCTCGTGGAATGTGCCGTCCTCATCCGGGACTTGGGGTGATGTGCGGTGCATTATGGCATCATCCAGATAGTGGTTCCTTTTCCAACCGTACGTGATGGCCAGAGTCTCAGCAAGACGTGCACCGAGGATGAGAAGCGACGGAAGAACGGCGTAGAACCGAGGTATGATAAACACAGCTAGCGACTGCAAGAATGCCCCTAGAAGTATCCAAGTCGACAGTGAGAAGTTCTGACGAAGCATCTGCAAGACAGTCAGTGCTGGAAATGCGAACAAGGAGTAGGGAGAATTACATAGAGAAGTCTTCGATTTGCGCTGGGCCAATTCAATTGCGCTCGTGGCGGCGTTGCAGATGGAGGAAGTAGTGAGTTGAAGGCCATTGCAACCAGTAACGTGAGCGTCGCCAGATGGTGATAGTGCTACGTGTTTGATCGGAGTTTGCTGTGATGTGGTTGGATGTGAGGAGATGTGAGTTATCAACCGATGATGGATGGGGTGTAGACCAACTGACCCGACTTTATATCAAGCTCTGGGTCGTAGATACTGTGGAGGACGGCACGACGCACTGCAGGGCATACCGAGCGCAAAAGTCCAACGGACTCTCTTACCAATTGCATCATGTGCATTTCGCCTTTGCGGACGCAAGAGTTCTTAGTTGAGCATGCCAAAGAGCTGGGGTAAAGCTGGCTTGGAATGCATCAGGCGAAAAGATGCGGCATTTGTCAATCCCCGTGCGTCGACCCAGAGCCGAACCGCAAGCTGGAGTCTCTAGGATCACAAGCCGCTGTGACAGGCAACAAAGCGTGGCAAGTACGATTACAAGTCCTAAGGCCGTAAGAATCGAGGAGTACCTTACTGGGCGGAGCATATGAAGCCCGCCGGCGAGGAGATATTGGGGGCGAGGATATTTGTAATTGCGGGGGTTTCGCTGACATAAGGGCATTATGGCTCGTCTCTGCAGATTCGGCCGTAGGATCAGTCGATGGCTCGACGCGGGGCCTTTCCCACGGCCGTAGGACAAGGACGTCCCTGCTGACTGTGTTACATTTGATCACCAAGATACGTACTCAAAGAGAGCAGGATACATTAACGTAAGCCGCGATTTCTCTAGGATTCGGGGTAGTCGCTACGTTTGACTGACGAGCGGATACGACTCCCACCGCAACATATAAGTATGGATATGGACCACTAGATCGTGTTGCGTACCGGAAACTGCTGTCCCAGAGCCGACGTTCAACAGCGGTCCCCCCACGTCGAACCCGCGTCACCAAGAGGAATGCTTGTCAATGAGAGGGACCGAATTTCCGGCTGGTCGGCCATGCTCTAGCAAGAAAGCAAGCATTCTTTGCGGTCAAATAGCCATAGATACCCGGAAAGCACATCCGGAAGAGCGGGCATCCGAAACAAGCCAAATCCGGATTATGCATCTGTGTATTCAGGAAGCGAAGGCGGGCGTACTTGAATCGCAATCAGTCGATTTACTCCTCGTCTTTCTTTTATGATTCTATCTCTACTCTAACCCTGTCTCTGCTTTCTATGCCGTCAATTCCATAATGCGTCGCTTCGCCCTCCAATAACCCATGCAAGCCATGCCAGCTATGCTGGAGACCGAGATCTGTTCATAACGCTTTCGATTTGGCACCCCTTATGAAGTTGAGGACTTCGAGATCTTCGCAGGAGGGAGCCCTAGGCCGTTGGAGTTGCGGAAGAATAGCACACCGGCTTGTTCATCGGTGGCTCCCTCCATTGGTTCGACCCAGCCGCACCATCTCATCGATTTCCACAAGCTCTTGATGAAGCCCATCGGACCATCCTTGACATCACTGCGATAGTGACGACCCATGACCTTCTTGATCGCCTCACTCGCCTCGTCTGCGTGGTAAAACGGGATGGTGCTGACATAATGGTGCAAAACATGGGTCTCGATGATCCCGTGCAGCAATTGACGGCCGATGAATCCGAATTCTCTGTCGATCGTGGCGGCCGCTCCGCGAGTATATGTCCACGTCTGGGGGGTGTAGTGCGGAAGAGATGGATCGGTGTGCTGCAAATAAGTGATTGCAACTGTGGACATGTCAGCAGGAGAGGTCAGGAACATATATGCAGCCGCCAAGAACTTACCCAACCAGTGGTTGACCCAAAGATATGGGGCGAAATACCATACGAACAGATTGGCGAAACCATAACGCTTCCCAATCGAATAAAGAATGCTACCCACGACGAGAAGACCGAGATCACTCAGAGCGATCAGCTTGGCATCCTTTGCCTCGTACAAAGGGCTGCGAGGGTCGAAGTGATTCACACCGCCGCCGATACCATTGTGCTTGCCAACACCACGACCCTCACGTTGTGCCTCATGCTTGTTGTGGCCGGTGACATTTGTGAACAAGTACATTGGCCACCCGAAAAGTTGCTGGCTGATGAGGTGAACTGCTGTGGCAAGGGGAGTCTCCTCAGTAAGCTCGTCAAGCTGGTGAAGCAGGTAGCTTCTACGCGAGCAGAATTCGTCCTTCGTCTTCGGAACAAATACCATGTCTCGCTCCATGTGGCCAGTCGCCTTGTGGTGCTTGCCGTGAGAGATTTTCCAGGAGAAGTATGGTACCAGAAGAGACGTGTGGCAGAGGAAGCCGACAGTGTCATTCAGGACTTTGCTGGGGGAGAAGGATTGGTGACCACATTCATGGGCCAACACCCAGAGACCTGTGCCAAAAAGGCCTTGCACGAAAGTGTACAAAAACCAAAGGCCGGCTCTGAGAGGAGCGTATGGGACGTTTTCCGGTGTCAGAAAGCGGTTGAAAAGGTAAAAGGTGACGGCCAGGGAGACCACGTCTCTAGCAACATAGTAGAGACCAGTGGCAGCAGATCGCTCGAAGCAGTGCTTGGGAATGGCCTTGTGAATATCGCCAATGGTGTAATCGGGAACCTCAAAGGGATTGCCATATGTGTCGACCAGTTGCTTCTTTTCAAAGGCCTGTTTCTGAGGGGCGGCGTCTTCAGATGCAAGGGAGGATAATGAGGTGGAGGACGGAGAGGATCTCGGACTATCGAGGGGGGAGATGTTGGCAGACGAGACCGGCGTAGAATCGGTGGTAGCCATGCGGCGAAGAGCTGCCTCGACGGGCAGAGCCGTGGTAGTCATGGTCTACTACTGGGTAGGAGAGGCTGATAGGAACTTTGGTGGTTGACTTGCAGGGGAGCGAGGAATGTTACAGGGCGTTGAGTGATCTCAAGAGTCCTGCAGGCTGAAGATTGGAACTGTCGCTGAAGAGGCGTAGGTCAGGAAGAGGAAGGAGTTTTCAGCTCGAGAAAGATAACTGTTATTGCAGGGCCATGGGGCAGAGAAGTAAACTGTGACGGACTGGTCCTACTCGTATCATAGAAATGAACAGCCAGCGAGTGGTGCAAGGGCAGGGCGGTGGAGAGAATGTGTGGGTTATCGGCAAGTGATTTTTTTGGCAGGGGTGAAAATCGCATCTTCTCAACAAACTTGAGGTCCCTCCAAGCTAGCGCGACAGGGATGCAACCCAGCTAAATCCAGGGCGCAAAGAGCTGGACGCACGTCCCTGGCGGTGAGCGACGATTTTGCAGCTGGGGCATCTACCACAGTACTGTGTAGGCCGAGGATCGCCCAGAGATGGAAGATGCAGAGCTAAGGATGCAAATACACCAGTGCCTGAGCTACAGTCCGCATCGACTCATTAGCGCAACCTGGTGCATTACGAATCTCCAGTACAGGTTACTACTGCGTTCAGCATACGTTTCACTAAGCATCGAGCGAGAGACACTCAAGTCAACTGTGCTTGTAAAGGAGTTCACGAAGAGATGGCTAATCATATTTGAGCAAGATCTGTTTTTGTGAGCCTATCAAGCTGGCGTTGGTCGCGTACCCCTCCTACTTCTAGGGCTAGGCACCCTGTTGAGGCTGGTGGACTCGAACGACAAAGATCAGCAGACACTCGGAGAACAACGCTTCTTACACCGTATAGCCAAATCACCAAATACCCCTCGCAAAGAGGTGCGAGCATCACATCAGCCAGCAAACCACGGCGGGTTTGCTACGTACACAGTTTGCTTCGTTTACCGCCGATGTCTTGGGGATTTTGACCGTAAACTTCCGGAAGCCTTGGCCGCACGCACCACTCGCTACAATGGGCGCGCTCAGATCCCTCCAGCAACATGCGTGTCCGGTCCGCTGGTAAGACGTGGCAGCATGATGTGTGACAGCCAACGTCAGCTGGTAAAGCTGAAAGAACCGGTAATGCTTGCCGCTTCGAGCACATGCTCACCCCCGAGGAGGTGATTGCTGCCAGCCGAGGATGAGCTGGTCAGTACAGTGTAGATCCAAAGCCAAATTGCGCCGTGCATGTGCAAGATATGCGATTTTCATGTGCAATAGGGAAACGAGCCATCACAGCAGCATCTTTTGTACTCGGTGTCATGGACAAGATCAATGAATGAAGGACGATTGTAATTGAGCCGAAGCCAGTGTCTGCTCTACATCACACTTAGCCGGGCGTATATAGGGGAGAATGACAGGGCTCACTTTGAGATTTGACGGGCTCGACGGACAGTGGAACCCAGCGCATCGTAGCGATACTCCGCACAGTCGTTCTGTGTCCTTCGTTACCGATATGCAGGGCGAAATCGGAGCTCCACGAAAACGAATTTGTTGGGGGGCTGAGACTCGAGGCTAACCTTCCTCGACCTTTGCTCATGCTTGAAGGGTCCAACGTGGGCGTGGCAGTCTCGGCAATGGCGTCCCCCACTTCGGTAGTCGCACTAGGCTCCATGGGGAATAGCAATCGGTTCGTGCCGCTGAAGACCCTGGTAGAAGCTCTTCAAGTGGTTCTAGAACTGCCGATAGCGCGACGGTTCCTGGCGCTCTGTGTCACTGTACATCCTCGCAGTTTTGAATGCGGCTCAAAATCCTCTGCCCACATGGTTGGACTCTAGGATGCAGCCCTGGCGGCTGAGAAAAGATTTCGTAGCCCAATATCCACCAGTCAGCCAACACCTCCCCGACTCTCACTTGCTATTAATCTCCCCGTGCAATCCTCTGGTATTGCTCCGAACACTTCCACGGTAGTGCTTCGCAGATCTGGGGTAACCAGAACACTTCGGCCGTGGGTCGCGTTGTGCAAATCGCTCGTCACATCTACCCATTCGTCCTTGCCACTGTTTGGAGCTCGCCTGCGACATCGTAATGTGACTGTAGGGATAAGAAGGTGTCCGATATGCTGCGGAAACAAGACAAGCTGTGTGCGGGTAGGCTGTTGGGTCAACCGGACATTGCCTTTCCGTCTTCCACCAATCAACCAGGAGTCAGAAGGGGCAACAAGCTCAAATGATCCCTCAAGTTCAAAGTCCACCTTGTCCTCCGTGTTTAGAACGAGTTCAGCCATGATGGGCTGGCCAACCATAGCGGCGGAACCTGTTGTCGCCGAGAAATCGAGGTCCAAGAATGCCAGGACCAATACTGGCCTCGGCGGAAGGTCAACGAACAATCTCAACTGCCGCTGAGGAACTTTGGAAGCCGTAAACTTGATGCTTGGTGTTCGAGAATGCCAGTCTCGAAGCCAAAGTTCGATGTTGGCTCTGGCATGTCCGTCAAACGCACACAAGACCGAACCCCAATCCATGTCCTCCATCTTCCATACCTCAAACTCCTGCAACAACCCAGCCACCTCCACATCCTGCTCGGTCCATGTCGATCGAACTCGCGCCACCAAATGCGACGCCAGGAGTCTGGCTGCGAAAGCATGATCTGATCGAAGAAACTCTTGGACGAAGTGGGTCTCGAGAATCGCGAAAATTATGCCGTCGAGAGATTGAAAGTCGACGACGAGTGTCATCTTGCCGACGGCGCCTTTGGCGTCTTTGCGCTTCGGGATCAGCCGTACAGTCCAATTGGCGGGATGCTTCGGAAACACCACATATGGCTCATCAAAACTTACTCCAGTCACCAGGTGATAGGAGTCATTGTCCTCCAGCTTGCAGCCAATGAGACGCAAAGGCACCATGGTCGACGGACTTATGGTGAACTTGGAGTACATGAAGTCCCTGCGGAATACATCTTGCACATTGACTGTCACAGGTAAAATGACCTTGATAGACAGCGTATCGTGGAATGTGAACGTCCCTTCGTCGGTCTCATAGTTGGCTTCGATGCGTAATGTCACGGCTGGCTCCGAAGCCACTTCCATGGTGTAGGGAATCTCCACGTCCGTAACAGATTCTGGGCCTAGATCATTCATGATTATCAGCAACGCTTCGCCCTCCCGTGCTGTTGACAGACAAACAGACTTTCCTCGCTCGTCTACTAGCTTCGAATCATGGATGTTGAGTCTTAACCCTGCTGTGGCTGTCCGCAGGCGGAGTTTGCACTGCTTGATGTCGTTGCGACCCGGCCTCACTTGGAGCAAGAGTCGCCGTACCTCAGCCAAATGTACGATCGGAAAGGGATACATTTTGACGCCGAAACTTCGGTAGCTGGGATAGACAAGGAGGGGCACCACAGCTGACTGAGCGTAGAAACTTTCCTCAGACCGGGCTGCTTCAACATCCTGCCCTGACTTCAAATGGTGCAATAGCCTCAGGTTGCCAATGGACAGTTCAAGATCATCAGGAAAATACCAGCCTTGAGTAGTCACAGGAGTTTCCAGAGTTACAGTCGTGCTTGCGGTTGTGATAACCACCTCCTCGCCCAATGTAAGCACAATAAATCGTGGATCACCGCCATCCTTGGTAACCAGTCGCAGTTTGATGTCCTTGATAGCAGGAGCGCAAATGCCAGGCAGACAGGCTATGTCTACTGAAACAGAGAAACCGTCTCTACGCTCTATCGGGGAGATAGTCCTCGAAACTGTAGCGATACGGAACAGTGATGCCGCTGGAAGGGTGGTGGCTGGTATTGTTGGCAAGATCCGGAATAGTTCGTCGACATAAAGTTGCCTCGAAATCGACAGTGATTCCATTGAGGCATTGCTCCGAGCGGTGCTTGTAAAGTGCAGGCAAGATATCAGACATCTCGTGTACTCGCTTGGTCTATCCAGATTCCGTAGACAATCGGCGTAGATACGCAGCAGATAGCCTTCCGACACTTGGTAGGAGAACTGGGGTAGTGAACCAATGATGGTGTGAAGGTAACGAGCTGCGATAACGTAATTCCCTTGCGAGTACTCCATCCCAACCAAGTCGATTAATATCTGCTTCGATGTAGGCCCGTTACCCGTCCCAGAAAGGGTTCGGTAGGAGAAAATAGACAGGATGAGGTAGAGGGTGGTAAAAGCCTGTTTGGAGGAGGCTGCGGCTTTCAAAGTGGTCGAATCCAAACCCGCAAGAAGCTCAGCATGTGCAACCTGATCGTCCATTTTCCCGGGATTACTCTCGCCATTGGGGACACGGCTCGTGCCATGTTTGCCAAGATCCGTAGCCAATCGTGTCATGTTCATGACCCATGGTCTGGTTGCTTCAAGATTCTCTAGCAGGTGTCTAACCATTAGCACCAGCCTTGAAACCCATAAAGCAAGGCGTCGATAGCCAGGACGTGCCGTGATGGATTGTTGATAGCTTGTTCCATTAGACATAATTGAGTTTCTCGTGGAACGCTCCTGAGAACGTTCGCGCGAAGGGGAACGCTCGCGTCCCAGAGAAATATGCGAGGAGCTCGCGGCGAACTCAGAAACGTGACGCCCATAGTCATAATCAGCACCCCGAGAGAGCTCGGCAGCACCCAGAGAAAGAGCCTGGTGGTCATGTTCATCGTCAGTATCGAGTGTTGGCACAATCTGCGTAAGGATTTGCATAGCAGCTCGCCACTGCCAGGTACAAACAATATTACCAGTAACTGTGCGCTGATTATGCAGCTCATCTCCACTCAATCCTTCCTGCCCGCCCCAGGCATGATAGAGCTCGAAACGAAGTGTGCGCCCAGCAAGACTGATAAACTGGATAGCTCGTTCCACCAAATCAGCCTGTATGACCGGATTGAAGCTGGCTTTACTTGATTGAGAACCTTTTGTCGACCCTGAATGCGCTTGTCTGTTCAGGATTTGCATCTCGCGAGTGAACAGGTAAATGCGGAGGTCAAGGGCTGATACTTCGTTCGACAGGATGAGATTCTGGTAGTTTGTCCTGTCGGCATCAAACGGGAAATAGTCGCGATCCGCATTGAGGATATGCTTGAAGTCCATGGGCAAATCAAGGGACATGGATCGGGCAGGCTGTATCTCAGAGTCCAGAGCAGTGCGAAGGAGGGTTTTGGTTTGTTTCGAGAAAGATAACAACGCTCCACTGTCATCAGTGTAATCTGCTCGAGCTTGTTCTTTGACGAGAGCGTCGAGACCCAAGGACAGCTCGTCGTACACGCCGAGGGCATCCTCTAGCAAGCCAAGATTTTCAAATCCTTTGGCGAGACCCTCCTTCAGAATGAAAAAAGTGCAGAAATTCCAGCCGGGAAGATGTCTTTGGCTGTCACGTTCGCGAATATCTGACTCATATTGCGCGACCCGAGCATCGAAGGAACGCAGGATACAAGACTTGAGGCTGTCCACCAGATCTTGCCATTGCTCTTCCAACTCCGAAGGTGTGAGCGCCGTGGCCTTGTCGCCTGGTTCGAGGATTCGGACCTGAGCAACACGGCTGAGGCCAGACTTGGAACTGCTGAAATCGGCCCTCAATTTGTCGAAGATGGTTGAGGAGCCCTTGCCCGACCATTTGGATTTGCTGTTAACGCTATCGGTACTTTCAGACGCTTCCACCGAGATGTGCTTCGAGGACTTTGCTTGACTCGCTGCCGGGGTGTTTGGCAGCACCACATGCAGAATTAGCCATTCAGATGCATCGTGGTCTTCCTGGCTCTTGCTTGAAGACTTGTTGTCACCCGAAGGTATTTGTGATTTGACCCATTGGCGGACCTCCTTCCTGACCTTCTCTTTGTATGTTTCTTTGTCGTCGCATCGGACCAAAAGAAGCTTGACGTAGGGCGTTTCGCGAAGACCAGGGATCTGATGCCTACGGACGCTAGAATGCGCGCCTGCTAATTTGTCCTCCCGAGTCAAGGATATATTCAAATTCTCAATCGATCGAAGCGGTCGATTCGGTGCTTTCCAATGGAGATTCCGCAGAGGGCTCCTGGCGGAGAGACGAGGCTGGACACGGTCGAATAGACCATTCGGATCGGTGCACTGGATGATTACCTTGGAGTTGGTAGTGGCAGGTATATCCGTTTCGTCCATGATATGTGAGAAGGGATGGACTTCGCAGGGATAGACGACCTAGACGGACTCATTGTGGCAGTGCGTCTAGTGGAGCAAGTGTGCAGTATATGGAGGCAAGGACCTCATACTCTAGCAGAGATGATGACGATTCCAGGCATTCAGCACGATGCAAAGGCCACTCCTGTGTGCTCCAAACCCAAGTGGAATGACGATAGTGCACTGCTAGTGCAAATGCTCCACGGTAGGCTCACAGCCTTAGTGGGGATCCAGGCTTTGGTGGCTTCGCAGCTAACACTTCCAAGCAAATATTGGGTGCGTGCTTGCTTGGTGGCCACACGCAAATCCCCCTCCCAGCCGCCCCTCATTTCCAACTCAGCTCAGTGTTAACTTGTGGCCTCACAGATGTCTCAGGGCAAAGTGAAAAGTGAGTCAAGGTGAGTCGTACGGTGTATCCAGAGGGTGAGTCAGTGTTCGATGTGGTGTTGCCTGTTTCCTGGTTGAACGGTATAAATTCTGTTCGCCTTTGCTTCTTCTGCTTCTCATCCCCGTCAACTGCTGGTCTATCAAGTCCGCATGCCTACCTTTTGCTAGTACTTCCTGTACTTCCAACTCTCAGCCGCTTCGCGGTCACTCATTGATCAGTGACGCTCCGCCATCGAAATCCAACGCCAGCTCAGCATAGCCATGGCATCCTCCGCCCTTCCAGAGACTCTTCGCTCGGTGACCTCAACCAAGATTCGAGAGCTTAAAAAGCAGCGCGACCAGTACGAGGCCTCCAAGAAGCAGATTATCCGTGAAGTCAAGCCATGCACCGATGACCTTGAGAGAACTCGCAAGCTACTTGAAGGGTCTTGTCGTCAAGCAGGGCTTCGCATCGTTAGAGATGATTCGTCCGACGAGGATGTTGATCCAACGCCTCCTTCCGACCTAGCAAGAGCCCGCCGAAACCAACAGCTATTTCTTCGACAGGCTGCTAAGGATCCTGCCTTCGCTTCAGACCTCGTCGCCCAGATCCACGATGACTTGGTGGAACACCTCAACCTGAAAAGTGTGCAACACGAGCATGCGCAGTTCTTCTCTGAGCTTGTCACCGAGTGGCTCTCCGACCCCAAGAATGCAGACACAGGTCAATCTGGTGAAGGGTTGATGGAGGATTCGTCATTCGAAAATGTGGGTCGCAAGGAAATGCACGAGCAACGGGCGCAGTGGGAGTCCATCGTCTTCTCCGTGTCAGATGACGACGAGGCCACTATTCACGATTACCTTGCCAGGCTTTTCAAAGCACCTGCGACAGCCCGGAAGCACTTTGAGGACATAGAGAAGTCTACCAGGGACTTCTGCACCACTCTCCGCTCCACCGACGAGCCATTCGACACGGATGGTCTTCAGCCAACAATTAACGGTCTCCTTCAATCTGATCTTCTGTCACACGAGAAAGCCACCATCCTGAGATCCTTCCAAAACAACTCTGCCGTCCTGCAGGAAGTCGCCGATGTTCTCAACATGAGATTCGCCTCTCTTGAGAGTTGGAAATGGTCAACAATAGACGGCGCCATCTCCGTGGAACAGCGGCGGCAACTCAATGGAAAATACCGGGTTTTCATGGATGAGGATATCCTTGACGCACTCCTACTTCAGACACTTGGTATGAAATGGGCTCTCCATTTCCGGTCCTGCCTCACTCGGTTCTTCGAGTCTCCCGCTTGGCGGAGCGCAGGGAGCGGCGTTCCTCAGATCGACAAAGATCGCCGACGATGGTTTCTAGGGGAGGAATCCAGTCCAAGCTGCACCGTAGAAGGGAAACGAAAAGAGCTCTATGCGCAAGACTACTTCATGTCGCAATTGCCGCTCACTGAATCAGAAGGCACCCGTGGGTACGACAGCGATGAAGACTCGTCTACGACCAGAAAGAGTCCGGTGGAGACGAAACAAGGCCTCTTGCATCTTTTAATCACGGAAGCTCTCGTCGCAAGGCACCTTCGACCTAAAGTTTCCCATGCTGTCATCCGATCCGACTTTGAATGGTTCGGGCCTTCCTTGTCTCACTCTACCATTTACGCCGTCCTGAAGTTCTTTGGTGTCGACTCCACCTGGCTGTGCTTCTTCCGAGAATTTCTCAAAGCACCACTGAGGTTTGTTCAAGATGGTTCCAAAGGGCAGATCCAGGTTCGGCAACGAGGTGTGCCTATGTCACACGCCCTCAGTGATGTCTTTGGGGAGGTAATCCTCTTCGTCATGGATTTTGCTGTTAACACCGCAACCGAGAGCTATCTCTACCGCCTACACGATGATTTTTGGTTCTGGGGGACGGAGGATTTGTGCGCACGTGGTTGGGAAGCAATGACAAGTTTCGCTTCCGTCATGGGCATCAAGTTCAATCGGGAGAAGACAGGCAGCGTTGTGTTTGGCCACGGCATACACACGCAGACGAGCAATTCTGCTACCAATGACAGCGTTGGCGAGGGTCGTGAGACAGTCCCATCCAAGCCGGCCAGCTTGCCCAAGGGTGATGTGCGATGGGGCTTCCTGCGTCTTGACGCTGCCAAGATTCAGTTTGTCATCGACCAGAGTATGGTGGACGAACACATCAAAGAACTCCGGCGACAATTGTCTCATTGCACCTCGATCTTCTCCTACGTCCAAGCATATAATGCATACCTCGCACGATTCTTCAGCAACAATTTCGGCAAGCCGTCTCATGCATTTGGCCGTGACCATATTGACGATATGATCAGTACTTTCGCACGGGTCCAGAACGCTCTCTTCCTTGAGGAATCAGTGACTGACTACCTCGGAAAGATGGCACATCAAAAGTTTGGCGTCAAAGATATTCCTGATGGAGTGTGGTACTGGCCTGTTCAGATGGGTGGACTGGAGCTCCGGAACCCGATGGTAGTGCTCTATTGCATGAGGGAGACAATGCGTCAGTCGCCGCAAAAGATCCTTTCCAAGTGTCTTGACGCCGAAGAAAAGTCGTACATCAGCGCCAAGGCCCTGTTCGACTCCCAGATCAGGACGCACGGGAGAAATCGGTCGTGGCCTTCTTCTTCGCCCGGATTTGGTGACCAATTCATGTCACAGGACGAATACCTTTTGCACCGCGAAGAGCGCTCAGTCAACCTGTACAATGCCTATGTCCGCTTGCTCGACATCCCGGCGGAATTCGAACTTCAGGAGACAAAGGAGATCACGTCGTGGTTAAACATGCTGCCCGAATCGAGGTCCTCATCTGCAGCGTTTCGTCGGACGTTTGGCACAATGAAACCATACTGGAAATGGATTCTCGCCGTCTATGGTGCGCAAATCGCGGAGAAATACGGCAGTGTGCAGATTGTGGATGCCACGCAAGTGCCTCTGGGTGTCATCAGCGTCCTGAAGGCTGGGAAGATCCGATGGCAGGGTTGACGGGCTCACAAGCGGTTGGATGACAGGCATGTTGCTTCAGACGCACGAATTACAGGTCAAGGACCATGAGGGTAGGCGTTCAGGCGTACTGAGACTGCCTTTAGAAACAGGAAGCCGGCCCGTTCATACCTAGATGCTAAGCTGAGTTCGTAGAATATAACAACAGGTTCGGGTGCTGGTCCCGTCGTCAAAGTGTGGCAATCCGGTTCGGTTTTCGGACGATATGCAAACAAGCAGGTCCCTATTCCTGCGTCGTTGCTATGGCATCTGCTGGGCCACTCAACACTCTATCCGACCTTTCATAGAGCTTGCGAATCAGTTCTTGCAATCAATGCTCAATGGGCTCTTCGATACTGAACCTCATCATCGCCAAACTCTCCCAGTTCGTTCCACCAGATTTACAAGCTCAGGATGATGGCGACTTGGGATTGCGCCAACCCTTCGGCACCGATCGTGCCCAACAATGTCCACTCCACCTTCTGTCGGCACCAGATACGGAGCAAGCTCGGTCCATCTTTTTAACGCTTCACGTTCTTTTTCCACATGAACTACTTCCGGCGCTAGACCTGTTGGATCGACGGCTTGTCACGAAGCTCATTGCCGGACCATTCGCAGCAAAGCCGGATGAGAGTGCAAGGGTTGCCGACGGAGGAGAACCGCCTGCTAACGTGGCCGAGGTCGATGATCCCGCCCTCCCACCAGATACTGGCCATGAAGTGTTCTACGTTCAGTCGGCGTCTGCAGCTGAAAAGGCTAAGGAATCGAGACACCGCTCACGTTACTCCAAAGCAAGCACAACGTCAGCGCACTATGAAGTGTATCTTGATAGCTGGAATTGTTCATGTCCAGCCTTCAGTGTTAGCGCTTTTCAGTGCTTGACTCTGGAATCCCCTGCAGATGACGGGGCGCAGGAAGATTATGCGGCGCCAATACAGGACTCTCCCATGATGACACGAGGATGGGAATTTGGTGGCACTGCAACACGCAAAGTAGGCAGGATACCGAGCTGCAAGCACATCGTCGCGGCAGTGCTTGCGGACGCCGCTCCGCACCTGTTCGAGGACTCCTTCAAGGAAAGGGTTGTCAGGAAGGAAGAACTTGTAGCCTGGGGCAGTGGATGGGGAGAGATTGGTGGTAGCTAAAGGTGCCGCGGAATACAGAGACATCGAAGCCAGAACGTCCCGCAGGCGGACTACAACATGTTTTCAGGGGACGACAGGCTTGAACAAGGTGGGTTGCACCAATCTGACCCCAATGCGATATGCTCTGATGTCGATGAGATCCACATGCCCAAGGCAAACGCACATGCGGTGGCAATCTGTGGTCCTCTTCAATGGTCAAAGCGGTGCGACATGCGCCGTAGAGGAAAGAGACACCAGATCACCTAGGTCAGGGGTCAATTATCGTCCAGGCGTCTGTATCCGTCGTGGTTCAAGTCCTGAAAAAAGGACATTGGCTCACCGCGACTTCATCGAGCGCGTTCACCGGGGGCGCGCCGCATGTTGATGTACAATACCATCTTCCCAGCGGGCATGCTCTGGTCTTGCAATGCCGAATCCCTCCGACCAAGGACGCCATGCTCGATGCAATTGGGACGGAGCCATATCCATGCTGTTTAGCTCCGCTTCTTCCCTTTCACCTTCGCGTTACTTGAATCTTCAGTCTCCTTCTTGTCACCATTCACCTCGCCATTGGCTTTCTTCTCATCCTTGTCCTTGGCCTTCTCCTTTTCACCAGTCTTCTCTGCTTCATCCTTCTTTGCATCCTTCTCTTCTTGCTGCTGCCGATTCTGATTCTTGTTGTCAATCAGATCGTGGAAGGCAGTGATGGCGCGGACAAGGGAACTCAGGTAGATGGTCATGAGCTGGTCGTTGGTCTTGACGCTCATGGCGCGCGCAAGCTCGCTGTTCTCAATCTGTTGCTTGCCATTCGGACGGGATGCGGGAGGTGTCAGGTTCGGGAGGAGGTTGAAGATGTCCTGCAGATTGCCCAGGATGGCATGATTGATAGGCAATTCGCCATCGAGCACTTTCTCCAAGTATGCGCCAATATCTTTTAACCGCAGATGGAGACCTTGGAGAGACTGAAGTTGTTGTGTGATTCTCGCGGACAATGTGCCGACCGCGACGTCTCGGATATCTCTCAGAAGATGCTCCACCCCGATCTCTTCTGCTTCTTCGGCTTCAATGATCGAAGGTATATGCACAAATGTCTTGGTTGTAGTTGTCCCGTCATCTTTGATCTCCTCAATGGCAAAGTAGGCGTCGGTGGGCACACCAACTTCTTTGGGCTGAACATCGACGATGACGAGTAGAGGGTTTGGTGTGTATTTCTTGAAGAGCTCATTGATCTCGAGATCAGACGCCCGTAGTTTGGGACCGGAATGATACCAGCCTATCAGCTTTTCTCGGGCGTTGACCTTCTTGAACATTTCTCGCATTGATTCGACATAGTTGTGATCGAGGAACCAGACGGAAGGGTCTTTCTCATCCTCTTCAAAAGGCACTGCAAACTGTAAGCATGTGCTGATCTATCACAACTCGCATAGAACTGACCTGCGAAACAATTCGAAACCCGGACATTCTTGCCGTCATTTTGTCCTAACAAGACACCGACCACCCGTTTCCGCGTGCCCTTGGCAGAGCGGCCATAATGATCTGCTGCCGAGAGGAGGACAAGAGGAGCAACTGAGACTTGCCTGCTCACAAGTGAGAGTGTCTCTGCGGTTGTGGCGGGCATCTTGGCTCGAAGTAAAGGGTAGACAGTTGTTAGACGACGGCAGAGGGTGGAAGGACGGAGGCTGTAAGAGATGCACCCAAGGCTTGCTTATGGACTTCACGTGCGGGTCAAGGAACAGGAGCACAGATCAGGAAGAGTCTTATTCAAACGGTACGGAGTATTTTGTCGTGGAAGGCAGAAGGGCGACGCGACCACCTCCGATTTCGTATGCGTGCAGCTGAAAGCTCACTGCGCCGCCGCGTTGCTCTCAAGCCGGTAATGACCCACCGTATTCCTAGATTCTCACTTTCAATAAAATGGTGCTCGAGCCTCATAGCTGGCTGTTTACACTGGGATACAAGTGCATTTGACGCAAGCTGCTCTACGTTCGTAGAGTGCCATTATTTGTTATCACTAAAGCCATCAGGCCACCTCACGCCGACTACGCTCTACCCACCAAATCCCTCGATATCGGCCGTCTCATGCTTGGTAGCATGCGATTACGCATCTCACGGTCGAACGGCGCGCTCAGCCAGCTTCGGTCAAATTCGCATGAGGCACGACTAGAGCAACCGAAGTTGTGTCGTTTTCTCATCAAGTGAAGGTTGCCGCTCACCGCTGGCATATGGGGATGCTTCTTCTCGATGTCGAAACAACGTTTGTTGCTTCAAAGACAGGGCGACATATCGCTACTTGCTCCTACCGACACTTGGATTATTAATGGACGCTAAGATTGCGAAGTCGAGTCGCGGCACTGAAGCAAGACAAGATGCGACTTGATTTGAGCCATGATGGACAACAGGAACAGAAGCCCATTGCATTGAACCAGCGTGGGCGGCCAGCTAACAGTCTCGGTAAAGGATGTTTCAGGTGTGAATGTCGTTGTACCCAACAACAAACAGACTGCCCGCTCGAGAACTTGGACCAAATACCGTAGATGAGGCTCAACGTTGCTCTCCCCCCTGCTCCATGTCCCCTTCGCAGTGCCAGCCTCTGGAAGCCAAAGACTGGGGATTGAGGAGCTCTTGCGGCAGGAAAGAGATGCGGAAGTACAGCCGAAAGCCAAAGTGGAAAAATGTGCTTCCGACATGCTCAAAAGAGATATTTGGGCCAGGCATACCATAGCCTTCAATGCGACGGACACTTGAGACAAGTAATGGACTAGCGGAGATTTTGATATCGAAACTTGGCCAGTTTGCAAGGTTTGCCTGTCCTCACTTATTTTCTCCAACATGCTGCAAGAAGTCCTCCCCAAAAATGCCAAACATCTCTCTCCACGCCTAGGTTACCCAGATGTGGAGGTCCTCCACCCACCTGGGGAAGAGCCGACGAGGGACCAGGTCCCACGTCGCCATTCCTCCCATGTCTAAGCTCTTTGGGGGCCTCACACCGCGCCAATGAGGGGTCTGGACCTCGCTCCTGGGATGGGGTTCACCTCTGCTGATGCCTTGATATTCTTGACCTCATCCTCTGCCTGCAAAAAGATCATAGTATCAGGATGTGCTTTGGTATGGGTTGATTGCAACCACTGTTTCTGCTGTCGAAAGAATCGGAAAGGTTTTGGGATAAGCGGGCTGCGCACGCTACATTGCACCATGGCGGGCAACAGTGTTCTCACGACGCTTCGCCTCGAGGATGTTTCGATAATCAAGGCCGTGTTGGCGAGCATGGTAATAGTGCCTCTGATGTTCGGCATCGGTTTCTACCTCTATGTCACACCAAGCACTCTGAAAGATTCGCGACGAAAACACCTTCCGCCTGGCCCGCGTGGTCTGCCATTCCTTGGAAACTTCTTCGAAATGTCAAAAGCTGAGACTTTCCGGTTCCAAGCACGGAAATGGGCCAAGGAGTATGGCGACATCTTCTACACCAAAATGGGTGGAGCAGATTATATTTACCTCTCATCGCCGACCGCAGTGAAGGAACTGATGGATAAGAGATCGAGCATCTACTCTTCACGACCACCGGCGCCACTCGCAAGCGATGTAGCCTCCGCAGGCCGACGGCAGCTATTCATGCCGTACGGGCCGAAGTATCGCGTTGTCCGAAAGATTGCGCATCAGCTGCTCAACATAACGGTGTCAACCAGCTACCAGCCTATCCAGGATCTGGAATCGAAGCAATTGATGTACGACTTGCTCCACAGCCCAGAGCTTTTTTATGACCACAATCGCCGCTATTCGTCTAGTGTCATCCTTACTGTCGCATATGGTCAGCGAATGGCGGACTGGGACAACCCACTTGTGAAGAAGATTTACAGTGTCGTGAACAATCTGCAGCAGTTTTCCGCACCAGGTGCCTTCCTCGTTGACACATGGCCCTCGCTGCGACATTTCCCACAATGGATGTTCGGCAACTGGAAGAAGTTCGGCGAGAAATGTTTTGCGCATGACTCCGTGGTGTATCTCAAGCTGTGGGGTGATTTACGCAAAGATGTCGACGCAGGCAAAGCGAATCCGTGCTTTGCGAAGGACTTCTACCTGAGCAATCCTGAGAAGTTGGGATTGGACGAACTGCAAGCAGCTTATCAGACGGGCGGCTTAGTCGAAGCTGGCTCCGAAACCACGTCAGCTTTTCTCAACTCATGGATTCTGGCCATGACCTTGAACCCTCACATCCTAAAAAGGGCTCAAGAAGAGGTCGACCGAGTAGTCGGGTTTGACAGGTTGCCGTCGTGGGAAGATGAGCCAAATCTGCCTTATCTCAGAGCGATGATCAAAGAATTGCTCCGCACCCGGCCACCGAACAAATTCGGCATGCAGCACTACACGACCGAGGATGACTGGTATGAAGGGTATTTCATTCCCAAGGATACGGTTGTGGTTTTGAACTGGTGGTAAGTCTTGCTCGGATCCGTTGGTAAGATTACTCTGACATATTCGACAGGCATATAAACTACGATCCGGACCACTGGGAGAAGCCAGAAGAGTTCATGCCTGAGCGCTTCCTCGGGTACGATCTCCCGGCTGCTTCCTACATCAACATCGCGAACCCGAATGAGCGAGACCACTTCTCCTACGGCGCTGGGAGAAGAGTGTGCCCTGGTGTCCATGTGGCGGAGAAGTCGCTCTTTTTGAACATTGCTCGTGTCCTGTGGGCGTTTAACATCTCGAAGAAAGTAGACAAGGATGGAAAGGTCGTCGAGCCAAACACTGCAATGGTTCCAGGCTGGATGACGATCCCCCAGCCGTTTGAATGTTCCATCACGCCCAGATCGGAGAAGAAGGCGGCGTTGATCACACAAATATGGGAGGAAACCAAGAGGGGTCTGGACAGCAAGTAGCCACTAGCGTTCTAAGTCTTGAACAGTTTGACCTCTGCCTACCCCAGGTTTCCGTCCTTGGTCAGGTGGAGATGCATCGGGTGGATTCTTCGCCACAGTGGCGCAGAACTTCTGCTCAGCGTACTCCTAGCCCAGCTCTTCAAGATCATAAAAGGTCCCCCAACGGTCGTCCCTGGTATGCCGTTACGGCAACTCAGCACTTCGATGCTATCTCAATACCTTTATCCGGCTTCATGCACGACTTCTTGGCCAAGACTCGAGCTGCCTAAGCTGGCTTGGTCTTTGCGCCGATCATTCCCATGATGACGGGCGCCCAACAGCCGCAACGAATCCCTTTCATGGCTCCAAGCCCCCTGCTGGTTCAGGACATAGAAATTAGCAAGGGTATATGAGATACTGCGACGTAAACATGCGTAGACTGATATGGCGAAAGAGGTAGGTGGTATTTGGCTGTTCGGCGATAATTAATGGATGTCGTGCTGTTGATTTGCGCTGGTGCTCGTGCCCTATGTCTCAACTTCCACAATGTCTTTGCTTTCATGGCTCCTGTGGTTCGTGCCACTTGCAACCTCGTTTCCTGCCCATCAGGAAGCGTCGTTGAAATCACGCAACCCGGGCTACCAGCCTGGAGAGCTGCTTTTTGCTTGCCCCGCGGCATCATGGCCGTACGCAAATGTCGGCACGCTGATTCAACCTCAAATACCGGACGGTGAACTGCAATCCATTCTTTCGCAGGTGTCACCGGCGAATATAGAAGCAACAATCTTGAAGCTGGTGTCATTCGGCACAAGGCACACGCTGTCGTCTCAGACTGACCCGAAACGTGGCATTGGGGCGGCAAGAGATTGGCTGGCCTCTCAATTTCGCGAAGTCGCAGCTGCCAGCGATGGCCAGATGACCGTAGAGGTCATCGGCTACGAGCAACAGGCGGACGGGGACCGCGTGCTATTTCCGGTCAACATCAGCGACGTCGTTGCCACGCTCAAGGGAACGGCAGATCCAGATCGGGTGTACGTCGTCAGTGGGCATTATGACTCCAGATGCACAGACCCGAATGACTATACCAATGACGCGCCAGGAGCTGACGACGAGTATGAAAACCCTCTCCAGCATATGTATCATCGACCTACTGACCTCTCACAGCGGCTCCGGGGTGGCGATTTCGTTGGAGCTCGCCCGCATCATGGCAACCCGGAAGCCTAAAGCAACCATAGTCTTCGCAGCAGTCGCGGGCGAAGAGCAAAATCTCTATGGCTCAACATACTTAGCCCAGACGTACAAGAATAACAGCGTCAATGTTGCTGGGATGTTCACGAATGATATTGTCGGTTCACCAATCGGGCAAGACGGCACCAAGGATCCGTATACCATCCGCCTCTTTGCGCAAGGCCCACCAAGCACGGAAAATAAGACGCAGTCGGCGACGAGGCTTACAGTAGGCGGTGAAAATGACTCCCCTGCTAGAGAACTTGGTCGATTTGTACACGAAGTTGCTTCGAACACGTACACCGAAATGAACATAAGCGTGATCTATCGTCTGGACCGCTACCTGCGTGGAGGCGACCACCGGCCGTTTCTTGAGGCCGGCTATGCTGCATGTCGCTTCACAGAACCAATCGAAGACTTCAGACACCAGCACCAGGATGTGCGGGTCGTTGAGGGTGTGCAGTACGGAGACCTACCCGAATTCTGCGACTATGATTTCATCTCTCGGGTCGCAAAAGTCAATGGAGCGGCGCTCTGGAGTTTGGCAAATGCACCGGGACAACCCACGGACGTCTTCGTCAACACCACGGCGTTGAGTAACGATAGTCAGTTCGTTTGGGCACCACCGATTGGCGGCGGTACAGGTGTGGTAGGCTATGAAGTGGTCTGGAGACCCACGAACGCTCCTTTCTGGACACATTTTCTGCCTGTCGGCAATGTTCTCACTGCCACAGTTAAGTTGAGCAAAGACAACGTGGTCTTTGGCATCAGAAGCGTTGCTGCAAACGGTTATCGGAGTCCTGCAGTCTTTCCATTCCCACTCCCGACTAATTGAGCTTCATTGCAGCATCACGGCCGCGTGGGGTTTGGCAAGATCTGTGCCGTGATATCGGAAGTACAGGTCTTACTTCTGCGCTTACCCGGATAGTTAGTGAAATACTATGTAGGAACGAATTGATGGAAGGCTAATGCATTGCATTCGAGAAGCTCTGGACATGATAATTGTAAAGATGACGATGATGTTGCACTCATCACCTATGTTGGAAATGTCCAGAGATCGTACCTTGAAATGATATGGACATGAGATGCGAAACAAAAGGCTAGCATACATGAATTGTGCATTACCAATTCCTCCGTTATTTACTTCCCCGCTGCTGCTGCATGCCTATACGTTTGACTCGCCGAGTCACATTTAGTGGGCGTGACGGTGAGCGTAGCGCTTGCGGTACTGCTCGAGGTTCATCTTGGCGCCACCGTTCCACATTCCGAAGTCCAACTCATCAGAGTAACCACGGGCTTTCAAGCCAGACTGACCAGACAACTTGGCGCCTTGCGGGCTGCTAGATTGATATTCTTGCAAAGCAGAGCATTCAGCCTTGAAATCATCGCCGACATACTTGCCGGTCGTGATGTCGCCTGGCCGCTCAACGAATTGCAGAGCAAGACCACCATCAACGTGCCAGGCGATGTGACAATGCATGAGCCAGGCACCCGGATTGTCCGTCTCGAAACCGATAACCGTATATCCAGCGGGGTTCCCTGGACCGGCAGAACCTTGAAGCATCACTGTGTCGCGACGGGTAGGGTTTTTGAAGTTGAGGGTCGTGATCATGTCGGCGGTGAAAGTGCCAACGCCAGTGCCGAGGACGGAAACGTCGTGGCCGTGAATGTGCAAAGGATGAGAAGCAAAGAACTGGTTCTGAATGACGAAGTAAACCCAGGTGTTAGCTTGGTTGAGAATGACAGAGTTGCTGATGAGGTCGTTGGAACCACCGTCAGCCAGAGTCTTAAGAGTCGGTTGGCTGTAGTTGACATTGATGACGGCGTTGTTGATGTACCATTGGAAGACAGTGCCATCATCGTTGGTCGCAACTGAGGTAACTGAGCCAGCGGGAACAGTGGAAGCAGATGCCTGGAACGCTGTGGCGCTGCCACCAGACTTCTGGAGGAAGGGCACAAGGGACGCAAGGGGCTCATCCTGGCAGACGTTGGCGGTAACGTTGGTGATGGGGGTGTTGTTGATCGGCGTGACGGGAGTGGCACCCTCATAGTTGATGACCGCGTTGGCTGTGCCCAGACCAGAATTGGCACCACCCGAAGGACATCCGGTCTGGATAACGGCACGAACATAGTAGCTGCTGGGGGTTTGGTCAGCCTCGACGATGACATCGTATCGTTGACCGTTGGCGATCTTCAGGGTGGTGGTCGTGTATGGAACAATGGGCACGAAATCAGCGGCAATGACGGTCATCTTGTGAGAGTCAAAGCTAACGATCCAGCTGTTTTGCGTAGAGCTACGTAACGGTCAGCCTGATCGTTTCTCTGGGAGAGACGGAACCAACCTGTTGATGATGCGGAACAAGTGCTTCCTGCAAGGCTTGAGGCCCCACGAGAAAGGAGCGCCACCAGGGCCGACTGGATCAGGGTTCTTGTTCTTGCCGTTGAACAGGGTGTTAAAGGAACCACCGGGCCCGAAGTGGGCAATGACAGCGGCCTGAGCAGCAGCGGTGTTGGTGTAACTGAGAAAATTAGCAGATGAGCTTGATCAGACCGGGTACAAAGGACTTACGTGTCATCAATCATGACAGTGCCCATATCATAGTCGTAGTTGGCAGTAGCAGGTCCGTGGATGACGATAGGGCCGCGGATACCATCACCGTATTGCGCAAACATATGGCTGTGATACCATGAAGTACCATATGAGCTGGCCTTCCATGTGTATGTGCGTGAGCCACCGTTTCCAGCAATGCCGCATTCGGTCACACCGGGAACACCATCTTGGTCGTTGCTGCCGAATTGGCGGATACCGTGGAAATGGATGGAAGTGCTATTGTCTGCCAACTTGTTGATGACAGTGACCTTCACAGTATCTCCCCAGTTGGCCTCGATAACAGGTCCAGGAACCTGGCCATTGACGGCCAGAGCGAGTTTGGGACCCGTCCCGTCGTAGACCAGGGTGGTGTTCGTGATCTCCAAGGTGTATTCGCGGGTGACACCGGTATCATAGTCAGTGGTATAGTAGTCGGTCTTGAGGCTCTTCTCATCGCACCACTTTGATCGGTCGGAAGCAGAGTTGCAGTAATCATATGTCTCGTTGGCAGCAGGAGTGTATGTTGGGCAGCCCGCAGCGCTGGTGGTAGAAGTGGCCGATGCCGAGGTGCTTGAGGATGCGGTGTAGCTCCAGCTGGAAGATGGTCCCGAGCCAGAGGTGCTGTACGAGTAGCTGTAGCTGCTGCTCGGGCCGGATCCGGAGCCACCATTACCATAGCCGGATGTTGAGGCAGACCCGTGGCCACTTCCTGCACCGGTATCAGTGGTCGTTGCGCTGGCAGTGGCACTGGCGGTTTCGGATGCCGTGTTCCAGTCACCCCAGACGCCGTAGTTGGTCTTTTGCGACTGCCAGATTGACCACCAAGCATCTTGCGCGTTGCTGGCTCCAATCCCCACGCTAACACCAATGTCATGACCATGGCCACCGCTTACATCAGTGGATTCGGCAGCGTCGCAAGTTGTTGCTTGCGTGACAGGGCAGAAGGTGTGGGTTCGGGTCGAGGTGGCGGTGACTGTGACATCGCTGGTCCATGTGCCTGACTCGTGGGCATTTGCAAGGCCTGCAGCGGCAGCGGCGACGAAAATAAAAGAACGCATAACGAACGAACGGACGCAGGCAGATATGCCCGCACAAAGGAGTGACTGAAGGAAAGTGATGCGTGCTAAGGAAGAGGAGAGGAAGTCCCAGGAAGCGGCACAGGTAGGGGTTGTATATCACTCTACCGTCGGAGTTTGGGGGCATTTCGCCATCAGAGATTGGCCAGCCTGATCTGACTGCCGCGTACTATGGGATGTGGTTCCATCCTTCAAAATGGATTGCGAGCTAGCCATCGGCGGGAAAGCTGGTGACGACTTGTCTTAGATGAGCATAGTGGATGGGACACGATGATTTCATTCGAGTAGGAAGTGCTGCAGAAGAGGCGAGGATCTTCTGGTCAAGCTGCAAGATGAGCCTTGACCGAGTTGCCAATCTTTTGGAACACGGGTGAGGGGCCAGCCACATCAGCGTCGCGATCACACAAGCTCACGCTCGACAAGGCCAGAGCGGCAGAATGTCGAGAGAAGCGCCGTGTCAGGGGTAAATGGAAAGCGAAAGGGGAATGGTGGTGAGTCGGGTGGATTTCAATTAAGCTCCAGGATCCACCAGTGTTTTGCGCTGGTGGAAATTGGGAGTGATCTTGACTTTTGAGCTTCTTTTGGCTGGCGCAGAGCCAACCAATTGCTTGAATGCGCCAATAGTCCGGAGTGGAGGCTGAAGTCTGGCAAGGCGAAGGACAGCGTGAAGACGAAACAGGGGGGTTTCCCGTTTAGAACTCCGGAATCAGGAGGATCAGAGATGAAATTTGGCAGCGAGATGGTTTTGGTGGAGTATCTTCGGGGGTGTGATGGGATCGTGTGGATCGTAAACACGTGTTGAGCTGCAAGATGGTGCTCGAAATGCAGAGAAGCGAAGTCATCAGACACATGGGATGTACTCCGTACTCCGTACAGTGGCCGAGAAAAACACGGATGTCTACTCCGTATAAGCCCCAGTTGTCCGAGGTAGAGCTGAATTCACCAATTCGCATGATGTGGGCCTAGATCATTGGTGACGACTCGGCGCAGTTGCCCTTGTCAGCACAATGCCTCAGGACATTGCACGCTGCTACCAAGGATGGTCAACTCTTTGTTTGTGCAAGTGCAACATCAAAAGCTTCTTTGAACCTCTGCGTCGTCTGCCGGCTGAAAAAGATGAGAAGCTCGGGAGAATCGGGCGAGTTTCGTCTCACCCATACCACTCGCCCATCTTCCTCCAGCCACTCGCGACTTTATGCTGACTGCCAATCCTCATGAGACGAACCTCAGACCAAGCCTCCTGCATCACTCTTGCCCTGCCTTGATCCTACAGGACGACCACACCACTCTGCGGCGTTGGAACAAGTGAACAAGTCTAAGAGGAAGCAAGGCAGCATGATTTAGGTGATGCGATGTGAAAACGGTCTTTGAGGCATGATTCACACCCCAGGCTGACTGTCCATTTCATGCCCAAGCGCTCGGCTCGTTCAAGCTGCAACTGTACTCCCGACGGAGTACTCTGCTCACCGAAATCACATGCTCCGCGTTTCCATGCTTGAAGTGCGCCGGAGAATCCCCGTTGTTACTTCAGGATTTCCATCACTCACGCTCCCGGCTCGTAACGTTGTGAACAAGCTGTGGCTGCAATGCTTCGGTGTAGTTTTGCGCTATGGCGTCTGCCAGCACGCACGTACGCAATTTGCGCTGATGGGCCCGGTTTGCTATGAATAACACAAAACTCCACGCAATTCAGGGGCGTTCTCGCTACTCCACAGCTAATTTCTTGTCCCTTTGTCTCCGTGAGCCGTGCCGTCCAGTGCCACTTCTTCGCGCGAAGCTTGGTGTGAATCAAGCTCATCATCGGTTGTCATTCCCAATGGCACCCCGACAAGAGTACTCCGTAGACCGATGCCCTATGTCGAGACCATGGAACGTTCTGGTGGAGCATCTTGTCACGAGTCTTGAGCCTCGGAGCCTCTGTTAATCACCAATTATGACAGAATTGGTGCAAAGGCAGAGACTCTTGTTCAAGGTCTGTGAGATGATTCAGATAGACTGTGCCTCTGCACAAATGCTGCGGCAAACATCACCACAATGAGAAGGACCACAGATGATAATAGGTGCTCTTCTGAAGTATGACACAGCGTTCTTGGGTACCATGGCTAGGTAACATACCATTTTGCAAGTCGTCCTGCTCTGTTCATTCTGGCGGCAATAGACGGCGCCCTCGACTTTCGCTTTTGTCGAGTGAATTGGCCTCCTGTTATTGCGTCTCGCTCTGGCTGTTCGATGCCGTCAACCAGCTTCCGCAAGGCATCCCCGCAGCCTCTGTGACACCAGCCTGACATCAATAGGAAATTTTACCCAGCAGCTGCGGCTCGCATTACTAATCGTGCTTCTTCTCGTCACCATAAGCTAACCATGCTTGCGGATTATTCATTGAAAGACTGCTGTCCTGGATACGAGCGCGGCATGTCTCGCAACAGCAACGACACGCGGGGAATTGTCTACATCCTCGATTCCCCCTCCGAAGGTTGGAAACCTGGATCGACGGTCATTATCCTGCGCCAAAGGGTGATCACCGATTGACCTCTTCCGGCAGCACATGTACAAGACCCGACGTGCTGACGGATCACAATATGCGAACCTCACATCCATGCGACGGATGCGCACTCAGACGGGTGCGATGTGCTGGCGGACAGCCTTGCCACGAGTGCAAGCATCGATTGATTCCATGCACCTTTCTGCGGGTACGACGTAAAAGAGGTCCCAAAGGCCCCAGGCCAAGCACCAATCTGAAGATTGACCAATTCCAGAAGATACTGCTAAAGAGTGGGAGCGAGCAGTCGTTGCCTACTCTACCCGCAGATTCTGTTTTGCAGCAGGGGACCAAGAGTCCTCCAGCACTTCGACCAAATGGTATTTCCATGGAGGTCTACGAGAGATTCCTACAGGTCTTCCGCCAGCGACTGCACTCGGTTTGGCCAGTTGTTTCTTATCATGATCTTGTCGGCCGCCTCAGAAGCAATCGCCATGACTATGAATCGTACTCACTTGCAGCCGCTCTATGTTCGGCCGTCATTGCGCAATTGCGACTCCGGGAGCATGTTGTTTCCTTAGACTCCATTTCGTCCTTCGAGCTGGCCGCAGAGTCCCAGAGACTCAGACGACTCTTTGACTACCAAGAGCACTTCACCATGTCATCTCTCCTGACCTCGTTCTTTCTGCACATCTACTTTGCAAACGCCGATAAGCTGCGGACCGCTGGCTTCTTCCTCCGCGAAAGCCTCACTTACGCGCATGGCCTCAAGCTGCATCAACCCGAATCCTATGCTGGTTTGAGTTACAGGGACAAGCAAATACGACTACGGGTGTTCTGGATCTTGTTCGTGTCAGAAAGGTTTGCTCAACCGATCTTCTTCGAAGCCACCACTCACAAACGCCTGCAGAACGTATTGCATTCAAAATGATCTGCCGATAACCTTGCGACCGATTGATGAAATCCCAGATGCCAACCCAAAGGACGGGTACGACAGCGCTCCGATGCCGGCATTCGTTACCTTGATACGTTTATTCACCTTTCTCGATGGCGACATCCTCGAGTCCGCGGTCTCGCTCGGCGACACTACGTTGCAGATTTGCGCAAAAGGCAAAGTATCCCGTCTGCAGCACAATCTTGTACGACAGGATGCGGGCAAGGACCTCGATGAATCGCAAACAGTGGACCTCCTAACAACGCGAAACTGGATTCGGATTCTTTTGTGGCAATACACTATTGCACGTTTCTCGGTGTCCTGCCAGGCCCAAGACCAGGCCTTTTCAGCATTACTTCCAGCGACTGTTGCACATGATATGCTGTTGCTGCTTGATAAGGTATCTTGGAAGTCCGTGCAGCCCCATGGATATGGCATGGTAAGTAGTCCGAGGAGACCGTCGCCAGACCTAATGGTTGCAGGAACTCAAGATCTTCCGAATGGCTGACTCCCTTCTTGACGTGTTACTATGCGCTCCTGCCTCGGTTGGAACTCGTAAATTACTCACAGATTCGAGGGAATCACTGCATTCCTTGGAGAAGGTTCTAGGTGATGTTGGAGGAGCACAGTCGCAATTCCTAGCTATGTTGCGGAAGAGAATGCTTGAATCTCAGCTCCCTCCTCCGCGAACCATATGGAACGACCTGAAGATTTCGAGTCCTCAATACCAGGTAGAAGAAGAGCTGATATCCCCTAGCTGAACGCGAAATCCATTTCCATGTCGCCGCAGGTTGCCATTGCAACAAGTACCATTTCTTAATCCTGTTCCTAGCCAATCCAGGCTCCGCCGCTGCGCACAAACGCAGAACACATGGATGTCACTCTTTCGAGATTGCCTTTTTCGCCTGTCGCAAACTGGGTTGGATTTAGGCAACGGTAGCACCTCTAGCAGCAATGGGAACTCCGCCAATTTGAGCGATATCGTCGATGACTCCGAGCTCGTGTCCACGGTCCCCAGGAAACTGAGCGATGCCAAACGAGCCGGCGGCGGCCACACCTCCAAGCATTCCGTGTACGGCGGCAGCTTTTGACGCTGTCAGAGGCTGGCAGCAGTCAGTAACCCATTGACCATCTGAAGCCGGAGTCGCAACAACACAGCAGGAATCATTTGCCCACTTTGATACCCGGAGCTGTAAAGGCAACACGAAGACTCGGAACGGTGACAAGAGCTGGGACTACAAAAGTGGGTGATGTCGACGTTAGCGACAGCAGCACAGGGAGTGACGGCAGGCCTTTCGACCATCCATTGACCGGCCCTTTGTCCACGATAAGCCAAATCCGTGGAGAAGAAGCAAGCTAGCGCATAAGCAGCGGTTCCGGCACTGAAGAGCTGTCTGGCGACATTCAGGGACTGACTGGTCGGTCGGACGTTAATGGTGTTGCGCAGGTCCCGGAAGACTGGAGCAGAGTTTCAAAAGGCATGATTATTCTTGACAGCTCGAAGAAGGAGCTACAGGCAGCAAGCTTGCAAGTGAAGTCAACCGCCAGCCGCGCTTGCTAGTGAATTTTGACTGAAAGTTTGTCTTTAGAAGGAGCTGATGCAACGGAGCTCGCCACATGACTGCGATGTCAAAGCTAGAGCAATAGAACCAGAGATTGGACACGTTCATGCTCCCTCCTCACTCATCTGGCCCCGCGATCTGCTCCTGTGACGTTGGGATCAAGCGCGCCCTTAGATCCGGGTTCCATGGAACTCATCAAAAGGGGACATTGGTCTGCGGATCCGATGATGGCCTAGCCTCTTCAGATCTTGGTCAACTCCTCCTGGAGTTAGTGCAAGCCCCAAATCAGCCGCCATGTCCTGCAGTTCCGGTTCCAGGTAAACAATCTTGACAATCACGATGTCTGCCTCGCGAGGCTTCAGGTTGAGATCAGTGAAATCGAGCTCGTGATGATACGGCTTTCGCATCTGGGTGAGGATGGCAAGGATGCTGCCGACCTGCAGTACAACCTCGATCCCGGCATCTCTGTCACCGTGCTTGATGGCATGTACTCGGCCTGTGATGGTGATCGGACCAGAATGGACGTTGTCAACTTCGGCACCAGCGGTGCAGTCACGGTAGCACCAATCCCTGCTTCGACGCACGACTTCACTGCTCCGGCACCAGGAACGCTGGCATAGATCACTGTTGGCCCGGCGGGTTGTTTGAGCTCGGGACGACCCAGTAAATGAATCAAATCCTAGGTCATGTCACCACTTCTGCCGGCAGTGGGGTTGTCCCTTGAGTCGTTGATGAAGAACGGATGTTTGCTGGATGCTACAACTGCGTCAATGCATTCGTCGAAAGAGCTTGTTGGTCCGACAAAGTCGAAGTCTTCGTGTGCAGCCCAGAAGATTTGCGGGAGTGTCTCAACTTCATTCTTGACCACACCTTCATCCCAGCTGGACACCATTACGACAGCTCGATTTCGAGGTTCATCTGCCCAGCGATAGCCAACCCAGATAGCAGCATCAATCACTCCATGCTGAGATGTTGCGCACGGGACCGCGCTGTAGATGTGCTTTGCAGGCTCAACTCGAGTCGAGGTCTGCTCACCGGGAAGCAAGACTGGAACGGGTACCCACGCTTTGATGGACAGTTTGGAAATTGGACAAGCCTTGAGCTGTCTTATCACTAGGGGCTTCTGCCAGGAGCTCGACCAGATTTCGACAACCTCGTTCCTTCATTTCGCGCACATCGATGTGTGGTGCTGTGCGATAGCATGTGATCAAGTCAGTCTGATGTGCAAGCTGGCGACTTACATTGCCTTGCAAGTCCATCGATGCCGACACGACTACGCCGCGACCGATGGCTTTTCGAATGCGGCGAAGAAGTTCCGCCTCAACGTCATCATTGCCATCCACGCACATGGCGCCATGTTTGTCGTACCACAGGCCGTAGATTGTGGTTGAGGAGGCAATTGCGTCAAGCCGCTTTATGATCTAGTCTGCCAGTTCTTCGAACGCATCACGGGTGACGACGCCGCCCGGTAGAGCATGGCCGATGAGGGCGCCATGCCAGTCTGTTACTGTCACTAGAGGAGCATCACGACTGAGGAACGGATACTCGTCGATGATTTCGTGACCGCGCATGGGATGAAGAGCCGCAGCACTCGTCTTGGATGGCGTAAAGGTCGAACTCTCACAAGCCAGACCTGCGACGGCAATAGCTGGACGTGGTGTCATTCCCGTGTTGTCGTGAATTGGCTCCCGGCCGTGACCGACGGAAGGGTGTCGTGCGCGTAGCTCTTCAGTTTAGACGCGTCGCATGGGTAGTTAGATCAAGCCCATGGTGTCGCTGGTTCTGGAAGGCGTGGATCAATTCGAAAAGGCTTATCAGGTGCAAATCAGGTGGTTTGCTGCTTAGCTGCAGCCCCAGATAAGCCTCAGGGCGCGTCTTCCCACGGCTGGCATGGGCCGTGCAGCTTCCACAAAGCTTCGCCTATCCGATCGACTCGCTCCTCTCCGAACGCAGAGTATTGGATTCATCTTTGCGAGCGGTTATCAACTATGTTGCTGCTGGAGAGAGCAAGAGATACCACCCCGTGGAGGGGAATGCGATTGGAAGTCATGGAGTTGATAATTTATTACGCGAGCCTGCCCGGCAATGTCAGAGTGACTCGCTTCGAGGTAAAATCTGAGCACCTCCATTGAATTCCACGACAAGGCTGGAAGTAAGACTACAAAGACAAAATGTTGCGAAAAACACCTACAGGCACCTGGCTGCCAGCTTAGGTGACGGAGTCAACGTTGATTCTCTCAGCCTTGCTGTTGATCTATTCAATGGTGCAATCAACGGTGAGTAAGTATCTTGAGCATCGTAAACTTTCCTGACAATGAGCAGACGGGTAGGTATGACGGATCAATGCTCAACGGCCTCAACATTCTGCCCTCGTATACCGATTACATCGATCTGAATGCTGCGACCACTGGTCTCAACACTGCTTCCGTTTCCATCGATGGCTTCTTCGGCCCACTGGTCTCAGGAATCATAGCAGATCGCCTCGGGCGACGTCCCGCTGTGTTCTGGGGCTCAGCATTGACACTCGTTGGTGTTGTACTTCAGACTGCCGCCCAAAATACCGCATGTTTGTGGTCGCACGCATAATCCTGGGATTCGGATCGGCCATATCTGGCATTGGCGGTGGTGTATACTTGTCTGAGGCTTTTCCGTGCAGGGATCGAGCATGGGGAGTCGGCATGTTGAATAACTTCTATTAGTATGGTTCATCAAATCGTGTCACAGTTAATGACGTTGACTGGCTGCAGCGTCGGAGCACTGATCGCAGCTGGAATCACCCTGGGAAGAGGAAGTGGCAATCGACGTGAGCCTGGACAGAGCCATCCTTGATCCAGGGTATCTTCTCATTGGTGTGCATCATCATCTTGCCCTTCTTGTGAGTAGCGAGGCGAGCCTTTTCACACCGGACCTGACGTGGTAGACCTGAATCGCCGCGATGGTTGGTCAAACAGGGCCCCTGCGAGGAAGCACGAACCTGTGGTAGCCCAGACAAATGCTAATGGGGATGTCAATGACCCGGTCGTAATAACAGTATACAAGGAGATCGCTGACACACTGGATTGGGAGAAGGAAAACGTCATGACGTTCAAGGAGACCATTAAGAACCCGATCTCGAGGGAACGGCTGTTGCTCGGCATGTCGCCGGGACCATTCTCTTGTATTGCTGGCAATATCAGTGCTTCATGCTTACCTTGGTCCCGAGCTGAGGACTGCTGGCATCACAAGCTCGAACCAGCAACTGAAAGAGGTAGGTATATGTCCTGCTCAGCATGACAGTGGCTGATGTCGGCAGAACGTTGTGCTCAATGTGTGGTGCCTTGCTTCTGCGCTGGCTGGTGCGCACTTGATTGCTCGATGGGGCCGCAAACCGACGGCGATATTGTCACAGCGTCTTTTAATCACATGTCATCTCATCATTGGAGGACTGGCGAAAATGTACGCCGATGATCCTGATGGCGCCTCGAAGAACTTGGTCTATAGAGACGTGGCTGTCATATTCCTCTTCTAGGGCTTCTACTCCATTGCATGGACGCCATTGCTGTAGCTCCACCCGCCGGAGGTCATGAACCATGCAATTTGGGCAAATTGACTTGCTTCTTTCCTCGTTCATGCTGAATGCTCTGGCGTAAGTCGAAGCTCCCTCCTTTCATTCAGTTCACTACCGCTGACAGTGTCCTCTCTATTTTCATCATGCCAATTGGCCTGAACAACATCGGCTGGAAGTTCCACATCGTGAATGGTCGTGGGATATCATGTCGTGGTGCTGATCGTAAATCGATCCTGTTGATTCTGTGGTTTATCGCTGACTCTTCAAGCTGTGTTCTGGGTGAAGACAAAAGGCCGAACACTCGAGGAAATCGACGCCATCTTCGAAGGACACAAAGCATTCGAACGTCCCAGATGTTGAATTGGTCCGGACAGGAAAGGCGCATATTGATGTAAGCCAAGTGGAGCAGGAGCTTCATACGGTCGTGCACACAATAAAGTTGGAGTGAGCAGGGATAGGGGAGTGAGACCTGGTAGATACGGTAAACTTTGATACTTGTGGACTGTTGCCAACAAGATGACCAAGCGATCGTGAACCATCTGCAAGCTGTGTTCAATCGGACTGCATCGGGTAACCTCAAAACATTTGCCTGTTCTTCATCTCGACGGGCAGGAATACCATGGTGAATGCCGCAAGCCAGATGCCACCGGCACCGAGCCACAATATACCTGCGCTCTTCTCACCTAAGTAGTGTTCTCCGGCGAATGGCGCCGCAATGCCAGCCAACCTTCCAAGACATGAAAGCATGCCGGTAGCGCTACCACGGTACGTCGTGTCGAAGAGCTCGGGGGCCGAGGCATAGAGAACTGCATTGAAGTACTACGAGCAGATATCAGTAGGGACTCGGAGGAAAAGATCGAAGAGCACCTACCGTTTGCATGACGTATTCAAACGCATTAAGACCAACATAACCAGCGGTTGTTTGGACTTGCGTGTACATCGCCATAGCGAGACCCTGACAGATGGCGGAAAAGACCAGTGACCACTTTCTTCCAACCAAAGGCAATTGCACAGATATCAACGCAACGATGGCGCCTAGAATACCTGGGAGGTAGATGTAGACATATTGCCGGTACGTGTCTGTAACAGTACCCTGACCGCTGCTGACATTGTTTCGCAGGAGAATGATCGGAAGGAATGATCCTGCCAAGTTGAAGGACCAGTAGTCACCCTAGAGAGTACCTTAGCCATTGCGATGCACGAGGGGGGGAAGACGTACCATATAAGCGATCGCCAAAAGAATCCAGATGAAGAGCTGCAGTCTGTTGAGGAATAGTCCCTTCAAGTGTTTGAAGCTAGCTACGAAGTTCTTGAGGACATTCCTGTTCATTGCTGCAGTAGTTTTGGCAGCAGAATTTTGGGAAGCCGCCTCGTCGATGGCATGGAAATACTCCATGGTCAAAGTTGGAGGCGTCGCACCGTTGAATTTGGCTATCTTGTGAAGTACTTCAATGGCCTCTGCTTCCTTGCCTCGGCTCAAGAGGAACTTTGGCGACTCGTGGAAATGGAAGACGAAGTATCGAAGGAAGAAGACGAGCAAAGTCATGCAGCCAAGCACAATGACCTCGTAGCGCCAACCCATGTTCGAGGAGACCGTGCAGCATGCCTCGCCGTTGGCAACCGCATGGCAAGAGGGAAGAGTAGGATCGCATCGCCACTTAGCAGCTGTTCCGTATGCAATGCCAGAAGCCGCCACAACACCAATGGGTTGCCACATTGACAGGAGGGAGACGAGGTTTCGGCGGTTTTGGGGGAGGAATTCGAGGGCGATGGTCGCGTCAATGGGAATGTTACCTCCAAGACCCAGAGAAGCCAGGAAGTAGATCCCGCAAATTGCGCCGTAGTTAAACTTTGGGGCAGCCTGTCGAAGTCAGCCAGATCCTTCGACGAAGTGACTGCTGCCACATACAAGCAAGAGCCCGAAGATAGAGGTTATCAGGCAGGTGAGATTGAAGGCCCACCGTCTTCCGATGATATCAACCAAGATTCCCCAGGCCAAAGCGCCAATGGCCAGACCAGCATTTGCACATGACCAGATGGTACCGGTCTGATTGTCGGGCACATTCATCTCTTGATACACCGCGGTAGCAATCAAGCCAACGCCCTGCGACCAGGCGAGGTCGAGGAAGTATCCGAAGCCGCACAGAAACCATATGCATAATTGATACCTTCCTAATCCGAACTTGTCCAACTCGGCATTGATCAGTGCAGCCTTCTTTTCGAAGTTGGTAAGTGGTTTCGCCGCAGTCCCTTTCAAGATGCTGCCCAAAGACAGATCAGTCTCGGAGGCGAGCTCGACGGGGTTGTAGATGGGGACATGCGGTCCAGGAGGAGCACGGCTATTGTCGGTGTCGAGGTGTGAAGCATCTTTCTCGTTGGGAAGAATCGGTCCCTCAAGACCCAAGGTCGAGTCGCGTACCGGCTTGTCCATAGCTGTTTGGCGGTTAGCAAAGACTTGTCGCAGATTGAGGTGAACGTACCTGCTATATCTGTGTATCCGCAAGGGCTGGTGTCCTATGAGGACTAAAACCGGAAGGCCCATGATCGCGACGTGTGAGCAGGGATATAGACTTTTTTGTGCAGAAGAGTGAGGTAAGCTCAAGCTGGGAGCCGGGAAGACATGAGGCATCTGAAGCTTAAAGAACCGTTGCTGAACCATGGTCTCTGCGGCACGTCAACGGATAGCTCATGTCGTGGTTGAAGCGAGACGATTGGCGAATTGAAATCAACAGAGCTGCTATGAGATAGGTCGACCAATTGCAGTGACTACGATCTCCGCAACGTCGAGTGCTGCCGGAGTTTCGAGATCGTGGAGAGGGAGAAGGCTCGGCGAAGGCGACATGAGCTTATCTCACGAGGGGCGCCGGATGTTCCTTCCGACAATTAAGATGCGGTCCCAGAACGCAGCTTTACACGCCCGCGCTGAAATCAACTTGTCATAGATCTGACCTTGGGGGCGATCCCGCTTGGGATGAATGCTACTTGAGATGGGGCCGGCTTGGCATCGATCTGAGGCAATAGATCGTACGATCGTGGTGGAACAAGATGGCAAAGTGGGCAGTCCGTCTCGAATTGACTTTAACGATGCAGTTGTGTCGCATGGTGCATTTTTGCTGTTGATGAAAGAGGGGACATTATCATGTCATGATTGATGGCAATTCAGATTTTGCTGTGGCACACGCTCGACCTCGGTTACTCTAGAGGTGGGCTGGAAAACTTTTTATGATGAAACGCGCAGTGTTTGAGAAGGCGCTCAAGATCCCTCGAGCTGAGCGGCATTCGCCACACCTTTCTTGAATTCAGCCACGTTATGCGTGCAACAGTTCTGCAAACGTCTACGGCAGATTCAGCCAAGGGGAAGTCCTATGAACCCGCGTCCAGTGAAATCAGCCGTCCATGTCAAAACAATTCTGTTTCCATTTGGCGTTGGCAAACTGCCACATTGCTCGATGACCTCCGGGTATCATGCGTCAGATTGCAACTGAGTTCGAAGTGCACCCCAAGTCGTGCTAACTAATGGGCACCCGACACCACTCCCAGGTCCTCCGTTGACATTCTGCAGGGCAACAATACACGTGTTCAGACGTGCAAGTTGATCTGCTGCCGAGCTGCCTGGGGAGGGTGTTAGCAAACGGACTTGGAGATGATTGATGGCGACACGAACCTGTTGGAAATGATGCGCCTCCTGCCACTTGTGCCTCTACGGCGGTGACTAGGTCGTCCACGGGCGGTGGACAGGTACATCTGTCGAGGGTCAGCATCTGTGCTTGCTCTGCTCGAGGTGACTCACGGAATGGCCTTTCCACTGTCGCCAACACAGTTTGCTGTTCCGTCATTGGCTTTTACACCAGGAGTGATTCCATATGGAGGAATCAGTGCGGCTGATACTGCGCCGGATCCTCCAGTCGCAGCACCACCGCCGCCGCCATTGCCACCGCCGTTGTTGCCACCAGCAGGAGGAGCGGCAGCGGCGGACGTGGCGGCAGCCGGAGCAGCAGAAGCTACTGTGATGAAGGTGTTGGGAGCGTTTCCGCCGCCATGGTTGAACCCGCCGCCTTGTCCGAACCCGCCACCTCGACCTCCGCCGCTTCTTTGAGCAACAGAGAGGACTGGAAGGATGGCAACCGCCAGCAGCAAGAAGGAGCGCATGTTTGCCGTGTAATGTGATCGAAGTACTTCTGGGGAAAAGGAGCGACTGAAGTGATGTGATCTAAAAATGAACGAGGCACGACCTGCGTGCAAGAATTGAATGAATGTGAGAAAGTGAGAATGCGCTGTGGTTGCGGCAGAAGAATGGGCTGACAATGCCAATGCTATATACATTTCTGTTCCACCTACCTGTAGTTGACAATGCGCCCATCATTCACGCATTGGGTTTTCAGGGTGTCTGCGATATCCTATCCGCATTCAAGGGACTGGTGTTGGCAGGTTCCCCCTGAGTTGATAACGCCTGGGCCGCGACACTCCATGTTTCAGGTTTCGAAGTTCTCGATCTTCATACCACCATTCGACAGAAATCGATCTGCACACGCCCCTGCATGGTACAGAGGCAGTCGACAACAAGCTCCGTGCCATCCCTTTGTTGATGTGCGCATTGGCATTGGTTGTCAAAATGAAGATGTGATGGGTTGCCATGAAGCCGTGAGTACAAGCCCGCTCGTGACTGGAGCGCCTAAGCGGGTTGGACCCTTTGCTTCACGTGGCCACCCGCCAGCTAGGCTAATAGGCATGGTTCCAGTTCAGGCCAGGTTAGCTGGTCACCCCTCATCCCCTCCGCACCTGGATTACGCTAACTCGTTATTTAAACTCGTAGGCATACTCGCACAGCCCTTATTGTAAGTTAGCAGTATAGCGAGGGCCGCTTTGCGGGTATACCTACGAATTTAAATAACGAGTTAGCGTAATCCGGGTGCGGAGGGGATAGATATGTTACGAACCGACCTTTATACGGCCTGCCGGGCCTGGCACGGGACGGAAGATGAGGCGAGGAGAATCAGCCTCGTTAGCAAGGCTAACTCGGGTTACGTGATAAACCGAATAGGAAACTAGGCGTTGCAGTAGTTACACGTTGCATATATAATAGAGGTAATAACATAATACCTAGACTTTCCTAGATAGGAAAACTACCTGTGTATATAGTTATAGCTAGAGCCACTTCTATAGGAAGTGTAGTTAACTTTAGTTAATATTACGCTTAAGGAGATATATATTAGCGCTGCTCCTTTCGACTAACCGGTAAGGGTTAAGTCTTTAGTTATAATACTCGAATAGGGGTATAGGTAATACGATATAAGATAAGGTATAGTAGACTGCTAAGTATAATAAGATACTTAAAGATAGATATAAGTAGATAATATAAGTTAGCTATAAAGGAGTATAACTAATCTATTTAATAATAAGCGTATATATCCTTATAATGCCCTATATAATTTATACACTCCTTCTACCTTATCCCTTAAAGTGTTTCGGGGCTAATAAGGCTAATAAGGTATATTATATAATAAGCCTTAGCTAATCCTAACTCGCTTTATACTCCTCTTATTACCCTTTCCTATCCAGGATGACCCGACAATGTCGCAGGATTATGTGTAAGGCTGCGCGAGGCTGGCCAATCCGGGCGGCCGCATCTGCTAAGGTGCCGCAGGATTGTATCGCTAGGTTGTATCGCTGCTTCTACCACCACTACACTATTATTTCCTATCGAAACCTATATATATCGAGTCGCCTCGGTGAGGCGTATTAAACGGTGCATTATGCACTATTATAGCAGCTATAGTAGTGGTGTTATAAAGTTAATGGGGTTAACCCTAATATATAGAGTTGTTAAGAATTGCCTCCGCGCAGCGTGTACGAGGACACGTGAGCACACAGGTAACCCTCAGGGTTCTTAAGTATCGGGGGTAGAGTAGAGGTTAATGTCGAACGGATCGTCAGACGGGACACAGCACTTGTACTGTATCTCCTTGAGCGCAATGTTAACTGAAGTTGACTACGAAGCTATGGGAATAGGTATCAACCCGAGTATATATGTTAGTTAGCCGCTCAGTCTGCTCAGTCCTGCTCAGTTGTGCTCAGTACTGAGCACACTGAGCACCACTGAGCACCACTGAGCGCTACCGAGTCGTCACGTGACCGTCGGCTTGGGCCGTCCACTGTCCCCGCCCAGGACTGGCCCCTTGTTTGCCCAGGCTCGGCCCAGCTTCCCTCTAGTTCCTGGGCCTTGACCTGGTCAAAGACTGGGTCGTAACACTTTCCCCCCCTTAGCCTGTTCGTTGCCCTTAACGTACTTAAGGTGAGTTGTCCCCCTAATCCGCTGTAGTGTTTCTCTTCTCGTTCCCCTATGGCTGACCATGCCTCAGTCTCGCGTTTTTAAGAATAATCGCCCCTCCACACTCCGTCGTCAAACCGCCATCTAACGAATCGAATCGCTTAGCCGTCAGAAGTTCGCTATAGGTCGATGTACACCATGCCAAAATTCTAATTCTCTGTGTTTTATATTGGACGGGTATTCGAAATGCTCGTCTTGCACCAGAAAGGGTGTGAAGGATTGCGACGGTACCTTCTCCGTAGAGGAGTTCGACGCGCTGACCGCGCAGCGTAACCGGCTGGCCGAGGCGGCCCGCCGGAAGGATGAAGAGATCAAAGGAATGTTGGCTGAAGCTGCGCGAGTGCAGTCAGCGTTGTCTTCGGCGAACGCCGAACGTGTGCGTCTGCAGTAGGAAGCCGATGGCTTACTGGAAAAATAAAGGAAAATGTTGGTTCAGGAGCTTGAGTCCTTGGACGAGTTAGATCACACTGATCCTCCTCCTATTGCTTCTTCCATGGTGCTCATTAGCTTGGACGATGCCTAGCTCGAGCAAATGTTTGAGTTGGAACCTGGGTCCATGGCTGGGTTCGAGGGGCCCATCCCCATCGACCGCCCCTCCAGTTAGTGGCGTCGGTCGTGGCGGTGGTATTTAATGATCATCTCTCTGGGTAAGTTCTCCTCTGGTTCCCAGGTATTTTCGCTGTCCTCGTATCCTAACCACTTGACCAGGTATTGTCGTTGGCGTTTGGTGCCCCGGTGTTTTAGGATCCCTTCCACGTCGTACAGGGGTTCTTGTGTTTCTTCGTGGACCAGTACGGGTCCCGGTGTGGCGTTCTGTGGTGCCTTCTTAAGTAGTGATTTGTGGAATACTGGGTAGATGTTCATGCCCTCTAGCAGTTCCATCTTAAACGTCACTAGTCCTAGTTTCCTCTTGATTTTGTATGGTCCAATCTTTGTGTGGTTCAGCTTGTCATTTAGTCGTTGTGTTTTGATGTTTTTTCGTAAAATGTAGACTTTCTCCCCTTCCTTAAAGTCTGGTCCCTTAGACCTTTTCTTATTGGCATATTTCGTTGTTTTTTATAATATTTTGTGTAACTCCTGTTTTATTATCTTATGTAGTGACTGTAGTTTTTCAATTGAGATTTTTGCTTTTTCTGCGATTGGTCGTAGTCCCCTTGGGTCTTTTTCGATGTTTGGGTGTTTTCCGTAGTTCGCGTAGAATGGTGATATTCCTGTGGAGGCCTTCGAGTTGTTGTATGCAAATTGTGCTACTGGGAGCAGCTCTACCCAGTTATTTTGCTGATAGTTGATGTAGCATCGTAGGTATTGTTCGAGCGTCTGATTAATGCGTTCCGTCTGTCCGTCCGTTTGTGGGTGGTATGCCGTTGATAGTTTTTAGTGTGTCCCCGTCAAGTCCATCAGGGATTGCTAAAACTGTGATGTGAATAGCTTGTCTCTGTCGGATATGATCTCATCCGGTGTACCATATTGTGCGATAATTATCCTTGTGAATGCGTATGTAAGTTCCTCTGCTGTACTTAATTCCTTTTATGGTATGAAGTAAGCATACTTTGTCAGTGTGTCCGTAACGACAATAATACTGTTATAGTTCGTTCCCGTGAGTGGTTCCTTGGATTTTGGTAGTTTGACGATGAAATCTAAGGCCACCCGTGCCCATGATTCTTCTTTAAGCTCTGCCGTCTGCAAGAGCCCATATGGCCTGTGCCGTGTGTGTTTTGACTTTGCGCATGTGTCGCATTCCTTGATGTAGTTTTCGACGTCCCTCCTCAGACCTCTCCATATGAAGTCCCTCGTGATTAGTTCGATGGTTTTATTCACCCCTAGGTGCCCTGCCGTTTTGTTATCATATCGTCCTTGGATGACTTCTCTTTTTTGTTGGTCCGTTAGGTCGATGTCCATGATTGCCAGTGTGTCCATCAGTGGGGTTCTATATGTGAGTTGATTGTCGTCCTATTTGAGGATGGCTGCTGGCTTTAGCTGGGAGTTTTACTCGTGGTCTAGTCGTCGGCTTAACGCGTCTGCTCTTCCATTTTCTGTTCCGCGCACATGGTTTATCTTGAACCAGTATACCGAGAGTGTCTCGGCCCATCGTACCTGTCGTCTGGTTAACTGCTTCGTGGTGGTCCAGTATAGTAAGTTCTTATAGTCCGAGTAGATCTATACAGGGTACTTGGGTCCTTCGAGGTAAACTCTCCATTCGCGTAGTGCTTCGACTATCGCTAGTAGTTCCTTGTCGTGTATGTCGTAATTTATTTCTAGTCCAGTCATTTTTCTGGAGTAGTATGCAATCGGTCTCGCTCGTCCGTCGTCATCCTTTTGCGTGAGGCAGGCTCCGATGGCATAGTCCGATGCATCCGTCTCAAGTGTGATCTCCTTTTCTGGATCAAAGATTGCTAAGATGGGTGCCGACATAAGTCGGTCCTTAATGTCCTTAAAGGCTTTTTTGCAATCTTGGTTAAAGTTGTACGCAGTGTCCTTCTTTGTCAGTGCTGACAAAGGTGCTGCTATCTTCGAGAAGTCTTTAATGAACTTTCGGTAGTAGTTCATGAATCCGAGTGCCGCTTGCACTTCCTTGACGTTAGTTGGTTCAGGCCAGTCTCGTACTGCCTCGACCTTTTTGGGGTCTGGTTATAGTCCCCTAGTTGACACTATATAGCCCAGGAAAGCTATACTGTCTTTATGGAACTCGCATTTACTGAGTTTGATCGGGAGCTGTTTCTCCTGCAATCGTCGTAGTACTTTTCGTATATGTTCCATATGTTCTTTGTACGTTTTCGAGAAGATCAGGACGTCGTCGAGGTACGCTACCACGAAGTCGTCCAGGAAGTCCTTTAACGTGTCGTTGATCAAACTTTAAAACGAGGCGGGAGCATTAGTTAATCCGAAGGGCATTACCTGATACTCCCAGAGTCCCTATCTGGTTCTGAATGCCGTCTTCCACTCCTCTCCTTCTTTCATCCGTACTCGGTAGTAGGCGTCCCTAATGTCGAGTGCTGTGAAGTACTTGGCTCTAAGGAGTCGGTCCTGTATGTCGTCAATCCGTGGGAGTGGGTATCGGTTTTTAACCGTGATCTCGTTAAGTGGTCGGAAGTCGATGCAAGGGCGTAGTCCTCCATCTTTCTTAGGTGCGAAAAGCACTCTATAAGAGATAGGTGATATTGATTTGCGTATGAAGCCCTTGGCCTCGAGTTTCTCCACGTAATCCTTGAGGAATTCCTCTTCCTTTTGGGATAGCCTCTTTAGCCATCCGGTGTGTCGGGGCTCCTTGCCCTCCTGGATTGGTATTTTATGATCCCATGGCTTGTGTTCTAGTAGCGCCGCCAATCCTTCGCGCTCTTCAAAGATGTCTTTGAAGTCTTTGTATTCCGGGGGAATCTCCGTGACACTAGAGCCAGCTAGCGTATTTCTTCCCTGCGGTCGTACTATTATCGCTCTTTCTTCGATAGGGGCCTTTGGAGGTGATCGATCTCCCTTTTTCTAGTTCGTACTGCATAACGAAAATATGATTTTCCTTTTTTGCTAATCGATATGGGGGTTGTGGTCATGAAGCCATGTTATACCTAACACGACATCGTATGTTGGGATCTTGGTGATGTCGAGGGTAATCGTCTCTTTGTGTTGTCCGATTGTGAAGGCTATGTCTCGAAGCTCTTCTTGTACCATCCCAGCCGTCCTGCTATCAGCTATTGACAGGGTATAGGGTAGTGGTTTCTTTCGTTGATACCTGGCTAGTCGTTCAGCAATTTCTCTGCTAGTATAGTTACTATTAGCGCTACTGTCGATTATAACCCTGATGTCGACTCCAGCGAGCTGTGCCTTAAAGACGAGATGCTCTTTCCGGATATCTGACAGGATCAGGTATAATCCAGTGGTTGTCTGAGGCAACTTTGGCAACTGATCTGGCCTCTTCAGGTCAGTGCCTATAAGTTTTTTGGTAGGTGTCGGTGGGGTCACAGGTCCCACTAACAATCTCCATTTTCGCAGTCTGGTAATAGACTGTGTTGATCTGGTGTTAGTGCGATATCACTATAATCTGGGTCAACATTATGGATGTGAAGGTGCGCTTCTTCTTTGTATCTGCAGCTGTGGTCGCAACACGTGAAGTATTCAGCGATATAGTCTGCGGTAGATCGTTCATCCACAACGGCTTTAACTATGTCCGGGTTGTATGACAGTCCCGTGACCATGTTGAGTTCTTGTTTGGGGAAATGGAGGTGTAGATGTCGTCTCCATGTGCATTCTTGTTGTTTACACATCAGGTTTCGTTGTATCATCTTGTTATATGTATGTAATGGTATGGCCGTGTGTGGGTATTCCGGGTTAATGTTGAATAAGTGTGTATGTGCCGTGTAGTAGTGCTTGCAGGTGGTGTCGCAGCATGCAAAATATTCCGCAATATGTTCGTTGTTGCTTTGTTCATCGACCATGGTTTCCACAGTGCCCAATGTTTCTACCATCATGTTGATGCTATTTCCTTGTCGGCGCCTTTCTAGGATCTGTTCTAATTGCTCCGGGGGTTGCTTGATCCGTACCGTGGTTGGCCACACACTTTAGTGTATATGAAAGTTCTCTTTGTCTTCATAGTCTGGATTCATACAGTAACTGAACTGGATCTTCTTTATGTACTTTCGTGGTTCCATTTCGGGATCGAATATAAGGTGGTAGTGTTGAGTTTCTTCCTCACAATCGTCCTGTTGGTATAACTCCTTGTATCACCGGTTGGTAATAATTATGAGATGGTACAGCGACCATCTCAGCACGACCGCTGTTCGATTTGCTTAGTCGTCCTAGTCTGTCATCGGCATGCCGTCATCATCGTCCTCGGACTCGATCCTTTAGTCCGGTTTCTGTTCTTTTGGGGCTTCTTCCGTGCCCATCATTCTGAGGCTGGTATCGGGTATCTCGATAAGTTCGATTCGTTTGTCACTTCCCTGATGGAAATGCATCCTAGTTTCTTCGCACTTCGCATTGCGACAGATTAGGAACGTCAGAACATATAGCGTCTTTTCTTTTTCTTGGTTTGCGTCAAACACCACATGGGTGCACTGGGTTCCTTCCTGACAGCTAGGGTTATAACCCTCACTTTTCCAGTATGGCGTGATAAGTTGGATCCTTTCTGCTGTATGTTCAGTGACTATAAACCGTAGTTTGTCGTCGTTCTAGGCATTCATCATCCAGAATCTTAGGGTTAGGGTTAGGGTTAGGGTTAGGGTTAGGGTTAGGGTTAGGGTTAGGGTTAGGGTTAGGGTTAGGGTTAGGGTTAGTGTTAGGGTTAGGGTTAGGGTTAGGGTTAGGGTTAGGGTTAGGGTTAGGGTTAGGGTTAGGGTT